CCCCCCCATGGATCACTCCAAGACCGATTCCAAGCATCTCGATTATAAGCATGCATTCAGATGCCAATATGTCGACCCACCCCTTCACCTGATGTGCAACTTAGCGGATGAAAGATAGATCCAAAAATTGAACACGATATCAGCGTAACGTACCACAATTATCCCGCCCTTGACCTCAATCCATTGCCAATGCTTCGTCTGGGAGGCCGATATAACCGCCGGGCATGTTTCCTCGCCTAGCTGACGCACACGGTAGACGCCAGGAATCTCCTGGGCCCTATCCAGTATAACCGCTGTTGGTATCCAGTTTTAGCGAGAATTGGAAGGATTCGGTTCGGATACATTTCACCAGTGTGGTACATTGTAAGGTTTGTGGTCGTCCTGGAGGCAGTGCGTGCTCGAAACCGCTTTTATCTCAGCTGAGCATTTCCATACCCGTCTTGCTTTGTGATTTAGAAGGGGCTGCCATCGCATGTGGCTCGACTAATTTCCTCCCGATAATAGAAACCTCCTTGTTCGCTGTGGGCTAGTTGTTATATTCGCAGATTCCCTGGAATGAGACCACATATTCGATGTATGGTCATATACTGCAGGCTAATTGAGCCACCTCCTATTCTCTCCCGAGAGCTGGCCAGCTTCGGACGCAAGGTATGAGCCATAGCGAAAGACGTGCTCTGCGAAAAATAGTTGCAAGGGTGGTTGTGTAACCAAAATGTCCCTTGGCGGTACTCCTTGACGCGTTGAAAATGCATTAGAAATACCTCCGGGAATCCGGCAAGACGAATGTATTTCTGGGACTGTCATTGCTGAAAACAGACGCTCAGCTAGGAGTAATATTTTGTATACTTTTTTTTTTGACTTTTTTATTTTGCATATGGTGCGCTCTTCGTGTATAGATAGGTACAACCAAGAACTTAATTTCTCTTGACATACTTAGGAAACCCGTCAGGCGACAGCCCTTACCTCGTTTCTAACCCTTTCTAACATGGGTCCTACATTGGCACACAACTGCAATAGTTTCCCAGTAGATGGGAAAGGCATGCTTTCCTTGCTTTACCCCCTGAGCCTCGGCCTTCTTAACCCTACATGCGGGGTAACCTAGCATTAAGGCCTATGCTACGGTGGGAGCGGTAGAATATACTCACTTAGTGAGTTTACTACGGGCCTTCTAGCCTAGATGCGCTCTATTGATGTGATATACATGGTCAAGAGATGTAGAACGAAATCTTTATTATTCTGAATCGTTCGTAGCCTCCCGTTGCTAACGGGCCGTATGTATTGTTATGAACTGCGGGCCTTAATAGCCGACAGGATATAACGCATTCATTCTAATGCCGTGATAATCTGGTCCAGGCTGGAGGGCAGCCGAATTAAAATATCCTTGAAATCTTTCAAGAGTGCACTGACAGTCTCTGCATCCATCAGTCGACTGTTAGCTGTGATCCGAAGGGTAAGTTGATCATCCCCCGTTGGCTCCGAGTAGATGACCGGGTACGCGGGGAGGTAGTTAAATGCATGGATGGCAAGACGGCCAGAAAGCTCCCCAAGGCTAAAGGGAGGACCGTCGAGCCCTGGGATGTTTTGGTGCTGGACAACACTTCCAAAGCACGTCCCCTTTGGCCATGCGGTACTTCGCTCCACGATATCTTCCAAATCAACAGCTTCAATCTCCAGGCTCTGTATATGCTGTTGCAGGAGAGTGTCAAGGAGGTCCTGAACAGTCCAGGCATCCTCTAGCTTAATTCGAACCGGGATCATATTAACGCATGGGCCGACAAGTTCCTCAATACCATCCATTGGCAGGTTTCGACCGCTAACAACTTGGCCGAACACAAGGTCGCGGGTATCTGCCCACCGAGCAAGAACTAAACACCATGCAGCCTTGTGGAGAATGGCAACAGTTGCAGCTGGTGAATCGCGCATTGACACGGTGCATTGTCGCTCAATAATGGCATCCTGGTCGTCGGAATTTGGGGACTCGGATAGACCGCTGGTGGGGATGAATGTCATCGATGATCCTCTGAGAATACTTGCCCATGTTTCATATGTTGAGGGACTATTTAATAGTGACTCCCGAGTCGCCATGAAGTCAGAGAATGTCGGCGGTGGCACGAGCTGATCGTCGCAGTAACACCGGGAGATATCACGCATCAGAAGCGGTATGCTCCAACCATCGTATTGAGCGTGTGAAAGTCTCAGTACCAAGGTTGAGTGATCTTTGGTTTCGCGAATGAGGAAAGGTTGAAAATACTGACGCCCACATGGAACCGGCACCGCCACATCTTCTCGACACACCTGGTGGACATCCAGTTTGCAGTCCTGGTCCTTGGCTGCAATCTCTCTGACCGAGAAATCGAATGGGTGCTGAACTACCTGGATGATGGTGTCGTTCACCGAAACGAAAGAAGTGCGCAATGAACTATGGCTCTCCAGCACGGCTCTGAGAGCGGCTTGTAAGCGGACCAGGTTAGGATGGCCCGAGAGGTGGATGGCAAAATAGGCCTGGTGAGAGCCGCGAAGGTATTCACGCTGAAAGCCCGTCGTAGGCAGGATATCGACCACGGTTGCCATATCGAAAGGGATCTCAAACCGCAATGGGCCTTTGAGTGAGTGTGCCATGCCTTGCAAAGCGCGAAACCGGATCATGCCTTTTCTCGGTCCGTCGCTGTCACCCTTGCTCTGGGGTTCGACATCCTTAACCAGGAGAGCGAGATCGGATATCCGGGGATGGTTAAAGACATCCGAGACTGATAGCTGCAATCCTTCCCTTTTCAGAAGCCCGACATACCGGATCAAAGAGATCGAATCAAGCCCCCGACGAAACAAGTCATCGTCAACACCGAGAGAGTCTGGCGGTTGGTTTAAAAGGCTAGATGCCACCGCATGGAGTGTTTCTTCGACCTGCCCGGAGGGGCCCCGTCTGGTCAGCTGCGCTACGCTGTACGGCTCCATATCAAGGATCGTCAGGCCCTGAGCTTTCTTCCGTATGGCCTTTCGATCGACCTTGCCACTCGAGGTCACCGGCAAGTAGGCAAGCGGGAGGAAGATAGCAGGGACCATGAACTGAGGAACGAGCTCTTGTAGTTTGGCCACGGCTGCCCTCGCTTCTGTACGAAACGTCTCCGATGGAGGAAGGAAGGGCATCTGGGGGTGATTCTGCGAAGCGACACGGCGTTTCTCCGCATCCAGCGGTAGAACAAAGCATATTAGGGCTTCCTGCTGAACGTCGCCATGTGGCTTTATAATATCAGCAACAGCCTCGTCGACGTCTGCAAAGCTTTGTTTCACGTAGTGTTGAACCTCCTGCAGCTCAATGCGCTGTCCTCGGAGCTTGACCTGATCGTCCCGACGCCCTTGGAACACAAGGCTGCCGTCATCTGCATAGTGTACGATATCACCAGTTTTGTAAAAGCGGTGATGGGCAGGAATGTCGAACAATGAGCTCCAGGCCGGGGAACTTATCAAGTTGCACTGTGTCTTCTCAGGGTCGTTATGGTACCCGCGAAACAGGACCGGGCCCTCAATAAGAAGCTCGCCCGCCGCGCCAGGAGGGAGGAGTTGGTTATGGTTGTCTCCATTCACAATCCATGTCCGCGCACCTGGAATTGCCTTGCCAATATTCGTAATTTCCTGGTCCAGCGATACCGGGGATCGGACGGTTGCGATTCCTCCTTCCGCTGGACCGTATCCGATGATTAACCGTGAGCCCCATGTAACAATATCATTTCGACAGGCGGGCTCGCCGGCCAAAACGATCGTCTTCAGCGTAGGAATCATGGCCTGGTCGAGTAATCGAGCGACGCTTGGGGTGGTGCACATATATGTGACCCCGAACGAGGCAGCTACTTCAGACAGTCGGTTTAGGCGCGCCTCCTCGGACGGTATGCAGAGGCAGGCCCCGGTGCATAGAGAGGATAGGATGTCAATACAGGCAACGTCAAACGAATGAGAAGAGAACTGGAGAACTCGAGACGCAGGGCCCAAGCGAAAGATCCTGCCGTGGTCCGCAAGCTGGGAGCACGACGCCCTGTGCTCGGTCACAATAGCCTTCGGTTTCCCTGTAGACCCAGACGTAAAGAGGACAAAGGCAGGACTCTGAGGACTTATATCGGCGTTCGTAACCTTTGTATTGCATCGATCCTGATCCCCGCCTAGGTACGTCTCACTCAGAACAATCCAGTCGGGTGCCAGCACCGGCGCGAGTGCGGTGCTTTTGCCAGAAACAATAACCAGACTCACTTCGAGGGACAGACACATCTCTCTTAAGCGATATTGTGGCACGGAGAGATCCAGTAGCAAAAAGGCCCCGCCGGCCTTGAGGACGGCCAGAACAGCTACGGGCACCCATTTGCTTTTCTCCAGACAAACTGGCACGAAGACCCCAGGACCAACGCCGTGAATAACCAGGTCAGCCGCAAGACGAGTGGACATATTGTCCAACTCCTTGTACGTCATGCAGCCATCCCAGCTACAGACAGCTGTTGCTTGTGGCGTCTGTACGACATGAGCGTCAACCAGATCATGCACACACCCCATGAATTCCTGGGGTACGTTTTGGTTCCATTTTGCAATCTGATTTCGGCTCACTGGAGGCAATATATCAATCTCACCCACGCGGCACTGGCCCTGTAGTATTTCCATTATCACCTGGTGGTAGGTCTGGGCAATGGTAGTTGCAAAATCACGCGTCATGGCAGTGTTCCAATAAGAAAGAATGAGCTCGACGTCTTCCTGGTCAACAGCAATGTTTAGGACGATGGGATACTAGATGCAATGGGACAGTCAGCTAATGCCGTTTATTGGACCCTGCAAGCATTCCTCTGCCGCTCGAGCCGAGCTTCCCTACTTACCTCAGTGATGCCATCTGCGTCCAGACGACGTAATATAATTGCCGGGTTGACTGCCTTTTTCTCGGCTGCCTCGTGGTAGTGAATCGATAGTGACGAATCGAAGATTGACTGTCCGACGAGATTTGCAGAATGCTGAATGTTTGCAAAGGAGCAGTCTTGGTGGGCCAGGCTCTCCAGGAATGACTTTTGGGTTGACTGCAGAACATCCAGTACTGGCTGCTCGTCGTCGAATGTGAGTCGGCGGATAAGTACATTGACAAACAGTCCAACGCAGTCCTTGATACCAGGGACAGCACGCTCCCGGCCAGACGTGGTATAACTGAAGCAAATGTTGTCCATAGCGGTATAACACCGAATAACCAGCCCCCAAGCGACATGTAGTATATTTGTGAGGAGAAGCCCATGCCTTGCACAGAATGCCTTTAACTCGCGTGTTTCGAGAAACTGTTCCATGCGGATGTACTGCATCTTTGCATGTGTAGAGGGCAAGGGAGCAGCCAACAATGTATTGTTACTAAGTATATGGCAAGGCTTGACCCCCTCAAGATATCGCTTCCAGTATTGGTCTTTGTCGGATTGCTCCCCTATCTCGAGCACAAAGTCTTTGAAAAGCGGCCGGTTGGCCAGGTCCAGGTTGCCACCATATGCAAGTGTCAGATCTCGCATTAACACCTGTAGCGAAGTTGCGTCTACAAACATGTGGCTGATAGTCATATCCAGGATGACACGACCGTTGGGCTCCACGTAGATTGTAGCTTTTGTTGTAGGCCTTAGATCGTCGGCGCGGTTGCTGTAGTCCTGTTTCCGGCCCTGTGCAAAGTCTGTCATCCCTGCTTCTAGGATGATAGGCACCTCCGGCGCGTAGTCCTTGAGGACTAGCTGGTCCAAGATGTCGTCGTTATTCACCGTTACCAGTATCGTCCTTAACGCTGCATGTCGGGCAACAACCCTCTTCCATGCCCTCGCAAGCTGCCAGGGGTCAACCGCAGGGCGACCGTTGGCAGGAAGGACCTCGACTGTGTATCGATTGTAGTACTGCTGAGGATCACGAAGTTGACTGAGCAAGATCCCACGCTGGGAAGGCGTACAAGGATAAATGTCCTCAATTGATGCTGCTCCATGCAGCAGATTCTCGACAAGGTATCGCAGCCGCTCCTCTCGTACGGCGTAATCAGACAGTTTATGCTTCAGACATAGAACGTTCAGCTCCACAACGGCATCTTTTATTGTATTTTCGCATATACCAACCCATTGTTGGAGCCTCTGTTGGTTCTCCATGTGCTTGTTGATTCGGATGTCCACCACCAGACCATTACTTCCTGCAAGTGCATTGACTTCCACGAGGCTCAATCTTTGCATCCCCCCGCTCGTCGCACCTGGTATATGGACCGATTTAACGGAGAACGGGGAATCAGTTCCGTAACTCAGATTGGTGATGTCTGTATATCTGAACAAGATCTCAAACGGCCGTCGCGCATCGAATGCCTTCCGCCCATCCTGCTTTAACATTCGGGACGTGAAGTAGGCCCAGCCGTTCGCAGGCAGCTGTCGCCGACTACCCCGAGTGCGCATGATGAGCCCTGTCAACGCTTCGTCCGGTGCTGTCTCAATATACGTCGGCGAGATCGTTGTAAACCAGCCCACAGTAGAGCCTAGGTCAATCGTGTCCGTCCACGGCTCTCGTCCATGTCCTTCTACATAGATGGTCGGCGCAGGTCTGTCCGTAAAGACCTGGGTGAATGCGTAAAGTATACATCCTTGGATAATCTCGGAAGGCTCTGTGTTGAGAGGATTGTTCGCGTCTCCCAGGAGACTATTAGTGATGGATTTGTCCAGCGTGAAGCTATACAGGTTGGAATCGTCAACGGTGTTTGGAATTCCGCTGCATTCGTACTCATTGACTTGCTCAGCTTCGGAGATATGGCTGGCGGGTAAGGCCTTGCGCTGCAGTAGATTTGCCTCTGCATACTGTGCCTGTTCCGAAACCCATGTGAGAAAGGGTTTGGACGAACCCTGTGGACTGGTACCGGACTCGAGCAACCTCTTCAGGTCGGCGAGAATCACCGACCATGAACCGGCATCCACTACCAGCTGGTGCACAATCAGAGACAAGTACTGTCCGGTGCCGTTGCTTTCGTCCATCAAACTAACGATCCAGAGGGGACCGTCATGGATGTTCAATGATCTGCTAGAGCACGCATTGATATCTTGGATCTCAACCGCACTTGCAATCTGATGGTGTTGGCAGCGGAAGCTTTGTGTAGTTTCCTCTGTGACCATCTGGGTCCATTCACCATCCGGCGACATGGTGAAGCGTGCCCGGAGCATAGCGTGTCTTTTAACAAGCGAGTTTGCTGCTGCAAGTATATCCTCTGGGGTCATAGGCTGGTTAAGACGAAGGACGACAGTCTGGTTATACTGCCCGTATTCAACAGGATTTGCTGTCAGGAAAAGCTCCTGAATTGGAGACAAGCGGACGCATTTGGTCAAATCTCCTTGCAGCCTAGATTCATGTGGCGCATGGTTTTCGATCAGTCCAGCGATTGTCTGGGACTGAAATATATCCCCAACAGTGACCCGAATCCCCAAGGCTGCGCACTTCTCAACGCATCGCAGAGCCGAAATCAAATTTCCCCCGAGAGACACAAAGCTATCGTCAGCTCTGATCTTTCCAGGATCAATACCAAGGACGCTAGCCCAGGCGTCTTGAACTTGCTCCAAAATAGAGGGGACATCTTTGCCAACTTGAAGCCGGTCGTCTAACTGTCCATGGACGAGGGACAACACATCCGTCGGAACTTGGGATGTCGATACTGCCATGATGTGGACCAAAGACTCAAATATTGGTGGGATATGTGAATATAGAACAAAGGATTTTCCTCTAGTATGCAAGATATTAGAGAATATATAAGCCAGTGTCACTAGCTACCCTGCCTGTTCTTGTCGGATGTTGCTATAGTCGGTTTCCCAGAAGTCACCGCCAATTCCGCCGTCGTTACGACATATAATTTATCGAGTCTCGTTGCGGGCTGACACGAACATTACCACGATACTGCGTGGGTTGAACCTCCTTGCTGGTTAGCTGTAATAGGGAGCTCTACACTGCCCTCGAGGCATGACTGAGCTGCTGAGACCGCCAGCCTGTGTATGGTTCAAAAAGAAAAGATCCTGTCTTTTGGTATGGTAAATTCCCACCCTTGATCGTCCAAAGCCGGGGTTACACAGTAATTCAAGTAAAAGCACCTCCTAGCTTACCCCGGTACCGAACTCGTCACCCGGTCAGATATACGATAAGGCCGTGTCATAACATTGCTAGCCTGGAAGCCATTACATATCTACCACTTCTATACCTGGCCATATGTACGTCAGTGGAGGCGACACTGGACTATTCGCAGAAGTAGACCATGTTCGTTGTGTAGGAGGAAGCTGGCTAGACATCCAGTTCCAGACAGCCAGTCGTTGACGTTTGTTTATTCTCTATTAACACAAATATACGCGGTACCAGGACTAGACGCCACAAGGGCCTGCACGGTGGTTGGTAAGGCCCTGTGGAGCTATTTAGCTAAGGTGCCACAGCGTGGTCTTGGCCCCTTGTGTAACGTGGTAGAAGTGACGCGAGGGAGACATCCTGTCGGTAAGGTGAATGGTTAACGGCAGGGCGCAATGCCCATGAACGGAAATTCTCCCATATTGCTGCCATTGGGATGTTGGTGCCACCTCCTTACCCAGCCTGGAAGCATCTTCATGACCTCGATGCTGTCCATTCCAAAGATGCGTCAGCCGTGCGACCACCAGTCTACTGGCCATGGCTACTGGTTCTTCCTTTAAATGATGCCCCAATTGCAGGGCATCGGGCGACCATTGTTTGGCTTCCAGTTTGACTCACTGGATTTGCAATCATCAGGGACAATAAAGTCCACCTCCAGCACAGAACCCATGGATGCGACGGAGCTGCAAGACGTATGGCCACAGCTCCCCGCTGCCTTTCCACACATCTACTGATGATAATATTGCAGGGGATTAATACCGTCCTGGCCTTGCTTATCCGTACCTTACAAACTTCCAAACAGGACATCGAGGCCCTGTCGACTGGACGTGCCGTGCCAGAGGGCTGTGTCCCAATGGGCGGCGAATCTCTCCTGGCCTATTTGAACAATCCTCAACACCTGGAGCAGCTTCTTGGGCTTTCTCTCTCCCGTTCCGGAGGCGGGATAGGCTCTATCGAAGCTTGCAGCACTGAAATACTGGGATACTCTATCAATACGTCCTCGCCTATGTTCTTGGACAAGCTTTGGGCCACACCATCAGTTCCTGGAATCGCCGCAGATCTTCTCATGTCAGTCATTAATAGCAACGTTCACGTATTCCGCACATCACCAGCCTTATCTATCATTGAAAAGCACGTTGCTAAAGAACTGGCTCATCTCTTTGGATTAGGCGGTTTATATTCAGGTGGCATTAATGTACCCGGTGGTGCTGCTGCCAACCATACAGCATTACTTATCGCGCGGAATATACGCTTCCCCTACTGCAGGGCTTCTGGCTTGCCCCAGCTAGGACGAAGGGTTGCTGTGTTCGCGTCAGAAGCAGCCCATTTCTCTATAAAGACAGCTGTACAGAACCTGGGCCTGGGGACTGTATCACTAAACGAAATCGCTGCATCGCCTAATGGTTGTATGGACATCTCGGCACTCCGGACAGCCCTCGACAATGCTGTCAGGGCTGGCGATATACCACTAGCAGTCTGCGCGACGGCAGGCACCACAGTACGGGGTGCATTTGATCCATTGCAAGACATCGCGCAGCTCTGCAAGGATTATAATACATGGTTCCATGTTGATGCATGCTGGGGCGGTGCAGCGATCTTTTCCGAAAAGCTGAGATATAAGCTGGAGGGAATCGACCAGGCTGATAGCATTGCGTATAATCCGCATAAACTGCTTGGGATTCCACAGATATGCTCGTTCCTGTTGGGTCGGGACATGCGGACCTTTTGGTCCTCCAATAATATAGATGCAGGCTATCTATTCCATCAGGATACCGCATCAAAGTGCCAGTCGAACGGTTGTGGGGCCGGGGCAGATACGATGAATATCGAGCAGTTCGAACTGGATTTCGGGTGGCGCAATACAAAGGCTATCAGGGCTGCACCAGATCCTAACAAGGTATACGACCTGGCATCATTCACTGCGCAGTGTGGTCGCCGATCTGATGCAGTAAAATTGTATTTTCACTGGCAGTACTATGGCACAGAAGGCCTTGGGCGACAGATTGATATAGCCTTTGACACGGCGTTATATCTAGCATGGGGAATCAACAATCAGCCTTGCTTCCGTCTTCTCGGCGACGTCGAGGTACCTGGCCCGCAGGTCTGTTTCTACTATGTCGGGCAGGGATATGAAAGGATGGCATCGCACTCCGACGAGAAGCGACAGAATTCCCAATTCACGCGCATGCTATCTTCCGGCCTTCTAAAGAGAGGCTGGATGGTTGACTACGCTCCGGGGTCTGATAAAGAAGGCGAGATTGGCGATTTTCTCCGCGTTGTATGCAATCGCAATACAACCGTGATGGTGGCAGACGGGCTCCTGAGGGCACTTTTACAGACTGTCAAGGAGGATATGCATCGCTGAACGGAGTCTAGGATGTTAGTTTGGCGGAGCCGTGCCTTTCTATTTCTCAAATATCCACATACCACTTGCTAGCACTGCAAACTGATGTCCCTTCCAACCTGCCTTGTATCCCCTGTGGTCCGCCAGCGTCTTGTCGTCAGCTTGGCTAATTGTAACGGTGCTCCAGCCTTGGCTCATATCAGCATATACGCACTAGTTCCTGTCTACAGACGGGTTATCCGATTCAAACAGCCAGGCGGATATCAGATTTCCTCTAGCTGACCCAATGATCCCATACATCTCACTACAACATATTCTCGATGCAATATCATTTAATAGAACTAGTTCAAAGACCCTCGCCTGCGTGTCTCCAATTCTCCCATGATCCTCGCGCCTCCAATCAGTCCTTCTGGACTACTTCCAGAATAGATACTTGGCTCCGACAAGGCCAGATCTTCTTCAAGACGAGGCCTGCCTTCTGGAACAGGGACTCGAACTGGGCTGGGGTTCTCTCGATTCCGTTGATAATAGACATTACATCAAGGTCTCTTTGGTGACTGTATCTCTTAAACACTCCAAAGTTCGGAGGGAGAGGAGATTGAGTCGGCGATTGCTTGGTAGTAGTATCCATGATTTGCTCACAGACCAGAATCCGAGACTCAGGGCCCATAGAGGCCCTGATTGCGGACAGAATTTGGACACAGCTTTCGTCATCCCAGTCATGCCTGCCAGCTTGTGAGCCCACACGCGACGCATTTGGTGGAGGAGGTCCAGAGGGGTGTTAAGACGGTCTTACAAGATATAACGCAGCCAATATATCTCAGCACCTTGTACCGGGTTCGAGGTGAAGAAGTCATGTACCCTGAACTTGACTCTTCCTTCCTCAAGGGCTGCATGGTTCTCCTTCGGCCACACTTCCATCTCAGCCAAGCGCATGTTGGAGGAGCAGTCTTGGATAATAAAGTTGAGAAGTGGGAATCTTTTACTCAGTTGGATCATGAAGCCACCTATGTCGGAATGGTTCAGTAAGAGCACCGCAGTATGGGATGAATGAAAACTCACCGACACCACCTCCTACGTCGACAATTGCTGCAGACCCCAATTCGTGCCACGGATAATCTAGAATAGACCGTCAGCGGCCTGCACCATCCGATACTCCAAGGCGGCGACTCACCGTGAAGATGAGCGCGCGTAGTTACTCTTCCGCCGCCCACCATCGCCATACTGAAAAGAGGCAGCTCCGGCCGATGTCGTTCAAAGGGAGAATCACCCCGACTTGTATTCTCATAGCCCGGGATACCGGGATAGTTGGAGATGCACGTCTTTGGCTTCTTTTCGTCGTTGGATGGGGGCTCCTCCAGCCATTCCCACCTACTTTTGTCGGTACGTAGGGCTTTCTGGAAAGCAGTCTTCTTAACGTCATAGGATGGGCCCATCTCCTCGTCGAATAGGGTACTCGGCAAGTGCTCAGCGCAGGAGAAAAGGTCTGCATGGCTATTAAGCGTTCAGCGGGCGCAATTGATAATGGAATTCAGAGCAATGATGCAGATTAGCCAAACCTACAACATCAGGATATACGCGCTTAGCGGCTCATTTTGAACCAGGGCGCGGGAAATTCGATTATTGGCGAATACCTCTGTCTCTGGCTCGCTGAATATGTGGCTCGAACATAAGCACCGGAGGACTCGTGCTGAAATCGCCAGTTTTAGTTCCGTGCCCTTTGGTACTGGCGTTGGTCACGCCCTCGTAGAAAACGGAGTCACCCACCCAATTTCCGGCTTTCAATCCGAGTGATGTTGGATAGCTGCTCCAGGGGGAGAGGCCCGTTGCTCAGGACATCCGGGATGTGTTTCGCCACTGCGATTGCAAGAGCCCTGGACTCCCAGTATTGCCCTGAATATTCCATGAGGCGCAGGGATGGGTCGGATATCAATTCCAATAGTACCCCGGTCCCAGCGATAATGTTTCTCTGAGCTTCGTACATGGGCCATGACGGGATACTGCTCTCGGCAGGCTCCGGCGCTTTGTAATGCTCCTCGACGACTACCTGTATGCTTTTCTGGATCAGCCTTCCGACCTCCACGAGCTTATCGATGTCGAGGCCATCCTGGGTTGGGCCAAAATCGGATACCATGGCTCAGGGTTTCTGTCCAGTGCTTCAGAGAAAGAAGGGAAGCGATGGAAAGAGCGAAATTCCGAATTTAGAAAAACCAATTGGAATACTGGACGCATTGGAGAGTGTTGTGTCTTGGTACAACAGGCACTCTCCGACATTCCTTGGAGCATGTTCGAACTCCTTACCTTTGTGGCTTGGGCATTGTGGTAGCACAAACGTCCCTCACCTCATCTCAATCAAACACTTCGTGCTCTCTTTTCGCTCCTTGCCGCTCTCTCCCTACATACGTGTAACCATCCCAGATTCCGAACTTGAATGCGTTGTGGCGGCCTGAGGTCCGGAATAGGCTGTAGGCAGATCAAGACGCGCGTACTCTGAAAGTGCATCACGACCCTGACCCTTGAGCTGGCGAGATCCGGGGCCCTTGCCGTAGACATGTGTATTGCTTGAAGGGGCTGCATAGCATTCCTCAAACAACGCCTGTTGTGTATAAGCATCGGGGCAGATAGTTGTCCTGGCATGTATACCTTCACGCTCTATTTAGATTTGTTTTTTCCCCCAGTATTGGAGTTTTTTTTTTTTTTTTTTTTNTTTTTTATGATAATGAGAGCTGCCTTTTGTGTAACTAATTTCCAACAGACGTATATCCAACCGTTGAATAGAAACACGAAGAGGCCCTTGTCTTGGGATGGTTTGAACAGCCGATAGCCCACCTCAAAGACTATTTTATATAAGTAACTTTGGTCGCGCTATGCGTAACATTAGTCGTCAAGCACATTGAATTCATGCAGATTACCGCGCGGCACTGCACGCTCATTCTTCAAGCTAATTGCAAAATCTATCACGTTCAATCTACGAATCTGTCTGATGAGGATGGGTGTTTCTCATTCCAGCTACTTGTCCATATCTGGAAAGTATCTTCGAGAACGAATATGCCAGACAGCCAATTGGCGAATCGCCTACCCGAGATATCTTATGGGCATTCTTGTAAGGGGTGGTTTACTGGCATCGAATTCTCAGACAGTGTCTCGCAGTTCGATATGCGCTCGGCCCTCGCCTTGAGTATGAGCTGGGGGCGTGGGCTCGAAATATTTGACCAGATGCCTGACACTGCTGACAGTGATTATGATATGGGAAAGAAGAGAAGTGGCGACGGATTGCTTAGTTCAGTTGGCAAAAGTCTGTAAGAGAATTGGATCGTCTTTTCATATCCCAACTAGCTAAGCTTTGCTCAGCACCATGACAGTATACCCATCTAGCTGGAGACGTCTTGACGTGGGCGTGGTTGGTGGAGGAATCGGTAAGCATCCTCTCCATCCTAGCCTATTCAGCTAACATTCATTTGCAGGGGGCCTAGCGGCAGCATTATCCCTTCGTCGTGCCGGGCACACTGTCACCATCTACGAGCGCTCTGACTATACAAAGGATACTGGGGCGTCCATCAGCTGCCCCGCGAATGGAACAAAATGGCTGCAGGAATGGGGTGTCGATATCACGAAGGGAAACCCTATTCTGATCCAGCGACAGATACGCCGTAAGCTGGAGACTGGAGAAGTTCAGGATGTTCTTGACCTGGACGACTATATTGAGAAATGGGGACATGTAAGTCATCCTTTGAGATGCAGGTATCCGCGCGTGTCTCACCCTTTCTGATGGGGGCGCCGAACAGGAATATTACAACTTCTACCGTGCCGACATGCATGCAATGTTGGTGGATGCCGCCACCGGCCCTGGAGCTGGGGAGCCTGCTACACTACTGAGGAACCACTCTTGCCAGTCCATGGACTCTGAGAGGGGTATCATTTCTTTTAGCAATGGAGTTTCTGTTCGGCATAACTTGGTTATTGGCGCTGATGGCATTGGGGTAAGTGATAGCACTAATGGGTATCCAGCAACAGACTTTCCTAACATAATTGGTATCTGTCTAGTCCTCTGTCCGTCGGTCCTTTGGAATTGTCCCTGAGCGCAAGCGAGCCACTTCCATGTGTTACCACTGCGTGTTGAAGACGTCCGAGATACACCGGCTAGGGCTCTCTGAAATGGCTCGTAGCAACACTCTCGAATACTGGGGAAACGGGTTACATAAAATCGTCTACTCCGCCTGCCATGGAGGTAGCATGATATCGTTCTTTATCTTTTTCCCTCTATCAATTGAGGAGGCAAAGCAGGATCTCGAGACTTGGGATGCTCGTGGCACACACGAACAGGTCCTCCGCCCATTTCCTAATTTGGATCCTAAGCTTCGAACATTGATTTCCAACGCCGTCGATATCAGCCCGTGGCGATTGTTTGAGCATTCCCCATACCCTTGCTGGTACAAGGGCCAGACCTGCCTGCTTGGAGATGCGGCCCATCCCATGATGCCTGACCAAAGTCAGGGCGCTTGCCAGGCCATGGAGGACGCAGCGGCCCTTGGTATAATCTTTTCCAACGCATTCGGTTTTACGTTGGACGTCCAAGCCGGGCTAGAGGTCTACGAGCAAGTGCGCAAGCCTCGTGCCAGTAAAGTTCAAGCAGCCAGTGCCCGGGCCCGCAACAACCTCTCTGAGCGTATAGGGTTTTCCAGCCGAACGGAGAGTAAACTGTACCATGTTGCCGATGAGAGCAAGAAATTGACTATCGAGGAGATCAATGGGTATATCGGCCCCCTTCCCTTTACTCTTCGTTCCGACGCATGTATCATTCGCTGACATCGCCTCCAGCTACAACATGAGAGATCATGTGAAATCAGTGGCTCCTATTCAATATCGATACCCCAACTAAGCGCATATCGCCATATCTATAGATACTAGGGCTTCTTCCACGGCCATGGGTTGAATTCGCCTACTTTCAGGTCCCGGCTAATGGCATGCTTGCCCTCTTTTCAATTCTCGCACCCGTCATTGCAGGGTCATGAAATAGTTAATGTAAACTGGGTACAGCTTCGACTGCAGTAACATCTGTGACAGTGGCATATCCAATCCTCCATGTATAGTTTCTCTGGCTGTAGCGGAGATAGCAGCGCTGTACTCCAGAAATCCATGCTCTCAATGTAGGAAACGGTCATAGGGACCTGACGCAATCCACTTAGAGCACCAGGGTGCAGCATCTTTGTCGGAGCAACCAAGAATAGAAAATACGCCGCGCAGCTCTCCACGGGCAGTTCCACAATGGTCACTTTTCACTCGATTCAGCAACCTGTGATGCCGAAGACCTGGACATTCACTGTGGAGGACTGGTTGCCGATCGACAATAAAGCAGGGCTGGAGTCGTCACTCACTGAGAAGGCTACGTTGGCCCCTGTCACTTTGGCCCAATTGGAGTCCCGGCGTAACGTCTTTGGGCTTGAATATGCCAGCGGTGTGGGAGTCTACCAGACGCCGGTGCATCTGCCCATTCGTCAGCCAGACAACGATCAACAGGCCATTGGGGTATATATGAACATCGGTAACGTCCAATGATCTTGGGGCATAGAAGTGAACGGCCAGATTGTCCCGGGTGTCGACTTCTTCAGACCACGTCGGCTGGATGTGACCTCGTACATAGGTAATGGAAAAAATCGTAAGGACCGTGTGGACCCGAAGACTCGTATACTGACAGGCAGTAGACATCAAGATCACCGTGGCCACGACGCTTTGGAACAAGCTGCGCAAGACATGGCCAAGCCTTTACGGAGCACTGGAGCCGGAAGAAGCCGGACACTGTGGCCGGTGAGCTTTACTATGCGCAGCAGCGTGTTGTTTAGCCTGCCAAGATGTGATTGAACAGAGACGTATACAAGTAGACAGACGAGGAGGCGCAGGTCTAATTCAGACGCGTCCGCGATGACGACGGACGCACCGCCACCACCCAACCTCGGGGGAGATTCGGGAGGAAAACGTGGTTCGAAAATAAAGCTGGCCAATGGGAGGCAGCCTGCAGGATCTTCCTGGATTAACGTTTCCACTAAGAATTGGCTAAATCACCAAGAGTGGCGCCTGCGGGGTGGAACCGAAACAAACGTCCACGCGTTCGGGGCCTGCGTCCTGCAGATTTCTCTGTCCTGATTCCTTCAACAACACGGGGCCTGGAGAATTAAAAAGGCCAGATCCACCTGTAGTTGCGCCCTATATATTACGTGCTTACTTTAATCCCGACCTGCTCGCGACACCGGCTCACATCGGAAATACGAGCACAACGCCAGCACCACTATGAGCGCCCAGTCTGGCGAGTCCTCGCGCGAGGGCTCCATTGTGCAGCCACGGCGGCATATCGTGAAGGCATGCGAGGGCTGCAGACAGCAGAAGATCAAATGCAACGGAGAGTCGCCGTGTGAGCGATGCGCCCGGCTGTCGCTGCCGTGCTCAGTGCGGACAGTCGCGCGCCAGCGTCGAAAGCTGACGCCGACCAAGACGCCGCAGAGGAAGGGTGGCCATGAGAGTTCAGAGCTGCTGCAGATGGCGCTGAGGCCGGTCAGGGTTACGAACGAGGCGACGGGCAAGTCTGCTATATACGGACCAACGTCTACTGTGGCGCTGCTCCATCTGCTGGCTTCCCACAAGCACGATTACCCTTTACAAATTAAGAACTATGGGGCCTCTGTGGACACTGCTCTCCCGGCTGACGGTTTCAACTTCAATCGCCTAGTTGTTGAGCCGTACAATGTTCCGCCGACACTTGGGCTCTCCCTGACACCACCACTTTGCCTCACCACCATCCCAAATCAGGTCCTTCAGTTTTTTCTCAACAGATATGTCGGTACCGCGTGGGCCATCCTGCCTATGCAGTCACCATCCCAGTTGGGTTCGCTGTTCTCATCGGCGTATACAGCATTCAGCCACAATAGCCCGCCGCCCCCGTTATACCCGCTTCTACTATACCAACTCGCAATGGGATCACTGTCTACGATGCAGGGAGACCTAGCCGATATCCTAGCTCAAGAGAGTGATCTTTTCATATCGGCTGGTGTCCATCTCCCAGACGCTCTAGACCTTCAATTAAGTATTATCATGATAAGTGCCCCCTCAACAGTCTTTCTTGAGCCTCGGCTAACATATCTCCTGACTTTACCTTCAGTACTGCAATGAGATAGGCAACTTCGACAAGGCATATTCCATGCTCGGTCAGATAGCAACGAAGGTCTTTTCAGGGGGCTTTCATCTCGAACCTCGCTCTCCAGAGATAACAACCCTACTCCACATTCTCCTCCGATCAGAGAGGTAGGCCTCTGTAATGACAATATCAACGAGAATCCTTCTAACCCAGACTTTCTAGTCTCGTCTGCATCGCGGTCGGTCGACCACCATTACTCGGTCCCAGCATCCAAATATCCGACGACAACGAAGGCGCCGACGGGAAATTCTTCTCTGGCCTGTTCCGCATCATCACAACCATCTTATGCACACAACGAAACCCAACCATGGACTTTGACGAGCTCTGGCAGTCAATATGGACGACGCATAATCAACTACGATCATACTGGCAGGAGCACGAGCCGATCCTGCGCTTCGCCCATGGAGATCCCCGTCGGCCGTGGGACGTGGACGAGGCGTTGGCGCTTAATGGCAATTGTGAGTGTGACCGTGGAGGAATAAGATGAATAGGACAAAGGCTGACTGCTACAAAGTATACGAATATGCCACCTTGACGAACTTCAAGCCCATTCTTCTTTACATCGGGCATAAGAGCTCTTCACGGGAGAAAGAGGGCGGAGAGACATCACAGCTGGCTATTTCCAGAAGATCGCCACTATCTAGGATAACGAAGAACGATGAGAACGTCGCAACGGCCTGCGAGCATATCATCACCTCCGCAAAGACGATAATCGCCAATATCGCAGAAGTCCGGCAGCGCGGGTCCGTTGCAAAGGTCAGCCCTAAACCAAAACACATATTCCGGCAGAACTAATGATAAGCGTAGGATTTGCCGATGAACTCATTCTTCCTCGAAACGGCATGCACGTCGTTGATTGCATACGGAGTCTGGCACGACAACCCGACTGCAGTGTGGGACAGTATAGAGCTCGGGGTGCGGTGCATGGAGGACTTGCAGTACCAGAAGGCGTCGGCCCAGAGACTTCAGTCAGTCAGGACTGCGATAGAGCGATCCGGCCTGAGGCAGTGGTGACGAATATACCTGTATTCTCGTAGACCAATGAAACAATCAGTGCGAATTTGCGTTTACGTCACCAGTCACTAACAACCGCATATCGTATTGAAGCTGCTACCTTTACCTTTCGTAATCGGGAGGAGGGGTGATGTTTCCCAGTCCTAGTGCTCCCAGTACCGCCCAGCACTCATCGTGTTTCACACCGAAGTAGCGGGAACACTTCCCAGCTAGGATGAACAAGGACGAATTCTTCGTGTATGCAATTAGCCCTGAGCGCAGAAGTCGGGAGAGGAAACAGGCAATCTGCTGGTAGTTATCGTCCGAGGCGGCGATATACTCGACCACTTGATCGTAATTCCCGCTACCATTCGCTTCACTGTGCTTCATGAAGTCCGATACAATACGGATTGCAAGGGTTGTAAGCCCGGCTGTAAGGTCCAGGACGGATGCTTGTCCATCGTTGTGGAAGAACCGCTCATCTGATAGTTTCTTGCCGTTGTGATCCAAGAGGACAGTCTCGCTCCACAGAACGTCCTCTTGTAGTGGCTATATGCCAGGAACAACGCTGTGAACGCGAAGTTGATCCCGGTCGGGCAGATCCTCCATCAGGAGTCTCTCGTGCGATGCAAAATCTCGACCGAGCCGGATGCCATTGGCAAAATATCTGATACATTCAATCTCTTTGTCAAAGGTGACATTGCCAACGCAATCAGTAATATCGTGGGAAGCGGCTTGCAAGCTGTTGTTGGATCATACGAGGGAAACAGGTCAGAGAAGACCATGTAGTAGGTCAAGCATTAACCTCATTGAAAGCAGAAACTCATTCCAAATGACACAGCACTGTGACGACTGGGGTTCTGGGTGGTATCCAACGCGTTGACATTCGGATGTTTGCCTGGAGGTACACTTCCAAACAGCTCACTGACATTACAAAAGACATGCTCGCTGTGGCTGTTATCATCTCTGCCGTGGACCCGGAGCAGGTCACGTCTTTTGCTATTCGATCCTTGGTCCAGGAGCAGTACGGCCTACTTCCAGCGGCAGAGCAACAGAAGATTTTGAAGACAATCTTAGATGCGAAAAAGGAAGCACAGGATACAGGTGAATACGCCGATCCCATATTAGACCTCAACTTTGTCCATTTAGAATGAAATAGCCTCAATACCAGTCCTGCTATATCCTGTATACTGTCCTGTGTCCTGTATACTGCGGCGGCCCGCCCCGCCCAGACAGACCTATCAGATCCCGGCCCACGTCTTGGTTGAATCGTTCAGAAGATTCATTCCAATCTATGGAATTTTAAGCTACAAAAGGACTATTTCTGTGAAGTCCGAAGAATTGAATATGTCAGCATGTGCAACGCTAGCCTGGGTAGGAATAGCCAGGCTGAATAATGAAGTTGATGGGGCCGACATCCTGATCCTGAGAGGACATAGGTCGCGCGACCCTTTCCTAAGGGTCAAGTGACCCATACCCCTGCCAAGCTCCTGCCAAGAGGATTAATAAGTATTTAAAGTCACGCGAGACTTTAAATATCTTACTAAAATTTATTTATTTTTATTTTCTAATTTCTTCCTATATCTAATTCTAGAAATAGTTAGTAACTATTTAGTAAATAGTTATTAAAATACTATCTAGAATAGATTCTAGTCTACTAATTATTAAACTTGATAATTCTTTTAATATTAATACTTAAAATATTAATACTCAAGATATTAATACTTAAGATATTAATACTTAAGATATAGAGAATAAGATATATAGCTATTTATTAGCTATTTATTAACTAGTTACTAATTAGTATACTATTATAGAAATATACTATTTCTATTCTATTAACTAGTATTAAATTATCTCTACTTATAATTCTATATATTAAATATATTAATAATTTACTGGAGTATCTAACTAGTTATATTTAAGAGTATATCTATATAATAGTCTTAAGAGAATAGTTAAAGATTAAAATAGAGTAGATAATATATAAAGTAAGTATTATATAAGTTCTTAATAACTATTTACTAAGTACTTAGGTTTAATATATAAGAAAGCTAATATAAGAATAAAAATATCTTATATACTACCTATTTTTATTATATTATATATAAAAATAGATATAGAAATACTTAGATATTAATATATATAAATATCTAAGTCTTTCTTTACTCTCCTGTTATTATATCTTTATTAATAAGATAATCTAGGATAAAATCTAAGAATCTTAATAAGTAGTATAGATTCTAGAGATAGATATCATAAAGTAGAATATTTATAGATAATATTTTTTAACTAGTTAAGAGCTAATTACTAACTACTTATAGTTTTTATTAAGTAAAGATTAAATTCTTTACCAGGAGCTTTATTTATATAAAATAATTTTCTATCTATAAATCTATTTTTAAATAGTATATATAGCTAGTAAGTTTAAGCCTTTACTAAATAGTTATTAGCTAGTTACTAACTACTTTAAAGTATTTTTAGAGATTATAAGCCTTATATTAAGTATATAAATAATATATCTATATTTTTATTAAAATATTATTAAGGGCTAGTTTAAGGTTATATAACTCTAGATCTATAATTTCTTAAAGATTTTTTTAATTAAGATATTCTTTCTCTAACTAAGAAGTATAGAGTATTTAAACTATTAATATTATAATAGAAGTTTTATTATAAATACTAGTTATATATTTTATAAGTAGTTATTAACTACTTTTAGAATAAGACTATCCTCAGGACTTAGATTAATTAAAATATATTACTTATAATATTATATTCTATATTTTAATATCTATAGATATAAACTAATATCTATATATCTTATTTTTATTTTATAGTATATATAAGCATCCTTTATCTTCTTTAACTAAACTACTAGAGTAGATTCTCCAGGGAGTCAAGCAGCTTGTTCTAGATATAAATAATCTAATTCTTATTATAGGTAAGTACTAGTTAAATATTTACTAAATAGTTATTAACTACTCTATTACTAGTATAATTCCTCTAGAGGTTATAGCTAAAGGTCTTTTACTAGTAGTATAATACTTTTATATTAGTAGGAATTTATTCTAGCTTTTCTAATAAAGATAGAATTATAGCTATTATTATAAAGTAATACCTGTTTTTATATCTTAATAGTCAGGTTATTAATAGTATAATTCTTCTCCAGTAAATTAACTAATAAATAAAGGTAAGTAAATAGAAACTAGATCTAAATTAGTTAGTAAGTACTTATATTTCTAGAACTATATTTAAGAGATATATTATAACTTAGAGAATACTATAATTTTCTATATTTTTAAAAAGTAGCTCTAGTTTCTAGTAAAGCTTTACTCCTTTAAGATAGATATATCTTATAAGCAGGTTTAATCTAAAGATATAAATAAGATCTTTTTTATAATATTTCTACTAGATTAATATAAAAATAAGTATTTCTTAAGTACTTCTATACTAGATACTAACTACTTAGTAACTAGTTATAACTTTACTACAGGTTTTTATTAGTAAAGACTCTATACAGAATTATTATTTATTATTTAAACATATCTTTACCTTAATTAAAAAGATTATATAGTAGCTAGTACTTTTTAATCTAATCTATATATCTAGTATATACAGGATTATTATTAATATAGATAGTAAGTAATATATAGATAAAGTTAGTCTAAATACTTTCTAATTACTTACTAACTAGTTAATAAAGGCTTGATTAATATCTTTCTAAAATTAATCTATACTATTAGAATTTAATATAATAGTTAGAATATATAATTATTTTCTGCCAAGTTTATTTCTAACAGTTAATTCTAAATATTATTAAAATAAGAAAAGTAGGAACTTCTTTATAAAGCTAAATAATAGATCTTTTAAATTATTCTTTAAAGACTGTTTATAATAATTTATTAGTAATACTAATAAGTATTAACTAGTTATTAAGTATTTAGGAGCTGCCTGTTAACCAGTTAATAAAGTATAAATCTAAGATAGTATAAGACTAGACTATATATAAGAAATCCTCTATTATTAAAGTAGGCCTGAATCAAGTATACTTAAAGATTTAATCTTATTATTTTAAAATACTTTATAATTATACTAATATAGTTAAATAGTTCTACTAGAAGTTAAATATCTATAGTAAATACCTGACACTTGTTAAGATAGTAAAGAGGTATATAGTTATTAACTACTTACCAAGTACTTATAGATTATACTAATATATTATAGCTTTATAAATCTTAATATAGATAATATTCTCTAGTATAATAACTTTATAGACTTTAATATTTACTATAACTATAAGATAGTAAATATAGAATTAAACTACCTTTAATATATAACTTAAGATAGTATATATCTTATAACTACTTATCTAGTAGTTACTAACTAGTTAGATAGATAGCTATAAATATCTATATATTTTATTATCTAGTACTTCTATAAGTTAATAGAATATATAGCTATACTTATAATCTTCTCACTTATAGTATAGCAATAATAAGTATATCTAACTATATAATAACTAGTTATAGAGTACTTATAGAGTATTTAGTTTAATTTAGTCTATATATAATCTTTAATATATTATTTTAGTAAATATCTTAAGCCTAGATTAGAGATACTAGAATATTAAGATTTAAAGACTTAAACTAGAGCTTAAGAAAATAGAAAAAAGAATTAAGTAAGATAATTTAAATAGAGAATAGTAAAGTTAATAAATCTATTAATATAAGCTAGAAAATAATAAACAGGAGCTTAATATTATATAGTAATAAATATAGATCTAAGAAGCTAGTAAAGTAATTAATAAATAGTTACTAACTAGCTAGTTTAGTTCTAAGATATATATAATATACTTATATTTACTAACTTATATATAGGTTATATATCTTAAATTATAATACTACTAGTTCTAAACTACTTATTAACTAGTTAACTACCATCTATCTAATATATATATAAGTATTATTATACTGTATAATAGATATAGTATATATTTAATAAGTAGGCTATAGATTAGTCCCTAATTAATTAATAAGTAGTTAGTAACTAGTTCCTAATAATAGACTTATAGTATAAAAGATAAGGATCTAGAATACTAATTCTACTAAATTATTTTATATATTTAATAACTAGTTAGTGATTACTTAATAAGTACTTAGTAACTAGTAAGATTAATAAATATATATATATATATATATAATAGAATATTAACTTTAGTAGTTATAATAAAAAAATAAAATATCTAAAATTTATTATATCTAGTTAATAATTATTTATTAACTACCTAATAACTAGCTATATTCTTGTAAGTTATTAATCTTATAACTTTATAAGATTATGATTAAGCTAATTACTTATTAACTAGCTATTAAGTAGTTTCTAATTATTTATTCTCTAGTACTGCAGCAGGCACAGGATATATATTACTATAATTAAAAAAGATAAAAAAATTATAGTAATTAATATTCTTATAGTAATTATTTTAGGTATTATAAAAGTTATAAAGAATCTTATACCCTATCTTAGTAACTATAGCTTATATATTAGTAATATATACCTAGTCTTAACTAGTTAGTAATTACTTAGTAAGTAATTAGCTACTATTTATACTACTATCTTTCTTTACAGGTAAGGCTAGAAGGATAAATAAAAAACTATCTTTACTAGATAAGATAGGGTTATACTAGATAGTAAAGAGAGTACTTCTAGTAAAGAAGAAGATATTAAAGATAGATTTAAAGATACTAGAAATACTAGACTTAACTTCTTTATATAGATCTTTATAAAACTCTATAACTAGTTAGTAAATAGCTAGTAAATAGTTAGGAAATACTTACTTAAATCTTTATTAATAATTTTCTAGAGTATATATTCTCTAGTAATTCCTTCAGGAAGCAAGATATTATTATAAATTTTAATATAGGTTTATAGATTGTTAGTAATCTTATAGTTATACTAAATAGTTATTAAGTAGTTAGTAAACAGTATCTAAATAATTAGAAAGTATTTATATTAGCTTTTAAGCAGTTAGGCACGCGGTAAAAAACTTTACTATAATATAGGTAGATATTACTATCCTTATTCTAACCAGTTAGTAAGTAGTTAGATACTAGTTATAATACCAGGAAAATAACTTACTAGTTTATATTTAAAGAGTTTAAGATAGCTGGTCTTAGTATTATAAAGATACTATAGATACTATTTCTAAATACTTAATTAGTATCTTAAAATTAATAAAAAAGTAATTATTATTAATCTAGAACTAATAATAATAATTTATAAATAATTTTAAATTAATTTAAACTTATATTAATTAAAAGAGAGGCCATTATTAGTAATAGTAAGTATTATAAAAGGAATCAAGAATCTTAAAAAGTTTTTATAGGGTTTACAAGTTGCTTATAATTATATAATCAGCTTCAGGTCGCGGGACCGGAAAAACGAGTCCAAGCGAGCTGGATCCTGTGATCCCGATCCTGACGCCAACCGACCCAGGAATTTAAAACTCCTCTATCTAACGAGATTCGCTGTTTATTCATACATGGATTCTCTAGAATCTTCTTAATTGCCTGTCTCCAATTTCTATTCAAGACCTCGATACCACTGCTGTATGATTGTGGAACTCGGGCGGTGATTGGCCGGTGGCCGTTTTAAGTCCGAGAGCCTGATGCTATACGGTTAGGGGGTCTTGGGGGCCTAAGACAATTACAAAGCAGGAGATAGATTCATCAGCTTCGTGATTATTAAACACTGTATGCGCTGTGAGGCGGGGATAATGTCGCCGATAATGTCAGCCATACCGGGGACTTGTTGGAGCCCTATAACGAACTCTATATAAACCTGCACGCACCCTCTGTAATCACCATCACAGCAGCATCAATCTCAACAGTCAACTCTTCCAAGTCCATAGTTCCTCTTTATCAGTTAATTACTATGTCGAACACCGCAGCCTGGCTCGTCGGGCCCAAGTCCCACCCCCTCCAAGTCAAAGAGGCCCCAACCTGGGAGCCCTCCGCAGACGAAATCCTCGTCAAGAACCACGCCGTCGCCATAAACCCCGTCGACGGCATCATCCAATCGACCGCATTCTGGCCCCTCAACTACCCAACAATCCTCGGCCACGACATCGCCGGCGAAGTGGCCGCCGTGGGCTCCAACGTCACCCGCTTCAAGCCCGGCGACCGCGTGCTCGGACATGCAGTGGGCCTGATCACGCAGCGCCATCAAGACGCTGGATTCCAGGCATACACCATCATCGGTTCAAACATGGCCAGTCCTATTCCTGACGACATCCCCTACGAGCGAGCCGCTGTGATTCCACTCGGCTTCTCTACCGCGGCCGCAGCGCTCTTCCCGAAGGACTTTCTCAACCTGCAGCACCCAACTGTACCAGCATCCAAGCCCACCGGTAAGACAGTCTTGGTCTGGGGCGGCGCAAGCAGCGTCGGCTGCAACACGATCCAGCTCGCCGTTGCGGCAGGATATGAGGTTATCACCACCGCGTCGGCGAAGAACTTCGCATACGTGAAGAGTCTCGGCGCGGCGGAGGTATTCGACTACAACAGCCCAACGGTAATCGACGACCTTGTCGCCGCACTGAAGGGTAAGACCCTAGTCGGTGGTGTGGATTGTATCGGCCCCGGGGCGTCGGAGCAGACAATTGAAGTCGTGAAGCGCGCCGGGGGTGTGCAGTTTGTTGCGACTGCCAGAGAAGCGCCTGAGGATGATGATGTGACTGCCAAGATGATCTATGCAACGAGTATTAAGGACAATGAGGTTGCGAAGGCTGTCTATGAGGACTTTCTGCCGCGGGCGCTGGTGCAGAAGATGTATGTTGCTGCGCCGGAGCCGCTTGTTGTCGGATCTGGGTTGGAGAGTATCCAGGAGGCTGTTGATATTCAGGCGAAGGGCACGTCTGCGAGAAAGGTTGTTGTTACGCTGTAGGGTGTTTGATATGTGTCATCCGCATGGGATGAGTTTGAATATCTGATAGTGAGAGCTATATAAATATACTTGATTCCATAAATGCAAGGCAACCATACTAGAAGTGTAAGAGTAAGCACTTCCTAGGTTGGTAGTACACAAAGGAGAGGGCATGCAGGTTCAATCGCTGGTGCGTGGATAGATCGTTCCCTCATAGTACTGGCTACCAGGCGTTTTGCAATGGTTCGCTGTCTTAGTCCGAGCTGCTTGAATAGACACTTCATATACATTATTCACACACTAAAAGATGCTAGTCTATCGTCTAACAATTAAACACTCTATTTATAGGAACCCATGAATATAAATAAATATCCACCATCATGCCTTAACCCGCAACACAAACCCATACTTCACAATCCTCAAGGCACCGAAAATAACCGACGCAACAAGGGTACTGACACCACCGAAGATCCAGACTCCAGTCCAGTTCATAGAACCAGAGCCGCTAAGAATATCACCAGCCCCTGGCCCACCAGCAAGGACACCAAAAGCCATCATACCAAAGCCCATTCCAATCCGCGTTCCAATCTTGGACTTGTCCTTGGTGATGGCGACAAAGCACAGCGGCGGAAGACCGATGAGTGCGCCACTGAAAAAGCCCGATAAGACGGTGATGACGATCAATCCGGCTTGGTTGGTCACGGCAATAAGACAGAGCAGCAGGATCCCGACCATCATGCAGCAAGGTACAATTATGTTGAAAGCTCCCAACCTATCAGCCATTGCGTTAGGGATGGTTCGTCCGAAGCAGGACGCCGCGTTGAGAATCGGGACTAGGTAAAATGCCATATCATCCGAGGTGAGGTGACGGGCTGAACCAAGGTATGAAATGTAGAAGAAGAGCGTGAACAGGCCCATAAAAGCAATTAAGCCAGCCGTGACAAGTACCAGGAAGGGGATATCGCTAAAGGCGGTCCAGTCGATTAGGGCCCGGGCCTTGGACGGCTTAACGCGCTGCCTCATGACAACAATGGGGAGGAGAAGTGTACCCAGCGCGATGAAGCCGATAACCCTAACAGCCCAGCCGAAGCCAAGGGGTCCTATAAGGCGATGCAGGACGATTGGGTAGATAATTCCACCAAGCGAAGAGCCCGACACCGCCAGACCGAGAGCAGCACCGAGCTTCGACGAGAAATATGTTGGTAGGATCGAGACGCAGGGGACAAAAAGACAGCCAGCGCCGATACCGACACAGAATCCCTGGGCGAGAAGGATCTGCCAGTATTCCTTGCACAGACTGAGCATCATAAGTCCAAACACGGTGCCGAAGGTGCCCGCGATGAGCAGAGGGCGCAAGTAGCCACGGTCATAGATAGGACCCGTGATGAAACCAACCATCAGAAGCATTGTCGCCTGAACCGACCCGATCCATGAGATGTCGGAGGAGGAGCGTTGGATCAGGGCCCCTGATTCGTAGTATGTTTGGAAGACGCCAAAGGTGTTCATCATGCCCCATGTGTTGAAGAAGAGCATGAACCCGCCGGCAACATGGAGCCATGCAATAATACCACCATTGGGAGGAGGGCTTGGGCCAGCAGGCTCCTTCGAAGGTCGCTCAGTTGAGGGTTCTTCCGTGGTGGATAAAGCAGGGCTATGGTGTTTTTCGGCAAGGGCCTGGTTGTTGGTGCTAGATTGGTCGCTCATATTGTTGTCACGATGCGCAACAAGGAAGAGGTTCTTAACTGTTTTGTTACTGACTTGAGGAATGAAGCCAAAGAAAAGAATGGCCTTGTGGCTCATATATAAGGCTCTTTACATTGAGTAAAAGTTGGTATCTCCGACTGGCTGCTGTTTTGGGATTTTCCGAGCACTAAACCCGAGCACCAAATCCGAGGCCGAGCAGTCCGAACACTCAGCTGTAATTTAATAATTTAACAATTTAATATGATTGCCAATCAGCCTTTCGATCCTTTCGATTCATCCTGTCCCTACCCCAGGCTTCTTACTGGTTGAATCAACATCCATTTCCTTGGTGGGCATCGCTTCGTAGTTACGATATCCTCTGGTGCCCTACAATTTCTATCACCAGAAGTCTAGGTCGGACCGGTACTCGGGGCGTGCCCCCCAGCCGTTGTCAATACCCTTGAGGTGTTTATCGAAGAACATCGAGAGACCATCAACGGTCTCCTTCGTATTGGCCAAATCACTCGGGTAGTAGCCGACCCCTCCGGTAACCTACGGGATCTTCAATGCAGCGTGTTGGGGCTTTCACTGTATGACCTGCGACGAGAGAATTCAATGCACGGCATGCACGGCATCCGAGCAGCACCGTCGCTAAATCAAGTTCAATGACAATGCAGCTCATTTCGAAGGGCTTGTTTGGATTCTCTACATCTACAACTTACGCAGTATGTTGACTGGCTATATGGGTTCCATATAAGATCGAGCTGTGTAGTAGAATAGCTATTATTCGTGCCGGTGAAGCAGGCTATAGAGATACCTTTTCACAGGCCTAAGAGTCACTTATTCCGCAATCTGGATAACCACTTTGCCGACTTGCTGTCCACCTTCAAGCCTGCTGTACGCCTTGCGGTATTCTGCCAAGGGATAGACCTGGTCGATGACAGGCTTAACTTGGTGCCGTTCCATAGCCTGCAGCATCGCTTCAAACTCGATCCTCGAACCAATAATAGATCCGGTCACTGTAAGGGATCGAATGAGGATGTCGATTGGCGCAAGGCCGCCACCAAAGCCGCTTGCAAATCCAATCAGGACGATAACACCAGTGATCTTAGCTGACGCTGCAGACTTTACAATAGTCTTCTCTCCGGCAATATCAATCACTTTGTCGACACCCTTTCCACCAGTCAGGGTAATAATTTCCCGGTCCCAGTCAGGAGTAGTGCTGTAGTTCACAACAGCATCGGCTCCGAGCTCCTTGAGCTTAGCGGCCTTTTTGTCCGAAGAGGTGATCGCGAGGACACGAGCGCCGAAGATCTTTGCAAATTGCAATGCAAAAAGTGAAACACCACCAGTGCCCTGGATCAGCACGGTCTGGCCTGGCTGGAGGGGCTCTATTTTGTTGAGGGCTGTCCAGGCAGTGACAGCAGCGCAGGGAAGGCTGGCAGCCTCGATATAGGACATGTAGTCAGGGATGCGAACCAGTGCGTCTTCGTTGAAAACAACATATTCGGCCAACAGTCCGTCGACACGGAAACCGACACTGCCTGAAAGGTATTCCGGGATATATGGACCACCAATCCAGTTTGTAGAGCAGCTAACTGCAACGCGATCGCCGTTTGTAACCCGTGCAACGTCTTTTCCAATTGCAATGACCTCTCCAGCACCGTCTGATACAGGGATACCGTTTTCCTTAGTCGCAATAGGATATTCGCCCCTCAACAGGGCCGCATCACGGTAGTTTAGCGAGGCGGCATGGACCTTGATCAGGACCTCGCGGGGACCTGGAGTCGGTATCGATTCATCGTGAAGCTCGGCGGTAAGCTGGTCGCCGGCCTTGAGGATGCGAACAGCTTTCATTTGGGTCATTGGGATAAAGTGGACAAGAATTAATGAATTACCCCTTCAATGGCAGCACAAGACTAGTTTATATATTGTTCGAAGCGGTGATGTTTACATCATTCTGGATTGTTAATTGCGATTTCTCGGTCATCGGCCACCCACCAGCTGTCGAACCCACCGGCTTTCAATAAATGAAGTACTGGCCGTCACCCACTTTAATCATCCCCTACAGATATCCAGTCCAGGTCAGCTACTGGCCTGGACTAGTAGATATCTAATTTGACTTTTACGCCGCAGCTGTTTGGAATATCTCGTCTCGAGCGGTGCCTTATTATCAATATTATACTGAACAATGATTTGATCTATTTTCAAACCTCACAGGATTTTTAGCTCACCAGAGTGAATAAATTATAGTCTCCTCTATTTTATGCCATTTGATAAATGACGTCCGATCTTTCATTCGTGATGCAAAGGTTGCAGGCCAAGCACCAGCTAACCCTAACGACCAGCGCAGGTTTCCTCCTTATGCACGACTATAGGTACATAGCAACCGACAGAATTATTGTCTAGATGGGCTACTCAAGACACAGCCGTATCAACAGGCCAGCAATATCGATTCATGGTCTTGGATTTCTCATCTGAACCCCGCATTTCACCATCACGCTAAACCCACCTTATATAGGCCAATTCCCTGGGCAGCAGGCCATTGGAGGAGGGCAGCTGCATTATTGAGTATACGGTTCGGACCGTGTACCCGAAGAGGATCTACCGCCGCACTCATGCACACCATGGCAGCTGAATACCGAACTGGAGCTGGTGCCTGATCGCAGACCAGGAACGATGCATCTTACGGTTTGTGCCTGTCTTCAGTGGCCCACGGTTCGCCATTATAGCAGTCTTGATGCGATGCGCACTAGAAGGCGCCGGCTTGAGCAGCAAGTCAACGCTCGCATATTGATATTATATAGGATCTACTTGGCGTCCGACGAATTCTCCGATAAATTCTCCGAGCTCACCGACAGTCTTCTCCACAACGGACATATAACTAGAGTCCCCCTTTATGGGATAAGGCTGTCATCAGTCTTCAGCTGCGAGAATCTTCCAATATACAATGATGGCCCTCCGTGTCATGTTCAGTCTTCTGCCGCTTCTGGCCATCGCAGCACCAGGAGAGGCCCTTGAAAAACGCGCCGTCACCTGTTTAACGGTCGGATCGACAGCTACAGCAACATGGACGAACAGTGCTGGACAGACATGCTCCTTTAGCGGAGTCGTCGGTAGCAACTACGGCACCAACAGCGCTGGCGGAGAGTACGTCCCCATTCGACTCTAACCAAATCTATTACTAGTTCTTGTAATAAAGAGCTAGTAGTATAATATATAATTCAGGTAAACTGACAATGATAGATATTCATGCAACGGTCGCTGCGGCGCAGGATGCAGTGGGACCGCAGTAGGGGATGCATACACCCAGGACTGCTTCTCGCATGACATCTGCTCCTACTTTGAAAATGCAAGCGGCGGGTCGAGGTAAGATATAACCACGGAATGGATTGCAGCAGTGTTAATGCTTCATAGTGACCCCAACTGCGGTGCTGCCTATGATGCCGCCGTTGACGATACTTTGCTCGGCGCTGCCAATGGCTGTGGACAGACTAATCCCTCTGAAGCTGTTTCGCCGCCTGCTGGGAGTCCAAGCTGTCAGTAGAAGTCCCGTCAAGACTGTATCTAAGCCGTGGCACCATGTATATACTCTGGCAGTACATATTGTATACTCTGGAAGGCCCATTTGTTCTACGAGCTGGGGCTTTCCCTCTCGATAAGGCCGGTTTATGTCCTCGCTGCTGTATTATAGTTTTCCTGTCTATTGTTACAGCAGGTCCGTATCCGACAAGGCTTTGCTTAGTTTCAACTTAATGCAATTACCTCTCTATTTCATTGATGTCAATGCCAGCTAGGCCGGCGATTTCCGTCATTATCAGGCACCCCCGACGTGGATACCATTGATGATATTGTCCGGGAACAATATAAAATTTCATCTTCCTCTGATGCTTGACTGCTACAGGCTCCAACCTCTAACTGCTTACCCTGCCGGCCTATACAACCGAGGTTCAGCAGTCGACCTGTTCCGGCTTTCCGGTTCAGGTACAATCAGGTTCAATGGTCGGGAAACTCCATTTCCGCTGGCAAATGGGGATTCTGGTGCTCGAAGAGTGTTACTGTGAATTGGTCATACTATGGTCGCTGGGTCCTGGATTGGTCTGTGTTGTACGGTAGTAACTAGTTTTACGAATGCCAACAGGCTAGGCCAGGCTATTGCTCTCGTTCCGGAGGTCGGGGTGGGTATGGACGAGGGTGGTTATGTGGGTCGAATTAGTCAAGCTGTAGCGTTTTTGTGCAGCTAGATAGCCTACCTATTCAAAGCAGCTTGGTTCTTGGTATCTTGTCAGTTGATGGTGTTTTGGGAGGTTGAGTGTGGCAGCTGGAATATGTTGATCATGGCTCAGCTGCCCTGGTTGACCACGGGCAGATCCGAATCGCAGGGCTGTTACTGAGTGTCCAGGCTGAGATGCTGCAAACCAATCGGTAACAATTCCTGCTCCTCGCTGTGGGAGAACTATCGACGCCGTCCCCACAGTGGGCGTTCAGTCTGCATTCCGCACTCTCCCGACAATTGGGAAAATACAGCCGTCTCGCAATTTAAAAGTGCAGCCTCTCGCGTAAAAGACAAGCCCATCAGCCCGGTGGGGTTTCCTCCAGGCGTGGGAGCTCTGAATGAAACGAAAAGCAGGCTGGCCTGTCAGGGGAGACAGAAAAAGCCACGTCTTCTCCACGCTTGGCCCGATGCTTCGCTTGCTTCGCTTGCTGGTGCCTGCTAGTGCTGACGCTCGCCTGCTTGGTTTTGCTTGCTGGGAGTGGGGGTCCACAGGCAATATCTGGTTCTCGCTATCTCGCATGCAGAGTTTTCATCTTATCTGATCGCACCACATCTTGAATCATTGTCCTTGTTATCCTGATTGTATAGCAGTTTTGATTCTCGTTCCCCGTAGGCCATCTTCGTATCTCTTAGCACACCAGACAACATTTGTGGAGATCCGATGCCAAACGAGCCAGCAGCTAGTCCGTCTCCAACCTCAGTGGCTGCCCTATGGCTGTCCTGATTGTCTGGGTGTTGGATGTGGATGACTCGAAGTGGACCTATTGCATGATGTCTCCCACGGTCGAATGGGTTTTGCGCCCGATCCCCTGCAGCATCTGCCACTCACAGCCTGTTCCTCTAAACACGCCCATCTGATTAGATTATCTGCCACGCTTCTCTCCTGATTCCATGCGTTGGGTGGGCCCTTGCTGGATGTTCTCGGGTTTACGCCTGTAGACAGTTAGCAGTTTCGACCGCTGCAGCCGACCTCGGAGAGAAGCTTGTCCTCTATAAGGGCAACGATCTCCTCCTTTTGTTTTGCGATCTGATCTGGCTGATCTGACTGATCTGATTCTCGCCATGCCTGTCTCGTCCCGTCTTCGCTCTGCCTTCCGGCGCAGGGCCACCGACGAGTCCATCACCCCGGTCGCTGTCGCTGAGACCCAGCAGAGCAAGACTGATGCCTCTCCTGAGTCTGGTGTCCAGCTGCAGGCGACCGATGTCAAGCCCGAGGATGAGCGTCCAACGGAGAACACCCAGCGTGGTGTCCAGGGCGTCGAGGCCGTCACCCTCACCTGGTCGAAGCGGACCCTGATTGCAGTCTTTGTCAAGTGCGTTGTCCTTGTAGTCGTCTTGTTTAGTATGCTAATACGAGGGAATAGCATCTGGCTTCTCTATTTTGTCAATGCGATGCAGTCCAACATCATCAACAACCTCACGCCGTACATTACCAGTCAATACGAATCGCACTCGCTGCTCAACACGATCTACATCGTTGCCGATTCCATCTCAGCTGCCATCTTCATCCCTCTTGCCAAAGTGATGGACGTCTGGGGTCGAGCGGAGGGATTCCTGATGATGACCGTCCTGGCCACGGCTGGTTTGATTATGATGGCTGGATGCCACAACCTGCCTACCTTTTGCGCTGCATATGTACGACCTGCTCCTTTTCTATTGTTCGTCCTTTCGTCCTAACTGAGCAGGTGTTTTATACAATCGGGTTCGGCGGCATGACATACTGTGTGGATGTCATCACCGCCGACGCGTCGCAGCTGAAGAATCGAGGGCTGGCCTACGCCTTTACTTCCTCGCCCTATATCATCACTGCCTTTGCTGGCCCCAAGGCAGCTGATGACTTCTACAACAAGTACAACGACTGGCGATGGGGCTTTGGCACATTCGCCATCATCTTCCCCATTGTCGCCGCGCCTCTGTACATCATGTTCAAGCTCAACATGCGCAAGGCAAAGAAGCAGGGCCTGCTTGTCAGGGAATCCAGCGGCCGCACGCTACTGCAAAACATCAAGCACTATCTTATTGAGTTTGACGGTATGTCTACCGTGGGTACCTCGTTAAGAGTTCACAACTAACTCGTCCAGCATTCGGCGTCCTCGTTTTCTCCGCCGGTCTCGTCGTCTTCTTCCTCCCCTTCGAAATCGCCGAGCAGGCCCCCAATGGCTGGGCCACCGGATACATCATCGCCATGATCGTCGTCGGCGTCGTGATGCTGGCCATCTTCATCCTGCACGAAACATACACGGCGCCAGTGCCCATGCTCAACTTCCAGATCCTCAAAGACCGCACCGTCATCGGCGCCTGTCTCCTCGACGCCACATACCAGATCTCCTACTACTGCTGGTTCAACTACTACACCTCCTTCCTCCAGATCGTCAACAACCTCACCCTCGCGGAGGCCGGCTACGTCAGCAACACCTTCGACGTCGTCTCGGGCGTCCTCCTCCTGCTAGTCGGATATCTCATCCGCCGCACCGGCCGCTTCAAGTGGCTCCTCTACATCGCCGTCCCGCTCTACATCTTCGCCCAGGGACTGATGATCTACTTCCGCCGCCCCAACCAATCCGTCGGATACCTGGTAATGTGCCAGATCTTCATCTCCATCGGCGGCAGCATCTTCATCATCATCGAGCAGCTCGCCATTCTCGCAGCCGTGGACCACCAGCACGTCGCGACGGCCCTGGCCGTCCTGAACGTCGTCGGCACCGTCGGCGGTGCAATGGGCAGCACGATCTCTGGTGGTATTTGGACGAATACATTCAGGAAAGCACTGGCGCGGGATTTACCTGCGGCTGCGATGCCGGAGCTTGATACGATCTATGAGGATCTGGATACGCAGAGGGAGTATGCGGTTGGGTCCCCGACGCGGCTGGCTATACAGAATGCGTATGGGTATGCGCAGACGAGGATGTTGGCTGCGGGGACGGGGATTATGGTTCTGTGTTTCTTGTGGACGCTGCTGATCAGGAATATTGACCTGAAGAAGGTGGCGCAGGTTAAGGGGATGGTGTTTTAGACTGTCAAGAGTGACAATACTCTTGCAGTGGTATTACTCTTGCTGTTGGGTTCATTATAATCAGTTACATTGAGATATGTTTATTATATCGGTAGCCTAGAGAGGAAATATTGATGCTGTACTTGGCAAATGATCCACCGATCTTCATACCGCGGACCGAGGGCTGACAAGAAGGCTGTATGGTATTCAACTAATCATGACAAGACCATTTTATGCATACTCGCTTCCTTGCCGTCGATCAATCTCTGTTGACAGGGTTTTCTAGATATATCAAGAATTGTGTTGTATAATTCGGATACCGGAACCATGGACAGATCGATTGAGTTCACCATTGCGTGCCAACCTACAGTTATAACCTGCAGATCAGTCTGATCTTCATGAATCATGTTACACAAATGTGGGATGATCTCTGCGATTAAATATTTAAGCCACATCTCCCGCTGATAATTCCGTAGAATTAGACAACCTGACCATGGCCTTCCTCCCCAGTCCTCCATCCCCGTCCAAACCGGGCTCCTTTCCCCCAGAAACAACACCAGCAATCCCCGTTGCTCCCCCTCCCTGGAGTTTAAAAGCCAAAGCCTGGACCTTCCTATACAGCGACACCGACAAGGGAAATCCACGTCCCCAAAATCCCAACAACACCGAGGAGATTCTCCAATCCATCCTCCCGCCAGGCGCCTTCCACCCTTGCGAAAATATCCACCCATCCGCACTTGAAAGACTCCCAAATGGGGACCCCCAGTTCCAGCCCTCATGGCTGAAAGGCATCATGATCGTGCGCTATGAAGACTCAGACGTCGGCCCCTACGACGAGTTAATCTTCATCCCCGGACGCGCTGTCAATCCACACAGCGGAAAGAAAGACATGCGTATTAGCACCATCTACGTCTCGACGGATAACAGTGTCTGGAATGGACGGAGGAACTGGAGTGCGTTTCCACTTCCTATTTATTATAGCAGGTCCTAATTAATTGAGGTAGACATCCCCAAACACCGCGCCCGATTTGAATTCACACCAGCAGAAAGTGGAAAAGGTACTGAATTGCGGGTATATCACCCCGAAGACACGCCTGCACCACTCGATCCAAAGACTCCCTTCTTCACGGCGCTTTTGACAGACTCCTCGCTGCCCAAGATCCCATTGCCTGGTCTGGCGCCATTCTCGCTAATTCAGCCGCCACTATCGAGATCGCGACATCCGCCTGGAGTGCAAGATGCGGCGATCGCGACGGATGATCCAGAGAACGGGCGCGAGACCCCGTGGTTGCTGTGCAGGCCGTCATTTAAAGGGTCTTGGGGGCTGGCATATGCAGATACATTGCAGGACGGGGAGGATACACTGCAGCAGCATGGAGATGGAATTGGGTTTCCAGAGATAAAGCTCATGAGCGTGGGGACGGCATTTGAAGGGATCGTTGGCTTTGGGGTGTCTGATATTGCCAGTTGATATCGTATCAATATATCGGTATCCACAGACATGATCAGGGTTGATATCATATTATCATTATCATTACGACAAGAATGTGAGGACCTGTGAAATTGATGCTGAAAATAACAGCTCCTGAGGCTATAAACAGCTGCTTGCTTTGAGAGTACACTCGAAATGGATTCGGAAAGGTACTTATAGTAGTGGAGAAGCAGTCTACCTCCCTCCCATCTAGCTATAGTGACCGGGGTTTCCGACAAGGTGACCAAGAATAGCGGAATGACTGGATTTAAATTTGCGGTCCCCTATTTACGATCGACGTAGCCAGACACCCGTGTTACCAACTCGTCCACGCCATTCCCGCAGCCCTCGCGTGAATATCCCCAAAGCGATGCGCAGACTGTATATCTTTCGTCGACTGACCCAGCCAGTCGCCGATAGTTTCCTCATCATCATCTCCAGATTTAGGACTGTCGTATGCGATTCGGAATGAGAGGGTGGTGCTTTCTGGCGCGTTACAATACTCGTTATTCTGGTCTTCGCCTTCGCTATAATCAGTTATATCCCCCACCGCGTGTTTATCAAACCTCAAGCAGGAGATCCGTTGTGCACCATCGCGCCAGTTGGCCTCGGGACATAATAGAAGGAGACCGCGGTAGGGCTCGAGACCGGGGTGGGAGTGGGCCATTCCAGGGAGATGCGTGGTAGTCTGCGTGTGTGAAGAGTCACCAAGTACTGCACTGTGACTACCCCTTTGACTCTTCAGTTGAAATACTCGAGCATTATAATCACGGATAAGCATCTCGTAATCCGCTCTTGAGACCCGCTCAGCAAGATAGTGTGTCTTGCAGTCGTCTTCACCCGCGCCAGGGAGGAAATAAACATCAAGCCGGAAGTGGAAGTCTGAATTTATCCTTGCTTCCCGGATGGCTCTGAGGAGGCCACCAAGATCAGCGGCATCCGGCGACGGGATTGCGTTAGGATGTGTGAAGTAGACGACCAAGGGGAACAGAGGTGGAAGTTTCGAGGATTCGGCGTTGATACCGTTTTTGAAGACCATGAATGCTTCGTTCCCCGTGTGGTCCGTAAAGGCAACGGTGTGGAGTGGTAATGGGCGAGACTTTTTTGTCTTCTTCCGAGGAACTGGCTTGGGTAGCCGTTCGACGCTGGTTCTGTTCCGCTGGATTCCATCAGCGCGGATATTCCAGGTCTTGCGCCAGAGCCACTGGCAGGCTCCTCCTTTGTGAAACTCGCAAGGCCCGAGTACGTATGTACGGACACAACTGGATGTAACATGCAGCTGGGTACCGGCTTGTTTGCACAGCGTCCAGAGACCTGGATAAGGTTCTGAACCGGCAGCGCCCATTCTTTCAAAATCACCAGTCTTTTCGGAGTGCTTAATCTGGCTATAGTACGGGGCGGCCAGGATATCACCAAGTGCAAGATGCTTGAGGGACCGCCTGCGCTCTGCAACCATGGCTTGAAGCTCGGTGGCCTGAAAATTAGGGCTTGTTTCGTAGACCCAGCCGGGATGGAGGAACAGGCAGTCTAGACTCTCTGGGATGGTGTCCTTTAAGCGAAATGGTGCAAGTCGCTCTGTCGTCATGCCGTCCAGAAGAATATTTAGATGAGTGTCAAGTCGTTTCAAGCGCGGAAATGTCTGAAGGGAACCGAAACAGCCAGGAGTGGGTTTATCAAGCTCATGAACGTTGTAGAAGACTGCAAGTTGCTCGAGACTCTCTCGATGTTTCTGTAGCGCGCCCCAGACCTCAACCACTGAGATTTCCGGGGCTGGCTCTCCGCTTCGTAAATTATGATCCCAGCATATCGAAAACTCAGCGAGTGATTGTGGCAGATTGACAAGCGCGTGGACACCAGCGGAAGAGCATGTTGCGGTTGGTTTTACCACAACACGTAGGTTCTCCACTCGGCAAATCCTGTCACTGTTTTTCGCAAGAAAAGCGGCGATTCCCTCTGTCTCCAGGTCATACAAAGCCAGCGTACGCAGCCCGGAGAAGTAGACGCACGGCCAGATTTCATCAAGCCTTAAAGCCGGATCAGACATCCAAAACGAAGGCCCCGCCTCAAATCCATAGACCGGAACCTCCGCGAGCAGATGCAGATGCGCCAAATGTCGCAGACAAGGCAACTCGCCACTCTCATCCTGACACCGCAACGCTTCCTCGAGAACACACCGCAGCACTGAATACCCCTCCGGCAGATGCAAATATACCGTCTCAACATTCGGCAAACTCATCAACAGCAGCACAACCAATGGCTGATAATCCCTCTCCGACAGAGCCCGCGGATCGAGTATCCTCGCCTCCAGCGCGTCGACAATCTTCCAATCCCTCCCCCGGGGGTTGAAAACCGCCCGAATCGCCCGCCGCATCATCTCCACATCCCCCTTGGAAAACTGCACATTATCCCCGCGAACCCCGTCATCCTCAGCTAATACATCTGGATAAAACCCCCAATTCCCGATACTCACCCCCCGAGCCATCGCCGCGATTCTCGGATTGCGCATGATACTCCGCAGGAACCGCCATAGCGAGGTATACGAGTGGCGCGCGCCGTTGTGCGAGTACTTGGCGTAGAGGGTTGGCAGACAGAGGTCGTGCCACCGCCGGTTTACCAGGATCAGCTGGGAGAGCTGGGCGAGGTTTGTTCCGCTGTGGAAGTCGTATTCGCGCTCGATCTCGCGGTTGCGGGCTGTGTTTGGGTTTGGGTCGGTGGGTGGGTGGGGTTGTACAGCGGCAGAGAGTATTTGGGTGAAGAGTTCCGGGGGGAGGGTGGTGGGGTCGGGCATTTTGACTTTAGGATGTAGATTGTGTCTTTGGTGGAATGATACTAATAGAGGACGGAGAGAGAAAGAGAGAGAGCAGGGATGGAGGGAAATAAATGCAAGCCGAGGGGGGTTGCATTAAGTACTATTGCTGTAGCGAATAGACAAAGACTTGGTCCGGGAAGCATGCGGGACAGACGAGTCAATAATACCTGGTTATAACAGTGACGAGTGTAAAGAGGCTTCGTGAGGCTAGGAATACTGAAAGGGTATGATTGAATAAACAGTATTCATCTTGATATAATTATGGGCTTAATAAGTGGGGCTCTACTTCAGTCTGCTTCCGTATGTCTATACCAAGGCTTTATTTACAAGACTTTTCTAGCTAATAATATCTGCTTACAGTTCAGGGTTGAAATCATATTATCATTATCATTACAATTACAATGTTAATTAAATATTTAATAAAACCCCGACAGCCAGCTCTTCCTTGCCGACAGCCGATGATACTCACTCAACGCCGGACTGAGCGTCGGCCTCGCAACAGCACCCTGCTCATTAACCGGCCGGTCATCAAGATCCATCTGCACCATGCCATCCCGGGGCGGCGCAATCGACACCCTAGGCGTATTCAAATCGGCATCCGCATCCGCCTTGGTCCGGATATAATAATGCTCATCCTCCTCCTCCATCGCCACAAACCAGCGCTCGCCCAGCTGGCGCCCACCAGGCCCCGCCCCACACGCACCCTGCAGTTTCTCCGTGCTGGGACTATTCATAGCGAGGGCAAACAGATTCTGCGGCTCGGTGAAGTCCGTAATCTGGCGGCCGCGCACTTCAAGCAGCATAAACGCCAGACATAGCGCAGAGGTGAAGAACGCGAAGAGCAGGATCGGGTAGAACACACCCTGCCAGCGTTGTGTGCCGCCGGAGGCATACTCGTTTGACTGCAGGGTTGCGTTGAAGGATTGCTTCGCGGGCTGCGCGAGGATGTTGTTGTCGGCGGTGGCGTCGGTGTAGTTCCAGAACGGGACGAAGGGGGCGTTCGCGGAGCTCATGAGGAGGGTGTTCCCGGCGAGAACGGCGAGGGCTTCGCTGAGGGAAGGGAGGGAGGGGTTTAGATTGGATGTCTGGGGTGAGAACTGCATGAGAAGGCGTGCGTTTGCGGAGGCCCCGTCTGTGATGCCGGCGTTGAGGGAGAGGGTGAACCCCCACTCGGAGGCGATGTACATCCAGTCGTTTGCCCAGATGCCGTCGGCGGCGTCGGGGACGCGCACGTTGTATTGCAGCTCGTGGTCTGTCTCGCAGACGGTCCAGAGGTGGGAGCCGCTGGCGGTGGCTCTGTAGCGGGTGGAGCACTTGGGCGTTTGCTTTGCTTTGAGCCTGCAGAGCATGTAGCCTGGGTTGAAGGTCTCGGGGTTCGCGCCGAGGAGGAATATAGCCCCGTTCGTGTAGGCCGAGGTGACGTTCAGGACGGTGTTGGATGGTTTGGGCAGTTTGCCGAAGATGGGCGCGTACTGGTCTGGATAGTCTGGTCCGAAGCCGAAGAGGTCGTCGACGACGGTGCGATTGCGCCAGTGCTTGGGGTCGGGGACGTCGTCGGGCACATGGGCTGTCCAGTTGACTGGGTTGAATTTCTTGTGGTTCGGCCACTCTTTATAGACGATTGGTTTCAGCTCGGACGCGCTCATTTCCGCGCAGAGGACGTTGACGGCCGGCGACGGGACTGAGGCTTCCAGCTCGTACATGCCTTCTCCGGACTGATCCTTGGGCTGGATGATGTCGTTGTCTGGGTGGTTTGCCGCGCTGATGATGCCCCCATGCGGCATCGCAGCGGTGATATTTTGCACGATGCGACCGTACTTTTCCGATAACGCTGCCATATCCTCCTTGTCAATCCAGCTCCCTTCGACGGTGGTATTATCATGCACCGAAGCAGTCGGACGCGGTCGTTCGCCGAGATCCGTCGAGCTAGGTTTCATTCCCTCGCTGACAAGCGTCCAGTCGTGCAGGAAGGCCTGGTAATTGTGGTACGCCTGGCCAGCATGCTGCATGTTCAGACATGTGTTATTCCGCTCACCTGGGTCGTCCTGGAGCGGAACAGGCGTCTCGCAGTTCGCAGTGAGGAAGTGGGTGTTGGCGAAGGAAGTGTACACATTCCCGACGAGCCTGTGGTCGTGCACCGAGCCCCATTTCAACTTGGGAGTAACTATATCGTCAGTCCTGACAAATCAGATAAAGGAGTTAACCTTGGTAACATACCTAATGCCTCCGCAGCGGTGGTATACAACATCGCAACCAGCGTCGCGGTCAACGTGATCACCCCCAGAATCGTCCACCCGGAGTACCTCAGACTTTCCCAATGCACAATCAACGACCCAGGCTGCATGATCCAAGTGCGCATACTCATATCAGAGATCGAAATCCCACGGGATCCCTTGGTGAGAGCACGACGCGTCAAGACCTGTCCCAGAAACGCCACACAGACAGTCACATAAGCCAGCTCGACGGTCTTCGCAAAGAGCGTGCTGAGCAAACTCGCCGTCGACGCGGCCAGTCGCCCGTCCACCCCGATGAATTTCCCATACCGCGGTTTCAGCAATGCGACGACAAGGTACAGCCCGGAGAGCAGGGTAGAGTAGACGGCGAGCACGAGGATGGTGGCCGGCACCCACGACAGGCGACGGTGGACGATTGTGTTCTTGGTCGGGCACTTCACGTGTGGTTGCTCGCTCAGGAGTGTTGTTTCGGAGTGGGCGAAACGCGCAGAGGACGGCTCGGGCGGACTGAGGGTGTCGAAGGTGTGTGTTGTGTTATAACTCGTCGCGCGAGAGTGTTGTGGTTGCTGGCCGTGGGAGATGCCCAGTCCAACACCGCGGCTGAGATCGTGCGCGTGGTCGTTCTCAGCTTCGTCCAGTTCATCAACGTGCTCGTAGCGGAAATTCGACCGGTCGCCTAAGTCGAATGGATTCCAGGGCGTCACGCCGTCGGGGGACAGTCGGTCAGGAGCCATCGCGACGCGGTTCAAACCAGGAGTGCAGCAGTCGAACAGGCGAGCGCTAGACAGGACCTGAAAAGAGGGGCACACTTTTCAGCAGCGACCGTGCTCAATCAGGTCCCAAATTAGCTAGCCAGCTGCTAAATTAAGGGCTCGCAAGCCTCAGATGGTTGTACCGTTGTTGGTTGGTTGGTGCGTCCCTTCACTGTCGCACAGCCTCCTTGGCCATCTTAGCTTCAGCCTTGCCAGGAACGACTGCCTTGGTAGCCGTGACGCCGGACCTCAGCGGACTCTGCAGAGCATTTTGAGACTGGACTGCTTAAATTATTCAAGCTGAAGCTGATTACTTTGTAGGTACTGGCGGAAGGACTCCGAAGGGAGGAACCCATTGGGAGCTTTCAGGGCTTTCACCACTAAAGCGCCGATCAGTGAGAACCCTGAGGGTCTATAAATAACCATCAGCAAATCAGCAGAAGTCAATAACTGGAACTGGATACCATTCAAACGGGGGAACTGGAAACTGGAGCAGGAGAGCTCTCCACTGTGTGCTACAGCGGAAATGAAGAGAGTTGAAGCTCAGGACTCATAATCTTGATCTATTATTCCACATGCAAGTCGAATATCTTAATTTACTGCCTTTTCCTTATTCCTGATTATTCCTAATCTACGGGGTAATTTTAATTGAGTGAGGAATGAATTCTCTATGCAACTAATTCATGAGGATGATTCGTTCATGACGCTGAGTCGTACAAAGCAACTGTTTTTATGTACACCTTTTTCTCTTATATCCACCCCCCTTTTTATGTCAAGACTGTCGTTTAGACAATCTGCTTGCCCCTAGTCTCAATCGGCAGGAAGATCATCGCCACAAACGAAGCGAGGATCAGAGCACCAGAGGCATAGATAGGCGCCAGCGGATCAGTACTAGCATAGATACCAATAATCGGAGCCATGAGACCGGCAATACGGTTCAAGCAGCTAGCAATACCACTGGCCGTACCACGGTTAGGAGCCGGGAAGACCTCGGGCGTGTAGGCGTACAAGACACCGTACATCATCATCTGGAAGAAGGATTCCAGGGCGGAGCAGACGAGCTGCACGTTGGCGTCCTTGGTCGCGGTGAAGCAGAAGAGGAGCACACCGGTGACGACGGTCGAGAAGGCCATTGTGCCCTTGCGACCGATGTAGGGGAGGTCGACCATGAACCAGGCGAGCAGGGGGCCGGGAATACCGCAGACGGCGGTGATGGCGTAGTTGCGGTAGGTTTCGTAGACGGTGGAGTTGGCGCCGAGGTACTGGGGGAGGAAGGCGTTGAAGAGGGTGTAGCCCATTCCGATGCAGGTCCAGCAGAACCAGATCAGGACGGTGGAGATACCGAGACGCTTGTTGGCGAAGAGGGGAGCAACCTGCTGGACAGAGAAGCGGGACAGAGAGCGCTTGATGATTTCCATGACAGGCAGTTTCTCGGCGTCGCGCTCTTCAGCAATGCCACCGAGGTCGTTAAGGACCTCAACGGTGAGCCAGGTGGTGGTCTTGTTCTTGCGGGCAATACCCTGGACAGCGGCAACGGCCTCGTCCTGGCGGCCGCGAGAAACGAGGAACTTGGGAGACTCGTAGAAAGTGAACAGGAAGAAGCGGCACAGGAACATGCAGAACGTGATGGCACCGAGGGTGAGGACGAGGTACCGCCAGCCCCAGTTGTCGGCCTTGAGGCACACGGGGGCGCTGTCATCACACGAGAAGTTGGGGATGAAAGCCCAGGCAAGCATACTGGAAATCAGGGTTCCAACCGACCACCAGGTAGCCAGTCCACTGAGAATATTGCCAGAGTCGGGAGGGAGACACTCGCAGAAGACAGCTGCATCTACGGGCAGATTACCGCCAACACCAAGTCCAATGCAGGCGTACAGAGCACAGGTTCTAATACAGTCAGCACAGCTCCTTAAATACAGTAATGAATCACTTACCCAACCCAGTTGGGCCCGCCGCCAGCAGCAAGACCGAACGCGCCACAGATGAGCAGAGTGCAGTTAAATGCAGGACGGCGTCCAACGATATCAGAAGCAATACCCCAGAACGAGGCACCAACAATCAAACCAACGAAGAGCGCGCAGGTGGCGAAACGAGAGTCGTTACCAGAGATTCCGAACTCGTTGGCCAGAGGCGTCAGAGTCAGGGCAACGCCCTGCAGCCAGAGGCTAAATATAATCAGTATACATGTACAGAAACAATAAACGAGTCAACATACTTGTCGGCAATCCAGCCAAATCCACAGAGCACGAACAGGCCCCACTGATAGCGGCCCATTCCAATGTCCTGGATGGCTCTGTTGATAATCTTTGCTTTACCTGTACAACATCAATGTATCATCGATCTTAAGTCTTACCAGGGCTAAACGGGGCAGGCATCTCAACCAGGGACTTGAGCTGAGAATCAAGACGTACGGTCATAGATGGAGTCATGGCCGGAAACAACGACACCGGCTTCGACTTCTGCACGGAGCGATTCCAAGGTCAGTTCTCCTGAGGCACTAGCAGGCACAGCAGCTACACCCTTTTCCTGCAGCGAGCTGCGGTCAGGGCTAGATTCGGAGCGGTAAGCTGGGGGGTGGTCGCTGGGGGTGTCTTTCTTCTCGGCATCGGCATTCGCATTCGCATTGGACTCCAGGGTCACGGAATTGGGATCGCGGGCGAGAGGCACAACGACCTCGGGGAAAAACCGCCGATCGGTGTTGCTGAACAGGTCCTTCCAGCTCGGCATGGTGCTTGGGTTTTGGTGCGACGGAAAGGGCAACGGAATGTTGATCAGATCGCGTGGTCTCGGTCCGTCTTGCGCAAGGGTGTCTACCGTGGGGGTTCCGATCTCAGGCGCAATGGAATAGTCGCAATGGTCGCAATGGTCGCCAGGGCTGTGGTCGCACAGGCTGGATTCGAATCGGGCTCGCAGATGGGAGAATGGGCCAAGAAACTACCTATACCTTACTTGCTTACTTGCAGAAGCTCGATATGGCCAGACGCGTGAACTGAGATTTTTCTTTTAGACTATCCAGCGGCGACAGATGGTGAGACCGGTGCTGGTGCTGGTGCTGGCCGAGATGGTGAGAGGGTCAGGGTGAGGGTGAGTGACGGCGTGAAGAAAAATCTTTTCCCCCAAAGCAAAAGGGAAAAGCAGCAGAAGAAATAACCGGCGGATACGAGACCAGCGCATGGCATTAGATAATTTGGAGACTGCTGGAGCCGTTGGAAGGGGGAGTGGCCAACCATGAAGGCCTCCAGCAGTGGCCCCATGGGCCGTGGGATGCGGTGCACCAGTCTGCTTGCTGCTACGTCCTGCTCCCCACTGCGTCATCCGGCCGGTCCACTGCGTGCTTTCCCTGATGTTACCCTGGCGTGCGGCCTCGTGGCACAGAGATTCAACCCGGGTGTTTTGAAAATTTTTATACAAGCGCGTTAGTGCGCCGGGATGGCGTCGCCGCGTCGGGATCGGACTCGGCAGCGGCTCTTGCAGCGCATCGCAGTCAGGCTTCAGCCCGCAGAGAGCAGGGAAGGGAAAAACAAATCTAGCACGGGTTCAGACTTCAGACTATCGAGGCTGATACTGCGAACTGACACAAAACCTGATTCTGCCCCATCGTGCATGATCGGCAATTTCCGGGCACGGGGAAGTTTTCCACCACGTTGAGCCGGCTTTTTTTGCCTCGCCGGCTTGGTATTGTTAGTATTACTTCATAGTGCAAACCCTACGGTAGAATGGCAGTGGCACTGTGTTCTGTACCCTGGTTCGGCCTGGGCGCCCTGGGCAGAAGCCAGAACCAGATCCCTTGCCAACTCTTGTCTTCCGACTGAGCCGACGGCCTCCACCGGCTCATGCATGTCACCGGTCTGTGCGGTACAGGGGGAAGCCAGTCTCAGTGGTCAGTGTGCTGGGGTTTCGTGTGACTCGTGTTCGCAGTCAGCACTAATCGCAGCACATGGAGCCCCTTGCGATGGGATCTGGACTCTCTCGTACGGTCAACGTGGTTGGCATGGGTGACAAGTCCCTTACTGGTAGCGAAACGCACCGTTGTCATTCCAGGCTCGGGTGCGCATTTCGGATGCATTTCGGATTGTGGATTGTGGACTGTGGATTGGATTTGTGGCCGGACCTCGCCTACTGGTGGTGGCGTCATAACCGCATCCGGCATCTGAGTCAGCGGTCACGTTACTTGACTAGTTCACGTGAGGGCACGTGAGGGCACGTGAGTCAGTCATATCTTAGTCAGCACCACCTTTGACCCGTTTTGGTCAGTGGCAAATCTGCCCAGTTAGTCCAGTCCTGCCTGCTGCTTGCCTTGACTCTTGACTCTCGACTCTTGACGTTCGAGTCCTGCCGACGGCTTGTTTAAATCCCGAGCTACTCGACCCAAGACCGATCTTCTCGGCCGTAAGCCGGATGCATCACACTAAGATCAATTGACATCAGCTCTCTGACCCGACACGGCCGTAAGAAATCGCGTCGACCGAGGTTACCAAATCTGCCTCTCAATACTGGCCCTTCAGCGACCAGAATACCCTCGGGTCAACAAGCGCTAGGTGGAAGATTTTTACATTCCAAGCCGCGACCGTGTGGCGGAACAACCCGCCTGGAATGTTGTAACCAACAAGGGCTAGAGTGCTCACTCTCAGATTTATTGCGCTACTACAAAGAACCGGTTCAAAAAGGTTATTCTATTCAGGAATTTGGAGGGTGATGACGGAGTTGCACATTATACGGATAGCAGAGTCGACTCTCGGCGGCAAGGCCCAAGTGGCAGTTCACCTATCCGCCATGTAACGGGCAGCATGCCATAGCGACAGATGGTCAGAACACAGAGGTGAAGCCGACCGAACATGGTATGTGTGGCAAGCCTTCGCACTTATCGGATCCGAGGCCAGAAGCCGTGGCGTGGTTGATTCTTGCCAGAACAAGCGCAGAGCTGGCGTATCTGCGTCAATAGGCCTGTTGATCCATGGGTCGTTCCCAGATTGCCAGAGATGGATCCCCACCACCCCGCGAAATTCATGCTTAAACACAACCATAATCAGCACGAGCCCCAGGCCGTAGACCTACCAGGGCCGTCAAGCAATGATTACCAAGTGCTGCCTAGGTTGAGTAAACTCAATTGCTCGTTTGCGATCGCCCTACCGGACAGAAGGAAGTTAGGCCAGCGATCCCCATGCCAGTGCAACTCTATTCGACGCGCTGAAGCTGGTAATTCGCCATCGTGGAGATCAGGTCTATCCCCGCTTTCTGATATTGGCCCGGCGAATTCATGGTAGCTGCGCGTCTGCTTCAGGGCCCTCGGTTGTTGCCCACAACTCAAAATTTCGGTCACGTAAACCATTCCCTGTGTCCAGCCAGCTGGCGACCTCCCCGCAATTCTTCTCCGCTGAAGCTCTGGGGATGCGCAGCTGGTTGGCTATAGCGGAAAAGTCGCGGAATGAGCTCCAGACGCGGAGAGAGAAAAGGGGGGAGCTGGGGTTGAGGAATTAGGCGTCGAGACGTCTATTTAAGCATTGGCTCTCTCCAGCAGGGCTACTTAACACCCCCCGACCATTGACTCTTTCTCCTTCTTCCTCTCCATAAGTCAATTAGAAGCTGCCCACTATGAGTGACATCAACTCGGACAAGCAGGATGACTCTCTCAACCGCATGAAGACGGCCGAGAGTGTCTTCCTGCCCATCTCGCGCGAGACCTTCGAGAAGCTCTACCTGAGCCCGAAGCACCCCTCTGTTGAAGGCAACCTCAGGAGGAAGCTGGCTAACCCCACGCCTGTCTGCCTGATTGGTTTCTTGATTGCTTCGACTCCGAACGCGTGTATGCTCATGGGGTGGAGAGGCGCCGGAGGGAACGGCGGTGCCCTTATGTATGTCCAACCGTACTACGTCATAGGGTCATACTAACGCAGCACTACAGCCCTACGTATATCTTCTATGGCGGTATTATCCAAGTCCTCGGTGCTATTGGCGAATGGATCATCGGAAACACCTTTACCTGCGCAGTCTTCTTCACTTACGGTACAGTCCCCGCCACCATACCTGGCTATACATGACTGACTCCTGTAGGAACTTTCTGGCTCGTCCAAGGCGGCGGTCTTATGCCATTCTTCTCCACTGGGGCAAATTATGCAGAGGGTGATAATTTTGCGGGACATGAAACGGCAGCCTATCATTCAACAGTCGGTACGTATCAGTCGTGATCATTAAGGCCAGACAAGGCAAGCTAACATCCCTGTTACAGCATTCTACTTTTTATCTCTCGGAATTCTCACAACGGTCTTTCTCATCTGCTCGCTGCGAACGAATGTCTGCCTATTCTCCGCACTGTTCCTCCTCGTCATCACTTTCTGTCTGCTAGCCGGCGCATACTTCCAGATTGCGAACGGAGCTACGGAAGCCGCAGCGAAGTTGCAAGAGGTTGGTCCTTTATTCGACATACTATAGCAAGACAAACACTGACAAATCCAGGCTGCTGGAGCATTTAATTTCGCGCTGTGTTGGCCCATTTGGTGGATTCTTCTCACGCAGGTCCTGGAAGCGGTCGATTTCCCGATTGCTCTCCCTGTGGGTGATCTCAGCAGCATCATCAAGGGACGGAGCCAGAGATCTAAGGCGTCGAATGCGGTTTAAGGATAATATACGGTGTTAGGGGCTGGTAATTGGGAAGAGGATAAGCTACTACTAGTAGCTGTAGTGGAGGTCATCATATCCTGATATCAAGGATACTCATGTATAGGATACTCATGAACATAATATCAAGATCAATGCGATAACGCTTTAACTACACAACTTGACAATATCATCCGGGATAAATGGCTTCAGGATGTCAACCAGCTTGGACACTGGAATCCATTCCAGGGGTCCGTGGACTGTCTCCAGCGTTCGTCCACTGTACAGCACCCTGGCATACATCTCTGACTCGGATGTTTCCCTATCAGAATCAGCAACAGCCCAAGTGGCCAAGGGAGTAACAGAGACATACCAAAACTCAAATGCAACATTCGAGCCCATTCCCGGCCATCTCAACGCCCTAATCCCCAGCGCCCCCAGCAACGGCGCAATATCGCCATCATGCGCAAAGACATGTCTATACACAACTTCATCCCCTGCACCCACTGCCTCAAACGATCTCACCAACTCCGCAATAAACATCCCTTCAATCACGCGAATATACTCGGTGACATTCTGATTCCTCCGCCACCAGTAGTTATACATCCAATCCCCAGCGCGAAACACCTCATCCGCCTGCACTCTACTCACACACTCCCCCTCATCTTCCAAAGAACAAGGCAGTTCATACCCATTGCACAACCTCCCTTGGAAATTATCCGCAAAATGATCCCAAGTCTCCAACCACTCCTCCTGCTCTTCCGCCCCAAACATTCCCGCAAGATTCCTCCTCAACCCATCCGTAACAGCAATATACTCCTCCCACTGCGGCCCGCTCTGAATCGCATCCAGAATCGTGTCTCGCGCCGGACACGCAAAACCGCGGTTAATCGTATCAACCGCCTCAACCTGCTGATGCAATGGTAACGGGCCCTTATACTCCGGCCAAAGACCACGAAGCACACCACCCGCCGAGCCCTGCGTTAGCGGCGATGAGGTTGATCTGAACCAGACGCGCTTATCGCCCTCATCCAGAGTCTCCGGGATCAGACCTAGTTGCGTGCTATAGAGGGCGTGCAGATCGCGCCCGTGCTGGTACGCGTCCAGATACCCGCCGATTGTCAGCTGGGGGTACTGGCAGGAGCCGTTGACGTAGTTAGTTAGAAATGGGTTCGATGGGTCTGTATAGGCCTGGCCGTAGACCTGGACTGGGGACGGGCCTGATCCTGTGGCATGTGCAGGGGCGGCGAAGAGGTGCGGGTTGATGGCCTCGCAGTTGTATTCTTGGTTCTATACAGTATTAGGACTAATCTATATTTAAATATAATAGAGAGGGGAGTACTTCGCCTCCTGGGAGGATATTATACGGCGTCCGTCGCTGGTGCCGCTGGACGTACTCCAAATGCACGAGCTTGGCAGCGACAGAGTGGTTCGCGACTGAGCGGGGCAGGGCGTAAGTATCTACATGCGGATGCGGCATGGAGCAGTAATTATAGACGCTGTCGCCTGTCTGGCTCGCCTTGTCGGAGGGGGCGCTGAAGACGCCGCCATACGTGCCCAGCGAGGCATTGGTGATGTACGTGGTGTGGTTGAGGGGCGGGTAGAAGCTGTCCACGGCAGCCAGCGAGGCGCCTGGGAGGAGCAGGCCCAGGAAGAAGGTCAGCATGTCGAGAATGCCCTCGTAGACGGTCTGCATGGTTTACGGCGGACGGGGCTTTGCTGGTTTATATTCAGGAGGTTGAGCATTCCACCTGCGAGTGAAGCCAGTTTGGCTGCATGGATTGTGATTGGCTGCGGCTCCCACGTGCGCTGCTGCGTTGCTGTCGTCTCTTACACTACTAAACTTGTATTAATTAAACTGACTCGTTTTCTTGGCTATTCTTTATTCTATTCTTGAGAATAATAGACCTCGCTTGTAATTTTGGGTTGTGGAGTTATGGTGGTTGATTATATATATCCATCACAGCTATCCATATACTCGCCAACAACATTATCGGAGGGTTAGGGCATATCTTGGTACAAACAGAACATCAAAATAGAAAACATCAAATTGCTGGCCCACTTTAAGCTGTGATATATATTCGATTTATATTGTAAAAAAAATACAGTTAGAAGGTCCAACGCCGTGATGGACAGCCGCAAGGTTGACAGTCCATGGAGTGCTTGAGCAGATCTCTTCCTCCGTCCTTAAGTTCTTCTCTGAAGATTACTGTGATGTAGTAAATAGAAAAACATGGTTTGTGACCTACAAGCCCGTAGAAACCACAGCTCCCATATGTAGGGCAGCAATTATATTATTCCATTTTAGGATATCAAGGTGATTTGCCTCATTGTCCAGTTGGGAACCGAATTGTTTGGGCTTTGTCTGATTTTACTTCATTCTGTATCTTTGCTTTTGATGCTGAATGCATTTTGTTTTACTTGCCAAGTTGGTGTAAAGCCAGTCATCTGTAAGTAAATGAGTAATTGGACAAATTCCTGATCCAGTGCAGTTCACACCACAAGAAACCGAGTCGGTTCTCACTATCCCCTTGCTGGTAAACAATTGTTATTCCCAACAAACAGTACGGTAGCAACACCTCGAGAATAAGGGGCTCGGCTGGTGCTTTGTCACAACTGCCGGATTGGAGGGCCGTGCTTTGTAGCAGAGCAGGAAGTACTGACCCCGGGAGCAACAGTGCCTCCATACAAAACAGCCTACAAAGCATAGAAGTTAATGACTTACTGAGACACTGCCCCTCCCCCTCTTATTCTCCTCTTTGTCTCCCCTCTTTGTGTCTGCCTCCCATCCCTTCCAGTGTATTTACCCCCTACAAAGCGCGTATACTGTCAACAACAGCTTTTCGTGTCCATTGTATCTGCAGAGGTATCTGGTAGTTCATGAATATCTAACAGCGGCGCCTGCACCGCCCTTGACACAGTCTCAATCCTATTCCCAGTGGCAGCCTTATTATCAGTCCCAGGAACAGCCGTACCAACAGCCCTAGTATCAGCGATCTTGATCAACTCCGGCTCCGGATTTGATTTCGCCCAGGCACACCTCGTGCGCTCGCGCGAGCAAATACCCACAGACGGGTTCTTGACAGGGTCATCAAAGTGGCGAGCGTGGTAGTCGCGCGAACGCACGCCGCCACACCGAATACACCGCAGCTGCGGGTATCCCTGGCATGACTCGACGCGGTGCAGGTGCTGGATATCTCCTCTATCGCTTATTGTTGATGTCTCGGAGGCGTCGCATGGTCTGGGTGGGAGGGACCATGTGCGGCGTCGGTTGTGTCTTGTGTTTCTTTCGTTCTCGAGGTAGATGGCTGTTCCTGTTGAGCGAGAGGCTCTGGTTCTGTTAGGTGTTGTCCTGTATTTTGGATATTTGGCTTGGTAGCTTACTTGTGTTTAGCCCAAAATAGAGTCCCAGACATCCAGTGCATGGTTGTGTAGTAGTGTTGGTCAACAACAGGTGTATACTTCGTGATTCGTGAAAGCGTGGAAGGCGTCGACTCGCACAGCAAGTGAGCCTGGGTATATTTATAATTGAGACTTGATATCGAAAGGAAAGACCTGCAAAGCAACGAAAGACCCCGCGATTTATATAACCTGGTGTATGCCTTGTTCATGCAACGCCAAGCGGGTTCATGGCCATGTAAAAGCATCGCCGGCAAATCACCAGCAAGCATCCATACTTATGAAACGGATAAAAATGCCTCAACTTCTGGAACAATCACATTCAGACTGTTGTCTGGGAGTAGCTCCCCGCACTGACGAGACGAGCAGGCAGCTGGAGGGGCCCGGTGAGCGTTGCATGCAGGTTAGGTAGCATTTGGTCATATTCTGGTTTCTGGTTGTTTACCCTCGGACTGATTGGTTACAGAGTTCCCGCTTTTCTCGAGAACAGAAAGTACTACTAGTGGTCCTCTGGTCGGTCCTCCTGGTGGTCCTCAAGGCAGGAGAAGCAGTTTGAATGCTGGAGCCCTGGGACTTATCCTATTGGTGCATAAAATGCATAAGCTGGGTCAATAAGCAGCGACTTCCTCTTTCGGACATGCTGTGTACACAACCACCTCTGGCAAGTCAACGAGGGCCGTTTCATCCTAGAAATACACTTAGTCGCACACAAGTACGATTGCCGACCGGCTGTATTACGCCTGGCCCGTCTTATGGTGTCCTGGCGGGGTGGCACTGCCCTCCCAACAGGGGTGGTTTTGCCCGGCGTCGTCTTTACAAACCTGTTTTTCGATGTTTACTCGACACGTCCGTAGAGCAGTAGGCTTGCTGTCAGTTCTTGAGTTCCTGCACGCTGTTTAAAGTCTGGCTAGTGGCTGCAGGGTCGATCTGTTGGCGCCGTACCGTAGATCTGGTCGGATGGCAGATCTGGCTGCATGGTAGATCGCAGAGCCACCTGGTCGTGTATTTTACAGCCCCTGACACGTCGAGACTCTGAATATGCAGTAATGGAACTGACGGGGTGCAGCCTGCCCTGCGCCCTCGTCTGCGCAGCCAATTCTGGCGTCTCAGGTCTCCACAGGCGCCCGAGAATCACCCGATATCTACAAAAGTACGGCCAGTATGTTCCAAGCCGGTGGATGGACGTTTTGCCCTGCGCCCGGCTTAGCCCTGCACTAGGTTTAACATAGGTGGGGAGAGATATGAATTCTCTGTTTTTCGAAGGCGAGTGTTGGTCAAGGCAGGGCGAGGGATCGCCGCCAATCCGATAACCTTTCGATCTGACTGGATTTCGGTGAATTGCTCGCATTGTCAGTGTCTGTCCCGCGGTTATCCCGGAGAATTTTCGTGTGGAGTGTGGGTGCAAAGCTTAGGTCCCACGGTTGTAACAGCTTGTGTGTTTCAGCACTTACCTGCGTGGACTGGCAGCCTGGCATGGAAAAGTATATTCCGTATATTCATGCTTGCAACCTGCCATACACTCGTATGGATATAATGTATTCTGTGAACAGAGTAATATGGCGGCAAGGCGTAGATCAGGAAGGTGAGTATGTCCCAGGGCAGGCATCAGGTAGTCTACGGGACCATTCCGACATGGATAAACAACCCCTCCATGTAAAACACAGCATAAACTTTGCACCACTGTCACAATCCATGCAAGTCAGCTTCTAGCGGCCTTCCATGCTGCAAAGCCATGACGGATCGTCCCGGCCGCACCGTCTGCATTCAGGCCCGCAATGATTCATTCTCGACCCAGCAGCCACTCACCAGCAAGCCAACAAGCCGCTCCCTCGGAGAAGCAGAACTGCTGCAAGCACCCGACTGGGAGCCCCGCCGAGCCCGCGTGGTAACAGAAACAATTCGGCCATTCGGGTCTCAGCCCGGTGCCCCGAGCCTGCAGTACTAGGGGGCCATGTCCTTGGAGTTGGTATCGAGTCTCCTCCTACCTGCTTCTGCAGACACAGCCTCCATCAGAGGGTACTCTCAGGCCGGATATGGCCCAAGTTCTGCAGCCAATGCGGTGACCTCCTGGCTTAATGGGTATAAGCGAGGTCCAACCAGAGGCAGGCTCACAGTGGAATTTCCTGAGGCAGTGGGCCTCTGCACTGCTTACCCCTCCATGCCACTATTACAGTCGTGATGGTATACTTGCTACAACTCAGAGAGTCCATACCTGCGGGGCCGGCGGGACTCGTTGAATTGGCAATGGCTGTTACACAACACCCGACATGCGGATGCGGTCTCCCTTTGGGCGCAGCGTCCTTTAAGCATGTAAAAATAAAGCTTGCAGGTCTCTGCAGGGACAGACACCACACGGTGACCGCAGAACCTCCCACTTCGTGCGACACTGGTGTCCCTCGGCGTGTTTCAGGCTCGCGACTGGCGACTTGCGATTGGCGCGAGGCGGCAATATTGGTGCTTTCACGCGGTCTTGCGCGGTTTAACCGACTATTACTTTGCATAGATTGCAACTTTGCACCTGATCCAGGCTCTCTGCCAAATCCTCTACAGATAGGCCGTTATTCCGACTTCGGTTTGCAATATCCCTCTTCTTCCCATAGAATGACCACTGAGTGAGATTCCAAAAGTTCGCTTACAGTCTACCCATTAAAGCAACAAGGATGTGAAATTAGCGGACGGCCTGAAGGGTCGTGGTCTAAATGTTGCCAAAAATACCCTGTTTTAGGGTCTGCGCCTCCTCACCGGCATCATATACAGAACCAACATGACTCCACAAGCACATCCTCATTCTACCAGCAAGGCTGAGCTCTACGGTCCTGGACTTCAGACCTTGCGACAAAAGTACTCGGTCGAACGGCTTCACATGGAAATTAAGGGTAGACGTCATTGACAGACGCCCAGTCCAGGTGTGCATGGTGACATCGGTCAACTCCCGAGTCTATAGCCGGCGAGATTGGGAAATTAAGGACCAGGAGCGTCTGTTCCAGCTACCAGAGATAGCAGCCTCGAGGAGGCACTTTTACAATATTGCATTGCAGCCTGGACTTGCAGGACCTGGGCTGTTCATGTTTGCCATTTATGAACGGACATCTGGAAGGTATAGTGTTGGTAGCATAGTTATAGATGCTTTCATTGTAGGTAGTCCCATTCATTTAGAAGGAACCCAACTAGCGAGCAGTGTATCCGCCATCGACTGGTAAACAAACACCGGTAACCCAACTGGCATCCTCGCTTGCCAAAACAACAGCCATCCTAGCAACGTCATCGGGCAGTCCAGGCCCTTTCAACGGATGGCGCCGATTCAGATCCTCCCAGGGCGTCAAATGGGTCGTCGTCTCCTTGAATATCGCGGTCTGGGTATCTAATTCGGCATTAGTTCAGTCCCACAACCAGGGTTGAAAGTGAAGCTTACATCCAGGACACAGCGCATTCGCATGGATCCTGTGAGGCGCGTAGTCCAGAGCAATCTGCCTCGTCAGCTGGCTAACAGCGCCTTTAGATGCGCAATACGACGCTGCACGAATCAGTCTTCCTTAATTCATCCACAATGAATATGAGCTTACGGTTCTCAGGCCCAACAATCATCCCCATTATGGATGAGATGTTGACAATCCACCCTCGATCCCCTGATGGATGTGGCTCTTGCTGCAGCATCTGCGCAAGGGCATATTTACACCCCAGGAATACAGACTTCACATTGACTCTCATGGTCGTATCCCACGTCGCCTCGTCCGTAAGATGTAGAACCGCCGGAGTGCGCGCCTCAATGCTTATACCGGCATTATTGACAAGACTGCCAGTGTTAGCCCTCTGCTTGAAAAGTAAACCAAGGCTCTCGATGGATGCTCATACATATCCAGTCTCCCAAAGTGCTTCACAGCAGCCTGAACCAAATTCTCCATCTGTGCTGAATCTCCCACGTCAGCCTGCACAAAAAGCGACTGTCCGCCATTCGTCTCTATTAAATCATGCGTCGTTATCTCAGCCTCCTCGCGCGACCGCGCCGTGGGCGAGAGGTCAGCGCATACGACTTTGGCGCCTTCATGCGCGTATCGGATGGCGATCGCCCGGCCGAGACCTGATGAGGAGCCTGTGACGATGGCGACTTTATCTTGTAAGCGGAGGGTCTGCGACATGTTGTAGGATGAGGCAAGTGGTGGTGAAGAAGGGTGGTGAGGGGACTGAGCTGCTCCTATGCAGATGCAACAACTAATAACACCCCCACTGCCTTCCTGGTGCTTATTGGAATGTAAGCAGTGGATAACTGACGTGGATTGCAGCACTTCGCGTGAATCTCCTTGTTGGGCTTGCTGGTTCCTCCACCTTCTCTATGCAGCAATTTAGCCGGCGGACACTCCAACGTAATCACATATTTATTCTGCTATTCCTGTGGTCCTGCATATTTAATGACCCTCGCTGGAACCCCAACGGCAACACTAAAAGGAGGGATATCCTTGTTAACAACCGACCCAGCACCAACTGTACAGCCCTCTCCAATCGTAACTCCCGCCAGAATCGTAGCATTTGCACCAATCCAACAGTCATTGCCAATGATGACTTCCCCAGTAAACTCCTTTCCCCGGTTTGCTCTCCGCGCATTAATTTCCGTGAAGTGCTCACCCGTGATGATATTGACATTCGGGCCTATTTCAACATGGTCTCCGATCGTGACGAGTCCGCAGTCGAGGACAGTTAAACTATCTTATCAGTATAGACGGGGAAGTACAGAGAGCAGAGACTAACTTGAAATTGGCATAGAAGCCTTCCCCAACACTAATATTGCATCCATAGTCAACGAATATCGGGGGCTCGATATACGCTCCACCGCCGACGCATCCAAACAGCTGCTTAACTACCTCCCCTCGGTGTGAAATGGCCTCCGAGAACGCAACATCAGGCTTTGGCGGGGCTTTGAACTCGGCAATAAGTCGCCTGGCCCTTTCTCGGCCATCGATAAGTTCTGGAGCTAGAGGACTGTATCTGCAGTATTCAGTAAGACAGGGAGCTGGAGAATATGAAGATGAGTCTAACATACAGCATCCCGGATATCATCTTCTCGTACTCTTCGCCCCAGCAAACACCACTTAGGGTCTTTGCTTTGGTGATGGCTTGAGGACACTTTTCTGGCTTTGGCAGCATACTGGGCTCTGAAACATTCAGAAAACACGTTTTAAAGGCAGTCGTGGGTATTTATATAGGCGTCGACATGAATACGAGGAGATGGTGGCGTGTGCCCTGGAATGTCGGGCCTGAATGCCGGGATTCGTCCTCGATACAGTCTACTGCAGCTGACACCCCAAGGCTCACTGTTGTGTATCCCACATTTAAACTTGTTTAAATCTGTTTAAATCTGTCGGGTGCGGTCTAAAAACATAAGATAAAATCAAGACTGCCGATTTGCAACAATAGATTGCGGTCATAGACTTCACTCACACTCTCCACTGCTAACTGTTCATTTCGAATCGCCTACAGCAAATGCATGATACACAAGCGATCAAAGCGGGTGACAGGGCCTGGCTTCCATATCCTTTAAACAACCCTTTCACCCGTGAAGGGCGTTGTGAACAGAAAAACAGCATGTTCACAGAGAAGTACCTGTTGTATAAATAAAACACCTGCATTCCTGTAATCCAACCGAGGCGAAATCTGAGCAGATATCCATAAAACGTCCTAACCTCACGTGGAAGATGACCCGAAAAATACCTGAGCATTTTGAAATGGAGACCCGTGAAATATTCCTCGCCGAGTCCAAGGCCAACTCCTGCTTCGGTAGCCGCTGGGTGATCATGGTGGTATCCCAAGACACTGGACTGTATGACGTGTACTACTCTGCCGGTAGTACATCTAGAGAGAATGGATACGAAAGGAAGGAGGCTCTTGACTTGAAGTTCGAAGGTCGCAAGGATCTTTTCTCAGGGTTGATTTTGCTGGGATGTCTACAGATGGAACGATGGAACAGGTTCGACAAGGTGCTCAAGGAGACAATTCCTGGTCCGGACCAGTTCTTTGCTGTCCGCCTCATATATGGCCTTGCTCAGAATGGCATAATTGAGCAGTTGATGGTTACTAGGGTGATATGGGAGCCAAGGTACTCTGCTGCAGAGACGGAGTTCTATCAGAATAACATGTCCCCAGTTGATTATTTGTTCTACGCCACTGATGTGAAAGAAAGCGGACATCTTGTTCCTAAGAAGACAGGACCAAAGTTTCCTTATTTTTACCGGGGATGTACAAACATCCGTAATTGATACATAAGACATATCCTGTGACAAGCAATAAATGTCTTATATTGTAACATGAATTTAAACTGGTATATTCTACCATCATTATGAAATTGGGGCAGTAATATAAAGACGCCATGTGAACTCCATAAAGTAATAAAGAATACTGCCCATTGAAAGGGTACGAACTGTGGAAACCCCCCTTTCAATCAGGTAAATGCCATTGTAGAGACGAGAAATGATAAGTGAGAGTACACAAAAGGAATCCATTATAAATATGGATAGCATAAACCAAGACCAAACCCCAGTTCTCGAGATAGCACGACCGTCCTCCAAGAGACACCCTAACTCCCAAAATGGACTGCAGATATAAGCTATGCCTTGCGCAGGTCAAACGAAAGGAAAAGGAGGAATGGGTCCTGGTACTTAAGTACCCCAACGGGAAGAAGAACCGCTGGCTCTTATCGACAGGCGGCCCAGGCACAAGCGAGGTATACGAACGGTACTCCAAAAAGCGGGACGACCTGCCTGATTGTAGCGAGTTCTGGCTGATTGCCAAACTCACGGATGAGGAGGTGTATCATGAGTTCAAGCCGGAGTGGAAAATGACGCTGCCTGGTCCAAACAAGTTCTTCATAGTGCGGTTCCTAGATCGCCTAGCGAGACGGGGACTGGTTGATGAGTCTGTTATCGAAAAGCTAAAGGAGGAGGCCTACTATTCTGATAGGGAGCTGAAATGCTTCAAAGGCAGGTACACTAATGTTGATCAGGCGTTTATTGAAGATAGCCGCCACGAAGACAATGCCTTTTATCCCTACAAATAGGCGGGCTAAAATGAGTGCCACAGTTTTATATAGAGGAATATCGCTAAAACACTGCACCATCGAACTTTTCTTACTGTAGTCAATGATAGCCGAGTTTGGATAATTAAACAGTAGCTCCATTATTAAATACTAGGCTTCTTAGGTCCTATTAGAGCCATTAAGGTAGTGAGGGTCATATTGGCAATGTTCCCAGTGTCAGAATAATGACCTAGAGTATACCCTAAGCACAGACTAAACGGTTGACAACAAGCGGTGCTAGACGTAAACGAAAGGGCCATAGTGGAAAGATAATGCCATTCTAGCGATTGTTAATCGTTTCGACAGAATGAAACTAACATGTTATCAGCAATGTGGTATTAGTAAAGGGCACAAAGCACATAAAGAAGGCAGTAACAAGACTGCTTTTACCCAAAGGGCTCACGTAAAAGACGAAGAAATATAAGTAAGCGCTGTACCCAAACTGCCCTCTTCCAAAACCTTTGTCAAGCCGTCACTATGCCTGAATGTACTTGTGACTGTGAATACGAGCTCTACTTTGGGATAACCAGAAGCAAAAGCAACGAATCCGGGACGCGTTGGATAATTATCCTGTTAGACCCCAAGAATGAAGTATGCAACTGGTATCAATCAGTCACCGGGCAGAATGGGTATACAGCAACTGTAGCCCCAGGTCTGACGCTCGGATTTAATGAGGGATTCCGGAACAAAGTTCGAATTGGGACGATCCGTAAGAGAGACATGAATATATTCCAAAGGATATTTGCCGCAACGGAGCCCCAGGATAGTCATCGGTTTGCAGCGGAATTTGTCCTGAATCTGAGCCGGGAGAGCTTGGTGGAAGGTGTACTTGGGTGGGATATGCTTAGGGCCGCCAAAAATACCGCGTATATCTGGGAGCATTTAAACATTAGGCCCAGCGTTCATTGGCAGTCTCTTGCTGACAGGGAGGACAGCTGCATATTCGAGACGGCCAGTCGAAATTCGTACGTGGTGAGATGAGGCTGGGTTAGTATTAGAATAACCGTGTTAATAATTTATGACTTAAACAACCAATAGCACATTGAATGAATTAACGTACAGCTAATCTGCGGTAGTCTCCCTCGCCCGGTCCTTTATATCCAAATTCTCCGCATAAGCATCAACATGATACCGTTTAAACTTCCTCGTCGGAATCTTCGCAGCAAACATGATATCCAACTCCTCAAATGTCCTCCCCTTCGTCTCTGTAAGTCTAAAGAACCCCCAAACAAGAGTCAGAAATCCCGTCCCAAACCAGAAGAACCCCGTCTTCCCTCTCCAGTTCCAGGCCGTGGGATTCATAAAATACGGCTCAATAACATTTGCCACCACAATCGCAATATAGTACGTATTCCGCGCAAGAACAATCGTTTTCGAACGCAGCCTCGTCGACGACACCTCAGGCGCAATCGACCACCCCAATGGGCCAATGGTAAGCGAAAATGTAAATAGCCAGATAATACACAGCGATGACTGCGCCCACTTCACCCCGTCGATGTTTCGTACCAGGTCCAGAATGCCGATGATGAAGAGGTACGCGCACATCATGGCCATACCACCCAGGTACATAGACCGTCGACCGAAGGCCTTCATAAGGAACCACGAGAGAACCGTTCCGATAAAGGCAATCGCCGTACCACCAAGCGCAAGCTTATACGCATCATCCGGGCTCATCCCGGCCTGTTCAAAGAAATACGTCCCCGAGTAGGCGAACTGGCTACCGGCAAGAACCTGGCCTGCGAAAGTGACGCAGGCGATTTCCGTGCGCCGCAGATTCGACCCTTTAAGGCAGTCCATATACGACGAGCCGGCTTCAAGTTCGGACTCGATGTTATCGGTGTGGATCATCATAGCCACAATCTGGCGGGCGTTATGCCGTTCGGTCTTGGCCATGAGCCCCTGAACAGTTTTGTGCGCGGCGTCGTATTGTCCGTGTCGGACCTGCCACCAGGGGGACTCGGGCATGAAGATTGCAATGAAGAATAACGGGGCGGGCCAGATCCATTGGACGGCAAAAGGGATGCGGTAGGACCATTCGTCTGGGCGGTTGAGGAGGCTTTGGAGCACGCCCATGCTGAGGAATTGGCCGATTGCGAAGCACATGTTTGTGTAGGCTGTTAGATAGGAGCGCAGAGCCATGGGGAGGAGCTCTGATGAGTATGCAGGACCGATAGTGGCGAACATTCCCCAAGGTATCCTGTTCGTCAGTACAAATTAAGAAAGCAGTTTATATTCGACTTACCCACAGAGAACCTGTCCAGCAACCTGAGCCCCGACGGACTTTCCAAAGAACGAGACGAAAATAAAACTGCACATACAGAATAAACCACCAAGGAACACTTTCTTAAAGCCGTAATGTTTTATCAGGTATCCATTCAGAAACGCCCCAATAATACACCCTGCATTCCCGCCAGCCCCTAAGGCCGACTGCCATTCGCCAGGAACCTCATATCCATGCGCATATTCATTCCCAAACTGTTTCTTGAACTCCGGATAGGCGTAGAAATTACCCACCAGATTGGTATCGTAGCCCTCCATGATAATCGACATGGAGATCGTGAGCGACCAGGCGACTGCCCAGGGATATGCGCGTAAGGCCTGACGCACGGTCAAAGAGTGTTCGGCCGCATTGGCCGCCTGGGCTTCTTTGGTGTTTGTATGCCATTGATCATCACCTCTCTTTTCAATGTCGGCGCTACCATCGTAGGCCTCAACATGGAGCGGCGCAGGGGATCCGTCTGCTTTCTTGTCATCCATAACGAGGTCAGAGTTACATGAGTGTTGAACCAGAATATGCGGCAACAATCCTTATATAGCCTGGATTTATCCGCAGCAAGGGTCATGCGCACCTCAGTTCTTTGTCCTACATTAATGATCGAGTAATGCTACCGTCGATCACCGTCTTCCCCATGGGGAAATGGCAGGGATACAGGGAATGGCATGATTGGACGAGTCTATCTCTGCTCCAAGGGAAACTGGAATGCGGAGATGCGGCCTTGGAGAGATCCGACTGGTGGATTCTGGTGTAGCTCGGCAAGCAAAGACTGCTCGGCTCCAGTGCGGAGAATCAGATTATCCCAGTGCATGAGGCTGCAAGTCGTTGAAGGATCAAGGCAATTGCCTATGAATTGACTGAGACACATGATATCTACAATCTAGCTGGTTCAACTCCGATTCACCCTCTTCCTCATAAAGGCTGCATTGAAAACAAGCGTCCTCCCATCCATCAACACCTCTTTATACCGCGGCTCTTCCTTCCAAGCCACATACCCCTGCTTTTCGTACCACTCCTGGTTGCAAATAGGCATCACCTTGCGACAAATAGGCCCCAGGACCTCATCATAATAATGCTTCTTGCTCATACAGTTCAGCGTGATATATTCACAATTCTCACTCCCAAACGGCCCTCGCGGCGCCAGAGCCTCGATCTGTCGCATCGCAGCACCACCAAGCCCACCGGAGCGATGTTCAGGCAAGATAAAGAACGTCTGAATATGCAGGTTCGTCTTCTCTTCGTTGGCGAGCTCCCAGTCTGCGGGCTCGGCGTAGGCGTCGAGTGAGATGTGACCGGCGCGGATTGGTGTTTCTGGTTCGCCCGTAGAATTATTGGAGGGATTTGTTGATTTGGTGATCCAGAAAAAGGACTTGAGGCCGGCCTCTTGTTGGGCGCGCCAGAGCGCGAACTTCTCTGGTGTGTTGTCCCAGCCGCAGACGGTACGCTGGTGCTCGAGCTCCTCCGCCTCGGAGGGATCGGAGAGGTTTATTGGGACGAGAGTGCAGACCATCGCGACTCGATCAGTACAAGTATTCTGACAAGCGACTCGTAACTGGGAGCAGAGTGAGAGAGTACGCAGGCCCTCGAGTGACTCACCGGCTGAGAATACGAAGTAGCGACTCAGCGAAGTCTCGGTTCACGCTAGTTCATTAGTTAATGTAACGCTGACTCTGGCTTACATTTGCGCGATACTGGTTGCCTGCAATCCGCACGCTAAAACCACATGGTACTTTTAGACTGGGATACTGCGATAATATGCCCCCAAATGCTGAACGGAAAGATGGTTGAGAAGGCGAGGTGCTATACTTCTACGATATACAAGCTCGGACAGCAACGATACAATAATCGACATTCGTATGATTATCCACGTTAATTTCTCACAACCCTGGGATTATTACAGCTATCTTGCCTCGGCCGTGCCATTAGTCGACAGAGGGAGCCGCTCAATCACCTGCGGCTGGCCTTTAATACTGAATCCAGAAGTAGGATACTGCTCATCCACATCTACAAGCAAGGTGTATTCCCCAGGGTAAAGGACAATCCCTCCATCCGAGCGGCCGCGAGTCAATGGCGCCACGGTGACTTCGACATCCACTTTCCGCGTCTCTCCCGGTTTGATTTGGCTCGCCCTTGTGTATCCGACCAGTGTCTTGATAGGAGCAGGCTGAGGACCGGCGTCTGTCGAGCTGGCAAATACCAGGGCGACGTAGTCGGATGCAGTGCCGCCGGTGTTTGTCACTGCCAGCGAGAACGTATCGACCACATTAAGATGCGGGTTCTCTCCTTTTGTCAAAGAAGCAGCGTCATAAGAGCCGAAATCTTTCTTTGCCCAGGAAATGTTGAAGTCAGTGTAGTGCAAGCCAAATCCAAATGGGAGCACGGCGTCTTCGTACCACCGGTAGGTGCGCCCAGGGTTATCAGTTCCAGGACGCAGATTCATATCGGTCATCGGGACTTCATCCACGTATTCCTTTGGATACTGCGTGATTGGAAGACGGCCAGCTGGTGCGGCCTTGCCGGTGAGGATATCGAAGACTGCAATACCACCAGCTTGGCTGGGATATCCAACCCAGACGATTGCACCGACATTGTCGGCAGAAAGCAGCTGAGAATCGTCTACCTGGCCTCCGCCAAATTGAACCACGGTCAGAGGTTTGCCGACTTCGGCTAACTGGAGGATAAGATCTTGCTGGTTGCCAGGCCAGTCAATGCTGATTCTGTCTAGAGACTCTTCTTCGATGCTGTTGTCAATGCCGCCGAAGAAGATAACCGCGTCTGCTTCTGCTGCGATGTTCAAAGCATCCTCGAAGCCGTCTTCGCTGGTTGAGTTCATTTCTGTGCCTTGGGCTGTGAGTACGGTATATCCCCGCTGCTTCGCGGCCTCGATCATGGTTGGGATGTTCTTGGCCGGACCGGCGTAGTTGCTCTGTAGCTCTGTCGTGAGGTTGATATAGGGTCCGATTAACGCCAGAGTGCCATTTGCCTTGAGTGGAAGAGTCCGATCAGAATTCTTCAGGAGAACAGTTCCCTGCGTAGCAACAGCTAACGCAGTATCCTCCGCTTCAGATGTCGACACGTCCTCCCATCCGATGGACCGCAGAGGCTGGTCATCCGCAGGATCAAAGTATCCCAGCTGCACCAGCGACGTATACAGCCGAGTCAGAGCCGTATCCAGCGTCCTATTCTCAATCAAGCCCTGGCTCTGCGCCTCACCAAGATACGTCGGCAGCCATGACCCACAGTCCAGATCCACTCCAGCATTCAACGCAGCAGCCGCCGCCTCAGGGCCACTGTCCGCATAATGATGATACGTCTGTATGCGTTCAACAGCACCACAGTCCCCGGTCACCCAATGCCCCGGAGCCTCCCACCCATAATGCTCCCTCAACACAGTCTGCAACAAATACCGATCCGCACAAGCCGGCACCCCATTCAGGGCATTATAGCTGCACATAAACGCACCGACCTTGGCATCAACAGCACAAGTCCTAAACGGCGGCAGATAGTACTCCACCAGATCAACCGCAGACACCTGCGCATCAAACTCAAACCGACTCACCCCTCCCCACCCCTCCAGATCATACGCAGCAAGGTGCTTACACGTCGCAACAACCTTCGGATTCTCAGGATCATCCCCCTGCAGCCCGCCCACAAACTCATTCACATAGCGCGAGCAATGCAGCGGATCCTCACCGGGCGTCTCCTGGCCCCTCCCCCACCTTGGATCCTTAAACGGATTAATATTAGGAGTCCAGTAATCGAGGCCCGCGTGGTCTGAATTGGAGAACGCGCGCGCCTCGGTCGATATAATCTCCGCCACGGTCCTGACAAGGTCATCGTTGAAGGCAGCGCCTAGCACGATAGGCGCGGGGAACGAGGTCGCGTAGCTGAACTCGCCATCTTCTTCGAAGTTCACGCCGTGTTTCTCGGCGACGCCGTGCAGGGCTTCGTTCCACCAGTTGTAGGCGGGGAGGCCGAGGCGGGTGCTCCCTGCGGCTTCGTGGCCGGTGTTGTTGATTTTTTCAACGAGGGTTAGGGCATTAACCAGGGATTTGGCGCGGGTTTCTGCGTCTAGGGAGGTGTCGCAGATGGGCAGCTGGCTGAGAGGGCCGGTTGTGCAGTCTGGGTAGTTGGACTGGGCGAGGGTTTGGAGAGGGAGGGGGAGGATGAGGGGGGTCAAGCTGAGGATATTTCTGGGATTGAGTCCTATCATCGTGATCTTTCTCTTTTCCTGGTGGACTTTGGAATTGAATGGTTCGTACCGTTGATGGGGGCTTTAAGTATGCCATCCCGGCTTAACGGGTGATTGAGTCAGTCGTTTAAATCCAAACAGGCTGATATAGCCAGAATACTGCTTATGACATAGTTATGAAATATCTGCTTGTGACATATGAAACTGCAAAATATATGGTATGATGCAGGAACCCCGCTGGATATTCAGTCCCGATGCTGATCATTCTTGTCTTCATATATTATCCTCCAATGGGAACAAATGGGTAAACACAGCTTTTTGCAGAAGACTTTAGGCACAGGTACCTGATTACCTCGGAATAGAGCTTGCAAATGCACCCAATAACCAGTTTCATAGTACGGTACCCAAGAATCAGGCCGTGAACTCCCACTTGGCATGCTTGACATGCATAGTCTCAATATACTGCTTGAGCTTCCCAAACTCCTTGAACCCCTCGCTTTCTCTAAATTCCTCATGCTCATGGATGTTCGCCCAGCCAGAAAAGTAAACAAACTCATCCTTTGGGTTACCCTGCTCATCAACCTCGCGATCAACCCTCCACGCACCAACAGCCTCTCTAGGCCCCTTAAAGTCCTTCACATAATGTCTCGTTGCCGCAAAAGTCTTGTCAAACCCATCCTTACAACCAGGTGAAATAAAGCAGCGCCCAATTCCAGTAACAGCCGCATTATACGGAATCACATACCCATCCTCAGCCGCAGATGGGTTCGGATCAAGATCCAAATGCTGGATCCAAACCAACTCAATCCCCTCCGCTAATCCAGCCATGATATCCTGGTTCTTGGGGGCGGGGATCCACTCCTCCACGTGCTGCGAAAGAGACTCCCATCGGCCTAGGATGTAGAAGTAGCTAGGGTCTTCGAGCTGGGTGAGGATGTGTGTACGGGCGTTTGTGTACTCGGCTTGAGCTTTGATGCCATCCTGGAGTCTTGTGTAGAAGGTCTCGTTGGAGGGGTCGGTCAGGGGGAGGGTGTTTTTGAGACGGAGGCAGGCGATTTCAGTAACAGGCATTTTGAGATTATTGTGAGGATATAAGAGGTATTGGCATTGAGGGTTCAATATTCAACTATTTAAGCAGCAGCAGGCACCGCCATGACGACGCCGCTGCCTGAGGCTCCCACATACAGAGACTTGGCATTCTGTTTCTCCCCTTTTGGAAGGCTTGTTGGGGCAGTGAGACTGATCATGTAAACTGTTATCGGGACTCTAATCAATTCAAACACGAATTTTACAAGTACTAACCTATACCTTGGCACAGTGATGGTGGAATCGCTGTTGGGGTCGCGCGGGGTCGGTAACTGCTGCATTCCCGAGGTCCAGCATCACTCAAATACCTTCAACTCCACGAATTGACACTGTTCTCTCTATATCACTGTTGCCATCATGTCCAACCTCACAGGCTTCCCCGACTATTTCAACCTCGCTGGCAAAGTCGCCCTGGTGACTGGAGGTATTACGCACATCCCGCTCCTGGTATACCCATACTGACCTTGTAGGATCGCGCGGTCTCGGCCTGCACATCGCGACTTCTCTGCTACGAGCCGGCGCAAAGACAGTCTTTATAACCGCCCGCAAAGCTCCAGGCGTGAACGAGGCCGCTGCTCAACTAAACGCTCTCCCCGGCATCAAGGGCAAAGCGATCGGCATCGCCGGCAATGCGTCCCAGACAGACGAGATCCAGGCCCTGGTCGACCAGGTGAAGAAGGTCGAACCGAAGCTGGACATTCTTGTCGCAAACGCAGGCGCAACATGGGGCGGCCCATTCGAGACATCCCCGGACTGGGCGAGCCAGAAGGTCGTGGATTTGAATGTCCGCGGTGTCTTTAACCTCGTGCGACTGTATTTATACCGCTCCCGACCTCGTTCTAACCCAAGCTGATTTATTTAGATTCACTCCCCTCCTCAAAGAAGCGGGATCGCATTCTTCTCCGTCGCGCGTCGTCATCGTTAGTTCGGTCGCAGGGTCCAGCGTGCCCCATACCGGCGATCATGGCACAATCATGTACTCAATCTCCAAGGCCGCCGCGACCCACCTTGCTCGGAATCTTGCTGTTGAACTGGGACCTAAAAATATCACTGCGAATAGTCTGTCACCGGGATTCTTCCCGTCGAAACTCGCCAGTGGTCTGATTGAAATCCTTGGAGGGGAGGAGGAGCTCAAGAAGTCCAACCCGAGACAGCGCCTGGGCGTGCCCGACGATATTGGCGCTGCCGTGTTGTTTCTTGTTAGCCCGGGTGCCAACTATGTGTAAGTCATATCTACCGTAGGACTGGAAGATATGCTAATGCTTGATAGTAATGGAGTTGATTTGACAGTCGATGGAGGTGCGCGACTTGCCCGGGGGAAGCTGTAAATCTTTCCATAGCCTGCCATCGCCTGGAACAGAGTAGAATGGGTAGCAGATCAAGCATTCTATCTGCTTCGTGTTAAATGTTTATAAATCAGAACATAATATGTCTTAGTTATTGCACCTACAGGAACATTCGTTACCCCTCAGACAGACTTGGCGGGTGTATTCTTCCACCACTCACAATCCACCTCTTCAACAGATATAGACCTGCGCATCGCCTGTCTTGATGGTGAGAAAAAAAATATTCTTTCTCAGTCAATTCATGTGGCATCGCACAATGGCACTGGCAGCCCACGCTCTAGCCCTGGCGGCTTCCCTCTCCCAAGCCGGTCTTGTTCCTGGCTTGGCACCGCTCATCCCAGATAACTTCACCCCATCAACCCAACTGGGCGTTGCGTATGGCAATAAATCTGTGGAACTGGGTAATCTGTTCCGAGTTAGCGAAGTCGCATCGGCACCGACCATCTCATTCGCGAAGGAGGTAAGATCGCCTCCAGTACAAAAATCATCCAGATTACCAACAGTGACTAGGCCAATTCCCCAGAAAGCCAGCTATACACCCTTTTGCTTGTCGACCCAGATGCCCCGACGCCAGATGACCCCAAGTACGCATACTGGCGCCACTGGGTTGTGTCAGGCCTCAAGCCTGGACACGGGATCAAACCGGAATCTGCATTGACGGCGTATCTTGGTCCTGGTCCAAAGGATGAGTACGTATTCAGTCTTGTATATTGTTGCCATACTAATGATGTGCCGGTATAGCTCTGATCCCCATCGGTACTTGTTCCTCCTCTTCCGGGAACCGGAGGGACTGAATCTCTCGAAAGCGGACGTTGGTGGCGAGGAGTTTGTTGACCGTCGCTCGTTCCCAGCTGCTGAGTGGACTGCGAAGCATGGATTGGAGCTAGCTGGGGTTAACTGGATGCTTGGTGCTGGGGATGGATGGAGTGCGTGAAGAATAGAGCAAGCGAGTTAACTTCGTACTATCTTCAGTAGAATGCGCGGGTTCCAGAAAAGATCATAATACCACCATTCCGCCAGTCGAAACGAAGATTCTTCTTTTGTCGTGATAGACATGCAGGATTGGATCGTGTATGTAGAACTGAGTAGGTGACTTCATAGATTTGCAGAGAAGTGACTTGAATAGTATCAACCGGTAGATGTGAGTGGTGAAATGACTGGTGCTACTTCCACACGAACTGTCAGTGAAGCAGGAGAGTACGAGAAGTCGTTGTTCTTCAAAAACAGTGCCACGTTCAGTTCGCTTCTTTCCAAGGGCCTCCCCCCCTTAAAGAATAAATAAATAAACTACCAGAGCCTTGGGCAAGCCCCCGAGATGGGATTTAGTGCCCAATGACTATTGAACCTCTTCAACGCCATTTTAGGCCTGGATTAAAATAGAAATAATATTAACCTTTAAGGGGAAAGCAGGAACGTGGGGACGCGTTCTAATACACGCTCCGATGCCAAAGCTTATTATCCCAATTCGGAAGCGTTTGTTCCTATGTCCAAGTCCCAAGCCTCGAAGTTCCGACTGTCTTATCTATAACATCTATGTAGGTGCGGTGGCACGGACAGGATCACGAGCAATCGGTGGGGTACTAGGACAAGTGTCACAGTTCCGCGGTGATTGACAATCAAATTCCACCTACATATACTGTACCTAAGATAAGCTGTGCTTTCTCGTGTCTTTCGCGGCTCGACAGATGCCTCTATGTTTGAGGTCTTCATCAATTAAATTGTTCGACACTGCCGAAGATGGCCGGTGCCAAAGCCCGTTCTTATCAGGGATAATGCATGGTTCGACCAATGTGCGGGAATTGCACAGACATATAACCAGGAAGAGAGATGGATATTTTGAGTGCGCTCAGTCGACTCGAGAAGCCTGTTATTGCTGTTGACGGAGCTCTCGGAGTAGATGTAACTCACGCGCACTCATCAATGTGTCTGGGTTTTCGAGCCCTAGTGTTCTTTCCCTTCCCTCAAATGCCCTTGTGAGCATGTCTTCAGCCTCATCATATCGCCTTTGAGATTGGCGTACCTGAGCTAGGCCAGACAGGCTTGTGAGGGTATCACAGTGCTCTGATCCTAGTAGCTCTTCTCGCTTTGAGAGTACCTCCTGATACAATTGCTCTGCAGCAGCATAATTACCCTGTGCATGGGAAACGTAGGCTAAGTTATGCATGGTAACCAGCGTGCTGCCGTGTTCGGGGCCAAAGAGCTTCTGATGAATTTCTAGAACCCCTTGTAACATCTTTGTCACCTCCGCGTTCTGTCCTTGACGGTTCAACATCATGGCGACATTGTTTATAGCGGTAAGTGTGAGTGGGTGCTCCGGGCCGAAGATAGCTTCAGATTTTTCCCAGACCCTCCGGAACATGACCTCGGCTGCCTTGTGGTCTTTTTTGTTGTCCAACACTAGGGCCAGATTATTGATACTAGTTAGGGTATCTTGATGTGTTGGACCTAGGGTTCGTTCCCTGGTTGCTAGAGTCCGCTCGTTCAAATCTTTGGCTGCGTCAAAATGGCCTTGAGATTGCAGTATTTGGGCGAGGTTTGAGAAGCACGCCAGAGTGCCAGGATGATCAGGACCTAAAGTCTTGTTCATACCCTTCAACGCTCTATCGTTCATCTCGTAGGCTTCTTTAATGCGTCCTTGAGCCCGCAGCAGCTGGACTAGATTCAGAGCAGCATATAGGGTATCCGGATGTTCGGGGCCAATTATGGACTCTCTCTTCTTGAGAACATGGCGAAATGTTGTTTCTGCTTCTTTTTCTTCGTCTATTGCGTCCAATACCTGACCAAGCTTGCTCATCGACTTGAGTGTCTCAAGGTGATTTGGACCTAGCGCGCGTTCAGTTGCTTGAATGCTTTTTCTACAGATCACCTCAGCCTCCTTGTACCATCCACCGCTCTCAAGACACCACCCCATGTTGTAGAGTAGCGTTCTTCCGGCCTGATCCGTCAGGGTGTGTAGCTCCACCGAGGCGAGGATGTGGCGCGCATGTGGCAAATACAGGTTCCACAGATCTCTATTTTCTTGTTCACCGGTTGGAAAGACCTCTGCAATTCTGTTCAACACCTTTCTTCTCCATTCGTAAAATTTCCCCCTGGCCGCCAGCCATTTTTGCACGGACAGATGCACTAGACTGTGGACATCGAAGCAGTCCCCCCCTGAGCGTTCAGTAATCAACGCATACGCTTTCAACGTACCTATAGAGTTGGCGGCTTCGAGTAGAGGTGCGCTAGGTAGAAGAGAACCCGGGATATTCTGCCGATGGACACAAGACATGAAACACAAATAGTCCGCGGCAAGCTGGTCGTCACGAGCAATGTTCTCAAACGAGATAAACCAGGTAGTCGCTACAGGTTTGCTAAGAGTTCTGTATCTTCGAGTATCCTCGATATTTCTATCCAGTATCTCGAACAAGGCCTCGGCATTGTTCCTGTATATTTGTAGGTATCTGGTGATACTCATCTGTTTTGCGCAAAGATAAGCAGCGGCTTGCATGATGGCGAGCGGGAGGTATTCCAAAACGCCAAGCAGCTCGGGCATGCTCTCCATCTCAGCTGTAATACTGATATCGCCGATGTTCGACCTCAACAGCTCTGTAGCATCCTCAGGGCTAAGGTTGCTGACCTCAACTCTGTCCACGCCGCTGTGGTTTATGGCTGCTTCAATGTTGCGCGTCGTAATGACGATGGACCCCAAGCGACTGAAAGGTAGATACTCGATTAGAGTAACCGGTGCCTCGCCGTAATTTTCGTAAGAGTTCCTATACAGCATTTCAACATCATCGGCATTGTCGATTATCAGTACCCATCTCCCGAGGTCCTCCTTGCTTAACGCAGCTCTAACAAGGGTATGAATTTCTGCATCCTTCTCTTCTATACCTGGAATTTTGAGCACCTCGCCAATATGTCGAAAGCCCTCCTTGAACATCTCAGCGGTCACAGCTGAGACCCAGAACACAGAGTGAGATACTGACACCTTTCGTACCTTATAGGCAAGCTCAATAGCAATCTGAGTCTTGCCAATCCCTCCTAGCCCAAAGATTGACACACGCTGGCAGTCCTCTTCGGTATTATTCGTGATGAGCTTTGCGATGAGTGTATCAAGCTCAGCCTCTCGACCGACGAATCTCCCGTTTCTTCCGAATGGCACTGAGAAGAATGTCTTCGGATTTTCTGTAGAGGGTATGAGCTAGGAAAATGAATATTTGATTGCGTGTTGATGATCCACACATGGTCCCGTGAATGGTTGGTTTCCACGGCTATGGTACAAAGGGAAGCAGGACGCTAAACAGCCTACTTACCAATTTCGCTCGGGATACTGCGAACATCTTCCTGCAGAGTACCAATATAATCGAGGAGGCACCGTGCATACGCAGCTGCTGTTGATGCCGCATATTCATGCCAGGTATCGTTCTTGTGAGAATCGGCGTAGTCCGAAACACCCCTTATAACTGCGACGGGTAGGGTATCCAGGAGGCCAGCTGCTTCCATCTCAAAACATATGATGTTGTATTTATCCCGCATAGAGTCTCTCAAGCTTGCATTTTTGATCACCTTGTTACCCGAGGCAACGAGACCATAGTGAATAGCGGGCCCCTCGAACTGTCGAGGACCGCGTCTAATCACTTGGTACATTTCCGCCCCAGGCTTTCCTGATTTCTGGGCTTCATATAGATGATCATTATCAGGGCCAGGGTGAAGGAACCTCGTGCTCCCTGGGTTTTCGCGAAAGCGCGCGAGATAAGGCCCAAGTAAGTCGTGACCTATATACTCAGCTTCAGTCTCAAGTGCCTCTATAGCACTCCGCAGGCGGCGATCTGTGGGTTGAATCCATCCAATGTTGACAAAACCGTCCGCAGATTCCTTCCCCAGCTCATACGCGAGTACTCCTTGAGCATTACTGCACCCATCTCCTGGTGCAGCAACAATGACGTCCCCTAGTCGAATGTCAGGCTTCAAGTTCCGCCCTGGGACACCAGCCCCAATGCCGACCATTAGCCCATACCGAATATTGCGGAAGTTGGCTTTGAGGCTCCCAACAAGAATCGCAGCCGAGACTGTCCCGGTTGTCTTCTTTGGCAGCGCCACTATTATTACATTGTGCCTTCCAATAGTACCTGGGATATAATGATTTTCATCCCCATACTTGCTTAAAAACACGCCATCATGTCTCTCGTCGAGCATGGCGAGAGCTGCCAATACTTCGATTTTGAGCGCACAGATCCAAGCGATTGTATAGTTCTCGTATTTTAGGATTGGACGCATGGTTGGAAAAGGGGTAAAGCGTTGTTTGTAGGCATCAGAGGTATGGTTTGGCATGCGGAGGCTTTTCTTCCAACAAGACACTATCCTTGTCGTCTGACGAGGCAATTTCTGCCAATATGCGGAGTTACCCAAACATATATTGCCTGCAGCGGGGCTGGGGGTTCACGCGGCTGATGTAAAAAAAAATTATTGGATGGAGCCTGGGGGATTCTTGTGATGTGAGGCTCTACGGCGCACAGGCCTGCATCATAATCACCCGGGCAAAGAGGGGTATCCCTCCCTCTCAGCCCAAGTAGTAATTGGGTTGAGCAACTCACTGCGGCGCAAACTCTTATATGATCACCTCTCTATCTAGATTATTTCCTTCTTCGCTGTACTCCTGCCCAGCTTGAATATCATTTCGTCATTGTTAGATCAATAGCGTTTTCGTGAAAACTCCGCCACAAAGACACCACTCACGGTCGACATGGAGTCCTCATCACCGTATAGATCAGGGTGGCTTAAGGAAGGGTTGCTGCCGGCAGGCGCTTACAACAACCTCCCGTTTATTGACGATGTGCACCTCACAGCCGAGCATGAAATCGCCAAGCAGCAATTGCTGCAGATGATTCTCGAGCACAACGTTGGCCATCTGTTCACCATCCGCATTATTCACAAACATTACGATGTCCCACAAAACAAAGTAATGGTCCACGAGACTGTCTATGGCCCACCAAGCTCAGTTGCCATGATTCTTACCTCCAAATCCCCTTATCAGCGCAAACACCCGCTCCGCGGAAAGAACTTCATGGCTGAGCCGGATGGTACATTCCAAGCCTACGAGTACACGGTCGATCCCATCCAGGACGTTTCAAAACAACAAGTTGCTTTCCTCGAGTGTATCAGTAGAGAGATCTTACGACTAGGAGTCGAACAGGTGTTCGCCCTCACGGTGCTCGGGACTAATTTCTTTGAGGAATTCGTCGAGTTTGAAGTGCCACAGCTTCAGGCAACAATTGCGCTCCGACCCTCGATCTGGCTGCCGCAGTACAAGAAAACCATCCAGACACAATGGATCCCTACGTATGACTCGAGTTCTACTGGCAAGGGCGGCCACTGCGTAAATCAAGCAGGCACGCATACCGCAGTAGGGTATGAGGGTCCGCTACAGGACTTATCAAACATCCATATTGCTGGAACAACACTTGCACCAGGAACGGAGGCCTTCGAGATTCTTCGTAATGCCATGCAGGCAATTGCGGTGACTAGCGCTGGCTGATGAAGCAGGACGTTACACCGTTGCAGATTTCATCCTATTTCTCTTTTTCCTGCTCTTGATCTTTTTTACCTTCTCTCTTACTATGTTGAAGCTTGGCCAGATAACTATTGTCTATCGGTTCCATGACTAATTTGTATACCATTAAGCTTGTCGTACAACTACCCTACTCTTACGCGGTGCCTGTTGGTCACTCTGAGTAGAACGTCCTGGGTCGATACTTGCCTGCTATTATGCCCTGAATGTCAAGAGTTCCTCACAACCGTACCGTTGTTATGCCAAGCCTTACTGCGGGCTCGACTCCTATTTATTATCTTGCAATCCCCAAGGATACGCCCCGGTGGGCCCCGTTAAGCGCCTTCCAGAGCGATGTAGGCAAGGACCGCGATAAACCCGCTGGAAGACAACTTGTATACGACTATATTTCCCCCACTTACTTCCATGTCTGACGTACAATCCACAGTAATGCAATGGCTGACTGAGGCGACTTGAACGTCCAAGCGGTGTTAATTGTGCCATCTGCATTGCAGTCAAGGGCCAAAGAGGTAAAATCGATGGGGGAACAGGTTTTAGGCAGCGATTTAGTTGTTTTGAGATCCAAAGCCGCCGTGATGGACAGCTTTGCATGGTTCCGGAGTCACCTCTTGGTGCATATGTGATACTCTATAGATACTCGAGGCTTGTTGCTTAAAGGCGGGGTTCCGCAAACATACACCTATAAAATTTATCTCTCAAGTGGCCATATAAGCCTTAAGAACGTGTATCCTCCGCCCCGTCTATGAACTGGCAACATTTCATCACGTATCGGTCTGCTGGACTTTGTGTTTAGCTGCGTACAGCCTATCGGGGTTCCGATATTAATGACACGACGGAAGGAGTGACACAGGCTGCTCTATCGTCAAATATAACTCCCACACGACAGGAAGGAGCGATCTGCACTCCGTCGTTTGCTCTTGCCTGATCGGTACATATTATACAGGGGCACCAAGTAACCGAGGAAGGAGCGATGGACATATCTTTCTCGTCTTCAAATGCTACCGGGTCGTGGAGCCTGCTGTGTTTCACTATAATCACTTAATGTGATGCGGCCGACATCGGTAGCAAGACACATGTAGTTCGTATTCCGCGACAACAGTTACTCTTGTCACTGACTGGAAAATGTGCACTTGAGCTATCGAATAATCCTGGCCCGGTAGGGTCCGATCCCATTGCTCGGACTCGGGAAATTCATGACCGATAAACCGATAACACCGTCGGAAAATCGAGCTCTGCTCCGCTCTCGCAGCGTATCCAACTGACCGTGGAATTTCCGCGGAGGACTCCTTCGCCATGTTCTCGCTGGTGGTGACTCAATTTGGGTGGATTATACCATTCGTCCCTGACCCAGGCATGTGAATAGGGATACTCCGGTGCCGGCATCTGATAAGATAAGATCGATCTGATATCCCGCAAAAACCCATTCCTCCATCATCCATTCTCTCTCCTTGTTTGATACATTTTCTATCTTCACCTCTTGTTAGTAAACAGCGAAGACCAGTCAAAATGGCCTGGGACAAACTCACCCTCGTAACCAAAACCCTCCCCTGGTTCCTCCCCTACCTCCTCCGCGCCAGCATCCACCGCATCACCGCCCTATTCCACAAATACAGCTACAAGCCGACCGAAAACGCCAAACACGTCGTCGTGGTCGGCGGCTCCTTCGCAGGCCTCCAGCTCGTGCGCCATTTAACCGAGTCCCTACCAACGGGGTACAAAGTCGTCTGGATCGAGAAGAACTCGCATCTAAACTTTGTGTTTGCCTTCCCGCGCTTCTCGGTTGTGTCTGGATACGAGGAGCGCGCGTTTATCCCTTATGAGGGTGTAGAAAATACTGCGCCGAAGGGCATTCTCACGCGTATTCAGGATAGAGTTGTGGAGGTTTGCGATGGGTGCGTGAAGCTCGCGAGTGGGGACAGCGTGGAGTATGCATACCTGGCTATTGCGACTGGTGCGACGCGCGCGCTTCCGGGTCAGGTTGTTGCTACTGAGCGTGTGGATGGAGCTGAGGAGTTAAGGGGGGTTCAGAGTGTTATCAAGGAGAGTCGGAGGATTGCTGTTGTTGGCGCCGGTGCGGTGGGCGTGGAACTGGCGGCGGATATCAAGGATGTTTTCCCCGATAAGGAGGTTACCCTTGTTCATTCGCGAGACGGCGTTTTGAATCGGTTTGGGAAGAGGTTGCAGGAGTACACTCTCTCTACATTAAGGGAGGTTCTTAATGTCCGAGTGCTGCTTAACGAGCGGCCGAAGATACCAAGGGGAGAGGCACTGGTCAAGGCAGCGACCCTGCAGTTTTCAGATGGTCGTGAAGAAGAGTTCGATCTTATAGTATGTTCAATCCCTACTATACCTCCCCTCCAGGTTCCCAATCTAACGCACAACAGATCCGCTGCACGGGCCAAATCCCCAACTCATCCATGCTCGCCCCTCTATACCCAACCGCCATTTCCCCATCCACATCCCAAATCCTGGTAAAGCCGACCTTCCAAATCGATACCTCACCCTCAGACTCTATTCAAATGTCCACTTCCGACCCCCGAATCTTCGCCTTCGGCGACGTAGCTGCGCATCCAGGTCCTCTGATGGCGCGCGCGGGATTCATCCAGTCCGAAACAGTGGCGGTGAATATACTCTCCCTAGTCAAGGGGCAGGAAGCGAAGGCCGTTTACACGCCGAATATGTTTGTTGAGGGGTCGATCAAGTTGACACTTGGGAAGAAGAGAAGTGTCATTTATTCGAGTGATGTGGATGGAACGGAGGTGTTGATTGAGATGGGGGGTGCGCCGGAGGATATGGATGTTGGGAGGGCGTGGAGTCAGTTTGGGGGGGTTAAGGAGGGGAAGGAAAAGGGGAAGGTCAAGGGGAATTAAGTTAGAAAAGTTATTTTATTTTGATTGTTATGCCTAGAAATCGTGTCATTGCTATTCTTAACGGACGTGAAAATGAAGATGCTGGAATGTCTATGACCCAGATACAAAAGATCTAAAGTTACTACTGCTCTCTCTTCTCCCTCGCGATTTGAGCTGCCAGAACCTTGTCTAGCGGAGGAGGACAATCCAGTCTCTCCATGAATACCTCTACCATCCGGACTCCCTTACCGTTGAGCATCCGCTCATCTGTCAGAGCCTGTTCGAGATCACCCCACGTCCGGACTTGCCAGGTGTGAGCAGCGTACTCGCCCTCTGTGGGAGCGCCGAAGAACTCGGGCCCCTTGAGATACCTCCAGGGCGTAATGTCGTTATACTTCGCCTCGCGTCCGTGAATGCATCGCTCGATTGTATATCCATCGTTGTTGATGAGGAAGATGATGACATTGAGCTTTCGGTGGATAATCGTCGCCAGTTCCTGAGCTGTGAGCTGGAAGCTTCCATCACCGATAAAGAGAATCGAGCGGGCGTCGCGAAGGTCATGATACTCGGAGCGAGCGATGAGGTCATGTTGCGCTTGGCTTGCACCTAGCGTGGCCGGCAGCATGTATCCGATCGAAAGCCAAGTGACGGCCTTAAATAAGCGGGTCTTTGGTGGAAGGCGGAAGTCGTTGGAGCCGTATGCTGCCGTGCCGGTTTCCGCGCAGACGATGTCGCCCTCGCGGAAGAAGGATGAGATTCTGTGCCAGAAGCCACCGACCTGTGAGACAAGATCCCCGCTTGACACTTCTGGTGGTGCGACAGATTTAGGATGCACCAGCTTGGGGTTGTGCTTGGCAACTTTGTCCATTTCCAGGTGGCCGATCAGCTGGGGGAGGAAGCAGTTGGCCGGCAGATCGCGGATGATCTCACTACCGATCTGCACAGATGTAGCGTGGATTGAGATGGTGATGTCTTCCCTAGGGACAGTCTGATAGAGGAAGCTGTTTGTGTTGCTAAAGTGCGGGCCGAAGCACAAGACAAGGTCGCTTGACTCGAAAAGCTCCCTGTGCTGAGGTGTGAAAACACCGTAGACGTTTGGTATATCCTCATCGATCAGGCTTTTCCCGAATCCTGACGTGAAAGTCGGCCACTCCGTCGCTCTGACAATGTGGTCGACCTCGTCCACAATTCTAGCATACCGAATCTCTCCATCCACCAGTATTACGGGTTTCTTCGCGCTGTAGATGCGGTCGAGGATCGTGTTCAACGCCTTTTCTTCGATCTTTGGCTGGCGGGAGGGGAGAGGAAGGGAGAGTTTCGATTCAAGAGCCAGCTTCGGGACCCGCAGAGAGACCATGTCCAGGGGAATGGCGATGCGGACAGGCCGGCTGTGGAGGAGGCATTGCTGCAGCACTCGATCGATTTCGGCGGGAGCGGAGCGATGGTCTGTCAAGAGGGCCTGGGCGACAGTGATATGCTCTTGCATGCGATCGAAGCGCTGGTATTCGCCATCGTTGAAGGTGTGGTGGATGAGGGCGCGCGACTCCTGCGACTGGCGGACAGGGGTGCCGACAATGTGCACGACGGGGGCGCGTTCGGCGTAGGCACCAGCGATCGCGTTCACAGCGGACAATTCACCGACTCCGAAGGTAGTGACGAGGGCTCCGATACCTAGAGGAAGGTAAAATTAGAATGCGATCGTGGAGAGGCAGAATAGACAGCTGGTTACCCTTGATCCTGGAGTATCCATCGGCCGCGTACCCCGCATTCAGTTCGTTGCCGGTGCCCACCCAGCGCAGACGCGACGGCGCGACATAGTCCAGCAGCTGCAGGTTATAATCACCGGGGAGGCCGAAAATGGAGTCGACGCCGAGCTGGTGCAGGCGATTGAAGAGGTATTCGGCGAGCGTGGTGGTGTTGGTCTCCATGGTGAAGAAGATGTCGAGAGTTAAAGGGATGAGGGGCTGCGGCTGCTTATATATAACTCCGCACCAGCCGGCAATAGCCGACGCCCTACAGCGACAATGTAACCACACCCTATACGCGATATACGAAGTATTTCAAGTCGTGATGGCCACCAGGATGACTCGTTGAGCAACAAAGGGCTTTAGCAATTATGATCCTACATCACCTACTGCAGCGTCGATGCTCAATCACAACCAAACTGCATGTTGCTCAGCCCAGCGTCGTTAAGGAGCATACCTTGTCTGCGTCAACACAAATATCATGGCCAAACTAACGATACTTTCGTTGGTTAATCCGTCGCTCAAGGATAATATGCCTTGTACAGCTGCATTGCCCCCACGATAGACTGAATGAGGCCGAAAAGAAGGGTCAAGACAATGGCTACCCAGAGCGTATACCACTGCGTTCCCTCGCGCCGGTCGTTCCACCACTGGGAAAGAGTTGATGGGCGCGACTCGTCGAATTCCTCTTTCAGCATCACCAGCCGGTCGTGCCAGTAACGATATGTATCAATACGTCTCTGAGCCGAGCCGCAGTTGAGCACACCGTGGTCAAGATCGTCGACCTGGTCTTGTTTATTGTACCACTTCTTGCAGGCCCGGTCTCCTTGTGGAAAAAGAAGAGCAAGCGTCGCTAGAGTCTCGTCGATGAAATGCGTGGGAAAGAATGATGATCTGGGAGGGATACTCAGCTTAGGCTGCAGGACGAGAAAGGAGCCGCTTACTGTTGTTGACTTCTCAGGAACGACGCGTGGTGGAAGATCATGATAGTTCTATCTGCATCTCGCAGACGGAGGTGGTCTGCCAGGTTCGTAGTCAGTTCGATGTTGAAGCCCGCAATCCGAACCATGCTGGAAACGTTGAAATCCCTACCCAGCTTCAGCCCGCTGTGACTGAGCTTGCGCTGAACAGGGAATGTCTGCTGCATGAACTCCTGGATTGGGCCGCACAGCCAAACCAGCTTTCGTCGGCCAGAGAAGGCATTGGGGAACTCGCCGACATCTAACATGAAGACAAGTCGGACAGCAAGGTCTATGGAGGCATCCAGCGCATCGTCCAACGTCCCGTCAGCGGCGTCGTATTTTCCAATAAGTCGTTCCTTAATATCGGAGCGACTGGCATTGCCCAGGATATGAGTCGTGATTTCAACAAGGTCCTGGTGCTGTTTTAGAGGTAACCGCATTTTGTGGGACTGGAAGACTATCCGGCATTGCTCAGCATAGTACTGGAAGTATAGCCGAAGGTACTCGACTGGTACATGCCCAGGGGTCCAGAATCGATTTGCGATTTCAGTCTGCGTCGTTAGTGGCACAGGATACTCCAGAATGGAACGGTCGAGAGACATGCTGGTGGTCATGAGCAGGTGGCACTGCCGAACTACGACGAAGATGGGATTGCGGCACAATATGTTCGACCTGGGCTCGTGTTAGTGATCATCTTATTGGACGGATGCACAGCCCTGGAAGTGCGGGCTTGAGCGCCTGAATTTGCCCAAAGCTGACGAGGCTGGCTGGTGGTTTTTCTTATCAGGGGGCTCGACCCCGGCTGGGATGAACCCATACAATCCTACTATCTGAGTTTATGATCCAGTCAACCACCCGAAGAAAGTCAAACACCTATAGCCTCACTTCATAATCGAAATGAGCTTACGAAACCCGCTATCACTACTTCAGAGGCCGAAGCCGGTCTGGGAGAATCCAGAACTATCCATTGGCCCCTTTCGTGGAGTGGTGAAAGGGGGGTTGAAATACTGGGACGCCCAGGGACCTGCCCAAGAAGCCTACGATCAAATGTGCACAGACATTCAACAAGTGCTTAATAGCAGCTGTGGCCCAGTCCGGTGCTCCAGTGCGGTCGTCTACGATATTTACATGGTCGGCCGTGACGCTTCGACGGCAGTCCCTCACATAATGTTCTCCTGCAAACAGCCAAAATCACGGAAGCAAGCAGTGGCTGCCGTACGGGAGTCGGGTATTGTGCAGCGGTGGCCGGGAATAGAACTTGGCCACTGGGAGTATCCCCCCCATATCTTAAACTTGCGCCTTCTGGCGTCGTCGGGCGGGCAGGGATATCTCGATTTGGACGACTCGGCTTCATATTACTTCCTTCGACCAATACCTGATCCTGACAAGCCGACGGAAACACTGGCTATAGAGTTCCTACTTTCCAGATCGGAGGATAGTCGCCAGGCGACTATTGGGAGCGTGACGGAATACAATGGCAGACTGTTTTACGTCGTTCCACAGCATATCTTCTCGGCACCAGAGAGCACTCCGGATCTAGCGGAATGGGATCCTGAACTGGAGAATGACAGCGACTGCGAGTTTGGAGCGTTCGCAGGAGACGACCAGATCAGCGCCGAAGAAGCAGAATTCACAAGTCAATACAGCATAAGCCCTCCATCGAGTGAGGTGGACTCAGACTCAGAGTCCTATGATGAAGATGTCTTTTCCGAGGGAGAAGTAGATGGCTGGTCACTACCAGGACCAGACGAGAGCCAAACCGCTACTAAAAACGATGATGAATACGACGAAACACTTCTCCCGCTCCCTCTGCCCAAGGGTGAGCCTGTCAAGCGACTGGCCAAAGACCCAAATGTATCATCGCAGGACCTGGATTACGCTTTACTCGAAGTTGATGCTGATGACGAGCTAGGAGCAGGGCTGCCTCTCCTTTCAAAAGCGAACGTCAGCAAGGTCAGTCCAGGGGGTGCTGCTGTTATAACCGTCACCGGCGCGGGTCACATCCTCCATGGCAGACTTTCGGGGAGAGTATCATACGTTCGCAGTCCAAACGCCGCGACATTCCGGAAAGCATGGGTGGTGGACCTAAATGGCCCCTTACATCAAGGAGACTGTGGATCCATTGTCCGCGACCGTGAAACGGGGGATATCTATGGGCATATCTTCCTGGGGAGTGTTCAGTCGCGAGTGGCCTATGTCATGCCGGCTGCCACTATTCTCCGCGATGCCAGGACAACGCTTGAAAGAATGGACCAGGGCATCATAGTCTACATCTCATTACTGATACAAGTAGTTTGTGCACGCATTTGGGCGTCAATAGTACAACTCCTACCCCCAACCCCAGCCGCCGCGACGTTAAGAGTGGCTTGATATGCACACTCGATGCTACTGAGTTAGCAGAAGGAGCGACGCTTGATGAATTCCATTCGACACCCACATTACAGGTGGACAACACGAGCTTGATGCCTACTGCCTGCCAGAAAACCTTTATATTTTCCATCAAACGTAGTCGACAGGCTCAGAAAGGTTAGTTTCAATGCATCGATACTAGTCAATATATGGACGGTGTCCTGCACCTAGATACGGCTTCTGGAGAGCTCAAGGGGCTGTGCCATGAAATAGAAGGAGTTGATCATATGAACGAACTTGCCTGCGGTGACCAGTTACCCTAATGTAGATTGCTAGTAAGTTATCTCGCGGCGTCGGGGACAACGAGTTGGCGTTATGGCAAAACGCGAGTCAATTTCTCACCTTTGAAACTCAAGGGCATATTATATTCAGTGTTCAATCGTTGGATCTAAGTTCTGTTGAGTAGAGAGCTAAGATAAGAAAATGTGTTATGTTCCGCCGAATATGGATCCCCCATTCGGTGGATGCCGTCCTCAGGGCGTGAATTCCTAATCAGCGGTTGAACGGGCGACTAGGTAACTACTGAAGTATTGAAGTTAATGCACTGGGGCATAAAGATGGGTTCTGATCATTGAAACACAAGAGTTTTGGTTCCTCCCTGATTGTCATCCCTTGGTCCCAGTCGAGGCAATGGTACGAGTACGAGTATACGAACCCGAGCACCCGAAAGCGAGGACAATGCGACCCAATGAGCTGAACCAGACCTGATGATCGACATGAAACGGGCAGGATAGATAAATTATTCAGGTCTCAGGTCAATTTCACACAGGGGAATGCGTAATAGATGTCTTTTCATTGGGCTTTCATGTAGATATCATTCTGCCTGGACGATGGGTATATAAAGGCCGGCTTGTTCACGGAATAGCTGCCGTTGAGCACAATTCCTTGAGTATTCCAGTCAAAATGCAATTCTCCCTTCAATCCGTCCTCGCCCTGGCCGGCCTTGTGTCTGCCAGTCCCCGGTTGCCTGAGTCCCATCCCTGGGTACCTGCCGGACCAGGAGACTGTACGTTCTTCCCTACCAGCATTGGACGGTGTCTCTGCCCATGTATACGGTTAACTAACGATGGATTGCTAGATCGTGGACCATGCCCGATGATGAACACCCTCGCGAACCACAACTTCCTTCCTCATGATGGCAGGAACCTTACTAGGCCGACCGTTGTGGATGCCCTAACCAGTGCGTTGAATTTTGACGCTGGTCTCGCCAATACAATGTTCGACATGGCCATTATTGCGAATCCTGTTGAGAATTCAACTTACTTCACGCTGTACTATCCCATCTCAACATTTCCAACCGTCATGAGTGGGGAGAGGCGCTGACCTTGAACAGGGACCATCTAAACAGACACAATGTCTTAGAGCACGATGCCAGCCTCAGGTACTCCCACCTCTCAGTACAACTGGTAGAATCAAAGCTAATTGAATGAAACAGTCGTGCAGACAGCTACTTCGGCTCGAACCACATCTTCAACGCAACAGTCTTCGCTGAATCCCGCGCCTTCTGGACAAACTCCACATTGACTGCTGACATGCTCGCGAATAGCAAGATTGCCCGTCAGATCGTGTCCAAGGCTTTCAATCCTACGTACAGATTCACCGAGACCACAGAGCAGTTTAGTCTTGGCGAGATTGCAGCTCCGATTATTGTCTTTGGGGACATGGATGCTGGGACCGTGGAGAGGAACCTTGTGGAGTATTTCTTTTGTAAGTACCAATTTTTCTTCCAAATATAGAAAGGTTCAGCTAACATAGTCCAGTTAACGAGCGCCTTCCTACAGAGCTAGGATGGAGTGCGAAGAAAGACCCCGTTACCCTGGAGGACGTGATGGGCGTCTCAGTGATGATCAACAAGGCTGCCAGTTTGATAACGGGTTCTAACTCGAGCACTGCTGCGCATAAGAGAAGGGGAGATCTTCATGCTGGGTTGGGATTTTAGCAAATCTGTATTTAAACCTAGATTTTGTGGTGCTAGTGATGGTCTATTAAAGAATGCTTATTGCCTACAGAATATCATGACTGCTCTGAGACTACAGTGTAAGAAGTAGGGAATCCCCACCGTAACTGCAAGGATTTGATAATGACCAACCTACTCCAACACCCCCGCTAATATGACGATAACTGGGGAAGTAGGAGATCACTGCTCCATATCGAAGGCCCCACCAGAATCCATGCGGAGAAGCTGCCGGGGGATTTCCCTCCCTTCACGACCGAGGGAGTCCTCCTCTGTGTGGGGATGGCCAGGTTCTTACCGACATTTCCGGAGAAAGCACGTATAAAGGACACTTCTTTCATGCATCAATCTACCTATTAGCTACCGATATCCACCATGGCACCTAGAAACAGTACCGGTGCATTGGCACCTACGCCTCTCCTGAGCGATGACTTGCACAGCGGTATTCCGAAGCGCATGGAGGAGGACGCGAGGGTTGCAAAGGAGCGATTGTATTCGAACAAGACGATGCCTGAGAGTATTCCTCGCCAGCGCGAAGTCCCGAGATTACCCCCGAACACATCGAGAGAGGAGTTCAATCAGGCCATGACTGAACTTCGGCAACAGCTTGGGGCTGCGAACGTGGAGATTAATGATAAACCATTGGTCGATGGGTGGTATATGGAGCATCCGTGAGTGACTGTTTTAGCCCCAGAGAATAAGCTAACCGGTCAGAAACACGCATGATGCCTTCCATATCGCTCAACAAGAGGAGATGGTATGCAGCGCAGTCGTGTATCCATCCACAACAGAGGAAGTCCAGGCTGTGGTACGTTGGGCAAACAAGCATGTTATTCCCATCTATCCAATCTCAATGGGCAGGAATATCGGGTATGGAGGCGCAGCACCGCGAGTCCCTGGGTCTGTCGTGGTTGATCTTGGGAAACGGATGAACAAGATTCTTAATATCGACGGGGGCAACGCATCGTGCATGGTCGAGCCGGGGGTTTCGTACTATAAACTCTATGAAGAAGTGCAGAAGACCGGGTATCCTCTATGGATTGACTGTCCAGACCTCGGGGGAGGGAGTGTCATGGGCAATGCATTGGATCGGGGAGTCGGGTGAGTTCAGCCATTTGATACACACCTGCATAGCTAACCTGCTGCTTGAAAGATACACGCCATATGGAGACCACTTCTCCCAGCACTGCGGAATGGAGATCGTGCTACCCACCGGAGAACTGCTACGAACAGGCATGGGCGCACTCCCCGGTAAAGACGGCGCAGACAATCCCACCTGGGGCTCATTCCAACCCGCATACGGGCCCTACTCGGATGGAATATTCAGCCAGAGCAACTTCGGCATCGTCACCAAGATGGGCTTCTGGCTGATGCCCGCCACAAACAGCTTCTCGTACATGGTCACCTTCCCACACGACGACGACTTCGAGCAGATCATCGAAGTGATCCGTCCACTGGCCCAGAGAGGCGTATTCGGAAATATACCCCAGCTGCGCCACGTTATCCAAGAACTAGCAGTCACAGGGAAACCCAAGAGCGCGTGGTACAACGGGCCCGGAAGAGTCCCCCGAGACATCCTCGCAGACAGGGCAAGAACGCAACCATGCGGCGACGTGTCGTGGGTATTCTACGGCACGCAATACGGCAGCGAAGACGCCATAAAATCCCAAATGGATATAATCCGTGTAGCGTTCGGAACAGTCGCTGGAAGTAAATTCCTATACACCAAAGACCTCCCAGAATCGCACTACCTGCACTCCCGCGCAAAAGTGTGCGAGGGCATCCCCGTCCTCCGCGAAGTCGACTGGCTAAACTGGGTCCCAAACGCAGCGCACCTATTCTTCTCGCCTATTGTGCCGACAAGGGGCAAAGACGCGCGGATCGTGCATGGCATCATCGACGGGCTGCATAGGAAATGGGGCTTCGATAATTTTCCCACGCTTGCGATTGCGGGTCGGGAAAGTCACTATATCGCCAATATAGTGTACGACCGCGGGGATCTCGACCAGAAGCGACGCGCGACGGGGCTGATGCGCGAGCTTATTGAGACGTGCGCTAAAGAGGGATATGGCGAGTATCGGACGCATTTGCTGTTTGCGGACCAGGTGGCGGCTACGTATGGCTGGAATAATCAGGCCTTGAGGAGGTTCAATGAGACGATTAAGGATGCACTGGATCCGAAGGGGATTCTGGCGCCTGGCAGGAATGGCATCTGGCCCAGGGCTTATAGGGGGATGGGCTGGGAGATTACGCCGGAGAGAGATATCCAGGGGGATATCGTGCCCAAGGCCAAACTTTGATTCACCAGATAGAGAATACAAGTTTCTATCCCGCCAATTCCATATTTCTTGGTCCAGTAATGTAAGAGACCCGATGTGATACACCGAGGGGAGGCCCGGAAATACTCCAGAGGAGAGGCACCCCACATTGGAGATCTCACTGAATCATGGGCACTTGAATCAGGTCAGCGAGCCTGTAATATAATACCTGCCCTTTAGTCGGGATTACAGATCCTTCTGGCACTATCCTAGGTCACAACTGCATTAAACAAGCCCGAAATATAAGACCATTTCACCGACGGAGACCGTAGTCAGGGACAAGACAAATAGAATAATGAAAGGTCTGTTGAGCCCTCACCGTCGTCCTACACAACTTATAATACCATGCAGTGATCATAGTCGGAGCCGGACTAGGCGGCTGCGCGGCCGCAATGGCCATGCAGCACCAAGGCTTCCAGGTCGAAATATTCGAAAAAGTCCACGAGTTCTTGCGTCTCGGGGACTCCTTAGGTCTCGGTGAGAACGCACTCAGACTGCTAGAGCGATGGGGTCTGCACGATGAACTGGTCGCGCTGGGCAATAAGTCTGAGTTCCTCCAGATTCGACACTGGAAGACTGGCGAGATTATGGCCCAGCAGCCGGCTATGGATATGGCTGGATATATCGGGCATCGAGGGGACTACCATCGGGCGTTTCTGGACAGGGTTGCGGATTTGGGAATTCCACTGCATATGGGCTGTACTGTAAGTTCCACCGAGCCTTTATTCACGTTTAGCTGATATATCTCTAGGTTGTATCATACGACGAGACGAAACCGTCGCTTACCCTTGCCAATGGCGAGGAGCACCAAGCCGATGTGATCATCGCTGCTGATGGTATACCATCCTATCCGTTAACTGGCCATACTAACACCTGCAGGAATCAAATCCCTGGCCCGCGAGCTCGTGCTCGGCTTCGAAGACAAACCCAAATCCTCCGGATACGCCTGCTACCGTGCCTATTTCAAAGGCACATTCCTAAAAGAAGACGCCCTGTGCCGGGAATTCGTCGAAAAGGAATGCATCAACATCTGGATCGGGCACGACGTGCACCTCGTCCAGAATACACTGCGCGACGGGGACGAATTCAACTGGATCCTGACACACAAGGACACAGAAGACATCACAGAGTCCTGGTTCCAGCCGGGGAATATGGACGATGTGCGCGACGAGATCCGGGACCTAGATCCGCGCATTGCCGCGGCTGTACATAAGACGAAAGAGTGTTTGGATTGGAAGATCTGTTACCGGGATCCGATTCCATCGTGGGTTAGTAGGAGCCATAAGATTGCTCTTCTTGGGGACTCATGTCATCCGCACCTGCCGACGAGTGCACAGGGTGCATCGCAAGCGACGGAGAGTGCGGCCGTGTTGGCGCCGTGTTTGAAGCTGGCTGGGAAGGGGAATGTTCCTCTTGCAGTGGGTTTATCCGGTTCATCTGGTTGACATTTCTAACATACATTTAGACGCGGGTGTATGAGAAGTTGCGCTTTGATCGAGTGCGTAAGTGCCAGCGAAACGGCGAGGATATACGCGACAGGTGGCACAGCGCATTGAAGAAACTCGAAGCTGGCGAGAGCCTGAACCCGGAAGATGTGATGATGAGGGTAATGCTGCCATTCAAAAATATTGCACGTTGTAACTAACGAATATAACAGAATCGTTGGTTATATCCTTTCGATGCGGAGGCTGACACGCTGGAAAGGTGGAACGAAGTCGCGACAGTTGTTGAAAAGGAACTGAGAGATGGAAAAATCACTCCTTTGTTCAATAGAACTGCTAATGGATCGGCTTGATTGGGAGGCTACTATTGTTCTCGACGTTCTGATATTGCGCGATGGATAGATATGTACATAGAAGCGTATTGCCCGACCTTGATACAATTGCAATAACTACAGTCCATCCGCAAGCATCGCATTGATTAATTCAACATGACGATCAGCATTTGTCTCGCTCCATTCATCATTGTAATTTAGCCCGTACGGCCAGATATGCCCCCCACCACAGTTAATGACCGCGTCGGCCCCGTCCCACGACTGCAGCAGCGGAGTTGCGGTAGGCCAGTCATTAGCAGCGCAGTGCTCGTCAAAGGCAGCTGTCTGTCCAATGCCAAGGGTATGCGAAATCTCGTGCAAAGCCGTGCGCTCGTTCAGATAGTTGCGGTCGGTACCGAATCGAATCGTGCCGTCGTAGCTTGCTTCGGCGGTTGGGACGCCGGGGACGTAGTACACGTTGATTGACTTGCTGGCGTCTCCGAGGCTGGCGTGTCGGGCCACTGCAGCCTCCATTGCGGCCTCAATCAATCCGTATGCGTCGGCTTCATCGTCAGTGGGACTCGATGACTTTTCAAGGGTCCAAGTTAGGGCTGCCGATGCGGTGGACGCGGTCGCCAGCGCAACTGTGATTATCGACAGGCGCATGGTGGTTAACATGAGATCGTGCAGGGGTTCGTTGGTACAGCTGAATTTAAATTGTTGTCTAGTGAAAGCTGGGCTGGAATGGCCATGATATATGCAGCCGTGAAGAATAACGGGGTAGACCCCTTAATGGCCTGTATCAGATAAACAAGCTGTCTGCATCTAGCCCATATCCACAAATCAACACACGCGCTGTATTTAGTTTCATCCGTCAGTGGTGCCCAGACCCTCAGTCCTAAACAGCTAGGGCTCCCAAGACGGCTGTCCAAGACGGAGGTCACAGATTGAGTCCGTCGCTGATCGACTCACTGCAGCTGTTAATTCCTGAATTTAACCGAGTGCAGATCTCCTTGCACCATAGTTCTTCAAATAACAGACACATAAACCACACGCTTGTACGAAACATACCAGGAGAATGAGTACTCCGTCTCCCTGCAGTACCTTACGCAGCCGGTTGCCTACTTATCATTTGCGACCAGATACTCGGCAGTATACATTTCCCTACAGATATGTAAAAAGAAACATTGCTCACAATTGTCCTTACTCCATTTATTTATACAAATGGCATTTGAAGGTTCCAGGACAACTGGAATGAAATTACAACAAGAAGGCGCCGAGTACATCTCGATGGATATGCTGACAACAGAAGGTATGTTGACGACTGGTCGCGAACAGGCTGGTTCGTTCCTACTGTTTGACATGAGTGTTAACCCTGTGTTTTGGAACAGCTCTGCCTCATGGACCGGGGTAGCCACCGCAGAAGGTCCCAGGCAGGTCTGACATCGTAAGCCCAGTATTGAATACGCATAGGTCTAATGCACCATCGGGGTCGGACATCGACGACGAATCGTAAATGTCCCGAGGCTGCAAGCTCGGACAATTCACTAGGCTGCACTATTCCCAGATCTGGATATCAGCGGCCTGCAGGAGGGAGCGCCCACCTTGCTAGAATCGATATTGCTGTCTTTGTGGCTTCAATAGTGCTCCCACAGGCCGGAATGGAATGGATGTCTCGGTGCTCAATCAAGGGATTCAGATGCGCTCGTACTCGGGCGCCATCTCGAGCTACCAACAGAAGACATCCAATTTGATTTGACGAACTGAGTGTGATAGACGGACATTCGGTCTGTATATCTCGTACTCGATATGAATGCTTTGACCTCTAGGGAGGTTAAGTCTCATATAAAATGTGCGAGGCGAAACGTGCGATGTCTCCATGCAGCTGCGTTAATTTTGATATTGCTGTTACTGCTTGTTTTCTCCAGTCGGAAGAATGACCAACTCAAACGGTATCCAGAAGGTAAGATTGAATCAGATTCAGTCGCATCGTGCTAACCGTGAGATCAGGCACTACACGTAAAAGATGACAGCTCTGTGTGGGAATCTCTATCCAGATGGCTTCCCTCTCGAGACAACGACAGCAATTACTGGTGGAATGTTACAGGCCCCCATATGGCAGCGATGCTCGAAGAGGCCGGATACTCAAAGGAAAGGCAATATGAGAACTTGTTGATCCACTACCACTGGACGGTAGGTGCCACGCCCGCCAGCAGAGCCTGTGTATTAACCCCCAATCCAGGTGCCTTACATGGGCCCAGCACCCGATGCAGATCGGAACGTGCCGTGGAAATGCCTGATAACTCAACACGGACTTCCATTGATATACTCGTGGAAATGGAACGGGCCGAGCGCAAACAGCAGACCAGATATCCGGATTGGATTCGAGCCCACTGGAGAGTCCAGTGGCACAGCATTGGATCCCATCAACCAGCGGCGCACGAGGGAGCTGCTGCACTCCTTCTCGCGCCGCATCTCCATGGACATGGCCTGGACGAATCATTTCCTGTCCACGTTCTACGATCCTGAAACAAAGTACTGGCAGGCGAAGGAGGCGGGTGTCCCACTCGCTACTACCACGATGCTCGGGTACGATTATCTGCATGATGGGATGACCCTGAAGACCTATTTCTTCCCCCGGCTCGCTGGACAGAGACTACTCCCAATGGACCGCTGGGACGCTTCTCTGAGACATATACTCTCCGAAGCGGACAGCAAGGCAGGCACAAAGGCTCTGGACACTCTGCAGGACTTTCTCCAGACCAGCACCGAAGGCCAAGTCCTGGTCCCAACAGGGCTAGCCATAGACAACGGCACCAGCTCTCCCACGGGGTCCCAATCGTCCAGATTGAAATTCTACTTCCGATCCCCACACACGACTTTTGCTTCGGTTCGCGAGATAATGACCCTGGGCGGGCGCATCACAGGACTAGACACCCAGCTGCAGAGTTTGCATAAACTCCTCGAAGACGTCACTGGTCTGCCATCCGATTTCCCCGACGATGCAGACGCACCTGTTCATCATGGGTTCGGGACGGGATCCTCACCCCTGGGCCGCGCAGCTTACTATCTGTACTACTTTGACATTGCACCTGGTGCCGAGCTCCCAGATATCAAGTTCTACACCCCGCTCACGCACTATGGGCAGGATGATCTCAAATCAGCCCAGGGCGTGACCCGGTGGATGGAGGCGCACGGGCGTGGGTCGTACTGCGCAAACTACCTCCGCGTGCTGGAGAAGGTGGCTGGAGAGAAGACGTTGGAGACAGGAAATGGGCTGCAGTCTTATTTGAGTTGTTTGTTCAAGCAGAATGGGGAGTTGGATATTACCAGCTACTTCCTCACAGAGAGATGTTAACCAGCTAGAGGTTTCTCAGTCCTTACCTGGCTCAACCCGGATATGCGGCGTCAACTAGGGCTACTCAACTAGTCGCGTGGGCTTCAAATCAGCAATGCGAACTACCATTTCATCGTACCTCTGGATTAGGTATATCGCGTAGGATTGTTGACCTGGGCAATTATTAATAACCGAGTATCAGCATGTAGGGTTTTGGTGGACGAAGCCTGCTTATCTGCCTCAGCTCGATTCCTGCGATTAGAAACGACGTGATTCGATTAGTTCCATCGCCTAGAATTGAAGATATCATATCGCCAAGTACGGTTAAAGGCCCTATTTGTTGGAACCGACCCGAGTGGCTTGAATGTCTGGCAGTGACTACGTCGAGTAGCTGTCTGCTGCTATACATATACCGTTGCTACAGTGGTATTCGTCGTCTTGGGACTTGTAGCACGCATTATGCGAGTGGTACAGACAGCCCTGTTGGCAACCTCTTCTCAAGCCCCACCCCGTACCTCTGTACAAGTACGTAGTAGAGTAGTAGTAATTCAAAATAGGAGAAAATCATTCCGACCATGCGACTGCCGTTCATCGACTGGAAATACCATTTAAACAAGATATAGCTGGCTTCTGAGACTGCATCAAAATGATACGACCGTGACCTCGCTGAAGTACACGCCGAAGCATGTCCGGCTCCATTTCCACCTTTTGCGTGAGATCGGAGTTCATCTCAGGCGCCCTAGGTACTTGGCATCATGGCTGGACGCAGAGCTGAAACCTTGGATCGCAATTGACCTCGCGTGGATATCGGGCGGCCTGCCCATACGCTGCCCCGTCGGAGGGAATGCATAACATGAGCTGATTGCAGGCTTAGATCGATTGCTAGGCTAGATATGACACGGCCCAAGCCCTCGATCTAGCAACGCGCTATGTGAAAATCCTCACAATGGCGCCAGTCTAATCGTAGATCCCGTATTCCAAGGAGGGCTAAGTGAATATAGTATACGATGGCGCTAGTTCCACTATAAACGAAAACGGGCAACATCCGCGAGGGTAAATTGCGAGCAGGGGAAGATAGGAAAACACGAGAGGTTCTGCTGACGGCTTGCTCTTTATAGAATACGAGTCTGGGTATCGCAATCCTGCCATGCGCCCTGCTACCGCCATCCCTGTGTTCACTGGCTTGCGTTACACGGGTACCAGATGGCCTAACGGGTTTGGCAAGTAGGAATCCCCGCCAGTGCAGGGACAAGATCCAGCTGTGATCGTGGTATACTATGCCAATATGTCAGCTGAAATATAGCTGCGCAGCCAAGATGATGGATCATTCATGCTTGGGTGTGTATAAAAGTGCTCTGACTGCGAGTCAATGACGGGTATTCGAACTTTCACCAACGCACATGACCCTCGAGCTTTAAATGATGAATGCTATGCCGGAAGGGATGCCTTGCCTGATGGTCCGCCGCCGTCGGAACTGGACACCGGAAGAAGACATGATCTTGAAGAGGGAAGTCAGAAGAGGTATTCCATGCCGATCTCTGCAGGCTGTCCCCTAGACGCCATGCTAACCCATCACCTGTAGCACAAGGAACGGTTGACAACATTAGCTGGCATGAGATCGCCGCATTCCTTCCGGGGAGAACGAACAAAGATTGCCGCAAGCGTTGGTACGGCACGGCGGCAAAAGTGAAGAAAGGGGCCTGGACACAGGCTGAAGATGAGCGACTACGTAGAGCTATTGAGAAACATGGTACAAAGTGGTCGGTAGTTGCAGCTATGGTCGCTACGAGGCTGCCAGATCAGTGCTCGAAACGCTGGAGTCAGTCTATCAATCCGGATATCGACCACAGTCCGTGGACGCAGCAAGAGGTACGTCATTCAAGTCGACGCAGTATATTGTTAACACGTCCCAGGATGACCGTTTACTTGAGCAAGTCAACAAGCATGGCCACTACTGGCAGCAGATTGTTTCCCTGTACTTTCCCGGAAGAACCAGTCTGGCTGCAAAAAACAGATACCATATACTGCAACGACGACTGAAGAGCCACCAGACCGGGGTTACAAGAGTCCGTGGGTTGAGCAATACCTCATGGCAGGAGATACTCTGGTCTCATTCTCCTGAGTTTGATAGCAAAGACCAGGACATCTCTTCATCATCGGCCACTCCGCCAGACTTCAACACACTCCCAACTGGCCACGATAGTTCCCCCTTCGTATTCGATGAAAGCTGCCCCAGCTGGCTGACAGCTACTTCTCAACCAGTGCCTTACCCTACACCTGGTGGGCTAGAGGTCGATTCAACAGGCTTTCCTTTCAACTTAGTCGGTATGTGTGGCAGAAACGGTCCCATGAGTTACCAACTAATTCTTTCCAGACCAGGCAGAAGGGTGTGCGTCTTTCGAAACTGACATCCCTCCAACCATGGGCATCGACGATTTCGTATCTCAAGCCTTTTGCCCGGAATCTTCACCCAGCCATGCGCCATCCTTTCCTTCCGTCCTGCTCCCCGATACGAGCCCAGACGAAGCCAAGCCCGACGCCCATCATCGCCGAGTCTGCATCCAAGTAGTCTGTTCAAGTGACAAGGTCGGGGCGATATTTGAGGCGGTGACGAAATTCGCCATATCGGCTGCGATTAAGACGGATGATTAGGATGGTGGTGGGTAAAGGTATTTTACATGTCATTCTAGGGCATCAAATGGCGGGACCTGGTTATCAGCATCCTCAAACATATTTCCGTCGCTTCAGGGTCAAGCCCTGTAGTGCTTTCGAGCTCAATCCTTGTCTAACAATAGACTTGCATCCTAAATACACGAGGGGTATAATCCCCCGATCATTAAAAGCATACTTGGCTACGATGAGCGGTGGTTCCATCGCGTCCCTCTTGTGCGTGATATTCCCCACCCATTCTCATAATTGCCTATCGATGAACGAGGCCTGCCGGTCCGGGCGGGCTACTGCAAGCTGAACCACGCTGAGATAAGACTGCTGCTACTCGAGAGCCTAATCCTTGCCGCATCCTTGCCGCATCCTGGCACAAAAGCCTCTCGGCTCGTGTTGTGCTGACATTCGAACCTTTCAAGGAGGGGAACATCAATCTCGTGTAACCTGCATTGTCTCGGAGAATATTGCAGAAATGGCAACATGTAGCGGAGTGCAGACGGTGGATGTGAGATATGTAGGCTGTCCAGCCTCCACGTTCTGGATCCCACCTCTTGCATGTCGCTGATGCATCGTGCTTGTATGGCCTCGTTGTATCCCTCTTTGGTCCTAATCTGGACTTATCTAAACTGTATGCAGGTATTTTCACACGGACTATTGGGGGGTAAATTCGTTCTGCACATCCCTGCACCCGCGATCCCCTTATCTGGTTGGGCATGGGGTCTCATTGCTGGATATGAATACTGAGGAATAGAAAGCCTATCAGGCAGTAAGATTCGAATCAGCTATATTATTACGTTTTTAGGGTGCAATAATAATACCAGCACTTAACTGGTGATGTCACATTCTGGCCCTCTCTCGACCGCAAAGACCAGCATCTTCTGACAATCTACCAAGGACTAGTGTAAAATGACTGTTCATAATGAGTTTCATTCATTCTAAGACAGTCCACATGCTCATCTGATCAAGTATCGCGCCACACCACCAGATATAGCTGAGTCTAAAAGGTCAACAGACTAGACAGCCACGCTCGAATAGACTTCTTCGAACGAGCCATCTGCATGTTGGATATCCCATGAACCTCGTCGCTGGTCACCTCAACGCCGTTCTTGCTCCATTCCACAGATGGCACCTTTTTCTTTACCAAAAATTGAGAGAAATACCCATCCAACCCGTCCACGTCCTCCGGCCAAATGCTGACACCGACGCTCAGGTCAGGCCGGACAGCAACAACGACACCACGAGCATGATTAACCCCGTACCAATAATGGGCGTCGTCATCAGGAACCCGGTCATCGTACACCACAGTTGCGTGCTCACGGAGACCCTTCAGATCGTCCTCTTTGCCATGCTGTGGGCCCAGCAACGTCTTGGCCTGGTAGGGTAGAGCCTTAGTGACGAGAATAACATTGAAAAGCTCCTTCCCACCAAAGCGGACGAAAAGGCCTTCCGGTCCAAATGTCTTGTTGGAGAATATCGCCAGTCTCTCGCGCACTGGGCCCTGCAGGTCCGAGCCGAAGATTAAAAGATGGAATTTCGACACCCCGGCCATAGTATCGTACAAGTACGCCGTGTATTCTGAGTCAAAGCAGACGCGGGGATTTGGAGCTCTAGCCCCATTGCGAACGGAAATCGGCCGTTGCTGCTCAGGAGTATCGACAGGACAAATAGGTGACTCTATAATAGGCCACTCGATCCCGAGTAGGAAATTCGAGTGTCGTCTGTAGAATACGCCCATGAACTGGCCCTGTGCCCGGATACTTCCATCTAATACTGGCAGGGCTTCGTCGTGCGATTCAAGGTTCTTATTTAGCCCTCTGAGCGCTGCCAAAGGCAGATGCGAATTACAGAGGAAGCGCAAGTATGCACCTGAGCAGCGGATGACACGGTTTGCAGCCATGCGCCGCTCGCTATCGTATGTGGGAAGCAGAACATCCCCACTCGCCTGCTTCTTGAGACAAAGACCTAATTTCCAGCCGAGATTTGCAGCGTCGTAGACAGAGGAGTTGAACCCGAATGCGCCCATCACGCTGTGGACGTGGGCTGCATCGCCTCCGAGATGCACACGCAGATCAGCCGATGAGAAGTGGCGGGCTACTCGCTCGTTGACTTTCCATACTGAGAACCAGCTGATCGGAGAGGCGAATTCGATGGTCCATGGTGCGATGATCTTGCGCAGTTGTTCTAGGGCTTCGTCTGGTGTGATTCCGTGGTCATCGATGCGAGTTTCGCCTACAGCGGATGCATTCTTCCTGGCGTCTCGGGTCTGGCGGAGTCGCCGGGCTGTTTCCTCGTTCACTTGGATGTATATCCTGATTCATTAGATGGGATATAAATATGGGCCTGGAATCCTTACCGGGTATGGCCCTCCTCACGAGGAATGATAATGCTCCCACCATGTGTGCTGGTTAGCATGCTGCAATGCCATTAGTATCAAGTAAGAAAGATCGTAAGAAGACCTACCTCATTCCAAATATATGCGGATAATCCGTCTTAAAGCGACAGTCGATAATAGCCCAGTAAATATCGGTCGCCAGCCCATCAAAGTTCACCTTCATCTGCTCGCGAATACTACTGGCCGCACCATCAGCCCCGATCAGATACTTCGCTCTGACAGCCTCTGCAGCACCGCTGGAAGCAGTCTTCAATGTTGCTTTCACCGGATATGTCGAGTCACCATCTAGCACATCAAACCCGTGAACGATAGTCTCCCTCTCCACGACGATTTGATGGCGGAGTAGGTCGCGGATGTATATCCGTTCCAGCTGGCCCTGTGTTATAACATGGGCGCCCTTGTATCGGGAATCGCTTGTTGGATGGTTGCTGTGGAAGAGCTTTATACCGTTGCTGTACACTGCTGTCGAGTTGATGAGCGGTCCTTCGTCAGTGGCTTCGTGGGCAAGTCCCCAGGCGTGAATGAGCTCCAAGGCCCTCGGGTGGACTGCGTCTGCACGACCAGAGAGACAAGGCGACTTTGCTTTGTCTGTTTGATTCTATTAGTAACTAGCAAGGTTTATATTGAGCTCTGCTTATACCTATGATCCTGAAACTAATACCCTGTCTCGCCAGAATCATTCCTAGTTGCAGGCCAAATGGACCAGCTGGTTCGATTAGCCCTAATTGTTCACCATACTAGTAGATTATACCTACCACCACAGATCAGTACATCCACCTCGCTGGGGGGATGGAAACATTCCGGCCTTTCCTGGGAAGTTCCATCATAAATGCTCGGCCACGTCCTCAAGTGCGCCAGGCCGAGTTCATTGCCAACTGTTGAAGTTGGTAGCTCTCTATACAGTGGCAGTGCATAGTGTGCGTGTTCGCCGTTTTCGGTGACATATTTACTTTCATCTTCCCATGAGTTCGTTTCTGCTGGACGGACAAACCCACCTTCCCATGTCCGAGGTGGAACAGTACAGGCCATGGTTATATTAAGTAACAAACAAGCAAGCAATGTTGTGCAACAAAAGATGTTTAGATAAACTAGTATATCCCCAGCATCACAGCAGCACTCAACACCTTTATCCACCCGCACGGCCCATACTCCACCTCGAACCCGGGGTAGACTGGAGTCAGGTTCGGGATATATCTACATATTAAGTCTCACTGCTGACAGGCCTAACCCGGCATCCAGATCGGCATTGGCGCGTGCCAATATCGGTATTCAGCTCCTCGTGTTGGATATCTTGGCGCAGACAAAGGAGTTACTCAAGTACAGCAATGGAAGGAGCCACCTAGTGACAGAATAGGAAAGAAGAATTCTCCAATTATCCCAGAGAAGGAGCGATGGACGACTGCTCGTTTCCACGGTGACGCCAAGGCAAGGGGACATTCCTCAGATACAAGGAGAGCGTACTTTCCGTCTGAAGAGGTTCAAAACAAACCTCATTACATGAAACAATTAAATTAACATCAAATCTATATCTATAAACATTACGTAAGTATTAAACCAGCACCGGCGTATGCATCCCCGACGAACTGGCATGTCTGGAATCCCTCCACGCACGCCACGCCCTCGCCGGCACAGGCTGATATATCGAGTCCGGTGTAGACGGTAAATTTCCAACATAGAGTCTCTGTATCGCCGTCTTCTCTTTAATTAGTGCGGCACTGGAATTGCTTGACGAAACTGCACTTGTCCTCGCAATATAGCTATGGCTCTGATACTTCCCCAGCCAAAGCAACTGCTCGTGCTCGCGGAGATACCTGTCCGACGAGAAACTATTCTGTACGTTCTTGCGCCCCAGCATACCGAACTTCCGTCGCTGGGGAACTTTGGCATATATCCGGTCTGAAATGGCCTTTATCTGTTCGGGGGTTGGGTGGAATTCGAGGGTCGGTACAATTTCCCCTGGTGAGTCTTCGGCGAAGGGACTCCATTTGTCCAAGAGGGCCAGGACGCGCAGTTGAGCGCGCGCGAGAGAATCAGCGTCGTTAGGAGCGACGACTTCGCTGAAGCGTTTGCCTGTGGCACGGTCTGTAACGACGCAGAATGAGGCGCCGACGTCTGTGCAGACGACTGGGGCGCCGGTTAGGGCTGCTTCGCCCATGGCTAGGGGCAGGCCTTCAGAGATGGAAGAGTTCATGAAGAGCCACTGTATAAGTTAGTATTGAGTATTCAATAACTTCTTAGTTACTCACGGCGTCTTGGAGAACGACGGATGGGTTTCCTAGACCCTTGAGCATGACGTTATCTCGCAGTCCTTTGGATGCGATGACTTCCTGGCATTCGGATGCATAGGCTGGAGCACGCTCCATGTCTCCGTATATGTGTAGCTTGTAGTCCTTGAAGCCCCATTTATGTACAATGAGGTCGGTGGCCAGGATGGCCGTCTTTATATCTTTCACGTAACTGCGGACGTTAGTTATATTCTGCATACTGGTTTGTGAACATACCGAATGTGCGACAACATGACGACAGTAGGCGTCGTAGTCTTGATAGTTTCGATAGGCTTGTACCTCTCCATACTGGTGATCCCATTGACCACAGGGTCAATCTTACGCCTAAAGGCACGGCGGTGCTGGAGAGCCCCTTCAGCCGTTCCTAATTCAATCTCCCACCCAGGGTTAAAGTACTCGGCGCATGGCAAGACGACGTCGGCATGGTGCTCAACTAGGACACACGCCAGATGGCCAAGGGATATCAAAGTGTTGTTGACAAAGGCAGAATCAAACGAGACAGCAGAAGACAAGAAGACGGTGACCTCTCGGAAGCTCACGCAGTGATCCCATACATGGAGGGAACACTTGCGCTTCGCTTTACAGAGGACACCGTACGTTGCACCAGTGAAGTGATGCGAGGCCTGGAAGACGTCTGGAATGCGCTCGGGCACGGGGATGGAAAAGATGAAGAGGTCTAGTAAGTTAGCTATTTTCTGTAATGAGTGTCAAGGGACGTACAGCGATGCCACATATCCAGCGCCGTATCGAGCTGCTGCAGTGATGGATGCTCTGCATCCCACCATTTCGAGACTGGAGTTGTGTCTTCGACGTCGTCTGAAAGCCACAGCTCACGCCATGTATTCTTCACTATATCGCTCATCCACACGTCGTTCCAGCTGCGGCCGGACTCGAAGTATGTATTCAGGTCGACAAGGGCATTCGTTGCCTCCTCAATATTGTGGCGCTTCAGGTTGGTCGTCCGTGCACAGCGAACAAGCTTCGTGAGGATTGGGATAAAGTGGTTCCTGATGTCCTCTTTCCTCGTATCTAATGAACGTTCCACGACGGCTGAATCGAGGGTATTCTGGAACACGCCGTGGGTTGGATTGAGAAAGTCGAGACCCCATTGCGGTAGAACAGTCAGGGACTGCACATTTCTCTCTATTTGGAATTTCGGGACTCCATAATCGTTGGCATTTTCAGAGATAATGTGCCACCTTATACCCTTCAAGTCATTCACCATGTCCCGACGACAGGCAGAGACACCGCCAGGTTCATTGGGCCAGGTCGCCGTATCCATTGCCAGGACATGCAGTCGAGTGTCCGTGTCTTGCAGCTGCGTAGAGAGTGTGCGTGTATTAATCCTGGCATCACCGCCAATTCCAAAGCTGTAGAGGTCGCTAATCTTAAAAGCCATTTGCGTCCACGAACTGACCTCCGGGTCGATATCAACACGAGCGAGGATAGTATCTACCTGGCCGTCAAGGTAATCACCGGCGGCATCGAGGCGACCGAAATCGCGATTTCTCCAGTACGGACCAAGAACGCGATCAGATCGTAGGAGCAGTTCATCCAGCCAGGTAGTAGTCACCGCGTCGAACTCCTTGCTGCCTTTCCATGACTTCCACAGATGTGTTCGGGCTCTAGAGGTTGGAATCGGTCTGGTCTTGACGTTCAATCCAAGCATCCTCGTAATTGCATTTGTCTTGATCGACCTGAAGAAGAACAGAGGGTTGTCGTGTAGGAAGCTACTCCTGGTAGGCTTCTGAAGCACATGAAACCAATCATCCTGTATCATAGGGGGCGTGGGCACATCTTGCCCATTGAGTGTTGTCTTGATAACTGGGTGGAATTTGTGATCATACGTCCACTTCGCATGGTGCACATCCTCGCCCTGAATGAAAGTAGCCCTGCTGACCCTGGGATAAGGAATCCATTTGTCCTCACGCTCCGGACGATTCGGTGGCGGCATACACCAGGCCACCTTGATCTGGATATGAGGGAATGTATACTCAGCACGTAGCAGCTCGTCGTCGAATTTTGCATTCTTCCGGAAGCGGTATTTGAACTGCATTGGATTGACACCCTGCATGCCAGATCCAGACACAATATATCCGCTATCGTCGTACTGGACGATTTGCCCTTCCAGCTCCCCTGCGGTGCATTCCCTCTGGATAGGAAGTTTGCGGCCTCGACCATTGCGGCTATCCGCGTATTCGTAAGTAAAGTCGTTCTCCAGTTTACTGGCCTTGTATTCCTGACGTCGCTGAAGCACAAGCTTTCCTGTGTATGTGTTGACAGCCAGCAGTTGAGTCTGGTCCTCCGGCTCTTTGGTATGACTTCCCGAATACTGATATAAAAGTGTAAGCCCGTCATCTTGAGTTTTCCCGAAACAGGTTACTGGCCCCTGCAGATTTTCAATAACGATTCTGTCCTTTTCGATTACAGTCTTCCAGCCACGGGTGCCCTTGTATACATTGACGATATTGTCGCGGCCGTGAAGAAGTACAAGGGGGATTAGAATCCGCTGGAGAAGTTTACAGAGCGACCAGATGCTGTTCAGCAGAATTGTCACCGGCCAGGAGAATATCAACGGCTGTCCGCGAAGAACATATTCGAGTTCACGCTGATACTGAGGATCCGCGACGAGGGATATAATAACAAATTTGAGGCACGTCTTCACACTGTGGTGGATATATGTGAAGGACAGCTTCAGCGCATCCGTAAACCGCACGTTTGTCCCAAGTGGGGATGGGAGGGCCCTCTGGATGGGCTTTTCATATGTGCTGTCCTGGAAGACGGGATAGTCTGGATAGTCTGCCTGGTCCATCCAACGCTGGGCGTAGTAGTTGACTGACAAGGACAAGGCAACGCCCATGTTATACCGTGCAACAAACGCCCCGACCCCTTGCAGGTCTTGTGCTCCCACTCGCCCTTGAAGCCAGCTAAGCTCCTCTGTAGTGACCCGCCCGGGCTTTCCAGAGCAACGTCGGAGTAGGAGTGATCGGGCAGCCCTAGGGAGGTCATCCCACTCCAGATCGCAATCAATACCGAGCAAGAGATGGCGCAGCAATGTCCGTTGACCATGGCTTGCAACCCGAGAACACTCAGACGGGGACCTCTCAAGCTGGTACTTGACACCTTCAGGGACAGAGAGATCGTAGTCATCGCGGTGCTCACCAACGAGAAGCTCCGCCAGCATGGCCTGATCGTGCGAAAAGCCCAACTTCGCTTCCGCAGTAGCCTGCACGACAGCCTCGGCGATAGCTCTGCAGTTGCGTCGAATATTTGTCGTCCAGTCTTGCCCGACGAGACCAGGCCCGATCACGACGAAGATGTGAAGCTGGTTGTCGACAAGACGACTAACAGCGCGGACTCGTTGCTCTGTCTGGAGAAGGTGTTCAGCAGAGACGAACTCAATGATTGTCTGGCCAGAGACCCAGAGACGGATGACTTCGGTCAGCAGTTCTTCGGCATTAGGGAATGCAGCCTGAACCACGGCGGATGTCCTTGATCCTAGGTTTGCATTGATGACTTCTTTTACCTCACTTCCGGGGTGGCTTGATGGATCCAGTTTATAGCGCACGTCCTCTGGCAGGGCATTGATATTATCGAATGTCTGGGCGAGCGTGGTAGGCGAGAGGTCCAAATAGGGCTCCAACGAGCTGCTTGTATATGACGGCTTTGGAGAACTGCTGGAACCCTTCTTGAAGTTTGTTCCACGATTGAACCCTGGCATCCCAATGTCCGACAGCCAGAGGGAGTAAATGGCAGCAGTCCACGTACCGGACGCCAACGAGATAACGCTGCTCCATGTAAAGGGTGGAATCACCTTATGCATAACAATCCCAATTATGAATCCCACAGCCGATCCCAATGCAAGGCACCGCGCTGCTTCCGGTCCAGTAAAGATACGGTTGTACTGGTAGAATAGCAGGCCACTATAAGCACCTATATATCCCAAATACATGATCGATGCGCGCTGGGATGGTTCAAATGCCCACATCAGCGAGAGAGTAACTGTAACTCCCCAGATATGGACAAAGAAGAATTTCATCAGGTTGGTCCAGTACAGGCGCTGGCGATCGCGGGAGTTGTGGGATAGCACTTCACGTAGGCTACCAATGGATGATATCGCCTCGCTGTTTTTCTGGTGAACAGAAGTCCAGAGAGGCTGGGATACGGCATCCAGGATAAGAGCACCAGCTAGATAGTAGCCCAGTCCGAAGCCAACGGACAGTCGATACTCTGAGCTTGATGCAGTGGAAAGTCCAACGAGTGCCTCGCCGGTAAGCAGCGCCGTCCATTTGTCCATCAGGGCGATGACGAAGTAGAGAATCCCACACCAGACATCGGCGCCAGTATGACGCCAGTGCAGAAACGCGCTGTGCATGGTTAGACCCTTTTGCATGTCGCCCATTGTATCAACAGCGGCCTTGAGCTGCAGGTTCCAGGTCGGACTGTAGGGAAGGGGGATTTTTGTTCGCGAATACCGACAGTACCAAACCAGGAGAAACATCGTCGCTGAGTATCCATTAGCCATTTTGCGGACAAAATCGTCGTTGATAGGCTTGGACCAGAACGGGCGTTGGCATTCTCTCTGAACAGCCTCGTATAGAGCTTTTCGCGGAAGAGAAGAAGAAGAAATGTCTGTCGCGCTGAAAGTGTCCGATTCCCTTGTTTGCATGTACCAATTGACAACATCCCCATCTGTTACTCGGGGAATGTTCAAATACCATGTATTCCACTGCGAGATGACACGTCTGGCGCCGAGCAAGAGCGAAGTCAAGAAAAGCCCTAACAGGCAAAGATATATAACCGAGTCATGACCAACCCACAGCGTCACAATTGGACCAACAAATAAAATCGGAATACAGCTCATAATGACCGTACGTCCCTGCACCAATTAGCCGACATTAAGATATACTATATATCTCTAACCTCACCGACTGGAACTGGAATCCAGGGAGCTGGTAGATCGCCAGCACAGACAACAACATCAGGTACGTCGCAAGGAAGAAAAAGTACAAGAAGAACAAAACACCAGCTGCAAAGCCCTTGGTGCATCCAATTGCGATCAAAGCAATGAGTCCACCGACTAACGTGACAGCGACGCCTGCAATAAATCGCGTCATGACGAACATGCTCATAGCAGGAAAGGCCATGGCGTAGAGATAGTAACTGCCCCCTGAACTAATCCAGCCGCCAAAGCCACCACAGACGAGGAGGGCTACCATGAGAGCTGTTGTGGCAAGTGTTTTGTCGACGTCGCTCATGAAGGTCGTGAGATAAAGACCGCGTCCAATGGTGGTCAACATGGTGATGTCGATCAGGGCAGGAAGGGCAAAGATACCGAGGAAAGTAATGCGATAGTAAAAAGGTACCCGTTGCGCGTCGCCTTTTGGATCGAGGTCGATCTCCATAGATGCATACGCATTTGGAATTTCTGTAAACAATTCCTCTCGGCGCTTGGGTGGGTGGGCGTTGTAGTATTCGCGGTAACGGGCTGAGATGATCTTGCCCAGCACGTTAGGCGTCATGTCGAAGTACAGATCACACCGAGCGCCCAGGGCATACATCTCTGCGAAGACAGCAGCTTGCACAGTGTGGCCATTAGGGAGAGGATTGCGGTCAAGTACTTCGAGGTATATCTCGTCAAACGCCAGACGGCGGAAAGCACAGAACACAGCCAGGGCGAACATATCAGCGCCCGCATCAATGCGATCACTGTGAAGAGTTCCTTGAATAATGGTCGTGAGCTGTCTGAGGGTCCTGGCATCACCGTCGATGAGTATTTCAGGTAGGCGGGCATCGACTTCCTTGAAAAGGGCTGTGCTAGCGGCAGCATCTGGTGTCCAGCACCCTTGCTCGCGATACCAGGCCAAGCGAGCAGCAACTAAATCATCAGGAGATATTCTTCCGCTCAAGTACTCACTAGAACCGAGTGCACGGAGCTGGGCTAGACTAGGAACTTTCATCAAGAAGTGCTCGCAACAGGCGCGAACTTTTGCAGTCAGGTCTGCGCATTCCTGGCATAGGGTCAATGACAACCGGCGCACAAAGAGCATTGCTTCCATCGGGGTGAGCTGCTCAATATCACTGACGATACGAGTAGGAAGCTGCCACTGCTGCGATAAAGTGTCGTTGGAAATAGAGAGAGCAACTTCAGCCATCAGGCATTCGTACCGGCTAGACCCTCTACTGGACATGTAGGTATGAAGGATGGTTCCCGCGCGCTCCTTTTCAGTCTTACCAGAGAGATAGATATTTAAGACCCCCATCGCATCGCGTTGGTACATACCCCAGATCTGGGTTTCCATGCGAGTTCTAAAGCCAGAGTGAAGACCAGAGTATATGCGGACGGGGTCGCTATTGCTGCCATCACAAGAGAGGAGCAGATCACACAGCTCTCTTGCAGCCCGAGAGCCTTCATTTTTGGAGTCTGCCAATGCTTGAAGCTGTTCAGCAATATTCCCTAGCTCTGGCTGCTTGAGCTGGTCTAGGAGGTTTAGGTCTCGAGTATGGCGCTGAGCTTGCAGCAGCTCCTCAGTATCTTTGGCTGTACAATCCAATCCCAGCTGGAAGCAACCGAAACCTGAGTAGTCATTTCCATCCGGAGAAAACGAAAAAGGATTTATCATGAGAGGTTCACTGAGCGATGGCCATTGCAGTTCATCAATAACGAACACCTGCCCGTCCGAGGCTGGTTTAGGGTCAGGAGGATAGAGAGCAAGCTTCTCTCGCAGGTTAGGAATTATATACTTCAGCAAGTCATATAGACTGCCATGATCACACGGCAAAGGCGAGATATCCTCATTCTGCCGCCAGACATCATGGGCAGCCAGGGTATTCTCATCCTTCATCCACATCAGGGCTCCAATCGGTTCATGCACGACAGTCTTCCTCGCTGCGATCGCAGCGTCGGTCAAAGCAGATTCCGATCCAATCCAGCTCATGGCACTATTATAATTACACCATTTATAACTGCGGTGGAGGACATTATGTTGCAACTCGACTCCATCATCCACAGTCTCCCACATGGCGAGTGTCGACTCCCCGATGGGCTTTTGCGCCGCGACAACGCGCATAACAGTGCGCATTTTCTCCATGTCGAAGTAATTCCGGCGATCGCCATTTGCTAAAATAGTTCCGTTGCGGTAGACAACACCTCGGACTCGCTCCATGTCGATTTCGCGACAGGTGCGCTCGGGGAGGTAGTCCGGAGGCGAAACCTCTAGCCAGACATCGAGCCCGAGGCCGTTGATGAACTTGACTACCTCGTTCATAACGACGGGTTGGAAGTAACGGTCAAATTCCGAGAGTAATACTCCGTTGAATAGGGAGTGAGCGTCTTGTGGACGCCGCAGTCGAGTTGTGAGTGCGCTGGTAAGGCCAGACAGGGCGCATATCGCTTCGTCGTGGCGCGAGTTCTGGCCAATCTGGATATGGCTTGCGACGTCCAGGCGAGCAAGTGTATGTGTAGGAGCAGTAACACCAGCCAAAGAGTCTAAAACACCATGCTGGAAGGGATCAAGTACGACTGTCTCCCATTGCGACAGTATACGAGTCTGGTCGGCAGTAGGAGGGCTGTCGAAGCTGCCCAGGTAAACTCCAAACGACTTGGGTTCTCGTACAGTGGCAGACGGCGAGTATAGCAACGGTGTCTTTTTCTTCAGGTGCTCAATATATCGCGCGGTTGCAGCAGGGACTTCTGAAAGCTCATGTCGTTTCTAGAGGCGATGAGCCTAATGCGGACAAAAATAGGGCAAGATACTCACCCGCCAATGTCTATACAGGTTGCGCCCAATGCGGAACAGAATATATACACTGCCAAGAACAATAGTCGCCAGCAAACACGCTGCAAGTACCTAAATACGATTAGACAATTAGAGGTTTAACATCAAACGCACTTGGGACTCACCCTCCCCCACCAGGTCGCTGTCATCCGATCCCATCCTGTCGCCTGCAAACCCAGGTACTCGACCATGATGGCGAGACCAATATGAAACGAACGACTAAACAAAAAAAAAAAGAAAGAAAGAAACAAGCAGGGTCCAAGAGGTCGCGAAGAAATCCTGGTCACCGCAGAGCGGGAGCAGTGGGTTATGTAGATACCAACCATAAGTCTGCCAGTCCGCGACCAGGGCCCATAGATGGAGCCTCAGCCTGGAGGAAAAGAAAAATCATCCCGGATGTATCAGTCTGGCAGGGATGCAGCTACGGAGTCCTTGTTGAGAGTCTGCCATTTGCCCAATGGGCCGCAATGGCACGATGGAGCCAGACAGGGTCTCGCCATATCATCCGTCGAAATGACAGCGCCGCCAGAAATAGATCATTTACCAGGGATCTCAATGCAAGTTTCACTTGGCTGGCGCGATTGAGTGCCTGAATTGCAAGACAGAATTTTCCTACATTAGGGCTTACCCATGAGGGCTGCCTTTGTTGTTCTGGGCGTTGTCTGCTCCATCGTCCTGCTTGGTGCCACGCTAAATGCAAAAGAGTAAAAGAAAAGAAACATAAAATATGGCTAAATTCGTGTTTGTGATACCGCTGCTTTCGACCGGTTCGGGCCTGGCTTGACATTCCTGGGCTTGTTGGCAATTCCTCCCAGTTGCATATTTCTACAGCTCACCCCCGCGAACTCTCCTGGACTCTTTTTCCGACTGATTCTCCTCTTTTCACTCCCTGGGATGCGCATCACGCCCCGAAATGGAGTCTCTTAAGCACACCAGCGAGGGCGCCGCAGCCAGCCCAGCGTTGCACCGCAAATGCCAACTTCGCCGCCGCTGGTGGATTGCGATTGGCATTGCAGTTGCAATAATCGTGATCCTCGTAATTGTGCTCCCACTGGCGCTTATCCTGCCCAACAAGGGAGACAAGGGGAAGCCATCCAACGTGATCTTCCCACTGTACATCTATCCAGAGTCCAATAGCACCTGGGGTCCGCTCTACGAAGCGTATGTCGCTCTTTTATTAGTCGCAGACGGAAGAGAGTTTCGACTGATGCATACAGGATTTCCACCCACCGCGATCTCGATTTTGTGGTTGTCGTGAACCCACAAAGCGGGCCTGGGTCGACCACGCTCCCCGACGAGGCATACCAGGCGGCAATCCGACAGCTCAACACCTATCCCAACGCGCAGAAAGTGGGATACGTGCGCACGACCTACGCCGATCGGAATGTCTCCGAGGTGCTGGACGACATTGCGACTTATTCCGGCTGGCAGTCACAGGATGCGGATCTCGCGATGGAAGGTATTTTCTTCGATGAAGCGCCACACCAATTCTCCGATGCAACGAGGGATTACTTGGACCGCATCAGCTCGGCGGTTAAGGATGCAGCAGGGCTCCAGGGCGAACGAACGGTGAGTTCAAAAATAACCATGCAATGAACCTGCGAGGAAACAAGTGGGCGTGGGCGTGATCGGCGATCGCTCGGATAAACCGTGGGCTGTGGGCCTGATCTGTCCTTCGCTTGCGACCGATCATGGATCGTTGAACTGTTTCCTTTTTCACTTGCATGCATTGAATCGGTCTGGAACAGTTCGTGAGGGCTAATAATCGACAGGTCATCCTCAACCCAGGCACCATCCCCGACAAGGGCCTTGTCGTACCCAACGCAGACATCACCGTTGCCTTCGAGCAGTCATACAACCATTATAAGACGAACCAGGAATCCGCATTAAAGTCGCTCGATGAAGACAGAGACTCGCTGGCGTATATTTTCCACTCGGTGCCCGACATGAGCGAGGGCGGGCTGAAGAGCTTCGTCGACGACATCAGCCACCGCGCAGCATATCTCTACCTGACATCGCGAACAGCCAACTATTACGAGCACTTTGACTCTGGGCTACAGCAATTCTGCGATGCAGTGCCGACGTGATTTGACTGAGACAACACAGTGGAGACGAGGTTGAGTTGGCACACGCCAGAGTGAGACAGCGTCCGACCCCATCATCCCTCTCAGACTTCAACTTCCAAGGAGGCCAAGAACACCGTCCAAGACGGCAAAAGCTCCAGCTGAATTGCAGTGGATCGCTCGTGCAGCAGCGTGGCTGCGAGCAGGAAGTGGCATTGGCCAGGTTTGGCGCCTGCAGAGACCGCTGGCTGTGGCGTTCCGCTTTCGTACCTTATCGCGAATAATGTTAATAATAATGGCTGCCTCGCAATTCAAGGTTTCAAGGTTCCGATGTGTCTTTATTTGAATTTGACACCGTCAGCACTAGACCAGACATCGAAATTCGTTGGAGACTGGGTTGGTGGTTGCTGTTTGCGACATCGCCCTGCTATAAAACAACCCGCCCATTGCACCACTCGCCAGACTCATGTAGACCACCCAATTGTAGGATCTTTGTCTCTTATTGGTTTTAATAATCGGCCCGTCGAGATGCCTCCCAAATCAGCGGTGGTTGTCCCGCTGTACATCTATCCACTGACCGAGCAGACCTGGTCCCCTCTCTATGCAGCGTAAGTCGCTAAACAAATCAAGTCTCGGAAGGAAACAGGGAGAAGGAAACAAATTAAACCATACAGAATCGAGACTGACCCCACGCTCGAGTTCCTGGTCATCGTCAATCCCAACAGTGGCCCTGGCGACATCCCCTCCCCCGACGCCAACTACGCCCGGGAAGTCGGGCGGCTGAACGCCTACCCAAATGTCTACACAATAGGTTATATTCGGGTGGACTATTGCCACCGGCCCCTCCAAGAAGTCAACGCCGAGGTAGCGCGATATGCCGCCTGGTCGGAGCACTATGAAACAACAAGACTCGGCGTGCGCGGAATCTTCGTCGACGAGACCCCGAACCTCCACTCGCTGGCGAGAGCCGAGTATCTCAGTGCACTGACCCGGTATATCAAAGAGTCCTCAGGGATTCTGTCGAATAGATTTGTACCTTTCCCTCCAACTCTGCGTCCAACCTGCTGCTATCGGCTGGGTCTGAACTAACTAACTCCACCAGGTCGTCCACAACCCAGGCACCGCCTCGGACTCCTCCATCGCCTCCACAGCCGATTTATCCTTCGTCTGCGAGGAGTCTTACAGTCGGTACCGCTCCGCTGATGTCCAAGAATGGCTCGCGCTGCATCCATGCGACCGCACACGCGCCGGATACATCATTAGCGGCGTCCCCATGTCCGAACTCCACGGGCTCGTCCAGGAATTGCGCCACCGGTCTGCGTACCTCTTCATCACGGAGCTCGAGGAGAATTTCTACGAGAGCTTTGGGCTGAGTTGGGAGGGCTTCATGCGGGCGCTGCAGGCGGCGTGAACGGAGACTTCAGAACCTTTGCCCTGGGCGCCTTTTTAGTTGCAGGTGGCGAATATTTTTTGCTTTTCCTTACCCTGTAACTTCGGGCATTTAGTCTATAATGACCCAAAGAGCTGATATTAATAATTGGGGGCTGGTATGAAACAGGGCCTGCAGCGGCTGGCGTGATACGTCTCATTCGTAGAATTCCTCCTCTCTTGCGGTGTCGCACACGTGGCGCTCGTATTGGATTTCGTCTTTTCTTTGAGCCTGTTTGAGACAGGGAGCCTCCAGTGATGTTGTTTTGTCCATTGTAGTGCTCGTTCGGGGTGAATTGCTCAAATCTGAGTGAACGTCGAATTCTTCAGTCCCTCAACATTCCAGCTCAGCAGAACCTTTGAACTTTGTCTAACATTTTCCCACTCCAAAATTGCATTGGAATGGCAATGTTTCAATTTGATGTCGCCGTCCGCGGAGCCCAATAATATTTTCGCTCATGAATCTTTTTCCCACTACAAAATCATCACCACGAGATACGAATCCTCAGAATCCAAAATCGACAGCACATTAGGCGCTATCACGTCAATTAATACGCCGCAGATCTGGTGGCTTGCAAGAGCCGGCTCTAATTTACGCCTAGGTCCTCAAATATGCCGGAGACAGCGCCACGCATCTGTGTACACAGCCCGTAAGCCCTAATCATGGACGACGGAACAATAGCATCATTTTTGAGAAACTCAGTGACAGCGACATCGTTGCTCGGATACCAACCCCAACAAGAGTTTATTGCGGCCAATTATAAGCATTTCCGAAGACAGGACTGTGCTGTACCGACTACGCTATGACCACTTGTCAAGTCGAGGATTCACATACCCAGCCACCGGGGGTTATCTCCAAAGGGGCAAAAGTAAGTATGAACCCCGCAGACCAATCCTCCCACTCGTGAATCCTCTAGACTCATATCTGGTAGCACAATGAGCCTGATTGAGCAGGATAGCTCTCATATTGTTGTAGCACGGCCTATTTGTGACGTGGTTCGGCATATTTGCAAGAGCCGTGAAGAGATCGATCGATCTGCAGATTCAGATCGTGCTTACGGTTACACAGGTTGCCTTGAAATCAGAGTCCCTCTACCAAATTAGAGATCGTTCCTGTTGTGTAACTGAGTATCGCGGTTCACTACCAATCGACATATACCCACGGCTTTAGGCCGTGTGACAACTCAATATGGCTCACTTGAATACTCGGCAATAATGTAAAGCTGAACATTGTGCATCCACTGGCTCTGGTGCATCTCATTGGGTATCATGATGGATAATTCTTGACCATCCTGTACCAGCACCAACCTCGCTCTATACAGGCTCATACAACCCCCCCACGGATGCAAACACCTGACAATTAAAAAAGACCCCAACGAGCCTCGTCCCATTAGGGGGTGTGTAGATACGTTCTGTATTCCATGGCCGGGAGGGACCCCGCGGTCCTTGCTCGTCTGCACCGACCTGCCCCCAGTCACAGTCTGGAAGTTTTTGTTCATCAGACGAAGGCGGCCCAAAGCCTAAGGTCTTGTATTCCGTTGGCAAAGGAGACTGGTTTGAGGCCTCGAATTCGAACTAAATATAGTAATATCAGTATTCGATGTTCTGGGTTGAGGGAGGATAATACCTTGAGAACGCGGATATAGGAATCCTTAATACCAGTTGTTATACCAACATACGTACAATCCCTCGGGAAGTGCACAGTTTGAATGTTGCCAAATGTCGTGTGCATCTCGCCGACTCGGGCAGTTACACCAGACATATATATAAACTCTAGCCCAAGCAACTTGCCCTGGTCGAGCCAGCCGTTTGCAGTGACTACCGGGTCATTGGAGCCTCTATGCTCCATCCTGTCAAAGTACAGCTTCTGAGTCTGTTCTGCCACATCACCTTGCTCCGGTTCTAATACTGAGGCTCTTTCAAACGTCCCCCGACCGATTGCCCTGATTCTCTCGAACCAGAAATTCATGACCCAGTAAATATCCGTCTGACAAAGTTAGAGCCGGGCTGATCACAATATGAGTGCATACTGACGAGCTTGTATCCATCTCCGTTTCCGAACTGTTGACGTAGACACCTTGAACGAGGAGTGTCAGAATCAGGTGCAGTGAATGTTATATGGCGAGACTTGGTGGTATCGAATCGAAGAGCCACGACCTGGCCCCGTTGCGCCGGGCGCCACTCTGGCGGCCCCGCTACAGGAAGTATCCAAACGGTGAGATATGCGATACCCTCATCCGGGGCTAGGTCAAAACATTCTTGTTCCACCATCCACTGCCCGACTATAGCAGTGGGCGCGTTATCGTAGAGCAACTTCAGGCCAGATATACGAGCAGAACGCCTACATCGACCCTCGGCACCGGTTGAGGCTTGGATTCTGCGAACGCCCTTGAGCGATGCGTGGGTCTGGTAGTTACCCGCTCCTCGGGATCTAATAAAAAGCGAGAAACGTTTATCATGTTGCAGTGATTCTTTGCAGATCTCGGGCTCCGGAAGAGGAGCGAACTGGCTGGACGGCACGGAGGATGCTAAGCACGGTTGGGATTGAACCGCGACTTGGATGAATGGATCCTTTGATGGCTGGGAGGAATAGAATAATTAGCATCATTTATGTCAATGCAGACAAGGTATCAGCGTACCATGCGGCGGACTACAAGGCCAGTAATTATATGGTTCGACGCCGGCTTTTGCATGATATGTAACCTGTTCGTCACCCGAGATTGAATCGGAGCAAAATCCGCTGTTCGACCATAGTTTGTTTTGAACTGATCCGATTAGTCGCTGCCACATAGCTAGAGCCATGTATGCCACCTACCTGCAAACCACTAAGACGGGTGGGCACGGTTTCTGCATCCACGCAGGGTGGTGGGAATTCGACGAACCCGTGAAAAATACTGACTTCGGTGACACGTTCACCATCTGGACCGGCAATAGTAAAGTACACCTCGCAGGCATGTGTAGAGCCGAACAGGACGGTTCTGCCGTCGGCGTATATTGCCTGCATTCCAAGAAGGGGATGTGGGTCGTAGCCCATGTAGCATACAAGTCCAGTTAACTCGCTGAGGTGAGCTCCACCAGGGCCACCAAAGTCAACATTAAGGAGCGGCTCGAAGGGTGGGGGTTCCATCTCTGGGTATAGGGGAGTCAGTTGTAGGCCGTCATAAGTCGGCGGACGGGGAATCCAAAGCTGGTTTTGTAGATGTGAAGCTGTTTCGGGTGTCGTCTCGGCCTGTACAGTTGGGTCTTTTCGAGAATACACGCCTAGAGACACGATTCTATATAGCTAGATGCGGATAGTCAGGTATCAGGAGAGTAACCGAAGGTCTAGAGCTTACATCAACGCCTGCCATCAGATAACGGCCTTGTGGTCTCCCAGCTACGTCGAAAAAACCCTGCGCGATTCTGCTGCCTTCGCTGACGCCAGTCCAAGTAGATTGGGTATCATCCGTAAAGGCAAACATCACACCTGTCAGTCCCTCCTCGGCGAAGGCAACATGGATTCGTTCAATGGACGAGGCAGTCGGCATGTCAAACCATTTCGTTGTCCCAGAGTTATGGAACCCAATTATGCACGACTCATCGTCACTCGTGGCAAATGGGAATACCCCTATACCGGCTATAAAGGTCATTAATCCAATATGAAATGTCGATACTGCTATCCTGCCCTGGGTGTACTGGTGGGGATTTGGGAGGCTGCATGTTACATGATCGACAACACGACATCCATGAGAAATTAGGTCGTGTGTGTTGTTAGAGGTGATATCGGCGGTCAACAGGTTACATTCTTCCAGAACAACAGGCCCTTGAATAGCACCGTCACTGGTTATAATCTGAAATCGGGACTTTTCGCCCGGGACTCGATGGGCAGTGATGCCAAAGACACCAGGCAAAGGAACAGCAGCGTCTTCCAGCACACGCGCAAAGGGCTCAACCATAGTACAAATCCTCCTTCGAGTAAGTAGCGACGTGCTTTCATCATTTTGAAGCAGGTGCCTTTGTCCGAAGAAAAGCGCACGCCAGTCTCGTGTTTCTGAGAAATCTGGGAACAGGAAGTCTGCCTCTTGGCCGAGGAAGAATCGAGATCGCCAATATGACTGAGGGAGATTCTCGACTGCCGCAGTTGAAGCGAGGCTCCTGTTGACCAGACGTAATACCGCGACCTCTTTGCATGATAGATGGGACAAGACCTCGTGTATTAGCTCTGTAGACAGCGGGTAAAAGGTCCGACAGCTTCCAGCCTGCAAGTAACCCCCGGACGATGAGGGCAGGGGCATCGCTTCTTGCTCGATATCGGTGAATGAAATTGCGAAAGGGTCAGACCATCTAAACTGGTCGATATAGTCGTTGTGAAAGCCGATCCAGGAAGATTTAATATGAGGCACACACAGTAGCTGGTGGAACGCCGAAGTGATAATATCTCTTTCCTGCCAGCCATGGAGCCGGAATCGAAGCATCTGCCAGCAGGCGTCGTGAATCCCGAATGCCCAAGATCCCAAATCCGTGGTGCGAATGCCCCAGTCCCCGGACAACTGGTGGTCACGGTAGGTCAAGTCGCGGCCATGAGGCGCGGATAGACGCTTGTAGGGGCATACCAAGCCCACTCCGGTAAGCGATGGGGAGCCTGAATCGTCCATGATCGTCAATCCTCGCACTTCCTCGTCCCATAGCCGGCGGCGGCGAGGAGTGGGCTCTGGCGCACCAGCCCCAGCCAGGATGAACCCGCAGAATGCGCAATATGAGTTGAACTCGATGGGCATGACGGGAATGGAGATGGTGAAAGAAAAGGGGGACAAGCAAACACGAGATCAACGTCGGCAAGGCGGGGCTTTGGTGTCTCTCCTGATTTGCTGCTGTCTGTATTACGAGGCCTTCTAAATACGCGCCTCGCCTCATCACTTCACTTTTTACATCTGTGGCTTGTTATGCTATTGACATAAGGCTCATCCAGTATAAGCTGTCTAGTATATGGCCAAGGGAGGCCCGGAAAGAGAGGGGGTATGAAAGGCCGTAGGACCAGTCGCAAAGAGAAAGCGGGCATATTACGTGTTCCTGGAGAGTGTTATCTAACATCTACTTTCTTTATACAATGCGAGTCAAAAAGTCTGCAAAAACCAATTCCGTAGTGTATCCGGAGAGTCGCTATTCAACGGGCGCTCCATAACCGTAGTACCATGCTCGAGAAGGAAAGACAACATCCACTGATCCATTCGAAATGATTCATCAATCGATCTGATACAGGCATTATGGAACACCTGCAGCCGATGAAGAAAGACATCCAGGGACACCCAGTATGTCTGCATTTCGGTCAGGATCTGGAAGTTCTGCCCCAGGCGCTGGCGGGCGAGTTTGATCTTGGCCTCGTTTTCGCTGGACACGAGCATATGGATGTATACTGTCGACGTAACGACGAGCATGTGTCCGACCATCACGTAGAGACACTGGAATTGGAGCTGGTTGGTTGAACGACAGCGGTAGAGTAGATTGCAGAATGCGAGGGCGTGTTCTTCGCACTGCGAGCGATACCAGGATATCGAGTCAGAATGCTCCTGATTTGGCTTTCTGGCCAGAAATTGATAGAAGAGCACCTCGTTGTAGTAATGGTACCCTAGATGCAGTGCAGCAAAAGCATTGCCTAAACCCAGCGAGCAGTACCGCTCCAAGTTGTCCGGGGTCTCTTGGAGATATGAAGGCAGTGAATCAGACCAGTCCTGCAGTTCGCGTGCGAAGGAGTCTACGGTGGCGCTCACTGACTGCCAGTCAATAAAGCTGTTAACGGCGGCTTTGTTGAAACGATGGATTCTCGCCCATTTACGTGCTAGAATCGCCATCTCGGAGCATAGTCCAGGGCAGTCCATGTTCTCTGGTGTCGCTATCCCGGGTTGAAGGGATAGAAAGATTTCTTCGTTTGTTGGGAGAGGATATCTTTCCACGAAATCGAGTTGTCGAGGCAGGTTGAGGCCCATGGACGACCAGATGTCGATCATGTACAACGACCACCATACTATCAACCGTTAATACAAACAGGAGGGTATAATGAGTGGATACATACTCCGAAGGTTAACTTGCCTCTTCAGTTGGTCGTCACACCTCCGATTAGGCAGGTCAAGAATGAGGGCCAACCGAATGGCAATAGAATAATACAATGCCTCTGCTTCTGTCTGCGAGTCACAAAAACAAACCGTAGCAAGCAGAATAGAGGCCTGGATAGTGGTAACCGAAGTATCCGTCAGGTCTAGCAATTTCCTCGCCCGCTCTGTATACTGATCCCCACGTCTTCGCCGGTCGATATTAGCAAAAAGCGGATTATCCGAGAACGGCGCCCCCAGGGCCATGACACTGTAGAGCAGGACATCGGGGAATTCGCCATCGGAGATCTGTTGCTCCACTGTGGGTCGATGGAAGATGGAGTGGTGGGTGTCATGCACGACTAAGAAGTATAAGGCTACCAGTTCCTTTTGTAGTTCTACGGGCGGGCTATCAGGAGTCTGCGAGGTCGGTATTTCCGGGGATCTTGGAGGATGGGGAGCCAGACGCGGCGTGGAAAGGGTGGGAATGATATAAGGGCTTCGGACGGTCCAGCCATGGAGGCTGCAGTTGAGGTTCAGCTCGCGGCATCGTGTGCAGATAGTGTCGTTACTGTCCAATCGGCATTTTCGTTTATTCGACCTTGCCTGTCAGCACGAAGTAATGGTGGTGGTATGTCATTGAATCCGCACCGGCAGGCATCACAAGCAGTGACCGGCCTCATCTTGGTAGGGGTCCGGTGTATACCCCGGGATTAAAACAGGGAAAAGTGACAAAGCGTCTACAGAGAGAATGCGGGGTTAAGCAATATTTATACAAGCTGCAGTCTCCACCATTTCCCATCAACAAAGCCGCTTCAAAGCCGACTGCCGGCACGATGATTCTGGCGACCCGATTGAGGACGGACTATATTATAACTGACGGCGGCGTCTTCTCTTGTTTAATACTGTCAAATCATGAGAAATCTGGATCTCCAACATGTCTGCCCAGATCATCAGCGTTGAGAGCAAGTGTCTGCGAGTGAGTGTTCGCATTGACCAGCAGGGCGCGGCTTGTCTCGATGCGGTAATCCCGACACGAAGTGCCCAGCCAGACTCGGTCTCCAAGTACTTTCCAGATCACCATGCTCCTCTGGTGGAGGTCCGCCTAGCCGGTGAAGGGACCGAGAAGCACAAGTCGTCAAAGGCCTTGCTTGGAACGTACGTTGGGCCGCGACTGCGCTACCAAACCCACGACATCCATACCGGAGAAGGCGCCAAAACCCTTAACGTCTCTCTCGCAGATGGTAGCCTCACAGTAGTCTCCCATCTTACAGTCTACAATACAACTCCAGTTGTGCGTGCAACGGCTTCAGTCCGAAACAATAGCGACCAGGATGTCGTCGTTACTCAAATCACCTCTCTTGTGCTAGGAGGCGTAACTACCGGGTCCTCCAAGTGGTGGGCTGATTATACCCTGTCAGTCCCAACTAACTCCTGGTTCCGCGAGGCACAATGGATCGAGCACGATCTCCCCAGTATCGGGGTGGATGACTACGGAGTATACGGTCGTCCAGAGAACCACTATGCCTCCCTAGGCCACTATGCAGTGTCTAACCGGGGGACCTTCTCGACGGAGGGCCACCTCCCCATGGGCCTGCTGAAGCGCCGCGATAATGCTGAAACATGGCTGTGGCAGGTAGAGAACAACGGTTCGTGGCGATGGGAAATCGGCGACTGGAAGGACAGTGTCTATCTTGCCGCTGGGGGCCCTGTCGAAACCGACCACGACTGGCGTCAACGATTAGGGCCAGGGGAGGAGTTCACGACCGTACCCGTTGCACTCTGCCATGTCTTCGATGACTACGAGAAAGCCTTTGCAGGTTTGACCCAGTATCGACGGGTTATCAGACGGAAGCACTCAGATAACGAACACCTCCCTATCATCTTCAACGACTACATGAACTGCCTCATGGGCGATCCGACCGACGAGAAGATCCTAGCTCTAGTCGACCCCGTCGTTAAAGCCGGGGCAGAATACTTCGTTATCGACTGCGGATGGTACGCCGACGACGCAGGATGGTGGGACGACGTCGGAGAATGGGAGCCATCCAAGAAACGCTTCTCTAAAGGTTTAAAGCACCTCCTCGGTCAACTGAGAGAAAAGGGCCTGACCCCAGGTCTATGGATCGAGCCTGAAGTCATCGGAGTGCGCAGCGTCGTTGCGGACGAACTCCCCTATGAAACCTTCTTCCAGCGCGATGGCCAGCGCGTCGTCGAGAAAGGCCGGTACCAACTTGACTTTCGACACCCGGCTGTCCGCGATCGCATGCATGGCATAATCGGACGTCTAGTGAATGATTTTGGAGTTGGATATTTCAAATTCGACTATAACATCGAAGTCACCCAGGGGACTGATATTGACTGCTCCAGCCCGGGATCAGGGCAACTGGGTCACAACCGCGCGTACTTACGCTGGGTCAACGAGCTGTATGATAGATTCCCTGACCTGGTCATTGAAAACTGCTCCAGTGGTGCCCAGCGTATGGACTACGCTATGCTTGCAACTCATTCTCTGCAATCAACAAGCGACCAGCAGGATTCGGATCGGTACGCGGCCATTTCTGCTGCGCTGCCGACAGCTGTTACCCCGGAGCAGGGCGCAACTTGGGCATATCCTCAGCCAGAATGGGATGATGAAACCAATGCGATGACGGTTGTCAACAGCTTACTGGGCCGTATCCATCTCAGTGGCCGCCTGGATATCTTGCAGCCGCACCAGTTTGATATAATCAAAGAGGGAATGGATGTTTACAGGTCGATTCGCGCGGACTTGACGACAGCGACTGCATTCTGGCCATTAGGGCTCCCACATTGGCATGATGACTGGCTTGCACTTGGGATGGCAGCTGCGTCAGGGGGGAGGTATTATATTTCTGTTTGGAGGCGAGGTGGTGCTGATACTGTTGAATTGTCGGTGCCTCAGCTGAAAGGGCGTGAGGTCAAGGCTGGGCTGCTCTATCCTGCTTCTTTTAATGCAGAGAGCGAGTGGAAAGCTACAGATGGTGTATTGAGGGTCAAGGTCCCGTCGGAGCTGTGTGCTCGACTATTCAGGTTGACCATTGTCTAACTTGTGCCATTATGCATCATGACCCATATTACATATGAAGTAGTATGCTTCGTTCAGCACCCCTTGACCCCTATATCGTCAAAGACTGATCATAAAGCAGACGGCTTCTTACTGCTCTCTTTGTACTCTGACAAATACCTTGTTAATTCCATTGAATTCTAAACAATATGCCTTTTCATTGTTGGTACAACAACAACTGCCCTATAAATGCATTCTATTCCTCCATGAAAAATCGACTTCACCAGGTCTTGACAATAGTCCCAGTGTCCTGACCCACCATCCTACAGCAATCGCAGGTATGACTCTCACCGCAGATGACTACAAAATCTACATCGGCATCGTGGACAAGAGTTATCACCGTGACCCAGCGGAGTATGTCATATCCCTGCATAAACTAGACCGCACAGTATGCCACTTATTCTTCGCACCGGTATCCCGCCACAATCCATCCGGACCCAGGGTGAAGGCTGCAGAAACATGGAACCGCAAAGAGGCAAACCACAGACACTGCGATAACCTACGGGATAAGAAGTTTGTTGGATACCTCAAGCATAGGAATTTGCGTCTGTTTTGTAGGTGTTTCGAGTCTGTCCAGTCCTCTGAAAGCCAGTTTACCATGTTTCGCTTCCTGTGGAGATGTGTGGATGAGGGCATCCTGGGGGAAGAGGAGGTTTGGAATGTTATGCCGAACTTTGAGTTTGGGCCTGAGAGTCGGCGGTATATTGACTGTGGTAGGTAGGGTGTCAGGGTATTTCACATATTAGCGCAATATATTATCAAGTATTACACTCACATTTCTGTACTATGTAGTATGAGTATTTGAGTATCGGGAAAATCTTCATAGATATACCTGGATATTCGCTCCATCGTGATCAGGGCATCCGTGGGGTCTTCTATGGGCCTCTAAAGTCTTCATAGGCGATATATACTCTCACCCTGTAATAGATGCATCGTCAAACCACAGAAACGTCGAGTCAAAGTCAAGTGGAAATTCGCCCATATCAGTAGGCCCGGCAATTGAAACAGGCTGCGTCAGGAATTCTTCCATCGTGGAGCTGTGAAGAGCCATGCTAGCGCTGATATCCAGATTCGGAAATATAGATGGCTCGGCAGTGTTTATTGGAAATCCATCGACAGGTGGATTATTATTTGATACATTGCAATCATCACGTAGTATCACTGTGGGATTTAGGTGGTGGTTCTGGGCATTTTCGGTCGAATTTCGGTAATTCTCCAGCCACTCTCGAACAAACTGAAGCTTCCCATGCAAGTCCTTGGCAGCCAGGTTATTTGACTCGCTTAGAACCCGGAGCATCTCGATTCCGGTTTCTGCAGATGCAAGATCGCCTGCGCTTCCTATAGGCAAAAGGCTTGATCCTATCAAGACCAATGAAGAAGAGAATATGAAAACTGGGAAGGCGTATCCAAATATCGCAATTGACCCACTGGTCCACTCATCCTGACATAACTTCAGTGAGTATCGTGCAACGTGGATGCATGCTTCACCCAGTGTAGTTAAAACAGGAGTGACATCGTCGCTGAAGGAGGGGCGCTTCTTCAAGTGGCGGGTCAGCAAATTAAGCAAGACAGGACGAATTGTCAATGTGACAATCTATTATTAACGTTAGTAATTTCTCGGCTGAGTAGACAATCGACTCACGAAGCTAAACTGCAGATGCATGAGGACAGTGTGTTTAGGGTTGGCCGTATCCGGCTTCAGCTTCAGATGTTCAGGCAGAGATTCCACCCAAGCCTTCAGCTGGGTCAGAAGCCTCTGTTCACGTTGCAGAAAGCAGTCGTTATGTTTTCTCTGCCCGTATATCTCTTTCGTCGTGTCTCCTGTCATTCGAGCAAGTTCTATAGTCGCAGTCTGGTATGCGCTATCTGAAAATTGGCCATCGTCAATTTGAGTGGACGGTAGATCGACGTGGATATCATCGTCGTGAATCTGTACAGGAAACCCGGACTTGGAACCCCAGAAACGGTCGAGCACATAGATAGACCACCAGATCCTGACTCGGTGCTCGCGATCTTTTGCACTTATGTTCTGGGTCCTGGGGAGGTTGTGGTTTAGGCCAGCACTAAGACCCAGCCGGAGTGCATTTCCTATGAGTATATAGGCGGAGTGGAATCTATTCAAGAATTGACAAAAATACGCCTTCGAAAGTTAGCTTTAATAGTAATAGAGGATAAAAAGATACACACCAAGAGGAGTAGACTCTCAATATGTAACATGCTCGGTCTCTCTGGGATTACCTGGATGAGATCCAGAGAGCGAGCAAAATACCCTGTTCCAGGAATATAAGACGTATTACCGCGGCCATTTGACATTGAGTAGACCTGTCCTATGGCAAATAAGGCAAAGTACTTGCATTTCAATATAGAGTCGTCGAAGCTTTCTTTTTGATAAACACTTGAAAGCACGTCGACGGTGTCCTTTCTCAACGCTAGGTGAAATGCAGGATTAATATGACCAAGCGCCGTCTTAACAAGTAAATGTGCATAGGCCGGACTTGGCCAGTTGATATCGGCGTGCAATGCAAGGTTCAAGGTCGATTCATCGGTGTAATTCCATCGCGGAATATGCAACGCTGGCGAGTCAGTGGTCTTGAGGCATTGACACAGCTGAGAGGCAAAGACGAGGCAGGAAGCCCCGCTGGTATATATTGGAAGAACAGAGGCATCTTCAGATTGGAACCACGACGCCTCTCCGGTATAATTCTGGGCTGTCGGTGGACTACTCTCATGCTGTCGGTTATCAGCAGCGTCGGCGGTTTCGGCGCATGTATTGTGCTGTGATCCCCCATTTCGGAGTTTATCAAGTTCTCTGCTGTCTTCTATCAGCTGCTCAAGATACCTATATTATCATTATTATTTGCTCAACATGTCCTTTTGGCCGAATCATACTTCTCACCAACACGGACTTTGCGGTCGCGATCTGCATATCTACACTGGGCGGCGTATCCAGTCCTTCGACACCTCGAGCACGGTTTCTCGCCTGAACACTTGCTCTTCTGTGAATGGCACCGGTAGCAACTGTGACATTAGCTTCCACTCACCCATTACGCAAGTTGTTCCCGACTTACGCAATGGGCCTCTTCTGGGGGGTTGCTGTGGCAGCTTGGCCGGGGTTTCGATGTCTTTGCCGACTCTCCGCCATCTTTAGTGACGTGTGATAACGTGTCCAGACACCGGTTAATAAAAGCAATGGTTTCAACGCAGTCTTGCACAGCAGATGGAACTGAATGCTGGTCGGCCTCTTTCAGGTTCGCCGGTGTGGGGCGGTCACATGATTAGATTAATTACAGTATCTGAAGATACGGTATTAAAAGGCAGGAGACTTCATTGGAGTCTTTATAGTAATCGATAATTAAGATCTCTGGCAACTAATACTGAAGTTACAGATGGCTGTTCACAACTTCGAGCAAAGGGGGGTACAGTATTGTGAGCTCTTGCCTCCGTAGACCATCCAGATTCGAATTTATATATATTGAATTCTATCAGACCCATATTCGATATACCTCTTAACGCGATATTATAATTCTCATGACCAACCCACCTAACTCTGTATACTTAGGGGCACTTCTGTCAGCCGGTAAAAGATGCCCATCCCCATTCGCAATCAGCGCCTCAACAAGAGTACACCGTCTAACATGCCAGAATCCCAGCCTCTCATAAAGCCTCACGGCAGAGGCATTGCTCTCCTTGACAATAAGATCAAGCTGTGCCGTCTCAGGCTGAGGTCGATAACCTTGGATGAATCGCATGACCTCCTGGCATAGCTTCACTCCGAGGCCTTGGCCCCTGTATTCAGGAAATGTGAACAGGCTGAGCATGTGCCAGCGTTCGTCGCTTTCTGGGACAGCGTTTTCTGGTGTGTGATTTTCTGACAATGGCTGTGTGGATAGGGGGCCGAGAAGGGTGACTTGACCAACCCACTTCGTAGGGCCTGTAGGAGGGATTGCGGCGCAAATGAACGTTTCTCGTCCGGGACTGGTGAGGCTTTGTATCCATTCCTCATCGGTGAACGCCGCCTCGATCTCCTGTGTGGAAGCGAAAGAAGCTGGAGACGCTGCTAACGCGCCGAGTCGGAGGTTTCGGTAGTTGCGGGCAGAGGTAGCAACATGCTCGGTTTTGGAGATGCGGAAAATAGAAAAATCATTATCCCAAGTCATGGCAGTATTTCTTGAAGACAAGGATTAATCAGATGGATAATCAGGAACTTTTTCCATATTATAAGTTGGTCGGCTAAATATAATATGACCGAGTGGAGAACCTCCGGCGTTCTAGAATTTGGCCGATATATACACTTTTGCCCGAGTTGATATGATCAGAATAAATTGCATGCTAAACAGAAGGTATCCCGAAGGACCTATACCTGCTCTAATGCCAGAAATGCGAGTAAATAAACAAGGTATTAATTTACCACAAGCTAACTATGAAGGGGATTAACGTCGACCAAGCACAGGGGAAACATGGAACAACCAATTCGAATAATTAGAACCAATGGAGAACACGATTCGCACGGAAACTATTCATACTCCTGGCGAAGCATTGCAATACCGTCACTGTCCAGTATAACTAGAGTACCTAGCAAATTATCTGTCAGTAAACATTCAAAATATTAAGGCGAACTAGGAAGACAAGAAGTATTGGAGCATCTCACCTCCAGATCCGTGCACACTTGTCACCACTACCAGTAGCGATCAGAGTATCCGTGTTGCTAACCGCAACAGATAGAACTAGATTGACGTCAGATAGGGCCGACAAACATACGTTCCTTGACACAGGCACAAACCAGAATTTCTATGCCCCTGAACGAGCATATGCGCAGTACCGGTACTTGGGTCCCAGAATTGAAATCCGTGATCCTTCGAGCCGCTTATAATCCAGCTGCCACCGGGAGTCCAGCAGGTCGTTAGGACGAAATCCTGAAAGCCCATTGTCAGTAACCACGTCAAAAAGCTTAGGATATTAGTCTGTTTGTTTACCTTGTGACCCTTCAATGTTCGTATACATGCATCACCAGTTCCTGGGTGTGCTCCTCTAGGTGGACCGAGTTCCCAAATCTTCAAAGTATTGTCAAGACTTCCGCTGACAATATTCCGACCGTTCGGTGAGAATGCAACACAGTACACACTGTTGTCGTGGCCATTGGGTCCAGCCAAGCGCTCTACCATGGTCCCAGTAGCAGTGTCCCACACCTGGGCATTCATATCAAGCGACGCAGCAGCCACATACCGGCCGTCCGGTGATACAGCGACAGCGGTCACGCCACCTTCAATATTGAAAATGTGCACAAGCTCACCGCTTAGAATATCCCACAGGCGGACTGTTTTGTCTCCACTGCCAGAAGCGAGATATCGGCCGTTACCGGCAAAGGTGAGGGAGTAGATATCTTGTTCATGTCCAGGGAAGGTATGCGTGATAACACGGGCACTAACATCCCAAACCTACAGCAGCAAAGTCAGCTTCAACGGTCTTAGAACAGGCCAGCAAGGCCTTGGAACCAAATAGAACAAGTCCTGTTGATACAGAGGAATAATTAGACAATTCTCTTTAGCTCTTACCGTGACGATTTTGTCCTCTGATCCGGTCGCCAGGTACTTGCCGTCGGGACTGAAGCAAACGCTGCGGATGTAGATATCGTGGCGCTGGCTAAGACGATCGTCCTGTAGAGTGATGACATTCTCCCCTGTTGTTACATCGAACATCCTAACCATCCTGTTGCAACCTGTGGCAAGGTATTTACCATCAGGGCTGAAGCTGACGCAGCAGGCCACACTATCGTGGGCTAAATGATGGACAAGCTCTATATCCAGTACCCTTGGCACCTCCGGATTGAATACCGCATACCAACCTCTTCCCTCTTTCTTTTGGGAACTGGAAAGATTAGCTCGGCTCAAATCCGCCAATATGTTAGGCTGATGCCCGTTAGATAGTAACGGCTTTGTCTCCTGGTCGCCTGCGGAAACTGGAGTACTGGGTAGCCCATCACCGTTAGGTAAAGTAGGTGGTGGAAGGGTATAACCTGTATCAAAAAATAAAAGGAGAATCAGAGACTGCGAAATGTCGTACAAATAAACTACCACGTACCATTCTGATAGTGTCTCCATGGTGACAGGGCCGGCCGGTGGACTCCGGGAGGGGCAAGATCGGAGGAAACAGTTGTCACACCACGAGATTGGAGCTGATATCGCAAGTCCTGAATTTCTGCCTCATAGCTAATCCAAACAAACTTTAGTGCTCACGAGACTGGTAGAGGGTGTCTCCGAGGCTGGGGGGTGCGTACCTCTCTCTCATCTTCAGCTGAGCTGCTAGTAACTCGGAAATCTGCTGTTGGATCAGGTACATTTCATGGAGTTGATCAGCTACTGGTTGGTCCCATTAGCAGGCATTCAAGGGAAGCTCCGTCTCCCGGTCGAATTTAACTCAGGCTGAATTGCGCCTCTGTTGAGAAAACTGCATTGCAGAAGACAGGAGAGTGTAGGGAAATTATTCCATTTTTTTAAGCCGGTTGGGTCAAGCTTGGTATGAAACCGGGTAGAGCGATTAAACAATAGCAAGGAGAATAATATGAGAGGAAATGAAATCCGTGAGGGAAAGCTGTGTTCTTCGACTGATTCAGAGGCGGAGTGGGGTTCCAAGCAATGAAAAAGGGAAAGGGGGTAGGAGGTGGGGCAATTTTTAGGGTGGAAAAGAATGACGCACACTTGTATTCATATTCAGCAGAGGCCCTGGACTGGTTCTGGAATTCTTGGTGTATCTGATCGAGGAGTACCGACGATCGCGAAGAAGACGACGGAGCCATCGTGTGATTGGTGTTGTCCATGGTGATGCTGCTTTGTCTTGGAGTGGTCGATGAAGCGGAAGCTGAGGGGATGATGAAAAGGGACAAGAAAGAGGGCAGATGCAGGGAGCGGATTAAGTAACTGAACTCTAAACATGGCCCGGATGAACCCTGCCTCGCAAGGGAAAAGGAAGATGGAAGCTTCTTCAAGAGCGGCAACCTTATCGGAGTCCCTGCCGAATACGAGCGGCAGGAGAGCCTCGTACTGCTTTCCATTCTGGGACTGGTGCCTCGGAACTTGCCGAGGGCGCTATTCCCGACTGGACGCTCATTAACTGATTTCTCTGTCGAAGTCAATGGAATTTGCAATTTCTACCAGGGAAATAAACGCTCAGGAACATGCGAAGATCAACTATGCTATCCTGAATGAAGTCCGCAGATGGAGAGGTGATTGCGGGTGGCAGCCCGTTGTTCCCGCCCACCCAATATGGCAATATCCGGGCTGGTTTGACCATTACAATTTATAACAAAATATAGTCTGGCTTGCACTAATACTAAAGCACATCTATTGCACTCGCGAGAGTAAAGCAGGTTGAGTAACATCACTTCCCCTCGACCTCACCCAGACATCCACAATCTCCCCCGCACCAGCATCCCGATCCGAGTCCACGACAAAGTAAAATGCGTAGAAGGCAGCTGCAACACAGGCGTGATTCGGGAAGATCTTCACGACCTGTCCTATACTGAAAGGGACCTTTCGCCCTTTTTCCTTCTGGCCCTCCCACGACACAATAGAGTGTTCCTGGCTGATCCGCTCCACAAACAGCCGAGACGAGCTATCTCGCAATTCATCTCCCTGTCGCCACGACGATATCACTCCCCAGCCCGGATAGCTAGGACACGGCTCTCTTCCCAATGCCAAAGTCCCCGCGGCGAGAAGAGCCTCCGGTTTGGCCCTCTCGCCGTCATTATAGACGCTGCAGACCTCCGCCAGCACAGAAATTGCAATCTCCTTCTCCGGGCCACTGCTCTTCCATCTAGCGTTTGTTGAGACTTGTTGCATGTCGAGTAGTGGATACACTCCAGCGTGGATCTCGACTTTGACCTTGACACCAATATCCTTTGCAAGCGGTTTATGGAGGAATTCCCTCAGCTCTGTAGCTTGGGTAGATTGGGAACTTCCCTCCTCCGGGGCCAGGTTCTGGGAGGACAGAGCCTGAGGAGTCGCTCCAACGCTGATAACCAGCTCCTCTCGCCCAGGAGTAAGTAGCTGCAGATGGTGCTCGAGAGCGTCCTTGCACCCGACAATTTCACTGACCAGGTACGCCATTGCCTGGTCGGGCGTGGTACCGCTATAGCTGAGACTACTGTGCGAATAAACTCCCAGCAGGCTTGCATGTCCGTTTTTCTCTGCTTCCGCCAACCTCTCGAGCAAACCGCCCTTGTTCAGTGCAGTCGGCGGCAAGCCCGCGCGGTGATAGCCCGTGTCAACCTTTAAGAAAACAAGCGCTGGGAATCCAGTAATCGCGGAAAATCGTTCCAGGTGGGGGATCTGGTCTGGGTGGTCGATCATCACGGAGACACTCCCTTTGCCGATCGCAAGGGCTGCCTTGGCCAGCCGGTTGACCTGTGAAGGGACGAGTGGGATTCCATAGAGAACATTAACAGGACGATTCTCAGCCTGAAGCTTTTTCAGCAATGGGACCAGGGTTTCAATCTCCAGGACGGTTGATGCGATGAAATTGGCGGGGATGTCCTTGTCTGCCACTTGCATTTCAGCGATCTCGTTGGTCTGCTGCGGTTAGTTCGTGTCAAAGTAGGCAATAAAAATGAGGAATCAACCTTATGTGATTTGACGTGAGCCCTGAATGCGACATCGAGGGCCTTCACGGTCCGCAGCATGTCCTTGCAGTGTCGTCGGATGATGGCCTGGTCGAGAACGATGGCTGGCTTGGGCACATCGCTGACGTCCTTACCGACGTAAGTATTCCTTAATTCCTGTTGTGATGCCATTGTAATTTCGGAGGGCTTGGTTGGCGATATCGAGTTGGCTGCGGTTCAGTTGGCGGGGTGGATGCTGTTATGATGAATGAGACTCCAACTGCCTCGCTCTCGCGCACTCAATGCGGTTAAGTGTGTCTCATTGTGGGGCAGAGAAGCGAATAAGGGTTGGACAACCCGACACAGGCATATCAGGACACAACCAACAGTGCTCTGACTATTACATATCGGTCTAGTCTTTATTCTTACTGTTTTTCTCTATACACTTCAGTTTCCATCAAATGGCCCACAAAGGGAAGTTGAAATCGGGATGAATAAGTCCACTTGTTGACCCAGTTCACTATAACGCTATTGATAGAGAATACAAAACGAGTCCTGCTGCTGCAGACAATAGCGGAATGCATGGAACGTGCCTTCTTCCAGCCGAGAATGTTATAGCTGGGCTGGCTGTATCGGCAATGAGACTTTGCGACGAATTGCGAGAATCAAATTCTCCGCTGAATGTGATCTCAATATCAGTCCTACTGGAGCCAACCTTTGTGGTTCTTGGCTTGGGCTCTTCAACGCCTGCATGTGCCTTGCCGATGGTTGTCGATGTCATGTGTAAAACAATGCTGTTGTTGGACAGAATGCCGCTGATAACAGAGCCAGGCTCTATCTTAGCGCTGGCGCCTTTGGAGGCGTCCCAACTGTCCTCCCCCTCCGAAACGCGAGTGCAATTAAGATCAGCTCTGGAAGAGAAGGACCAAAAGTGAATGCCCGACTCGCCCTGGCCATAGTACTCCCCGGAGTCCTTGATGTCATTGAACGTGCCGTTGAAGAATATCGTCCCGTTATTAGGACCCTGCGGGCGTGATATCAGGCGCAATCCGACAGTAGAATCACCAGGCACAGTTGACTCGCTGTAACTGACGCCAGTTTTGAACTTAAAGGCTGTGTCAGAAGGATGCCATTCATCAGAGCCCTCCTCACCGGACACAGTGTCACACGGTCGATAAACGTGCCACGCATCCGACTTGTCCGTGTCATTCGTTTCAAATGCCAGCATGCCAAATGCGAATTCGCCGTTATCCCCGTTCTGGCCCTGGAGATACGGTCCGATCCAGGCAACCGTTGGCAGGTAGAAGGTCCCATTGCACACTGTCTTGGGGTCCTCGCCCTCATCGGCGACATATTTGCCAACTTTCACAACTGTCTCGCCTGTCCATAGAGAGCCATCGGCTTCTCCGCTTCGATCTGGAGTGCGCCACGGCATCACTTCGTGGTCGGCGACCTGACACCCATAGCCGCTCGAACCGGCGACCGTATACTTGTCGCTGTGGCCAGGAAGGTCGCCCTCGTTAGGGTTGTGGGTGGAGTATTTCGCTGCATCTGCGAATACAGCCAGGACTGCTAATAATACGAAGCAGCTCGCTGGGCTGGTTGGTGGGCGCATCTTGAGAGCCGCCGCGAACGCTGACTCGATTCAGGGGCAAAAGGGCCCTCGCTGGGCAATCTCGTATTCATATGTTGACCACCCCGGACACGGCTTTTATTTCGCCCGGGAAAAAAAACTTAAATAATACGAGTGAGACTGTTTGTTGCCTCGGTTTTTACTTTTTACTCGTACTAAACAATGTTGGTGCGGTCAGGCACCACCTACGCGCCCACGATCAAGAACTGCCTTCTTGGACTCAATTAAATGAATAGAAGGATTAAATTCCTCTCTCTGGCATAGAGCAGGCACAGCCTGACCTGTCTCCAGTTTAAATAAAGGAAACCTAGCAGCGAGAATAACACTACCAGTCAGAGCCAGGCTGCATGTAGCAATCCTCCCAATAGACCTGAACCCTCCAGTGGTCGCCATGGTTAAGCTCTCCTGAGATGCCCTTGCCCTCCATACAATAATGTTTGATAACCTCTGCACCATCGGCGACATTATCCCACGACGGCAACTCGAATTCGCCCTTGTTCTATTCTCCTGTTAGCGCCTACCTCTCTCACACAAAAGGGTATAGGGATCAGGTATACTCACGTCGTTCAACCACTTGATCTTGGTATGGCCCACGCAGGCTGCAGTCTGGCCGCTCTCGCCTGGGAGGCTCGGCACCTTGTCCTTCTTGCCCTTTGGCCTCTCGTTGCGGATGTACTCGACCGCACGTTCGAGGTCCCCCTTTTTGCCGTCGTCCCAGCCGTCGGGCCTGCACTCGAGATCGTGACGCGACGTGGGCCTCGACCGTGCTGCGAGGGTAGCATTCTTGAAGTCATCGGTGAGGTTGTCGTGAGAAAGGATTTTGGTGTTTGCTGCGTCGCCGGTGGGGTGCTATACAGCCAAACTAATTAGCGGTGTTCTGGTAGTGGTTGTGGATATACGTACAGCAGAAGCCAGTGCCGCCAGGGCAGATAGGGCGAGGACGGTGTTGACGATGGGAGAACGCATATTGAGCTCCGATTGACTTTGACAGGTTGTGTAATCAGTGATTTGTAGAGTTTATGGGTTGGTTTGGGATCAATCCAGCAACCAAGGCAGACGGCCTTTATATCTAGCCGACGTAGCAGGGGTGGTTAATTATGGCGTGAAAGAAGTAGCTTTTTGTTATTCGTCTTGGAGTTTCAGTCTGGAGTGTTAAGCATCCAGTGACCGAAACTTGTCTTTGTTGTGGAAGAGTGAAAGAGTTGTGTTACCAGCACTGCCTGGTTCACTAGACCACTCAATCATTAGACTTTAGTGAATCAAGGAGGCTAATTGAATCTGTGTATTTATTCACTGTCCACAGCTCAGTCCTATCTCCTGGTGTTAATCAACAGTTTTAATGGGCTTATTCAACAGGAAATCATAAAATAATCGCCATCTTCCCCAACAGCAGAGAATGACTGCGAATGAAGTATTCACAGTCTTGGGCGCAAATGCTCCAATAAAGCAACCCACAGTCAACATTGCATGAGAAAATAACTCTCCGATTCCGAGGCTGATTATGCACCTTCGCCAGTCCCGGGTCAGCAACAACCTCTATAAACGCCGCTGTAGCCCTCGCAGTCGTATTGTCCGTTATCCTAAGAGACCGCTCCAGAGCAACATGCGCCCCCGAAGATAATGCAAGAGAACGATAGCAATAAGCCAGCCGGGATTTCCTCGCGTGTTAACGGTATACTGAATCGCAGCAACGGCATAGACCAGTGCCGTCTGTAGCGTACTACTTACTTTCGAGCAGTGCCCGCTATTCAAGCTAATTTCCAAGGGAGTACAGCATTATACTTTGTTTAGATAAAATAGATATCCCTTTCCGAAATATCTAGTCTCTAATTCGTTCGCCGCACGATGAACCGTTTCAATCTTTGTCGCCGGTGGATTAGTTAAAAACCGCGCCCGAATTAAATATCAGCCCAGAGCATTATGCAGGCAATAACAAGCTATAAATTTGTCACAGTCAATTAATTATCATGACTTACACTTATTTATCAGGTTTGCCTGGTACTGCGCTTGTAACAGAATGGGCAGGACCATTGAGGGTTAGTATGATGCAACCTGTATTATTTCAGTTGGCTATCCGAATATACCCTTGTGCCTCGCACAATTACAGACGGCGCTGACGTCGTGGAGCCCGAATGCTTCCATACCGCGACGATAACATCGGGACTGAACCGGATCTGGGCGAGAACACGAGTACGACCAGGTTACCCTTTACGGGCGTGGGTCGAATTAGTCTTGACCCACAGTGTTTCTTCATACCCCTGGTACCTGGCTAAAAGATCCCCGGATGCTTTGGCTGTAGGCAGATGTATTTAATTAGAGATTTTTCCTTCAGGTCGAGAATCCGTATTCGTATATACCAGGTATAAATACCGGGCTGCTCTCAAATAATTCCTACTTCATGGTTCAGTCCTAGTATACGTTCTCCAAAATGCGGCCTCATATTCCCCTATCTCTTGCCCTCCTATCAGCGACGTCTGTGGGAGCAGCCTCAACCTGCAAATCAACGCCTCAAGACTCAACCTGGCCAGCCCCTGAAGAGTGGAAGTCCCTCAATGCTTCCATCAACGGAGCTCTTATAAAGACAGCCCCAGCTGCCTCGTCCTGCTACCCTGGAAACCCATTTAGCTCGACCCAGAACTGCACCGATGTCACCGACCACTGGTCCTATGCCATGTACCACGCTGCGTGGCCCGAAAGTGTCGACTACTCCATATTCACAAACCACTCGTGTCTCCCCCCAACTGTTGACGGATATGTCAAGGCCAGAGGCTGCAGTATCGGCGCTTTGCCGCAATACATCGTCAACGCTACAAGCGAGAGCCAAATCGCCACTTCCATGAAATGGGCATCATCGCGGAATATCCGCATCGTCATCAAGGGGACCGGGCATGATATGAACGGCCGGTATGTTGCGTCACCCCTTTACCCAGGATACTTTATTTACTGATATCGATGTCCTAGTTCTACTGGCGCATACTCACTATCAATCTGGACTCACAATCTAAATCACTTCAAACATGACCCGCACTGGCGCATACCCGGTACCAACAGCACCGCAAACGTGGCCATCCTCGGCAGCGGCAACAACTGGGGCTCTGCATATACAGCAGTACACAATATCCGCCGAACACTCGTCGGCGGCGAGGACGCAACCGTCGGCCTCGGAGGTCTTATCCAGAATGGTGGCCATGGCCTTCTATCCAGCACATACGGTCTTGCCTCAGACAATGTATACCAGGCCACGGTTATTACAACAGACGGACGCCGTCTCATCGCAAACGACGTACAGAACCAGGACCTGTTCTGGGCCATCCGCGGTGCGGGCGGTGGTCAGTTCGGTGTAGTCACTGAATTCGTTTTAAAGACGCATCCAGTTCCGGATAATGTTGTCACTGGTGGACTTAGTTTCCATGCAGCTGATGGATCCAACGCTACCGAAGCTACCTGGGATGCACTCGTCGAGACTGCAAATCGCATTCCAGATCTCATGGACACCGGTCTTAAAGGAACCGTGATGGGCTTGACCGGAGAGTCCGCGCAAAGCTATCTGGGGATTAAAGACAAGATTTCTGGAGCCGCAGCAATCATCAATCTGACTGGCTTCAACACCACAGTTGAGAAAATGAACTCAACAGTGAACACACTCGCAGCTCAGATCCAAGCAGCCGCTCATGGGAAGATAACCATAACCCCCCAGCCACCGTCATCTAAAAGTTACTGGGCCTCCACCAAGCCAAATCCTCTCGCAAGCCAATCCAGCGGCGCCAGCGGCATGATCACCAGTCGCCTCCTCGGCCGGCCTGAGCTAGTCGATCTACCCCATGCCGAGCTACGGCACTATCTACAGCAGATACTAAAAACTTCAGATGATGACTCCGGATCTATGGTATTATTCGGATTACAAGGCGGGTCTGGACCCGCTCGCACACCTGAAGAAAGGCGCGGAAGCGTCCACCCGGCATGGAGAACGGCATACGTCCACCTCATGTCCTATGGGGCCCCTCTAGACGCCACAGCCGACGCATCCAAGGCTCTGGCTGGAGCTGCCGAGTGGTATGAATCCCATATCGAGCCGGTATGGAGGAACTGGGCTCCTGGTGGTGGATCGTATGCGAATGAGGGTAATGTCTTCAGCAGTGCATGGAAGGAAGACTTTTACGGTGAGAACTATGATCGTCTGCTAGACGTTAAGCAGAAGTATGATTCTGGTATGAGTTTGTTTGTTTACGGTGGTGTTGGGAGTGATGAGTGGGAATATGATTTGCACAGTGGTCTACTCTGTCAGAAATAGGGGCCTTAATACAGGTTAACAACTCTTCCTGGGTAATAGGTCATTGTTAGCAGGTAGGCGGCTCCCACATCGCACTCGTCATCATATCCTTTAGCTTGTCACCGTCGATCCGGTTCACGTATGTTACTTCGCGGACCCCAGGCGGTTTAAGTTCCTCTCGATAGAGGCGGATGTTCCCATATCCCGGACTCCCATATGAGATATCAATATCAGCGTAGACTGTCATCAGTCAGTTCTAACTTGTCAAACGGATTATATTAATCTATACGTACGTGATGTCGTGTTGAGAGCAATTGAATGGTCAACCATCAAAGCTGCAGCCGTCTCGTCCCAGAAAGGAAACTTTGTACCATAGTGGTCATGGAAGAGCGCGGTATATGGATTCTTGACCTGGTATACTTCGTCCAGGTATTCCTGGGTGCATTGCACTTGATTTGCGACGTTTCCAGCAATGACTATATCAGGAAAATTGGCATTTATTGCGATCTTGGCTGCCTCAGGGTCACTCATCAAGTTGATCTGCGTGTCAATTATCAGCAGCTTTCCAGACAAAGAAGAATGTTGGCCTCATACATCAGAGTTAATGTTTGCCTGTTCCATGTCTCCGCCTGCTTGTAGCATGTTAAAATCCACATAACCGCCCATAATAACCAACTCCTTCGCCAGGCTCGCGAATTTCGGATCCATACGTACAGCCAGCGCAACATTCGTCAGAGCACCAGCCGCATATATAGAAACCTGATGCGGATACTTACGCACCATCTGAACCATAAAACTCGGCCCATTCGTCGAATTATCGAACTGCGTTTTTGGGAATCCTTCAACAAACGCCTCTTCCACGACCCTGTTCGGGTCGCCAGAAGCCGGATTCTTCCCCTGTTGCTCGGCGCTTATGTTCTGCAGGCCGAACGCGCCTTGGAATGGGAGTTTCCCGTGCACGGCCTCCCATGCTTGGAATCGCGCTGGGGTGTTGATGAGGGGCCATGTTGCGCCCTGATACACGGGGATACAGGTGAGGTTGCCGACTTCGAGATTCGCCAGGGCGTGAAGGCCACATTGTTTCTGCCATGAGTTTGCAGTGTCTATCTCAGATATTAACAAACACTCGTCCCGCTAGTAGACGTGATGGAGAATATAACCTGAAACTAGACCAAGTACTTCCATCCCACCCTTCATGGCCATGAGGAAGGGTAGAAAGCTAACCGCAAGCCAGTCATTATCGAGGATGGCGTATCGCTTCTCAGATTCAGCGTCGGTATCACCCAAAACACTGATTGCTGTAGCCAGAATTATTAAAGCTGGGAGTTGTATGGATGACCACATGTTGGCGAGGAATAGAGGGGAAGAATTTGGAGTCAACTGTTTCTGGCATGTTGGAGTATTTATAATTGACTCCGCACGAAGATCTGTGGAGACCAAATGGAGCATCATGGACTGTTACATGATCTTATAGGGCCTTCAGGACCTCCATGGCCACGATCTTTCCTTGAGTCCTTGCTTCATTCCTTGCATCTTTTCGTGGAGCGATGTGGCTGACCTCGGCAATATGATCTGTCAGGGGTTCTCCTTGAAGTGATATGTGGGTAGAGTTGGACTACTTTATTCAGTTATGCTCTTACAAGGGACGCAGTTTCCCGAGATTGACTCAACCATTGGAAAATAGTAGGAACTGATCGTGTTGTCTTTACAGCCCTAATCGGCTGCGATATACGTAGTGGTGAATTCTTAATAGCAGCACGTATTCTATTAGATCAAACCTCCCGATTAAGGTGCAGCTAAATATGGATTTCCTTTCGTCACAATAAATCAATCATTGAATCGAAAATAGACATTGCGGACTGGGTAGCAAAAAGAAAAAATGAGTGCATCATCCGTGAATCGAACACGGGCCTCATCGATGGCAACGATGAATTCTACCACTAGACCAATGATGCTGATCATGCAACTTTCTCCACTTTTTGTCTTTTTGTTTGGGCCTACATCTTTCTTACAGCTACGGGTTAATGTGTTCTTATCCAGGTCTTGCCAACACCAGTTGAGCACTCCAGTATAAGGGATTGTACTTCGAATTCATCAAGGGAAATAGGTATTGAATTCCGTCTGGAGTTCTCGGGCAAAAATGGAGCTGCTAGATCCTTGAGAGCTTTCCTAAAACTCTCCTTGAGGTTTCCTGGACACTGCTCTTGGTATCAGTATTAATTCCGATATGGAGCTTCCCTGTTTTCTATGACTCTCGTTCTATGTAAACATGGCATCTAAACATTCGCCCACTTCAAAGACTTGATCCAGATCTCACCAAAATACACATGTCTACTCACTATTCCAGCTGCATCCGTTCCTTCTGCTGCTGCTGCCTCATTCTGCAATATCTTCCATCCCCGGAGCGCCCACATACACGCCGCCGCAGCGATATACATAAACCCCGTAAACAGCTGAGTCCCAAGATAATTCCCCGTCCCATCAACAATCTCCAATGCAATCGCCTCGCTAAACGTACATGGTATAACAATAGCAAGCCACAGCAAGTTCAGACCAGAGGGCACGTTCTTAAGCCCAACGACCTCCGCCACGAGCGGCGCAATCGTTGCCCAGAAATTGCCAGCAAAGAGGCCCTCCACGAACGTGAAGAAGATCAATACACCGTAGTTGCTGGTATTGGTCCAAACAACCAGCGGAAGAACACCGGCAATTAATGTCATCGAGCCAGCCATGTTGATACGGCCAGTGACGTCGCTAAAGTATCCAATAAGCGGTCGACCAAGTGCCTGTCCCAGGTTAAAGAGGGCACTAGCAACAGAAGCCTGGGATGAATCAAGACCAATGGACTTTGCAAAGTTCGCCAAGGTGAAAATCAAGATAAAGTATCCCAGCATAGTGAACCCGCTGAATCCCAGGAGCAGGATATACTCCCACCTCTTGAACAGCATCATATCAAACGCACCCTGATTCGACCCGATGTCTTTATTCCGGTCCTTGATCAGAAGCGTGCAGCTCGTGTTGACCACAAAGGCAATGATGCCCAGAATTCTAAAGGTCCAGGTTAATCCCAGATCGTGAATCATGGCCGATGCCGCAAGCGAATAAATCAGACCTCCCATCCCAGCACCGGAGAGGGAGACGCCGCTCGCTAACGATCGTTTGGTGGTGAACCACTGCGGAACAACTGCAGCGGTTGGGATGAACAAGAGGCTTAAACCCATCCCGAACACAATCCCCTGCGTGAGAAATAGGTGCCATATCTGCGTCGCTGCACTCGCGCATAGCAGGCTGATTGTCTCGAGAACAACGCCGCAGAACATGGTCGGTCGAATCCCGATCTCGCGGACTGCGATTGTTGCAATCGGGGAGGTGAGCATCAGGACGCTGATGCTGAGTGAGCCCACGAATGCATACTGTAGAGATGTTGCTCCGGGGAAGATGTCATTGTCCAGGTAATATGCCAGGAAGACTGCGTAGGCGGAGTTGAAGCCCCAGGAGTGTGCGTTGATGACTGCAGCTGCGACAGTGCATACCCAGCCGTATCCGCCATCAGGGGGCTCATTGCAGACTTGTGCTTGCGCTGTGGATGGGGCGGAAGATTCAACTTCGTGAACAGTATTCACTCGAGAGTCGTCGTTGTCGTCGCATGTTCGGTCGGTCCTGGGTTCTTGAGACATCTCTAAGAAAGGTAAAGGAAGTCATGAAGAATATTCAAGATATAAAGTATAGAACATAGATGCAATTCAGTTTGCAGATTTTCGGTGTTTGAATATCGTGGGAGCTAACGCCCTCTATCAGACACCGGGAATGCCGGATTAGGGCTGCCCTCATCGATCGAGCTCGACTCCGAGAGCCCAGAGCAGCAGATTGAGTTGCATCCAGTCCGGCCTGTGGAATCCACCTATCCCTCCAGCCTTTTGCCTTCCCATACCTCGGTTATTGGCTCGTTCCATGTAAGATGCCCTGTATGATGACGTGCTCCTAGCCCGAAATCTGATTCTCATACTCCAGATTGCCCAGTACCTCACGTTAGCAACTTAATTCTTAATTCATAATGTCAAACCCCAGTTCCTAAAAAATTCAGTTTTATCTATGGTCTTCTAATAAACCGACATTGATTAATATCAGAACAGACGCCGCAATCACCGAAAGCCGGATCAATCACCGACTCTTTTCCTATAGGGTGTCCACCATCTAGTGAATACAGCGTTGGAAATGGGCGTCTGGGAAGCCTGTGAATCCCCGTATATTATTTATAAAGACTGGTCTTGTCATGGCTAATTCGTATATTAGTAGATGGCATGCTAAAGAAGTAGGTTTATAAGTTGGCCGAAGACCTTGAAGATTTTCATTAGTGGAGCACCGGCGAAAAAATATATAACAACGCGCAATAAGGCCCGGTCAATTAATATTGAGCCGGTCAACATTTTCATGAATACAGAATACCGAAACCCGAGGCTATATTACTTATTACCAATGATACATCACAAAAACACTGTACATGATATAAATAGTTGAGTTTCCGTCAACAAAAAGTACTAATAGGAAGCAGTTCGTAAGCCAGCTAATGCTAATTACCGCTGGTCTAGCAAAAGTTATCCACGTTTTTCATCAACTGGCAAGGTGGCCGAGCGGTCTAAGGCGCGCGGTTAAGGCTTCCTAACTCGGATCCCTCTCTTGATCTCATCAAGTTTCCGCGTCATTAATTTGGCGTGGGTTCGAATCCCACCCTTGTCATCTTTTTCTTTTCTTTTTTTTTTTCCATTCTCGCCCACGTACCTACCTATCTATAGGCACGCTAATGATACAGCTATCTCGATGACGCCTCATATGAAAGGGCTTATCGTGCCGAAGATGTATTTTGACACGCTTTCGGACCTATTTTAACACCTGCGATACCTCTCCTTCACAGCCATTATGACATTGCACGATCAGCAATGGGTAAGAACTGGACAAAGTCAAATGGGAATAATGCGTTTCCAGACTGCTATAACCACTATCGAACATATCATATTTCATAGTACCCTAACTTCGCCGCCGAACCTTGACATCAATGGCAACCGGCTTATGCAGCCAATATGAAGTCGTATGCATCTCATCACTCGCAAGTTCCAGGGCAAAGGAAATTAAAAGGCGCGGAATGGCCTTGTAGACTTCACACATGGCAATCTACACAATTCAGCACCAGCTTATACAAATAATTGGGGTGAATAACTTACATGCTTCCCTAGACAAGTCCTCGATCCCATGCCAAAATGCATAATATACCGATCCATCTCGACTGCATCCCCTTCTATCCAGCGCTCAGGCCTGAAGACATCTGCATCGTCGCCGAAAACCGTCTTGTCAAATTGGACAATGGCCGGGTTGACACCAATCCTGGCATTCCCAGGAACCCAGTGCCCGCCGATCTGGCATCCAGATGGCGGTGCATGTCGTGGGAATGAAACTCCTGTTACAGGGTGCATGCGGATTCCTTCTTTGATGCAGGCAGTCAGGTATGGGAGCTTACTGGCCTCGTTATATGTAATCGGGATCGTGAGCTGGTCTGACTGCACCGCGGCATCGATTTCAGCAGTGAGTTTTGCATAAACCCGAGGGTCACGCAGGATATGGTAAAGGATCCCAGAGAGGGTCAGGGCTGTTGTTTCGCTTCCTGCAAAGCTGTTGGTTGTCTTAGCCATTAAATCCGTAACACGCTGTGCCTTTTGGGGACATACAATGCACCAAAGGCCTCCATTTTGATGTCGTCCAGAATAAAATCAAGTCTCTCCCCATCCTTGCGGGAGATGTCTAGCAGTTTCCCCAGAATGTCCGCTCGTTGTGGTTTTGTAGACACTGAGTCGAGGGCCGCCAGTCGACTTTTCAGCATTGCATTTGTTGCATCGGTCAAATCGCCCAGGGCTTTTAATGCACGACGCACTTTCGAGAAGAGTATCCCCGTAAGCATGAACAGGCCACGGATATAAGTTGGCATGTTTGCAGCCAGGAACTGGATAGGGATCAAGTCGTCCACAGCCTGGATGTATCCCAGATGGTCGCCGCCTTCTTCAAGGAAGCCAAACATCTTGCTAAAGTAAAGCTCGCCGACGACATCATAGGCGTACCTGATGGAGTATTATCAGATTGGAACTATCGTAGCAGATAGATAAGTAGTGCCTACATTCGAGTCCATAACCACAGGTCAAATGATTCCTTCCGATCGGCCATATCCCCCAGCTTCTTGATCCAAATGTCGATGCACTTCTCAATATACTGCTCCGACTGGAGGATACTGGTCATTGAGTAGACATTTGTCACAATCCGCCGACGGTCAGCGTGCTGCTTTCCGCCAGCAGAGGAGAAGTGGTCTGGATATCGCGCTGCCAGGTCTCGTCAGTTGGATTCCTGCATTTGCAAGGCAAATATACGCACCCCAGGGTGGTCGGAAAGCTAGATAGAAGTCGGTCTGATGGTCAGTAAACATATAACACTCTGAAAAGGAAAAAAAAATCACCTTTGCAGTGGACGACTTGACGCCGTAGAGCGTTTTGACTGCTTGCGGATCGCTGGTCACCAATTCATTCGGTGCGATGCGCACAATGGGTCCTATACGTTTCAGCTAAGGTCTATAAAACTATACAAAGGGATATACCGTATTTATCATGCAATTTCCTCTGCGTTTTTTCGGAATCGCCAGGGAGGACATGGAGAATGGTGCAGACTCGCGACACGGAAGCCCAAAACGGGCCAGGAAACCTTGAGAGAGGATGGAACCATCGCGCGTAGATGATCCACACACTCACGTACGTTAGGAGGCCGATGATCGCGTTCTGCGCCAGTGTCGCCGTATTCAACGTGGCAAGATCCATCGCGGGCGGGAGAAATTCGATGCAATGGAGGAAAACCTGCAGCCTTATGGCGTAGAATTTATGGCGCAACTACACAGAATCCAGGCCTCACAGGTTCGTCTATTTTCCAAAACTACCATCAATGCGAAACAGCCGTCGTGAGATGTGGCGGGCAGTCGGCCGTAAGCGAAATGTTCGACAAGCCGCTATTTGTTAATCCTGGTCAGTTCACGATCTGTTCGCCAACGAGATCGCAGATCTGGTGCCAGAGTTGGCGCTAACGCATGGATGGCAAAAGGGGGGACTCAATCAAAATTATCATCGATAAGTGCGAATGGTGTAAAAATCTGTGGACATCGGCGGTTGTTGGAGTTGGCCTATATCCATCTCTTTGCTTGCTTCGTCTCCGGATACTGGACCTGAACCAAACCATTGTGGCCGCCACCATGTTCTTGGCTCGTATATTGAGTCTCTGGGCTGTAGTGACTGTAGTTGCATCGCAGGAAATGCCGTCGTGCGCGGTAGGTTGGACCGACCTGGTTGGTATAATGGACTAACATCGTCGAGGCCTCATGCATGGAAAAAGGCATCGTGGATTCATCCTGCTCCCCGACAGATACACGCTGCATCTGCGAAGACCCGGCTCTGCTGGAAAACATCAGTGGCTGTATTCTGGGGGCATGCACGGTGAAAGAAGCGCTGAGTATGGAACCACCACCGTCTCACTGACAGTGCTGACTTGAACAGCATCGCAGAATGCTTCGAATACAATGTGCGGAGTCGAGCCTCGCGATATCTCTCACATCACGCCCATCGTCACAAGTGTGTTTATGAGCCTTGCGATAGCTGCCACGGTTGTTCGGTGCTGGGAGTCGCGCCGGCACTTTGGGCCAGAGGATGTTTTTGCTATATTGGCATTGGTATGGCACCGTAGTGGTGAGACAGAGAAGGAAGAACTGATGCAGAATAGTTATGTGCCATTCCAATGGGTTCGCTCGAATATCCGAGTAGGTCGTTCCTTCAAGTGCAGACCACATCCTGATCTTGTTAGTGGCTAGAGATGGCTATGGAAAGGATATCTGGACGCTTCCATTCGACAACATTACGCGCATCGTGAAGGTATGCTCCTACGGCCCTACTCAATATGCAATGGCTCACTTCCCAGTTCACATGGATCCTGCAACTCTGCTACACGCCTGCCCTCGCCTCTACGAAAATGGCCTTCTTGTGTCTGTATCTGCGCCTCTTTCCGAGCGAAGGCATCCGCCGCGCCAACTGGGTGCTGATTGCTATCAACATCGTTTACTTCTTCGTCTTCACCTTCGGGATTGCTTTCAACTGTCTTCCTGTCACGTACATCTGGAACAAGTGGCACGGCGAAGCTAAGGGATCATGCCTCAACTTCAACATATTTGGTATTTGCAACGCGGCAGTGAACATTGCTCTTGACCTGGCGGTTATTGGCCTCCCGCTCCACAAGATAGCAGGGCTTTCTGTGAGCTGGTCGAGGAAGATTATGCTCTTGTGGATGTTCGGTCTTGGATTCTTGTATGTTGCCTTGTCTGCGTACCCTTGTTTGACCTATCTGACTGGTGTCAGTATAACGATAGTCAGTATCCTGCGGCTCAGAGTCGTCATCACCTATGGAACAACCACCAACGCTACATGTATAGCCAACTCCTTTAGCCCAATTAACATTGTTCTCTACCCAGTCCAAGTAAACTAACAAGCCGCTTTAGATGATACTGTCCCAACTTCCTACTGGTCTATAATTGAATGCTTCACCGGCATCGTCTGCATCAATCTGCCTCCGATCCGTCGGTTATACCGCAAAATCGCCCACCTCTGCTTCGGATCCCCGTATACAGAAGAAGAGCAACTCTATCGGGATATCACTCCAGGACGCTCGTCGTCTAGGAGGAGGAGGAGGAGGTCGCCTCTCGAGCTGTCGGTATTGGGGACGATAGATACCACGATTCGCCGCGAGAGCCCTGACAGGGATACCGAGTACCTAGTGCATGAGCCTGATAAGAAGGAGTGCAGGAATTAAGGGTGATACAAAGTTTACTGTTGAAGTAATATTACACCTTTTTAGTGAAATGGCCAGCCTTCGACCTTGGGTTCTTTTGTCAACGTGTATGTCTGACAACTATGTCCGTAGGAAAATGCGTGTTAAGCCGGATAAAAGCTTACAGGATACCGGTATTGGGTTAAATTGGGACTATATCGAATCATTTAGGCATCACAGCTTCTCCCATCCCCCGCTGTAGGCCACGAATAGCAAGCATGACACCCCAGGCCCGGGGACCAGGAGGAAGCTTGCGATTCTCGTCAAAGCCTGCCGCTGTACTTTACTAATATCCGACCGAGCCTATCATAGCCCATAACTATACAGAAACGTCCCGCCGCTCGTGAGCGATGAGTGCAGTTATCCAAACGGTGAACCTCGGACCCTTTTTCGGTGGCACTGCCGTCCTGTACTTGGGCAACTCTGGAGTGTGTCAATCCTTCTGAGTGGTATGGGGATCTTGAACTTGCTTTCCTGGTACTTAAGTCCCCTTATACAGGCGAGATACGTAGGACAGCTATGAAAAAGGATGACTAGCGGGGTAGAGCCTCGTATCTGCTTCTTGGCTTGGCAGGCTCCTTTCAGATTTTTCTTCCGTCAGCCTGAATTCTCCATTTGAATGACTTTCTGACATGGCTTTGAATAATTCTTTACTGGGCCCCTGGGAGGGGTTTGCTTCTGACTGGGATGAAGGAATGGAGAATGAAGGGAATGACTACTTCCGCTTCCTTGAACTTCCTATTCTAGAAAAGCTAGTTGAACGACCAGAAGGATTCCGTGCGTTAGACCTTGCAACTGGTAATGGCTTAGTGGCTCGCTGGTTAGCAAAGGAAGCTGCTTCTGTTACTGCCACCGACGGTGCTCTTTCGATGCTGGACCGTGCAAGGGCGCGAACAGACAGCTCTATATACGGGGGAAGGATACACTACCGCTGCCTTGATGTCACAGACCAAGCATCCTGGGATAGCTTCATCGCAGACAACACGGACCTAGTGGTTAGTTTAGGCCTTGTTTATTGGCGAATTCCGCTCGCAGATTCACAATCTAACCCTCGCATAGAATGGCGGTTTCGACGTCATTACCATGAATATGGCTCTGATGGACATCCAGGATCTGGGGCCGCTGTCAAGGTCTCTGAAACTACTGCTCAAGCCAAATGGCTGGTGAGTGCCACGCTTTCTCTTCAAATACAGCTCTGACAACTCCCTTAGTTTTGTTGCTACTCTGCTTCATCCACTGTTCTTCACATCTGGGGCAACCCGCCAGATAATGGTCCACGAAGACCCAGAGACAGGCCAGCGAGTAGTCAACCGCTCTATTGTCATGACCAAATACTTGAACGTCCCTCCAGCCAGGCAGTTGGTTTTCAAAGAGGGGCTTGAGTCGCCGGTCAGTAAATCAGTTCAAAAATGACATAAATTAATAACACGTATTAGTACATGTTCCATCGACCTTTAAACCAGCTCTTCGCTCCATTCTTCCAAGCAGGCCTCACCATGGATGCGCTTGAGGAGACCAATTTCGATGAAAGCTTCTGCGATCCTTTACGTGAACACTCGTCGAAGAACTTTACTGAGTTCCCGAAGATACTTGGCTTTAGAATGAGGCTTCCATCAAATCTTTGAAGAAACCGCAAGGCTTTCAAACTTCACAATCTAGTTACAGTTTGGAATTCATACCTAAATGGGGTCATTCTTAATGCTGAATAGAGATACTTGTATTTTATAAGTACTATTCATGCTGGAAAAATGGAGCGCAAGCTGAAAGAAATTAAGTTTATATTCATGAGTCCTGGTCCTGGACATAGCAAATTCCATATTATAAATATCTTGAAAGGAACAAGCCCCTCGTGCGTGGAAATTAAAGTAATCGGGTTCTAGTTCGCTTATGATACGTCTGCTAATCATGGTAATTAGGATGTTACGCCAAAACCTCTGGGAACCGATAAGAAGAAGTGGCTGTAGGGACTAGTACATAAAGAATAATACCTATTCTATACACGTAGAATTATTCTTGGATATCCGGGGCGGACTAGTTGAACCCGGTTACCTTGGTAATCTCGCTGATAATGCTTATTTTATGTGGCTCCACGCTATTCGCTTTGGGAGGCGTTAGAGGAAAAAAAAATTAAGTAATATAAATGAGATGTTTCAGTAATAGACTATGCACCACCAGGACCATCCAGGTTACCCTCAGGATGCGAGTTGTATATGCCTTTGTGCGAAGCTCTGTTATGCCCGCTTGTTGAATAAAATGCCTTTAAGTACATTCCTAAATATTACTCCTTTTGCAACTTGCTCCGCTTCGCTGTGCGCATTTCCCTTGAGTGGCCAGGCTGGTGATCACTGCATAATGGCGCTTGTTTTCTGAAGACTGCTACCCAATAGAGACCGGAAATAGAGAGGATACCTGCGAAAACAACAGAGCTCCAGTTCATGTACTCTGGGGTGACCGGCAGATAGAGCGGGAAGCAAAGCATAACCATGATAAATAGAGACCACAAAGTCGCAATAATGAAGATGGCATCGCCTGTCAGGCCTCCGAGGTTCAGCCATCGTGACTCCTCAAGCCTCTTGCGGCCCCTGAACAACGCAAGACCAAGAGCGGCCACAATCACAGAGATGAGGCAAAGGTTAGCTGCCCCAAGCAGTGCGTTCATAGCGGTGTGAGAGCCAAGGCTAATGAGACCAATGAGAAGGGTCAGGGCAGTGTTGAAGAAGAGGGAGTTGAGCGGCAAGCTGTCGCGGGAGGACAATTTCGACATGGTGCCGGAAAAAGGCATGAGCCTCTCGCAGCTGGACGACCAATACAGACGTGACCAGCTGACCAGAGAGGAAATACCAGCAACGCAAAGGCAAAGAATGATCATGACCATTCCGAAGATAGCCATGGTGTTGGAATCGAAAGCGTTGATCATAAGTTGCATAAGTGGCTGGCCTCCAACGGCTGTGAGCAGGCTGATAGGGTCTACGTTGCAGAACTCATACACCAGAAGCATTGGCAAACCTGTGAGAAAGCTCAGGAGAAAAGATCCAATGATCACCAGCGGCACTTGCTTTCTTGGGTTTTCCATCTCATCTGTCAGGTGGGTTGCGTTATCGAAGGCGGCCAAACAGGCATAGGACGGCAGCAGTCCGACGAAGAAGACCGTACCATTGGACCAGCCGGATTCGTTGATATACTCAATAAAGACAAACTGAGCAGGCTGTTTTGTTTTGACGCGTACCAGGAGGCTGATGAAGAGGTACAACGCGGTGAAGTTGATGGCAAAGCAGACCCCAACTACGATCCAGTTCAGGACCTTGAAGACGCGTGGCAAGTTTATGGTCAGGAATACCAGCGCAAATGCGACGTAGAGTAGGTAGGTATGCCAAGCCTTGCTAACATAGTTGTCATGCGTGGCCTCTACCAAGCTCATAGTGAGTTCGGCTGGGTAGAGAACACACGCCGAGTTGATCAAGAACCATCCAGCATTGCTAAGCCAGCCCACTGCATAACCGACTGTGCGCTTGTGCTTGGTACCGGCAAGAGAAATAACCCAGTATGCAGGACCTGAAGAAAGTGGGCTTTAAACATACGTCGGACGGGTCGTGACAGAGTACGAACCTGCAGAGTGTGGAATCGCAGATGCTAGCTCAGATACGGCCAGGCAAACAAACAGTTGGAAGACTCCAGTGACGATGAAACCCCAGAAGTACGCAGGTGAGCCTCCTAGCCCAATGACCATGGACAGATAGAACCCAATGGCAAGTGGCGCGCAGGTCAGGGAGTATTGGATCCCAATGGCACCAAGCATGGAGAAATGGGTTTTCGGCTCAACTTGGCCCTGGCTGATCGACTCGTTCGTGTGCCTCGTAGTGAGACACTGGTCAGTGGTCAAACATGCCTCCATATCTGCGGCCGTTTTGGATTCACCATTTGAGAAGCCCATAACGGCAGTGGCAGTGGCTTTGTCGGCAATGACGACAGACAATCCTATCTATAAAGAATGAAGGTTGTTGGAAGTAAATAGTTGAGTTGAAATTGGAATGACGACTGAACTAGGCTGATGATGCGAGCAGGGGGTATTATATACCGACGAGCATGGGGGAAACTTTGATAGACACACAAGTAAGTGAGTATTCTGCTCGAGGGCGAAGGGAGTCCTAGCCCAGTCTGGTCTACCCCGGATTCAACCCCGCAATCCACAAATTCGACTGGTCGTGTGCCATGGTGTCCATTCGGATATGGTGACGACTAGCACGAGACGGGACTATCCTAAACAGGAGAAGATAAGAGAGGTGGAAGGGGGCGGAATGGAGAAAATGTATGGTGGTGGTAGGCAACGGACCTCAACTACCGTAATCTAAGCGCTCGATGGCTTGGCAAAAACTCAATCTAACCGCTCGGCAGATAACCAATCACATTTTCAGCCGAGAGTTGCGCTGGGGCCACTAAGAGGCCCCAGAATAGCAAGTTACAATATCGATCAGCTTTTCTATACTTGCAGAATGAAAATTCTCATACAAAATCATGTCGTTGAGATAGAGCTTCGTGTTTACTAAACCGGAAAAGTCCGCGGCCGTAGATAGATTATTCTAGATAGCAGCTCACATTCGAATTCTTATAAGCACGCCACCTTCCGGGCTTCGATCCAGAGGGCATCGGCATCCACTAGAACCTTGCCATCACAATCGAGAATAAGAGCAAGGAGAAACCACTTTGGTCCTATCCTTCGGATCAATGATGCTTTAATAACGACCACCCCTGGTGTAACAACCGGTGCCTTGTATGACAAATTCAAATTCGCGGTGTACAAATTCATCCCCGTAAGCCCAGCAGATTCTCGAAACAGTTCGGCGCAGATACTCATCGTTTCGTCGACCAAAGAAGCTAACAACCCTCCGTGTGCTGTGTTTGGGAAGCCATTGATACCGGAGCTTAGGTGGCAGAGGACTACCAAGTGAGGATAGTTGGTAGCCTCAAAATCTTTCTCGTGCCATCTTAGTGAAGCTTTTGTGAAGAATTCGTGATTTGGAACCAGAACGTCCTTCCGAACCAGGGCGAAAAGGTGGGGAACAGTATTGGAAGAGTTGATAGTAGTATTGAAGAACAGATCTGCGGTATCTTCTTTTTTATATCGAGAGAGAAATGGGATCGGCTTGTACGAGTGCGGCAATGCGTTGTCCCGGAAATAATGCGCTGCGCACACAGGGAGGGAAGCAGAAAAGAATTTCCGGTCTTCCTTGGGCACTGGAACATTTGAGATGAAATCGAGGTATCTGCCCTGGGTTCTGGACTCTGGCTTGAGGTCCATTTTTGATCCCTGCCCTTGGATAGCTGCAAGGTAGTAACTGTGTAAGACTTGTGACTTACCCAATCACAACAACATTTTTTGTCCAATTCTTCATGTCTGCCGGGATCTAAACTGACGGTACGCGGAGGACCTAAATACCGACTGTTTGCTTTGACAATGGTGTGTATCTCTGGGCGTGGAGATATATTGACTTAGTAAATAGTGGGTAACTCTGGCTTCTGTTATGTGGAGTTGTCGCGCATGGCAGAGCCCCTAGAGGCCTATCTAGTCGTCGGAAGCGGCCGGTCTTATCTACGCGCCCCCAACAGCGGTATTTAGTCTCGCTGTGTTGGGTGTCCAATTTCTAGCGATACTACATGTGCAGCAGAGGTATAAGTTTGCTACCCTTGCAGTTGCTGTCAAGCCGGTGGAAGAAGTAAAATAACTCCTTCGCAGTAGAAGAGATTCATCGTTCTTTGTCTTTCATTTTTCTGGACGTTCTCGACCAAGCAGACCTCACTATGTCCTCCATGAACACAGTGCTAGCAGGGTACGATTCTCGGCAATCCGCGCTTAATGCAAGCAACAACCCTTTTGCCGAAGGGGTTGCCTGGGTCGAGGGGGACCTAGTTCCTTTGTCAAAAGCACGAATTCCGCTACTAGACCAGGGTTTCCTTCATAGTGACCTAACCTATGACGTCCCGGCCGTCTGGGATGGACGATTCTTCCGCCTTGACGACCACGTCAACCGATTGGAGGCGAGCTGCAAGAAGCTACGGCTTCAGTTCCCCTTGCCAAAGTCAGAAATCAAACAGATATTGGTGGACATGGTGGCTAAATCCGGGATTCGGGATGCTTATGTGGAGATAATCGTTACCCGGGGCCTCAAGTTCGTCCGCCAAGCCAAGCCGACAGATATCGTCAACAGGATATACATGTTTATCCAGCCTTACGTCTGGGCTATGCCGCCCGAAATGCAGCGGACTGGTGGAAAAGCGGTTATTGCAAGAACGGTCCGTCGTGTCCCCCCCGGTGCGATAGATCCAACCATCAAAAACCTGCAGTGGGGAGACTTGGTGCGTGGCCTATTGGAAGCTGCTGATCGAGGTGCAACCTATCCTTTTCTAACGGACGGGGACGCGAACCTGACGGAGGGTCCCGGGTATAACGTTGTTATCATTAAAGACGGTGGCTTATATACCCCCGATCGGGGCGTGTTAGAGGGTGTGACTCGCAAGACCGTCCTGGAAATTGCGCGGAAGAATAGCATACCTGTCCACGTTCGGGTTGTTCCCGTTGAAATGGCCTTCCAATCCGATGAGATGTTTGTCTGCTCCACAGCTGGAGGTATTATGCCCATTACGTCTATTGATGACCACCCTGTAAATGGGGGTCAGATCGGGCCTATCACCAAGCTTGTCTGGGACGCATATTGGGACTTGCATTACAATCCATCCTACAGCTTCGCAATCAATTATGGAAATAGTTAAGACAGTGCATATAACTCTTCCGATGCTATCTGTTTATAGAAAGCGCCTGGTTTCAACTTCCGAACATAGAGAGAAATCGCATCTGTTCATTTTTGTAAACCGGCTGCAGAGCGTTCAAAATGGTTCTCTTCATGGCAAGCTTAGGAATAGGTCAGCCAAAGGTTTATTACCAAATTCGCGTGGAGTGCATCCCTAGGGCTCTGAACATTTCGGTGCCATTGCAGATAGAAGACAGCCCCTCGTATTGTTCAATTCTATGCAAATTTCCCATCCACCCTTGGCCGCTGGTCCGTCAATCTCCAAAAGGTGGATCCGGGGTTTACCCCATTACTTTTTACCCATATTGTCGCCTCGGTGCTGTAGATAATGAGATGCATTCTCGGTTTGAGATTTGTGGAGATCTCGGGTCCCGCGGGCACCCAGTTTGATTCAGAGTCAACATACTTGATTTGGAATGTGTTTCTTGCCATTGCGACTAGATAACACACAGCCCGCCCCTCTTGAAGGTGCCCCAGTTAAATTCTGGACTCCCTGCCACTCGGACCACAGGAAGCACAGCTCCCCGCGCTCATCCTCCCCGCATTTCTCCCCAGCGCTGTGATGAGTAAACGCTCTACATGGATTCACAGGATGAATCCTGCAAACGAAGAAAGCGCCATGCGCAAGGGCGCGGACGGTGGGACAAGGCGGCAAGATAAACATTTGCTTGCATACCATCGACTATCCTGATAATGGTCCCTAATGGTAGATTTTGAGTCCTGTACTTCCTTATCTACACGCTGTTTAGAGAGCAAACTATTACCGTCGCCCCGAGTATGATGTATATATCTCTTGGATATCTTCTCATAATGCGTAGCCTTAAGCTTCTCGTCAATAGCGCTTAATCTCCATCTCGATTATTTCACGTCGCCGCCAACAAAAAATGTCGCAATCTCTCACAGGCAAGGTCGCAATAGTGACTGGTGGCTCCCGCGGTAGGCTATCTTGATCCCTTTTATGATACAAAGTACTCGGACTCAGCTGTAAACTCTTTTCCAGGAATCGGGGCCGGTATTGTCAAAGAACTTGCTAAACGCGGCGCCTCTGTGGCTTTCACGTATCTGTCCTCCGCGAAAGCACAACTCTTGCTTAACGAGCTCCATTCCTCCGGTATCAGGGCAATTGCCATCCAGGCTGACTGTGCCGACGCAGCAGCCTCGGCAAAAAAGATCGTTGGACAGGTTGTAGCTTCATTCGGTCAGATCGATATTATCGTCAATAATGCTGGGAACGGCGAGGATCACTCCCTGTCTGACGTGACCGAGGAGCAATTTAATCGGATCTTCCATATAAACCTTCTCTTTCCTCTATTGTTAGTTCAGGAGAGCGTTCCGTACCTGCAGCAGAAGGCCAGAATTGTGAATGTGGGATCAATAACTGGCCGAATCGGTAAGAATGGCGAACAGAATTATGAATTTGGGTGATTCTAACAGCCAGACCTGCAGCGTACCCGTCAGCCATTTTGTATGCAGCATCAAAGGCAGGACTTGACAGCGTGACAAAGTCACTGGCTTTCACTTTGGGTAAGTCTTTCTTCTTATTCAGTGTGGCAGGGCTAAGAGGAAATATGCCAGGACGAAAATTCGAAGCGACAGTCAACACGATAAACCCCGGCCCTGTAGCGACTGACATGTAAGCGTTCCCCAACCCTTGCTTCTCTTCCTTCCCAATCACTTCCATAATGCAGTCCTGACCGTCAGCATTATTTTGCAGGTGGGAGCAAACACCGGGACGTGAAGAATATGAAGAGAATCTGTATCCTCGTACGGCGGCAGGTGATCGGGTCGCTTCGGTGCAAGATATCGCCCCCATTGTTGCCTTCCTGTGTGAGGAGCAATCCCGATGGGTGACTGGGAATGTCACCTGTGCCAATGGGGGGCTACTTATGATCTAATGAGGAGAAGCCTCCATACGAAAGTCATGTTGATGAATATTTCGCACCATCCACATATGTCCCATAACCTAGCTTACACAGGTTGAGTACACTTACACGGGTCATGATGATTTTGAACAATTATCAACATCATAATTTAGGACCATAAGTGTAATAGATTGGCTCCTTCCGTACCATATATATATTCATTCGTTTAAGACGTGCCCAGCTAGACATTCTATGCACCGACAGTTAAATAGTTAGTGGGTAATATGAAATAATGGTTTGTGCATAGAAAAATACAATGAGATGAGCAGTGGCTATTGGACGTGCTTCCTCGCTGGCCTCTTTATACTGGTGATCAGGTTCTCATGGCAGAGGAAATTACCGCACTGTTCGCTTCTCGCGAGAAAGAATCAAGATAGAAGTCTCGATATATCCTGCTTTGCCAGTAGGAGACCTTCGATTGTATAAAACATGGGACAATAGACTACTTTATTCGAAGCTACATTTATACATGCTTTGTAACTCTGCATAGGCGAAGATATCATTGTGGTACTAACATGCAGGTCATGTAATGAGGGCGTGACCCGCACAGTCCTCCTTCTCGATTATGACGTGTGGGATTCCCATAATACATTCTGTTACAGACGGAATAACCGGGAGTTCGAGGGTCTTGCGGGTAGAGGAATCGAGGAGTCAGTCAGTCTTCCGCGTACTTTTGACTCGGTGGACGCAAAATCCGCGGGTGACTTCTTATCTTCTTATCTAGTCATTATCTAGCCCTTATCTAGCCCCGACCATCATCTAAATGCGAAAGACAGAGCAATGAAACCCAACTAAACCACCGCTAGATGGTATAAAGGGTCTAAAATCCTTGCAATTTACTCGGCGAGCTTTTAACGGTCTTAAACAATGGAATCCAATACTGGCAGCAAGCCTGATCTGAGGTTTAGTCCTCGTGTTAAGGAACTCTTGGATCTAGAAAGCCGCGTCACAGCTGGCGGCTTTGATCCTCTGCCCTATTTTTTCGATAAAGGCCAAGGATCTCTGTTATGGGTGAGTTAGATTCTGAGATACCTAATTTCAACTCTAACAATCAGGGATACAGGACGTCGATGGAAAAGAATATATTGATTTCATTGGCATGTTCAGCGCTGTCAATACTGGACACTGCCATCCTGATATCAAGAAGGCTCTGGTAGAGCAGTTAAACAAAAGTAAGATATGCGGTTCGGAAATCTGCAAGTTCTCAATTTTCTGACTCAAGATGCTGCCAAGTTACACTGCTAAATCTATCATGCCACAATTCTACGTTTGGTCCTTTCGCTAGAAGGCTTTGTACTCGCTTCGACTACGATAAGGTGGTTGCGATGACGTCCGGTACAGAAGCGGCAGACACCGCTTGCAAGATAGCCAGATGCTGGGGTATTAATCAAAAACGAATTCCTGCCAGCGATTGTATCATTCTAGGAGTTGGGGATTGTTACCATGGGCTCGCTTCCGGGGTCTGGGGCTTAATGAACTCCAACCCATTGAGGACAACAAGTGAGCTTAGCGTTTTAGAATTTGATTAATGCATGCTGATTTGTGACCGGAAAAGAGTATGGACTTGAGAGCCAAATCCTGATGAATACCAATCCGAGCACGGGAGAATTGCTGGGATATGGCGACCTGGAAAAGATGAGGTCTTGCCTTCAAGAGAACAAGGATAGGGTTGCAGCAGTGATCATAGAATGCATTCATGGGTACAGCCGGTGGGATTTGATACTTTGATTCTTATACTAGTCTTATATTTATGCTGATATTTGATATAGAGATGCTTCTGACGACATTCGCTACGCACGAGGTGTTTATGAGCTTTGCAAATCTATGAATATCCTCTTCATTGCGGATGAGGTCCGACAAGGTGCAGGTAAAACCGGCAAGTTTTTCAGCTTCCAGCACCTCGGTGACGACGTGAAACCTGATATTGTGACAATGGGAAAGTCGATTACCGGGGGTTTCTATCCCCAATCCTTTATTATGGGCGTGGATGCAGTCATGGCATCGGTTGGCCCGTACGAAATGGCCAGCACCTACGGCTTTAGCCCGCTCGCTATAGCAGCGGCTAATGCAACCCTCGACGTTATTGATCGTGAAAATCTGATTGAGCGAGGAGTCCATCTTGGATACCTGTGGAAGACAGCTGTCGAGTCTTGGCAGCATCCACTTGTAGACTATGTTGCACAAATCGGGGCGGACTCCAACTTGATACTTCGAGGGGTTAAACCTTCGCGGGTTGCAGCTCTCTGTATGCACCGGGGCCTCTTTGTATATCCAAAGGCGAACGGACTTCGACTCAGTTTTGCTATGAACATGCCTGATGAGTTGCTTCTGAGGGGGGCAGCAATCCTGAGAAGCTGTTTAGATGATATAAACAACTATGGGTCAATTGAAGGTGAAACGACCCGTTATGAGTCAGTTTAGGTCTTAGCGCAAGAATGGTTATATCTTTTCTCAGTAACACTGCCAGAGTAGAAGACGAAAGAAAGCTAGAAAATCAAGGCGACAGAGTATTTTCGGAAGGGCACCTGCAGGGAATTTTCCTGTATACAAGACTAAGAAAATTCATTGGCTCGAATTTGGCACTTGTCAGTAATATCGTTTATATGAGACATGAATATGACTATACAGTTCTGCGAAAAATAAATAACTAAATAATTGGCATCCATATTCGCAAGGAATATACAAATGAAGGGTTCGATCTTATTATTTATCAATCTCCTCACGTTATAGAGGATGTTCCGTTTACATCGTCACACTGCCCCTTCTCTTAAACGATCAAGGGCTTCGTCGACTCCTGAGAGACCAATGACGTCTGCAAGTTCACAATAGTCGGATTGCCAAAGACCGGGTGAACCTTTCGGGAATTGTGAGCGGAATCCCAAAATGCGCTGTGTTCTTGGTGACAATTCCTTGATGGTCTCCAGTCCGATTATGAACGGATTAGCTTCTTCGGGTGTCAGATAGCTACACTGTAGCGTGAAGGCTAAGCCTCGACGTAGCTCTGCTGCAGTTTTGTTCGCCCCGCCACCATGAACAGTCTTGCCGCTCAATAGAATAGCGTCACCGGCTTTCATTGTAGCAGGGAGTGTTTGGTCAGGCGATCCCATATCAGAATAGTCGTCCCATAGGTTGGAGCCGGGAATAACTCTGGTCGCACCATTTTCCTCCGTAAAATCCGTCAGGGCGATGAGAACATTGATGGTCGCCTCCGGGGCCTTCGGGCCCAATAGATTAAAAACCGGGTACTGGCCCTGGTCGCGATGAAGCACTTGAGCTTTGTTACCAGGTCCAATTTGGATCACTTGAGCGGCACCCATCCAGTACGTCCCGGAGTCATGGTGAAAGATCCTCTCAGCCACCGCGTGAACCAATTCGTTTTCAAGTATTTGGTGACGGAATATTTTGCTATGGGTGGTAACATTTGTGAGCCGCTTTGTATTGCTGCCGTGAAACTCTTGGATTGCGTCGACCTTGTGCTTCGAACCCGCAGTTATGGCCTCCAATGGTTTGTCTAGTTCGAGATTCAGCTCCTGCACCTGGTCTCTCGACAAGAGACCTTCGATAACGAGTGCACCGGCCTGATTAAGGGCTTGGATGATTTTGTCTGGATCATCGGTTGATGATACACGAGGAACATGGGCTGGAGTCATGGAGGGCGACATTTGCTGATTCTATAGAGCTGGAGGGAAAATTCTCTTTGCAAATTGCTTGAAGAAGTAGGTGTACTGGACAATTCATCCTGGCGTATGTGTTATTTATGTTGAATGGAGACAATGACATGGGCTCATATTCCACAGGCGAACAGCAGGCATTCCATTAGCCCTGATTCAATACCCAAAATGATGGTTCTTGCCTTCTGCCTTGCTCGTTTTGACATAACAGGCGACAGCTGCACTCGATCGGTTGTCGTGCGTTATCTAACCGCCAACCGCTCATTAACTGATGATTGGTATATTTTGCCCAGCCGAGGTCCAATAGCAGTTTGTACTGGTCAGCAAGTCCGAAAGTTCATGGTGGAATGCCACAAGATGCCCTGAATGGCTGGACCATACCTCTGCGAACCTTGATTGTTCCCATTATCTCCGCCTCCCGCGGGCCCCGACGGGCTCTCTAGTTGTTGGGAACCTGGGGTAAGCTCCCCCAACTTTGTCAGTAGTGAACTAGTTATATGCTGCTCCCCCGCCCGTCTTATCTAGCCGGCTAGAACTTCTTTATCCTCCTTGCAGAAATCCAGCCATGTCGCATGCGGGTCGGCAAAATCTCGCCAAATATCCACGGCAAAGAGTTCGACTTCCCCACCCACGTTCGAGGTCTGGCTGCCTAGTGTGCCGGCGTCTGCACAAGAAATGTGATGAGCGTCGGCCGGCATGTACTCGCTGTTTGCTGAAAGGAAAGACTTGCCAATGGCCTGGTACTGATCAGCGTGAGCCCGATTCCGACAAGCTCTCGCCTTCTCATGATGCGGCGCCTCCAACTCGAGATGATATTAATGATAATAATCCTAAGCCCTGCGGGGAGGACATATCGTCTCCGGTTTCAATATCCAGTGAGCGTGGCAAGGTTAGAGACGAGGGCTGTCGTCTCGTTGCCTCGCCGGGTTGCTCCATGGGCTCTGTGTCCTCCATGTTTCTCGCCCACTTTGTCGCGGAGACCAGCAGATTCATGACCACTGTTAGCGCGGAGAAGAATCCATTCTTAACGCATCTGCTCCCACTGGCTTTCTCGGACGAGTTGATATTGCACTCACTGCTCACTCTTGGAGGGGTCCACTTAGAACGTAAACAAAGCTCTCCAGAAATCAACACATGGGTTTTCCGACATTATGGGCACGTCATATATCTGCTCCAAGATGCCATTTCTCGGAAATCGAACGAGCCGATCGAGTGGCTTCGAGCCCTTCTCGCTCAGCTAATCCTCTACCTAACCGGGGTATGTCCGTCTCTCCCCGTTTGATCAGTACGGCCTGGGAAACTTATTGTGGGCACGACCATGTGCGGATCCAGGCTGCTAATGGCTGGCGATTAATCGACCCTCATCGACATGTCCTGCGTCTGACTTTCTTTTTCCTAGGTTTTCGGCCCCGCACAAGATGAAGGTGTAATGATGCATATTCGAGCCGGAAGGAAAATTGTCCCCCGACTACTGAGTGCTTCGTCGAAATCAAGTAACATGCAAGTGCTAAGTGGCTTCACGCTTGAATTATACACCTACCTGGCCCTTGTAGCCAGTCCTACGCCCTACAGCAATGGGACAGAGTCGGAGCTGGATACTCGCAGCTCTCTCATGCTTCCCTGGGATATCCTAAAGAACTACGAGACCTTTGGTGTTATTGTTCCCCCTATTTATGATTGCCTAGAGATAATTCCGCGAGTGGTTACTCTTTGCAAGCGCCGTCAAGTGGAGATGACATTTCACGAGTGCTCGTCGGGAAGCTGGCTGGAATTCGTTCAAATAATAGCCAGCATTGAGACAATTGGGACTGCCGATTATTTACCAGAACTTGCAGTCGACCTTGAGCACGAACAGGGCCTCTCGGTCTCAGCAATTTATCGCCACGCTCTGGCAATTTTTGCATACGACGCCATGTGGTGTGGTACTATCGCAGTGGATGAGAACCGATTGTCCGTCGTTCGGCGGCATGCCCTGAGTGCGTTGATGCTGATACCGACTTTGATAGACACGCATCTCAAGAATGTCCTCCTCTGGCCAACTATTGTGATCGGGTCTTGTCTTCTCAACGAGACAGAGAGGGATGTGATTAGAGCAGTGCTATCCAACAGGGAGCCATTCTTTGTGGTGATAAAGATGCAGGCGATGCTTGAGAACCTATGGGCTGAAAATGACCCTGTCTATTTCGGGCCTTATGGATTGCACAAACACATGCTGTCGCATCACACTGCCATATATCTTGCGTAACCTGCAATTTTTTTACGTGTATCAGTGGTACAACGTGAGGGCAAGAAGTAAAGTAATTACACCTTAAGTACAACCATATATACAGTATACAATGACTTGAAGGTACACGATAATAAGACCGATTACTCTATTTATATGATCACTTGCCGCACCACATCAGAGTTAGCTGAGGACTAAACTCCAGGCATTTCGCCACCGTACGTGAAAGCTGCCACAATGAAATGTGCAGTAGATGAATGAACCAGTTTCAGGAGAGGAAGGACAAAGTCAGTTCACTTCTGCCGGCGACGGGAAGAGGAACCATACCATCATAGTCTGTCCCACTTTGCTTGCGTCAAGAGATCACTATATTGTGGGTCCACTTGGCTCAACAATTCGATCCTTCAAGAACGAGCGGCTAGATAAACGACGATAAGCGGCACGCGGGCACTGTCCGTGGTCGCCGGCGTTAAGGATAGTTATTTGGCAATTGCCACATAACAGGGGGTCGAAGCGGGGTATAATTATCATTCCGAGACAGTTGATTCGAGGGACCCAGTCCTAAGTTCGTCCCAACACTCGTGTCCATATGTATGTATATAAACATACATTGCACATCTTGGCTGCAAGAAACAAGCTAATCATCTTAAAATTCAACTACAACCAACACGACTGAAATGCTTGCAACAATGGCCATAGCCAATCGACTGAGCTTCTCGACCGTTCTCGCAGCAGTCGTTGTCTTCTTTTCTCTCCGTTGGCTCTTGGTTTCTATATTGCATAAGCAACGGGCTCGGCGACTGGGTTGTAAGCCCGCGTTCATCCGAACGAGCAAACTCCCGTTCGGAATTGATATCCTAAGGCGCTATATTAAGGCGACACGGGAGCAGATACTCCAGAATGATGAGTTGGTGCTGTATGAAGAGCTAGGCCGACACCCAACATGGAACCAAAATATCTTGGGCAATTGGCATCATGTCACAGCAGACCCGAAGAATGTGCAGGCTATACTTGCGACAAAATTCAAGGATTTCGAGCTTGGCCCTTTCCGGCGTAATTTGTTCGGTCCAGTCATTGGAAAGGGTATTTTTACTACAGATGGACAGGAATGGTAGGTCCCAAATTTACTTAGGGTTACTACTAGGCATTGACTTTGATGGTAGGCAACATTCTCGCACCTTACTTCGTCCACAGTTCGCTCGCGGTCAAGTCGCCGATTTGCAGCTTGAGGAAAGTCACGTCCAACACCTTTTCCATAGGCTCCCAGTCCATGACAATGCTTGGACAGATATCGTCGATTTAGGGCCTATGTTCTTCAATTTAACTCTTGACTCCGCCACCGAATTTCTGTTTGGGCAGAGTGTCAATTCCCAGATTCTTTCGTCGGAAGGAAACCGGAGCTTAGAGCCTGGCACAGCTGCGCCAGATTTCCTGCCCGACGGGTTGTCCTTCGGCAAGTGTTTCGATCGAGCCAATGCCGTGGTCGTACTACGAAGCTGGCTGATGGATCTGTACTTTCTCTACTGCCCCGCACAATTTCGAAAGGATTGTGCTGAAATTCAGGAATTTGCCCGGTATTATGTTAATCTCGCCCTGGCAGGGCAACATCCAGGGACGAACAAAAGCGATACTCCTTCTGAGTCTGGCTATGTATTTCTTCGGGAACTCGTCAAGGAGACAAGAGACCCCGAAGAGCTTCGCAGCCAACTTCTCAACATTCTACTGGCGGGGAGAGACACAACCGCAGGCCTTTTAGGATGGACATTCTACCTACTGGCTCGTCACCCGGAAGTTTACAAAAAGTTGCGTACCGTCGTCATCGACACGTTTGGAGAGCTTTCCAATAACACTACCATCACCTTTGAGTCTCTCAAATCGTGTTCATACCTGCAACATGTTTTATCTGAAGTTCTGCGACTGCACCCGGTCGTACCTGAGAATAGTCGCCGCGCGGTAAGGAACACCACTCTCCCTCGGGGAGGTGGAGAAGATGGTACATCGCCAGTATACATCCGTGCTGGAGAAGAAGTGACCTACAACGTGCATATCATGCACCGCCGCGAGGACATCTGGGGCGAGGATGCCAATGAATTTCGACCCGAAAGGTTCGCCGGGCGCAGACCGGGATGGGAGTTTATACCATTTAACGGCGGACCAAGAATTTGCCTAGGACAGCAGTTTGCCCTGACAGAGGCCGGATACGTCGTTGTGCGGATGCTTCAGCGATTTGACAGAGTGGAAAATATGGACAAGTCCACTGCTGTCAAACATAAATACACGTCGACCACTGCCCCGGTTCAGGTTCTCGTGCGTCTGCATAGCGCATCTGAATGATAACCCATAGGCCACATTTCTTTGCTCCTGTCTTCGCAATCAGTAGCGAAGCATCAGATTATGGAATCCATAGTTTCAGATTGCAGAATTTCTTCATTTATCATGAGAACATATTCACCAAGCGTTCAGACGCTTGGTGAAGTTGAAGAGCCGATGTATCTCTGCCAAGGCAGACACCGCGTTCATGTTCATCAGCTTTGTGACCTGTCTGGGGGTTGTCACGTATACTTTCTTTGCGAGGAAGAGGTCGTGCGGTGTCAGCTATGCTTGATGGACTAGTACATTAGGGCTGTTAAGGCTGGAAAGGGTCATTATACGGGAATGGAACGAATGGGACGGGGTTGGCCTAATTGAATGATGGATGGGTAATGGCCTTATGCTTGGGTGCTTGGATTTACAGCAGTACGTGTTATGGGTTAGCTAGAGATAATGGATAATCTTATGATCACAATGCGGGGAGTTCGGAATACGATGTAGAGGGTTTATTCCGATCCTGTCTAAATAGAACATAACTCTGCTTGTATCACCGTAGAACGTTAATTGTACAGAGAGGTAATCCAGGATAAGCTTATGGATACCCTTCCGAGTCCCAGTCCATCTGTGAAAGATCGATCCACAGTGTGGGTGTAAATATTTATTAAGCCCATCCTGTAAGTCTCAGGTAAATTCTGGAATTCTAGACGACTACGCGATTCTCAGTAATGCTGAACAGATGCATTATATAGATGAAATGGTATTCTAACTCCGAACCTGATGTTGATCCGAATAGTATTCACAAATCTAACAAAGACTCCTCTTAACCAGCACTGAGAATATACAGTAATATATAGGCTAAAAACATAAACACACGTGAAATGAGAAGGGAAAAAAATATATCAAGGCACCACATTAGCCTACTAACGGCTCACCCAGAACCATCCAGGCAATCATACCACCCCAGCCGCCAACGAAAAGAATCGTCAGGATACTTGCGCCTGCGCGATCACCGGCCGTAATTGGTTTTAGCTCGGCGGGGTTTTCCGTTTCTTCACCACCGGCATTGGGGTTACTCTTGCTGTTTCCACCGGTGTTGGTGTTGAGCGGCGGGTTTTTCTTTTCGGAGACGAGGACGGACCCGAGAATATCGGTGGCGATGATCTGCTGTTCCATGCCGATTGAGCCGTCCCACTTCTGGGTGTACCATTTGATACCGCAGGTGTTGTTGCCGGATCCGCTGCATGCCTTCGCGGCTGCCTGCGCGGATGTTTGCAGTTTGGGGAAGATCTTGTCGTAGGTTTCCGGAACGATGAGCGCGACCAATGTTAACCAGTGCGAGACGACGCCCTTGAAGAGAATCTCGTTGAAGTTGCACAATCCGGACGGCTCGCACAGAAATTCGGAAAAGATTTGCCCGCCGCCCATCTTCTGGGGGAAGAACTGTTTAAGGACTTTCTCAAGGAGATTATCGACGGCCTCTTTCCATTCTGCTTTCTCGGTCTGTAGTTGGTTTGGCATGGTTAGCGTCGGGAATCCAGGCAGCGGAATCAGAAAGAAGGGGGAGACCAACGAAGTTGTACATGTAAGCTGCGCCCGTGAGGTACGCGCCGTAGTTGTAGGACCACTGGTTGTTACCCTGCGTCGAGCACTTGTTGTTGATATCCGTAGAGTCGGCAACATTCCAGGTCTTGTTGTTCACCAGCGGCGAGGAAACCGACCAGTCCCATGTCTTCTGAGCCCAATCGGCGTACATGTCGTTCTGCGTGTAGAGAGCGAGACGGGCGGCGAGTTGGAAGAAACCTCCGTTGGAAATCGAGTTCTTCATCGTGTATCCGCTCTGGTAGGGTTCCATCTGCCAGCGTAGACCACCCCCGCAGTTGCTCGTGTCCCATTCCTCTTTCTGCGTGTTGAACACACCTTGTGCCAGCGACAACCACGAAAAGCCATCTTTGGATTCGGGGAATCCGTATTCGGCGGCCAGCATGGCAGTAACACCCCAGAAAAACTGGTCATCGTTTCCCTGGTTGGGTTAGTACCGGGCGATCAGATTGGCGAAAGGGGACAGAAGAAGCGTACAAGATATGATTTGTACTTAGCAGGCAAGTAGTCACCGTTCTCTCCCGCTTGGTACTGCATACCCTCGGTGATCAGGTCATTGTATTGGTCGTCGCCCGCGTAGAACCAGTAGATGATCAGACTCATGAACAGAGCACTTCCTTCCCACCACTTCTCCGGGAAAGCACCTGGTTCGCCACCAGGCTCATTACCGGCGTACCATCCGAGCGCTCCTTTGGCGGTCTTCCCGGCGGCGTCCTTGATCGATTCTGCGAGGAATGTGGGTTAGAATGAGGCGCCGATGCGAAACTGCGGGAGGGAGAACACACGGTGGTCGTCGAGCTGTATTTCCAGGGCCGATAAGCGACCGATAGAGGCCAGCCAGGTGGCCAGGAAGGCGAGACGCATTTTCGAGTAAGGAGAGAGGGCGAAGACAGCGACAGCAGCATCCAGGACTCAAGACAGAATCGCCGACCGAGAAGAGCCTGGAGAGTGAATGGCAGTGCCAAGGGGGAGGCTGCTGACTAAGTGGATACGAGGGCACGTCCGCGGAACCGGCCAATGAGAGCGCGCCAGGGAAATGAGGGCGTTCCGCAAGCAGCGCGTGAGTGGCCGGTAATTTTAGCTGATTCGTAAGAAGCTTTTGGCCTTTCCGCACGCAATTGCTTGTCCTTTACGTCATGTCCGCGTGTCCCTTGGCGACTTTCCCCTGAACGATCAATTGAGGGCCCGAATTTCTGTTTTTTTACGGGGAAGTGTCTTGGCTGCTGCTCCGCACCTTGGATCCCACGGTATTCGATCAGGTTAGGTCATTGGGATTAGACTGCATAGAGATGGTGCTCTTCGTCTCTTACTTGAGTTTGAATGTTGACTTCGACAAGGTGATACGCTAACACTGTTAGGCCAGGAACTGCAACGTGGGGACCAGGTGCGACGTTGCCAGTGTGGAGTTTGGAGAAACGAACCTGAGACGCTGTTTGCGGAACCCCTGATGACTGATGGCCGATGCCTGAGTCCTGCAGGAGCTGATCGACGGCCTTCGATCATTCGAGGGAGCATCCTTGTGCGATTGGAGCTTCAGCTTCCCTGTTCTCAACCCTTTATCAGCCTTATCGGGTTGATAAGCCAGCGCCAAGTTAACAAGCAATAGAGGCGTTCTTGGACCGCTGCTTCAGGTAAGGCGGGCATTGGCAGGGTAGCCAAGGACTGATTATCAAAGCAAGCAAGACATCAGTCACTACCGCACTTAAATGCGAGCTGCTTATTACGTTTACCCATAAACCCTGGTAATAGAGCTGTTCCTGCTCGCATGGTACGATTTCGTAGCTGTTTGAGGATGTCAGAAGTTCACCCATTATCCACCAGTAAATGAACTCGCCAGAGCCTGCATCTCTGGCTTCTTCGATCTATCTGATGCTACATTGTTTCTGGGGTCTGGTTTCTCGAGAGGCTTTCTTTCTGCTGTCGAACCTCCGTTTGGGATTAAGAGTTCAAATGTCAAGGTAGCATCTTTAAATATCAGCTTTGGCATTGTCGATTCCGCCGTTGTAGTGGCTGACTATGAATACCCAATGCTGGAAAACTGACACTTTGAAGCCTCTGTTTCGAATTCGCCCGCGTAAAGAGTTATTAATCCGATAGTGGTAAGGGTTGATATCGTTCTCTCAACAAGCGACTTGCCTGTGATTAGTTGGCCGAACAGTAGACACCCTTGTCATGGGGTTTGACAGCTGGGACAGGGTCTATACCGTGGGGCGCAGCCGCAATTTAACCGCGAGTTAAATAGACAGACAAATGGCCATCTCTGAAGTATTCAAATATATTTCCCCGAGGCTTTCAATCATCTCGCTTCGATGTCCGGAAGGCTGTCGTATTATTGTACGGATTATATAGGGCACGCTTGCCAAGCCTTGCGCTGCCAGCCCGTCATTCCAGTGTAGATCTTGGTGTTCCGATATACTGTAGCATTTTGACTAGTCACAAGGACAGCCCCAGTGAGGCCAGAAAGCACTAAGGGTCCTGTCCTGTCTGACTCCAAGACTGAAAGTGAGGGCTAGCGGCATCTCGGCTCCTCGCTTCGGCCAGACTGCCGACAGCCAAGACTGGCACATGAAGGAGCGACTGCCAGTCCTGTGCCAGACATTAATAAATAACAGCGTCTCCTCCAAATCTGGGGTAATATCCAGAAACGATCTAAGGCCATAATGGCAGAAACACAAACAACAACCACGTCCGCTGTTGTACAGCCGGAAAAGACCGAACCTGAAGCCCCCGCAGTTATCCCTGTCGACGTGGACAAGATATACACGAAAGAGGAACTGTCAATACATAACAAGGATGGCGATCTTTGGATTGCTATCGATGGGACCGTCTATGATTTGACCAAGTTTTCGGAGGAGCATCCTGGTGGCAAGAAGAGTACGTTTCAACCCATCCCTAATATCTTGAACGATAATAGTTAATGAAAAACAGTTTTACTCGGAGTTTCGGGCACAGACGCAAGCAAGAAGTACCGCAAGTATCACGGCGATAATATACTGCAGCGATATGCGAAGGACTATAAGATCGGGACGATAAACATAGAAGCCCAGGAGTCGAAAGGCCTGTTTTCCCGTTTTAGAAAGAAGAAATAAACTTATTCATTTTGTTGGTTACGGCGTTGATTTTCATACTTGTCCTTAAGCTTCTGGCACTCGCCGGAAGTAATGTAGCGATAAGCTTGACCCATAGGGGAATCAGCAAGCCTGGTTTATGCTCAGCCATATCCATGTATTTGCAGCCACCACGTCAGCGCTTGCATGACATGTTAACCCTATTTCCAGGTTTTATTCGAGGCGGAACAGGGGTTTGCGTTTAGATCGATACATCGCGCTTTCTGCACCATCTAAGAATGCAGGCCGTGGGGTGCTTGTATGGCCAGTTAGACGAGACAGAAGCATATTGAGTCACTTTGTCAATTATGAGAAATCAGTCCTCGGCCCATGGAGATAGCCTTCGTGATAGTTTCCTATATGAGTTTGCAGCATTCCATGTCAGGCGCCCTGAGTAAGAAGTGTACAGAATGTAGGACTTGTGAATCTTATCAAATCAATCAATAAATCAAACTAGTATAGCAGTTTATACACCATCCATAAGCATAACTGATGAATCGACCCAGCTAGTCTACAGCTTCACCAACTTCCCACCACGCTTCTTCATTCTCTTCCTCAACAGCTTCAACGAATATGTTTTCTGCCAGTGGCGAATAAACCCCGGCGTAACAGGATAAGTGACCGTCACCGTCGACATAAACATCCCAGCAATAGCCCTCGTCGCCGTCGTCGACTTCAACCCAAACCCCTCCCTCACATTCGGCGGCAACTGCTCAATCGTCAACGGCCTCACAATGGGCAGTAGTAACCAAGCAATCGGTCTCGCCCACAGCGGCAGCCCCTTCGGATGAAACAACTCATCCAACACCCCCCTCGCATCAGCCGTAACATACAGCTGGTTCTCCACCACATCATCCCAATATTCCTTAAACGCATGTCTATCGGCCGGCCACATCTCCTTTGGCACCTGCAGCGAGGTCCCCATGCACGCATAAGCCTGGTAAACAAGCTCCGCCTTCAGCGGCGGCAGCTCACCATAAACCTTCTCATACATCCCCACCATAGACGCATAGATCGTAGCAGCAACCCAAAGCTGGAGGGTAGGGTTCATAGCATCGTAGGCCTCATTCTTGCGCTCCCCGCTCTGCACTTCACCCTTAACGCGCGAATGCGCTTTGTCCACCCAAGCCTTCATCGCGGCCTTCTCGTCCGCCGTCCCGAAGATCATAGTGAAGATGTACATCTGCGTGTACTGCGTGCGGCTGATGGTGCGGCTGGCGAAGGTGCTGTGGTCTGCAACGCCCTGGCCAACCATGGGGTGTGCAATCTGGAGGAGGATTGCGGCGGCGCCGGCGCCGAGGGCGATGCCTTCCTTTGCGACACTTTGGAGCTCATGGATTGCGAGGTCGGTTTCGCCGAGGGGGATGGCGTCGTCGTCGATGGTTATGGAGATGGAGGGGGTGGCTTTTGGTGAGAAGTCGATCATGGTGGCTTGCTCTGTTGGTTTACTCTGATATTTTCTGGTCTGATATGATAGAGGACAGAAGGGTATGTGGGTATCTGGGTATTGGACTGGGGTATTGGGTGTCCATATCTACTCTGTAAATGCCCCTCCATCCTGACTAGGCTTCCGTCGGGCCGTGATCCGGGGGATGGGATTGGGCTGGGGTAGTCATATGCAATGGCGTGAGAATGATTGAATTTGTAGATCTACACGGGGTTGGGGATGTAGAGAGTGGGAGTGGGTGTCTGATGAACGGTTGTTAGGGCTTCCGGAGCGGGGACCACCATCCATCAAGAATACGAATCAATCTGACTGAGTTTGTCTGCTCGGATCCATTGACAGGACGAGGAGAGGATGTGCTTCCGCGATTCGTATGAACCTCATGCATGTCGGGTCGGAAGCGCCTTGTATCCGTGTGGAATAGCGGATATGGATGAGGTGTTGTGTAGGTTATGCTTCGGGTGCTGGCTTTCCGAGAAGCATTTGCCTAATCTGAGTATAGGATACTCATAGCGGTCTATGAGGGAGTTAGTTAACTTAGATATAGCAATCAATCTCGCTTGTTCAGTAGCATTATTGCCATGTTGCTATCTACATCTACCATCAACATCGCAACACACGCATGGAAGATAAGGAAACCCGCTATGCAAGTATAGTGGTTCAGTCCATGGCACAGTATATAAATTAAATCCCAAGAGAAGTTGTCTGTTTATACAGTTATGCGAAGTATATCTCAGTAGTGCATTGTCAACAAAGTTACGATATATATTAGTCTGACTCAAGCTCTCTGACATACATCACCATGCTCCAATCAAAACGAACAACTCCATGTGACCCTTCGAATGCGATGGAGGAGCCGCGGGCGGGACTCGGAACGGTAAGAGCGTTTACTGGGCACTTTGATCTGTCATTAGGCGATGACATGTGCGGGGAGTCCGATACGAATCACAGAGATCAGCGCTCAGGATGGCCAAGCTGAGACCCTGAAAAGACCCTGAAGATGACTTATTCTGGTGCATAATCGTTATACATAATTGTTGCTCATAATTGCTTGGGAAAAGGAGGCCTTGACCAAAAAAGGGAAGAAAAAAAAAACGACACCTGTGAGATTCGAACTCACGCTCCCGAAGGAAATGCCTAGGCTTACAGTTAATGTATAGCAGGGCACCGCGTTAGGCCACTCCGCCAAAGTGCCTCTGGAGGAAATCCGGCCACATAATTAGTACTATCACCCCATCGTGGTTTGTTTATTCCTTGCAGATGCAAATTCCACGTATCCCTTGAATTTATAAATACCTGGTCACCAACTGCAGGACTTTCGCTTGATGTTTTATTTCTTGGCTCATTCTCTACACGTGTCCGATCCTTGCACGGCGCTTCGCAGGCCAGTCAGCTCATGGTCGGTCGCTTGCAGCGCTCTTCAGGATCAGAATTGAGCGGCAAGCCGGCACCGAGCGTGGGACACCATGGGACGGCGCGGCGGATCGAGCACTGGCAGCCTATCAAGACAAGCAATTGCATAAAGAGTTCTCCTGGCGTCGCGCAGGGCGAACAAGAAAGTGGAGGGTGGGCTAGGCAGCACCATTCTCGGCCAACCAGCCGGGCAGCCAGTGGAGAACAGCCTTAAGGGGCTGGCTAGCTTCTATCAACTTGGCACAGCGCATTGTTATCAGTCCATGGAGTCGGTCAGTCCTTTGACGTGGTGATGCATCTGCTGTCTTTGCTGTTCGATCTGGAGAGACCAGACAGTAAAAACTATGAATACAGCCGTGGCAATCTTTAATTAGCAATGCACTGGAAGAATGTCTGTTGTATTGAATCTGCTGTGGAACGCTGAACTGGCCCGGTGGATACATTATTCATTGCAGGGCTGATGATTTTCATTATTCTTCTGCCTGTTCTTGGAATCACCGCTTGATCGATAAAAAAAATAAATAAAAGATTCTCCCTTCCCCTTTCCCCAGATCAGTCCTCCTCCAGTCTCCAGTCCAGATCACCATGTCGTACCAGCAGCCTCCCCCCGGGGCTTAGTATGTCTACGAGCAAGCAATACCGAAGCAGAATACTGACTGAAATAGCTACCCTCCTCCCCAGCCCGGATATGGCCCTCCTCCGCCTCAGGCCGCCTACCCGCCCATGCAATACCAGCAGGCCCCCCCCCCTGAAGAGAAGAAGGACCGCGGCTGTCTGACCGCTTGGTAGGCCAACCTCACCTTTGAAAAATAAGGATATACTGACAGAATAGTCTGATGACCATGTGCTGCTGCTTCCTGTGCGAGGAAGCTTGCGAATGCTGCATCGAGTGCGCGGAGTGTCTGTGTTGTGGCTGTTAGCCTGTTATACCATATTTATTTCTGCATTATTTCTGCAATACATAATATACAACTTCACTGAACTATTCATGACGATTTTATTCCGGATTGAACTCACCAACACCTCGGCCGAGTCAACATGATTGCACTTCCAAGTTCCGCCATTCCCTTGCTCCTTACATTGCCGCCCCGCCGCGATCTCGAACAACCATATACCGCGGCCAGTTGCAGACTCCCATGCCCTCGAACGGTAGTCGATATCATGAGATTGTGCATCCTCATTATCAACGCGAATGGCTTTATGGCCGAGCTAGATCCACTGCGCCAGCTGTTGAGGCATCGAATACCAAACCAACAAGTCCGCATCGTACCGGCGCAATTTATCCCATGCGACAGAGCCCATATAACTTGGCCGGTTTGAACATCGGCACCTCAACAAACTTCTTCATGACAGCCGTCCGTAAGAACGCAGTGACAAAGAAACTCGGCGTCCGGGTTTCCACCATAGGACGCCCGTTAGGAATCTGCGTGAACGTGGCGGTGCTCTTCTTACCAAGAAATGGTCGAAGTGCCTAACGTAATGAGAATCGTAAACTAAACAAGTGAAGTAGGCACTTGAGGCGGCGTAGAGAGTGCCTGTTTTCTAAGTGTCGTCTTGTAGGTGGGTGTAGGCGCCCTCTATTGAGAGGAAGGAAGATATATGCGGATTGCCCCAGGATATGACGATGCCAGTGTTTGATTTTGAGAGACATCGGAGGACTCAACATTATGGGGACGGGGGTTGTTGAGTTGGCTCTTGAAGCCCTAAATTCTGCTTCCATCCTGAGATAAGCAAGCCGCTAAAGGAAGAAATATCATATCCTGCTGATAAACCCTAATTACACCCCATCAATGACAGCCGAGTTTCTGGAGATGGCCAGCAGTTCGAAGGCTGGACGAGAGGCAAAAGGGCGGAATTGCCTGTAATCCATTTAAATATAAGATTGTGAAGTCTTAGTATTTTGAAAGTTGAGCCTTAATATATTCCACCACGACCCATACCCTCATGAAATGCAACCCCGTTATCAGCCCAGAGTACAAGACAGCTACAAGACTGATAGCGTGGCAGTCAACAGTAATCTAGGAAATAATCGAGATTGTTTGGTATGTAGGAGCTAGGAAAGGAATTTGAACAGTTGTCTAATGGTAAAGTACATATGCTTATTTAGATCTTCGACTTGCCCAGCTTGGCCTCTTCAGCCTTGTACAGCTTGACCAGCTGTCTGACCGACAAGTCCAACAGCACATCCTCCGAGCCACCAGGGATCCTAGCTCCAGGCACATCTCGCAGGATAGCCTCGGCCAACTCTCCCTGGCCCTGCTTCGTGAACCCAGCGCCACCAAACAGCAGCACCGCACACTGCGCACACTCATTCAGAACCATAGCAGACTTCGCCTTCGCTAGCGCCGTAACTCCACCGAGCTGACGATCAGCTTCGTCCTTGGGCATATTCGCAAGCTGGTAAAGCAGCTGCTCAACAAACGCCCACATCGTCTCAAGCTCACCACCAGCCTTCGCCAACCGGTGTCGCACAACAGGCTGGTCCATAAGTGTCTTGCCGAACGCCTCACGCTTCATGCAGTAGGCGAATGCAGTTGAGAGCGCCACGCGCGCCTGCCGCGTCACTCCGACGGAGATGGTCAGACGCTCGTGGTTGAAGTTGTTCATGACGAACTTCATGCCCTCGCCTTCGCGCCCGATCAGGTTCTCCACGGGGACTTTGACGTCGTCGAGCTCGATGTATGTTGTTCCTCCCGAGACTTGACCGGAGACCTTGAGGCGCTGCATGGAGACGCCGGGGTAGCCCTTTAATGGGACGACGATAAGCGAGAGCCCAGCTGCGCCGGGGCCGCCCGTGCGCACGGCCATGGTGCTGTACTCGGACCAGATGCCGTTGGTGATCCTGCCGACGTTAACCAGCTACTCCTTTAAACAGGGAATGTAGTGGGGGGTACCATTTCTTGTTTCCGTTGATGATGTAGTACTTGCCGTCCTCGGACTTGGTCGCGGTCGTGGTGATGTTCGCAACGTCGGATCCAGCATCGGGCTCGGTAATGGCAATACAGGTTCGCTTGCGCCCGGTCAAGAGATCAGGCAGGAATTTCTCCTGCAGCTCCTTGCTGCCGTACTTGATGATCGGGGGGATACCGAAGGCGAAACCAGCGTTCAACGAACCACCGGGACCGCTGAGACCAGAGCGAGCAAGCTAGACACAGTTAGCAACAATTCCGGCAAGAATAACCATATTTTAGATAACTTACCTCATCGGTGTAAATCCCCGTGTGCAGGTAATCCCACTCCTCCACCTTCACGCCCAGGATATCATGGATCCCCAGCCTCTTGAGCCAATCGACGGGCAGCGGCGCCGTCAGATTCGGCAGCAACATGTTGGCCTTGCAGAAGTCCTTGAAGACATGCTCGGGGACGGTGCCCTCCTTCTCCCACTCCATGGCATGCTTGATCAGGTTCTCGTACAGGAACTCGCGGGCAGCCTTTTGGAAGCGGCGGTGGCTTTCGGTGTAGTATGGCGACGGGAGGCCGCGCAGGTACGGCGGCTCCGCGAAGGGGACGGTTGAGATGCCTGACATTTTCGATTCTCTCGGCGATTCTGACTGGATTGATCTCTGAAAATGCGAGGGCGTTTATTTAATAAATACAACAGCAGCTCACGATCCCATCCCCGCATTTACAGCCGAGGCCTGCGGTCCGAGGCTCACATGATTGACTAATAGTGGCACAATTGCCTGTTCGGGAAATATCCAGGACGAACCTTACTTCTCTAGGAAGGTCTCGATCAGGCATCTCCTGGAGGTTAATTGCCGCCATTGACGTTGTACAAGAGTAACTGATGCCAGGATGGACATTAACAGACACGACTCACAGCATCAGCAGTGTGCAGTAGATGATCCGAGATCCGCTGCCGAGTGTAGCACATGGCTCATTATCGGCCCGTCAACGCCGCGGGCCCGGTGGCTCCTCTGCCGATCTCGGTCCACAGCTGTGATAAAAGCAGAAGCCTTGGAAGTAGTGTTACAAGGCGTTTTAGAGATATAGTCCAGGAGTATCGTATCTCGGCAACGTCAATAAAACCGTCTTGGCTTCTCCGAAGGTGTCCTGTCGAAGTCGACGCTGTGACCGGCCCAGTCAAGCTGTTATAGATTGCATTACGGTGTGGACGGGTATAGCCAGAACTCCCACGCACTCAGGGCGTCTGGTTACTGTCATTCACCGTATCCACTCTCCTGACTGTTATTCTCCGGCTGAGAGTCGCGCCCTGCATCTGCTGTTCCAGCTTCAATACCATCCCGACTACTTTGTGGTCTTCTGTAAGCTTTAGACGCTGTTGTGCAAAGTATCGCGCATATTTGAAGAGGCACCAATACGAGCCCACGACGTTGATCAGGCTTAGACACATTTTATAAGGAACCTCCTCCGTCAGACCAATATTTCAAAGTAGGAGTGCAGCAAGGGTCCGCTTACATAGTATCCAATAATAACAGCCCAGTTTACGTGTTCCTTTTTCCGCCGAAGGTGAATCTCGTTGAAGATAAGGGCTTGAAGCAGGTACAGTCCCACTATCGCTGCCAGAATAGTCATGCAGAATCCTGGCTTCACCATGATGGAAATCGGCAATATGAAAGAAGCAAGTAGATAGGTCATTGTTTCGTACACCTGAATTTAGATACGGTATCAGAGCCCTAATTGCAACCAGCGGTATATATATCGCAGGCATACATACCTCTTGAAAGACGAAGATCTTCGCACCGAATTCCCACCATCCTAACTTCCAGGAAGCAGCTATATATGCCATATTATGCCACAGACTGCTGAAAACAAAAAGGTTCCAGCGTAAAAACCGCTGCTTGAATAAAGTCGTCTCCCCGAAGCCTCCTCTACTTTGCGCACTGCTGGTCCAGAACAGCGCTGAAGGCGTGCCCGTCTCCACAAAGACCGCACTGCACATCTGGATCCGCCCTCCAAGCCGTCGGCAGGCGTGTCCCATGAACCAGTCCTCGCTGATGGAAAAGCCGGGATGGTGCTCCATGACCCTTTTCAGAAACCGTTTATTCCAGAGAGAGATCGCTCCATGAGGGAATGTAGCACTACCGACTCGTCCCGCGAAGCTGCGAGTTAAGCCCGCTAATTTGTATTCTAGATCCTGTGCCTTTTGGCACCATGTCATCCCCGAAGAGTCGGCCCCTGTGCACTTGATTGTATACGAAATGCACTGTGTTCCCTTGGTGAGGCGGGAAGTGACGACTGGGAAGTCCGGAGGAAGGATGCAGTCGTCGTCCATGAGCAGGATATGGGGAAAGCCTTTGGCAGCGTGGCAGCCAACGAATATGGCGATTATTTTCGATCCTATAGGGCACCAGAGATGGTTTACTCCACGGATTTGACAGACTTCTTCTGTCGTATCCAGCGGGCTTGAGGAATTTCCATTTGCAACTACAAAGATATGGCAGGCAGGAAAGACCTTCAATGCCGCGTCAAGAGTATCTCCGATAAATGCACCAGATCGGTAAGCCGGAATTATAAGAGCACAAGTCGGAGTGCTGCTTAGTTGGATGTTTCGCTGCGAGTAAAACTCAGCGTCTGGAGGGGGCTTTTCGAAAGGAGCTAGAAGAGGAGTGTAGGAAAATCTATCGGCAATAATTAGTCTCAGTCTTCATAGACCATAGTCAGAGACTTACAGTACTACCAGACCCATCACAATAGACCAGCCTCCTTCGACAACAAACTTGTATTTTACCACCCAGTATAGCCAGTATACTGCGCCCTTCCACAATGGCAACCCAATGAGGACAAAGTACACGAATGCGACGATGACAATATAACCTCCGAATTCCAGAAGAATTCTGACCCAGACCTTTCTTTTGTGTTTGATATTCACTAGACTTGCCATGTTGTAATGACTGGCGAGGCTGGTCGTGCGAGGGCCTCCGGTTCCGTTGCCACCAACATCGCCATTGACAGACTGGCTAGAGAAGCGTGACTGTCTTTTACCTGGAGCCCTGCCTTCCTCGAGCTGGGCGGGTGTAATGTGGTTTCGCCAACTTAAACGCATGGACAATCGCTTTCCCGCTGGCATGGACTCAGTGATCGATGGGTGTTCATAGACAGCGGAAGTTCTTCTTCCAACCCCATCGGCTGACACAGAGTTACCCTGACCCGTTTGTGATCCAGATGATACTACGATAGATTTGTGTGTAGTGCCACTAGACTTGGATGTCCGTCGTTTTGGGACGTGGATTTCACTTTCAGGCGTAGGAATCAATGGGCGTGGGTTGCATGCTGTTTCGTCCTCAGGTGCCGCGGCTTCCACCACAGTTGCCAGCGTTCTTGGGATGTATATGTGGTCCGACATTTGTTTTGTATATGCCTGGACAAGGTTAACTTATCAAGATCGGCGCTCGGGGAGTGTCGCTATGATCAATTGACATCACCTGGGGGTGAGACCTATATGACTTTGATAACGGCAACAATCCCTGGTAGTGTTATCCGGCGCGGCGGCGTCTTCATGTGCAACTTCAAACAAAAAACAAATATACCTCCTGAAGCAGATATGAGCTGAGCCTTGTTTATTACCTACCCGGAGGTTCGGGGATTCGGGGCATTCTCGGCCGCAAGAGCAAGCGTTACACGGAGTGAAATTAGAACCACCAGCTCGGAAGACAGGGTTAATCAGGTCACCATCTTGATTTTTATCCCTTCCACAATGTAGGGGTTGGGCTTACGATAGTAGATAGTAGAAGACTATCAAAGCACAAAACAATCATATCATCTCGTTCAGTCAACGTGCACAGGCTACATACAGGGTTGAGCACAAGCAAGGGGGAATAAACGTATCTCATGAGTTTTGGGAGTCTACCGGGTACTGAACATACTTACCGCAGCGAACCAGTATCTGCATCATTCTTCAAGCTGATCATCGGCTGAATCACAGGTCATACAAGAGGCTATAAATTTATCAGATCTTGGCTAGGCGGCTTCATGGTGCACAAAATACCAGGAAAAACCGGTAATACATCCTTTGACATACCGATCCGGGCTGGGAATGGCGGTTGGACCCCTACTGGATGACAGGAATTTCTCAACCGGGAGTAGAATCCGCTCACTGTCTGTCGTGCGCGTCTTGTAGTCCCACTCGTTGCAACGATCGAGTGGATGCTGGTAAACGAGAACATGAGCCATTGTTAGCCCGTCCTACTGCGGATCTCCTCTATTGCATAGCAATATGATTCAAGCAAATTGCACGGTATCGGAATAATCCTCTCATACAGATTCGACTCCGCCGTAGCCATCTATTTTCCTTTCAGCTGTTCATAATATAAAGGCAAGCGGTTTAACTCACCTCTGCTCTCTCCTGTATCGTACAAGGGAGTAGCTAGGATCGATTCAACGAAGGAGGTGCCAACGTGTGACAGCATTCTGTTACAGTTGAACATCCCCTTTTCCGCTGCAGACGCCGTAAGCGATTGGCAGATGAGCGTTTTAGTATCCCGACTTGCTCATCAGTAACCATAATTTCCCGTGACTACTGATAACACCAAGAGAGAACACGAGGCTTCGAGGTTCAGACAAGAACGGTCTTGACGAATAAACATGGCTACGACGGAAACTGAAAGAACGTGCCATGTCGCTCAAACTACGTGGCAGAGAATGCGCTCGCATGGCAGTAACCGATTCCATACGAAGAGCAAACCCCGCGGGGTGCTGATTCGATGACACCTTACATTCCGAATATCTGGGGGTTATAAATCCTGTGTACACGCCAGACAGGTCGTAATAAAGCCGCAGGTGTCACACTGGCTCTTATGGAGAATGTCTACTGATTTAATCTACCTGGGAATGTCACGTCATGGAGGATTCTTTCGTCCAGGGAAGTGGGTTGTAAATCAGAGAACCAGGAAATAACCATATAATATTGGCAAAAATCATAGAATCAGCATCTTATAGCAGGTTTATTGCACGGGAAACCAGCCAGCCAAGGATCGAGATGTAAGGACCTAAAAACAACGCAATAGATAGCTACAGTCAGTAAACATATAATCTGAGAGTACACTAGCTAGACAGGCTTGGTGGTCAGAAATGCACGTATGACTCGAGAATTGACAGAGAGCTTCCTTCTCATACCAAGATCAAATCAAATAAAATGAAAACAGGCGTGAGATTCCTTCCGCAAAGATGTGATCCCGTCTCACTAAACAGGTGTTGCCCTTGCAACAAAATCCAAAATGGTAGAAATATACCTAATCCTTCAGTGCAGGTTATGGGGAATTGAGGTAAGATGGAACCTCTGTGTGCTCGACTGCTAGTTATATACTTGCTCTTTTCATTAAGGTATGCGCTATCTTACCTGCCTCACTGATAGGTGTAGCATGGCGAGATTCTGCTTCTCAGAATCTGGATATATAGCTGTCCGAAGACCTAGATTCGATATTTTGTGCCAGTAGTATGTAGGCGCCGCAGCCTCACCATCATATGTCCAGCACACTAAAATAACGGAGCCGTGGCAATTTTACTATTGGCTGGTAACGAGGGTAAATTCATACAAATGGATTAATCCTGACCAGGGCCAAAGACATCTATAGAATAATAGCTAGCAGGTGCCCTCGGATCCTTTATTGTCCTGGTAGGGCTGGCTAATAGTCTATAAGTACTACAAATCCCTGAAACTGCGAGTCATGTATATTCACTGTGGTTCCCCTTTCTAGCAGAACCACTAACTACTCAGACTAGTTCTAAATTGCACTAGTTTGTAATAGCCTGGCCAGCCTTCCCCACAGGGCGGATATCAATGCACTCGATAGGGCTGACACGCTGCTGCCTAGTTCTCCTTGTCGAAATTACAGGCACATCCAACACCTGGTTACGGCCAGGCTCAAGCACCTGGAATAGGTAGTTACTGTGACTGGTAAAAACCTTTTTTCCAAATTTGTGAGGAATCGTGACTTCACATGTATAGTCCCCCTTAATGGCATTACATAGATCATAATCCATCATAATGCCGACCCACAAGGAGAACGATCCTCGCAATCCGCGGGACACCGCCGATGAACTGGCCGTTGGACTGGAGCCCGTGGATCCATTTGTGCATGGCGCTGCGCTTGGGAAGCGAATTTTGCTGCCTGTTCCTGGCATCCACGGCTGTATATCTGCTGATCCTTTTCCCCGTTTAAACATCAATATACTACAAACCTGGTTAACTACACCGACAGAACACCACAATGAAGCTCGCCCTGGTGGCTCTTGTGGCTGGTCTGGCCCATGCCACCCCATTCATGGCATCCAGAGCCCTTCCCAATGCCCCTGATCAGTACGCGCCGGCAAATGTGTCGTGCCCGGCCACCAAGCCCTCGATTCGCAGTGCAGCACACATCTCCCCGAACGAAACAGAATGGCTCGAGTCACGTCGGAGGGAAATCTCCTCGCCCTTGAGGGAGTTTCTCGGTCGCTTAGACATCGCAGGCTTCAATGCATCGGGCTACATGGACCTGGCATCTATGAACTCCACTAACATTCCAAATATCGGCATTGCGGTGTCAGGAGGTGGTTATCGCGCGATGCTTAATGGAGCTGGAGCCCTGAAAGCTTTCGACGGTCGAACAGACAATTCAACAGCCAAGGGTCAGCTCGGAGGTCTCCTGCAGAGTGCGACCTACCTTTCTGCTCTCAGTGGAGGAGGCTGGCTGGTTGGGTCTGTCTTTGTGAATAACTTCACCACCATCACTGACCTGCAAGCCAGCGACCGAACGTGGGATTTGCGCAACAATATCATCGAAGGTCCGGACGTCGAACATTTCCAGCTGCTGTCCACGGCCGGATACTGGAGCGACTTGGTAGACACCGTCCACTCAAAGAAGCACGCAGGATACGACACCTCTATCACCGACTACTGGGGCCGCGCTCTGTCCTACCAGTTCGTCAATGCCTCTGATGGCGGCCCCAGCTACACCTGGTCCTCAATCGCGTTAATGGACAACTTCCAAAAGGCCAAAACGCCATTGCCCATTCTGGTCGCCGACGGTCGAAACCCTGGGGAAAAGATTGTTGGCGCCAACTCGACCGTCTACGAATTCAACCCCTGGGAATTCGGGACCTTCGACCCAGCCATCTACGGCTTCGCACCGCTGGAATACCTAGGATCAGACTTCGACGACGGCCAGATCGGCAATAATGGGACCTGCGTACGGGGCTTCGACAACGCCGGCTTCGTCATGGGCACGTCCTCGAGCCTGTTCAACCAGTTCCTTCTGCGCCTGAACAGCACCGATATCCCCAAGACCCTCAAGTCCACACTAGGCTCCATCCTCGAAGACATCGGCGACGCAAACAACGACATCGCGAACTACCCAAACCCCTTCTACAACTTCCAGGAAAGCACCGCCGCCATCTCCTCCCGACGCAACCTCAGCGTCGTCGACGGCGGCGAAGACGGCCAGAATATCCCCCTGCACCCTCTCATCCAGCCAACCCGCAACGTAGACGTGATCTTCGCCATCGACTCAACAGCAAACATCCACAACTGGCCGAATGGCCAGTCCCTCGTCCGGACATACGAGCGCAGCCTCAACTCCACCGGCGTCGGCAACGAGACCGTCTTCCCTTCCATCCCTGACGAAAACACATTCGTAAATCTCGGCCTCAATCAACGGCCTACATTCTTCGGATGCGATACAAAGAACCTCTCAGCTCCCGCGCCCCTGGTCGTATACCTCCCCAACGCACCCTACAGCTATATGTCCAACACATCGACCTTCGACCTCAGCTACAGCGACGACGACCGCGATGCAATTATCGAGAACGGGTATAACGTCGTGACCCGCGGCAACGGCACAGAGGACGAGCAGTGGCCGACGTGCGTGGGGTGTGCGATCTTGAGTCGTAGTGCGGAGCGGACAGGGACGGTACTGCCCGAGGCGTGTAGACAGTGTTTCCGGACTTATTGCTGGAATGGGACGCTGGATACTAGCGAGCCGGAGGACTATCAGCCTTCTGTTGTGGTTAAGACGAGTATGGCTGGGAGGGTAGCGCCTTGGGGGGTTGGTGTGCTCGTCGGTTTGGTTTGGATGGGTTTGATGTAGATAGAGTTTATTGATAGATTTATTATTACTTGGGAGGAATATGATATTGCCTTCGGTATGGATATTGCCATCTCTGCATATATCGCTGGGTTGGTATTCGTACAGCCGCATTTAATAGCAAACCTCAGGTTGTAGGAAGCTATGTAGTACAAGTATTCCTCAGCTTTATTTCTTAATAATTACTGTACAACGAATGAACTATAAAATCAGACTCTCAAAAGGCGTCTACCTTTACTACCAGGGGTGATGTGGCGACCTCTGGGGCCCAGGGTTGGATAGAAGCTCCGCGACAGCAGGAAACTCTACTTGCATATCAGCACAATTACCTGCAAGCTAATTCAATGGTAGCTCCAGGATGTTCGGTCCGGAAACAGCCGAGGGACCGTATGATAGAGTGGCAGGTCGCCAAACCTTGTGATGATGAATCCGCGAACAAACTTTTCAAGTAAAAACTCTTATAAAAGGAGCCCCCAGAGAATTTCGATTTTTATTTCTGTATAACTCCCAGGGCGAGCGTTGTATCACCAACAATGGCGCTCTGTATCAAAAAGTTCTTACACTCTGTTGGACTCCATAGGCGGCGAGAGAAGTATAGTAAGCGTCTCTTGTCTCATGAGAAACCGCCCTGTCCTCTTCCCTACCCTGAGGAACCTCCCTCGTCCCTGCTATTGGAGCTACCTCTGGATATTCTGGTATGTATTGTACCATACTTACCACTGGTGTCCCGGGTCTGCCTTGCACTCACCTGCAAGCCGCTCTACAGACTACTTCGCCCCGCCCTGGATGATGAACAACTAGCCTGGCCAAGATATCTGGCTAGCCCATTAGGTTTGTGCAAAGAATTTGGTAGCCAGCTGCACCTTCCACGGGTTGAACTTCTGCTCAAGCTGGAAGACGCCCGCTGGCTATACTGCTGTGGCTGCCTTAAGCTTCACCCATACAGCTACTTTTCTCAAGAATATATAGATACCCCAGCATCATGTGTCTCATCATTGGATCGAAACTGCAACGTTACACGCGGAATCGTCGATTTGTGCTCCTGCCTCGCCCTAACCTACACAAACGGCGAACGGCTAAGTGAGTGGATACAGACAGGGGCACCAAGCCCGGTCATTGACCGTAACATCCAACAGCAATTCCGATACCAAGTGCTTAAGAATAAGAGCTGTCTTATTCATAAGTGCTCGGTGACAACCCAGCCCGATGTCTTCTTAAACCTCACGATTATTCTGACCCTGGAAACCGGCAAATACTTGGTAGTTACGACCAGATACAACGTGTATTGGGCAACACCGCACAAACGTCTAGGAGATATGATAAAGGACGATGAGGCCTATCGACCCCCATTAAATATCGAACCTGTTTTCCTCTGTCCACAAGTCCACGCCCTTGCCTGGCTCTACGGAATCACCGCACTTACTCAGGGATATAAGAATGCATGCCGCCTCTGTGATACAACATTTCATCTGCTCCTCTGCACCGATGACGGCCTTCATTCTGTTATTCGAAGTGAGCGTAATCTAGGACTTGTTCAAAACGATCCGAATAGGCCCGGGCGGCTGATGCTAGGTTCATGGAGGTGGTGGGACAGTTCTCGGAGGCCTGGGAATCGTATAGAGCGATTGTGGTATCGCTGGGATTGAGAGCCCTTGGGAGGAATGCAGGATGCGCCGTGGATGTTTACTGTTGGTAACATCTTGAACCAGCACTACAGCCTGTCGAAAACCTATTCCAGAGATGCCACATCACATTTGTCCATGGTTAGCGGGAACATTTTCGAAGATAATCATGATTGTCCATGGAGGACAGCCGGCTATCGGAGGTAGAGGACGGAAGAGCGTAGCGGAACAACGATCAATAATGGCGCTGCAAACAGGATTGGAGGTCGAATGTGAACTCGTCTTGGCTTCACCCGAAGGCTACTAGTCACAAGCACTGCGTAGAAGTGCGAGTTCGTCGCTGGTGTCCCTCCCCCCTCCGGCGTGGCCCTAACTGAAGGGGATCAACGGGTTTGCTTTGGCATCTCTCTCCCAGATGCCGGGGGGGGGACCCACCATCAACCGAGCGTTGCTCAGCTGAAGGCGCGGGTCACTCTGTCACGCAAGAGGTCCCGTTCACGACGAGCAGACCGTGCGTCTTCCTTCGCCTTCTCGAGCCCGTGGGCCCGTTCCAGCTCAGAAAGACGCTGGTCATCTCGCCGCCGGGCAGCCTCAAGCGCACAGAGCCTCTCCTGCTGATCTTGCACCATCTTCGTCAGGTTCAGAAGCTCCTTACCCCCTTCACGAGGGCCGGACTGGAGACCGCCGATCAGGGTCAGAACTTCTGAAATTCCCTTCTGAAGAGGCGCAATATCAGTCTGCGGAGGCCCCACGACATCCGAGCTAACGTCAGTACGCTTGCGCTTCTTCCTCTCCTCCCAAGCGCGAGGCCACAGGTACTTGACGAAAGGCACTTTTTGTAACCAGTCCTTCACAAAAAGAGAAAGCAGAGAGATGCCGGCGCCGATAAGGTGATCAGTCACAGGGTCTAGCATGGTGGATTGGTGGTACTTAACTTGGGAAATTGTGGTGTGTGAAAAGATCGTAACTATCGAAACGATCTTGGGGAGGAAAACGAAGAAGATGGATGGCCTTGTAAACGCAATTATAACAACAGGAGCAGCTTCATCGCAGTGGGAAGGCACGACCATGGTCACAACAACCCGTTAGCAGCAGGCAGTTGTCTGGCGCTCCTTCCAGAACTGGTCTGTTCTCTCTCCGGTTCAACCTGCCTGTACACCGACCTCTGCTGTCTCATCAAGTGACGGATATCAGGAGAACCACTTTCAACGATATGGCTCGGGGCTCCTAAAGGCCTGCTTCGGCCTTTACCATGTGAAGCGCAAGTTGGGCTACAGTATGGGGGACTTTAACGCCTGCTACACAAAAGCCAGACATTGCCACTGAGATGCTGACCACGTTTAGTTAGAAAGTCCTTTGCTGTACGTCGCAGATCCTCCTCAGAACCCCTTCTATGCGGTTGACCGTTTCTTCGGGAAGACTGAACTCAGCCAGGTGGTGCCTCTCTCCCCATCCTCCGGGGTTCCGCCCTGCCTCCAAGGGCATGAACACGCCAATTCGTTATGTTGTTGCCCCATCAATTTTCCTTGAAGTAACCGACATCCCCGATCACTCTGCAAGGGCAGTGCGCGTGTACGACTACCTCACACATAACCTGATCAACAAATACGCCCCCGACCACGCCTCAGCCGAACAAACTGCAAGTGCATGGAAATCAGGTCGTAGTGCAAAACTCCACAATGGGATATTTGAATACCTCAACCAAACTCTTGGCGTTGAGGGCGGGCTTTCCCTCCCTAGGTCCATTCTCGAAGACAGTTGGTGCTTATGATATATGCGTGTTAGTTGGGTCTTTTGCGACCACGGCCCTTCCTTCCCACTGCGATGAAGCTGCTCCTGTTGTTATAATTGCGTTTACAAGGCCATCCATCTTCTTCGTTTTCCTCCCCAAGATCGTTTCGATATCCAGCTTCGTTGCGATCACATAGCAACCCAACCCAGTGCTAATACACCCCATTCTCCAAGATGCCTCAATCCATAGGTGATCATGTTTGGAACAGCTTGAGTTTCAGCACCTCTCTGTTCTCTCTCTTTGGGAAGGACTGAGCCCAACGATGTCCTGTTGTCAAGTGGGCTTGGCCGCGTGCCTGGGATGAGTGGGAGGCGGAGAAAGTTGTTTGTATCATTTGGATGTTTGTTCTGTACGGAAGCCGCCAGGGGATTGATTATATTGATGTGTTTGCTTTGCTGGGAGTCTGTTGTAACATTCTTTGTCGGAGTGGAAATATATCGAATGGAGTCTGGCACCTTGGTTGGTGTTTGGCACGTAAGTATAGGTATTCGGTGTAACTTGGGAGGCTGGTTATGGTCCGAATTATAGACTGTATGGATTTTAATATGCACTTACTCCCAAGAAGTCTGGTATCGCAAATAAAAAGAGAATTGACCACTTAATTTAACACTCGTGCGCCCTCCTCGTTCCCCTCGCGGCTCTCCGCTTCTACAACCGTCGTAACAGTCTTAGCAATGTCCTCCCTGTCCTCATGCGTCCGTGTCCGAAAAGACGATCTTCCTGCCCCCTCTAGCCCAGAAGGAATATGAGTATGCAGGTCATAATTATCATAGTGATCTACACTACCAGTTCGCTCGCGTAATTCCCGGGATTATAGGAACCCGATAATGGGGCCCGGTGGTTGGAGGAGTAAACGCGGTTTATGCTCCATTGGACGACCTTAGAAATGAGCTGGACCATTTTGAGCTCCAGGTAGAGTTTAACAGTAGATGTCACTGGTGCGAACTGGACGTAGCTGGAGAAGGTATATTAGTTAGACTTCGGTCCTATGAAAAATGACATGGGCGGATGTGATATAGACCTACGTGAATTGGCCGGGCAGGGCCAGCAGACCGAGAGGCAAGGAGTCCATAACGGTCAAAATCACTACGAAGCCAATGTTGCAGAAGAATCCCACAGCAACGTTGATGGCGCTGATGGCGATGACAAGACACCATCGAAGCTGCAGCGCTTTACGTCTTCTGGCCATGGTCAGGGAAATTCGGCCTGTTCTACACGATGTACAGTTAATTTTTATCTGGAAAAGATGTAGCAAGTTTGTTACTATATCTATCGGTAATCTTAGTGTGACGATGCATTGGCTCTGGTGCATTCACGATCTCAAACTAGCCAGCATAGCCTCCTGCCGGCTCAGACCCTAAAGGCACGCCGTCCCATTTACCCCGCCGTCCTGCAGGAGGGCGCTTAAGTTCTTTCAACACCTAAATATACCCCTCAGCGTTATAAAAGGCGCAAGGGTACTTAAGTCCCTGTGAGTCTACCAACTGGTGAGCGCGATCTGCAACACCCACCATGATTGGCCAACACGAAAGCGCCCTTTTGGCGAAGCTCCCCTTGGAGATTCGCTATCGAATCTACGAACTGGTATTCGGGGATAAGATTATCATATTCACGGCCGGCTCACAGCCAAAATTCAGACACTGCCTTTGTACCGCCAGAGGCCAAAAGTGGCATTTGATCGACTGGCTGAATCTCCCCTCGCCGTGGTCTAGGTGCAGTGCCCACGGCAAGCACGAACCAACACCACGCCTTCCGCTGCTTTTGACTTGCCGTCAGATGTAGGTTATATCCCTTTCTTTGATTCAATGTCTATATATGTTGATTAAAACTGGATAAAGCTTTTCCGAGTCTGTGCCTATCCTGTGGTCCCAGAGTCCCGTTCATGTGCAGCTACACAGAGGCCCGGTTTACCCCGGGCTCCTTTCTGACCTTCAATCTACTATAATGCCTACAAACTTTCAAGCAATCCGCTCGCTTGAGGTCTCATTTTTACATCCCGTACTCGGGACTAGCATTCAAACCCTTGATGACCGGTGGTTTAGCTGGTGGACGGAAACATGGGATGTGATTAAAGGAATGAGGGGTCTGGTGTACCTCCAGGCCTGGATAAAGATGCACCAGGAACCCAGAGAAGACTATGTGACTGCTGAACAAGAGGCAAAACTGTTTGCACCATTGATGGAACTATATTGGCTCCGAGGCTTTAAGGTCGAGGTAACATGGCCACCAACTGAGGGCTCGGAAGACTTGCTTCGTGGTGCGCCGTTTGATCTTGATAGGAATAACGATCCAATACCTGGGAAGCCCGTAGTTGCTGACTACGTGTCAATTAGAGCAAGGCAGGTTCCGGGGTGATGGAACCGAGCAATACTAAATTGACAGGCATAAAAAGAGTGAAACAAACAACTTTCCCCAGGTGGATACCTTGCACGATCAATCACGCGTTCCAGAGTCTCTTAACCGCCTGTTCAAACCTCTTTGCTTTATCCCCAATAGACACAGCCATGCCATCTTTGTTGAATGTGAAGTGATCATCCTGAATTCTACGCACACCTGGTTATCATTAGTACCGGAATAAACAGTACAACGGCACGAATAGGCTCACCCAAAGCAAGAAACGCATATGACTCTGGATTCCTCCATCCTTCCGCTGTAGGAAGCGCCATACATTTGTGCCATCCATACGCGGGATCGTCCTCGAGATCATATCCGCCTGGCAGGGCATGTGCCAACTGGCAAGGCAAATCTGTTAGCTCGATCAAGATTAAGGGAAAGCTATAGGTCTAACCTCATGCAAAAGAGTAAAGTCCAGTCGGCTACTGAACACGTCTGCGTCGGGATCATCCTTGGAAGATTGTCTTTTGGGATCGTAATTTTTCGCGCCATGGGCATCGGGAAGGGTACCCTCAGCATTTGTGAACTCGGTACCTAGTATCTGGTTCAAGTACCACGGGCAGAGCTGAATTGATAGGTATCTTCTTCCGGGCTTGTTGACGATGCTCGTGAAAGCCATTGATCTCCCGTCCTTGCACTTATCATACCCCTCGAGCCGCTCCTGAACAATCCCCTCTTTACGGTCTATAAGGTAATCCACCTCTGGCTTATCATAAAGCGGCCCGTGCCTCTCTTCAAATCGGTTTAGATTACAGTAGATAGTCTGTCATGATTTGTGAGTTCCAGTTCTCTCCTTGGCCTGGGATACAACTTACTGGCTGTTGCACCTGAGGCGTGTGAGGCTTGTTGATCTCTGTTAAGAACGGTATGAAATGATAGGTGGCTAGACTGGGTAAGAATACATATGCTATCAAATGGCTTCACCAACTTACATTTCACCCTGGCCATATCTCTGTCACGGAAGAACAACTTTCTTAGGGCTTTGACGTGGGTGTTTTGGTTCTCCTCCTTTTTGTTTAGCTCCGTAAGAGCACCTTCGGCCGATTCCCTTGCTTTATGCATGGATACCCCTATCTTGTGTTCGATGGCTGTCTCTTATGTTAGGATGGATGAGAGTGCTAGGAATGGGGAAGCGAACGTTCGCAAGACTTATCGAGAAAGTAGCCATTGACAGAGAGGAGCTGTAGCCAAAAGAGAGAGAGAAGTAGCACTCTGCTCCAGGAAATTGTATTTGCCATGGTGAATGATTGATTGAAACTGATGTCTGTGTTGAAAGCCAGAGTAGACTGATATCCGGCATATTTATACCTTCAGACATCCTACAGACTCTACATCCATCCAGACTGCATATTCCATTCTAGGTAGGAGCTGTCTTGAACAGCCCCCAACCAACAAATACAGCACTACCATCCATGATACTTTGCGTATAACTGCAAGAACAAACCAATCCGCTATCCCGAAGTCTGTTGGCCGGGACTGATGTTCATCGCAGACATGTCTGCGAGCTGGGGCTACTGCAATGCGGCGTGTCCTCTCGAGTCATGATGTAGGGTGGTGTGCACCAAATAAAGCGACTAGCAGCATCGATAGCGACAGGACAAGTCAGAAATGCAACACACCATGGGGCCATACTCCAGGTACTGCCTCAATATGTACAGAGAATCGAACTCTGGGTCCAAGTGGCGGTTATCATGAGTGGCTAAGAATAGCAGACGGTGTTTTGGAGAGACCCCTCCGATTGACGTTAATGCAGGGTGCCGCTGCTGGCTTGCAGGACCAAGAGACTTGGGGCACGGGGCGGTTCTTAATGCTGGCACCAACTATACAGGCAGACCCCTAATTGGACGCTAAACAGTCCAGGGTCCGGGGTTGTGCGGCACGGGCCAAACCTAACTGACGGGCCGCAGTGCAGAGCGTTGGGGGCGGGCGGCTATCTCTATACACTCAGTTGGAATATTTGCACTATTTGCATGTTTCTTTGGTATATATATCGTAGAGAGTTATTCCATTAGATATCTAACTCTACTCTGGTAGACCCCAGTTCCCATTATTATTATCAAAGATGGTTCAGCTTCAATACTCTCTGCTGGCCTTTGCCGTTTCCCAACTTGTATCGGCCTTTCCCAAGCCAGATGGAGATTCTACACTTCAGCAGCGCCAGGCAGGGCCGAATGACCAATTTGTCTTCGCAATCTGTCCTCGGTAGGCTCCAGAGTAATGACCTCCCAGCTACCCCCGCTAATAGACCGTAGGAGCCCCCAGAAATGCTCCCAATGTGGAGGCGACAGCCGGAAGAAAGGCTTCTGCGACAACGAGATTGCCACAGGATACAGATCAGACTATAACAGATGTGTGAGATGGCACGGGGAAGGGGAAGGATGCGGGCTGAACTGCGAATGTATCTCAGAGGAGACAGGCAAGCCAGGGTAGGATGCCCTCACCTCGTGCCTCCCTATCTACACTGCTAAACTAAGTGTTAAGAACCGGGGCGCCACCTATTATTCCATTCCCACCTATTCCAGTGGGGTTTGTTCCACCTCCTGCTGCGGTGCCGAATCCGAAGACGGAGGAATCGTGCGGTAATGACTACACCAAGACTAGCTGTAACGATTGTGAGCCATTGGAAGGCTGGTGCACCAAGGGCGAGAAGGCTGGATGCCCTTGTAGAGAGGAATGCCCTGCCGATGACGACGACAACAAGCCGTCTTGTTCAGCCGACGACTGTAAGGGCGAGCAGGGCTCTTGTACTATTGTAAGTCATCCACCTCCCTGCTTATCTATCTCTACTAACTCTAGTCAGGGACACCACAAGGGCTGTAAATGCAAGTCCGAATGTCCTAACCCAGACAAGAAAATCCTTGTTTGCAGCGACGATACTTGCAAGTCAGAAAAGGACAACAAATGCACCACGGTATGGCCCAGGACACTCGTAAAGACAAACTATGGTGAAATTACTAACTCCACACAGGACGAATATAATGGCTGTGATTGTTACCACCTCACAAAAGATTACTACACAATGAGATCCAGAGCCCAGGTCCAAAGCGATACGGCAGCAATCGAAAAGTTAGTCGCGAGTATGAAGAAGTTCTACGATGAACATGGTCAGGAGGATGACGAGCCAAAAGACCCAGAGGTTACTTGTGCAAGCAAGGACTATAGCGAAGCTGTTGAAGTCGACGCCTCGTTCCTTAATAAACTTGCTGACAAGTTCTGCAGCGGGGACACGGACAAGAAGCGAAGCCAGGACCTGACGGCAAAAGATATCTCCTCTGGTGCGTATGAGAACTATAAGTTTCATTTCGAACTCGACCCCGGCGATGATTGCAAGACGGACTGCAAGGCCGCTTTCAAGTCTATGACTGGCAAGTGTAAGTTGACTATCCTGGCTGATAAATCTTATGATACTGATTAATCGTTACAGGCCAAGGTCTCGACAGCCACTCCATCCAAAAATCAGCCAATGCCAAAGTCCCCGATTGCGGCGCCAGCTTCAGCTACGAAATCACTGTCCCCGAGGCGGAGGAGGCCCCTGATACGTTTACTCAGGAGGGGCAGCAGGAGCGAGTATGCCATACGATCGAGGAGATTGGCACGCATGGGGACGTCCGCGGGGGTGAAATGAGTAGAGCAGCTCTGATGTGCTTAAACGTCGAGGATGACAAGGCCCAGTTCACATCCGGGTCAGAGCCAGTTACACGTACGATGGAATCTGGCGGAACCCAGTACGCCATCACCATGTCCTGGGTTGACAACTGCGAAGGAGATAGCCAGGATGTGCGGTATCCTCATGGGAAGGAGAACAACAGGCTCGGTGATACGTGTTGGATGTTCATGTTGCATAATTGGCAAGACTGCAGTAAGTTCTTCGTCTCCCTTTTCTTGGTAGCGAGCTAATCCCCCTGCTATAGCCGGCAATAAGGGTGCCGGTGGGTACATTGACTATGGCTGTGTGAGATATGACTTTAGGCCTACTTTTGACTAGGATTGATTGTTTGCTTGGTATTTTATTTTGTAGCTCATATACTTTCGAAGTTCGTCTCCTCATTACTAGTCCATTACCAGTAGTCAGATACGACATATATCGGGAATAGTATTGCTGGAATGAAGCTAAATAAGAACGAGTAGTTGGAGCCTCCCCACCAAAGTTGTGATCAAGATAGCAATTTGCAGCTTCAACTCAACCGAATCCGGAAGGTCACGCTGTTGATCACCTCCGACTAGGTGATAAGAAATCATACCGCTCCTTAAGGGGGCTTATACTCTCATATCTCCATGTAGCACGGTGTCCATGATCTCGAGCTGGAATCCGCCGCAAGCAAAATCAAAGCGCCACGTCCCGAGGAGACAGAAGTCAACGCCTCCCCTGGAATCAAACTTTAAACCGCATTGTAACGACAGCCAAATGATGGCTTGTTGTCGTGGCCGGGATTCAATAGCACGGCATGCCATCAGACCCATCAGGTATTCACTTGGGTTAACCCATAGGTCCAGATTTCTTAATAACCCCTTAATTGATAATGAAGCTGCTGGGCTTTAGCAAATCCCGAATCCCGAACGTCTACCGGCCCTGGGATCTACTGTAAGCAATGCTTGGCTGTACATAAATGGCTTATTGGAGTAGACTCGAAGAAGGATCCTGTGGTCACAGCCATAAGGAGTTGATCCGTAGAAAGAAAAGGGGATGAAGTATTTCTCGCAAGATGAACATGGCTTACGCCTCAGTAGTGCATACACAAAGACCGGCTCTTGAACCTGGTGATCGTCGTAAGGCTGTGTCTTGGGTCGTATGTCTTCGTCAACGGGTGGCTGTGCCTGATCGACAACGCCAAATGTGACTACGCGGTATAGCAATAGATAATAATAACGACACCACGATCGTCAGTTAGTTGCATACTGACGGCTGCAGCATTACCTTCCAGCGTTTTCACTGTAAGGCTCTGCGATTAATTGGCACAGGAGTAGTTAGTTGCTAAGGGGGATAATCTTGGCAACAGCGAGATTACAGCTGCCGTGCGAATAGTCTACGGTATTTATAATAAGAGTGACACTTGAAATCGCAGGATTCGAGTGCGATCCCATAATTAAAAAAGAAGAGAACTGAGAGAGCCTTACGGCCAGTGTTGACGGCTCCATGGTAGTAAGCCACTGGCCGATGACGACTGCATGATCCACAGTAACTGTCAAAGCCTTATAATATGCCTGAGCAGAGGCGGTCGCAATTTATGGAGGCGGATAGACAGCTGAATCTCGGTAGATTCGGATGGAGATAGAAGAAGAGCGAGGAGGAGCCGACTTCAGTATAGACAGGGGCCAAATCAGCCGCTGGTGCTCGCACGATACGATGAATGGCCGGAAGGATAACCGAGTGGATGATGCTTATTATCAGTTGACGATCCCTGGCGGCATTTGGCCATTTTGACAGTGATCTAGTTGTCTCCACCGTAAGCCACTGGCCCACGCCCGCACGCCAACCCGGCAGGCCGTTGCGTTGGAGCCACTTAGATGCCCAGCAGTTGGGCTTCACTCAGGGCAGGCGGGTCAGCCCCTGGGAGGAGATCTGGCAGTCAGTGAGGCCGTGTAACTCAGCCCCCAAAGATCCAGCACAGGGCAAAATAACGGTCGATGGGGAAATGGGCTGATAGACTGGTATAAGAAGGGGTGTTCCCCCGACGAAATAGATCTTACTATCATCATCATTCACGTACAAAGCGTTATTAGCTTGTTATAATGTTTACGAAATCATCACTCCTACTCGCCCTCGGGGGGAGCGCCCTTGTGGGTGCAGTCCCTGGGACTGTACGCTCTCAGGAACCTTGCACTCGGTTGGCCCAGTCCAGTAGGAAATATCCTTGCAAAGACCGTCTTTGAACCGTTTCGCTAACCATATACATATAGAGGGATCCTATTATCCGCCCGAATTAGCCCTAGAGTGTCTGCACTCGATGCCATTCGAGTCAAACAGAGCAGTAGCTTACATTGACGACTTGGAGAAATACCTGCAGTTTCACTCCACTGCAGACAGCTTGAGCAGTATGTATTTCCTGCATCATAGGAAGAAACATGAAGGCTAACGTATTTTATGACAGATCCCCCGAATACGTACGAGTCACAACCGGTCGACTTCTGGGAAGGATTGGAAGATATCAAGGCGAAGGCCAAGCAAGGCAAATACAGCAGCCAATATGAGTTCGACACCGCTCTGTACGACCATTTCATCCATGTACACGATGGCCACTTGAATGTTGTCGGATGCTCGCTCAGTGCAATTTCATTTGTGACCCAGGACCCACTGGTCTCGTTTTCGCCTGACGGGCTCGAGCTGCCGGATATTTACACTCTCGGTAAGTGCCATTTGGCCCTATATACGCATATTACAGGAGCTAACGACCGTTACAGCGGATGCCGAACTTCTTCACAAGCGGGCGAGTGCCAACGTTTCACCCATCGTTGCCATTAATGGGGAGAAAGCTTCTTCATTCCTTGACACCCTGGCAGAAGGGAGCCAGACAGACCAGGACCCCGACGCTCGGTACAACGCGATGTTTTACTCGTTGTTCCGACCCAAGGCCCAGGTGGCAGGTTTCAACTCAGGGTTCGGTAGCGTATACCCCGGCGTCAATGAATACACCCTGGGATATGCCAACGGGTCGACGAGTATGGTCCGGGTGATAGCAGTCCCCGCTGCGGGCGAGTTCACGTATACAAGCGGCAAGGAGCTGTATAATTCCATCTGCGTGCCCAAGGAAGAGTCCGCGTCAACGTCCACGCCCGGGATATCCTGGACCGCCACACCGACCCCCAGCACTAGCGCTCCTGCTACGAGCTCTGCCGCTGCAACTGCAACCCCTAGTGCCCAGCCAGGATACCCAAAGGCTATCGTCCGCGACGCTGACACCGATATTGCTGGCTATCTGCCCAACGACCCCACGCTCAAGAACGCTGCTGTGCTGAGAGTGCCGACCTTTGATGTTGCAGAAAAAACTGGGGGTACCGCCTTCGACTCGAATGTCGTTGCCAGATTCCTCAAAAAGGCCAAAGCTGAAGCCAGACAGAAGCTCATAATTGATTTGACTGCCAACGGGGGAGGGAACATTGCCTATGGGTGGAATCTGTTCAAAATCCTCTTCCCCAACAAGAATCTGTACTCTTCCACCCGTCTGCGCGCGCACGAAGGCCTGCATGTGCTCGAGAAAGCTGCATACAGGTTCCTTTATACCTTCGACGATAAGGACTTTGAAAAGGACGAACAGCTCGACAACATTAGGCTTGAGGCGATTAACTGGGCGGGGTACCTGACGCCCAACCAGAGTTATGAGTTCCAGTCTGCGGACGAATTATACGGACCTGAGGTTGTGCTGCAGTCGAACATGACAAGGGCTCACTCTCAGAACTTCGAAGACATCGAGTCTGACTATCAGACCCCCCTCCAGGGCTACAATGACATCCCAAAGAACTTCACCTCAGCCCCCTTCGCCCCAGAGGATATCATAATCATTACGGACGGTGATTGCGCTTCCACCTGCCCAATCTTCACCACTCTGATGCAGTACGAGGGCGTCAAGACCCTCACATTCGGTGGCCGCCCCCAGAACGGACCAATGCAAGCGCTCGGAGGAACCCGCGGTGGCGAGGTCCTGGAGGCCGAGCAGCTGCAGCAATCTATGCTGATGGCCTATGAATTCGGCAAGAAGTATGAAATGCTTTCCGAGGACGAGCTCATGACACTGGCGGCTCTCAGCCCCGCGAAGAAGCCTTCTCTAGCTGGTGCTGCGATCAGAGTCAACTACCGGGACACCTTCAGCAAGCACGACAAGGACAGCGTCCTGCCCTTGCAGTATGCCTACGAGGCCTCTGACTGTCGGCTCTTCTACACCAATGAGAACATCTTCTCCGCTGAGAGTTACTGGAGCGATGCTGCCAATGCCATGTGGGGCGATGGCGAGTGCGTCCAGGACTCGCGTGTTTAATTTCATAACTTTGTATCATAATGTCTTCTAACAGCGGGACACTATCTTGCTTATATCTGGCCTATGTTGCCTATTCCATATTGTCTATTATCATATAATCTAGCATTATAGACTTTCTGTACAACACGTTATTTTAACCCTTTCAATTTTCTAGATCCGAGCAATAAATGGAGTAACAATATAATACAATCGACTGACTAATTAAGCCACTTGAAACAGCCAATGGGAGTAGGCATTGCTTAGAATATCCAACCCCTCCCAGACCCTCAAAATGCAGTGTTGCTGCCCAGTGTGGTCGACCTTCCATCGCTGAGTGCACATCTTGATGCTTGGCTATCAGTCCTGAAGACGAAATTACAACCGCTGAAAGTACTCTTGTTACATCAATAAAGATAGTATATACACTCTCAAAGACACTAGCACCTCGATGTTCAACAAGTAATGCCGATACCGGAACCCTGTCCAACTAAATTCTGGCAATAACCAGGAAGTCAACATCACGCCCTAATATTAGTCTAATTGCACGTGCACGTTTAAACCACACCCCAAACACCCAGCAAAAGCAGTGACCATGTCTTGAGAGAAGGCTCCCACTGTTAAGTATGTCTGGTGCTTTGAAACTTGGCAGCCCGCTGAGGACCAACACCTGCTTTACACTAAAATTGCAGTACAATGCTCAGCCTCACTCAGGCCGCGTAAACATGTGGTGAGACCCCTCAGCAAATCAATATTGCATCTGGGTAGAATTACTGATTGGTTGATCGATGCCCCGGCCAGCATCTCCCAGAGCCTAAAAGTGCAGTGGTGAGGTGAAAGAAGCTTAGCCGCAGACAGTCGCCATTGTGTTCTTGCTATGGAACTTCCCGGTCTTTACGAAAGAGGCACATGTTGATGCTTATACTATCTAGATAAATCGTGAGATTCTCTTTTTGATAAGTATTAATACTACGCTGAGTTTAAACAGCGTTTCATAATATTACCTGTATTCTATCAGTCTCCTAGCTGCCAGTTGGAACGTTTAGTAACTGCCGTACCGTGTGCTTCCTTTAATCTCCCTTGGAGACCGGTGTATAGTATTCTCTGAAAGCAGATCTGGCAGTTGGCAGCCATATTTGATTCTCTGGCATGTAAGTGACATACCGCCCCTCCCACAGCCTAAAAATGCAGTCAAAGACCTTGCAGCATCTGCCAGGCTTTAGTTAACTCCCTAATTATCAGAATACTCTTAGTGTAGATCCAATTATTTGAGCACATAACATTAGCTACTACATCAAAACCCCCAGTTCATTTGCCAACCGTCCTAAGCTAAACAGCCCACAAGAAGGGCTGTCTCTACTTCTTTGCAGGACAAGCAGTCTTGGTAGGCGTCTCAGTCTGGGTACTAGTAGGCTCCGGACCCCCAGTGCTAGTCGGCTCACTGCCCCCATCACAAGCACCCTCATACGCATCAATACCCTTCTGAATCGCATTCGAGATACTATCCGACAGCTCCTTCGCAATATCCGCCAGCGCAGCGGGGACCTTGGAGACAACAGCGTCACTCAAGCCCGTCGCGGCCTCATACTGGTCCTTAAGCGCAGTTAAGGTGGTACATCCCTCGCCAAGATCGATGATATCGGCCTTAACGCCGATAAGACTCTGCACGGTAGCGTCGGTGTCGTCGGCGAGCTTTTGGGTGGGAGAGACGAGACCTAGGGCTTCGAGCTGTCCCAGAGCGGGCTGGGCGTTGACTGTGCTTGTCCCTGAGGTGATTGTGTCCACGAGGGTGTTGGATTGACTGATTATGGCATCCGCGTCTAGGGGTGTGGCTTCTATGGCGCTGCCGAGGGCGAGGACCTTGTCGTCAATGTCGCTGAGGACGCCTTGGATTGCGGCGACGTCCCGTTGGGTGTTGACATTGACGGTGGTGGGGGTGGCTAGGGCCGGGGTGAGGAGGGAGATGGAGGTGATGACGGTAGCGAGCTTCATTTTGAAGACAGAGATCAATAGGAGGAATTGGATGTTTGGCTTGGTGTTCTGGCTGTATGATCAGGGTTGTCGATGCGGCTTATATAGATGTTGGGTCTGCACATGGCCTCGGTATTGCCATTGTGTAGAGTTGGTCAAGACGCCACAATATGGACATCTACTATGGTTTAACTTTGCAAAGGTGATAGCTGGCCTTGGCTACTTAGCGAGTCAGCGCTTGTATAGCGAATTCGGCAACCGTCGCGAACGCCTCAGCTAACATCGATGTAACTGCGCCGGGCAGAGATTGGAAAACAGGACCGTTAGTAGCTTTTCCACAACCACCATTCTCGACCATGGACAGTTGATATTCAAGGACCCTTTGATGAAGACATTAAAAGTCCTCGCTCTTAGACACAATGTTGAATGAAGGCCAATATGATAGTGGTGTCTGCAGCCAATTTTTGGGAGGTAGCATCTGCGAGTCAAGTTGGACAACCATGCGGGGAACTGTCGAGGTCGCCCTACCCCAAGTTCCTGGAGAATATTTAGTCAATATTATTGCAATCTCCACGAGGCTGGAACCTGGCGATTGGCGAACCGGCGATGCAGCCACAAAGCTGGGCAGTAAGCTTGGTGTAGCTGTTGTTGGGGATCCGAGGCACATGTGGAACATCGCTTAACGATGGAGTGGGTTCCTGGAAATAAAGTAAACACATCCAGGACCAATTGGCGACGAAATGGATATTAAAACAATAACGAGGTCAGATGATGGTGAAGGTCTGGACTCAATCGAAATCTGGGGACAATCACGGATGCTGCCGAGGATCAACAGTCAAAGCTTCATATTGGTTATCCCATAATCCAAGTATATCATTCTATTATTCTATCGCTTTTCCCGAAATACCAACGCCAACCTAGCACGCTTACGTAGTAATCCTACGAGTAACTATATGCAGTTAAGCCCAATTTGTGGTGTTGGAACCGTCGAAAGCCGCCGGATCGCCTTGACAGCAGTCGCACTGAGTCCGTCCATGTCCTGGCCGTGTTTACTCTCCTGCAGCGCAAGATTCTACAGCTAATCAGCATCCCCAACCTCTCCCCAGGTCACAGTTATCAGTAGATCAGAAAGAAAAGAGAACTCACCACAGCCTCTTGCCACTTCCCCAACATGGCACTCAGATCATGCCTGCCCCAGACGCCTTCTCGCTTATTCTGTCCCAGGAACTGCTCAAACAAGTTCCACTCCTCTTCCCTGCTACACTCATTAACAGCAACCGTGCGCGCCAGAGTATAGTACTCAAAGACATCTAAGCCCCCTGGTCTTCCAGTCGGCCAAAACCCGCTACTACCAGCTTTATACAGCAGATCATTTACATCGGGGTCCAGTCGATAAAACGCCTCATCGTACACCCCGTCCCGTTTATCGATTTCCATGCCCCGCGTTATCTTCCACTCCAGGATGAGACGCTCTGCGCCACCAGTTAGGAGGTATGATCCGTCGGAGACAGACGAGATTTTTAAACCGCGCAGCTTGAATGTATTTCTGGTAAGCGGGACAATGCGATCGAGATAGCACGACTGGGTGAAATCCGCGAGGCGTTCGAAGCAGGGGATGTGGTAGTAGTCTATTCAGGTTTGTTTAGCATCTTCCCGTGGTAATGAAGGTTAGTATGGAGTGGGTACCAGAAGAAGAGCGGAACCAGATATCCCCGCTCATGCCTGGGTTCAGTGCTAGACGGAGAGAGTTGGGCTCTATGCCCGCAGTGCAACCTGGGAGGCTACATTGTACTGGAAGGTTGGAGGTTGTGTTAGGAGCTTGTTCTATGAAGAAGAGGGGCTGGATCTGGGGGGCGGGGGAGTCGAGGCCCAGGTGGGCGCGGAGGCGGGCTCGCTCTGAGTCCAGAGGGTCAACGGGTTGGACAGCGGTGGAGTCTGAAACCGAATCCGTATTTTCAGTAAGTTCGACGATGTCAATGTTGATTTGAGGTTTTTTCGAGAGTGTGTGTAATGGTGAAGGTGAAAGTGAAGCTGAAGGTGCGGGGTACGCGATGCTTGGCGCCATTTTAAACAATCAATTGAGAACAGTCAATTCGGATAGGAAACGATACAGCAGAAAGAGAATTAGATAAGAAGCAAGGGACGGAATATAAGGAAATCAAGGTTCAGGCCAGGTACTTCCGACCTGACCCGCATCGTGCTGCTCTTCACATGCTGGGCCAATGAAGCCTTGAAACAGCCCACTTGCAGTCCGATTTCTGCCTGACTGCCAGAGTGCGCGATATTTGGCCTCGTCCTGTGCACAGACCGCATTTTATTCCTCAGTCTGTCTGTCTCCAAGTTCCTCAGACGGTCGTTTATATAGACCTGCCAGCATCATTTTATCTCAGCTTGCTCCAGCTTACTCGGTTTGCTGTATTTGCTGTATTTTACTCCAGTTCGAAGACAGTTGTATTATTTTGAGGAACCGTGCTCAAGCAGGCTCATGCACGACCCCTCAGCATGCATCCCTGCCCTTCTCCAGAAGCCTATAAGAAAAAGGCATCTCGGACAGCCTTCATGACATCGCCTGGCTGACTGTCCTGATCTGACGAGAATGCAGCAATCACAGCAACCCCGCACGGAATCAAGTCCGAGCCAGACATTCTCTGGAGATCCTCAAGAGGCCCAAACAACGTCCAACCGAGGTCCAAATGCGCCCGCCTTCTTAACCCGCGCAGGCCCATTCTGGCGTCCTGAATCAACCACTTTCGAATAGTATCAAGTATAACAGTCACCATGCAAGCAGTCGTCTTCAAAGGACCCCTCCAGGTCGCGCTTGAGACCAGACCCGTCCCCCAGATCCAGGACCCAACCGATGTGATCGTCAAGGTCCGCTACACAGCATTATGCGGGAGGTAACACTAACACCTTCTCTGTGATAGCACTACTAGGACATCTCAAATTAACAGTAGACAGTGAACTGCACGTCTTCCGCGGCCACCAACCCTCCGGCACAGGCTTCATCATGGGCCACGAATTCACCGGCGAAATCGCCTCCGTCGGCGCAAACGTCAAGAACTTCAAGGCCGGCGATCGCATCGTCTCCCCCTTCACCGTCTCCTGCGGAACCTGCTTCTACTGCCGACAGAGCACATCCTCTCGGTGCTCCAACTGCCAGCTCTACGGGTCCGCAGTCCTAGACGGGGCACAGGCGGACTACGTGCGTGTTCCGCTAGCAGACAGCACGCTCGTGCACGCCCCCGAGAAAATCGACGAGAAGAAACTCGTGTTGATGGCGGATATCCTACCGACTGGGTTCTTTGCGGCAAGGAATGCGTTCAAGGGCGTGGAGGAGGCGGTTGTGCGTGATAGTACGGTGTTGCTGTTTGGGTGTGGGCCTGTCGGTGTGTGTGCGCTTATCAACGCGCTGGAGTATAAGCCCAAGCATCTTATTGCGGTGGATAGTGTGCCCTCGCGGCTGGAGCTGGCGAAGAAGTTGGGTGCTGAGCCGTGGAATTTCGCGACGGATGGGGAGGGGCTGAGGAAGCGGGTGAAGGAGCTGACGGATGGTAGGGGCGCGGATGTCGCGATTGAAGTGGTCGGACATAGTGATGCGCTGAGGATGGCGTTTGAGATGATTCGGCCTTGGGGGAAGATCTCCAGTGTTGGTGTGCATAATGGGGAGATTCCGTGGACGGGCAATGAGGCCTATGGAAAGAACCTGACCATCCAGATGGGCCGGTGCCCTGTTCGCAGTATTTTCGAGGATGCGCTGGCGCTGCTGGAGAAGAAGCAGGATGTTCTTGAGTGAGTCTATCGGTTATTTATAGTGTTTACAGTGCTAACTATTCAGCTTCATGGCGGCCGATATCCGACCGCTGTCGCAGGCGATCCAGGGCTACGACGATTTCAACCAGATGAAGTCGCAGAAGATTATCTTCGAGGGCGGTAAATAGGCACTTTGACTCGTAGCGAACTGCATTGTTCAAATATACTGCTCAGCCCCATTGATAAACGTCATATCCTAAAGGCAGGCAAATTGCTGCCTGTGGCTTACATTCCTATATTTAACAACCCCCGCCCACGTAGTAGCAACAGCACAACACAGCAAACCATGGATTCCCTGCTCTGCGTGCCGAACGAGGTCCTCCTCGGCGTGTCTACGTACTGCGAAATTTCGCAGTTGTCCCAGCTGGTGCGCACCTGCTGGCGGCTGCATGATGTACTCAATCCCCAGCTCTATCGTCGCGTTCCGTGTAGGCCGCTCCTCCACGCCAGCGAACACAACAACCAGGCCACGATACAGCGCGCCCTCCAGTACACAATCCCAAAACAGCACGACCTTTTCAAAGCTCTTGCGATGGCCTGCAGGGGCGGCCACGCGGCCATCGTACGGCTCCTGCTAGCCTGGGGCGCACCACCCAATGGCCTAGGATGTCGCTATCGACCGCCATTAGCGATTGCAGCCGTTTTCCGGCGTCTGGAGATAGTCGAGATCCTTCTTTCAAGTGGCGCGCGCCCCACGGGAAACGGTTACAACGTGAGTCTGAGAGCCAACATCATCAGCCGCTGCACCCAGTCGCCCACGTACACTGATCCCACCGGGTGTGGCTGGCGGCGTCCGATGGACGATCCGCGTATTCTGCAGCTACTTGTGCGGCATGGAATGAGAATTGAGCCGAGCTCAAACATCTTGGAGCGTGCTTTGCGAGACCAGGCTCCGTTGGCGACCATCAGCGTTCTACTCGACCTCGGGCTGGACCCGAACCAGCCGGCAGATGTTTCCCGGCGGCCTCTGCAGAAGGTCATCCAGCATACCGCACCGTGGTTCGAGAAAGACTGCGTAGAGGTTATCCACAAGTGCGTCCAGCATGGTGTTGACATCAACGCTCGCCTGCCTGACGGAGGGACCGTGCTACATATAGCTGCAGCCAAGCCAATGCCGGACGTCGTCCGGGCACTCATCGCCGCCGGTGCTGATGTGAATGTCCGTAAGAACAACGGTAAAACGCCCTTGAATGTTCGGCATACTTATCATGGCGACTTGCCAGATGTACCCCGGGCTTTGCTCGACGCTGGAGCAGACATGACTCTCCTCGACAATGAGGGCGAAGAGCATGTTCTACAGCACGCTCTGGACGACAAGAACACAAAAACCATCAAATTGCTATTGGACCACGGCCTTGAGCTGGCTCCAGCGGTTGACGTGTCGCTGTTAATGGTTGCCGCTGTTTTCCTGGAGGATGTCTCGGCCGTACAACGACTCGTACACGACTTCCCAGATCACAGTATGGATCGGAGAGTAGACCTATATGGCAATACACCGCTTCATCGCGCAGTAGGTAACGGCCTTGACGAGATAATTAGCGCTTTACTGCTACATAGACCCACTGTTGACATCCAAAACGCAGACGGCGACTCGGCTCTTCACCTCGCCATGCGCATGGGGAGGGAGTCAACAGCTAGGCTTCTAATGCAGAGTCCATCTTCAGATAAATTCTTGCATACCCGGAACAAAATGTTCTGGACGCCACTGTCAATCGCAGTTCAGACCCTGCCCCTGGATTTCATCGAAACCCTGCTTTACAAAGGCTGCAATCCCCTTATCTGCCCTGACTTTCAACGCCAATCGCTCCTCCACCACGCAGTAAGAAGATCCGATCCGGAAATCACAAAGCTGCTGCTTGAACGTGGCGTCGCCCTCGGCGGTAATAACTACGCCGGCGAAACACCGTTTGGAATCGCCATCCGGCTCGGGCGAGAGGATCTGGTCCAGCTATTCCTCGAGCATGGGCAGTCAGTAAACGACCGCAACGGACAGGGCAACACGGCCCTCATGGTCGCTGTTCTGGCGGGGTCACTACCCCTGGTGACAAGGCTCGTCGCAGCCGGGGCAGATTTAGAGGCAGAGAATGACAGCCTCCTAAGACAAGGATCGACTGCTTTAATGATGGCAATGGACGCGCCCGAGCCTGATATTGCACAGTTTCTCTTTGATTCTGGGGCCAGTGCACTGGGGAGGGGAAAACAGGGTAAGACACTGCTTGCGCGTGCTATTCAGCGCAGGTGGCCGGGCCTAGCCCTTGGTATGCTCAAGAGGCATGGATCTGCGCTTTATTTGGAATGTCTTCCATCAAAGGGAATTAAAAGGACGGCATTGAGCTGGGCGGCGTGTCTGGGGTATGTAGGTATCGTGCGAGAGCTTCTCAGGCTCGGGGCAAATCCAATGCATTGTGATCCCGATGGGTGCTCTGCCCTGTACTGGGCGACGTGTGGAGGGAACATGGAGGTAATTTCTAGTATTGTAGAACGGATGCAGAGGGATGGGTGCGTTGATATCAAGGCTGATGTATTAGACCAGGTGGCGCAGCACCGCAGGGACAAATTCAAGCCGTGAGCAGCCTATGCCCACCATTTACTTGACCCTTAGCGTTCCATATTAGCCTTTTTGCATAACTGAGGAATACTATATTGAAGATACATAAAACTATCTACGAGCAACAGTGGGCAGGGCAACCACCATCCGAGCTCCGATACCAAGCACTTTAACAAATTCAGGCAGGACTAAGTCTTCCCATCCCTAGTTCTATATTGATAAAGCCACTGCAAAGCTAACCTGCGAGCTTCGTTGTCGAAGTCATACTAGGATCTTAGTATAAATTCCATATCCCCCCCTTTAACAACTCGCATTTTGTCCGCTAGCGCCTCGATCGTAGTGAGAGCTGTATCATTTGACGATGCAGGCGTCTCCAATCCGTCCACAGAATGCAGCAACACAGCTAGGTTGGACGACTTCCACAAAGCCGCACGGTGCTGAGCATTGATCATAATAGTAAACGCAAGCAAGGTGCCAGCACCAATCACTACCAATACGGGGAGTGTTATCCAAGGCCAACGGACATGAATATACGTCTCGGACTCGTGGGCCATCCCGTTGGAGACGGTACTGTTTGGCCCGGTTCTGATTCGCTCTGTCATGGCAGAGGCAATATCTTCAACAATACCGGATAGGTTTCTTTTCATCAAAAGGTCGCTCGTCAGTCCAGTTGAGTTACCCCTCGGCATTATGACTTCTGCGTTGAAGATTTCACCTAGCAAGTACCACATCTTGGATAAATCTGCGGAATGAATCGCGAACAGGACCTCCGCAGGAAAGCTGCCAGCTGCCGGTCTGAGGTCATTCAGCCATTGTTTCTGAGGGTCAACCGGTTCGAGAGGCACCATGGCCTCATCTCCGATATTCAGCGTGTTGTTTGTGACTGTTATATTACTGTAGAGATGAGCAGCAGTGCTTACGCGACACTCAAGGACTTCGAAATCCTCGAGATTCTGAATCCCGACTGCCCGCCAGGCAGCAAAACTGGTAAAGTCTTCCAGTGATCTACTGGCAGTGGTTCCCGTAGTGACGTTCAACTCGGTATACCGAAAACTAGCGGGTTGGCGTTCCCTTCTCGTCGTGAGATGGAACCCTCCGGGGGTGGTAACATTACAGTATATTTCTAAGGTGTTGTCATCATGCTTGCAGTCATTCACGACCGCCTGGGTCACATTCTCGCATTTACCAACAGCTCCTAATGAAATAAAGCTGGTGGTATTGGGCCAGGTACAGCTCGACGTTGGACAGGTGAACGCGCGCGGCGACTGGGACCCGAAAAGTCCACTGAATATGGCCCCCTGCATAGGAAAGTCACTTTAGTTTTCTGTACAATTGTTAGCTGATGTAGTCAAGGCCGCCGACTATATGTAGTGCTATCTCACCAACTTCGGTAGTGGGTTCGGTGAAAGACGCCCCAGATTCATAAACCTGGCTGGTCCTGAAAGACGCGGTCTGGCTAATGGACACCTGGCGACTTGGGAAGGATACCAGTTGCTGTGCGAAAGGATCGAATGCTAGAGCAACAATAGTTATAACTGCACCCAGCGCCCCCAAGCTCGCAGGTAGCCTGAACAGGAAGAACAAGGCGCCCAGAGGTCCACGACTAGCACTGTTGTACAAGTCCAGGTCGTTCAATCTATGCACTTTATCGAAATGCAACCACTTCAACTGGCTAATCGACTCGGTGACAGGAAGGAGCAGGCTCGTCTTTGAGACTGTAGCCAGGACGGAAATGACCGTGTTCGGCGCTATTGATAGATGCCACGCGGAGAGAGCAGTTCCTTGGGTGTTGAGCAGAACAGCCACCATTGCGACCACGCAGGCGGCGCTGAAAATAAGGGAGGCGATTTCCCATAGCCAGCTGTCCTTTCCAGTCAGAAAATGTCCTGTTGTTTTTAAAAGTGGGTTTTCTTTGCGGCTATTGCTGGCCTCTTAACGGTGGCCTGATGGTGATGGGCTTGGTGATTGGCGACTGATACTGGGACTGCTATTCCGTCCATCTTCAGTATCACTTTCCCTATTACTTGGAGATGTCCTGGTTGCTGGGTTTATAATATTAATTTAACGACGGTCTGGTGTGTGGAACTCTCTTACAAAGGCTCGTAGGCGACGCTCTGCCGTCTTCCGTGCGTCCAACTAGTGCTGAGCCAGAGGCGTATGGGGATTGTTGCAGTTCAAAGGAATTCATGGTTACTTTTCCAGAATAATAAGCTTCGTGGGGGCTCTGTCTGGTTCTTCCTGTCTTGCTGCTTATATCCCGCGTGTCTCTGGGGACAAGGCTGAAATTGGTGGCAGTGCCTGTGCCTTGCAGGGATCTGGTTCCTGTCTGGCCTATGGGTTACCAAAGTTCCCATCTCTCGTGGAGCACAATTAGTCATTGTAACTTGAAGACACTTTTCTCCGCTGGTCTGGTATGACAAGGGGGAAGCCCCGTTTCCCGTTTATTTATTGGCTCGTGCGGCTCGGTACCTTGGATATCAACACTGGCTAGCTGGACTGAGAGGGCAAATGTTTCAGATTTCTGCATCGCAGTCCGAGAATACTTTCTGCCTGGGTGCCAATAACTAATAACCGATCGAGACTGCAAGGGGGTATAACATGGTGTTTACCACTATTCTCTTACGCTTTGACAGCACTGCAGCATGGCACTGCAGCATCGAAGATAGGTATGTATTCAATTTTTAGTACTCTTCAGTTTTTGTCGCTCAAACGAAGAGACTATCAAAGGCTGGGCAAATGAAATTCTGGTCAGGGTTGGTTTTCACGCCTTTCGCCCTACGCAAGCTGTACAGGCCCAGATTCAAATAGAGTGCATATCCCTGACCTCGCAGCAATCTGTATTCTAAGATCGACTTCGATACGAACTGCTCTGGACGAATAATAAGTCAATATCAGCTTTTCGATGAGGAGCACAGACATTCCTGACTCAGTCCTTTGATCTCTAAAAAAGCAATTACAGATGAACAAAGCACGAGACTCTGCGTCGACACTACCAACATCCAATAAAGCAGTGCAAAAATCCTGTTCATGCATGAACATGCAGTGCGAACAGCACGACCTCTTGCGCAAGGCGCTATACCGGTGAGCAGAAACTAGGACTGACCGGGTCGCCCGCCCATCACCGTGGGGAGAATGCAAGATATAAAGCTTACCACCGAGCCTCGCTGCATACCCAGTGCTTGACTCCGCCCATTTGCAAATAAAGAATGGCCGTGCTCGCTATCGTCATTTTGATAATGATCGTGGCTTCGGTCGTCAAGCAGGGCATCGCCCGGCCGCGCCCCAAGAAACCAATTATTGTCTTCGTCCCAGGCGCCTGGCACACCCCTGCTGCATATGATCTCCTCTTACCAAGTCTTCATGCTGCGGGCTACCGAACCACGGGGGTACATCTTCCCACAGTCGGTACAACCGGGCCTGTTAGCTTTGCCGATGATGTTTCTGCCATTCGCAAGGTAGTTGCTGGTCTTGTCGAGCTAGGAGAGAATGTCTTCCTTGTCTCGCACTCTTATGGAGGTCATCCGGTAACGGAGGCGCTTATAGGCCTTTCAAAGAAGGACCGCTTGGCTAAGGGTCAACCGGGTGGCGTGGTTCAGCTGCTATACATTGCTGCCATTGTTCCCACGAGGGGGATATCTTCCCTGGAAGCGTTTGGGCCGATGACTCCGAAGGAGAAGGGCGGGACGTGGATGATATTCAATGATCTTGGTGTGAGTACTGCAGTTCACCAAATTTAGTTATTCGAACTACATGCTGACAACTGATACCTGCAGAATGGATATACTTCACTTGAAAACGGCGAGGAGGCTCTTTATCACGATCTCCCTCCAAGTCTTGCGAAGTACCATGCTTCACTGCTGCGAACGCAGTTCCAACTGTATGTCATCTATATACCATGTACCAAGGTAGATACTAACCATAGAAGTGCGGGCTCGGAGCCTTTGACCTACGAGGCATACAAAGATATCCCTGCAGCTTTCCTTTACTGCGAGGATGACCGCGCGTTTCCTATTGAACGACAACAGAATGTGGTGAAGGCAGCTGGTATCCAACGCACGATGTCGCTTAATACCAGCCATTCCCCCTTTCTATCTGATCCAGCTGGGGTCGTGGACTTTATTCTTGAACTGGCTAAAATATAAGTCGTCTATAGGTTTAGGCACCTTATTGTTGGAATTATTATCAGATATATCTGTTGGACAGGTTGATCAAAGACTACGTTAATGCCTGTTCAACTCCTCAAATGCCGTCCTCCCTAGTTTATCCTGCAAAGGATCAATCCACATAATATCCTCCAGCCCTGCTCTTACCTCTTCCCAGGTCATGTTTTCTCCTTGCACAATATCCCTCCACCTCTGCACCATCCACCGTTCATCCTTAACATCAAACACAGATACCGCCCCCACAATCAGAATCCATCTCATCAAGTCCCTAAACCCATTTCCCTCATTTACTGGGACAGCCAGAAAGCTCTCCCTTAAGCAGTCTGCCAAATACGGATACTTCGCGCGTATACCAGGAGTCTGAAACGTGGTAATGAGGAACGCAAGCAGTGTAAGTCGAACACATTCAGATAAGGTATCCTCCAGGCAGCCATGTAATTGGAGGAGTCGGTACTGGAATGAGCACACGGCGGTGTGATACCCTTCCGTAGAGAGTCGTTGGCCTGTGCTGTGCGCGGCGTTGATCAGGGACGAGTAGTGCCGCATTTCGAGGAAGATGGGAACGATTTGGGGATCGCTCAGACCATATTCTGAAAGGTCGGATTGCATGTTAAGGCTACCTGACGTTGGTACATTATTATTATAGTATGTTGGGTTGCAGGAGAGTGGGTATGTGCATAGAAGGCCTTGCGAGCCTGTGTTCAGGGCGTAGATGAGGTCAACCCTGGAACTAAATTAGACATTGCGACAGCAGGGGAAGGAAGCTCGTTACCTTCCAAGTTTAAGATACAACTTCCTGTTACATGCAACAGTCTGGAGCCCACCACGTAGGCAGACCATCTGCTGTAACCCAGAAATATGTGTCTTGGCAGCTTCATGGTCATTAATTATGCAGGAGAACATAGTAAGTAGAATCACTGTAGCAATAGTCGAGTTGCCAAGGGCGACGTCATTATCAGAGCTTGATAGTCGATTATTCAAATGCATGATAGTCTCTCTGAGGTGGGAGTAGGTAGTTGGCGTTATCGGTCTGTTCTCTGTTACATCGCGTGTGGCGAACCCCATGAAGAAGGCGCAATGGAGATATGCAGGGTCGTGGAACAGCCATTGGCCCCATTCGCTCTGGTGGATATCGACTCCTTTGAAGAGTGAGGCTGGGTACATAGCCTCGTTGAAGTACCGGAAGGCTAAAGCTATGTCAGTCCGTTCTAACCCTAGTATGGGATACTCAAGGGACGCTTACAGTCAATCACAAGCGTTTTGGTTGCATCATCCATATCAATGGCGAGCTTAACTTGCGCAGTACTTGATGGAGCATAGAATGACGCAATACTGTTTGAAGTGGCCTTTGCAAGGAAACTCCTATCCTCGTCAATGTCCTGGTCAGCACCAGATAAGGTTATAGTGGATGACCCGTTATCACCCGGCAAAGGTCTCCAGTCGGGCGATGTCCTGGTCGTCCGTGCAGTATATCGATGGGGTACCCCTATCCGCCTATTCTTCCCGCGCATACAATGACTGCGGATGGTCTTTCGATCTTTCGGCTGGGTCCTGCCAGAACTGTTCACAGGAACGAACGCGAAGCCGGCCTCAAACTGCGTGGAGACCATTGTTGCTAGGCCGGCTGCTATGGCTGCCACTGTAATCAATCTCCGCAAAAGCCGGTATGGCCGACAACCAGATATGGCGTAACAAATTCCAGTTGAAGTGGAAGTTCGTCGAAGTCGAGGATCAGTCCTGGATGTCAGCCTGGTGAGTCAGCATTGCTCTAAGGGCCCACCAGATTGTTTGCCATTTCAGGATTAGTTCATACAGCCCTCCAATCACTTTGCTTTTAATGTCTGCAATTTTGGCCAATAATTCAGAGCTCCACCTGGCCCACCCGATTGTATTCCCGATTGGGAAAGCAATCAGCTTCATCGGCACCGGCCATGGGATCGGGAGGTTATGTTTAACACTCGTTGCTTCACGGTAGACTGGTCTTAACTCCGTGATGATGATGAATAAATACCGGTTGGTTCTTTGAACAACTACTACAGATTACCTTTGTCCAAAACTATATATATATATATATACTCGATCTTCGCACCAAAAGTCCTGATATTGTCCAACGCGTCCCTGGAACTTCAATTGGCAGAATAGGTTAACCATGACCACTTCGACAGACCTCGGTCCAGCCGGATCTTTCATTCTCTATTTCCTCAAATCCTTAACCGTTTTTCGGTTCGCAAAAACCACTCCCATAGACCTCACAGGGCAAACAGCCATCATCACCGGCGGATACTCTGGCATCGGATACAAATGCGCAGAAATCCTCCTGGCCAACAAACTGTCCCACCTGGTAATCACGGTCCGCAACGAAAAAAAGGGAAACGAGGCCGCCGCCAAGCTACGCAGTCTCCATCCAGGGGCAATAATCGAAGTATGGCCCCTCGACATGCTCTCCTACGATTCTATTCAAGCATTCATCAAGCGGTGCAACGACGACCTACCCAGAATAGACTTTATCATTCTCAATGCCGGCATGGTAAGCGGCGAGTTCTCCATTAATGAGAGCACCGGCCACGAAGTTTGCTTCCAGGTGAACTACCTCTCAACAGCCCTCTTAACAATCCTCCTCCTCCCAATCCTGAAAGCAAAGCGGAACCCGAAACAGGACAAACCAAGCCGCATAACAATAGTCGGCTCAGGATTAGCCCTGTCAGCCAACTTCCCTGAACGCAACTCGCAGGGCGTGGTTGCGGCATTTGATAGTCGCGAATACTTCGACCCCGTGGACCGATACAGCACGACTAAGCTCCTTTTGCTTATATTCCTCTCGAAGATCGCCCCGTATGTCGATCCCAGTGACGTGGTTATCAATATCGCTGACCCCGGATTCGTTGCAACGCCCGGTCTCGACCGTAATGTTTCGCCCCTGCTGCGGTATATCAACGGGCTGAGTCGGAAGCTCGTTGCGAGGAGTATTTATTCTGGGGGATGGGCGTATGTTGATGCAGCAGTTGTAAAGCTAGATACTACTCATGGAAGCTGGATTTCGAATTGGGATGTCTATGCGTGAGCCTCCTAGACTTTCCTTGCCCTTTTGACGGAAGTTGCTGACTGCGGGTGTCTGCCTAGGTTCCCTAAGAGCATGTATTCGCCTGACGGAAAGAGGGCTGGAGATAAGCTGTGGGAAGAGACACTGGAGGACTTGAACTGGGCTGGCGTACGTGGTATCCTGTCTGCTATGGGGAAAGGGAATGCATGAGTTAATTGGATACTTGTTAATACATTTACGATGGGGCATATATTAGTATGGATGACTGACCCTTAGTCCTGTTAATAACTCTATGTCTTTGGCCTTGGCTGAATTGGGTAGGGAACGAGCAAAGAAGTTATGAGAGGAGTTGATTATTATAATATACAGAGTGCATCAATAGGTCTAAGCAGAAACAAGTCCCCAAATAGCCCACAACGCCCACCCCCCATGTAGACCCGCAATCAACCAAAACGGCTCAACCGCATACTCCCCTCCCACCCACCGACTCCAGGAATACATAGCTAGTGCGGAAGCATGAAACAACGCAAACGTCTTGCCAACGACCCGTCCTACCCTGGTATGTCGAATGTGGTAGTCCCGTAGAAACCAGCAGTTCAAAATAAACGGGAGGAGCAGGGTTGCGTTCTGACGGAGGAAGAACCGGGTTGCCGGGTGGGCGAAATCAGATTGAACTGGGAAAAGAAGTGGCGAGACTGTGTAGAAGGCAAAACAGTCCAGCGACTGGACACCTAAAGCAGACCCGTACAGCAGCCGGATGGACAGGGGCTGGCTTGGGGCGGGGGCTTGGGGGCTTGGCTGCATAGCATTAGACCCGGGTGCTGGAGGTAGTCAACAGGGAATGTTTCGTACCATTTTGCTTTGCACTACTATGACGAAGAAATCTGTTGTATGAGAATAAGAAAAGCCTGTAGCTTCATCCAGAGATATTGCAGTGAGGGGGCGTCACGTGGAATGCCTATACGAGGCAGATAATCAGGAAGGAAAGGATTGACAGAAGGGATAATAATGAGGCTCCCTGTCTTCAGAGCTGACAATTTAATACGCACTGGTATACCTAAGTTGAATATACTGACCAACTTACAAGTGGCACTTCGCAACCTAGTTGCCTTTGACTGCGAGACATAAGAAGCCCTATAAATATTGACACTCCCACCATCCATTCCCCGCAAATCTAATGCTACCTCATGCGACTCACAACTCCACCCATGCTCCTCTTGCTACTAAATTACAACTGTGAAGCGCCCTCAATGGGCTTCCTCCAGGACTGCCGCTGACCAGTAAACACCTCCATGACCGGATTCGAGATATGGTCAAAGAGCGTAGCCTTGAGGAGAACCTTTCCCGGATATTTCGGGGTCTTTGTGAAAACAGGGCTATGTGATGACAAGTTAGTACCAGGGAGAAATATAGGAACCAGTCTTGCCGATGGGTTAGAGTGCTGGGCCGGGTTGATTTACCTGCCACAGGCTCCACAGAATCGGCGCTAAACAGACGTTAGTTTGCATTTATTCGTGTTACAATGTTGACAGAACTGACCTCGATGGGGTTTCCGCTGGCTGTTTGCGTATCTTCAAATGCCTTGAGGGTGTTGTTTTCCTCGACGGTGAGATCGGATTCGTCAACCATATAGTTAATTGAAGCGCCTAATGCGATTAGTCAATTATATCAGACAGGCTTTTCATACCACTCACCACCTCCAGATCTAGCACAGTGCCCGCTGTCAAAGTGTGAGAAAAGTAGGGTAAGGATCAATTACTCAGCAACATACCAGTGGCATACCAAGGAGTTTGGCGGCTCCTCCGTCAACGACACCCGAACGCTACCGCAGATGCAATGTCCGTGATACCGGGCCATGGTAAAGAGAAGAAGATATGTTTAGGATGGAATTCAGAGCTGCGGGGAACAGATTTATAGACGGACGTGACGTCAGGGCTATTGGGCCGCGGCATTTCGGCAATTTCCGCGTCTGTATGAAATCGTGTAACATATTCTAGTATTCAAATGATCCACATGCACTCTTAGGTGTTGAGGCTGTCTACGCCATATGAAGAACTGCCATAGATCTAGCTTTTAAAGGGGTGCGGAGCAGGGCCCTTGACAACCGTCCCTTTTCACCCATTGGTACGCTTCAGCCGTCTTAAAGCTCCTTGGCCGGTATTTAATCAAGAGTTCCTCGGCATTTCTCCGAATCTTGACCAGAGTTTCAGCATTCACATCCTCGTAGGCAGCGACAACAGTGGGGTTTGAGAACCGGTCATCCAGCGATACCACCTCATCCCCCTCCATCAATCCAGCTTGTGCAGCCCTCGAATTTGGAACCACTTTGGTGATGAAGGATTGCCCGTTCTTGGATCTTCTTTCGAATCCGAGCTCGTATAGTTCCATTTGCATCTTCTGAACTGTCAGGCAGGGACTCAGGCTGTTAGCAGGAGGCACCACCAGCCTGCCATTTGCCATTTGTTCGTACTCATCTCTTGCAGGAGACCCAAGCTCTTGCTCCAGCACACCAAGAAAGTCCGCGAGGCGATCACTCTGGCCCGACCGTGTTCGATTCAGAAGGTTCAGCACAACATCATCGATGCTGCGCGTGCCGTTTGACCTCGCCCGAATCTGTGCATCTAGCCTAACCAGGAAAAACATACCTCTGCCATATGGTACTCGCTCTATACACTCGCTCTCTGAGCTGCGGGCTTCGATCTTAGCGTTCGTGAGATTGATCATGGGGTTGGTGTAATACGCGGTAGCCATGTTGTTTACTCCTTGTATGAACCGCTCGAGAGTGAAGGCGCCGAGGCGCAAGGGGAGTACCATTGAATAATAATCCGCAACGCCCTCGACGTACCATGTGACATCGTCGTCCTCGTCGTCGTCGTCGGATAGCGTTGGCCAATTATGAACCATCTCGTGGGACAGAAGAGTCTGGAAGCTCTCGCCAGTGTTGCCTGCGCCCATGATGTAATTAAACATGAAGGAGCGTAAAAGAGCCGCTCCGCCCGTGCCCTTGCTGCTCGCGCTTCCTCGCATGTAGACGCGATACGCCGGCTCCGTATCGCCGAAGAAGCGTTTCATGTAATGGAAGAGGGTTTGTGTCCACTTTGCAAGCTGTAAGACCTCAAAGTCGGGCTGCCCGAACCAGTAAAAGCCGAAATCTTCAGCTGTATAACTGTGCATCGACGGCCCAACGGCGAAGTGACTCTCCAACACCACCTTTGTGCTTCCGATTTTGGTGGCGGTTCCAGGTCCCTCGCCGTATGTCCACACAGCTCGTGTGCCGTTCGGTGACTGGCTTAAATCCCAGGCCAAGTTAATGGAGTATGTCTTCTCCTCGGGAGGAAGGGCAAAGACAGACATGCCCGCGCCGTTTATGCCGTCATGGTCCCGGCGAAGATCCAAAAGCGCAACAGTAGGTGCTGAATCGTTGTTGATATGCGAGGCGCTGTACGTCACAGTAACGTCGCCCGTCGTCTCGCGTGCGACATTCCACTGGCGTTCGCCATCACTGGTATCCGCCGGAACGAGAGGAACTTCGCCCTTGGAGTCTGAAGCCTGTACTGCATTGGCGCCTATATAGACCGGGGCTGGGAACAAGTCTCCGACATCTCTTAGGTGAACGAGTGTTCTGTTGGCTGTTAAGTCGGGCTTTGCAATGACCAGACGTACATCCAGCGACTTCGGTGTTCTACCCTGATACTTTGGGGTGACTGTAATGTTGAGAGAGGGAGGAGGCGGTTGGGCCATGATGGCGAGGCAATGAAGGAGTAAGAAGAGTAGGATGTGGAAGTTGGATATCATTGTTAAAGTGCAGAGATGCACTTCTTTCTTTCTTCCAGAGTCATTTCATAGGAAGACAACTTTCCATCTTATACTTCTCAGCGGGCTCGGACTGCGTGCCAAGTATTTCGATTACAGGGCTTTGTATCCGTTCCTGACGCCTAGGCCAATAGGAAACGGCCCTCCTTCGTTCCACCGGCACTGGGCGTTAAACCAAATTAGGCAACCGAGAGCGCCCCAGCCAATCGGCCAAAGAGCCAAACGTCCTGCGGCAATTGTTGACTATGAAAGCATAGAAGATGGACCAAAAGCGTGACTCATCTTTTGAAAACGAGTTCACTTACGTGCTGATCAATGCATCTGAAGAGGCTGCCCGACTCAGGGCTGAGAAGTACTGGTCAAACTCCAGCTTCTGTCAGTACTATTTAAGGACCCCATGCCCCCGTTCGGCTCTTGTTCACCAGAAGCCTAGCAGTTCCGGACCAATGCTCATTCGCAACGCTACAGAGGAAGACATTCCCGCTGCGGGGGCCGTTGCAGCAGCAGCATACATCGATGACGAGCAGGATGCCTTCATGTTTCCCGGCCGCATGAAGCACCCTCAACGATATCTGAAAACGAAAGAGAGTATTGTTCGCCATGGCATGGAAGACCCAACCGCAACGGTGATCGTTGCCACTCTTGAAGAAGGAGATGAAGGCTGGAGCGGAAGGGCCAGTATCGTCGGCTTTTGCATCTGGTTTCGAGAGGATAGCTACGAGACGCGCGAAAAGGTTCAGGCCGCTAAGAAGAAGCAGCCCCTCTTATCGAGTGAGTCTCCTAGTCGGGCCATCTTATATCGCGTTATATACGATTATACAATACCCTTATAAGATAGGCGAAGTTTCCCTGCACATATATTATGTATAGTCTCTTCTGAGCACAGCTAATAAAAGTGACAGGAATAAAAGCCTCCATCTCTGGCCTTGAGGCTTTTCAATATATGTCTGACCTTATTGATCCACTTGTATCGGCTCCGAATGCCTCCATCATGGCTCGCACATGCCGCCTTCCGTCCTCTACTCACTACTTTTGCCCCGAAATTGAGAACTCACCTCATTACGGTATCATGGATATTGCAGTGCACCCGGGATTTCAGGGCCATGGCGTCGCACGGAAGCTCGTTGAGTGGGGAATTAAAAAGGCAAGAGAGGAGGCTATTCCCATTGAGCTCTCAGCAACGCCTGCGGGAGTTGAATTATATACTAAGCTAGGGTTCAAAAAGGTTGGCATTTGGCGATGGAGACCGGGGATGGAAGGGAGTGATGGCAAGGGTGGGTGGGATATCATGAGATGGGAGGTGGAACAGTGACGTATTTCAGTACGGGGTAAGGGAATAGATGGACTGGCTGGGTTATTGGCAGCATGATGTATTTAAGAGGCCTGTTCCAAGATACTAGAATCTATTAACTGGGCTTCATCTCTTGCTTTGTCGGGGCTGTATCGAGAATTGTACAATGCGTCAACCACATAATATCATGGCAGGGTTCGAAAAAGGCAGCCTCTGGCCAGCTACAGAGGAGTGAGAAATTGGCCTTCAAGCAGGCCTGTCACATAGAATCAAGCGAGGTGAGATCAAGCAGCGGATGAGGAAGAATGTAGGGCTTTTGGGAGACGGGAGCTATAAATAGCCTATTGTGCGCTTTGCCAACGCTGGCTGATTAAGCCGAATAAGCGGATCTTCATACTGAAGCATCTTGGACCGTTCCTCCACCAGACCCTCAGCTTCTCCGATCCGTGTGCTTCTCACGACACATCAACCCAACAATGGCTGCTGCCCCTGAGCAAGGCAAGGCTCCTCTTCGTCGCACCCGCACCGGCTGCTACACTTGTCGTACTAGACGTCGCAAGGTATTTGAGCTCTAACACTGGAAGCGATTAATTACGCTAAAGCTCTCAGTGTGACGAAGTCAAACCAGAATGTGGCAACTGTGTTCGCCTGGGCTTCAAATGCGAAGGCTACGGTCTCCGATTGAAATGGCCCAATGATACATCAAGATCTACACCAGTGCCGATGCAAAAAGCTTCCGGAACAGGGGGGCTTGTGAGCCACAATCGAGCTCACCTACCCAGAGCCTCAGAATCGGCCCGTCAGGTTATGCCAAACGCCATGAGCCCAGCGTCACTGGACAGACCAGGCAGCTTGAACTTCACCTCGTCTTTCCCTCGGGAATCAAATAGGCGGGATTGTTTCCTGCTTCATCATTTCGTCACCCATGTTTCGGGGTGTCTCGTGCCATTTTTAGATGCCCAGACAGGGGATCTGTGGTCGCATCCGTTCTTACGACCAACTATTGAGTCACTCGCCGCGTCTAACCTTTACCAACTCTATACTATAAACCGACATGGCCCAACTGGCTTCACCATTGGGTCAGAAGGGTCCCTAACGGCTGCTGCCTATGTCTGGAAGAGAAATGCACTCCTCTTATACACCGATGCCATCAACACGCTCAGAAGAGCCAGTCTCAATAGCAGTGATGCAGCGGGACTGTGTCTTGCCGCAAGTCTCGCCTTGTCTCTATTCGAATGGGAGTCCGGTAGCGCTGGGTCGTATTTTGCTCACTTGGACGGCGCCGATACTATCGTACGCTTAGCATTTGAAGGGATTTCACGGTTGTCATGGGGGCCATCTCTCTTACGAGTTTGGGCAAGAATGCATCATACGAGAATGACACGACAGCTGCCCTTTAGGCCATTGGAGAGAGAGAAGCGTAGCCCGTCGAACAAGAAGATTGCAGAACTTTCGACCCAGTTTCTCCCTGGCTCAGCCAGTTTGTCAGTGCTTCTTGTTGACGCATTTGCGCTACGAAATCGGCTTGTGCTGGAGACCTGTCTCGAGGCGGGTGAATTGGGGGGCCGTTCTGCAACCCAATTCTGGCGAGAGTGGTACTCAGAGCTATTTGACTTCCCCTATGCAGCGGACTCAGATGCTCATAATGGAAAAGAGCTTGGCAAGTCTGAGCTACTGGATGGTCTCGCTCTGACCGAGTCCCTTCTCTGCGCATGGGAAGAATCACTCCCGAAAGCCGCTCAGCCGACGATGACTCCGACTTGGTCAAGTAAAGGCACAAGCAGTCAGGAGAGCCAAGCACTCCAGGTCGTTTCCTGGACATTTACAGGCAATGGACCTGCTCTGCAGTACCTGAATTACATCATGGGTCGGATCCTGTCTTCCCGAGAACTTTTAGACTTTTACTTACTGGCCGAGAATGTCCTGTGCTCTTCAAGGCCACTCCACCATCTAATCGTATCTGCGCTCTCCGTTATAGAAGCCCTGGACCCGGAAGAGTCTATTGCTCACGACACTTATGGAAATGGTCCTCTATGGGCCTTTGGGACACTGGCAACCTGTATCCCTGATCGACAGGTTGTCAGTCATCTATTGCAAATTGTGATGCCACGATTTCATCGTGTGGCTCGTTGTGGACCACTGTTGGCCACCGTAGCGCAGACAAGCGAAATCCTAGGTTGTGTCATGTCCGAAATTGATGCAGGCCGGATGCCATTTCTTTGCGATCCGGACATAGTATTGACAGATGACTTCAGCCTCGACGAAAGTTCTTTGTCGTATATAAGAATGGCGGTTATTGGACGCGAAAGAGGAAGGTTTTATAGGGATTTGGTACGAGTAGGGTAGACTTTGTAACAATATATAGGCGTCGTCGACGCCTTGAACAGCAGCGCTAGATGCTATATATTCCTATTTTTCCCTGGGGCGTTCTCTAAGGAACATACATCTGCACCAGGTTACTCAAACCTCTCAGAATCCTAAGCATTGGAAGTATTTCAAATTGAATGCTTTGGCATCAATATACTATCGATACGAACATGGAACTGTAGCCTTATAACTGCCCATTTTGCGCGTACCAAATCCACAACAGGACCATAATGGTAGTATTAAACCTACTACAACCTGGAATGGCTCATCCGACTTGGACTAGTGGCTCCCTGATAGTCAGGGTAATACAGACCAAGCGTTACTATATCAAGGTATCCGCAGCGGAATGCAGCGAATCCCGCAATGGAGAAATGAATCCAGTATGTTGAAATCTATAGTCTAGCTCTAGTTAATGGCTTGTCTTCGCACGACAAAATCGTATGTCCCCTGCGGCAGCACAACCTCATTCTTTCCATCCATATCAGCCACTGCTGCCTCATCAACAACCTTCCATCCAATGGGCAGAACCAGCGTACAGGCCGTACTAGTAGGCACCCGAACCCCCAGCTTCACCACACCACCCTGCACCCGTTCATACCGAACCCTAATAAGTCCATACGGACAATCCACTTCCCCCTCCACAAACCCAAACTCACTCTCAACCGGCGGTCTCAGCGTCCAAGTCCGATACGCATCTCCAACAGGCTTAACACCCAGCACCGCCTCATAGAACCACTCATAGATCGTGCCCAGCATATCATGGCACTTGGACCGGCACATATCCTGCCAGAACTCCAGCAGCGTTGTTTCCCCGCGTCGCAGAAAGCGCATGTAACTCGGGTGCTCCTCCTGCCGCGCCATGGCAAGCACGATGTCTGGTCTATTCACGTCCGGCTCGGCGAGTGTGTTCCACAGGTACTTTAGCCCGATTTCGCCGGCTTCAATGCGGTTCCCAGATGCAGCGCACGCGGATAGGAACGCCTTGATTATATCAGGCCGATGAACTGCCGGGACGAGACCAAATTGCAGCGCTACGGACTGTGCGACCATCGTGCAGTCCTGGACACCCGGGTTATCAAGCGAGGTGTAGAACGCATAAGGACGGGTTGTCTTGTCCGTGACAAGGAGGTGTCTGTTATACACTTCATAAATCCGATCCGCCCAGGCCGTGTATTTCTTTTCGTCTTCAACGTATCCCAGCTCTGCAGCCATAAGTGCGACATTCCGCAGACATCGATAATAAACCGCCGTCTCGATATTCGCCTGGTGGTTCCCAAAGGCGATATCTCGACCCCAGTCGCCTAACCCGTGCTCGATCAGCCCGCCATGCCGCTCCTTCGTGTACATATACTCCATATACCGCACACAGGGCTGATATATCTTCCCAAAAACCTCTGTCGAGCCGTAATACCGTTTAATCAACTCGGGTAGGAACGCAATCGCACAACCCCAGGTAATCGTATCATGCAGCGGGCCACACATATACCGAATCTCGGGCGCCATAGTCGGAACCAGGCCATTTGATTCCTGGGTATCGAGAATATCGTCCAGGATCTTGGAGTACACGGCCTCCATGTCGCGGACGTACTGCGTTGCTGGGGCCAGGAGGGAAGTTACCTCGAGCCACCCGAATTTCTCGATCTGGGGACAGTCAGTGTGGTAGCTGAAGATGTTGGAGGAGAAGCTCCAGTAGCAGGCGTTTATGAGGGCGTTGACGTCGTCCTTGTCTGTTTTCACGTATCCTAGTTGTCGCGCTGCGGAGGAGACGTGGCGGGCTGTGACGGAGTTGATGGTTGGGAGGGTGTCGTTCTGGTCTAGTGAGGCGCCTTCAATTTGGATGTAGCGCGCGCTGGTGAAGGAGAAGTCGGGTGTCCAGGATTGTTTTTCGGATGATCCGGAGAGGATGAATTTGGTGTAGACGCCATATTCGAATTCTTTGAATAGAGGATCGGGCATGAAGACGGCGCCGTTCTCATCAATGGTCTCGGAGTATCGGATGATGATTTCGGACCCTGCAGGGCCAGTTATTTCCACCCGTGGCATGATGCTGGAGTTCTGGCCAAGATCGAACATGGTCACTCCAGGATGGAGGACCTGATGCCGAACAGGGTTGAATGTATTGTGCAGGATAACCGGAGGCTGACTTTGATATCGCAGCTTTCCCCTCGGCCCTGTCAGCGGTTTAGCAGGAGCCCAGTCACTGTCGTCGTATCCAGAGACATCCCAGCCAACTGGGTATAAGCGACGATCATGATCCTCTGACATGTAGATATTCGCAAGTGTAGTTGCACTGTTTCGAACCTTCCAGCTGGGATCAGAGATGACTGTCTCATGCGAGCCATCGGTGTAGTGGACGTGGATCTCCGCGAAGAAGCACAGTTCGTTGCCATAGCGAACATAAGTATTATCCTCGTACATCGGCCAGAAGAAGCGATCACCCTGGTCACCGGCGTAAAATCCATTACCGACATGGGCGCCGATGACATTTTCCTCGCCTTCCTTGCCCCAGTGGGATGTCACATCGTAGCCGACATACTGCACGGTGCGGTGGTAGTTTGTCCAGCCCGGGTCGAGTACGTGCGTTGAAGCGGGCTTTCCATTGACGGTGAGGTTGAAATGGCCCAAGCCAGATGCAAAGATGATCACTCTTTCGACATCTTTTGAGGATGTGCGCTGTAGCGATTTGCGAAGGTAGATGGGCTTGTCTCCGCCGTTGCCAATCCATACGGCCTTCCACCGGTCGGCCTCGTTTTCGAACCAGGTGCGGAAGATCAGACTGCTATGCGGCATCTATAACTGTCAGAATGATTCATTAAGAATGTAAAAGAGGAAGAGGAGGCTACATAGGTCTGGTTCATGCTGTAAGGCGGAAGAAGTCTGGATGAGCGGGGATACGACGTGTAGAATTCATTGATCGCGCTCTTCGAAGCATTGCCATTCTCGTCCCAGACAGTCACTTGCCAGAAGTATAAAGTAGTAGACTTGAAGCCATTCTCGGGTTTGCAAACGATGTTGCGCTGGGCATCGCTCTGTACGCGGCCAGAGTCCCAGGCATCTGGCTCATCGAGCGCTGTCTTGCTGGAGGAGACACTAATACGATATGCACGCTGTTGGGCATTTGTATTATTGGCTTCGACCACCCAGAAGAAGCGAACCTCCTCAGTGTCAATACCAAGTGCTTCGTGGAAGCCGTGAATCCCGCAGCGAGTGACCTCCATTTTGCAGCACAGAAGATAACGAGGGGCAGAGAACACAGCAGTGCACAGCTCCATTAGCTCGAGCTTAAAGCAATCCAGCAGGATCCACTCCACGAGGCCATCGGTAGGCGATTCCCCGAGGTTCCTCCACAGGCCAACACGAGTCAGGCCGGAACTTCCGAGCTGGAGTCTCCAGTCCTTCTCCACATTCCGGTTGAGTTCTGGAGGCCGTTGGAACTTCGAATATTGATGAGATGAAAGCTGCATCGACCTCGGGCTATTGAATCCCGTGTAGTGGCGTATTCGCTAGGCGTATCGGACCATACACCGGATCTGGTGTATGTTGGCATGTGTGGTCATCTATATAAGAGTCTGTGTGCCCCTAATCCGAACTACCAAACACCTCACCCTCCAACACAACCGCCATGCTGTCCTTCAAGACCGTGTTCTCGGCCATTTTCCTGGCTGTGGGAGGATTTCTCTTCGGATACGACAGCGGTATCATCACTTCGACCATCTCGCTTCCCACCTTCAATGAGTACTTCACGCACCCCAGCGCCACCGTCACCGGCGGAATCGTATCCTCGTTCCAAGGTGGCGCGATCCTAGGTACCATGGTCAACATGGCTGGTGCGGACTGGGCAGGTCGAAAAAGAACAATCCTGGCTGGTGCTGTGGTTTCGATTGTAGGATGCGCGCTCCAGGCTGGGGCTGTCAGTATGGCTATGCTCATCATCGGCCGGTTCATTGCCGGTGTCGCGGTGGGAATGCTGACTGCGACAATTCCGATGTATGCTGCTGAGCTGTCAGAGCCGAAATGGCGAGCTACCCTGTCTGGCTTGTTACAGTGGATGTTGAGTTGGGGGTTTTTGGTTGCGCAGTGGCTGGGATATGGATGCTCCTTTTCTACCAACGAGTTCTCATGTATGAGCGGACTTCTCAGTTTGAAATTCAAGTGCTAACAGTTTAGGGCGATTCCCGCTTGCGTTTCAAAACATCCCCGGTCTCATTCTCGTCGCCGGTATTTGGTTTCTTGATGAGTCTCCCCGTTGGTTGATGGAGAAGGACAGACACGAGGAGGCAAAGGCCGTTCTTACACGCATTCGCAAAGGAGAGTCGGCAGAAACCATTGACCTCGAATTCCGTGAGATTCGCGATGTTATTGCAGCTGATCGGGCTGCGGGAAATACGTCGTGGAAGACAATCCTGACCAAGCCCTCCTGGCGACGGCGGTTGATCCTGGGCTGTGGTGTGCAGGCATTTGGGCCTCTTTCTGGGATTAACGTCATTAACTAGTATGGCTCCTGATCATGGATGGAGTATTTAGACTGACTGCTATAGCTATGGACCTAGGATCTATGAAATCCTCGGAATCGACAACCAAACTTCCCTCATGATCATCGGCATCAGCGGTGCGCTGTCCATCGTATACTGCAGCATCGGCCTGTACCTTGTCGACAGAGTCGGCCGTGTAAAGCCTCTCTTCGTCTCTGCCATCTTCCTCTCGGCCGCCCTGCTGGTGAATGCAGTGCAAGCACAATACATGGACCAAAGCAACGCGAACCAACTGCGGTCCATGGTTGCGATGAATTTTGTCTTCAGTCTGTTCTACACTCCCGTCGGGATTATTTCCTGGGTATGTCCACTTCCCGCATATTCAAGCATATTAAAAAAGTCAATATTAATTACTGCAGGTCTATCCCGCTGAAATCTTCCCCGTGGAGGTCCGCGCACTCGGAAACGCCCTGACGACCTTCACCAATTGGACTGTTAATCTGGTCTTCGCCCAGTTCACCCCGAATGCACTGGACAGCGTTGGCTTCAAGTATTTTTATCTGTTCTTTGCACTGAACCTGATTGCCGCTACTTGCTACTACTTCTTCTACCCCGAGACCAAGGGGCGTACGCTCGAACAGATCGATGAGCTGTTTGGCGACCAGCTTGTGCCGCATGCCATGGAGGATCCCGATGCTGCCGATGCGGCTGTGGAGAAGCAGCAGGCCACGCACTGGGAGGGGAATCAGAAGAATGCGGGGCAGGTCTAGCTTAGTTATTGTGTATAGTAATGTCCCAGTGAATGGCAGTTAATCCAAGGCATTTAATCAACAACTCGGATATCCCGTACCACCTCCCTCTCCTAATTGTGCTTAATCCTGCTCGCTCCATCTTCAGACTCGACCATGTCATCTGGATGCTGGAACTTCAACCCGAACTAATATTTTAGTCCATTTAGCGCAAACACTAATTTATTAGCGGCGGCGAAGTTGTGCTGCGAGAGCGAGAACGCCGCCGCTAAGAATGTCTCGAGAATTACTCCACTTGTCCCGATGGATGGGTCCAGTTTCAACGGCCGACGGTCTATATGCGATTGATCTTTGGCCTCAATGGACCGACCTCGCTGTTATTCACCCCGAGAGGGTCTCGAGGATCCGATCAAGCTCGGGACCATTTAACGGCAAAAATCATGTGGCACTCCGGCTGCAGATGAACCGGACTTGATAGATCAAGAGGGGAATGCTGGCCCTGTAGAACGGAGGGACTGCTCAACACTTCCCTGCTGACAGACTCCGTGCCATTGACCTGTTTGCGGAGTGGACGAATCCTTCAATTGCTAGGGTTCCTCGTTTGCAGCCTAATGGTCGTGTCACCCCTGCAGATACCCCGGGTAATGGGTTTGGTGCTGTTGACACAAACGCCTTGGGAGAGCCCTTATTCCATATTACATCCTAGTAGCCCTGCAGACCTGAAGCTTTCGCTGTAAGGCTATATATTTAGCTCCCGCCATTCATTCAATGATATACACCTATTCCTATCTCTAGGTATAGCTGCGACTGTTTCTTCCGCAGCCATAACGTCACCGTTAGAACAACGCCCACCACAAGTAGCCTGCAATTACAGAGATGGGCAAAGCCAAAGCCCCGAGCCGGAAGGCAGCTACTCTAGCTCTGCGCCAGAGATAGCCACTTATTGCTCTTTGGAACGTTTCTGGCTCATTACGGACACGCGGGTATTCTGTGTCAGGCACTGGCAGCCCTAAGAATGGGCAAATCTGCTCCCACCCTAGTCCATCATCTAGTTTTAAGGCCAGCAGTCTCTCCTTTGGAATGACCCTTTTGGCCATGGCGGTGCTTCAATCTGGTTAGCTGGAATCTGGCGTGACTGCCACTTATATAGCGGAACGTAGGAAGACGTACTACTGGGTATAATTGTCCCGGAGGGCTCTCTCGTTTTCGGGGCTGCCGGGGCTCGTACCATCAGACCAGACTCCGTATAGAACCTTGTTGAGTTCAAGGAAGCTATACATCTCCTCATCGAAGAATTTTAATACATTAAGAGGAAACATGTTCCCAATCTGGATGGCTCGGGCTGTGGTGTTATTCATGGACTTTAGCCACTTGCCCGGGTCCCTCTCAATTAATATGAATTTAGTATCAGGATCCTCCGCATACATTTCGAGAGCACCTGTCCCCAAATAGCTTGGTATCTCTACCAAACACTATCTTAGAGCGAGGAGCAATTAGCGGCTGCAAGAGACAAGTAATAGATCCTTACATCATAGTCCCCCAGCCATTTAGCAAAATCTGCTTTGTTGTAAGGACGATTCCCAGGATAATTATGGTGCTGCGCAAGTACAGCCTCTCGAAAGATCCTCATATGCTGTATTCCGTGTTTATGCAACACTTCAGCAAGGTGATAGGGAGCAAAGCCTAGGGATTTCATAGCGAGATAAAGACCCAAAGTCCCCGTTCTAATATTGGGTTAGCTGTCAGTTTTTCTTGCATTATCTCCGAGTAGACAAAAAGATAGCCAGGCCAACGCTGAGGGTTGAATTGGAACTTTCCGACCTACCGACTACAGCTGGCGACGACAACTCTCATCTACTTCGGTTTGGTCGGCAGGGACAACTTATCAATTGTGCGGGACATAGTGGGCGATGCTGTATCAGTGCTGGATAAAAGCAAAATGCTGTCCATGTCTCCTCTGAGAGATGCATCCGTTTAAGTAAAGCCTGGTACGTTGACCAACTAGATGACGCTTACGGCGCATCAGAAGCTGATATCACTCAGGTATGTTCAGGCATTCAGCTTCAGCCCAACATCAGTGTACCCCTTGCAGTGAAGTAGCCAAGTACTGATCCTGAGGACTGAATAGATTCATCATAGTCTCCATGTTAGGGACGATCCTTGGGAGATAACTCTAATAGTTCCCAAAGGAGTTAGTGATAGCTACACGAATGAAAAGTATTTCTGCCCCTTGCCTTTTCTCCTTCCAAATCCTCTTAGCTCTGTATGAAGAAAAGCTTGAAGTGGCTAGCGTTTTCATTCATGTACGGTGGATCGACGATGAAAAGATTTACTGTTCTTCTAGTATCAGAAAATACTTATTCTGCGCTGCCGCCCTAGCCACACCACCAACCAAGGTATTGGCGGTAGGGCTACCATATACTTGATCCCATGAAAGCCTGGCCCTGTCTACGGATCCAACCCCCATCAGTCGCAGCGACCATGGCCGTTAGGAAGTCCCGCAACGAACACTCTTTCAACACGATTGCGGAACCAGAGATCCTCAGAACTGTTCTTCAAAATGACATCTTCATTTTCGGTTTACCCTTCGCTATCTTGTGCCAGTTCGCTCACCCGGCCCTCGCAAAAGGTAGCTATAGTCATTCCAACTTCTCTTCACGGCTCGAGCTGCGCCTTCGCAACACTCTCCGATTCAGCAATGCGGTACTATTTGGGACGCAGCAAGAAAAACAGTCTATAGTCTCTGTGATTCATCGACATCACTCCCGCGTCAAAGGAGCTGGCTATGATGCAGATGACCCCGAACTGCACAAATGGACCGCAGCGACGATCTTCATGAGCATCCTCAATGTTCATGAGGAGTTCATCGGAAAGTTGCCACAAAGCACGAAAGAAACCCTGCTACAGGAATCAGCCATATTTGGATCTTCGCTAAGAATGCCCCCCACAATGTGGCCGTCAACGATGGATGAATTCTGGAAGTATTGGAATCATAATATTTCCACGCTTCAAATTACCCCCGAAGCGCGCAGACTGAGCCAGCATGTCCTATATCCTCAAAACACGCCGCTTTGGATGTCCATTGGGGCTCCGCTCATGCGCCTCGTTACTGCGAGCTGGCTACCAGACCGGCTGGCGAGGGAGTATAGTTTTCAACCTTCCATGATGGGCGAGCTTATGTACTACCATTTTGCGCTGTCGATGCGTGTTGCATATCCATTGATCCCGGCAGCCTTAAGCCAGCGACAGCATCGCTTTTATATGAACGATCTCAAAGAGACACTCAAGCGGTTGAGGAGGGATTAAGAAGCTTATTGGTTGAGTTAAGTTCGTTTGCCAAAGGGCTTAGGGTCACCGACTCTCTGATTAAGCAGATCGCCCTGTTCCTTGCGTCGAAAATCAATTATTGATCGGACCTTGGCTTCAATTTCATGCAATAGGGCCCACTAGCCTTGTAAGGGGAGAACTATCTGACATATTGGTGCTCAAGACTTCCAGCTCGAGACCCCGTCTGCCCATAAATATTTAGCTCAAGTTTTCCATCTACAAAATCTACGTAAATGCTCTGGGCTGCTTTTAGCTCATCGCCTACCGGTCCCATCCCCTACGTTACAGGCATGACCCGCACTGAGGATAGCCCGCGGCGCGTGCTGCTTGTCAGCACACCACGCACTGCTAGCAATCTGTTGCTGCAGATGCTGAACATCTACGAGCAACCAAATGCTCTGACTAGCGAAAGAGGCGGGTACTTCTTCTACCCATACTTTTTACACACCACCACTACTGGACTATGTGACAAGCCAGTCGAGCAATGGAGTGAGGAGGAAAAGGCTCAGACAAGGAGCGCTTTGCAATCCAGTATTCAGAATCTAGAAACCTACTCGGAACAGGCAGAGCATGAAAGCAAGATCATGTTCGCCAAAGAACACTCCTTCTGGTTCGCCCATCCAGCGTCGCTCCAGAAACTGAAAGGTGGGATTGATGACACTGAGTTCACGCGAGACTTTCGATCCGCAATTCATATCCCTGAGAGGTATGGCCCTACCCGGACTTATTCCTCTTCCAATGAGACCATTCTTTCAGACGAGTACCTGCGGACCTGGCAGATGGCTTTTATTATCCGCCATCCGGCACTCGCGTGGCCATCGCTGTACCGCGCTGTATTGAAGCTCGCGGACGAGCTGGGATTGACAGAGGAGCAATTCAGAAGCGCAACATCAGTAAGAAATATGACCTTCCACTGGGCCCGCAGCCTTTTCGACTGGACCATAAAGCAACCGTGTACGCCAAGCCCGATTGTAGTGGATGCAAACGATCTGATCCACAGCCCGGAGATAGTGCTCAAACTCTGCGAACGGCTGGGGATGGACAAGGATACAGTCAAATTTGAGTGGAGTAAGAAAGATGATCAGAAGCCAGCGCGCGCTAGCGATGTCCCAAAGGCCGAGCAGCCCCGGCACGAACGACTTGCCCCTATTATGCTGTCCACACTCAACGATTCGGCCGGTGTTATCAAGGACAAGGCCCCAGGGTGTATTGAAATCTCTGCCGAGGTTGCGAAATGGAGTGTGGAGTTTGGTGAGGAGGCCGCTCGGTCTCTTGAGAAGGCTGTTGTGAACTCTATGCCGGACTATGAGTATCTCAAATCTCATCGCATAACTGTCTAATTAGCAGTGTGGTAGTCTATAACCTATGGCAGCTAGAGAAATATACATGTATCAGCCAGGCTTGACTTTCCACCCCGAGGAACGGTGCTATTTATACTAAGCTTATACTGTATAGCGACGTAGATGACCCTACTTTAAACAATAGGCCCCGTTAGCGTTAGGGTAGGTATTCTATGTTATTCATTGTCAGCTGTGTAACTGTATGGGAAATGCTGTAGTATATTTCTATGTTGTCATGATGACGTCAGACGAATATGTAAGATCGCTCTTCTTCCCTCCAGGCACCTGCGAATTGCTTCACATATATTGGATCGCTATCCCTTGCTTCCCTGTCAATCGCATAAATATGTCTGACTTTTGGTTAACGGAGCATATCCGCCACCTGGTGGTGCAACCCGCAGACGCACGTCTCAACCCACCCGAAGGCTACCTGTTTGTTCAGGATGGTCTTATCATCTCCTGCGGGGTATTATACGCCCTTTTATACGTATTCGGTATGATGCGAGCTGTTAAGGATGGCGTTCTGCCGGGATCACTTAAGTACCTGTATGTCTACCAATATCATGCCCAGTATGTTCCTCGGGTAACTGACTGCGTAGATCTTTGACTTTGGCGTATGAATTATACTACGCCTTTGCAACAACAACCACACGGATAGAGAGAATATGCTTTCTGGCCTGGTTCCAGCTAGATCTCACGTTCGTTCTTATTGCTCTCTGGCGCGTCTATGGCCCTGATCAAAGGAAGCGTATTGCCGCGGAGATGTTTGTATATTGCGTCACAGCTCTAGCAGGGTTGAGGTACCTGTGCTCTCTCTACCCAGACGACCGCGAGCAAGTTACAGCGTATTGGACGGGCATCCTCTTGCAGCTCCCGGCGGGGTGGGTGTATGCGTATGGACTGGTTAAACATCGCTCCCTACTGGGCCATTCCCTCGAGATTTGGTATGTGGCCCCCCAATCACTACTGGTGGGCATTATTAATGTGGTTTCAGGCTTGTTCGATATCTAGGCTGCTTCACGGCTTATGGCCTGTTCATCTGGAGATATCTCAATGTCCCCAGGAACTGGGAATATGTAGGGTCGTTTTGGAGCATCGCGATCATTGTTGTCACTCTTATTCCGGAGACGGTGTACCCATTCCTATACATTTGGGTATTCAATCAGAACAAAAGCAAAGTAAAGACGGGTTAGACGTGGCGGGTCATTGGAGAGAGATAGAAATTTGCATGTACAAACAAGATTTCGAGCAAGGATATTTAGAGTCGATGCTTCTTCATCTTACTACAATGCACTGTTTTCTCAGAGGTATAATGCCTAAACACACGATCGTATCATGGGACTATCTGCTTAGCTCCTACTGTATAAACTCGATATTTGCTAGTAGCTGTAATAATTAGATAACCGGTCATGTGTGATATGATCATATGGCTTTTCACATCATCTACGCGATCCCGAACCTCCCCAGGGCCATTTTCCTGCATCAGAAGCCATATTGCCGTAGTATCAAGGCCAAATACATTTAAGCAATATCTTCACCATGGTAATCCTCGAACATAGGGTCGAACGCGTCTGGACGGTATTCACTCTATGAGTTTCAAGCCGTACAGAGGAATTTAATATGATAATATTTAGTGATGTAGAACATGGGCTGAGCTAGTAGTGTCGTAGGTGGGCTAACTAGGAAACAGGCCTTTGAGTTACTGCGAGCAGAAGATAACTCTGTAAGGGATAGATCTATGGGTGCGTACTACCTAGCCCCTCGACCATATTCATCCTGGGCAGTCCCTAGTCAATTCCTGGCCTAGTAGATACTCCAACGGTGGGTCAATGGAGGTCCAACTCCGCGATATACAACTATGTACTCCAATCACACCAACGGCGGACTTGCTCCTCCATTCCCCTCACCAGTCATACCAGACATTAATTGTCGGTTGTATATAAAAGGCCGTAGTACTCTGATAGAAAGGGGTATTGGCATTGCATCGTATATCCAGTTCAATAGTCAACCGTCTACACCATGGCCCCCGGTATCACCGAACCCAACGCAACCACCACACTGCCATCAACAACATCCAAAGACCTAACGCAGTCTCGCGACTTCGCCATCTACCGTCATCTGGTCCCCCTCCTGTCCAATCCCTCCATCACCTACCTCAACGCCTCCTTCCAACCCCCGTCTAACCTCCTCGTCCACGGGGCAATCAGCGCCTTCAACAACGAAGCCCTCCTCTCTCCCTCCCCCAAACAATCCTGGCTCCAAACAGGCGAAGACGCACGCTCCCTAATAGCACGGTACATCAACGCCTCCCCAACATCCATCGCAATCACCCGCGACACAACCGAAGGGCTGAACAACTTCGCACACAGCCTGAAGTTCAAACCAGGCGATAATGTCGTCATTCTCGACTCAGAGCACCCCCACCACGCATACGCCTGGATGTCCCTCCGACCCGCAGGCCTCGAAGTGCGCCAGATCCCTACAATCCCTGAATTCGAGAAAACGGGGCTCGTCGTAACCGCAAACGCAGACACATTCGCGCCTTATGTCGACGAACGCACCGTCGCGATCGGACTTAGCTCTGTCATGTTCCATAGCGGGCAGTGGAATGACCTCAAGGGGATCTGTGAGGTGTATCGCCCGCGCGGAATCCACGTCCTTGCAGACCTCACCCAGCAAGTTGGATTTGCGGCGGTGGATGTGACGAAATTGAATGTCTCCGCCGCTGCATTCTCCCTGCATAAGGGGCTGAACTGTCCTACCGGCTTCGCGGCGATGTATGTGGATCCTGATGTGATTAGAGAGACGGATCCGAATCCTCCGATTGTGGGCTATGGAGCTGTGCAGAATGTGCGAGCGGATTTACTTGTTCCTGCCGATGGGATTGTGTATCACCCCACTGCGCGACGGTTCGATCATCTAAATATGAACCTCGTTGCTGCGGCGGCGGCGAAAGCGTATCTGCGGTTTTATCTTGATGTAATGGGGCCGGAGAATGTGGAGGAACATCTTTATGCTCTTGGAGGCGTGTTGAGGAGGGAGTGTAAGCGGGTTGGAGTTAGGATTGTGGGACCGGGGCATGGGAGGGAGCATGCGCCGCATCTTTATATACTGGATTTACATGATGGCCGGTGGATGGAGCTGTTCAAGGAGGAGGGGATTTATGTTACCCCGTATAGACTGGGGATTCGGGTGTCGTTTGGGTTCTATAACAATGAGGAGGATGTGCTGAGTCTGGTTAGAGTGTTGGAGAAGGGGATTGAGCGCGGGATTCCAGTTGCATAGTTCACTTATTATGTCTGATATGGAGATTTATTTTCAATGATAAATACATCATGCTACATTCTGCGCATGGATATACCCCAATGCCTCGCCCGCAAGTCCCCAAGTCGAAGAACACTCCGCCAAAACGCTATACAAATACCCTGTCTCATCCTGACACGCACCGAAAGTGCGCATAGTACGTGCGGCCTGAGATATACTGTATATCAAAATAATCGGCGCAAAGCGCAGACCGTGTTGCTGCCGGTATTTCCTTACCAGACAGGTGATAGCTTCAGCAGAGGCTATGCAGATTTCCCTGGAACTTTCCTGTGGTTTCGTAGAGGGGTCCACCTCCGCCTGGTCGAAATTCAGTGCGATGAGTGTGCTATAGAAGAGAAGACTGGATATAATCAGCAGGACTCAGATACATTTCAGGAGACTCACTGTAAAACAGCAACACTGGGCAGAAGAACAGCCGAGCAAGGTTCCCATTTATTCCACCTCGCGGCTAACGGCAGTGAGTCCTGCCATTTGTACAGCTCGACTGTCATATCGCCGACGCATCCCTCCCATGCCACTTCGTCAGGGGCTGCCCGGAGGAAGGCTAGACCGGAGAGAAGCCGTTCGATGCTCTTCGACAGACGGATTTGCTCTCGGAAGCACAGGATTAGAGACGAAGACTTCCCGGCGGCGCTTGCGTCATTGGAGAAGCCGGCAGGGAGCCAGGCGTGCATTTGGGGGAAGTCGCTGGTCGTTAGTTAGAAGCCAGACAGGCATTGTATGGAATAAGTGAAACATACGGAAGAACGTCAGTCTGCGCAACAGAGGCATCATGCCATGGTAGCTGAACCGGCCGGCCTAAGATCAGGCTGATCAGTTTATCTGAATTGTAGCAGCCCCAGTATATTCGTCGGCGGATCTCGATGTCCTCGTTTGTGGCTATTGAGAAGTCCTGCAATATCCAGTCGGCTGGATCCTTTTGGAAGCCTAGGTCTTGAGCCATTCGAAATGCAATTCCTATGTAATCAGTTTATATTATCATCAATGACAGGAGAAGAGGAGAATACCTGAAAGACCCCAACTCTTTGATAAATCCCCTTGTCCAAGAGCATAGAACGCCAGACAGAGAATCGTCTGGACAGTTATGATAGATGGCTGCGTTAAGCCGGACAGAATACAAACACTCTCTGCCGCTGTATAGAACTTATTTCCGAGATCACGTTCCCGGATCTCACAAGACATCTGTAGACCAAGGGCACACATAGACAAGAGCAGACCCGGGGACCAGTACTTACAGTTCTGGCGGTCGCTGAAATGATCGCGCAGGAAAGCCTCGCGGTAGATGAACATAAAATGAGAGTACTGCCATTTAAAGAAGAGGAGGAGACCGTTTGTAATGGCTTCGTCTTCGTCTTCTAGATTGAAGCCGGCGATTTCGGTTATTGGCTCGTAGGAGGTTGCGAGGAGAGATGCAGAAAGTGATATTTGCTGGTGAGCGCTGTCCGGTGGGATATTGAGCGAGAGTCCGGCCGTTGGCTGCGTTGACCAAGTATGATGGATACTTGTCGGGCCATGGTAAATCAAAGATCCTCCAGGACCTGGCTGCAGTGTCCCTTGACAGTACTTTAATGGGAACAGGGCCAGCTGCTTCGACTCGTTATGTGATCGAACAGTTGCACTGAACGACTTTAGCCGTGACTCTCGGTCTTCAGAAGAGGTGTCGGCCAGGGATAGGATAAAAGACTCGAGCCAGGCTACTCGATTCTCTAGGCTAGTTGTATATTCTGTCGAGACTGGCCGTGTTTTGCAATCAGCATCCCGGTATTCGCAGGGCTGGTTTGCTGATGAACAGCTGTGGCAGGGCTCTGTCCGAGAGCATCGCAGCTGCAGGAATTAGTACGCGCTGGCATGAGCTGGCTGGATATACCTTTCTGAACCGGCACCGCTTGCACCTGCAGCAGTCAGTATCGAAAGTAAACGAATGGTTGTCTGCTCACGAGATCTTCTTCATCTGGATAATACGATCTGCACCTCAACACTCTAGAGAGAATCGTAACTGGAAACAAACCTCCAAGTCCGTTACTCCAGTGTCTTATCGCACTCCTACCCCGCATTCTGTGGTCCACTCTAAATATTGGTTCAATTGGAGTACTCCAATCATCATTTTCAGTTGGAGTATCTTTATCTGCTTGGAGTAGTGCGGTTACAGGAAGCCGTTTAGCCTGTGGAAGATAATTCAGTTTTACTCATTCGATACAGATAATATACCATCTACAGTGTGTACAGATTGGGAACAACGCCAGCTTCGTTCCCCCAGGCAAGCAGCTTCTTGTTCTCCCTCCTGAGCAGAAGCTTCATCGAGACACACAGCACCGCCTCCACACCAGCAAACACCAGAAGCAAGATCATTGCCGTGAGATAGCGGGGCGCTTCATTCTCATGGAAGAAAAACGGACTCCATACACTTCCCAGCTGGCCGGTGATGTTGATGATCGCCATTGCACAAGCCTTCTTCTGCGCCGTGTCGCTCACCGTTGTTGCTGCCCAGCTGAATACCACGGCATTGGCCCCAAATATCCCAGAGATGTACAGGAACGAAGCAAAGTACCGCACGGGAATATTGAGTGTCGCGACGCTGATGATGAAGCCTACAATTGCCACAAGGACTGGTGTGAGAACGTGGAAGCCGCGGTCTTTGAAGCGATCGCTCGACCAGGCCACGCCGTACGCAATAAAGGCCCCAATGATATACGGCGGTGCAGTGCAGGCCAAGGTGATAGTCCGACTTCCAAGATTAAATCCCTCGACGATGGCCGGATAGAAGTAGTTGAATCCGTAGGCACTTTGGCTGCAGCACATGATAAATGCCTAGATAGTCAGTCAATACCCTGAGGACCTGGTGAGTGTGACTTACGAAAATCCACATCTTGATATCCATCACAGCTAGCTTCAAGCCGTGTCTCAGAGATGCATTGTCTTCCTGGTTGGACACTGCATCGCGCGCCATCCGATCAACCGCCAGCCGTTGCTCTTCTTCACTAAACAGCCATCGTGCACTTCCGGTATTCTGGCCTGGGAGATCTGGTAGGAGGGCTAAGGCTATCACACCAAGTACGAAACTCACTGCACCCTCGATGATAAACAACCATCGCCATCCGGGTAGTCCTGCTGTACCATCCATACCAGCAAAGATGGCGGCCGCCAGTAACCCAGATGTGGCTGTTGCTAGTACAAGACCTGAGTATAGGACTGCATAACGAAGTGCCAGCTCCTTCTTTGTGTACCAGCAGGATAGGAGATAGAAGACACCCGGGAAGAAAGGTGCCTCACAGACACCAAGGACGATGCGGACACCGATGAGGCCACAGAAACTGTTTGTACCAGCTGTTGCACCTGAGACGACCGACCAAACGCATACCCAGAGTGGAATGTAGAGAGAAGGTCGCACTTTAGTGAGGATCATGTTACTGGGTAGCTGCATCAAGATGTACCTGACAAAGGGTATTAGCACTGTTAAATTGGGAAGATATACTGACGAACCCGATGTTGACGATAGCGACTGCTGTGCTGTAATCGCTCCCTTTAAGGCCAAGATCTTCTTCGAATGAGTCGAGTTTCGCTTGTCTATAAAAATTAGCTTTAACAAAATTCCCATATGGTATGCAGAGACTCACGCAATATTGTTCCTGTCGAGGTAGTTGAACATGTAGAGAATGAAGATGATAGGCATGAGCGTGATATCCAGCTTTCGCACCATCCATTTCTCACGGGCCTGGTAGACAGGATCATCCAGCTGTGTGTCAACAATACTGCCCTCCTTCTCACCCATGGCCTCAAGCCCATCGCGCACGGGGTCCTTCTTCTGGTCAACGGCAGACATATAGGCAGCAAAGTTCAACGACAAAAGGTTAGGCTGGTATCAACACCGTTCAAGTAGCCAATTTATACCAATACAGTGACTAGTATAGTTTCCCCGCGGAATGTACCCCATATTCCGTATCAGCAAGGACATCGAACCACGCGAGGTTAAGCCAGAGCCAAAGATACCGAGTCCCATCCGATTCGTGGACTTGCGCCTCCAAGTCCTGACCCACTTGGTTGATGGAGGTCGAACTCCGTGGGAGCTCCAAATGATAAGCTCCATTATCTTCTATCTGCCAATGGAAAGATAAAAGTCTCTGTTCGTGATAGGAGGTAATTGTACCCATTCCCACTGTCACCATCCCCATCACAGGTCGGTCGAAAACGCCGGAACCTCCTGCCTCTCTCTGACCAAGACACACCAGCAGTCAGCTAACCGAACATGATGCCCGTTACTCAATGTCATCCATTGACCCATGTATACAATTTCGGACTTGGTGTTTGGTGATGGTGAAGCAGGGGGTAAGGCGCCAAGGCAGCCGGTCACATGTTCGTGTTGACCAACACCAAACACCACCAACTTAAGTTGTCTTCTTTTCTCTCATCGCTCACTGGTAAGCATCAAAAACCATCATGAATCCTGGGTTAGCGGCACTGCGTCGGCTGAATAAGCCAACAATCCAACCCTTTCACTACTTCGACCCGCGCAGCCCTCATCCGCGATGGCGACCTGCCTTCACTCAAACAGACGTCGACGCAACACAACAGGGGTCACCGACCAACACAGACAAACTTCGTCTCCTCTCTTGGAACATCGACTTCTCTACTCCGGCCCCGACAGAGCGCATGACAGAAGCCCTCAAATATCTGAACAAGCTACAAAACGAACATGACAATCGCAGGGGCCCACCCACGGTGATCTTCTTCCAAGAGATGGTCCACTCGGACCTCGAACTCCTACAAAACGCTCCCTGGATACAGGAGAAATTCTACCTCACCGACATATCCGACCAGCACTGGCGCGGGACATACGGGACCACAACCCTTGTCGACCGACGGCTGCCAGTAGGGCGGGTATTCAGAGTCCCATATGCTCTGTCTGTAATGCAGCGTGATGCTCTGTTCGTCGACATCAAACTCCAAGGCTCACTCATCAGGATCTGCAATACGCACCTCGAAAGCCTTGCGAGTGGAACTCCTAGACGGGCTGTCCAGCTTAAGCTCGCGTCAGAATTTATGCATGGATCCACCCCCAGCAGCTCTTTTGATGATAGTGAGAATGCGGGCGCTACTGATGAGCCACTTCCGACACCCCACGCTGCAATCATCGCTGGCGATCTGAATGCTTTTGCACCTGAGGATGTACACCTGCCCAGCGAATGTAATCTGAATGATGCATATCTTGCACTCGGTGGGACTGAAGGCTCCGAGGAGGGTTTCACCTGGGGATATCAGTGTCCACCCGATATAGACGGTCGATTTCCCTGCGGACGCCTGGATAAAGTCCTATTTTGTGGGAATATTGAGGCGCTATCACTGGCGAAAGTTGGACAGGGTCTGAAGGCACGAGTTGACGGGCGACTGCCGGACGAGTGTGATGGTGCTACCGAGGATGATGATTTTGAGGATATCTGGGTTACAGATCACTTCGGACTCGCGGCCGATTTTAAGATAGTGCCTTTTAGGTCTGCTTAGCGCCGCGTTTTTAACTTGTGCGGTTGGTTTGCATCTTGTCGATTCTTGTACGCTGCGGACCAGGTGGAGTCTACTGCACCTCCCCATAGCTGCAGGTTCGACAAAACACCCATCTGTGTCCATACTGAATAGGGTTGATCATAGCTTAGGCCACTTTCCCACGAAGTCAAGCAATATTCGAATTATTACTATTGTAATCAACTCGTGATCATGCAATTGGCCTTGGAAACGGAATACTCGACAGCCCCGTGGTCCACTTACTCTTATGCACACCACCTGCCAACGAAACCATTCATTCGAACCAATCCTCCGTCAATCGACTACAAATTGGACTTTCCGAGCAGATGCAAACGCCCGCAGGCAGAAATCGGAACGGACCCAAAACAGGAAAAGAACGTACTTGGGCAACGGGGATTGTGTCCACTACTCGGCAAGGCCGTTCGAGATCTCAAGCCATTGACACCAATCCTGGCGCCAGGTCGGCGTCCGCGGACAACGAGCTCATCCTCCTTGGAGCCAGTTTATTACTGACCTGTGATCGGGTTATTTGGCTGCCTAGGGATGCGTTCGGAACGTTCTGAGAATTGAAGATGCAGAGTACCAGTATAGTGATCCACGTTCGACCTGACCGTGGCTGAGCACAACGGGCACAGTTAAGTGAGAATACGAGCAACGCTGTTTCGAGCAGCTCGTAGAAAGGCGCTCATATTTATGAGGTAGAAGTCGGGGGCATTGTTGAATACGGTCATCCGGCTGACCGTCAAGTCTCGGTGGACCCGGGTCCAATGCGAAGCTTGACATTCGAGACCCACACAATGGAGAATGTACGAGTGCGTGCGCCTTCCTATTTTGATAAGGCTGGGGGCCTCGTTGGATCGGAATATGCGGAGACGCCCAGGGGGATTTGCATTGAAATTGTACGGGCAGGCTACCATATTCCCTGGCATCTCGTTCGACCAGTAACCATGCGATTGTGGCTCACAATGACAACCTGTCGAACAAGGATACAAAGATGTCGCACCATGAAATTACGGCTGGCTCGGAAATCTCTATAGATGCCATGCGATCGTTTAACTTTACCTTCTCGTGGCTCATGCTCGTTTCCGTGGAGCAGGGCCATTAGGCTGCCATTATAGCATACCCAGTAGTGGCTGAGGCGCATTTACGATGTCATCCGCGTGGGTTCATTGGAAAGGAGAAGGCCATAACCCTGGCAGATCGTCGACAAGTCCATGGCCAAGCATTAGGGAGGTATATCTACCGGCGATGCGCCCAACTCAATGCAACCTTTCTCTCCGTCGTTCCAAACAAGCTCCCGCGAATATTGCCACTTCCTCAATTACTCGCATACATCATACTGACTTCAATTAAAATTTGGCTGTGAACTACCGTTTGCGGATACCATCAAAATTACCGATATCCCCGGCATCCCGTCGGCCATTGCAGATTCCCGAAGTATCAACCGGATGCCGCAAACCACCACGAAGCAGAAGATGACGCCGCAAACTCCGGCCAATACTGCCAGGCCGCGTAGGAAACTACTTCTCGCTGATACAATCGGTCAATCTCTATGCCAGAATCGGTCCTCTGCAATTCCTCCTGAAAATGCATTGAACAGCCACCTCTCGGTCCCGACAAGCGGGCCACTGTCGCGATTGTCGCCGATCTCATCGCATGTATACTACCCTCCCAGGCGCATTCCCAGCAGCAACAGGACGTCTTCTGACACACTCGCAACCAATTCCGATCAAACGACACTCAACTATACTAGCGATGTCTCGGTGGGAAGCAACCGGAGCAACTCTTCCTCGAGCAGCCACAACCCATCATCCTGCAGCCGGATCGTCAGCTTAAGTGGTACGGTTGCCGAGCAAGATGTCGAACGACTGGCTAACAAGTACGGCCTTGCTTCTCAGATGGGGCTGCTGGATCCCAGCTATCGTGTCTTTATCAATGACCAAGGCACAGCAGCACTGTCATTCAAAGTCCTCAGCAGGGTCGCCGTCATAATGGGCGACCCAATGTGCGAGTCGGTTCAAATACCCAGTCTCCTGCAAGACTTCAAGCACTACCGCCGGCGGAAACGCTGGGGAATGTCCATCATCGGCGCCACTGGAGAGCTGGTTCAATATGCATCAACAACCAAGAAATGGACAATGATGCAATTCGGAAACAACAGAGTTTTCAACCCATTAACAAACGAAATAATCCACGAAACTGGTGGGAAGCGCATCCTCACGCAGAACCGACAGCTCCTCAATCCCAATAAGGGTGGCATCACGCTAGACATCTACAGCCCGTCCCTCCACGGCACGGACTTCAAGCTGGAAGCCCAGCTTGGCGCAATCTACGACGCGTGGCGCCTCGCCCGTAACTCCAGCGGCAAGCCTCAGGCCTTCATAACAGAATACGACCCCTTCCTAATGCCGTCACTTATGACATACATCTACACTCGAGATCCCTTGGGAGCAGTCAACGGCTTCACGGCTCTGCGCTGGCTCGGCGCAAAGGGCGGCTACCACGTCGACCCCTGTATCGCTGCCCCTGCGGCACGCAAGGGCATCAGCGATCTTCTTCTCTTTGCCTCCATGGCTTATGCACGACAACTAGGTATATCGTACCTAAGTGTTGGTTACGAACCCTCTGAGTCCCTTGGCGAAGTATCCGGCATGCCCGCTCCGATTGCGCGGCTGACGGACCGGGTATATCAGTATACATATCACCATCTTACCTTTGGCGGGAAGAAGGCGTATTTTGACAAATTCAGGCCGGACAGTAAACAGGACTCTCCTGTTTATGTGATCTTTCCTTCGAGAATCCCTGAGCCGCGGCCTGTTGTTGCTGTTGCGCATGTCGCGAATATCAGTATCAGGCGGTTGCTGTTCGAGAAAGCGAGTTGACATTGCAACGCAGTTATGTTTGCTGCATGGCTTCGAAGTTCTTACAGCAGGTGTTCGGCGTATCCTGCAACTCCTATTATTACTTTTCCTCTGTCCTTTGCCATTCTCTTCTTGCCAACACTAGGCTCTTACACCTTTCTTTTGCATTACTATCCTCTGTTATCGACCATATTTTAATATGTCCATCATGTACTACCGAGCCATCTAGACCAAGCTATTCATCTCATTCAAGATTCCTATCAATCTCGAGGTCAACTACCACCCCTTCTGAAACGATTCCAACCCTTGTACCAGATCATACCTCTTCTCCCCATAATTCATATCCCTCCGCCTACCAACGCCCTCAAACTCTTCAACCCAACGCGCTGGAACCGCAATCTCCAACCTCTTCCACCTCTTACTCTCTCCCAACTCCTCCCACGGTCCAACCCACATCCTCTCTCCCTCCTCGGACCACTCAACTCCCGTTCTAGGCGGACTCGGTATACCCGCTATGGAAAGCGAGAGCCCGCGCAGATTCGGAAGGCGTTGCCGAATCAAATCAAAAAACCCATGATAAAAGTCCCGAAAGTGCCCATCCATATGCGGCGGCGGGCGCCTGCAGATCTTGTAGACGTCTATCTCAACAGAAAGAGACGTTAAAAGCGCCAGGTGATCGCGCGGCATTACCCTCGTCACCCGGTGTAACTGGTCAATCCCCTGGCTGAGGACGAATGTGTTGGAGCTGTACAGGATCGGGAGGGACTCTTGATATCTATCACTCCATGAGCGAGAGAATCAAATATATAATAGAACTGAGTTCAGGACATACCCAATCTTACAACACCGTAACCAATTGACCGCATCAATTCTATACTCGAACCCATCCTTAAACCAAGAACTCGATCCAAGCTGCAGCATCGCGCCCTCTGCAGGCGCAGTCTCCGGACAAACAAATTCCTTCACGGGACAAACAGCATCATCGTCGCAGACGCGATGCCACCAACTCCATCGACGGGATTTGTGCCACCGCGGGTCGTAATCGTAGTCCATGTGAATCCGACGGCCTCCAAAGGCATGCAGGTAGATAATGTACCTGATTTCGGGAGGAAGTCTGGTGAAAAGTGGGCTCTGTTCTTGAGAGTTTAACTTTAACTTTGCTTGTTGGTTATCAGCTTGTTTTTGCTCCTGCCCCTGCTCTTGGCCTTGGTCTTCAATATCTTGGTCGGCAGCCTCGCAAATAGATGCGAATAGACTGCGATACTCCCATGGGAGAGTGGGCAGGTAGTAATTGTCGTAGAGAGAACCGTTGACTTTGCATGTCGAGTCTTTCACCCCTGGAGAATCGAAGGTGGCGCGCGCTGTGTATCCCGCTGGGTTAATGCGCACTGACGGCTCCCCTCGTGGTTCTGGAGTTGTCGGTATTGGTGGTAGTGGTGCTGCTGGTGTTTGCTCGGGGCGCTCCTGGGGCTGTCGTCGTTGTTGGCGCCGGCGACGAGGCGTGCGCTGAAAAAGCCGTGAGAGGAATTCCGAGGCCACCATCTTGTCTACGTTGTTGGTTGTTGAATTGAGGTTGTTTAGAGGCTGACTCTGTTGAATAAAGAGGGGTTGAGTCGGGCAACGCAGGTGGGGATTGCTACGCCCGACCGTTGATGACTGCTTGGTGCCTGCTAGTGAGCTTGTTCTATCAATAAAATCTAAACAAAATTAATATGTAAGTTTACTATTGCAGTTCACGCCCTTTGGCAAGTTCGGCCGGGGAATACGAGAGTCAGACTGCCTGCCCACATTCACTATAAATGCCTGGACGAGACATATCTACTGCCTCACTAAACATATTTTGAAAATGTCTCCTATCAATCCAGAGTGGGATGAATTTCTCAAGAAGAATCCTCGCCTCCGCCATGATGATGACCAGCGAAACGATCTTTTCTATGCAAGCCCGGCTGGCCACGCTCTTGCTACCCAGGTCTCAGTAACGAATACCACAATTCCAGCCCGTGATGAGCATCAAATCCCTATCCGTATCTATACTGCCAAGGAAAATAGAGATTGCCGTGGTGTTGTCATTTTCTTCCACTCTGGAGGGTTTACTAGCGGTTCCTTAGAGACAGAGGACGGTATATACAACTGACCATACCCTCAAACCTTTACGTTGCTAATAGCCGATAGCATCTTGTCGATACATGGCCCTCAATACTCCAGTTACAGTGATCAGTGTGGAATACCGCTTGAGTCCAGCAAATCAATACCCTATTCCCATGAACGACGGAATAGACGCATTTCAATACATCGAGAGAAACATAGAACAGTTTATCACACAATCTACTGATCCCGTTAAGGTACTGGTCAGTGGGACCTCTTCAGGAGGTCATCTAGCAGCAATCGTTTCCCAGAATGCACCCAGCTGGTTCCAGCTGCCCGAGAATGAGAGGCCGGCCAAGCAGGTCCACCTAAGTGGCGTCCTACTTCGTGCCCCGGTGACCGTTAACGCAATGGATGATGGTGCCCTAATTCCTCCTAAGTATAGGGACATTCATCAATCCTGGATGATGCAGTATCATGGAGCGGACTTGAACCGGATGAGTATGACGTATAACCATGGTAGCGTCTAATCCACATACTCCACCAAGCCGGGTTATACTAACCGTCTAACTTGCCGTATTTACAGATTCACTAGGTGTTCCTTCTAATGAGAAGACCTGTCCTGAGGCATACCCACTTTGGGGCAACCTTGCTGGCCTGCCAAAAACCTACATCCAAATTTGCGAACTGGATATTCTTCGGGATGATGCAGTTTGCTACGCTCGTGGACTTCAAGAGGCTGGGGTTGAAGTCAGGCAGGATTTCTACGAGGTGAATATCCATTGCTGCTCTTCTTGCGTCGTCCATAAGCGGGCAGACATTTTAACGCGTCTAACAGGGCCTCCATCATATATTTTGGATCTATGGCCAGGAGTTGGGTGTTTCGAGATGGGCGCAAGAGGACTGCGTTCGGGGCTTGAAATGGTTACTTGATATTTTGGATGATGATGAGGATTAGCTTAAAACAGTCCTATCTGTTTCCAATAATACTATTTTATATCACCATATATTCCTTTGGTGAAGGAGTCAACTGCGTAGACCCAAGGTAACTATGTGGATGGGGGACTATATAAAGGGTGCCCCTCTGGGCTAGCCATCTCACGCCTTTCTCAGAAGCAGCTCCGAGGAATCATGAGCGTTGACAGGCTGTTACTCCCGCTCTGCCGACTCCAGCGTTCGACCCACTGGCGAGCTCCTGATTTGAGGACATTTATAGTGCCGAACAACGGACCAAAATAGTGCTGCCGTGGTTGTGTTATAGAGCGAGACAGCGGCGCGTCGTGAAGTGTTTCAGTTGACGCTGGTGATGCCGTCTATGTGATCAGCAGCTTTTAGTTCATATTCTAAATTCTCTGAGACAAGTACTCCGTAGGCGAAGCCGGGCTGCTTCTCCATATTAAGGGCAGTTGTTCGAGGCGGGCAACTCTTTCGTCGTCTCACTCCAGTTTCGGAACCAACTGTGGTGCCCACTCCGCAGTCTCAGAGATTCATCCATCCCTGGTGCCGAAAGCTTGGTGTGTCTGTCAGACATCATTTCTGCTCTGGGCTTCTCGACTGTGTATATTCTATGAGCTGCTCCGTCTTTCCAAGCCCTGATAAACCCGCCATTTTCGCTGCATCGAGACTGGGAGACTGGGTGAGGCTAATCTGAAAGGGGACCGTGCATTACGAGCCTGGCAAATGAGAACAACTGGATGGTGTCCACCGGTCGGATCCAGCACGACTGACAAGTGGATTGACGGTGGTCTATTCGTTATTAAGACTCAACGGTTCCATGGGACTTCGCTGCCATTATGGCAGATTATAAAGATAGCCTAAACGGATACTAAAGAAACTGACTTTGGTTAGCAAGAATTAGACAAAAAGAGACGGAAATCTATCTTTCGTTCTTAATTTGATCTCGCCGGCAACTTCATAAGACCCTCGCAGTCACTGGTTGCCTGGGCAGGTGAATGTCTCCAATGCATTGGCTAGGCGGCAGAGGTTCTAATGGAAGCATCAGAGAAGCTTGGCTGAAAGGTGAGATTGGGGGGTTATCAATTCAATTGGTTCTCACTGAAGCTCTGATTGATTGGGTTTGGGTATTGAGTTGCCTGAGGTGAACTGATGCTGCACAACACTGGGTCGTTGTTTGCAGAATGAGGCTGAAGTCCTCTGCAGTCTGGAGACTTCACCTCTACAAACGACGTCAGCCATCTTCTTTTGAAAGTATTGAATCTTATTTTCCCTGACTAATTGAAGAAAAGCTGCGGAATTTCTCATTCCTTTCATCATAACTAGCTTTATCCTGGCTTACACGTATCTCACCTTCTCTCAGCTTCACCCCGCACTCTCATCACCTCCACGCTCAACTTGAACTCCGGCTTCAGATTTAATACTAATTCTATATTCTCAAGAGTCGCGTCATATTTGGCAGCTGTCAGTCTCCACTCAGCACAGAATACGAGACTGACGTCTGCCTAGTGGTACCTGAATCAGGTGACGAGGTTTCTCGGAGAAGGCGAGAGGAAGTGAGCTCAACACCAAAGTCAACACCGACGACATCTTCAGTCTCTTCTTCCTTTCTCCTCTCCAGCCAAGCTACGCAGACCACGCCATCTACACAATCCTACAAACCATGACCGAGCTACTTAGTCCGACCGGTCCAATGACCAGGTCGAAAACGAAGATTGCCAAGGCAACACCAACAGGGGAATCACATCTCCTCGCTCTCCCAGTCGAGCTGAAGATCCAGATCTTCCGGTCCTGCCCCTCCTTCACATCCGCCTCCCAGCTTGCAAGGACCTCAAAGCACCTATACGGAATATGGAACAAGCACCTCAACGCCATCTACAGCGGTATCGCGCCGGTCGCGATAAAGGAGCACTCAGCGCTGTGCGATATGCTCAAAGACTTTGAACGCATTCCTTCCGATAGCCTACAGACCGAACGCGAACATCTCATCACCGTTGTCGAAGCTTCCTCGATCGGAGGGGAATTCGTCGACACGTACCACGTGAACATGCCGGCCCAGCCATACCGCGATCCGCAGGTCCCCCAGACCCTATCGCCGTCCGAAGAACGGCGCTTCGTGCGCGCCCACTACCAGATCCTAGGCCTGCTATGCATCGACAAAGCCGCGCAGAAGAAGCGAATCGAGCAGCTCGACCTCAAGACACTCTTCCTCCTCTCCGACTTTCTGTGTGTCTTCGACGTCAACGGCTCCGAGGACGAGCAGATTGCGGATATGCTAGAGAGGGATCCGATCGCATACCGGTATTTGCAGGTTGAGCTGCGGCAGCGGCGGAATAAGATATTTCGGGAGCTGTATGGTCATGGGTACAGGCCGCGGTCGCATACCCCGTTTCAGGAAAACGGGCGGTACGCGTGGTGGTGTGATCGGCAGCAAGAGATGCTGAGGGAGATGTTGACTGGAAGGGTGTTTCGCGGGGAGAAAGGCGAGGTTGACATGTCGAAGGTCAGAGATGACATGTGGTATGACAGCGACGCGGAGTGAGGGTGAAAAACGGTCGCGGGGAGAGGCAAGGAGGGTGTTGGATCAGAGGATTGATTGACGAGTGGAGGGGTTCGCGGTCATGGGCCGAACTTGACCCAGGGGGCCAGTTTTCTCGCCAATAAATGTTATTTGTGGAGATGGAGTGCAGAATTGAAAGCAGATGCAGAAACTGAAGTCCCTGGTTCGTCGTAAGATCCACAGCGGTTGTTCCTGACCCAAAGAACCGCCACCAACAAAACAACAGCAGTCACAGTAACACAGTAACACAAGAACACCCCTGTCCCCTCAATCAGAGTCACCAACAGTCTCAGTCAACCCCTGCCAATGCTCGGCAGTCCATCCAGCCGCCCCTCCAGCGCGTCCACATCCATCCACCGTCCATGCGAGTCCGTCCCAGAGTCAGAGCCAGTCTGCTGTCCAATGGTTTTGCAGAGCCACCACAGTTAATTTCCGCCGCCAGCGCCGATCGACCCCTGATCGCAACACTAGCCAGGAACATCGCACAAAGGCCCCCGAATCAGGAAGAAACTCCTGGCGCCCAGTCGAGTCCAGAGTCCAGACCAAGGATTGGCATGATTGGCACGATTGGCAGGGACACACATGGTCCGACCGTCGTAGGGCAACCGGATGGAATGTGCCTTGAAGGGAGGGAATGAGCACAACACGCGACGGCACTGCGTCCAAGCCAGGGGTCTGAGTGAGTCCACGCGATTGTGCCTGCAGCAGTGCAGCGGTGTTCAGGGCTCAAACTTCAGGAAGTTTGTTGTCAGTTCGTGGCGTTTCACGGGTCTCTCTGCAATTGGCCTCCGGCTGGCGCCTTTAATTACCACGCCGTTCTAGCCCGTATCCAGGCAACTAGCGATTCAGTCTGGGCGCAGGGAGCAGAGTCTGGTCTCTGGATTCCCCACTTGGCTGCTCACTTCTGACTTGGCTGGCCTTGGAGGGTTGGACTGGCTCCTTTTATCGCGCGAACTCCCTCCTCGCTTTCCTTCCTCCACATCCCACACCAGTCATTCTTTTCCCACTCACCAGCTGTTTACGTTCTTTACCCCGGTCGTTGATGTGAAGTGATACATCGCGTACCAAAATGCAGTGGAAGTCATTCGTTTTTCTCTTCGCCGCCGCCGGCTCGGCCGTGGCCCGTTCTCACGGCAACCACCACCGCCACGCCGCGCGCCACCAGCACGACAGCGATGCTGTTGCGAACAACATCATTGAGGAGGAGCCCGTCACCGTGACCGAGACCGCCTGGGCCTGCTGCACCAGCTCTGCCCTGTCCTCGTCAATCCCTCCCCCCGTGCCCGCCACTTTCATCGAGACGTCCACCGAGACTCCTACCAGCACCCCAACTCCCACTCCAGAGCCCACCTCTGAGGAGCCTACTTCGACCGAGACTCCTACTCCTACTCCCACCCCGGAGCCCGAGACCACCACCTCGTCCACCTCCACCGTCGCTCCCACTACCACTGAGGAGCCCACCAGCACCGAAGCCGACCACTCTCAGTGGACTAACACTCCCTCCGGCGACTTCTGCACCGACGGCTTCGGCGAGCGCACTTCGCAGCTCATCACCGGCAACAAGGACACCTACGCAGGCAACGTTGGCACCCCATGGGGTAGCAACATGGTCGAGGTCAGCGCCGAAAAGGCCGCCGAGTACAAATACGTCGTCCAGTTCCGCGGCAGCAAAACCGAGTCTCTTTTCGTCGCCATCTGGAACAAGATCGGCCCTGACATGAAGATGACCGGCTGGTACAACGGGAACGCCGCCATCAAGTTCAACCTCAAGCCCAACGAGATCCGCTACGTCGCCTTCGACGAGAACTCCCAGGGCTCCTGGGGTGCCGCCAAGGGCGACTCCCTCCCCGTCGACGCCTACGGCGGCTACTCCTGCACCTGGGGTGAGTTCGACCTTGGCAGCACCAAGAACGACGGCTGGTCCGGCTGGGACGCGTCCATCATCCAGGCTGAAGCTGCTCGCGCCGCCAAGGCCCTCAACCAGCCTGAGATCCTGGGTATGAAGATCTGCGCCGCGGACAACACCGGCTGCTCCATCATCGGCAAGGGCGGCTCCCTCATCAAGGACGCCTACGGCTTCAAGGACCGCTGGATCGACGGCATCGGTGGCAAGGTTCCTGAAGGTCCTGTCCGCATTGTCGCCCACCTTGACTACGACGAATAAGCGCGTGCCTACGAGTCCATGAGTGAATCAGACGCATACGTTTGTAAATAAATAATCTTCTTTTTACTTACTTACAAATCTGGTCGTACTTAGCTTGGCTGGTCTATACTTAATACCTTACCGATACTCTGCACATTCTCTCGGCTGAGGCCTGTTTATAATTCATTAATTGGAATGGTTTACGCTGAACTTTTGATCATTACTCAGCGTAATACAATCCTTGTCTACGAGTAATGCTACCATTAATATCAGTAATCTATTATCTGGAGACACTCCGTTGAGAGTAGAAATATACCGAATAATACCATCTGGCCATTCAATTAACGGTTAGCGTTACCCGTTGTTGGGTGTTTGCATGTCAGATATATATATATATCTCCCTCCACCCTTCGGTTGAGATGATGAACACGACGGAATTAATGTCCTTTAATATGACTGACGCGCCTGCAAAACCTACCAGTGGAACAAGATTAACTGGCCGTACTATTACCGATCGCTTCCTCAGCTAGTTTTAGATTCTTGGTTCGATGTTAGACCAAAATACGAACCTCTGCCCACCAAGTGGGTGACAGAGTCAGAGTAGATAGATAGACTATATGACCGAGTACAATAGACTGGACCAAAATAGACGGAGAAGGGCTGAGTTTCTGAGTATTCTAAAAACATAATATGAAGATCTAGTGCTACATTATTTCTTCTTCCCCCCAAAGAGTGGTTTCTTTGGCACTCTAGCCAACCAATACATAGCCAGCGCCCCAAAGATATTGATGACAATGTAGACAATAAAGATGCCAAAGTTTCTCCACCGCTGGTCATAGAACGCATTAACGCCTTTGAGGTACAGATTGGTCTTTCCAACCGTGCAGTAGGTGCATAGATCCGTCGCATTATTGTCTTGCAAATACCCACCAGCGGAGTCAATATAGGCCTGCATATACTGACCACAGGTCTGTCCCGACGGTGGCGCAAAATGGAGCAGTTCATTCGCGGCACAGACCACGTCTGTATTAGCGACGGCGGTCGTCATCATGCCTTGGACCATGTATGTGAATGGTGACACGCGATACATGAAGATCCAGAACTGCGGAAAGCTGCCTGGAGCCGCTAGCACGCCGCAGAATATCAGACACATCATGAACAGCATGTTAGCTACATTCCCGCCCTGCTCTGCGTTTTCGACTCCGGCGATGATGAAGTCGGTGAAGGTGCAGGTGAACATCATGAAACCCCACAGGAAGAGGAAGAACAGTGCGCCTCGTTCGGCGACTTGGTCTGCTGGTTGGGCATTTTGGTATAGTCCAATAGGGTAGTAGAAGCAGAGGAACATGACAACCGACATTAATGTGTTCCAGGGGATTTCGACGAGGATTTGAGACAGCATAAACACCTTCCATGAATACGCTTTAGAGGGCCGTTCACGGACCTCATAGAGCGATCTTTGAATGACGAAATACGGCATCGTCTGTTGCACAAGCTGGCCGAAGACTGTCAGGAGATTGAAAATAGCGAACATCTGGTTTTGCAGGCCCTGGACAGTATTAGGGGCCTTGAAAAAAGCGAACCCTGAGATGAAATTAGCATATAGCATAAGGGTGGACAGGATGCTGAAGCATATTAGTACTTACCAATGAAGGCCGAGACCAAGGTAACCAGAGAGGCCTTGGAGTATAGATAAGAAGGAGTACGCCAGTACTGTTGGAAGACTCTGTGGGTGACCTCCCAAAGCTGCAAGCCAAATGGAGCAGCGAATTCACGTAAACTAGCAGCGTCCTCGGCTTGAGGTACAATCTCTTTTCTGTTTGTTCGTAACCGCTGGAGCTCAGCCTGGACGGCTTGGGATTCTGGACTCTCCCTCCATGTGGCGTGCCAATCCACCTTACTGCTTGACCCTGGGGCAGCGCCAATGGCTTCGAGCATCCATTCTGCAGGGTTGGCACCATGTGGGCAAGGAGGCGCGCCATTGCGTTCAAAGTATGATATCATGTGCTCGGAATTCGTGCCAATGTCACCGAAGTAAACGGTTCTTCCGCCACTCGCGAGCAATAGCAGGCGATTGAACCGCTGGAAGAGCATGGATGAAGGTTGGTGGATAGTACACAGGATAGCTTGTCCACTCTTCGTGAGCTTTTCGAGGAGATCAAGAATAGCCCAGGAAGTCTGGCTGTCAAGGCCAGAAGTAGGCTCATCAACAAACACCAACAGTGGTGGTTTAGCTGCAAGCTCAACCCCGATGGTCAATCTCTTGCGCTGCTCAACATTAAGTCCTTCGCCAGGAACACCGACAACAGCGTCTGCGTACTCTTCCATGTCCAGGAGCTTGATCACTTCATCCACATAAGCAAGCTTCTCTTTCCGGGGAACATAGCCTGGCTGACGAAGAAGAGCACTGAAGTTAAGCGCCTCTCGAACTGTGGTCGTTTCCAGATGCAGGTCCTGCTGCTGGACATATCCAGTCTTTCGCTGGAATGATGCATTTCGAGGATTACCATCGACAAGCATCTCACCAGTGATAACGCCCATTGATACTCTATCGGCCAAGCAGTCGAGAAGAGTTGTTTTTCCAGCGCCCGATACGCCCATAAGCGCTGTCAATGTCCCGGGTTTTACCCAGCCGTCGACATTATCCAAAATACGGCGTGTTTTGCCCTTGATATCAACGTCGTAGCACACATTACTGTGGGGTCAATGGTTAACTAACGCTCAAGCGGTACTGGGGAGTAAGGTAGAGCGTTGACATACCTCCAGTGGAACACACTCGTTGCCTCTTGGATAGCACCCGGTTCTTTATTAGGCATACTTGCCTCAACAGTATCAGCAACAGCCAAAGCGCTCGAAGGCTGCGGATTGCCGAGTTCAGCGTCACTTTTACTCTCTTTGAACTGCGCGGGTCGATGTCCTCGACGGAAGACAAGAACTTCGCCTTCCGATTTCTTTGCTGTGACAATCTCGGTGAACATCATATACGTAGCATGGAAGAAACTAATAACAGTTAGGAAATCAAGCACCATATAGACAAGGGGAGGGGTGACACACATAATAAATCCTATCACAATCCCAATATTCCGCCATTTATGGCTAGGGTCATACTGGAAGGACGCCTTGATGTAGTCTGTTCCTTGGACATATTCGTTTCCAGCAACAGCGCCAACGGCCGAGCATATACGATTTTCGTTACTGATATTGGCATACCCCGACACCGTGCTGCTTGGGATGAATGATGTGCAAAGATACTGACGACCGGCAAACTGTTCCCAATTAGCGGATAGGCAAAAGTGCGATAGGCGGAGGCAAACCTCGTTGATCATGAGTGATTCGAAAATGTACGCCATTGGGTCGATGTAGTTGATCCACCTAGACCAGCCCAGCATGTAGTCAATTGGGATGACGAATCCAGTGAACATGACAAGTGCCAGGATTAGAAGGGCTGCTGGTACCATGGCTTGCGACAAGGTACGAGAGGCAGAAGCGATGGTACGGAAGATGCCAGACATTGCTAGTACAGCAAGGAAGGACGTAAATAAGTAGAAGAAGAATGGGCCGGGTTCGCGACGAAGATTGCTCATAAAGTCTGCCACGGTCAGAATATACTCCCTCAGACTCAATTAAGGGAACTCGAAGGCCATAGTCCGCATATAAGAGACCTACAGATAATCAGATTAAAGACAAGGGTGTTTAAAACCTTGTACGGCATATCCATCAGGGCAGAGGAAACTGCTTCAGCAGACGGGTGGTAGAAAGCATATCGATCATGCTTCTCGACAATTCCCCGCTGCGCATAGAGCGTTAAAATTTCCAAAGCAGAACTGAATGCGTTCATCAACACTGCAAAGAATAAAAGCGCAGACCGTTGAAAGAAGCTTCCGGTGGTAAGGTTCAAGTTGTAGTATATGGAGGAGACGATTAGCCCCATGACAATATTACCAACCAGCATGCCGACTGTCAAGGAGGGGTCACCAGCAAAGCGTCGATATGCACGCCACAAGCATAGGCCTATCTGCTGCTTATAAGATAGAGTGTAGGGGGACTTCGCCCGCTGGGCCCTCGCCTGCTGCTCTCGTTTAAGCTCGCGGAATCTCAAAGCATCAGCTCCGTTGATTGGGTGCTCGGCCTTGTACGCTTCAATCTCGGCTTGCAACCGCTGATAGGCCTCACTGTTGTGCCAGGCTGCAGCGAACTCATCTGGCGTTCTGGGGGCTTTGTTTTCAAATCCGGCACGGACAATACGCTCTCGCGGACTGGTCATAGAGGTTAAGAAATCAGGGGTAGTTTGACGTTCGGGACACTCAAATCCTAGATCGATAAAGTACTGGCGAGCCTCATCAGCGCGGCCAAAGAAGATTTGCCGACCTTCGTAGAGAACTATGGCTTTGTCGAAGAGGTCGTATGCGCTCTGGGGTGCTTGATATATGGAGACCGCGCAGGTGCTCTGGAATATTTCCGTCTGCAGTCTCAGCGTCTTGCAAAATTCGATAGCGTTCGCGCTGTCCAATCCTCGCGTTGAATTATCCCAGCATTGGAATGGTGCGCCAGAAAGAGCTGCCTCAGATATCGTAACACGCTTTCTCTCCCCACCGGAAACACCGCGGACGTACTCGTTGCCAACCTTTGTGTTCTTGGTATGACTGATCCCAAACATTGCCATCACCACATCCCTTAGATGGTCAGAGAACATAGAAGGAGTAACACCAGAAGGTAAGTTCCGTGGCCTGCGGGCGCGTGAAGCGAAGGTCAAAGTCTCGCCAACAGAGAGCATAGGGAAGTGGACATCGACTTCAGCGGTGTAAATTGTGTCACCCCGATGATGGGTGTGCATTTCCCTGGCCGTCACGCCCTGGTAGTTGAAGTAGGACTCCTTGTCAACAAAGAGGCCGTTTGTCTCCCCAGCAAGAGTTTTGAGGAAAGTACTGCATCCAGACCCAGGAGGCCCTAGGACCACCAGCATCTCTCCCCGTTGTACGACACCATCGAAATCGCGAAGAATAGCAGCACGGCTCTGCCCATGGCCCAATGTCTGGCGCGCAAGCCCTATGGCCTCCAGCCACACGTTGGGAACAGTCTTCTGATAGCGGGTGCCAGCGCTATAGCCGGAGACCGTCATATTCTGGAAGCAAACACTGCTGGTCCGCAACGAGGCACCGCCAGATGCTACCTTATCGACAAGGGCCCTGGCCCAGGCGCGAGCGTTAAAGCTCGAACTATTGGGATTCAAGCAGGAGTCCGGATCTGTCTGGGCGAAGACTCCTCCATTTGGGTGGCTTCGGGATTCCGAAGTGAAAGTACGAGCAAGAAACTGAACGAGGCTGTGTCTCCGCCCTGTTTCCTCGATGGCATCCTTCAGTTCTGCATCTTGATCCCCGGATACGTCAGTTGTAGAAGTTTCGTGACCACCTCTGAGTTCAGAGCGGCTGTGGTTGAGTCCTGGTAGAGGTCCAAGTTCACAACTGCCCATGATCTGGGCTATGCGGTCGTCATCGTCCAAGGGGTCAGCACCAGTTGGTGGCATGATGGGAAATATACAGCCCTGTAGCAGGGCTAAGTGTCGTATTTAGTCTTGGGCACCAACCGTAGTAAGTGAGAGAAGAGCAAGATAGTACCAGGTGGAAGCTCCAACGCACGGCAATCTAGAAAAAGGGTGAAGGTGGCCTCTCTAATTCCGGACATTGTAAAAGAAACCAGCTCCTTTTCTACCTTTGTCTCAGTTGTTGTCAACGGATCCCGGATCCAACATTCTCCATGCGCCTCCAGGCTGTATTGTTCTGTTCTGCGGTAATTTATTCGACCAATAGACGTTCACAGTACCGGTATGTCCGCTTACTCAGCGGATCGGTCTTTGTTCCGAAGCCCTCGCTGGTCAACTGGTCAGCATTGAGGTTACACGGGCTCATCGGAAACATCACTTCCGGTGCAGGCATAAAGCAAAATTGATCTGCTGATTCTGTAGCTTTGCTGTCAGGAATCCATTTGCGTCGGGGTTTCACCGGGAGGAGAGAGGGATTCTTTTGCCAAGGTAATCAAGGTCTACTCGGATAGAGCCAACAAAGGGAACAAAGGACCCTGGCCCTAGAAGTTCTCCGAGCCTTCGAAAGGATTCAGCCGGGAACTGACTGCAAGACCGTGGAGGCATATCCCAACTTTCTAGATTATATTTAACTGTTTACGTTTTGAGCCTTAATGCAATACACTAGGAGATATGCACGTCAGGACGGGTGTACTACATGGAACTCTCTTTGAACACCCCGCGATGGAGATTTATTGGCCTTCAGATGGCACGATAAGGCCGAAGTCACTTGCGTCTGAGCCAGGGATGTGTTTACTGACTCAAATCATGCATTCTTCGCGTAGCTCGGCGTCGGCCACCGAGGCTTTATGGTAGTACAACGTATGTCAGCCTTAGAACTTGCCAATCTTCTAGTAAAATCGCTGCTTGTAATAGCATGTGTTCCATAACACTATACCAGGGCACGAGAAATGGCAAGACCGAGAAATCGGTTCTGATTAGCTACTGAGATTCCATGAGAATATGATAGATGAAGGCAGTAGGCTTATCAGGCATCCTCCAACTGTAGTCGTATGATGTGTTATGTATATAGCTAGATCCTGCCGCCCCTTCCTCCTAAGGCTACTTCATGCTGGGTGGCTCTTCCTTCTTTTTGTTTCTTGTGAATATTCTAGCAACATTTTGACCGTGGAACTCAATCTGAACATCACTTCCAGATCACTGGCGACACAGCACTAGTTCACAAAGTCGAAGTCAAGAGGCGCCGCGAAGCACCAAGGGCCACTGCAGACTGGTCCCCAGGGTCGAGAGCAACCCAGGCAGCAGCAGCGATGTGGCTTAATGTGCCCTGAAAAGTCCACACTCTGCCAATTCCATTGAAAGCCAATCTGCTTGTGTTCCGAGATAGCCTTATATCTCATTATTAACACTGCTAACCGCTTCTTTATGGCGTGAAGACCCCAATCCTCGAAAAAGGAGGGCTGATCAATTTCAAGCTCCGGTCACAATCCAGCGGATTCGCTCTCTCCTACCTCTTACACCGAATACGATAACCGCTGCGACCCGGAGCTGATATCTTAACCAACGGACATCGAGTCTCTTGTACGGTTCGAACTTCGCGATAGAGCAAGGCGCCAAAAAGATGGCTCACCACAACGTATAACCCCAACCGCAGCCCAATATGTCAGACAGTCTGGCCTTTATAACTGGATACACTTGGGACATTTGGAGTTCTGAGCTGCCCGAGAGCTAATAGAATTCTAGAGCAAGATAGAAATGATCCAAGACTTGTGTAGGACCTATACTACGGCGACGATTGGCGCAATACCCACCTGGAGGCTTTTGATGAAGAGGTCGAGTGCGAGGACAACGACCTAGGAAGGAATGTCGCCGCGGAAAAAACGGGCACTGGCAGACACTTGGAAACGGGCTGTCTTTGATTTTCATCAATGACAGTGGAAATGTTACTTTCTGAAGAAAAGGGTTACTCAGATATTCTCGTCGACCATGGCCAGTCACTGTTTCTGTTCCGTGATAGCCGAGATATTGCGATCTCAGTTCATCGTACGTTGATACTCTCTATCTTGTCTTCTCTCAGCCTCGTATGTGATGGAGGATATAACTCAAGCTCTACTTTCAATATAATACTGATGATGGCTGGAAGGAGATTCTATATTCTTTCCGTTGAGTATAATAATTATAACAAGACCTCTTGTTGTCGTTATATCGGCCGGGTATATGAAGTATCTAGATAGATGCCGACTACCCGACCACGGACGAGAAAAAGATCCCGATAACGATGTACCTAGTTGATATTGACCCATTAAATGGCTTTATCGCCCGAGGAACCGGGCGGCCGATGCTGCAGTCAACCATGTCCTCTCGGCCGACGAGACAGTTGCCGGTGTCGTCATTGTTCCACACTGACCCGACAATGACTTCACCGCGCATATAAGTATGAATATAGACAGCGCCCGAGACGCCAAGATAGAATTCAAGAAACAAAGAAAGAGGTAGCAGGAAAAATACAATCCAGGAACGGAAAGAAAAAGAAGCCAAAATGCAAACAAACCCCACAACCTACGCAGCACACACCTTCGAAGCAGGCCTCCACGACCAAAAACCGTCAATAACATTCCAATCCGAGAAATGGGAATCCCTAGCCGAAAAGGCTCTACCGGCAACAAGCTTCGCATACGTCTGGGGGTCCGCGGGGCGGCGCGAAACCGACGAGCGCAACCGCACCGCATTCAAGAAATGGGCTATCCTGCCGTCTCGACTCATTGAGACGAACCGGCTGCCGAATCTCAAGACGACCCTCTTTGGACAGACATATGATTACCCCGTCGCGATGGCGCCGGTGGGCGTGCAGAAGATTTTCCACCCGGAAGGGGAGCTGGCGGCGGCGCTCGCCGCTGAGGAGGAAGGGGTTACGTATATCGTGAGCACGGCGTCGGCGACGAGTATGGAGGATATCGCCGCGGTGAGGGAGGATGGCGGTGGAGGGGGCGATTTCAAGCAGGGAGGGGATGGGACGAAGAGCGTCTCTGGACCAGAATGGTATCAGCTGTACTGGCCGTCGAATGAGCATCCCGAGATCACGGCGAGCCTGGTAACGAGGGCGAAGAAGGCCGGATACAAGGTACTTGTTGTGACTCTGGATACTTACATGCTGGGCTGGCGGCCGAGTGATCTGGATAATGGGTATAATCCGTTCATCCGGAAGGACAATATCGGCGTGGAGATGGGCTTCTCGGACCCGGCGTACCGGGAGCACTTCAAGAAGAAGTACGGCAAGGAGATTGAGGAGGATATGAGCACTGCCGCTGCAGAGTGGGTGCATATCGTCTTCCCTGGGTCGAACCATTCGTGGAATGATATCCGGCACTTGCAGGAGCTGTGGGATGGCCCGATTGTGCTGAAGGGTATCCAGACCGTGGCCGACGCGAAGAAGTGTGTCGAGTATGGAGTACAGGGGATAGTTGTTTCCAACCACGGCGGACGCCAGCAGGATGGAGGCATTGGATCATTGGATGTATTGCCGGAGATTGTCGATGCGGTTGGGGATGATCTTGAGATTATATTCGACTCTGGCATCCGTGGTGGAGCTGATATCGTCAAGGCATTGGCACTGGGCGCAAAGATGGTCCTCCTAGGCAGGCCATATATATACGGACTGTCCATCGGAGGCAAGCCAGGAGTAGGACATGTCTTGCGCTCCATCCTAGGGGACTTATCCTTGACGCTACATCTTTCTGGGATCACCGATATCAAGAAGGAAAACTTAAACCGGTCAGTCCTGCGGCGGATTGACTGTTAAATATATTATATAAATACTTTAAACAGCTGTATCAACTTATAAATAGTAATATTTTAAGGATGCAACTTGCAACCAACACAGGGCTCTGGCGGCTCCGTACTCCCGTAGATATCAGGCCTAGGCTTGCCAGCAACATTCAAATACCCAACAGCCCCCTTGTCCAGACGAAAGATAGCATGATCAACAAGCGTATAAGTCCCCGGAACAAACATCTGCAAATCCACAATCGTCGCACCACCAGGCGGGACACTGGTCGTCTGCACAAACCTCGCGGGACTACTCACAACATCCCCATCCCTATACAGCCTCTGAAAATTCGACCCAATGACATGAAACGAACTCGTCAAGTTCGGACCCGCATTGCCGAAGAAGACACGCACCGATTCCCCCGCGCGAGCCTTCAACGGCTTATCCCTGGTCAACGCACTCTCATGCCCATTAAACACAACTGCACTCGGTTCTTCACGGAGCGCATTCGGATACGAAAACTCCACCTGCTTCGACGGCCGTCCGTCATCTTCTATCTCCGGCGGTTCATGGTAAAACTCGCTTTGCATGACATAGTACTCGTGGTCGACAGGCGGCAAATCGCCCTCTGCCGGCTGGACGTACATAAGCCCGTACATCCCATTAGCGATATGCACGGGCACCGGTGCGGCAGCACAGTGATACAAATACAGCCCTGGCGTGAGCAATTTGAATCTGGCGGTTTTGGTCTCGCCTTCTTCGGTTGTTGTTAGGGCTGAACCGCCCCCTGGGCCCTCGAAGGCGTGGCAGTCGATGTTGTGCGGGTTGCCTGTGTCGTCGCGGTTTGTTAGGGATAGTTCGACTACGTCACCGACGCGCGCGCGGATGAATGGGCCTGGGACGGTGCCGTTGAAGTTCCATTGTTCGTATTTGTATTGGCTTGTTAGTTGGGCGAGGTTGGTGGCTGAGGTTAGAGGGACGCGGAGGAGGACGGGGTAGTCGCGCGTTATTGATGGAGGGACATTTGGGGCCGTTGTGAGGACTGCTTCTTCCACAGGGAGGACTGAGAGGGTTTCTGTCATGTCTTCGCGGAGGGAGATGGTCGTGCTGTTGTTAATGTTCAGGAGTGACTGGGCTGGCTTGTTCGGGTCGGATTCCCAGGTCTCGTTCGGGTTGGTCGGGAATCTCTTCATTTCCTGTATTGTGTCCATTCGCATACTGCCTTGGTACTTTGAGCATAAGGCGATGCCCAGAATGACAGGTGTGGCGTAGATAAGTATGCGGACTAATGGAGGCCGGCTTGGGGTGTCCTTTTCATTCACAACCCGGCTAGTTGAGGATATAAGTCGAGGTCTGCATATCTGGCTGTTCCGTACTGGTATTAATGAGAATTGTTGCTTGCCAGTAAATGGGGATATTGCTCTGTCTCGCATAGGGGCTGGCCGTGCAAGGCGCCGCATCATCGCCGGAGCATTAATCACTCGGGGAGGCATTTTAGGGCTGATGCCTGTAGAAAATTCTGTTAATTACCGACGCTATAAAACACTAATTGGCAGCAGCTATCTGTGTTGTAATACCAATGCAGTCAAGGTATTAATATATTGCTTCTGCCGCCACAGCCGGGGCCCCATGATGCACTCCAGGGAGCTACCAAGGAACCAGCCCGGCACGCTATATACCCCGGCTACGGCGGCCTGTCAGTAAAGTTTGGTTGCGATATCTGGGAACCAAATCATCTGATTGCCCGGATGCGGAACCCTACCAGTCAAAGGGTCAATCAACCACAATAACTATGGCAGTCCCCGAGGAGATGGTTTGGGGTCCGTGGAGATCCTCCTTCGATCTCCAGGGCCTAGAATTATATGTAGACCGCCGAATAACCTTATTCTATCTTGCCATCGGGTGAGAATTCCATCCCGCCATGTATGGCAGTTATTAGGGCTTTTCTCGGGCTTCGTTGGTAACCCTCCTTCGGTACATTAATATTAGAACAAGGAATGCGATGGACTAGGTGTTGTATCGCACTGAACGCATTTTCAAGTAATATTCTCCGGCGACTATATTACCGGGCGGTGCATGTTTCCGAAGCAGTTCAGTGATTTCGTGATATCCAAGTCTAGTAGCCTTTCCCACCGCCCAGGACCAGTCGGAGTCGGAAAGAAGTTTAACAAATTGAGTAGAGCCGAGAAGAGTCTCAAGAACCGACCGGTGCCCAGCTTTCAGCGCCTCGCCGAACGCAGCCCATATATCTAAAAAGCCGACCGAGAAATCTTTGGACGTAGGATACGCGTAGGACAAAAGAAGCTTTGCAACTTCCCCATGTCCATTCTCTGCCGCTTTGATCAATGGAGTCATGCCGGAAATATCAGCACGGTCTATATCCACCCCCGGGGTGCGTGCTAGAAAGGACACTATATGTGCGTGTCCGTTTTCTGCAGCAATTGCAAGCGGCGTGACGACTGATTTGTTGTGGTAATTGAGGTCGATATCCCTGCGAAAGGCCAGGGTGCTGACAACATCTTCATAACCTTTGGATGCTGCGATCCATAAGGGAGTTCGCCCTTCGCGATCCGGGAGATTTATATCAATGTTCTGTTGGGAGGATAGAGTGCAAACAATACCTCTTGCGTTCATGGAAGCCGCTACCCATAGAGGTGTCAGGCCGTTTGTATCTTGACTGTTTATGTCGACACCCGGTATGCCTACCAACGCCTTTACAACATCCTCATGGCCTTCTGATACACATTTTCTCAGAGGCGTCATATCCAATGCGTTTCTATGGTTTAGGTTGATTCCTTTTGCTGTAGCCAGGGTACGGACAACACCTTGATGGCCATTGGCAGCAGCTATCCATAAAGGTGTTAAACTCTCGTTGACCCTGTCGCTCAGATCAATGCCAGGGGTTTCAACTAAAGCCCGAACAACACCTTCATGCCCTTTCGATGCAGCTATCCACAGGGGTGTCAAGCCCTCACCATATCCGCCGGTTATATCAATCCTATGGTTTCCAGCTAGGGTGCGAACCACAGATTCATGACCTTCTGCTGCAGCTCGGAGCAGGCTTCGATGTAATTGCCCGACAGTCACATTTGTTTCAAGTGACAGTAGGTTAACGACACACGCATGGCCGTTTTCGGCGGCTATTTCGACCGCCGAGCTGGCTGGAGATTTGGGATGCTCGTCGACAACCCCAAATTGAAGAAAAGTCTGTATAACTCCCAGGTGGCCATTTGCAGCAGCGATCCAAAATGGATTTTCGTTTACAATGGTATGAAAACCATGATATATGAGTCCATAGTGCATGAGGATGCGAACAGCGTTTGCATGCCCATTTGCGGCTGCCAGCCATAGGGGTGTATGTCCGCTGTGATTTATAGGAGTTTCTGCCTGTATTGATGTCCCGATAAAGTCTAAAAGGTCGTCTAGTACTTCCACGTGTCCATTCTCTGCAGCAGCGTGTAGTGGGGTATTACCACCGTGGTCAACGTCTTTCAAGGCTGCTCCCTCGGAATCTAGTAGAGCCCTCACTCCATCCCCGAACCCTTCAGCTGCTGCGATAATGAGAAGAGACCTTCCGTTTCGATCCCTGTAATCCCGTACCACTCGGGGACATCGAAGAAGGCATCTGAACACAGGTTTATCTTTAGATTGAATTGCGACCACCATCGGCGTTTGTCTCCAATCGTCTTCAGCATTTGGATTCACTCTGTTTGAGTAAAGTAGGGCCTCTGCCACCGATTTGTTCTTCCCTTTAACTGCCCAGTGGAGTACTGTTCTTCCGAGATTATCTGTCTCGTCGCTAGCACCATGGCGCAATAGAAATTTCACGATATCACGGGACCCGTACTCGGACGCGTGGGATAACGGTGTTCGGCCACACAAATCAGGCTTGTTAACGTCCTCTATTTGTAACAATTTCGCCAACAGGGCCTCCATGTTTGGTATTTGAAGGTCTAAAAAGCAAATATGTTCCTGCCACCAAGCTGATGCGTATTGATAGAATTCCAAAGGCATTGAGACTGCATGCTTTGGCTGACCCATAGCTTCCAACAAGGAATGACCAATATCAACGTCCGCGATATTTCTCCGTCTCAGAAGGCCCAAAGCGACCTTCTGAGGAAGAGCGGAGCTTATTACCGAAGAAGTTACCGAATTGGCGCTGATCCGAGGTGCTTTAACTTTTGAAATCTGTTTTGAGAAGATCCCATAATTCAAATATGTCACAATTATCTCTGCCATTTCTCGGTTGGCGCGGCTGAGATCGAATTGGTCGGCGTCCTGGCCTGCGCAGAGGAAGGTTCTCACGCTGTGGTGAATCATGCGAATGCTAAAGTCTTCTTCATTGACGGTAATAAGACCCCCACAGCAGGCTAACGCTTTCTTGACATCATTCAAGAGCCTCCGAGGATCCCACACAGTTTGGCCCGGGATTACACTGAGGGCTTCCCTCAGTTCCTCTGTAGTAAGTGGGCGCCGGGCTGTCATCACCAGTCCAAGAATGCTCGTTTGATATTTCAGTGGCTCCGATCTCCGAAGGATTAGTTGGTATATATCCGATAGGTCGCTTGGAAGATCTGCTATCGCACTCCGAATATCTGCATCTGTCTGTTGGAGACACAGTGCCTTTATCTGGAGGGCGACCCAGAGAAACATTCCCTGGGCGCCTTTGGCCAGTTTTCCTCCTATTTCATCCACCAAAACAGGGTCATTGACGATTAGTTCCCCTGAGCTGATACATCGCTCTAATTCCGATTTTATAAAGCGATCAATTTCCGGGTTTTGTTCGCCGATTGGGAAGACAGTTATGTTCATCAACTCCAGCGCCTGTAAAGTGGAGGAGGGCTCTGTCCGGTGAGAAATACAAACTGTTAATGTTTTCGATGCTTGCAGGAACCGAAGCTTGTCAAGAATGAGCCGTTGTTCAGTAATATCACAATGCATTAGGCCGTCGAGGACAAAGTATGCCTGGAAATCAGGGGGGAGGGCATTTTGGAGCAAGTCCACAATACGGTCAAGGCTCAAAGACTCTCGTCCATCTAGGAGCTCGTTTGCACGGTCAAGGTTGATTCCTGACTGTAGCAGCTGTCGAGCCAAAGAGCCTATGATTGTATGGGCAGTCAGACTCTCTGCTTCATCATGCTGACAAAAGAAGTATGCCACCGTATTCTTCTGGTTGGCATTAATATTAAGGTCATCGACTATGTTGGCCAGAAGCACAGACTTCCCGGATCCGAGCTTTCCAGTGCAGACTAAAGTTCTCGACTTGGCCGTGGTCAATTGTGATTGCTCTTTCCACATCGTGTATGCGGGCGAGCTGTTCATTAGATTGCTGTTTCCGAGCTTGCGAATCTGCCTCCAGTCCCGCTCATGATCATACACTGAGCAGGCGTCGAGGATACGTTTCCTGGCCTTGAGCCTTTTTGCATGCGTTCGAGAGTCAACATGCAAGGACACCTGGCTCCTAAAAAGTGAATTTTGGCTCGCTGCTAGCGATAAATGCTGGGCAGTAAGCAAATCGACTTCCTCTTTGATGGAACTGGCCCAAAGGTCTAATTCCGACTGATAAGTATCAAGGGGATCTATTAGGGCCGATGCCCATTTTCCGATGGCCGACTTTTGGGCGACCTGTAGAATATGGTGGCACAGCCGTACTAATACGATGAAGTACTCCAGCATGTATGACTGCAGTGGCTTTGATTTAGGATAGATCACACCCATAAGTTGGTATCGAGGAGCTGAGCGTCCAGCAGCCATCAGCATCGACGATACTCGCTCAAAATAGGCGGGATATCTGACAATGGACTAGGAGGGTGAGATTAGAAAAAATTTCAACAGAGGGAGCTTGAAGGTCGAAGGACAGATTCCTACCAAGAAGGTCATTCGGACTAGGGACCAGACACCGCAAGCAAGCAAGTTCTGTGTCCCACCAACCACGACATCTCCCAAGGCGGCAAACTGCTGCACGGTTTGCAGGATACTCGTTAGGCGGGGCCCAAAGCATCGTCCCTGAACGCCGCTTTCTCTGTTGATCTCGGCCGTGAGTTGCATCACATCACGGATTCCCGGCGGTGTGGCGCTTGTCTGGTGGGCGCGAAAAGTGGCCTTTTGTAGCGACGAGAGATCTCCCTGGAACTCTGAAATGGCCTGGCCCAGGCGGACTTCAGGTTTGAGCCGACCAGCCTTTGCGATATTGGTCGACATTGCGCTCCAATAACTCAAACATAGGTGTCGATAATCAGACTCGAGGAGATGGTGAGGAAAATACGAGGCAGAGGAAGTCCGGGTTGAGTAGACGAGGCTGAGCAGGCGAGGCTGAAGTGGCCGAGCATCGCCAGCCTGATCCCTGTCTGTTGGTGCCAATCAGGACCATTCTCGCTGAAGATCGAGCTCATCTCTTGTTTCAACTAATGGATACAAATCTCATTCAGGTTTTGTTGCAGAGCTCTTGGAAGGGTGAAAAGTTGTCTTGACTTGGTGCTTGCATGTGTTTCTTCTGTACCATGGGTAAACTGTTAGCTTGCCAGCAAGGTACTTTGGACGACGGAAAGGACGAAGCTAGAAACGTTCTTCATAGATGTCAATTGAATTTAAGCCTTTGATAATCAATATTGGATAGTAAAACATCGTTGATAAGAGCAGGGTTCTAATGAAGCAGGCAGGATCCCATGACCGATTTGTTCCTTTCCACAGCTGCAAGGCACTGAATATACCACCGCAGAATAGTACTGATCGCGATTGACCAGAACACTAGTTGCAGACTGGCCAAGATTATGACAGATGAGAAGCACCCCAGAATTCGATCTCCACACCAGCTACCATAGATAAACATGTTAAGAAGCACAATCTGGACTATACAATTAATTGTGCTTTGGCGACGGCTGTTCACCCCGCTTTGTGCACATAAAATGGTTAGTCACTATACGCTAGCTAAATGCGGCAGAAGATGCGCCCGGCCTCGGCAGACCCAGACCGGTCGGGGAGCTTACTCATACATGGCGTGCTTCTGGTTGGCTGCTTTCTCCGATATAGACTAACCATATCAGGAAGCACATGCGCCGGCCAATCACAGCAGGTCTCGATCAGTCTCCAAATGGATCTTGAGGGGTTGATAACGATATAAAAAACCACCGACCCCCCAGTCCCCAAACTCCTCAATCTGCTCCAGCTTCTGTCAACCCACAGTGCCACCCATAATGGCATCTCTACACCCCTTCGACCCCATCACCCCTGGGGAGATCAACCTCGCGACCAAGATCCTCCATGGCGCATTCCCAGGGGTCAGCTTACGGTACAAAAAGATTGACATTCAAGAGCCCATCAAGGCTGAAGTTATCCCGTACATCGAGGCCGAGCGTCTTGGAAAGCCATTTCCTCGCAAGCCGACCCGGCTGCTGCAGGTCCTGTTCCACAGATTGGACACCGGTGCCTTTTTCAAGGCTTTGCTTAACGCTGATGCGAAGAGCATTGTCTACGCCAAGGAGCTGCCAAAGGAGATTCAGGTATGTTAGTTAAACAACTAAGTCAAGATTAAACTAACAAATTCAGGGCCCCGTTGATGTCGACGAGATGATTGCCATCGAGCAGCTCTGTCTCTCGCACCCGGTCGTCCAGGCCGAGATTGCCAAATTGCAACTCCCTGCTGGTGTAACAGTGTGTAACGACCCGTGGATCTATGGTACGGATGACAGCAAGGAGTCCCGCCGCCTGTTCCAGTGCTACATGTACATTGTTGGCACCGACCACCCACAAAACAACCACTACTCGACCCCTTGCAAGTTCTCCCCCGTGTTCGATGGTCTGACCCACGAGCTCGTCCGCATGGATTACCTTCCCACTGGACGTGACAGTACCACGACAGACACCCAGCCATGGAAGCCTGTCGAAACTATCCAGTACGCACACGACCTTCTACCAGAGGCTCTCCGCTCTGATCTCAAGCCCTACATTGTCCAACAACCACAGGGCCCGTCATTCACGGCCAATGGAAACGAAGTAACCTGGCAGAAATGGCGCTTCCGGGTTGGATTCAACAGCAGAGAAGGAATGGTCATCCATAACCTTACCTACGATAACAGGAGTGTGTTCTACCGACTATCCATGTCTGAGATGACCGTTCCATACGGAGGTATGCACACCATTCAATCCCCTATATAGCGTTGTAAAATACTGACATGGTAGACCCTCGTGCCCCCTTCCACCGCAAGCAAGCCTTCGACGTCGGCGACGTCGGCTTCGGTATCACCGCCAACCAACTCTCCCTAGGCTGCGACTGCCTCGGGCACATTAAATACTTCGACGGCTACCGCTGCGATAGTAAGGGAACGCCGATCCAGCTCCAGAATGTAATCTGTCTGCACGAGCAAGACGCAGGTCTGCAACATAAACATACAAACTACCGCTCTGGCGCCGCAACAGTCGTCCGAAACCGCCAGCTCGTCCTGCAGATGATCTGCACCGTGGCGAACTACGAATACATCTTCGCCTTCATCTTCGACCAGGCAGCGAATATTGAGCTCGAAGTTCGCGCTACTGGTATTCTCAGCACTGTCCCCTTCGACAACGAAGTCCCCGGTACCACGGTTCCCTGGGGCACGAATGTCGGACCCGGAGTTATGGCGCCCTACCACCAGCACCTATTCTCCTTCCGTATGGACCCGGCCATCGACGGGTACAAGAACACGGTTATATACCAGGACTCCGTACCTATGATCGAAGACGCCCAGACAAACCCTTACTTGGTCGGGTACACGACAGAGGAAACGATCATGAAGAAGAGCGGAACGGCCGATACAGCCGTCGACAAGAACCGCGTCTTCAAGATCCGGAACGACAGCAAGATCAACGAGATCACGTACAAGCCCATGGCATATAAACTAATGGCTTCCCCAGCGCAGATGATGCTCGCCTCCCCACGCTCCTTCGGGCAGAAGCGAGCCATGTTCGGCACCAAGCCGATCTGGGTAACAAAGTACCGCGACGACGAGCTCTTCGCGGCCGGCGAGTTCACGAACCAGAGTAAGAGCAGCGAGGGTGTTGACGCATGGGCGGCTCGGAATGAGAATGTCGAGGATGAGGATTTGGTGCTTTGGCATACATTCGGTCTCACGCATAACCCACGCATTGAGGATTTCCCGGTTATGCCTATGGAGCGGGTCAGCGTGATGCTGAAGCCGGATGGGTTCTTCACGAAGAACCCTGCCTTGGATGTGCCGCCGTCGACGCAGGCGTTTAACAAGTCGACGTTGCATCCGGAGGCTTCGTCGTGCTGCTCTGGGACTAAGCTATGATAATGACGCTATGACTGTTTTATAGAACTAGCATACATGATTCTGGAATAACGCATCTCATTTCTCAATTCAATTATATCTAAGCTATCCGGGTTTTAGAACGCCTTGTCTATTTAGACGCCAAGGTCCGTGAGAATTTAAACGCAACGGTAGGGATACAAGACCGACCAGAAAAGATTCTGTGCATGAAACACTATCACATACTATTCCATCTATTCGGCGATTGAGTCAGGAAGTTTTCTGTGACAATACTGCAATCCATTGATGGCGTGACAGTAAGCGCTGATCTGCAACTAGACGGTGACAGTGGCAGTGCCAGCCCTAGAAAACAAAGGCAGCGCGTACGCATACCCCACCATAATGTAGTTATAAGCCCAGTGATTCCGATATTGGAGACATTGTAGAACACTCGGCTCATTTCAGAAGAATGGACACACTGACTCTCACAGAACGCGCCGCTGAAATCTCCAAAACAGCAGCCAGCCTCGCCAACGAGCTGTCACAATCCGGCCACCCCGAACCAACTTTCGAACATGGCCTGCCTGGCCCTCTCCATGGCGATGCGCCCGACTCAAACGCAAAGAATCTCAAGCAGCAGCTGCTTCAAATGACCGATGAGCTGCGTGCCTTGGTCACAGAGCCCTTTCTCCATCTTACTCCACAAGAGGTACTCCATTACCCTTTCGTATATCTCCGTACATATTATATTATATCGGTTAACGGTGTACCTCAGGTTGTCCCCCACAGCGTCCACCCCATCCATCGACTAGGCATTGCAAAGAATTTCCCAGAGAATGGAACCACCGTCGCAGATCTAGCACAGTCACTGAATCTTCGCGAAAACCTTGTCCGACGATTACTAGCACACAGCGCCACGCACCATATCTTCTACGAGGTGGCACCGGATTTCTACATCCACACGGCGGCATCACGGCTGTTAGCGAACAACCCTAGCATGGGAGACTGGATCGATGTAGGCAGCGACGAGATGTATCCAGCCTCATTCAAGGCAAGCTCCCAATTTGTTCTTCTGGTCTTCTATAACTGACTATGCTTAGACCGCACATGCTTTAGCAAAGTACCCAAACTCGGAGGAGCCGGAGCATTGCGTACGTTTATAATATGGCTATATTATTAATCTCTGAAACTGACTTGGTTACTTCATAGGGCTGGAGCGTCGCAAACAACACAGACAAGGCCGTTTTTCGAGCCCTATCAGACATGCCCGAACGCGCAGGCCGGTTCGCAGGGGCAATGAAATGGCTCGGACACGCACCGGCATTCTCACCACAAGGTCTAGTCAATTTATTCCCCTGGAAGCCTGAGTCCGACAGTTCTCAGTTCACGGTGGTCGATGTCGGGGGTGGTCTGGGCCATGTCTCTCATGCACTGGCTGCGTCCGAGCATGGGTCGAAGGCGCATTTCGTTGTCCAGGATTTGGCCGATATTGTGGACAAGGGCCAGTCTGCGCTTTCTGGTAAGGACCTTCAGGAGAAAATTCGTTTTCAGGTCCATGATTTCTTCGAAGAGCAGCCGGTTCATGGGGCGGATGTGTATTTGCTCCGTATGATTCTGCACGATTGGTCTGATAAGTACGGGATCAAGATACTCCGAGCGCTGGTCCCGGCGTTGAAACCTGGTGCGAAGGTCGTTATTAATGATCGCGTTATCCCGGGACGTCATCAAGTGCATTATCTGGTAGAGAGAGAGGCTCGGTGAGTGTTTGATTTCTAGTGTGGGAGTTCGGGCTAACTGTGTACAGGGACAGCGATATGTTTATGCTGAGTTTCCAAAACGCACAAGAACGGACGGAGAGTGACTGGAGGGAGCTTCTGATAGCAGCCGATGGGCGGTTCGAAGTGACAGCAGTTCAAAGGCCCGTTGGATATGTGCTTGGTGTTGTTGAGGTGACCTGGAGGGGATCATCGGGAATGGCTTAATAGTAGTCGAAGTATACTGAATATATGGAAGTATCTACAGCAGTCAAGAATCATCCAGTGTAAACTCAATTTGGAGCTGAAGCAAGATACATCATGTCTGGTAGACGGCGATTATGGATCGGGCACTCGGGGATCAGAGCGGCGAAGTCCAGCCCCACCCACTTTATATATTTATATATCCCCTCCTCGCCCCTCTCCAACTCTCACCACAATCCTAATAAGATATAAGATACATTCTTCAAACCACCAAAATGTGTATGAAAGCTACTTGCTCCACCTGCCGTATGTCTTTCCTGTTATATCACTGTTCACATGCTAATAATCACAGAAAAAACTACCTGGTGGGGATGCGGCGCCCACATCCCCGCAGTGCTGGACTCGGTCCCTGAGAGCGAGCGCTGCACCTGCACGCCCAAAGTCGAGCGCGATGGCAAGGAGTACCCGCCCAAGGGGAGCAACTGACTGCATGGCTGTATTGTTTGTTGAGTGAATGCATCGCAGTGTGGATGGAGTACGGTGGGAAGGAGGGGTGGCCGGAGTTGACGGATTTGAATAGAATGCACCTAGTGGATAAATTGAATGTGTATGAATTATCTATTAGATTCATGAAGAAAGAAAGAACGACACTGGATTGAATGTTGCAAGCATATGAGAACCTGATACTCGCTGTTATAGCGTCATGTTGCGACGCCTGGAATATATAGTCAAGGGTGGTCCCGGGTCATATCAACTAGCCCGGCTAGCTCAATCGGTAGAGCGTGAGACTCTTAATCTCAAGGCTGCGGGTTCGAGCCCCGCGTTGGGCTTTCTTTTTTGCTCATTTACGTTTTTCATTTTGCTGGTATACGGCCAGTTGAAGATTTTTTAAGTGCGCGGATACAATTCATCTGATTGGCTAGATGGGAATAGTCCACGTGACTGGCCTTGGATATTCGCACGTGCGTACATCTGGGGCTGCTATGTACACAACACAAACAGTTCTCTGTTGTCACTCTCGTCTCTCTCTTCATTCTGTCATCACTTGTTGTTTAGAAATCAACCCGGTCGTGGAAACAGCCAGTGGTGTGGCTGTGTCCAGGCCCAGTCTGTCTTCTCCTCTTGGTACTCCACTGTCTGCGTCTCTGGAAGTCACCATTCGCCCTCTTCACGATAGTACTGGTCTGGTTGCGCTCCGGGATAGTACTCAGATCATTCGCATACGTCGCGACCGCGAACGCCGTGGCCTTCGAGTTGAGCAAGTAGGCCTCGTGGTTCAGGTTATCGAACGTGTCGCCCTCCTTGTGGTAGTTCACGTCAAAGGAGACACCCGCTTCACCACCGAACAGCTCTGCCTCTTCTTCAGTCTTGAGCCCCTCAGCGCCGGTGAAGACTCCGCCAGCTGGGATGCCATTCGCGATGAAGGCCTCGTAGTCGGAGCGCCCGTCGAACTCGGTCTCAACGGTGCCGTAGCCGAGGTCGGCGAAGTAGTCTTCAAACAGCTTCTCAATGGCACCACTTCCCGGTGGACCGGTGAGGTTGAACGCTGACCCATCGCCATCATAAAGCAGCAGTCCATAATTCGGGGACGCGATCATATCGAAGTTCAGATACAGTCTGATCTTGGCGAGTTCCGCAGGCGACAAGCTGGAGACGTAGTAATCACTACCAAGGAGCCCGAATTCCTCGGCCGTCCAGAAGAAGAAGCGCACGGCATGCTTGGTCTGGAACTGGGTCAGTGCGCGCGCAATCACCAGGTTACTGATAATGCCCGAGCCATCGTCGTTAATCCCTGGACCGGCATCAACGGAATCGCTGTGTCCGCCCAGCGAAACGACCTTGTTCGGGTCGCCGGTCTTGGTCTGCGCGATGACATTGTACGTCGTGCGGTTCTCGAGTGTGGAATCGATCGACAGGTCGATATTTACAGCGCCCTTCTGTGCAAGAGCGACGAGGGCTTCGCCGTCTTCAAGCGAGATGCCGACAATCGGCGAGTAAGGGCCTAGCTCGTTTTCGGCCGCACCGAGAGTGCCAGCAAGCGAGCCCTCAACGTTGTTGTAGGTGATGGTTGCGGCGGCCTTCGCCTTGGCAGCGTAGACGGATTTCTCAGCAAAGGTGCAGTCGCCGCGCTGGACGAGGACGACTTTCCCAGCCACATCAGCGGGGAATGCGTCAGCGGAGCAGCCGAGGGAGTCGATGACGGCCAGCTCGGCGGACGCATTGCCGCTTGGCGAGTATGTGAGGGTGGTCGCCTCGTAGGCTTCTCCGTTCGCGGTCAGCGACTCCTCGGCATTGCTGTACAGGTGCTTTTGGGGCTGCTTGTAGACATCGTAGTGGCCGGTGCGCTTGAGCTCGCGGTACAGCCAGTTGACGGTGTCGTTGTGCGCGCGGCCGCCGAAGACGCGGTTGCGCTCGGGGTAGGCGTACGCGAAGTCCTGAAGCTGCTGGGAGCCAGCGAGCAGGTCGTCCAGCCGGATTTGCTTTTGGAGAGACTCCTTTGTTTGGTTGTTAGCTGCAGATCGGGTGGCTGAGAGACTTGGCTGCAGGTCCTTACCGGAGTGACAAGGGGCTTTGCGGCCGAGGCCAGGGAGGCCAGGGAGAGAGCGAGAATGGAAGACTTCATGGCTGTCGCTGTTCTACTCGCATCGGAAAGACTTTGGGAATGAAGGATGACCGCAGCTTTATAGCCCTGATCGATCATCGCTGGATTGTCTAATCCGCGTCGAGTTACATCGCGTGCCTGGGCCAAGCAACTTGGCAGTGCCAATTAAGCAGGCTGGAGCAGCCAAGCAAGCGGGCAGAAGATAAATCATCGATAAGAACTGCACAAAGAGCTGCAGTGCCAATCCAAGCGCCAGATCGCGTGTGCCGGTCCCCCTTTGTAAGGTTACAGCCAAGAAGAGGGGGCGACGAACAATCGTGGGGGAGAATGTTATCATCGTGCTAACAATTATTTGTCTGCCAGGGGATACTGATCAACAATGCACCCAGTCCTCGTCTTCTGTCAGGTCCAGGTCGACAATCCTCGGCACTCTCCGTCTATCACCTGGCACGATCTCATTCTTCCCCCCTGCGGCCCCGCCGGTCCAGACCCTTGCACTGTAATATACTCCTGGCAGGCCCGCCCAGGCAAGGCGCAGGTTGCTCGTGATAAAGTCTGAGAATGCCGACAGCCCCTCCCTCTCTGCATGCAACACTGCGGCTGCCACTTGCTGAATCCAGAAGTTTCTGTGCGTGGCTGCAGCAACTAGCGGGCAGGAGAGTTCTTCGAATGCAGATTGCGCTTTTTTCCCGATGCTAAGCGGCTGCAATTCTACTCTTTGACCTGCACTCTGTTTGTCTGCCAGGGCTGTGTAGAGGTAGGACAACAAGTCGGCGTGGTTGGTTATTGGAAGGCCCGGGTTAGAGTTCTCGGTCTGTTTGATCACCATCGCGGCATAGAACGAGAGTTCTTCTGTGTACGGCAAATTGGAACTGAATGAGATACTTGACTTCTCAGAAACAATCTCCTGTCCAAAACTAGCGGGCGAAATAACATCTGGCAGGGGTTCAAGATCAGGCGGAACAAAGCTCCAACGCGCGCTGACGCCATCCCAGACCATTTTCGAATAATGTTTCTCCCAGCACGCAAGTTTCAGATCGAACATATCCTGGAACTCTTCAAAAGCGAGGTCCGTTCCTTTTTCATCTTCTAACCCTCGCAGCGCTGCGTCAACCATCTGTATCCAGAAACGGGCCTGTGTCTCGGAGTATGGAAGAAGTGAGGGATAATGCGTTCTCAAGCCCATCGTTACTTGTTTGAATGCCCCCAATGCCAGGGTGATCGTTTCCTCTCGCTGCACGGCCGTCCGCTGGATATACCGCAGCACAGCGAATACATACCTTAACAGTCTTTCCGGAGATTTATCACTAACCGGCAAAACTGCGGGATCGCTGCGATAGTGCGTATCCGTGGGCAACACTTTCAGATTTGGTGGAAACCAGATATCCTTTGCGCATGTGAAGGCAGGCGGACTGGAGTACCATTCGTCCCAGGGGTAACTGTTCATCAGCGAGGGAGAATGGCGCAGGACATGACAGAAGTCAGATGGGCTTGGAAGATCCGAGGCCATGGTATGCACCCGGTAGTCGCGAATTGCGATCTGCAGTTTCAGGATCCAGAAGGTGGTGACGCTTGTGTTGAAGGGCCTGTCGATGGGGCTTTTGGGGAGACCTTCCCTCTCGAAGAGGTCTGGGCAGTTTTCCTGTAATCGCTGCAGATGGAGCTTGTAATCTGCTGCTTGCTGGAAGGCGTTCTTCTCTGACGAAAGGATGAGATAGTATGCTGCTTTTAGATAATAGTAGTGGCCCCAGACGGGTAGGTCTGCCTTGATGAATAACTCCCAGAAGGCATCGGCGTCCCAAGTGTCGTTGGTGATGGCTGTTTCCAGTAGAGACTTCTGACCCTCGGGTGTCTGTTCCATGGATTGTTCTATGGACTCAAGCTGCCTTCGCTCAGGCCCTGGATCAACCTGTTTGGCTTGTTTCAGGCTGATGTTCATCACGGTGGTATAGATCTCCTCCAGGACTTCGAATGTGTCGTCGTTTCCTGTCTTCGGACACAGCCGCTGTCGGAGGATTCTCTTGGGTAGTTTATCACCAAATAATGAAAGCTCCTCTTGGTATGCCTGTCTGATATAGCTAATTGTCTCCTTTCCAACTTTCGATGCATCCTGCTTGTTCAAGCCGACCCAGATATTCCGACAGTCAGCTCCCACCATCTCGTGGAGCAGCGATGGGAACTCCTCTGGGGGATCTATGCCACTCTCGCAATCATGTAGCCAGAGAACCAGCGTACTGGGTGAGAGATGCTGCCGCAGGACCGGCATATGTTTGAGCGTTGCTAATTTTGTCAGTTTTTACAGTACAATGTAGGTTGGATGTCGCACTTTTCAGCTCCCATAACTGCCAGCTTGAGTTCATGGGATACTGCACTGTCTCGACATAAAATCCGGGCGTGAGTCTCGGCTGGCTCCGGACACGGTTGAATTTCAGTCTGTCGATGAAGGTCGTCTTGCCGCATCCATCTTCTCCCAGGACGAGGATTTTGTACGACTTCTTGCCTAGGAGCCAGGAGGAGAGTTCTATCGATTAGTTTGGCTCTGGAACTATCTTGGGGGGCACTTACTTTCCATGATGTTTGCCTACTGTGCGATACTCCTTTTATTGCTCATGTCGAGCGTTATTTAAGGTCGTGAATGGTGGTGCCTGACAGGCAGTCAAGCTGCTGCGATCTTCTGCGATCTTCTTGATTGGGGCCATGTCGATCGTATTAATGGTGGCCACGCTGGCCTCTTTTGTAGGCAGTGCTCATTTCCGGTGTAAAGTCAATATAAGCATCAGACCAACTCTCAAGGTCCTTCGATTTGGGGACGAGTAAAGCTTGGCTGAATTTGTGGAGATGGTACCTTGGTGGCCAGAGCCTCACTCCATTTGTATAGCTTCATTTATACTGTAGCGGGTATACTTAACTAGGCTGGTCTCTATTGGCCCTCCCCAGAATTCCTGCCATCTTCTCGCCCAAATGCCCCTCCAGCATCCTCCGATGTCCATCTGACACCCCCATACGCAGCTTCATCCTGTCCGCTGCCTTCTGAATACACTCGTCCAGACTCGGACCCTCCTCATCCCAGCCCTCGCTCTTGACAACCCTCTCCTTCCTCTCGACTGCCTCTCTCCAGATACTGTCCAGCTCACCCTCCCACCCCAACTTTCTCGCCATCTCTCTCAGCCCCTCATCACAGCTCCCCAGCACACAAACATCACTCCCCCTACTCCCAAAGTCCCCCACAACCTCATTATTGACAAGAACTCTGGGCACTCCCTCCTTGACCAATCTCGGAATCCCCGACGCAGGAGCAACCTTCAAGCTAGTCCCCAGAACAAGCATCAGATCCGCCTGGGGTATAACTTCTTCCCTTTTATCCTCAAACGCCTGGGGTAGGGACTCCCCAAACATGACAATATCCGGCTTCACAACACCCCCACAGCCCTCGACAGGACAATTCGGCACCTCCCCAAGCTTAACAGCCCTCCTCATATCCCCATCCGGATAAGGAACCTTACACTTGAAACAGCGCTGACTCTGCCAATTCCCATGCACATTCAACACCTTCCCCCTCTCAACCCCCGCATCAACCTCCAACCCATCAATATTCTGGCTAAACACAAACTTCAACAGCCCCTTCCTATCAAGAAGTGCCAAGAAAGCATGACCCAGCGTCGGCTTCAGGTTCCGCGGGTGTCGCGCAGCAGCAATAGCGTAGAACGGCTCGGGGGTGTGTCGGAAATACGAGATGTGGAAGATGGCTTCTGGGTAGGGGAGTTGGAGGGGTGCGAGGCGTGCGTAGAGGCCTGTCTCTGGGGAGCGGAAGTCGGGGATTCCGGCTGAGGTGGATAGGCCGGCACCTGCGAGGATGACGATGGATTTTATGGTGCCGGACTTTATGGCCGTGCAGATGGTGTCGATGTCGCTTTGGGGGGTTGTCATTTTGTGTCGTTTTGTGTTTTTAATGTGGTTATGGAGGGGATGGAAGGAGGGGATGGGATGAAAGGAGAGGCAGAGGGGCTGTCGGATAGATAGTCTACAGGATAAAAGGCGTTGATGCCTGGTCGATTACTGACGTGTATACTACTGGTCTGCCTATTGCTTATGCTTACGCTGGTGAGGCCGTGCGTCACCCTGGAAACAACCAGCGGGGTATACAGTATACAAGAACAACTCGATTAAATACAACGCAGGCTAATGCAATGGTCAGGATATAATATAACGAAAAGAAAAGAAATAAAAACATAGGAAATTGTAAAAACCAAAATCAATCCAACGAGTCCGCCTCATAGGCAATCTGCTTCACCACCTTCGGCCGCGCATTCATCTCCATAATGCCCTTCTGCGCATCAAACAGACGCATCTGTTCCGCGTAGCGATCCCGATCAATCCTCGCGCGATCTTCATACCCAGAGGTTAGGAGTCTCTCGCGGTGCTGAACAAACGCAGCCTCTTCCTCGCGCCGCTGTTTCTCGATATTATAACTCTCGTCCCTCTGCGAGTTCTCCATCAGCGCAAGCTGCCGGCGATGCTCGATTTCCCGGTAATTCGAGTCATCCTTCCGCCTATTCGCAAGGTCGGTCACTTGTCGCATATACGACAGCTCAGCGTCATAGCGCTGCGACGCGATGGTTGCCTGGCGGGAGGCAGTCTCGTGCTCAAGGCGCGCGGTCTCACTAGCAATTTCCCTCGTATGGTCTAGCGTGAGATTATGACGCGCCCGTAGACTAGAGAGTTCTTCAGCCTGCTCAGCACGACGGCGCATGAGCCGGCGCTCGTGGTCTTCGTCTTCTTCCTGGATGCGCGCCTGTCGCTGTTTCTGGGTTTTCAGGACGCGCATGATCTCCTCCGGTGCGCCGACCATGTCGACGGGCTGCTCGCCTTCGGCTGCCCAGAAGCGGTCGCGGCATTCGAATTCAAGAAGGAGGTCGGTGAGCCCGGTGCGTTGGGTGGGTGGTGCCTTGTTCAGACCGCGTGAGACATATGCGAGGGGGGAGTAGCGGTACCGGCCGTCCTCGAAGACGTTGAAGTCGTCATTGACATACTCGCTCATGAAGACATCGAGCAGGGCCTGGGAGACGAGGATGGCGTTTGGATGGTCCAGCGCAAAGTGCAGGACTGACTTGCCCTTTGATTTGCGTCGGAAGTCGCCGTTGTTCTTGAGGAGCGACATGGCGGCCTTGAGCTGGCTGGTTGGTTTGTTGCCTGCTGTCATACATAGCTCGGCCAGGGCGGTGCGTCCTTGGAAGCGCGAGCACGGGTAGTCGCGCTGTTTGGCTTCGATGAGCAGGACTTGGAGAACGCTAACATTAACCATTCTGGCGGCTTCGTGGAGACTGCCGTCGCCTGGGGCCGCGCCGGCGTTGACGAGTTGGCGGACAATGTTAGTGTCGCCGATTGATGCAGCGAGGGATAATGGTGAGATCCCATTTGATTCGAGTGATGGGTCGGCGTGAAATTGCAGGAGGGCTGCGACGGATTGAGCGCGTGAGCCGACAATGGCGAGCTGGAGGGGTGTGCTTTGGGATAAAGCTGCTTGGAAGTTGACGTCCGCTGGGATAGTTAGTATAGTACGGGTAAAATTGAGCGGGTAATCTACCTCCGGATTTAATGAGAATCTCGACAACATCTTCACGAAGAGCTGCTTTGCTTTGCGCAAGAGCCCAACAGAGCAATGATACTTTCTCCTCGCTTGGTGACAGCGGCAGTGTCGCCTTAACAACTGGGTCGACAACGCTGCCCTTATCAATGAGATACTGCAGCAGCTCTGCCTCGTTGGGATAGGTGTGAAGCATCAGACATAGAACTGGACCACAGGTTGGATGGTCATAGGTGAGGTCAGGAGCAGAACTGTGAGAGCAAAAAGCAACAGCGATCTCGCGAAGGCTTTGTGCGTCAACACCAGATCTAAAAACCAGTGGAAAAGCACGGGTCGTGTTAGAACGACGAGGGCCATAAGCGAGCAACTCCTTGATGATGTGCACATTGGCTTGCGTTGCTGCTTCGACGAGGCAAGCTCCTTCGCAGTAGTTGACATCCGCACCCGCATTCAACAGATTAACGATAAAGGCAAATCCGGATGGTGTAGTTGAAACAGTCTTGACGGTTTCCAGGAGTGCCATATCCACGGCCTCTCCCGAAGCACCGGCACATACCAAGAGCGATAGCACTGCTTCCTCCTGGGGCGAGTTTGCTCGTTTCCCATTGCCCCATACTGTCATGAATATCTCCGAGACGCCGGAATGTCCGTGCAAGTACGGCTCGAGAATGCGCAGGGTTTGTATATCGTTGATCATGACGGCGTGTAGAATGCATTCACCACCTTGGTAGAAGATGGAAGCATTGGCTTTCAAGAGACACTGGATGAGCTTATGGTCGCAGTGAGGGGCATGTACCTGGAACTGTTAGTCTAAAGTACATGGAATTCTTGGAAGTACGAAGTACATACGGATTTCAGTAGTAGCTGGTCAAGTGTCAATTGCGGCTTCTGGGTAGCAAGAAGAAGGTCCATGGTAGCAATGCGTGTCTCGCCCTGTAGGGTTTCAAATGCAGCACCCAGCGCGGCTGCAACAGCTTCTTCCGTAACTCTGTATCGTAGGAACAGCTTTATCAAGTCGACTTTGTAGTTGGCAGACCTAATAGCGCGGCACAACGGTGAACCCGCAGCATAGTTTGGGGTGGCTTTGTGGTTGAGCAAGAGCTCGCAAATTGCAGCGTGCATCCATCCGCCATCAGCGGAAGCAACAAGTGCCTCTTCAAGAAGTCGCTGAGATACTGGCCCGGCCTTGAGAAGCAGTTGATAGCAGTCATGCTTTGCGCGGATATCGTGCAGTGTCATGGCTTTAGCGAAACCGCAGTTGAGCGTGACAGCAGCAGGATCGTGTCGTAGGAGATGGGCGAGCAATTCGAGGTCAATTTTAGAAACAGCATGACGCACTGCGGCACCGTCTTGGTAATTAACAGATGCACCGTGCCGCAAAACAAGGAGGGCCAGCACTTCATTTCGCTCCTCGGTAGTGCGTAATAATGCCTTGTCGAGGGCCGCCTGCGGCATGCCGGTCGCAAGTAGTTCTTGCAGGTATCGTAGATCGAGAGGTAGGGTTGCACGAAGGGCAATGGAAAGAGCATTCTCAAACGCATTTTCCAGAGATTGAAAGGATGGATGGGTGGCGAGGAACAGCTTGAAGCATTCGAACAAGCCCAGTTCGATGGCATCGACGAAGACGCGGCCTTGGTTGTGGTTGACATCTGCCCCGGCTTCTAGTAGCATATGTAAGACCCCGAGAGTCTGGTCATCTCGTCGCTTTAGGCCTTCCATTTCATGGCGGAGGGCTGCGTGCCCTGTTCCGCCAGACAGCTCTTGAACACTCATGAGCAAGATGCGGATTTTCTCCAGCCGAGTCCTATCGCGTTGCAGGAGGCCAATTGCGACAAGGAGCGATGCGCAAAAGTCGGATTCTTGGAGATGATTGTACTGTACGAGGAGCTCGATAAAGTCGATATTTGGTGATTCGATCGCCTTCTTAAATGCCCTTCCACTCTCGAAGCCAGTATTAGCTTCTCCCGTGGCCAGCAAGAGGGATGCTAACTGACACCCAGAGGACGTCCCGTCAATGCTGTCCACGAGCGCCTGGGAGACTTCATCACCCCTAGCGCCAGCGTGGAGGAGCATATGTATTATCTTGTACCTCTGGGTTTCGGTCAGGTCTATGGCAAGGGGTATGCAAGATGACAGAATGGTGGGCACGGGAAATCCGAGAAGCAAAATTTGTAAAGTAGCATCATCGGAAGACTGCACAGCGAGCTGAAGTAGATAGCCTTTCCCTTGGCCAACATCGGCGCCGCCATCGACCAGTATCTGAATGAATTCGCGGTCCCTTTCCCCGGTGTGTTGAGTCATGGCGTTCTTGAGGATATCGTTAACCGCAGTTCCGTTAGCTCCAGCATCGAGAAGCTTTCGCGTTATGCGCAGTTTAACGTCTGGTGAGAGCCTGTCGACTCGATCGAAGACAGTGTTGACGGACTGTGCGGCCGGTTGATACTGGAGCAGAGCGTCAATGAACTCTTCATTCTCGGATGCTACAGCTTTATCAAGTGCAGCGGCGTTGGCGTAGTCGACAGAAGCGCCTTCTCGTAGTAAAAGATTCACACCAGCAAGATCTCTCTTTTCGACACGTTGATTCAATGCTTCGTCAACCACGTCCCCGGCCGCACCTTGATCAAGAAGAAGCTCCGCCAGTGCATGCCACTTTTCGTTTGTTATCGAGCTACCGTACTTCGTCTGGTCGATTTCACCGAAAAGTTCCGAAGCCAGGTCGTCGTCCAGTTTTCCCCTGCTCAAAATACGAAGCATTTCAAGATCGACTTGGTGGACAGCATGTCGGTATGCTTCCGCTTTATTGTAGTTGATGGAGACACCTTTGTCAATAAACAGCTCTACCACCTCAGTCCAGCGCTGAAGGACTGCGCCTCCCAAGGCAAGAGAGACAGATCCACCAGTAGCACCGCCGTTGAGAAGCAGCTCGATGAGGCTGTATTTCTTATCTTGGAGAATTTCCATCTTGAAAAAGACATACGAGACAATAGGCGCAAGAGTCTCCGGTAAGGGAGGGTTCGGAGACATGAGCATCAACAGAGCAAGATCGGTACGTTTTGCCCGAATGGCCTTCTCCATGGCAATCCCGCTATCGGAATTTGCATCCGCGCCGTGGGCTAGGAGAAGCTGGACGACGCCGATATTTCCACGCTGGACGGCGTCAGGAAGGGCAGAGGTGAGTATCGCAATATCGATAGGCGTTTGGGATTGAAGCAGGAGGCGGACAAACTCATCGTCTCCAGCCCTGACGAGCGTTATGAATTCTTCAGAACAAGTATTCGGATCTGCGTTCTCTTCCAGGAGAATCTGGGTATTTCGTTGGCTGCGCATTTGGAGAGCGGTTGGGAGCATTCTATTGACCACATCGGAACTGGCAGAGTTGGCGAGGAAGTGGAACATGGCCGTCTCCTTGTATCGCATTGTGCTGCAGAGGAGAAGGAAAAGTAGATCGTCTGTTTCCTCATCTCCAGCCTGTTGCCGCCGCGCGAATCGACCTGTCCGAGCCTTCTTCGGCTTCTGCAGTTGAAGGCTGTTCCAGACGCTTTCTGCGACTCCAACTGACCCTGACGCATTCACGATTTCCGTGAGGACACCGCAGTAGTCCTCGTAACTCCATTTGTCCTTCTTTACCTTCCCAGGAACTGTGGTTGTTTTGGATTCGCCGGTTCTTCGTATTTCAGAGGCCTGGGTAAGGAGGAGATTGGCCTGATCCTCGTCTTCCTTTTGCGTCGACAACGAATAGGTGGATATTAGTGGTAACTGTGGTTGGAACTCGTCTGCAGCGATATCGTGTTTGGTGCACCAGGCACGAAGCCATCCCTCATCTCTCCCGCTCTGCGGCATGATGGGCGGAGTAACACGAGAAGTTCGAACGTTCCGTAAATTAAGGTGGACAAGTGTAAATGGTAAAAATTACATCACGAAGAGAAGAGAAAGGTTGTTAGAAATCAGCCAAAGTTTGCCAGCGGCGGCACAAAGGCTCATTATATCGGAGTGTGAACAAGGCGGATCCTGGGCGTCATGGGAAGCGCCCGGTGCTCAGCCCCGCAGGCGATTCGCCAGTAACACTGCTAGCAAATGCACGGCTGGGTCATTGATGGAACTGTCTGACAAGTCATTGTCCAGAGCGTTTGAAACAGTTCCTTTCAGGCACCGTTCGTGAGGTGACTCGTCACCATTGACGGGAGTCTGGCACTTGACAGCCCACTCATCTGCTGCTCGTGTTCATTGCCTGGGAATTCACGTGGAGGCTCTTTGACACATCCCAGCCTGACAATAAGACGCCGTCTTCTTGCAGAGGCTATTGTGCATGGTAGTGGCTGTCACCTAAGCGCCTGGATCTGTTGTTGTGTTAGTCCATGGCGTGACCCACAACGGCGGTTGCTGAAACTGCCATCCAGAGACCAGGAACCCATTTCTGCACTGTCGCTATTATTAGCTGTCAGGCAACTGTCATTTCTGACCGAGAGGATTCCTGTGATTTCGAATTCCCTGCCAGACCGGGTTTGAAGGTGAACTGAGCTGTTGATCGCAACGGAGAGCGGAGCAAAATTGCTTGTGCAAGATTAGTCATCCGTTTATTCATCTTATGCTATGCAGGCCTTTCCTAACACAACAATCCAGTCTCCCATCGAGATTATCTCCGTTTACTCAGAAAGGCCTATGTATATACACTCGTCCGAGTACTGGTAGAATTCTCTAGCAAGGCTGCTCGACGTCATCCAGATAAATACCACATTGCGACCGCTTCAAGACCGCGACCCGGTGCGCAACATAGTTGATCAATTCCAGGACGATCCCTTGCAGGACTGAATATCTCTGCTGATGAGCACATTGTGCAGCACTGTTATATTTTCTTTTCGCTACATCCCGCTGCGACTATCCATATTGGCAAATGGCAGCCAATATCGACCAACTCGTCCCTGGGTTCAATTCATTTTCCAGTTAACCCAGCCTATTTCAGTCGGTATTATAACACTCCCTCGAACTCCTGTCTATTTTCCTATCGATGCCGGGTCCAGAACCACCAAGGTTAATGTTGAATACCGACCCCTTGCATTTGGAATTGGATGTGTTTGGTTCAGATTTGTTAAGCAATAAAGAAGCTTCGGCAACGAAGAATAGACCCACTAGCCAAGAACAAGTCTATCTACCATGTAGGGTGTACAGATTCTGTTATCGTGGTTCTGCACCACTTCACGACGACTGCAATTCTAGTGCCGTACAGACGATGCACTGCTCTCAAGTATACAGAGTACACTGTTATAGCAAGGCCAACTGGTGAACCCTGAATCGCCAATCGCTGCACTAACGGTGCCAAGGTTGGAGGCACTACGTCTGATTGGCCATGCAGAGAGCACCCGCTCTGTGCAGCCGGCCCATCCGGCTTTCCCCCACTGGAGTCTGCGCAGAGCTGGAGCTGGAGCTGTCTTTCTTTTCTCTCTTCGCATTCTCAACTTCTCCCAATGCATCGACGAACCCGGCGGACCGTCACCCACCTGGCCATCTTCGCCTCCATCCTCGCCCTGCTCCTCCTCCTCAACAGACCTCCACCCACCCAGCGCTCCTTCTCATGGACTAAAGTCCGCTACCAAACCAGCGCCGACACGCTCCCCGAGTCGCGCGGGCGCTGTCCGGGCCTCTCCAAGTCCTCCAAGCCCGCCCTCGTCGTCTCCCACGTAAAATCTGACGGCGACACCTCCTGGCTCACCTCCTCGTCCCTCGCCAAAAAATACCACCTCTGCATCTACGACGTCGACGCCTCGACCGACGAAAATGACAAGGCCGATTCCCTCCGCGTCCCCGCAAACCGTGCCCACGAGTCCATGGCCTACCTCACCTTCCTGATAGACAACTACGACACCATCCCCTCCTCTGGCGCCATCTTCGTCCACGGGAACCGCTGGGCCTGGCACAATGACGCTCCCGACTACGACAACGCATACCTCCTCGACCGTCTTAACGTCGAATCCGCACTCGAGCCCGCCGGATACCATAATCTCCGCTGCGACTGGAGCGTGAGCACATGCGCCGCCAATGCCCCACCGCAGGGGAGTCTGCAGATGGCGTTCCAGTCGTCCGTGGATCCCTGGGATGCGCACGCGGCGTCTGACGCGGCGCTTCCAAAGGCGCTGCTGGCTATCTTTGGTAGTGACTCCGGGGAGAAGCTGGGTAGACATGAGACATTGCGGTCACAGTGCTGTGCGCAGTTTGTTGTGTCGCGCGAGAGGGTGCGCAGCCATACGCGCGGCGAATATGTTGCGCTGCGGCAGTGGCTGTTAGATGGGATGAGCCCGAGTTCAGGTGTCGGTGGGAAGTCGGACTCGAACTCGAGGGTTATTCGTCGGCGCGAGGGTGTTGCGCCGAAAGATGATCGCGTTGCTGGCCGGATTATTTCGTATATCTGGCATATCTTGTTTCTGGATGTCGGCGGTGGTGGAGGTGCTGTTGATGGAGGGCTTGAGCTGGAAAAGTTGAATAGGGCGGCCTGTCCTACTGCGCAGGAATGCTATTGTCGCCTTTATGGACGCTGTAATCTGGACCGGTGCAGGTCGCCGGGCTCTTGTGCTGGGCAGTATCGGATTCCTCCGAATTATAAGGTCCCTGGGCATTAAGATGGGGCTTGATGATATAAAACGATCATGATGTAATGTGTTGGCTATGTACATTACGAATAGACTAGAATATATACCGCCATTCCAGCATACCCACTGTATATACAAACTTAGGATGAAGAGCACAAGTAACCCAGTAACTGAACCTCAACCCCGAACTCGAAGGATATCAGGCTATGTAGGGAAACATGTGTTACGCCTCGACCTCTTCTTTGTAGACACAAACTGCCTAGTTTCAGATTGTATGTTCTTCCGTCAACAACATATGGCGGATAACCATCTCACTCAACGAACAGCAAGTCTGGGACCATGGTCACTAGATTCTCGGCTCACTGAAATACCAAAACAAATTATGACCGCTTGAAGGTTCTTACTTGATATGTTCTAAAGTTTGCGCGGCCAAGAATTACAGCAGACGCCATTGTCAGCCCGCAGCTCAAAGTAGAAGTATCGTGCGCTGGGTGTCTCACCGTAGACTTACGGTCAGCTCTATCTGAATATCCAAGCTGGTCGTCTATTTCTCTCCCATTGCTTTCAGGACTGGGGTTTGATAGGCCATGGTCACTTTGTTGTACACCTGCTGGCAAGCCTCTGCATAACGAAGTTCAATTATACATATAAGGCGCCCAGCTCAGATCTAGACGATTGGGCTAGACAAGGATATGGCTGACTAGTTTAGGGGCCTAACGAGTTAATCATAGGGGATACGACCTGTCTTGAAGTATATGTAGTACCCGCCGCCATTGGATATGTTCGACTCAACGCACTGCATCTTATTCATAGATCTATAGAGTTACACAATATAAACTCGCCAACTCGTCTATTTAAACCAGCCTCCCTCCTCATCTGTCTCAATCAACACACTCACAACAAAACAACTTCTCAGTGACCGAAATCCCAGCTACCATGTCCTGCAACACCGTTAGCAACTTTGGCTTCGAAGCCGGCCTCGCCCCCTGACCGTCACCCCAGGCTCCGTCGCGAATGTCCTCGCCGACCCTATCGCCTACTCCGGCGTTAGCCTCCTGTAACCCTCTCTTCTTGATATTAAAGACTAGGTGCTATTTACTAACCAATCCAGCGACATAACAACAACAGTCTCAAACCCAACCGGCACGGTCTCGCAGCCCCTAACCGGCCTGGATACTAGCAAGCCCTATAACCTGCTCCTGTGGATGCGTCTGCGCGACCGCATTTCAAGCGTGAACTCGTGCACCGTTAGCGCGCATCTCGGGGATGATCCAGAGGCCGGTGCTATCGCCTCGGACTTTATCTGGGATGCAGCTAACTGGATGCTTCTCAATGGCACTGTCACTCCTACTGTTACTGATACCACTTTGAACCTTGTTAGCCTTTGTAGCTTTTCTGGGGATGTTACTGAGGCGCATGTGCTTTGGGATGAGGTTACGTTCTCGCATTGTTAGGGTTGGTATTGAGATTAAGGAGGGCAGGGTGAAGTAACTGGGTTGTGTTGGGAATAGTTAGAATACTTTAGCCAAGCTTAATGAATTTTCGGTCTAAATTGGGTTTTATGTTGTTAAGTCTGACTTATGATTGTACGAGGCTGTTATTGACACCCTTGTTGGTTATATTCATGTCGGATATATACCCCAACAGCACACTACTTTGGTAACACTCAGAACAGCACCACGTTCTATTCCGGCGACAAAATATACAAATCGCTATAAAATGAAACATATAATCCTCATAATACCCTCACAACTTCTATTCTCCCGATAAGCCATACGTATGGCGTGATGCGACTTCTTTGTAATGATGACAAATCGTCGGGGTTGGATAGCTTCAAATCCGTGGCTTACAACCATCATGATTACCTGGCACAAAGGTATATAAGGACGATAGCTACTCTTCCAAAAGGATGATAACATGAAAATCTCAAGAAAAATACCAAAGTCTGTCTTTACACAGATTTCAAGACCAACTTTTATCCCACGACACCCAACAACAGCAACAGCCAAATTATCCACTCCGCTCATCGCAACAATGACGACAAAGGCAATTGTATACGTCGAAAAAGGCAAAGCCGCTATCCAAGATGTGCCCATCCCCAAGCTTCGCGATGACTACGTCCTCGTCAAAGTGAACGCCGTCGGCCTTAACCCTACAGACTGGAAACATATCGACTATGGAAACACCGACCCCGGAACGCGGTCTGGATGTGACTACGCTGGCATCGTTGAGGCCGTGGGCCATAAGGTCCAGAAGGCATTCAAAAAGGGGGATCGGATTACTGGTGTTGTCCATGGGAGGTCAGTACACCACTGTACAGAATTCCTGCTACAGAGGCTTGTTGTATGAGTTATACGGAGATGCTGATTATGTTCAATATACAGTGACCGCACCCAGCACGAAAACGGGGCATTCGCAAATTACATTGTCGCGAAAGGCGATCTTCAAATCAGGACGCCTGATAATATCAGTGACGAGGATGCTGCTACGCTTGGGATTTCTGTTGGCACGGTTGTAAGTGTCCTCGAAGCACCCCCTTTTACTGACGACAGAAATCTAACCCGTCCAGGGCCAAGGTCTATACCGAACACTTGGCCTACCGTTACCTACCGGCGACGTCCAGGCTTCAGACAAGTATATCCTTATCCACGGTGGCAGCACGGCAACTGGTATCTACGGGATCCAATACGCGCGTCTTTCAGGGCTGAAGGTTATTGCGACATCATCACCCCATAACTTTGAGTACCTCAAGTCTCTCGGGGCTGAGGAAGTGTTCGACTACAAGTCACCCACAGCCGGCCCCGATATCCGGAAATACACGAAGAACAGCCTCAAACTTGCGTGGGACTGCACGGGCAGCGGGGGGTCGATCATCGCCGCTGGACTGAGCAGCGAGGGAGGGAAGTATGCGGCGATCATGTCTGTGAATAAAGAGGAGGTTTATTCCATTAATGCCAATGTCGACGGGCCTTACACGACGATTATGTACACGATTTTCGGCGAGCGGTTTGTGAAGTGGGAAGAGTGGCTACCAGATCTAGAGGAGTTTGAGTTTGCGAAGAAGTTCTGGGAGATTTCGAGGGGTCTTTTGGCGGATGGGAAGCTGAAGGCCCCTAGAACGATTGTTAACAAGGGGGGTGATGGCTTTGAAGGCATACTAAAGGGGCTGGATGAGTTGAGGGCTAACAGGGTCAGTGGTGGGAAGTTGGTATATACTCTCTAATTGCTATACTTAATGAGTATACTTGAGATAGGTATTTACAGGACCATTTATAAACAGGGATAAAATAACTATTTAGAGACATCACTCCGACCCAGCAGCCATATGCGACCTCAACGCCTCCTTGAAAGCTTCCACCTTCGCCTCAAACTCAGCAGTAGACCCGAGCAAAATATCATTTCCAACCTGGGTATTGACAAAGGACGCAAGACGAACACGTCGCGGACGCTCCGATACTAGCGCATCTCGCATATCGCCCCCCACCGGCGTCGTGAGCTCGTGCAGCACGTAGTCAATATCCTCCGTCTCGGTGACATTGTACGTCTCCGGTTCACCAACGAAGTCTGCGTCTCTGTCTGAAATATACTTATCATAAGGAAATAGCACATCGGGTACTCCAAACTGCGCAGCCGCAGGGTCAATGATCCATGTGCCACCCCCGAAGAGGAGCTCGACCTTCAGCACAGTATGCTCCTGGCCTACCAGCTGCGGGTTGTGGAGGAGTCTTGTTTTGGGCGATGGCGTTTCGACAACGACCTCGACCTGTTTAACGACACACGGAAGGCTAGCTAGAAGCTTATGCATCAAGCGACAAACTAAGCGAGTGGCCACCCCGCCGCATACAGAGTACATGAGAACAGCCTCCCTCTGCGCCGGCGAGGGATTTGGAAGAAACGAGGCTGGATCAAGAGGGGGATAGTAGACCACGCCGCCGTTGGAAGGGAGAGCTAGGACTTTATCCAGCCTGTCGAGCGCGACGATTGTTCTCCCGTAGAATGGCTCGCTGTAGATGAGCAGGGCTGCTTTGAGGATAATTGCGGCCCGCAGAAGCCGTTTCCGCTGGGCTCGGATTCGACAGTGTGTTTTGTGATTCTGGAAATCTGCTTTTTGACAGGCGACGGTGCAGTAGAAGGTGTTGATGGAGTCGCCGGGTTTATACTCGGGGGCTTCCATGCAGGTTCCGCACTGGACAGTTGCTTCAGCGCTGCAGTTGGCGCATTTTGTGGTTCGGAGTGTCATATTGCTCGGTTGGATGTAGTTAGAAGAATGAAGTGAGATATAAGCAAAGAATACGCAGAGGTTGGGTGTATGTGAAGGCTTATATATTGGGACAGTGCAGGGGTCGAGACCGTCAAAGCCGGTGGCTGAAAGGTGGCTGAAAGAGTGAAGGATGAACTGAGCTACAGAAATAAAGAATAGGAGTTACACGACCATAAAGGAGCCATACAGAACGTAAGTAAGGAGTATGTTCCGGAATTAGAGGATAAATAAATGGGGAGCAGTGTATGCCACATAGAGTCTGTTCATTGAAGCTGCGGTGAAAGAACAACAAGAATGTTTAGCTGTAACAGCTTTAAACCAATAAAGCAAGCTAATGCGCAGTTTAATATTGAAATTGAAACAATGCCCATGGAAAGTACTACGCAGTAATCACATCCAACTGCCCAGCCAAAGCAGGAGAATCACCATCCACATCATATTGAACGTGAGTAATGTCCTTATTCCCGAACTTGTTGTCAACAGAGCAAAGGTGGGTACCATTAACATAAACCTCGTATGTATTGTCCTTGATGTCGATGCGGATTTGGAGACTTTGACCCTGCAGCCAGAGAGGGAAGGGCATGTCACGAACTCGTTCCCAGCTATCTCCAGCAGCCTTGGTCTGGATCTGGATGAGGGAAAGCCTGCGGATGATGTTGATGCTGACGACGGCGTCGAAATTGTCGTCGTCTATTTCCTCGCTGCTGTCGTCATAGCTAATGAACGCGATGCGATTCCTGTCTCGCCTCAAGGGAGCCGTCATATCGAATACGGGAGACTGAACGGTGATGGAGTGCCCGGCTGTGACGGCCTGGTTGAGCTTCAAGGTCTCTCCAACAAGCAGAATAGGGCTATATTAAGATTAGCATTTGCCTAATACCTGACCGAATGACCTACTTTGGTGGTTTGGGTGGCTCTATGGGCCGTGGAGGCTCTGGCTGTCCGACATCTGGGAGCACCTCTGGCTCGGTTTCGGTCTTTGAAGGCGTCTCTGGGTTCTTACTGTGCGACATCTCGGCCATCGAAACAAGGATCTGAAGGTTCAACTGTCCCCACTGGTCTTCTGGGACAGGTTTGCGGGCCTGGGCTTCTCAGTATGTGGCGAAGCTGGATGAGGGTTAACTGACCATTGTGACCCGCCAGTAGAGGCGCTTTAGTATAGCCTCGACATCGTCCTTCTTGAGAGAAGACAGTCGCTGCTCTAAGATAAGGCGATTCAGAATCGGCGTTATGGGGACGTACGCAGTGAGTCTGACATCTCGCGCCTCGAGGTCAGTGCAGTTACTGCAGACCTCCTGCCCGTCTCTGGTGGCAGGAGTGCTGAAGTTATACACATTGGTCACATATTCAGCTGCAGTAAAGTGGCGTCCACTGCCATCAGCAGGCTCCAGATATATCTCGATATTAAAAGCACGACCGCCAAAGGCGAACCTATACCGTTAGTGGGGATCTCCTAACATGTAGGGCACGTACTTGGAATAGCGAATACTGATAGCCAAGTCGTTACTGGCGATGCCTCCATCAACCTCGCGCATTCCCTCAGGGAGCGGCTTGCCAACTCCAGCCTTGGATAGCTCCAGCTGGGTCAGTGCTTCAAGCCGAGAAACACCGTACTTCAAGGTGATTTGCTCCAGTAGCTTTGTCTTGTAGGCGTCGGCATTAAAACCTGCTACGGAATCCGGCTTCACGGAGTCTAGATCGGGATAGTTGTACCCTAGGGCTCGGAAGTCTCGAACTTCCTGAGAAGTCCAGTAGTTCCCTTCTTCGTCTTTGTGGAATGGCCGCAGAGGTGTTGTTGGCGTCACTGTTTCTGGCAGCCCGATTACCTTTTGGTCAAAGTCGCCTCGATATCCATCAGTGAAGAATTTGTCAGGGTTCAGTTCCTGCCAGATGGCGAATATACGATCGATATTGCTTGGATAATTAGCAGTGAGAGAGTACAGGAGAAACAGGCCTTACCAATGGTGAAGCCAGAAGATTGGGTCGAACGTCGCGACGGGGATCTGGGACATATGGCCACCTTCACCCCCTGCCCACCAGTGGATGTTGTTATGGATGAACTCGATATTCACATCGGCAGAGACCTTTGGGCTGTCCTTTTCAACAGCCGTGGTCGCGAATTCCTTGTAGTCAATAGGGTATGTGAGCAGTCGGTAGACCAATTCTGCTGCAGCCCCGTAATTGTTCCCATCCACTGCGCTATGCTGGCTCAAGAGCTTTTCTACCTCCTCATTATTGACGACCCCCTGGATCCAGTCCTTGCTGTCGGCCTGTGACTGTTCCTCTGTCGGACACCGGCTGGTAGCGATGCATTTACCGTACTAGAGGTGTGAGCTTCATGTTAGATTATGAATAATATGGGATACCGCACCGAGTAGACCGTATCCTCGCCCAAGGCCTTAACATCGCCAACCTTGTGCGCCTCCATCGGCTTTCCGTCCGGCATGCGAAACTGGTACAGTGGATTCTGTAGAGTCTCCAGCTCGTCAAACAGCGATAGCTGAAGCTCAGGTTCGGACGCCAACCAGGGGACTCTAGGGTGGACAGCCCAGTCCCAGTATGGGAGTCGCCAGGTGTCCGCAGCAGTGCGCAAGGCCTCTCGATGCTCCTCTGGGTAGCCCGGTATGATCTGGTTTATCATGACCTCGTATATTTGTTGCTGTATTGGTTGTTAATGTGGAAAGCATATGGGGGGAATGGACTACCCGCCTCGTATAGAAGCAAATAAGGCCGATGCCATGATGGGAAGAGAGTGTTGGCATGGGTACAGTACCCCTTGACACCGATATTCTCTTCGGTCTCGAAGGGCTCATCCCATGAAGTGAATGGCATGCCATGGATACCTGGACCGACCCAACTATTAGCCCTAGGGTAAGAGGATTAAGCTGAAGACAGCCATACCTGCTATTTGAAAGAACGAATCGCGATTCTCGGGCGGCACATCTTGCAAACGCTTCAATGCCTTGAGAAATAGAACCACCTGTGTCCGGTTCTCAGGCTTTGAGCTCCACACCTCGATGTCCTGTCGAAGAGGAACCTCGCCGTTAGGCCCCTTTCCAGCGGCTATTCCAGTGATGGGATAGAACTTGTAAACCATAGTGTCTGGTCTTGACTTTGCCAGAGTCTACTCAGCCAACATGGGTCTCAGTAGGAGATCAATAAAAAAGGCCTGGAACGTTGGCATATCCGAAGGAACCGGATCCTGGAAGAAAGTCAGGCCCAGGATGGCAGAGCTGAATATGCACAACGCACAAGCCGTCCAACTCGAGTATGTGAAGCCGAGAGGGCGACGTTACGAGGAGACGCCATCCCTGCTCGACCCCGAATGGTTCATGACTGCATGAACCCATGCCCGAAATGGATGCCAAAACCACTCACAGCCATGAGAATGAGTTCTGCATGCTGCAGATCCTGGTTCACAGACATCAGCTAGCCATATAACGGCGATGCTGGTGCTGGCTACCACGATCTAGAGCCTGCCAACAGTAGCCAGCCCAGCCATGGGGCTTTGGTGGCTGGCTGTGTTCATAGTTTGTTGTCGCCGAGATTCCACTTCATGCACCTTTTGAGGTCATCCGACCTGGTATTCACCGTGATACAACACAGTTACAATACGTCTTCGTATGGAAATGGTAGAGGACTACAGTGTATGGAATCCCCGAGGGCGGGCATAAAAATCACCATACAGGCCGGAAGCCCAAGACCACAGATATAATCACTTCGGATTACTAGCAATCCTCAATTATACTGCTCTTCTACAAATTGCAGCAAGATGACCCTCCACGGCGACTCCCAGGAAGGAACCCTGACTAGAGCTTCTCTCCAGAAATACCTCGTCCTCGTCTCCATCAATGTCGAAGACAAGAACGGCTTCACATCCCTCGCCCTCGCTGTAAAGAACGGCCATCCCAGCGTCGTCAAGCTACTCCTACAGAACGGCGCTACAGCTGACCAACCCGTCCGCGATGGCCGCACCCCTCTATTCCTCGCGGCAAACGCAAAGCAGAACAGACGGCGCATCGTTCAGCTGCTCCTAGAGCAGAACCCAAAGCCCGACGTTGACGCTTCCAGTCCCGAGTGGAACAATGAGATTCCACTTATGGTGGCTATCACGCAGGGACGAGACCCTGAGGTTGTTCAGCTACTCGTTGATGCCGGGGCGTCGTTGACCAGGACGAATGACCGCGGGGAGACGGCGGTCTCGGTTGCAGACCAGAGCACGAACAATGCCATGAAGAATGCACTTGTGCCAAAGGGCCAGCGGAGCAGTATTGGCTCTGCCCTGGCCCAGCTGCTTGTCAGCGCGCTGCTCTTTGCTCTAGCCTACGCGGAGAAATGGCCCGGCGTGCAGAATATTATCCAGAATGTCATCCGGTCTGCTAATAACCAGGCGAACCCTACACCTGCTGGTTCGAAGCCAGCACCGGGAACAGTATGAACCCACCCAGCTAGCCCTTTATATGGTATAAAGCCTAAGCTAATCATTTGCACCAGGACATTGACGACCCCCAAACCGTCGAAGACTTCAAGCACAACATCAGCAATATAATCCAGGATAGCGGACTTGACGACTTCTTCGCGCCCGGTGATCCGCACGTACAGGAGATCGCCCAAAAGGCCGCTGTCCTGAGGAGAGACGTGGCGAATCCGTTGAGCAGCCCGCCCATGCTCATGAAGCTGGCCCGCGTTGCGCTGTACCAGCCAGTGCTGTACATTGGTATATCCCCCCAGCACAGGAGACAGAAAACAAGAAAAAGGCTCTCGTAGTATAGACGACAGCGGCTCAATGACTGAAGACAATAGAATGGTCCGTGCAAGGGCTCTGGTCACACTGATGACAGAGGTTGCTACGACGCTTGTGGGCGACAACAAGGGCGTGCACCTCCGCTTCATCAACAAGGAGGACTCGACGGCGAATAACCTGCGATCGCAGGGTGTAGAGCAGCGCATGAATTTCACTCCTGAGGGATGGACGGAGATAGGGACGAATTTGAAGAAGAAGATCCTGCAGCCGATGGTCTATGATGTTATTAACAAAGATGTCTTGCAGCGTCCGGTGTTGGTATTGACGATTACCGACGGTGTTCCGTCTAAAGAGAACTCGAATGAGTTTCGAAAGGCAATTGTCGAGTCTAAGAAGGAGCTTAAGGCAAAGAATTATCAGAAACAGGGTATGTGTCTAATAACCTGGAATATTGGCAATCCACTCACGCATATAGCCGTCCTCTTCGACCTAAGCCAGATCGGCAATGACCCTGAGGCTGTCGCTTTCATTGAGAGCTTTGATGGAGACAGTGCTACATCTGATGTGCTACACAGGACTGCTGGTATGCATTCCTCGTGGTGGTGCCGTGTGTCGGCTAATTGGGGTATAGAACACACCGACGCCCTGTTCCAGGAGCTCCGAGATGCTGGAAAGGAAGATGAGCTTAAGAAATGGGTACGTAGTCTAATATTTACATATCATGCCACTGCTAATTTTCCCAGCTGCTCAACAAGTTGGCAACGCCGATCACCTTCAAGCCTTAGGTGCTGGTGATCTGTCGGCAACGTACGGATGTTTCAATCTACAGATATGGAAGCGGGAAATTCTACATTACAAGATTACTTCGATAGCAAGTATTTTTTCTTTATGCGAAATGAAAAATATAATAGGTGAACTGGAGCGAAATCTAAGCATATCTTGGGAATCGGCTTCTGCCCTGACTCTTGAGGTTTAAGGTATTACAGACTGCGGGGAATATAAAAGTCCACATACAGCATGTTCTTCGCCGGCAGGGTTGGGATTAAAATTTCCGTCGGTTCTCTGGAGTATCCCCCGTCCCAGTAAACATAGAAAATTTCCTCGTGCCGTAAAGTAGAGGAGTCACCTTGTTAACGCGGATAGTTAGTCGAGGTATGATTGCCGCTCTATAGCTTTCAAAGTTCGCGGCGTTGTATCCTCGTTGAGAAGGTGGATATAATGCTCTATTTCCCTCACGTTCTCAGTCAGTTAAGTCCAGAAAATCAGTTCTGCGTTAGTATGGGTAAAGTTTATGTTATGGGGATCGATCGACGTACTGCAGCATAACCATCTCGCACCCACCAGGCTCAGAAACCCCCTGAGTACTTGTAACTTCCTCAATGCCTCCTTACTCGAGTCCGGAGCCAGCCATACCCTCTCTGTTACTACCACCGCTGCTTTGTACACCAAGAAAAGTGCAAATGGAGGGAGACGATCAAGGTCTATGGCCTGTACAGCAGGGCTGCTGACAAAGGGGGAGATTGCGTCGGTTATACTTGTAAGCACCGAGTCGAGGAACAACGTACCAAGTGAATGGCAATTCGCAGTCACTTCGTCGCTGATCTGGAGTTTGGACCCATTTTCGTAGGCTAGGAGGAGTCCACTGCGCGACGAAACACAGCATACATGGTTAGCATGGATATTATCTAGACAAGTGGTACTAAGAAGAGTGAAGGGGGGGGGGGGGGGGGGGGGGGGGAAGCTGGATCAACTAACGTATCGCAAAGGGCCACTGCGCCAGAGTATATCTCGTCTGCGTGTACAACCTCCTCGGCCAAAATCGTGCGCAGGCTGTTTGAAGTCTCAACCAACAGCTGCACCTCTTCGATATTGAATGCCCGTTCGGCAGTGGGGTTGTGTAACGCGTTGTGTATGTTATCAAGGAGGGTTGATGCTTCGAATGTACGGGAAAATCGCCATATAGCACTTCCGGCATCTTCCTCGTGGCCACTGGGCCAGAAAGTTCGCTTTGGACTATCAATGTTTTCCGCGAGGGAGCGAGTAAGAGAGGGGTAAGGTCCGGAGTGTATTGTTATGTATCTATCAAGGGTTAGTATATCGTAGAATAATGATTTCATAGGGTAGAGAGAGGCATGCACCTGTCCAGAATGCGGATAGCATATTTAATTAGCACGGTCTCTTCTGGTTCTACATGATCAGTGGGCAAAGCCGATGGCTGTGTGCATGGGTACGCTCTAAGCGCATCGGCCGCTCTGGCAGTAGCCGCTATAGAGATGTAGGCCGCCGGGTAGAAGCCATGGGCGACTTCGAAGAGAGTTACCAGAGTCCTGGCTTGGACGATCTCGGCGGAGTTAATACCAAGCCCTTCGACCGCGGATATCCAGCTCTTGGCCTGGAGGTACCTCGACTGGAACTCGGATGGCGCACTTTCGTCTCCTGAAGAGGAATGTGGGGTGGTGCAAAGTAAACCAATGCAGAATGCAAGAAGTGCGCAATCTAGGGAAACTTCGTCCCAGGATTGCGGGAGCCTATTCCGAAAGGCTTTAGAGAGAATAGGAAACCAAGGATGGATTGATTGGTCGTATGTTGAGAAAGTAACTCCAGGCGTTGATCCGAGTCTATCAACAATATCAGCCTTGATATGGCCCGGCCGCACCGTCTCCAAGGGAAGCGCTGCATTGAACAATGGGGACGATGAAAGCGGACTCGGAGGTGGTAGTACCCGTGTCTCATATTGACACGTTTGATGCCGCCTAGAGCCTGTATGAGCACGTGGATGACAGCATTGCCCCCATGCACTCACCTCCGACAGAGTCCGCATTCAGGAATAGACCTGTCGCATCGCCTTTTCTGGGACCGACATCTCATGCAGGCCTTTCTGGCAAGGTTCACGCTACGTCGGGTATCCATTAAGATTGGGCTCGAGTTCAATCGGTCAAGTTCAAGGAGCCCAGTGCGGAATGTATGAGCTCAGGGTCGGGAGCATGGCGGGGTATGAAGCGGTATCTGCGGACCCCCCTGCGGAGTTTACATAATCTGGAGCGGGAAAAGCGCGGACTCTTTGTAAAAGATGTGAGGAAAATATGGCTCAAACATGAATATAAAATTATCTTGGATTGCTCTGTTGGTAGTTTCCCTGTACCTCATTTTTATCCTCTCAATCGTTTTAGAAAACTAGCGCTGGTCTTGCCCAAGATGCCCCATATCCAAACAGTCGCGGTAGCTGGTGTAGGAATCCCGAAGAACTATGAGAGCCAACAACAACCTTCTGACATCTTGTATAGGCAACTGGCACCCTCGGGCCTCGAGTCGTGCAAGCACTTATTGAGGCAGACTTCCAGATCACCATTCTCACTCGCAAGAAATCAGGGGCATACCGGTCGGGCGTCAAGGTCTTTGAGGTTGATTTTGGCTCTCTGGAGTCATTGACCCGCGCCCTTGAAGGCATTGATGCCGTCGTGTCCATGGTGGGCGGCCCAGGCATTGACAACCAACCCCTTCTAATTGACGCCGCTGTCGCTGCTGGAGTAAAGCGTTTCATACCCTCCGAGTTTGGAAGCGTGACCACCAACCCTGAACTCGAAGAAGTTTTCCCCTACAGCTCCTTCTCCAGGGTTCGGAAATATCTCCAGAGTAAGGCGGAGGCTGGCGATCTATCGTGGACGGTTCTTAGATGCGGCGCCTTTTTGGATTTCTTGCTCAACACCCCCACTTTACTCGACTGGGACACCCACACGGTGACCACGCTCGACGATGGTGAGAATAGGATCAGCTCCACGTCTATGCCCATGGTCGGGAGGGGGGTCGCTGGCATTCTGCGCAACTTCGAAGCCACCAAGAATAAAGTCATGCGTATCTCTGAAATTATCTTGACCCAGAATCAGCTGGTTGAATTCGCAAATGAGCTGAGGCCTGGTATTAATTGGACGGCGACTGACAAGGTTAGCACAGCTGTGCTTTTACAGGAAGGCCTGGACCAGATCGCGGCTGGGGACGTTAGCCTGCTAGCCATGATGAAAGTGATTAAAGGCACCGGGCTTGCAGGTGATATCTATGGTGCAGCATATGACGTGACAGACAATGAGCTGCTTGGCATCAGGGAACTTACGCCAGGGGACCTGAAGAGACTTGTAGCTGAGAAGCTCGCCGAAGCATGAAGCTGGTTGGCAGGACAAGACCGGACTTTAAACGACTGATTGCGAATCCTGTATCTAATACTTAGGCGGCCAGAATTCGCAGGACCTCAGGTCGAAAAACACTTCATTTTGGTGCTGTGGACGAATTCTGAAGTGGGTGGTCAGGCAAATCAAGCACCAGCCTTAAATATACCTTTATCTTAAACAGTTTCTTCCTAGATTACTACGGGATGCCTAAGGTGAAACCCTACCTGCAGCCATATATCTTCGCCGTTGACGTCACAAATGATACAGCTGCAATTCGGGCGCGGGAGATATGTCTATTATATTTACACATATTGCGAGTAGTTCAGGTTCCGGCTACAGGATAAGTGACAGGACGCAGCATCTACGAGCCTATACAGAGTCTCCCACTCATTTCCTGACCATACCGGACCGTTCGAAACAGAACATGCTGGTTCGCTTGCTGTTACATGCCCAGGCAGCCAAGCCATCGCCGGAGCTGAAAGGCCAAAGCATGCCGACTAATCAGACGTAGACTGGCTGGCTGAGCTTCGGTGAATAAACTGCTGTCAACGGCCTACTCAGCTGTCAACGTACCTAGTCGATCATCCACTGACGGGCTGAGCAACCATCTCTATGCATGCACCGACCCCGCCTTTGGTCTTGTTCAGTGTAGCACAGGAGCAGATTTGCTTTTTGTATCTCGGGGATCAGCTTCCTGACGGGAACCATTATGTAGAGGGGTAATCGCCGAGCAGAGCTGTATGGATGATCTGGTTTGACAGATGCAGGGTGTAAGCACTAACCAGTTCATCAGGAAATCGGGGTCTAGAGCGTGATGATAACCCTACTCTACATAATAGCCAGGCTCGATTTGGCCGTCACTTTGCCGGAGTAAAGATCAAATCACACTTTCCTCCCTTTGGGACCAATAGAAAATGGTCTTTCATGGTCATGCTGGCATCTGTTGTTCCAGGGCCGAGAGAGACATCAAACAATCCCACCAGGGTAGCAGTGATCAGTTTCAATTCCATCATCGCCAGGTTTTTCCCAAGACAGGCCCGTGTTCCCTCGGAAAATGGGAGGAAGAGAGTTTTCATGCCTTTCGTTGGTCTCTGATGGCCTATCCATCTTTCCGGCAGGAAGGCGTCGGGACTTTCAAATGCAGTAGGGTCGCGATGGGTTGTGTAACATTGCATAGAAACAATGGTCTACATGCTGATTAACGAAGAATCTTACTGATGTGAGCCTGGAGCTGCTTCACCTTTTCGGGAATGTATATCCCGTTCAAGCCTCGCCCTCCCCGTGGTGTTTCCCTTTGCAGGCTTGCTGGGGCTGCAGGGTGCAAGCGAAGTACCTCACTGATCACCGCATCGAGGACAGGCAAATGCGATATGCCATTGTAGGGAGGCAAAGTACCATCAAACGCCACCTCCGACACCTCCGTCCGGACTCGACCTTGCCAGTCAGGGTTCTTGGCGAGTTCCCAGAACAGATAGGTCAGCGTGGAGCTCGTTGTGTCTAAGGATGTCAGATTTATGCCATGGCCTACGGGGGAGTGGAAGCTTGCCTGTGCCAGCAAAGACGAGGTTTCCGATTTCAGTATAAGTCTCGCGGTCTGTTAGTGGGCCCCCTTCTTGTTCCCCGATTAGAATCTTGGTCAAGAGGTCTTTTCGACCCGAGTTGCGACCATATTGTCTGATGTATTTCTCGTATGGTTGTCGGCCGTACTTCAGTTTCAGTTAGAAGGGGTCGATTGAGCTAAAGCTCAAAGGCATACCTGAATAATACGATCTCTAGACCCTAGGAATTGTCTCAGTGAGGGGATAGGCAGACATCGCAGCATCTTGAGGAGGATCGGGAAACTGCCTTCCAGGCCACTGATAATAAAGTGACAATCCATGTCTACTAGAAACTGAGGGTGGTCTGGCGAGTCCAGCGCCCCAAAGGATTGCCCAAGGAACAGTTCACCTGGGCAGGTGTGTTAACAAGCAAAATGAGTACACATTCGCAAAAGAAACGTACCGACGATTTCTAGGGCTGTCAATCGAAACAGACCCAATACATCTACAGGTCTCCCCTGCTCCTTTCTCACCCGGGCAGTCATCTTTTCAATGATTTGTCCGATCAACGTCTCTGTCTCGAGGAGATTGGACTGTGAGAAGACGTGGCTCAGTAGACGTCGTCGCTGGCTGTGTTCAGCCCTATCCCGCATACTGAATATGCCCACTGGATGGACGCTGAAATGATCATATACAGGCGCTTTCATGAAATCGGATCTCTGGCCGTAGATAGCCTTTACCATCTCTGTATTTGAGAAGGAGACCTCTCGCGGCCCAATTCGTACTGAGGGGCCGTATTTCTGATGTAGTTTGTGTATGGTGGTCGTGCGGTCACCAAGCAGATCAACGACTGCAAGCCATGATGATGTGATCTTCGCTATAAATGGTCCAGGCACGCGTCTGAGCGGCGATAGAAATACACTGGATACAAACTATTGATGTCACAGTTAGCAGCCTTTCATTGCGTTTCAGTATCCGGCAAGACTAATAGATACCGGGCCGACAAATCCAATCGCCAACAACGTGATGGCTATGAGCACAAACATCGTGTGTGCTAATAAAGCCAACAGTTTCAAGAATATGTAAGATTCCACATCCAGGACATTTCTATTATAACCTTAAGTACCTGCGCGCAAGGGCCTCGGCGTTCTCAGCCGCAGCCATGCTGTTCTCCGCGCCATGTCACTTCCCCTCTCTATCCGTTGGGATCAGCGAATGATCTGATCAGAATGTCAAGGCTGAAACCTGGATGGGTGGCCTGAAACCTTCTTGGGTTGTATCCTGCCCTGTACAATGCGACAACATCTCAGCTTCGTAATATGCAGTTGTCAATTCATCCTCTGGAATTGATTCATCTAGACCAAACAGGACTCGATTATACGGACCAATATTTGTACTATAAATGTGGCGATCTAGATTAATATATAATATATCGATAACCTCGCAGACAGGGTATATATCGATAACATAAAGCGGACTATTGCATTTGATGTCGGTCATTAATATTGGGAAAAACAATTACCGGTTAGACTATGAGATAGACGGCATACTCCATGCAATATTAAAGCCACTAACATATTCCAGACCGTGGACAGGTAGTTAAGCCGTGGAGGTGGCTATTTTTGAGTCTGCCTTATCTGGTACTATAACTCGGAGAAGGCTTGCAAGTTTGCGAGATATACCCCAATGCCCAATACGATCGAGCATATCAATAAGCGCACGGAAAGTCCTGCATTCAGCAGCACTGGACCTCAGAGATCTGAAGTTATTGGCCTCAAAGAGTACCTTCCGACAGTCTATCCCGATAGACAGGAGCTCGGGGAAGTCCGTCGCTGCTGGCAGTAAGCTGGGTTGACCTTGCCCAAACTCGCAGTAGCAAAACCACACGAGCACAGCACGGAATATAACACGAGGGACATGGATTGGGGGCTCGGTACCGAGTTTTGTTAATTCGAGGTGGCGGAGGATGAGTGCTCCATGCAGCGCACAGCGATGGCCTGCTACGGAGGAGGCCCATTCAGAAGCATAGCTGCGGTGCAGTTGTGCCTGCCCGTAGCCGGACTTTCCCACTGCATTTTCGAGGCGATCAATGTCAACAAACAGGGAGATGTATGCCGAGTGCCAAAGGGCGTGGAGAAAAAATGTATCTGCGGCATGGCTATCGGGTTGCTGGAGATATAGGCTGTGGAAACGGACAAGCTTTTCATTGTAATCCGGTAGACATGGCCCGTTTCTCTTCCAGTCTTCCATAATGTTGAACGAAATGAGTTCAAGTTCTAAATATTGGCTGAAACCTGAGCTCTTCCTGACAATCTCTGGCTCTGTAGGCTGTGATTCAGGCCCTGAGCTGTGTGGCGTGCGAGGGCCTTTGGACATAGAGGTTGATACCTGTCCCTCAATCAGGCTACACCACTCCTCTTCGGTTGAAGCCTCCCATAGCTTGTCGCTAGATATATCAGGCAGGCCTGTAGCGGGAGTCCTCATGAAAGGGGCCGTCAGCAATAGTGCAGATATTTCAGCGTCGTGGATACACAGCGCAGAGGCCAATCTGGGTATGGATTAGCATGATAAGTGACGCATCGGGAGGCTCGTACCTCTTCTGCTCCTCCTTCCGAATCCAAGACACCCATGTTGTCTTTGAGTGTAATCTGGCTTCGGCGCGAATAGAGCCAATGGACTCGGAGCGCACATCAAACATGCCGCAACGTCTCGCCCACTTTCGGTCTGTCAGTATCTTTGAATCTGCTGAGCTTGCTGGCCAACACTAACCGCAATCACCGTGCCATGGAAACTCTCCGCCACGAGTAAGTCTTTTGGTCTCTGTTGTAGCTCGTGTTACGATTAACTCTAACTGCCATAAACATAAAGGAGCATTCGTTACCCCAGATAAAAGCCCAAATGTCTGCCCGATTATGGCCGCTTGCGCCATCGCAATAGCTTCTGTCCCGCCTCGAGCGATATACCGCTCCCACTACAATCATTAGCCTGGTACTTATCAACTGTGTTTTACATACAGATGAAAGGATTGCTTTATTCAGCATTTCAAATATCCTCTCCCCGTGAGTCGTAGCGCCGGGCGAGCCGATGAAGAGACTGCCCACGGAACAGATTGACAGAAGCAGGAGTGAACTTTTAGCAGAGGGGCGGAATGTTGGCGCATGCACGATAGGGAAAACAGGGTTGAATTTGGTGAAGTACATCTGGATGCAAAGATTCTATCCTGGTTAGCCTGCATCTGGCGGTGGTATCGCGGCCTAGGGCTCACCATGACATCCGTCGATGGTAACGGTGAACTGGGCATGGCTTGGTGTAGCTTAACAGTGAGGCTGTCTCGGTATTCTTCATTTAGCTGAGATCCTTCTGGCTCGACATCTGGCGTTACAGATCCAGTAGTGCTTGGTGTAATGAAGGTGAACCAATGCTGTTTGACCAACTCCTCTTTCGGGGGTGCACCCGAGGGCTCGGAAACCACCTGGTCGGCGTCGCCCAATACAGGATCATCGTATGCATGAGGAAGCCAGCTTGACGCCGAGTCAAGGATACATAAGTTGAACCCATCCAAGTCGAAATCGTCATTAACAAACCAGTCGGGGATCTGGGGAGCCCCTGGTGCACAACCATAGGGCTCGTTTACTTCTCTCGAATTCCAAGTATTACTGCTAGGAGGGGTTCTAATGTCGGGAATACCGGGGCCGGCCACAGCTCCTGTGCACAACTCAAGTCGGTCGCCAGGTTCGATTGGGGGTGAATACAGGTTGCTCCCAGCGGGAGGCAAGTCACCGATGGAGCCAGTCGCATACCCGCGGGACTTCTCGAATTGATGGCCCAGCTCTGGGGGGCCATGGAGCAAGCGACCGGGATAGTAGTTGAGGGGCCGGGCACCTGTGGTTGCTGTACAGCCAGGGTGTATATTATGGATTGGGGGCTCATCTAAAGCAGGCTGAGTGTGGTTTCTGGAATGTCGCAGTAGGGAGTCACTGGGAATGTTAGTCCGTTTCCTATATCACAGACATGGCCGTTGCGCACTGTCGACTGAAGGCTTTCCTACACACGCCGCAGACAAATGGTTTCTCTCGAGTGTGAGTCCTTATATGTCGCATGAGGTGATCATCCTTGGTGAACGATTGCGAGCACCACGGGCACACGCGTTGCCGTCTCCCGCGACGCCGTTCAGACACCATCTTGTGGTGTAATACTTGCTTGGATTGGGGGTGAGAAGAAAGTGACGGACATGAGGGACAAGCTGATCGGAAATACGGCGTATCCACTAGGACATGACGATAGGAACCGACCCCAGACCCCGGACTTACATGCCCCGGACTGGTTCTCGGACGCGGGCAGCGGGAGCTCAAGTATATCCGTAAGTCCGAGTGGCACACCCCGGAATTCCGGTGGGACGTGGGACGGAATGTGGGACGGGAGTCATGATCGCCCTGTATTTTGGGGACCAGGAGGAATCCGTGAGTAGTGGCCATGCTCTGATCCCTGCCTACTAGAATGAATTCGTGGAGTCCCCGCGTGTAGTCCCGCAGGAGCATTCTAAATATTTCATGATGATTTGCGCCGGCGGCTCATCCTTCGAGGATATGTAATATCAGAGTCTCTCATCAACCAATACAGGCGGACCCTCGCCTATTCAGAATGGACGGAGAAGACATCGAAACCACTGATGTGGTTATTTGTGGGTGTGGTCCGACAGGGGCTTTGCTGGCTGTATATCTGGGGCAAATGTCTATTTCCAATATCATCCTCGAGAAGGAGGCGGATATTACCACGGACCCTCGTGGAATAGCACTGGACGAGGATGGCATTCGCTTACTGCAGGGAGCAGGTCTGTATGACAGTATCTACACAGAAATCGGAACGTGTAAGTCGTTCCCTGCCTTCTACTTGAACTACTCCTGACAAGTGGAACAATAAGGCATGTACAACTTCAATTTCATCAGCGGAACGCAAAAGGTCCTGGACGCGCCCCCATTTCTCTCAATGGATTACGGTACTGTAAGACTACCACGCACGTCACGTACCCGGCGCATTACTAACGATGGTTATAGACATCTGGCGGGACAGGGCATGTCGGCTTTATCTGCCACAAGCAGCCGACACTGGAGAAGAAGCTGCGGAATAAACTAGAAGATTGCCATTTTGCTGATCTCCGGACACAGTCAACTGTTATCAAAATCGAAGAGGACGCCAACTGGAGTTACTGCACTTATACCGACGCCCAGGGCAAAGAGCGCCACCTTCGAGCCAGATTTCTGGTAGGAGCAGACGGGAAAACAGGGTTCACTCGCAAGCACTACCTCGAACCCAGGGGGGTTCACATGGAAAGGGTGCATGAGTAAGAGCTAGTCCACCTCCCACACTGGGTCACTGCTGATCTGGCTAAACAGCTGTTTTTACGAAGAGACATGGGTTGCCCTGAACTGGCACATCACTCCGCCAACTCCTAAAACCCACCCTGACTTCCCCCTATGGCGGCTCGGATACACTGCCGGTGAGGTATACGATCTTTTCTTTCCAGAGAACTTTCGATTCCTCTGCAATCCGGAGCGGCCGGCTGTGTGTGGGAGGTTTGGACTACCAGACGACCGACTCTGGAGGTTTGAATTTGTGGTCCGCGATGGAGAGGATCCTAAAGAGATGGCCGAGCGTGAGATGATCAAGAGCGTCGTATTCCCTTATATTACACACCGGGGAGACAAATACGGGTGAGCATCCCATTTCAAGTTCTGTTTGTAAGTAGTTGATGGTCTTGTGTAGCCTGAGCCACGACGTTCAATTTCCTGAAGACTGTATCCATGTAATACGGTGCCGGCCCTTCAGGTTTTCTGCTCGCAGCTGCAATGTCTGGGCAAAGGACCGCGTCATCCTGTGCGGCGATTCTGCGCACGTCTTTCCGCCTTGTACGTCCCATCGCCCATCTTCCGAGCTGCCTACTTATCTAACTACATACAGTCGGCGGCCAGGGCATCGCGTCGGGATTCCGAGACGCCGCATCCCTTGCCTGGCGTCTAGCACTACTATGCCGATACCACTCGCCCGAGTCAGAGTCCTATAAAACTGTGCTGGAATCGTGGTACCAAGAGCGAAAGCAGCAGCTGGACCAGTCTCTCGCGTCCACCATCCGCAACGGACAATTCGTAACGGAGGGGAGCCCTCTTAAAATCTTTCATCGGTCTTGGTACTACTGGCTTGTTCAATTGGTTCCCAGCTGGAAGCGTGAGATGCAGCTCGGCCGACGCAAGGATGGCCTTGTCCGGTACAGATATCTGAACGGTATGCCTTTCGTTCCAGAGCTTAATGGTGGGTTAAACGTTCCCCAGGTGTACTGTCGTGACATGAGCGGGCAGGTCCATTTCACAGACGACATTATCTTCCCGAATCGGGGCAAAGGGCTGTTTCGGATGTTTGTATACTTGAATAACAGTGCCGAGATTGCGGGAGCAAGAGAAGTCTTGGATGATGTCGAAGTTTGGTCCGAGGGCGAAATCATGGCTGATCAGACTCCCCTCATTCTCGAGGACATAGAGAGGGAGGATGTCCTCATTACAGGGGAAAATCCAGTATATCAAGTGGCTACCGCTGAGGACTTTGCTACATCTCCTCTTTGCGCCCGTCGTCCGGCACCGGCCTGCTATGAAAAACACCAGCTTGGGGACATGACCGGGAACAAGTTCGTTATTGTACGACCAGACCGCTTCATATTTGCTGCATGTAGCGGCAGGGATGACCTGAGGAGAGCCGTGGATAGGATGCTGGAAGTTTTACAGATTAAACCTACTTAGATCTCTGGAACACAGATAGATTATGAAATATCAATCGCCAGATCTACTACTATAATTATATATAATTCTAGAGTTGCTTACAGTGTCCCAGATTTGACCCAGACGCCCCAGCGTCAGCGTTGCTTTTAAGGCGAAGGAACCGGTCGACTTCCACCTGCACCATATACCGAGGATACTCATAGAGGAATAAAAGGCCCTCGCCCTGGGGCACTATATAGGTGTGACTTAGTGTCAGTACAGATATCAGATGATGGTCTCTCTTATGGGTGATGTACCAGCGTGATAACCATCCAGTCTGTTAGTCTGGGCTTGGGCAACCTCCCGGAGAAGGGCTACTTTTGGGCAGTATTCGGGATGATTTGCAGAAGCGTGACTGGGCTGTTGCTTAGATATGACTGGTGTAGCTGTTATACTTTTATATTACCTTTATATTGGTTTTGATTTCTTTTCTTTGTTATAAAAAATAGGACAACAGATAAGGGTGCGTTGACGGCGGCTTTTCTCGATTTTTATCATTAGAAACCAAGTCTCTTCGAGTCAGTCAACCAACGTGGCTGTGACCTGCCACTGTTGGTCAAAAGTAGATATCATAGCAGCTCTTATTACTGCTTTAATCCGTTTTCCGATATCTGCCACTTGATGACCTAGCCACGATCCATAGATGTTCATTAAATAAACAGAAGAGACGATCAGTGCTTGTTAGTGGGAAAAGACAAGTCAACTTCATCATCTAATATTCTGCAGGAGGACGCCCTGTGAATGGATAGCCGTGGGTTTTGTGACTGAGCACTTCATCTTGGCCGACATCAGAGACAGTCGGAGTTTGACCGGTACTGCAGAGTGCCTACCTACATTCATGCTGATGGCCAAGATGCAGCAGTTAATGCCCAGCTCGTCGAATTACCCTAACAAGGTCAACAATGCGAGACAGAAGCCGCACCAATAGGATTATGGCCCCCATCCCCCTGCCCTGATTTCCTGCGCGGGCACCATCCTGATAGCAGAAGCCAAGCAGCCAAGCAATATATATTCGGGGGCCAAAGGTGGTGGCTTGAGCTGTGGATGGCTTTATCATGAACTATAATCCAACTGCAGAAGCTATGGATGTTATCACTAAGGATTCAGTGGAGAGCCAAGGGCTACATGGGGGATTCTATCCTCCGCATGACAGGCGCGAACATACTATAGCAGGCTATGAAGTCATGGACCTGGAGCGCAGTTGGATAGCTGTATAGTATTTGCTCCAGATTTTGGCCCCTCGTGGTCCTTAGTTTCTTCAGAACAATATTACGGCAAGTTGAGATGTTAAATCGGCAGAACGTCTGCTGAAATATATAAAGATATCGTCGGGTCCTCTAATATCTGAATCACCTCCAAAGTAACTGACCCATTTCTCTCTACTTAGTAACTGACAATCATCCAACTCCAACATGAAGAGCACCACTTTTCTCGCCACAGGTACACTCCTTGTGACCGCCCCATTTGCCCTTGCTGGTGACCTCTGCCTTTCTTCTGCCTGCACGCTTGCACCCCCTGACCAGGGGCCTGCCTGCGGCTGGTGGCAGATGTGGTCCCCTGGTGTTGATGTCTGCGGCCCTGGAACCAAAGAGCTCCAGTATGTACAGCCTATTTAACCAAACTCCCAGCACCTCCTCCTTCCGAAAAGGTGTATTGGAAGAAAATGATAATACCTCCCCCAGATATGATGAGCTAATATATATAACAACCATAGCCCCAGTGACGACCTTGAATCACACCTTGTAAACAATGGCCCGATTATCCTGGACGACATCTGTGGTGTGACTGTTGCACTATCCTGGGGTGATGGAGCGCCCGTTCTCGACTATGTTAACGTCGAGGAGAACTACTCCTGGAGTGTCCCGGCGGACAACATCGAGGGTGAGAGTACTGTTTGCCACTATAGTGGTACCGACTGCGGCAATGCAGGACCTATCTTTAGCCGTTGGTACTGGCCTGACATTGGTATTTGCTAGTTTGGTAGCTATTGAGTCTGACAAAGGGGATGTTTTCTAACGGATCGAGTGAACAATAATTGTTTAGAGAATGAGCAAACAGAGGAGTGGTCTTTATCTTGATATACACGCATTTCCGTCCCTACAATCAGTTATAAGTGTATTCAATAAAATATCAAACCCAAGAAGATCTACCTGACCGTACACCAATAGCCTATCCAGATCTTCCCGCAAAGGCGGTTTTTGGTAGACCTGCGAAAGCGCGGCTAAAGACCTCGAGAGCAGTGTACTAGAGTCGCCCTCTCCCGCGATGCCTTAGTCTATCTCTATTTCCGCCCTACCCTATCTAGAGCAACAAGACCGTAGAACAAGACAAGATAAGGCTAACAGGAACTATTTATCGCCTTGCTCAAGGCTAGTTGATATCTACTTTACCTGGTATAAGCTAGTGATCGGACCTATCTGGTATATATGACCGCAGGGTATGGAAGACAGGGTTTCCTGGTTGCTCAGCTGTCAGGGTATAAGAGAAATAGATAATCATTAGGTAAAAAATCTGCCTCGAACGGCGCTGAATTGATTGAGAATCGGAGAATGACATCGACTAACCCTTGCTCTCCCTATTCCTGTAGCATTCGCAAGATGATAAGATAATCAGAACAGTAGATACAGTACTAATGAGGTCACTAAATCCTAGGTCATGTAAATGAGCGTATGTGACTGTACAAAGCCATGCTTCAGTGGCAGGCGAATGGAGCCCATGATTGGTAGCATAGGGATCCCTATTTCCGTTGTTGTAGAAAGAGCCGTGAACTGCTTGATATCCGACAGTCCCACGTCCCACGTCCCGCAGTGGCAACTTGTGAGGGCTGGGACATAAACTTCCCCACACTATATACAACCGGGACCAACAGTAACAAATATCTGACTCGAGCCAGTTATATCCCCATTTTCTCTCTTTTCACATATTCGTATTACCGCTGCCGCCATGCCCTGGACACACCTCGTTCGCTTTATCGCCGCTGAAGATAGCCAAATTCACCTGGGCCAGCTGGTTGATACCACCCGTGACATCGGACGAGATACCTTCAATGGCGTCAATATCCCTGTGTTCCTAATTGAAGGGACCATATTCGATGGGCGAGTGACAAAGCAAATCTTACACATTAAACAGGTGTGCTCCCTTTCCCCGACATTCCGAGCCGGCTGACCATACCAGCTTCTCTCCCCAGTCTCCCGCGAAGAATGCAGCTACATCCGGTGCTTGGGTCTGAATTATCTCGACCATGCCAGGGAAGCAAACATGGCCCTACCAAAGGCGCCGGTGCTTTTCACAAAGCCACGCACCGCATTGGTCGGTCCGTACCCGACAACAGTCAATGTGCCGAAATGCGCCCAGGACGAGACCAGTGACTATGAAGCTGAGCTGTGTGTTGTTATTGGGAAGAGTGGTCGTGATATTCCTGAGGAAAATGCCCTCGACTATGTGCTGGGATACACTGCGTCTAATGATGTGTCCGCCCGTTCGCTGCAGATGATCACTCCCCAGTGGTCGTTCTCGAAAGGACTCGATGGCAGCTGTCCGATAGGTATGTCTCAATCACCAACCAGCCTCCATTTCTATCCCATAAATCGGAATGTTAATTGCTCTCCCAGGTCCCGTTCTTGTTTCGCCCAGTGTGATTGATGACCCCCAAAACCTGTCCATCAAAGCCATCCACAATGGTCGCGTAGTCCAGGATGGACACACCAAGGATATGATCTTTTCAATCAAGAAGCAGATTTCGTACCTTTCCCAGGGTACCACTCTCGAAGCCGGGACTATCTTCTTAATTGGCACCCCGGCTGGCATTGGATACTTCAGGGAGCCGCGCGTGGTTCTTAGAGACGGGGATGGCATGCGGGTGGAAATTGGCAAGATTGGGACATTGGTGAACAAAATTAGATATGAATAGATATATCGTGAAATAGAACTTGTCTGGATTACATGATTCCTTGACAGGCGACGTTTGGCAGCAAATTTGTTTATGGGCCGTTCTTCGATGCTCCTGGCCAAACCGAATGCAGTACCATTTCCGCTGTAGTCCTTCATAGCTACACGTCCGAGATGCTATCAATTTAATCTGGGTATTTGATATTCTTTACCATTGCATTTTGATGGCACCCGACCTATCCTCGTAGCATCCCCGACAGTAACATTGGAGGAACTGAACTTGTCTCTAGTTGTCTGTTGACTAATCTACAAATGATACTGTATGGCTTCCATGCTCGGACCAGTAACGTATAACATCGAAATATCAGGGATGTCGGCGACCCGGAAGCGGTTTATTGAAGTCCAACCCTAGCTCCTCTGCGACCTATGCAATATTTAACGCATTGCTTACCATTGCCATTACCTCCGGACAAGAATGCGAAATAGAACGTTCATTTCAACTGTATGTAAACTAACCCCTCTCTATGTCCTTTACTTCAAAGACCAAGCCGGCACTTCTGGCCCCCAGACTGCCAGACCCTCATCTCCTGCAGGGCCATAGCCTATCGGTGTTTCTTGATTCACAAGATCCCCGTCCGCATAATGCTCAACCATGTTTCCGGTGGTATCCCACCAGTAATCAAATATTTGCGAGCCTAGGATATGCCGTCCAACGCCCCATACACTCTGGTACCCTCGCTTCGCCAGCCACTGGTGGCCCAGCTTCTGGGTGTCAAAGTCATGCACCTCGAATGAGCAGTGGTGTACATGGGAGGTGGTGTTGGTGCTCATGAAGAAGCAATGATGGTCCACCAGATCTGTCCCACGATCAATATGTGCAAAGAGCGCGACATCCACGTCTTTCCCGCCTTTTTCTGCGGTGAGGAAGTCGGATGGCACAATATTGAAATTCTTCGTGTAGAAGTCTACCATGGCGGGGAACTTTTGAACACAGAGCCCAAAGTGCCCTAGCTGTGTGGTATTAGCTGGGATGTTTCTTTCGTTTTTTGCTCTTCGTGAGCTGGCATACCTTGTGCACTGCCGCTGGTCCGGGGACAAAGCGCTGGAACTTGCGCACTCGTGGTTTCTCCAGCTCATAGTTCACGAGCAGACGAGACGGGTATTCTCCACTTTCTGCTGGAGCCTGTCCGTAGATGAGGTTCAAGGGGAACCCTTCTGGATCTGTAAGAGTGAGCAGGTAGCCACCCCCAGGAGCATCTGCAATTTCTTGAATTTCGCCGGCAGTGGGAAGTAGTGATGCCCTGTCCGTCCCATTTAGCCAACTCTTGCAAGACAAACAAAGGTAGAAAGGGAGCAACAAGCTAGGTGACAAGGTCAACTCACCTCCTTAAGTCATCGTACGTTTCAACCTCGAATGCACCACCGAGGAACTTCTTCTCGCCCCTGCGTGCATAATAAACGTACTGGTCCGTCCCATACCCGCGATACCATATCTCATCTGCAGTGCGTTTGGCTATCTGCATGCCGAAGTCTTTGGCCTTCGTCAGCCATGAATGCCGGCAAATTTAGTTGTGAAACATACCGTGAAGGAAAACCGTAATCTCATCTAGATTCGGGTGCTGGTACCGCATATGTGCCAACTTTACTAGACGTATCTGGTCCTGCGTGTTGATTCCACAGCGCTTGCGCCATGAGGCGATGCTTTCCTGCTTGGGGCCGATTGCTGTAATATCGGGAATCGAGCCGCCGTGGCACGCTACTTGGTCGGTGGAAGAAGCCTAGACAGGTCAGTTATGGAGGATACTTAGAAGTGGCCGTTAATACGAACCATATTAGGGGTATCGTATGCTGTCTCGCCTTGAGCTTTGATACCATTGGTGCTAATTTATATTTTCTAATAATCCCCCCGCCTTTAATAGCCCGTAGTTCGCAGCAACCTAGAGAGCCTTGTTGTGGTCAGCCGGTAGATGCACTATAATTGTTGCCGGTGATGTAGGGCGGGACCGTCCCACAGCAGACACCAGACACAGTAACCCGAAGGGTCCCGCACGAACAGATCCCCTGCTACTGGTGGTATCGTATTGAGAAGCAGTGGGACTGTGGCGGGACCTGACCAAGAAGTAGACAGCGAGAGCCCTCTATAGTCAGTCCAGTGTACCCACTCTCTCCCCTAGTCTTCCCCGGATTCCCCCCACAGATGGCTCCTCGCTCTGGTAACAAAGATGAACAGACGTGTATATTAAACTACAGCCTTCCCACTCCCTTGTAAGTGTTTCGATCTAGGCTATATTTTCCAACATGGATCGGGCCCTACCTGGCCAGTTTTTGGCCGAAAGTGGCGCGGGTCTGGATATCTTTCCAGGGACTGAGATCATGCTCAACCCTAACAGCACTCACGAGCGAAGTGCAGGCACCGTGTGAGCTATCTAATTCACCGGCTTCTGACTTGCACGAGTAAAGGCTCATTACAGATAAGACTTTCTCCGCAGCCATCAAAAGACCCAAGAGACCCTTTGAACTGGTCCCGACGTTGGAAATGTAAGACACTCTCGAAGGATCCACCAGGCCTAGTGCTAATACGTATGCCCCAAGATGGCGTAATAACTACGCAGTTTCTGTTCCTGTTCGTTGCCGTCGAGTCCGCTCTGTCCATGGGACCTATGTTCCCTCTCTTCGCGAAGGAATTCTCTCTTGGTGAAACCGAGCAAAGCCTGCTGACCGGCGTGTGCGTTCTTGCCTTGGGCTTTTCAAACTTCATCATTGTCCCATGTTCGAATATCCTAGGCCGCCGCATTACCAGTCTTGTTCTCTGTCTTCTAGGCGCTGGGACATGTATCTGGCAAGCCCTGGCATCGTCGTATTCCTCGCTGCTGGCTGCCCGCGTCGTCAACGGAGTCGCAACAGCAACAAGTGAGACACTGCTGGTACAGGTAGTCTCCGATATGTTCTTCCTCCACGAGCGCGGCCTCTGGACAGGCGTTTACTTGTGAGTCATTGGTTCAGGAATGCGCCCTCGCCTAACTAACCGCGTTATGCAGCATGGGATATTTCCTGGGGCTGTTCATTGGGCCCGTGATATCCGGAAATATTGCAGAGCGGTACGTATATTAGGCACCACTCCCCATTCTCAGGCCTGGCTGATGTGACTGCGTGCTAGGTTCGGCTGGAGAAGCTTCTTCTGGCTCTCACTGGCGATGACGCTTTTCAATTTCGTTACACTGTTGCTTTTCTTCCCAGAAACCAAGTTCCAGCGACCTGAATTGTCTGACCCAGCAATAACATCCCCCGAAGTAACCGAATGTAAAGTGGATTGTGAAGAAGTTGAGGACGATACTGCCACAAGTCCACCCATGTCCAGCCGTGGACGGCCATCTGCTGCTCAGTTCAAACTCTGGCAGAGTCCTGATCCACAGTGGAAGGCATTCATCGCCCGCGACGTCTTTACCCCGATATATGTGTTTATCTTCCCGATCATCTTCTGGGCCAGCCTCAACGTAGCGGGGCCTGCCAATGTCCTCCTCTACTGGAACCTTACCCAGTCTCCTGTCCTAAGCACACCCCCATACAAATTCACCCCCTCCGCAGTTGGATACTCAAACTTTGCCTTTGTCGTTGGCGGTATTATTGGACTGGCAACTGCCGGTCCTCTCTCTGACTGGATTGCCATCAAGGCCACCAACCGCAACAACGGCATTCGCGAGGCAGAGATGCGGTTGCCGGCCCTGATCCCCTTTTTTCTAACCACCGTCGTCGGAATCGTAATTGGCGGCGTCGGATATGACCGCCAGTGGGACTGGCCTGTTGTTCTTGTTGTAGGGTACGGCCTGTCAGGCCTGTGTGTCACTGCCGTGCCAACAATCGCCATCGCATATGCTATCGACTGCTATAGACCCATTTCCGGAGAAATCATGGTGGTGGCGACGGTGATTAAAAATACCTGCGGCTTCGCGATGAGCTACTGGGTGTCTCCTCTAGCAGCTCGCGAGGGATGGATCTCGCCGACCATGGTGGAATTCGCGCTAACTGTTGGACCGATGTTGCTAGGGATTCCGGTTTATTTGTTTGGCAAGGGGCTTCGACGACTCACGCGCAATTCGAGAGTGCATTTGTATAATACATGACCAGAGTAGCGGCAATTAGGCATGTAAACTCGCTTGATAAAGAGCCCTGCAACCTATACTAAACTAGATATGGTAACTCTATTGCTAGAAGATACGGCTTGAATTATATTAACTGCCTAAATTTATTAATATTTTGTATATAGTTCGTAATTATCGAACTTCGTTGTTGCAGTGGCGCCATGCTAATATTGGATATAGTGGGAGGGAGACTTGGACATCGGATAGCTAATCCTTGGGCTAGCCTACTCTGCCTGGGACGCACACGACTATTATACTCGCCCGGGCTATCTTGACCTCGAAAATGGCCATGCCATCTCTGAAAACGGCACTCTCATGATTGCCGTGGTTTCAACACGACTGCTTGGCCCGAGCTAGGCATTGAGACTATCGTCATTGGCAAGGTCATGATTGGCAACTACTCGACCACCGACTTCGACGATGTCTCCTACTTGATGCACCAGGTTCGCCGCATGCCCAGCGGTTACCGGGAGCTGCGGTCGCGTTTCTTCATCGCTGCCGGCAATCATGGCACTGCCCAGCTTGGCCACGACCTCGCAGTGCATTGCAACATTGAGATGACTCGAATCGCAGCATATATCGAAAAAACATGTGATACCCTTATCGTCGCCATATCCAAATTTTTATAAAGTACCTATATTTAGGTTTGGGATAGGCTTTGTGGAATTCGTCAAGCACGTTCAGCCGCAGCCCTGGGATCGGCGCACTGCCCGAGGCTGAGCCTGAAATCTGCCTGGCCAAACAATTAACTGAACTGAGCACTGCCCCATGTTTCCTTACGGGAAGAGCCCGCGCCTAACTGCGACCAGTAATTTGTGCGAGGCATCTGGCAGATCATTCCTTGGTTCAGGATTGTCCCGATCACAGTCACACACTTGGCCTGTCGCCAGCACTTAGGTAGATAGTAGTCGGACGATCGATAATAATTTCGCCCCTTTTATTGTTATAATTATTATCCCGATTCCCAGAGGGAATTTCCCACACTCTCCTCTCACGGTCTGCATGGCCGCTCCTCCCACGACAACTCAACGCAGCCATGCGACTCTTCCCTGTTGTCCTTGGTGCCTGTCACCTCCTCGCAGCATCCGCCCAAGATGTTACATGCTATAAACCCGACGGAACGAGCCGAACATTCAACGGGACCGAGCTGTGCAACAGCGTCGACGGATCGGTGAGCATGTGCTGCGGATGGAACGACCAATGTCTCCAGAACGGCCTCTGCAAGAGTAAACTAGACAACAAATCGTACTGGCGCGATATGTGCTCTATATCCTCGTGGCCGGAGGTAGGCTGTTTGAAGGCTTGTACGGTATGTTATATTTCTGTTTCTGCTTTATTGCTGTTCTGGTGCGGAAGGCTGATAGCTCTATTCTCTCTCCAGGACGAAGGGCAGATTGACGAAGTCGGGAACGCGCAGATGACGCCCTGCGATGGGACGGATTACTCGGAGAAATGGTGCTGCGGCGACAATACAGACTGCTGTGGAACGGGTGATGAGATTATTGTTCCTACCAACATCTACGTGTCCTCGACGGCAACCTCGACATCAGCGAGTGAATCGCCTACATCCACATCGACCACTACGGGCACTGGCGCAATTGCCAGCCCGTCTCCGGAGGAATCGCCAGAGTCGGGGTTATCGACTGGAGCGAAAGCGGGTATAGGGGTGGGTGTTGGGGCGGGTGTGGTTATTGTGCTTGGTGTCGTTGCATTCCTCGTTATTCGACGGCGGCGGAGGAAGGGGATGGTTGCGTCAGGGACCACATTAGACAGTTCAGCACAACCGGGCGTGGTTCCCCAAGTTCCTCAGGAGCTTAGCCAGACTCCAGTATATGAAAAGCCCGCAGATAAACAGGATACAAGGTACGAACTCCCAGCGCAGCCATCCACCGCAGATCGATAGCATTCGTGGCAAGGGGATGACTAGGAGCAAGGCCTTGCGGTCACTGTATTATAATGCCTCACGTATTAATGTTGATACAAATAATACCCTACCATTGTGATATGATCGCGGATTATCGACCAATGAGTAATGCTTCTCTGTTGAAGTAATTCATGTCAATGTTACACTCAATCCTCGGCATTGAAGCGGGGTTGGGTGTGTATTACTAAACAACTTGGCTCCTTGACATCTCGCAATATAAATCTGACTGATCTGTCTAGTGACTGCTTCGCCACTAAGCAAGTATTTCACATTCACCTTGCTCGTTGCACCTAGTTTCTAAGGTAAGAAAACATAAACTTTCTAAATTACTTGTGCTGATCTTACAGACTCAACATCCACACCAGACAGCTCTGAATAACCCATACACAACCCTCTCAAACAGAGCAAGATGGTGTCCAGTTCAGATATTAGCTACTTGCGCCGTTCCGTGGAGCTCGCCCGTCAAGCCCTGGAAACTGGAAATCCACCATTCGGGTCCGTGCTAGTAAACGCCACGGGAAATATTATCCAAGAAGACCACAACCGGACCGTTACCGATGGAGATGCCACACTACACCCCGAGCTGACATTAGTCATCTGGGCACAGAAGAACCTGACCCCGTCAGAGCGCGCTGCCAGTACAGTATATACTTCTGGCGAGCACTGCCCGATGTGTGCAGCGGCACACGCGTATGCGGGAATGGGGCGGATTGTATACGCATCCTCCTCGGCGCAACTTGGTCAGTGGAAGGAGGACATGGGACAAAAGCCTGGTCCGGTTGTGTCACTTCCAATTAATCAGATAGCCCCGGGTCTGTCTGTTGATGGACCGGCTGCAGGCCTGGATGAGGAGGTGTATGAGTTGCATCGGCTGATACAGACTTAGCTACAGGGTAAAGACTAGAAGACAGCCACAAAACTCTAAGGATAGTTAATTTCATATACTCGTATCTGACGCTACCTTTTACTATGAATTGTATACAAATCTACTCGAGCTTTTCGATTAACTGGCGATGGCGACTTCCCCACAGCGTATTGTAATCCCATTGGCTGTGCTCAGAGAACCTTGCATCTTGGCTTCCGTTCCAGGACTAGCGCTATCTGGATCGATTTAACCGACATATGAGCAAAAGACTCTGGAGAATCTCACTTTGTTACAACCACCAACAGACTTACGCAATTCAATGAGCCTCAATATCACAGCGAACTGCTCCGATGTCCCATGCTGGACCTGTCGTCGCCGACGCCTCAGGTGCGACCGAGCGCTCCCCACCTGCGGCAAATGCGCATCTTCGCAGCGACCCTGCCAGGGATACGGCAAAGACAAGCCTTTGCGATGGACAGACAGTGTGGCCAGCCGCGGCAAATTAATGGGCAAGAAGGTCCCACGCCAAGAGCAACCCCCAATCAGTCGGGTCCTGAATGATCCGAGCGTGCAGGACTTGTCTCCATCGATGCGACACTACATTACCTATTGTAAGTACATCGTCTGGGGCCAGGTGGATACGGGCTGATTGAGATTAGTTGCCCAAGAGTGCTGCCAGGAATGCGTGCTATATGACTTCGAACGGGCAAATCCGTTCAAAGAGTTCATTCGATTGATCCCGTCATGTCCGGGATTATGCCACACAATGGTGTCAGTTGCAGCTCTACATCAGGCCTTCCGGATCGCAGCAGCCCAATGCAACGAAAGACCTGTGACGCCCAATTCAAATCCTACTGAAATTCAACCTCTGCACCAGTTACCAGCATACTACGATGCTCTAGACCACAAACAGCGAGCTCTCGGTTTCTTGAGAAGCGAAGCAAATGCCGGATCCTTCAGTAATCCGGACGGTGTCATTGCATCCATGATTATGTCCATATGGCTCGAGCTCATGGATTCCGGACGAAATACTTGGAGATACCATCTTCGCGGACTGAGAGAAGTGATGCCAAAACGAGGCTTATCCCTCGCCCTATTCAAAGACGAAGAAGAATTGGCCACTGGTCTCCCTCAAATGAGCGAATACTTTGACACAAGCTACGCCGTGTAAGTAATGCCCATCCCATACAGTAATAGTCACTGATGGTGCTACAGTCTGGAAATTATAGGGTCAACATTTGTCAAGGCCAAACAGGCTTATCAGCCGCTCTTCTCGATGTCCCCTACCCTCGACATCCTGAAACGTTCCGAGTCCCAGACATGGACCGGGTGCCCCGCAACCCTCCTCTACGTGCTTTCTCTCGTGAATGCAGTGGCCGCGAGAGCTCAAGAAATCCCTCCAGATGTGATTGGCAACATCCTAACGCATCTGCGGAACTTTTGTCCAATGAAGTGGGCACTGACAGGTGCGGAAACTCACTATATAAAACCAAGATACCAACTTGCCTGTATCTGGCAAGCAGCAGTCGAGATATACGCGCTGCAGGTCTTCCCAACTTCTTCCAACGAAGGGAGAATCACGAATTCCCTGGATCTGAGCTTTCACCATCTCGAATCCCTACTCCCTGCGGACGTCCATCTCAAAGGCATTATATGGCCTGCATTTGTCATTGGCGCCGAGGCGCAAACACCCTTTCAAATGGGACTAATTACTGATGTGTTTGGACGTTTGTGGACATTATGGCGCTGTCAGAATGTGGCAAATGCCTTGAAGGTGCTTGAGAAGATTTGGGCTCGTCGAGCTGAGGAAGGGTCATTTAGACGGTGGATCGAATATGTCTATGAGTGGGGTGACGATTGGATGTTCATATAGTCCTTCCATTCCTTGATTATATTCCATACGGGCTGGTCAAACTAAATAGCACGATTTCTATTGCATCACATTACTTTTGGTTCTATTACGCTGCATGAAGGTTCTCTTTGCTCGTTCCATAATCCACTTTTCGAACGCAGCATTTAAATCGGTCATTCATCATATTCTGAACGACCTTGCTGCCCTCTCGTAACAGTTAATCCGAAGAAGCCTGTTCCTGTATTTCATCCGCTGTCATCTCGCTGACAGCTTTAGGCACCCTGCCCCAGATCACCAGGATTATCAAACTGGCACCAGCAACACCGACTCCGAACCAGAACGTCACTTTGTAGCTTTCTTCCAGACCCCTGTCCTTGACCACGGAAGACTGGATAATGTCCGTTAGCCCGAGGACCAAGGCGACGCCGAGCTGCAGCACGGAATTCAAGACACCCCCTGCCAGCCCCTGCTGCGAAGACGGGACGACTGTGGTAATGAAAACGGCCATCAGGATAGTAGACAGGTCGATGCCAATCGTGCTGAGAATGGCCGACGGGAAGATGAATGCCCAGTAGCTACCTCCACCAGGCGGAATGAGAGCGAGGAGAAGTTGGGAAACAACGGCGGCTGAGCCCGAGATGATCATGAGAAGATGGCCGGGGACGAGGTGTAAGATGTACCCTTCAATGATGCTGACGACAAGTCCAACCACGCCAATGGGTATGTACCACACAACGACCTGGAGTGGCGAGGCGGACAAGACCGTTTGGAAGTAGAGTGACCCATTAACGGAGAAGATACCCCAGGTACCGTAGAGTAGTAGGAGGGCAATGAGTAAAGGTGTCATTGATTTTACTGAGAAGAGCGATGCAGGCAACAGTGGATCCGAGACAACATTCCGTTCGACATACCACGTCCCGACAAGGAACATGATGCCTAGGAGGAAGGTTGCCAGGACATATGGCGTTTTCCATCCCGAGTCGGCATGGGCGGATTGGGTGATTGCGAAAATCGTAAGAACGAGCCCGCAAACGATGCAAATGGCACCCAGATAGTCCATTTTCACTTTCTTTCGGGAGTCATTCGCCAAACTCGAGTATGGCATCGCAAATATTGCCGTACTGAGCGTTATCGCTGCAAGTATCGCGCCGATCCAGAAGTACCAACTCCAGTATAGGAATTGACCCACGAGCCCTGCAATGGCGATGCCACCAAAGAAGCCGAGAACGCCCGCGGTGCCATAGATTGCAAAGACGAGGTTCTTGCGAGGCCCAGGCCGGTAGAGTGAGCCTAAGAGCATGACTCCAGTTGGGAGAAAGGCGGCAGCCCCCAGACCCTGGAATGCTCGACAGATGTTTAACATGACAGAGCCAGAACTGAATCCTGCGATTAGACTCCATATAGAAAGCCACGCGAGGCCTGCGAAGAAGACAGGGTATCCTCCCCAGATGTCGCCCAGACGCCCAAATATGAGCAAAGTGCTCGAAATAACAAGCGAAAAGGCAGTCGCGGGCCATACCTGCGAAGCCTGGGGGATCTGCAGCTCCTGGGCCAGTGGTGGCAAGATGACCGTGAAGCCGGAGACGAAGAACTCGGTCAGGAACTGCGACATTATGATGCCAAACAAGCAAAATACTTCAGTCCATAGGGAGGGGAACGCCGGGGGACGTTCACGTCCAAGGCGCTCAATCCGAGCAGATTGTGATTCCTCTTGAATTTCCGGTATGTTTAACCGCGAGGATAGATCCTCGACAGCCATGTTGTGAGCTTTCAACGTTCCGGTAAGTCAACAAACCCAAGTCGCCAGAGATTGAAAGTCCCAGGAGATAGGAAATCGACCTTTAAATAAGGCTCTGTCGACATTGACTAAATCTGGTCCATTGATCGACTGTCATAAGTGTGGGGCCAAAGGGCTGTTTGATCCACGATGAACTTCCCAATCGGGCTGCCAAGATGCTAGCCAAAGGCTTCAAGGGAGCGATGACCTGTGGTTGGCTTGCTGACGCTCCACGAGAGTTGTTCCATGCTTGCCAGTAGTAATGACTTCAGACAATTGAGGCTGACTGCGAATAGCACAGTATCGCCACGGGAATAATAATAATAATAATATAATAATAATAATAATTCCCTCTTAAGTCTTTCGCAACAAAGCTCAGATAAACTCACAGTATCAAAGGATAGATACATTCACCTCCATCTCGACTAGGGCTAGGAACTGCAATATCCAGATAGAGATAAAATATCTACTCAGAGGTGAAGCTTAAGTTGTTTCCTTTTGACAGACAAAATGACAGTAGAGAGAGTCGGCATCTAGGTATGTTGTAACACTACAGGTCCAATAACCAGGAGCTTTTACCAGTCTAGCTAAAGATCAAGACTCTAGTGGGGACGCAAAGAGAAAACTGGCCGAAGAAATGCGAGCCGAAGCATTTGTGGATCGTCAAACGGCGATTCAAACTGCTGGTGGTCTCGAAAGAACATCGGAGGATTGGCGATTCTTTGCAAAGTAAACCCGATGCTTATAAGAATACAATTTTCGATTAACTGGCGATGTTTGTGTAGTTCCATTGGTTGTGCCAGAGAGAAACTTGCGTCTTGGCTCTCGGCCCACGCTTCAAGGGAATAACCTCAGCGGCTAAGGCTAAAGCTAAATAAGCATTAAAGTATATTGGTCAGGTTAAATAATTACTCGCGGTACGATATAAACTTCAAGCTAACAAGATGAAGGAGCCGAGATCAGAGCGTCTGGCGCCGAATTGATTGAGCGGGCGGTTGCACTCTATTGGCTCCGCAGAGACTGAGATGCAGGCGCCAATTCGATTGATATGCCAGCAAAAGGCTGTAAAAACACAGCCCTGCTTGCTTTTTCCATGCCGTATTCTGAAGTACATGATTGGCCTTCGGGCCATCACCGCCTCGCAGCCTTGCGCCTCCATTTCCTTTTAGCGCACTAGCCAGAAATTTATATGTCAGGTCAGCCCCATACGCAAAGCAGAATTGAAAATCTCTTGGAAAAGATCTGACGTGCAAGCCGATATTTTTGACCTTCAGTCCACCAGCCCTAAACGTTTCCGGGGATATTGTTCAAGATGGAAAACGCGGCACAAGCCATTATTTTGGCCTTGCTACTTGTTTTAGGGTTTGTTATAGTTCGCTCGGGCGGGAGGTGGACCGAGTCACCGGCTGGAAGCACCAGAAAGCCGCCCCCCGAGACTGCCCTCGAGCTCGACCGAACCTCCACTTCGCAACCCTCTCCACGCCCCGTAAGAACCGTTAGTCCGGTTGCAGAGCAGAATCGTTCCCTCCCCCCTTTCAACCAGTCTCCAGCCGGAAGCATCAGAAAGGGCCCATCCGAGAAAGAAGCCGACCAAACCTCCACCTCGCAATCCCCTCCACTCCCTGCAAGTACCGCTACACAGTCTGCTCCCCAGGAAGGGATCCTTCCTTGCAGGAAATCCACGGATTACACTATCGGCTGGATCTGCGCCATATTAACCGAATATGTGGCAGCTCAAGAATTTCTCGATGAAGAGCACGAACGACCGGATTTTACATCGCCGCACGACACTAATAATTACACACTCGGCACAATTGGGGGCCATAACGTCGTCATCGCTGTCTTACCTGCTGGCGAATACGGAATCGCTGCCGCAGCCACGGTAGCTACGAATATGCAGCGCAGCTTCCCCAACGTTCGAATCGGGCTAATGGTTGGTATCGGGGGCGGTGTTCCAAGCAAGAGGCATGACATTCGCTTGGGCGATGTTGTCGTTAGTGCACCCCGGGACGGTAAAGGTGGTGTGTTCCAGTATGACTTTGGCAAGACAGTGCAGGATCTTTCGTTCCAATACACGGGGTTTCTTAATCAGCCTCCGACAGCTCTCCGTACTGCCCTGACGGGGCTGCAAGCACGATACAAGAGAAAAGGGCACCGTATTGAGAACACAATCGAAAGCATTCTGAACCGGAACCCAGGGCTCCGTCAAGAGTACGCGCGGCCGCCAGGAAATGCCGATACCCTGTTCAAAGCCGCAGTGGTCCATGATGCAAAGGGCTGTGCGGAATTCTGTGCTAGTAATCAATCGAATATCATCGGGCGGCGTGCGCGAGCTACAAACGAACCAAATCCAGCTATTCACTATGGGCTCATCGCTTCTGCAAATCAAGTGATGAAGAATGCAAAGGTGCGCGATCAGCTGGCAGCTGAGAATGATATCCTCTGTTTCGAAATGGAGGCTGCAGGGTTGATGAATCAGTTCCCCTGTATTGTTATCCGCGGTATCTGTGACTATTCGGACTCGCATAAGAATAAGGAGTGGCAGGGCTTCGCAGCAATGACAGCAGCTGCGTATGCGAAAGATATGATCTGCGAGATTCGTCCAAGTTTGATTGAGGCTGAGAAGAGGCTTGGTGATATTCTACTTGGTATCTAAGTCTTTATTAATATTAATTTCAATATGTGTTAATCCTACCTCCAGGCCTCCATGATACTGTCAAAGAGAACCAGGACTTAGCAAAGCAGCAGCTCAAAGCCCAGAATGATTTCGCCAAGGAGAGGCTGTCCGATAAAGAAGAAAAGTGTCACCAGCTGTTCCGTCTGACCAGTGACAGCGGGGGTGAGGCCACGTATGAGTGGTATAAGAATCGAGTGGAGGAGAGGGTCGACAACACGTGCAAGTGGTTCCTCCAGCATGAGAACTTCCAAAAGTGGCTGCAATCAAAGTCCGGCCCCCTGTTCGTCTCAGCGGATCCTGGATGTGGCAAGTCAGTGCTGGCCCGGTACCTGGTTGACAGTTACCTACCGCGATCGGTCACAATCTGCTACTTCTTCTTCAAAGACAAACTCCAGGACAGAGTCCGGCAAGCACTTTGCGCGCTGCTTCACCAACTATTCTCTCAGAAGCCGCATCTGATTAAACATGCTATGCTAGAGTACAGCAAGGATGGAGAAGGTCTGGTTAATTCAACAGAGTCGCTGTGGAAGGTTCTACGAAACGCGACTGGGGATCCCCAGGCAGGGCCAATAATCATGGTCCTCGATGCCCTAGACGAATGCCGCGAATCGGAACTTCCAGACCTGACGCGGAATCTGGAGAGTCAATTCCATAAGGGCCAGGGCAAGCTGAAGTATCTCATGACCTGCCGTCCATATGAGTCGATTGTATCTAGATTCGGCAGCCTATTGCATACCTTCCCCAATATTCATATACCAGGAGAGGAAGAGTCAGAAACCATCAGTCATGAGGTGAATCATGTCATCACGTACAGAGTCAATCAGCTGTCGCAGAAGAAGAATCTCTCATCCGACGTCCAGCAGAAACTGGATGAAGGACTGCGAAAGTCTTCCCACCGCACTTATCTCTGGGTATATCTCGTGTTCAACTACTTGGAGGAAGAACATTTCAAAAAGACAGCAAAAGGGGCCGAGGCGGCGTTGAAGTTAATTCCACAAAGCGTTAATGCGGCATATGAGCAAATCCTTAGCAAGTCTAAGGATCACTCGACGGTTGGAAAGGTCTTGAGTATCATCTTGGCCGCGACTCGACCGCTAACACTTCCGGAGATGAACATTGCTGTGAATGTAGATGAGAGAACGCAGTCTTTTCATGACCTTGACCTGGAGGATGAAGAGAACTTCAAATCGCGCCTCAGAACGTTATGTGGACTGTTCATCTCAATATATCAGGGCAGGATTCATTTTCTCCACCAAACGGCTCGCGAGTTTCTTCTGGGAGATTTCCGATCATCCGATACTGTTCTGTCAGACCCGGGCTGGTATCACTCCATCGCTATGACTCAGGCACATGAGGTCCTTGCAACTGTCTGTGTACGCTATCTCGACTTCTTAAATTCCGATACATCCATTTCAGCAAACGCAGGTGAAGATGACAGCAACATCCTTGGTATTAACTACGACTTCCTAAATTACTCAGCCAAAGCCTGGACTACTCACTTCCGCGAGGCCGATATTTGTCCTACCGCTGCCATATTGCCCTCTGCACTAAGAATTTATGATCCCGGTTCGAGAAGCTATGCGACATGGTTTGACATCTTCTGGCATACTGAACCTAGCTTTCCAACTATCCATAATTTTTCGAATCTTATGCTATCATCGTACTGCGGGCATTATGCCATTGCCAAGGAACTCATCGAACAAGGAGCGGATGTTGATTCCAAGGACTCTGTGTATGGTCAAACACCTCTATCATGGGCTGTAGGATGTGGACACCTGGAGGTTGTTAAGCTTCTTATCCAGACCGGAAAGGTGGATATAGATTCCAAGGATAAGTTTGGTCAAACACCTCTATTATTAGCTGCAGTATATGGATACCTGGAGGTTGTTAAGCTTCTTATCCAGACCGGAAAGGTGGATATAGATTCCAAGGAGACGTTTGGTCGAACACCTCTATCATTAGCTGCAGAAAATGGACACCTGGAGGTTGTCAAGCTTCTTATCCAGACCGGAAAGGTGGATATAGATTCTAAAGACTCAGAGTATGGTCGAACACCTCTATCATTAGCTGCAGAAAATGGACACCTGGAGGTTGTCAAGCTTCTTATCCAGACCGGAAAGGTGGATATAGATTCTAAAGACTCAGAGTTTGGTCAAACACCTCTGTCATGGGCAGCAGAAAATTGGCATAAGGAGGTTGTCAAGCTGCTTCGTCAGGCTACGTGCGGAACGGTTTAGCAGGCTCTCTCAACAATTTGTTTGGGGCACAACAACTACATTCAACACAATGTGAATACCAAAGTGAGAGATGCGACTGTTGCTACCCAACTCTATAGGCGAGGCCGTATCGCACAGGAATCCAGATGGCCCAGAAGCACATGGATAATCCCAGCACCCTCTCATCATCAGGGTATCGATTGCCAAACGAGGCACTTCACACGTTTTCGGGATGTCTGACGCTGAAAAATTGGAAACGGTGCATTCATCAGCGAATTGCCGTAGAGTTTCAGTATGGTTGCAACCATAACGCCTGTTGGCAAGCGTGACGTGTTCTTTTGCTATGACGATTAGCTTTTGGTATCTCAGATGTATTTCAAGTTACGGTCAGGAACTTTGCTATGTTTGCGGCGACCCAACGGAGCATGCAATTGCCCTGTTGGGCACGTCAGCTGGCTCGTTGATACGGTCAATAGATACAGAGAAACACTCCCCTCTCATTAAAATACGACCTACATGGTGGCACGATTCCGCTACACCCATTGCTCAAGCACCACAGGTGTTTCTGCCAACTGGGTTCCTCCATACCCACGCCGCTGGGAGTGTGGTGCCAACGCCTTCGAGATTACGCCAAATAAAACTGGCTACATACGGGCCTCTGGATCCGCACGAAACTCCCCAACGCAACGTGCACTACATCGTCTCGGCGCACGGGTGGAACCAGTATGATGAAGGAACCTGGACGGAGATGAACATTAGAAAGGGGCAGGGCCCGATAAAAAATTATGCGAGATGGGGACGGGGATGGAAGAAAATAACCGGGCCTGTCTCGGCTCCGGACCATCACCCCCGGTTCTACTTCAGTGCGATCATTTTTCCTACCAGCACCATCCATCGCGCCAGAGCAAAATGCTTACGGTCTAGCGGAGGCTTTCAATGAAAGCAGGATCAGCAATTCAACGGATTCGAGTTTTCACTATCCCAAATCTATGCTATCCATGGATGTCTATCTCAAAGCTATTATATAGCCTGTATTTATCCTTGGCGCCAAGGCATAAATAATATCTTGAAGGATACTATTTACTAATATATTAGGACCTCTATAGATATTATAGTACTGTTAGAATATAGTAAATACCTTAAAATTGCTTGAGAGAATTTAGGCTCGTCAAGCTATAGAAGGGTTATTTTAACAGTGGATAGAATATATCTATAAGTAGGGTGAAGATTGGATGTTCATATAGCCACTCTATGCCTTGATTATGTCAGGAAATTATAGATGGGGTCAGCATCCACTATAGAAGACTTTCAATAACATTTGTCTGCCTTTAAGCTCCTGTGAGTGCAAGGGCAGTCTTTGTAACTTAGGGTACACTGTCATACACTGTCATCATTGCTGGGAATTCATACACAGTCGGCACTTGGGAATGTTATATCATTACAGTTGTATACACAATGTAAGCAGAACTTATATAACCGAGAGTTTTCACTAGTTTAACTAGAGATTCAGGCTGTAGCAGGGATACAAGCATAAAACTAGCCGAGGACATGGGAGCGAAAGCATCGGCAGATTTGGTGAAACGGCGATCAAACTGCTGAGGATATCGCACCAAGGGTGGAGGATTGGCGAAATTCCAAAAGTAAACCCTATGGCCCATTTGCCCATAACAATTACCCAGCTTTTACAGACACAGCAGGCTGTGGCTGGCAGCGCGGAGTAATTCCCCACAGCAGTTAATCTCCACAGTATGAAAGAGACAAACTCCGTGTGGGGTTGTCAACGACTAAGAGTATCAAACATGATCAGCCGAATAACCAATCGGTTTCTTCTTGCCAAGTCCACTTCCCGGTTAATATAGGGGTGCGGAGGGCTCCGTCACAGTATATAACCACAGCCAACGGACAGCTAAACAGCAGGAAATAATGGACTAATACAGAGAAAGAAAACAACATGAAGCCAAACAAGATCCTCCCAGGACTCCTTACAATTCCCGCAGTAACAGCCCTAAACGCAACCTCCCTGACATCTGAGTATTTCGGAAATGACGCCCCCTGGTACACCTCACGCATCCCGCTCTTCGAAACCAGCAACTCCGCCCTGCAAGAAGTCTACTACTACAGATGGTCTCTCTTCCGCTCCCACCAGCGGGATCTAGGCTCCCTCGGCTTCCTGTCCACCGAATTCATCAACGACGTCAGCTGGCAAGTCTCGCCGTGGGCCATCCTCATCAACGCCGCAAACTACCATCTCCGCGAGGGGCGCTGGTGCCGCGATCGTCGGTTTAAAGAGGACTACGCGGATGTCCTCTTCGGGCCTAATACGGATCCTCGCCAGTTTAGTGAAGTAATGGCCGACGGCGTCTGGCAGGGGTATCTTGTTGATGGTGTACAGCAAGATGCGGTCGCTAGGCTGGATGCTATGAAGAGTGTGTATGAGGGGTGGAATGCGACGCTTGATATCGGCGGGTTTGATACCTCCAAGGGATTGTATTATATCCAGCCGTTGACTGACGCTACCGAGTATACAATTGCGAGTATCGATGCAACCGGTGGGTATGACGGCTTTACAGGAGGTAATGCATTCAGACCGAGTATCAACAGCTACCAGTACGCGAACGCACTGGCAATATCGAATCTTGCATCATTAAGCGGGGACCAGGATACCGCAGATGAATACTCCGCCAAAGCAACCGAGATTAAAAGCCTCGTCCAGGAATATCTCTGGAACAGCGACTTCACGCACTTTATCGACCGCTTCTACGTCGACAACGAAAACGTCTCCTACTGGGACCCGATCCGCGGACGCGAACTGGTCGGGTATGTCCCCTGGACGCACGACCTGCCTGACGACGAGGAAAGCTATGCGCAGGCGTGGAAGCACTTGACCGATTCGGAGAAATTGGCCGGTGAGAAGGGCCTGCGCACGAATGAGCCGAGCTACGAGTATTACATGCGCCAGTATAGATATGAAGGCGAGAACCCGGAGTGTCAATGGAATGGGCCTGCGTGGCCGTACCAGACTACGCAGGTGCTTACGGCCCTAGCCAACTTGCTTGACCATTATCCTACTTCCGCTGGTGCTGGTGTGATCAGCAAGAAGGATTATAACACTATCCTGCTGCAGTATGCGAATCTGCACTATAACCCGAACTATGACGGGAAACTGAACCTCGAGGAAGATTATTACACGGACACAGGGGCTCCCATTGTCGGACTCGCCAGGTCGCCGCATTACTTCCACTCCGGATTCATCGACCAGGTTATCTCTGGTTTTGTTGGGATCCGGCCGAGCGCGGAGGATATACTCGAAGTGAACCCGCTCGCCGATGCAGAGAGCGTTTCGTTCTTCCGGATCGAGAATGTCCTGTATCACGGTCACGACGTCGCGGTGCAATGGGACGCAGATGGAAGTCAGTACGGGTCTGCAGGACTACAGGTTGAAGTCGATGGCGAGGTCGTTGCAACGGCTGATACACTGTCCAGAGTGACTGTGGATATCTCGCGTGTTGACCCGCCAGCTATAGAGCGACCGATTGCTAAGTCTATCCAGCTGGGCGCTGACACGGAGTATCCGGTTGGTAGTGTGTCTGTGTCCGGTGTAGATGCAGCAGATATACACGCGGTCATTGATGGGAGGGTATGGTTTTACCCTGAGATCGCGAACTGGTGGGATACGCCGGCTGGGAGTGGAGAGGAGATCCGGTATGCAGTTGATTTTGGCAGTGAGGTTGAAGTGGCGAGGGCGGAGATTGCGTTTGCAAAGGATGATGAGGCAGGCGTTGATGTGCCTGGTGAGTATCGGGTGCAGTATGCGAATGGCGATGAGTGGGTTGATGTTGGTGCTGAGTCTAGCGAGGCTGTTGCGAATGGCATTACGGATGTCAGTTGGGATGCTGTTACAACAGGAACTATGAGACTGGTCTTCACCCCGAAGGATGGAGTGAAGGTGAGGCTTGTTGAGTTCAAGATATTCTAGATATATTATGGAAGTGCGACCTTTTCAACAAAATATCTCCCTTTGTCAGATCCACAGACCACCAAGTCTACCGGGTGGTAAATATCCAATAGGTTCAGCTTTCCTATATCGTCCGATACTGCTGGTAACGCAAATAGTACTTCCCTGCCAGTTGCCCAATGTTGAGAAATCTGGGCAATGATCCGCTTGATTAGATGCGTGGGATAGTGGGAGTGCTCGTATCCCCTTGCCTTCCTCTCAAGTTCTGGCCACAACGCGTCTAAGATATACTGGAAGGCAGAGTCCGACTTATACACCTGGACAAGCTGGAGAAGTACCTCGGATAGGCTGAATGTGTATATATCTGCGGTGGAGGAGACGGAGAGATCTAGGGTGTTGATTATCCTGATAGCTGCGTTGGCGAAATCATGCGACGGGGACTGGGGTTGCTCATCGCAAAACTCCTCAAACATAATCTCACAAAGGAGAGAGTATAAGGCATTCATTGCGTCACGGTGGGTTGAAAACGGCGGACAAGATTCCGGGAGTTGATCCTGCCAAAGCCGTGATTTCCAGACCTGCAGTCTCTCTCGCTGGATATTTAATAACCCTTGCAGATGAGACCCACGGACGAATACGTTATCCGCTTCAGCACGTTCCTCATCCGTCTCGTCTCTTCCTAGCAATTTGGTAAGTATTTGATGCGCCGCACTACCTATATTCTTGGACAGTTCAGATCCTCCACAGGTCCTAGCCACGCATCGAAAGACGACAAGCCGGGACCGAATCTCAATTGTCTTGACCAGGATATCATAAATCAGATCATCCGAGCTCATCCCCACAATGCAATCGAGATATAACTGGTCAAACGAATCAGGATAGCGATTCGGTCCGAAAGAACTTCCACCTTCCCCTTCAAGCAACAGAGCCGGTGGTTTTCCAAGTCGATGGGAGACGCACAGACGATACCACATCTGAAGTGCCTGAGCGCCTTTCTTTGAGCGAGTGAGACATTCCCGGTTTCTGGAGACGAAGCGCACAGTGTCCCACACTGCAAGGCGGAATTTGTGATGGTCCGTCGATGCATGGTGGTAGTAGGCGAGAAGGGTATACGCAGTGAGCACGGCCGGCGCGTCCTGTTCAATATCGGTCGGCTTGCTGTCGCGGAAGTGAGAAAGGGCCTGTTGGTGATATTTCTCTGCCTGTGTGTGATGAGTCCAGTTCACAGATGGACTGAAGACCGATCGTCGTGGGTCATTTGGTAGCGCGCGTTGCTGAACATCGGCGTTCAGCATTGAGAGATTCGACGCGGAGAGGCAGAGGACAGCCGTCTTTAGATAAGGCGATCGCAATGCCTGTTCTCCGAGCTGGGATGAGCCGGCGGGGAGTAGATGGCGGACATGGCTCAGGAAGTGGTCCAGATAGCCGACATCCAGGTTGTATGCCGTCTTTGGTGCCGTACAAAGTGGTGTCTTTTGCAGCGCATCTGCTCGCGGGGGTTTGCGTGTTACCGCCCGCGAAGGCTTCTGGAATGATTCCGGATCGTAGCTCCGAAATTGAAAGTCAAGGCCATAGATGCATTCCAAGCTCAGTCTGATGCAGGCTCGACAGGACGGTCTGGCCTCGTCACACTGCGTGGGTCAGTACAGGTTGAGGGGTTGGTGGGGGGACTGACCTTCTTCCCTCTCTTGCGACACGCCCGGCATCCGGAATGATTACGCTTGATGTTGCGTGATCTGGGTTTCTGGGCGGGGGTCAGAGGGGGCATTACAGGTGTGATAACAGAATTGAGAATGTTAAACAAAGAATAAAGAGTCGAGAGAGAGAGAGAGAACCAAAAGCGACAAATTTTACGCGCACTCTCGCGCTAACCCGATCCGGCTATATTATACGCCGTCGATACAGTACGACCACAAGGTACTCTGTCTGCAGCTTATAAATGGGACATATCTCGTTATTCAAATAATACATCCATTCGTATATTCAATATCCATCATGGTACGCGCAGTGTGGAAGAAGCTACTGAGTGACGCCTCTATCCAGAGGTCCTCCCAGAACCTGTCCGTTATCGGCGGGAACGCATATATATATGGTGGAGAGCTAAGGCCGAGAGAGCCTGTCGACTCAGCCATCTACCGCATTTCAACTGATCGTGGTACAATTAACCCCTTAATTTATTAGCAATTAATTAACATTGACAGGAAATGCATCGACCACTACGATATCGGCCATCACCGGGCTGCCGAATACGCCCCAGCCACGGGTTGGAGCAACATCCACTGCCCTCGGAGGAAAGATCTATATCTTCTCAGGGCGCGGTGGAATAGCAATGGCACCGATCGAGGAGGCCGGATCTCTCTGGGTATTCGACCCAGTAGCCAACGCTGAGCAGTGGTCACAACTGAAGCCTAGCGATTCCAACGCACCATACCCAGCAGGCCGCAGTTACCACGCAGTGACCAACAACGGCAAAGACACTATCTTCATACACGCCGGGTGTCCCGAGAAAGGCCGACTCCGCGATCTCTGGGCCTTCAACATTTCTACCAGAGCGTGGACTGAATTACCGCAGGCGCCGGGCCCGGAGAGGGGAGGTCCTTCCATCGCATACCACGACGGAAAGCTCTACCGCATGAACGGGTTCGATGGGAAAACTGAGCAGGGAGGGGCACTGGATGTTTTCGACCTTGCCGCCAATGCATGGAATACTATTACTTTCGCAGCTGATGGAACTAACGGGCCAGCTGCGCGAAGTGTGAGCAGCCTGCTTTCTCTCCCGATCGGCGGAAAACCGTCCCTTGTCACGATGTTTGGCGAGCACGACCCGAGTAGCCTTGGCCATCAGGGAGCAGGGAAGATGCTTCCAGATGTTTGGGTGTTTGATATCGAGTCCAAGACGTGGTCGAAGGTTGAGCTGGATGGAGAAGTCCCGCCTCCGCGTGGGTGGTTCGATGCAGATGTAGCTGACGGATCTCCATCTGGTATCGTTGTCCACGGTGGGCTTGCAGAGTCGAACGAGCGCCTGGGTGATGTTTGGTTATTGAAGTTTGAGTCATCTTAGCAAGATAGAAGTCGGCAGATAACGTATGCAAATTTGGCAATTGTAATGGCTAGATCAAACTCCGAACCTTCTGGGTTGCTAGGGATTCAAATTCGATAGCAGGACCATGGTTGGTTAACAGCAAACGGAGACATTATGCGGGCACTGTGATGACCGCAAGCGTTGCTGCTTCGGCATCTGCTCACCTGCAAAGTACACCACGCCATTAACCTGCCTTCGTGTATTGATATTCAATCTACGTCATGTTCTACAGGACCTAGCCTATAGGCAGGGCAATCAAAGGTACTATGTGTATAACGATATGTGCAATGACAACTATGTACATAATAACCAACTGTGCTATGGCCTTCGTAGCCCGACCTAACCGGCTGTTCTCCGTCCAGGCCTCCGGCTATTCAACTGCCTGGCTAACTTACAGCTTCTGTCCAGCAGTCTCAGGGATAGTGCTAGCGACCTGGTCAGATCCAAGCGCCTCGATCGCATCATACGGCAGAGAGTCCGGAGTGAGAGTGCCCTCGGGAACAGAGTTCGAGGAACCACCCAGGTCAACATCATCGACAACCGCATAGCCAGTGTAGTCAGAGTCGGCAAAGAAGATAGCCTCGTCGGGGCAGTTAGAAAAGGCAGAGCTCTGGATCAGGACTTGCGCATCCATGCGGCAGTTGACACCGGTCAGGAGCAGGCTGTCCCAGTAGTTGTTGATGATGTGGACTGTTCCGAAGCGGATCAAGGGGGTACGGCTGTTAATGTTGTACCAGTGGTTGTTGGCGTATGTGACGTGCAGCTTTCCTTCATCCTCGTCGGCGTTGCTGTCCGAGTGGCCGATCAGGGAGGCTTTCCACTGCTGCAGTCAGTATGGATGAATCTGTGGGAAAAGGGGGGGGACGTACGTGGTCGTGGAAGTAGGTGTTGGAAATAGTAATCCACTCAGCACCGTGGCTGATATCAACAAGACCGTCCAAGTCATCCTTTCCAGCGCTGAGATCACCAGAGAGATCGCAGTGGTCAACCCACACGTTGGTGGACTCGTCGATTCCAATGGCATCGCCGTTGTCAGCGTCGACTCCTCCGATCTTCAGGTTACGCATGATAACGTTGCTAACCTGGCGGATGTAGAAGCCAATACCGGTAATAGCTACATAGATTAGCAGGTGTCTATCTTCACTCAAACGGAGCACTTACAGCTGCCGGATTCACCGTAAATGGTCTTGTCGGCTGCGACGCGGATTTTGGCACTGCCAGAGATTTCACCAGATACGATAATGGTCAAGGCACCCTCGCTCTCGGCGGCTTCGGTCAGGCTGTCCAGGTCGGTCACAGTGACGGTGTCACCGGCGGAACCACCAGTAGTGCCACCATTCTGTGTACAGTATCCAATTGTGCAGGTCTCAGTAGCCTGGCGACGAGCCAGCTCAGAGCGGCTGGTGAGCTCCTTCGTAGGCGAAGCAATAGCCACAGCGGCTAGCAGGGCAAAAGTAGTGAACCTCATGTTGGCAACAGAACCAGGACAAATTCCCTGAACAAGTCTGGTGTGGAAAGAATATGATTTTGTTGTTTTGGTGGTGACTGTTGGTGGTGCCAGCCAGGCTTTATACATGACCCCAGATAGCAGGGACAAGACATCTCCGTCATCGAGCTCTGTCTGGAGTCCATCTACTCGCTGCCGGATACCGAGCCTCCCGAGACACTTTCCCCAAGCCAAGGGACACACCGAGTTTCCCCTCCAATGGCATTTATATTGCCCGGCAGATCATCTCCCAATCGACCACGGCCGAGAGCCGTGAGGAGCCAAGAACCCTTAATTACAGGGCAGTTCGTATAGACGAAACGCTCCGGTTGGAGCAAATTGCTGTTCCGCGGTTTCATATCAGTCTGGCATTTTTTTAATGCAACTTTATTTCAGGAACATAATCTGGCATTTGTGGTGTGGATTAATCAAGTCTGCACGCATTGACAGAGAGCAGGGCTGCAGAAATAATCCGTCAGGCAAGGTGGGTACTATAATATATATGATGCCATTCGCGGGGAAATATTGTTTACTGGAATAAATATTGGCGCTCTTCTTCAATACTACAGGCTGCACTCCGTATTGTCTTCATGTTCTCGCACTGCGATCCATGTTAGGACTAGATGATGCTCAACCCGCGCAGTAGACCGTATAAGTAACGACGGGCCAAGTCTTCGTTGCAGTTTACCTTCGCAGGTCGATTACTGGTAGACCGCCATTTAGAATGTTTTCTTCAATTACGTTCGCCGTTCTGGCAGCTGCACTGGGCGTCCATGGACATGCAGTCGTCGAAGACCCGGCTCCTCGAAAGGTGAGTATCAAACTCTTTCCATCTAGCACTGCATACTAAGAAAAGTAGACAGGTCCTGCCCATGAAGCAGCATGTGGATTAGCCGTTGTAGATGTCCTCGAGAATGGTCAGTTAAGCGCGGGTCCATCCATAGAATATTCTATCGTTGACAGCAGCCCCAGATATCGCGGGCCCTATAGAGAACGCGGTGGAGGCGGCTGACGAGGACTACAACTGCAATGCCTACCTCTGCAGGGGATACCAGTTTGAAGATAACGAAGACAATGTCAAGGTCGTCAAGGGCGGCGACGTGCTTGAATTCCATATTAACTTGGTCGCGGGTCACCATCCTGGATATGCGGTATGCCCTTGTTCAGTCTGCTTATCCTTGTCGTCTTCCTAACTGGTAATTGCGACAGAATGTCTCGATCGTTGAAACCGCGACAAATGAGGTAGTTGGACAGCCTCTGGTAACATGGGCCAACTGGCCAGATCACCTTTCTGGCCCGCCTCGCAATGACAGTACGTCTATCATCCTTCGTTTGGGGCAGCGACTAATTCTTCCAGCCGACTACAATGTGACTATTCCAAACTCACTAGGAGCACCATGCGATGTGGCGGGAAACTGCGTGATACAGTGGTATTGGTATGCGAGTGGGAATGAACAGACATACGAAAGCTGTCAGGATTTCTATGTTGAGGTCTAGGAAGTTGTGTTCTTAGGCGTTTCTATAGTCAGGATTCTGTCCTGTTTAGCGTGTTCATAGGCAGTTACTCATTGCTTCTCTGCTACTATATGATTCCCTGCGTACGAAGGCTCTTGACTTCCGATTCAGAGCGCCCCATCTCTGCGAGAATATCGTCGGTATGTTCTCCAAGACCTGGTGGCTGGGTGGCCTTGGGTGATTGGGAGTTATCGAATTTCACCGGCATGCCTGGTAATACTGTTAGCGATGGTGTTTAGACCCCAGTGGCAGCTTACCTAGAACACGAATATTTCCATCCTCTGCCTCTGAATGCTGGATAGTCTGCACCATTCCTCGGGCTGCAGTCTGTGGATGCTCGAATGCTTGCTGAATCGTATTAACCGGCCCATGAGGCATTCCACTGCCTTCGAAGACCTTCATCCACTCATCCGTCGCCTTTGTCGCGAAGTAAGCCAGTAGTGTCTCATTCAACGCATCACGATTTTGCACCCTCACATCGTTATCTAAAAACCGTGGATCACTGGCAATACCCTCATCCCCCAACCTCTCACACAACACCCGAAACTGTCGGTTATTAACTGCCCCAAGAACAAGCTCGGAGTCTTTTGTCTTGAACACCCCGTAAGGAACAATCGTAGCATGAGCCGTTCCCCAGCGCTTCCCTTCCTTCGCCAGATTCAGCCAGGACATGCCAACATTGTTTAGTATCGAGATGGTCGTTTCGAACAGTGACGCGTCGATCCTCTGCGCCTTGCCCGTTCGTGCCTTGGATACTAGAGCCGCACATATCGCCCCATGGAGGTACAGCCCAGTGGCCATATCCATTATCCCGACTCCGGGCTTTGTTGGTGGGCCGTCTGGTTCGCCTGTTATGTGTAGCAGCCCTGCCTCTGCGGCAGCGATTGCATCGTAGCCTGCTCGTTGGGCGTACGGGCCTGTTGCCCCATATCCTAAATTTATTAATCCCATACCCCTGTAGATAAGGCAAGGGGGTCATACCTGATATACTGGCGTGGATGATAGACGGGTTTGTCTCTGTAAAAATCTTGTATCCGAGTCCCAGTTCTTCCAGTTTCCCCGGGATAAAATTATCGACTCTGTACAATTAGCCTTTAGACTTAACAAGAACTCTGGCAGAACGTACACTACGTCAACGTCCTTGACGAGGTCGAGTATTATACTCCGGCCGGCTTCCTGTTTCAGATTCACCGCGATAGAGCGTTTGTTGCGGTTGATTCCGTTGAAGTAGAGCGATGTATTCTTTGTGCCTGGCTTCCAGAGTTTCTCTTCGCCTTCCTCTCGCCATAGTCGCGTGTCATCCTGCGTCAACAGTTAGTGACTACTCTAGGTTCAAGTCAAGGTACTTACTCCTCCTTTGGGATGCTCGACTTTGACCACGTCCGCCCCGTAATCTGCTAGGATCTGTGTACAGAAGGGGCCCTTATCGCGTCAGTAATATACGGTGGCCTATAAAATAGGGTAATTACAGCTAAAACCCGAGTCAAGTCGAGAATGCGGATTCCCTGTAGAGGACCCTGTCTCGCCGGGGCTGAATAGCATCGCAGCGGGCGAGCGAATGCGCCCTCTCTGCGCAGACCGCTCTGAACAGGTCTACTAATTGAGCGCTTCATCATGGTTACTGCTGGAATTCTCTGTCTATTCTGGAATATCCACCGGCTATCTGGTAACTCAACCCCGCATTCCAGCTGCGATCCGCCGGGTCATCGCTTCGTTCGGCTGTCGGTTAACAACTTCACAGTACACCGACCGAGTCATAAGTCGGCCAAGGACGGTGTAGATGGTTCATATCCACGACAGATATATCGAAGATGTCGCTCTTTCGCAGACTTGTAAGTATCTTCCGCATTCCATGACCGTATCTAACAACACCAGACCCGGATCGCCACACCACGCATATCCGCTGCGCGCACCCGCACCATCACATCCAGAGCACAAGAATATCTCCAAAACCACAACCCAGACTACACCGACTCGCAGCGGACAGTGCGGGACGCAATCTCCAAGATATGCGCCCGCTTCCCAGACGAGTACTGGGCCGACCTCGACGCGCGGAAACACTTCCCAGTCGATTTCCACGCCACGCTCGCACGCGATGGCTGGCTGGGTATCTGTATGCCCACTGAGTACGACGGTTCCGCGCTGGGTCTCTCCGAAGCAGCCGTGATGATGCAGACCATCTCAGAGTCCGGCGGGGGCATGACAGCGGCCTCGTCTGTGCACATGAACATCTTCGGTCTCGAACCGGTAGTGAAATTCGGGACAGCTGAGCAGAAGAAGCGCTGGCTGCTGCCGCTGATCGCTGGCAAAGAACGTGCTTGCTTTGGAGTTACGGAGCCGAATACAGGACTGGATACGTTGAAGCTCCAATCTACGGCTCGCAGAGACGGAGACCATTATATCCTCTCGGGGCAGAAGATATGGATATCGACCGCGCAGAACGCGCAGAAGATCCTTATTCTTGTTCGTACCACGCCACTATCGGACGTGAAGAAACCATCACAGGGTCTATCACTGTTCTATACGGACCTGAACCGCTCGTCGGTGGATGTGCGTGAAATCCCTAAAATGGGGCGGGCCGCTGTCGATACGAATGAGTTGTTCTTTGACAACTGGCGCGTGCCTGCTACTGACCTTGTGGGCACTGAGAACGAGGGCTTTAAGATGATCATGCATGGCATGAATGCGGAGCGGATTCTGATCGGTGCTGAAGCGCTAGGGCTGGGCTTTGCTGCACTACGCCGTGCAACGCAATATGCATCGGACAGGAGAGTCTTTGGCCGGCCTATTGGGATGAATCAGGGGTTGCAGCATCCGATGGCGGATAGCTGGATGAAGCTGGAGGCGGCGAGGTTGATGATTTCACAGGCGGCCAAGCTGTATGATGACGGGTATGGCGATGGAGAGTATGCGAATGCTGGGAAATATTTAGCTGGCGAGGCGGCGTTTGAGGCGTGTGAACGGGCGGTCCTGGCGCATGGGGGGATGGGATATGCAAGGGAGTTCCATGTGGAGAGATATCTCAGGGAGGTGTGGATTCCGAGACTGGCACCGGTGAGCCGTGAGATGATCTGTAATTATATTGGGCAGAGGGTGCTGGGGCTTCCGAAGTCATATTAATATCACTATCCTTGGTCCTTGACTCTCACTACAGCGTGAACTATTCATTCGCATTGATTGTACAGCAATTGTACGCCATAGCTCTCCATTCGACAAGAGGTGCCAAGTGCCTGGTAGGTGCTGGTGGGTATTACTCGGAGGGCTACACCATGTCCAATCCTATCCACATAGAGGTTGGGAGAGGCCTAATCAAGGGCAGAGAATGTTAATATCAACATCTGGGGAGGCTGGAGGCTGCTCAGCCCCAATAAGGCCAAGCAGATGCTAGTGCAAGGCGGGTGGATCCACAGTCCAGATCAAGAATGCTGATGCAAGGCACGATTGTTTATGATTCAGATTGCTCATAATTCAACTGCCCTTTATGATTCAGGGATTATGTCCTGATGAGTGTCCCCTGACATGAAAGGGCCCATGTTTTACCCTGTGATTCAGTTCAAGAACTAGCCTACCAGGCGTTACTATTGGTATACAATTTTCCCGTTGTATTTTGTGGGAAACTTATACGTTCTTACCTTGGTCTATGCTGTTATAAGCTCGTGCCTGTTGGACAGTCAACCTACACCAAAAGTGCCTTAAACTGTCTCTCATGCCCAGCCCTTCTGCAGGCTGTTCTGAAACTTTAAAACTCCACGGATAATACCAAATCACCCCAGATGAGCGACAAAAAAGATGAAAGACCGCCTCCTGATGGTACCGTTACCGAAGATGCCGTCTTTGGCGTCATATCAGAGGACGGTCCTAATTACCGCAATGTATGGTAGCCTCTGCTAGTTTTTGGTCGTAGGCTAATCCCCCCAAGCTAGGATGGAAGGGAACAGCAGTTCTCATGATGAAGGCACAAATCGGGCTCGGCGTCCTGTCAATCCCCGAGGCCTTCAATACACTAGGCCTTGTTCCGGGCATAGTTTGTCTGCTTGCCATTGCGGTGGTAACAACCTGGTCTGGCTACATGGTTGGTGTTTTCAAGCTCAACCACCGTGATATCTACGGTGTCGACGATGCCACCGGACTGATATTCGGCCCTGTTGGTCGGGAGATTCTAGGAGTTGGGTTCTCTTTGTGTAAGCCAACTATTGGACCCCTTGTTAGATAGGATGCTTATGATTATCAGTTCTCATATTCTCTGGTGCATCGGGAATTCTCAGTCTTTCTATCGCATTGAACGCAATCTCAAGCCATGGAACTTGCACCGCTGTCTTTGTCGCTGTTGCTGCTATTGTGGTTCTCGGCCTGGCCAGCATTCAGACCCTCGATCGTATAGGGATGCTAGCTTGGGCTGGTCTAGGATGCCTACTTACTTCCAGTGTGTGTTCCTTGTCCATTTCGAGGTGAAGTGTTAACAGCATAGTCTTCATCGTGACCATCGCCGTCGGAATCCAGGACCGCCCTGATGCCGCGCCACAAACAGGCCCTTGGTCCTCCGATTACAAGATCGTGAACTCCCCATCCTTTGCCAAGGGCATTGCAGCAATCAGTCAACTCACCTTTGCCTTTACCGGCACCCCGTTCTTTTTCCCAATTGTGTGCGAGATGCGCGATCCTCGACACTACACAAAGTCCCTGGCCATCTGCCAGTCCGTTGCCACCGTTATCTACATCGTCATCGGCATTGTAGTCTATTACTACTGCGGCTCCTACGTCTCCTCCCCTGCGCTGGGCTCGGCAGGGAAGCTAATCAAGCAAATTGCCTATGGAATTGCATTGCCAGGGTTATTCGTTACCTCGACTATTAGTACCCATGTAGGACAGCCCATCCACCCCACCTTCATATCTAACTATATCCCGCTGACGAGACAGATGGCAAGCAAATACTTCTTCATCCGCATCATGCGCGGGTCACGGCATCTCGCCGCAAACACGCCCTTGCACTGGTTCACCTGGCTCAGCTGCGTCGGGGCCGTAATCGCAGTTGCGTATATCATCGCCAGCGCGATCCCCATTTTTGGGAGTCTCATTTCTCTTCTCGGTGCCCTGCTGGGGACTCTGCAGGTGTTTCAGCCGGCGGGGTTTATGTGGTTGTATGATAACTGGGCCAAGGGCAGGATTGGTACGAGACAGGAGTCGCTGAGGTGGATGTTTATGGTTGCGTTTAGTGTGTTCATGGTTGTCCTGGGCTGCTTTTTGATGGTTGCTGGCACGTATGGTGCGGTCGTGGGTATTATTGATGGGTTGAGGGCAGATGGTGCGTCTGGGGTTTGGTCTTGTGCTGATAATTCTTAGATGTTTCGTTCTGTAGATTGGTATTTGTTTATTAAACTCTTTTCGTAAAATAAAAGAGCGAGAGAAAATAGAGATACAGATAAGCAGATATTGGTGAGTTTTCCCTAAAACTCCAATAGAACCAGTCAAGAGGGAATGGCACAATGAAGTATGGATACTATTCATTGCAAGCAGAATGCAACGCTAACACCGAAATTTGTACATGACAATGATCCGACCTGCACCTCTAAACCCGGTATACTAACGCTTCGCCTGGCCTGACCTTACTCTGACATAAAGCCTCCCAGCCGCCTTCCATCCCGTCCGACCCGGCTATCCCCTCGCCCCAGACAAGACTCAGATCGGGCGCTGCGCATTCGCGGTTCTTGAGCCAGTGCTCCCATCGCTTCTGGAGCTCTTCATGGTAAAGCCCCAAGCCCCGGTGCCTTGCTGCGGTTTCTTGGATTGGAGATGTGTTCATTTGAATTTTGTTTAGGGAGACGAAGGATTCCCGAGAGGCCTGCAGTTCCTCTGGAGTGTAGACCTGTGCAAGTTAGACTCATGTCAAAGTAAACGCTGTTCATCATACCATTTGCTGACTCCCTACTGCCAGAATCACAATCTTCGTTGACTGCAACTCCGGCGTGCTCTTAACAGCCTTGACGAACCCATCCAACGATCCATCCCGCGCCCCAAAGTCTGCAACAACCACCCTCTCCGGCTTCAACTTCGCAATCCACTCCCCAGAAGAACCAACATCATCATATGCAATCGCCCCAACGGGGAACTGCGGGATAAACTTCTCCGCCGCCTCGAGGATATCCTTTGGCTTCGACGTAACCTGCAAAAACGCCAACGGCCCCGTATTCCGCGGCCTGCAGAAGAAGTTATACGCCGCAGTGCGCGCCGTCTTCGTCGACGCCGCCAAACTGACAAACACCGTCTTCGACAAATCCGCATCCTCAACCGTCCACTTCTCCCTCTCGCTAAACGGATGCACCGGCGGATGATTCACAGGATCCGGCGTGAAAACATACTCGCTCAGCACATACCCGGCCAACATCATCGCGCCGACCGTAACATCCCACCCAAACTCCGACAGATCCTTGCCCCCGGTCTCAAACACCCTGTACCGATTATACAGGGGCATTAAATTGCCTCGGTGCGCCGACACCTCCCTCCAGTGGCCCCGCACCTCTTGCTCAGCGGGCGTCAGCTCCAGATCTACAGCATGCGCCGATGTCGGCCAGAACCCGTAAAGCGTAGTCCCCGCGGGGAGGTCAGGAATGGAACTGTCAATGACGCTCGCAAGACCCCAGGCCGGCACGATCCCCCATTCTGAGGAGTCGTTGTATGGGGCCGGGGCCGTGGGTGGGACGGGGTATGTATCCCACCAGTGAAGCCAGGTTCCGTTGCGGGCGTAGGAGAGGTTGTTAGAGGACAGGCCCAGGAGGGTTGCGCGCACGCGTACGGAAGATGGTTTCAGGGGTGGTTCTTCCTGGGATGATGAGGTGGAGAGGGGGAAAGTTGCATGCTGGCGGTTGTTGGATTTGGAAACGACGTGGACGTCCATTATTCTATATTATGTCAAATTTGGTGTGGTGGTGCTGAGGGGGAGGGGAAGACTGAGGATTAAAGACATTGCGGCCCCACCAGATGCACATTTGTCAGCAGTGCTTATATCGGTGCATTCGCAGCACTTTGAGGTCTGCTTATGACTCACAAGGATGGTGAATTATTCTCTGAATGTGGTTAAAATATTAGCAGGAAATGAAATACTTGTAGCACATGAAAGTGTTCTTGTTCCCGGTACCTTTGTGCACTCGGTTCCTGAGTTTGGCTGCCTGAGGCTGCGACGTCTATCACATTCCTACGAGCACTGATGCTTTACTGCCTGGAACACTATATTGAAAGGCCATCTGTAGCGCATAACTGAGACTCCGCTATTTGAAAACCAGTCGGTTTATCCCAAAGGACAAAATAAGGACAATAATTTGCGACCAAGGGCGGATGAAACCTGCCAAAGTACACGAAACACTGAAAACAACGATCGGAAATTACTTCACGAGCCCGAAAGAGAAGAACTCCCACCAAACCACATTACACAGGTTTAGTAACTAGACTGCGCGCGCGCCCTCAATTTTGCCCCAAAGAACCACAGCACAAAAGGCGCCGGGACCCCGAGGACAAGACCGCCAAACGCCAGAATACTATTCGCCCAGCCATACCCCAGAACCTCATACATGTGCGGGGCAAAAAGCGGGAAAAGAAATGCTGTAAGACTGCGCAAGAACTGGCTGGCAGCGGACGCACTACTAGTATGATCCGGGTAAGACTCCATCACATACGCCTGCAGGGGCATCCCGTTGCTCTGTATACCCCCCAGGGCTATTAGTATACCAAGATCCACAATAGCCCAATGCAGACGGTATTCCGAGACCCATCCGTACATAAAGAGGCCGAGGGGGCCGAGGATCGCGCCGAATAGGATTGTGGGGAGACGGGCTTCGGGGGTATGCGGGCGCTCCCAGCCAACCGTCCAACGCCGGTACAGACCGTCCATGAGCCTCGAGGTGATCTGAGAGCCGATTACCTCACCAAGTGCACAGGCCATGTAATGCAGTCCACTGAGCTCGACCGATTGACCGTAATGTCTGGTCCAGAGCTGCGAGAAGGTCGACATGACGATGTAGAGAATGCCGTAGTCGAACGCCGCAATGACCGCGGAAATCTGAACAATAGGATGGAAAGCGAGCAAGCGAAGGGGTCGTATCAGGGCTCGTCCAAGCACTTCCCCAGGCGATTTGTGTCCATGGAGCCGCTCGTCTAGTGTTTGGTAGCGCCCTTCGCCGGTCTCATGCCGAAGTCTCTCGGCTCGAGACCTGAGAATGAGCGGACCGTAAGTTTCACGGAAAACGCTGAACGAAACAAGGATCATCACGGCCTGGAAAATGGATGTGGACCAGAATATCCAGCGCCAGGTGGTACGGCCGGCCATGAAGCCGCCGATTATGGGGCCTTTCGATCAGTCAGTTCCTCATCACCATAATTCCTTTGCGTGGATGCATACCAACAGCAGCGCCGAGCAAGGGAATAAGCAAGTAAACAGCAAGAGAGCGACCTCGCTGCTCAGGTCGCCATACGTCGGACAGAACACCAGACGCCAGGGCATAAATAGCACTGGCCCCGAAGCCAGCAAGAAAGCGAGATGCGATCAACACCTGCTTAGTCTTTGCAAATCCACAGACCAGATTCCACACCAAAAACCAGATATTAGACGCGTGCAGGATGTGTTTCCGGCCGTAGACCTCTGACAAGGGCCCGATGAATAGCGGTCCAATCGCGGTCGCCAGCAGGTAGATTGAGAGGGCCATGGCGGACTCGGCGGAGTTCATATCGAGCTCTGCTGCAATTATTGGCAGTGCAGGTGCCATAATGGTGGAGACCATGATACGGTTGAAGCCAGTGGTTGCGAGAACGTCGGTGACAGCCCACTTGCGGCCGGTGGGCCAGTCCTTGGGGTTGTCGGTGTCATACGGTTCTGCAAACGCGATTAGAAACTGGTCGCTGTCCTTGCTGGCATTCCTCTGAATTGCGGCCAGCTCGACATCCATTGGAGGAACGGGGGTTATGGCGTCTGGCATTGCTGAGAAGCTGTGTGAAGAAATAAGATGCCGGGCCTGGATTGTGTTAGAGAAAGTGAATCCGGACCTGGGATGACAAGATATTCACTGCGTTTAATCAGATTAGATGATCAGATAAGATCAGTGCTCCAATCCGGAACAACCGGCATGGTCAGGCAGAGTAAGCACTAGCAGCTGGGTGCCTGTTTGTTTGCCTCGGTTAGTGATATCTGCTCCAACGGAAACAACGGAATGGATTTAGATGAAATGTAAGGGTCTTCTGAATGGCATTGAATCGAGCCCATCCCCGGAGGACCTAACGATAGGCAGTTGTGTTATTAAATATACATGCATGCTACAGCGGACATGATGCACTCTAGCTTTACAGCTATACCTCTAAATTGAGGAGTTGAGTATTAGTTTTCTTGAAAAGATATAGCCAGTGCAAGAATATCTATATCAGACCTAACCATTTACATTTATACCTCTGTATATTGATAATTCTTTTCTTATGGATTCCGGTTGATCAGACATTCACACTATAACGAAGCTATCCCCTTTCTTAATATTGTCGTCGGCTCTTCCACTGACCCTCAAAGAGAAAGCCGGGCGTTTGAGGATAGCACAACGGCCAAGGATGATAACAAAGAAACTATACTATTGTGCGGCGTTCCCTTGAAGCGCGTACAAAATAGAGGTTTAGCTATAAAGATCTGCCTCATATAAAGAAACAAAAGCTACTCCGGGTACAACACTCTCGCTTAACCGGCTTTCGGGGCTTTCAGTCGATTGAACTATCTATCCGGAGACTGCAAACAACAACAACAAAAACGAAAACTGGTGCATACAAAGAGCGCCTTCCAATGCAAATGATGGAATCGTCCGTCATACTGTGCCAAGTACTTAGGGTACATGTATATCTGCTATACTAAGGAGTAAACGACGGGTGGTAAAGGGAATACAACGAACATCCTTCTGCCTCACCAACGAAGCCACAAATCACCGCAGAGCCGAGAATACCATGTGCGATTTACAGACCAATCACGAACGCTGATCTTGGGTAGATTGCCCGGCAGCGAACCATTTGCTATCAGCCGCTTGCGTAGCAGGATAAGCTCATGAAACATATGTAGCCTCATGTCGCTGTACTCCCCCCGGTACTGTAGGCAATCCCACATGCGTTGATATTCCGGCCTTAGACGTCTGGTGGACCTTGTGGTGTCGTGCATGAGAATATTCATGCCGTGCCATCTATCCATGAGGCCATCATTACTCTCGAGATCGCGACACATTAGTTATATTATCGACTCCGAGTATCGCACAAAACTCAGAAGACCGCCCCTGTTCACTACCTGCTAGGCCCGTCTTGTCTAGATTATAGGAGGCGAAGACGCAGACATCCATCAGCAGTCGGCTTGCCCCCTTTCGGCACTCCTGTGCGACAGTAAGGCGGAGTTTGACATGGTAGCCACATGAGCTCTGTTGGGATGGTGGCTGTTTCTCCTGGTTTCAAGTATGCCCTGAAAGTGTATTCCAGATGGAAAAGTCAAAGTATTACCGCACCCGAGACAGTAGGGACGCCAAAGGGTGGACACCCAGTTTACGAAGCCCATCAGCAGAATCTCACTCCGCCCCATGCAGAAATCGGTATTCACATTGAGCTACTAGTCTCCTAGTTCCCTGAAATCACGGTTCCATCACTTGGCGTATTCATCGCGTCCTATTCTTCTTCATTCATATGATGGCATGTTGTCACTCATGACATACCTCACCCACCATGAAGAGCCTCCCATGTTGGTCTTGCAATACTTGAAGCTGGGGATTTCCCGGTCACAGCCTCCCCTCGTATACAGTATGCCAGCCCAGGCCTCAGGTTGGAGCAGTCCTCCTTCAGGCTGGGGTTCCAGAGTCTTAAATCGTGAACTGAAATTCCATATATTGATGCGATTCGATTACAGCTATCTCCGGATTGAACGACGTACCACTAGACCATTTAGTCAGTGTGGGGTTATTGCAATAAAGAAAAGGAGTGCCAACCTCATAGCATTGCGATGTCGTCCCGCTCGGGGTTGGTGCAGGGGCAGTATTATAAGCAGATGTCACAGTGGTGGTGGTGGTTTGGTTCCAGTCCACGGTAGGCGAGACACAATAATACAAGCCAGGCACGAGGTTGGTGCACTCTCCGTTAATGGACGGGTTGATTGCCTTGAATAGGTCGAGGTCTATGCTAAATCGATCCGAGATGGAGTTACAGTAGTCGCCCGACTTGACTTGGTAGTACTGGCCGCAGCGTGGAGTCGTTCCCCTTGGGACAGTCCCTGGGGGATCAACGATTTCTGTGGCGTAGCCACGCACTCTCAAGGTTGCTGTGATGAATGTTGTTGTTGGGGTGGGACTGAGGCCCGGTTCTGCGACGCATACTTCGTCCCCTGCGAGGAGGTTCGTACAATCTTCATTGAGGAACTCGTTCCATGCAAAAAGTTGATCAACCCCTATTTCGGTGGCTTGTGCGATTTCCACACACGTGGCACCACGGAAGACCGGGCAGAGGTCGCAGGACTCTTGTATGCATAGAGGCTGGCCAGCTATTTATCCATTAGAAACCATCACCTTCGTCATGAGTGGGAAGCATGCCGCGCAAATCCGAACAGTCCGACTGCACATCATTCAACCAGACTAGCGAGCCCCGTGGAACTCGGTGGGCTCTAGCAATTCTTGCGCATGTGTCTCCCGATCTGGTCGTGTATGTTCTGTTTGTAAGGCAGTCTTCGGCGGCAAGATCGATGTTAAGAGATGTCGCACTGCTCTGCGTGAGAAGAGAGAGAACAGAAACGGCAAATATGATGATCATGGTTGTTGCCGGATACTTTTATTCCACAGATGGATTCTCTGTTGTCTGGGCGGTAGCAGGGGGGATAGCGACGGCTTTTATGTGACCACGGTAGATACTCAACCCGTAGGCGGACAGTGCTATGGTGCTGCTCTGCTGCTGATATCCATTCCCGATGGTAGAGCGTGATATGGTACGGTGTAACAGTCATCTACCGTAATGAAACCTTGAGATGGAGCTTGATGCAAATTTCCTTGCCTGTACACCCCGGCCACCCGTGTCCTGTTCCGCAGCCGTCAGGGAAGCCACGCCGACGAGCACGTAGTTTCGAAGGCAAAAATCTAGACTACCAAAGCAGGGAGACTTGCGGTGGAACCATATAAACGGTGACATGTACTGTAAGCACGTCCAGCGAGCCTACTGGACCGACCGCCTATGTACCTGCGTCCGGTGGCGGAGTGGATTGGTGGGCAGGAGTCCACACTTCAGCAGCGAGTGGTACAAGATCTCTGGCTGATTAAATGGACAAATATCGTAATACTCTCGAAATTTTCCCCTGCTGTGGCCCCAGGGTACGGCAATCAAATATGGTTTTTAGGGACACTGACCGAAGAGTACATCTCACCTGCGACAACGACACTGGCCAGGCCTGAGTGTGAGGGATCCCAGGCAGACGCTTGCTGCCAGGTGGTGATTGTAATAGATCCTTCAAGGTTCCTTGGTGCGCTTCCCGGTCGTGGAGAAGGGCGTGGTGGTGCACGCGTGCCAGGCGTATACAATGCCCGTTTGGGACTAGCGGCGGCGATATCTTTCTCCGGTGGTCGACCATCACATGAACGCCCTTGCTTGTGTCCCAATGTAATAAGTACCTACATGGGACGAGTGAGAAGGGAGAAATGAACAGATTCGATGCTACTTCAAACAGGTACTTCAATTAATTCCTATTCCTATCCAACGCCGAATGGAATCGGGTCGTCGCCTATCAGGTTCACAAGTCAGCCCCGCATGGACACCCTTGTTGTCATTTGCATTTGCAATCCCTCAGCGACGGGTCCAACGCAGCGAGTGCTTCCCCAACGAGATGCAAGCTTCCAGTGATCAAGGTTTGCATCCCACCGTCACGTTTCCCGAGCCGCTGTACCGTGTTGATGGCAGCCCCAACGGACGGCTCGATTGCGACAACAGCGTGCGGGTCCACCCCTTTCCAAACCGACACGTACGCCACGAGAAGCTCCTTGGTATCTGAGTCCAGCTCTTCTGCCGCCGCTGGGTCTAGATTGAAGGTCACCTCTGTGACCATGAAATGAGGACAGATTAGGCTTTGCTACTTACCAATCCCTACAGCATCCGCGTGTTTGTACATCGTAAATATAACACGCTCAGGGCTGAAATCATGGCTGCGAAATGCCCGTGCCAAGCACTGGACCAGCTCTAGACCATCTCGACCTTGCGAATTATGACTGAAAATGACGGATCGACACCTGCGCAGGCTTAGCAGACAGAAGTGGTTATGCGCGGTGGCGGACGTACCGACGGTTACTCCGACCTGGTGCTGTGGCCTTGACGAACCACTTCGCAGCCTCTTCCATGCTCAAGGTATTGTGCGCTCCATCGACAAACCATTGCAAACTTCCATTAGTTATTACCTGAAATCTCCCCAGCAACGAAAAATTCCTGACGCCGATTTGAATATCCTCGTCACTAATTGTGGAACCAGGGCATTTGGCAGACACAAAGGCCTTCGCAAGCTCAAGGGCTAAAGAGCAATTCAGTCGCTGTACCGAGACATCAAGTACACCAGCATGGGACGGAAGATTCTCGTTGGCCGATATGAATGTTACGGTTGTGCCCCTGTCAAACGCTCGACGACTCATAACCTCTGCCGGGCCCGGTTCCTGAATTACAGAAAATGCGGGTGCGCCAAATTTGAATATTCCAGATTTGTGCCAAGCGATAGATTCAAGAGTCGATCCAAGTTGGGCAACATGGTCCAGGCCAAGGGATGAGATGCCAGTGACAACGGGGTTTTGTATCACGTTGGTTGAATCAAACTCTCCACCGTGATTCACTTCGAATATGGCTGCATCCACTTGCTCGCGGATGAAAGTATGGAAGGCCAAGAGAGCCATGAACTGCAGGTACCGGGGTTTCATACCAGCAATAACTGTGCTTCCTCCTGTGTCGAGCTCCAGACTTGGGGCCATCAGACAATCCCACACCTCAAAGAAGTATCGCGCAAAGGCCTCTCGCGTGATGGGACCGCCGTCGACATGTATTCGTTCCCGAGTCGAAATCAAATGCGGGCCACTATAAAGGCCAACTCGCCGCGGGAATCCGGTTCGACGGCCATGAGCGGAGAGAAATTCCCGAGTAAAGACGCACGTGCTGCCTTTGCCCTTTGTCCCGCTCACATGAATGAGATTCAACTTGGCGATCTCAGTATCCTAAGTCTTGTCAGAACGTCCAGCCTTGACAAATCAGCCAGCGATCATCCGTACATTGTGTCCCAAAGCTCCAAGCCACTCCGCCATCCCCAACACGCTTGGAAGCCCCCTGGTCGAAGCCTGATTATTCGTGGGCGCTTCCTGGTCCGTCGGCGCCCTGAGAGCGGCGGTCTTGGGCCGTGCCGGTCGTTTTCTTGACTCCAGGAGCCTGATTGCATTCTGTGAACAGTCAGCGTCAACGTGCCTAGCTCGGGCTGCGCATTAGATACCTCGTAGGTACGTTTCATTGTGCAACGGAGTTGTCGCGTTCGTGGACTGGGGATTGCAGCCAGTCTCGCACAGGGGGCTGCTGCAAAGTCACGTGGCGGCGCCTTTGTTTTCTTTGTTCTGTTTACCCCTCCACCCCGGTCGCCTCTACAGGCGTTGAGTCAAGCGAGATACCTGGCAAACGTCCCTTCTTGAGTCGCGCAAAATATACTCGCCATTGCGGCGATTTGCAATCGGCCCGTCACTGTCTCCTACCAAGTGCGCGGTAACGATCTACTCCCGGTGGGTCAACGTGGAGACACTAAATACGGTACCCTTCCCAACATCTTGCAGGGCTTTCTCGATATGGTCGTGCCAGATGGAATCAAATCGTGGCTCCCAGTAAATCCGACTTCCATGGGCGCAATCACTTGCGGCCAGGCACAAAATTCGTTGAATCTGCTGTTTGTCACCCGTGCCAGCCATCCAAAGCGCATGGCCGATCGACTTGCGAACGATCGCCGCATGCGCCCCGTTCCCATACCCAATACTCTCCAACACCGACAGTGCCTTCCTCCATCGCGAAAGTGCTTCGTCCCATGCGAATTGCGTATGTGACTTTCTAGCGAGCATCATCCAAATACGAAACACGCTCTCTTGCGCCAGATTGTCCAGATGTCCGTCAGACTCGAATGCATCCTTGAGGAGGAAAAGAAGCTCCTCTGCCTGCTCAAACATGTGCCGTTGGAGATATGTCTCAGCAAGCGACAGGCGGAGCCGGCGACCGTTTCTTATATCCAGTATATTCGCCTCTGCCATCGGTTCTAATGTATCCAGGAGGATCTTTTCCGCCCGAACTGGATCACCAACTTCACAAAGAAGACCGGCAAGCTCCCGAACGAGAACCATATGCCATCCGCTTCCCTCAAAAAAGACATCTCCCATGCTCTCCCTAAACAGGGAATCTAGCTTGACCAGTGCGAGATCAAACGCTCCACACAGACGGAGCATTTTGCCCAAGTTCATCTGCTGTGCCCTTAGCGTTATCCGTTCGAGCGTGGATGGGGTCCCCAGCGGCTTCCACTGACAGAGCTTGGCCTCAGCTGCTTGAAGTTTTCCTTCCCGAATTAGTCCACCGGCGCTAGAAATAATCATTTCTCCCAACTGAGCATTGTATTTCTTGCTCGCCTGTCTGGAATGCTGTCCGGCCTGTGCACCGGGATGAAAGGTTTCGTGAAGGACCGTCTTCTCAGTATCTGGGACCCCGAACATCCTTTGCACAGCTCTCTTTCTATGCGCAAGTTCCGTGTTTAAAAACGGCTCATCGTCCTGATGCAGGGTGGTCTTTGTGCGCGTTATCGCCTCCCGTTTCCAGTCAGTATCCGAGTACCGAGATGCGGACAGCAGGGTAGACGCGATTGCGTGCCGAAAGATGGGTATTTGGTCTTCGCTATCGCCGGACTTACAACCCTCATCGTACTCGAGTAGCACACGCCGCAGATGTGGTAACAGCCTTCGCCCTATAACTCCGTTGCTTCCAGAAACCGTTAGATACATCACTCTTGCTTGACTATTATACAAAATTACCTTGGCTCAAGATACCGGTTCCTTGGGAATGCATGGCACACAAGTAGGAGGGCTTGAAGTCTCCATCTCCTCACTTTACCAGGAGATAACCTGTTCACGACGCAGTGCTGCACTAGTGGATGTATTGAGAACGTTCGGCCAGTATCTGGCCCTGTTTGGCAGCTTATAAGAGACAGAGCAAATAGTCGTTCAATTGCGTCATCCAGCCTAAACTCATTGCCGATGAGGCTCGCCAAGTCCTCTTCCACACCTTCCTCATGCGCCGCAACATCCACAATTTCCCCGTCATCGTCCCATCTTCTGTTCGCGGTGCAGCCTCGGTGCAGAAGAATTTCCGGTATAGAGGCCGGGTCCAGAAATGAGAAGAGGAGAAGGATAGAAACAGCGTCTTGTGAGTCTTGTTCCAGCTCCTTGAAACTGAGCTCCCAAGTTCTGAGCACAGGACTCTGTTGCGATCCTACCCGTGGAGTGAATCCAAACAGTTGGTCTGGTCCAGTGGCAAACATGTGTGCATATTGCCTGAACGTTTTATACCGCGATCGCATGAACGCCGCGGCGTGGACCATTGCTAGCGGCAAATACCCCAGAGTTTGAGCCACCTCCTCTGCTGCTTGCATGTCGGGTTGGTTTGAATTTGCTGGCCCTGAAGTTTCGACCAAAAGGCTAACAGATGCTTCTTTTGGGAGTGGCTGAAGCTCTATCCACCGCTGACACAATGTCCCCATAACCGCCTGGTCGCGCGTCGTGAAAATAATGTGGCCCCAGCTCACCATTGGTATATATTTTTCCAGTCCTACCTTGTCCGGAGTGTTCGCGTTATCGAAAATGAGTAGCCATTTTTGATTATGACTTTGAGAAAGCCAGCCCTTCACTGCCTCAATCCTGTCACCAGGGCATCTCAGTTGCAATGCGTCGTACAAACGATGAAAGTCATTTTCAAGTGATGCTTGCGACCCAGCGTTCAGCCATACAACCGCGCATTTGTATTGCAACATGTGGCCCAATACATAGCACAGAGCTACCCGTGTTTTTCCAACCCCTCCTATTCACTGTGAGCCGAATCAACTAGGTATCAAGTGGTGTATTGCGTGCATCAACCTACCTAGGCCACACAACGCGAACGTATGCCGTTGGAACCCATCACTACCAAAAAAACTCCTCCATCTCAGCAAGCTCGCGCACTCTCCCATATAAGCTTTGGCATGGCTCCCCACTAGGAGCGAGAAATACCGCCCGCGCTGTCGTGACTGCAATTTTGCTTGCATTAGCTCCCATGCTCCTGTCACTGGTCGTTTGCGTGGTTTCAGATGAAGAGTCACACCTGAACTTGTCAACCCATTCTCTCAGACGGTACAATACTGGTCGAAAGTTCGTTTTGTTGGTGTTGCTGAAGCGGACCAACTGAACGTGGTCCGCATCTTGAGGGATGGTATTTTCAGGGCCGAGATTCAGGATTGCCGAACTCCTTTCCACGACCTGGAAACAAGGGTAAATGAACCTAGTCGCCATAATCACACAATGATCTGCCAGAGAGATCTCACCATTGTCTTAAATACACACCCAACTCGGGTTCTGCGAGTTTCGTAAAATGTAACCAGCTCGATATCGCCGCGGCGTTTGACGAAGTCTTCGGTCATTTCAAACAGTTCTTGCGAATTCTTTCGAAGCATTCCAAGAAGTGCTGTTGGCGCATTAAGGGGCGAAATCTTGGACACTAGAGCCGCCAGAATCTTGCCGGTGGTGGCAATATCACTCCCATTATGGGGAGTGCCTGTCAGGTAGTCAGCATCAGCGAAACGGGTCTGAGCCTCCAAGGTGGATGTACCGAAGAACATCACCCCGCGGACGCAATCCTGAACAAGCTTGTCAGCGCTGAGTCGATCGAGTAACAAGGCCTGCACGCTTGTCAGTGTAGGCCCGGTTATCACGGTATTTCGGATCGATCTACCTTTTTCGCTACAATCCCGCCAAGGCTGTGACAAATAAACACGATTGGGCGATGTTTTTCCTGCATTTCAGAATGAGAGACGGCTTCCAGTTGGCATCATATCAAACCTACTAACCTCGCTGGTCCGTCGAAGGTCTACAAGCTCGCTTATCAGCTTGATGGCAATCGATCTGAGATGTTGCTGGCCGGTAAAGTTGGCAATCCGCGCATCATATCCGTAGGTGAGAACGCGGATGGCTGGTATTTGAACAGGAAGAAGGTCCCTTAGCCACAGCGTTCCGGAATCTCGGTGCGTCCATGTTTGCTCGGCGTCGCCGTTCAGTCCGTGGATAGCTACCACGCTGTATGCCCATTAGATCCCATCATATGCAGCCAAGCATGTCTTCAACTGATAAGGGGATCAGGAATATCCTTACTCAACGGCGATCTCGGCTATGCTTCCATCATTGCTGGGAGTCGCCCGGGGATCGTGCAAAACAGTCACACCGCGTTCGGCGCGTTTGGGCATCGTACCTGTTGCAGAGTTGGGTTTGAAGTCTATGGGGTGGTTTGTATGTATTGAATATGCGGACAGAGGGAGATAAATGCACTGCGAGTCGGATACAATAACCGCAAGGGTAGACCAGCAAGAAAGAGTGATGTACTCCGGGTAGTTTACAAAAATTGGGGGGCGATGGCCCAGGGGACAACAGGATGCCTTCAATTGCACCATGTCTCAAATTCATTTAAGCAAATTATACGGCAAGCACCTCACGCTGAAATGTCGTCGGCTCGCAGATGCGACGATGTGGCTGTATTGCTTCAGATTCCAGAGTCAAGCGCACCGGGACTATCCATACAGCGCCGTTGCTCGGTGCCACATACGGGAACGGACAGCGATTTGCTCGCCTGAGCGAAGGGAAATGGTAGGATGCCGGCTGGTCGCGAACCATCATCATCGTCGCGGCCATTGCCCTGAAACCTTAAAGTGGCGTTCCCTTTGCCTGGTGCAGGAGAGTTGTACACAGACTGAGAAGCGCAATTCGTTAGCGTGCGCAATATCCCAGACAATGCGGCAGAGCCTGTCAGCCCAGTTCGTACGGACCCAATTATAATCTCGGCTTTTCCACGCCATTCGCTCTCACCCCTGGTGGAGTTATGCTGCTCTGCTTGTAGAGCCCAAGGCACCAGAAACCACTGTGGAAAGTCAGGCCGCGCCCCATGGAACTCAACAACAGACCGTATGAATCACGAATGAACATGCAAAACTGAACCCTGGTATACTGAAATTGTTTCCACATATGGAGGATCCTTCAGGAGGTCCACCGAGACTACTATCATAGACAATAATCCCTTCCTGCAGCAGCATATCAGCACAGATCTCACCTGAGCGCTGACAGGCGGATACCTACTGTATCCCCACACCAACCACACCAACAACTCCCTAAGCTTAACCGCAAAACGTGCCAGCAAAATGGCAAAAGCGCACCCCTGCTTCAGGTGCTAATTCCTATCTGACTCTGCGTATGACAACCGTAACTAATTGCAGTTTCCTGAACTCGCCGCCGTCTGTCAAAGCCGCAGAGCATGGCCGGCCTTTTCAAAATCATTGCATCCGCCTTCGACCGAGGCTTTGGCGAAGGGCAAAAGGGTCCTTACACTTTCCAGGACACATCCGAAGGCACACTTGCGAGATTTATCGAATGGGCATACACCGCGGATTATCCCGCCATTATCAAACCGACTGAGGCCGATGAGCAAACCGCCGTAGATCCTGAATCACCGCAAAGCAATGGCACTAAGGAGGATGCTATAGGTAGATTATCCCGGCGAGAAGGCTGTCTCCACAACGAACTCAAAGCCCAATCTCACACAAGAGAACCACCCGCTCCTCTCACATATCCGTCTCTACATTTTTTGCAGCATCTATGTCATACCAGATCTCCAGAAGCTCGCTTTCGACCGAGCTACGGCGGCTTTTACTGAGCTCAAACGACCGACTACCCTCGACACCCAGCTCTCGGTGATCGCGGCGATGCGCGTATCCTTTCGCAAGCTATTGCCCAACGATCAGCTGCTCGACTGGCTCGCTCAGTATGCTGCGTACAATGTGGATCATTTACGTATTCAGCGCGGCTTTCATGATTTGTTGCAGGAGTCTCCCACGCTAGCCTCGCGAATGGTGTTGTCTTTGAAAGCTACGGGTGTTCCACCGTGGGAATCAAAGCCGCCAAAGTATGAATTCGCCCATTACGCTCCTGACTATTCTTACGACGATGGATATGATTAAGCCTACGCGACTGACTTGGGAGGGCTGTCTGGGGAGGGAACAAAAGGACCCCCGGAATAAATCTATTCTATTTTATTTAGATTCTTCATTTGGAAATATCTACAAACAATAGTAATCCCGGATACCAGGATGTATTCTAGAAACCGACGCTGCAGTATGCCTCAGGCCGCAGTGTCGGATCTCTCTGCATTGCCATTCGCTTTTATCCGTCTTTAAATGACATATATTTTATACTCCCCGGGACGCGTCGTAGCGGTGGAAGGATAGACATGTCGCGTTGGGGTCGGTGGTTCAATCCGGCTGCAGAAAGCCTGGCAGAACATCTGCCTTTTCCATCAATTTTTCCACCCTCAAATCTCTTATTTTCGGCTACGCCATACTTTGGTAGAATATGCCGACGGGTAAGGTGTACTCCTGGGAATCATTCCGGGGACCATTTCGGCGGCGCGGACGGATGATTATAGGGACGACGGAGGGAATAGTCGCGTCTGGGGCCGTCTAGTTTGGGTATCGGAGGACTTTCTATAGCAGAAAAAAAAAGTTAGCCTTCATTCACATGTCATTTGCTGTCCGTGGAGGATGGAAAGGTAGTTCAACCTCACTCACAATACCATTCCTCTATCATAAATTCAAAACAACAACCACAACTCCAACAACACACGCCGCCAATCCACCACCAAAACCACCAGCAATTCTCCCTGCACCCCCGGTATCCGTTGAATCGCCCTCCCTAGCCTCGGGAAAGACCTTCTCGAGACAAGCGTCTGGTAGCCCATCCGCAAACGCCCACTGGTCAGCCGGGTCGCAATCACGGATGCAATTGAGCATGGGGGCGCCCAGGAGTCCCCGGCAGATGCATTCTGTGCGGGTACGTCCGGTCTCGGAGCCCTGGCACCAGGAGGAATTGGAGGGGTTGGAAGAGATGCAGGTGTTGACGCAGGACGGGTAGTTGGAGTCTGCTGCTGTTGTGGTGATCTGGAGGAAGGAAGCGAGCAGGGTGAGAAGTAGGAGAGGGGACATGGTTGATAGGAGTTGTGTTGTTGCGATTGAGGAAGAAAGAGGGAGAGCGCGAGTGACGCAAGTGAAGAAGAATAATTGCGGGATCGGCGCGGATCCACCCGCTTTGGGCCTCACCTCCACGGCCCACCGGGAACAGTTCGGGGATGTCGGTGACTGTTCTGCAGTTTATCGGAAAAGCAAATGCTGTTGGCTTCTTTGGGCTGGTTGTTCCTTGTTGGCTGTTGAAAATGTGGCTGGGTGGTTGTCAGCTGGTGTTTGGTTGTCGGACTGCAATATATATATTGATACCTAGCTCAACCCAGTGTTGTGGTAACTACTAGTAGTGATTAGATATTGCAAACCATCAAGTACTAGTATATGGAAAATAGTACAAGTGCTGGTTGTGGACGTCATACTTCTTCATGGTCCATACTGCTCTGTGGAGTTCTGACATCGACATGTTAGGCGCAGTTATTCCAGAAAGCAATGCAGTGAACATTCATTCACTTATTCAACACTAAAGGAATTAGGCCCGAAGGGTTCTATTTGCTGAAAAGCAACGCTTACTATAGAGAAATTCTCATAACATCATGGTTCACATAAAGCATTGTCTAGTAGTCTCAGCTCATAAAACCTCAAAAGAGAAGGAACAATGAAAGCACACTTGAATTCATGCACCAGCTTTGATCCCCTGTCATTCTGTTGACTACAAAAACCATTACAAATACAATAGCATCGTTAAGATCCAACCTACAATCCTTCGAAGTCTAGCAGCCCTCTTATCCTAAAGGAGCCGAAGAATGTCTCCAACAGATACCCGGAAATGCCCGAAATGCCAGGGCCCGGTCCAGGACTCATGTATTGACCAGAAACACATAGGACCGCTGCCTGTTTTACCAGTGAACGTTGGACCCATACAAACACAACAGAGCGAGAGCAATACGCCGTCGAATCCCACGCCCCGATGCCCTACCTGCACCCAGACAATCCGGCCGGAGTGTCTTATCAATAGCCATATTGTCCCTTGTAGGGCATGCGGATTGTCCTTTGCCTATTGTCCACCCTCACCAGATGAATCTACCGAACCGTCCTACCTAGACTGGGACTACAAAGACGCTATGAATTGGCTTGAGAGTCAGTCTACCGATGAAGCCAACCCGGATACGACGAATACGACCAAGGACAGCGGTGATACGGCTACATTCGCGCCTCCCACTACGCACGCCTGTATTGCTCGCAAACTGGAGAGGAGAAAGGAAAATAATAGCGAAAATAGACGAGTTATAATTGCTGGACATTTGGAATGGGAGAGGACATTGAATTCCCTTCGACAGATGACTCCCCTCGCAGACGAGGTTTCTGCAGCTGTTCGTGCTCTGGTGGCCTTGAAGAAGGAATGTGATGCCACGCATGACATGCTGGAACTGGTTAGGATGAGCGACCCGGCAAGGGAAAGTGATAGTTAGATTACAGTTTGCCTTTGCCCTTGGAACGAAATGTGATGTGGTGTGTTGTCTTATTGTATTGCTGGCCGTGGGTACTGTTGTATGACCCTTAGTAACTAGGTACAATGTTGTCATAATCGACCTTTTGGCCCAGTCCCTCGTATGTCCAGTTGCTGAAATATGCAAAGTCAGCTTCTGTGTCAAGACCTTTGGCCTGACTTGTACTAGCCCTCTGGCCATGACCGCCGTAAGAAGCATAAACACCAACCAGAGTACCTAGTTCGTTAGTCAAATTCTAAGAGCAAAAATTGAAAAGGGGACATTTCATACCTGTAAACCGCCCAGTGTCTCCAGAGACCACTCTAGCATCAACCGTACCAACCGGAATACTATTACCTGGCTTCGATGCCAAAGATGCCGAAAAGAGGTACGTCTCATCGTCCACAGCCTCCACACTCAAGGAAACTGTTTTATTGCCCCAGTTCCTCGGAATATCCACGGTGACATTACGCAGTGGGCCATCGTAATTCCCTCGCCCATATGTTTTGAACTGGAGAATTCGTGAATGGGAAATATGGGCAATGCTAAGGTCAACGTGCTGTTCCTGCGTTAGGAACAGACTAACCCCTGCCTCAACGTTCGGAGACCTCGGTGCAAACTCTAGGTCCACGCTGAAAGAAAAAAGTGTATCCGTTTGCCGTCTCGCAATAAAGGTAATCGGATCCGTAACAGAGGATGCATTATACGACGGCCCATAAACCGAGGGTCTCAGACGGAGTGTATGCGGGTGCCCCTCTGGGGAAACAACATAACTCGACTCGTCCGGCAACCGCCAGTAGACAAGATTCCTGGGAATATCAGACCCAGGTGCGAAGGTAAGATGTTCTGGCTCGTTAATCGGACGGTCTACTTCACTCTTTGGCGGCAAAGGAGCACGCATCACACCCCGAACAGGCTGTAGAACGGGCCAGCCTTTCTCCTCCCACGTCCCCGAAGTCAAGATCGTCTCTCGGCCCATGGGATAGTTAAGCCATTCAGGCCCCGAGCGCGTAGAGAGCGCAACCCCCCACCAGTTTCCATTGCCGTCTTCGAACAAGTCAGCATGCCCGACGGTCTGGAAGTACTGGGTCGTATTGCGATTCGTCAAGACCGGGTTATCTGGACAAGGCTCCCAGGGTCCCGTGCGGGACTCTGAGCGTGCCATAGTCACAGCGTGGTTTGTCTCCGTTCCTCCCTCTGCTATGAGCAGGTAGTAGTACCCATCTTTGCGGTAGAGATGCGGTCCCTCGGGGCTTGCACCACCTGTTCCGTTCCACAGATACGTCACTGGCCCGATTTCGCCGCTTGCGAGGTCGAGAGAGTAATGCTGGATCATGCTATTGTCGGCAGAGGTTACGTAGACCTGTCCGTCGTCGTCCCAGAATATATCCGGGTCGATTCCGTGGACCGGAAAGACGAGGGGATCGCTCCACGCGGCGTCGCTGTAGGGATCGGTGGATGTAAACACTAGGCCCTTAATGCTAGGTCCTAGGTTTGAGACGATGAGGTAGAAAGTGCCATTGCGGTAGCGCAGGGTCGGGGCATATATCCCTCCCTGCTGGCCCTCGGTGTCGGCGGTGTCAGGGATCTGGCCCGGTCGGTTGAAGATGTTGCTGGCGAGTTCCCAGTTCTCGAGGTCCTTGCTGGCGTAGAGTGGAAGACCTGGGAAGGCGATGAACGTTGATGCTACGCAGAAGAAGGTCTCTTGCTCCGTTACGTAGACACACGAAGGGTCTGAATGCCAGCCGGGCAGGATGGGGTTGGTGTAGGTGCGGTCGGCGGACGCGAGAGTGGCACCCACAATTGCGATAATTTGCAATATTGTTGGGAGACTGGGCGATTTCATGATGGGTGGTATGGAGCCCTAAAGAGATAGCGAACGGACTACGCTGCGGGAGGCGGCTGCCTCTATATACCCCCACGGACGGATTGCACTTTACGCCGCCTGTTTGGATGCGGGGACTGACTCCTTTCTCGTGCCATTTAGATAAACCAATGTCGATCAGCTTCTTGGCATATACATCTTAGCCTAAATACCTGCATGCATTGCCCACATATCCGACGTGCTATGGGCAACCCCACCGGCATTAGCGGCCAAATATCCCCAGTCCCTCATGGTATCAACAAATCCCCGGCGTTCAACCGATCCGTCATAGAATAACTAGACATGCCTCACCCACTCGGCTCACCATAAGCATGCGCCCAATCCACAGGCACCCCCAGATTAGGGCTGCCATCACTATGCGTCCCTACCAACTGCACCATCGTATACCGACTATCATCACAAGCACCCGCACTATTACTGGTCGCGTGATACGCAATCCAAGTCTGAGACGCATCCGGACTCTGAAAGAACGAATTGTGCCCGGAACCGTAGTTCCCATTCGCGCTCGAAAAGACACAGCCGTTATACTTGCTCCATGCGCTCGCGCTCATTGGGTTCGTGACACCGTCCCACGTTAGCTGCCCGAGACAGTAGTATGGGGTCCAGCAGTAGGAGGCCGAGTAGATGATGTAGGTCACGCCATTATAGTACAGAGCGACGGGTCCCTCGTTGACGGGGGTGCCATGCGTTTCGAAGCCGAGGGTTGGTTGTGATATTACCGAGATCGAGCCGGTGAGGGAGGTGTAGTCGGACCCGAGCTGCTGGAGGCAGATGGATTGATATGATACCCCGTGGAAGCACGAGTACATGAGGAATATGCCCCAGTCATTAAAGCGCAGGATCGAGGCGTCGATTGACCATTCGGTTGTTAGTTGGCCTGCGTAGGAGTAGTCATCCCAAGGACTCGAGCCACCTGTTTATGATTATTTATCCACCCAGGAGAATCTATATGTGTCTAAATAAAAACTGCCCATACCTGCGAGAACGTGCAATCTCTGCCCATCTAGGTTATCTCCATTCCCTGCTGTAAAGTAGACGTACCACCTCCCGCCGAGATAGTGCACCTCCGGCGCCCAGACATTACAGCATCGAGAAGACGTAGTGTCTGAGTAGATGACCTTGCTAGTTGCAGTTTTCAGACCCTCGACCGTTGTAGACCGCGAGATCTGGACATCGGTCCATTCGGTGGTGAGAAGGTAGTAGTAGCCGCCTGAGTACGCAATGAAGGGGTCACTCCCTCCAGGGTTGCGGATCGGATTAGTCCACGCAAATGCCACAGGAAGAATAGATATAAGCCCGAAAAGGACTGAAAGACGTCCAAGCATGTCGATCTTCATCCTGTAGGGTAGAATATCGTTCAATTGTCTGAGATCGGCAGGTGATCGGCCCTGGATGATCTGCCACTACTTGTATCCCACCACCGGAGCTTGTGATTCTTGCTACAATATACAGTTTTCCCATTAGCCCAAGACCGAAGAATACGATATTTATCCAATTGAAGGAATTGATGGGTTCTGCAGATTCCCCGGCGCGTGGCTTGCCTAGACATATGGCCCGCCGGGATATAGCTGTATTCGTCCATTTACACTAGATACCCCGAATACCAAGACCCGTCCTAGGATACCACGGAGGTGATATTCCAGATAGATGATTGAGTGTATCGAAGAGAGCAAGTCCACAGCCAGCCCATCAAACAGGCCACATACTAGCAAGCGGCACGACCAACCCTAAGCAACCAAGCAAGTATAGAATCTCAAGAAATAATAGCATCCCTCGCAAACTTCCCAGTCAACCCCCTAATCTTCTTCCCCCAGATATAAACTGGAATCCCACACACCCCCAAAGCAGCAGTCAAACCCGCAAACGTCCCAAAGGCCCCGTCATACCCATGAGTCTCCACAAACCTCGCAGTCCCATAGCTTGTCCCAAATGATATAATCCCCCGAAACGCACAGATAATAACCAACAGCGGCCCCGCGCGCGCTGGATAGCTATCAAGGAGATACGTGATCGCGACGATATTGGCACCCACGAAGCAGAAGTAATACGCGGCCACGGCCCAGACGTAGATGAACCAGTGGTACTGCTCCGGATACTGGCCCCCCTGGCCGTAGAGGACGGCGGTGAACGTCCCAACAATAATCGGGAAGATCAGAGATATTATTCTTCTTTCTGGCTCGTGCAACCCGTTGTTGCGCTTTGCGAAGTACTTCACTATGTAGTCGGATCCGTGGCCAAGGACGGGGAGGGCGGCAAGGGCGACGACGATTTGCCCGCAGTTCACGTAGCTAGTGCTTCTGTTGGGCCAGTTGTATGGAGGAGCCTGGAGGATCGTGGCGTATGTTGTTCCGATGGCGATGTTTGTCCCTATTGTCAGGCCGTTTAGGCAGAGGGCCCAGAAGACATTGGGGAAGAGAAGGAGCTCGAATGTTTGCTATAGAAGGTCAGTTACATATCGGCAGGTATATAATAGTATAAAGAAGATGGCTTACCCGTAGAACTTCCCAAACCTTCACCCAATCCGGTTTCCCGATCCAAAGACGCATATCAGACTTCCACGTCCGCGGCGCATACCGTTCGAAGTCCAGCGGTGGACGCTCAGTGCAGGCCCCGGCTTGTCCTCCTTTGATAGCCTCAGTCCCATCTGTATCTTCGCCAGAGTCCCCCTCCTGGAAGGATGCAAGAGTGCGTTCGTATTTTGTCTCGGGAAGGAAGAAGAACGCAAGGACAAGCTGTGCACCAGAGAGTATAGCACCGAGGCCGTACCACCACTGTGGCGTAATGGCATTGGCAATTTCACTGGCGAATAGAGTCCAAACTGCTGTTAGACTGACCTGGATAGCCTGCTGGCCCATGAGAGCTTTGCTGCGTTCGTGGAGGAAGAATATCTCCTGTTAACCAGTAAATATTTAGCTTCAATGGAGGAGCTGTGTCAAGCTACCTGGGTTATCATGGGAACGAGGGCTTCGCTTTGCCCGGCAGCTAGGCCCACCACGCACCGTGACCAGAGATGCCACTCGTAGGTCTTTTCGAGAGCGCAGAGGATTGCTCCGACGACAAGGATGATGGTTGATACTAAAAGGACGATTCGTCGGCCAACACCAATCGCGACCGGCATTCCGATTAGATTTCCAATGCCCCTGGACTTTTAGTAAATGAACAGCCCTTGTAGAATGGACGGCGTACATGAACAAAGTCGGATAGGTCATTAAATGTGTGATATCCTCATAGTCCTTGCCCAGCGCGCTGTACTCCGGGATATAGAAGCCCAAGAGTCCCCCAAACCCACTGACCAGAGCGAGACCGAGTGTCGAAACTGAGACATGAGAGTGGAACACAGAATACGAGGAGAATCTACTCACAGATGGAGATGACCACAAGCACAATCCACTTTTGCCACATTGCCATATTAAGGGGGTCTACCAAGTTCAGCATCCTCCCCAGGGAATACAGGTGAACGCTCACCTCTGGGATCCGCCGTTGGCGTGGGGATATAAACGATCTTGCCCTCCGTGAGCTTCACAGTCCCCATAACCTTCCTCTTGTTGGGCGTGGCTCCGCCATCTTCAAGATGTTCGACGTGGCTGATATCGGCTTTGGTAGAGTCAGCCATTGCGACGACAGTATTGTATACTGTATGAGTGTCCCAGTTGGAGCGGCAGACAGGGGTGGGAAAAGCGTGGTATATATCCAGATGCCCAGAATGCTCGCAACAATCCCAAGCCAGTTAACCGCCACGTATTAGACAGCTCAACCCCAGGTTCTCCACTGTGCCGATGTTGACATCCCCAGATAACGGCCTTGCCCAGGATCCAAGCTCCTGAACGCCTCCGCATCCCGAGGGACGAGCCTTGGCCAGATTCGGGGGCTATCTCGGCGGTCGCCGTCAGGGCTCCGAAACTGTTCAGGACCTCGGAGGCGCCCCGGATTTGAAGAGTCCGGGGTAAGGCATACCCATGTTGATCAATGGCTTGGTTAGGCCTGGTGATGCATTGTAACAGAAATGTGATGTCCTCATGACGCTATCACTAGCACTACAGTTCTTGTAACAGAAGTGTGATGTCCTCATGGCGCTATCACCAGCAGTACAGTTCTACATCAGATCGAAATAGTTGTATAAAAAGTGATTCAATATTCTGCCAAATGCTATGAGCATATCTCCTAGTAAGCCCGCACACCAGCCAGCTTCAGCACTGAATCCGTCAACTCTGGCTTCTCAAACGGTTCTGTCCTATACTTAGGGCACACCTCCCCATTCCTCATCGGTTTCTCCGACGCCGGACGAATATTGCTAGACACGAAATTAGCCATCGATGCCACAAATCACACTAGAAAGAAAGCATAAACCCACCAATGCGGCCAATGCGTAGTCCCCATATAATTCTCAAAGCACTGCTTCTTCAACTCCAGCGCCTTCTCCGTCGCAAACCGTTTCGGCGTCATACAGACATACTGCACATGCCGAATCTGATCGCCCTCAGGCAAGCAGGCATAGTGCATCGTCCTCGAGTCCCAGAGGACAAAGTCTCCAGGCTCCATGTTGATTTTCACCAGCTCGCATCCCCGCTCTTCGAACCATTTCAGATCCTTCTGGTGGAAGAGGAAGAGATCCATATATTTGAGCTCGGGTGGTGGTGCGTCTTCATGGTCGTACGCGTCGCGCTTCTGGGCGAAGAACTCGTCGAAGAGTTTCGCGGAGCCTTTCATTAGCATCAGACCGCCGTCTTTGGGGCCGTTAGGTGCGAAGTTGAGCAGTCCTTGGACAGCTTGCATTCTGCACGACGTTAGTAACAGGCCCTATAAAGATATAGAGTGCATGGAGACGTACCCCTTCCGGTTAGGGTTCTGGTCGCAATGCGGCCACGGGCTCCAGTTCAGGTCCTTCCGACGGGGAAGCGAGATGTTCAGCCCGTCAAACGAGCAGAGCAGCTCTTTAGTCTCCCAGAGCTTCTCGAAGATATCGATCACGGCGGGCTCCGAGCGCGCTTCCCATGCCATCTTCTCGTGGGTTGAGCCGTACGCGAAGTACATCCTAGGCCAATTAATAACTGCGTACACCTTTGGGCTTGGGTGACCTACCCTCCTTTGAAACTAACAGGGAGATGCTCGGCAGTCCAGGTACTTTCATCCTTCTCATCGAAGCCCAGGTCAAAGTTCTTCAGCCACTGGATCTGCTTGTCGCAGTAGTACTGGGCCTTTTCAGGGCTGATGACGTTCTTGATCACGACGCAGCCGTTTTTATGGAACTCGTCGCGCCAGTCGCCATAGTGGCGGTCGCTGAAGTCAACGAGATCCTTCACGGTGTATGACTCCTGAGTCGCCTCTGCGATTTCCTGGATGGTAGTGGTGGACATGGTGTATAATGGTAGGCTGTGATAGGGTATTGACTTTGCTGGTCTGTCTGGTTTGCGGATCTTCTGGTGGGTGTTCAAAAATCACTTAAGTAAACGTCCGTAGGCTGGGCATTCTCCTCCATCTCCGAGATTGCTTGCAATAATCCTCTCGGCGCATGGTGTTGGGCTCGGGGCACTCCGAATCCCCCGCATTAGGGCTGCCGAGGGTTCGGGCGCTAAAGCCCCGAAGTCTTGTATAGACGATCAGGTCGGATGTGGGGGACATGCGGGGGATTCAAGATAATTTTATAAAAAGTACAAGACACCAGCAGCTAGAAATAAGCCAACCACGTCAATATCGTTCAATCCGAATTGTCAAGTTAACACCATGCCGCCCCCCGTCCAAGCCGCATACAAACGCATCAAGCCGCCCAAGGTAGGCGAGAACGGCTACGTCGAATTCAATCCCAAATCCGAGATTCTCCCCGCAGGATGGAACGGATTCAATGCGAAGCCGCTTAAAAGCGCGATCCGCATTGATCATGACGTCGAGATGGTCATGCGCGATGGCGCCAGGCTCTACGCAGATATCTACCGCCCCGCCGAGTCGAGTGAGAAAGTCCCCGCCGTGCTCAGCTGGTCATTCTACGGGAAGAAGTACAGTGCGCTGGATATGCTGCCCATGTGTGTCTGGAACTGCTGCGTGCCGCGCTCTGACCTCAGTGGGCTGGAGAAATTCGAGGGTCTGGACCCCCAGGCCTGGTGTCCGCGGGGGTATGCGATTATCAGTGTCGATACCCGTGGAGCAGGGAATAGCGATGGTTTGATTGGCGTTATGGGCGCTCAGGATGCGGAGGATGGATATGATGTTGTTGAAGCCATTGCCAAGATGGACTGGTGTAATGGGTCTGTTGGCATGGCTGGGAATTCGGCCCTGGCTATCTCGCAATGGTTCATTGCCGCGCAGCAGCCCCCGTCTTTGAAGGCTATTGCGCCATGGGAGGGATCAGGAGATATATACCGAGAGCAGTTCTGCAGAGGTGGATGGTTCTCCATGAGCAATTTCGATCTTATCACCAACGAGATCGTGCGCGGACAATCGAGCTCAGGTATTGAGGACTTTGAAGAGATGTACCGCCGGTCTCCAGTCTCGAGTCCATTCTGGGAGGATAAGCGGGCTGATATGACCAAGGTCGACTGTCCGGTCTATATAAGGGGCTCTGATGTTAGCTCTATACATACAATGGGCTCAATCCGTGGCTGGCTGCAGGTGCCGCACGACAAGAAATGGATCCAATGGGGCAGCAAGCAGGAGTGGTACGAGCTGTACAGCTGCCCCGAATCCATGGACGAGCTTCTTGTCTTCTTCGATCGATATTTGAAGGGAATTGAGAATGGCTGGGAGAAAACACCCAAAGTGCGGTGGTCTGCACTGCAGTTCGGCGATCGAGAGGCCATCGACAATATCGTCCTGGAGGACTTTCCAGCCCCGAGCACCCAATATCGCGAGCTCTTCTTGTCATCGCAGACACTGAATACCAGCCCGGTTCAAGCCTACGAGAAACTCTCGTATGATTCAGCGTCGTCCTCCAGCTTCGCCGAGTTTTCGTACACCTTTGACAAACCATCTCGGTTAATCGGTCTTCCAAAGGCTGTGCTGTACATGTCCTCGGAGGACCAAGATGACTTTACAGTCTTCGTTATTATTCGCAAGAAGGATAAGAATGGAAAGCCGTTGATGCATCTCAACTTCCCCTTCCAGGCCACCCCGGTCAAGTCAATCGACGATATCCCGCAGAAAGAGCAGGCCAGTCTGAACCTGCACCTCGGCTCTACGGGCATCTTGAGGGCGTCACACCGTGCTATTGACAAAGAGAAGAGCATCCATCCCCAGTTCCCGTTCCATCCTCACTCGCGCCAGGACAAAGTGACTCCGGGGGATATTGTCAAACTAGAGATCGGGATCTGGGCGATGGGTGTGGATTTCGAGGCTGGGGAGACCATCAGCGTTAGGGTGAGTTATCCCTCTTCCTTTATGAACCATCTAAACGATGCTAATTATTTCAGGTGTCCGGCCAGTTCCCTAGTATCGCTGAGTATAAGACGTGGTCGAAGCCCAGGCCGGAGCATGAGCTGAATCGTGGGAAACACTTTATTCATTGTGGTGGAGAGTACCCCAGTTCTGTAATTCTCCCATTTATATAGATCAGACGCTTCCAATAGACATGCAATTCACTGGACCGAATAAACTGGCTGTTTCCGTAGAGGAGACTAGGATTCATTCTGTTCGAGCTTTGCCCATAAGGGCTAAGCAATATATACCACATCATTCATTTAATCTCAATGGCCTAAGTCCGATCCAAGGAGCCCAACAAATAATTACAAATAATAAATAGATAGTTACAGCCCGAAAGCCTCCAAGGTCAGCGCAGATTTGGAGCAGTTGTACTGCAGTCAATACATGTGGAAGAATGGACCCATCGCAGGGTATTTCCTAGACCTGTTTTGTGTCAGGAAATTTCTCCAGCAACCAGGAACTCTTTGTTGTACCTGTGTAGAGCCCATCGGTGATCTCTCGAGATGCTGCGCGATCTGGAGTAGGGCATGTAGAACGGGGCACAAATGCACGCTGCCAGCGATACCGGGACCACTATCTTCGACATCATCATGTGTGATATCTTGAATACATGCTGTCGTTGAGATCATGATAGGCATTGAAGTATGTAAAGAAGCCAAAGAACTATCCATCGGAGGTGACCGTTGCCCATGAGACGACCTGCAGGGTCAGCGAGTCATACTCTCCAGATGGAGTAATCATTCTGCTTCTGATTGGACTTTGCATGTCTCCAATATCCTAGCCTTCGGCGCATAATGCTCAATCCCTCAGCGCCGATTGGAGCCGAACTGTTGGCCGAGGTAATTCCCAGACATCCTCCGGAAATCCTGGTCAGAATGGAGACAAACCCCACGCTCCGGCCCCGCAAACCGGCCGCTTCCCCGCGGGGCATACAGATGCAGCTAGCGAGACCCAGATATTGACGCAGTGCCCTCGGGGGTTATACAGAGCTCGGTTGCTCCGTGAACAGAGGACTACATGCACAATGGACCGACCACCCCCGGCAAAGCGGCCGCGCCTGTCAATGGCATGCAATATATGCCGCCAGCGAAAGGTGAAATGCGACGCCGAGTATCCTAAATGTCGAAACTGTCGGGCCAGGAATCAGTCCTGTGTTACCACTGACCCCCAGCGACCTGGATGCCCTGGAGTGCGCGAATGGCTGGAGCTGCCCGAGAAAGGGCAGAACAACATAACTACTGCACCAGTGAATGGAGCGTCACAGGAGACTGTATCAGGATCAGGATTAAGCCCTGCCCGACATGCACAGACTGGCGAGGGTGAAGCTGGCCCTGACAGCGAAGAGTCGCCCGTTCGCCAGCCCTTTGATACTTCGGTCAACACCGAGCAGGGCACAAATCGCACCAAGATCCTGGGAGGAAGCAGCTCACAATGTCTCGCCAAGTCGCTGGATGTCTACTTCAAGGCAGTGCGGATGAAGCCTGTGTCCGGCTTCTTTCGGCATGGCATGCGGCATGCCGAGGAATTAGACATCGCCCTGGCTTTGATGCTCCCTGACCTGCCTGATGCTCAGAGACGAGGGCGCTTTCTCGCTGTTTACCAGTCGCGAATATATCCACTGTACCCTTTCTTCAGCCTAGCCGCCCTCACAGCCAGTATCGATCAACTGGCTACGGTGGCTGATTTCAAAACGCTACCTCGAGATGATATTCCAATTCTCGTCTCTACCTACCTCGTTATGAGCATCGGTGTCGATGAGGACTCCCAATGCCCGACAGAAGAAGGCGAGCGCTATCTCCACGCTGCTGCGAGCCTGCTGGCGCATATCATCGTCGTGCCCTATGTGCCCACAGTTCAGGCTCTCCTACTATTTACCATTGCCTACCGTGGCCACAATCAAGAGGGTCTGGCCTGGCAAACGCTAGGAATGGCCATCAGAATTGCGTACACCCTTGGACTTCATCGTCCATCAAAACACACATGCAAGGAATCCGCCGAGCATAATCTGCATACCCACATCTGGGCAGTCTGCTGCTCCTTCGAGAAAGTAATGCATCTCGCCTCCGGATGGCCAACACTTATACCAGACGATCTCATGGCCCAGCCAGAGTCACTAACAAGCACAAAAAACCGTTTCCTCCAATGGCACTTGGGGCTGGCGCATTACCAAGGCAGCATCAGCCAGCACCTCTACAGCTACCGTCGCTCGACGTCCCAAAGCAACAGTACCGATCGACAGATCCTCCTCGACACAGCACGCCTCGACCGCGGCCTTCTCTCCTGGGCGAACCAAATCCCCTCTGAGCTCCGTCCGGGAAACGACATCATCTGCTCGAACGACGAATTCCACATCATCGCCTTCCTTTCCATCGAGTACCACGGCACAATGATAGCCCTGCACCGCGCCGCACTCATCGCCCCAAAGTCCAAGATCGAAGAAGAGGTAATGAAACACTGTCCAGACGACCCATCACGGTTCCGTCTCGCGAATGGCGAAACCGTATGCGTGAATAGCGCTCGCGCCATTGCGAAACTCAGCATCGAGTTGCAGGATCGCGGGTCCGATAGCTGCCTTATACCCGCTGGCACTGCTGGTCTCGCCTGTATTTCGCTCGCCATATACCTACTGAAGAACCCCTCGTCGCGGCTACAGGCTACGGATATGCAGCTGTTGAAGGCTTGTCTTTCCTATTCGAGCACGCGGTTCGCGCAGTGTAATATCGACCCGAGGTATATTGAGGGTCTTGCTATGATTTACGAGCAGATCCAGAGTCGCTTGGAGGGACTGCCAGGGGGAGCAGCAGAGTCCAGTCCTCTAAAGCTACAGGAAAAGAGGCCTCATACCGACTTTTCCACGCCACGGGCGGCTGCTAGAGAACCGGCAATATCGAATCCTCTCTGCCCTCTCCCTACTCCAGCGAGCAATGCACCGGTTACCCCTGTAACAGCCCACGGCTCCAACCACGGCCGAACTAACGGACTTCACCAGTTGGGACCGCGGAGAGCGCAGTCATTCTCCCATCCTGTCTCCGACGTGCGGGGCTCGATCCAGCCTGACTGGACACATCCCGTGCAAGACCTTTCGCTGGATAATAACACGAATTCTTTCCTAGAGCTGCCTGGGCCGGATACGGCAGACCTCCCCAATGGACTAGACGAGATGTACCCCTTCGAGGGATTTAATGTTGAGGATTTGTGGAACTGGATGTTGTACTTTGATAGCCCACCGAGTGCGGATGTTGCGTAATCTGCTGATATTCAGACTTGCTCCAATTTACGATGGATGCTTTTTAATTATTAACCGAGTTCACTACGTCAGGTATAGACGTGCGTATACCAAGACCCCGGTGGAGAATATATGCACTTTGCGGGGTGAATCCTCCGGTGGAGGATCGCCGTCTGCACGTATCATTTAACCGATTAAAGCTCGATGACTCTTCAATAACCCGTCCAAGCGCTGAAGAGCGTGGTATATATATCATTATTTCGACGCCCAGTGTTTCAAAGACCTCGCCATCACCGACCATGCGTTTCTCTTCAGTCTTCACAGCCGTATCGCTGCTGGGCCTGTCAGCTGCCGCTGTCCTGCCCCGTCAGGATGAAGCCTATGCTGGATACCTTCTTTCTACATTTACAGACGCGAATCCATCGGTCTTCTGGTATCTCGCTGATGCCTCTGACCCGCTGGCCTTTACGCCACTGAATGGGGGCGATCCGGTGCTTGCATCCACACTTGGTACAAAGGGGGTGCGAGATATATTCTTGACATCAAACGAGGATAGGTCGGAATATACCATAATCGCTACTGGTGCGTAGCATATAGATCTTGGGAGTGAATTGGTTGACTTACTTGTATATTAGACCTCGACATCAACGCCGCCGGCTTTTCCTGGGACCAAGCAACAAGACAAGGAAGCCGTGGCCTTATTATCTGGAAATCAGAGAACCTGGTAGACTGGTCGGAACCGACGTTATCCATGTATACCCACCCAATCCAGGCTCTATAAACAGAATCTAACAGCACCAGAATCGAAGACCCCACAGCCGGAATGGCCTGGGCGCCCTCGGTCGTCTACAACACCACCGAATCGCAGTACTACCTCTTCTGGGCCTCACGCCTGTACGCCGAAGACGACACTGAACACACAGGGGACGCATCTCTCGATCGAATCCGCTACGCCACAACAACCGACTTCACAACCTTCAGCACCCCCGCTGACTACGTCGCCCTGGATAGCGAGAACGTCCCCCTCATCGACCAGGAATTCCTCTACCTCGGCACACCAGGCCACTATGCGCGCTTCCTCAAAGATGAGAACCCGACATACGTGTACCAGGAAACCACCGAGGGCGGGCTATTCGGGGAGTGGACGCGGAACGGCGAGTATATAGCCGAGACTGTGTATGAGGGCCCTGCTGCGTTTCCTGATGTTAATGTTGACGGGACGTATTATCTCCTCTTGGATAATTATGAGGAATATGTACCGTTTCGGACGACGGATATCGGCTCTGGTGCGTGGGAGCAGGTTACTGGGTCCGGGCTGCCTGGGGGGTTGAAGCATGGGAATGTGTTTTTGTTGACCCAGGCGGAGCTTGATGCTGTTAAGGAGCGCTATGGATCTTAAGCCTGGTCTGAGCAGAGATACTCTTCAATTGGCCTTCATTCCAGTTAGGTGTCATCCACGGTATATTCCTCTTTGTTGCCTACGGGTAAGAGAGCCACGACTACGTTATATCTGATAGGTGCTTAAACCATAAATGGCCCAGCTGAAGTGTAGTTAACATCAAGTTCAAATGCACAACTATCAGTAACTAATTCGACCATTGAACTGCCACACTCAAGCCATAAAATGTCGATCAAGCACTCTGCTTGATATACGGAATCCCAGTCAACTTAAACGTCCGTTCACTCAAAACCGGCTCCTGAACCGGACGATCCCGAGTCTTGGGACACCTCTTCCCATCCCTCATCGCAACATTCGTACCAACATGCGCCGCATTCGGCCAGTGCGTAGTCCCAAGGCGTTCTACAGACCAGTCAGCCACACGGCAAACGCAAACCGAACAGCAAAAAAAAAAGGAAAAAAAAAAACATACCCTCAAACGCACCCCTCTTCCTAACCAAATCCTCCCCACTCGCCTCCTTAACCGGCATATAGCACGTATAAACCGCAAGTCTATCATTCTCCCCCTTAGGCGGGAGGTTATAATGCGGCACGCGACTATCCCAGACAATCAAATCGCCTGGCTCCGCGCAGACCTTCACCCACTCCAATCCATGGTCAGCAAGCCACTTCATCCCGTTCTCTGTGAACCCGAACCACTCCGGCGTCCAGGCTGGGATGCGTGGCTCGGAGGCCATCTCGCGGTGGAATTGTTCAGAGACTTTGTGGCCGCCTGGGCAGACGATCAGTCCCCCGTCGTTCGGGCCGCAGGGGTTTAGGTTCACGAGGCCTTGGAGGCCTATATAAAATTAATTAGCATCTGTATTCGCTTGGGGGAATTAGGGGGACAGTACAGCGGAAACCGGGCTTGGCTGGGTCTTGGTCTTGGTGTGGCCAGGGCTTGCTAGGAACTGTTAGTCACTGGAGTTTCACTATTTGTTTGACCTTAATGAAGGGTGTTGACATACTTCTCAGGCATATTCTCTCGACTATAGATACCAACAGTCAGCTCTCGGTCAAAGTACACGCCGATATACCAAAACGTAAGGATGGAGGTGGATATACATACTGCGCAAACTGCACATTCACAACATCAAACGAGACAATCAAGTCATCGTCACCATAGACCTTCGCAAAGGAATCCACAACCCCAGGCTCGCCACGAATATCCCACACCCATTTCTCATGCGTCACACCATACGCCAATATCATGCCCTTCTCGTTGATGACAGGCAGGTTGGCGGGCTTGATGCTCGACGGGTCGGAGCGGTTGTAGCCGAGATCACTGCCATATTATCAGCATGAGTTACTTCTCGTTGATGTATAAGAGAAGGGGAATATACAATCCCTCTAGATAAGTATAAAACTCATCCGCGTATGTAGCGGCACGGTCTCGCGGGATCGCACCCTTGATCACCGCGTATCCGTCTCTATTCAGGGCATCGCGGAAATCGCCGTAGTTAGTGGGAGACCCGTCTAGGGCCATGCGGCCTTTGGGCTGCGTTCCTGTCACGGTGACGCCGGTGCTGAGCTCGGTTGTTGTGGTGGACATTTTGGTTGGGCTTGGTTTGGTACCTATGGAACTGTAGATAGGGTGGGTAAGGTAGGTTTGCTTGGGCAGGGTCTAGTCTATTTCGTGCTTTTATCTGAATTTGGCTTCTATTCAATAGGTCTGTTGCTCCGAGGTTCGGGGCTCGGGGGCTCGGGGCTGGCCGAGACTGTCCCTTTACAGCTTATCCTAGCCCCGTCCACGGTGGGGTGGTTCGGCTCCACGTAGGATATATCTTGGTTCAATTCTATGGTGGTATTCTACCGAGATTGTAGTATTATCCAGTATGGGACTGAGAATCATCATCGTCGGTGGCGGAATCGCCGGGCTCGCAGCCGTAAGACTCCCTTCCAACTCGCGAGATCGTCTAACAACCATAGGCAATTGCCCTTCGCCAAGGGGATAGAGACATTACCATCCTGGAGCAATCGGCTGTCAGCCAGGAAATCGGCGCCACGATATCCCTCCAGCCAAATGCATCCAAGATCGTCGAGCAGCAATGGGGACTTGCATCGAGTCTCAAACAGCATGGCTCCATGGTAGATGAAGCGTTCGAGGTTTATAATCTCGATGGCGAAATGCAAATGCGCATTCCTCTACTGACGAAGGATAAGTATGGCGCTGAGAGAATGATGTATCACCGTGCCGATCTACATCAAACACTCAAGGAGCGAGCTACGTCTGCCGACTTTCCGGGTCGCCCCGTAGCACTTCATACAGCAAGCAGAGTTACAAGCTGTGACTGCGACAAGGGAACAGTGGAACTTGCTAGTGGACAAGTCCTATCTGCAGACTTAATTGTTGGAGCTGACGGTATCAAAAGTGCGATCCGTAAATATGTCCTCGGAGAGGAAGAGAACGCAATACCAACAGGACTATCCGCGTACAGGATGATGATTCCAACGGAAGTCTTAGAACAGGAACCTGACTTCGTCAAGGTCATCAATCCCCGAAAGGGCTGTACGACAATGGTAATGGGCCGGGATCGAAGATTGATCATGGGCCCAGCAAGAAACGGCAAAATTTATAGTACCGTGGCCCTTGTGCCAGACGAGAGCATGAACGAAAATTCGGAGAACACTAGCTGGACAACAGCAGGTGACCACGACAAGATGATGAGATCATTCGCAGAGTTCCCGGAATGGGCGAAGAAGCCTCTCCTGCTAGCCAGAGGGACGCCCTTGGGCCTATGGCAGCTGCGTGACTTGGATCCATTGAAAACGTGGTATCACGGCCGGGCGATTTTGATCGGTGATGCAGCCCACGCTATGTTACCCACACAGGGTCAAGGTGCCAGCCAGGCCATCGAGGATGCGGAGGCATTAGGGGCTTTCTTCGATGGATTTGAGAAAACTACCCCTTCCAACTCGCTAGAAACTGTGGCCCTGACCAACAAGGCTATTTTCAGATGCCGCTATGATCGAGCAACAACGATACAAGCGTATAGCCGTCAAGCTGCGAAGCCGGCCACTGAGACCGGTACTCGGAAAGTGCAGATGAATCCAGCAGAGTTCATGGACTATAACTGCTCTTACAGCGGTGCACTCGACTGGCAAAGGCGTCAGGGGGTGGAAACTTAGTGCATTATGTTAGAATACCATGGCCATCCCGACGGTCAATACCGCTGTATGGCATTCCCCATTCCTCGCAGAGGTCTTGGATTCGGTAGTCCGTAAAAAGCCCAAAGTCGTCTCCCATACCCCGGAGTATATGCAGTAGGCTCCGTCGCTCTTGGTCATCTGTCAAGGACCGTCCCGCGACGTAAAGAGGCTGCAGCATGTATTTTTGTACGGTTTCACTGGGCATCGCATGCATTATTGGAATGATCTCCATCGCGTGCTTTCGTAGGTCGTACTGGAGGCTGTGGTATGTCCCAAGGAGGTCATTCCCGTCCCGGGTATGCCGGATGGGGCGGTTCGCGAGGAGTACCATTCGTGCCATGTGGTAGAAGGCTAAGGTTATTGCACAGATGTCGCTTGCGAACCAAATTTCGCGCGAGAATGGGTCTGCTATTGGTGCAGGATTCGGCTCGGCGGGTGGCCATGCAATGGGTATATAGAAAGACTGGGGGACCGCGTTCTGCCAACGGTCGAAGTCCTCGTTCATCTTGGTCCACTGGGTGATATCCCCAAGGTCGCAGTTCATCAGTTGACACATCATCCTAACCAATGATTTGAATAGGATCGCTTCTAGCGGCGCCTCTCCAGCTCGATTGGTCATGGGATGCCCGTCGGAGTCAAGCGGAAGGCCCATATTGCGCCACAAAACTAGATCGTCAGGGTTGATGCGAGTTGTACTTCGCGTAACAACTAGACCAATCGTTAGTACGGTTGGAAAAAGGGATAACCGGAACATACAAGCATTCAACATGTCGTTAATGACAACAAACCAGAACACGGCATCCAATGCCCTTATCGGCTGCGGGACACGACTCGCAGTTTCAAAGCATCCTGGCTTTGTGAGATGAGGTCGAAGGAGTCTAAAAGTGCCATCCAGGTGACCTGACCAGGCACGTATGGTAGAGTTCACGTCCTCGTACTGACACAGAATGCAGGCTGCCAGAATAGAGTAAGGGAATTCATCTCCGTCCCCCTCGCTGGTAGAAATATGGTCACCACTCTGCGGAGTCAAGCCCAATCCATAAACATAGTTCGGCGATAGTGAATATGATCGATCCTTGCTTGAGATCTGGTTGGCGAGCAGCTTGATCGCCTTCTCATAGTACTTAGCTCCATACCACGTAAACCCCAATCTGCTGTCAATCAGCGCCTTCATCATCAAGCTTTGTGTACTTGTCTGCCGGATCTGGGTTTCTGGGTGTCTTGTCTGGCCTAACTGCTTCGCGCCTAAGGCACAGGCAGCATATCGTACAAGCGGACTCCAGTGGGCGAGGGCAACAGCGTTTTGGCTGAAATAGGATTTGCCTCCGCATACGTCCATCCACTGGCCAGGCCCCTCGGAGAAGTGGCGGAGGAAGAATGCGATCTCGCAGCGATCTTGATAGCAATCTTCGCTGGGGGCGGCTGGAATGCTGTAAGGGCTCTCGTGCATCCTCGCTGGGGAGTCCATATGTTCACTACCCGAGACCGCTGCAACCGGGGTTTTAGGGTGTTCTGTCCTGGCTTCGGACTCCGTGGTTGAATCAAGTTCTCCCTGGTGAGCATTGTCTCTGTTAGGTGAGCTAATTGGCCATTGAAGAGCATTTTCTCTCTCCATTGGATTTGTCGAGTCTTCAGTTGGTGGTTAGTGATCGACCATCGGTAAGATCTCAAGGTCATACCATTATGTGAAACACCATCCCCCGATCTTGCATCGGTGCCTCCCCGCTGGCGGGACGATTTCTGAACTTCAACAGGCGAACTCTTCTCGGCCGGTGTGACCATAAAAGAGTACGAGTGTGGTTTGAAGAGGCTGTCTAAAATCCGGCAAGACCGGCCAGTTTTGAGGCACTGCCCGCATTCCGGCTTCTGTTCGTCGCATTTAATCTTGCGGCTCCTGCACTCTGGACTAGATGCTGTCAGATATTGCATCCACGATAATATCTATAGGTGCAGACAACACAAACCATCCTTTTCGGGACCGTGACTCCCGTTTTGTGCGGGTGGGCGTCACTGCAGGAGGTTGGTTTCCTGCCATCGACGGAGTGGCTGACGCTACTGGATCGGGTAAATGATGCGACTTTTGAGGCCGCAGGGGTTGTCTGGTCAGGTCTACATCAGAATGTCTTTGGACGAGAGATGAATATCCGAGGGAGTTGCAGTCAACTCGGAGAACCTCCGGTCGGCTCTTTTACTCCTTTGGGCTGTCACGTTACCTCCCTCGACTACGACATAGTCACGATTCGTTACTGGCTGCTTGTAGACTCCTGCCATCCAATAAAGCTCTCTTAAGTCAGTTCATCATTAGAACCTGTGAAATTGAAATATGATCCTGCCTGGGAATCTGGTCTAGGTCCGGCCATGCTGGAGATATATATCTCTTCACAACCTGGTGAACAGCCTACAACGTTACCACGAGGATATTGATCTCTGTTAGAAACATCGAATGACACATGCTGCTTTATTACCATTTTGGAGGTAACTCGGAATATTACGCAACGGAAAAAGCGAGACATCCATCGATACGGGTCAAAAGCCTAGGACTTCGGTATGGACATATACCTGAAAGAAGCGGAAATGATGGAAGTCGAAGGATTTCCTCCAGACCTCATTAACCTCTTCTGGGAGTCGGTCGTCTCACCTGCAGGAACTGCTGCATCGTGACGCCAGGAATCGATATCAGCGACAAATGATCTTTGAAGGCAAAGCCAAGAGATCTGTCGATCGCGAGCCACATCAAACAATTGGAATGCACATCGTTTTCCTTCAGGGCCGGATTGCAATCTGCTGACACTGCCAGAGCCATGTCATGCCTTATAAAGACGGCTGGACTGGCGCGCCAGTCTTCTCTTGACAACAACACCAAGAACAGATAATTATACGAATCTCCTCTACACACAGCCACTACAATGCGTCTCGCCCTGTCCTTCGCAGCAAGTGCCCTCCTGGTGACTCTGACCGCTGCGGCGCCCCAGGCCCAGCCTGCGCCCAAGGTACGTATCAGAGTCCTCTGAGGTCGTAATCCTACTTACACTTTTGTAGGTCACCATCTACAACAAAGGCGAGTACAAGGGCGAGCAAGTGACATTCGCAGCAAAGGGCGAATGCAAATCCATTGCGCCGTGAGTGTACCTTGTGATGAAGACCTGGAAATTTTTGAACATCTAGCTAATTGATTTGTTCCTGTAGGAGAATTGAGTCTATCTCGATCCCCGGCAAATCAGATGTCTGGTGCCAGGTCTTTAAGTAGGGAACCCTGTCTACTGAGTTAAACACGACTGTATTGACACTCTGTAGCAACAGGGAATGCCAGGGTGAAGGCGGCCGTGTGATAGTTGATTCAGTAGCCCAGTTCTCTGTGGAGGAAGTGTATCCTGCAGTTATTTGCAACGTCTTTCGCGACTAGTGGTAGCTGCTCTTGGGTGTCACTGTTGTAAAGCACAAACAGGAGCATCAAGTGTAACCATCCGGCATTTTATTGAGAGTACAGTGACTTATTTCCACAGGTTGCCAATTCCTAATAATATTTATCATTATTCACATCGTTGAGTAAAATAATAGTTTCCAGCGCATTCCTAGATTATTCTCCTGCAGTATACTAGCACTCCTCCAGTTAACATAGATCTATACTACAGTGTACATGCTCCGAAGGACATAATGTACCGCTGTGATCTGAAAGCCTGATGCTATTAAGGAACGGGCGAGGGGGCTGAATCTCTACGTGTTTCCCAGGACTCTTCAACCGCACTATTCGTGCACAAATTATTAAAGTTAGAACTAAAAGGACAAAGTATTCTCAAGGGGCAAGTCCCTACTATCCCTACCAACGTAGACCTTATAATCCCCCCTCTGGAGGAGCCACTCCTGCGCATCCGTATCCCAAGTACTCAAGTCCCGCCGCGTTAAAGCAAAAGTAACCCTCGCCGACTTTCCAGCCTTGATAGCCACCTTATCAAAACCACGAAGCTGACGAACAGGCCCGTTAGGGATTCCAACATACAGCTGGGCAACCTCCTGTCCATCAACGGACCCTGTGTTCTTGACCGTGGCCGTCACAGTGACCAGCTCGTCGAAGAGTCGCGGATTTCCTCCTGGGACTACTTTCGATGTTTTGGCAGGGTAGGCAGCAGCCTTACCCTTCTTCGACACCCTCAAGCCGGAGTACTCAAATGTGGTATATGAAAGGCCGAACCCAAAGGCATACTGCGGCTCGATCCCATCCTTATCAAAGGCGCGGTAATCGATGTACACCCCCTCCGAGAAGTTAGATTGAGGAAAATACTTATACTTTCCTTCCGGTAGCGACGGTTCAAGGAGGGATCCATAATCCGAGGGCTTCTTAGCCACAGTATACGGGAGCTTACCGGATGGATTCGAGTCGCCGTATAGAAGCTCCACCAAGGCCCGTCCCGTGTCCTGGCCAGGAAGATGCGCGAAGATGATACCGGTGACATTTGCGTGATCGACCCACGATTCAACAGTGCGGATACCGGCGTTGTGGACGGTAACGATGGTGTTGGAACAGTTCTTCGCGACGTTGGTTACGATGCTATCGCTGTGGCTGTCGGATAGTGCTTTACGGTCGAAGCCCTCCTCAGCGTAGGCGTTGATGAAGACAAGGCACACGTCCGATGTAGAATCCACGTTGGGATTTTCAGAAGTGAAATCCCAAAGAACGGACGAGCCGTCTTCGTACGCCCGGCGCTGAATAGCGTCAATGGGGGCGTCAAGATAGGCAGGTGAATTCAACCCAGATCCACCACCGACGTGCAACGTCCGGTTTTTATACAAGTCTGACCTGGTCCGCGTTGTGCCAAAGTTAAAATTATTGCTCAAGTCCATGGTCATCGGGCCGTAGGCATCATATCCGAATACAGATATCAGTTTCGGAGATTTGAGCGGGAGTGCGCCATTGGTATTCTTTACTAGCACGTGGCTTTCGATTGCGGATTGCAGGAGGACTGGTTTTGCGTCCTGCGATGTGGCAATGACGGCCTGGTGGGGCTCGCTTATGCTCTTGGGCATTCCAATTCCGGGGGATTGGAAGGCAGTGTCCTGGTCGAGGTAGTACCAGGTTGCCATGACACTGATACATGTTAGTACTGGAGACGGAAGCAGGAGATGTTAGGCTTGTGAAGTACCGTGTAACCATGTCATCCAGACGTGAGGCCTCCATGGATCCATTGGCAATGGCGGTTGTCAGATTGCTGTTCCATGTCTCAGAGGAAGGCATAGCAACATCCAGTCCAGCATTAGCGCCAGCAATTCCAGCATGCTGGGCGCCCCAGTCAGTGACAACGTATCCTGTTAATATTCAGCCAATATTTAGCTTCCGTGCACATAATTATGCCATTTGAGGGCGGGGCGTACCCTGGAAGCCGAGTTCAGTCTTCAAAAGACCGTTCAGTATCTTACTATTCTGACAGCCATAGGAATTATTCAACCGGTTATACGAACACATAATGTTCGTGGTACCAGCAAGTACCGCGTCCTGGAATGGCCAAAGGTACAGCTCATGTATTGTCTTGTCATCGAGATTAGACGATACAGACTGGACGGCGTTTCCTTCAGAATCAGTCGTAGGGTTACGATTGATTTCCTGTTCATTGGCGATATAGTGCTGCGTCTTATTAGCCCTCGTAACGGACTCCCCGTCATGGCAGACACACCTTGAGCGATGTAGCAACCTTCTGGGACTGAAGGCCCTTTACAGACTCAGCTACCAGAATGCCACTTAAATAGGGGTCAGCGGCGAATCCTTCCCAGTTGCGGCCCCCGAGGGCCACACGTCCGAGGGGACCAACAACGGGGCCAAGAATCATGTTGACGCCCTTTTTGCGATATTCTTTGCCCATATGGATAGCTCGTTCGTTGGCGAGATCGCGGTTCCAGCTGGGTAGAGCATCAGTAAGTTGTTGCCTTTAATAGTGCTGGTGTTTAGGGCTGGGTTCCTACCTGGCGCCAACTGAAATTCCAGACGACCAAGCGTTAACATAGTCGGTCCCTCTCTATACAAGACTTGCTTTAGTATGCAACCACATTAACCTAAATAAAGCAGGTGCGCAATACTGACCAGTCCATTCCCCGCGTCGCTCATGCATATACCCGGGAACCCCAGCCGGTCAATGCCCTGGATGATTCCGGAGCAGCCAGTGTTGGAAGAGACACCGGCAGTGAGGTTGACCTTTTCATCATCGGAGAGCTGGGCAACGAAGGCCTTGGCTTTCTTGTATGCAGAAGCCCAGTTCCCTGCGCCAACTCCCTGGGCTACTCACGGGTTAACAAGTAGGATGTGGGGAAGGAGGCAAGAGTGGACATACGGGAGGGGTATACAGGAGGAGACTCTCCATAGAAGTAGGAATCACTAGTAATGACATCTTCGGCTGCGGCGATGCTACCAAACGCAAGGCCGAAGAGCAAGCCTGCCCTGCCCCAGGAAGGTATCATTTTGAGGGAAAGGGGACTCGGGAATCCTGTTTGGCTGGTAGCTCGTAGTCAAGGAATGTTACTCTTTATATATGATAGCCCCTCTGCCCTCTGTAGCCGAGGCCTCGCAGTCTGCATCTCGCGTCCACGACGCTGGCCGGGTATACATCGGCAGAAAGAAGTAATTGCATGTCCGTGCGGTAGGTGGGGGGATATACTCAGGGCCATCCGATTGCTCAGTACGTGTTGCTTTAACCGGAAAATCCGGTAAGCTAAGCTCCAAGAAGCTCCGAGTGCGGAGAACCTGGCTGGCAACAAGGATTTACCAAGACTCAGATCATCACTCGCAGGAGTCAATGTGGGGAGAGCAACGTGGGCCCTACCCCGTGGGGTCGTCAAGTCCGCAACAAATGTACCGGCACTCGCTATCGGCTTTTATCTTGCGGAAATACACGAAGCCTGATAGGAGGAAAAATGTACTGTCAACGGTGCTGGCTTCGTGGAGGCCTGAGAGAGATAGTCATCGGATAACTCGGTACTAAGGTCAACTTGGCCGTCCACCTCGTTGACAAGTAGGGCTGGCCGGGTGGCATGACGTCTGCCAGTCCAAATCCCTTGGCTAGACCTCCAGCCTATAGACACTATCTTAAGACCCTACTGAAATTTTTATCTGGCTAAGATCTGCTCGTACCAGTCCACAGAATAGATCCCTCTTGGAGGCCTCCTATCTCAGCTCGTATGTTGAAATGCGCATAGTACTGCACACATTAAATGCAATTCCAGCAAGACTAAACGCTAGCAAACTGTTGCGTAGAGTCGCAGTAGTCGATATTCTGAAATAGGTTTCCTGGCCGCCTTTACGACCATTTTGAGTTTCTTTAACTCTATTTAAATATGTGACGGCCTGAACAAGGATAGGATTATATCACTGGGTGAAGGCTACTGCCGCCTAAAATTATGAATGCAATAAATTCAGCTCCATCTAACAATTGACGGTGGATATACCACCTGAAAGGCCCACTTCGGTGGCTCTAACTATATCCCCTGTCCTCGTATCACGAAAGTGTATTCCCACATAGGTCCACAGGGTATGTGTGGCCGTCAACGCACCGTGGCACTGATGGCTATATGATCAGAAGTCACAAACCCAGCCATTTTTCTTCAAGCCACCGACAGCTCCAACAGAACAGTATTCAAGCTCTGTACAACGATCGTCTCCATTGGCATTCTCGATTTTGCCACCAGAGGAATTCTCAAACGATGCTGCTCATGGGTTACGTTGTTAACGGTGATGCTTTGACAGGGATGGCTCGGATATCAGTAGTAAACATGAGATGACTGACCTGATTTTATATCCGGACCCTCGTTGCAGCCAGCGCCCCCCTGCGCGGTCAATGTGACTTTGTAGCCGCCAACATCGCATGATGACCCGGACCCATCCAGCTCGCAGGTATCGAAACCTGGCAGGTCTTTGCTGAAGTCATCGGTGGGCGGTCCAGTCCAGTAGGCGGCTCGGTAGTCGATACTGGCAGTGCCACCATTGCCCTCATCAATGTAAATGGCGAGAGCTGCCAGAGCAGTGTTGGCCATGATAGGAACGATAGGAAGAAGATGGCTGACTCTCATTTTGATAAGCTGGTGGGCGGGCGTAGAATGGATCTTGTGATAGTAGATTTATCTGGAGCTTCTTGAAAGATGAAATACCAGCAGTGTCAGGCTACGTGCAGGCCTTAAATACTCGGCATTTCACTAGCTTCCAAGAAACTGTGATGTCAGATATGTGCCATCTTCAGGTATCACCAACAGAATTACGTATCCCCCAGCCGGCAACACCTTGTCCAGTACTCTGGGTATTGTTTCTCAAGGACAGAAAGGAATGCACTGCCCTGTCCGTGGCCCCATCCCTCGGCCATTCAGTGCCCAACTACGTGAAGATTCCGGCCCCAGGCGACGCAACTTCCTGCCAAGACAAGGCAGAATGTGTCTGTCAGCAAGGGCTATACATATGCAGGAAACTAAAGTCTTGCGAAGCGCCCCGATGCTTGTCCGCACTAACGGACTTGCTAGCAAATGGCCCCATTCTGCTGGGGATTCTTTGCGGCGGAGTTATACATCCCCGCATTGCACTTGAAGCAGAGAGGAAAGATCATAGTACAATTTATCGAGCTGCTGAAACAGCGTATAAAGTCTATCGTTGATATGATCCATACATGTTACGTTCCAACATCAGCTTATTATCTTTACAATGTGATGGTTCTCTGTTTCCTCCCGTCAGCAGGAGGGGTAAGGAATAGGCACCTCCCCCGTTGTGATTATATGAAGCATATTAGAATGGAAATATAGGAGTTTAGGTAATACAAGATATTGATGGCGTACATATCGCTCGCCCATCAACACAGAATCCAAAAAATATCCTGCATTGGTGACGACTTTATATATTTCCTTCGCTACGCCCAAGACTTCTGTACTGTGCCTTAAATATTGATTGGTGAGACTGGGTATTGCTTCTCCTGATCTGCACCTCAGCCCCCATCTGATGCATCTTTCTCTCATCACCACTGGTAGCACCATAAGCCTCTCCAATGGAGTTTACACAGTGATGCCGCTCTGCTTCCTTCCAGAATCCACTGCCACCCGCAGCCCGTCAATCACCTGGGCAGGCTGGCTCAAGAACGGCGAGTGGGATGCATCGGTGTGGAATGTCACTGGCGAACCAAGTGTTCTCGCAAGTCCTTCTTGCACGGCGAGTGAAAGGGCCTGGTCCTGGTCGCAGAACATGTACATGGCGGGAATATCATGCCAGGGCTCGTATATCGCGGGCTCGGTGAAGGACAGCGTCGGGTGGCGCTTCAGCAAGGCAATATGCTTCTTCTGGTCTTCTGGCGTCATGTCACTATAAAAGACAGTCTCTTCCTGCAAGCTGTAGCAGTAGCCGTCGTCATTTTTGAACTGCATCCAAGGCAGCCAACTACCCCCAAGAAGATCGAGCAGCGATTTCCCCTTGGGCGCCACAAATGCTGTCAACCACACGACCATGATTACGCCCCCGGAAAGGCCTTGCTTCGATCGCTGTGCATATCCAAGCCCCTCCACTGCACTCCCGCCGACAATTCCGCCATAGGAATGCCCAACTACCACCACCTGCCGTCCTTTATCGACCAGTCCGCGCAGGATGTCTTTGGTGTAATTTATATCCGTGTGCAGGCCTGTAACAGGGGGTGACGCACCGACAGACGGGGTGGCGATGGCTTCAGACTCGAGTCCCTGCTGTGCCATGAGGTTGCGCAGGGTATCGAAAGTGTCGGGGGTGTGCCATCCGCCTGGGACAAAGACAAAGATGGGTTGCTCGGTCGTCATTTTGCTTTCTTTTTTGCCAAAGCACCAGGTGCTGTTTATAGCTTGTACAGAGTAATGATGCAAGTCAGGAAGCCAGGACCAGGCAGACGGGCTCACCCCTCCTTTTGAGATGCGCCGAGTAGACGACGACCACTGCATGTACGCCGCACTATACGGGTCCAGCTCCTCTTGCAAGCCTTCCTTTTTTCCTTTTTCTTCATGACGAAGTGGCGCCATTGAGGCCCGAGCACTTTGCAATCTCGACCTGTCATTGCATGCCTCATGGTACACAAGGGGGAACGATCGAGGGAACTGATGGAGAGTTGGCAAATAATAAACAAGAAATGCTGTGACAGGGTGGAGCATGCATAGGTCATGCATTAGAGAGCTGGCTGATGCATCCACAGTCCCACCGCGGAGACAGTCCGTACTCTGCAGAATCGCGCAAAGAATTCATAAGTATTCTTTAGCCTGGCCAGGAGGTTCCCACAATGGTATAGGTCAAACTGTGATGCCCGAGATACCACTTTAACTTCTCACCAGCTCGCCCAGCCCATTTCTCGGTCTTTCGTGAGCCTAGGTCGCTCCGATCAGTTTAGCTGGCTGGGCACGGCCAGTGTGACACACTATATCAAATCTCCATGAAAGCAACTAGGCGCAATTCGGAGCCGCCACAAGAGTCACAATCCCATAGGCTGCGGCCTTCGTTGCGCTATGATTCGCAGCTCGGTGGAACAGGCGCCTGGAGATTGTGGTTGATAATTATGCAATACTGGCATATCTGGTGAGTAGTCTTGTTTCCATATTTGAAACAGGCCTTTCTGGTTAAGTATAAGTGCGCTTCGAGGCCCTTTTGGGCACTCTGTCAAAGCTTTATCAAGCACGCAAAGGCCTTTAACCTGGATACCAGTCGGCATGATCTGGGCGATATCTTTCTTACCAAGAGCCCTCAATCATTGAGCAACTCCAACTGGAGGTCAAATATAATTGGCACAGCCAAGTCCAAGCTTCACATGAGCTGTGCCCGCGGATATACCTGCTGTAAGGGGTAAGCTTCCCAGCAAGCGGAATCTTACCGCGCTGCCCGGAACCCCGTTCGGAAAGTGATATGCCTGGGAATGTGGAAGATAGCGTGACAAGTCATTAAGATACCGTTTGCAAACTCCCTAAATTTCATAAACACTGCTGTTTCTCACTGCCGCACGCTGCCCTTGTACTATCATGGCAGAAGACGTTAAGGCACCAGACATACCCGATGGCGGGAAGAATACTCCAAACATCGATAATCATTCCGAGAGCGAAAATGCAACAGAGGTTCTAGTCGGTCCAGAAGGAGGGTCAAAGGATGAAGATGCCAACGGTTCAGCCCACAAGATCCCACGGTCTTCGCCGAGTGTCTTCGAAGTAAGGAAGTCACTTGCCGTGACTACTAGAAGACTCCGACAGTACGTACCCCATTCTGGGTTGTCATTCATACTGAATGTCGAATTCACAGACTGCTGCGCAATTCGGCAGGGCAAGACTGTATCCTTGCAAGCATTGAATATCTAGCCCACGCACTGCACTATCTTGCTGCTTCGCCTTATTTGATAAAGCTCCGGAATGCCCTAACAAGCCTAATATACCGGCGGAAAGGCCGAAATACACAAACAGCGCCCAATCGACTGGCCTGGGATTTTGAGGAGCATTCAACGCTTCTGAATCTGTCTATCCTCTTTAGCAATGCTCGCTATACCTTGAGACTACTTGGGCTCTTCAATATCTGGACAGAGGTGCCGGGTCTATTTCAATCTCCAGTTAGGGACCGTCTCATACGGTGTATCGATGTCGCGCAAATCTTCACAATCACAATATACCAACTACTAGAGAATATCGGAAATCTGGCGTCTAATAGGGTCCTATCTTCCAGGGTGATCGGTTCGAAGGTCAAGATGGAAAGAGTCTATATATGGAGCGCCCGAGCCTTATTCTTACATTTTGCCCTCGAGATAATGAAGCTAATAAGAGAGGCCCAGATTGCGAGACTAGCCAGGGCAGGATCAAAAGAGGAAGATTTGACATTGGCACAATTCGATGGAGATGCATTAGGGCAAGACTGGGTTAAAAGGCTGTGGGCTAGTTCAATATGGGGACTGTTATGTTTGTATTGGAGCTATGGCCAAGCAGTTCCGCTGGTGGAAGAGACATCTGGTGGCTTCAGTTTCCTGGCCGACTTTTTCATGTTTAGAGATGCATGGGTTCAAACTAGACAATATAACTTAATGTAAACTGTTGCAGTACGTGCCACTATACAGCTCTCTGGGAAAGGTCAACTTGGTTCCTTGCCCACTCAATCTCCGCAATAGCTAATCTATAATCCACAGGCCTCATAATCCCCTTTCATCCGGATCCCTCATTATTCACATTCTTCGAGAAGATGCAATACACCTGCACATATATCGAGTGGTGCCGCCCTTACCCTGTTGAGTGACGTGATAGGAGGGTTGGCCAATTGTGCCAACAACTACATAGCGAGGTTTCTCTTTCGCAAGATCAGAGAAAGTAAGATCCAGAAAATATAATATGTGACAATAACTAGAAAAATGGAGTCTTAACTCATCTAATCAACATCTATAACTCAGTGTCAAATACCAGTTAGAGCACCATCTGCCACCGCACCCGTTTCTCCTTCACCATCGCCATAACACCCACAGGGAGATACTTCTTCTCAACCAGATCAACGCCTCCATAATTTTTGAGTACCTCCGGCGCATACATCTGCACGAGCCACTTCGTCTCCTCATCAAAATCGTCCACAATTGACCCTCGCAACACTGCCCGCAACGCATTAGTGACGGGTGAAGTAAATCGAATACCATCCGCGACAGGGGCTCGTTGGAGATCGTCATATAGAGACCGGAATGGAGCACTGTGAGACCAGCGGAATCTGCTCCACTCTTCAAAGGAGATGAACGTGTCCTTTTCTTCCGGGGAAACGAATTGGCGCTCGTTACCATTATTTGCTTTTGTGAAGCGAGACATGCGAGCCGTATGGGACATTTCGTGAAACTGCTTCTTCAATTTATTGTAGGCCTCCCTTTCCCGCTCTAAGAAAGCTTCGACTTGTTCGAGTGGTGACATTTTCAACGAGCGTCGAACTAGGAATGGCGAGATGGCCGGGTTGCGGAGGGCGAGGCCACCTAGTTCTTCAGGATAGTAGAAGAGCGCATCTGGAATCTCAGACACTCCGAACCTTTCCTTGATCATTTGCCGCAGGTGTTGGGCGACCGTGCCAGTAGTGCTGCCGAATAGAGTTTCCTGCATTGCCCTATATGTTGCGAGGATCATGTCCACATGTTGCTGTCCAAAGCAGGCAGCGGGCTCTCCGAAGGTATTTCTGAAGAACCGCCCAATGCAGCTGTTCCAGGTCCTAATCCATGCCATCACGCTGTCGCATTTATCCAGCTGTCTTTTCAGTTGCTTGACGTGAGCGCCGACCTGTTTCTGATCGATTACCCATGTCCCGGAATTGTCGAGCTCCAAGAAGCCGAATGTGACGGGCCCTTTGGGTAGTTTATTTGCGACAGCCGGATCAATGGAGTCAGAAAGATAAACAGAGCCTGTTTTGTTGTCGTTGAATTCGAGCCCAGTTACTTCTGCAAACCTACCCATTACCTCCCACGCTTTGGCACATTTGCTGGGTTCGCCGCAGAGCCAGATATCATCATGTAGCCGGTACAACAGCATTCCAGTCCTGCTGTTAACGGCAAAATCCATGAAGAACAATACTAATTCCCCGATTAGCTTCTCGGACGCATGAGCCATGGGCATACCCCTTTGGCGAGTCTGGGGCCCCTTAGGCGTGCGCCCTGTAGACGACTGGTCCATATTCAACGGCGCCGCGAAATACTTGCGGAAGAAGGCAATCCACTTCTCGGGAAATCCAATGTAGGACATGACAGCGAAAATTGTGCTGTGTGGAATGCTGGTTCCAAACCAGCGTAGGTCCGTCTGTATTACCGCGGCCTCCCCATAAATGCGTCTTTGGAGGAGTGTTTCGGTCGCAACCTTGCGTAAGAGTTCTTGTTTGATGTTTCTTTTAGGCTCGGCGGACTCGTCGCTGTCATCATCGTCATACTCCGCATCCCCGTCTGCAAGCGTTGTCAATAATGTCGGCAGCTTTGAGAGGAAATAACGCTCAGTGTAATTCGATTTTCGCGTCTCCTCTGGCCCATATTCTGCCCTAGGCCTGTTGGTGTAGTATGCTAGACGCTCAACATCGTCCTCGGTCATAGCTGGGGCTACCTTCCAGTTCCACACGCCGTAATCTTCAATGAAGCCTTTCAGCTCGCTCTTCAGGATATTGCACAGTCGTATGCCAATATACTGTACAAATATCAGTTGCAAAACATCCTCATCAATCCAGATTCGGTATTTCCCATTCAGCTCCTGGCGCGGCAAAACTGGGATGCCCTCATCCCCAGCAAACCAGTCCCAGTTCTCCAAGTCCGCCCATCGCATGTTCAAAACATCCGCAATCTCAGTCAGTGCGACGCTGTTCTTAAGAAACCCTTTCAGAACATCCTGCTTCTCCTCGCTCACGATGTCCTCTCTCAACAGCCCTCCTATCGTCGCCGTGAGAGTTTCTTCGTCAAACGGCGCTTCCTCCTCAAACTCGTCCTGGGTCGACTTGAAAATTTCGTTCCGGAGAATGTTCCACTGTTTCATCTTCTCGTCGTCGGGGAAGAGCGAGTCAAAGAACGCGTGGATATCCTCCGTACTTGTCTCAAACGGCGTAAACACAGCTTCTTCGAACTGGTCACACAGCTGCTCCAGTCGCTGCTTCTGTCGCTCATCGACAACCAGATACTCATCCTCAGCAATATCTGCATCCTCGCCGGCTCCAGATGCATTCGTCCACTCGGTCAGTAGCCGCGAATACAAATCTGCGAGGCTCAGCCTCCGGCTATGGGCGTCCATCCGCGACCGGAGCTCGGTCTCGTATTCCTTTAACATGCCATCGGTAACCGTGGGGTCGAAGCAGCGCTGATCGAGCCAGCGCTCGATATTTGTGACCGTGTGCTCCTTTGAGACATGTGGAAGAATAGCTTTCGTGCCGTTCAGGATGACATTTACCCGCAAGAAGAGATCGGGTTGGCTTTCTGCGTCTGCGAGAACCTTGGCTTTTCGGTCTTCATAGGTTGAGCGCTGTTTTTCTAATTCCCGGATCTTGCTCAGGGTGAGTGATTCGAGGGTTTTCGAAAGAGCGGACGATTGGGGCGCCATGTTGCTTGGAGTGACTGAGAGAGGCTCAGTCGTGTTGAACGTGTTGTTTTCATTTTCAGGTTGTTGCGGCTCTTGGGGATATTTATCCCAGCCTGGAACAGGTTCCAGTTTCTGCCTAGCTGTAATTCGTTTATGTTCAAGAATGTTCCATTTTCGTCGATCGTTGTGCGTTGAGTCAACACGGGCAGGCAGTGGCAGTGTTAACTAGCACAACAGTCACAACTCTGACTCAATGCGTGAGCCAGTTATGCAGTACCTATGCATTTATGCAGTATGCCCTTTATGTCTAATGTAAACAACTGAAATCTGAGAGATGCTTCATCTACTCACAGACTTACGCCCAACCGCAGGCCTCCTCGTATCTGGCCTCGTCTCTCTCGCCTTGTCCAATATCTCCACAATATCCGCATATTCCAACATCCTCGCCAGACAAACAGCAGACAGCCCGCGCTCCGTCCTCACATTGACATTCACGCCTCCTGCCAGAAGTATTTCAATCATCCTTCTATTCCCAACCGAAGCAGCCATATGCAGAGGCGAAATCCCCGACCCAGTCTGCACAGCCGAGACATCAGCACCCGCATCAATCAACAGCCTCACGATCTCTGCATACGCCTCTTTCTCCCCACAGCTGCCCACCCACTCCTGCAACCCACGCATACCCGTCCCTTTCCACGCATATATCTCAATCCAGGCACCCACCTCCGCAGCAAAGAACCCCCCAGCAACCGTCTGCAGCGACGGGGGACGAACAAAGTCCCCTTCTCCCCCAGGCACCGGATCATGCGTCGCAATGGCGCCCGCGCCCAATAGCGCCCTGACACAGTCCACATTTCCATTAATCGCGGCATAATACAACGGCGTAAGTCCAGGTAAAGAACTACTCATCGCATTAACGTTCGCTCCACGCTCTATCAACTTGCGAACGATATCCGCAGACCCACGCTCAGCCGCAACGCCCAGCGGCGAGCTGACGCGGGAGTTCATGGCGTTTGGATCTGCGCCATACTCTAGGAGCACATCAACTGCTTTCTTGTGATCATTAAAAATGGCGCCGTGTAGACAGAACCGCGCGGCTTCGGTGGACTCATTGACATTAGCCCCGTGCTCGACGAGGAGGTCTATGACCTTGATATTTCCATTTTCTGATGCAAAGACCAACGGTGTTGCATTTCCATCCCGGGTTCTTTGGCTCTTTTTACAGAGTGCGCTTGGGTGGGCGCCACATGAGAGGAGGAGTGTTACTGTTGTGGTGTAGTTCTGCTTCGCGGCTGCGTGGAGGAGGGTGTATCCATCGCTGTCGTAGTCGTTTATTTTGTTTGTGCTGATAAGCGAGACCGGGAGTATGGAACTTTCGATCACAGCCGCCTTGCTCCAGACGTCTAGGTGGTCGCCTATTAGAAGTTGAAGTTCAGGGGGGAGGTTTGTTAAAGAATGACGCTGGGGATACCGCTGCGATGGCATATCGCGAATTTGCACGGCGTTTTATTTGGGATTGAAACAGGGCAAGTTACAGCGGGAGCAAGGGGTTAAAAGGGTTGGAACACGAGCTTGAACTGTTCAGCCTGGAGTTATGGCCCACAGGCCTCGTATTGAAAACTACGTGACACAAGGCACCAATGCGTATCTACCTACTACTACTGCTGCTGATAAGTTGGGCGTGGGAATAAACGAGAAATATATCATCGAGTAGTATTGTCATGCTTGTGAATATCTGGAGAATCCACCATACCTATGGCCGAATTGCAGCAACAAGATAATTCGAAACACAGAACAGACCAAACGGTCTTGGGCATCACTTGAACATCTGAAGAATCGCAGCTCCAACAAAGTACGCCTTCTCAGGATCTTGGAGAATTCGCAATGGGTTGAAAAAAGTATGATCCTCGCATACAGGTTCGACAATACTGTTCTCATAAGCATGGCGGTTCTTGGGTTCGCATATATATTTTAGCAGTGGCCAGCGTGACCTTCAACTGCGCCAGGAACTCCTCTTCAAGCTCTGGTGTTTCGCCGATCTCCTTTGAAAACGCGAAGGGTTCAGCCCTTATAAATTCGCTGACTAGATACTTCACAATTAGACAGCGCATACTATGGCCCTTTGACAGCCGAGCTGCTCCACGAATGTGTTGACCCGCTATTTGCATAGGACATGGCGAAGAATATCTGGTATTCCTAGGCAACAAGTCCTTTGTTTTCTTAAAGATTAACGCATCAAGCTCGGCTATCTGCAGTAGGTCAGAACACCGCGCTACTTCTATCAGCGAGGATAGCGATTGCTGGTTCTCGCCGAGAATGGTAAAGTACCCGGTGTAAAGCCATTGAAGAAGTATTTCAAAGCCCCTTGTCGTCAGGCTATTCAACACCACCGGCTTCGTTGTGGAATAGTACGGGGGAGGCTCATCCACCAACGGTGATGAGTATTCTCGGGCTTCCTTTTCGGACTTTTGCTCCCCGGGTGATTCATAGTTCGCCTCCTTAGAAGATCCGTGTTTCTCGCCCTTGAAGAACCTGAACCTTCCCCTTTTGGAAGAATCAGGCTTTTCCACCTTCGGGGGTTCGGGATTTTCCCTTAAAGCAGTTGCGATATAGCGAGAGAAGCGGCATAGAAGGGTTTTGGGTACCAACTATTCTTTGTCTTTGACCTGGATTACAAGATCAGGCCCACGATACAGTGGCAGCATCCTGCATTCAAAATGTTAATAACTGCTTTGGAATTCTGGGAAGGGATTAACGTACGACTTGGCGAATTCGCTACCTTGCACGTTGTGTGACATTTCGAGGACTGTTCAGTTAAGACCGGAAATCAAGAGATGCTTTGGAGCAAAAAAGTGATCGTGGGCTGCAGCAACAGATCCTGCAAATTTCGGCATATATATAGTTTGTCCTTGCAGATATGTAAATACAGTTTTCACAATACATCCAAAATGAATTCAATTTTCACACAATGGCCCCTTATGTACTGAGACCTAGGATTGACAGCCCCTTATACTTTCTCACAGCCCAAATCTTGTTCAATCCGAGTCAATGCGGCATTCACTTGGTAACAAGCTGTTTGTCCATTCTTGCTTTTCAAGATGAAATACACCGACAAGAGTCTATTTGCGCCGCAAAACATAAAGCCAATGATAAACCGGCGGTGTATAAGCCTTTGTTACTGTCGAGCCGCTTGGTGCCTCGAAAGGAGTGCGCGCAACAACCTCCCAGTGCTCAAATAGGTGAGGCACATTGTCAAACCTCATTGTCGAATACGAGAGCACAAACCATTTGCAACCCCTCTTTGTCAACGGCGCCAGGTGCAGCGCAAGAAGCTCCGTCGGGGACAATGTTGTCTCTCCTTCAGGCGGAAGAATATCCTGTACCTTAGGACAAATGCCAGACATATCTAGCGTCGGAGACAAGGTAACAGGGCTCGATGTCGCAATAGCGTCGCTAGTACTCTTATCGAGGATGGCATCATACGGGGCAAAAGGAAGGAGTCGCGAGACATCGGTCCACGATCGGAGATCAGCCTGGATCCAGTGCATCGCTTGCGACGGTTCCTGTTTATTTTCAACCTCTTGACCTAGACGAACAGCTTCGGAGGAGAAATCGACATTCTGCCAAAGACAACATCAGTTGACGGCCAAAATGTCACACTGGAAGAAGAGAAGGACCTACAACAATTCCATTGCCCGTCCAGCCTCTTGTCACGAATGCATCGCGCAGCCTCGTTCCCAGTTTCGACACACCGGGCCCCAGATGGAGTACTCGTGGTGTCGCGTGCTCTGGTTTGGGTGTGGGTCGGTCCTCCAGGAACGAGAGGAGAGCATCAAGCAGGACTTCGCCTGGATTCAGCCATTCCCCGATATCCTGGCCGGTCGCGAACTTCGTGTCCCAGTAGGACGGGTCGTCATAGTCGGGGGCGCCAGTTCGTTCGGTCCGCGATGGGTCCGGTCTCATTCTCTGGGGAAGTGTGAAGGTGGTGGGAGGAAGAAATTCGTTTTTGTTGCAAGCCGATCGCAATGCTCACGTAAGCAGTACCAGCTCAACTCTCAAGCAACCTCTTCTTTCTGCTTTTTTCTTCCAGGCTTGCTTGTCATGGTGCGATGTAAGCAATTGAACAGTGTGTGAAAGGCGCCATAGACCCCTTTGGTCAGGAATCACCGTCCGCAAACGGTTTCACTGTTGCAAGTGGGGAGACCCGGACTATGTACAGAGTGCCCAACCAACAGGTATTCGGTATGGGACGGTGTATTTAACGAGTAATCGAGAAGGAAACCGGCGCGGCTACGGGAATTCATTTCATGCCTATGGTAGGTGATGGTACTGATTAGCAATGGCCAGAAAAAAGGGCAGGAGAAGCGAACGGTACATAAGAATGCATGAAATCGCATTAATACTGTTCTCGGGCACCCATAGTAATTCCACGTTGGAATCTGGGAATTTGACCGTCTTGTTATGGATACGTATCTCGAACTGAATTCCAGTATTGGATGCCGTGCTAATGAACAGTGGAACATGGCTTCACTGGCATGCCATTTCGAGTTAATCGCGGCCACGACAACAAATGGCCGTCATTTAATGCAATCTCCATGCTCCATCGAAACCGAAATCAGCTTTGCGTCATGACAAGGTCTGTCTCGAAAGTCTAATAACACGGTAACGGTATGTGGAGTTCAGAGGCGTCTATTGAGAGCAGAGACTATCAGATTCAGTTGATATGCAGACAACAGATAAAATCACATCAATTGTGCAACTCTGGAAATTAAGGCGAGAGTGGGATATCAACTAGATAGCCTTCGAAAAGAAGGGGTTGGGTGGATTGTCTTTGTGATTGATCTCAGTTGCCAGGGAACCTTGCCTGGGAACGCAGGAGGGGTGCTATAACTGCTCTATTATAGGTTATCCATACAAGGCTCTCACTGCCCACGAGTCGGCCATGAGGACCAGTCCAGGTAGCTTCCCCATGGCTTCTTCCCGCCATAGATTCATCCAGCATCCAGAATCCTTGATGCCGGAATTGGGTTCCAACAACCATCAGGGCCGTTCTCACTCTGGGAAACCACAACCGACACCAAACACTATCGACCAGCCATCGCCACTCGTCCTCAAGTTGCAAGCATCATAGCCGTCATCAACTCCAAACTCGGGGATCATCAACCCGCACAGACGATCGTTCCATTCATTGGCAGTCATCGCTTACTCCTCCATTCACTGCCGCCCCAGTGACATTCTCCTCACTTTCCTCTGATCCAGGGGCCACCGACACGACAACCAAGGCGCCAATCAATCGCCACCCGCAATCGCGAAACGGCCCAATAGATGAATACTGGCAGGCTGGCTGGACAGGTCTTCGCTGCCTGCACTGCGGTTACCTGTCCAGTGACCTACCCCGCAAGCGGATGACGAAGGGGATATATAAAGCTTGTGTGACCCAGGGAGTTTCGCTTTCTCCTCTATCCATCAACCCACAAATCAATCTATTACCATCGAACATAACACTTCAATCGAAGTACTGGAACTACCATTACAATGTCTGCTCCTCAAGTCGTCCAGAGCATTTCCAGCGGCCCTGCTGGTGGCTATGTCAGAACCCAGCTCGCCACTCTGAGGAACAGATTCCTCAATACTGGTATGCACTCGTCCCATCCATTTCCTTCCCTCTTGAAGACGACTCACCCTAACAACAAACAGAGAAAAGAAAGAAGCGTGCAGCCCTCGTCTCAACCTCCTTGGCCGCCCACCGTCCCGTCTGGATCTCGGCAGGAGGCGCAGCGTACACCACTGCAGTTGCAGTGTTCTTAACGATGAAATTCATGCGGCGGATACCAGTTTAAGCCAACTTTTCTGATATTCTCACTCTCTTGCATTCTGAAGCCGTGGTTGAGCCTAGACTTAGAGGCGGAACTGTTACTGTCTTTGATAGACGGGACTATTATCGTAACACTTTCTTTCATTTGTTTATTGGGAACGAAGGGAACGGGCATCATGTGATTCAGGCGTCTACGTGTTTTCTCTCATTACTTATTATGGATGAATATGAATGAAACAAACTATCACCAGTGAAACCATCCATCGCCAGTAAGCAGCGCTCCTGAGGTTCCAGGCAGTCCAGGGAGCGAGAGGAGGGGCAACCACAAAAGTACGACACACACCAAGTCAGGGGCTACTCGTGACTTCATTCCGTATCGAAACAGCGGCCAGGTTACACCCAATACGACCAGGCAGGGATCGCCCCATATATTAGAAGCATTATAACGCAGTGCAACACGTCAGAACGGTGTAAAACCCAATAAAACACCTCAGGCCACTCATGTCGCGCCCGTGATGCGTCAGTGGCTGCGTGTACCAGAGGAGAAATGCGTGGGCTGATCCCTGCCTCAAGGTTCCTTCACTGTGCTCCTCAGTATTTAACAGTCGGCAGTCGACAGTCTATCTTGATCCTCCCTTCACAAAACAAAGCGATATCATCACGATATCACCATCGTTATCGCGCTTCAACAGAGTGGGGAGTGGGCCTGCCCATCCAGTTCATCGAAGCTTCCCAGTCTCCATGAAAACGGGGCCGTAGCACTACCCCAGATCCACCGGGTGGACAGGGTGGAACTGCAAAAGTGTCAGCCCATTTTCCGTTTCCAGTCTAAACCGCTTTTGCCAACCCTAATTCGAATCAGTCAGCGGCCATTGGACATACATTCCTGAAGGTGTGGTACCCCGCTTTTCGCTATCGAATCAAAATTCGTGATAATCACCACCCCCGGGTTCTTGGCGAATGTGACCCCGCGTTTTGGCCTGTCGCCGAATGCCAATTTGCCAGTGCCTGTCAAGGGGCCAGAAGCGAGGGGGCCTTCGTTCCCAGTTGACGAGACCACATTCCTTGATTACTCAGGGGGATGTCACCAACGAACATTCGTTAACTAATGACGGCCAAATTACTCGCCGCCGGCGAGCTGAAGAAAAACAATCGATAAATCTTCCTATTACAGTTTTCGATCACCCTATATACCGAAATAAAATCACCTGCCCGGTCCCAGCTATTTATGAGATCCTATACCCCAAATGTCGATCTATCCTTCTATAAATACTCCAACTTGCATGACCATTCACCATCCCGAAAGGCAACCTCTGCAATCTCCATTCAAGAAGATCCCAGTAATTTCTCCAACACCTTACAATCAAACTCGAGGCATAGAACCCGGCCATTCGCAAATCCAATAGCAATGCGGTCTCCTAGCACATCATAACACCACGCAAATAGATCTTCCTGTATTCGAAATACTGGTGAGGCTCCGTAGTATATCCAGTTATGTTCAACTGAAAGTCCGCCATGCGAGCTGGTTTCGCCAACCTTGAGGAGACCGAGGTTTGTCTGAAGGAATTTGCCGTCTGCTGAGAACTTCAAGCTCTTGATGTTCTGAGGCGTGACTATTTTGAGCTTCCATTTGCGAAATTTGCGAAGGGCACCCATGGAAGGTCCGAGAAGCTTTCCTGCTTGTAGACAAGCATCAACGTCCCACAGCTTGATTGTCCTGTCAGAGGACCCTGTAGCGATCTGCTTGCCGTCGGGTGAGAACGCTACTGTTGTCACTTGCCCACTATGTTCTAGTGTCTTCCAGTGGGCACCAGTCCTAACATCCCACAGTCTGACTGTTTTATCCATGGATGAGGAGGCAATATACCTACCATCTGGGGAGAATGCCACATTCGACAGCGGGGCAGAATGGCCTTTGAATGTCCTCTGATGTCTACCGGTTACCGGGTCCCAAAGCCTGAGAGTTTTATCCTGGGATGCGGAAGCAATCTGTCCCCCATCCGGGGAAAACACCACCTCTACCACTACCCCAGAATGGCCAATCAATGTTGTGTGATGTTCGCCAGTGCTCGCATCCCATATTCTAACTGTCTTATCGAAGGATGCTGAAGCGAGGTGCTTGTGGGAGAACACCACAGCCACTACCATACCCGAGTGGCCAGTTAATGTCTTCTTGTGGTTTCCTGTGGTAGCATCCCATATCATGGTGGTTCCATCGTAAGATGTGGACGCGACAAACTGGCCGTCTGGCGAGAAGGCTATATCGAATAACCGGTCAGAGTGGCTTGTCAATGTTTCCTGTTGTCGATCTATACTGGCATCCCACAACTTCACAGTACTGTCATTCGACCCTGACACAACCTGCTTTCCATCTGGTGAATATGCTATGCTCTCCACCCAGTTAGAATGACCAACCAGTATTTTCTGTTGTTCGCCTGTGATCGTGTTCCATAGCCTGATAGTATTATCCCAGGACGATGAAGCAACCTGCTGGTTGTCGGGTGAGAACAGTATTCCTGTTATCTTATCGGAGTGTCCGACCAGAGTGCACTGGTGAATCCCAGTGTCTGAATCCCATAGCATGATACTTTTGTCAACCAACGTTGCACCAATCCACTTGCCATCTGAAGAGAAGACCATAGTCCTTAATGCTTTATCTTGGCCGTGCCGTATGTCTTGGTTCTTTCCACTGCGTCTGTCCCATATCCTGATAGTAGTGAAGTTGGCTAAAGCAATCTTCTTGTTATCTGGAGATAATGCCGTGACCTGTACAGAATCAAGAAATGTTACTGTCTGTTGCTCGCCTGTACTTGTGTTAGACAGCCTAACCACCCCTTCAACTGATATCGAAATAAGCCTGTTTTCATCCGGACAAAATGCCGTGGCTTCTATTACGCCGGAAGGGCCGGTGAGAGACTTGTTCTCTTCTGTGCTTGTATTCCACAGCCTGATGTTTCCATTGCCATAAGGCATTGCAAGCTGCTTTCCATCGTGCGAGAATGAAATCTGCCCACGTAAACGCGCTGGGCCAGTCATACTTCGGTGCTCACCCGTGCTCAAATCCCAGAGCCTGATCGTTCCGTCATTACATCCTGAAGCTATCTGCCGGGAATCGGGAGAGTAAACAATATCCGTTACAATATCAGAATGACCAATCAATTTATTGTGCTCGCCCGTGCTCCTGTCCCACAGACAGATGGTTCCATCCCAGGAGCCCGAAGCAATTTGCCTTCCGTTGGGAGAGAACGACACGACTGTCACAAAGCTGGAGTGGCCAGTGAAGGTATGTATTAGCGGCGCCCAGGTGGTTTCTAAGCAAGGAATTTGCTTTACCCAATTAGGGACTTTCTTAAGATTATGCGCTGCTCTGACTAGGCTCCTTTGAGGACTCAGGACAATCCCAGAGCTATACACCTGGTGTGGGGAAATCAATATTGTCCGATAATGGCGAAGCAGGAAGCGCCGCGCATCATAGACAGAATCTTGCAATGGTGGGTTCTTACGTGACTATTAGTCCGCTATTCAAATTTGCTCACAAGGAAAAAATACCATACCTCCGCAAGGTCTTCTAAAGTTCTTAGCACCCCCATGGCTCGTGACAGTTGACCCAGAATGCTCAGGCACTCAAGCCATTCTAATAGCTTTTCTTTGACAAATCTCAGGGCCTGGCCACCCTTACTAAGAGCTTCCTGCTTAAGGCCGCTTCCACTAGCAGCTTTAAGGTGTTCTGCCCATAGAGTGGCAGCGTAGTCTAGGGTATCTAGGATAGTAGACTTCCCATTACTAATCCGCTCTGCTGGACGTGCCGGGTCTCTACCTGAACTAGGCCGCGGCAGGTCGATCAGGTTAGGTTTTAGGACTGTTGACATGTAAGATAAACAGCCCAGCGCGATATCTGCATGCCCATATGGGTCCCGTGAGCTCAATAGAGATGTCCCAATTAAAAAGTCCCGGGATGATTGATGAACAAATTCAACGGCAACGCCTCGTATTTTAATAAACGACGCGCATCGGGCCACAATGTTTTCGCCTGCCAGGACCTCTCTCTCTGGCAAACCTGTCACCGTAAACACTTCCGCCCTATTCAGTGGTCGATAGACGATGGTCATGACCTTAAGGAGTCGCAGGCAGGCTCTGGTAGTTGTTGGCTTTCCTTGTAGTAACTGTTCAAACATTCTTTCATACAGGGATTGCAGGCCTGGTGGAAACTCCTGGATCACTGATACTGCCTCGTCCGGAGGGATTCGTGCACCGTTTCCATCGCTCTCAAGTCTTTTGCAGACCAGGCTGACCCATAGAAAGGTTCCCTCCGCCCTTTCTAGGAGTTCAGTCTCTATAACCTGCGGAATTTTCCGTTCATAACGGTGAATTGGATAAAGTTCACGAACTTTATGTCGGATGTATGTTGTGATAGCTGCCTCAAGGTGGTCATAGTGGAGCTCCAGAGCAATTCCAACTTCTTGGGTGGTATTCAAGAGTTCCCGATCAGCATCATCCAAAGGCCGACTTGTCAATAGCCATCTAACATTCGGATTGTCGAGTCCAGTTCTAACAATAAGCTTCAAAAGGTCACCCATCCTTCCGTTGTGACACTCATCAAGAGCATCCACGACCACATACACTCTCTGGTGGCGACAATGATTTATCATTTCTAATAAAATATCCCAGAGCCGTCGCCAGGAAGACATGTTCTCTGTGAAAGATGCTTCGGCTGGATCCCAACGGCATCGAAGAAACTCTATAAGATCTTTTCGCTGCCTTATCAATTGTTGGATGAGCCCCTTGATGATACCTTCCATGGTATTAAGCTGATAATCTGTCTCCTGGCAGAAGAAATATGTGATGATAGAAGAATCATCTTGCGAGAATTGCTCCACCAGGCCAATGGACATCATTGTCTTCCCTTTGCCAGCACCGCCCCTGATCCAGAGAAGGCGAACATCATCTCCATTTTGCCAGCGGCAGTATTGTGGGTTTCGGAGAACCCATTCGATGGCCTTGAAGATTAATCTGTCTTTAGTTTCTTTGAGTCTGTTCTTGACAACAAACGGATCCGGGCATTGCAAAGCTTGCAAGCAAGGAGGATTCGTGAAATCATCAGCCAAGTTAACATTAGGGCGAACTGGAACCACTGATAGGAGCATCTTTGTATAAGCCGCTGCGGTGAGTGCTGCGTATCCTTGCCACTCTTTGAGTTTATGGGAGTCGCAGTAGTCGCATATGCCTCGGATGACAAGTGTTTGGAGCTGATTTGCAATCCCAGCTGCTTCCATTTCAAAGCAAATGATCCCCAATTCTTTGGCTACACGGTCCCGTACTTCAGGGTCCTTCATGACCTGATTTCCAGACGCAATTAAACCATAATGGATTTGGGGTGCTCTGGAATCGGGCTCCTGTCGTTCAACTAGTTGGCTTTTATCACACTTCTCACAGTTGCTTTCATTTTCGATATGGTGGTATGAGGACTGAAAGAGGTAGTCCGTGTCCAGATTCGGGACTGCGAATTTCCCCTTCATACCTGGGTTTCGCTCCAGTACATCCTGTACTATGCCTGCGAGAGGACTGTTGGCTTGAGTCATCTCCCTCGCCTGGAGGCCACCCATGTGCGTTAACAAGACTTGCGGTGGATAGTTCAACATCCCAGTTTGCTCGAATCGCCCTCCTCGAACTGCCTTCCCGTAATCATACTGAATGATACCACTGTTTGGCCCCGTTGGCTTACTGATGACCACATCCCCCAAGTGGATGTTATTGGTATTATTCGGTACCCCTCCTCCAATCCCCACCATGAGTCCGTACTGGATATGACGAAAAGTTGAAATTAAATGGGCCATAACAGTTGCAGCGGATACGGTCCCATAAACGCCAGTTGGCAAACAAGCAATAACAACATGATGTCCGTTTAATGTACCCAGTACGTAGGCATTCGAGTCCGTGTGAGGCTGAGGAAGAGGTTCGTGGATCTCATCCAGCATGACCTCTGCTGCCGCCCTCTCAAGTGGCAAGGCGCATATCCACGCGACTGCGTAGTCACTGTGCATACGACGCACCATCTTTCCCTGCCGTAGCCAAGCAAGCAGCAAAGTTCACAAAACGGGGGCCTTTTCCTGCTAGTAAACCCGCATTATAGGCCGCACGGGGAGCACGCTAGTCTGATGGACTGGTCCAGAAGGGTTGATACTGGGAATCGATGAATCGATCGAAAAATGGGTCACGAGTGGCGTAGGGTCAAATGCGATTCAAGGGCAAGATCTGATGATCACAGACAGTCTTCAAGGAGCGTCTTCTCATCTCACCCACGATCACCGTTGTCAGGGGGTGACCCCGCGAGTGGAGGCTGTGAAACCTCATCTTGCGCTACCCAGGTAATGATCCAATGACATCTCCCCTACAAGCGCCGACGAGGCTGCATCCAAACCAGCAATAATCCAGCCTTGAGCAACGAATTTGTTCTCATTCTTGCTGGCCCGATGAGGGATGAGGAATGGAGATTCTCCAACAAGCCTATACTTCGATCGGTTCAAGAGCCGGCTCCATTGTGACGGCTCGGTCCGGCTCCGTCCGTCCCCAGTCAGTCAATCATGGGTAAAGCACATTTCGCGAGTGCCTGGTGGGCTGTTCTTCCCCCAAAGAGGTTAGAGATTTTTGAGGCGTTGTCTATTGGTGTCTGGCTGGCTCATTCTCTCGGTCGGAAATTATTTGAGCATCTTCTCCTCGACCACTGCTTGCAGGGATCAATCCTTAAACTTACTGCATCATATAACAATCCATAGTGTGCAGGGAGATAAATCGCATTCGGCCAGCTGTGTTGTTTGCTCATCTGGAAGGTGCCAGGCAGTACCTTCCTCACTTCTAATAGAGAAGGATGGGCATTTCGCCATCCAGACATCGCAGACTTGTCTCTGTATCAACTAAACACTCAGTGCTTTGCTTGTTCCAGAAACAAGATAAATCTCAACCGGCGTTTCCTCTTTCTTCGGTTTTCTAGCAGTGGCAATCTTCATGGCACAGAATCAATGACAGGATACTTTCCATCCGAGAACAATGGCCATAATTACCTTCCAAACGTTCCCTCTCATCTCTGCCTGTCATATTTCACTTCTGGTTCGTATTCTAGCCCTCATAATCCAATTCCATGGGTTTCCTTTGATCTCCAGTTGTCTCTGCATACCTGAGACCATCATAAGTGGCTTAAGTGAAATATTCGAAGGTGATATTCCGCCTTTTCTAAAATCCTTGCATCGGGGACTGGCATTTGTTCCGATAATCATTGCACTTCTCGATAATCCCCGCGATGACGGCATTGAGTGCAGACTCATCGATGATGTCTTAACAAAATACCACTTCCACCGTTTGGTTAGACTGAATCGAAGGCTGGATCATTTTCGTACCCCGTGTAATGACAGGGACGTTATTCATGCATTTGTTAGAGTATGGGAATGCGCGGTTCAAATTACCTGCACGGCTTCTCTATACAATGCGTGCAGTTACATGGCTCTTCACCGCAATACAGACGATACATCACAGCTTCCGGACCCAGAACCTCTTAATATTTATCGTCAAAGAATTATTGAATGCCTCCAGAACACTGATAGGCTCTGCGAAGTCGTTGATCGGTATCGCGAGGCCGTTGATCACTACAAAACGCCTGTCGGCAAACGAAGCGACTCTGGGGACAAGCAATACTGCAATGAGTTCGACTTCCAAGTGAAGGCTTTCATTGAACACGTTGAAGGATTACGGGATCGGCTCTCGAAAATGAGAGTTTGGAAGCGAACTTGGTGTCGACCCCTGGTCGAGGATTTCAATCAAGGTCTAAATCGCTTCTATGTGGATACCACAATGAATTAATTTGATGTTCCAAATCAGAACTGGGAATTAGGTGCATTGAACCGTCCAGATGAACAACCACAGCAACAGACTCGCATGTTGCCTTGCAAGGTGGCTCTGAAAGGGCTCCCTGTATTTCGGTTTGCTAGTTATACTCAGAGCCCATTGATGTACACTAGTTGTGATTTGGTGAATTCCAGTCTCCGGGAGTTAAACCTGTCATTCTTCCAACATCTTTAGAATCCGATGCCCTTCCTGGCCAAGACAAATCGCGTGTATTTTGATTCAACGCTGGTTGGAGTACTTCCACACCTGCCATTATATATCTCTCTTTTGCAAGCTTGCTCACCAATAACTCCGGGTTTAATTGCTGAGTTAAATTACATGGTTCGCATGTTAGCTCTCTACAACACAGTAATTCCCATCTCAGTCTATCAGGCATCAAAGCCAAACACAATCAGGTAGAAGGAACCTCCGAGGTCGCCTGCGATGTTCTTGGAGTATTAATGTGACATCATCGATAAACCGCATTCGGCACGCTCTTCACCGTAAGTGGGGGGAAAGAGATTAGTAATAGGAACATCGCCAGTGAGTCAAAAGGAGGTGATCCGGTATCGGGGCTAAATATTGATTCGGTTTACAGACAACACTCATTATCTGTTCTTTAATTGGTCCTGAATGCGTTAAAATACAGATAGCGTCCGGGTTTGTGACAAAATACCAAGATAATACGAAGGTTTGCTTCTCCGCGGATCACGTGCGGCAGGTTGCCCCTCCAGTGCTGATTGATAAGAATTCGCTGACCAAGCACTCGCCTGACACCTTCAATTGGAGATCTCTGATCCTGCATGATAATTATTGCTGTTCCTCGCTGTCTGCGTCTGGGATTCATCCATCCAACAATTCCATCACCTGTTCCATTGCATCTCGTCTCGATTTCTCCCATTGTAACTAGTCGGAGCGTCCTGGCCACCCCCTCACTGCCTTCAAGGCAGAAATTTGTCGATTGACCTCCATTCCACATCCCTCCCTATCACTTTATACATAGAGCCGTTAGACACCATGGCTCCCTCTGTCGTGAGCATCGATACAACCCCTGACTTCGATATGACGCCTGCTCCCACAAAGTTGGTCACCACTGGCAAGCGCACACTGCTCCTTGCTCCTCCATCGGTCGCCACCCAAGAGGACAAACTACGTGCACTCTTCACAACCTACGACCGAAACACGACCGACCTGCAAATGCTTGACCGTGTCTCCGCCGGCTTCGTCTCCCTCCCGTCAAACACATACGACCTCGTCCTCGTCCTCACGGACACAGATGGCACTCGCCGCTCCGAGGCTCTCCAGCTGCTCAAGCGGGAGGTCTATGCGGCCGTTATTCCATCTATGAAGGGTAGTGCCAAGCTACAGACTCAGGATAACTTTTTTGGAGAGGCAGAAGAGCGGGAGGCTGTCCTGGCCGGACTCGTGAAGTCGCAAAGTGGATTCGAGAAGTTGGATGTGAGCACTGGTGCTGCGGTACCCTTGAAGCTGGGGCGGAAGAAGAAGACGGCTCCTGCCCCGACCCCGGCTCCGGTTCCGGCTCCCGTTGTGCGGCCGCCTCCGATCATCAGTTCTGAGGATAACGACCTGAATGATGATGACGATGAGCTGATTGATGAGGATACCCTTCTGTCCGCGGATGATCTGAAGAGACCGATTGTACAACGTAAGTCACCACCTAACTTTACTTTTGAGGGTCAAGCTAAAACCCACTTTAGCCCCAGAATGCCGACCAAAGCCCGGCAAGAGACGCCGCGCTTGCAAGGATTGCACTTGTGGTCTAGCCGCTCAGATGGAGGCTGAAGACCAGGACCGCCGTGACGCAGCTGACAAGAACCTGAACGTCATGAAGCTCGAGTCGGATGATTTGAACGAACTTGACTTCACGGTGCAAGGGAAGACAGGCTCCTGCGGTAGCTGTGCACTTGGTGATGCGTTCAGATGTGACGGCTGCCCGTTCATTGGTCTTCCAGCCTTCAAGCCAGGCCAGGAGGTCCAGATCCTGAACGATGTTGCCCAGCTATGAACTTGTTTTTGCTATGCTTGGATTGGTCAATGGAGCTGGGTTTTGCTTTGGGGGTTCCGTGGCGTTAAGCTGGATTTCGCTTTAGATACACTTAAGTAAAATGGTTCATTGCTGGCATTGAGGGACTGGTCTCAGGTTTATATTTAGATAATGATACGACGTTTTCCATTACCATCCATCTCTTTACTGTCAGTCGAGCAGACTCTGTGATATCGGCCATGAGGGCAACGCGACTCTGAACGTATGGGCTTGGGGAAGTGGCTCGCGTGGTCAGTCAGTTTAGAAATCTACCAATGTTATCACCATGGCATTCGCAATAGTGCAACACTGGTTTCAAAAAGTGGTGATAGTAGCCGATATTACACTTCTCACCTTGGCGAATGGCCCTTAATGTTGTTGATGAGACCTCGGCCAGACTCCGCGTGTCTCCATGTGTTGGTCCCGCCCAGTTTGATTCCTTCCTCTTCACAACCATCGAGTCACCGGATCAAATGCGGGAGAAGTGAATCAACTCTCGCTATCCAGTCTTCCACTGTCTTAGAGCTTGTCCTCTTCTCCCTCCTTCTTCACTCACTCAGGAGTTCTCGTGAGTCACCATATCGCTTGGTCACCCTGCCCGTCGCCTCTCACTAGCCCACCAACTCTGTACCTGGTCGACGCCGAGTCACCAGAATCAGTGCCATCGGATATGAGATGTCTCAGAACCCCGCGATTGTGGCTTGACAACGTCCGATAAATTGGTCGGTGAAATTGCCGGCGCCAAACGCCTGTGGCACGGGACAGGCAGTTCCTCGAATCACGCAAAGCCAGTGCACTCAAACTTGATTAGCCCCTAATAGTCCCTGAGCAGAAACCGGCGTACCAAGCCTTGATGTTCGCATGCATTTCCTGCACTGGATTAGCTTGGTTACACGCTTGAGCTCCTTCGCATCGGTGCCATTGTTTTGTCCAGAATGTAACCAAACACCGGCATTTAGCTTCGACTAGGGCTGAGACGGGTCCAGTAGGTGCGAGGTTCGTGACAACTAGCGTTGACCAGTCGAAGTGGACTCCCTGAGACCCTGGAAAAGTGCATTGGATCCGGGGAAACCAGGCTAATGTGCAGGCGACATGATGGGCATGTGCTCTGAAGCACCGGAGGAGTCATATAGACTGCCACTCGCCTTGGGCATTTGAGGGATTTCTGGTTTTGGATCGCGCTCACATACCTACACTCGTTTATGCTGTGACTCCTTCGGCTTGTGAAATTCCATCACTAGTACTTAATGCTCCCAGAACCTCAACTTGATATCTGATTATACATTGACGACGCATTTATCCCACGATGAGGTTTCAACCAACCTTCCTGCTGGCTGGCCTTGGGCTCGTAACAACGGTCCTCGCCACGCCAACGAATGTCATCCGCGAGCGAACACTCGTTCAACACGATGCCGCAGCAATCCAGAGCAGCATTGCCGACATAAACAGCAAGACCATTGCTCTAGGAGACGACATCACAGCGTACACAGGCGGGGACACCTCAGCCATAGAAAAGACATCGACTGATCTTGTTGCTACCATCAATGCTGGCACCGATATTGTTCTTGCCGGCGATGACTTGACTTCAACGGATGCGTTGAACCTGGTGGGCCCTATTCAGACGTTGACAAAGAACGTCGATGCTACCATCTCCGCCCTTATTGATAAGAAGGATCCGGTCGTCGAGGCAGGCTCCGGTGCATCGGTTTATGCCCAGCTCCAAGAGCAGTTGGCTGCGGCCACTAGCTTTGCTGACGCTCTGACCAGCAAGGTTCCGGAATCGCTCAAGGAGATCGCCGATGAGTTGTCGTCTGGTATCAAGGCATCTATCCAGAAGGGCATCGATGCCTATGAGGATGTTTCCACGCCCACCACAACAGCGACCTCGACTACTTCGACAACAACTACTGATACTCCTAGCCCAACTGAGACGACTACAACTCCACCCCCTACTAGCACCTCGACCACATCTGGGCCAGACGAGACAGACACGTCCACTCCGTGCGAGACCGATACGGAGACTCCTCCCCCATCGACCAGTGAACCCTGTGAAACCGGCACCGAGACTCCTCCGCCATCCACGTCGGAACCATGTGAGACTGACACTGACACTCCTCCGGAGACAACTGATGAGCCCTGCGAAACCGATACCGAGACACCGCCTCCCTCAACTACGGACGAGCCGGAGCCTACCGGGACTGATACTGACAATCCGCCTGAGCCAACAGACTCGGAAACGGAGAACCCCCCCTGCACCTACCGGCGGGTCTGGATCCGGATCTGACTCTGACTCTGACTCTGGATCTGATTCCGGCTCTGATTCCGGCTCTGATTCCGGCTCTGATTCCGGCTCTGATTCCGGGACTGGTACGAGTCCTGAAACGCCCGAGTTTACTGGGGCTGGCGTAGTGAACACCCTCAAGTCTTCCCTGGCTGGTGCGATTGTCATCGCAGCCGTTGTTGTCGTGCTCTGAACATAATGTAACTGCTATCAATTTGTTAATGTTTACTCATAATATCGCTTTAGTGCCATCTATAATTAAATCATTTCTTTAAATCTCATGATTATACATCACAGTCCAACCCTAGACGGTTCAGTAGATCCCTACGATTAGATATACCTACCCATCTCGCAAAATGCCTACTACGTCCGTCAGCCCATCAACAATCCGATCCGGGCCCAGTGTCTCACAAGCCTCCGTATTCCCTTACCCATATCGAGACCGCCAATATTCCTCGCAAGCCCAATATCCGCCTTCGTATCCCCAACGACAACCAATCCCTCTCCCGTTTCCAGCCAAGGTCCTACACGCCCTATCTCCCGTAGCCTCGGCATCAGGGCATTCGTATATCTCGCTGGGGTTGGGTTTCAAGCAGTTCCAGGCGTCTCATCACCAATAATTGGAGTTTGACGGATATACACGTCCAGTCCGTTATTTTCCAGCACAGTCTGAATGGCAGCGATGCGCTGGCTGCTTACGATGGCCATAGGGATATCCCTTTCTCTTGTCTCGAGTGTGAGCGATTGGGTGTCGGGGTAAGCAGTTATCAGGCCCTGACCGGTTGATGCATAGATACCTGGATATATTGTTATCCAGGCATCAATTAAATGTCCAGCAAGGGTGTCAGGGCTTGAAGGGAGCGAGCGAAATATATTACCTATACCGACTCCGGAGGAAATCTGGGACTGGAGAGCTGATTCAGGTGGTTAGTGTTCGGGGAGAAGGGTGGCAAATGTATGCTTTATGGATTCTTTAATGAAGGGTGTTGAAGAGGGTTCTGTCAAAGTCGACAATTATGAGCGCTGGCTGTGGCATTGTTGTCGGTTTGGCGGGCCAGGTAGACAGGCAGTTGAAATTAAGGGTCCTCGGCACGTGAGCGAACAAGCTCTATCCTGCCGCATCCACTAGTACCTACACCGCCCGCCGGCATCACATTCACCTTCAGCGTGGGCTCATTCCTCAACACCCCACATTCTCCCGTCCAGCTCTCACCCTCGTCTACCAAAATGGCTACACCCACACCAACGGACACGAAGATCGTCTACATCGGTGTAAGCTCTGCGTCGCCTGAAGACTCGCTTTTACTGACCTGCCTAGATCCTCCGAAATGCACAACCCGATCCGATAGAGCTATGTTGCGAGCGGGAGCTGAGCAGCTACTCCCGTTTCACCCGCGGGAGCATCTCAGAATTCACAACCATGTTTAGCAAGATCCTGACTGGGCACACTACGCCAAACAGTCGAAAGGAGGTTCAAGAAAAGGGTATGTTTTGATTCTTGAATGATTCCTAGAGCATTCAAGTACCTTTTTCTGTTTGAGCCTGTTTAGAGCGTCTCTAACCAAATTCAACTTAGAATTTGTCTTCCACGTTTACGCCCACGAAAATGGTGTCACCGGTGTCGCTATCACCAACGAGGCATACCCCTCCAGAATTGCTAATGGGCTCATCGGCAAAATCGTCCAGGAATTCTGCACCGAGAACCCCGGAGCAAAAACTGCGACCGAACCCGTCCCTTTCCCGGCGCTCAAAGATTACATCACTAAATACCAGAAACCCGAGAATGTGGACAACATTACCATGATCAACAACCAACTGGAGGAGACAAAGGTTGTTTTACACAAAACTATAGAAAGTGTATGTCCGCCTTTTCCCATCCCCATCATATCCCGCCACTGTAGACACTTTCTCTAACAGTGACTTGCCTAGGTCCTGGAACGTGGTGAGAAACTCGACGACCTAGTCCAGAAGAGCGAGGGTCTCAGCTCCCAAAGCAAAATGTTCTACACGAGCGCGAAGAAGCAGAACTCCTGCTGCATTATCATGTGAATTACGAACCAGCGTCCATTTATGTCTCATTACGATCTCTCGCTCTCTCTATATTTACAGGACTTTATTTCTGGCGATCTCACTTACACCCTTAAACCTACTTTTCTTTCGCTTACCTGACGTACCATCTCTGAATCATGCATGATGAAGTTACTTCCGCGCTACAATTCCTTGATATCCTCAGTCTCTGTTGGTGTTTGAAGATGACCGCGGTAATGATGATAATTATATAAGTAGCTTCGCTTCTTTACTTCTCTCCACTTTGACGGGAATCTGCAGGTGCTTTTTAATCAACGTCCTCTTCGGCACCATATCTCGTGTATGCTAGATAGAAAGCACATGGATGAACAATTAGCAGTTTTATTTATTTATCCGAGTCTGTCCCAAAAAAACAAAAATCACTATCTATTAAAAACTAAGTGTTGTGTATCAAATTAACAACTCCCGCAATGCAGTCCATCGATCTATCTAGTCAACGTCGCAAATGCAAATGTAGCACATATCCCAACATAACACGAATGGGAGATTGGTTCAGAGGGGAGATCGAAAAGGGTGGAGATAAGGTAAGTGTTCAAGAGAATAAACCAAAAAGCAAGGATATCTATATAGCGCTGAACGTCGCTCATATCAAACAAATCAGTCGGCTAGGAATGTAAGCAGAGCTCAGCTAGCTTACTTCATTTACTCCTCCGCCTTCTTCGAAGCCTTTGTCCTCAACTTCATGAGCCCATACACCAACGCATAACTGCTGATGACGAAGAGTGCGACGAGCGCCGTGTCCCGCCACCCGTAGTAGTAGTCCTTCAAGTTCAAACTATACAGGTAGTCGCTTCCACGTGTGTATTGGCAGACCTGGCACTGGGCGGTAGCATCTGGGTTGACCAGGTTGGCGCGGGCACCCATGCCCTGCAAGAAACCCGAGAGGTACTCGCGACAAGTCGAGCCGTTGGGCGGGTCGAAGGTAGCGAACTCTGCTTCGCGGCATTTGATGTCCGTGTCGAAGACAGTGAATGTAAGGAGACTGCCCATGAGGTAGTTAAAGGGGTTAAGGTAGTAGATCCAGTAGCGCCAGAAGGCTTGGATTTGTTCGTAGGGAACCAGGACACCGCAGAAGGAGACGAGGGTTCCGATGACGAGGGGGTTTGTAAGGGTTGCGAAGACGGCGTTGGGGGCGTAGGCGGAGATGAACTGGCCGATTCCGGTGTAGAGACCCTCGTAGAGAAGCATGACGAAGAAGACGGCGCCCGCTTTGTCAGAGCTTGTAGGGAGGCCGGTTTGGTAGTAGAAGCAGACGAAGTAGAGGACTGCGCAGAGGACAAGGTAGGGAAGTTCGGAAATGATGAGACCTGTTACGAAGGCAATCCAAGAGTACATTCTAGATTTCTTTTCACGGGCGTCGTAGATGTCGCGGCGTTCAATGAACATAGGCTGGAGTTGAGCGATAGCGCCTGGAGCAACGAAGATGAAGTTGAATAGAGAGAACAGCTTCAGTTGTAATTCAGTCACAGATTCACCCATCTTCCAGAACGAGAAACCGTTGAAGAGAGCAGAACCAATGTGCAGCGCGAGCTTGTTGTTGACATAGTCAGTGTTCCGGTAAACAGCGAGGCAAGTACGCTTTGTAACAATCACGGTCTGCTGCCAGAGAGGCATAGCGAATTCATGTCCGTCGTCGACAGTTCCCGGTGGTTTAGAAGCGGCCTCATTAACAATCTGATCAAGTTCCTGTTTTGCGTTTGTGTGCTCGGGAGAAGCCTTCCAGATCTCATGCCAATCGCGGCCCTGCGAGAGAGTCCCAGAGACGACGTCGATCATGTGTTCAGCAGGGTTGGCATTGGGAGGGCAAGGAGCGCCATGACGAGCGAAGTAGTCCTTCACAGTTGAGCCATTATCACCGATGTCACCAAAGTAAACCATCTTTCCACCCTTGGCAAGTAGTAACAAGCTGTCGAATTCAGCGAAAAGCTGAGCAGAAGGCTGGTGAATTGTCACGAGCACAGCCTGGCCGACATCAGCCAATTTTCGGAGGAAGCGAACAGTGTTGTAGGCAGATTGGCCGTCAAGACCGGATGTAGGCTCGTCAAGGAAGATCAGAATGCTGGGCTTAGACACTAGTTCGACACCGATGGTGACTCTCTTGCGCTGTTCAACGCTCAGTCCAGCGCCGACGCGACCAATGAGGGTGTCAGCAATGTCGTGCAGTTCCAAAAGATCAATAATAACATCAACATATTTCATCTTTTCCTCTCGTGGTGTTGTACGTGGCTGTCGTAGAAGCGCAGAGAATTCCAAAGCCTCACGGACAGTGGCATAAGGTTCGTGGACATCGAGTTGTTCACAGTAACCTGCCGAGCGCTGGAAGGAGATAGGAAGTGGGCGTCCATCGACTAAAACCGATCCGTGGATTGTACCAGCAGTCTTCCGTTGAGCAAGGACATCGAGCAAGGTTGTCTTTCCAGCACCAGATGAGCCCTATAACACTTGTTAGCTGTATTCAGACTTTGACATAAGTTGACATACCATGAGAGCGCCCAACATGCCTGGCTTCACCCATCCGTACACTTCGTTGAGTAACTGACGATCCCCAGAGGGGGTCTTGACGGTATAGCTCAGATCCTTCCAGGTAAACACAGACGTGTTACGGACAAGCTGGTTGTCAATTTCACTCGAATCCTGTACACCGCCCTCCTGGGTCTTCTTAGAGGATTTCTCGTTTGGCTGGGATTCTTCGTCCTGGCGAACGTTCTGGCGGTTTCGCTCCACACTTTCACGGGGGATCAAAAGGGACGGGCCGTTCTCGGAGGCACCCTTCCAGCGAGTTGTAGCGACAATGGTAACAAAGACGAAGAGAGCCCACCAGGCCCAGAGGATTCCAAAGTTACGCCAAATGTGGGAGCGGCTGTACGAAAGCGATGCTAGGTAGTTGTCACCAGTAACATAATTCATGCCAGGGATAGCACCTCCAACACCAGTGCAGGACTGAGTGGTAGCGTTTTCGTAGCCCGGTCCGCTGGGGACAAGGTTGGTGCCCACACATGGAATAATCTTGCCCGTAAACTCGTTGGAAAGCAAGGCATCAAAGCCATAGGCGAGGGGATCAATCCAGTAAATCCAAACAAACCAAGGGTGCATTTCCGGCTTCCGAATCATATAACCAGTGTACATAATGAGAGCCGAAATAAGGAAACCCGAGACCTTGGACGCATCATCGAATGTCTTGAAGGCGGCTCCACAAGCTCGGAAAACCGCAGTCATCGCCTATTGGAAATAAGTATATTGGTTTCATTAGATTATGTTCTGTCGAACTTACCATTGTAGTTGCGAACACCAACACCCAGTAGGTAAAGAATGTCCCCGCGTCCATTTCAAGACCGACCATGAAATAAACGGGGAGCGCAAAAATAGTGACTTGGAATATCAAAACAGGTATATCCGCGGCGATCTGCGCAAGACAAAAAGCTGCAGGGTGGAAAAATGCGAAGGATTTGTGTTTTATCAGTACCGGTCGTCCTTGGAAGGAGTCCGTGACTTCAGACATAGCCAGGAGCGAATTGTAGAGCAGAGAGAAGAACAGGGCACCAGATTTGACGAAGAGACCCCCGGAATTGTTGGGAGCGTCGTAGAAAAGAGAACCCGCAATCAGGGCCTGAATGAGAGTCGACACCTGTTTGATGATAAACGTGGCTTTGTCACCCCACAGGATTTGGTACTGTCGCATGATACAAATCTTGACTTGGTTAATAAAGTCAACTGTGAACGGGCTGCTCCGGGGCAGTTGCTTCGCTTTTTCCTCAGAAACAGCCTCCTTGAAATCTTCAGTCTTTTGCTTGGCGAATTCGCTGTCAGGGTAGTCATATTCGCTGATCATGTCTGCTTTCACCACAGACTTGTCGTACTCCTCGAGCATGGCATTGGCATTCCGGGGAAAACGCGCCTCGAACCCGGAGCGGATTTTACGTTCAGTTGGCACGGTGACACCGGTCAAGAAGTCAGCGACATTGGAACCATCGCGGCAGATGAATCCGAGAGCCTCCATATAGGGCTTAGCGTGGGTCATTGGTCCGTAGTAAATCTGCTTTCCCTCGTCCAAAACCAACACCTTGTCGAAAAGATCATAAATACCGTTGCCAGCTTGATATAGCGTAACGATGGTGGACAAGCCCAAGACATCGGTCATCGCACGGACAGCCCTAGTCCACTCCAGGGCGGTGCTGGCGTCGAGACCTCGAGTACTGTTATCCCAGCAGAATACAGATGCGCGAGTAGCCAGGCACTCGATAATTGAAACGCGTTTGCGCTCACCACCGGAAACACCCCGAATGAATTCATTACCGACCTGCATCTGTTAGTTCTACTATGTCAAAAGAGAAAAAAAACTGGGAATTACCTTTGTATCAACAGTGTGAGAGATGCCCATCGACTCGAGTAAGAACTTGCGGGTTTCCTCACGCTGGGTCTCCGGCGACTCAACCCCGTTCGGTAGCCGGTACGGGACCTTCAGTCGCGTTGCAAAGTCCATGGTCTCACCCACGGTCAAACTCGGAAAGAACAGCTCCTCCTCGGTATTCATGACAATCTGGCCACGGTACTGAGTAGCTTCCTTTGCTGTCATAGACCCGTACCGAACGTCTCCTTCGATAGACTTGTAGCCAAGTCGTTGGTTGGCGAGCATTTTCAGCAGAGTGGTGCAACCTGAGCCTGGGCGACCCAGGACCAGAAGCATCTCGCCTGGTTTCACGCAGCCATGACTGTTGTCGAGAATAGTTCGGAGAGGAGGTTTGTTGCGGGATTCCCCGATCAACTTCGGGACGTTGAACTGAGAGAGGAAGTTTTCTTGGACAGCGGCCTCTGCGCTGACAACTTCAACACTGAGGTCCTTCCATGTGACACCCAATTCTCGACGCTTGAAACCGGACTGCACTTCGCGTTCATGCTGCTCCTTGACTTGAGGCATCAAAGTCCACCCGTCGGCGCGGCTAACATTTTGGTCCGGAGTGGGGGAGGAATCCTCACCCAAGACAGTGGTTGCACTATCTGAATCCCTGCTCACCATAGTCTCCCTGGACTCATGGGGCCCGGTCCTGTCTTCGACCTTGAGGGAAGACATAGTGACGTGGTAATCGCAGGCCGATGCGTCGTGAAAAGGAGATTCTCAACGGTCAGCGCCTGTGCCGGGGGATTGCCTCAGAAGTATATAAACACCCGCCAGGGGTGTGGGTCAAAAGGCATGACCCAGAGCACCTGAAAAGACAGCAAACGGCACATGAATCTGCCCGAGCCCGGGCCCTGGGGTTCCACATGGCTCTCCTATTTCCGATACTGTTGGTCGATAAGGCAAACACATCCGCTGAGTAAACGGTGGAAACCGCAGACGTTCTCGCATGAAGCGAGGAAGGGCAGTGGAGTACAGCCATCTTCCAGTCAGATCGAACAACCCGGAATTGGTTTGTCATTCGACGCAGCAGAGACTTTTTTTTTTCTGACCATCTTTCTGGCTGCGCCGAGTCGAGAGGAAGAGAGAGATTGTGGGTCAGAGTCGGTGGTCGGAGCCGGAGCTCCGAGTCAAAGTCCGACCCTAAGCCGCTGATTAAGCGGCTTTCAAGTGCCGCAGCCAATCGGACGGGCCTGCTACCCCGGTATGTCCGACCCCGATGAGTCAGCGGAGGCTGTAAAATCGAGCAAATTGACTCCATGCGGCAGGTTAGCTTGAAACCAGAACCACGCCTGAGGCGTCATCGACTGCTCGTATCAGAGTTATCTGATCACCAGCATCGCACCCGAAGGGCAGGGATGTTCCCGGCATCTTCTCTTCCTTGGCAAACTCAGACTCGGCTTTTGACACCTCGCCGATTAACACCGGATTGACGCTGGAAATCTTCGACCAGAAGGCTATCAGTTCGCCTTCAGAGCTTAGCCTACATGTTAATTCCGGAGCCTGTACAATAATGTACTGATCATATGCATCACTATCGAAAACCATGTGTTTATTCGTCACCAGGCTCCTCCACGTTGGGCTGGAACCGCCATGAACTCCTTGCGCTTTGCAGCTCCTGGCCATGTGGTGAGTCACGAAATCCTGTCTGACATGTCTCTCGCATCTACTACGGTAAGGTTTCAGACTCGTGAAAAATTCCAAGATCGGGATCCCTGGTGTGGTTCAGCTTCTGTCAACCACTCGAGCTCAATATCCAGATAAATGGCATTGTGTAGACCCGCCAAGCATGAGAATTCATCCGTCAGCCCTTTCCGTGCGGAGGGTTTCCGTTTGACGGCGTGGCCAGTTCGAGATCTTCATTGGCGTGCTGGCCCATGGATATATCGCAACGTCGCTGGTCCGTTCTCCGACCGCCGATCTGACTGCGTGCTCGTTGCTCGATCAACGATATGTCAGGAAGCCGAACAGCCTCGAAAAGCAAAAAGGCGTCACCATTTACGCTTCCCACTTACCAATCATTGCTCTAGAACATGAGGTGAGGTTCTGAACGTCTGGGATTACCAGATCAGACAGAGGATCGTAGCCTAAAATAATGATATTTGTGAAGGATTGAAGGTGGCCGACGGAGTCCGGGCCCGCGGAAACTACATAGATACGAGGGATGACCTATCCTTAGTTCCTTACTCCTGGGGACTGGGCCCTATGTCACGAAGTACCAGCCTCTTCAATCGTCGGAAATTACTTCACGGTACTGGCCAGAAATCGGCTTCCCGTCGTTATCTCCGATCTGCCTGGCCTGGGCGCTGGGGAGTGAAGAGTGGCAGCCTAGCAAGGATCCTGACATGCCGTTCCCGGACGGATGCGCACCCCGTGTTTGTTTCTACTATTAGAGTTTATTAATAATTCGAGATATAATGACGGCATCATTATAGCAGTGGTCTCAAATCCCGAGTATAATCGTCACAGGCGAGTTCCAAAAACAGCTGTCGGAACTGATGGGATGCTCCAGCCCTTGTCTCCATCTATATATATCTCAGCTTCAACATTTGTTCCCGCCACAATTCTGAACTAATCCTCGCCTGTGTAACCCATCAATAAATAGCCAAAACATCCTCTCTCTAGACGCAAAGCACGACCACGATGCTGACTGCAGCCGTGCACGTGGCCAAGCAAGAGAACCTGGAAAATGCGCGATCATAAACCCTGCATACTTGAAACAGAATCTGAGTAACAATATCAGGCTTTGACGGAGTGTGTAGTACACCCAAAATCTGACGGGCTCGTCGCATTGAGCTTCTATTTTTGATTTTATTTTTTGATTTTGTTTTTCCATTTACAAAGAACATTTAGTTACACAAGCATTAAACAGGGCAGTGGCTGACCCCATAGCGCAATGGGATATCGTCAATCGGAGGCCCCGACAGCCGATTATTCTGACGATATTGATTTATATTTGCAAAGTTTGCAACCTAAATATAAGCAAGCAACAACAATATCCTTCTCGAATCACTGGCGAGCAGATAAATAATCCCACTCATGCCCCAGTATACGGACTCAGTTCACAGTCTCGCCCCGTCGAAGTAAAGCACATATATACCTACGATATAGACGACACTCAAGCTGGCAAACAATGTTACACCGCCCGAAACCTCGGGCCGGGAGAAATGGATGGAGGCTCCCGCTAGGGGACTGTGGGAAAAGCCGGTGGCAGCGAGGGAAGAGCCTGTGTAACGGGGATACGTAAGAGATGTAGTGGTAAATATATCTCAACGTACCAAATATGTATAGACCGATGGAATCAGTCATGCCCCGAAGAGACCGGCCCATGCGTGCTTCTGGGGTAATGGGGTCGAGATGGCCTAGTTGCTTGGGGGCAACGAAGCAGAGGTAGCAGCATAACAGGACTACTACCACGCTCAAACCAGACAGTACTGAGAGAAAGGCTAGGCCCTGCTAGCCCAGATTGAAGCCGTATATGTCACCGTAAACGGGTTGGTTCGAGATATCCGACTGGGACTTGGAAACTAGGCTTCTCCTTGGGGTATCTGCCCAACTTCGTGCCACCAGCTACATGTAGAGGTTGCCCAAAACTAGATTCTTGGATGATATCCCATATAGTGAGAGGTAGAAGGCAAGAGAATGGGCCGGACCTCTGCATGGTTCAGCAATTATATACTACAAGACAACCAACCAAACATACTGTCCATTGAGATTGGTGGAGCGCGCAAACGCCTGCCAAAAGCCCGGGGAGAATCTGTGTGCCCAAAAGTCGAGCTTTTAATCCTTCTATCGCCCTCCAAATCGAAGAAAAAGAGAATGTGACAAAAATAAAACACAAAAAACTTATGGGGTCACCCGGGATTGAACCGGGGACCTTTCGATTAAGGATGAATGAAGTTGGAACTTCAGTCGAACGCTACTCCCGCTGAGCTATAACCCCATGACTTATTGAAAATTTTGCAAAGTTGCAAGCACTTTCCATGGGGCTGCCGGCGAGGTCTTTGCACTCACCTGTTACCATGATCTGGGTTGTTGGATGAGTCTGGAGCAAGGATGGGGCTTTCGCTTGGTGCGGCTGGCGGGCTTAAACCAAGTGGGCAGCGCCAAGTTCGTTATAGGGCTAGAGCATACCGTCAGAGGATGGGCAGGTCCATTAGTATGCGCAAGTACTACCCATTAACCTTTAGCTATAATCAATTCCGTGTATATTCCTTCTTTGCTTTTGTTCTTAGCAGTAAAACTCTCGCTGGCATTCGTGGGCTATATGCTGCCACGTAGGTATGTATTGCTGAAGGCACAATCGAGCAAGTAGCAGGCACGAATAGAGGATGCAACTGTAGTGGGCTCCGACGGCACCGCCAATGCGTGGAGAACTGTCATGGGACCGAACCATTCGCTCATAATCGTGCATATTACCGGCAAGATGGTATGGAAGTGACGCAATTATATCGTTGATTTAGATTATGCGCCTGTCGCCCCCATCTTGTCACGGCGTCTGTCTGAGCGGGGTCTTTTACCCGCGCTATTAGACGGATCAAGATATCCAATAACATCAGGTATGTCTTCTGATATGTGTAAAGGAAAGACATTTATTGAATGTGCTCTAGTGCAGAGGAACAAAGTAGGTATCCATGTACAAACGTATATCGTTGGCTTCGTATCAAGTGAGTAGCAAGGTAAACCCTAGAAAGTGATGAGCATCGGAGTCAGACAAACAATGGACTGAATGGTGGATTCTCAATGTTATCCATGACCTCAAGGAGGTTTTGTTCAAGATCATCAGTCCAGCCGTACGTATCATTGTCGCTATCTGTGGATTGGTGTTTAGATTTGTCGTCGCTTTTTGTCAATATTCTGGGCCCATCGGTGTCTGGCGAAGGACTAGACACTCGAGCGTGCTCTTCACTTCGACCGGCGAATAGGCTGGCTCTACCACCCTTCAAGGCCGAGGGTGTTTCGGGGTTGTCTGGAAGTGGAGGATTCATATGTTGATACTTGTTGGTTGTCGGTTCTGCTGCCGGCGGCTTTTTACCGGGAGGCGTGATTGGGTAAGTTGGAGAAGGTGAATTACGTTGTAACTGTCGAACAGGCGATGCTATAGAAGACCTGAAGCTGCTTCTGCTGCTACCGAGGGTGTGTGGTGTAAATGGATCAAATGTTGTAGCAGGTTTGCTCTTTTGAGGTGATAAAACATCGTCAAATAGTCGTCTCCTAGGCATGGCTCTCGCAGCAGAGCGGACATCTGGAGCTGGAAGATTGGTATTGGGAGTCTGAGTCGCCGCGTCGGCATACCCATGCCTCGGCTTCTTTGTAGACCTCGAAATGGATGGTGAATCCGGTTCTATCACAAGATGTTAGAGCGGTACTATGGCATGAACGCCGTGAGGAGTACCGTTGTCCGCCAATTCGCCAACACCACTATCAAACGACTGCATGTTCGCCTTTCGCTTCGATGTGGTGGGAGGGGTGTACTGCCCAAATATCCGGATATCGACCTGTTTACGTGGCGTTCTCGGGGATTTCATTGCTGATGGTATGAGACTTCGCACACTTTCTTTCTCGTCGAACCATATCTTTGTCCGGCAGCGGGTGGGATCTTGGGACCATTTCGCGCAAGCATAGACTGAATAAAGTTAGCACCCGATCAACCGCTACTTGGGTACACAGCGGAGATCATTACACCAGGTTCCGTAATAGGGACTTGTTTTCTTCTGAACGAGGAAGTCTTTCATTTGAAAGCCGCATGCGCAAAGGAACTCGTCTTCTTCCCCAACCCGGACATTGTTGAAAGTGGATCGGAGAGAATTAGTCGGCATGGTAGAAGATTAGAAGCCGAATATAAAGCAGGATTATAGCGTTGACCATAAGGTCTAGCAGGATATGCTCGACTGAGGAGAAAGTGGTGTTGACTTGGAGACAAAAGCAAGCATGCAATGTTGGCGGGGCTACTTGCACCTTGCAAGATCTCTCGGCCGCCCCGTTAACAGCATCTTTCTGCTTTGCATTGCCTTGGAGCAAAATTGACACCATTGGTCTCATTGTATTATAGCTATAATTTTTAGATTGTAGGAAGTCTACTCGAAATAAACAAAGACAACCAACCATGAGTTCTTTTACTTTCTTCTTGGTGATGGTCACGTGAAAACACAGTGTTGTTGATTCAGTGTTCTGGCCCACAGTTGGTCGCTACTCGGCAGGTGAGGAAAGTCAAAAAGAAGTTGGTGGTAGCAAATATCCTGAGACCAAGGTATACCATTTGCACGCCGGCTGTAATCCTTATAAGCTGAACAAGAACGCATGATACCTGAGCTGGAGCATACTTTGTCTTGAGGGGCAGCGGAACTAGTCTAAACCCAATACGGAAACACAACACCGATCAAACCACTAGTCAATCCGGGAAGGCGGTATATATTCTGCCGACGATATAGCTTTTTTCAACTTTTTTCTCCGATCTGAATATCCTCGACAGTCAAATTGCTGCACAACTGTCAAAATGCGCGCCCTCACAGAACAAGAGACCCAGACGCTTTTCACGAAGCTTGCGGAGTATACCGGCTCTTCACTCAAGAACCTTATCGCGCCGCTGGACAACTCACCCAACGCCGACCGCTATGTTTTCCGTCTCTCTCACAACCGATGCTACTACGTGAAACTCAGCTTAGCCAATCTGGCCACCTCAATTCCTCGTGATAACCTGCTCTCGCTTGGAATCTGCATGGGTATGTTGATGTCGTCTAACTTCGCCCTTGCGCTTTCTAATCTTCGCAGGAAAATTCACCAAAACCGGCAAATTCCGACTGCACATAACCGCCCTCCCCATCATCGCCGAACACGCCCGTAACAAGATCTGGATTCGCCCGAACGGTGTTATGCCTTTCCTCTACGGCTCAAATGTTGCTAAGGCCCACATCGCCAAGTTCCCCGACGACGCGGTCGAGCACTCCGGCGTAATTGTCTGCACGCAAGATGACGTTCCTCTCGGGTTTGGAATCACAGCCCGGAGTACTGCGGAGGCTAGACGGTTGGATCCTACAGGGATAGTATGTTTCCGACAGGCGGACTGTGGCGAGTATCTGCGTGACGAGGATACCCTGTTTGCTGGTTAAAGGACAAGACAAGGGACTGGGCGCATGGCAGAGTGAAGTCTGCAATGCGCGTGATGCCGATCTGGCGTCTGACGACGTTACGAATCATAAAAGCTTCATCTGGTTGATAGGATCTGCTTTGGGTCTGATGTGATGGGGACGAAAGGCTACAGCAATGGCTGATGTGGAGGAACAGGATCGTATTCATTTTACGGAGTATTGGCGCAAATTGCATCAAAGTGCATCACCTCGTTCGACCAGTGGGATATTTGAATTTCGCGGATTGCGTGCACTTTGGGCACCAAGTCGAAAGAAGCCCGTGTCCGCTCGAACAAACACCGAGTCTGTTTCGATGTACTAGTAATCTGTATGGGTCAAGATATCACATTCGCATCTGTTCACCAATAAAAATCCCAATTAATCGCATAATCATTATCATAAGCTGATGCATCTCTAAGTAACCATAAAAGAGATAATCAACAATTACACCCCGATATTCCTGTCTAATTAACAGGCTTCCTAGCCACAACCCTAGACATATAATAGTCCAAGATAACCCCACTCTCCAACTCCTCCAAACATTCCGCGTAGATCTTCTCAATCTCCTCATCACTCTTTCCCTTCGCCTTCAAACACACCCTGGGCACGCCAGTATGGAAAGCAAAAAGCAGAGTAAGCCGGTGATCTTCGCTCAGCGGCAAACCCCGCGTGGTGAACTGTTTCTTTTCGACGATCTCGAGGCCAGCAGCGGCGACCTGGTCCCGCACTTTGTCGGAGAACCTCAAGCTGTACCGCTCCCCGACCCAGTTTAGGATCGTTGTCCAGGTTGTTGTCATTTTACAGGGGTGACAGTTGTCGAGCTGGTCTTGGAAGTCGTATTCTTCCCATTGCAGGTAGCCGCCGGGTTCTGCATGGATTAGTTAGTGGGGGGTTCGCTCTTGTAGAAGTGGACAAGGACGTACTTAAGAGGGAGGTGATGTGTTCCGTGGCGGGTATCAAGTCTTCACCTTCTACCGCGAGGATGAGGTGCCTGGCGTGTACGAGGTCGTACTTCCCGATATGTTCCTGGGGGAAAGGTTTGTAGAAGTTGTGCGCAGTGAAGTCGATATCAGCGACTTTTCGGGGCGAGTCCGGCTTGGGAAACAGTTCGGGGCTGAGGTCGAAGCCGTGGTACTTGGTGCTGACAATTCTGGATTCTGGCTCCTTTTCACGAGCGTCCTTTATGTCGTACAACCATGTTCTGGAGGGTCAGTTAGGCTTCGGTGGTTACTGGTAGTAAAATTCATATATCAAACATACCCATTAGCAGTCGCAATGTCTGCCACTCGTTCGAGCTTCTTAGGAATAGATTGGTGGAGGATGTCCTCCTGGAGCATATGCATACACATGCGATGCTGGATGTTGAGCCTGTTGAAAGTGTGAGTTGTTGTCTGTTTGTGTTACAAATGGATATATAGCTTACCGCTCGTTTTCGTCCGTATCCACGGCCTTCAACAGATACGAAGAATTGTTCCGTTTATTCTGCGTCGCCATAGCGAAACGAGAAGCAGTGCTATTCCTGAGGAACGAACCCAAGAAACGGCGACTCAGCATTGTGGCTGATGGGACGCATGGGCGTTGAAATATTTGCAGTGAGAAAAGCAAGGTGTTCGTTTAGTTTAACCACCTTGGAATATGGAGGGGATGAGATAGGAGGTGAATGTCGAATTGACAACGGCTCTCAACCCCATCCCGGCATCCGAGCCGAGCATGGCGTATGGACTAACTGTTAAGAGGAGGTGGAGCAAACCGAGCGAGACCGACATTGACAACCTCAAAGGGACGGGGCCGGCATTGGCCAGGTATAAATTCATCCCGCTCCCGGCAGCGCGGATGTTGTGGACCAGCAAAATGGCCCATGAGGGGACCAGGATCCTCATGGAGGAAGCGCGGCGGATGCGCTGCTGCAGCGCTAATGTACGGTACTTGACAGGGCCGTGGGGAGCCTTCGAGTTAGCACATACGACGTCGCTTGAATTATCCACAATTTGCATGCATGCTGACCGCATAACAGCCGTTGTCCCTAGTGCAGCCCAGATTGTAAGTTGCAACTAACTTTTTCCGGGCTAAAGTGTACGAGGGGAGGTCATAATTGTTCGCCTTCAACTGTCACTGGTCCGAGGTACTGCTTAATTGGGAAATCTATGCGGACATCCATCGAAGATCCATGATGATAATTCTAGACTGTGCTTGATTCGGTAATTTCTCCGCAGTGAATCTACACTTCACTATATAATTAACAATTATTAGCTGGCCTAGAAATTGTAATGAACGAGAATCACATTGTGCCATTTTGTTTCCTTTCACTATTAACGGCTAACCTAAGACCTTTTGTATCTCCGAATTAACGTTTCTTGGAAAGAATTAAGCCAGGCATCTTTCATTCCCAGCAGGCGTTTTCATTCCATCAAACAGCCGCGGAGTGAATGACTGCCATTTTCGGCAGGCGTATGGCTCTTTGACATCCTTCAGGTATCCAGACTGATACTGGACCGGTTTACTGCTTGGAAACAAGGTTGGGAGCCGTTTCACCGGCTGCTCATCTCTCTGCCTTGCAACGAGAGGGAATGTCGTCTTGGGTACCGAGGTAATGAATGGAGACCGCTATATAGAACCGGTCGTTTGTCTGAATTTCGGTAGATGATGATCCAATACACTTGCAACCTTTGCAGCAGTTCCAAGTTCTGGCATACCAGAGTTGCGGCATCATCTAGGTCAGCATAAGGCAATCCCCCGTCCGCTCAACAACATCCCGCCAAGAACACTGCATCTGGCGATTCGAATTCGCCAACCCAGACCTCCAAACATCCTGGATGACCTGAATCCCCGTCCTCACGCTTGCAATCCCATAGACCTGAACGCGGTCGTACCAGGCCCGAAACCGCTCCTGGTGCAGGGGTTCAAAGGCCTCAGTGGCGGCGATAAATGCAGGCCAGAACAGCGGCGCCGCAATGATTTTCGTCTCTGCTTTGATCTCCTCAATTGCCTCGATACTCTCGAGAACGGCCTGTACATATTGCCGCAGGTACCGGAACCCGAGAAGCCGGATGCTTTGCGAGAAGTAGATGATGAGGGCGTTGAGGAAGGCGCGGGTTTGGTGGAAGATGATTTTTGCGCTGCTGCTGCTGCTGCTAGCTGCGGTTGCGGGTGCAGCATTTTGGTGTTCGCGGGGTTCGTGGTCTTCAAGAGGCCAGTCAAGTATTTCGCGCTCGAGGTCATCACATAGCCGATTTAGGGACTCGGGGATATTGAGGGTTCCGGATTTTGTGCGCTCGTCCTCCACCTCGTCGATGAGCTCGATGCACGCCTTTAGTAGGAGGAGAAGGTTCTGCGGGACTCCATAGATGCACTCGTACGACAATAACTCAGTTGAGGTTGAAAGGGGCGGTGCCAGACATTTGGTTATTGAAGGGGACTCGTCATCTGCAAGGAGGATATGCTCTCGTGCAATCACCGGTCGAGGCCCGACTGTTCGTCGTGAACCGAAGGACGGCGAGAAGCGGGAGCTGTCCGTTCTATGTCGCCGGACTGCCGTGCTCTCGTATATGACCCGGAGATACAGGTATATGCGATGCAGGGACCGGGCCTTATTTGAGAACCGGGTCTTGCGAGCGCTCATGTAGCTGATGAGCTGTTCGGCGCCGTCAAGGTGCATCCCGCAGGTGCTTGTGTCGCCGGACATGACCTAACATAAAAGAAATCAGCAATCATATATTGTACCAAATGGGCTCTAAGAGCGAAGAGGTGTAAACCTACATTGATCGTAATCATGGACAATGTCGTCGCAACAAACTCTTTATACTTCGGCCGTTCCTCCTGATGAAGATGACTCTGGACCGCGTCCTTCAGCAACCCAATAGCATCACAGCGATACCGTGACGCAATGGTCTCCCATTTCTCCGCATCTTCGAGCCGCTGACCAGATCGGTGATCGTTCGAGAGGCAGAACGCACTAATCGCCAACAAGGCGTTTCTCAGCGCGTTACGAATTGTCGTAGTCTTGCCTCCGAAACTCAGTTCCCCGGCACACTGGAGGACACGGGTGAGATGGATGGTCTTCCATGGGCTTTTGGCGTTGTCAATAACACAGAAGAGATTAACTACCCGGTTCCGATAGTGTTCCATGAGGAGTTGTTCGTGCGCCGGGACAACAAGGGCTTTGGGGGGTTCTATAATAGACGGATGAATGTGCGGCTTGGTCTTGTCTGCACTGTCGGTCGTTTCAGGGCAGACGTCTTCGGCAGGGATTGTTGCGCCTTCGAGTATGTGGGAGCGTTCACCGATTTGTGGGCGATTTACCGTGTATTCAGGCAAGCTGTAGTCGAGTTCCGAGAAGACCGTCGAAGCATTTAGCTCCTCCTGCTGGGTGAAGTCTGAAGAGAAGCCAAGGTTGTCGTGGAGGCGGCACAAGCCCCAGGCGGCGTCAGCCTCAGAATAATAGGGGTCTGAATAGTCTGCTGGCGACCCGGTCGGTAGGGAGAATGATGCACCAACGTCCAAAACACCCGGCCAAACAACCTGCTCATCCTCATCAGATTGTGGTAGAGTCTGGAGTTCAGTCAGTGCTGCAGAGGGCGAGGATGACAGCGATCGCCGCTGCTGTGGAATGCTGAAGACGCCGAAATGGTGGACATGAGCATTGTCACCAGCTGGAATGATAGATGCGATCGAGTCAATATAGCACAGAATGTCATCAATTTGACTCCACCCCAGGACGGCTGCCGGGAGCTCTAGAACCAAGTCAGACACAATAGCACATTTGTCATAGGGTAAAAACTTACCAATTGGAACAAGCCGCCTCAGCGACCGCGCACCAGCAACCGCAGCAGGGAGCTCAGCGTGAAGACTGTCCGCGTCAGTAGCAGGAGGCAACCACTGCAAGCGCACCCCGTAGCCCTCACACTCTAGACCTTTAGCACAGCACTGACTGCATATCGGCCTGGTCTCATCGCACTTGATCTTGCGAGAGCGGCAGGTCCAGCAGCCTGTGAAGGTCTTGGTACGTTTCCGGGGCTGCTGGGGCCGGGGATGTCGGGCTGGAAATGGCATGGAGAGAAAAAGAGATTAACGGCGCCATTGCACGTCGACACCTGGTGTGGGTGAGATGGAGATACAGAGCATTTTTGAATCCGGAGGGTCACCGCGGTCTCCAATAATGAATGATAATGCAATCTAGAGTCGGTGCGGGGTCGGTGGGGAAATTCGGTTCCGAAAATGAAACTTATGCTTTACTGATAACACCTATTTACTAGGCGTCAATACCGCTCGTTCTGCTAGCCCTCGGTAGCAGTGGCACGCTCTGAGAAGCGTCTCCAAGTACATTCTCAAATGCGTGCCCTGGCTCGCTTCAATCAGCTTCGACAAGAACGCGCATAGTTCATGAAGTAACTGCAGATCGTCACACGCCGTCGAGGCTGACGGGGCATCAACAAGATGCATGGTAAGAACCACAACCGAGGTGAACACATAATTGAGAAGACTCCTAAGCACTGTCAGTCAGTCATTCAGGGAAGAAAAGCCGCGAACACAGGGAAGCGAACCGGACGCCGAGAGAAACCTTCACAGGGTAATATCGAACCAACCGCGCTGTTTTACGAGCAGAATTGATACAGGCTGTGACCTGTATTGCTTGCATAGTTGCCCCGGGGTCAGAGGAGAGATTGTGGTACACTGGTTTGTACAGCATCATGATGGAATGGTAGTATGACAGGAGAATCAGCACCGTGACCAGTCGATCTGACGAAGTTGCTTCCATTGCTTCGAGCTCGACCTCACGACGGGAGCAGGAGTAGATTAAGCCTCCGCAATCGCTCAGTTCCTTCTCAAGTTCTTCTATTGAGGGAACTTTGTCGAGATGGTGATCATGTTCGTCTTTCCTACCGACTTCTCCAGTTGCGTACACGGAGCTGAGTATCCGAGCCTTGATAGTCGATAGCCGGCATATAAGCTGAAAATTGGGTGGCTGCTGGATTTCCGACGGCCCCTGTGGTTCCTGGACATTCCTTTGAACATCAGGAGGCACGATATCGTTGTTCGTGTAATCGTCAAGCGGGCTCAGACCTTGGGGGGAGCACGACCTGATTGCCATTAGCGGTGGACCTGCGCTTGTACGGCAGTCTGATATTACATTTTGTCCATGATATAACCCATCCAAAAGACCCGGGTGCGCCTTTCAGAGTCTGTATTCTGGGTCTGGTCGGCGCGGTGAATGCCAAGGGTGTGGGCTTGTCGGATTGCAACCGCCAGAATGGCATGAGTGGAAGGAAGCTCAAGGCTGCCGTTGAGTAAGGCGACCTAGGGTATATGTTATTCATTGCGTACAGACGGTACGCCGCTGAACTCACTTACCATGCCTAAGAGTGCCTGTATACCAGTCAAGCTAGGATCCTCTAGAAGAAGACGTGGCAGCGTCGCCAGGGCATTATGGAGGTGCTTCTTGCATTTAACATTGTCTTCGTGAGAGTTTGGATTTTGCAGGTGGTGAAACAAATATCCCATTGCCAGGCAGACGTTCAAGGCTGCCCAGTTCGCTGGATTCTCAGGCAGACGGGGGTGCAGATACGTCTTTTCCGCAAGCCATCCATCTATCTCCTCGCGGAATAAAGGGAAAAGGGAGGCGGTGCATTCTGAGAATGTAAGGAGTATCTGGAGCACCTCATCCTCCCAGGGAAGAGAAAAAGGCACATTCGCCGGTCCGGCTAACTTTGTTGACGCCTTCGAGGTGTCTGTGTGGTCGTCGAGAAGTGCGATACGAGACAAGGCGAAGGTGAGATTTCGGCGATAGACTCCTGAGACCGCTTGTTTCCACAAGTCCGCGTAGTTTAGCAGGTCGCTAGTTGGTGCTTCAAAAATTAGCAGCCTACGGGTATATGGAATCATGACATACCATTGCCGTAGATCCAATCATACAGAACAGCCTTTGACTTCTGCTTGAATGAAATGTATGTCGTCGGCGAGCTATGCTGAAGGCGGGGCGATGAGAGAGCATCCACGCTGGATGTGATGATGCATGCAGTGTTATTCCGCTCACAGGCGATGCAGGAAGGCGAGCCCTCATTTTTTTCGCATTTCACTTTGGCCTTGCGACAATAGTCACAAGCCTGTACAAGTCAATAAACGCGCGGGATGCTACATTCCAAGGGCAGCGGACAAACCTTGCGCATGCGGGCCCTCGACCGCGTGGCAGCGATACAATGCCGGTGTGCGATCATCTTGTCATTGACAGGGCTGAACACGGACGAAGGAACAAAGTCACGTCGGATGGCAGCAGTCAAGATCGGACAAGCTCAGAAGTTATGCGCAGTGGGTCTGCATCTCACCGGATGCTTTGGGCAATGATGCGCCGCCCTTGAGTGGATGAAGAACCAGTCAGCCAATGATAATGCTCCATCCCATGCACAAGTTGTGCAATCCGCTTCGGTGATATCGGGTGCTGGGTCTCCCATCGGGCCGGATCTCCTTGCATCTATAGCTGTCGGCATAACACAAGAATCGGTCACATTTATAGCATTTGCCTTCTCCTTGCTTCTCTTATTGTGTCCACGCTTACTTTTGGTTTGTCTTATTTTTCTTTTTTCTGAGGACTAACTTTTGACCCTTCACCTAGCTGTTCTGTCATCCTCGACTATGGCAGCGCCACAACACAGTCTGAACAGGAGTGAATCAACGGTGGTCGAGCCTGTGCAGCAAGATGTTGAGAAACAGGAAATTACAGATGCTACCAACGCGGCACCCACTGCCCAACAGGCCTTCCCCGAAACCGATCTCAGCCGAGGAATTGTGGGATGGGACAGTCAAGGCGATCCAGCAAACCCGCAGAATTTCGCAGAGGCCAGGAAATGGAGTCTTCTTCTCCTCATTAGCGGATTCACTCTCATTTCACCTCTTGCGTCCAGCATGTTCTCCCCGGCGATCAGCTACATGGCGGCGGACTTCCGTGAGACCAATGAAACCATCCTGTCCTTCACGGTCAGTGTCTTCTTACTAGGATATGCGGTATGTCTGATAAATTGAACAAATTCCAGGTTACTTTTCTGCAGCTCTGGATAGGATTTGCTAATGAACAACTGCATCCATCTAGTTTGGTCCCTGCCTCATTGCTCCGCTCAGCGAGATATATGGCCGCCGAATTGTTTTCAGCTCCGCCAACTGGTTCTTCGTTGTATGGCAAATTGGATGCGCACTGGCCCAAAATACTGCGACAGAGGTGGTATGTCGCTTTTTCGCAGGTGTTGGAGGATCAGGTTGTCTCACTCTTGGTGCCGGAGTGATTGCAGACCTGTTTCCAGTCCACCAACGCGGTAAAGCTACTGCAATCTGGGCTTTAGGGCCACTGATGGGCCCTGTTATTGGCCCAATTGCTGGCGGGTTTATTGGCGAGGAAATAGGCTGGCGCTGGGCCTTTTGGATTGTGATGATTGCGGGTGGAGTTATGGCCTTAGCTATTGAGCTGCTGAACCAGGAGACCTGTGCTCCTGTCATAATCAAGCGCAAGACTGCGCAATTATCTAGCCAGCTAGGGCGCAATGATCTCCGCAGCGCATATGAGACCAGCGCTGACAGTGACTCTGTCGGGACGGCCTTGAAGCACGGTCTTATGCGACCTATTTTACTCTTCTGCAAGTCGCCTATCGTCCTTCTTCTCTCTACCTACATGGTATGATCTTATACCCTGTCAGAATTATCTGTCCAAGGAAAACTAACTGCAGGGTGGTTTGCTTTCAGGCCCTCGTCTACGGACTTCTTTATCTCTTCTTCACCACTATATCATCAGTATTCACCAGCCAATATGGCTTTTCTACAGGGCTGTCGGGACTGGCATACCTTGGCATCGGTATCGGCTTTTTCTGCGGACTGATATTCATCGCCTTGACCAACGACAGAATGCTCGTCAGATCAACCGCAAAGAATAACGGCGTATTTGAACCCGAGATGCGTCTTCCTCTAATGATCATCTTCGCCTGCATCCTCCCTATAACATTCTTCTGGTACGGCTGGACCGCAGAGAAACACGTGCACTGGATTGTGCCCATCATCGGAATGTTCCCATTCGGAGTCGGCATGATGGGCGTTTATATGCCTATCCAGACTTATGTCATTGATTGCTACCCCCGGTATGCAGCATCTGCAAACGCGTGCCTTACTGCGACGCGTTCTTTGGTCGGCGCGCTGCTTCCTCTAGCGGGTCCCGCTATGTTTGAAGACTTGGGCCTGGGATGGGGTAATTCGCTTCTTGGATTTCTTGCGCTGGTATTTGTGCCTATTCCGATTGTCTTCATTAAGTACGGCAAGGCGATCAGAGAAAAGTGGCCTGTCAATCTAGATGGAAAGCAGGTTTGAGTCTGGACCTGGTACTGTACTGGTCCTCAAGGTATGAAACGAGCTGCATATAGATAAGATTTTGCATATGAAGCGGCGTGGTAATTTGCATTATAATGTACCATAAATTCTATAGATTAATTAAACTACCAACGACATTCAAGCGCTGGGCGTGGAGTGTAAGACTCGGAGCCGGCCCGACCTGATGTGGAAACCGACGCCGAGAGCTGCATCGTCCCAACTCAGGACTTGCGAGATAAGGCATGGTCGCCGATCGAAATACCAACACTCAGGATCTATCGGTCAGCCATTTCACCGAGGTCGATTATTCTCCTTCTAAGAGCTATTGACAGTACCAGAATTCAGCGGCGCTGGGACCTATACCTACAGAAGCCGAGCGACTTTGAACAATCGAGACAGCATTGTACCTCGCAAAGGTAGAGTCTAGAAACGATCTGCAGAGTTAGCGCAATACTACACCAAATATACTGCAAATACTGCCTCTAACTAAACCGTTCTATCTGTTTTGGAGTTGGAGTAGGATTAATGTGGGGAACGCGCAAGAGGCAGGCGACGCCGAAAAGCCATATCAGCCATCAAAAGGCCAGCTCACAACTCAAATACCTTTGACCAGCAGAAACCACACAGTATCAACTACTTCTTCATTCTACATCTCGAAAATGGCTAACCGTGGCAAAAGCCATGACTCCAAAGTCTACTCCATCGAGGATCTCGAGCGCCTCGGGTCCGAGAGGATGCACAAGGCGTACAGAGGTAGATATAACCTCCTCAAGGATATTATTCGACAAAGCTAACAAAAGCAGAATATTACAATGAAGGCGCAATGGATCTCATCACGTATACCTCTCTCTCCCATCTCATGTATATACCGTCCGTCACTAATACCTTGCTTAGCCTGCGAGACAACAAATCCGCATACAACAGATACCTCATACGCCCCCGTGTGCTCCGCAATGTCTCAGCTATCGATACATCGACGAATATTCTAGGGACAAAAGTGAGGTTCCCCTTTGGACTGTCGCCGACCGCCATGCAAGCCCTAGCCCACCGGGACGGGGAGGTAGCCACGTCCAGGGCAGCGGCTGCGAATGGAATTCTGATGGGCTTGTCGAACTATTCCACCATTGCGTTGGAGGATGTAATTGAACAGGGGAAGGGGAATCCCTACGCCATGCAGTTGAGTTTGCTCAAGAATAAGGATGCTATGGTGCGGATGATTAAGAGGGCTGAGGGTGAGTTACCTTTTCTATTCAATTCAGACGGACATAAAAAGTGTTAGAAAGAAATAAACCGAACTAACTGTGAGCAGCTGCTGGATTCAAAGCCCTCTTCGTTACGCTGGATGCGCCCTACCTCGGCCGCAGATTGAACGAGTATAGAAACAGTTTCGGCGTGCCCAAGGGCATGGAGTACCCTAACTTGTTTCCCGGGGTGGACGTCAGTAACCTAGAGGACGGCGACGAGTCAATGGCTTATGGTATATTCATATCAAGAGTAGATTGCACAGTTTAGATGCTAATTGCACAGACACCGCAATGGAATGGCCACAACTTCTCCCCTTCTTCCGCCAACACACCAAGATGCAAATATGGGGGAAAGGCAGTACGTCGACCAAAAGCACTATTCAAATACCTACACTGTTACTAATGCTGAAACTTGAAATGTGCTAGTATACACCGCCGCCGACGCCGAACTCGCCATCAAATACGGCCTCGACGGCATCATCATCTCCAACCACGGCGGCCGCCAGCTCGACTCAGTTCCCTCATCACTTGATGTCCTTCGCGAGGTTGTACCCATAGCGAAGGGCAAGATACCGATTGCTGTCGACGGCGGGATCCGACGCGGTACGGACATCTTCAAGGCGCTCGCCCTAGGTGCTGATTTCTGTCTTGCTGGGAGGCCTGCTATCTGGGGGTTGGGTGTGAGTTTATCAATATATCTTATATTAACAAAGGCTGACAGTACTGGGATAAAGTACAATGGACAGTCGGGTGTAAACCTCGCCATTAATCTGCTCTATGACGAATTCAAGACTTGCATGGCGCTTTCTGGGTATGTCTGGTAACCCTGTACCTTTTCTATGGGAACTAGTATGCTAACGATGGCCTGAACAGGTGCAAGAATATCTCTGAGATCAGCCGCGAGCATATCTCGCTTCTGCAGCAGGATGGGCGACTGTTGAAGCTTTAGCCTTCTATAGCTGGTTAGTCCAAGTAATAAATCTCCATAATGATCTACTGTTTTCGTAGGAAGGCGACAGCGAGCGTACCGGAGGCCTTCCGATCAGCTTATTCTCGGCTCCAAAATCTGCTTCCTTGATCTAAATCAATTTGTAATAATACAGAAGTGTAAAAATTAATATTAATTCAATTATAGGTACAATATATTTACATAACAGTCCCTGCCTTCTAAGTTATGTCATAAACGGATCCAGTTCTGGCCAGTTATTCATCGGATACGGAGATAGAGGGTTCAGCGAGAAGTACCACTCAAGATCAATATCTTCCTATAGATTGGGTTAGAGGCAAGTATTTATGGAATGAACACAGGATATATCGCTTACAGGATTAATCCCTTGGCTGTTATCCAGCACTGCTGCCTGCATGCCCTGTTGTATTGACGTTCCGCCATGGTCTGCCATAGTTTCTTGGTTCTTTAGGTGGTATCAGCAATTATCGCGGGGATAGCTATAGGTGGTACGAAGACTTACAGGATTAAGGTTTCCTTGACCGGACTCTGCATGGTTCAAGGGCTTATCTGCCAGTAATAATTCTCGACAGCGACGAGAGGCCACTGGACAAGCATCATCTATAGTTAATACCGTCCCATCGGATCGACCATCCATGCTCTGTTCAGCGGCGAGTACCTGACTCTTGATTGAAGTGAATAGCATAGTCAAGATATTAAACACCTTGGTAGCCATTTTCTCCCTGTAGACCTTAAGTTCGAAATACTTGGCTGCCCTCTCCACACTTTCGAAAAGGGCCATCCGCTGGTAATGTGCACTTTGATCGATATAGACCGATATAGTGCCTGGGAGCGGGTCAACCACTTTATCCTTAGCCTGCAAGCGAAGTTCGTAGCAGATGGTTATTGCAGCGTGGAATATATCGTCCCGGAACATTCCTCCCTTGAGCTGCAGGATGTGCGGGCAGGCGCTATCGCTGTTGACGAGTTGGTCATTTGGGCTGCTCCTTGGGGTATATTCTAGCTGAGCGAGTAATGCCAGGCTAATCTGCACACAGGCCCTACGTGAAAACACGAAAGGCTCGTCTCGGGTTTCTGCAGGCCTCAGGAAAAACGGTCTATGCAAGGCCAGTAGGCAGCGATAGTTGAGGAAGAGGAAAAATGATCGCTGGAATTCGGGACAGCTTCCATCAGGTCCAATAGGAGGTCCCTCGGTACTGATACTGCGAAGCTCAGGTGGTGCATCTGCAAGTCCCTTCGAGAGGCTTTCGCTCATTGTCATGACTTCCTGATATGGTACAGTTAATCGCACCCGATTTACGGCTCGGGAAACCTCTATTCGAGTCTGTAATGTTTGAGCGAGTGTAATTTGAAAAGTCATCCTTGTTGCAGTAGTAGATGGTTTAGGTGACGGCAGAAGCGCAGAGTTAACGGTGAGATCCTCATCTTCGATATTGGATGGGGGAGGACAGTCAAACTCATCCCAAGATATCGCAAGCGGTACCCCATTATACAGGGACGCCTGAAGCTCCAGCTCTACTATCGTAAACCAGAGCCGTTTCCGTATTTCGGCCCAATATGGAGAAAGGTGGGAGAAGTTGGATGGATCTCGGTGGAGGCCCATCAAAACGGCTTCTCGGATCAGGGAGCCCGCAGCGAGGCTTGCTAAATCTCCCTCCCATGCCGTCCCTTGTTTTGCAAGAACTAACAGGCACTTTATCTGGATTAAGTCTAGATTGAGTTGAGCATGGCTTGTCATTGCCCCTAGCCAGGTTGTCACTGCTTCAATCCACCCGTGAGACATCTGCATAAATGATCTCTCGTCAAGTCCAACTAAAGTTAATTTTGCTCTCGTGGCAAAACACGAAGAACATGCCAGCATCACAAGAAGTTTTGCAAGGAAAACATCACTTGGTAATGGCCTGTCAAGTTCGGTTTCCATGTGATTCCAAAACGCATCCCATTCCTGGAGGAAAGACGGAACATGTAGTATTCGAAGGGTATACTCAAATGTTGAGAAGTACAGCTGCATCAGATATTCCGCAAAGCTACGGTCGGGTAATAGTTCTCTCAGCTTCAAGGAGTGCTGGGCTTGATGATCACATTGCCATGATCTATCAGGGCCCTTCATATCGTGCTTCAGCCGTTTGAGGGACAAGTATTCGACAAAGTCTGTGTTTGTTGGAGTTTGTTTATCTTGATAGTAGGCATGCAAGTGGGAATTGAGATCAGGGAACTATAATTGACCGTGTTAATTGACAGATATCTAGTGGGTAGGGTCAGCTTCTCACCATGCCCAGGGTCGTCGCCCAGTGACTTCGTCCGAAGAACCTAGTTCGCTTCTGCTTTCCCCTAAATGAGAGAGGGGCAACAAATTGGACAAAACTATCGGTGCTTATAGACTGTTCTGGGTGATTGGCCTCGTTCGGACATGTCTGGGCCGTCGAACACGCCGGCTCAGGACTAGTGCCGTGATCCGGGCCATAATCTGAGAGCTCTCCGCCCAGCGTTAATGATGCAGAAACGCGGCGTGTGTTGGTGGGATACGGTGTGGAATCAGTATTGGGCACATCCTCCCCCGTTCGAGACCCAACAGAGCGGGTGGGCGTAGATTCAGCTACAGAGGAAGGAGGAGTTCTTGGGGGTGGAGGATAAGTGCAGGTATTTCCGATCTTCAACCGCACGCACTCAGTGCAAGGCGTCAAACGGTCACATTTGACTTTGCGTTTGCGACATGATGTGCATGAAAGGACAGTCCTCTGTCTCCGAGTGGCGGCATGCTTCTGGGGGTTCACTCTCATAATACTGCGTTTCGCCGCGCTTAGCTGCTCCGGCTGTGACCCAGCCATTATTATTAATGGCGGCTCCACGGTAGTCAAAGACCTGAAGATTAGGAAATAGTGGGAAGTATGGTCTAGACCGAGAGTGATGGAAAGAAGGCAATCACGACGGAGAAATATGCAGCTCGAAAGGGAAATTTTATCTCCGGGCCAAGCCTTACCAAATATGGAAGGTGCGATGGCCGGCATTACCTGCCCTTTAAGGCCGAAGTTCATAAATCATAACCCCGGGCATACATAATGTGTGTTTAATTATTGAAGATCACGAACCGAACGATAGGAACTCTTCTGTTTGGCGAGACCTCTTTGTAAGCCTATCGTGGGTCCAAAGCCCGTGGCATATATGTTTTCGAGCAGCAAGCTATTCTTCTAGGCGATCGCGCCTTGCTGCCATCAATGGCTTGGTATCGGAGTTTGCTATTAGTATGTTGTTTCAAGCTTAGATGTCTCTATTTTATGAATCTAGCTAGGAAGTATTATTCTTATGAACTCCGTTGTCTTAAAGCCAAGCCAATGAGTGTTGATGGGCAAGGGCTACTTCAAAATACGTCACAACCAACCCCAAACTCTACTATTTACCGAATATCCGAGAAGGGTTTTGGAGCACTGCTGTTGCACGGAAAGGATCACTGGCGGTTGGGGTTTACAGATGGTGCCATATCGCGCAATTATCACACTTGCGCCTCCGCGATGGCTTCTCCAAATGCGCATTAAGGGGATATCTTCCATAGATCCCCCTCTCCAGATTTACGCTACTTGATCTGTTGTATTATCGCAACACCCGCGCCCATGGCTGATATCGAAGCACGCAAGCACATTTCACCAGACTCTGGGTTCCCAGTCACTCTTCACCCAAACTTCAACCCCAGGATCAAGGACCATGTCCCTCCAGAGCCGGCGCGTGAACCACTGACCCCACCCCCCGATCGAGCCCTCTTCGCCGATCCAGAAAAGAAGAGTCTTTTCTCGGTTGCCAATCCCGTTGATCTGACCGAGTCCATTGGCACTGTCCTGGAAAATGTCCAGCTTTCGCAGTTGACGGGCCAGCAGCTTGACGAATTGGCCCTGTTGGTCAGCGAGAGAGGGGTCGTCTTTTTCAGGAACCAGGACCTGACAACTGAGAAGCAAGTGGAGCTATTCCAGCATTATGGTATGCCAGACGAAGAATGGCCGCATTACTATTGTTGATGTATATCCTAGGTATCTTGGACAGGCACCCGGCGCAAAAGGTAAGCATAGAGTGGCCAGAAATTTTATCCAACTGCGCTAACATTTTGCAGGATCAAAAGGTTTCCCAGTAAACCCCTAGTTCTAATGGTTATACCCGTGGCTGACGTACCAACACGCAGTTCGTAGTGATTAAAGGGAGCCGAGAGGACCACCGCGAGCTCCGAAATTACACCCCTTGGGTAAGCTATACTCACTGACCCAGAGAATCTATGTTAATTGTCTCAGCCCCAAGCAGATTTCCATGCAGACACTTCATTTGAGATCAATCGTGAGCATTCATCATGGCGGAGCGGACAAGAAGAAATCACCTAACGTAGATAGCACCATCATACTCTCTCTTGAGAATGGAAGAGCATCCGCCAGTTGGCGGGGACACTGCCTGGGTATGCATTGCCCTGCCACTAGACTTATGAGAGCGTGCTTCTGACCTTCATATATAGGTCTCGCAATACGGCCTCTACGATGTCCTAAGCGAAGCACTCAAGAATTTCGCCGAAGGCCTTCACGCCGTACACACGTCCCGTCTTCAATGTGTGTGCTATCAACAAGATTAAATGTCTCAGTTCCGCAAATATCTAACGTGGGCATTAGATGACACTATCCTCGATTTCTGGCAAGCGAAGGCAAATCGAGCACCCATCGACACCCACCACCCTGCGGTGCGAACCCACCCAGTGACTGGACTGAAGGCACTCAATGTCAACCCAGGCTTTGTTACGGGATTCGCCGAGCTCAAAAAGCCCGAGTCCGATAAGATCCTAGATTTCTTCGCATACCATATCCACTCGGGCGACGACCATGCTGTTCGCTGGAAGTGGGATGTTGGTAGTGTGGCTATGTGGGATAACCGGTCAGTAACATGCTTCATTATCACGACAGTACGACTGACTTATGGTCTGCAGTTGCACTCTCCACCGCGTTATCCCCGGTTCATTCGAGGGGCCTCGCCGGGGAATTCGGACAACTGTTTTCGGCGAGAAACGTAAGTGTTCAACATCTGATTCATGGGAATAATAGTACTGATAACCATCATAGCATACTTTGACCCGAATAGTAAAGGCCGGCGGGAATAACCCTAGCGGTGACTGTCGCAATTCGCGTCCAGCAGGAATCCCACGATATTAGGTGAAAGAACCCTTATAGGGCGATAAAGTAAATATGTTTCAGAATGCAAGCATTATTACAATCTGCAGTAAAGAGGCAATAAAGCAGTGGACCCTGGAATATAAGAGTCATATCGGAATGAGGGCCCGGCCGGTCGAAATGATTTCCTAGTTAGGAAGTCAACATCTCCGACAGACATCGCCCACATATAAGATCCCATTTAAACGTTTGCCAGGTAGGCTCTCTTTGCTTTTTTTCTTTTTATTTTCCCCCACCTACAAACAATTATTCTGGCGACATTCGTACGAGTATGGAGTTGAGGATATCACGGATTCAGCGCCTCAGCGCTGTAATAGGGATTTCCATGTCCTTCTTCGTCGCCGAGATAGCTGGTATGTTATCACTTGTCTGGGTTGAGAAGTTCAAGGCAATACTAATAGTATTACATAGTCGGCTTCTATACTGGCTCGCTTGCTCTTATCGCAGACGCATTTCACTATGTTTGTTGCCGTCGGCCCGGAATATATATCACGAACTAACTTAACTACAGCTGAGTGATATTATTGGATTCATGGTTGCACTTGTCGCTGCTGTTGTAAGTGCCTACAAGCTTGGTAGTATCAGTATTCATGGGCTTATATCTATCAGGTTGAGACAAAAAACACCCCGCCGCAGTCCCTCACATTCGGGTGGCAACGATCCCAACTGGTTGGCGCATTTTTCAATGGGGTCCTGCTATTTGGACTTGGGATTAGTATCTTTTTACAGTCACTTGAGCGGTTTATCACACTAGAAAGTAAGTCAGCGCGGTCTTTATCCTTTTGCTAAGTTCGTTACTGATTATATGCGCGGTGCAGTCGTGGACAATCCGAAACTTGTCATGATAGTTGGATGTGTGGGCTTTGGCCTGAACATTATCAGTGTTCTGTTTTTACATGGTAAGTATTTTGATACCTTTTTGTTGAAGTTATTGACTCGAGTTTCTAGAGCACGACCACGGAGATGGCCATGGCCATGACAACACTCACACGCAGGGACATTCGAGTGCAGAACGTGAGACTGGAAATGAAATCAGCCCCGATTCAGGTTTCCCAGCCGATGAGAAGGTACGTCTTGCCACATTATCAAATCGACTAGCCAGCTACTTACCGAAACAGCACACCCACCATAAGCACTCTCTAAACGCCAAACCCAAGCCGAAGAGGAATTTCGATCTCGCCTTAATGGGCGTATTTATCCATATTATGGGTGATTGTGCCAACAATCTCGGGGTTATTATCGCTGGTCTCGTTATCTGGCTGGCTGATTACCATGGGCGTTACTATGCAGACCCTGCGGTAAGCATGGCCATCGCCGTCATGATATTCTGCTCGTCTCTGCCTTTGAGTAGGTTACTATCAACACTCGAAACTTACATCCGCATAGCTAATGGTTTAAAGTAAAACGAAGCGGTCTCATCCTCCTTCAGAGCGCTCCTGATGGCGTTGAGCATGAAGATGTGAAGCATGACTTACTCCAGGTACCCAAAAAGTCTCCTCTGTCTATATACAATCCATCTAACGCACTCAAACAACAATTAGATCCAAGGTATTCGCGCCGTTCATGAACTCCACATATGGCGCCTGAATCAGAAGAAATCTCTGGCCTCCGCACACATTGTCCTCGAGGATGGCAGAGCAGGGGACTTTCCCGCGCTAGCAAAGACTGTAAAGGAGTGTTTCCATGCATACGGTATCCATTCCGTGACGCTTCAGCCAGAAACGCCGGTAGTGCAGAAGGGTGCCGTCGCAGCCATCACAGGGGTTGAGATGGAAAGGGTGGAGGACCGTGAATCCCACGACCAGGATGACAAATATGCCGGGGAAAAGTGCCATCTTTTGTGTGGGAACATGTGTACAGATTTGGCGTGCTGCGAGTAGGTGCGCTGGAGATTATAGATTTATCTAAGATTTTAAAAACGTGTGAGAGTATAAGAAAGGACATATAGGGGCCAAGGCATCCCTTGAATTTCACTGTTTCTATTAATATACCACCATCGAATCATTACAAGCATCACAACTTCAAGTAGGGCTACCTTCAAATCAAAAGACTAGGATATTGAGCTATCTCTACATTTATTATGGATTCTGGGGGTCATGAATATATGAAATAAGTATCGTTAATAAAACAAATCTTTCAGGGCCTACTGTTCCCAGCTGCTTACGTGTCGTCTCTCATCTATACAATCCGTCAATTAGACTATTAGCGTCCGCTGCATGTACTTAGGCAGCTTAAACCTTATTGTTTGGTTGATTTTATTTTTAGAATCGCGTCTTGACTTGGTTTCACTTCTTTATGCCATTGGAATTGGACTGGCCTTTCTTTGAAAGGCTCTTCGAGGTGTCTCATTCATCTTACTATTATACGAAACAAGATGAATAAAGAGCCTGTTCTGTCTGGTAGTATCATACTTCCGAACATAAACAAAGAGAGGGAGCATAAGGCCCACTGATATAACCACTATCAGTACCCTCCTGGATATCCACCACATACCAACCATCTTCCGCAGAACAACATCCACATCACCCAGCATTCCAGCCCACATGAGGCAATTCCTGACCTCCCTCCGCCCCAGAAAGCCCAAGGAGGAAGCCCTACTCCAACTCCGCATTGTCATGTCCACTAATGAATACTGGCCTGTGCATTTGATATTCATGCTCTGCACACCAGAGTCAGAGTCACCCACATGGTACCAAGTCGTTGGCGACATTGCACCATCCATCTATCGCCCCGAAATCGAGTCCGCTTTATCATTCCAGGACCCCCAGTTTATTCACCACACAATATGTACTATCCAGGCCTCGGATGAAAAGCAAGTCCGGAAGACTGCGCTGGCTGTTCCCCCCCAGCGCTGCCGGGATTACCTCATTGCCCTCCTTGCAACATTAGAGGACAAGGCAGTGGTTCCTGTTGGTACGGCTGCTACGCTTTTTCCGTGGGCGCCGCTGTGTTCTTTGTTGGAGATGGCTGGTTAGCCATGCATGGTTTTTGGTGTAGCGTCTTCGTTGTCCTTCTTGTGGTCCTGCGGAGCATGTGTGAATCAATATATCATCCATTGCTGGCGTTCTTTAAAAAAAAAATAGGGTAGTTAGGCAGGTCTAAACTTCATTGATTTACTCTGTGTGCCCTGTTTAGGATGCATCTATAACGTATGCGACTGCCCATCGTCGGTCAACCTTCCAAATAATTAAACAAGTTTCCCGGCCGAGTCATTCGGGGCCCTCGGAACCAGTGACCAGGGTGGGTGCAATGGTAAGCCTTCCGAGTCATCACTCTTCAATGCAACACTGTTTTCTAGGAACCGAGTAAAGTAAATATGTAATTCGTGTCTCATTGAGAAAGCTATGTAGGGGGTATGCACGTAAATCTTCTCTCATACTGGATAAAATCAAGAGGGAGTCCGAACAGTCGATCGATCGCAGATCACACCAATTTTGCAGCGGAACTCATGCAAGGGAACCAAGGAAAAAAAATATGGGCTTGAGAATGATGATTCTCCAGAGAATCAATAGAATCAAAAATATGGCAATGCAATAAAAGACGTTTGCCGCTGCGCCGTTACTAATAATCATTCAAAGCAGTTGCAGTCTAAAGCCTCCTCTCGCCAGCGAGAAGCTCGGAACTGTTCTATCTGTCAGCGTCATGTATTTGATAGAGTACCAAAAGCTGGCTAGACTTACATCGTCCCCTGTAGAACGTCAATCTTCCGCTTTTGGTCAGCGGCCTGGCGGCGCAGCATGGCGGCTTCGGACGCCGATGAGGCAGCTGTGCTTCGTGAGATCACCTCCTCATATGACGTCGCCCGCTCTTGGAATGGGAATGAACCCTTTCTGCATTTGGGTTAGTTGTGTTCTTTCAGGATGGTACCAAGAGAAGGGGCAAGTGTAGCGAGGCGAGGCATGTGTGACGTCATGCATCAACTACACGTGGGGGCGTTGAGGGAGAAAGACATACTCTGCGAGATAACCTCGTGGGGTTGGTGGCCGAAACTCAGTTGCGAGCCGGGCTGGGATCGAGAGGGAAAAGGGCCTGGCCTGGCTCGAAGCTGTGACTTGCTGGAGTGCAGGGCGCGATGCTTTGAGGAGTGGCATGATGATCCGCGGGTAGGCAATGTATATGCTGTCGAGATGCTTTCTTCGGGAGTGGGCTGATGGACAGGGTGCGCCAATGGTCAAATCTAACGATGCAACAGAGATAGTTTGGATCAGGAGTTCCTGAGGCTCATGCGATGGCATCGGATGAAGCAGGAGGCGAGGGAGTTATATATCGATGGCGACGGTTTTCACGTGATCGAGTATCCTTCCGGAACAGGCAGCGATGATGTCGCTAGTTTCTGTTAGTGCGGACCAGAGTCCTCCGTCGTCCGCGCCTGCTGTCACTTCCCCGGCTTCTCCCCGCATTCTCCCGTGGATCATGCCAGTGGACCTGAAAGGAACTGGATTTCGGGCGCCTCCGTCTGGCTCTGTGGGTACTGAATCTCTGTTGTGTTGTGTTGTACTTGTTGTTGATGATGCTGTTGCTGTTGCTGTTGTTGTTGTTGACTCAAAACAGATCCCAGGTGCAAACGATTGAATCACAGCCTCGACGGCACACAAACAATGTCGCATCATAGGCCACTCCGAGTATGCAAGATGATGCCATAACGCGAGACAGAAATATGCCAGCCGACAAATTCAGCTCATCCCCACCACAAAGTCAAACCGGCTCTCGTCCTCCCCTGAAAGCCTGCGCCCCCCTTCATCACAGAGTCCGCGCAATCAACCGCACCCTCCCATCATACCCAATCAACATTACTATCTGCATCTGCGTGCCAGACAGTTCCTCCATGTATGACAGATCCAGCGCCGTCGATTCCTTATCTTTTTGATGCTGCACTGCCTTCCCACTGACTGGAATAGAGATACGCTTCTGTAACAACCCCAAATATGCTTGCGCTCTCCTCCAAGCCCCGGGAAGAAGGGGCAGAGTATCCGTCGAGAGGACATCAGACAGCGTTTCAACCAGGACACCCCCATGGTTGCCCGCCGTAAACTTGCGCCGACCGCTTCGGCCGTAAGCTCCTCTCCCACAGAAACTTTCTTCCACTTCGGCTGGTGATCGTCGTCTCCCAACGTCATTTTGCTCAGTGCGATCGTATCCCCAGTTCCACTTTCAATGCCACCCCAGTCAACCCACCTCACCTGCAGCTGCTCCCTCGCTTCCCCAGATGGAGCACAGTAGCCCGGCAACGACGCCGAGTCCGATGTCAAGGCATAACCGGCACTGCGATTCGAAATTATCGCCAAACCCCGGCCTTGGTCGGCTTCTCTCACGTCGCCAATCAGCAGGTTGAACCCGCCCACATCTCCCAGGCCGGCCAATAAACACACGAACTCTTCAACGCTTCCTTGTTCCTTGACATTGCCACCACTGTCATAGCCTCCCATTCGTTCGCCAGAAGGGGCAAGAAGTTTACCAGTCCTTGATAACGCTTCCGCGACCCCTCTCCCCGACGGCCCTCACACAGTCCGTCTCAAGACAGTTTGTCAACACGCCCACCCGGCCAACCTTGTTGATCCCGAGCCAAGTACCGTGGACTGAACGCGCGAGGTCGCGGGCCGAGAGGACCGGCGGTGATGTAGTCGTCGTATTCGTAGAACTGTCAGGGGAACGGGATGACCACCAGCTTCCAGGGGCAGTTGGGCGACTGAGAAATTCTTATCCATCTCCTTAGCCTTTAAGTATAAGAGTGAGTTAGTTGCATATAAATACACTGGACTCACCTCAGGGTTATTAAGAATGACGAACCGGTAGGTCGGATGTGTTTTTGTTAGGATTGCGGTACACATTTGTTTGCTTATTCCCTTCGTTCAGGTTGATTGGTTGCTTGCTTGTTCAATATATGGGATGGCTGTTTCTTTCTTTTTACATATATATATATATATATATATGAGGAACAGAAACCTCTAGGAGGATAGACACTTTCTGTTTATATATTTTCAGTTCTATACTGCAATCGGGCTGGTTCATGAGGTGATTTATACTACAGGATATACCCGGGTACAGGCCGTGCTGATACATCATCGAACGCATTAAGAAGAATACTACTCGACAGGCTCATACGATACCGTAGTGAGGCACCCAGTCAGGCAATGTAGATATACAAGGTCCCGTTAACAGCAGATCACCAGACACGGAGTGTCCGCCGAATGCAAGCAGAAAGATCACACGGTCATGGACATCTCACCGTCATTTACAGCACCATCACCCACTATTAATAGCCAACAAGTCACTCGGAGAATACCATACGAGAAGAAACAATGTCATTCATCATTCAAATAAATCGTCGTTATCTCAACTCATACATGAAACAGTTAATAATCTACATCAAAAACCACCTACAGCACATAACGGAACCCACTCTGCAGGTCGCGCGCAGCAGGAACATCAATGCCCTCGCGGTCTGCAATCTTCTGCAACACCTTAACCTCCTTATCCGTAAGAATAGCAGAGACATCCTCGAAGCGCTCCTGGCGCTTATTCAGGGACTTGAGGTGGAAGTACATGAACACAGCCATGAGGGCGCCGAGGGCCTGGAGGGCAATGCAGACGCCCATGGCGGGCCGGTAGTAGGGCTCGTCTACGTCGCGGTAGGTATACGGGGTCCAAATGGAAGCGGAGTTACCGATACTGTTGATGAAGGCGTAGGCTGCAGCGCGCTTTGCGGGTGGACGGGGGATTGCGCCCGCGACCCAGGAGTAAACGGTGCCGTTCTGGGCGAAGACGAAGATCATGAGGAAGAAGGAGAAGTAGCGGGGGCCGAAGCCGTCTGTAGTCATGAAAATGACGAAGCCGACGATTGTGATGGGGATTGGGTAGACGAAGAACCAGAAGCGGTTTTGGAAGCGGTCGGAGAAGTAGGAGTGGGTCATGGAGTAGAAGACCATGAAGACGTAGGGCGGGGCGACAAGGAGGAGGGAGATGGTTTCGCTGTATCCGAGAGTTTTAGTGAGGGTTGGGAAGAAGTTTTGGAAGCCGCTGGCTCCGGTGATGGCCATGTAAGCGATGGCAAGGGCGTAGGTTTTGATATCGCTGAACGCCATTTTCAGACCTTTGACTTGGCTCATGCCGCCTCCGGAGTCTACGTCTGCTTGGGCGGCTTCGATGGCGAGACGTTTTGTTGCGACGTGCTTCATTTCTTCGGGGAGGAGGCGCCAGTTCTCGGGAAAGTCTGGGAGGACGACGCACACGACTAGGCCGATAAAGACGGTAATAGCTCCTTCGATGATGTAAAGCCATTGCCAGGCGGATATACCACGTTCGCCCGCCAAACCATTAAGGATACCAGCCGCGATGAGGTTTCCAAAAGCACCGCTAAGCAGGGAGCCAGAGTAGAAGATACTCATGCGGAGGGCCAGCTCCTTCTTGGTGTACCACTTAGACAGGTAAAACAGCACACCGGCGAAGAAGGGCGCTTCAACCAAACCAAGAATAAATCGACAAGCGACGACTCCGCCATAGTTGGTGACCTGGCTGGTCAGGGCTGATACAAGGCCCCAGGCAACGATAAAGAAACCGAGGTAAAGCGACGGGCGGCCCATATAATTGAGGAGTAGGTTGGAAGGGACCTGCATGAGGATGTAACCGACGAACAGAATGGAGAGGCCGGTCTGGTACTGGTCGCCAACCAGGCCGACGTCCTCTGGCATCCCCTGGAGCTTTGCTGCCGCATAATTGTTTCTACGCGATTAGCTAGGTCTGGAAACGTGGACGGCGAGCTGTACCTATCAATGTAATTCATCAGATAGACGAGAATCACCAGCGGCATAACAATGCTGTCAATGCGGCGGCGCAACTTCTTCTCGATTGCCAACTCCTCCGGCGACAGCGACCTGGCATAATTCAACTCCTCATCGTGGGCAATATCCCCCTTTTCAACAGCAATGTCAGCCATCGCAAAGGATATGATGGCAGGATAAATGGAGAAATGAGGATGAAAGAAAAGCAAAAGTGGCGACAGATGGCGTATGAAAAGCTCCGGGGTAACGACCGTTTATATAGCCGGCGTAGCACACACGCATGGCCCGCATGCAACACCAACAAGATCGCCTCTTCCTCCCTGATTAGGATACATCGTCAAGCTCTTCTGGCAGGCTCGGGGAACGAATCCAGCAACGGACGCCACGAGGAGCCCAAACGCAGCTGCAGGTGGCGGGTGATTGGATGGGACTGGATCGGATGTCGTCTTTGAAAATATGGGTGGAGACCTCTGCATTGGAATCTGCGGAGAAAGACCGGGGAAAGGACGAGAGAACCACGGATGGGCAGCCTCCCAGCCAATCCACGGACAGTCTGGGAGCTGCTCAAACATCCACCAGGCCCTTTGAAGCATATTCATCCATTCTGGCAAAAAGCGACCCAGAGCCCGTGTTCCGTGGGGGTCGGAGTATTTCCGTTGAAGGGGGAGCGAGGCCTGGTCATTTGATGAGACCGGGGGATCGTCGAGTCCACCAGAATTGGTTCAATATGAAACTTGCCTTCAATTCCCCGCACTTTCCCCGAGTCTGGTGCTTGCTGCTCCCATTGGGATTGGGAAAGAGAAAAGTGGCCCATGGTTGGGCCCCTGAGGTGAACTGTGTTGCAGTCCCGACCACCCAGGTAACAGGCTTGCACATCGACGGGATCCAAGCATTTACCCCTTGAGCTTCTGGCATCGCAGACGTCAGAAATATCCGAGGCACAGCTGCAGAATTACCAATCAGGCCATGGTGATGTCTTCTGAGCTCGCAGCATCTCCGGTCGCATATGCTTGCGTCGGCTTCTAGGTCGGCATGTCTCAACCTCTATCCTCGTTAGGTAAAACCTTAATACTCCAAGACTATTCGATTGAGAAATTTCGACGGAGCTAACGGTGTCATCCTGTCATCGCCGCCCTCCCAGCGGTTGAACTCCACGGTTCCTCCACTGTCGGTACCAGGGGAGCTCGAATCGTGAGACAGCAGCACCTCGAACAAGGTGCCAGGCCTGTTGCCAAGGACATTGGCGCCGCGGAGAACTCGGGGTCGAGATGAAGCTCACCTTGTCTGGACCCATCGCGGAGAATGTCCGTTGTTGAGATCAAGATTCATCATGCGGTGTAGAGTTGAGGTGTAAAACGTATTCTTGGGAGCCCAGCATGTTCGGGGGAGCATCCTGTAGAGGATTCATGACCGAGGCCTCCTGCATAGACCACACGAGGAGGACCTCATAAACTGCCGTCGAGCATCTCCTCGGGTACTTCGGTCAGTGAACCTCAAGTGCCCGTGCGTTCAGGTAACAAAAATGGTGGATGACCCGCACTGCAGAGACGATGTTAGTTTCTGCTCTGGAAAATTCACGATACGCCAAAACAGTGAGTACAGATGGGACCATTGCCCTTGCAAGTAAAAACCGCTTGTCATTCCGTGCCATAATATTATTATATACAACACTATATAGGATACAGTTCCTATAACTGCCGACTCCATCAAAGGTCAACCTCATTCATGCCAAATATATCATTACTCATAGCCAGGTTTTGTTGTAGAGCTAGACTTCTGTCCTCGGCGGCGAGTCAGCCTTTGGAGGGGACCCATGTCTCGGAGACAGCTGCTCCATATCGCTCCCCCACAATCCCAAGGAGTGACGTTTCTCTACCAACTTCAACACATCGTAGAGGAACCTGCGCTCTGGGCCACCGCTCGGGAAAGCCTCCCACGCAACACGAACGGGGAATGCGAGACGGTTTATCATGTTTCCGGGGGCCGTCAAAATGTACCACTCGAGACTGCGGCAGATACCGCACGCGAGTTCGTACTGCTCTAGTGGCCCGACGCGATCCGCAGGCCGCGTATCGACGGACGATAATATCAGACGAACGGTGAAAAATATACACATCGTTTGGCTAAGAAGGAGGTCGGGATATTGGAATTTTGTGGGTGTAACGACCGCGCCGGTGCGGAGGTCGCGACAGTGGAAAACAGGGAACTGGCTCCCGTCACCGGCTTCAACCTCCCGTGGTGGGCCATCCGGATAGCCATCCACCCAGTTGATCTTCCACAAGGCGAACCGATTGGTGAGGTCACCGACTCCGTTCCAGAATGCCGCCTGTTTAACCGTCTTTTCATGACTACTCAGTATACCTGTATTTATTCCGGCTTCGAGTTCATCGGATTGCGATAGCAAGGTTGGGATTTCAACTGCCAAATCGAGTAGATAGTGGAGGATATTCTTTTGAGTGGTGCCAGCGGCCCAGGGTATTGTTTTCCACTCTTCTCGGGCGAGGAAGGAGGGGGCCCGGCGCGTGAACGATGCAGATACCTGCAGCTTGTTAGATTTTTTCTTTTCCCTCTCGTTACCTCAGCAGATTAACATACCCAGTATGGACGGAGTTCGGTGAATAGAAGGTGCTCGACGCCATACATATGGTTTTCCGGTCCGCGGTGCTCGATCAAACGCACAGCGCCATTTACGTGTGCTATTACTGATGCGTGAGAGGTGCGCTCAACACTCTGCCGATGTGTTAGCTGAGTCTACTAATAAACAGGCTCGGGAAAGTACCTCGAACGCCATCAGCAATATGACAGTGGCTAGTGTCGACTCCGCCTTGCTTCGCTCAGGGTCTAACAAAGCCTCTTGCAAGCTTCGTAGGACCCGGGGATAATGCGAGAAACCCTGTACTTCAATCGACTTGTTTTGTACAGCCCGTCCGAAGAAGACTTTACTGACCGACTCGAAGGCATCGCCCAGGATGGGCGAAAACATGCGGATCTCGGCAGCCTTTCGTATCGCGCCGGCTTGCCCAGACTTAACGTCAACTTCTGGACTAAAGGCGTCAACAAATCGCTCAATGAAAACATCAAGCATGGATTTGCTCATGTCTATCTGACAGACAGACCCGTAGGCAGAGTCATCGCTTGTTGAGGAAGAGTCACGGGAAAAGCCGCGCTGGATCATCAGGCGCGAAAAATCGTCATCTGTAGCCTCCGCGGGTTCGCCGTCGTCGTCAGGACCCCTGATATCACTATATTCTGATGATGATTGTATCCTATTAGTCTACGCATCGAAGAGTGCCTTTCTAAACGTACCTTCAGTGCTTTGCCAAGGTTCAGGGGCCGCAATCAGCTGATGCGGCTCTCTGTGAGAGCCTCTGATTTCCGTAAGAAGACGGCCTACTACATTCTCAGGGGCAGACCGGACGGTCTTAAACAGAGTGTGCAGCTGTTTGGAGCGTCGGTTCGACCGATTCGAGCCTGGCAAATTAGTAGCTGCATCACTAGCAACGGGGGCGCGGTATTTGGAAGAGGCCAAACTCACTGCCATCGAGTCTCGACGTCAATTCCCGGATTTCAGCACGCAAGTTGCGAATCTCATCGATCTGGGAAATCGGCTTGAAGTCTTCGCCAGGAGCGATTTCGTACACGCATTTCGAGGGGTATCCGTGTGTACAGCATGCATGGCAGGGTCTCACGCGATCGCACTATACTAGATTAGACGGATCGAGGATCTGGGAGGCGAGACTCCTGCAAAAAAGAAGGCATCTGAAACAAAGAACGGAGTTGTTAACGCACCTTGACCTTGCGAGCGCGGCAAACTTTACAAGACCGGGACTGACGCGGTCCCTGGTTGTCCCTGGCGGCAAGCTTTCTGGAAAAGTTCTCCGACATGAGCACCGCCCGTGAGTGGAAGCCCTTGGAGGGATTGAGGAGCAATTGTCGAGGAAAGAGAACAGCTTCATTCGAGATGGACCAACAGCACGACGAATTGAGGCATTTGAGATCTGAGCGAGCACGGCCGAGATCGCCTGAGGGGCTTCAGTGTGCTTACACCAACGACAAGCGCCGTGGCTGCGCGCACGGGCTGGAGCGGCACTCGCTCTTGGAGCAGTGGGTTCGCGACCGTTGAAGTGGGGAGCTGTCGCTGCAGACGCTGCTTGCAGTATGCGAGCCGACTCGGGGGCTCTTCTGGAGGCGGTTATGCAGCATGCAGCAAACTCGAAGCACCGGACAGGAGTGTCGAGTGAAGATATTTTTCTCTCGAGTCAAGGACACTGACGCCGGGGAGGACAGAGAATTGGGAGTGTGAGAATCGTGCGTGCATCCACCGAGCTTCGGGGGCGTGGGAGATGGTGCCTTCATTGGGCCTAGCGCGGCGTGAGGGCCAATTCGGTGCCGTTGCTGCGTGAGGTTCGGCTCCACTTTCTCTCCACGCTCAGCCAGCCATCAGACGATGCTCAATTCCTAGTCATGCCTTCATTCCCTTTCCAGGCCCTGTCGGCGGCCTCGGTCGTCCCAATTGCCGAGTGCTGCACAAGGCTCAATAGTTCAACTCCCCTGCTCCCGCCAGGATCATTCCTGCGGCTTTCGGCGAGGGGTATCGGATAGGCGTTCTTGTCTTGACATGGCGGATCTCTGGGTTGTTCGACTCCGAGATATCCGGTTTGATCTCTGAGGTTATTTGTGCATGGACCAGGGAACTCGCGGGCCAGCAGGAGCAGCATGGACCAGGCATCGTTGCTATTATACGCAAAGAAAGGTGGCGGCGAGCGAAAGACCGCGGGACGCGACAGGTCCGCACAAGCCCAATACAGTTTATTATTCATGTAAAGATCTCTCTCACTATTTTTTCCACTCCAGAACTGCATCTGTTGCTGTCCAATGAGCGAGGAGAATATTCTTACAGCCTTGGCCTTCCGTATCTTTCAAGTGGCTCCAACGGCTTTAGTCTACTTTTGTGAAGAGCATGTTGCAAATCTTTGCATAATAAGTGAAGTTGTGCTAACAGACAACCCCTCACAGTCTCATCGAGAGGACACTCGGGATACGAGCAATTCGCACCATGGCTGGAGAGAGAGATCCTCTTCAAGCGAGTGGCCAGGTTTTACATCTGCGCAAGTTCAGGAGGAAAAAGTGAATTCGATTTTTTGATGTTTACGCGCACCTGCTTCACCGTATACGGTGGACAAGATGACAAGAGCTGTCGAGTCAGGGTGCCCCTCAGAATGGAACCACTTTAATCTGATTTTCTCGTGTTCATCCGCGGCCAATACAGATCAGAAGATGATTCGGAAGATGATTCGGAACTCAGAGGCCAGGATTTATACCAGGATACCAAAAGGACTGCAGTGACCAGCACCGCCGCTTGTTCCTGTCATGGCGTTTAATTCGAGTATATTCAGCTCTTTCGCTTTTCCCTGTCATTTTCGTGCCCTCATCGAAATGGTTCAGGCCCGGATGGACACTTCAAATCCCTGCTAGAGAAATATATATCCAACACTTACTATCAAGGCCTCGATATGTCGACAATTAATATACAAAATTCGTAAAAATTACATTATATATATTACTCCGTAGATCGTTTTAGATTCGAATATCTCAGAAAGCCCTCGCAGAGCACGTCCTTGATGTGCGCCTCGGGTATATACTCTTGAATATTCCAGTCGGACAGCCGCGAATAACGCCCGCCCGGACATACCAAGGTCAATCGGCATTCGACCTTTCGAATTCGAACACATCGGATTTGACAAACTCTGGTACTTCCAGTGGACTCGTGCATCCGATAGTTCCGAAGAGAATCGTCAAATGGAACGGACTGTGCCTTGGTGGGCATATCCAAGTAGCCAATAACAAGCAGCTGTGCACAAATACCAAGCGACCTTAATATATTTTCTGGATCCTGGCTGAAGCTGAAAACGCCAAATCTCACCAAGATCCTGCTTTCTGTCGTCTGACAGGAGCAGATTGCAGAAGCAACCGCATCTCCAATCCCAGTTAATCTATTCAGCTGTCATGTCCATACACAAGACAGGGGACCCTGGTCTCCGGCGTCACATCGTCGCCAATCTGTCTCCATCATCGACAATCTGCAGCTGTCAGCTGAACCAACACCCCGGGACAATAACCTCGGAAGTATTTTTCTTCAACTGGGATTGACCACCAAACACGAGGCTGGCGGACCTGTCAATTTGATGCAGGCGAATAGGAGATGAGGATTCGCAGAATCAGCAGTGCGACCTGTCAGAGTGGGATCGAGTCTCCATCTGAGACCCAGCTTTTTTGTCTTGTCTGGCCATTTCTAGGGAATTGGCACGCAAGAGATCGGCGATTTGGCCTCCACTTGAGCGATCGGAGTCTGCCTTCCTTTCCTTTGGGCCGTGGAAGCCCACGCCATGGAATCATGGAAGGGGTCGAAAATTGCCAAGAATTTGCTGCATCCCCCTTTTGGCCCCGATCTGTTTTCTTTTTAGCTGACGGAATATTCTTCCTTTGGTGCTGACCTTGACGCTTTTGCTCCTCCATCATCAGGTCATTTTTTGTTTTTGTTTTTTCTATACAGTTCACTCTTTTAATAGACCATTCACTCTTTTGGACACGCTCATTCCACTGCCACTCGTTCGGCATTATTTTCTATCGCTACTTAATAATCGCATTTATACCATAATAATATAATAAACGAGCCACCAAAATGCGTCTTCAATCTCTCTTGACCCTCGCATCCATCGCCCTGGGCAGTGCCAGCGCCAGCGATATAAACGACTACTCCTGCCGCAGCTCAAACAACAGCAACCCCATCGTCTTCCTGCATGGGCTCGGCGCAACCTTCTACGAAGACATCAACTTCATGCAAGGCTGGCTCCAGAAGCAAGGCTACTGCACCTACGCCGCAACCTACGGCGACTACACCGGTTTCCCCTTCGTCGGCGGCCTAAAGGCCATTGAGGAATCCGCGTCCGAGGTCGCCGCGTACATCAAGGAGGTCAAAGAGGAGACGGGCGCCGAGAAGGTTGATCTGGTCGGACACTCCGAGGGCGCGTTCCAGTCGTTGTATGTGCCGAAGTTTGAGGAGGGGATTTCGGAGATCGTTGAGCGGATTGTGGCGATTGCGCCGCCGACGAGGGGCACGACTTTTATTGGGCTCTTTAACCTGGCATATATCCTTGGTGATGCTTCGAGGGAGCTTATTGGGAAGGTGCTGAAGCTTGTTGGATGCCCGGCTTGTGATGACCTGGGGCCTGATGGGGACGCTGTGGATAGATTGAATGATGGGGAGCCCATTGTGCAGAAGGGAAATAAGCTGACTGTTATTGCGTCAAGGTATGATGAGATGGTGACGCCGACTTCAACATCGTTCGTGCATGAGGAGGGCGTGAATAATGTTTGGGTGCAGGATGCTTGTCCTGCAGACCCGGTCGGGCATATTGGGGAGGCGTATGATCTGAATGTCTGGAACTTGGTTAAGAATGCGCTGGATGATGAGCCGGATAGGGAGTTTTTCTGTGTGCTGGGATCCCCGGGGAAATAAATCTGGACATATATGTGTAAAGTATGGTCATAATCATTTCAATTCATGATAGTGTAATAGCTACGTATATCGCGACTGTTTGCAAAAGCATCAGGCTTCCGGTTTTTCGATATCAAGCGAGTCAGACCGAGAACTATCAGGTGGGACCTGCACGAGATTATGCCCGTCGCTGGAGGTGGTTAGTGATGGTTCTATATTTCCATTGATAAGGCTTACCCAAGCTTCTTGTTAGGAAGGAAAAGGGATAGGATAACGATTGGGACGGCAAATGCCAGGGCCGCAATGGTGATGTATCTGCAATTATTAGCAAGTGTCAACATGCATGATAGGGCTGGCACGTCACAAACCCCATGACATCGGAATACTGGAGACGGTAGGTTAGCAGATGCCCAGTTTGAATTTGGATATGACTTACTGCTTGATTAACGGCGGTGCGCTCATCGGTTCCCCAGTCCGGCAGACGATCAGTAATCGAGTTATACAGTGTAGCGAGCTGACCCTCGGCGGCACCGGGCCCAAGGTGTATCTCCAAGCGATCGCGGAGCTGATTTGTATAGATCGCCCCGGCTACAGCGGACCCGATTCCGTTTCCTAAGAACGTACCAAGCATTACGAGGGACGTGACTTGGGCTAATTCTGCGTGAGGAACTGATATCTGCGCTGCGACAATAATTATAGTTTCGATGATGCCGCTACCGATTCCCTGAACCAGCTGCACAATGAAGAGTTCCGCAATGGAGCTTTCATTTGTGCGCAGGCGAACCATCACCCCGTATCCGACCAACCGGATAACTGCGCCTGCAACGCCGATCCACTTGTAGGTACGATACCGATACATGAGAAGACCAGTTCCCATTCCCATCAGCGCCTGGGAGACTCCATTGGTGTAGGTGAGGAATTGTGCATCTCGGGGGGAGAAGTTGTGCGCAACCATAGACCACACAAAAAGGTAAGTGTGCGTCGCACCATATCCGATATTGTCAATGCAGCCGAGCAGAAAAGAGATGACAACAGACAGTGTTCGCAGATAACGCACCGGGACAACCGGATGGCGCGAAACGTACTTCTCATACGGGACAAGGGACACCAGAACCAGTGCACCTAGCACGATCAGAGCGTCGACCCAAGGTGTGGCCCATCGGCTGGACGCGGTAGCTGCGAGAGTAATTGGAATCAAGACCAGCGCAAAACCGCCGCTGAGGAGGAGTATGCCCCCAAGGTCAATCCGCGAGCAAAAGGTATACAAAGTGAGCTGCTCGTTGAGAATGAGGCCTTGGCGTCTGGCTCGCCGCTGAAAGACGAGGAGCGTGATGATGATGAAGCTCGCGCAAAACGGCATTAAAATACCGAACATACCAACTCCCCAGCGCCATCCAATTCCGCCGACTACGCTGTCAACGATAAAAGCAGATACCCACGGCGTGACCAAGAACGGTATATACAGAATGTTGTAAGCAAAGCCTCTCCAGCGCATTGAAGACAAATCTGACACAATTGTCGAGTTGAGGATGGCCATCCCAGCCTGGCCAATGGAGTAGAAGACATAGCCGCCGGCATAAGTGTTGAATGACTTTGACGAGGCACAGAGAATGTACGAGAGAATGTAGAACGTCAGGGTGATGATGTATGCTTCGCCTCGCCCGAGCACGTCTGACAATTTAGCGATAGGAGGCTTGAAGATAGCTGTGATAATGCTTGCCGCGGTGTTCAGGGTGGCCAACATCCCAAGTTGATGGAAATCGGAAGTCGCAAAGTTTCGATATGTACCAACCGTTGAGTTGTCCAGTTCACTGAATTGTTAGTACCGTTAGTCTGTTCGGAGAACAGGGAGCAAGGCGACTCACTAGATGACCATGACCATCGCCAGTCTGGACCTTGTTAGCAGGAGCAGATAAGAACTCTGGAGGCGATACATACCCGGCGTACATGATGTATTTGCCCGTCTTTCCCCCCACAGCCTCCACGGCCTTGATCTTGGTCACACCAGCGACCTCCGTAGTTTCATCATGGGGCATCTTCTCGTTGATTTCGAGATCCATCTCCTTCGCGGTGCACCGCGGCCAGGCCCTGTGAAATTCGGTCCTCATTTCCTTCCTGACAGACATGCCGTCGCTCGACAAGGAGCATGTGGAGCTCCCAGACCATACGTCATCCGGCATGAGAAAAAGGTCGTGCGATGCAACATGCGCACGATACGGGAAGCCAAATTAACAGTCGACTGTCGTAAATCCGTTCGTCTTCGAAAAAGAGATGAGAGGGGAAGAACGGATGGAGGCCGAGCAACTGGCGAATATTTGGAGGGCCACGATCGCCCTGAGTCAAGGAAAAGGCTGCGGGACCGGCACATCGCCTCGATCGCCGGCTCAGACTCCACCAACCAATTTGGTCAACCACCGTTGGCGCATCAGTCCGGCGCAAAAGTCGGCTGCTTTACTCCAAACAGCTCATGCCACCATCTTATTATTGTCCATGCCCCGGCGCCCGCAGAAATTAGGCCGCTTGCAACAGGATCGACGTTGGTAATTCGGTGAGGCACGCGCAGAGTCATTGAGGCGGTGCGAGCTGGGGAGGGAACCCCTCATTATACGCCCAATTGCACTGGGGTTGGCACGCTTGGCAATTCTTGTGAAGAATTATGCGTCTTAAACAATGTTTGCTTTGTTGGCTAGTCCTACCGATTAGACCTGGTGTTGATAGTAGTTCGTCTTATCTAGGAAGGTTTGCCTACGACCATGGAAACTGTCCGCCGCCGTCTCCGTTGTCTCGCTGTACCGGCCACATGATCCCTGAACTTTGGATGGAAATTTGAGACGCGAGTTTCGTATATAACAGTGACACAGGAGCTTGGCCTGTGGCGTTCGTCTCACGAAGCCCTCCTCCCTCGGCCACGTCTTCTCCACCGCCGTCCTCCCCGTGTCGTCATCGACACAGACCTGCTCGCGGCACATAACTGAGACACGCCCGTGTGAAAAGAAGTTGGGAAACCACTTTGCGATGCGTTTCGAACTTCCGGAAGGACTCCTTCCCAGAGTCGCTCACATCGTTCATAGTCTGTCACGAGCCGCGGCAGATTTGCCTCGAGCGAGCCCAGCATCGCGGCATATCTGCTTACTGGCTGGTTCGGCCGTTGACGGACAGTTTGGTATCTCCTCTCTGCGATATCGGGGTTGACGAAGTTGCGAATATTTGAACTCAACCAGACGCAGAAATCTGACCACGTCCGCCTGTTATTTGGGGACAGTCGAATCAACACCCATTTTGTCGCAATTCCTTCAGACAAATGCCGGCATGCCTCGACTATCTTGTTGTCGTTGAATGTATAGTAATGCGGCCACTCCGCGAAATGTGTCTCCAAGCGACGCATCAGGAGCAGGAACTCCTTTCGGTTGACGCCGTGGTATACTTTAGTCACCGGAAGCATGGGGGTGTGCTCAGGAAACATGAGCAACCCATCTTCTTCAGACAGTGTCAATTCCGAGTCTGACCGCTTTAATACCGGTTGTGTCTCGTTCGAAAGGAAGGACGGGGTAGCGACCGAGGAAATCCGTGGGTTCGCCAGCGGCACGGTGGATGGTATGAGAGATCGGTTGGGCGCTATGAGAATTGGCCAGAAACTGCTGTTCCTCTGCCAGCTGGTTCTGCAGCTCGACCAAGGCGCGTTCCTTGCGCAGTCTTATCAGTTCCTCCTCCGTCTGCCGGATCCTGAAATCAACATCGTCCACTTGGGGTGTGAGGACTTCCATTGTGCGCGCATTGCAAAGTAAACATCGAAAAACAAAAGGCAGGAAAGAGAAGGCAACGGAGTAAACAACAACACAAAAGCCTCCTGATATACAGAGTAAAATGGACGAAACGACACTCCTTTCTGAGATCTGTCAGATTGATCCTCCCTCCACGCGTCACGCGTCTGCTATTACAACCGTAGACAGTAGGCGGTGTATGCTCCATTGCGGCAGATCCCATCTATCTATTTGTGGTTAGACTGCTCCTCAACCAAGGATCGCACATTGAAAGAGGCCCCAGCTTTTTTCAATCCTCTACAGAGACTGAGTGCATGGATGCAAGGTTTCCCCTCATCTGACAAATATCCTCACGATGAGTGGTGCAGAGAGGATTACTTTTGGGATCATCCGTCGAGGACGTGCTACTGTTGGATGAGGATCAGTCAATTCGGCCACACTACTGCGCTAGTGACGGTTCGCGGCGGACTCCACTCAGATCAGAAGAGCATCACCCACCTCCTTGGACACCGACCCTTACCGAAACTCTCGATTGCCTGCCTCGATCCAATAGCGCTGCCTTCATCTGGTTGTCCTTCCCTATCTTGTCCTGTGACTGCATATGATTCCATTTTAATTCGTCGGTGCGACAGACTCGCAAACCGTGCGTGATCTTCAATCAGCACGGAGGAAAGATCTGGCTCTAGCCGCCCAATAGTTAATGCTCAGATAAGGTCCACAAATTGTCAAGACTTAAAAGATCCTGTCTCCCCCCGGCGCTCCGGTCGGCCTTGGTGCGGCGCATGTCTCTGCAACAAGACACAACCGACTGACGACATATGGAAGACCATAAACATCCCAGTCTTTCCAGCAGCCGGAATCCAAATGGCGATTCTCCACGGCGAGGCGGGCCCTCCCGCAGATATGCTGCCAGACCCGTCGTTTTGGTACTGACGGTTCTTGCGGGGCTATCGTGGTGGCTGCTCCCAGTGTCGATGGAACGAGAGACCAACCTATTGCCTGGCTTACCGGAGCCTCAATTTGCTTGGAATCAGGTCTGAGCGTCTGACCCTCGTTTCCTGACTGCAGGCTAAGCAGGCTAACCTGGAGTAGATTACACCGTCCGAAGCGCTAGAGTACCATGACTGCTTTGGTGGATTTCAATGCGCGCGTCTTGATGTCCCGATGGATTGGCATCGGTCAGACGGCCAGGGTGCCCGCGTGGCTATTGCTGTCACTCGGCTCCCGGCAAAGGTTCCTGTAACAGACCCTCGATACGGCGGGGCGATGGTGATCAACCCGGGTATGCTCCTAGTCCTGTTCCTGGAAACTTCATTCTAACCGACTCTAGGCGGTCCTGGTGGCTCGGGAGTTACTCAGGTCCTTCTCAGCGGTCACAACCTACAGACAATTGCGGATGCAAGCGTTCTGCCGACGTCAGATGTCGGAGATGACCCAAAGTACTATGACATTATCGGCTTCGATCCTCGCGGTGTCAACAACACCACACCAGGGTTTAGTTGCTTCCCTAATCTCTTCTCCCAAAAGAACTGGGAACTTCAAGTTGAGGCAGACGGGATGCTAGGCAGTTCGACAGTCTCGTTTATGCGAAACTGGCAGCGCGCCATTGCCCTCAACATTGGATGTTCGCAGGGTCTCTCGGCCTCATCTCCCGAAGGCGATATCCTGGGAGAGCATCTTAATACTCCTCCAGTGGCCCGTGATGTGCTTGAAATCGTTGAGCGACATGGCGAGTGGCGGGAGAAACAGGCCCAACGCCAATATAACAGCTGCCAGGGAGATGACTCTGACCAGTCTATGCTTACTCGAACGAAATGGCGCCGCGGACAAGAGAAGCTTATCTACTGGGGACGGTCCTACGGAACCGTCATTGGCGCAACATTTGCAGCCCTTTACCCAGACCGTGTTGAACGGATGGTGTTGGACGGCGTGGTTGATTCGGAGAAGTATTATACCGGCGTTGGCCCGGAGCCTATCGTGGATGCAGACAACGTATTTGATAAATTCACAGTTTACTGTGACACGATGGGAGAAGACTGTCCTTTCTATGTAGGAGGCGGCCCCGCCGCCATCAAGGAGGCTTACACGGACATAGAGAACGGCCTCTTCAATTCATCACTGGCAGTTCAGCCATCTACGACGCGCGGACCAGAGGTGGTGACATGGACGGACTTGAAGACCGTCCAGCGGATTTCTATATATCAGCCTTTGATTGCATTCCCGTATCTTGCAGGGACCGCCAGCGACCTCGTCAAAGGAGATGGTTCGGCGTTGGCTGACTTTAAACACGGTAGACGGGAACCCGTTTGCCCATCTGCCGAGTGTTTGATTTCTGGCCCCTGGTCGCCTGATTGCCAAGGGACTGGGCAGAATGAGATGTATGCTACGTCCGCCATTCTCTGCGGTGACGCGGAATATCTGCAGGGCGTGGATGAGGAGGCCTTCATCCAGCATTGGCGGAGCCTCCGCGAGATTAGCAGTACCTTTGGCAATTACTGGGCCCATACACATCTGAATTGTGTCGGGTGGAAGGTGAAGCCCAAGTGGAAGATGCCCGGTAGGTTGATTTGACGCATAACCTCGATGCACCACTGACCTTCTGCAGTTCCTGTCACGGGGAACACCTCTCACCCGATACTCTTTGTAAATAACATCCTCGACCCAATTACTCCCCTACAAAGGTAAGAATCAGACACTCACTCGAACCACCATTACTAATCCCAACAGTGCGAAGACGATGTCGGCGGCTTTTCCCGGGTCGATTTTACTCCGACAAGATTCGGAGGGGGTAAGTCATTTTGCGGTGGAGCCAAGCTCAGTACTAACTGTCGCAGCATTGCACACTCGCAGCACCCTCAATATGCATAGCCCAATCCATCCGCAACTATTTCCAGAAAGGCACGCTCCCAGAACCAGGAAAGGTCTGTGACGCAGATCTGAAACCGCTGCTCGGTGCACCGAACAAGATGGACGCCGAAGGCAAGACCCTCGACGAAATCGCCCTGGACAAGGCGCTGCTGGAAGAAGCGCTGCGACCCAGGACGCAATTCCCAATGTAGACACTCGTAGATCTAGATACACATTAGCCTGTTTACTCTTGAAATTAAGCAATGCATACTACAATATAGCCGCAAAGCCGAGTCTCTGTAAGCACCGCCAAAGCAGCGTCATACGCACTTACTAATGATGTGGGGTTACTAAGTTATAAGAACCAACCCCTCATTCCAACTCAAGCTGTAGTTATACAAACTCCAACCTCAGTTTTGAAGTCAAACAACATGTCCACCAAAACCCTAAACGGCTCATGCCTCTGCGGCAAAATCACATACGCGGTCGATCTACCAGCATCCGAGCCAAACCCCAAGGTCCTCGCCCCACCCATCCATCCATTAAACCCATAAGGAGTCAAAGACTAACAGGGATGTTATTGTTTTCGTTACAGGTCGTAGTCTGCCACTGCATCAGCTGCAAGAAATACACCGGCTCAGCCTTCTCCTCCAACATCATGCTCTCGCCCTCTATGCTCCGGTACACGAGCAGCACCAAGCCGAGCATATTCACCGACACTTCGGCAGACAGCGGGAACCCGCTCGCGCGCGCGCTCTGTAGCGAATGCGGCTCGCATTTCACGTCCTCGCCTAAGGATGCGCCCTGGACGGCGTTGAAGTGGGGGACGCTGGATGATGAGTCCAGGGCGCAGTGTTCGGAGTTGGGAGGGGAGATTTATTGTAAGAGGAGGGACGGATGGGTTGATTCGTTGGCTGGAGAGCGGGAGGGGTTTTTAAAGGCTGAGGGGATGAGCTAGATAATAAGATATATATGGGTGTTAGTTTCTGGCTGTGGTTTGAAAGCCCATGCCTGCCTACTACGATGACGGGGCTATCAGTCTGCCTTGGGCTGTAAAGTACCTTTAGGTTACGTATAAACAAAAGCATACTAGGTACCAAATCAGTCCTGTCATTATGCAATCTCCCTACCATATGAATAAAACCTATCCAGTCCCATCAACGCCTCATCCTTGCTACCTATCAACTAACAATTCCACCCAAATAGCCAACCGCCTCTTAAATTAGGCTACTCCAAATACTTGCCCCCCGTCTCCTCATGAATAACATCAAAAAGCGGCTTCGCACTGAAATACCCCGCCAAATTCGTTCCCACAGTCTTATACGTAAACGCCGCATCGGCATCATCGATTTTAACCGTCGTGCCTCCCCTGCCCGCCGCCGCGGCATCAGCCAGCAGCTGCGCGTGGCAGCATTTCTCCAACGACACGAACCAGAAGACCGTCTCCTCAATGGTCTGGCCGACAGTCAGTAGACCGTGGTTCTGGAGTAGGGCTGCTTTCTTGCTGCCTAGAGCAGAGGCGATGTTCCGTCCTTCTTCTTCGGCGAGCACGACGCCGTTGAATTGTTTGTAGAGGACGTGGTCCTATAACACATTAACAAGGACAACCAGGATGGGGAGAGAGGGGAGGAGAGAGGGGGNGGGTACATTATAAAAGGCACACGAGTCCTGCGTCGTGATATCCAATTCCCTACCGAGGGTACAGAATGAGCGGCCGTACAGAGAATGGCTATGCGCCGCACAGAGCACATCAGGTCTGGCGGAGTGAATAGCGGAATGGATCATGAATGCCGCTGCATTAAGCAATCTGCATGGGCCGCCGTCGATCACGGCGCCCGAGTGGTCGACCTGGATTAGATCGGAGGCCTTGATTTGGGAGAATGCGACGCCGAAGGGGTTTACCCAAAAGGTGGTTGGGTCGACGGGGTCGCGGAGGGTGATGTGGCCGGCGACGCCTGTATTGTTAGTTATCATTAACATGAACTATAAGGTTGGTGAAGGGGAGCAGGGAGGGGTACCCTCGTCATAGCCATTCTTGCCGAAGATGCGAAAGGCCGCGGCGAGACGGCCCTTGAGGTACTCGCGCTCTTTGAGCTTGTCGTCGAAGACCGGAGGGCGGGGGATGGGCATCTTGACTTTTGCGTTGGTGGCGCCAGCCTCTTGGCTGGAGACGTTGGGGGTGGTTAGGGCATCGGCGGCGGCGTCTGTGGCGGAGGGAGGCATGGTGGGCTAATGATGGACGGAGTATTGGTAATTGAAAGGAGGAGAAGAGAAGAGTGGGATTCTCTTCTTTTATTGCTGAGTCGAGCGGGGTTGATGATGCTGCACAACCGAGGTCGGATTGCGAATCAGAGCGAACATACTCCAACTGCTGGTTATGCAATGGTTACGCGTAGTCAATGCTCGGTGATGCAAGGGTGCTTATTGCATATTGGAGCTACACCGTATTCTGGTGATCTTAGTACAGCACCAGATGTTTCCAGAAGTTGAATGTTCGAAGATTACAGTATTATATAAATCTAGATGCAAATCTATCCATAACCCGCTTCGCTAGTAACAATCCCAAAACACGCTTGCAAAACAGATTCTACCCCAAACGCCATAAATAAACAAAGGAGAAGATCTAAAAGACAGGCTAGAAATTGAAAAGTCCACTCCTCCTCTTGCCAAACGGATAAACCACCAGGGCCGAAACAAACAATCCCACCGTAATCCCAATGGCAATCTGCACCATGCCGAAACCAAGACTCGCAATGGACGTGTCCTGGCTCGCGATATTCTCCGTCGTACCATTTTTTAGGTTCGCGCGTACCGAGTCAGCGTAGTTCAACCCGGCGATGAGCGAACCACTCGATGCAAGACCCGAGGGAACAAGGACGAAGATAGCGGGTAGAATGGCAGCAGCTGCATGACCGCGCCAGACACGACTGTAAAGGTTCCCCAGGAGTCCGATCGTGAAGGCACCAACAGTATTCGCGACCTCGGAGTTGGGACCCAGCTTGGTCGTGCTGAAGTAGTTTGTGATATATCCGCAGAGGGCGATGAAGATCATAACGGGCAACTGCTTCCACTTGGCCTGGTTGATGATAGCGACGAAGATGACGAAGAGGGGCACGAAGCAGAAGCGCTGGATATATTTGGAGCCGTAGATGTCGAGATTTGCGCACGATTTATCAGACGTTGCGCCGCCGTCGATCAGGCCGTAGATGGTTGTTCCGACGGTGACGCCGTAGCCGAGGAAGAGGGAGTAAATGATTGCGTAGACCATGCGGATGGAACCGGCGATGATCTGGTGGGATTGCAGTTCGAGGGAGGAGCAGAGGACCATGAAACCGGGGAGGATGAGGGCGATGGAGGACTGGGAGAGGGCAGAGAAGCAGAAGAGATGCTGGTTGCCGTTGGTGCCAGGGATGGAGCCAAAGGCGCGGGCGAGGAAGGAGGTCAGCACAGCGGCAGTGACTTCGAAGACGTTCGAGTAGAGGACGGATTTGGGTGCGAGGACGTGCTGCATGAGGCCGACGATAGAGCCCAGCAGGAAGATAATAGGCATGTCGATAGGCCGAGCATCAAAGGCAAAAGGCCCAACGGCGGCACTGGCAAAGCCATAGGCTGGGACCAGAAGCCATTTATTGAAGCGGGGCTTGCGCGACATAATCTGGTCGAGTTCAGAGATGGCTTCTTCAACGCCGATAAGGTCGTGGACGACGTTCTTGTACACGTTGTGCGTGTCTGCGAGACGACCCAGGTCGACGCCCTGAACAACACGAACGAGCTTGACTTCGGCAGTACGCGTGGTAGGATCGTCAAACGACATGATCATACACCCAGGCAGATACAGAAACTGACCCTCCACCTCCAGCACCCGCGCCGTCATCTTCATATACTCCTCCATGCGGTGCGTCGGAGCCCCATAACGCATCAACGCTCGACAGAGCTGCATAATATACCGCTGGCGCGCCAGAATCTCCGCAATATGCACCGTCACACGGATCTCATCCTCCAGCCTCGTCTTCCGATACGGCTTCCTCTTCCCTCGCTTCGGCGTCAAAAACGCATCCGGCGGCGCCGGCAGCGTCGTACTACTCAGATTCATCCCCGCCCCGACCAGCGAGGCCGTAGAATGCTGATTCTGATGATTCGACTTCTTATACCACTTCAGCTTCTCCTTCTTGGGCGTCGCAGCCCCCGAAGACACCGGCGACTCCGTATCGGACTCGGCATCGCTCACAGGCGCACTCGACGTCCCCGATCCCCCCTGCGACGCCTGCAGTCTCAACAGCTGCGCCAGAATCCCACCACCCCCAAACTTCCCACTCCCATACCATGACTCCGGCCTCAATGCCCCCTCAGGCGTACTCTGGCCGGACCGCGCATACGCCGACCGCGGCCGCCTCCGCCGCACAGGGTTCTGGGTCACACTGCGCACAAGCCGATGCGCCTCCGCGCTCGGAAGCGGCTGGGCCCCAGCCGGCTCCTCCAGCCCGCCCTTCTCTTCATCCTGCCGGGAGGGCTGATGATTCTGATGTTGTTGCAGGGCCTCATCGAAATCATCCGGCAGCAAGGACGCGCCCAGATCGCCGCCATCGTCAAATGTATCCCGGCCTAGGCGCTCGCTAAACAACACCGTGCGTTTCCGGAGGAGCTCGCCCGCGTGCCGGAAACGTTCGCGCACACTCGACGACACTGGTGCGGCGCGGCGCGGCGGTGTTACATCGGGTGTAATGCCTGCTTGCTGTCCGAGCTCGGCGACGGTGATGTCGTGGGACTGGGAGCCCTGGCGGGAGTCTGGGGGTGTGCGGGAGAGCAGGTCGGCGGCGGAAGCTTCGGAGACATTGGCGGAGATGTCTCGGTCGTTGTCGTAGTCTGCCATGGAGTGGTAGGAGCGGACGGAGTAGTCGGAGTCATTGCGTAGGATGGGAGGGCGCTGTGGTGGGCGGTCGTCTGCCTCGCGGAAGCTGCTGAAGGAGCGGAAGCGGACGCGGTTTCGGGGCTCTTCTATGCGGGCGCCGCTGGGGGGTTGGGCTTCTACAGTGGGTGCTGGTGCTGGTGCAGCTGGTTCTGCTGGTTCAGTTGCAGGTTCTCGCTCTGCAGCTGGGGCGTCGACGGGCCCGTCAGATGGCGTGCCATCGTTGAGCGGGACGCTCTCGAGGTCAGGGAATGGCTGGGTTGGTTCGTAGGTATGGCCCTCTGGAGCGGACATTGGAGCCAGCAGGGTAACGAAAGCGAATGTAAAACAGGCTGTACAGAGGAAGAATCAAAATGAAAGGCGTGAACGGTGGAGAGAGTTGGAGGGGCAGGACTTTAAACAGAGAGAGAGCGCAGCGTCTACAGGGAGTCTAGAAGGGCACGCAAACCACGGATGGGCCGGTGGGGATGACTGGCGGCAAAGCGATGACGAGCCAGAAAGAATCTAGAACGAAGATAAGGACAAGAGTCGGTCACAGGATGGACAGAGACTTTCAGAGTCGAGGCCTGGTGGGGAAGATAGAGGACGCGAAGCCATGATATCACGCCTTGACGATGGGCATCGAGTCGTGCTCAGACAGACTCTCAACTCAATGGAGTGGAGCACGCAATGAGGACGTGCCTGTGTCACAATGCATTCCGCCATGTGCGTCTTTCTTCCGCAGTTTCAGGATTTGTTTCTTTCTTGGTTTTTGCCTCAGTGGATCTCAAGCTTCTCGGAGTTTTTTATGTCGGCCAATCAGAGACTTCGTTTATCAAGGAGACTGAGACTGAGTCGAGATACACTCACAACCTTGGAAGTTGGACTCGCTCTCGATTCTCATCGTCAATAATAATAGTGCGCCCCTGCAGTTCGAGATTCCTGATTAGCCTAAATGGGCTGCTCATTCTCCGATCGACGAGGTCTGAGCTGAAGCTCCATCCTCCTTTTTGCCCAACTCGCGCCCAACCACGAGTCTATTGCTCCTGCAATTGCTTTTGTATCCCGTGTCAAGGAAGCTGCTTGAGCTGCTCGAGTGCTCGACCCCTATCTTGCCGCTCTGGGTCCGCCACTCCGTCCAGTCTGTCATGGACCTCACGGACCAAGACTTCCCCACTCGATCGTCATGATTGTCACTCCTGCCAACTCATCCGCGTCAGATGCTGACATTGGCGCCCAGATGAGCGGCAGAGATTGTCAGAGATTGTCTGGTCCCTGGCCTAACGCAATGTGATGGATGATGATATGCGGCGGCCCTGATATCAGCCAAGAGAGGCGTACATAATGCCAAGTTCCCAGCCATTCTTTGGTGTGATATTTTTGTTGCCGTGGATATCCGGATTCCGAAACGTCGTCGGAGAATGGTGGCGATCGTGATCCTCAGGAGATATTCTTAGAAGTCGATTCTGATATAAGGTTGTTGTTCCGACTTTACTACGTACTACTATAAGCACATCCTGCTTAAGCCGACTGTGCCGACCGAGAAGGGAAATGTTATCCTTCAGATGGTGTGCTAACAAGCCCTCCAGTTGCCGACATCCGCTGCGTCCGGCTTGCCTTTGCATTATCACTGAGCCTCCCACTCGAACTCGGCCCTCAATCTGTCCTCCAGTAGAATCCCGTAGAACCCGTCCAGTCCGCATTTCAGCTGCAGGCTCAGACCTGTTTCAATCTTGCTATCAAACATGGAAGACCCAGTTAGACCACAGTATTCACCGCGTGACAGTGTCCTTCCAAGTTACAGGTCACCGGCTGTGCTGCTGGACGTTATCACATATTCCGGCTTGTCGCCGCTGTGGATATCTCGTGCAAATCCCACGCAATGCTCAAAAACCGGCTTGACCACAATCACATTGGCTGCAGATTAGATGATGCGAATTTATTTCGCGCTTCCAGCGGATATCTAGGTCAAGATTTCATAACATGTTTTGGTATGCCGTCTTTGTTGATCTTGTTGGATATGTGGATGCAAGTCGTCTCAGTAGGCCAGCCACCCTTTGTTGGAAGGCTCGTTGATTCTTATTCGGCACCGTAAAATTAACGGAAATAACAATAAACAAATATAGCATTATTCAGGCAAAAAGTCTATATCAATCTTAGTAGAAGCGAACAAGAATGAAAAATGAACAAGGTCGATGTGGTCATGGTCGAAAAGCAAGACCATGATTAGCCCGGGCAGATATACTTTGATCTTTGTAGACTGCTTATGGGTGGTAAGCTTATTTGCCAAACCACACAGGATGCTGTTACAGTTACACAGACTCAGCCAAGGCTGCAGTTCTCGCTGAAGCGTAGCATTGCCGTATTCGCGTATGCGTATTTGGTAAATATACGACAATTGAAATCCTAACGGGCATAACATCATAGATATAAATGCGTTCGCAACTGTTATACCTCAATTACCTATCTCGTAAGAATCAACAGACCAAGCTGTTCAGGTATACACAATCCAAGCAGCAGCAGGAATATTCGTCCTCTTCTCGCAACTGCTTTCCATCAATAGCAGCTCTCAAAATCGCGAGAACGGTGCTTCATCCCGGAATTTATATAAATGCAACTGCAATTTTGCAGGAGAATGTAAAGGATGCAAAGAACAGGTCCACTGTGAAGAGGCACATTCAGGCCAGGGGACTGTGAGAGTACATCGCAGCGAGCTAAGCCTTGGGCGCTCGGTGTTCGGCTCGTGGGCTATATCCAGGGAACTGATAGGATCTGATCAGCCATGAGGTATTGGTGTATGTGTTTGACTCGGCGGCGATGTTTTTGCGATGGTTGTGTTGAATATGCTCCACCCGGCTATGGTGGGATGCTGGGACGAATGTTTCGTCGAATCGCATTATGTCTTCGTACTGCTGCCTCTCGCACCGAGTTTCTGTCATATCATCAGCTATGTTTTTAAAGCATATAATCAGGACACAACTCACATTTTTTGTTGGGGCATTTGGAGAGGAATTTCTAGGTCGACTGAGCTCGAGATTGGCAGTGCAGCAGCATACGAGAGCCGCGATAGCTTCAAACAGACATTCCATCTTCCTAGTATTTAGCTGACAGTATTCTTCATCATTGAAAATAAAAAGAAAGGGCCAGTATTAGCTCTTTAATAGTCTGGCTTCAATGACGTAGCCAGGAACTAGTTATCTTATCCACCGAGAAGGCTTAGACGTGGCAGTGATATTCAAAAACTGGGTCTTTTGCAGTCGAATTTTAACCCGATAAACAGCATCGCTACCAAACCTTTTAAAGACAAAAAATAATAGAAGCAGACAAGACCAGCTGCCATTTAAACACCGAAACACAAACTAACACAAAAAAAAAAAAAAGGACTAAGCCCAAATATCCGCATACGGATCCCAAGAACTATCCTGATGCCACTCATACTCCATATAATCACTAATCACCGACGCATTCTGCTGCCCATAAAACTCCGCAATAAAGGCAAGGGTCGCATCAATCCCCGCCGAAATCCCCGACGACGACCAGACATTCCCATCAACGACCCAGCGCGCCTCCCGCACCCACGTCGTATTCGGCCCGTTACCGATAACAGAGTCCCAGGATGCTTTATTCGTAGTTGCGCGTTTCCCGTCGAGGACGCCGGTGCGCGCGACCAGCGTCGAGCCCGTGCAGATTGTTATCAGGTACTGTAGCTTTGGGTAGGTGATTTTGATGTAGTCGAGGAGAGGGCCGAGGACTGAGTCCGGGGCGCGCGTGCCTAGGCCGCCTGGGACGATGAGGACGTCGAGGTCTGGGGCTGTCTCGAGGGTGTGAGTTGGGTTTATGGTGGGGAAGAAGGAGGCGTTGAAGGGGTTCATGGCGGGTGTGTAGGGCGCTGTTGTGACGGGGTCGAGGGATTGGGAGATCAACGAGAGGGAGATGTTGTCGTGGCGCCGGGCGACCCAGGAGAGGGCTTCGAGGGGCCCGAAGACGTCGAGGATTTCGAAGCCGCGGAAGAGGAGCATACCGTAGTTCTTGGGGGCTATTGTGTTGGTGGGCTGGGCGAGGATGGGCTGGGAGAGGGCCAGGAGCCCTCTACCTAGGGCATTCAGGCTGGGGAGTTTCATGGTGGATGGAATGTTAGTGAGGAAGAATACAGGAGTCTGAGTATTAAATATTCCACTTAACATGGTCATTTCAACAGCTATAAAGGGGTCTTTGTTACGCGCCGACGAAGGAGCTGCCAAGCACCACTGAGCACATTTGCGCCCATTGACCGTTTCAGATGTCAGCTTGAATAGTATTCTAGCAAATAACTCGGCCCCTTCATTTATCCAGTATATTGAATTCCTGATTTTGCGCTTTGCCGGCTATAGTTGAGACAGTGCAGTGTGAAGCTAAGGAACAACGCATTAAGAGTGGAAACAGCGTATATTGTTCTATCCATCGTGACAAGCTCCATCATGCGATATTCCAGACTGCCGCATATACCGACCCAACACCGTCTCTCCAGCGACAATTCCCACAATCACCGCAAAGAAGACTCCTGTATTGAATGTCATGACCGCGAGCATTCTGTTTATTTAGCCCATGTTCCAGCCACCAGTAGCCAAAGTGTAGAGTCTCACAGAATATATCCAATAAACGCTCTCGCCCCTTCCAGCAGCGCCAGACCGCCATCTCGCCAGCTCCATGGTGAACTTGGTGTCCACTGGGGAAGACGTTCGAGGAAGTAGTTCTGTATTCGACGGCAGGTGTGGGATTGGGGTTTATTCTCAGACACAAGTCCACTGTGCTCCTCGGGTATCTGGAAATGCTCCTCAGCATCATTGATGGCGGTATACCGTGGTAGCGGACTGAGCCGCGCCTTTGGGATGGTTCGGCGACGGGGCCGAGGCGCAGGGAGAATTGAAACCGAGAAAGTGGACGGATGACTCTCGAGCTGGAATCGAAGGGCAGCGAGAAAGCGATTAAAGAAGGCGAGGGCGAAGAGGAAGAGTAGAGTGAAAATGTATGCGGGAATAGAGGTTGTTGTCCAGGCGCTGAAGAAGAGGGTGACTGTAGTGCTGCTGGTGAAAGTAGCAGGCATGCTCATGTCCATGTTCACGTCCATGGTCGGATTCGTCAATTCTGAAGGAAAAGGTGGTGATATTAATGCTGTGAATACTGGAAAACATGCGATGCTTATGCGCGCAAATGTGCTCAGCTGCTCAACTAGTGTGTGTGAACATACATCGGCCATGCAGCCACCAACTACTTACAGACATGGACGGACCTTGGGAGTTAATATTCTATTCCCTCTACACCACCTCATTGATGGGGCTAGGAAATTCCAAAAGCATTGCCTTACTGTCATGCCGTGAATCCTTTCCCGCAGAGTCCAGATGATCCCCCGCAAGGTTCGACTTCTCCCCGAATACCAGCGTTACAAAGTCCAATCGCTCTTGTCACTGCGGTCCAGCGCCTCTTGATCGTAGAATTGTATCCGTGGACAGTTATCAAAGCCCCAAGACCAAGTGGCGCCAGGTGATGGACAATCGAATTGGTGGATTAGTATAAATGTATATATGGTACGAGTACTACCGGTGCAGTACCTTTATGATTGGATAGTAACTAGCGACCCCCTGGTGTAATTTGTTCGCCGGCCATGCTTTCCATTACAAACAACTACAAAGTCCAGTCGTCTTTGGTAGGATTCTTCAGCACCTCCTGGTATGTTCGCGGACATTTAGCAAGGTCCCATATGAGCCACTGGGCATCAAAATATACCCAACTAAGCTTAGGCACAGGGATCTCCGAACGGAGATTAGGAATGTCCTTGCCCGCGCCTTGGAGGCGCCCACGCTAAGCAACCTGGAGTCCCTGTCTCTTATTCTGGAGGAGGACACGCCTGCAAACCACGACTATCAAACTGCCTGGAAGGAGGATCCCAACTATCCAAATGGAGACAACCTGGGTCGCGCCCTGTGTAGACTCGCGCAGACTTCGCTTCGAGATCTCTCTATTATCGGCCTCGTATCTCCTGTCCTATGGGGAGTCGACCCGACTCATCCAGACCGGGAGGCTAAGACATTCCCGTATTTGGAGCAGCTATCAGTCAGGTTTGCGCTCCACACCTATGACGGACGCTGGTATTATACCGGATGCCAGAGCATGGATGACAATGAGGACGCAGGCGACGAAGAGAACCACGAAGATGGAGATGGTATGGAGGACGATCTACAGAGGCCATTACACGGGCAAACCGACCCAGACTCGGACTTCGGCTCTTTCTCTTCAGATGGTACGGAATACACTAGTCAGGTTAACTGGGAACGCGAGAAATACCTCGACGGCGAATATCCGTGCAATATATGGCGCACGGAGCCAGATCCCAAGATGTTCGACCCTCTGATTCAGGGGTTTGTATCAGCGACACACCGTATGCCTAGACTGCAGGTTGCCGAGATCGTGACCGATGGTCCCGAAAATGGTGAAGTTGGCAATGCGATTACATATGCGGCGCCTGGTGCTAAGCTTCAATCGGAGGATTGGGTAGAAGAAGTGGCCAACTTGTCGAATCCACGGTGGATTGTCGCTCTTGGGTTTAGTTCTCCTTGGATGCTACCGGACCCAATCCCTGGCTTGATGGAGAAACAGCTTGGTGCTGATGGGCAGCTGATTATAAAACGGACCTACTATTTGTGATATAGATGGAATACTACGTTTCGGTCTGAAAAGAAAAATTGGCCATATTGCTCTCCCTCTAACCATATAAACATTGCTCCCTTTCCAATTCTGAGCAAGTAGACCCCAAAATACCAGAAATATACTTAACCATTACGCTTCTGCCCCCGAATACCTGGGCTACTAACCGATTAATTTCCGAGACTGACTGCTTGTAGGCTTGACTTCAGAGACGCTAATATCGGACCTTGGGGCTGTGCAGGCCACTCTACTCAGTCAATGTAACCTGTTATAGACTATGTTCAATTAGTTCGAGGCTAAGCTTGTATTAGCTTGATATAGTCGGTCATGAGTCACACCAACGGGGTAGAAATAGTGTAAGCAGGTATTTAAATGCCTTCTACATCCTGTCTAATGATACAACCTCTTTACAGCCGACGACCACAATGACCCGCGAACCAAATCCCAACAGCGACCACCCCCCGGACGCCCCCGTGTACCCAACCCAGCCTGTCTCTGTTATCCTTCCCAACCCATCAGACCTCAAGCCAATTTACACAGAGAACCTCATCCTCCGCCCATTCAACCTAGACTCCGAGACAGCGGTAAACTCCGACGCAGCAAAGCTCTTCCTCTTCCGCTCAAAACCCGATGTCGCGGCCTGGCTGTACTTTTCCTCTTCCAGAAAGTAAAAAAGGACATCAATCGACTAACAACAACCAGCCGCTTCAAAACTCCAGACACCACCATTTACGAAACAATCTCCTGGATGAAAGCCAAAATATTCAGCACACCGGATGCCAGCGGCGCCGTAAATAGCCGGCATTTCTTCTTCAGCATCGTGCCCAAATCCTCACCGGATACCATCATCGGCTCGGTGGGGGTTAACTCACTCTACCCTGCTCCATCCGTTGGGTATGCGCTGCATCCGGACTTCTGGGGGAAGGGGTATGCGACGGAGGCTGTGAGAGGTGTTGTTGAGGCGTGGTGGGGATTACCCAGGGTTCCTGTTGAAGATAGTGAGAACGGAAACTGGGAAGAGAGGATATTTGCCGCAACACAGCGGGAGAATATTGGGAGTTACAAGGTGCTCAGTAAAGTAGGGTTCGAGGTGTATGAGTTTACGGAGTACGAGGGGAAGAATATTGCTTTTATGTGTCTTAGTAGGAAGGGTTCCTAGCGTTGTAGTCTCGATATAGACTGCGAGTAGGTATCTATGGACATACCGCTATGGCTGCCTGTCAATTATAGACCGAATAGGAAAGAAGCTCTAAGTGGGAAACCTTGCCATAAGGAAGGAGCGACTGTGGCAGAGAAGGTCGTTCCTGCAGTTATTGGGCAGTCTGAAAATGGCAGGACCGAAGTTCTGTCTTGTCGTAGAGTGGACACCGCTATATTTCAGTCTTGACTGGATATGTGGAATGGTAGAAAGAATATACGCGGCTGTCTACATAATATCGCAAGTACCGGCCTCTACAGGGAGTCTAATAACCATACTGCAGCTCGTCGTCTGAAGGGTAGAGATAGAATACTACGTACATGAGGTTAAATCACCGACCACACTCCCAGTCTGGCTCGGAGAATAATCTTCCAGGATAACCAATGAACAGCCAAGAAGCCACCTGCTCGTTGGCATACAGACAGCTATCGGGGTATTCTGATAATTGGCAGATAGAATAGATACGGGGTTAAATGGTCAGACTCAGAAAGAGAAAGAGATGCAGTGGATAGCGTGTCAACAATGGCGGTCCTCCACGGTCGCCAACAAGTTCCACAATTCGCTATGTTGAGAACTCGTCAGCTACAATAGTTTATCAGTATCATACTCTGGAAGCAAATCGTAGTCGCACTCCAGAAAGCTTCTGGATATAGTCACTACCGTCATCTTGGCCATTTCCTCCGAAATGTAAATCCCACCCTTGTTCTGTTCCCAGGTGATAGCGTCGATTATGGCATCACTGCTGTCCCCGTCGATCGGCTTTATAAACAATACGTAGTGTGGAATGCCTGTCCAGCTTCGAGCAAAGTGTACAGAAATGGTGCCATTCTGGTCCGGAGGTGAGACCGCGACGCGCCACCTGTCATCCATACCTCGCGGTTTATAACCGGCAGTGAGCTTCTGAAAGTCGCTGTTGCTAATGCTTAGACCCCACGGTGCTGTAGCAGGTTTTTGCATTTCTGGATCCTTTCTGGTGTTTCTTTTCAAGGGAAGCTCCATTACACTCTATAGTGTTCTGATCTGTAATTGTGAGCATGCTTTTATCTGGCTGTAGTTGTGGGTTGACACGTACTGTAAAGTTGTAGGGTATAGAAAAAAGTTATTCGAATAATTGAAATAACTTAAATCGAAAACACATTACGCAAATTATTGTGTTGAGCCTGCAGAAGGCTATGTACGGTGGATATATATATCGAGCTACTCCAGAAAATGATGTAATTAAGCGGGATAAGCCAGAAATTTAGGCTACAACTTTGCAGGTCTACCGGAAGCCATCTTCTGGGCCTTGATACTGAACAAGGGGAAACTGTCATAGTCTTTGGATCAATCCTTACAGGAACGGGGCAGTGTCTGGGGGCGAACACTGACCATATTCAGTCGGCAACATCGCTACTTTCTAGTCGGTGGCTGAGTGACTGAGAATTGAATTAATAGCAGATTATCCAGAGCATTTCCTGAATTAAGCAAAAATGATGTTATTATAGTATTGACCCCTGGAACTTTTTAGGTATCGTGCGAAAATAACCAGGAGAATAGAAATTAAATCAGATTAAAATCGGTGTATGAGTAGTAACTTCACACAGAAAGAAAACACCTTACTAGGGACATTAAAAAAAAAAAATAAGATCAAATACAAGGGAGGAATCGAACCCAAATAAGGTCCACGATGCCCTCATCCACAAGTTCACACTGACAAGCCTAGGCTCCCCTTACGACCTGGACCCTACTAAGATAACAGGAACGCTCGTCATTGAAACGACCTGACATTGAGACTTAGTTGGTGTCCTCAGTAGTGTCCTCGCTGGTATCCTCAGTAGTGTCCTCGCTGGTATCCTCAGTAGTGTCCTCGTTGGTATCCTCAGTAGTGTCCTCGTTGGTTTCGCCGGTGGTTTCGCCGGTAGACTCCGCGGTAGTCTCTTCGGTGGTCCCCTCATTGGTTTCATCGGTGGTCTCCTCGCCGTTGTAATCGCCATACCCAGGCCACTCATGGGGCGGACGATGGTCCCCGGAATGCTCATTCCACCAGGGGCGGTGGGGGTATGGGTCTCTATGCTTGTGCTCATCATCATGCTCCCATCCACTGTGCAAGTCCTGACGCTTCTCCTGCTCATACTTATTCTTGGGCCATTCGTCCTTGCCCTTGCCCTTACCCTTACCCTTATCCTTGTCGTCCGTAGACCAATGCGGCTTCCAGTCAGGCTTACCACGGTGGCACGAAGGAACGTTCTCCTCGTAGTCGCAGATCTTCAGCCTAGGACTGTAGTCTGTTCCCGGACCGCAGCTCTTGCGCACCAGGATACTGCCGGCAGCGCATTCGAAGAACTTGTGGCAGTCGCGGGGGTCAGGCCAGGTGGTGCCGACATGGCACTTGGGTGCAGCGGCTGCGGTGGCGGCTAAGAGGGAGGCGGCGAGCACGGTTAGAACTTGGCTGGTGAAATGCATGATGAAACTGATGGTTGATTAGCAGGGAGGGTAATTGGGGAGTTATTTTCATATCTTACCGAGTACTGTGTACTTACGAGATACAAAATTGTATAGAAAAGCGAGCGGACAGGCGAAATTGGTTGAATAGACATGTCAATCCATTGGAGAAGATAGGCCTATTTATACAATTTATGTATGCAGTGTCCCTGTCCATGAGAAGATGTCCAGGCTCTCGGGCCATGTTGGGGGAATGAAGGGATACATAGCAACCCAAATTCTGAAAAGTGACCCTCACCCAATGTACGATTGAGAACCGTGAAACCAGTCAATTCGCGCTGCCAAAGCTTAAATTAAAGCTAAACCAACTCTAAGCTCTTTACATACTTGCCCCTGGACCCCTGCGTCGAGAGCCTGACAGCAATGCTTTCTTGCTCAGCTACGACCCCCTGTGCTTGGAATGGTTACATCGAGGCCAGCCCAGACTGATAAAGTCCATATAGCAGCGGCTGTCTGGATCATCTCGCAGTATCTCCGCGGCACCCAAAATTCCTGGCCCTGCAAGGAGCACCTTTCTTCCTGTATATAGAGATGCCTGATGCCGCAGTAAAAGGAGTCCAGCCAGCTGTATATTTCTGCTCAGATACATGGTCTTTGCCGCCGTGTGTAGTCGTTAATGCAGACGCATCAATTCCAATGAAGTTAGTTCAATAGTGCTGATATTATATACATGATCGGGCCAACCTAGTCCTGCAAAGTATGCTAACCAAGTATTTTAACCTTAACTATTTCTTGTCCCAAAATAGATCAACCTGTTTTCCCTCAAGCCAGTCCGCCATCGCATCATACATCTTGAAGAAGCCCTCATTGCAAGCATCAGGCAAATTCTCCAAGACCTCATGCCCCAGCGCATGCTGTGCAGCAGCTAAATACTGATACCCAGATGTATATCGAGCCAACACATCCTTCGGAAACTCCGGAACAGTTTTTCCATCCACAGGCACAACCTTGTCTTTCTCGTAGAATACCCTGGCATACTGCACCTTCCAATCTCCGTCCTCCAACCGACAGAAGAAGATAAAGCGACAGTCACAGTCAATATCAACGGGGATATCCTGGATAGTAAACCTCTGCGTGACCGTCGCCTTCATCTTGCCTATTCCTCGACCCACGTTGAGGTTGACGTTGGCGAGAGTACCAGTTTCCCTGTGCGCGATGAAATCACCATGCGCGCGGCCCTGAATACAGGCCGAAATGAATTCATCGATTGGCAGCGGGCCGGACCAGGCTTATTGTGTATTAATTGATTGCAGAAGAATGTATGTAATGTTCTGATTCCCACTTACCAGTCCAGACATACGCGCTGCCTCGAGTGAACAGACTGCGGAAGTTATGCCATTCCGAAAAGTCTCTATATACTGGCCAGCCCTTGCAGAGCTCAACTATGCACTGCCTTGCTAGTATCTCCTCGGCGGTGCCGTTGATGTGGTTGCCGTGGACCCGTTCAGGGTCTTGAGCGGGGACATTGTAGGTCTTTTTGTGTCCGTTCGAAGCCATTTTGACAATAAGATGAGTCTAGTATTTAATATCCCATATAACCTTCCGAAGGTGTGAGTATTTTAATCGGCCATGGGGTTGTCAATCGATCGGCCGAAAGGTTCCGAGCTATTTCCCAGGCCCAGAGTTGAGCTTTTATATAGAAACCGCCATCGTAATGATGATGTCCACACTCTGGAACATAGTCACGCGACAAGTTATTATCCGAGGTCGGTAAAACTATTAGGGTATTGACTTTTATAATGTTCTTTTGTGAGTGGAGGGGCCCCTCATTGAGTATGTTGCCTCCTTGTCTATGACGTACAACCGTTTGCGGGTAATGCGGAGAAGCAAGCAGCACATATCACTAATGAAAGGAAAGCGGATAATATTTTTATCATTGATACTGATGGTCCAAGTTCCCAATGAGAATACGAGCGGTTGGATTTATCTAGCCTGTAGTAATTAGGGATATTTGTTGTATGGTTCTCTCTTTAATGGTAAGGGCTATTGTCGTTTACGGGCTGCATCTTCTATTTTATATTTGAAAATTGTAATTCAGATGTTCATATTCTTGATTTAGGGGTTTACTGCTAGGGTTGAGGCCAGCACTATCAATACATAATTACTAGAGTAGATGAGTGGGGAAGATGATTGTATTTAAAGTGATATTATATTTGAGACTCTTATCCTCAACACAGACAGCTGCAAAATCTAAAGATGCTTAGCGGAATTAAAAGGGAAATTTGACTTGGCTGGCCGGTGTTTTCTTGTCCATATGCTCCCTTAACTTTCATGTAGACAGGACAGTTGACGGGTTGAACTGCGCAGAGCTGAATCACTGCTTGCCCATCTCGCGAGCGAATTGCTGGTTAATAGCAGCCTGATCAGGGAACCTAGGTCCATTAGAGGTGTCATTAAGGCATTCACAACCAACAACCTCTCGCTCTTCCTTCTCCCACATATACGAAGCAAGGACGATGAAGCTGGCGACAACGTTGAATATCCGCAAGTTCTTCAGGTCTTCCTCATTTCCGTTGTCATAGAAATAAGGAAAGATCATGTTGACGACGGGGAGTGACCATAGGCAAAAGGCAAAGACCATGGCGAAAAGCATGTCAACGTATTGGCCCATTTTTGTGCTGGAAGTAAGTAAGTTCTATTGATGATTTCTGGCAGGGTGCTATGTGTCTGAGAGGTGCCTGGGGGTAGAGATGCCGGGTCTTTGGCCGGTATTTATGTTCAGATCAATTGCCAGGTTTTTGCTATTTCTGGAAGACTTCACATAGAAACATAACAGAATAAAGAACATTCATATCTTGAGTGGGTAAGAGACAAAGGCTACTCACAACTGGGTTGCTTTGTACGACAGAATATGGGTCCTCCTTCACATACCAGGATTTACCACGGGCCAAAGGCACCTACCTGTGAACAGAAGAGATACACAGTGATCATCACATTCAGTCTCGTTTTCAGTTCCAGAGTTGTAGAGTTGAAGAATACACTGGCTGGAGTATACTGACCTGCCCAAAACAGCAAGTCCAGCCGGAGATCTACGCAGCCAATGGCGTCACTGCGCTGGTGGAGCCTTTAAGTTGCATTTGGCTGATATAAATGGCCTTCATCGCCATTTCCATTCAATTTGGATACTCTAACAATATCATTCAATTTCTCTTCTGAACAACACCTCTCGATATAGCCCAACATGGCCAGCGCTGGTCGATACTTCTACCCCGCGGGATTCTCCCGCCACATTGCGACCATCCTCGGGTTCCCGTCGAAACAGTCAATCGCTCGGGAATACTACAAGCTCGCTTGTTCTGAGATCGCAGCTCTAGCGGGTGCGATTTCTGCCTTCGAGCCAGTCCGTCTATACGCTCGCCCGGAAGATGTCACTCATGCAGAATCATTGGTTCGCCAATCCCTTACCGGCGCATCCGGAAACATGTCCAATGTCTCAGTCATTCCACTCCCGACGAACCACCTCTGGGTCCGTGATACCGGGCCTGTTTATGTGCGTGGGGTGGATGAATCAAACCGATATCGTCGATTCGCAATAAACTTCCATTTTTGTGAATGGGGGAGAAAGGACGAAGTCGCAGACGCGCACGCAGCAGCAGACGGACGCGACTGGCCGGAAATGACCGCAGCAGAGCTTCAAGAGAACTCGGATTTTGCAAAACATGTGATATCCGCAGATAGCCATCCATCACCTGTAACCATTGTCGAATCGAAGATTTGCCTAGAGGGCGGGGCTCTGGTTGTCGATGGCGAAGGAACTCTCTTGGCCACGGAAAGCAGCATCATCAACGAAAACCGCAACCCGGGTCTCTCACGCGAGGACATCGAAGCCGAGCTCAAACGTCTTCTAGGAGTTGAGAAGATCATCTGGTTCCCTGGTCGGAAGGGCCTTGATGTTACTGATGTTCATGCGGACGCGGAGGTCAACTTTGTGCGGCCGGGTGTTCTGGTTCTTTCGCGCCCGCACCCAACGGCGCCGAAGCCATGGATTGAGATCTATGAAGAAATTAGGGATATATTGAGTCAGTCAGTCGATGCCAAGGGTCGTCGCTTCGAGGTGCACACCATCGACGAGCCCGACCCCAAAGCACTCGGGCCCTTGACCTATGACGACCCTGCGACCAACTATGTCAACTTTTACTTCGTCAATGGCGGTTTGATTGTTCCACAGTTTGGAGATGCGACACGCGACAAGGAGGCCGTGGAAAAGTTACAGTCTCTATGCCCAGAGCGTACGATACGGCCAGTTCTGGTGCAGGCAGTCCCGCTGGCTGGTGGCGTCCTTCATTGCTCCACGCAGGGTGTTTTCGCCTTGGAGGACTAGAAATTGCTGGAACGTGATTCAATGGGGCAAAGTGACGCCATTGGCCAGATAGACATATTCTTGTACATTTAGTCCGATAAATCCATGATAAAGTAGATAGAGCTATTGTGGAGCGATGTTATAGCGGCTGGACAAGTTAAATCGCCCAGGGTAAACCTTCCTTAATCGGAAAAGCGTCTCATGATTATCTCCAAATTAAATCGCCCGTAAGATATCCCAATGACAAAAGCTGGACTTGAACACTGCTCGCTATTATCTGGGGTAATGCCCTCAGCGCCATCATATCGTCGCCCCCGTCGGCCACCTGCGCACCTGAGGACTAAAACGGGTTGTTTGACATGTATTATTCCATTATCAACCACCCTCAACGACATGCTAATAAATCGTAGGTCGTAAAAGGAGAAAGAAGTGTGATGAACAGGCAGACTCCTGCGGGAATTGCTCCCGCAGATGGCTGGAATGTATATGGCCTTCTCCAGCCTCAAATGCAGCCTCTGATGAGGCCATATCTGAACTGCCCCTTCAGGTGCAACCACGTACCACCGTGGCAATATCACCATCTGTGCGAGGTATTAGCTGGGACCAACCCGTTGCCACGGAGCTTCAAATCCCACCATTATATCCAGAGCCCACCACACTGCCTTTCTATGCTGGGATAATTCCCACAGCAAGCAGTCCACTTTTCGACCTACTACGAACGAAATGGCTCCGGCAGCTGATCAGGCCTCGGGCTTATGACTCGCTGATTGAATTCTACCACCAGGAGGCGATGGTGATGGCGATGCATATACCTTTCTACATGCATTCTCTCTTGGCTTGCTGCGCGGCTGAATACCCGGTTAACGATGCCAATGTCAACGCTCGAGAAGAATTGTCGCGGTTATCCAGGAAACATTATATTCGAGCCATCACGGGACTGCGAGAGGCACTGGGAGGCGATGAGCCAAATATACAAAGGGACGCGATTATTCGTACGGTTCTCATGCTTTGTATATTCGAGGTACGTACGCTCCATTCTCCTGCAGCTATGCACTACTAATCCAGGCGAGTAACAGAGAGCTAAACCTTGGCCATCCAGTGGAGTTGGCGCACATTTATCTGGACTCGCCCAGCTGATACAATCCGAGTCAGTCTGGCAAGCTTTGGGTCATCCAGTGTCTACTGTTGGGACTGCTCTCCGTCGCCTAGTACTAGAGGGGTTCATCTTCCATACAGCAACGAGCGTTCCTTTCCAGCCTCTCTCGGATCAACAGTCAAATCTGGACGAGGCCATGCGGCTTGCGCAAAGTAGACTCGGAGGTATGTTTAGCGAAGGCACTAGGGAGAATCCCGATTCGCCCGTATTGGGCGTTGAGCCGCAGCTATTCGTACTCGTTCGTGAACTCTCCTTGATGCATCGAGAATACGAGCAGTCCAATCGTCATCTCCAACGAGGCGAAACCCTCAGCACAATGCAAGAGCAGCTTTCAATATACCGCCGTATTTACTGGACAGGCCTCCGTAATTTCCCAAACTCTTCACTGGAAGACCGCACCTCTGCATTTCCAGCTTATACAGATGCCATTGGTACCAATCAACCCTTCGCCGGACCACTGTTATACATCACCGCAGCCGGGATCTTGCTTTCTGACATATCAGGGAATACAGACGTAGTAGACCATATCTCGCCTGCGTTGAGTATCCCAGAGCTAGTCCTAGAGGGCGTCCGGCTCGTGAGACAGCTCGAACCAACGAAGGACTACTACGCAGAATATTACGGATGGCCTATCTACGTTCTAGCAAAGTTTGTCACGCACGAGCAAGACCGAAAGTGTCTTTTGGATCAGGTCAATGCGTTTTGGCAGGAAACGAGGAGCGGGACAATGGCTAGATTAGCCGATATACTTGGTAATGGGAATAGGATATCTATGTAATGATGATAATTAAAATGACGTCCGTGACGTTATCGTTTGTACTGCACAGACTTCTTTCTATCGATACAGGTTTCCCTCGCTAGCAGCATAGTATCAGAACTAAACGAGGCTGTGGAGTCTTGAAGATAATATATCTAGTGACCTACTAGTCAACTACCCGATTAGGACAAAACGGCGCAAAGTGACGCCATTGGTCAGATATGCCTCCAACTCGTGGTCCACGTAGTATAGCACAGGATATCAGACTTGATCAGGATCATACACGATAAGTCCTCATTACGCGAATATAACTGAGTTGGCCTTGAATATGATAGTAACAGATAACACTTCATGATAGCCAACTACCCTATAATTGCCTAAATAGACACTTTCTGCGCAAACCAACTATATCTCCCCGCCATCTTAACCCGAAACATCTTCCCAAAGTAAATAAAAACCAAGTTCCCCATCATGGTCAGAATGGTTATGAGTCCAAACGTGACGTAAAACCAATCCAGGCCCACGCGGTCAACCCACGGCTGGAGGGCAAAGACAAACATAGTGGAAATGACGTTGCGGGTGAATGTAAGGGCGACGATCGAGTCGGCGATGATCTATAATATACGCGTCAGTTACAACCATGTACGCCGTCGTGGAGGTATTGCGGAGAAGGAGAGGGGGATGTACATCTGTATACGCATCCGTCAGATAAGTAAGTGCCGCACTACTAGCTGGGACGATCCCAAACGAAGTGATGCCCAGCCCAAACGCCGGTAAAAGCCAATGGGAGCCACGGTCAAGGCCGATTCCAAACATGAAGAGCCCCGCGGGAACGAACGGGACAAACACCAGGCAAAACCAAAGGCGCATTTCCGGTTCAAAGATACCCCCGTTTCTCCTTGCCAGATAAAGGACAATCACGTCGCTGAGTGGGCCGCAGGTTATGGCTGATAGGCAGGCACCAATGAATGGCGGGATTCCCATCAGGCCGATTTGGGAAGAGCCGAAATTATAGGGGGGTAGTGTCATGACGGATGAGAGCGTTGTTACGGGGACTGTGGTGCAGGCAGTCATGATCCCGTACTCGACTGCCATGAAGAAGACGGCTGGGATGCTGAACATGATAAGGAATGGCTGGTAGGTGTGCTTCGCGAGCTGGCCAAATGATATTGGCGAGTTAGCCCACAGAGCCAGTTTCCGCCAGTACTTTTTCTTCGGAATGGAGTAGTCGATCTGGACGGGGTCGAATGGCATTGCCTCGTCCTTGGCAGCGTTCATATTTTGGGAAACTGGGGCCCCAGGCTCCTTTTTCGAAAAATCCGGTTCCTGAACTGTCTCATTGATGACTGGAACACCGTCAATAAGCGAAGCAGTGAACATTGTTTCTTCATAAAGGAAGACGAATGCCACAAGCCCAGCGCCAAACAAAATAGCCATCCACCACCACACCCAGCGCCAGCCCTGGGAAAGGGTGATATACCCTCCAGCTAGGGGGGCCAGGGTGGTACCGAAAGTCATAAACCAGTAATAGATGGTGTTCATTAGGCCTCTCTCATGAACGAAATAGACATCGGCGACTGTCATTTGCACCATCACCTCGGCCAGAGCACCCACGATACAGCTGAGAATGTTAACCAGCATAAGGTCTGCCACGTTCTGCATGCGGGCGGACCAGACGCTGATTCCGCACTGAATCGCCGTGCTCAAGACATAGACAGGCCGTCTGCCGAATTTCAGGGCGAATGGTATCAGGATTACCCCGCCGATTGCCAACGCTCCACAGCCGGCTGCGTAGCTATCATTAAGCAGTGCAAAGCTGAAGCCAAGTTCAAGATTCAGAGGGCCCCAGGTCACCGTTGCAACATTGATCCTAGGGTTATGAGCATCTGGTGAAAGAGAGCCAGCGTGCCACTTACAGTGCCATAACCATTACCACATAGTATGAAACGAGTCCAAAGTTCAGATGCTTCCTCCATTGCGGCCAATTCTATTCACAAAGCCTTGTCAATATCGACATTTGTATGGTGGGCTTGAAACACCGACCAATGGGTCATTTGGGTCTCTGCTAGGTCTCGGCTCTAGGATAACCTCTGACTGGGAGAGATCTTGTACACCGTCTGGTTAGTCGAGGTGGAACACGCAGGCATGATAAAGGTAACTCACCCTCGAGCCTAACAGTTCCGGGTGGCCAGGCAGGATCAATATTTTGGGTTGACGACATCGGGGTGCTTGAAAACTCTAGATGTAGTAGATAGCAGATTAAAAAACTGGATCGCCTTTAGAAACTGCTTGAGAATAGTTGAATGTCTTTATATACTCGGAGTAGACAAGCTGTCACTGTCCATCTGACTATCTATGGCCATTCACCGTCTAGCTAGGAGGAGAATGAGCGTATCTACGCTGAAAAGGGAAGGTCTAGGCAGAGTAATACAACGATTCATGACAAGCTTATCATGGTTTAGACATTGTAATGCGGGGAAGTGGTGGTTACATGGCTAACCCTACAACAGGAAGTCGGTCGTCTCCACTGCAGCTGCGCCAGCTTCCTCCGTCTTCGTCTCCAACCCAATCCTTCCATATAGTGTAATTTTGAAAAGGGAAACTTCACGAGAGATGCTATTTTACTTAGCCTCGCTTAAACTTCACAGTTCAATAAATACCCCGTGAAGGCGCAGATGCCCGGCATTTCGTCAAGAATCACTTCTTATCCTGACTATGACGTCTGCTTTCCGAAACGGCCGCATTTTTGCACCATCCCGATCCTCCGGGAATAATAATGAATTCGCCGATGGAATGATTATCGAGAATGACCGAATTTCCTATATCGGATCTCTTGATGCCACAATCATCCCCGATAATGCGACGGTCGTTGACTTGGAGAACCGCATTGTGCTCCCCGGGTTCATCGACGCCCATGTGCACATTCTGCAATACGGCCATTCCCTGCGCAAAGTGAATCTCATTGAATGTACCTCACTCGAGCAAATTCGGGATATGATCTCGACATACGCAAAGGCGAATCCATCGGTCCCTCGCATCCTTTGCCGAGGTTGGATCCAGTCTTCCACCAAAGGCATCGCCCTAGCAAGCATGCTGGACGATCTTGACTCGCGTCCAATTTTTATCGACTCATTCGATCTCCATTCCATGTGGTGCAACTCCCCTGCCCTGGATGAGATGAAGGCTCACTCTGCTCCTGATCCCCCTGGTGGTACTATCCATCGGGATGAAAACGGGAGGGCGTCAGGTCTGCTGGATGAGTCTGCGTTGGTAAACCTCGCTTGGCCATATCTGGAGAGCACCTACTCGACAGGAGATAAAACCAACGCCCTGGACATGGCGGTTGCTTCATACGCAGCGGCAGGCTACACCGGCGTCGTAGATATGGCGATGGACCAGGATACATGGGACTTTCTCGACAAGTACCGCAGGGAAAGGCCCTTACCTTTCCACATTGCAGCGCACTGGCTTGTCCCATTCTCGAATGACCAGAACGGCAACTTCAAATATGTGGATCAAGCAATCGAACTGAAGAAGATATCCAAGGATCCTACCTTCTGCATTGCCGGAATTAAGCTCATCTGCGACGGTGTCGTTGACGGATGCACCGCCGCTCTATCCCAGCCATACACCAGCAAGTCAAAGCCAGAAGACCCTATATGGCCGGCCGATATGCTGAAGGAAGTCGTGCAGCGAGCTGACGCAGCAGGCCTCCAATGTGCGATTCACGCCATTGGAGATAAAGCCATTAATCAAGCCATCAACGTTCTATCGGAAGTCGGCACGCCTGGTCGCAGGCATAGAATCGAGCATCTCGAATTAACCTCCTCTGAAGACGCAAAGCGTCTCGGCCAACTAGGCATTACTGCCTCCGTCCAGCCAGTTCACTCAGATCCAGCCCTTTTCAAGGCATGGCCGGATCTGATCGGCCGGGACAGGTGTAAACGCGCGTTTGCTTATAAGGAGTTCATAGACGGGGGAGCACCTCTTGCTATTGGCACAGATGCGCCTACCGCTCGCCACTTTCCATTCCCGAATCTTTACAATGCGACTACTAGACGCTCGGCTCTTGAACCTGACTCCACTGGCACTGTGAATCCTCATTTCGGGCTTGGCTTGGCTGAGGCCACAGCGGCGGCTACTACAGGCGCAGCGTATGCGCGCTTTGCGGATTCCTGGACTGGATCATTGAAGGAAGGGTTGAGTGCGGACTTTTTGGTCGTGGATATGCAGTGGGCCCCGGACAGGCTTCTCGAGGCGAAGGTTGCTCAGACATGGTATAAGGGGAAGAAAGTGTATGATGTGGCTGCTCCAGCGGTTTAGACTATTTTGTTAAGGTACTATAGAAAAGCATATTTACACAAGTTGTCTTGAGTGTCCACTATAACCCATAGAGTCACCGGTGAGCCGGCCAGTCGGCACGCCGCATTGTGTCTAGACTATTGCGGCTCCCCGGCGGGAAATGCTAGGTAGGAAAGCAGGAATGATACCAAAGCTGAAGCAACTGCCCCTGTTTGGCAGCTTAAAGGTCAGTAATCCGAAGACACGTTGAAGGGAATAGTGTCCCAATTTATGCTATCGCAGACATTACTTCCGAGGTTCTCCCAGAGATCTTTTGATCCCAATGTGACCACCAAGAACAAAGTCCGCCCTTCCAGATATGCTGGGTTGGCGGCGAGGCCTCCGAAATGGGCAGCCACGCCAGCAGGGTCCTGGCGGGAAAGCCCGACTAGGAAGGAGGCGGCACGATTACCTCTTTGGGAACATCTGCCAACCCCCATGAACAATGTGGACGCGCCAGTATAAAATATGAAGAACAGAACTTGCTATTGACGTGTCAATATTTCTGTCCTTCTGACCTTCCTTTTCTCGTTCATTCATTTCAGCGATCTTTTTTCTTTCCAATAATCCCTTGAAAACAGGCGGTTTTTCTGTATTGACACAATGCTCGGCAAGGAGATTACAAGCTACGATTTGCAGTATGTCACCATGCACACTTTGTTGGTTTTTTTCCAACATGGACACTAACCTAATCCTGGGGTTAGACTTTCTAGACCATGCATATACCTCCCAATCCGCCAGCAGAATGAGTCGTGGGAATGCCTTAGCGGGCGGTTCTGCCTCACCCTCGCCCGGGGTGCCCCATTCAAAGGCATCAAAGTACAGCTAATCGGGAAAATGAAGACGTACGCACCATATATTAGGCATTAGGTATGCAATGACTGATTTGTGTTCACTCACTACAGACCTCGATATGGTATCTTCGTCGCTCAGGAGTGCGAGGAAGTCACCTTCGAGCGCAGCCGGTCCCTGGCATTCTCGAAGACGCGTAACGCGTTCACAATGCCCGCTGGCTACTATGAGTTCCCATTCGAGATTCCCTTATCGGGTCTACGCTTTGATACCCTCGTCGGTCCGAAACATGAATACTATACCTATCGCGTTGAGGTTACGGTTCAGCGCTGGATGTGGCGGGATCTTGTTGTGTCCCAGCCTGTGGGGATATTTAGATACCCTAAACTTGATGTTGCTCGGAGTATGACCAAGGTAAGCTTTCATTTACCTTCTCTCTCATTTAGAGGTGATGCCCTAACACTATCCTGCGCAGGCCGTCGCTGGACATTCAAACCAAGACCTCGCATACCACTTCTCGATCCCCGACACGCTCATCCCCCACGGTGGTACATTCCCAGTGGATTGTTGGTTCGTACCACTTTCAAAGAGCCTAACGGTAACCGGCATAACTGTGCGCGTTATCGAGAACCACGAGCTCTCGTTGCCTGCGACCGCCGCCGAGTCCGTGCATTATAGTACGCACTTTATAACGTCTAACGAGAGCCACGTCATCTTCGAAGAGAAGCATGATTTCGCTTTCGACGGCGGGGCACTGCCAGAGAAAGATGCAGATGTGCAGCAGATAAGCATGCCTGTGCGATTGCCGAGTGATGCAGGTGCTTGTTCGCAGAGTTACTCCTCCCGGAAAATCAAGATCAAGCATGTTCTTCTCGTGACGGTTGAGTGTATAGATGGAGCTGGGGAATGCGTAAAGATGGTATATCTTCCATTCCACCATACATTTACCTTGAACGTTGCCAGACTAACAGACGTTTAGTTGGCTGAAGCCATACCCCTCCATATCTATATGAGGCCCACAGGGAAGGACAAAGAGAGTCGAGGCCCTACATCAAACGAGGAAAGCAGCAACTGCCCGCCGGTTTACGGGGAGCATCAGCTGGACCTGATGGTTCTGGATCCGACGGAGGTGGAAGCGGACGACCAGGTGCCCTGTATCACCATGTGTCCGGGGTATGAGGGTGCGGAGTCTGGGGAAGCCGTTTTATGACACGATATACAACGAATTGAATTTAGTTTTGATAGTTAATGTTAATATTGATGTTTTGGATTTACTCCGCACAGCACATTTATTACAGATAACAATCTGCTGTACCGTCTGGATGCTTTAATATTTATATTTCCTTGAAAAAGTATGAAAGACGACAATAAGCTGATTGATGTAAGACCGGTTAATTATAAACATGCATTAACCTGACTAATCTTTTATGAACCCAAGTCACGGGTTCAGTGTTTGTTGCGGCTTCACTTAAGCCTTCTTCTTCCCAGCAGGAGCAGACCTCTTCAATCCTCCCAACTCATTGATAATCAGTTCATCACGCTCCCACATCAACTCAACAGCAGCCCCAACGGGTCCAGCAAGCGCCGACAACGCCGCAACCTTGACGAAAAGGCCCACGCATCCAGCGCGACAGTACACAACACGGTGGGCAGCGCGGTACAGGCTCACAGCCCAGATCAACACACCCGCCGACCCAATGATATAATCCCATCGGAGGAACGCGTGCACACCAGCGCCTACAGTATCCACGGTAGCACCCGCTTCCCACGGCTTGGGGATCGCGAATACAGCACACGGGTGCAGGGCGGCGAGATACTCCTCCTTGAAAAGGCGGGGCTCGGCGAGGGTCGCGAGGGGGATGATCCATGAAATCAGGTGGTTGAGGGCCGTGTTTGCGAAGGCGAATGCGTAGACCCCGCGGAGGGCGCGGAGGGTCGCGCGGCCGCCTTCAACGGTGTGGTCGTTGCTGGTGAACGGGGAGAAGAAGATGTGGGCGACGGTGAGCAGGATTGAGACGTAGGCGGGCCACGGCTGCCAGATGGCGATGAAGATCTGCTTGAGGTCTGTGGTGACGTGCTCGGATTCTGGGGCGAGCAGGAGGAAGGACGGGACCATGTACCCGATCAAGAAGGCGAAGGGGATGGCCCGGAGGACTGCGCGAGGAACGCGGATGTTCTCGGCTGTGGGCTTGGTGGCTGTGACGGAGGTGAAGAGCTGGATGGCCCCGTACAGAGGGGCGGCGAAGGCGAAGGTCAGGACCTGTGCGGCGAGGCCAAGGACGACGGGGAATGCAGCCAGGGTCCAGGCGTTTCCTCTTCTCCAGGCTTCGAGGACCACGAGCACCCAGGCGGAGCCGAAGGTGCCGGAGAATCCGATGGAGTGCACCAGTAGAGACACGTTGCTGCCGTCGGTGGTCGGCCAGAAGAAGACGGTCAAGAGAGTAAGCAGCTCATCGATGGGAGCGACGCCGGTGTAGACTTTGCGCAGGGGAGCGTCCACGGTGGGGAGCTTCCCAGCGGCGATGGACGCCTTGACTAGCTTGTTGGCGCCATTGACTTCGGCGAAGTAGAAAATGGCGTAAAAGACGGACAGGCTGAGCAGCGGGAGGATGAGTTTGGCAGACATGATGAGGGATGCTGACAGCAGAGTTGACTGCATAACTTGGGGACAGCCACTTTATATCGACAGCGGAATGCGCGGAGGATCAACAGGGCTGTTCCCGCATTGGGTATTCCTTGCGATGGCCGAGGCCGAGGTCTCTTATTCTTACGCACATGGACCAGCCATTTATGATTATTATTATTATGGACTATGGTAGTCAGTCTGCACGGTCGGTCAAAAGTAAGCAATGACCACCTAGACCGTGATGCTGGTGTATTTAGCCAGCCGGCTATTGGGCTGGCAAGTTATGCAGTCATAAGTCAACAAACCCCACATTCCGCACTGATGATTACCGGAATTCGTGAACCTGCCTGCGAAAAATGGCTGCCACTGCCGACCCAAATCCCATCGCAGCAGTGACGGCACTCGATATCGGCCAGACCAGCTTCACTCTGTTCTTTCGCCTGCCATGGGTTGTTGGCACAACTCTTTTCCGCCGCTGGTGGCCCTGGAACCGCACGTATAAGCCTCCCCCTCTCCGCGAGCACCTCTTTCGGCATGTGATGACCTGGTAACCGTGCTGGATTTTCTTTGTACGTATTGATCGTGCACTAACATCTGAGAGCCTTGGAAACCACGTCCCGCTATCGGTTTGGCAGTGGTACACGGCCTCGGATACGAGTGGATCCAATCTGAGGACGTCCACACGATACGGCCACATTCCGCACCTCTTCGCGCCTGTTCGCACACCCGACTTCTGCGGCTACTGGATATGCCGCGGGCTGGCCCAAGAGCCTGTTAGCCCCCGCGATGCGGATCTCGTCCTGCTCCACGCCCACGGCGGCGGGTACGTCTCCGGCCATCCTAGTGTCGGCGCCCCAGAACACGTCTTCCTCGCGGAGATCCTGCAGCAGAATAACGTTACGACGGCGATATTCTCGTTGGATTACACGCTGGCTCCGAGGGGGACATTCCCGAAACAGCGCAATGAAGCTGTAGCGGCATATAACTGGCTTCGTGAGATGGGCGTCGACTCTTCGAGGATCATCGTGATTGGCGATTCCGCGGGCGGACATGTTATCATGTCTCTTCTCGTAGGTCTGAACGAGAGGCACAGGCAAAGTGGTCATGGAAGTGATTCGCGCCCAGCGGCCGCCGTACTGGTAAGTCCCTGGATGAACCTGCATACATCGCATCCTCGCGCCCTGGAACTGCACTGGGAAGAGCGCCTATTCAAGCGCTCGCTTGACACATACTGCAAATGGATCCTGCGCGGCGCAAGCCCTGAATTACACCTGCTGTATGGGAACTTCGCCCTCGGCCAGGAAGTCCGCGGGTCGTGGGCGGATATCCTGCCGGCCCGGACTTGGATTACGGCGGGCGCGGAGGAGTTGGTTTTTCTCTATGATATTGAGGATTTTGTTGCTCAGGCTGAGAAGGATGGTGCTAATGTTGTGCTTAATGTGGCGGGTGGGAAGAACCATACGTGGCAGTGTGCGGAGGCTTTTGGGCAGCAAGGTCGTTTGTTGGCGGTTCCGCTGGATGAAGCGCTGCCTGGTGATCTTATGAGTGGTTATAGGGAGTTGGCCATGGGTATATTGCAGATTCTCTCACCTAGACAATCCCATTCAGCGACCGTGATTCCAACCTAATGGCAGGTCTTATGGAAAGACTTCCAGCCGTGTGGATGGATTAAAGACTCATCATATTATTGACTTTCGATCAAATTATTATTTACTCCTGCTTTAGACGACTATCGGAATGCATTATACAAGAGAGGAGATTCACATAAAGGACAAGATCAAATCCTCTCCTCGTCGATATCATAAACAGCATACGTCTGCCCAAACATCTTCCCTCCCAGCCCCCAAGGAATAGAAAACCTAGCCCAGATAATGTTTTCTTTCAACCACTGGCCCCAAGGCCCAGTCTTCTTCCTCGCTTCACCGTTCTCCGCTGCCGTGCGGTATACCTCTTCAACGCGCGGTTTCCTGATGCGATGCAACAACTCGCAGGCATCCTCAATAGACCGGCTCGAATCCCCCAACAATCTAGAAATGAGAAACCCATCTTCAAGAGCCATGGATACTCCCTGCCCAGCATGCGGCTGCATAGCATGTGCAGCGTCTCCGATCAAAACACATCGCCCACGAGACCATCGTCCGCCAAGTGGTAAGCGGTATACCGGGTAGAATTTTATAGTGTCGGTTTGATCAATCATGTATCTCAATGTATCAATCCATTCCCCTTTTGCGCCTCCGAGGACGTCATGCAGGGTATCCTTGAACCCCTTCACCTCCTGCCGCAGCTGGACTTCCCACCCGTCCCGACTATCGTTTCCATCAGGGATAGCAACCTCTCGTGAAAAGGCCCAGAAGAACTCGTCTTTGTCTGCAGTGCATGGGGCAGATAGGAACATCCCTTCGCCGGTCATAGTCGCAGTCAAACCCTTGATGTGGGCAGCGGATGCAGCGGGGATCATCGATGCAGGAATGCTAGAGAACAACACCGATAAACCAGAGTACTCCGGCTTCTGGTCGGGATCGACGTAGATATTTCGAACTGCTGAATGGATACCGTCACATCCGAGTAAGATATCTCCGCTGTCTGTCGTGCCATCTGCAAAGACGACACTAATGTCCTCGCTCCCGTCTTCAACCCCTATAATTCTCTTCCCGAAATAAACCGGGATCCCGGCCTCGTTTATAGCCTGGAGCAGGACATCGACAAGATCAGTCCTTTTGACGCGCATATATCCATACCCGGTCTCAGCCCGAGAATGCGATACGAAATCGTCTATTTGTCCAAGGATACCCCCGCTCCCCGAGTGCAGCGCGAAATCACTCTGGCTGCTACCCCGTTGTAGCAGGGACTCGTAGACGCCGAGGCGGTCCAGCAGACGCAGTCCATTAGAGGGTATTCCGACGGCTCCGCCTAGTGTTGTGGGTTCCGGGCGGAGCTCGTAGATTGTGCATTTTATGTTGGTGGTTTGGTGTAGTCGCAGGGCGGCGGAGAGGCCTGCTGGGCCGGCGCCGATTATGATTGCCTGTGGGTGTTAGTGAGTCGCTGGTGAGATTTTGGAGGAGGGAGAATGAACCTTTCGAGATTGAGTCATTGTTGGTGTTATTTTCTGATGGATATTGTTTCGTTGGACTTGCACTTGGGCCGTCTTTATACTTTGGGAGGTCCGCGGGTCAGCCGCTCGATTAGGAAATCGACCCGCGGACTAGTTTCCTTAAAGAGTAGTCATCCCATCGCGAATCGCGTATAGGATACAGGCGGCATTCAAATGATTTCTTGTTATCTATGTATCAGCTATGTCCAGCAACTGATCCCACTGCGAGAAATCCAGATCCGGCGCAACGTCCAGGAACTCTGACCACAGCTGGTCCCAATTCTCATCCCACGGAGCAGACCCTGTCTGGTCTCCTGTTGCTTCGAGCGCAGAATCTACATTCAATTCCAAAGACTCGTCCATCACCACTTGCCGTTGACTGTTATCCCCTTGCTGTCCCTTATTCAGCGTCGACATCAACATCCTCAAGTTATTCTGAATCACGTCCCTGAACGCACACGGCTCCTCCGTCGACCGTTCCAGCGTCTCATACGCCGCTAGGACCTTGCCCTTTCTCGCCTCGGTATCAGGCGCTGTACCATCAAATGAAACATCCGTCGCAAGCGTCAGCGCAGCAAGGGCAACATGCTGCACAATAACCCAGAACCGCGACGGTCTCAGCCCAACGGGGACGGTATCACGAGACTCGTCCATTGATCTACGCAAGTCGAGCACGATCTGCGCAGAGCGGAGACATACCCGGCGGGAATATTCATACTTGCGATCCGTCATCCCCTTTAGGTGGTATGGCCGGTGGAGTCGGCAGAGTCGGGTGTGGATTGATATATGGGCCATTGTGCGCTGCCAAGTGATGTATGGGCGTTCTTTACATAATGGCTCGCATTGTTGGATACTCTCCGGATTAAGCTGGAAGACGGCAGGGAGGTGGTCGAGGAAGTCTTGGAACTTGGCGTCCAGGGCTAGGATGACGTCGTAGCAGACTTCGTGGCCTTCTTGGGATACGGGTCGCATTGCGTCAACGGTCTCGCGGCAGAGGCTTGCTAGTTTGGCGCGGTAGATGAGGTACCCTGTTGGAGTGGGGGCCGAGGGCTGGAGCTGTGATGGTTCTGCTGTGTCGATCTCGTTGTCGTCTAGATAGGTTGGGTAGTCGACGCACATGTGGTTCGGGTGATATGTGTAGGCACCTTCTTGAATGCCGCCAGAAAAGGATGATAGCCTGCATAATCAGTGGTTGTAGGAGTAGATGAGTAGGAACTAGGAATGCATACCAGTCAGACGCGACTAAGCTCCACCAGACTCGGCGCTGTACCTCGACCTCTATAACATCGAATCCATTTGTTTCGCGTTCTTCGCGGCGTCTCGGTGTGTCAAGTTTGTGTATTTCCATTGTGCGCGCCATCCAGTAACAGCGCGCTCTGATTAAATGACCTTCCATGGAATAACCGTCGTCGTTGTTAATAAAATGTGACAAGTTTGCCATCGCCGTCAGGGCCATGGTCGACGGGGGAATTGGCTGGAGGCCCTGAAGCAGTGATATAGAAAGACGCATGTACGTTTTATATGCTGACGTTGCTTGGGCTTGGGTTGAATTCAGTTCATGTAGTAGCTTTGGAGTGGACGACAGTGCTGAACCAGCGAACACCCCGAACAGCAGAATTAAACGAGCCCGGTCTGGTGCTTCCTCGGATGTAATTCCCTGATAGATCTCCTCCATCAAGCTCCGAGTAGAAGGTATATGCAGGATACCTATGGTCGGCTGCATAGTCAGAGCGAAGTGGTCGAACAGCTTGCGTGCTTCACCTAACGGGGGAAGATGTCGAGAGACCTCGTCAACTGAAACAGAAGGGGCGCAAGAAACAAATGTATGTGATGAAAATGAAGTAAATCGGGGAGCAATAGGTCTCTCGCTCTAAATCAAACCGTTAGTAACGGGTGGAATGACTTGGGAATGCTATACAATTACATACAGTATGCCCCATATGTACACCGTCAAGATGGGGGTCTGCACTGTCTGGCTCAAGGTCTCGATTGGCTTGACTGAATACAGCGGCCTCCAGCCTTTGGATCCGATTGAGCATCCCGACATTCCTATGGAAGTCAGCGTTGTAATGCTTTACCGGAGAGAGACGCTAACCTCGCAGATGAGCCTTCAAGGGACGCAGAATCCACGGCTGCGTGATTTGTAACATCACTCAATTGAACTGGGACAGTTCTCTCATGGTGTCCGTCATTTTGGTCTGGATATTCACACGAGATGCCCCTCTGAGCGCAGTTCCAGCAGGGCTGATTACGGTCGCAGCGACGCTTCTTTTGCCGGCATGGCAGACATGACAGCGGTGGTTTGCCCCAGTTATGGGTCATGTCGATGGGAACTCCACCATAGTTTCGTTTCATGGTACGGATTGGCTCGAAGACGGCGAGACCACATGGTTGCTTTCTGATGAAGTGGAAAGGCGCAGGATGGCGGGCAGACGGTGGCATCATGCCTCAGGCAGTGGTGTCCATAACGGGTTTAGCGCTGCTTCTATAGGAGTGCTGGACATTTACCATGCGTAGATGGGAAATATGGTATATTGTGTCTGTTGATTCGATAATCAGGTTGAATACCACTTGAAATGGCTCGACAGCATATTCAGCCCTCGGCTGCGAGCGTATAAAGCCCCGGTCTCCTGGCGCTTGCTGTCTTCTACATCGGACATGGTGCGGTCTTTATACTTCTTAGGTGAACCGGAAACCTTGGGTATATGGGACTCAGAAGGTTATGCACGAGCGTACATGTTCTTCGGTCCATGTTCTGAAAGTCTAATGAGCTGCGCCAGGCCTGCCGCTATGCTGACCGTTCCTCCATCCGCCGTGATGGTATAGCATACGTTAGATAAGACCGAACCGGGGAGAGTCCCTGATTGTTCCTTTCCTTGCAAGGACACTTGCATTCCCAGTCGGACTTTATCTATCGTATCGATACTGCTTCGTGGTTCGCTGGCCCGTATCCACGGAGGCTGAGGGACCTCACTACAGCAAGCCTTGGAAAATCTTTAAGGCCCTCCGTGCTTGTTCCAGGCCCCACGTGTAACCTTCAGTGCCTGACTCCTGATAACTGCCTATTAACACCGCCAAGGGGTGTCAATCTCGCTTTTTGGGGATCTTTATGCTTGTGCGACCCAGCCCCCACGTGTCGGCGTTATTGGCAACGTTCCTATGTCCCGATCAACACACCATCAACATCATCATGGTCAGCTCCGACAAGGCTGAGTCCGCACCATCGACGATTCAGTCCGGAAAAAAGAAGTTGTCGCAGTTTTAGCGGCGCCCGAGTGACGTGCACAAGGGGACAAGCGTGATCAAAGGGGCGGTGGCTGAGACTAAGGCCCACCGGGCTGTGGAAGGGCCCCATGGGGCCGAAATAGAACCAATTAGGGCTGGCTTGATCCTTAATGCAGGGAGGCAGTAACCTGAATTCATTTATTTAAGCAGTCAAGCACCCTGGAGTGAATGGATACAACAATCTACTGAATATACAATCATCATGTCCGACCTCCTGAAAGCATACAACCACCTCGACGCCAAAAGCCCTGGACCTCACCAAGGCAAACCACGCAATCTTGAAGTCAAATTCACCAGCTGGAGCAAACGGCACATCCGCATAACAGAAAACTCCACCGAAGGCCCCCTGGTCTACGCTGCAGACATCCACAGCCGCAAGCCTAACATCGTCTTCCAATCCACCGGCACCTCCAAACTGCCTGCAACAGTCACATTCCACACCTGGTCAAGCAACGTCGACGTCAGTATCGATGGCGACAACACCACGGGGCGGCCCTCGAGTCGGCTAAAGAGCGACCGAGTGTTTCCGTCGCGCGGACTAGGCGGGCGGGCCCTGAAATGGAAGTCCAGGTCGTATCTGTCGTTCAGGAGTGACTTTGAGTGTGTGGATGAGTCCAACAGGGTTTTGGCGACGTTTTACTCGAATCGGGGCATGTCGATGACGAGGGCGGGGCGGTTTGAGATTGTCGCGCCTGAGGTGCTACAGAGTAAAAGGGTCACCGATGAGGTTATTGTGACGGGTATGGCGCATGTGTATCTGGAATATGTCGCGCGTTCCTCTGCGGCTGCAGCTGGTGCTGGAGCTGGTGCTGGAGCTGCTGGTGGCGGTGGTGGTTGTTAAGAGTATATCAAGCCATTTGCGCTTTCGGGGTTTCGTCTTTATTGTATTATAGCTTTATATCCGACAGTTTACGATTAAATGAACATTATCTTTTAAAGTCCGAGGGAGTCGAGAGCCTTCTTGAATAGAAACACTTATTAAACGATTCATATAGATACTGGTATATTCCTCCACCTATTATAACAGCCACTTGCACAGCAACCTCAGCCTATACACGCCTTCTAAGCGCCCTGACGAGGCGCAGACCCATCCTCAACCACTTCGTCACTCACGCCAGCCTCTTCGGCCTTCAGTCCAGGCGCTTCCTTCTCCTTCGGCGTCTCTTCCCCATTCAAAAGGGCATACAGACCAATGTCCCTTTCGATCTTCTCCCTGCGGTCGGCATCCTCCTGCGCAAACCCAGCCTCGCCGAACAGCTCGTCCATTTCCTCGAGTGTCCGGCCTTTGGTCTCAGGCACGCAGAAGTACACCCAGATCGTGCCGATGGTTGTGATTGCGCCGAAGAATATCTGCCCTTGTTAGCACAGTACTTCTTAACAACGCTGTTAGTGTGGGAGACTCACAAAAGCACCGAACTGGCTGGTCGAGATAAACGGCGACGTCGCCATAGCGACAGCAAACTATCAGAATCAGCATCCATCTCACTCTCAACTCTCAATTGTTGGTTGACACTTACATTGTTAAGCCAATTCGACTGCCCCCCAAGACTAACGCCCTTCGCCCTCATACCCAATGGGAAAACCTCACTAATAATAATCCACGCCACAGGGCCCCAGGAGAATCCAAACGAGATGGCATAGATCCAGACAAACACGACCGCCGCCCATCCGGCCCCGCGGTGTGTCTCCCATTGCCCACTGAATGACCCCGTGATGCCGGCGACGATGAAGTGCGACGCCGCCATCCCGATACCACCGGCGATGAGGATGGTCTTACGTCCGAAGTTGTCGACCCAGAGCACGGCAGGGATTGTTGCGAGGAACATGACGATTCCAACGACGCCGGTGGCGAGTAGGGAGACGGTGTTTCCGTCTAGACCCAGGCCTTGGAAGATGAAGGGGGCGTAGTAGAGGATAGCATTTACCTAGCATTACGGTTAGCACAATCACATAGGTTAATGAAGAATAGAGGAGACGAGACGTACGCCATTCCACTGCTGAAACACCATAGTCAACACCGCAACAACAGTCCGGCGGAACAGCGCCTTATTCGTAACAAGCGACAGGTAGTCATTAAACTGGATCATGAAGCTACTACTGAACGACCCATCCTGGTACTGCGGGAACTTCTCCTGGACGCGAATGCGCTCGAAGTCGCGCAGGGCTTTGATTTCAAGGAACTCGATGCGCACGCGGATATCGTCGGTGGAAGTATTGCGCAGCCTCGCGAGCGTCTGTAGACATTCTTCCTCGCGGTCGCGGTTCATTAGGTGTCGAGGGCTCTGCGGCATGAAGGCGAGCATGCCCACGGCCAGGATTGTAGAGGGGAGGAGCTGGATGCAGATGGGGACGAGCCAGGCGGCGTCGGACTGGCCGTCTCCTGTGCCGCCGATGAAGTTGGTGCCGTAGCCGATCCCTGACTTGTTAGTATCTTCTTGATGGGAGAAGCTGGTATACTTACAGTAAGACACCATGATTCCGAATGTGATTGCCAGCTGCTGCAGGGCAACAAGGGCACCGCGGACCTCAGGCGGCGCGAGCTCAGCATTGTACCTTATCAATCAGCCTGGCACTGTACACGTTAAAGGTAGGAGAGTCATACAGAGGAACCAGCATACTAAAAGCTCCAACGCCAATACCAGTAACGAAGCGACCACCCAGGACATAGTCCTTGTTCAGCGTGCAAGCCTGGACAATGACACCGACCGTGAAAATGACACACGCAATAACAACAGTGATTCGTCGTCCGACAGCATCAGCCAGGTATCCGTTGATCATTGCGCCAATCCACGCGCCCAGCTCCAGGATTGCGGTCAGCAGGGCCTGTCGTGTTCCGGTCGTACCGCTGTACCAGGGCTCCATCTGTGCGACGTTACGTTAGAACAGTGACAGGAATAGCATTGAAAAGCGGTTCTCACCCGTGCAGTAAAGGAGGTCATGGTCAGGATCTGGCCGAACATTCCCTGGTTATCTGCGACAAACGTCAGCTCTGAATATTCATACCAAGATTAGGTAGAGACGTACATCCATAAACAAACCCACCCAGCGCCGCAAAAGTCGCAATCAGGGTCGTCTTGCCATTATTGACGATCCCCTTCACACCAGCCGGACCAGCGAACTGGGCGCGCTTGGCCGACAGGGCTCCAGCGTCGGTTGGGGCCATATTAGCAAGTATTTCCTCGTACTACAGTGCGAGGGCTGGCACAGTGCAGGTTCTGGAATCTGGAATCAGAAATCAGGAATCAGAATCCAACGGTAGGTGACGCGATCGGACGACCGACCCTTTATAGCCGGACGGCAGGCCGGCACACGCGGAGGTGCTAGCCCATTCTAACCAGCTAGCCAGGTCTTAGCAGGCGTGGCATCCCTGCTGGGCGTGTTCAGTGGCGGATGAAGCATCACTTAACCCGCATTTAGCCTGAAGTCTGCGGGGAGTCGCAATTAGCCTGAGCTGGGGCAGTTTCCCCGGGCGGAGAGCACCCGGTTAATGCTGGGGTAAAGCTGTCAGTTCCAGCTTTTGATCCAGTGGCACACAGCTATATAGCCTTATTGTCTCCTGTAGTTGTTCGACTGGATATTATGGGAGGTTTATGCCTGAGGCTGCAATCTGGGGATGCCGGATATGGTTAGCCTGGTTTCTCGTGGCTCTCTCATATCTGAAAATCGGTTTAAATAATAAAGGGATTTGAATTAAAGGATATGCGTAAGAGTGGATGGGGTCCATAAAGCAAATGTTTCATGTTTTACGTTTTACGTTTGCTTCCGGTTGGTCTGTCGCGGTTGATATATATATATATATATATATTGCTGCGCAAGCTTGTCTTTAGTTCAATATTCAAAGCCAATAGCAGTTTTCATCCAAGTTTAACTACATAAAACTCTGTATCCGGCTTTAGCCAATCTGGAGCCGTTTCCCCAATCCTATAAACAGAGTTGTGGATACAACAGTCAAGGATGATGGGAATCACCGAAGCGTCCGCCACCCGCAAGTCCCGAGTTTGATTTCTTGAACGCGAGGAGCGAGAATGGAAGGGTTTCTATTGGTGCTGTATTGGGTTCAACTCTATGTGGCTTTTCGGGGGGGTGGCCTTAGTTTTATATGCTAATTTTCGACCTGCTTTTCGCGGACGTGTAGCACTCACAAACCACGCCGAAACAGTCAACTCCGTGTGATACTTTACAGAAACGCAGCATCTAAAAGCAGGCTTCTAGAGTAGCACATAGAGATATCCCTGTAGAAAGAATAACACGAAAACTTGGAGAACTTGTTCCCTGGAACATTTGTTTGGAGTAGACTCTAGCTAGGACACGTATTTCAACAAAGATCCTCTGCGGATTGTGGAATGATCTTCACACTCGTGCCGTTCCGCGGTCTCAAGATAGGAAACGAGACGAGGAATATCAAGAACGATGAAATTCCGAGGAGACACAAGGCGGCTTTTAATAATGCAATGCTTGACCTCGCATGTCGATTACTTATTGTTCTTGGCCTAGAAAGTTTTTCCTACACGCTGGGACATGACCTTATTACCCGATATCTCTTAATAAGTTGGAACCCACCTTAGCACGGTTGAATCCGTTATTGTGTTAATTAATGGATAAAGGCGGGCATCCTGCCAGATAAACCAGATCTGAAGGCATGCATGGTCAGTGGAGCAATTTCAGTGCGGCTTGGCTGCCTGTAAAGATGACTAGGCCGTTCTTCACCTGTCTGGCCCAAGGATCGGTAATGCTTAGAACCGACTCGAGGGCATCACTCTTACCTAAATAGCCTGCGAGCTGCGCCATCCGCACTGTGCACACTTTTTTTCTTCCGTATTCGCTTACTCAACATATTTGGCCAATCACAATGCGGTATTCCATCCTAACTCTTCAGTCTATTCTTCGATCACGCCTTTTCCAAATATACTCTATGAAGGAATACTATAATTTTTTTGATGAGAGTTTTGACCCATCAGATAAAGATTGTGGTACTGCAGAGGCAGAATTACATGAGATTATCCTCAATCTTGGCCACGAAGAGCCTGATGAACAATCTATATTGGGTCAGGGCCAGAAGTTACTGCATCATCAGATTCATCACTATGGGCTTCGCACAGAGAGGAGTATACAAAGGAGGATTTGGCGTCAATTGAGGAGTCAACAAACGGCATCCCAAAAGCACGCCTGGGGGAGTGTGCAGCTCGCGCGAGTTGACTGTAATCTGATTTCGCGCCGATAGATACCCTGTAGATACTTTACGGGTAATTAAATGAGTCCTCGGTATCCGTGCCATCCATTTCCAGCTTGCGCAATTTTTGCTTACAGCCGCGGAACAATCCAAGACATGTCCTAGGAGCAAATGGTCATTTTCATATACCTGCGTGCTTTGAAATATCTGCTACCGCATACTGATATATCTCACACATCATGCCTTTTGTACTGAAGTCATTTGAAATTAATGTGCCCTAGCAATTTAACCCTGTTCTACAGATTGGAGCTCGACAAAATTCGTTGTCAAATACAGACACCTCCTTTCTTTCGGATACTCAACTAAGTGGATGAGCCCCCCCCACTGACAAATTCAGTTTTCCTAGATTTTTAGACCACTTCTGCTTGTTTGGATACACGGAATGTGGCCCAAAACTACCGGGCGTCCCAACTTCATCACCTAGAGCTGAATATTCCTTCGTATCCATAGACTTCCACCAAACCGATGGTCCCCGAGATTGGATCTAGCTGATCCAAGCAGTGATCACTCTGAAGGCATACGCTAGGAGTCGGCTTCAGATTTTCGAACGAACCGCGGAGCTGAAGACCTATGGCTGGTTGGTCGGACGGATAGCACGGGAGCATGAGCGGGGCGTAGAATACACTAAATTATGTCCCTTCCAGTATGACGGGGCAGCATTGAGCCAGGAAAATGGTAGAATCCCTCCTTGAACGGGGACAGTTATGTTCATCTCTTTCCAAAAGAGACACTGGGGTGTGTTCGCCTCGAGGGATCAGCGTATATCTGACTCCGCTGTACATTAAGTCCACAGTATTTTTTCGATTGTGCAAGTGGATAGTCGAGAAAGTCTTGAGATTCAATTCCAGGTATAAAAGGGCGCTCTGGCACCTGGACCAAATAGCTCAGCTTCAGATTTCTTTCAAGTTCTGCCCAAAATGAAGGTTGTTGCTTCCATTCTGCCTCTTCTCGCTGTGGCTTCTGCCTCGTGCCTCCATGGCACATCACTCATGCCCCGTTCTGCCGATGGTCGAGTTGATATCAACCCTTACAACTACACCAACACCGGCGGTCCCCTGAACTGGTACGGACTCGACCAGGAGAACACTGCATGCTCGACGGGCAAGCACCAGTCTCCCATTGTGATCGAGACGGATGACATTGACTACGCCCAATCCAAGTCAATTCGCTTCCACGTCCCCAGTGCTGATGCGGCCAAGTTCGAGAACCTGGGTTCTGGCCTCGAGGTCGTCCTGACCAACGGCACCCTCACCACCAAGGACAGCTCCTACAAACTTGCTCAGTTCCATTTCCACACCCCTAGCGAGCACCGTATCGACGATGAGTACTATCCTATGGAGGCTCACTTCGTCTTTGAGGGCACTGGTAAGTCTTCTCCGAGACATCTATCAAAACTCGCATCCTAATAAATTCTAGCTGGCGATATTGCCGTTGTCGGCTTTGTTTTCGAGCTCTCCCAGTTCGGTTACTCCACCCCTCTCTTCGATTCCGTTTTCGCCCACATCGATGATATTGCCAACCCCGGCACCTTCACCAAGACTGGCCACCTTGACTTCTCGGCCCTGACTGCTCACCTGAACGCCCACGGTATCTACCAGTACACCGGCTCTCTCACCACCCCTCCCTGCTCTGAGAACGTCAAGTGGTTCCTCAGCACAGAGCCCCTTGCCCTAAATGTCCAGAGCTACAATGCTGTTAAGCACATCCTGAAGTACAACGCTCGCTACACTCAGAATGCCCTTGGCCAGGACAACCTCCTGGAGATTGCTGCTAAGGAACTGAGCTAATTTTCCCTCACGGAAAGCTAATAATTGTTGAACTCAATGGTGGTTTGGAGTACATGATATCTGGGATTGCATTGGCGGATGTGGTGGTTGTGAATATGTAGGCTGCAGATCTATACGGCATCTAATCTCTAATAGAACATAATAAATCAACTTCTCGAGCAGAATCGTCCATCCTGCCGCGGTTCCGGTAGACCGGAACGATTTGTAACAATGGGGAAGCGTCGGAAATTTCGCGATCAAAAGCGGGGCCAAACTGACTTGGCGGCGTAGGGCGAAGGGCTTGACCGTATAAAGCATTTGGCTCTTGCTGCTAGTGCGAGATCTGAAAGGTAAAGTGGGACCCAAGATCGCGACGCCCCCCGGGAGAATTTTCCAACCCGGGGACCCCCTGAGAATCGATTTATCGCGTGTCAAATGATGCCCGCTGTATTTCTTGCAACATAGCCCTAATCTCACCTCACCTTGCTACTCTATATGAAGCTAAGTACTTCCGTGAATCGGACATCTACCTCCCTTTTGAAAACTTGGGCCCTAGAAGATTCCGCAACCAATGCGCCCCCACCCCGTCTTGAGTCGACGTAATGCCGGTGATATTTTTTACGGCATGAATTCCTTTGACTTGTCGATCTTGGCTGGAATTGTATAACCACTCGTAAGTTCAGCTCGCCTTTTGGTCACCTCGGCACTAAGAATCCACATTATTTCCCGGACATGTTTGTTGGTGGAATTACCGGCACTGTGCTTCCTTCATGTATGTACACACGTATGCACTCGTAAATGTTGGAGCACCTTATAGCTCTCCGTTTTACCGTGTCCACGACCCGAGGCGCCCCCTTTTTGGTTCAACAGTGCGTGCGCAATGGATAAACGTAAGGCCAAAAGAAAGAGATCTCATGAGTCCGTACTGGGTCGCCCGTGTCCCCGTGTGTGGTCGTTTAGCTTGCTCATCTTACCCCTATTTGACCCGCGAGGCTGAGCTGTCCACGGGCTAATGGGAACTGAATGAGCAGGTGTGATTCTCACATGCCGCCGCCGTAGCCAAACCTAGAGATTATTTTGTGGGAATCATTGACATGTTGATATGTTAAAGAGATGATACAGTATGAGGCTAAAAAGATAGCACCTTCTTCCCATGCTGCCGCTCCTCCGTAGGTATAGTGGAGAGACATATCGGAAATGACCGATTGCACTTCGATCTCGAGACTTCAACACATCTCTCAAGAAATACATGGAACGCCTATTCGGGACTCTATTCATATTATTGCAAGTGGTGCCTGATAAATAACATTTATTCAGAGAAGGACTGGCCAATAAATCTCCTTTAGTGAGTCAGAATGGTGGAATAATGCATTATCAATCATAATTATAGATCTACGTTCAGGCTACCTCTATCATACTTAAGAAACTGCTTAATAAAATCTTTAAACACAGCTGCATCAGTTGAACATTACAATACTCAGGAAAGGGCAATGCTGCCTTGTACATACTGGCAGGATTGTTTGTTGTCTCTGTATCTGACATCTAATGACGTCGCGTGAGCTCACTTCCAAAGACTTTCCCCTATATTTAGGAAGCCTGCCGAGCGTGCCTGAAAATTCGTAGTTAACTCGCCAGCCATGTAAACATTCCAGGTGGATATGGCTCCTGGAGGTACGTCTCAATATCCAGGGAGCAACGCCCTCCGTCCCAGGAGCGACACTGGCCCGGGGAGGAGCAGCACTACCCCTAGGAACTACTGGTTCTTGTCGTGAGAACAGTTGATTTAATTTAGATCTACATGCGCCAATTTCGGGAGAAGCAGAAATGATTTCGGGTCTGCTTGTATATCTAACTCTCATTGCAGAAGCCTCAAGAGTATTGTTATAGAGTGGGTTGATAAATCTCTTCGCCCGGTATTCCCTCATCTACTTATAGAATTCGACTTTAAGCTCATGAAATCTCTTGTTCTCCCAGATTGGCCTCAAATTGATTCTGCAATTTGTTGCAGCTGAATACTTCGCTGCATATTCGTCGCCTTAGAATCGATCTTTGAATAGCACTTTCCCCCATTTTCAAATATCAAAGACATGGCATGAATCACTACTCCTTGTCGATAAAATCCAAATACTAAGTATAGATATTATTAATAAATACTTCCCAGCAGCTAAAGAGGATATAATCTTTCGTAGTTGATACCAGGCTGCATAATAACCTAATAGATTTATAATCCCTTCTAGGACTATATTCTTCTGACAGTCTGGTCTCTGAACCTCAACAGCCGAATCAATGGTCATTTTTATATTATTTCATATGTCAACTCTTGTGCCTGGCCCTAACAGCTTCTTGACACTGTCAACCGTGTGGATCATAAGTGTTTATGTGGGTCTATCTTCTCCAGCCGGGGTCTCAATTCCCGAAAGTCCGGCCCTATACGAGCAGCCTGCAGCCATGCAGATTAATAGATAAAGACTATGAGACCCTCCCAGATGGCTTTTTAACTGCTTCAAATTATTATGGAAGCATCTAACGTGTTCGTCAGATGGCGCCCAGTCCCGCCTACGCAACCCAACACGCCAGAAATCAACAAAGTCCACTCAGAGCTCCAAAACTCCCGTGTATCCATCTCCATCTCCTTACCCTCGCCAGGGGATAGCTCCTGGAAAAGCGGTCATGTATTCAATCAGGTATTCGAGCCCACCGACGGCAACAGGGCCGTTTTCGACGCTGTTGTGGCCCCTATCCTCCCCAAAGTCCTGAACGGGGACTCCTGCAGCTTCTTCGCGTACGGACACTCCGGGAGTGGGAAGTCGCATACGATACTTGGGTATGATTTTGAGGACCCTGATAACTTTGGGCTATGTCTTGCTGCTGCGAGATATCTCTGTGAGGAGCTGAAGGGTTTCAATACCGGTATAGTAAGGGAAGGTCATAGTCATTCCTCTATGTCGGAGCTGGGCATTGGATTGCGCATGTACGAGTTACGCGGGAACGCCGCGTTCGATTTACTGAATAACCACTGCAAGTGTAATATCCGGCAGGGGTATGATGGGCAGACGCATATCCGGGGCGAGACGGAGGTGCTGGACGGCGGGAGGGTTCGGGTGCGTCCCATTGTGACGAAGGCGTGCTGGAGCTTTGAGGACTTTCGGCAGGAGTTACTGCGTGGGTTGCAGCTGAGAGCTAGCGGGGTGTCGACTGTTCATGAGGAGAGTTCGCGGACACATGCGGTTCTGGAACTGGAGATTGTGAATAGGGCGTTGCTGGATGCAAGGGAGGCGGTGGTTGAGAGGCAGTCGGAGTTGGTTCCTGTTGCCAAGAGGGCGACGGATGTGTATATTGAGGAGCAGATGAAGGGGCTTGTGCGGACTGGGGATGGGAAGTTTGTGCCGAATCCAGAGTATCAGATTGACCACCGGAGGATTGATGAGGCGGAAGAGAAGAAGGCTGAGTTCGAGAAGTATGTCAGCGATGCAGAGGAGCATGTTCATTGTGTGTTTCGGTCGTCTGGGCAGACATGTCTTGGGGGGAAGCTGGTATTCGTCGACTTGGCTGGAGCTGAGTATTATCATGGGAGCTCGCTGTCTACACATGGTTCACGATCACTGCCCAGTCCGCAGGAGCAGAAGGAAGGCCGACAGATTAACACGGACCTTCTTGCTCTTAAAGAAGTTATCCGCGCCAGAGCTTCGAAACAATCTCGTATTCCATATCGGTCGTCGCCTCTGACAATGGTACTGCGTGGGCACTTCGAGGCGACTGGTAGCAGGGACAGCTACTCTGCGGTGATTCTGACAGCCTCACCGGCAGCCGACCAGTATGCTGCTACCGCAAATACGTTGAAGTATGGAAACCTGGTTGGTACGTCTAAGAATAGATAGTACAGCGTCGGATGGATCTAGGTAACCTTGTACCGTTGATCTAATCATCGGTAGCCTTCTCACAAGGACGAGCCATAACCATCATCATATATACCACAGGTCTCAGCTTAACCCGTTCCTGTGCTGTTGTCTGAAGGAAGTCCCTCATCCAGTAGACTAATTCAAGATCTGGGTGGACCTCAAGGCTCTGTGATTGGATAACATGGGTGGATAATATCACGAATGGAATGAACTGATGAAGAAGGGTAAGGCTTATAAAATTGTTAGTTATTAGTACAATAAGACGATATCAAGTAACGTACCTGGTTCCCCAGTGTGCATATGAAGTTGATCCCATAAAGGCCCGGTACACTTCCAGTGAGCGCCTGGCAAGATCAACACTAGTAGATGGCAAACGGACATTATTCCAGTGGCCATTGACATGCAGATCGAGGATGATAAGCAGTTTATAGGCGCCTAGGAGAATATCTAGCGCAAACCAAGCATCGACATGGTTGGTAGTCATCCTAAGAAGCTGGTCCTGTATACGGTTAGATCAAGAAGCTTTCTAGGGCAGATTGACTGGCATACCGGGTTCCATGTTTCGATAGTCATATGTATCTGCATAGCCAGATCACCAGCCGTCTTCTCATCTAATGTCTCTCCTAAACCATCGATCTTATCCAGGTATTTGAGCATAACAAGTGTCTGGCGCATAGAAGCGAGAAAATGGATTTGAACAAAGCGCATATCCGGATCATCATTGCCAGTGATGGTAGGATCAGGAAAGTTCACAGCCCAGGATCCTGCTGGAATGAGAGTTGGTTTGCCAAAAGAAAGCCGGAACATGCAATCCATTCGAAGTAGATGCCAGAACTCGAAACGCTGTTGGTTCCTCTCTACCTCTGGTCGGCGAATCGAAGATTCGTCCTCTTGTGGTGGCTCTTTGCCGTCAACCCAAAAATAACCCAGTGTTCGCGCAACAGAGCTTGCATGGCCGAGGGCTTTCCAGGCCAGTTCAAATTCAGCCTCCTCAAGGGCGAGCGATACCTAATGGGTTTCCATGAGATCTAGGCCGTATGCGCAAGGAACAGAGTTCTTACCATGATGCACGCCGCCGACAGATCTGCAGCAGTGCTCCCTGCCAGCTCAAGCCAACTCGCTCCTATCTTGATGCACGATTCGGAGACGCGATTGACAATGTCACGTTTGGTAGGGAAGTCATGATCCAGCATGCTTCCATGTAGAAGAACATTATAATAGATTATCTGCGCAGTATAATCTATTTGGACGTGTCGCGTTTCCAGCAAGTCAGGCAAGGCCATTAAGAAGTCCTTGTCTAGATGTGTCCGGGGGCCATTAACCTGATGGCAGTCATGATATTCTGAACCTTTTATGAGTAGAGATGACAAAGGGGGGAGTACAAAAACGCACTTTTTATCCATTTCCGCGCTACATCCCTAGGGACCATAGGGGGATCTGGCGCAACCTCCAGGGCGGTATAATCAGTAAAAGAGCCAGGATCTTCGATTGCCGCTTCTACAGCGGTCTTAATCTTTTCGCTTTGTAAAATGCAAGATTCCAGGGGCTTGAGATGGCACAATATGCCAGATAGAGCCTCGGAACGTGTCGCTGGATGGTTAAACTGATTCCATAACCCCCGTATCATCCCTCGCGCATCATGATCACAAGAGCCATCCCCATGTCCCGGATTTAACTCTATTGGAACCAGACCTTCAACTCCGGAACTGGCCGAAGATACAGACATTGAACGAGCAGCATATGTACAGTCCTCTCGTAGACGATCCAGCTCACAATGGTCTTCCAGCCGGTCCAGCCGGCTGAGAATGCTGCTCAAGATATTCTGATCATCAACTCCCCTACCACACCAGATTCCAGCTTAGTTAAAGAAATGGCAATCAGCTAGGATAAGTAGGAAAACTCACCATGGCTTCCTGGGTCGAGATTTGCGTGGTACATAGATGCACTCCGCGCCTGCGGCCTCGCATTTGTCGCATCGGGGGTCGACTTTGTTGCACCTTGTCTGGGGTTCTTATTTAGGTCTATATCACCCACAGCGTTCGTATATTTCATACCTTTTTCAATTGGCAGCGGCGGCACTACGGTGTGTTAATGTTTCTTGGCCAGTATGAATGTATCAAGGACTGGACTTACTGATGTTCGCGCTGTGGGGCGCTGAAAGCTCATAACGCAGCTAGTGCATAAAGGAGAGACTGTGTCTATGACAAACAAGATTCTGTCATGTAAATTCGCCCCTGAGGATCAGCAAAGAGGAAAACACTAGACCGTAATTGCGGATTTTTCTGGCGCTCATCACGTGCATCCAGTTACACGATGAGTAATCGATATACAAACGCCCCCAAGTCCGTGTATTTGATGAGACTTCAAACTAAGAAATATTGAACATTGAAAGGGAGTGAAATTTCGTATAGACAGTTCAGTCGGGAATCCGAGGTTGATTGTTCAGCAGCATGGAGCTGCGGTTGGTTAAAGAGCTTCCAGGACTGCTACTACGGTATACACAAGGAACCCAACTTGGATAAATAATAGCGTTGATGCGTAATAATGTGATTGTTAATTTTGTTATTTACAGCCGTTAAACATGCATCGTCCATCCATTCCATAGTCTCAGGATTTCATTGCTAAGGCACCTGTCGACAGACTTAAGCACAAGTAGGGCCGTTGTTTGCGCCAACGTTCTGGCATGTCTGGCCGTTGGAGCAGGTAGTGACGGGGGTGGGAATGCCTTCTTCATTGCACACTAGGATGGTATTGGCAGCGGCTGTTATATCATGTTAGCAGACGGTTCATGGATGCATGGAGGATTGCAAATATGTACTCACGTCCAGCACCGCAGTTGGTCTCGCCGGGAGTGCAGTCAGCGGCGGCAAGGCCGGCGAAGAGAGCGGCAAGAGCGACAGTGAAGAAACGCATTTTGGTGGATGGGCTGAGTTGGAGGGATTGTTTGAAGATATTGGGATTGAGAATTGTGGTTGATGAGGATAGAGGTTCATACCTGGCGAGCAAGGGGTTTTTATACCTTTTGAAGGCAGTAGGTGGCTTACGGGCTACGGCCCTTAGAATGTGTCAACATTTAGACTTTGCAATGGATACCAGCACTGCGAGCCTCGAGATACTGCCCTATAGCACGTCGCGTTGTGGTCGTGGACAGCACAGGTGGACAAGGCCTTGGCCCCCAAATACCCACTATACAGTCCAGCCTCAAGCCGAAGCTTAGCCATAGGCTCGTATATTCATAGCCCCTGGCAAGGCCCCCAATCTCACAAGCCATGGGTGTGGAGTACATGCAGATCAGTGTTGTCGACGTCTGACAGCGAGTGTCTCTTTTGCTGTGGAGCTCGGCTCGATGTGAATATTCAGCTCGGTTCCACTCTGTCTGCTAAAGTAGGACCTGAGCGTTGATGTTGATTCCCTGGGTATCATCGGGAACCCACATCGCCAACTGCTAAGCAATGCCTCGCTAGTTGGCTGACATGGCCACGTCACCGGTGGATTATATGAAAAGGCGAATGCGACGTCGGCAAGAATATGGTTGACTACGGGAGCTGGATGGACATATGATTTTTAGAAAGAGACCATGAGAACGTGTGAGATTCATTCAGCCTCTATCTCCGATATTCCGACAACGGTGGAACCTGCCGATCCAGCCCAGGAAGGAAGTTGAGATGTTGCTTGGTTTGTTTAGGCTGTTGGCATGAAGATCTCGGATTTTATTCGCGCAGTTACCCACAGTAAGCCACATCCACAGTGAAAAGCAGAGATACCTGAAGTTCTATGGCTGTGCTGTGGTCCACCCTCCACCCGAAGGCAGTGCTTTTCGCTGGACGGTGCAGTCGGGACTCGCCTCGCCAGATTGTGTCACGCATTTCCTGTTGGGAAGATATTTAGCATATCACAGGCACGGCTATAACGGTAGGCGGGTGGATGTTTCACCGCTGCGCCCGACTGTATCTGATGTGTTTCATGACCCACTGCAGACAGGCGGGAGCGGACGTCCCCGAAGGAAGAGATATCTTGAGATGGAATTCCGTCTATATGGTGGGGTTTCTCGACTGAGGCTCATGCTGCAGGCATAGCTCAGGCTCCACCAATTGGCTACTATTATTAGGTGTCTATCCGTAGAGTATTCTAGCTGGATATACCTTGGAGAAGAGGCCACAATATACGACATCACTCAACGAAGCCCGCACATGAAACATACCCCAAGTCGCGGCTGATACAAGGCAACTGCACTGGCAAGGCAGACGTCAAGTATACCAGCTACGGCTGCCGCCGTAGCAGCAGGTGAGATAGTCTGAGGAAATTGTAGAAGCAGAGTGCTCGCATTCAGTGCACTGTTGGGAGAGACAATTGATATTCTCGGCTGACCGGGAGGATTGATTCTAGCAATGTTGGGCATGTCTACCGGGCCCAGTCGATGATACCTACAGCAGAATCCCACAAGTCAATATCAACATGACGAAGGCGACCTCTGAGGCATGCTCCACGGTTTAATTAGTCCATTTACATGCGCAGAGCGTATGGTCAGTTCTTGAATATGCTTCTGGATGTCATGCATTCATATCACATTAACCTATCCCGAGGATAACAAGCTAACTACATCACAGAGCCGCCTTCGCACCCCCGTTGAAATCCTTATAAAATGCCTTTACATATGCCTCCGCATTGGAATTGCCTAAAGTCCCATTCTCCATACGGTTCATCGCATACGTAAAGGTGATTCCACGCTCAACATCAACAATGGCAATGGACCCTCCCCATCCACCCCAGAAGCACACCTTGCCCTCAGGAATCCAGTCCATACTACCATTCGGCAGCCCAAAGCCCATTCCCATCTTCAGCGGAAGACCAATCACAAGATCCGGCCCCTCAGCCTGCGTTTGCCAGATCAGGTCCACGGTCGAGGACTTGAGGAACTGCTTCCCATTCAAGGTGCCTCCATGCGTGATAATCTCAAGGATCTTGTTAAAGCCACGCGCGTTCGAAAACCCACCGAACGAGCCGACACCACAGCGCCGGAATTCCGGGGTTAACGTGTGTGCTGCCTCGATGCGACAGCCCCGGAAGGCGCGCAGGGCAATGTACATCGGGCTACCGGGCTTGGGCGGGTCCTTCAGCATCGCCGCTGGAAATGGAGCTGGGGAGACCATTTCTCCGAGGCGGGTCCATTCACGCTCATCCTGGAGTCCGAGGTGGAAGTCTGCATCGAGGGGCGTGGAGAGTTCATCGCGGACAAAGTCTGGCAGTGATTTGCCGCTGGCCCGGTGCACGAGTTCGCCTAGCAGCAGGCCCTGCGACATGAGGTGGTAGCCTGATGCGGTGCCTGGTTCCCACCAGGGCTTCTGGGCAATGAGTTTCTCGGTCGCGAGGGGTTGGTTTGCGAGCAGTTCGGAGACAGGGAGTTCGGGGTCCCACGAGGGGAGGGCGGCGGTGTGCCCGAGACAGTGTCGGACTAGGATGGAGCGCTTGTCGTCTGTGTCGAATTCGGGCCAGTATTTTGCGACAGGGTCGTCTGGGTGCAATTGCCCTCGGTCGATGAGGATCAAGACAGCCAGGGCTGTGATTGTCTTGCTGATGGACCAGACGGGGACGATGGTGTCGCTGGTCCAGGGCTGCGTGCGAGCAGGCGTGCTGTATCCGCCGAACAGGTCGACAGCGGTCTCGCCATTTATTGAGACACAGACGGAGGCACCGAGTTCAGCGCCGGATTCCAGCTGTTTGGCAAATGTGTCGCGCAGGCTGCTGAAGCGCGGGTCGCAGTGGCCTTGGACGGACATGTTGATGATAACGGATGTTAATAAGGACGCAGAATGAGGATGCGGGGACGATTAATATAAGCCGATCAGCTCGGCTCATCATTTCGACTTATGCTGACTTGTTAACCGATTGTACCTAGGCAGTTCTGGTCGCATGTGGATCTCCCCACCGTGGGTCTGATATACGGATACACAGGGCTTAACCAAGCATTCCCGTTGCCATTGAGACACCCAGGCTATAACAATTCGAGACAATATCAATACATGTCTAAATGGCGTTGGCGATTTGGCCCCAGGAACCCTCCGCATGACACACAGTCCCTGGGCCGATATCAGGAACAAAAATGTCCCTTTTCTATGCCGCTGCTATATTTCGTGTAGGTGTGTCTAGAAACAGCAGAGCAATAAAAGACATGCCGATCTTCCGACTTCTCTATTCTATATATCTATTGATATCTGCCCCTTCATCCTACAGTCCATGACGGTTCAAGATAGCTAACGCCTTCCCCGACGTTCTTCATACTTTTCTGTAACTGGGTATGGGGACACAGCGCCTCATTTAGTAGTTGCCCGATGGTATTTATTTCATTACGACACACGGGGAATGCGGAGATAAAGTCACTCCCGAGCATGGAGCGTAAGGAGAACGGTTCGAAAAGTTCTACAGGAGCTTGACATTCATGTTCTGACACTGCAGATGTAAGCAAGGCCTAAGCCTATCGCAGGGATATGCTGTGTAGCCCCAGGGCTATGCGTCATACAAGTTTGTGGGAGGATAGGTATATTTAGGCTACAGTTCTACTAACAGACCTGCTAAAAGGAATATCACTCAAGACCATTGTTATATCATTGCAGTTTTACCCAAAGGCTATGCGTGAAGCAAGTTTTGCCAGAGGGCTAGCATCGCTATATCGGTGCCGTTTTACCCAAAGGCTATGCGTGAAGCAAGTTTTGCCAGAGGGTTAGCATCGCTATATCGGTGCCGTTTTACCCAAAGGCTATGCATGAAGCAAGTTTTGCCAAAGGGCTGGCACATATCCCAGCTGACGCTTTACCAACCGTTCAATGGTAGGAAGTGTCACTGAGGGTCACTGGTATGTTGTTGCCGTTTTACCCAAAGGCTATGCGTGAAGCAAGTTTTGCCAGGGGGCTAGCAACCAATGGGACTTTGTATGGTCTTTCTATTCGAGGTTAGCTTAGTTGATCCACCATCTCTGTGTAGGCAGGTGCTCTTGGTGGGGAAAGGCTTACTTTTGATATGTTTGGAGAATTACTTATCCCGTTGCCGCAGTGAGATGGTCATTTTCGTGTTCGATGCTCCGATATCCTTTTGCTGCGGTGTGGGCAGCAGCTCATCCAGGACGGTCTCGCTGATCTGGAGAATGAACCCCACGGCGTATTGTGCCAGCGTTTCCATGTGGTCGGAAAGGTTTGTCCTGAACGGCCCGTACTGTTGCATTGTCATGAAAGATGGATTAGTCGGGTGTCCGCTCAGGTAGTCAACATAGCTGTCGTCGTAGCCGGCCGCTACCGGGAATATCTGGGTTTCGTCCTGCGCTATAAGTAGCCGTCTACGATAAATAGTTAGCACGCTGTGTTTGAGCAGGGGAGGGCTATTCTGACCTCTTTCCCAACGGCACCTAGCGTGGTATCGTCTCGTACATGATTCAATTGACCATGGCCTCGGTGCGAGTCGCCATTTCGGAGAGTTGGTGTTGGATCTTGAAGGCAAGCCGTTCGCTGCTCCAACCACAATGTCGACTCGTTGTGTTGATTGTGAGGGTACGACGAAAGAGTAGTAGCCTTTCATCGGCGATTTCGTCGTCATTTGGCCGCTCCCTTAGTTGGTTGAGATAATCGTTGTTCGACCCTAGGCTTTCTAGACACGCCGTCGAATCCGCCATTGTGCTGGGATGCGAGGCCGCGGACATCGATCGTTGTCGTGTATCTCTGGGAACTGACTGGTACAGACGATTTGGTTTTGTTCCTGGGTTGCGGTGGAATTCAGTTACCTGCCTGAATGTGGGATCCGTATACGAGCTGGAAAGTGCCTAGAGTATCTCGCGTGACTATTTGCGTTAGCGATATGCTTGACAAACATTGCAATGCGGCCATGGGCGGGCGTGTCACGGGCCTAACCAGCTGGTCATTATCATGAATTTGTAAGACAGCGCAGAGCCGGCGTCTGAGTAAACATTCAACTCCTTTCGCCGATGAGGACAGCGTAGGAGAAGAGAGAGAGTAGTCATGGAGGAGTGGGGGTCGGCCTCCTCAGGAGTTGGGTTGTCTCTGCGCTAGGTATCTGGTTAGTATTATCCAAATGTGAGATGATGCATTATTGACGCGTGAGTAAACATACAACTTGGTTCGCCGTGGAGGAAGGGAGGGCGGCCTCTGCAGGATTTGGGAGAGCGAGTGGGAAGAGGTTGACAATAGAGTAGAAGAAATGGTTCCTATGTATCAGAAGTAGTTCAACCAAATTGGATCCTCGAAGGGATCAAATATGGCTTACTTACATGTTTGGGGAGGGTTGGTAAAGGTTAGAGAAACAAAACGAAATCCTCGGGGAGGGCTGCTCTTTTTCTACGCGCGGTCCTGTTTACGTCCCAGGAAGGACCATGCCCGCCTCCTTCCTCTTTGGGAAGTGACTGTCTCCCTGGCACTGCCGTACCTTCCCGAATACTATTTGCTGTATTACACAGTATACTGCGTAATATACTTGGTCGTAAATGATGCTTTTATTCATTGAGGTCAATGCGAGCGAGCTAAATGTATAGACTCGTCCCATTGTCCTCGACGCCTGCTCGTCCCGGGTACTCGGAGAAGGGAGGGAACATGGTCTGAATAGCAAATACGCCTGTCCCTCTAATTAATCTATTATATACTCTTACTCAGATGCACATATAGCCCACATTCAGCAAGACTACCTCCACTGTTTAAGATAGCCAAGGCCTTCCCCGACGCCTCTGTATACTTCTCCACCCGCTCCGAACCACACATCCAATCCTCCAGTCTCTCGGCACGAATAAGACTCCGAAGGGGCTTCAAAAGGATATCCTCTTCCCGGATATCAGGGAGCGTATGCAGGAAATCCTCTGCCGCCGAGCCGGCCATAAGCTGGTTGTTACGCGACGCGGTTGCCGCCTGCACTACAGCCTTGAGTGTATTCTTGCGTTTTGCAGCGTAGCTCGACAGACACTTCTCAGCTTCCGAGGCCCTGAGGTTGGAGCAATACTCCTTGCCTAGACTGGGATTTACGCGGCGGAGAATATTCACGAAACACGCAGCAGACTCCATCGCCTGGTTGGCGCCCATTGCGGCATGAGGGACCATCTAAGTCTATTGGTATTCACCAGAGACTAACAGGGTATGCTGGTCTGAGATTTACCTTATGAGCGGAGTCGCCAAGTAGGAATAACCTCCCACAGAACCAATACTCTCCAACGCCCTCTTCCAAAGCCGTCATAACAGCAACTTCCCTCCGCGCAAAGATATCCGAGATACGTCCCGGACTGAGGTGACGCGCTTGGATGCGTAGACGTGCGTCTTGTCTTCGAGGCTGTCAAACAAGATCTTCAATACATCCTGGCGAGCCATGAAAAACGCGCCGTATCCAAACGTAAAAATTGTCAGCAAAGAGAAGCCAATAAATAGTGGACGCTGGATAGGGTGAAATACAAAGCAGGATAATTCCTCATAACAGACGTCCTTCTATAAAGCCTTCCAGACTCCCAATCGCGATGTTCCCACCGGTCATGGTCGACGGAGAACGCCTCGATCTTATCAAGCACGCCGAGCTGGTCGAAGATGCGAAGACCACTAGGCATAAGACCGAGACTGGCATCGGCATTTGGGGCGATTGTGTGATAGCCTTCGTAGAGGATGTAGGATATGCCGAGCATCTCGAGCATCTTTGCTAGGGCTAGGCCGGCGACGCCACCGCCGACGATGCCCACCGTGACGTGTTGTGGCATGATAAGCTGAGGTGGATTTTTTTAATTAAGATTAAACTGGATGGATTGTATAATTCAAAATAAAGTGGTATGTTGGAATGGATATACTGCAGTGTCTACAGGCATCTATATATGTAGATGAACATGACGTACGATTGTACCTGACGATATCAGTTCTTCAATTGGTGGCCGCGTGAATCACTTCATCTACGTCAGACGGTCTCTCGCAAAAATGTATCGACACCGATGTCAACACGGCCTCGGTGGTGGCAGTGGACCGAGCAGCGGGTGAAGCCATTCGGATAAGCCGCCGATCCCGCCCGCATAACTACCACGTCAACTAGGAAAGCAACATGTAAAGATAGCATCTTCACTAAGCAGGGATAAAATGCAATAAGCTCACATAATCTCGGACCATCTGGATTGGAGGCGTTTAATTTCCTTGCTTCAGTCAATATCCGCGCCCGACACAAGACAACGGCAAGTATAAACCTCCGCCCACGCCCCGAATCGATTGATTCAGTCCGAGATGTGAATCATGTCTATGACCTTGGCTACTTTGTATCTTGTTGTGCATATTCCGAGCTTGTATCTTGTATTGTCCTTCTTTCCTTGAGAATGATATCTCACTGATGTCTTAGGCAAGAGCGACCCCTCTGATGCCAGGCATTGTTGCTCCTTGCCGGTCAATCTGAGGTCCAACTCCTACAAAACCGTAAATTGCGAGGAAGCCGCGGAGAACTCGTACTGCCTAGTGCGTACTGCTTAAACGAATACCCATCGGTGGGGGAAGTCATTCCGGAGATGCTGTTAATCGGCTAAACGGGATGCCGAAGCGAGATGCCTCCCCGATGGCTAGATGGCTACGTAGCGATGGTATTCTCGAATATTGACACATAAGACATGGGATTCCTCTTCGCGTATTCTCGAGCGTTGAAACTCAACGATATTAGCTTTGGCTGTACCGTTGTGAACCGTGGCAGCAAATAACCCGGGGAGATATTTGTTTAATGTTCATAGTTAGAGAATGTTGCTAACCATCTACAACGCCCACCACATGGCCAGAAACGCCCGGCCCCCATCTGGAGCCCCCTTGCCGAATTTTCCGGTCGCGATATGAAGATCTTTACTAGATATTGGGCTAAACGTCGGACAATCCCGACTTGGAGAGCTGGGGAGAACGTCATGGCAACTTACCCGGGGGGAAAGGTCCACATCCCCGGCCTCTGTCACTGATTTCCGGCCCTCTGCAGGCTCGCTAAAGTGTAGTCGATATTATATCCGTCCTGTTGTATACATGATTGGCCCTGGCGGAAGATTGCCCACTGCCTCTCCAAACGGAGGTGGAGACACTGTCAGGCTCGGTGCCGTGTCCGATGTCTCTTTAAAGGCAGTTCACGCACTGCAGAGCCGCTCATCACGCCATCGAACCCTTGTCTGAGCAATTCACCATGCGGTCTCTCAATTTGCTGCTCTGGGCATTGTCCACTGGGGCATTCGCAGCGCAAAACCCTTTGAACCTGGGTAAGGGCTTCGCGCTAGCTGTGGATGACACTGCCAACCGGGTGTCGATCACACAGAACGGTCGGAGAATCTGGGAGACTGTTCCTGGAAAGTCTTTTGTCAGTGCCAGCGGCGGCGAGGATATTGTCACTGCAGCCAATGGTAATTTCAAGATCGAGGAGGTCGACCAGAATAAATGCACCGGCCAGGAGATCACAAACGTCGAACAGCGCTCGTGGAATGGCACCGTGAATGGCCATGCTGCTGTTATCCAGGGTAAGCTTACAGACTGCGGGGATGCTATTGTTCCATTCTCTGTTGCTTTCTGGGTGCCATCTCAGTCCCCTGATCGTATTGCATTTAATGCGCAGGTCAATGGTGGCTCTTCGTCGGACGCGGCTACGAAATTGTTTCTTACCTACGCCTCCTCGCCGTCTGAGGACTTTTATGGCCTTGGAGCCCAGGCGTCGTTTGCTTCTTTGAAGAACCAGTCTGTTCCTATATTCTCTCGCGAGCAAGGCGTTGGTCGCGGTGACCAGCCTACTACTGAGCTGAATAGCGAGGATGGGTTCTTTGCTGGAGGAGACCACTTCACTACCTATTCCGCTATTCCTCAGTATATTAGTTCTCATTCGAGAGTATTCTCCCTCACCGAGGAGAGCACTGCCTACACAACTTTCGACTTTACTGAGGCTAATGCTGTTACTGTCCGTTATGATGCCCCGTCTGTTGATGGCTACCTGATGCAGGCAGACAGCATGCTCGACGGTATTACCATGGTCACCGACTACACTGGAAGGATGCCTGAGCTGCCTCAGTGGGTCGATAGCGGTGCAGTTGTCGGAATCCAAGGTGGACAGGACAAAGTCAACAAAGTCGTCGAGCGAGGCCTCAGCCAGGGATGTCCCATTGCGGGTGTCTGGCTCCAAGACTGGTAGGTCTGAATCTACTGAATGAAATCGTTAACTAACATGAAAAGGTCCGGCACCCACGAGCAGAGCGTCTCGTACATGAGCTTGAACGTCTCTCGCCTGTGGTGGAACTGGGAGAACGACGCCAACCTGTATCCCACCTGGAATGACTTCGTGCAGTCCCTGCGAGACCGCCACGACATTCGAACGCTGTCGTATATCAACCCGTTCCTTGCAAACGTCAGCACCAAGTCCGACGGATACCGAAGCCATCTCTACCTCGAAGCTACGAAAGGGGGATACATGATCCAGAATGCTACCACAAACGGCACCTCCGTGATCTCCAGCGGCCCTGGCCTTGACGCTGGCATCATCGACCTCACCAACTCCGCCGGACGATCCTGGTTCCGAAACATGATGCTCGACCAGGTCTGGAACGCCAACATCTCCGGCTTCATGACCGACTTTGGCGAGTACACCCCCGTCTACCCAGACACCCAATTCGCAGACAAGAGCATCGACCCCTTCTTCTATCACAACGCATACCCCCGCGAGTGGGCAGCCCTCCACCACTGGATCGGCAAAAGCGTGCCCCAATTCAAAGACTCGATCCTCTTCCACCGCTCCTCATCCATGTCCGCAAACCGCTACCAAAACTTGTACTGGGCCGGTGACCAGGCCATTAACTGGGGCGTTAACGACGGCATCAAGTCGTCGGTCACTGTCATGGCTCACATGGGTCTATCAGGATACGCCCACGGCCACACTGAGATCGGCGGATACACCACAACCTGGAATAGCAATGGCGTCGTAAACCGCACTGCCGAACTGCTCGGCCGCTGGGGCGAACTCGCCGCCGTGTCCAGCTCTGTCTTCCGCAGCCACGAGGGGAACGTCCCGCAGGTGAACGCGCAGTCGTACACCAACTCCTCGACCTACGCGTACTTCGCCTACAATGCGCGCATGTTTGCTAGTCTAGGCAAGTATCGTCGGGCTATTCTCGATACCGAGAGTAAGAAGCTGGGCTGGCCGGTCCTGCGTATGCCTGTCATCTACTACCCGGATGACCCCAAGGCAAAGGCAATCAGCTACCAGAGCTTTTTCCTCGGTGCGGATCTTTATGTTGCGCCGGTCCTTGACCCTGGTCGTATGAGTGTGGAGGTTTATTTCCCTGGTCAGGGTCAGATGTATACGCATGTTTGGTCTGGGAAGGTGTACCGGGGTGGACAAACTGCAAGAGTTGGGGCGCCGTATGGCAAGCCGGCTGTTTTTGTGGTTGGGAGGCCGCAGCATGATCTCCTCCATGACTTTATGCAGTTTGTGAAGAAGGAGAATGGGACAGCTATTCGTGTTTAGGTATGAGACTGGCGCCGCTACTAATAGCGAAACTTCGTAAAGGGCTTATGTATATAGTCTGAATATCAGGAATATATAATTTTATAGAGTACGTGGATACCAAATCGCCGACTCGAGTACAAACTATCCAAAGAAAAGAAAAACGCTAAGCTGAACGCAGAAAAGTCAAGGGCGTCTTATTTGCGGGTTGTTATGCCACCCTTCCCATAGATCCCTGGGGTGTCGATTTAGGGGAAAGTTTGCTACCCCGTCCATATCGTTGAGTGAATTCATATGAAGACTCATCCGGACTCGGAGTAGGGGATGTCGAATGAGGCGCTGCTGCTCCATTTTCAGGATGCCGAAGGTAGACACTTGCAAAGTCGCGCGATATTTGTTGCACAGTAGCATCATTGAGATGGCCTCCCACCTGCCTCGATCTCCATCCGAGACCCTTGTTAGTCCCATTGATGATGTTGCCATCGGTGGAGACCATGAACTGTACAGCGTCACCCGTAGAATGGTTGACAATATTACTGACATTTTCTCGCATGCGCCGATCCGCTTTCGAGCAGATGTCGATGCATTGCCGGGTTGTCTCCCACTGATCCTTCAACTTGGATAGTTCCTCAATCTCCTCCTCGGAGGTGAGGACGGTCTTTGATTTTGCTAGAAGCCGCTCCCATACAGAGTTCATATGCTCGCCCAACTTGGCGGCCGTGGTATTGAGACTCTCCTGGCACTCTTGCAAGCCTTCGCTGACAACCCGCTCGGGGAAGGTGGTTGGGTCATCTTCCGATGCAGAGGAGGCGCTGCGATTCTTCAAGCTAGCAATCTCGCCGATATGCTGGGAGAGCTGGGTGCAGATTTCGAGGCATTTCTCGGTGCTCAGCCGCTCGTCTTTTAGTTTCTGCATTTCAGTCTCGTCTGGGTTGGCATCTTCTGTTGTCCTCTCGAGGATGAGCTCCATCTTTTCATCCAGACTTTCTAGATGGGCTCCGAGATCGGCTTTGGCGGTTTTGACAAGCTCTTCGTGGGCTTTGATGCTCTCGGCGGTGATGGATGACTTGCGACTGATATATATTAAAACCGCCCAGAAAAAATCGGCAAAAAAAAAAGGCATTCAGCTACTTACAGATGCGCATCAGCAAGGGCAATGCTAATTGTCAGTTTATATCCTGAAATCAACCCTCGAAACCCATTAATGTCGTCGCCCATGTATCGTAGCCTCGCCCACCCTCGAAGGCTGGTCTTGCCGCTGTCCGGCTTGGGTAAGCATTTCTTAATTTCCTTCTCGAGCTCCGAGCAGGCATTACCACACTGGCGCAGAGGAAACCTAAGGGCAGAGAGATCCACATCGGCATTCGCACTGATGGTATCCGTAAGCGGCCCCAGAACATCCACCAGGGCCTGGATTTCATCTAAGAGATCGCGGACTTGCTTCGGATGCGACTGGTAGCCCTTCACGGTGGTGTATAATTTTATGCTGGCGTCAAATGCAAAGGTCGATAACGTTAGGAGCCCAGAGGCGGCGCCGATAGCCTCTGCCATTGTGATGGCTTGCTGCTGCACCTGTCGCGGGAATGCGGAAGGCGGGGGGAAGCTGACATGGATGCAACGAACAGACAAGGTGCTGGCGGCTTTATAGCTTTGTCCGGCGCGTATTGAGGGCCGATGAGGCGTGTCGTGTAAGCGCCGGGTGCTGGCAGTGCAGCGTCTAGGGAAGTGATGTGATTGATAGACAGATCCAGCTCTCGAGAGACTGGCGGCCCGACATGGAGGGGTTGGCAGCGGGCCGGCCAATCACCAGCACGAGCAGCCCCGGCCCACCAGGAGAACCCGACATCCAAGTGATACAGTTGCCTTGTTGTTTGGGGGACGGTGCGATAGGGATAACAGCCTTGGCGCCTGTAATGTTTTATCAGGGCTTCAACAGCCTGGGACTGCCTCATCGTCCTGCGACCTCGACCTCTATGGATAGCGTGCCTGAGGCCACAAATCACTGATGCTATCACGTGTCTTGTCTCTCCAGTAGAGCAGTAAGAATGGTAAACACTATTGGGGAAATGCAAAGAAGAGCAGCACATACAAATAATTGCTGGGCATTCGAGTAATTTCTGTTGAGCTGTCATATCACGTACTATAAATAGCTGCCAGTTTGCTACTTGAATCCATATTCATTTGTCCAGTGTGGTGCTGCTTATTCTCTATTATATATAGTGACTCAGGTAACAGGTCAGATGGCCCAGGACAGCATCTCTGAGAGGTGGTGTTCAGGCTGATTCGCTAAAACCGATAAAGTTATATTTTACCTACATAGCCGCAGCTTCAAGCCGACTTGTAATTCTAAAAAGTTTAATTCCATTCAATTACCTCTATCTCAAGGGGCATACTTCCTGGGCCTCCCAATCATGTCTTTCCTTTACGGCTAAAAGAGTGTGGGAGCGGGTCTGTTTTCAAGCCTCTCGCGAGCAGAGGGAGATTGCCCAGCTCATATATTCATAATATATATATATATAAATATGAGGATGCCTACTACTTCACTTGTTTTTCGGGGACCACCCTTGCCCACGGGTGCTCCACGCGCCCGTACATCATATCACTCAACCATCCCTTAATCTTCCCCGTGATTTCGGCTGGTGTGCCATCGGGTCCAGTGGGGATTTTGATATCCTCGGTGCGGTGTCGGATCAACGAGATTGGTGTAATGAACCACTAGAGAGGTGTTAAAGGTGATTCAGATAGAGCGAGGAGGAACAACCTACAGCTGTGCCAGCGGCAAACGACTCCAAAAGCCGACCTTCTGCAGAGGCCTCCTGGAGTTCACTTATGGTGAATTTGCGCTCGGTGATCTCCAACTCATCCTTCAATCGTTCCCTCGCCAGATCAAGGCAACTTCGCCGGGTAACTCCATTCAGAATTAGCTGGTCATCTAATGGAGCTGTGATGAGCTCCTTCTTGCCATCCTTTCGTTGCCAAACCACAAAGAAGTTGCTCCCGCCTGCCTCGGTACAGTCGCCGTTAGGGCCATAGAGCCATAGAATCTGGTGATAGCCTTGACGATAGGCCTCTTCTGTGGCTTGCAGCGACGGGCCATAGTTGGCTCCAACTTTAGCGAAGCCGAATCCGCCAACCCAAGAGCGTACCACATCATCAGGATTCGTCAATAGACGCTTTCCGCCAGCTGGTGTATCCATACGACCCATGTATCCGATAATAATATATAAAAGAGCTGCTGTTGGCTTCGCTACACCGATCTGGGAGTCTGTGCCAATGATTGTCGGACGTATATATAAAAACTCCCCAGCGCGGCTCTCTGGAAGCCACTTGGGACCATCTACCGAGACCAATGCATAGATAAGCTTTTCCAACTCGTCCGGGCTAAACTGGGGAAGGGAGATTCGCTCGGCCGACATCAAGAGGCGCCGAGAATTGCGGTCAGTTCGAAACATTCGTAGTTTTCCGTCGTGGCCTCGATAGGCTTTGAGTCCTTCGAAACACTCGTAGGCATAATGAAGGCAGGAGGCCGTAGGAAGAAGAGTAAACGGTCCATACGGCTTCAGCTCCGGAGGGGACCAGCCACTGTTGATATCCCAAGACGCAGTGATCATATGGTCGGTACAGATTGTCTGCTTGCTCTTAGCAAGAGTACCGTGATCGGGCACCTCTCGGGGAGCGGTGGTGTATTCATATCTCAATTGAGATACGTCGAGTGGTTGGATAGCTTCCATAGCGGAATGTAAATTGAGAAGATGAAGCGAGCTATGGAAAGAACTGGTAGTGAAGGTAACTCGACACTTTCAACTCTTAAAGGCCAGCTCCTCGGGCCATGGCCTGCTTTTCACGCCACACCAAATATCGAGATCACCAAGTATAGCCAGGGCGTGCAGACACGCCCTACCAAGTGGGACCGGAGAGGGAGTGCACGCGCGAATAGTGGACCCGGGTGGCGCCTCTGGCCCAGCGTACAAAGCGCTGAACCGGAAGGATAGGAAAGAAACCTGAAGGATACGGAAGCCTAAATCATCACATTATTCTGTATCAAAGCTTATATATTGACGAATCAATGAACCCCTTTTCGAAACCTTCCTGCATGCCGTAAAACCAGCCGTCTTGTCATAGCCTTGATCATCGGAATATATCCATCACCAGACATCCACCAATATCTTTCAATATAAGTCTACCCGCAAGGTCCAGCCTGAAAGTCTCCCACCCCGGTTAGTTAATTAGAACTCAGTATATTTCTGGGGCCGTTGACTGCAATTCTATCAAGTTATTGCTAAACGCTAGGAAACTGTTGCGTATGAGTCCAAGGGCTCGGTGGGTCCCCACAGGGCGTGCCAAGGTGCATGTAGGGCGTTCCAGGTCCACTTGGACACATTATTTTACGGTTTCATTGTCGGATAACATCTATGGGCTGCAATGAGAAGGGGTTTTCCGTACTGTAGTCGATTCAGGCAAAAGGCCTGCACAGGATTTATAAGGCGGAGAAAGGACGCTATCTGCTATAATGGTTGAAGATTCCCTTCCCCCTTTACACCTTTGTATTCGTCACCTGTGCCTTATTGCAGCAGCCATACGCCGGCCGTCATGGTCTCCCAAGAAATTGCAACTTCAGAGACTGAGATATCCCCACCATCTGTCAAGAAAGCGACGGAATTTTCCCCAGTAAGCTGAGCCCTTCCACTTTAATTTGGGCACGCTCTAACAGGTCTATCGATTCACAGCTAAGAAAGAAGCACATTGTGCTAGCAGGCACCTTATTTTCCTTTAATGGCTCCCTCGGTGCTTCACTTCCCTCCGGAGCTTCATCATCCATTGCACAGGAATTCCAGCTCTCTGACAATGATACCCGCATTGTTCTTTTAAACTCACTTTATCTCCTCGGTTTCATAGTCGGTCCATTGCTCTTCGGACCCCTGAGTGAATGCGTTGGCCGTCGACCAGTCCTCATTGGGACGTATATAGCATTTGTACTGTTTACCCTCGGATGTGCTCTATCGCCCACGTTTGAATCTCTCCTCGTCTTCCGGTTTTTCTGCGGAGTAAATGGGTCAGTCCCCAATGCCCTTCTGGGTGGGCTGTACAGTGATATCTACGATGATGCCGAGCAACGCGGTACAGCCATGTCCATTTTCATGTTCACCGGCATGGCCGGCCCAATGGCCGGGCCTTTGGTCTCCGGGGTCATAGTTCTACTCACTTGGCGCTGGGTATTCTGGGTGGCTCTGATTACTGCCGGGGCCTGTGTCCCATGTATACTGTTGCTACCAGAGACATATCTCCCTGTCCTTATCCAAAGGGCGCAGTTGAAGAGCTCTCTCAACCCGAGTGCTGGCCAGCCGAATAGGGGACAGGAATTTTCAGCAAGAAAAATATTCATTCGGCCGTTTGTTATGCTACTGACGGAGGCTATTGTTGCATTCACCTCTCTGTACCTTGCAGTCATCTATGCGGTGCTTTTCTTGTTCTTCCAAGCTTACCCGGTCGTCTTTCAAGGTACGCTGAACTCCAACGAAAATCTCTGCTTTACAATTACATTGAGTTGACCAACAAAGGGTTGTATGGTCTTTCTGTCAGCGAAAATGGGCTGGCCTATATACCCAGTACGTAATTCTTCGTTTTCTTATCTTTCGCTTGAGGCTTGTCGGCTCTCGTTACTTCTAATACTCAACGGCTGATTCAATAGTGATTTTCGGTTCCTTTGTTGGCCTCTGTGTTGCGCTGGTATATGCCTCATTCCATAGCAGGCCCTAGAATCAGGGAAATCCTGGGCTTCGGTTGAAGAATACCGCCGACTTCCACTGGGATGTATTGGCGGCTTTTCGTACGTACAAGATACACACCCGAATATCCACTGCCTAACAATTCTTGTGTCCGCGCTAACGAATACAGAATAGCCATTGCTCTTTTCTGGCTCGGCTGGACCTCTTATGAATCCATCCACCCAGCTTTGCCTATGATGGCCGGTGTATTCTTTGGTTTCGGATATCTGCTAGTATTTAACGCCATGTTAAACTACCTCACAGATGCTTATAAAGAAGCTTCGGCATGTGCCCAGGCAGCAGCTAGCGCTACGAGAGCTATAATGGCAGTCGTCCTGCCGTTTGCTGCGAACCCCATGTACACTAGATTAGGGATTCACTGGGCGAACTCGCTTTTGGGGTTCTTGGCGTTTGCTCTGGCCTGTATACCGTTTGCTTTTATTCGGTATGGCCGGTTGATTAGGCGGAAAAGTGGCGCCGCGGTTGAAATGATATGAATAGATCTCAGCTTTATAAAATTCCAGGTTGAAAGTATTCCACCGCCTGTTATTGAGGTCCAGATGGGTTTGAAGTCGCCGGATCATCCGGCAGCTGCTGAAGAGAACCATCACCGGTACTGCTCTGCTCTCCTCGAAACTTGGCCAGCCATTCCAGATTATCAGCTATGGTTTGGTTCCACTGGTCTTCGGAATCGAATGCTAGACGCCTTGCCTCTACCTGAAACATTTCGTCCGTAGGAACAACCCCGCTCGTCATCATCTGTCGTGCGTAATGGCTTAGATGACGAGTGAGTACTTCAGTGTAAGAATCCAATTGGGGCTCTGGGACTGGCTGCAGCTCCGCCTCTGGAGCATCCGATTCTGGAAGCATTTGAAGTTCCCCTGCTTCGTTGACAAAGCTGGCCCGGGAAAGCATTTGAGAAAGATGATCATTAACAGCACCGTTTGTGGCGGAGAAAGGGACAAAAGTCCGGGATTCAAAGTCAAGGAGATACGGAGGCACGCTGTGTTTGACCTGTACGGCGATATCTGGTGGAAAATCATGGTCACCATTCCAGTGGGCCATTGTAAAGCCTTGACGGAAGTGGGCCGTTAGATGATCGGCTCGCTCATCCCAGTTGAACATCCGACTGTCGCAGAATCCACAACGAGAGGAGAAGTCTGTTACCACCTGTTTCCAGTCGTCGATGAGTGGCATGGTGTCGAGATGGTGGAAAAGGCGCAAGTGCTGGACCAGATGGTCCTTTCGGCGAAACGTCCGCGTATGTTCCTGACAGGGTCCATAGTTATGCTGCTCAAGGTGGATGGGTGTTGGATCTAACTGATTGCAATAGGCGCAATGGACGCGACCTGTTGATGGTAATACAACTGAGCCTCCAAATGGCGCACAGGTCCAATTCTCCAGGTTGAGATGGAGGGACTTCTCATGGCGCATCCAGTCATATTTATTCTTGAATTTATCGCAGCAGAATGTGCAGCAGAATATTCGAGGGTTGTTAGCTGCAGTTCGTTTCCTTCTGCTAGTGTTGACCGGCTTCTTTCGAATTCCAGCAGATGACCTCTCTGAAGATAGTTGACTGCCATTTGATAGACCAGACAAGTCAGATCGGGTTGAGCGACGAGAGGATACACTGGTAGCACTTCCACCACTTGTAGTTGATTCCGCGCGGCGATGGTTTTGGAACAAGCCGTCCACCACAGAGTCAGGAACGCGCCCTCGACATCCGGTGGCGTAAATCGATGGATTTTCAAGGGCATTCTGAATGGCCGATAGACTGGCTGCTTCGGCTTCAGGGGGGGAGTTCTTCCAGCGCTCCAAAGGGTCCACAGAAGCTGAATTCGATGATATGAAGGTAGCAGTTGTTTGTCGGTCTATCTCTTGGATCAGGTACCGGCTTTTTCGCCGAGGAAGTCCTCCGTGGACTCGTCGGGGGTGCGTTGGTAAAGGTGGCGTTGATGCGAAGTCTCTGTTCTCATTGTTTGGCAACAGGCCTGGTGTGACAGGCGACGATGGATTGCCAGGATATACTCGGTCTCCTTGACTTTGTTTGTCCGAAGGCGAAGGCTGTAGGAATGCATAGTTTGTCAAGTCAGGGTAATGACTTAAGCCATCAGTCGGATTTACCGGGATTCCATGCGCCGGCGAGTTGTCAAAAGATAAAATAGTAGGGTTGACGAAATCGTTGTTTGTTGGAATGAATTGCCCCGTATGCTCGTCGGATGTGTATGTATAGTCAACACATTGAGGGGAGTCGGGTGTCTCGCCAACCCCAAGGAGCGGGCCATTAGCGGCGAGGTTACATGGGAACTCGTAGTGCGCTGATTCTTGTGCTAAACCCGTATCTTGCGACTCTTGCCTGCGGGCAGCCATCTTTCCAAGGCAGTTGCTTCCCTCCAGATGCGACGAGACGAGCAGTCGTGGTGACGCCAAAGAAAATCGAGACTGGAAAATGTGCTGGCAACGACGATGACTCAGCGATAGGGGTCACGAGATTGCTAGAGGTGACATTTGCCACCTATAAGTCGGTCTCCTGTCTAGGGGCCATTCTTACATCCTGGAGTATGACAAACAGCCAAACACCCCTTTCCAAGTTCATCAGTATTAGTTAAATTTATCGATCAATAATGTTATTAGTATTTTCTTGTAGACGCTAATCCGCTTTCAAGCCGATATCAATGCATTGCCGGCTTGTCTTGTACTGGTCCTTCAACTTGGATAGTTCCTCTTCTTTCAGGCTGAATGAACTCTGACCAATCTTGTCCTCACGGCAGCTCTTCTATAAACCGTCAACCTGGAGGCAAGGGGGCTTACAATATGCGCTTAGTCGCCTCAGCCTCGTCGCCAGGTCCCAAAAACCCACGGTCGCCTCAGTTTTCTATTTTCTACTCCTGTTTTCTACAATGTCTTTCTCGATCATGGAGCCTGTCGCGCCTGAGCAACCAAACAAGGCAGAGTCTCAAACCCGTGCCACGCCCCAAGCGTCGACATGGAAGAAGGCGAGAAGTTGGGCGGCTTCAGTACAGGACACCTGGGTTCCTGAGGGTGTTGCGATTGGCTTCAGCGTCTGCTGCTTCTTTGCAATATTTGGCATTCTTCAAGCATACAACCAGCAACCTTCCCCGACATTCCCGCATGGATTAACCCTCAACGCCATTGTTTCGGTCCTCGCAACTGCGTCCAAGGCGTCCTTGGTTTTGACCGTCGCCGAATCGCTCGGCCAGTTAAAGTGGATCCGATTCTATAAGAGCAAACGAGAACTGTGCGACATGCAATCAATGGATAATGCTAGTCGAGGGCCTCTTGGTTCCCTCAAGGTCATGTTCGTGGACCGAGGTTGCTCCCTTGCGTCTCTGGGCACTTTGATTATCATTCTGTGTCTAGCTTTTGATCCCTTCATGCAACAGATTTTGAGCTACCCCGTTCGTGTGCGACCAAGTCCGAATGAGATGGCGGGCGTCCAGAAGGCAAACATCTTTTACCCCAGTGAGATCCTGAATACTCTGTTCGTGTCCATTTGGTCAAACGCGGATAGCTTCACCCTAATGGACCCAACGTGTCCCTCGGGGAATTGCACCTGGCCGCTTTTCGATTCCGTTGGGTTATGTTCCAAATGTGGCGACGTCACTTCCCAGGCCATGCTGACCGGTTGCAACATGATGCCTATTACCTCCAATAAAACCGAGTCCATGGCGATGCCGTGTAATGTCAGCCTGCCTCAAGGAAAAGCCTGGTCTTCTCTAATTCAAATAAATCGCCTTCCTCCGAACACATTCTCCAATGGGGGTGCGGGTGGGAGCATGAGCAGACCCGAAGACGCAGTTGAGATTTTGCACCCCAAAAACAGTCTCTGGCTTCTGACAGACAGAGACTTCCCAATCAGTAATGAGACCTTCCAAGGGGTGATGAATCCACTTATGGCGTGGGCACTCGCGGAGATGGAACCGAGTGCAAAAGCATCAAGCTACTCTGCTATTCTCGACCCTTCCAATCCCCAGAAGTTACTAGATATCCATCGAGTAACCGAGTGTATCCTTACACCTTGTTCGCGAAAGTACAATGTGACAGTGACAGGTGGTATGCAGTCGATCGATGTCCAATCTATGAACCTTGGAGAGCTCTTTGTGTTCAAGTCACAGAACTCAATAGCCTGGAGGGCGAAGGTGGGCGAGCCTGTTCATATGAAAATGGTGGATCCAGCGCATGGTCTTTGGGTCGATCAATCAGTTCCTGCATTCAACGACGTAGTGGGACTCAGCGCATATCTGCATGATTACTTGCAAAGTAATGATAGTGACTGGAGGCTGCTTTATGCAGACGGAGAAGCCGGCGTTACAATGGATCAAAGGAACCTGATGACCGAAAATATCGACCGAATTGTCAAGATTGGACTGGAGAGGGTCATCAACAATCTTGCCACCCTGCTAACCAAGTCTAATACTAATGAATGGGGTAAACAGGTCAATGGCACAGTGGGCATCTCCGAGGTTTACGTCTCCGTGGACTGGCTCTGGTTCATCCTACCTGCCATTATTCTCGTACTGGGAATTATATTCTTTGTCTTGACAATCCTGGCAACCAGGGCGCAGAATCTCAGCCCCTGGAAGACCTCTATTCTCGCTGTTCTATATCACGGCCTTGATCATGATAGCCTTCACAGTGGAGATCACTCGTGCTTGAGTGAGATGGAGCGAACTGCCGAGTCTGTTCATGTTAGTCTCGGGCTCTCTCATCGAAACAACCGGCTTATACTACGAGCTCATTCTACATCCACCATTTCGCCTTCGGATGCCCAGGATGACACGGCGTTTTCGCCCAATTCCCCGCAGTCTTTCCGGAGCCGTGCGTCCTCTACGAACCATGGAGTGGAGTAATCGGAAACTCCCCGTGGTAGTGCATCTTCGTTGAATAGCACAGGACGTGAACCTGAAGTACAGGAAATTACTGGATGATCATTTAAGTCGTCTAGATTATTGATTCTTGAATATTTATGGGCTGTTACTCAGAGACTATTCCACTGACTGGCGTCAATGAAATTATATATGTCCCAGAACACTAGATACATCTACATGGGTCTTTTCGCGTAAAGCTAAAGCAGTGATAACAGTTCAATCCTACCACAGACAAGCATCAAAGGTTTCGATATTCCACTTGCCTTTATCTTTATCCGAGACGCTTGTTAATAGGAATCAATTATTGTTTCTTGGGGAGTGAGGAATTTGATAGCCAAATTATTAGTCCGTACGCCAAGGAGACCCTTTTGAGTGCAGTGGCAACATAAGCATTATCTTGAACCCATCTCGAAGGCGACCAACCCCTCCAGTGTGTGACTACACCCGCCCTTTTATCTGGGGATGGCAGACAAGGGATTTGTACGAAGATCGCACGTTTAAAACCAACGGCCACTGGGTTGCCAGCCCCGAGATTGAAAGCCCATCTGGTGAATATCCGCACATGATTCTTTCAATCCACCATGGAGCAAAAGGACATAGTAGGTCTCTGACCAAGGGAGAAGTCAAGGTTGCTGTGCGGGTCCTCCAATTCCGGCATAATGACCCGTTTTTGAGTAAATTCGACATCTTGCCGGTACGTGCCTTACCCTACTCTGCAGCATCCCAGGCTCATGAATGGCAGGTCCTGATAATCTCGTACATGGCGTCAAAGCATGGCAGGATTCTGCAGGCCTATCATAACGGTGAGAGAAATGTGTTGCAATATTCACCGCTGATGAGCTTTGAGGAGGAGGCGACTGCGCCTGTTTCCCTTTTTTCTCGATATGAAGTCAGTCAGCCCGTCGGTCCAACGTCTAGAAGACCCTGTATGTGTCCCCACCATGCTGAACAGTAGCATGGCTTCATGAGGACCTCATCTACTATGCCAGTCTGTGTTAGGCCACCAGTTCAGCCATAGTACTTTGGCTACCTAGCAGGGAAGCCCCTGCTGCCACGGTCAGGTGAGGGTAGCACCAGGGATCAAATTGCTTGTGTGTTTAGATATTCTGAAAGCGGTTGAAGTTATTTGCCCGCCATATCACGTTTCCTACACTCATTTACCATACGGCTATCATCATCTTGCCGCGATAAAAGTTTGCTCGTTTTTAGCTTCAATTTGACACGATGGACTCACTCGATCGCTATAGGGATACGTATCGTAATTCTGACTACCAGATTACCTCTGTAATGGCTAGAGGCTCTCGCTCCTGCTGCCTTTAGAGCAATGGGGTGTCCCTGCCTGTTTGGGGGTGCACGCTGAGGGCCTGCCATAACTAACTCCCCTCGTCAGCAGTATTCTTTACACCCTCAAGCAATCTCAGTAACAGCATTCCAAGCAAATAGCTATTGAACACGCTTTTAATATACCTTGTCTTTATACTCGAACTTCCAAACGAAATGGCGAAAAGAACCCAACCTGATTTGTCGGACTCCAGCGACAAGGCGCCGGCACCCAAGCAACAGTGCCTGCAATTCGAGATCCCAGAATCGATATCTCAGTGGAAAAAGCAGGCCGAGAGCCTCAGAGTACAGAACACGTCAATAAATCAGATGGAGACCCTCCAATCTGGTTCCCGTGTCGTCAACGAGCAGCACCTATCCTTCCGGGTAGTCTGGCCGACATGCAAATCGATCAAGAAGATTCAGATCCCTAACCAAGCGAAGGCCAGGGAGATTCTTAAAAAGATGGCCGGATTTAAAAACTTTCTTGACCATATTGCTGACAGAAATGATGACTCCCCGCGACATACTCTAGGCACTTTCCAGCTCGTACGCGAAGCCCAAATTCAGGCAGGTAACTGGATGCCACCACAACCCAAGGAAGCCCAGGGCCAGAGCCAGATCTTTATGTCGCAGCCGACTCCCACAGGTACACGACAACGATCGATGTCTGCGGCCTCGCATCCCAGCGCAGTGGCGGCTTCTATAGCCTCTCTAGAAAGCCTAGGGTCGAACAACGATTATCACAACCAGTTATGGGAGCGAACAAACGACGGGCAAATAGTGAATGAGGCACTACTACTATTCCTTCGTGCCTTCACAATCAACACACTAGGTAGCCGTTGTAGTTGGAGCAGCGAACGGCTTGCCTTTAAGATCAAATACCACCGCGCCGAAATGGAGTCTCGCAGGGACGGCTATTTAGGGCTATGCGGACATGACAAGAACAAGGAAGCATTCGTTATCCTCGAAGCTAAAGGCCAGGGTCGGACTCGGAAGGGGGCTGGTATGTCGGTCTATAAACAGGAATCTGCCGAGATGGTCAATTGGATCATGCACGACGAGAAGACACCACGCCAAGTACCGTTGGGCAAGAGGTCAGAAAGTCCTGGACCCGTGCTAAAACAGTTCGACTTACGTTCTCTCTTGGCCTTCCGGGGGGGGGTACTCTTTTATTCTACGCGTGGTACTGTTTACATGCCCAGGGAAGGGCCATGTCCGTCGTCTCCTAAATGTACAAAGTCCGAGTTCTAACCTCTGTTAACTATGTGTCCGTGGCAACCTGTCGTACTGCCTCTTCGGCAAGAAGCGATGCACCTCCACGCTCATCACTGTCTCCCTGGTTACCGCCGTACCTACCTAAATACTATTCGCCATTCCATAGAGTACTCCTGCTACCGCTCGCATACACTGAGCCAGGGAATATGTTTTTGCTGGGGTCAATAGGAGCATTTCAGATATATAGAGTCATCTTTATTGTTTTTGATCCATTGTCCGTGTGAAATTTGGCCGAGTATCCGGGACAGGGACAAGGAGACGGAATAGAATATAGTCTTAATAGCAAATACATCCGTTCTTTTTTATTACTGTATTATATACCTTTATTGATATTCACCTTGCAGCCAATAATCGCCAAGCCTCCGTCCACTGCCGAAAATATCGAAAGCTTTGCGTGATGCCCCTGTATACTTCCGTCACCCTCCCTAGAACCACACATCCAATCATCAGGTATCGGCACTAGTAAGGCTTCCCAACAGCCTCAAACCCATATCATCCGCTTGTATCTGCGGCATGAAATACAGGAAGTTCTCTGCAGCCGGACCAACCATTTGCTGGTTATTGCAGGAACCCTCTGGACGTCCGAGGCCTTGATATTGGTTCAGTTTTCGTTTCCTAGACTGGGCTTCGTGCGGCGGAGGCTGTTCGTGAAACAGGCCGCGGGTTTCATCGCTTGGTTTGCGCCCATTGCGGCATGAGGAGCCATCTAGCTTTAATTAGCATTGGGCGGCGTAGCAAAGCTTAGGCTTTGTAGCCCCTACCTTGTAAGAAGGGTTTCCAAGCTTGTAGGCTCTGCTTTCCACTCAGCATCGCTCTCTTTCTGCTTCTTCTTTGCAGCGAAAGCTCGTGGCTTCTTGCAGCCCGTTATGAGTTCATTGGCGAGCGGCGTGTAGATAGATCCGTAGGCCCTGATGACCTCTTCGAAATAGTGGAACCCGCAGTTTAGTTCCCAGACGTTAGCAATGATTTTCATTCCGGGGTAGCAGCGTTCGAGAAGCCGTTCTTCCAGGAAAAGCGTGAATTCCTGGACTGGAAGACCATTCTTCATGCATGCTTCCCGCTCCTCTGGAGAAAGATCGTACTCTGGCTCTGCTGGGTCGTGATAGACCCTGCCAGATAGAATTCCAACCGGGTGAAGGTCAGGTGCCTGGCCCTGATGGAACTTCCACGTGTGGTCCTCGAGGACAGGTGTTGGGAGCTGAAATCTATTATTCGTTAAACCCTTGCCCTATTAGGCAGCTGTTATACCTAATAAAATATACTCTAGTTACTTTAAAGCTATGGATGTCTTGCAGCTTCTTTACTATAAGTGTACCTAAGACACCCTTATATTAAAATATAGAAGCAATATTATCTATCCTAGTAATATCTAAACCAAACCTTATAATCTTCTGGATAATCTATCTAGCTATATAGACCTTATCATCCCGCAGGCTTTTCCACTAATTATCCTTAATATATATCCTATGCTTGAACCTGCTGAATATAACTAACCAAGCTTTATTAAAGTTATCTATTCCTTTAGCTATGAGCTGCTGGTTCTTCTATAGCTTGTTAATAGTAATATTTTATAATTTCCTTACCTTGTTAATATAGGATTTGACATGCTAAAGAAGAATATAGTTAAGACATGGATATCTAGGAGTAGTAAAGTTAATAAGGTATAATTCTATTAAAAGAGTTGATTTATACGTGGTTTAAAGGAGGCTTATCTATCTACATGTAGATAGCTTCATGGCTAGTACGCCATCTGTATCATAGCTAAACTCATGGGTGTAGGAGTTGCTGTCCGCGGATTCTAAAACGGCTAGGTCAACAAGGTAGGTCTCGGGCGGACGTAAGGCGCTTTGACGCGTGAACGGGTGTTTTGTTTTAGAGACTGTCCGAGAAAAGCTTCCTTGGGAATGAGATGGATCATTGATACAGGTTGAGGCAGGATGTTCGTTGACACGAGCGCCAGGATCCGCCGTCTGTGTCAGCGTCATGTAGAACAGGAATAGCTGGAGTTAGTTTGTGTTAACTGAATGTGTTCCTGCCTGTTAATACGCTCCTGCTGTCCCTTCCTCTTTGGGATACCCGCCGACTGCCTCCTCCCGTTGTAAACAATCTCCCCCCTCAACCATCTCATCATCTCTCATCTCTCATCCCATCAAGCATTGAGCTATCGGGCACGCTATTCGATATATTATAAGCGACCTTGAACGATATTACCAAGTAACCGGGGTCCTTCCCCTTTACCAACCATCCATCTCAAAAACAATGTAAGTCTATCATGCGCGATGCCTTTCTGAGGGATCCAGTTTGGTTAAACCAGTTCTAAATATTGCACACAGGCAATCTCAGAAAGCGAACGCAAACCCCTCCACCTCCGAACCCCAAACTTCTGAGGAGACCGCCCCCACCTCCTCTATGACTACACGCGTTTCTTCTTCTCGGCCCTCCCGCTTTCCTGAAGTGGTCGCCGTCGCCTCCTCATCGGCGAACCAGGTTGTATGTAACACGAGTGCCAATATACAAGTGGACGATACTGACCAACTGTTTAACGCCCAGATGCCGCGAGTGCCCCCGCCGTTCCCCCCGCCAGTGGCCCTGATCCGGCCGCAATTTGGCTAATGGCCATTTTAGCCACCTGTGCGGCCTCGCTTCCCGTGTCAGCAACGAGCAGCACGTATCTTTCCAGGTGGTCTGGCCGAAATGCAAACCAGCCAACACGACTCAGCAGTAGTTCGGAAAACCGTGGATGGCAATATCGTACCCTTATCCATGTAGCACGAATTAAAGGACTGTGGTAGTAGCATAATAGATACAATTCCGCTTTATTAATCATAATCCTATTTCAGTAAGTCAGTAAATGCCTACCCATGGCCATATCGTATACACATTGGATCCCACAAGTTATACCCTGAAGGACGACTGCTCCAGTGCATATGGATTTCCTCGTTTCTTGCCAGAGATTCGAGAAGAGGGTACCAATTTGAAGCTGCGACAGAGCCTTGTTGGGGCTGAAAGACTGGGCGATTTATCGTTCGGAAGGGGTGAACAAGTATGCGGAACCGTTGAAGGGGGTGTTGGGTATCCTAAGGGCCCCTGAGGAATATAGGCTGCGGGGTGGATCTCATCACAGATATAGAATACTGTAATAGCAAGGGACAGATATATTAGGTATTAAGACTATATTCTATGCCTTCTTGTCCCCGTCCCGGAAACTCGGAGAAATTCCACACGCACCAGGGATCAAAGGCAAAGACGACTCTACGTACCGGCGAGCTCACATTGGCCTCAGTAATAATACACTCCATGACCCGGTGTTTGCAAGTGGTAGCAGGAGTATTCTACCTAGATGGCTCGACGCTTTGGGGCCTCGCATACGTTCGATCCAGCTACCGCACCACGAGCCGGCCAGCAATAGAATATGGGTAGGTACGGCTGTAACCAGGGACGCAGTGACTTGCCGAAGAGGAAGTACGATAGGTACAGCTACCATGGAGACATGCTTAACACAGGTTAGAACTCGGACTTTGTACAGCTAGGAAACAACGACCATGGCACTTCCCTGGGAAATGCAAACAATGTTTAGAATAAAAGCGTAGGGGACCCTGGAAGCTTCATATTTGTTTATCTCTTGTTTACCAAACAAAACACCGCAATGTAAGTATACCTTGTTCGATCCTTTTTGAGTGACCCAATTTTGTTGAATCAGTTCTAAATATTACATATAGGAACCGTCCCCCCAACTCCATTGACAACCTCTTCCCCCCCCCCCCCCCTCCGCGGCGAACCAAGTTGTATGTTTGCACACCCGTCGATTATGCGTTATCTCATGGATGGCACTAACCAGATATCTAGCGCCTAGAAAGCCCCTCCCCCCCAGACACATACGATGGGTCCGTCTACGACGACGTATGTCCTATATGGCGTGTATAAAACCAAATGGTGTTCAAGATGCTAACGATATAATCAGCCGGAGGAAGTCGCCCCCGCCCCTCCTGCGCCGCAGCCTGCCCCCCCTGCTGCCCCGGCTACCCCGGCCCTCACAGCCCTCCGACTGCTGGCCGTGCTGGCCATCCTGGCGGCCTTGTCCGCCCCCGCCCGTCCCCATAATCGCCCCCAGGTATGTCGTACGAAGCATGGATAATGGTTGATATAGTGCAAGTTTCTAACCATTTGTTTAGCCTCGTGCAGTCCCGGCCAGTGGCGCCCTCACCTCGCCTTCTAAGAAGGCAAAGAAAGAGCGTAAGTACCTGTGATATACGCATACTGCTGTAGTAAGCCCCTGATGAGTACTAGCCCGGGGCAAATGCCCCAAGCCCGGCTGCGGTGGCCTCTCGCACGAGGGGAGGTGTATCCCCTACTGTAGGGGTTGTAGGCGCCGCCACAATGGGCCCTGCAATGGCCGCAAACGCGGCGGTGGTGGTGGACGTGGTGGGGGTAGGGCAGGAGGAATTGTTATTTATAACTATTATTAATGTATAATTAGTTAGTTATATTATAAACCCAAGAAGGACTTGAAGCCAGACACTCCCACTGACATGTCTTCCTCGTAGTGCCGTTCGCTGTACGAAGAATGGACATCGCCCGGCATAAGTTACGACCAGCGTCGCAATCCCCTTTCGATGAGAGGGGGGTAGTCTGGAAGACCATGAACGGGATGGCTATATGGTATCTCCATAGAGAAATAGTGGTGCCATGATAAGTGGAGTTCACTCTACGTCGTATACCAGTATCATGTCGCAATATAGCGCAGCAACCCCGAACTCCGAACGCCGAACTCCTAATGTCTCCCACATCACGCAAGCGGTCCAATTAGATACCCTTTGTTTCCAATTTTTATTAAATTTCCAGATCGTCTACGGCAAGGCTGTAGTCCGCCAGGGGTGTATAAAACCCCACCCAAGCAACCAGACTTCTGCGTTCTCCGCATCCTCTGACCCCCAACAACTCCTACACCGCAGGGCCATAGACAGGTAGTATATCTGGAAAAAGGGAAGTCACTATATGACCACAATGGCAGATACAATTCTCCCAGTCCCTAACTCCACAAAATCATACTGGCGGAGCGAACCCCACTGGCTGGATGAACACCGCTCAACTACACACCTACCGGCTGAAGCAGACATCGTTATCATAGGCACCGGTATTGCTGGAGTGTCTACGGCCTACCACCTGGTTAATAATGTCGATACCAACAATGATACATCAAAGCCATCCATCCTCCTCCTCGAAGCCCGACAGGTCTGCTCCGGAGCAACAGGTCGCAACGGCGGGCATATCAAGACGTTACCCTCGAAGATAGGAGGTCTTATCGCCGCTCATGGTAAATCTAATGCAGAGAATATTGTTCAGTTTGTCCGGGCAAATATCTATGCCGTGAAACGGGTTATTGAAACGGAGCGTATCGACGCCGAAGCGGAATTGAGGCGGAGTTTCGATGTACCGTTGACTGAGGAGGATGCCAGCGTTGTCACGAGGGAGTTTGAGGAATTGCTGCAGGATGGGTTCCCTCTCATGCAGGATGTTTGGTATGTTGGGGAGAGGTTTGCAGAGCGTGTATGTCCCCTGCAGATTTACAGTTGACGGGGGCATAGCTGACGGCAGTTTCATATACCAGGTCACGTCCATCCACGGGGCAAAGGCTGGTCTCAGCACGCCTGTGCTGTCACTTTGGTCGTACAAATTTGTGACCCAGCTCCTGGAACGCGTTTTGGCTAAAGGGAATGCGAACCTGCAAACAAACTCACCAGTCACTGGGATTGAGACGGCGCATGACGGGAAAGGATATTCAGTCAGGACCGATCGGGGAGAAGTCAAAACCTCAACTATTGTGTTCGCGACGAACGGGTATACAGCAGGCCTATTGCCGCAGTATAAAAACGTTATAACTCCCATCAAAGGGACTGCGTCGCACATTACAGTCCCACCAGACTCTCCACGCCCACCGCCGTATCTATCGAATACGTACAATATCCGCTATTCTCCCAATCGCGTGGACTATCTAAATCCACGGCCCGACGGGAGTATTGTCGTCGGAGGTGGAAAATGGACATACGAGGCGCAGAGGGATCTTTGGCATAACGTTTATGATGATTCTACGCTGATTGAGCCGGCGAGACACTATTTCGACGGGCTCATGCAGCGCCATTTCCGGGGGTGGGAGGATAGTGACGCTACAACAGAGAGTGTTTGGACGGGAAGTAAGTACATATCTCCTTTACTGGCTGGGCGTACTGCTAATACTTGGAAGTAATGGGTATCACTCCAGATGGCCTGCCGCATATTGGCCGAGTCCCTGGGATGCCCGGTCAATATGTGCTTGCTGGGTATAATGGCGGAGGCATGCTCTTGGCATTTTTGGCAGCACTTGGGGTTGCACGGATGATTAAAGAGGGAATCTCATTTGAGGAGACTGGCATTCCTGAATGCATGAAGACGACTCAGGAGAGATTGGATGGGAGATAAAATTTCGAACAGCCGCACGATTCACCAGTGTTTGAATCCTCGCGGCAGTATGCTATGTACGGTGTCTAATCGCCATTGTAGCAAGCTTCAGCGAAGATCAAACCCCTTCATGGTTCTCTTCCCTTACTGAAGCCTTCTATTCTGTTCAACCAAGTATAGACACCAGACAACTGTACTTCACGAATTTCTATTTTGCCTGACCAAGAAATCCGTCTGCCCGCCCTGAGAAGCGACTGTACGTATCCCCAAAAGTCTCATCCTCGCCAACACACACCCTATAGGTAGTCCTAGCGTAGTACTCTGCCTGGTCTGCCAGTTCAGGAGCCACATCGCAGTATGCTCTGCAAAGGATCATCCAACACCCAACAAGACCATCCACCATAAGACCCCATTTCACAACGCGCAGCCGCACACCTGATCTATGAGGAGGTCTTCCACCTTCAAGTACGTAACCCAGCGACTCCAAAGTCTTCAATGCAAACTCAACAGCTTTCTCTGAGACCCCCCGAGAAGCGTGGAAAACCGCTAGACTCGAATACGCCTTCCAAATACCAGGACGGGGAACTTCGACTGCTGGCTTGCAATACGTCCCCTCAAGTTTAGAAACGAGGTCTTCAATCCGAGAAATAACCGAGCTCGGTTTACGGGATTTGCCTAGGGACTGGAAAGCATTCGCCACGTCTGTGGTGAGTCTCCTTCGCTTCATCAGATTGCTGTCCTCCGTTTCAATACAATCCTGGCAGATCGCGCAGCTGCACTTGAAGCCCCAATGCTCCAGATTCAGGTATTTCGCCTTAGAGGTATTATCGAGGGGTACCTTGTACCAGAAAACCAGTTCGGTATTCTCGGGCAGATCTTGTGCAGCGCGGATAATCATCATATCGCCAATGAATGAGCGGCGAACGTTACTGTTGCAAGAATGGTTGATATATGATGCTAGAGGCCAGATACCGCAGGAGTCGAAGGTCTCGTTCTTGGTAGGTTCTAACTGTGATTCGGCTTCTTTCATGGTGCGAACGTGAGATTCACGGGACGATAAGGAGCAGCCGAAGCAGTTAAGTGACATTATACGCTCTATGAGGAAGCTGAAGATGTTATTAGCTATTGTCCCGTTGGGAAAGAATATGGCTGGTGTTTAGCACTCACGTGTCGACAACGGGCGTACCATCCACGTCTGCGGCATCAACAGGGTTGTATGAACCATGGTAAAGATCAATGAATGCTGACCTAAGTGACGGGACTTTGTACAGCTTCTGCGCGATCAGGGTGATAAGTTCTGCCTGGGTACCCTTTGTGATCGTGTCCGTTTCCGTGTTCATCAGTACCGAAAGATTGCTCGGAGTACCGGTACGTTCGTTATAAAAGGCATACGCGAAGGCTTTCTCACAAAGCAGTAGATCACCGGCTTGGACTGCTTCTGTCGTGAATAGGCCTCGTCCGTGAGACTCAGTTGGTTTGACAGAGACGGGACCGATATATGTTGCGCGGTCCAGGAGCGGTGGGCAACGCTTCCTTGCCTCTCTGTGCAGGTACTTGAATGGGTATTTTCCAGTCTGCTGTTCTGCTAGTCGGGCAGTTGCGCGGTCGAATTCGACTCTTGCGGCCGTATTGTTAGGGTACGCTTTGGAAAGCACTTGGTGGACTTTGCACGATTCTTCAAATCTCGCGAGATGGTAAAGAGCCTGGGATTTGCGGAAGAGGGCTTTTTCAGAGCATTCGTGGTCGGATAGGACGGCTTCAACGTCACGAAGGGCCGCGTCAAATTGGTGAGTCTTGAGATAAGTCAGAGCACGGTTGAGTCGGATTGTGATGGCTTCGTCGGCAGTCGGGGAGGAACTCAGAGCCCTGGAATAGCTATACTATAATCAGCCGAGTTCTCCCACATTCTTTTCTATACCACTCACTGATTGATAGCGAGATGGTGCTCATTCTTGGTGAAGCACTCGTTGCCTCTGCTTTTATAATGGTTGGCTGATGCATCGATTCGTCGCTGATCTCGCCACGCCAACGGTATCAGAGGGTCATGGTCTGGCAGAAATCTGATATCGGAGAGATGGTCAGCTCGCAGCCCGTAGTTCCCATCAGCCATGATCTTCAAGTAAGGCTCCTTGACAAGTATCACTGTTCCTTCCACGAGACGGCCATCGGTCGAGAGCTCTTTCTCCTGGTTGTACAACTGTAACATGACAACATCTCCTCTCTCATCTTCCACCACGGCCATGACCGCAGTCATTTTGTCTGTCGGTGTGACTGCTCTTAGCAGAATGTAGAGTCCACGATGATAGGTCTCGAGGGTGAGATCTGTGACCAGTATCCTCTCCAGGGTACTCAAAGGAGCAACAGAGGGTGGGTAGGCTGGAGGCACGAACGAGGAGTGAATATCATGTTGGTTGGTAGGTCGATTACTTGCCATCATTCGGCGAAACATAAACTCCATCATGATCTCGTCGCGAGACTTGGTGGGTTTCGGAGTCTGTCCCTTGCGAGATTGGGCATCTCGGAGAGATTGCTTCTGCTTCTGTAGGACTTGCAGGTATTCCCGAACCTGAGAGACATCGTGTGTATCCATATTGCGAGGTGGACTGGTAAAAGGCTGGCGTATTTGGCAAATGGGCGCCCTTTTGATAAGGCAGTGGTTTGCGACTGGTGATATGAAGATGAAAAGTCCATCTGGCCTGGACAGAAAGGATGCCTGTGTTGTCAAAGCGGGGGAGGCACTGCAGTACTTTCTGGCATGAACCATGCAAACGCATTGTATTGGTAGACATCCCTGCACTGCTTCACCTATGAGGCGGAAGGATTGCGTCCAGCTGTCACGCAAATATTTTCTACAAAACAGGTACAGCTTTGTGCTCGTTTCATTGCAGGTATACTGTATTTATACTTCATTCTGATAGCATTCGAAGTTAGCTAAGAATATTGAGGGAAGCATCTATTCTGAGCGATACAGGTTCAAAGTGTCGAAAATGTCCACCTCCACAGCCCGTTAGCCCTATCAATATATCGGCAAAGCTAGCTTCCCCTTATTCATTCAACCAATCCCCAGGGATCTTCTCGCGAATAGAAGATATTGCCTCGCTGGTACGGGCCCGGACAGCGAGGTCGGTTCCCGTGTAGCAAAGAAGGATATCAGCAGCTGTGAACCAACGGATGTCGACAGGAGTATAGCTGTCGGGGCCATTTGAACTAGGTAGTTCTGTGTAAAGTTGCTCAACCAATTCAAAATCATCGTCATCGATATCGCGAAACTCGGTGGGCATCCTCGAGTCGTACAGCGACTCCCACAGGATCAGATCAACGCATGCCAGAGAGAATCGCCCAAGCCATGGCTGCCACTCGTCCATTACGTTGTCAACTATACAGAAACAATTATATACAGGAGGATCGGGGAGCTGGATGTCTGATAATAGGATTCCCCAGATTGCGGCGCCTTGGTTCTCGTGTCGGAATATTAAGGCCCCATGGTGAACGTAGAGTGCTGTTGGCTCCAGGAGGTATTCTTGGTTGCGAGTAAGGTCTGAGCGGCGGCCGAACAGGGTATAAGATTCTTTTAATGCTGCTGGGAGTGGAATACCCAGTCGCTGCTCAGCGGATAGGAGTTCGGTTTCGTTGTATCCGTCGCCCTCCTGTATCGGAGTTATCCAGTGAGACGCGAAACTACGAATGAAATTCCAGGTGTCAGAGCGGCCGCCAGTGACGCGATTAATCTGCTCGCAAATATCGAAATCGTTACTCATTTTCGGCTTGCTCCAGGAAATTCTAGTAGAGTAGAGTTAGGACGGTAGTATGTAGTCAAGAAGAGCACCTACCACCTAACGCGTCGGGGGTGTGTAAGTCATGTCCAAAGAAACAGAGGAAGGGAATGGGTTCGGCCGCTGCGTTTAAGAGGGAATCCACTTGCCATCTCGTTTGCTGCGTTTGCATTGAAATAAACCATGATCTGCTCTCGTATTCTGATATAGCGTATCGTGTAGTGGAGACAAGCAGAGGACGGGCACCGCTGTATCAATCTACCAAGTAACAACATATTAATATTTTCATTGTCTATATGATTGAGTTTGACACTAATGTGCAATTTCGGAGGAATGCTGGAACATCCACGTGAGCCTAGTTCTCTAGTAAGGGCGAACTTCCTGTCCGGCTTTTTCCTTCTTGCTCCTCTGAGACGAAATATCAACTGGAGAGCCATCAAGTCCAGTATTTGTAACCGCATTCTGCTGCCTCCCCAAATAATAATCTACACCAGGTCAGCACATTATTATCAGCCAAAGGCAAAGAGACACATACTGGGCATAAGCAACGAACAAACCAACGACAAACTCGTAACAGTCAGCGCAACAAGAAGAATAATCCCATTCGTGCGCGTATACGCCCGAATCGCACCATCTCTAATCGGATCGCCGGGTGCATACTCGGTACGCAGCGTCTTGATTGATCCGTAAATCGACCTGAGCGTGGATTCTGACGTTCCAGGCGGTGTTTCATCACGCATGAAATTTAACATCTTATCTGTCCAGATTGCGGATGCGACGGAGTACCCAGCTGAGGTGCCTAGATATGTCCACAGGAAATAAGCAGCGAGGATCGAGGCCATGTCCTGGTGTGGCACGGATGCCATTGCTCCGACGCGGGAGCCTAGGGCTGTGAACGCACTGACACCTAGTAAGATCTGTGAGATGGCCAGTGTAGCTGTGTTTTGTGTGCTTCTGGTATGGCTATCAAAGCAGATAGCGTAGCCCACGATCTTGAGGACTGCACCGACAATCATCATCGTTTTGTACCGGTGGAACTTGGCCATCATGAGGCCATTAATGATACTGAAGACGGTGAGAGAGAGGTCCTGCACGCCCGTGAAAACCGTCCAGGTGTAATTCGGCCAGTCCTTGATCACGTAGATATACGACGAGAAGTAGTTATTCCAGACAGCGGTGGTCATTTGGTCGAAGAGATTAGCACCCAGCGCGGCCAGGAAGACTTTGTTCTGGATGATGTTTCGTGCCATTATGGGCTTTGGTGCAAAACATAGTTCGTAGCCGATGAAGAGAGCGAGGACGACGAACCCTGTCACTTCCATGGCAATCATACTGGCGTTCATCCAGCCTCCACCTGCCGACTGTGCTAGGGATAGTGGGAGGAGGATCAATGCGAATGCAAATCCTAGCAATATGACACCAGGGATATCGACTGCAATAAGGCCCTGCCAGAGAGTATTCCCCATTCCACCCTTTCCTTTTGGATCATATCCAATATTAAACTCTAACCTGCTGGCTCTATATTGGACACCATACAAAGCCCAAATAGCCGGAATAAGCAGAACCGGCATCATAATCGCAAACATCCCCAACCCCCAGCGCCACTTATCAGGAACAAACCCATCAGAGATAAAGCCGGTAATGAACGTCGTCACAAGATACGGTGCGATGGTCATCCCCGTCCAGAATCCACGCCATTGCAGGGTCGTCAAGTCGCCAACAACGATCTGGCAAAGGAGGTTAATCCCGGCCTTGCCAACAGCCGTCAACGCGACGCCAACGATATACGCTGTGAAATGTGTACCGCTAGCTGCGACGACGTACCCGACCACGTAGAATAGTAGGGCGATCACGTACGTTGTAGGTCTGGATGTGAGATCTGCCAGTTTGCCAATGACGGGTTTGGAGACGCCGCTGATGATGGATGTTGCGGTGTTGATGGCGCCAATCTGGGCGTGCATGTTGAAGGATGAGGCGGCTATGATGTCGAATTGCGGTGTTATTCCTCCATCCAGTGCGTAGGCGAATAGGGTCAGACCCAGTGATATGACGATAATGGTGAGGAGGAGTATTCCGGCATGCCCTGAGTGGTAAAGCACCTTGTTGAGAGCTTCCACAGTGGTGCTGGTGACAGGACATGGTCGACACTCTAGATCTGGATCTCCCGGCTGGGGGGTGCTGGGATTTACTGCACGTACGCCGACGTCTTTTCCCTCTTTTGAGGGTTGAGATATCTCTTGTTCGTTGTTTGTCATCTTGCTGGCTTATGTGGACTATAGACCAACAGGATTTCTTACGCAGGGCAACGTTCTATATAACCATGCAGACATCAGCCTTCGGGCAAAATAGGATCTATTAACGTAAAGTTATGCTCAACTGCAGTGGCCATTCTGATTTTGTACTCGTTGGCCGATCTTGTAGTCATTCTTTGCATCAGCTCGGCGGACTTCAACGTTCGCCGAATACACTCGGCGAACACTATTCATCGCCTAAGACTACTCTTGTGGAGGTTAATGAAGTCAAAGCGTTTATTGTTCAAGGCCGTTGAATTCTGCCCACAAAATAATACCGATGTCGTAGTATTAGCCCGCCAGATCCAAAATATATAGATATATATATATTTAACTTGGAGAACTGCTTGTTCCTTTCCAACAGAACTCGGTAGGCATTACCGTCCCTTTCCAGACCACACGGATATTTTCCGTCCATTGACCCACCATGGAGGGGTTATGCCTTTTGGCCGGCTCTCACGTCTCAACGGTTGATCCACGATCTTGTTGGAGAACTGTTTGGGGGTGACGGTGTGGTCTCTTGGCCGAGACATTCAACCCGGGAATGGAGCTTTCTAGGCGCCTAGTAGTACTAGGGGATAATGCATGGGGCTTGTACTATCTATCATTCGTTCGCCGTATTACGTGATGCAGGCCAAGGCGATTAGCAATGGAGACGGCAATAGTGAAGATTCTTGGCATCTCTTGTCATTACTCACGGAAATGGGTTCCTTCGGTAACTTGGTATATAGCTGTTTGCCGAGAGAGAGAGAGAGAGAGAGAGTTAGAGATGCGAGAAGAGAGAGACGTGTGTGTATATATAGAGCTTTGGCAGAGGACCACCAATTCTGACGGATTACCGCCATTCCTACAAATATGGAGACTTTGCACCTCTAGATGATCCCTCCCTCATAGGGATACTGCGGCTGTAGCGATCAGGTACCGTTTGAAGAAGGTTTAACGAGGATTACTTTCTTTTACCCTTTTTTTAAGGTTTGATGTAGAGTATTCGGCTTGGCTCTATGCATAAATAGCTCTCAGTAAGTACCTAAAGCCGACCTAGACAGAACTGTCTTGAATAGAGCGAGCATTTTGAGTCCTGGTTTTGATCTGTCATAAGCGGACGATATGGATCTGTTCAGTGGGCGGTTATCTATATACATTCTGACTTTCTTTTGTTGGATACAAATCATATCCGGCCAACAATTGACCCCGGCGACAAACTCCTCCTGCCCCTCCAACTCAACCACCGTATTGGTTTCCTCGCGTGCTGTCATCTCCGGCCAGTCGACCCCTGCTACAGTTGTCATTTGTCGTACGACTGGAAAGATCACCGCCGTTTTTGATTCCGTCCTCTCCGCTACTGACTTCCCCAAAGGTATTTCATATACTGACTATTCCCCTTATGTTCTCCTTCCGGGGTTGATCGATACCCATGTCCACCTCAACCAACCAGGCCGTACAGAATGGGAGGGCTTTTATACCGGTACCCAAGCCGCCGCTTTTGGGGGGGTCACCACGGTTGTGGACATGCCCCTGAATGCCATCCCACCCACCACGACGGTTGCGAACCTGAAGGAAAAGGTTGCAGCAGCCCAGGGCAAATGCTGGGTGGATGTCGGCTTTTTTGGTGGTGTCATTCCGGGCAATTCTCATGAACTTAAAGCCCTCGTCCAGGAAGGTGTTCGTGGCTTTAAAGGATTCCTAATTGATAGTGGGGTAAGTCTCAACCCAGGCGTACTCTATGATACTGCAGTGCTTATATCCCTCTAGGTCGACGAATTCCCCGCCGTCGATGCGGAAGATATCAAAAAGACCATGGCCGAATTGGCCCACGAACCCACGACGCTCATGTTCCATGCAGAAAAGGAACCTCACGAGGAGCCCTCTCTACCAACCGGACCCGTGGACGAGTACTGGACCTACCTGCAATCTCGCCCCTCGACCTACGAGACCCGCGCCATAGCAGAAGTCTTATCCCTGGCCCATCTGGCCCCCAACCTCGCCCTGCACATCGTCCACCTATCCGCCATGGAAGCCATCCCGATGTTGCGCGAAGCCCGCGCACAAGGCGTGCCCATAACTGCAGAGACCTGCTTCCATTATCTCTCCCTAGCCGCCGAACAGATCCGCGCCGGCGACACCAGGTACAAATGTAGCCCGCCCATCCGCTCCCAAGAGAACCAAGATGCCCTGTGGGCCGAACTACTGCGATACCCCGACGACGGCGTGATCCAGACCGTCGTCTCGGACCATTCGCCCTGTACGCCGGACCTGAAGCTCCTCCCGGAGCACATCCCCCCGCACACGGAGGATGCGCCATCCCACAACGGCAGTTTCCTTACTGCCTGGGGAGGCGTCTCTTCCGTTGGTATGGGACTCCCGATCCTGTGGACCGAGTTCAGCCGCCGGAGTAACCTATCCTCTGCGCCTGAGGGCGAGGATGGGAAGCGTGCCCTCGAGGATATCGTCCGACTCACCTCTATGAACACCGCCGCCCAGGTTGGGTTGGAGAAGCAGAAGGGTGACCTGGCTGTCGGAATGGACGCGGATATCTGCGTCTTCGACGACAAGGCTGAGTGGGTAGTTGAGCCGTCTACCATGCTGTTCCGGAATAAGGTCTCGCCTTATCAGGGCCAGAAGCTGAGGGGTGTTGTGCGGGAGACTTGGCTCCGGGGGGAGCGGATATTCACCCGCGCTGCTGGATTCAGTGATAACAAGCCGTCGGGCAAGCTTCTGCTGGAGAAACGGGAGAAATAGACTTCCTCCATGGCGTATCCCAGGCCAAGGCAGCTTGCTATGAACTTATGATCACCAATGACTCCAAGGTTATGTAGTGCGCCGCTAGATAGAACTGCAATAAACCCCTAGAGAGTAGAATTAGAATTTAGACATATTTGAATTATCCAATATATATAAGTCATTGTACTTAAGTCTGCAGTGAGACTTCGACAAGGGTGGCATTTCTCAATCAGCTTCTAGGCTGTGTCCGACTATCAACCAGCACTTGGACATACATACATACTATGAGTACGACCAGTACGGATAGTACTGGGTGTGTAATTTCACATTAGGGAATGTATCTGTACTCTCGTACTATTAAGAAATATATGAATAGGTCAAGCTATTTTTTCTTCTGAGAACTCTGCTGTAGTTCAGCGCGCTGCCCCAACATGGTAAATATTTTGGGTGGGCTTTCTCGGTTGATAGATGGCATGAGATGTTCATGGGCTGGATATCCCAAGAGTAAAGGGACTCTTAGAATGTTAAACGGTCAAGGGTATTTGACGGCTTTTAATCTTGGATACCTAAACTAATAGTAATAAACCTTTTCTATAGAGAAGAAAACCCCTGTCCCTATATCTGGTTTTATATCTATATAGCTTCTAGTAGTTCTTATACTATCTCTTACTATTATTCTTTATAAAATAATATATTTACTTAATAATATCCTGGTTATACTAGCTCCTGTCAGCTACGGCATCGGTTGCGATAATCCAAGATTTACGAAAGGTCAGCCTGCCATCTTTATCCTGAGTTGATAATATTTGTGTGATGAATAAAATAGCATTTAGAATAAGAACAAGCCGCGTAATATAGCCGATAGAATAGAATACTTGCCATATTCGGCATTTCTAATCAAACGGGACCGGAAGTTTGAAACGCCTCCTGCCTTATAGTCGGAAGTTCTGAATATTGTTCTTGAGAAACGCTGCGGCCTCACTGCGGAAGTCATCAAAAATGAATTCTGAGTGATCGGCGTACATGTTAAGTAGTTGGTGACTCTCATCCCACTGCGGCCAGTGGCTATAGGTACCTTGGTTCCCCTCGTTTGGATCCAGTGAGTTGACGAAAGAAATGTAGTACGCGTGGAAGGCGTCTGACGCATAGTTTGGTTTGATGCCGAAGAAAACTTGGAGCAGATCGCTCCCGTGGAAGGTACCCAGGACTGGTGTTCCGTGGTCATAGGAGCTCATGTATGACCAGGCTGGAATTTCTGGGCTCAGGGACTCCGTTGCTTCCAGGAAGATGCGCCTGGTGAGTGAGAACTCATGGTCACCGACAATAGCAGCCAACCGTTTGAACTCAGGGTAGATGTTCCACCGTTGCCCCGTGCGGAAGGGTGCGCCATTCTCGCTAATGTCGGCATACAGGGAGACAAACTGCTCGAGGACTTCCCGAGAACCATTTGGAAAGTAGACGTTGTTAAGGTAGTCCACTAACTGCTCTTCCGTGGTAATGTTGGACTGGAAAAGCGCCCAAAGCGTCCCCTCATCCTCTTGACTTCCAGCAATAAAAGGGACCTGGGCGACTTTGTTCTTCAAAGCCAATTGGTCTGGTGATTCAGCCACCACAAGGCCATCAGGACGGGGAATGTAGGAAAGCGCGAGGGATTGGTAGCCTAGCATGGCTGGAACAGAGGTCGTGGCGTCGAGAAGAGAGGTATAGTCCAGGTTGCGAAGGCATTGCAGCGTATCCATCGCTGCCGAGCAACCCGCGCTTTCGACGACCTGTAGACTGATTAGCCTCGGACTTTTGCTCGGGGTTGTGGGCAAAAACAAACCATGTCGTAGATCCCTTGAGCTTTGGGACCGTCCGTTGGGTCCGCTGGTAGGAACGAACCTGAATTCAAAATGGCCCCGCGGAAGAGAGGTTCTCCGGTGATGTCCCCGGAATGATTGCCAGAATACAGGGCCATTTGGTTAAAGACAGACCAGGCCCCTGCAGACTCGCCCCAAATCGTGACTTTTGCAGGATCCCCTCCAAACGCACGAATGTTATTAGCAACCCATTGCAGGCCCAGGCGTTGATCTAAAAGCCCTGCATTGGATGATCCCTCTTCTTGGATTTCTCGACCAGGAAGAAATCCAAATCCGCCTAGCCGATACGCGACGGTCACCACAATCATCGGTTTGCCTAGCTCGACAGACTTCTCGACCCATGGTGTTCCATCATACATTGAATTCCAACCTAGTTGGAAGCCACCGCCGTGGATGAAGAAGAGGATCGGAAGATCATCCCCCTCTTTAATCCCCGCAGGTCGGTGAATATTGAGGTAAAGACAGTCTTCGCTGGCTGCAAAAACAGGCTTCTGAAATACGGGGCTATTGAGTAGAGTGGTGAGGAACTCAGGAATGAGAGAATTTCTGTCTGTTGTACTGCCGACGAATTGTGGACAAATATTCTTGTTTTCAGTAGCTTCGTACATGCCATATGGTTCAGTTAAGGGCACTGGGGGCTTGAAGCGGAGATTCCCAACCGGAGGCTTAGCATAGGGGATGCCAGGGAATTGTTCGACGTCACCAGCTAACCCAACTATAGTAGCTGCAGGCGAGGCTATAGCGACAGTTGGGGTAGAGACAGCACCACAAGCCAAAGGTAAGAGAGCTAGGGCTGTTGCCCTGAGTGACACATAGGTCTTCATGTTCGATAAATGCAGTTCGAAACTTATTCAGGAATCAAGGCACAGGTGGAAAATGAATTAGAATTCTCTGCAACATCTGCCCTGTCCTTCAGCCCCGTTATATGATCCTCTGCCAGCGTTTTATACATGAAGATCATGACTTCGTTTGGCCTTCCACTTGTCCGGAGAACTAAATCAAACTTAACTTTCTCCGTTGTCTGTAGAGGGTGAAGTGGCGCCTCCAGGATCAGGGTTAATCTAAGATCCCCTGGGATTAACTCCTCGTGAGAAGAGAGAAGGGTTCATTCAGTAGAGGATCTCATCTCCTGAATCCCATACTAGCCGTCCACATGCATGCGATATCTGAGACATGGCGCCTAAAGCCTTTGGTCCGAGGGCTCTCCAGCCAGTCATATTATATGTTGTGATAAAGGTATTAAGGTACTGAGGAAGCTCCGTTCTTCCAGGCCGAGCTCCAAGCCAGCAGCGTATATCGGGGCTTGCTAGTGGCTGCTTTCCACCCCCGCTGCTGATCACTACACACAGGAAGGATCCGAAAAGCTCGGAGTACGTTCCTCTCCAAGCATATGACACCCTAGGCGCACGCTTGGTTTCGTTTAAAAAATCGAGATCAAAGTATTGCTCCATTACTTCCTAATTTACAGTTGTTCTAGGCAGCACTGGCGCACCACTTAGTTTTCACTTTCCAACGCCGTGACAAGGGCTTTGAAAACATCCGTATCGAGGAAGATGTCTTCCAATTTATCGGTTCTACGAGCGGCAAAGCGACGAGGGCAGAATTATACCCAGAGAGAACGCAGGTCAACAGTCGAAGATTTCTCAATTTGCACACTATGGAGAGGGCCAAAAACTGGGAAAGCAGACGTAAACAAATGGAATCGGTGGAACAAATACGCTAGGCTATAGAGCCTGGTTGCCAAAGAGTCTTGTGCAGGATTTGGGTTATTATAGTGATCTTATTTAGAATAAGTACTATACTAATAAGCAATTGAATTCATTGGAACGAAACGGAGATCGTAAACCACCAACTAGCATCCTCCCAATCTATACAAACCCTCCATCCCAAACCCTAAAAAGCCTGCAGCAGCGCGAAACCGTTCTATGAACCTGCTGCTGTTTATGAATTTCTGGGAGCTGATTAAGAGACTTCGATTCATCAGCTGAAAGCTAATAGGGCTGGTCCAGGTTAATTAATATGCTTAACAAGCATGTAAACTGTACCAGCAGAATCTGAGAACCTATCTTGCAGATAATCCCTTAGACGTTAACATTAATATCTACCTCATAATAATGTAAGAATATGCAGATGTTAGCATGCTGTAGAATAATATTTTATAGTATGTTGGTGACTTTGCCTATTTACCATGTTAATACCCTCGGCGACAAAAAGATCCTAATAATATATATCACTGTTATTAAAAGCTTTAGCTCCAGTATACTGAAGAATGTACGGCTTGGTTATAGTATTAAAGCTAGTAATCTGGCCAGCGCGGCATATCCGGGATTAGAGTATTAATGCCAGTAACTTTATCTCTAAGGTAATTCGAAAACCGGTTATCTGCTGAATTATTCGGCAGAATATATACTTGTTAAGGAGTTTCTCTTTTAGTTTTAGCTCCTGCTGCCCGAAATCTTCTAGTATAGTAAGGCTGTAGAGTTTCTCTAGACTATCTAGTACTAGTCTGGTTATATTAATTAACTTAAAGCCTTTAATATGGAAAAGTATACTAAGCTTATAACCTATAATCAAAGTATTTCTAAATTCTAATTCTTAAACTCTAGGATCTATTATAGTTCTATATAGCGGAGCACTATCTAACCTTAGAGTTATAGTGATCATAAGTTTATACATAATAAGCTGCCTCGGTCTGGGGTATGCGTATCCTCAAGGCCTAATAGATAGAGTCTGTTTATCCTGTTTCTCCAGCAGAAGCTTTCCTGACAGCCTGTTATCACTAAATCTAGTAGCATGGGTAAATATCTGCTGACCCTATAGCTAAATCTTTTAAATAATAGTGCAAGGCACCGAACAATGCCAAGGATCTAGCAACTACCAAGCAATGTCAATGCTCTATGAGTTCTGGGCTCCTACCCTTCGTTTCGTTAAAGCGTGCCACATCAACGCAGGTATTCCCATTCCTAAGCTTCGTGATGGACACCGCAATGGTTGTTCTCGTCATTGACGTGTGGTGGCAAGGATGAGCTGTTGGAGTGTTACGAGATCCTAGATCGAGGGTTGGCAATTTGTTTCTTTTCGGACGAATTGCAATATAAGGGAGGCGCTGTACATTAAAAGAGTTCAGCGGCATCCGCGAGGTATTCATCGTAGCTGGCCTATTCGTACTGAAATAAGGAGACAAGGGCGGTGGCAAGCTTTTGTATGTGTCCGCGTCACAAAAAAGTGGCGCCTAGGTTCGTTCCTCCGCGGAATATCTTCTTCTGGTATCAGAACTACCGAAATGTCCGAGCCTGGACACTTTGAATGCTTGCCGGATGTCAATTTCAATTTTCTGTGGGGGGCCAAGGATCTACAGGTAGTATTCTTCTAACAATAGACACAATATTTGGGGTCTCTGGCTGACGCATTCCGGCTGCCTGTTCTATGCCCAGTAAACTCCAGAGATCTTAATGCGGTGGAAAAAAAGCCCGGTCATACTGCATCGTCATCCGTAGGATAGAGTACACTATATAAGCTTTTGCAGGGGCACATGGCAGCCTTCGAATGGCTGAGCTGTTTTTAAGAACTGGCATATCTTAATTTGCTCGTGATTCATCCACCCACTCCGACTTGATTCTCAGAAACCTCCGCGGGCCAACATCGCTGTGCCATCGCTTGGTCAGAACCGCTTCTGGACCCTGCTGGGACATATCTACGTACTTGTACGATGAGTGCTTCTGGGTGTTGGTCGTCCCTCGACAGCAAAGAAATCAACTAATGTAGTGCCAGATATGTTTTGGAGCGATTCCTCAGAACCTGACCTGCAGCAACTGTGGGCGGGCAATGAACTATATCAGACCCTTCCACAAACCATACCCTCTAATGACCAACTAAGGGCGGATGGGTTTGGATGCGATATTAGGCATGGCCTTCAGCATCACAACAAGAATCCAACCCGGTTCGTTCCGTCTCCAGTACCCACAGGGAGCGTCAGTACCACACCACACATAGAGAAGGCACAATCCATGATGAGCGTGCTTCCTTCGATTCCACACACTGGATACCTCACCACGCCAGTTGCACAGCCTCAGCCTCAACCGAGTGTTCCAAAGGCATTCATCCCAGTTCTACCAGCCAACCAGGCGGAAGCAAACGAACCGCTGCTTTGGTGGGGATCGGACCACTGTTTCACCGTCTTTGGCTATAGCAAACCCCCGGGTCAAGCAAGCGAGGAGCAAATTACAGAACGAATGTTGCGGGACAACAGTCTTTTTATTCTTCAATTCAGCAATGCTACCGAAAAGTCAATCGACGACGCACTGGCTGGCGACAGTGAAGAAGCCACGCGAGGCCTGTATACGGTCGATAGTAGCCGTCTGCCCTCATCGTAGGAGAGTGGCGGCAACACTCCGAACGGTTTAGAGAGTTCAGTACAGATGAAGCCTCAGAAGCGCCAGAAACAGAATAACGATATGCTGGCCGCAAAACGGAGAAGTGCCACAAGCAAACAGCTCGTCGAGTTACAGAATTTCATACCGGTGCTAAAAGATCAGTCCCCTTCTAAGATACAAATACTCAACTAAGTTTACAGTTGGATTATACAGCTGCAAGACCAGATTCATATCATGAACGGCCTGATGGATGAGATGGAGTGCCCCAAGGGGCATGCAGGAGAATACACCTCGAATGTCAAACAAGAGTCTTTGGCTGTACCATAACCAACCGCTTGGAAGGCTACGTTTCCCCTGGAAAGTTGGGTCATGTTTGTGTGAATTTTATATCTAGATTATATGATTAATCTTTGATGTTCGTGGTTATGAACAGCAACCGTACGCAGAAGAGTAATGATGACTGGGAAGGTCATAAACTACTGTAAGGTAATGTCCAGTCAAGTCACCGCTAGTCAATATCCAGAACCAAGTAGTAGATCCTCACAGTATGGGTACTGGACTGTGAAAATGGGACTCCTGGGCTCCAGGATTGACCTCCAAGCCAGGAAACGTGCACGCCTCACCAGCGTTGCGCCAAGCCGGGAATAAGCACGTTGAACGTTTTTAGAGCAGAAGATCAACAAAGCCAACGGTCTAGCGGGGCCGGAACTACTCCACCGCTATGGACAATGTGCCTGATAATAAGACGACGCGCGTTCGGCCGGCGGCAAGCCGAGGTTTGAACAGGACAGTGGATCCGGTCCTACAAGCTCCGGAGGAACTTGTGAAGATATGGTCCCCGAGAGCCCTTTCGTCTGTCTTTCCTTGGTTAGGTTACGGTGGCGGAGACATAGCCGCCTTTTATCACGCGTGACTTGGCGGAGTTATCCAGAACCCCTAGCTTAGGGTATTTCAGCTGATCTCTGACTGCTCCACAGAGCTGGAGCCCTAGATACAGGGCATAGGCAGAGTAGCGGCCACGAGCCTGAGCCGACATATCCCTTTGAATTATTGACCACGTGCATAGATCCAGCTCCTTTACAGGCACGACAGGCATATTCATGAATCACGTTGCATTCATTCTGGCATTCCCCTTGCCAACCGGTAACACTGATTGAATCTGTGGGTGTTGGGAGCTCATCCGTCTAGTTTCGATCGATTCTGCTCTCGGCCCTCGAGATATCCTCGGCATCTGGCCGTGAATGGGTGGATCCGGGCGACTTACTCCGAATCATTACATGGGAGTCCGGCATGGCCACTGGTTTAGACAGAGTTCCGGGAACGGCGGGTTTGATTCCTATGTCCCGGTAGACATGAGATAGATATCAGTATAAATACGCCCTCATGTCCACCCCAACAGCGTGATACTCCGTCAAGTGTCCAGAAAACCGACAGCAGAAGCACAGCATATCGAACATCTCCATCATCTCTCTATATACGTACCCACCACCCACCATGACGCCCACCTTCCTCGCTATTTCCCTTATGGCGCAACTTGCAATTGCAGCAGGTCAGTCGCTGGATAGAGGCGGCCCCCCTCACCTCAACTTACTCACTTTATTTTCTTGAAATTGCAACTAAAAGTAAGGCAACAGGTGCTAGTACCCCCAGCATCGAGTGCACACTTTGCCAGGCTGCCGTGAACACCATCCTCAGCCAAGCCCAACAGAACGCAACCGAGCACGCCATTGCCAGCAAGGCAGAGGCCATCTGCCTCAACGCCACACAGAACACCCAAGACGAAAACTGTGGGGAGTTTGCGGACAAGCTCGCACCCGTCCTCGTTAGCTTCCTTGAGGAGGTGGTCAACGCGGAGGAGGTGTGCGCTTTGGCGGAATTGTGCTAAGGAAGCAGAGCGAGAGTAGTAGCTCGAATCAAGGCCCCTGCGAGGGGAATATGACTGAGAGACTCGGGGCGGTGATATGAAATTGGAAGTTTTGTATTCTATAGATCTTGTGGACGTCAGGAGCTTTCTCTACCATTACAGCTGAAATTGGACAGATGTGATGGTAGCACACTTGCTCATTTGAACACTACTATGAACACTGCTGCTGCATGCTGTGATTAGAGAAGTCTACCTTTTATATTTAGTGACCATTTAATGTATCCAGCTGGTGATAGTATTGTGATAGAGCTTTTTTATGTTCTTAGGTAACAGTGTACCTGTGCCTTGCTAAATATTTTACAAAAGCCAGGAGCTCATTACATAGGTACTGCCTGGATGGCTTATATCTAGTCACGTACATGATGCATTAGACTTTGTATTGTAGCTTGTGCTATTATATCTTCCATGCGACATTTCACAGGTTTCTTGGATGTTATGCAATGTCAGAGCCTAGCGACGCAAAGATATCTCCTTATAGACTACACTAATCATGTTAATCTAAAAACCAAAAACACTAAGGTTAAAAAGACTGGGATATTATCCCTCTTGTACCCACTTCCGTTGTCAAATCCTTCACAAAAATTAAAAAAAAAAAAGAAAAGAAATATCACAAAAAGACAACAAAAGCAATGGCAAGCTTGCACAGGAAACTGTAGATTTCTAAGCGGGAAGACAAAATAATTGCTCCAATGGCTTGGACCAAGGCCAATTGGTTAATCCCATGGCCACCACTACAGGAACAAGAACTTGTGGAAATCGGGACTAGCACATCCAGACGGCGAGAGCAATGACCGCTCCCATGATACTCGAGCTTGTCCTTCTGCAGGTCACGAGGGGAGCCGCATTGGGGGTCGTAGACGCGGCAGCGTCGCCGGCACTTGAACTGCTGGGCGTGGACGATACAGAGACATATTCAGAGGACGACGTCGAGCTAGAGATGAGAGTGGTGCGAGTAGTCGTCTCTGTCGTGGCGACCTCGGTTTCAGTGACGGTGGAGGCGTCATCATCAGAGCTCGTGGAGGTGATAGTTGTAGCTGGGGTTATTAGCTTCTGGGGCGTCAAAGTAAGGGGTTTGGTTTCCTTTAGGGGTTTATATTGTGCTATCCCGCCAACTTACAGTCAGAATCATCGGAGTCCACGGTTGCGGTGGCTGTCGTGGTTGCCGTGGTTGCCGTGGTCGTGATCGCGGTACTGCTACCACCAGCAGAGGCCACAGTCGTGTCCGAGCCCTTGCTGACAATGACGAACTGATCAGACTGGGCGAGGATATTGCCGTCATTCGTGTCCTTTAGGTCAAATCGGTAACCAGAGCTGCAGTATGAGACACTGTAAGCGCTTTTTCATTGAAAATAAAGAAAAATAAAAATAAAAACTCGCTGACATGGCATTCTTACCCAGGGATGACATCGATCCCATCGAAACTGTACGAGCCAGCCGAGGTATCAGTATCGCCTGCAATCTTGAGGCTGACGCTTGGGAAGTGGGCATCATTGATCAGGTACAGATCGAACTTGTCGAGATCCGAGCTGTAGACGAGTGAGCGCAGAAACTTGGATTGCTATCAGGAGCTCGGGTCACTGACCTGTTAGAGGACCAGGTCACGGTTGTCTTTCGGCTAACGTCGAGCTGGGAACCACTTGCAGGAGAGTTGACGGAGAGGCCTGTCCGGTACAGCAAGTTAGGGGGTTTTCACAGTCTGCGTGATTCGAGTATCACGAAAGCAGAGACAGACCTGACACCAAAGAGCCAAAAAGGGTAGCACCCAAGATACAGACGTAATGGGAGGCCATTGTGTTGAGGTTACAATGACTTTGGTGACCAAGATCGTTAATGAAGGTAGATGATGAATTGTTCAAGAAGACTGCTGTTGTTGGAGTTGCCTTTGCCCTATTCTGCCCAGAGTTGATACCAAAAGCTGCATTTATAGATCTAAACAAGCGTGCGTCATATTATCAACATCAGACATGTTGATCACGACATGAGTGCGCTTGGTATGAGGACTCGTCATGCAGCCCACTGGGCTCTTTAGACGTCGACAACTATGATCGAATCAAAGCACTGCTCACGCCGATCACTATAGACAGGCGTCTATGCATCAAATGGGAAGTCTACAATGAATCGTCAGCTTTGGGACGGTTTGAGAATGGAGACTCTAGACTACTGTTAGTGGCTGGTAGGTCGCGGGTCCTTTCGTCCCCGAATCTAGGCCCTTGGTATCAGGTTAAACTTGCCCCTGAGGAGGTGATGGCGCGCGCCGAAGTCGAAGTTGCTGCGCGGGTTAACTTCCTCGGCAGGTCTATGGGCCAGCAGAAAAGGTATGTACTACGGACTATTGATCCATTGGTTCTCAAGATATTTTCCACGTACAGTGTTCAATGTGGGGCTTCTGTATTTTCCGACTCTGCTGACCTGCATCGATCTGTTTAATCAATGCCACCCTCGCTGCAGTGGGAGCGAGAGGCGGCAACTGCCCCTCCCCTTCTGGTGCAAAACTGGGCCATTTGAGTTTCTTGTTTCTTCGAATGATGTACTCCTAGTGCGTCATCAACACTTATATGGACAGGGAACATTGTGTAGTTTGGGGACTTTTGGATTCCAAGAGTAGTTCATCCCACTATAAGTCAAGCATGTGGACAAAAGGCCCGGGCATATAGAGGGATGCTGGGGTCTACCTGGACAATATACTCGGAGCCACCGTCACCCCTATATAAGAGGCGTTGGAAATGCCTACTATAGAGGGAGGGGAATCACTGGCACTGCTATCCATATATCTAAGCTACATCATCGTCAGCACTCTTACTCCTATTCCTGGAGATATATCATGATATAGTTGCTACTCCTCCCTGTAGGACCAGATTATGAGACTGACTACAAATTATCCCAGCATAGTAATAGCCACTTGTAGTTCCACCAGCCAGGCACACTCGAAGTGTGGGCGCAGAGGTAAAGGGTATTAGATACAGGCGAGCATGACTACATGGCATAATGAGCGTAGCAGCTATAGCAGTTGCTTAATCAACCGATGGGACTGGCGGAGGCAGGGTAAGAGTGGGAGGCTGATACTCCGCTGTACCGTGACTCGTATACACGGTAGTGGTCTGCTGTGGCTGCTGTTGCTGCTGTACGTGCCTTGCAGAGTTGGCCGCCGCGAGAGCTGCAGACAGGACGATAGCTATGATAGATAGCACGAGTATCAGACCTGCTGCCCAAACAGGCAAGCCACATAATCTTGTCTTTAATATGTAATGTTGCTCTTGCTCCTCCAGCGCCTCTCCAGGAAACACCGGCGTGGGTGCATCGCCGTCAGGGGACCCAGGGCTGGGCAAGGCGGCTTGCGAACTGCGTATTGACCCAGCCAGTGGTGTAAAGTGCGATATCCGTGTTTCGCTAGAATAAGCCGGTAACGGCTCCCAGTAGCCCTCGAGACTATGGATATTTCGCCCAGTATTTGTGCCCAGTGAGTATGAAAGTATCTCGGATTGCGTCTCCGCCCCAGGAACACCTTGTAGATATAACGCGTAGGGGTGCTGCGGGGGACAGGCGGCGGAGATGGGACGGTCAAGGGAGTCCATCTGCGAGGGCGTTCCGATGCTGTACATTGTGGAGCTGGAATAGCGGTACTCAGGTGCACTTGGTACAGAACTTGATCGATTCTCCACTGGCGTCATGTGTCTTTGTCGGGAATCAGCCCCGTTGGCGATGTTGGCTGTCTCTGAATAGCAGCGGCGTCTGGGTTGTTGGGGTGGCCTCTGCGTGTTCGTTGCGCGGATGAGCTCTTCTGGGAGAGAAAAGATTCGGCGGTGACTGGCGTCGTTGACAGGCATGATTATTTTTGCTTCTTGGATGTGTTCTAGGTCTGGAGGCAGAGTGTGCGAGGGGTTCCAGTCTGTTTGGGGTGAATTGAATGCCAGGTCCTTTACTGAAAGATCAAGCAGCTTTCCATGTTATAAGCCAATCTTCACAGCCTTGGCAGTGATTCCTTCGCAGAGCCCCTGCTGGAACATATAACTATCCAGGGTATACCAATCACACGAATCGAGCCCTGTTCATCCATGGGTCGTGCTGGGCCTTTGACCCTGGCTCACCCAGCTGTGGTCAGTTACTGGTGAGACTGAGTTCTTAATACCGTTCTCTTTTTGTTCTTTTTTATTGTTCTACATGCTGGGCATGTACTGAAGTCGCTACTGTATGAGGGGGTGGGGAATGGGCTTTTCGGGGCTGGACATGGCTTCTAACGCATGCACAAGAAGGTGAAAAGCAACAGAGGCACTTAACAACATGAGCCATTGTCAGCCACACCAGGGAGAATTCAGACGGACCCTTTTGCAGCGGATTGGCTACGCTTTTCGCGATATACTATTAGACATCCCTTGGCGATACTCGCATTTAGTGCGATTATGGCAAGTTACATATACAATACAGGTCTGTTAATTTTTCACGGAGATGGGACAGCCTTATAGACAAATACCAAGCCGGCGAACCGACAGACCAACAAGTATCCTTCATATCAACCACAGGCTGAACCTATACCAAAGCTTTGCTTTCACTAGTGACCAGGCGAGTTTTCTGTCAGCCAGGAATTAGGACAAAATCACAAAATCAGCCGCAGCTTGCGCTCATTGTATGGTATGGTGTAGATCCTCACATGATGGAATCCTGGCCCTCCTCAAACCTGACCACGTTCTTCAACGTCCCCAGCCCCGAAATCTCAACCTCGACCTGGTCGCCGTCCTTCAGTAGCTGTCGCGGCTTCTGGAAGACTCCAACGCCTGCTGGTGTGCCTGTCATAACCACTGTATACGCTGGGATGGTCGTGCCTGAATCAATCAGAGGTCAGAAGATATCCCACTGGGTACACCGGGTTCCAAAGATGAGGGGGACATAAAGAGAGTCGACATACTCTGACTCATCCAACTAAGGACCCTCTCCGGCGGGAATATCATGTCCTTCGCGATCACCGTATCCTGCTTTACGACCCCGTTGATCTTCGTCACGAGCGTGGCCGATGCTCGCTGCTTCTCGAAGATGCTCGGGCTCGCTAGGACGGGGCCGATGGGCGCAAACTTGTCAAACGCCTTTGCGTAGAAGAACTGGCCGCCGGACTGCTCGGGGAGCTGGAAGAAGCGGCAGGAAAGGTCGTTGCCAACTGTGTAGCCGAGGATATACTCGTGGGCTTGGTCAGGCGTGATATCGCGGCACTCGCGCGAGGTCACGAAAACGAGCTCACCCTGTTTTATGTGTGTTAGTGTTGACAACGGCTGAGCTGGGAGGAAGAATTTCGGCTCCCGATTCATGGCTTACCTCCCAGTCTGGCAGGTGTGACGCGCAGAAGCGGCTTACGGGGATGGTTTCGTTTGGCGATGCGAGCGATGCAGGCGGCTTGGTCCATACCGGGGGGTTGGCCGGGACATTGAGCTGCGTACCACATGGATGGGGTTAGACGATATTCATGTTTTTATCTCGACGATTGCCATGCATGCTTCCGGCTGCGTACCTTGGCTTCAGTTGCATGACTCCGGTAGTTGAGACCGACACAGTAAATCGAGTTGCTCGTTTGCGGCACAGGAGGCAGGAGCTACATTGATTAGCAACATAGTTGGTTCACAGGATGCCCGGAAGAATCAAGCCGACCTTGGCTATTGTGGCCGTCGTCGCATTTCGTCCTTGCAACAGGTCCTCGTACGTCGGATATGCGTCAACGGGGATTCCCGTGGCGGGGTTGGTCGAGCTGCATTTTGTAAAGAACCTGGAGCCGTTGTCTGTCTCAAAATGACAGAGATACTGGAATGATGAGCCCATTGTGCAGAACGCGACGTTTGAGAGACGCAAGTCAGGAGACGAAACTCGAGATCTAAATCGTCGAGCGGGCGTGGAGAATCGCGGTAGCTTGGGCATCTCAGCCAATGAGGCGAGGGAGAAGATGGATCCTCCGCGGGGGATCTTCATCTTTGCCCGGAGAGACAGTGGGTCAATGTGGAATTCAAAGCCTGGTGCGGTGTTCTTGGTGCTCGTCAGCTGTATAAAATAGCATGTGGAGAAGTAATGTTACTAGACCACCGCAAACTCGACCCTCATTATCCTCCAGAAATTGGGCTTTTTATATTCAAACACTCCTTCTGAAGACAAAACTAAAGAAGAGACACTCCGCAATGTCTCTCTGGCTCCTCGACGTGCTAGCCCTGCTCCCATCGAAATGGCAAAACTGGATCTTCCCACCCTCAAGTATCCCCATTGTGGAAAACTCGCCGGATAAAGTCCAACTCGCCCGCATCGCGCATGTCTACTTTGAGCACTCGGACCTTGACGCCTTCACCAAGTTCGCCCGTGACTTTGGCTTCGTCGAGGCCGCTACCAAGGGCAAGACGATCTACTATCGCGGGTATGGGCGGGACCCCTACGTCTACGTCGCATCCCAGAGCCCAACCCGACGATCACGCTTCCTCGGCGCGGCCTTTGTCGCAAAAGACGCGGAAAACTTCGACAAAGCCGCTGCAATGTCCGGCGCCGTGCGCATATCTCTGACGGACGCCCCCGGCGGCGGCGAGTTGATTACCTTTGAACGACCGAACGGGACCTTTTTCCACGTCGTGTACGGTCAGACGGAGCGCGAAGTCGGGGAGAAGATTCCCCCGACAGCGACGCACGACTCGCAGGGCCCCTTCAACACGCCGTTTGAGAAGCCGCGCAAGGGCCAGTTTCAGCGGTACCACGATGGGCCCGCGCTCGTGCACAAGCTGGGCCATTACGGTTATGTGTGCAAGGAATTTGAGGCGGAGCTCGAGTTCTACACGGCCAACTTTAACTTTGTGCACTCGGATATCCTGTATCTCCCGCAGCTCGAGAAGAGGGATGTCATGACTTTTATGCACCTGGACCTGGGCGACGAGTACACGGATCACCACACGTTCTTCCTGCAGCGGGCGTCGCCCACAGTGAGCGCGACGTACGTCCACCATACCTCGTTTGAGGTTGCTGACTTCGACACGCAGCTCATGGGCCACCACTATCTGGCCAAGAAGGGGTGGAAGAGTGTTTGGGGTGTCGGAAGGCATATTCTCGGGAGTCAGATCTTTGACTACTGGTATGATAGTTCGCGGTTCAAAATTGAGCATTATGCAGACGGGGACGTTGTCAGCAGGCAGAATCCGACGCGCAGGGAGCCTGTTGGCCCGCTGTCTGTCTGGGGACCTGAGCTGCCCAGGGATTTTGGTGATAACAAGGCCAAGTAGATGTATCAGAGCTAGTATGTGTGTATTATTGAAATGATGATGTACTGTAAGTAACTGCGAAAATGAACAATCAAGCAAAACTCAACTCATCTGACCCCGTAAGAACTTGGGAGCCTCGTACGTCAAAAAATCCTTACCCTTGAAAAACCAAACCAGGACTCCAAAAAGCGTCCAACCACCGACATGTCCTGTACCCGTTGACTGCCCGACGGGGACAACCATCATCTTCCTCTGGGCTTCTGCTGAATACGTAGCAACCTGCGCCCTCTTCTCAATCGCCGCCACAATATTGGACGCTACCGTCTCTCCCTGCAGAGAAACCCGCGAGAGCAGCCGGTACGGATGGCAGGTAATGTCGCCAACGGCATACGTGTCCGTGCGGCTGACGTTGTTCTCGCGGACCCGGAGCTCCTCATTAACGTCCACCCAGCCCTCAGCATTCAGAAAGCTCGTTGGGATAAAGGCGTTATTGGGGATTGTACCCGTTGTGGCGACGTATGCATCGACGGTATAGGTACGCCCTGTGGACAGCTTCACTTTCCAGATCTGGTTGTGGGCCTCGTATACTGCGTCGACGACCGTGGTCTCGGTCAGGACTTCAACATCCCGGCGCCGGAGAAGCGACAACGCGTTCCTCTGCACGGCTGCAGTTGCCCCATCTAGTAGAACGCTGCCTCGCGATACCAGGGTGACCTTCTTCGGGCCAGGAGCCTCGGCGAGCTCTCCTGCGAGCTCAACACCGAGAGGTCCCGCGCCCCCAATAAGGATCCGTCGCGCGGCGCCTAGCTTCTCCTGTGCCTCGTGTATAGCCCTTGTTGTATCCTCAAAGGCCGTTGCCTTGAAGGGCAGTCTCACCCCCATCTGTCCGAGCGTCGCGGGTGTCGTGCTGCCGGACGCAATTACCAGGTAGTCGAAACTAAAAGAGGCGGCACCCGCGGCCGTGGAGTCTGCAGTCAAGGCGACGAGCACAGATTTTGTCTCGTAGTCGATCTTGGTAACGAGTCCCTTGACAAAAGTGAAAGCTTCCGCGCGGTACTCGCGGAACGCGTCCGGAATGGAGTACAAGTATTTGCTCGGTGGGAGGCTCTCGGGCTTGACGAGGAACCGGGGCGCGGCGATGTTGAAGTAGTATTGCTCGGACGGGTTGATGAGGGTGACTGCGACGCGCGCGGTCTGTCGGAGCAGCTTCTGGCTCACTGCGAGGCCTGCATGGGAGCCGCCAATAACTAGGACCGAGACGGGTTTCGACATGGTGAAAAAGGGTGATCGATGTTGTCAATCGAGAGGGCCCAGTAAGGCCGCAGGGTATTTCCTGGGTGTTATCTACGAAGCGAAAAGGGCCACTGAGGCGTCCATGGTTACAAACGGCCTGGCATCTTGTTGAAGTGACGTGGGTCTGTCTTTTGGGTTGGTTCTCCAGCAATTTCGGGACAACTTCTTCGGAGGATCTTCACCCAGATCGCGCGAGCCCGAAGAGCAAGCATCGTCTCAACCGAGCTCTTCCTCTGAGCATGCTCAACCGAGGATTCCTCGGCGCGAATAGAAGGGAGGAACCCCCCAAGAAAAGAACGCAAGGAGATCATACGCCTGCACTGCAGCAGCGCAGAATACTCTCTATAGAAACACCCGCCTAGGGCTAGTTTCGAGGTGTCACCCCCAAGAGGAAAGCAGCACCACAATGAGCACTCCAGGCACCCCGTTCAAGGCCATCATCGTTGGCGGAGGCCCCATTGGTCTGGCAGCCGCGCACGCCCTCCACCTGGCTGGTATCGACTTTGTGGTCCTTGAGCGCCGGCCGGCCATCTTTGAGGACCGAGGTGCCAGTCTTATCGTCCACCCGCACACGTTCCGTGTCCTGCAGCAATTCGGAATCCTCGACGGTTTGTTACCACGCGGTGCGGAATTGAACCATCACCTGTCGTTTACTGCCGATGGGAATGTCTTTAGCGAGGGGCATCGGTATAGCCTGATTCGTGAGAAGTGAGTACTTCCAAAGAGAAACCCCCCGCCTCTTTTTTTTTTTTTTTTTTTTTTTTTTTTTTTTATTTTTTTTTTTTTTTTTTTTTTTTTTTACTGATACATCCTACCTACCTCTCAGCCACGGCCATGGCCCAGTCGCCTTCCACCGCGCAGAACTAATCGAAATCATGTACAATGGCCTCCCCGAAACCGCCAAAGCCAAGATCCTCACGGACAAAAAACTCACCGACATCACAACAACCGCCGACAGAGTCACGGCAACCTGCGTCGACGGCAGCACCTACCACGGCTCCATCCTCATCGGCGCGGACGGCGTCTACAGCAAGACGCGCCAGCTAATGCGTGACATCGCCCTCCGCGACAACCCAGGCCAACCATGGGAGGACGCGCAACATCCGTACACGGCAACATACCAGCTCCTGTACGGCTCGTTCCCATCACCCTCGCCGCCGGGCCAGGGGTACGACATCCAGTCGAGCGGCAAGGCGATCATGTACTTTAGCGGGCCCGAGCGCGGGTGGTTCTTCCTGTACAAGCGGCTACCGGCGCCGACGAGCAAGCGGACGGATTACACGGACAAGGACGTCGACACGCTCGCGGTTGAGTTTGCGGACTTCCCGCTGACGCGCACCGTCAAGGTCAAGGATGTCTGGCCGCGGATGCTGGGTGCTGGGCTGACGAATTTGGATGAGGGGATTGTTAAGCGCTGGAGTTTGGGCCGTATCGTTCTCGTTGGCGATTCCTGCCACAAGATGACCACGCATCTGGGGCTGGGCTTTAACCACGGGATACAGGATGTCGTCGTGCTGTGTAATAGCCTCCGGCGGGCTGTGCGGGCTGCATCCGGTGCGAGTCCGAGTCCTGCGGTGCTTACAGCCGTCTTTGAAAAGTACCAGGCCGATCGGATGAGTTCTGCATCGTCGCTTCAGGGCGATGTCGTCAGGTCGGGGCTTGAGACGAGGATGCACGCGTGGCATAACTGGTGGTATTACCTCCTTTCGCGATACTTGTCGGTCCCGAACGTACTGGAGAAGTTGTTTATGAGGTTTGTCATGGCACCCGAGTTTCGCAAGGGCCAGGTGTTGGATTATGTTGCTGGCGAGGAGCGCATGAGGGGGAAGATGAGCTGGATACATCCCATGAGGTCTACAGTATAAGCGAGAGAAGCGGGTAGGATTGACAGTGTGACAATTTTCATTCGCAAATTAAGTCAGATATTAAAAGCATTATATGCCACTGTGGTAGACATTGTTCGTCGTAACGGATCTTTCCAATCTGCTTAAACTGCGACTGCGTCCGCTAGTTTACCCTCCGTGGAACGAGACAGCTTTACGTGCACACCATCACGATGCGACAGCACCAAGTTGGTCTGCAACTGCGGCTGCGCTAACGGGTTGGACTGCGCGTTCTCGAGGACGTCGAACTCCTGTAGGAGTCTTATTATAGTATAGCTAGCCTCGACGAGAGCGTATTGTTCTGCGCGCGCACAGACGGAATCAATTAACAACGGCGATCCAAATTTGAAACAACCCACGGAAGGAGGACGGGGATAACTCACGACCCAAACAGATTCGAGGCCCTCCGTTAAAGGGCAAATACTCCCAGCCCCGCGGGGGATTCTCCGCCCACCGCTCCGGCCTAAAAACATGGGCGTCTTTGCCCCAGGTGTCGGTCCGCCGGTGCATCGCGTAGACATTATACCCGACCATGTCACCCTTTCGGACATATACCGGCGACCCCCCGGTTCGGCCCCCGCCTACGGGGAGGGACGTGTTCTTGACGGCCTGGCGGAAGTTGATTGGCACCGGTGGGAGCAGTCGGAGAGCTACAGTAATAGTCAATCAGTCAGTCTGGTGGTGCTATGGCAGAGGGGATAGGGTGGAGACTCGCTCTCATTCAAGACATAGCGGAGGTACGCGAGACTCTTCAGTCTCGCATGCGTGATTTCATTATGGCCTGGTGTATTGCGGGCGCCGCATTCCCGCACAATCTCTGCCCGCAGCGCAGCCCAGACGCGTGGGTTGCGCGCGAGGAAGTAAAACACGGAGCTAAGCAGGCTGGCAGTCGTGTCCCGCCCCGCAAGAAGCACATTCAGCAAATTATCACGGATGACCTTTGGATCATTGGTATCCGACGCAAGCGCCTCGAGGAACACATATCGCCCCTTATCCAGGTCTTCATTGCGGCCACTGCTTCCAGGGGCGGCATGGGCATGCTTAGATCGCAGCGCCAGATGCACGTAGTGATCAACGACCTCATGCACTTTTGCATTCGCAGCCCGGAACTGCGCGGGGTTGATTGTCCAGTAGAGTCTCTGCGCGAGGGCCCGGCGGAGTAGGTACTCCTGGCTGGTGTTGAAGGCGTCTGCGAAGCCCATCGGGTTGTCGGCGACTGGTCCTGCGGTTTTCTCGCTGTATGTGTGTAGGCACCCCATGGACTCGCCAAAGAGAAACTCGGTCGCGGAGTCGAATGTCAGGAGGTAGAAGAGGTCTTGGATGTCGAAGCTCGAGCCGTCGCTGGGGAGGACGTTGATCAGCTGGCCGACGTGGCGGTCGAAGAGGGCGAGGTCTGCAATCTGTATGCGTCCTTGGTTCAGTCATGATCTTCTTGTATTTCGTCTTTTTTTTTTTTTTTGTTTCTCATCTTGCCTCTTACCCCTGGGAGAGGATAAATGTTGCTCACCTGCTCTCGCGCAAACTGCGGCCTGATCAACGCCCGCATAGACGACCACCCATGCCCATCAAGGGTAAATATTCCATCACCAAGAAGCGGATAGAACTGCCGATGACGGATCCCCAGGCCAAAATCATTAAACTGGGTAGCGAGGAGGGCCTTGAGATTCGCAGGCTCGATAGTCGAGATGAGATCGTTACCGAGCATCTTCTCCTTAAAGGTCGGTCCGTGGGCGTCATGTAGCGAGGCAATATACTCGACCAGCTTTCCAGACTGCACGTGCTTTATCATTGCAAGTCCACCCGTTATTCCAGGTGACCGGGTGACTGGTTCTTCACAGCTCAGTGCTCGAGCTTGCAAGGCGTGTTTGCGGCGGGAGATAAGGGTCTGGGCTACAACGGCTGCGATGACCAGACCGGCAAGCCAGACGATGCGAGCGTCCATCATGATTGATAGGAATAGCTGGCGCGGTGATGTTTAGGTAGGGTTGGGCTGTGGTAGTAGGGCTATTCAGGTCTAGGAGCGATGGGTTCTCAAATAGAGGCCATAAGGGCGACCGAGAGACGGTAGGCTCCAACGGAGAGCGTCACAAGACATGTAAAACAGTCTGTCGGCTTTCCTAAAAAGACCCTGGTTGCCACGATGTCCATCCTGCTGCCTATGCTGCGATAGTAAGGTTGGATATGCGGGGTTTAGTCAAGTCAGATAGACCGACAAGCGGCTAGAGCGGAATACCAATTGCGCGAGCGCCATCACGATCGACCCTATTTGCTAGTCTGCCCCAGGCCACCGTACGGGAAGCATTGAACGAGGGCTACGCACGTCGATACCTTGGCCGCATGAAGCTTGATATGCCTCGGCTCTGGCACGCTCACCCCATGGGGGCGGGAAGGGGTAAAGCGCTTGACCATGACGTACACGGAAGGACTCTGACTCGGAGGAACTCTTATTTATGACGGGATACCGTTTTCCAAGCCTGGTATTAGTACCATTCGCACCGGAGATACATGTGCCTAGTGGGAGAGCTCGAGAAACTTGATACCAGAAATATAGGAGGGCTGGTATCCAAGACAGCCCCTGGACCATTAAAGTCTCTTGCTCTTGCCCAGATTAGTTTGAACTTCTACTGCACCATGGCTAATACTGAGGCATGTGCGCTCATCACCGGCTGCAGCAGTGGCATCGGCAAAGAGCTGGCGATGGCCTTTGCCGCCAGAGGAGTCACCGTGCTCGCCACAGCACGTCGCACCGAGTCACTTTCCGAGCTCACCAGCAGATACAGCAACATAAAAGCGATCGCACTCGAGTTGAGCGACCGCGAGAGCATTACAAGACTTAAAGACACTGTCCTGAACCACACAGGCGGACGTCTAGACTACCTTGTCAACAACGCAGGGACGCACTACGCAGGGACGGCGATGGACTTGGAGATGGATGAGGTTGCAGCGCTCTTCCAAGTCAACGTGTTTGCAGTCATGCAGCTATGTCAGATCTTTGTGCCCCTTCTCCGCCAGTCGCCACAAGGGCGCATCGTGCAGATTGGCAGCGTCACGCGCCATATACCGGTGGTGTGGCAGGGGGCATATAATGCGTCCAAGGCGGCGCTGAGCCAGTACTCGAAAACGCTTCGACTGGTAAGTAAGCAGCGGAAGCCCCTTCGCGGTCGCAAAGGATTTATTCGGTTCTAACCAAGAGACACAGGAGGTCAAGCCATTTGGAATCGAGGTGATTGAAATCGTGACGGGGTTTGTCCAGAGTAACATTCTGCACCACGGCCTCCACGCGCCAGAGGGATGCCTCTATCTTCCCATAAAATCCGCCATTGAAGATATCAAGTACCAGGGCAATGCGAACGGGATGCCGGCAAACGAGTATGCGGCGTCAATCACCGACAAGCTGCTGCGGCGGCGAGTGGGTCCGGAGATTTGGGAAGGGGCGCTGGCCTGGTCTATTCACCTGATTGTCACATTTTTGCCCTTGCGGCTTCTGGTACGTTGTTTCAGCATCAAAACCTGCCCGAGCTAACCTCTGTGTAGAACCTTTTGCTGTACCGAAGATTCCAACTCGACTTGTTAAGGCGGCGAGGCTAGTTTGATTGGCTGAGGCGGAAAAATTGGATGCGCCGCGGAGGAACTTTAAGGTTGTTCCCCGCCGGATGGCATAAGGAGGCGAGCAGCTTCAGTTACATAACAACTTAGCAACGTAGATAATCCGACAGCCAGAATCTACCCACTCAATTCGCATCCTTCCCACCTTCGCTTAAACCACATGGAGCACCCAAGGCCCTCGTCTCCCAGTCTAGAGACCCCGGCACTCCAGCTGAGAGTCTGTGATAGGTGCATCCGGTAGCCCACCCTTACTTCATATCTCCATCTAACAACGTCGCTAAGCGTTTACGCAGGAAGAAGATCAAATGTCTGCCCGCCGCCAACCTGCGATATCCAGCCACTGATGTTATACAGGCAATCTGGCGAGGCCGACCTGCTCCCGCTGCTTTGACCTCGGCAAGACATGCACATATTCGCTGGTGAAACGGAGACCCGGTCCTCCCCGCGGTTCGCACCAGAACAGGCGCCGCTCCAGGTCCCGCAGACCCTCTGGTAGCGTCACCAAGATAGTACAGTAGCCCCTGCTAGAGCTGCACAACTAACGATGCCTCCGCCCAGTAGCCCCAGACGCGGTTTCTACCCCTGCGGAGCATGGCCCTGTGCCTTCCCCCATGTCCGAGCTTCCAACCACACCGGATCTGGTCCCCCACAATCAATCTATCCATGCCGGCTCTGGACAGCACGCAAGCATCAGTCCATCCTGTTCCAGCTACTTGCATTACACCTCTGAGCAGGAGGAAGACCTGTACGTGACATTCCCTCTGACCTAAAGTGGAGCTAATCCCGTATACCGCAATAGTATTCGAGGCTTCTTCGAGATCGCCCAGGATGCAAATCCTATCTTCTACAAAGAACGGTTCCTCCACCGCTATCAAAGTGCTCTATGTAACCCAGACCTGATTACAGCCATGGCCATCATCACGGGCAAGTTAACCCGCTCTCCTGTGGGCGACGACAGTTCAAATCTCGACGAGGGGCTAGACTCTTTGCTCAGCTCGAGCCTGCTGGAGGATGACCTCGTTGGGGATGCGCCATCGCTTGATCAGTTCCGCAAAGCCTATATTTTAGCCTTTTACGAGTTTCATCAATTTCCCGGCCACCACTCTTGGTTGCGCATTGGTAGGCTAACACGGATGGCATATCGCATCGGGCTGGATCGTCTTGACCATATCCGCGTGCTCTACCCCGATTGGAGCCCCGTGAGCGATGAGGATATCCAGGAATGGCGCACTCTCTGGTGGCGGATCTACCGGCTCGACACATACTCCAATCTCGCCTCGGGGACACCGTACTTGATCGACGACGCCCTCATCAACACCACTTTTAGCTACAGTCAATCAAAAAACGGCTCTCCGGGAGTTTTCCTCCCGCCAAACTCAGATGAACTCTCTGCACTCCTCCCTGCCATCATAGCAGACCCAGAAACATTGCTAGACAATATCCATAACATCACAATCGCCACCATGCGCCAGACCGGTCTTGTCATCCGGCTGCACATGCTCAGACGCCGAGCCGGAATCCTAGCAGAGGTCGCCAAGGTCGAGCGGCAGCTCACCACGCTCCGCCTCGCCCTCCCACCAGGCTGGCTCCACCCGCACCGCAGCGCATTCACAAACGAGACCCCGGCCGACCACCACGCTCGCCTGATTACAGTCTTCCACCTGCGCATGGCGCAGCTGCTCCTTTCACTGCTCATGTGCGCCCAGAGCGAAGCAGCCGACGATTGGCTCGCAAGCTGGCAGCGCGTCCTTGCGGCGTGCCAGGATATCGCCGCACTCGCGGCACAGTGGGATAGCGCATTCTGCCTGGCCGTCGACCCGGCAATCACGTTCACCATATTCACGACGTTGATATTCTTGGACCTGCACAGGAAGTCCGGCGCGCTGCTGGATAACGAGGTCCGCGCGAGCATCGAACACGACATTACCGTGCTCCATCTTCAACTAATACACTTTAAGAGCATCTGGACGCAGGCCAGACTACTTGCTTGTAGGTCTCCCCTTCTCTCCTCCCTGCCGAAGAATAATACTTTCTTCTCAGTAAACACACGCTGACTCCAGGGTACCAAAAGTGTCATTCGAAAGCTTTAGTCAGTCGGTATCTGGGCCGCTGTCCTATGACCAGATTACTTTGATTCTCTCACGCTTCGAGGCGCCCCTGCATCCGAGGTGGCTGCAGTTTCTTGCATCGGCTCGGCCAGTGCTCGAGGCTTGTCAATGATATTGGGAGTCCCACTAGCGGTTTTCCTGGCGTGATTATGTTTTTTGTTGATTTGGTTTGCATTTTGTGCAGTCGGAGGCCTAGCGGATGGACCATGGATAAGGTTGAGAGACACCAGACCTTGTTGATATCGTGGTGTGTGGTATAGATGAGGTAATATTGTGAACATAGCATGTCACGAATATACTCGAATATTCAAACTGGGCCACGAGAAAGACCATGGATTTATGGATCTACTCGCCGACTGCTGATTAAACTGGGAGCTGTTGATAATGATCTCAATCAAAAAAGCGTGTCACTATAACTACACAGCGCCGAAACTGGTTCTTGTTTACAAGGGTCTCGTAACAATCCACAACTTTTTACTCCGCGGAAACACACGGTGGATTTAGATTTTGAGAATGAATCCTCCGCGGAGGAACGGGGTGAAAAAATAATAAAAAAAAAAAAAACATTGAGTAGCGGTGACTGGCTCTTCGAGGTGGCCCACAAACATAGTCCCTGATCGGCGGCCGGCTGGTCCACCACCTCCCCAAGGCCTACTCCGGAGTAGGCTGCCCCTCGGAGGATCCAGATGGATAAAATCGAAAAACCCACTGGATTAAAGTAGATACTAGTGTAACGCCCGTTGTCGAGGCTGCGCTAGTTACGCCTCGGCAATAGCCGCTGGACATCACTCTGAGGACATGCTCGTCGATCGCAGCTCTGAACCATGGCAATCTCATCGAGAACGCATCATCTATGGACCTGAGGACTATTTCCTTGGATTAACGAAAATTGCTATCATCGTCTATAGCCCCTTTAATGACGTGATGCACAAATGTAGAGTATATATATATTCGAGCGCGTGTCTCTAGGGAGGTGTATTATCAACAGCATCCAGCTCTTTGACTTGTCAAGATATAATTTCAAATACGCTCTCTCTACCCATAGACTTTCCCAAGACCTATATAGACACTATCAGAGTCTTTTGCAGTCATGGTCCGAGTATCTACGATCGCTGGCGCAGCCATATTGGTGGTTTCGGCATCTTGTAAGTGCGCCAAAGACCACTCTGCAATATTCAAACACGGCTAACATATGATCATGGGTTCAAGGCCTGCATGTCATTTCGCCCTCGAGCGGCTCGGAGCTTGATCTCTCCGGAACGACAAAGGTCGAATGGTCGTCCTCTGAGTGAGAACCCCAACCACCCCTCCTACCCCCTTGTGAAGCTAAAGGCAATACAATGACAATGTCCTAACGCATCCAGTTCTGACCCATCCACCTTCAACCTCTATCTGCTGAACAAAGACATAGTCCCCAGCATCAACCTCAAGATCGCATCGAACCTTACCACGTCCGACGAGGAGTACACCTTTGATGGCGTCGATGTTCTGCCGGGGTACGTTTATTCGAATCATTGTTTGTTCTTTCACCTCTTTTTTTTTGCTCCCTTCCCACGCGGCGAGAGAGCAGGGAGGCCAATCCTGCCGCTTGGCCCTTGATAGCACTCGAACCAGTCTGTCCAGCACATCATACCTAACACCTCTGTACCACAGCTCCGGATACATATTCAACCTAAAAGACGTCTCCACCAACGACATTCTTGCCCAGTCCGACGAATTCACCGTCGTCTCCCACGGAGACAACACAACCACTTCATCTGCTGCGACAACCGCGACCGCAACAAGTACGGACGGCGGATCTGCGTCAAGCACCGATGAGCCCAATGGGGCTGCTACTGGGCTTCCTGTCGCTTGGGGTGTGATGAGCGTTGTTGTTGGAATTATGTGTGCTTTCTGAGGGGATATCTGATTATTGCGGGTGACCTTTTCGGCGGTCTTGTGTGGTTTCTGGTTTACTTGTTGCTTGCTGTGTTTTGTATTTGTTTTCCTGTATTCTAGTACCTATGTGGTGCCCCTAATGTTTGTTTTCAGCAATGTAGACTATTATCGTATTTTATGCCGAGTCCGATAAGGCCAACTAAGAAGGGGGCGTCAACAATTGGTCGATCAAAGACTGAACCCGGTAAGCAGCTTTTCAACGAAGTTGGCGGCCGAGCACCATTCTCCTAGCAGCCATGCTAACGACACAATCGTCTTCATCAATGTTACCCATGAATGAAATAAAATGATTGCGAATAGCTTTAAATATTATTATTTTGGGTGATTTCGTCACGTCACAAAGAACCGGTAAAATAATACTTTACCAAGATCCCCTTTATTTATATTAATAATTACTGGGGTTGACTAGAGTAGAGAATAGACCTGTATTACTGTTATTCTGGACCCAGACCAGGCATGCGGGAAACCTAGCTCTAGTAAAGTTATCTACTAAGTATTTATACTAAAGATACAGAGCTAGTTATCTTTATTAATAGTCTAGTATTATATTACTGTTACCCAGCCCTGGGAGACTCTAAAAGCGGCTGATCCCATAGATAGCATTCATATGTAGTGAGCTAGGGCCCTAGCACACGCTTATTAATAATAAATTTAGTTAACCTGGCTGGAATCCTGGTTGTTACTAAAGCTTATAAGATTATCTTACTATTACTTCTCTAGTTATAAGTGACTCTATCAGTCTATCTTTATAGTTATTCTATATTATTATTAATTAATCTCTATAGTTTTCTATAATTATATTTCTAGTACTCTATAAATTTCTTACTAGTTCTTATTTAATTTATAGAATAGCTTATATAGGATATTCTTCACTGGCCTCCAGGATAAACAGTGGTTTAACTTCAAGCCTATAGTAGCCCAAGTATATAAATTAGCTGCATGAACACTTGCCGCCGGAGCGCCTACTGACCGGCAACCGCTAACTGACCAACTGCCGACCCCCGAGCATCTCCGACAACCGCCACCAAGGAGTAGATATATCACAATCCTGCAGAGGCAACCAAGGCCTCGCATATTCCTAACTAGGAAGGATCTACCAAAGGGAACTGTACAACTGCCTGACGGCCTGACGGCCTGACTTGGACGGGTTCGGCACCAGGACCGCCGCCGGTCCGCTGTCGGAGACCACCCTTGAAGGGAGTTCTATATAAGACCTCTAGATATTCCCGTTCTATAGATCCTTAAGCAATTCATTCTGTTTCTAACGGAGCTATCTGATTGGCTGAGCTCGAACACCTAAGATCGTTGACATTACCTGATAGTTGCTAGACCTTTGGCATCGTTCGGTGCCTTACATATTGAATTTATAAAGAAATTGGAATAGTAAATAGCTTTCTAATTCTTAAACCCTAGGATCCATTGTAGTTCTATCTAGCGGCGCACTATCTAACCTTAGAGTCATAGTGATCATAAGTTCATAATAAGCAGCCTCAGTCTGGGGTATGTATATCCTCAAGGCCTAACAGATAGAATCTGTTTATCCTGTTTCTCCAGCAGAAGCTTTCCTGACAGCCTGTTATCACTAAATCTAGTAGCATGGGTAAATATCTACTGACCCTATAGCTAAATCTTTTAAATAATACTGTAAGTATAAGGTCCTTGGCCTTTGGGGTTATTGCGAATAGTGTGAAAGAGTGTAATACACCTAATAATAAAGAATATAGTGTCGCGATAGCCGGATTTCAAGAATAAAGGATAGTTAATAGATTAACACTGAAGTTCTGAGTATCTGCCCTTCGCAAAGCGAAGAGATATCTCTCTGGCTGAGTCAGCATGCGAATACTCTGTATTCTTCGCAGAGGCCTTACAGTAAGGCACCAAACAATGCAAGGGTATTCTATTATGTCATAAAATCGGAGTCACTTGTACCTGGAGAGACTGATCAACTATTGGTGGTGGGGTGGCATTCAAATCCGGAAAGAAAGTGCACTTCACGCAGGTAGAACTTGGAATTGCATGACTACCATAAGCTTTTCCTTCTTAAGATGAGCTGGCTCACCTGACTCTCAGGCGTCTGCAGAGTATTAAAGTACTCCATCACCGCAATTGGTATGTAAATTTAGCCCCATCCAAAATATCTGGTTTGTATTCTGATTGATCTGCCGACCAACTTCTAATTTTCCGTCAATATTCAAAGCAAAGAAAACTTCAAGAACACAGGAATTACCATCCCTGCCGGTTAAGATGACAGCTGATTCTAAGATTCCACTCTCCTCTGAAGAGGTCAGCTCACGGGAGGTAGAATGGTATCATCCAACCCTGACCTGGCTACCCGACACGACTGCGCAATTATTCCGTGAATATTCAGCGATCCCACAAGAAGAGATCGTGAAACATATTCAGGATATTAGGGAGAAGGCATGGGATATGTAGGTCTAACAGAATATATACTATATTATTCCTTGCTAACTTATCTGCCCCTGTCTCTAGTTACCCATATCCATGCATTGGAATTTTCCGCTTTATTGATTTCGGAGCCTATTTTTGCCCTGTATACCCCGATGTGCTTAAAAGACTGGCGGCAGGACAGACCTTACTTGATCTGGGCTGCTGCTTCGGCCAGGACCTCCGTAAACTAGTTTTTGACGGAGCTAGTTCTGAAAATCTTCTCGGAGTTGATCTTCATGCTGGGTTCCATAATCTAGGCTATGAGCTTTTCCGGGATAAAGAAACACTAAAGGCCCGTTTATACTCACAGAGTATCTTTGATAAGGAGTTCCTGCCAGAGTGGCAGGGCAAGATTGATATAGTCCATATGGGGGCCTTTCTACACCTCTTCAGCTATGATCAGCAGAAAGTCATTATCGCAAAGGTAACAAAATTACTTCGTGGCTGCAAGGGCTCTCTCGCCTTTGGCCGACATGCTGGGGCTGAAGAGGGGGGCCCAATTAGCCTTAACACCAAATGGGACTTGTTTGCACATAGCGATGCTACTTTGAAGAAGCTGTGGAATGAAGAGGGGGCAGGAAAAGGTGAATGGGAGGTGAACACTCAGCTTGTACCCTTTGAAGATAACGAGGTAATGGACGGCAAGGCGGGGTCAGTTGGGCGAGATGATCGCATTCGAATGATGTACTTCTCAGCAACTCGGGCATAGAACACATCTTCATGATAGATATGATATGCTCTTACCAGTCTTCCTGCAATATACGCACTCGCAAATGAAAATTTTTGTTTCCCAGTATAATATATAAATATCGGGGGCTCTCACTTACTCAAGATAGCCCGGACCTGGTATAAGAGATTAACAGCCAGCTGGAGAAGACTGTCGGGGTAGCTGCACGGATGAAGTATCTGTGGCCCTGAAACACGGAGGATATATGGGCCTTCAGATCTCTTTATAAAACATCTGCAAGGCTGCCATCGATGACTATCTATTCCTGTTACAAGCTTTTCCAATAAGCCTCAATCAACGTTAATCCTTGAAATATACCGTGCGAAACCTAGCATTTAGGTGTTCTTGATGAAAGAGTAAAAATACTTTGGGTTGTTCGTTAATTGGTATAATTTCGGAGTTTGTCACCTATGTATTGATATATCGAATCTCTACATTCGTGCTTGCTTGTATGGAGGTCTAGTTTGCTCAACCTAGCAGCTACGCTGCACTGAGTACACGAAAATAGGGATAAACTAACTAAATTAGGAAGCTGAGGAATGTCTGGTACTGTGTCGCTGTGGCCCAGCCCTGGGAGGCTCTGAAAGCGCCCGATCCCATAGGTAGCATTCACATCTGCAGCCTTCGTGCCCCGACTGCTCCCGGGATATCCGACATCGCCCGTCGCCATCCCGCTCGTTGATTCAGAGATTTCTATCCCATGGTATGGTCGAAGCTCGTTACAACCGCCAGCGGCCATTCAATCCACCCCTTCCTCCGCGGACCTAGGATTAACTCGGCTACTGCCACAAAACGCTGAGATAGTCGATGGGTCCACCATCTGTCTGAACAAGCTCTGTCGAGTACGATTGCGTAGTGCGCGAGTACGACCATCGCATACGCGTTCCCCTGTTCCATCAAACTGACGAACTCGGGCGACAACCGAATATACCACGTGAACACACTCGGGATATCGTCGAGACGCCCAGCGGACAGCTTTCTATGCATTCTTCTCAGATCGTAACTACTTGTTTCAATGTTGCTCTCTTCATTATTCTTCGGTGGCAAGACGATCAACTGAGTGACCATCGCGAACGTATCTCGAAGACAAGATAGTGAGGCAGATAGGGTACACGCCTGCTCCAAGGGTACCGTGGGGGCTTCTCCCCATAAACGACCCAATCTCGCCAGGTGCTCGTCTTCCACACGGATCCATTCCATGAGGTTCTCGCTGAGCGTTGGTGGGATGTATCGTCGGATGGCGGGAGATAATGGACCAGACGAAATCCACTGCTGGCATCTCCAGAAAATGCCGAAGATATTTTGAATGCTGCGCGCGACTCGTGCCGCCGCAACCGAGAGGCCCCGAATCGTTTCTTCACATTTATACGGTTGGTCCTCTGCTCTCTGAAGCAGGACGCTGGCCTCTTCGCTCGAGTTTGCAAATGAAACCAACACCACAAATATGGCGAAGCCGAAGAGAGCAGAGGAATTATTCTCGGTGATATTCTTAATCGATTCCAGATAGCCCGGAAGGGCCTGGTTAAAGTGGTACGCGCTGTCTATGAGAAGCTTCTTTGATGTTTTTGGCTGCGACAAGCTGGCAAGATGAATGTAGGCGACGCTCAGGAGGCCATGCCCCAGGAAGGAGAAAGAAGCTGATAGACTTGGAATGTCTTCGCGGAATAATTTCGCAAGAGACGGTGACCCCGGCTTTGTGAAGGCCGCAGCCGTATAGATCTGGAAATGGCAGTAGAGCTCGACGTCTCGAGTATTGTCGCGACAGAATAAGAGGGCAGCTCCTGGGCTAGACACCCGAGCAGGTATTCCGAGCGCTCTTGCTCGCGATGACTTTGCGCCCGTGGCAGTGAAGAGTTCTTGACATTTTGAAGCGGGTTGAAGGTCCTTGAAAGAGCACTCGACGGACCGCTGCGAGCAGTTGGTGCACACCGGCTTTTCCTCATCACACTGCCCAGGATTAATCCTTTATTCGGAGCGAAATCAGTGCCGGTGACGTACCTTGATCCTCCGCTTCTTGCACGGGGCGCACCCATATCTCGATTTGTGGTGGAATTTGCGACTCTTTGTCGCGGGTACCGTATCGTTAGCCATACACAAGGCTGTGGAGGAACGAGCCAGGAAACTTGGGCGTCTGGAGAAACGCTTATAAAGCCAGAAACGACACCGCTAATCTTAGTAAAACAGAGTTTGACAGCCGTTTTTTCACGCGTAATCTCGGCGCCGTCCGAGGAACTTGGTTACAAAGATGTGTGTTCTTCCTCTGGTCTGGCCAGCAACGGGCGGATGGAATTTTACTTCACATCCTGTCGACCGATTCTGAACACTTTGTAACTTATCATGGTGCGAAAACAAAAGTGGAAGAATTGAGAGAGTGAATTAGTATGTGCTACACTAGCCTTATGAGCTTCATTTGGTCAGCTTAGCAACGAAGCTCCCACTTATCACTCTCGCCAATTACAAGAGAAGATAGAAGTCTTGCAGGACCGGGTGCTAGAAGCCAAGCAAAGATATAATAAATCTGTTCATGAAGTGAGAAATAAGAAGCAACAACAGCAGAATCAACAAATCAGGAAGAATCTAAAACAGTATAGATATAAGTAACCTGTGATAGACCTAGAACAGCAGCTGGCTGGGAAGCTTATTAATACTAAAGTAATGGACACTCTAGAGTAGAGGGGATCTATACTGCGGTAGTAAATGCTAATAATTAATGCTATACTTACCGTGCCAGGCGCCACTCTGGAAGCGGAGCAGCAGCGCCAGATCCATATAATTAATGCTGTGACTGCTTTCTGTGGTATAGAAGAGGGCTGTCCTACACAACAACCAGTAGGACCAGGACGGCAACCTGCACCTGAATGTAATGAATCTTACGCTTCTTTTAAGCAGTAACAAACCTGCCTGGATGACAAGACTGAGATAGCCCTACGCCAAGCAGTAGAGTCCGTGGGGCTTACACATCGGCGTGGTTAGAAAAAAGGTCGGCATGGCTACAGAATTAATCCGAAATTATTGCCACATCTTAAATTATTCTAATTCTACAGATTTAAACCACGATAAGCTATAATTTTATTATTAAAAAAAAAAAAAAAAAAAAAAAAAAAAAAAAACCTCCCTAATCTCCCTAATCTTTAACCACCCTAATGCGTGGTGTGTATAAAGTGTGGAATTAGTGGCAATAAACAGGTGGGTCTAATCCTAACCACGCTGACCTATTTTCTAACCACGGCGAGCTGCGTCCCCAAGTCGGTGCAGGTTACTTCTCCAAAACAATAACCCCGGATCTGCTTTCTCTGCTTAGGGAATCCAGACCTCCCACTAAAGGACCGCCTTTTACAGCATATAATACCTGGTTCGCTCACAAGGTACTTTCTACGGAAACATGTAAACCCCCCTTGGCCGGATAGAGAGGTGAAATATGAAATCTGTCACGGAACGCCATTCTAATAAAAGTCTGAGCTCCTGCATCACGCACACGTTTCTCGTGGGACTGTTGTGGGAGGCGTGACTCGGAGTAGGCTAGTGAAAGAAGCTAACCCTCCTTGAGTCCGGTCACAATCATTGAATCTTGCAAGAAGCCCTCTCAAAATGTCTTCAGTATCCCGTCAACAGGCTGGAGTGTTTTACGCTCTTGCTGGGCGCGCAGCATGATTCAGTCATCTTATTTTCCTTCTGTTTCTCCATAAATCATAAGAAAGCAAAGAAATATTATTCTCTGCAAACAATGCGACGCGACACAGTCGAAAAACTTGGATTAGTATTGAACCCGTGTTACGCTTGGACACTGTCGAGCCTTGACTTCCAGTTTGTCTTACTGCGGCTCGACTCTCGTGATCGGAATAATTTGCATACGATCATAAATAATGAATTGCGGTTTACCGAACTTGGTGTTGTTTAGGTGTTCCTGCATGCGCACCATGACGCATGTTAGATCAGGCCAACAAGAGATTGACCTTCTTTGTCGAATTGTTGCAGAGACTCCATCGAAACCTCCAAAGGCGGCGTCGGGCTCCTTACTAGATGACGCTATCTAATTCAGGGATATGCAGCACATGGTGCAGTTGACTAACTTAGTTAACATATTTGATTTAGATAAGCAAAGCACCCCCTTCAACAACATTGATAGTTCCCGTCATAAATTGATTCCTCATTATGGCAAGAAAAGTCTCGGCAGCGTCTCCCGGGTCGCCAATCCTTCCTAGCACAGAAGCATTCTTTGCTGCCTGAATAGCTTCCTCACCCCAACCTGCCATAGCCCGGTCGAATAATTCCGTTTGGATTGCACCAAGAGAGACGAGGTTCACGCGAATCGGTTTCAGCTCCAGGGCGAGGCTCCGAGTCAGCGCGTCTTTTGCCCCTCCAACGCCGGCCCAAAGTGGCCAACCGGGGGGAGGCTTGTATGTGCCGGCACCACCAGTTAAGGTGATAGAGGAGGTATAGCCAGGTCGGAGGTACTTGACCGCTACCTTAGCGAGCATTAAGTCCCCGATGAAGTGATACTGGCTGGCTGCGATGAGGCTGCTGGGTGTTGCTTCGGCAAGGGTTATCGGGTTTGGAAATGAGCCAGCAGTGCTGATGACATGATCGACAGGTTTTGTTCCCTTATCAGTGGCGAAGTCAAAGACCCTAGAGATGTCTGCCTCTGCTTGCTCGCTGGATATATCGCAGGCGTAGCCCCGGACATTTATGGCTGCAGCTGGATAAGAGGCCTGGAGCCTCTTCACGGCCTTGTCAACGTTTTCCTGGGTCCGGCTAACTACCACCACGCTTGCACCGAACTCGAGGCTAGCTTCGGCTGCTGCAAATCCTACGCCTGATGTCCCACCGACAATAACAATCGACTTGCCGCGAAGTTTGTCAGCGTATTTTAGCGCCATAACTTCGAAATCCAAGACCCAAAAAAAGAAGATAAGAGTAGGAAGGTAATAATGGCCGACATGGTTCCGCCACAAGCAGGGGGTACAGTATATATATATATATATGGGATGTTAAGAGATTTTGATAATTCGGTCCTGGTTATATGTACCGGAACCGGACGTAGACACCTCCGGGCATCCGGCTTTGGCTCTGATTGGTTTATTTGATTATAAATTCCCAACCACCTCCTTGCACCTAATCCAGGGTACAGTCTTAGATGTTGGTCCCTCCGGTCCCATTCTATCGGCTATGATTGTATCCGGGATCCGGATTACGGCTCCTCAGCCACGCCGTCGGTATCGCGGATAATAATAAGCATATTCGCCCCTAATGGATATGTCCAAAATCCATAAAAGGGAAAAAGAAAATTCTTTAACCTAGGAATACAGAGCAGGTATTCTCACCATCCTCAGGAAATAGACATTTTTTGCTAGTCATAATTCAGGAATCATACCGCATAACCGTCAGCCATATGGCATGCCCTTATCTAGTTCTACCTCAGCAAGGCTGATGTCCTATCCATTTAGCTCTCTGCCGTCAATTGAACTGCCATCAGATTTTATCTGGTCATCCAATCTGCCCTCATCAGTATGTCATGATTGTACTATTTAAATCCATCGACGCCTTTAAGAACCTGGATATGGACTAACCTAGGCTGAAGCCCTTCCTTAGTCCAAGACTGAGCCATATCTTCTCTCTAGCTGTTTTCTCTACTTATGGTATTTCCAATTTACATCCCGCCTTGCGTTCACACTTCCCCTGGTAACCCATATATACCGTGGCATCTAGATCTTCTGGATTGAATGTTCCTGCAGCCAGCAGGCCCGGAGCTAGCACGGTTGACTTATCAAATGATCTACTACCGCCGCCGGAGCGCCTACTGACCGGCAACTGCTAACTGACTAACTGCTGACCCCCGAGCATCTCTAACAGCTACCACCAAGGAATAGATATATTATAATCCTGTAGAGATAACTAAGGCCTTATATATTCCTAACTAGAAAGAATTTATTATAGAAAATTATATAACTACCTAATAGTCTAACTTAGAGAGATTAGATATTAGACTACTACTAGTCTATTATTAGAGATTATTTTTAAAGAAAGTTCTATATAAGACTTCTAGATATTCTAGTTCTATAGATTCTTAAATAATTTATTCTGGTTCTAACAGAGCTATCTGATTAGCTGAACCTGATTTCTTCGTACATTGACATCACCTGATAGTTGCTAGACCTTTGGCATCGTTCGGTGCCTTACATTAGTAACAATAAGGATTCCAGCCAGGTTAACTAGATTTATTATTAATGAGCGTGTGCTCGATCATATATTCTATCATTCTAATATCATTTCAATGGCAATTTATCTCGGCACAGCCTTCAACCTGACCCCCTCAGCCGACGTTTCCAACAAAAGCTCCATCTTCCTTGACGTATCCTCCATCCCCTTCAGCGTCGGATCCGCCTTCAGCGGTTCAGGAGAATCAACAGTTAACCCCGAGAACAACAGCGCCAGAGGCGACGACTTCCAGATATACTGATTGCGAGTGTGCAGGATCGTAATAATCAGAAATAAGCCACTAAGCAGAACCAAGGCCCCCGGCAGAATCATCCAGGGCCAGCGCACATGCACGAATGACTCCACGGTCCAAGTAATCCCTGTAACTGTTGCTTTGCAGACTTTGGATCGTGCTTGCAGTGTTAGCGATCTTGCGAGCGATTCGAACACTGAGGTGATGTCGGTGTAGTTCCCTTGCGTGCCGTAAACGGCCTCGAGGGTTTCGGGTTTCCAGCTTGGTCGGTTGCTCACGAAGAGAGACCCTTTGCCTTGGAGTAATGGTGAGAGGGAATTTGATAGGGCTAGACGGCTGAGCCAGTTGACGTTGTATGTGCAATCTTCTGCGAACTTTGTGTATGGTTTCTCGTGGCGTGTCCCGTTGACGTAGCAGACGTCTGGTGTAATAGCAAAGTCCTCCAATGAGGATGACGAGGCGTTGGAGGTGGTCGAGACTGTCGAGATTGCCTCTGAGAATTCACCTTCCTGCACAGCTGCCTTGTATGTCTTGATGCAGAAGTAGAGCGCGCATTCTGTTGCGCTGATCGACGTTGTCCCGTAGCCTGCTGAGCTGATGGCGGTGAAGTTGAGGATGAGCGGTAGGTCTGCTGCAGGTAGTTTGATGAAGTCCAGTCCCGTCGTGCTGTTCATCAAATAGACCATGTTCTGGGCCGTGGTGAAAGAGAACCCGTTAGGTAGTGTATAGTGGTACTTGGTCAGCATTGGTCCAAGTGGTGCCTTGGACAGCTCGAGGGAGTCAGTGATGTTCTCACAGCGACTGCAGATCCCAAGAGACTGGTATGGTGCAAACGTGCAGTTTCCAGTTGGGCAGTTCGCTAATATCGCGTTGCTGTTGGGACTTTGGTTCTGGAAAATCCCAGAATAGATTGCGCCGGCAGTTCCAAGCGGAACCTTGTTCAGTCCCGGGCCCTCGCCCTCGCCGTAATCCGTATACGTGCTGGCATTGCAAACTTGAATAGACGAGTGGCCTAGGGCGTGCACTGAACGCATGTGGATGCCGATAACTTGCTGGACGAACGGGTCTGTAGCGGCTGCTATGACCAGAACGAGACACCCAAATGTAATGAGATGTCTATGCAGGGGTGAGTACCAGGGCAAAGAAGCTTGAGGACCAGGGGACCACCAACCGAGGCATAAATTGAAATAGAGCGACGAAAGCACCCATGAACCCGCGACTGGCAGCATCCAAGACAGAAAGATCACTCAGCTTGTTTCCGTCGCGAAACCAAGACCATTTCAGCTGAGCAAGAGACTCGGCGAGGATAAACGCCATCATAGCTTTCATTACCGTGCAGAGAACGGACACAAGCGCATTGAGAGTAATGCCATACGGCCATTGGGGCATTGGTCTGCCATCATAGTGGAACAGTACCGCGACGATGGCAACAAGAAACCCAATCGAGGTGAGACAGCCTAGGATTTCCAGGGTCCAGCTTGCTCCCCAGGATTTCTGTGTCTGAGACTGCAGGAAAGCTTGTTCGGCCGATGATAGAGGTCGTTGCCGCGCTTGTGAGGGTTCTGGTATGTCGTCGAGTCGGACGTAGGAGAGTCGGTGCCCATTTTTATCCATTTCTGACATTCTGGCAACTATCCTCAGACCTCAAGAAAGGCGAAAAACAGTTCACTATAGGGGTGAGCTGGTGACAAGGCTGAAAATAAAAATTCTCAGACTTAAGCTTGAACTACAGTTCGATTTCCTCATCGGGTCCGTAAGTGAAACTAGGGCTGTGAAGCGTGGAGAGCCTCCACGAGGATGTCTTAAATCCATTCCTGGCTGAGGATAGTGTGGCAGGCCTTATTGGGCCATAACCACGGGATGCTGTCCATCGTAATATTAAGATAGCCTATTTGAGCTGCTGTGGGCCGTATGGGTCTGCAACGGTTAACGGGTCTTGCAGATCTTGTTTGCAGCCCGAACAGCTCGCCACAACCCCTGCCTTCTCGAACCCATACATTAAGCTAATTTATTTGGACAGCGCGTTCGTTGCCCTTATTATAGCTTGTGCACGATTGGAACCGAGGCATACGACAAGGCTGAGCCGGAGCTATCAGAGAAGGAACAGTGTCGTTCTTATTCCCGGGAGATAGGGTTGCCTTGTAATACAGGAAATCCGTCACGAGTACTGTAGCCTGTCGGAGAGCCTGTGTAGGAGACGCTCACTGTTGAATAAGACTAGCGAGTTTGCCCAAGATGTCGACTGGACTCGGCGAGATCTACTAATCGAAACAACCGTGGGATCTTATTGCACAAGCGATAGCAGACAAGATATCACGCACGCTGCAGGTATGGCCAGTACGGGTAGTACTGAGAGTATGATTTAATTGTAGTCAGTGGAAAGACTCATTTTATTGAGCGTTAGACTGTTTATTTTATCCTTTTAAACCTGCGGCCTTCCCTCCAGCAGCCCTTTTGGTCAAGTTCCTGCTCATCTTCCCGTGTATGGGAAAACCACCAAGATGCGTTGACAAAGGCCGTCAGTGCAGCAGTTGTTGTGAAGAAACCGTGTTAAAGCGTGTACTTGAACAGCGGCGACCGATCCCCCAGCAGTTGCAATTCCTCCGCTGTATACTTCCGGTCAATTTCCTCCCTGCTCATCCTAGCGTTTCGTCTATTCACGAACCAGAATCGCAGTTCCAGAATAATACTTGCGACCATGCCCGCCGCTGCAAAGGCAAAGGAGCTTCCAAACCCAGTCGGATATGTCGGGGCCTCTTTCTCAAGGTAAATAAAGGAACCAACGAGCCCGCCTGTATTAGCAATGCTAAGCATGAAAGCTATTCCAATGCTTTGCTTCCGAGCTCCTGCGAGGTTGTTGGCTGTCCATGCATTCGCCGCGGGGACGATAGGGTATAAGCCAATGCAGGCAAGAACAACTCCAAAATAACAGGCAGGGATGTTGTTATGGATATTTTCTGACAATGAAAACAGGAGGGAAAAGGCAATAATAACCAAAGCTTGACAGACAACCATAATTGGCATACGCCATCGTAACTTGTCAGCGGCGAGTCCAAAGAGATAGGCGGATAATGCTCCTGCTATATAAGGGGGCATTGAGAGAAGCTGTGCGTTTGCAGAACTATATCCCATGTTGGTTATAATCTGAGGCAGGGTGAACTTCAGGCCATAGTTTGGAATAACATTCGACCAGAAATTCAGAACCTGCAGGTAAATATGCCAGTCAGTAATCACCTTGAAAAGCGAGTTCCAGTCGAATTTGCCAGCACTATCATCGAGCACAAGGCGTCCTTTCTGGGCTTGTTTCCGTAGTACTAGAAAGCGAATCTCCTGAGATTCTAGCCATCGACTAGAAAGCTCAGGAGAGTCCACTAGACACCAGTAGCAGACACCTGCCAGCAGGACAGTGGCAAGTCCTTCGATAATAAAAATCCACCTCCAGCCAGCATACCCACCAACACCATCCATCTTGGCCAGGCCAAATGCCAGAAGCCCGGAAAATGCGCCAGAAAGTGCACTGGCAGTATAGAATATTGCTATTCTGGTTTGAAGCTCATGTGGCAGATACCACTGCGTCGTAAGCCAGACGGCTCCTGGGAAGAATCCAGCTCTATCAAATAAGATAGGTTAGACAGGCTTTCCAGTATGTTCGATAGGCACAAACGTAAGCTTACTCAAAGATGCCTAAAAAGACACGAACCACGCAGAGGCTGGAAAAGTCTCGGACGACCCCTGTTAAGGTCACAACAATGCCCCAGCAAAGAACCAAAATTGCTAAATAAACCGATGGCTTATTGAATCTAGCAATCAAAATATTGCTGGGAACCTCTTAAGCTAATGTTAATAAGCCAAACCACAAACAGCATTCACCGCTTCACATACCAAATAGGACATAGGGGATAAAGAAGATGGCCAAGGCGATATTGTATTGCGTGCCAGACATACCCAAGTCGGGTAACAGGCCTTCAATTTTGGCATTCCCTGTGTGTGGTTCATTGAGTTAGCTGGATGAAATTGCCAATGTGGCCATGGCTTTGAATATAGGACACATACCAATATTTGCTCGGTCAATATAAGAAAATAGATACAGCAGCATCAACACCGGGCAGAGACGCCAGTCAATCTGGAACCCGCTCACATGTTATGCCCAAGTAACTGTATATTAAATGCCGGATTTGCTCACCTTCCGAATGCATTTTGTCCGCAAGTTATCTGGAAAGCTGGCAAGGAAGGCTGCATCCTCGCGACTCAGGCCACTTTCCATGTATGTCTGCTCGAGGCTAGCAGCATCCTCCAGGATTTTCTCAGGGGGACAATTGTCCACCCTTGTCAGGTTGGATGGATTTTTGGAGGACATAGTAAGCTTTGCAATTCGTATATTTGAGGGATTCTGTGGTATGGAGAAGAGAGGCCTTTAGTTTTTATATATTGAAGGGTCGGCACAGCCAAGATACCAACCCCGCGCGTGTTAATCCTTGCGTGGCCATAGCGAGTCAATGGCCTATGCTAAGAGGCCTGTATGAAGGAAAATCTGGAGTATCTGGGGAAAGAAAGTTAGTATACAGTTCTTAGCATTCTTGTCCCGAGGACAGTACATCCGCCGAATATCGCCGAAAAACACCGAAAACGCCCGGCCACGTATATCCACCACTGTCCTGCCCTGCATTCTATCCGCATCACCATCTAAGGGGTGGGGCGAATTACTTCGCCGCAAGGCTCTAAGCACTGAAGACTTGCAGTCGGGTTGGGCTGCCGTCATCTACTCTCATAGTAAGCCACCGCAGCCTCATCAAAAGGCCTCATCCAATACCGTAGGTAAGACAAGTTAATTCTAGAAACCAAGTCTGTATAGCTAGATACAGTCGAATATATATATTATTTCTACCAAATCACCATTTTTCCGTTGCAACTGTCTTATTCTAAGAAATGAAGGGCGGGGAAGTCTATAACCGACAACAAGCATCCGTCGAAGACTGCAGCGTATCCCCCTCAACAAGCACACTCCGATTCCTCTCCTGTGTCGACGGCGGCACATCCAGCCCGGGATTCCCCTTGAAGAAATTCACCGGCTTCAGCCCGACAACCATACGGTCCATCGGCATGACCGGCCAGTCCTCGATGCGCGGGTTATGCGTTGAGCCAAAGGTATACCAGACGACGATATCTTCATTGCGCACGCTTGTCTGTGCACCAGTGTCTTTCCGATGTGCAATAGCTGAGGAGATCCCCTCCCCGCCTAGTGATTGCATGGTATGCCGGCCGGCAGGGAACATTTCTTCGTCGTTGTATCGGGTAACCCAGACGGCGTGTTCGGCGTACTCGGAGCGTTTCGCGTGGTAGGACTCTGGGTGGGAGAGGAGCATTTGGCTGTATGCGGGCATGAGCTTGAATCCGACGGGGGTCTTTGTGATGGGGTTTATCGAGGCCTCGTTGATGATTTTGAAGGTGCGGTTCTTGGTGAAGTCCAGGTCGAGACCGGTTTCTTCGGGGATGATTTGGGACGTTGTGCTGTAGCCGACGCCGAAGGGGTTGTGGGTTGATGGGTCGTTGACTGGCATGGGGTGGGATTCTTCGACCTGCAGCGAGTTTTGTGTGTTGTCGTCGATCCAGGGGTCCATACGGAGGCAGAAGAGGTGCTGGTGGTAGGGGGCTAGCACGCCGGGGGCGACGATGGTGCCGTAGGGGACGTTGTCGGTGAGGTTGATAGGACAGGTGGAGAGGATGCCTGTTGCGCGGACCTCGTAGTGGATGGAGGCGTCCTGGCCGAACTGGAAGGCGAAGATGTATTCGTAGTTGGAGACGGTGATGATGGTCTGCAGGACGAGGATGCGCGAGCGGGCGACAACGGCGTTCTGCGTGCGGAAGTTGGTGTGTTTCCACAGGATGCCGTCGTCTTGCTCGTGGCAGCACACGACGTTGGGCAGTTTGAGGGGCTCGCCGGAGGAGGTGTTGTGCCAGGCGTCAAAGTACTTGATCAGACCTAGACAGTCGCATCCAAGACGGAGGTTGTTTGCGTTGACGCCGGCACCGTCACTGCCCAAGTCGAAGGCGGCCTTGCGGGGATAGGGTGACCGGGGGTCACCGTAGGGCACGAACATCTCGGACAGTGCGAGACGGTAGAAAAGACTGCGTCCATCGTAGCGGATGTCGTGCAGTGTCAGGCCTTCACGGTAGTTAAACCCGACTCGCATGGTCCACTTCTCCCACGACAGGAGATTTCCCTGCGAGCTGAACGAAGGACCATCGGGCTGGACAACCTGATAGGGCTTGGTGGTCTGGCGAGGAGGCGGCCGCAGACTGGGGTGATACTCGCTATCCACGGTGGAATGGATCTTGTTGACATCAAACGGCCGGGGTTGGTCACTGATGCGCTCGTCTTGAGCTGAGGGCAGATAGTAGATCTTGGTGACCTTGAGCTGTTCAGAGACTTCTGCGCAGAGATCCAGAGGATATGCGTAGTAGTTGGCATCGGGGTTGTCAAGGAGGCGCAAATAGAACCAGCACTGCCATATATTAGTTTCCAGATCACACAAATTAAGGAATGGCGTACCATTGAAACCCTCTCCGACATATCATTAATCCCATCTGTGCCATACGCCCACGGCTCGACCACTACCGTAGAGCTAGGAGGCAGCTTAAGCTTCTTGATCTCCTCCTGTACACGAGAATCTGCGAGACACGCCGCCTCGACCTGCTTCATATATTCAGGATCGATGTAGGAGTGTCTTCCGACAAGATGCTCGCTCTTGACGACCTGCTTGCGGTCCAGATCGACTTGCAGCTCGATCAGCTTGTTGGCGCCATTTTCGCCGCGCAGCACGACCTGGACCCGCGAGAGACGCGCAGGCCGGGCGGTGGCTGGGAGGCCCTTGTGCTCGCTCTCCAAGAACGGCAGCAGTTCCTGCTTTGCGGGCTCTTTCAGCGTAATGAAGCGGAAGGCCGGGGCCTGGCCGGGGAAGTGGGCGCGCACGATGGCGGCGGCCCTGGTGATCTCCGCGGGGGAGAGGGGGTCGAGGGGGTGGACAGACATTGTAGTTGAGGAGGATGAGAATTGTTGAGAATAATTCAGTGAAGAGGTTGGCGCCTTAAATAGGCGAGCATACAGCAAACGTTTAAAGTGGCACAAACTGCTAAGGTTAAGAATAGCCGGCCTGTCCGCTATGGTTAGGCATACCCGACTCCTCCATCCACTCTAAGATAGGCTGATGTGTCTTTGATGCAGAGAATGCTTGGACCTGTCGTGATTTGCTGCCATCGCCGACTGCCCACCGTCTCTTAACGGCATCGTATTCGACCTTATCTCCTCTCCCCCAAAGGAAGGACTCGCCTGGAGGCTTGAAGTCTCGCCTGATTATGTCCTTTGAATACCTCCACGGTCGGGTCTCCACAAAGAGCCGTCGTCTGTCTTCTTAACTCCACGACCCAAACGGAAGGACCGAGCGACCGATTATCAAGCGATTCTTGGCGTCTGACAGATCGAGAACAGCTTCTTGGAGTTATCTCTGCTGCTGGCGATGGTCTCGGATTGAGTCGAGGTTATCAGAATACGATTACACCGTGCCTGTGGAATGAACGAAGTTGAAAGTTGATACGATGAAGACGGGCAGTATGTCCGTCTAAAAAAATATGTCTATTCTAATATATTCAATGATTCTCCTTTGGAGTCGAGGCGCGTGGAATTGATATAGTATATGGAACTAGAATCTTGATAGAATGCGATGCTGTAGAACGCCCATTCATGAACTGGTAGATTTGGGTTTATACATAAGGAGTAATATATGCATAATACTATGAAACAGTGAAAGGAAACTCCCAGCGATGGACGTCCAGACGCGACAGCAAGCAGGCTCTCGTACGTAAGACTAATTGCGTCAATCTTAGTCCTCTGCATATATCAAGTTGCATCCGTTCAGCCGGCCCCTAAAGGAAGGGAGAGGCGAGTGCCTGGCTATAAAAGTGGCCGTGCGGTATGACCTTTAAATAAACTATTTCTCTTTCTCAAGTCAAATACAACTAGTTGATTCTCTTCTTGATAGTGGTTGCATGCTCTAACATGTCGAGCACTCTCCCCTTCACGGTCAGTTATACTCAGTACTCTGTGTCAACATGCTAATACTCCTCAGCTGGACGCCCCGTCCCTGCTTCACGAGGCATCCCTCCTCAATGGAAACTGGGTCCAGTCCCAATCCGGGCAGGTCTTTGAAGTCGAAGGTACGCACCACCACCACCACGACCAACAACAACACTATCTAACAAGAAAATAGACCCCGGCACAAACAAACCCTTCGCTCACTGCCCAACAAACACAACCACCGACGTAGACGCCTACATCCAATCCTCCCACTCCGCCTTCCAAACCTACCGCCACACCAACCCCCGCACGCGCGCAAAACAGCTCCTAGAATGGCACAACCTCATCGCAGCTTCCAAATCAGACATCGCCAAGCTCGTCGTCTACGAAACAGGCAAACCCATGTCCGAAGCCCTCGGCGAGGTTGAATACGCTCTGGGCTTTGCGTGGTGGTTCTCCGGCGAAGCGGAGCGTGTTCGCGGGTCCATAGCCCAGCCTTCTATCAACGATCGCAGGACCTTTGTCGTGAAACAGCCTATTGGGGTATGTGTGGCTCTTGTGCCGTGGAACTTCCCCGTGGCTATGATTATTCGCAAGGTCTCTGCAGCATTAGCAGCTGGGTGTACGGTTGTGATTAAACCGTCGCCTGAGACGCCGCTGAGTGTGCTTGCCCTGGCTGATTTGGCCTTGAAGGCTGGGGTTCCGGCTGGTGTTGTGAATGTACTTACCACGGATAATGAGCATACGCCTTCTGTGAGTGAGGCGCTTTGCAAACATCCGCTGGTTAGGAAGGTTACCTTTACGGGGAGTACGGGGGTGGGAGAGCTGATTGCGCGGCATTGCAGTGTAGGACTGAAGAAGGTAACGCTAGAGCTAGGCGGGAATTGTCCGTTTTTGGTGTTTGACGATGCGGATTTGGAGCAGGCGCTGGCGGCGCTTATGGTGTTGAAGTGGAGGACGGCGGGACAGGCATGTACGCATGCGAATCGGGTTTATGTGCAGAGGGGGGTATATGAGAGGTTCTTGGGGATGGTTGTTGAGGTGACGAGGAAGATCCAGGTTGGGCATGGGGCTAGTGAGGGGACGACGATGGGGGCTTTGACGACGCAGAGGGGGATTGAGAAGCTGGAGAGGCATGTTGCGGATGCAGTTAAGAAGGGGGGTGAGGTTGTATTGGGCGGAAACAAGATAGAACAGCTTGGAGGGAACTTCTTCCAGCCTACGATCATCTCGGGCATGTCGGCGGATATGTTGACCACGAAGGAAGAAATCTTTGGGCCGCTTCTCGGTCTGTATCGCTTTGATACTGAGGAGGAGGCAGTCCGGATGGCGAATGATACGAGCATGGGCCTGGCCTCGTACTTCTTTACGCGCGATGTCAGCCGGACGTGGCGGTTGCTGGAGAGCCTGGAGGCCGGCATGATTGGCATGAATACTGGTATGTTGGCCAAGTCATTTCCTGATCTATACTAACCTGTCCAGGAAACTCGTCTGCAGCAGAGTCTCCGTTCGGGGGTATCAAGGCGTCTGGATACGGCAAGGAAGCTGGCAAGGACGTGGCGATTGAGGAGTACCTGATTGCAAAAACAGGCACTCTGACGGTTTCCAAGCTGTAGCATAATAGTAGTTAATGAGTTATTAGTTAATAGAGTTATCTCTTCCATGGAACGACTCCACTTCCGCTTTCGGCTCGCTGGGTCCTTCCACTTTGATTCGTATTCTCTAACTCTATTTCAGTTATCATGATAAGAGAACAGATGATAATTAGATAATGATACTCTAATTATGGTATACGTCAGTCAAACAGGGAGGATCCGCACCCCCAGACCCGCCAATATCTCTCTCCAATCGCCACTCTCGTTCTCATCCATCCTCTCCCAGATCCTACACACCGTCTCATACTGCTGGCCGTAATTCCGCATCCCATACCCCTGCACTCTCCTCCACCACCCATCCCACGCCTGTCTCTCCTCCCCCACTGCCTCGCAAGACGCCACGAACGCCGGCCATGTAATCGGCGCCGGGAACGAGCTCTGCTCGCCAGATCCAGCTGTAGGGGATTTCACTTTCAGCTCCTCCGCCTCATTCATTGCATCCAGAACAGCCCGCTGCTCCTGATACAGACAGTCCCGGCTACACTGCTGAATAGAGCGGTAGTAGTATATCAGTGCTGCATTATGGAAAGCCTTTGCCTGGGCGCGTGCAATGTCAACCATATGTCCTTCCGCCTCGGTGGGTGAGATCGAAGAGAATGTCTCTGTCGTTATCGTATACGAGCCCAGGGCATCGGCGAGCGCTTCACATGCTTCCAACAATGTCGCTGGGAACTCCTGCTCAGGCCGCGGACTCTGGTCGCGATAGTAAGCGACGTACTGGGAGAGGCGGTATATTGTGAAGATGGCCCCTGCGATGGACGTTGTGATGCCGTAGAGGAACTCGATGCTCGGTTCGAGGGAGTAGAAGTCTGCGCCGCGCGGGACGTGGTCGTAGCCGGGCCAGGGCTTGGGGGTGAGGATGGGGAGGGTTGTTTGGCCGAAGAGATGGAGCATCTTGCAGATGTTGTTGAGGAGGCAGGTTTCGCGGCTTACCAGCATCGAGTAGTGTCGTGATGCTTGTAGTTTTATGCCGGCTTCGAGGTGGATCCAGTGGTCGGACATGCCGCCGTCCATTATCTAGAACGTCAGTAAAGTAGGAGGATACTGGATGGAGACTTACATCTGCTGATACGAGGGATAAGATGGCGGTCATGATGTCTTTGTATGGAGTTGATTTGGTGGATAGTGCGCTCTGCAGCGCGACGAGGGCTCGCTGTTTGTGATGGCAGGCGAGCTGCTGGAGACCTTCTTGCTCGCTTCGCATGCTCTGCAAGTTGACTGCTGCTATAGACAGGACGCTGTGGAATACTGCAACACTGGCCGAGTGGAAGCGCCGTGGGACGTCGAGCTGGGACGAACCTTGTAGAGCAAGTGGGAGATATACAGTCCTCCAGGGGTTTCTTGAGTGAGACACCGGCTGCATCAGATGGACGACGTGCTGCATGTAGTGGTGCATCAACATTGAAGCTGTTGTATCTTCGATTATGCTCGAGGCTAGGTTATGCTCAGGTAGTATTAACTCGACGTCTTCTGGTGGATTGTGGCCCAGCCAGCGCGTACTGGGCGAGACAGCGACATCATCTACAATGGAGGCAGTATCGTTGGAATCAGACGAGGATGGATGGGGTGAGCTTGTATCGAGATCAGTCCTGGTGCTTTCAACACGAGTGTCGTGTAGTTGTGTCGCTGGAGATTCTGGCGCTCGAGATATCTCTATCGTATCTTCATCCAGACAATCATTAATCTGCATCCCCGAGTCTATTGAATCCGGAATCAAGGGCGACGCAATAGATGTAGAATCCACTGGACTATCATTCTCTGTCGCCTCCTCTTCAGGAGGCTGGGACGAAAACACCGAAAAGGGCCCAGCAGTCGTCGTCGCCGCCGCCGGTTTAATAGCAGATTTCTCGACAGTCGTCAAGGCACGAGCGACCTCATCGTCTGTCATCGGTGCGCAAGCAACTTTATCTGTTCCGTATTAGTATCATTCATTCATTCTGCATGAAAAGTTGAGACATACAACCAGACCGAATGCGCCGCCTGCTGGTATTCGGCCCAGCGTTCCAAATCAGACGCACATCGTAGCCCGCGCAGGTCAGCTTTGCCTGCTCGCAGGTTCTACAAGCTCCAGGTCTTTCATCGCATTTGATGCGGCGTTTGCGACATGTCCAGCAGCTTCAACTGTCAGCGTACCCCTAGTTTCTGAAGGTAGGGCGCATACCCAGTGTAAGATATCGACTTGAGGGGCTTTGATTTCCGACGGCCCAGATCCCAGACGAGTTCCGACATGCCAGGCGATGGAGATGATTATCTGAATAAACTGGGAGCTGGATGGCCACCTTGGAGAGACATTCTGTTGAGCTGCTGGTTCTGCGGGGCTGGTGGCGGAGACGGCTAGTGGCGTCTCGCTGTCTTCCACTGGGCCGATCAACGGAGATACGAGTGATAATTAACTTCCGTGGAGATACGGAGACTGCAGATAATCGACTGATAATCAAACTGACAGCCATGCTGGATACGCGTGACTGTCAACTGCCAGACTGTCAGACGTGTCATCATCGTCCAGCCCTAATGGGACAGACATGCAGCAGAGTAGCCCTGCAGAAGTAGAGTAGCCCTGCAGACCTGCACGGCTTCCAGTCTGCCGGGCGGGGTAGGCCAATAGACTGTAATACCAGGGTCATCTTTGTTGGTCTTTAGTGCATCGCTTAAGGGTGGGATAATCTGGACTTTGACAGCCTTAAATACTGTATCCATCATATAGCTGACCCTGGTTAATGCCGGTCGCAGACTGCAGTTCTGTCTCCACTCGTTAGGTCCTTCCAATTTAGTTCGTGTTGGAGTTGTACGAGCGGACATTCCAGAGCGAGGAGTGGGTGATACTCCAACGGCCTATATAAACCCAGTCATACGGACAGTAATACACATAGCAACAAGGCTAGACATTTTACTACTGTGATCATGTCCCCAACTCCAGACGTCACAATAGACGACGTCGTCTCCCTCACCCAGACCCTCGTCCAAATCGACTCCTCCACCCCAGGCTCCGGCACAAACGCCACCGGCGAAACCGCCATCGCAAAGTACATAGTCGCCTGGCTGCACCACCGCTCCATCGAAACCCACTGGATCGAAGAAGTCCCCAACAGGCCGTCCGTCGTCGCCGTCGTCCGCGGATCCGGCGGGGGAAAGTCACTCATGTTCAACGGCCACACCGACACCGTCACCTTACAGGGCTACACGGACGACCCCTTGAGCGGCCACGTCGCCCCAGATGGGCGATTATACGGTCGCGGATCCGCGGATATGAAATCCGGTCTTGCGGCGGCAATGATCGCGCTCGCGCAGGCTAAACAGCTCTCTCTCGATAGTAAACTCTCTGGCGACGTGATTCTCGCCGCCGTCGCCGACGAGGAATGCGACAGTATCGGCACAGAACAAGTCCTCGCAGCTGGATGGCGTGCGGACGCGGCGATCATCGCCGAGCCGACGGAGTTCGCCATCATCAATGCGCACAAGGGGTATGTGTTGCTGGAGGTCGAGGTGCGTGGGGTTGCGGCGCATGGCTCGCGGGCTGATCTCGGGGTTGATGCGATTTGCAAGGCTGGGCATTTCCTGGTGGAGTTGGATCGGTATGCGCAGCAGTTGCAGGAGCGTTCGCCTACGGGGGAGAGGCTTGATGCGCCGAATGTGCATGCTGGTGTGATTCGGGGTGGTGCGGAGATTAACTCGTACCCTGCGTCTTGTGTCGTGGAGATTGAGCGCAGGACCATAGCCGGCGAGACGGATGAGTCTGTGAGGAAGGAGTTGTTGGAGATATTGAGAAGGCTGGAGGAGAGAGTTCCGGATTTCAGCTTTGAGCTGCGTGTTACTTCGTATCGGCCGCCGTTTGCTATTGCTGCGGACCATCCGTTTCTCAATCTGGTTGTTGAGCAGGCTGTCAAGACTACGGGGGCTGCGCCGCCGATTAAGAGCGAGACGTACTGGACTGATATGGCCTTGCTGGATGAGGTGGGCATTCCGGGGGTGATCTGGGGGCCTAAGGGGAGTGGTCTGCATTCGAAGGAGGAGTCTGTCGAAGTGCAGTCGATCAGGGACTTGAAGGATTCGTTTGTGGCTATCATGGAGAGATTTTGTCAATAGTACTGTTCTCTTTAATAGTGGTGATATTTTCTATAGCTTCTAGTATATCTGGTCGCGGTATAGGGTCATTTGATATTAGTCTAAGATGCACGCCTATACATGATCACTTCGTAGGATCCCCCGGGGGCGCCGAAGGCTCATAGTCACTAAAGTCATACTCGACATCATAATCCTCAGCATCATCCTCGCCATCCGAGAGTTCCACGTCCCTGAGGTTCTCCCCCTCATCCTCCTCCTCCTGCGTGAAGCCATAATCCTCCTTGCGGATCTTCTTCCACGCAGCCAGAGTCTGTTTCCGGGTAATATAGAACGGCAGCTTCGAGAGCGAGACACATCCGTCCTGCGTAACCTCCACAGTCTGACCGATCGAGCTCGCCGTGTCCGTCGCCTTGTCCATCAGGATAATATGGATGAAGAAGACCATCCCGGGCTGCGCGACGACATTCTGTCCCCGGACAAACATGGGATAGTCCATCCATGTCGGCGAGAATGTCGCTCCCAGACTATATCCGCAGGCATTGAAGCGCTGGTCCTTGAACCCGTTCTCGTCCGCGACGCGCGCATACGCTTCGAAGACGTCGCCGATTTCACGCCCCGGCTTGAGGGCGGCCATGGCGGCTTCCATTTGCAGGATGTTGACGTTGAACATGCGTCTGGCAAGCTGGGTGACGCCGCCGATGTGCACGGTGCGCATCAGGCAGGCGTGGTAGTGCTTGTACACAGCGGCGTGCTCGATGGTAAGCTGGCGGTCGATCTTGCAGCGGCCGGTTGAGTAGCGGGTCAGGACTGCTTTGTTTCCTGAGACCATGATGTTCTCGTTTGCAGGGTCGTCGCCGCCGCCTTCGTAGATGGTGCCCATGAGCTCGCGCCAGAGATCGCCTTCGTAGGCGCCTGGTTTGGCGACTTTGAGGGCGCGGACTAGCGAGAAGTCTGCTAGGTAGGCGGCCTTGCGGACCTTGCGCAGCTCGCTGGGGGATTTGATGATGCGCAGCTCGCGCGTGAAGAGGTTGCTGTGGTTCACGAGGGTGCAGAGGCCTGAGACGGACTCCTCGAGCAGCTTGCCGACTTCGAGAGTTAGGGTTGCCGAGTTGGGCTCGAAGCCGATGCGCTGCGAGGGCGAGGTGATGCCGAATTCTTTCAGGACCACGGGGACCAGCGAGACGGGGTTGCTGCCTGCGTCGTCGGACCTGATCAGGATGTCCTCGTATTTCAGCACGGAGGTATACAGGGCTTGCCGGAGATCAGGCATGCGGGTGATCAGCTTCATGGAGCCGTCGTTGTGGAGGTACATGGCTTGGAAGAAGACATAGCCAAAAGTGTCATAGCCGGTGAGATAGTACAGCGTCTCCTGCTTGGTGATCAGGAATCCATCGAGCTTCTCGCGCTTGATGAGCTCGAGAGCCTTTTGGCGACGCTCTGCGAACTCCTTCTCGGAGAAGTGCAGCGACTTTGTGAAGGGTTGGGGCTTCTTGGACATTTTGAATATGAATAGAATAGAAGTGATTGCTGTTGTGCTCTTAATTCTGGCGACACCCGCCTTTTATCGCCGCTGTCTACATCTTCCGTGGTACTGGAGCACAGTTCCATACAGCAGGAGACAACGATGATGGAACTGGCTCTAGCCGAATTGACCCACTTATGAATACGGCAGGAGCCAGCGAGAGGCAAATTCGTAGTGCGAATAAGCCGAGTGTGTGCGCATATCAAACTCAAGGGCCCACCCCCACAGTGCCACCTCGTGTCCCCAGACCAGCCAGACTCCAGACTTTGGTTCCCCTGAAATTTCGTCGAGATAAGCGACGGACATGGCAGGTACCGCCGGTCCAAACAGGGCTTGGCCTTATCTCCAGGTTGTGGTCTCCAGGTGTGGTCTCCAACTAATACGCCACCACCGTTGATGCGATATTTTATACGAGTGGCCCCCCCTTAGCACTCACCACTATATTTCCCTTCACCACGAGTTATTGCTGCCATGACATTAGAGAAAAAAGATAGTGAGCTTGCCAGGACGGCGAGCGCCGGTGTTGCCTCCGTCGATATGCTCGACAATGGCTCCATCAAGCGTGAATTAAAGCCTCGTCACTCGCAGATGATAGCCCTGGGAGGCTGCGTTGGTATGTCAGTCACTGTGTACAAGTTGCTCTCTAACAAAATCAGGAACTGGCCTGTTCGTCGGTACTGGCGCCTCGCTGGCCTTGGGCGGCCCAGCTCTGTTGCTGATTGCGTTTATTGTCATGAGCTTCCTTGTCTATCTCATCGTCACGGCTGTTGTCGAAGTCGTGGCCTATCTTCCGGTCGGTGGTGCCTCCATGTCGTACTACGGCACTCGCTATGTCTCCAAGAGTCTGGGATTTGCCATGGGCTGGCTCTACGTTTACTCCCTGGGCATTCTGGTTCCATATGAAATCACGGCCGGGGCCTTGGTCATCGACTACTGGGATAGGTAGGACATCAGCCTGATCTGTGTTCCCGTCTAACATTTCTAGTCCCGTCAATGTGGCTGTCTGGATCACCATCTTCATGGTGTTCATCATCGGCCTCAACTTCCTTCCCGTCAGCTACTACGGCGAGTCCGAGTTCTGGTTCTCCAGTATCAAAGTCCTAACGATTGCCGGCCTTCTGATCCTCTCGTTTATCCTGTTCTGGGGCGGTGGCCCTAAGCAGGACGGCATCCTTGGGTTCCACTACTGGAAGGACCCTGGCGCTATACACACCTATCTTGCAGACGGCGACACGGGCAGATTCGTTGCATTCGTCCAGACCCTCGTCCTCAGTGCCTTCCCCTACACATTCAGCCCAGAACTCCTCATCGCAACCAGCGGCGAGATGCGCAACCCCCAGAAAGACCTGCACAAAGCCGCCAATCGCTTCATCCTCCGCCTGCTCGTCTTCTACATCGGCACCGTCATCGCCATCGGTGTCATCTGCCCCTCAGACGCCGAAGACCTCAGCAGCGGCGGCACAAACGCAAAGTCCTCTGCCTTTGTCGTCGGCATCAAAACCGCCGGCATCCACTCCCTCGGCAGCGTCGTCAACGCCTCAATCCTCACCATCGCCTGGTCCGCCGGAAACGCATACCTATACATGAGCTCGCGCGCCCTCTACGCCCTCGCCATCTCCGGCCAGGCACCCAAGGTCTTCCTCCGCTGCACCGAGCGCGGTGTCCCCTACGCTGCCGTAATGGCATGCAGTCTCTTCGGCCTCCTCTCGTACCTCAACTGCGCCAGCAGCAGCTCCACCGTCTTCACCTGGTTCGTGACAATCACCAATACCTCTGCCTTTATCTCGTGGATCTGCTGCTGCGTCGTGTACCTGCGCTTCCGGGCGGCGTATAACCGACAAGACCCGGAAACCAGACCTGAGCTGCCGTATACCAGCTGGACGCAGCCGTACGGGGCGTGGTTCGGCCTGTTCTTTTTCACCGTGCTGATGCTGATTAACGGCTTTACGGTCTTCTTTCCTGGGCAGCTGACGCCGTCGAGCTTCTTTACGGCGTATATCGGCATTCCGGCGTTTGTGGTGATTTATCTCGGGCATAAGTTCATCAAGGGCAGGAAGGATCCGCTGTGGTTTGCGGCGGAGGATATTGATATTCGTGAAGGGTTGGAGAATATCCAGTATTAATTAGTATATATAAGTATATACATGTTAACATACGTACTTGAATTTCTAACCGGGCTGATGGCCTTCTTTCCCTGTTTTAATGCTCGCCGCTCGCTGCTTTTGGTCCCTGAGTAGACATGCATAACCACCCTGTAGCCCTATACCTGATCTAGGCTGATCCCTTATAGGTCGAATGCAGATTAGTTTCCCTTTATCTAATGATATTTAAAAAAATAATAAATAAATAGATGCACACTACTACTGCAAGATATATATAGCTATCTTACTCTATAGTATATACTATCTCCTAGCTATTATTTTGTCACGTTTTGCTGGTAAGTTATTATAATGGCATGAGGTATAAAATATGTTTAGTATACCGCCATCCTTCAATTACTCAAATACCATTTTTACCATTTTTTCCCAACAGGTTAAGGCAAGACATTGCCAATCCGGTCGGAGGTGGTATCAATTTAGACATCGTAAAAAAAAACAAAAAAACAAAAAGGCTCTTTTGGGGCACTTGGTGATATACGCCTTATCGGAATACGCAGCGTATATCTCCCATGCAAATATAATGCTCAACACCCCGTGAAGTGGAAAGATTAATCCAGCGAAGATAAACTGGCCTAATACCCCCGAATACCGAATTGATTAGCGAAACCGATTGCCATGCCAGGAGAGGAGGCAACACTCACAATCGGTAGACGTTCCCGCTTCGCATTTTCAAACGTGCGATTGATGATATCCGCCTTAGCCTGGTTCAAAATGCGCAGTGTGACGGGCAGTCGCGACGAAGGGTTCCCGGGCATTTCAGAGCTGCGCGTGTAGGATATCGGATCGACGGGCTTCTGTGTCCCCTGCGCCCAATTGATCTCAAAGGCCCAGAGGATACGCATCATGGCGATAGCGAGAGAGCGCTCGGCAACATGGTAACCGGGGCCTAAACATTGTAGGGTATGTATGCGTTAGATATTGGGCAAGGGAACCATGACGGTTCACGTACAGATGCGACGTCCCGCGCCAAAGGCGAAGTGATCGCGCTTCGTCACGTCGGGAGAGTTGATACTCTGCATTGTCTAGAATCGTGGAAGTCAAGTCTGATCAGCTGTGTTGTATCTTTTAGGATGTCTGGGATGGCCCGCAGGCTTACCGTAGTGTGATCATCGGCATATCTCTCGGGCCAGAAGCGATCTGGGTCCTCGTGGCGTTTCGGATCGTGGGAAATAGCCCTGGCAGAAACATGGGTTAGAACAATGTGTTCGCTTCACACCGGATCCAGAATTTCACCATGCGTTGAGATGCAATCGGGCGCCCTTTGGGATACGTTGCCCGTTGTATATGATGTCGCTGGTCGTAACGTGCGGATGGCCGAGGGCCACGGGGGGGCGCCATCGCCAGAGCTCCTTCATAACGCACCGAATGTAGGGGATGCGTGCCAGATCGGTGAACTCTGGGAGGCGATCGCCGACTTCTGCTTCTGTAACGGATAAGCCGATGTTGGCAAATATCGTATGAAGGGATCAAGCATACCGATCGCAGCCCGGGCCTTCCGCTGAACATCCGGGTACTGCAGCATCGCCTCGAGGAACGACCAGGTGGAGATCTGACTCTGGTGGTTTACTGCCGTGTCAGGAACCATGCAGCTCTAATGGAGAAAGGCCATACCGTGTCCGCAGCGCCTATAATAAGCTGAAGTGCCAAGTACGCTGCCTCTTCTTCGGTGTCAAAGCCGCCACGATTGGGTGCTCGAATAACTGAAGGGAGGAAGGCATCGGCCATATATCGCCGAGCGAATTCAGGGTCTTTCACCTTCTGTTAACCCCCGTGTCAGGCTCAGCCATGCCATTCTTTTGTTGATCATGCATACCTGCAGGCGCGTAAGACACCACTCCAGATCCCGCTTGAATCTCCGCCTGGCATCTCGCTCCCATGGCTTGAGAAAGAGCGGTAGATGGTTAAGCCACATGAATATATCAACCATGTGCATTCCCGGGATTGTTCCTGGAGTAGTACGGAAAAGTCAGTGACTCGCAAACCAGTCACGACGGATGGACGACATACCCAGTATCTGGGCCAGGCCCGTCTCTATTCGCAAATATCAGCCAAATACTGGTGCAAAGCCAGGGGAAACGCACCATGAATAAAGTCAATGACAGGATCATCTACATCCGGTATCTGTCACCCAAGTCGATGTGTATGAGTAAAAGCAAACCAAGGTGCAAGTGGAAGTCAACAGAGTAACACGCACATCCATTCCAAAGGTCTGCGTCGCAAACGCACTGTACGTATAGCGAGAAAGCGACCTCAAAACCCGAGTCCCATCCAGACCAGCCTTGGGATCATTCGCAATGTCGTGCAAGAACCTAGCGGTTTCATAATGGAGGAGCCTGAACAAGCAGTGTTAACTATATAGACTTTTGCAACGACACTAGATGAAGCCCAGGTAGAACTCACGGTATCCCAGCGTCCGCCCGCGCAACGCTTGTCAAATATGAGTTGATCACGCGTCGCTGGGTCTATCGGGACAAACTTTGCGTCAGCGGTCGAAAATTCGATCTGGCACTCAGTCATACCTTCCACCGTGGGTCGCTGCCATGGAGCAAGAGGACATTCAGTTGGTTGCAGATGAGTTCGTTGCTGACAATCCACCGGGGCCGCTCCGACGATATCGCCGATGATCGATCCATGATTTCCTGGAAGGCAGGATTTAGCTATATTTATATATATAATAAAAGAGTGGTCCACCAGCCTTGACAGCGCGATCTGAGTTGAGGAAATACTCTGTTACCGGGCCGAGGCGGACGCGAAACACCTCGCCGTGCTCGCGAGCCCAGCGATGCATCAGCAGATGCTGGAGGCTCTCCTTGCTGGCCGCGATGACTTGCGACAGATTTCCTAGAATGGGACTGCCTTTCGGTTGAGGTGGGAGCGGTGCCGTTTTCGCATGGCTCCTAGGATATAGGGCCACTCCTAGCAGAACGCAGAATGCAGCCAGGAGCGGCCAATTAGAGGGGGAAAGTATGCTCTCTTGGTCCATCTTCTCAAAGGGTATATTACCAGGTGTCTGGAACAAACTCTCTGTTGGCAATTACTGTCCTATGTATGTAGCTAACGGCCTACTGTATCCGATGTGGGGTGTACGGTGTATAGCGGAGATAGGGTCTATCCGAGTGGGTTGTTTAACCATGCTCACATCAACTGGTTCTGAACAAATTAGACAGTCAAGTCTCACCAGTCGCAGACCCCCGGCGAATGAGCCCCTCAAGCACACCCGCAAACAGCCGGCCGATCCCCCACACCTGGTCCGAGAGAAGGATCTGATGCGTCTCAACCAGGATTCGATACATAGCACTCGGCTCATCCAGGTTGCCCACCCCGGCAATTCGGATCCGGGGATGTCCAGGGGCTTGAATCCATCGCTCTTGTACGGCCGCGTCAGCTTCACCGTCCCACTCAATGCAGCAGCAAAACGGATCGGATGGATTTCCGCCAGCGCCACGTGCTACTGGATCCAGAGAGAAAAATGTCCAGATGGTCAGGAATGCGACGAATAGATGATGGTTTTCACTATGAGCCGTGGACTTTCGTCGCCGGACAAGGCAGAACAGTGTGATGGCGTGCATTGTAGCCCTCCGGCAACCCTGTATGTCACCGCGGAGCCAGGTGCAGAGGCTTTGGCGAGCCGCCGCCGTGCACTGTCTGGTGGCCATCCATCCAATGTACTCGCACATCGGCTGCAGCGGTATAATGAGTACTATTGAAATATGTCGATACAGCTTCATCAGCTGTGATGCGCTCCCCTCTTGGGGGGCAGCGATGTTGCTGGACATTGTGCTGATAGCGTCCGAAGCGGCACGCCTCCATTGTGCACGGTGGACTGCAGACACCAGCGGTTTCATGGTGTTTGCCTCATTCCCAGTCACTGCTAGCCCATAATCATCCCCCAGTAGCGAGGCGGAATTCCGGCGCTGCACAGATTGGTCCGCATCGCCCTGAAGTATGCAGCGATTGACACTGGTTGCCGTGTGCCACTGATAGAATGCTGCAGTCATTGCGATCAATCGCGAGAAAATTCCAAGGCCTTTTGACTGTGCTATCTTTCCGGGTTCGAGAGGATTTAAAGTATCCTTGACCGGCACGTTCCAAACATGGCCTAACTCCCGGTCAGCAAACCTGATAGAACTAAAGGAGAAGCAAGGTGATATGTTACTCTGGGGACTGTTCAACTCCTGCGATAGCATCCCCGCATCCAGATCCCATAATGTATCGGGGCAGGGCAAACTTGAATCAAGGTCGTCCAGGCTCATCATCGGTGGAACGCTGGCGTACAGGCTGAACTGACAGTCGACCAACTGCAGAAATCAATCTCATTAGTATAACAAAGCGCCCATTTGCGAATAGCGGTAAGAAACAGATAGTAACTCACCCAAATTGCGTATATAAGTCGTCTACAGAGCTCCCTGCCAATCCACTTGGAAACCGCTTCATCGTGGCAACTAGCATCTAAACTATTGCCATGCTTCTGGAGCAGGTCCTCTCGGCGCATTCTGGAGCTTAGGCCACGGCACACCGTTATAAGCATGGACCTCTGGAACTGGGCCTTTAAGGCGAGTTGCCGTCGGCCATCAAAGGCTATCTGGATTTGGTTTAGAAGAGCTGCCTGCGCGAAAGGGATTTCGATGGTCTGATGAATATTCTCCTCTACCTGTACAGTGTCAATGTGGCGTGGAATTAGCCCGTCGCTGTTCTGATTCACTGCTGAGCGGGTGATATACCAGGTTATCAAGTGCTTTGCGCAGTATGCCTCCGAGGATGGAGGTCAGTGTATGGGACTGTGGAATTTTGGAAAACCGACCCCCAATGGTGAGAACTGCCAGTATAAGCAACGGAGGTGTATCATCCACGTTGAACGTTGCCTTGTGAAGAAGAGGTAGGGTTGGATGGTAGTGTTCGAAATATAGCTGGACAAAGGCGTTGATGACTTCCGCGTTTTTCAAGAGCTCCTTGACGCCTGGATCACAGGCCAAATATTGCGGGCATTGTATTTTGGCAAGCAACGCCGACAACCCCGTCATTTGCCTCTCTCGAATGCGTGGAACATGGCCGTGATCCTCCATTGCCAGAACATCATCCAAACTGAGGAAGCTCATTATTGACACCGGGGGTCCAGTTGGCCCTTCCGGCATATTGCTGATCTTGTTGGCATCCTGTGTAAGCTCTGTCGATCTTGCTGGCCGATTTTTCTCCCACAAATTCGGCTGAACCATCCCAGACCCGCCGTATGTATGCCATGAATCTGAGGGGTTGGCCAGACTTTTGCTGGTTGGTTGCTCGGAGGGGTCAGCGGCAAGCGTGTCTGCACCTACTTGTCCGGTCGCAGTACCATGCAAGCCAGGAGTTTCATCAAGGTCAAGTTGAAGCACATTCCCAGGGAAGCTAAAAAGGTCAAGGAAGTCCATGCTGAGCCCTTGCGAAGGGGTGCCGTTTTGAAAAGACCAGTCGAACGGCCCGGCGTATGCTGCATCTATAAAGGATGGCCCATTTCCCAGTTCTCCTGGATCATCAGCGAACGCCCCTTGTTGAATACAGTAAATACGATGTTCCGTAGAGCCTTACCTGGACTGGCCGGTAACAGCGGAGCTGGCAAGGCACTATCGCTAATATGGCCGGATGCCTCCAAGGCTGGGGCTGACCGGTCAAGCAGCGGCTGATCGGCGACAAAGGCATCGTCTCCAGCTGTTCTATGAGTGGCGTTTCTCGTACAGGAAACACCCTTCTTGATACACCGACTACATGGGACGGCGGGCGAGCAGCGGACCTTGGCTTTGGCACAGCTGTCGCATGCCCCTCGGCTTCGTGGCTGTGGCGCTTTGGGCTTGTCTTTGGTCACCGAGGAGCAACTTATTCTTCGGTGCCTCGTCAGTAAGTCGCTGGTTCGTATTAGCGGGTGACCAGGTATAAGAAAAGCTTGCGATTGTACCATCTGTTGAACGCTTTCCCACAGGAGCTGCATTGGTGGGCCCGATGATTGGCGTGGGAAGATAGATGGCGGGTCAAGTGCTCGCGACGAGAGAACTGGCGAGTACAGAATGTACAAGTCAGCTTGGATCCCTTATGAGCCGGCATCGTGCTATGGACGCGATGGTGTCGGCAGGAGGTTGGGAGAAGGAAAGAAGATTACGCTGCGGGGAAGTGAAGATTACTGCGGAGATTCCGAGGGAATTCCGAGGGAATTCTACTGCCCATATCACATTTGCCATTTACAAACAATGTACAACTTTACAAGGCAGTTCTGGTCCTCTATTCACCTCTTTATCCAAGTAAGATCCCCATCTCCTTGGTAATCCTCTGGACCCGTGGCAAGTCAACGGCTCCCTCCACTTCCGGAATGATGGGCAACTTGTAGTCATCTCCTGCCCTAATGAACAACTCCACCAGCCCTCCTCCACTCACAAAGACATATGATTTCGCATGCCGACTCCGGTAGTGGAGCTCAAGTCTGCTCCCCTGCGGCACATACAGCGTCTCAGCCGATGTGAGCTTCACCACCGCGCCATCAACTCGGAACTCAAACGTCCCTTCGATGATATGGAACGCGTGGTGGACGCAAGGAAACACCAATCCAGCCGCTAGGACCCCATTTTTGTGAAACGAAGATCCCTCGAGGCTCCCTATGGCGAACTTTCCACCGGATTCCTTCGTCGTCGCAAGGGTGCGCATCACTGACCCACCGAGACGGTAGGCTGGCTCGGTGCCAGCCCGCAGGAAATAGGGCTGGAGACCCCCCGGCAGCACGTTATCCCTTCCATCTGTCCAGGGCTGCGGCGCGAATGGCTGGACGTGCGGCTGAGGGACCATATCAAAGCGCTCGGCGGCTTCCTTCAGCCGCGGGAGAAGGACTTCCAATGGATTGCGGTCGTCCGTGTCTGGCCACATCGCGCCTGCGTACGGCTCGCCCAGAAACCGGAAGAACTCTTCCCAGCCGCCTGGGACGATGAGTCCGATAAACTCTGACCGGTCGCCGAGGATCTGGTATTGGTGGATGACGCCCTGTATTACTGGCGCGTCAGCCCGCTGCAAGAGGTATCTGGAATGGGACGTCCATTTGTGCGTACCGGAGGAACACTGGCGAAATCACCAGGTCCCATTGTGCGTGCCTGATCGTTAGCCCATATATTGACATGGCCCTTGAGACACAGGAACACATCGTGTGCTTCACGGTGGTAGTGGAAGCCAATGGGGTCTCCGCCAGAACCACCGGTGCTGACAAGAGCGATTGCGCCGTCGCTGACTTTGCCTGTGACAAGCAGACGCATTGCGGACCTGGACAACGGAATGTAGTATATTTCGCCGCATAAAGACTCCAATGCGTATGCCTTGCCGGCCTCCTCTGGGGGGGTGGTGGATGCTTGGAGGGTGGCCATGCTTGCAAACTGCCCCCTTTGCTAAAGATTAACTTACCTTAAGCAATCAACCTATATTTCACAGGCAGCTTGAATCATATAACTCTCACGAGGAAAAGGCCACACGGGCCCTGTGCGGGCAACCGCCACCTCCACATCGGTAACCCACACACAGATCCGACACTTCGCCGTGAAGAACATCTGGTGCAGAAGTATCAAACACAAAATCAGTGGCCTTGGGTCTTGTTTGACCGGTGAATGACTGGAAAGCCCGGGAGAAGACTCGCATCTCTCTCTACCATATTAAGGGCCTTGCATCAAGAAGAATCCTGATCCGGACATGACGCCATCCCGGGGTGTCCTTCCTCGCGTTCCACCCGATATGCGACGATGTGCGCCACGGAGCTACCGCTTGACAAATCCTGAATAGTAATCATTAAATCCAGGAACCCGGCGTCGAAGGTTTTGTGGATGTCTGATTAGTGAACACAGTCTCCTCAGCTGATGAAGCAATTGTCCGATTAATAATGTTGACGTAGCGAATCTGCTATTTAATATAAATCTGTGGCCACGCTTTCTTCTGAGTATCAAGCTTTTCCTAAAGATAAGGTTACGGTTGATCTTCTATACCGAACATTATTTTGCCATGGCATCAACAAGTGTTAAGATATTTGTGGTTGGGGGAACCGGTGCCCAGGGTATCCCAGTCATCTCAGGCCTGGTACGCGACAAAAAGTACCAAGTTAGGGTTCTCACACGCAATAGAGCCTCACCCCGCGCCAGGCAGCTAGAGGCACTAGGAAACGTCGAGTTCATCGAAGGCTCATTCGCCAGTGAGTCGGATCTTCGCAGGGGCTTCCGCGGATGCGATGGCGCATTTATCAACATCGACGGGTTCAACTGTGGCGAGAAAACCGAGACATACTGGGCAATGCGCGCATATGAGCTCGCCATTGAAGAAGGCATAACATTCTTTGTCTATGGGAATCTGGACTACGGGTACAAGAAGGGTGGATATGACCCGAAATACCGCTGCGGACACTATGATGCGAAAGGCCGCATTGCAGAGTGGCTGCTTTTCCAGAACCAGTTCAATCAGAGTCGGATGAGGGCTGCTGTTTTTACCAGCGGGCCCTATATCGACATGGCGATTGCAATTGGGACCCCCATGTCTTCGACGGTCGAGGACGGGGTCGTTACCTGGCGGGTGCCGCTGGGCTCTGGCGCTGTACCACATGTGTGCCTTGAGGACTGCGGGTTTTATGTTCGATGGATGTTCGACAACCCCGGCAAAGCAAGCGGAATGGACTTGGAAGTGGCGATTGAGCACGTCCACTACAAGGAGCTCGCTCGTGCCTTTGAAGCCGTAACGGGCCATCCAGCTCGGTTTATTGATGAACCCATGGACAGCTACTGGGCCAGCGGACCCTTGAGTCGTGCGGCAGAGCTGGGGGGAGGGTACAACTCCGATCCCAGTGACCCTGCGTTCATGACCATCCGGGAAAACTTCACGGGGTTTTGGAATCTATGGAAGGACTCGGGCAAGAACCAGGGGGTCATCAAGCGGGATTATAAGCTGCTCGATGAGATACATCCAAACAGAATCAGGACTGTCGAGCAATGGTTCCGTGCGGCAAACAATCAAGGACAAAAGGACGGCAGGGGTTCTCTATGGGACAGGGTGCAGCCAGGGAATATGCAGCCGATTTTGAAATTGCATGAAGACGGCCGCAAAGGGTCGCTTTGAGTGGGCCACTTTAACCTTTCGAATATACGGAGTACATATTGGGATACTATGTATCTAGTGCTATCAACCGAACAATCACATCCCATATGAAGGCTAACCACCCAGTGTATAGAAATCCAACTTTAGTACGACCTCGAATATGGCAATCAGAGCACTGCGCAGCCTAGAACAATCTCCAGAAACCCAGCTTATCGACATGGCTGGCTCCTATCCTCATTTTCTGCATCCAAGTATCGAGATGCTGGTATTTTTCAATACTGCAGTACACTGCCGATACCCGAGTTACAATACTTCCCCCTGATGACTCGTATCAGATTCTATACTTAAATCTCACCCTCCCTCTCTTTTTCTTTTTCTTTTCTCAAATAACTTGTAAGACTGTTAATTCTCAAAATGGCCGAAAAAACATTCCGCGAGTACACCACCGACCAGGGCAAAGAATACGCCCAGAGCAGACTCGACTACCACCCCAAGCTCTACGACACCGTCATCAACCACCACAAATCCACCGGCGGGGGACTCAACGCCCTCCTCGACGTCGGCTGCGGGCCAGGCAACGTCGCCGCCGCTCTCAGCAAGCACTTTACGCACTCAACAGGCCTAGACCCATCCGAGGGCATGATACAGACCGCACGATCCATCTCAGGCAAGAATGGCGCAATCCGCTTCGAGGTCTCCACAGCCGAAGAGCTAGGCAGCAGCCTTTCCCCGCCCATTGCCGACGGCTCAATTGACCTCATCACGGCCGCAACGGCCGCGCACTGGTTCGACATGCCTGCCTTCTGGCGCGCCGCCGCCCGCGTCCTCAAACCGGGCGGGTCGGTTGCGATTTGGGGCAGTGGGAATCTGCGTGTTGATCCGGGGACTCCGAATGCGGCGGCGATCCAGGAGCGTATTGACCAGTTCGAGGAGGAGATACAGCCTTATTTCCTGCGGGGGAATGTGCTTACGAGGGGGTTGTATAAGGAGCTTGGACTGCCGTGGAGTGTGGAACCGGCGGTGGAGGGGTTTGAGGAGGGGGAGTTTTGGAGGAAGGATTATGAGAATACGGAGGAGTTTTTGGCTGTAGGGGCGCCGAAGGTGGATCTTGTGGCGTTTGAGAGGATGTTGGGGACGATGAGCCCTGTTACGAGATGGAGGGAGGACCATCCTGGGGCTGAGGGGACGGAGGAGGATGTTGTGAGGAAGTTTAGGAGGGACATTGAGCGGTTGTTGAGGGAGAGTGGCGAGGAGGATGGGCAGGAGAGGTTGAAGGGGTCGGCGCAAGGCTTTCTACTTGTTGTGAAAAAGAAATAGACTTGATCAGTGAGGTAGACTCTACGCTGTTAGATTCCATTATCCGCAGATGAAGTCGAAGAGAGCTAGACCTCGTATTCTCGACAAGCAACCAATCCATACACTCACTCCTGTCTGGCCTAAATAGACGTGTCCTGCAAGGTAAATACCATCAACTGGTTCGATGCCTCGTCATTTCCTCTTTGCTGGCCCCTCGTGTTCTCGTATCAACTAAGACGCCACCTATAAGTATCCAGTCGAGTATGGACTGGTGAATGTGTCAAGTCCCCTTCCATATTATTGATGGTTCAGTTCTCTGTCCTTGAAATACCAGTTACCAGCATACAAATAGTATCTCACCGGAAAGTCCGACCCTTGCAGTCCCGATATCTGGATTTAACAACTTGACAAGCATAGTATCAAGCTCCGCGAACCAAAGAGACTGAAGAGGCCCTAATAGCGAGCACCGCTGAGTCTTGCATGGTGAAGTAATCGAGCATCGGTTTCGGGTTGTTCTTTTTGCCTTCCCGATGCTCGTTCTTTCGTTTCAGCAGTTACTCGATGGACATCTTCCCAAATACTGTCAAGAGATTCGTGTCAGAGGCCAGAGCTGGACAGCCGGTACGATGAGCGGATGCATCATGATAAAAGGCCTGGTAGGTACCCCGTATTTGTGATCCAGTAGAATGTGTCGTGGGCGGCTGGTTTAACATAATACCGACCATCCTTAATGAAACCATGGACCAGGTAGAGCTTCCTACACCGTATCCGGAGACCCAGTTGCGCAGATGGAGTGATCATTTCTTGATCGCTTGCTGCGCAATATGTCGAACACTAGAAATGAACCCGGTTATGGCTTGTATATGCGCGGCCTGGTCGATTTCGGATATCTGCCGCAGAAAGACACGTTCCGTGGTATGTTCTGCTACGACAAGAAGGTGCGCATCATCCACCGCAGTAGAAGCCTTTGGATCCGCCAGTAGGTTGCAGAATAGTGTAAGGACTGCTGACATGGGGTAGAAGAGGAGAGACCTGGGTGAATTAGTTTAGAAAACGCATGGTTGGGAGGTGACGAGTCACTTACCAGAAGCTCCCCGTGCTTATAGAGCTTTCGGCATCCTTCAGGAAACATAGTAATGAGCGACTCGCTTCCACGGACATTGTTAAGCTGGATTTCAGGCCGTCCATCATCCCTGGAGATGAGCAGGCGGAACGCCACGACTCGCACCGACTCCCTGCCAAGTGAACTATATTGACGCAGAAGTAGTAGTTCAAGTGTACGAGAACGAGATACATGGTCATTTTATTCGGGTTTGTATGCGCGTCCTTTCCGTAAGAAAGCGTTGGGCGCAACTCGGACGGCATTGAAAGACGCCAGCGTTCAATTTCATCGTCCAGTTCTCGGATTAGGCGGATGGTTTCGGCATCGCTCTTTTGCAATCCTTGGTACGAATAAAGCGCGGTGAATATCCGGGATTTGATCAAACTCAGGTTCAATTCGATTGGGAATAGAGGGCCTTCAACGGAGTTCAGGGGCGTGGAGTAGGTCATTCGTGGGAACAGATCTTTCGTATAGTCGACTGGCAACTGTAGGTTGCAGTCTTCATCCCGCAGGCTGTGGCTCTGTCCTGTACGTAAGGAAATATCCTTGTCTAGGACATAGCAGATCCAGAAGAGGTTACGAAGATGCTTCCTAACTCGTATGTCATCTGAATCAGCGGTGGAAAGGCCGCTCTCTTGAACGGGGTCTCCCATAGTATTGACACCCACAGCAATGATAGAACGTGAAGAGATGGAAACATAATGGGTCGCATTCTGCAGTTCACCTGTCATAACACCTAGCACGGCCTGCAACATTAGGCCACATTAGTAAATGGCTTTCTACTCTAGCTTTCCTAGCAGAGAGAATGGCACATACCAGAATGACAGTGGCCTGTAAGGCATCTAAATTAAACCCCTCACATATTATAGACGGTAATAGCCGTTGTGCCTCGAGAATGTAATCATCTCTCGGGATGCTTGGGGGCGTTGGAGCACTGCATTGGGCTCGAGGATAATCCACTCCGGAGATGAGACCAAGGAGGGCGAATATGCATGCCCTTGAGCTGTGGTGAGCTCCACTCTCAGAAGCCAAATACGCAGTGTCTATTGTCTGGGAAAATAGCGATGAATCGATCACCGGAAACAATGCCTGTATCGCGGACGACAAGTAGGCATCCAAGTAGCGGTTCAGGACTGGTCTCGGTGGGAGCTCTAGGCGTCTCGTTGAGGTCCGCCGGACCACGACGGATACATTATCAGGCGGCTTCAATTTTTCCCACGGTGCATAGTGGACGGTTGGAAAAGGCACTGTAGTTCCCGTTCTGGACTGGATCCATTGGATGCCCTCGGGCAGCAAGGTCGGTGTTGATCCTCGGTCGGGACTTATATTCCCAATCTTCCATCCTGCGAAATGGATGATCCTAGGAGACGGAAGCAGCTGTATTGGGCCAGGGATTTGGCTCGAGCCATCGGACTGACGAGGTGTATCCGCCTGCTTCTCAGCTGGGGGCGGGTCGTCTGGTGGACAAGGTCGAAGTATACGGTAAGAATATCGCTCTAACCGCGGACAAGGGAAGCTTACCCCCCAATCGAGACTCCGCGCGAAGCTGGTCTATATGACGAATGCGATCGATCAAGTTTCGCCTCTTCCCAGCAGAACTTGGTGGTTGTTAGCAACAATGCTGGAAAATGGCACGATACGTACGTCTTCTTGCGGACAATCCCATCAGAGCGATGGCGGTCGTATGTGCAATCCACCTGGCGATGATAACACCAGTTACACCGAGGTTTAACGCTATCGCATTTAATCTAGTGTCTGGGTCAGCAATTGGTGTCCATTGGAGCAGCATACAGTCGGCCTACCTTGCGGTGAAAGCACGCGTCACAGGCGGTCGATCGCCGCGAGCCTGGTTCGCGCCCAGGGACCGGAGACTGCATCATAATCTAGCAGGGACATTTCATTGGACAAATACTGCAACATTCAAACTCAGATCGATGGATCAATTGATTACTGGATCCTCGGCCGTGGAGTGTCGTGAGGGAATGAGAGCGGGCGTGGTGGCTTCATCGACGCGCCGATTACCTAATCATCTCCGATTCTCTCCACATACAGGGAGATGGAATAAGTAGCGATACGATGTTTATTCCTATCTTGCTGGCTATCTATTCATGTTTAAAAGAAATTGTTGGTTGGGATGGACAACCATGAGGTTGTGGGTGGACATGCATGGATATATATATAACCATACGATGAGGGACAGCATATGAAGCATTGTGCCCATTTTTCCCATTTGGGACAATAATTTGGAGCATTCGACAGCGACAATGGAAGGACATCATTGTCAAGTAAACCTCTTTTGTTTTGTCCGGTGCATATGGACGGCTCATTCCGCAAGCGCTGGTCCGGGCAAGTAACAGCTGCGGTTGTGCTGTCCTTGTGTAGCCGGGACTGGCCCAAAATAACAATGCTACCGGATTGTTAGGCGCCACTGCTTTCGCAACAGGGGAGCCAGCATCTGAAATCAGTCCGGGGAAAGCTTGGAGCTTCCTATTTGGCAAACATTCCAAACAGTACAGCCTTGGGTAGTTCAGTTAGTTGGCTCGAGGGGCAAGCTGGGTAAGCTCGAAGCCGAGAGGCCCCTTTATGTCGCGAAGGGCACAGTATTAGAACTTCAGCGTTGATCCCTTGAAAATCCTTCATTCTTGACGTTCTGCTATCCGTGATATATATTCTATGTTATCACAGCCCCTAAGACCATGTGATTTTTGGAAAGGCCACGAGTTTTACGCCAAAGGCTATGTGTTCAAACTGTTGTAAGACGTTCGCATCATATCACCTACGATCCTCAAACGCACCATCTTCAATGCCTCCGGGAGTTTCGTCTTCTTTGGCTCGATGCGATCACGAATGACTCCAGCTTTTGCAGGATTACTGACCATTGGGCACTTTTGCGCTCACGACTTGTCGGGTTGCCGAGCCAAAGCCATGAGCAGACCTTGATTGTACGGTGTAGGTCTAGGGGCTGCTGGCGGCCGGCCCCGCCTTGTGCTAAGGTTGTATTAAAGTCGGCATCGGAGACCTCCTGGAGATTGTATATACTTTTCTGGGATTGTCAGTATACATCAGACCGATCGCAACGGCGGTGGCCATCCCATATGACGCTTGTCGGCGACCCGCGAAGATGATATTTGGTGATGCGCGCATGTGTCCGGCGTGATATCTGGTTTGTATCGCGCTACTTGAAGTATATCGCAAACAACAAACAAGTCAGATCCAGCAGAATGGGGTTGATGCAAGGGATGGACGACCCGCACAGAATCCGGGGTGATGGAGGGTGCGTGATCGGTCACGTCGATTCGCTGTTTCAGCTTTGATTGTTCCGTATCTGCAGCTGTAAGTTCACGCTAACAATGAATCTGGCTTGGCTCGTGAGATATAACAGGGTGCTGATAAGACTGGATTTGGAAGCTGAGAATTATGCGCCGGCATCCGCCGCCAGCACGGTCCTGCGATCGGCGGTTGAAGCGACCTTCCCCTCTTTTATGAAAGGTATCTGACGTAGAGAGTGTAGGAAGATGATGCTTGTGGCGAAAGTCCTCACGACCTCGAGCCTGTCACGGCGAACGTCTGGGGTCGTGTGGATCGGCGGCAGCGGAAGAATCGGATCGCAGAGCAACAGTGAGAATAATTCGAGAAGAACGTGAGGAATGGAGCTGTGTAGCAGAAGACGAGATAAGTCGGTGAGAGAGCCTCGGCCGCGACAAAAGACACAATTTGCCAGGCGTAAGGCGATTTGTCGGGCTGATAAGCGAGGGCTGATAGCTGACATCGAAGTTTCGAACATTCCAACGGTGGCCGGGGAGGTCCGCTGCATGGTAAAGTCTGACATCTGACTCGCAGGAACAAGACTTCGTTCCGTGGGTTAGCTCGGCAAGTGCGACGGTGATAGCCTATCGCAGACGGTCCCACTGAGGGTCCGAAAGATAACGGGAATGAAGTTTTTTACACGGTTCGCCTTCCAGAAATAAAATCTGCTCCGCGCCGGTCGTGTGAGCTTCGTGTCGGTCGCTTCGTGCAGGCTTCGTGTTCTCATTTCGCCGCAAACCTGCGAACAGCAATTCTGCAGTGATATCTTTTCCATATCCCCTGTCCATCGCCAGATATAATGGGACACGCTGAGTGGATTGGCCGCACTAATACGGCCGTGGCTCGAAGCGCGGTCGGGAAGTGGTTTCGCTTGGAGGGGTCTGGTCATGTATGTCTCTGAGCGCATGTTGAAGCTTGCCTTGCTTTAAATTGGCTTGCTCGTGTTTCTCCCATGTGGGAAGGGATGGCCTTTGCTCACTAATTTCGCCATATCAGCCCCGCGAGCGAAAAGGCGCGTATTTCTTTACAGAGCTGCGTGCAGGCCTTGCAACATTCTTTGCAATGGCATACATCATCTCAGTCAATGCCAATATCACGAGGTATGCGGTAGCAGACGTCCCATACGTGGTCGCAATGGGTTGATGACGGGAAGGGCTAACAATGCATGCTTATAGTGACACGGGAGCAACGTGTGTGTGTCCGGCCGAAGATCTCGAAACCCACTGCAACAACAACACCGAGTATCTTCTCTGCAAACAAGAAGTCAACCGTGACATCGTGACCGCAACGGCAGCGATAGCTTCTGTCGCCAGTTTCTTCCTTGGTCTCCTTGCCAACCTACCGGTAGCCCTTGCCCCCGGCATGGGTCTCAACGCATACTTCGCTTATACCGTCGTCGGACACCATGGAAGCGGCTTGATTCCGTACAGCCTCGCAGTGACTGCGGTGTTCGTTGAAGGCTGGATTTTCCTTGGGTTGACTATGTTGGGTATTCGACAATGGCTTGCCCGTGCTATTCCGGCATCCATCAAGCTAGCAACTGGTGCTGGTATCGGATTGTATCTGACTCTAATTGGTCTGAGTTATAGTGCTGGGCTTGGTCTCGTCCAAGGTGCCCAGGACAGTCCCATTCAATTGGCGGGTTGTGCATCCGATGAATTCGACTCGGATGGGTTGTGTCCTTCGTATGCTAAAATGCGAAACCCGACGATGTGGATTGGCATCTTTTGCGGCGGTTTCTTCACCGTTTTCTTAATGATGTATCGAGTCAAGGGTGCAGTCATTGCTGGTATTCTTCTGGTCTCCATCATTTCTTGGCCGCGCACCACGCCGGTCACCTACTTCCCTCACACAACGGAAGGTGACAACATGTTCGACTTCTTCAAGAAGGTGGTTACCTTCCATCCGATCCAGCACACGTTACTGGCCCAGGAGTGGAACATCTCGAGCAACGGGGGCCAGTTTGGTCTTGCCTTAATCACATTCCTCTATGTTGACATCCTCGACGCAACGGGTACTTTGTATTCGATGGCGAAGTTTGCTGGAGCGATGGATGAGCGCACTCAGGATTTCGAGGGCAGTGCCATGGCTTATGTAGGCTTTCCTCAAACATTTCGTTTCCATCGGATATCACTAACCGATATTTTAGACGGTTGACGCGATTTGCATCTCAATCGGGTCTCTGTTTGGCTCCCCGCCAGTGACGGCATTTGTCGAGAGTGGTGCTGGTATCTCGGAAGGTGGTAAAACTGGACTGACGTCGTGTATGACGGGGATCTGCTTCTTCATCGCCGTTTTCTTTGCGCCGATCTTTGCGTCGATCCCCCCGTGGGCCACTGGCAGTACCCTAGTCATTGTTGGCTCAATGATGATGCACGCGACCCTCGAGATCAACTGGCGGTATATGGGAGACGCGATTCCCGCCTTCCTGACGATCTCGGTTATGCCTTTCACTTACAGTATCGCAGACGGCCTCATTGCCGGTATCATCAGCTATATCTTGATCAACGGCGGAGTGTGGGTTATCGCCAAGTGCACGGGAGGCCGGATTGTTCCACCAAACCGCGATGACGAGCATGAGGCGTGGACCTGGAAGATTCCCGGAGGATTCTTCCCGCCATGGCTCGTCCGTGCAGTTCACGGAAAGAAGGACTTTTGGCGAGCAGACGACGAGGCTAGCCAGTTGGACCTTGGCGTTATGCCGCCAAATGGGTCGATGTCATCAGGGTCTCCGGAGCAAGTCGCGGAGAAAGCAGTCGGGAAGTATTAAGTTTAATATGAAATTCGGTCACATTTCAGAGTGTGACCTAAGCATGTATTTAATGAGCGAGATTTGCATATTTTTGTTTCCGATTAGTCGTACGAATTTCATCCAGCAGTCCTTCGGGGCGCAGTGTTTATCAATAATCACCAGATCTTCCAGACGCGGTAGAATGCGGAATTATTAGCGCGGAATGCGGCAGGGAACAGATCGACGACTATTGACGCAAGGCTGACGGTCGAGCGGTGAAGAGGCCGGTGCTGGCAGTGTTGTTAGCCGGGGAGGCCAACCGAGCAATGGATCAGAAATTGGGCGAAGGATAAATGAGGCGTGAGCTTGTGATGGGTGGATGGAAGGAAGAAGATGGTGGGGAGAGAATGGAAATCAGTTCCGGCGGGCCAATCGCAACGTGGCAGCCTCAGGCACCGCGGCAGTCAGGAGAACTGCGACCAAATTTCGCACGGCGGTTCAGTGCAAGGAAAGACACGTCAGACCCCCCTTGACTCGCGACAAGCTGAGGACACTGGGCCCGTCGCAAGTGCATCCTGATAGCCAGACGCTTCTTTCGATTGGTCACATCCTGCAGCGTGACCGGTCGCATCCAGGTTTGAGTTGGGCTCCGGGCATTCTTCTGGAAGACACTTTTCAGGCCTCGGAACCTTGCAAGGGTTGCGTTCGCCTCCGCGCCCAATTCTCGGTTTATTTGTATCGCCCTCTCACCCGCTTCTGTCCGAGCATGGAGTGAACCAGGATGCCCCCCAGCTCCAAGTCCCGTCGCGTGCCGCCCGCGGCCTCCGCCTCAGCCGCAAGTGACGCACAGAAAGGCAGAAAGAACGTGGGCACCGCGTGTTCCGCTTGCAAAGCTCGCAAGCTCAAGGTAGATGAGCTTTGATTTTCCGTCGGGCTGCTCAGGCCTTGGACCGTTGCGCTAACACTGTGTTGTTGGATAGTGTACCGGAGCGCCTCCCTGCGCAAACTGCGTTAAAAGCCGCATCGAATGTACCCTGGACGAGACCGCCGATAGACGCCGACGGGGCGTCTTGAAACGCAAGATTGATAAGTTGGAGGACCAGGAGGATTTGCTGGGTCGTCTGCTCGAGTTTTTCAGAGAGGGCAATAACCGTTGCACGATTCGCCTCTTAAATCTCATCCGCAGCCATGCCTCGCCACCCGAGATCCGTTTCTATATCGAACACCAACTACCGCTATCGAAACGTACGCAGACCCCCGAGCTAGTCGAGGTATGCAGGGAAATCGAACAACGCCACTCTTTTGAGCCGCTACCTAAGCGTCGCATCCTTGATACCACTCCTAATGGATGCCATGTTACACCACGATTATCCGTCCCCGCGCAGCCGTGGACCTCGATCATTACCGACGATGACCTGGTATCCCGCTTGATCTTTTTATGGTTTACTTGGGTTCACCCGTTTTGCAACTTCATTGACCGCGATCTCTTCATCCGAGACATGAAGTCTGGTTCGCTCTCAGCATCATACTGCTCCCCGTTGTTGGTGAACATCATACTTTCCGACGCATGTGTACGTTATATTGAAATATTGTGGTTTGGCTTGGGAACTCACTGTCTTGGTAGGCCTACTCGGAGCACTCTGCGTCTGGGCTCCCAGACGATCTAGCCTCCAAACGGATCGAGTTTTACGAGGAGGCTAAGCGACTGCTTGATAAGGAAGAGGGCCGCATCAGCTTGCCAACTGCCCAGGGTCTAGGAGTATTATGGATGTGGTAAGAGACATATCTCCGGTCAATATCTCCCAAGCTGACCGCTGTAGCGCATCTATCACCGGCCGTGACAGACAGGCGTGGATTAATGGTACGCAGCTTGCATATTCACTCCGCGAGCTATCACAAGTGTCTTGTAACCTCCCGTCGGGGGCCAATCGGGATGCAACTTCCCTTGCCACAATTGTTAACAACACCAACTGGGGTTTGTTCAACGTCGCCATGTAAGTTCAGACCCGTTTTATGATTATCGTTGGGCATGAACTCATCTGTCAGGGTTCACGCTCTATTTGCGAGGAAACGCCCTATCATCGGACCGCCCGCCCAACCTCCGTCTGTCAGCAACCAATGCGACCACGATATGTGGTATTCATATCCAAACAAATCGACTGGTGTCGAGTCACACACATCCTGCCTATTCACGGCAGCTTGTAACTTAAACCGAATCGCTTACAACCTCGGGAGATTTCTGTTCTCCCAAGAGAAAACATCTTCGGCTCGTCTCGATCTAACGGATGGGGAGCTTGACGCACTACAGGATTTAAACGAATGGGCCGACCAGCTACCGGAATGTCTAAAAGAAAGCATTGACGATCTCCCTCATGTTCTCTCTTTGCAGTAAGTCAATATCTTCTGATGCGCCCAGAATAACTAGCTAACCCCCTCTAGCATGTATAACCACGCCATCTTAACTGTAGTCTACGGATCTCTAAGAACTCGGCCCTTATACCTGGCGAATCCATCAGCCTTGACCCCCACTGTCCGTGACGCTCTCATGTCTCCTGCTCGTGCCTGGGCTGCAAGTCTTTCATCGGCTCGCAAGATTGCCCATTTGACACTTGTCCATCGCGCGAATTGGGGATCCGACCGCATGCCGGGGGCCACCGTGCACTGTATCATGGCTGCCCTGTTCGCTCTACTTGACAGCCTGGACGACCCGGCCACCCGCGACGCATTCATTTCACTCACAGCAGCGGCCGCCGCGTTTTCACGTCGGTGGGAAAGCCCCAAAGCCCTCCTGCGCAACATCCAGAACATCGCGCGGCAACGGGACGTTACCCTCCCTACGGAAACAGGCGCTTTCTTCTTGGATCCAGACAAACCCTCGGGGAACAGCACTCCCATAAAATCCGAAACCCCCGAGGGTACAGCAATTTCATGATACCCATGCGGCCATCGTTATGAATTTAGCAGCATTTTGGAGTTTGGGTTGGTATCCGGTTTATATACATGGATTGACGGCCCTGGGTTGTAATTTATTGATTGCATAGCGTCATTACGTGTTCGTTACTCATATATAGTCATCAATATCCATTCACATCGTTTCCCTTCGAAGCTGCTGCATTCTCCCGGCGCTCACACCGTCTCTTTCCGCTGTATCTCGTTCAATCTCGTAGCTGTAAGTATACGCCGTCGCAAATTGAAAGGTTCCGGATTCCGGTCGGCCGTCGCATCCTTTTCGTCCGGCTTGGTGCTTTTGGCCTTCTTGTCGCGCATCTTCTGCACCCAGCCAACATACGTATCCCACCAGTGCCAAACTCCCCAGACCCCCAGAGTAAGCAGTGTCAGAGGGATCGTAACAGCCCAGTACATCCAGAACTCATCGGCCGTGAGCCACGTATTACCGGGGTCAGCCTGGAAGCTGAAGAAATTGGTCCCGAACAGGCCCTGTGTTACGCTGTCAGTACTGAGCAGATATCCGCACGTGATGGGCACACTTACAGACACAAACGTCCCAGGCAGATACACCATACTCACAAACGCGACCGTCGTCATCATGTTGCTGTCGGATCGTGCGTCTCGCCCGAAGTCTTGCGATACCAGGTTAAATGCCTATCTATGTTAGTTGATTCTCAGGTCTGCCTCTGCGATGGAGCTAGTTTACGCACCAGGTTGATCTCGTTCTGATGCCTATCGTTCAGAGACTTCGACCGCGTCTTGAGTGAGTGCGCCCGTTTCTCCTCGTGGAGGATCCGTCGACGCGCCTCCAGCCAGGTCCCTATGTTCTGTTGGATGTTGCTTCCGTCTTCGTGACGCCAATTGAGAAGTTCCTTGGCCATCACCTGCAGCGTGTGCTCGGCGACTTCGATCGTTTCTTGGTAGTGGAAGAGATGCCGTGCGATATCGTGGAGAAGGGGGAATATCTTCCTTTCATGTTCTTTTTCGGCCTTGCTTTTCTTCCTCTTCGCCTTCTTCTCCTTTGATCGTGCCTATATTACCCCGCAGGATGGGTCAGTAACGCACGAAACAACGGCTGGCAAGGAGGGGTGAACGAATGGATGAGTGGCTTAATTAAGACATACCTTTTCGTGGTGCCGCACCAGGTCTCTCAACAACCAAAACGCATCGTTATACTGTTCGAGAATGATCCGGGAGAATGCAGCGTGTAAGGAGAACGGGTTACACTTGCGCTCGGCCGCCGTCGGGAGTTTATCCATGAAGACGCTCTGTCGATCTGGATTGAAACCAAATACGTGGACGATTTGGCGGCCGGTTTCTGCGTTCCACTGGACATGGATGGTTGGTTGTTTCCAGCTATACTCTTCTGCTTTTTTGACTTCTTTGATTTTGAAGCATGACCACGAGACTAATGCAATGTTAGATACGACGAACATGACGGACGAAGAAACAGACTCGCACGAACCTTCTGGCCATACGCGGGATTGTGAGCATCCATAATGGCAGTCGAAAGACCCGTTAATATCGGCGTCTAGCACCGGACGGAACTCTTCTTGGAATCGAAGCTTGAAGGACTTGTCCGTGTCATTGATATCGCTCCTTACGAAACTATTCGATGGATGTTAGCGCCGTATCCTAGATTGGTAGGTTGATAGCCGTACATGATAAAGTTGGCGCTCTGGTCTCTCTATACGATAGACGCAAAAACTGGTCAGCATCTGCATTATCTTCGTCAGACAGTCGTCGGTCAATATGTACCTCAACTATATTCATATCATTGCCACAATATCTCCACCCGTCGGGGTCACCTAGTTGCAAGTTAGCCGGTAGCTCAGAGCGCGGATGTGAGCGTCGAGGCCGCACCAACGTCCATGTATATCTGAACCCCAGGCGGGGCTCTTTCTGCGGCGTAATCCATCGCGGCGTCGTTAACTATACTTGGAAGCGTCGGCTTGAATGGCGTTGTCCACGAGGCAGATTCTTTGAAGAAATTCGCGCGACCACAATGGGCTTGTGCATATTATAGCCTCAATCCACACCGCCGCCTCAGGGGACTCGCAGACTGTTCAACATTCGACGTCAGAACGAGGCTGGGCCCTTGAGCTGGAGCCGCAGCAGTTGGGCGCTAACATGGTGCGATCTGCGACGCTTCGCCAGATTGATTGGCGGAGAACGACGAGGCAGGTTGCACGAGAGCCACAGCCATTTCTCGGGTAGGGGAACAAGCTGCTGATCGGTCAGAAAAATGAATTATTGATTGGCTTCGAGGTGCTTGTTTCGTGAGCGAGTGGAGGGATGCCGCTTTGCGATGTTTGACAGCCAAAGCAAGTCTGCTGGGACTGGAGATGGCTCGGACCGCGAGGCTGTGCGCCGGTCGCCAATCGCCGACGGGACCACCAGGCACAATCCTGCGCACCGCTGCCTATTGAAAGGAGCGATTCCCTCCATGCGCAGCGTGGCTGTGCCGGGTTATTGGCGTCTCAGCGACATTATGGAATTGGCTTTACGATGTGAGCCGCACGCAAATTCGAGATTTATCGAACTGGTAGAACTTACCATTCGACCACTGGCGGTATTAGGCCGTCTGTCTATTGCATTTTATGCCAACAAGACTGAACAGCTGCGAGAATAACGATGACGGCCATACTATACAAGGCGGGTCGAAAAGAAACCATCGTGGAATAGTAGAAGAGCTGTCAAAAAATATAGATTGTTGTGGGGGATTAGGTCGCGGCATCATAATTATATATTTGACAAGCCCGGCCGACCACTAAACCTCTGAATTTTATTCTTTCGTCCATCCTCTCTTATCGATCCCGCGAGCATCAACTTGAGAGATCTAATAAGACCTCTTTCAGCATCGCAAGAGGCGGGAACAAGCATGAACCTCCAACTTGCCCATGGTACATGTATTTAAAGCTGGTTGGTCCAGATTGTTGAAGCCCTAAGCGCCGGCTCCCGGGCCTTCAATGACAGTCCTCTGGATGACTCAAAGGACCTTGTCTTAGTTTCGCTTAACTGCTCTTTGAAAGAAATGTTCCAGCTCCACCAATCGCTGAAACTGTGATAGGGACCTGAGGTTACAGGTGCCGTGAGCCGCACTATGGACCAGGTAGGCGAGGCTAACCGCTATCATCACAAGTTCGCAAGCTAGCACAGTCGAGGCCGCGCTACCGCAGGACTGTTGGGGATACAAGGCTTACAATAGGCTAGGTTCCATTGCAAAGCGACTCGTGAAATCTAAGCCCTTTTGCCTCTGACCCGTCGTTCGTTAGGTCTCTTCATTAGGTACCAGTGAAGATAAATACCATCGAACCCCCGCCCCATTCTTCCCAGAAAAAATATAATTGCAACTCTGTTTTCAATCTAGATTAAAGATTTGTTCCGTACAATGCGCGCTACACTTCTGACTCTGGCCTTCACGGCCCTCGCTGCTGCTGCCGACGACGCCACAACAACAGTCGGCTTCTTCGGCGGTGGAAAATGGGAAGACAGTGACGACGATGATTCTCTCCCTCTGATCCCATCCTACACCTCCATCGGCGCCTCCGTTGTTGATGTCAACGCGGTGGAGACCGTCCTCGCCATCTCCTGCCTCGAGGGCGCCGCCACGGAATCCTGCTCCATCAACGACCCTTGGACCATGACGCAGGGTATCTCGTCTTTCAGCTGGTACGCCGAGTACACGGCCTTCAACAGAAATCCGCCTGTCACGGCGACGCTTGACTATAACTGCGCCTACGAGAACTACACCCTCAGCGCGACTTGCACGTATAGCATGAGCTACTCTGGCTCTGCGGACGGCGCGGAGACTTCCACTAGCTTCAGTACCGAGACATCATGGGACACTGCAGCGACGTATGCTGCACTTGAAGTTACCGGAGGGCTGGACAAGTTCAACCAGCCTGAAGCGACTGAGACACCGGAGGGAGGGGCTGGGTTTGCAGGGCCTATGCAGGCGATGGTGACTGCTGCACCGGTGTTGGCTGCTGGCCTTCTTGGTATGCTTTGAGGGATGAACTATTCATTGGCTCCTAATGTCACGACTGGTCTTTTATGTATGAATTACGGATTGCCTAGTTCGCGGAACTTTGTACTAGTCAACTGCTTGTAGTTACCTTTTGGCTGATGCTTATCAAATAGTACTTGGTTGTATTAAGATCGAGTCTGTTTAGCTTCTGACTAGAATAGTCCGAGAATTGAAGACGTCGCCTGCTTGGAGGCATCCGAATACGAGATGGGCACGGCGTAGGCTTGCTTAATGAGATGACTTAGGGTTGTTTGCCGGCCTTACAGTGTCAGGCTCCTAGACTGCTCCGCGACATTTTGCCAGGATGCATGACGAGTCAGTCTCAACTTCTATAGCCAGTCTGTTGGGCCGTCCTCAATTTCTAAAGCAGCCAAGTTTGTCACTCTAATTTGGCTTCTAGGGCATTAAATATCAAGCTCTGTGTTGGATGTACAGATTCACACAATAAATATTTGGTAGTCTACACGACAGGTACCACCAAGCTACGAATCGTCTTTTTTCTCGCTAGCAAGGTGCTGCCTAATCACATAAAATATTGAACGAGGCCCAATTCCTTTACGATAGATGGTCTTTTCTTTAATTTTGGCTCCCGTCAACCTGGATAAGGACCTTGATTCCCTGCCCCCTTCGAGCAGCCTCCCACGCATCAGGGGCCTGGCGAAAGGGGAATATATTACTGATAAAGCTTCTCAAGGGGATCTTGTCTCGACTGGCAAGACTGGAGGCCAGAGTGAAATCACCAAACCCATACCGGAACGAGCCTCGCACAGTAAGTTCCTTCTCGCTCATCACAACCATAGGAAAGTCGACAATCTTTTTCCCCAGCCCAACCTGGACATACGAGCCCCCTCGTCTGGCTAGTGCAATGCCAGTTTGTATACACGACACCACCCCGGTTGCTTCGACGACGACATCGACTCCCTCGGGGAGGTTGTGTTGAGCAGCCAAGTCCTCGGCGTTTTCTTCCACTGACTTTGCCGTGTCAAATTTGTATATCGAGATGCCCAATTCGCCTGCCGCGAATGTCAGCCGGTCTTCGTTGAGATCCACTGCAATGATGCGCCCAGCACCAAACTCCCGTGCTGCCGCGGCTGAAAGCAAACCAACCGGCCCTGCCCCAAGAACAAGCACATCTTGGCCTGGCTTGAGCTTTGCAAGACGGAGGCCATGCACCGCGACGGCAAGGGGCTCAAGCATAACGCCTTCGTCAAGCCCTATGTGGTCGGGGAGCTTGTAGCAGAAGTCCCCCGGCAGGCGGAAGAATGTCGCCAACGTGCCATGGACAACATCGCCCGGTCCAGGAACTGCGGCAAAGGTCATGTCCGGACATAGATTATACTTGCCTGCCAGGCAAAACGAGCAGTGGCGACAGGGATATCCAGGTTCGATAGCCACGCGGTCCCCCACGCGCACCTTTGTTACCGCCGATCCAACGCTCGCGACGACGCCAGACGCTTCATGGCCCAGCGTGACCGGGTGCCCCGGGCGTACCATCTCGTTTATGCCCCCATGAGCCCAGAAATGGACCTAATCCCAGAAGTGAGCGAGGTGGTGCGCGAGAGCAGCCAGTATCGGGTCGTGCGAACTCACATCACTCCCGCATACTCCAGTGTACGCGATCCGAACCAGGACATCTCGGGGGTTGTTTTCCAGCGATGGGATGGGAATCTCTTCAAAGCGAGCATCACCTGGGCCATAGAGCAAACAGGCTTTGTTTGTTTCGGTTGCCATGTTCGTGTAGATGCGTAGCGCCGCGACTCCCTACATGATAGACCATTCCTAGCTACAAGCCTGGGGTGCAGGGCTTATAGTTTTAATGTCAAACCCCGCCATCTCCAAATACAAGCCTTACAAATGCAGCCAAATGCTGGCCGATCCCGACGGTGTAGACACGGCCCGTGTGGCCATTTCTGGCCCACACTGGGTCCATAGGGTCAGCACCAGTTGGAGCACGCTGCGGGGGCCGATCCCCGTGTTGAAGCCCTGGGGTTGATACCCCAGAGGAGATGTCATATATAATACACCGGAGTGGCACGGTCGTGAAAGCTCATGCTCTTCTTCCATGTCGCGTGTTTTCCCTGATCTCACAGCTTATCCAGAATGAACACACCAACTCCCACTCAACGAACCTGGTATCGCACCACGATTTTCAATGTCTCGGTTGTCGCCGTATGCGCCTTCATCGCGCCAGGGCTGTGGGCTGCGATGAATGGTCTCGGTGGCGCAGGATCAGCCGATCCATACTATGTGAACGCTGCCAACGCGGTCATCTTCTGTCTGCAGGTCGTTGTCTGCGTCTTTGGCAGTTCTCTGATTGCTAAAATTGGCCTGAAGTGGGCCTTTGCGTTAGGAATGGTGGGATTCCCGGTATATGCGTCGAGTGTCTACTGCAATGTGAAGTACAATAATAGCTGGTATATCATGCTGGCCTGTGTGATTGACGGCATCTGCTCCGGCATCTTTTGGCTCACTGAGGGTGCCATCGTGCTTGCATATCCCGAAAAGCATCGGCGTGGGAAATACCTGGCTTACTGGCTTGCCAGCCGGATTATGGGCCAGATGATCGGGGGCGCTGTCACGCTGGGAGTCAATGCTGGTAACCAGGAGGAGGGCCATATCAGTGTGCAGACATACCTGGTCTTTATTTCCATCCAGGCCATCGGCCCCTTTGTTGCCGCGACACTGTCTCCTCCTGAGAAGGTGCAGCGTTCGGACCAGTCCAAAGTCAAGATCAATCTACCGACGGGTTTCAAAGCAGAGCTGCATGCCATGTGGAAACTGCTTGGACGCACTGAAATCCTGCTTCTCCTGCCGATGATGTTCCAGAGTGTCTTCTCAGAGGCCTTCTTCTCGACATATAACGCCACCTATTTTACCGTGCGGTCTCGCGCCCTGTCATCGCTGGTTGCCAGCACTTGTGTGATTATATCCAACTTCCTGCTGGGATTTTTCCTCGACTGGCGCAGGCTCTCAGTCAACACGCGCGCCATGGCGGCGTTTATTATAATCTACGCCTTTGAGCTATCGCTATATGTATACGCTATGGTTGTAAACAAGGAGTATGAACGGCAGGAAACCCGGCCGCTCTTTGACTGGACCGATGACGGCTTTGGCCGCGCTGTCTGTGTCTATATCCTGATGCTTGTGGGCTTTAACCTCATGTACGACTATCTGTATTGGTTGATCGGCACGGTTAATCGCGATGGTGGTGATATTATTCGACTCAGTGCTGTTGTGCGCGGGGTGGAAAGTGCCGGGCAGGCCATATCCTACGGTATCAACTCGGTTGACTCTTTCCTGCTGTCAAGTGCTGTTGCTGTGAACCTGTCCTTTTTTGCAGCATGCATTGTTCCATCTGCCTTTGTTATTTACCGTGTTGGCGTTGTCAACGGGGTCAAGGTACACCACATCCAGCAGGACGAGACGCCGCCACAGACGTCTGGGGGAGAGGCCGGGGAGGTCTCTCCCGATATTATGGACGCAAACGTGAAATCAGACGACTAGTTTAGTAGTTAGTACTGCCCCTCGCCGATCAATCCAGGCGCTTGTTATTTGCCAAAGTCTCGGTCGACTGACGGCCCGGCCAATGCCTGCAATGCCTGCATTTTTGTATTAATTCCACTTGTCCAATATAAATATAGCTGAGGATTTCTGTAATTTCATAAAGAATTTTCTCATTCTGTCACACAATGCCCCAGACCAGCGACGGCAACGTACACGCACCCCAGTACCGCGAGCCAAAGCCCTCGCAGGGAGATCCATCTCTCCCGGTCTCGCAGCTCTTTCGTCTCGACGATCGCACGGTCATAAGTGAGTCACTGCCTGCCCAATGCGACGCACACCTCTGCTAAACGCACTGACCGAAAAAGTCACCGGTGCCACAGGATTCCTGGGAAGCACCCTTGCCATCACGATGCTCGAAAGCGGCGCAGACGTTGTCTGCCTCGACCTCCCTCCCACGCCCACGGCTCAAAACTGGAGTCAGTATCTTGTATCTGTAACTAACTGCCTAGCTGTGCTCACGCGGAGACAGATGATGTCGAGACCGCCGCTTCCAGACACAAACACCAGCTCTCGTACTATCCGCTAGACGTCACCGATGAAGACGCCGTCGCAGCCACGTTCGCCAGGTTTCTCCCGACCCTGCGCTACCCAGTGAAGGGGCTGGTGACCTGTGCTGGGCTGTCGCTCAACGGGCCTTCCGCTGAATTCCCGGCATCTGCGTTTCGAAAGGTCCTCGACATCAACGTGACGGGGACATTCGTCGTTGCACAGGCCACAGCCCGGGCGATGATGAGTACAAACACCGCTGGGAGCATGGTCTTTGTTGCGAGCATGAGTGGCTATGGCGCTAACAAGGTATGAGTCCGTCCTTCATCCATCCATCCATTCAAACCCTCCCCCCTAATTTGACCGTGTAGGGTGTTGATACAGCCGGCTACAATTCATCCAAGGCCGCCGTCCACCAGCTCACGCGCTCTCTGGCGGCGGAATGGGGTTCTAGGGTTGGTCTCCCGCTTATCCGCGTGAACTCGCTATCCCCTGGGTACATTCGCACGGCTGCTACGGCCGAGGCGCTCCAGAAGCCCGGGATGGAGGAGCAATGGACGGGTGATAACATGCTTTACCGGCTCAGTACCGTGGATGAGTTCCGGGCACCGGTGCTTTTCATGCTTGGTGATGGCAGCAGTTTTATGACCGGTGCTGATTTGAGAGTTGATGGTGGGCACTGCAGCTGGTAACTTACGAAAGAAGAAGAAGAAATTGTAGCAGTGGCGTTTTATCAATCGGGATAACTATTGTTTAATTTACTTGTATCTCATGTCTAGGTACATTTGTTGCTCAAACAGTGCGTAGAACAGGCGATGAGTAGCGATCGACCCAGCGCTGGAGAAGGGGGCAGATTTCAGCAACCGCATATCGCAGGTCATAGAATTCAATGGGCAATGCCGACTGTATGGCCGGGGTGCGGTGTTCAGCGACAGCTGTACGGATCACCGATTCAAACATCTTAGCCAGAGGCCAGCGACGACTACAGATGTGCAAGCTATACGCGAGCGAGTGGAGGTTGACTGAGACGTCTGCGTGTAGGCACTTCGTATGCACTGGATAGGACATCAGAACGAGCCAAACAGACAACCCAAGGAGACAGGACATACCAATATAGAAACGGGCAGCGGCGAAGATGGGAAGAACGAGACATGGACTGCAGCTCTCCAGCTCGGACTCTTCCATTCGCCGGATCTTAGCTGCCATGTTCTCGCAAGCGTACATGCAGCGATGGTTGGCATACGGCCACTGGGATAAAGTAGTCAGTTTGTATGCCATGTAGAACGAGATACATTTCCCTTACTGGCTCCGTTTCCTGTCCAACGCCTTCCGGCAGCGTAGTCTGCGACTGCAGTAGTGTAATCACGGCCCTGCTTGAATTAGCTGACCGCAGGGTTTTGATTGAAAGGGGCAGGGCGAGCACATGTTGAGAACGCAATTTGTGAGAATAATATACGGCCTCATCTCGGCACGAGCATCATGGGGTGACTCGGCGTTGATGAGCCGGAAAACAGCTGCTACGAATTCCTCGCGCCAGATGGTGAGTCGCTCGTCGAGCCGCTGGGCTGCACTCTGCCACTCGGGACCTCCGGCCATAGCACCCGTTTGAATCACGCTGTGCTGGAATTGATGCACAGGCGCCAGCTCAACGGTGCACAGGCTGATGCACATGGAGAAGCCGGAGGAGTACTGCAGGTCATGGAAGGGAACACACTCGCCGAAGTGGTCCTGCAAAGCCCATGCAGTGTCACTGCAGGGAAGTATCGCACCCAGTGGTGCTGCCGTGGTCGGTGGATAACTCGGCAGGCCCAAGGCAAAGATGCTATCCAGCATTTCGATCATCCAGAAGGCCCGGAGTCGTTCCTCGTGGTCGATTCTGTTGTCGGAGAGAACTGCATCGAGGGGGCACATCTTGGACGGCTGAGCGGTTGCCACGCCAGCGACTGTAGGAAGGCCCAATTGCTGAGATAGCCTGATTTCATAAGTAAGTGGCAGTTATTAGCAGTCCTACTACAGAGGGCAACGCACCGCTTGCACATTGCTGCCAGATTGCTATACTGGACCCATTTCCCCTCGCCCCAGAAAAGGATTGACAAGGTAAGCAAGGCTTGGACAGTGCGAAGGTGCAGTGACCCCATTGCGTTCACGATAACCTCCTGGCGAAGTCTTTCCGATAGGAATTGCTTGCGATCCCATGAAATTCCAGGGCTGTCCCAGATGGCGACAGCCTTGACTGCCTTTTGCAATAGACCAGGCCCATTTTCAGCTTCTACAAATGCGTCACTCACAGAGGTGTGGTGCATAATTGGGAACCACGGCTGATACTTCTCCAGCCATACCAGCTGGAGTTCGTATGTCAGGGCCGTAGTCTCCATAGGCGCAGTATCGGGCTGTGGGCTGCTCGTGGACTCCACATTCTGGACGCACAACGGGGGAGCCAGCCGACCCGTAGACGGGATTGTAGCAAGATCATCTCGTTCTGTTGGAGGCTGCGATGGCTGCGACTGCGATAGTCGTCCCAGAACGTCCTCCATCTGTCTTTCCAGATCCTCTGGAGGGATCAGCAGTCCGGCTGGGATACCAGGACAGGGGGTCACACGCACCGACGCGTTTCTCCAGCTGGGATACGTAGCCGGCCCTTAGTCCAGGCCGATGCTCGCGTGTTTTGTACTCGCAATCGAAGCCATTTTTGCGGCATAGACCGCATTGCGGGCGGCCCCGATCACAGGCGACCTTGCGATGGCGACAGACCAGACACCTAGATCGCGCATATTGAGTGAGACGGCGAAAACCACAAGCCCGGGCATCACTTACGCCAGCTTTCTCTCAGACTCCGGAGGCATGTTTGTCGGGCAGTGGCGGACCGAGGGGATGTAACTTGAGCGCCGTGTCGAGGCCGACGGGTCAAAGACGGCCGGAAATTACCAGCTGATCATGATTCAGGATCAGGAGATCGACTGCAAGCTGTTGGAGTACAGTCTTCGGCCCTCAGGTCGTGTTGGAGAAGCAGAGACGGGGGATTCTCCGCCAAAGGCTCCAGTCTCCACTGCCGATCTCGCAGCAACTTGGAGCTGCCGACATCGCGATTATTTAATCACTGCCTCTTCCTTCGACTGGTGAACGGTACAAGCCATTCTATACCTCCGACACGATGGTCGTTGCAGGGCTGGAGACCCCGGACCATGTCGACTACCTGGCGCGCAAGGCCATAGGTAAAAACATCTTCCAGCCCCGGAGAATTCCCAATTGATGTCCTGCCAGGTCTCAGTAAAAGCAAAGACCAGACCTCGCGCATTCTGATCGGCGTGTCTGGCATCCCAGGATCAGGCAAGACAACCCTCGCTGCGGCGGTGGCTGACCGAGTCAACCAGCTGGCCAGCAGCAGCCAGGACCTTGCGGTGTGCATATCAATGGATGGCTACCATCTGCCCAGAGCCCAGCTGGCCGCGATGCCGGACCCTGCCAATGCAATCTACCGCAGAGGCGCCGAGTTTACGTTTGACGGAGAGGGATTCTATCGGCTCGTGCAGCGCCTGAGAGAGCCCCTGACCGCCGCTTCACCAACTGTCTTCGCACCGAGCTTTGATCATGCAATCAAAGACCCGGTGCCAGACGATGTTGCCATCTCGCCAGGATCTCGAGTGATCATTCTCGAGGGTCTTTATCTGAGCTTGAACCGTGAGCCCTGGAGTTCTGCTGCTGCTCTTATGGACGAGTCGTGGTTTGTTGGCGTTGACCGCGAGATTGCTCGTGCTAGGCTGGTCAAGCGTCATGTCACGTCGGGCATTGTGCCTGATACTGCAGCTGCTGAGCATCGAATCTTGGGCACGGACTTTTTGAACGCTGATGACATTATTAACAATCGCTTGCCTGTCCAGGAAATGGTTCCAGGTGACTGGCGAGCTGTCTCAAGACTTGACTGATGATGGGATCGCTGCACAGGGAGTCCCAGTTTCCTGTGGCTCTCTTGTGATATGGACAGATTACTTCACAATTTTGCATAGATTTGTTTTCTAGACCACGAAACGAGAGGCCTGTACGAGTTAGACCTATAATATATAAGGTATAGTAGGCTGGATCTAGAAGTATTAATAGCTGGAGGTACTGCAGGACTTCAGTAATCTCGTTATATTCTAGAGTACGTAACAGCACTTGGCTATTGCTAATTAGGCCTCTGCATAGGACTGGAAAGACTGTAATTAAGACCGCACCAGTCTGGCCCGCGCGGTCTTTGGTGCCAGACTAGCTACCTTCTTTATATCTCCACACCTAAAACTAACTATTAATAATTATTTAGGATACTCCTTGATTAATAAAAAGCGCCCTGTCTTAATAGCTTAATAATCAGTTAAAATCCCACAAGATACCCATGTTACAGCCGGAATTCCCCAGCCCGAAGTGACCGTGCAGTGGCTTCAAGTAGAGGAACATATCCTGATCCTTCTTTCTCAATCCAATACATCTGATCTTCACCTCCAGCAGGCCAAAATCCCTCCTTGCGGAGCCCAACCTTCACCTTCTTCATGATAGTTGACACTCGCTCGACCTCATTTTCCTGACTAGAACCTCGGCCAGGAACCATGTTGTCACTATCGCGGATCAGGCGCAGGAATCGTGGGACGGCATATGCTGGGATGCCCTGTTCAGAGCTTGTCATCCACTGCTCTAGCCCGCAGATGATCTTGTCAACTCGATCCCAGGATTCTGCATGGAGCTCAATGGCCGCACAGCCGAGTTGGCCCTCATACCCGTACTGATTCATAGGGATGGCGTATACATTAGCTGATGCGATTTCAGGGTGGCGGCCAAGGCAATTCTCAACCTCTGTTGTGGATATATTATGGCCCTTGACGCGGTAGGTATCCCCCAGGCGATCCGAGAATGAAATATACCCATCAGAATCCATGGATAGCGCATCGCCGAGCCGAAAGAATTCGTCACCTTTGCTAAACACATTTCGGAGCGTCTTCTTCTCTGTCGCTTCTGCGCCTCCGTCGCCAACATAGTCATGCTTTCGCTGGATAGGAGGTCTGATACGGCAGATGGCTTCCCCAAGCTCGCCCATCTTAGCCGGAATACAGAAACCAGTCCTCGGGTCGCGCAGGATTTCGCCTGACTCTAAATCTGCCTTGACGATGTAGAACGTATCTTGCCCCAAATGTCTCATCAGGGGCCCCCAATGGGCGACTTTGCCAACTCCCGCATAATTATTCCTATTCGAATTGAGCAGTGACGCTGTTGCCTCTGTCGCACTATAATATTCCACAATCCAATCCACGCCGAATCTCTCGCGGAATGCCTTCCAGACGGTCGGTGCGAGTCCTAGCCCGAACGCCAGGGTGACCTTATGGTCTCTTTCATCCGGGAATCGAGGGTCTGGTGGGCACTGGACGAGGTATCGAAGCATTTCCCCAATATACAGGATGGCATTTGCGTTGGATTTTCGAATGTCACTCCAGAACTCCCGGCGTGAGAAGCGGCGCGCGAGAATAACAGTGCCAAATGTCATCAGCACTGCGGGCATTGCTGCGACCCTGTATAGGCGATGTCAGATAGGCCAGTACTTCATAGGACATGCGAGTTGCGAGTTTGAATGCTTACTGAGCTGTTCCGTGGAACAGAGGTAGACATATATAATATCGCCGACGGATATCAAACATTCCAGGCCACCTGCGGTGGTTGGCAAGCATCAAGCAGTAGCTAGCAGGGTAGCATACAGCTTTGGGTAGGCCAGTTGTTCCGGAAGTAAACAAGTATTGCACCGGCATAGTCGGACCGATCTTCGGTCTCTGGTGAGCTGGGTAGTCGTCGGTTATTCCTGGCTTGGCCGGCGGAAACTTGTCGTGGTCCCAGTACACAACTCCCTCTGGTAACGACGAGTCCGGCGAACGTGAAGTGTACGTCCCCGCGTTGTAAATAACGGTGGTTTGGTGGCGACTATCTTGACAGTCATAGAATGCCTCCTGGATCACGCTCCAAAGCTCCGTGGTGCATATGAGAAATGACGATTCGCACAGCCTGGCACAATGTCTGATATGTTCGGTTTTGAACTTGGTGTTGATCGGTGCTGGGATGGCCCCGAGTTTGAACAACGCCCACCAGGTAAAGATGAACTCAGGAGAGTTGTCCATAAACAGACACACAACCGCTCTGTTTTTCACACCAGCATTGGCCAACGCCTCAGCAACACGCCCAATCTCTTGTCTCAGGTCGTTATACGACCAGCTTCGCCCTTCGAACTGGAGCGCCTCGTCCGACCCGACTTTTGCTCGAACTGCGTGGGAGGCATGCACGATATGGTAAAAGGACCAGTCATCGTTCCCGTGTCTCTCAAATAGCCCCCTACTGAATTTTTGGCCTTGCCGTGCGCTTTGGATTTGGGCCAGGTCTTTGCTTACCGAGAATTTCGCATCTAGGTACATCGCCAGCGCGGTAAAGGCGGCACCTCCCAGTATCGCGTGAGGTAGTACATCCATTTTCGTATAGGGGTTAAATTTCGAACACCCATTCAGGGTAGTAACTTGCTCGAATTATTTACAAAGTCATTGTTGCAAGGGACCGCTTGCCATCTCCAAGCGGGGATACGGTAAGGCCCCCATTGTATAGCCGCGGTTATGCACGCACTCGCCCCGAGGCCCAAATTCTACATCACCAAGGAGACACAGAGCAGATGAATTAAATCAGTAGGTCAATCGTTGTCTCATTCCTATACGTTTCAAGAAATTGTGAGCTAAAGCGACGATGCCACAGGGCCGCGATTCAGTCATGCTTCTAAAAACTAATTACGGTACTGTAGCGGGAATAGGAATGCCTCTTACTCATCCGAACTGCGTTGGTAGTTTATAACCATACGACTCAAGGAAATTGATCTAACTTTATAACAGGAGTTTAGTATAGAAGACCGAGTGGTGTTCTATAACTACATAACCTTGACCTTGCTTAATAACAGCCTGCAGCAGATATATCTTAATGATGCACCCTATCAAGTAATAAATACTAACCGCGGGAGAGGTGGAAGAAGAGGAAAGGGGAAATAAAGAGTATAGAGTCAGAGTCAGGCTTGCTTAGGAAAGTAATATAATTACTATGCCGATTAGTTCTGTATTCACCTCATGGCCGATGAGTGCCAGATACTGGTGTATGGTGTGGAGTTTAAAGCCTCTTATAAGCTAACAGTCACTGAACTAGTTACAGGATTGCACGAGATAGACCTGGCACGCGATATTATTAATCAGGAAGGTGACATATTTGAGTTTCATGTCCAGTGTCTTATCAGTGCTGTTTTCACTCAGATATTCTTATACATGTATGGTCTAGGGCGTCAATACGGGTGTGTTCGGACAGGGGAGGCATATGTCTTTCTACGTATTCCAGCGGATCCCACAATACTTCAGTTCTCCTTGTGTGTCCGAAATCAGGACGTGCAGACAGACGATGAGAGCCGTCTCCGCCGCACTGCCGGTAATCTCCATTTCAGCACTCAAATGTGTTTGTCCAATTCTCTAGTCGGAAAGCACTATTCTCCAACCCCCTTATGTTCATGCTCTTTGATCAAATGGTTCTTTACAGAGAGACGTGGATCGATAGTTACACATTCGCTCTCTTAAAGGCTGCTGCATCCATCATCTGGGAGCTATGGAGTGAACCCTACTAGATCGGCAGACTACGCCTCTGCTTCTGGTTAAAAGTAACATACTTTCTATCATACAGGCAACCTGGAAACCACAGGGCGATGGCCGCAATCTTCGCCGGCTCCATGCGACCAAAAACTGGCATGACCTGGGCACTGCTTGTCGCAGGTCGAGCTGTGGGAAAGGTGCAATTGGAGACACCCCACTTCGGATTATGGTAGTCTGCTTGCACTGTCAAAAGTCCCATTGCGTGTCTTCACTCACTTGTGCGTGACAAGCCAGCTAGAGTTATTTATATATTTTCCAAGGCCACAAAAAAGAAGTTTGATCCTGGTGGGAGGACGGAATCTAATCACTCCAACTCTAACGCCTGCGCTTCATCTTCCACAACATAACGTGCGTGGCGAACGGGAAAAACGCAATCGACACAGCGACCCACGCAAACAGGATACCGAAATCCAGGCCAATCCGAGAGTGTGTTCCGAATATGATGGTGCGCAGGGCTTCGACGACTGAAGTGTTCATTCGTCAGAAACTGTGCGGGTGGATATAGAGCGGCAAAGGCATTAAGTAGGAAGCACTTACTGCGATGAATAGGCCAGGCGTAGCCCCAGGCAAAGAACCCAGGGGCTAGATCTATCGAGTAGAACCCCGTCGCAACATTACTTATGACCCAGAAGATGAGAAAAAAGGAGCTCCATGGGGACCCTAGCACCATGGCCATGTTCTCGCAGGGGAAGCCAAGCGCCGCCATGCCGACCCAGTTTAGCATCCAGAAGACGACAAAGGAGCCATGGCTGTATGGAGTGGCATTGGCGGCGGGTTCGGTACCTGGGCGGGACGAGTTTGAAAAGGGGATCTGAAAGGCCAGGGATACGAATGAATAGAAAAGAGAGAGAAAGAAATAGGCCACCAGGTTGGAAATGATGCGCCAGATAATCCAGTGGGAGAGTCTCAACCGGGTTGCATTTGTGAGGAGTTGACTATGCACCGGCATCAGGAAGGGAAAGATGAAAAAGGCCAGGATAATTAAATAAATAAGCCCAATTGTCACGGCAGGGCCTGCCACTGCTGGCGTAAACGGCCGTAGGTCGACTCTCTGGAAGCCGATCGCGGGGCTGACGGCCGCTCCTGTCCAGGTAGTAGTGTTAGGAAACTCTGATACAAGTTTATGCACCCAGAGAGGCCCGAAGGAGAGCAGTGCCTGTCGCTCGAATGAATCTAGGGCCGGGGTGAGGTAGTTGGAAAAGGTATCCGGTTCCCGTGCGCTGACCGTGATAATTTGGCCGGCAGAGGCGGGTGTGTAATCAATTTGATATCGAACAGCATCAAGGAGGCGACTTGTGGCGTTGGGGTTGATGACAATAGCTGCATAGGCTTTCTGGTCATAGACCCGCTGTCTCACGGCCATGGGATTATAGTCGAAGTCGGCCGGATCCTGTATGCTATACCCAACACCAACGCCGGTCAAGGACGTGGCCACATCAATTATAGCAGGTCCCACAAAGGGCTCCTTGGCAGATCCCGGACTGTCAAAGTCCACTACCCAAACCGTCAGACGGTAAAGGTTTTCCGTGACTCGGAGCCGTGATGCCCAGAAAAGGGAGAGGATTCCGAGAATGAAGACACATAGTATAGACACTGGGAAGCCGCACGCCTTTGTTAGCGACGTCCCGACAGACAAGAAAGGAATATACCTGTTCGGGCCCATTGGATCAAGACGCGTTTTCTCGTGGGTTTAAGACCGCTATCAAAAAACCCAACCGACTTCACAGTTACTGTGTCAGGCGAGGGGGTCTCGGTACTGGCGTCTTTCTTTTCGGTCATGGCTCAGGCTGGGGGTATTGGAGGGATGTACAAGCCCGAGAAGTCAGCGCCAGATCAGGGCCATATGTACGCTTGGAGATCGCAATCCGAAATAGGCCGCTCGGTAGTTCGGACTCTTTTGAAGTGCGTACGTCTAAAAACTTCATTCTAGCTAACTACTCGCTTTTTTGGGTGGGGCATTGCACAACCCCCTTGTACAAGGAGTCCAGTGTCAAAATTCAGGTGGGTCAGTCGGATGTTCGGAAATCAAGTACAGTGGGCACCTGTAACAAATGGGCTTGCATGGTAAGTGAAGGGTCAGGGAGAGTGGCAACCAATTGGGATAAACCCGCAGCCGATATTCCCACTTGAGTGTACCTTCTGATTGTCTGGTGTCCTTGCCTAGGGTTTTGGTCGCCTTCAGCGGGTGGTAGTAGACAGCTGTTTGTTAACCCTCGAAGGGTGCTAAAGGATATTGTTCACCGCATGTCTCCAGTCAGCTCGGTAGCATGAACGCACAGTGGGCTGCCGACGCAGCTGGTCAGTTGGCAGTCCAATATGATGATGCATGCTACTATTCTGCACAAAGGTATCAGCTCTTCAACATACCTTAATTCAATACGTTAGGCCTCTCCTAGCTCCCATACTAGATAGAGGTCCGAACATGACTTACCAATGCAGTAATAATTGACTAGGAAAGGCACCCTCGCCGTTAGCAAGTCATCTGAGAGCTCTGCTGGAACAGACTCTCCGGTGACTGCTTGCTGAGAAGCCCGTACGGCAGATGTTACAGAAGTATCCCATTTCGCCTTCGCGAATGGAGACATGGAGGAAAGATATAAGGTTCTAGTGTCGGATATGAGCCGGAATAGCCGCTACTATCGGTTGCCACAGTCACCAGTATCAGGTTGTATTGACGGCCTAGAGGATCTACAGCTAATGCTCTATCTAATTACACAGCAACCTGACCGCACTAGGTTTGTCGGAATCCATCACCTCGGGAATCCTGATTGTAGGCCCCCGCCAGGTTCACCCGGGACGAGCGTTCAGCATCCACCGTGTACTTGCTGATTTGCTCGGGGGTCATCTCTGGCATCATCGTCTCAAGGTTGTCGAGAATCCGCTGCAATCCCTCCTTCGCCTTTTTGCGAATTAGATCAACGTCCTGTCCAACCAGCTGGCCATCACGTTTCCTGATAACTCCGTTGACTAGAACCGTGTCGACATCTGCCGCAGTGGAATGCAGAACGGCGGTGCCAAGGGGGAACGCTGAGGGACTCAGAAAGCGCTTGTTCGAGAGGAAGACAATATCGGCGCGCTTTCCGGGTGTAAGTGTGCCAATCTGGTCGCCTAGCCCAACAGCATCGGCGCCGTTGCGTGTGCCCCAGATCAAAGCATCCCGGCAGGTATATTCCAGAGTCATCGGCACCAGTCGACGGTTGTGGGAGGCTTCGTTGTCTAGGCATCGCTGTGTTTGCAATGCTAGGCGCATCTGAAAGAGAAGGTCGGGAGCGACGGCAGCAGCGGTATCAATACTGAGCGATGGCTGGATGCCGTGCTCTAGACATGCCCGAATTGGTGGAATGCCCATGCCCATTTGCATGTCAGTTTCCATCGCAATTGCGATCTTACCCTGGCTTTGCGCGATAAGTGCCATCTGGCGATCGGTGAGGTTTGTGCAGTGGATATAAACATGGCCCGGCATCATCAGGTTGTTGTCTGCAAGTTCATCAATGCCAGTGGTTATGCATGAGTTTTTAAGTCCGCATGAATGAGAGCAGCACAGCATTTCGTGCTGATGCGCATATTCGATCTCCTTGGTGGTGAGTTCAAAAGGAACTGTACCGAGCAAACTGAGCTGTAATGCAACTTTGACCAAGCTTTCACTGGACGAGTTTGCTGCATTCATCTCGGTAAGGTGGCCCAGGCGAGCGTTCCAAGCGTCCTTTCCAGTAGGGATCCCGTCGTACTCCAGATCACACATGCCGTAGGCATAAAATGCCCGAATCCCAGAGTCTTTCAACCCTTGTAACTCGGCCTCCGCATGCTCTCTAGAATGGAAGGATTCGCAAGTATCGATGATTGTTGTCACGCCACTATCAAGTGCCTCGAGCGCGCCAACAAGAGCGGAAAGGCGCATATCTTCGACTCCAGTGGCGGGTAGCCACCTCATGTAAGTGTTGGATAGAAAGTGCATCAATGCCTGGTCTGCCCCAATTCCGCGCGTCAAGGACATGGAAGTATGGCGATGAGTGTCCACCATACCAGGGATGACCACGCCGTCGGTTGTGTCAATGATCTCAGCCCCTGTAGTTTCGAAGTCTTCGGCTTTACCAACCGCCTTGATAATGCCATCTTCAACTAAGACCGCACCGATGGGGAAGTCTCCGAGCGAATCGTCCAGAGTAGTCACATATCCTCCGGTCAAAACGTACTTTCCCGTCATTGTAGGACTTGATGAGATGGTATGACGAGCTGAGAGTCGACTGCTGAGGGTGTTGAATGAGTTTGTATGGTTGATTCTGTGTCTTCCTTCTCTTTAGGTTCTCTTTATACTCCTCACTGAATGGACCACCACCCGGACGTTGATAGACCCAAGAATCGCCAAGCCCCAACCGGCTCTCAATTCAGATGTGATCGCCCCAGTTGCTCCTCTCCAGTGAGAAAATTGAGCCACTGAGGGAAACGCAAGATGATGCAGGCTGCTTAAGAGCATAACCAATGACAACTTTACTGTGGTGGGTTTATTCCTACTGGACAACGAGCTAGTCCCAAGGCACCACTACGAATTCACCCAAATCAGAAAACCACGGTGAACACCATGCGGTCCGAGCATGTTTTTCGATGTCGCTCTTCTGGAGATCCAGGTTGGGACCGGTCTTGGATTGCTAGTCGGAGTGATTTCGATAGTAGAGTCGTCCAGCACTCGGGTCGGGCTGAGTCGTATGCTTTTACATGGCCGCGATCTTTAGGTTATGTTTCGCCAAAACCCTGGGCCTTTCCAGGGCTTTATTATGCTCTGGTTCACATTGTATTACAGTGCGCGCAGTTTGGTAGGGTTTATTGAGTGGGCACGCGTGGGGCCGGGCATGACGGTTGAGATCGCAGGCCATCAAAACACCCAATCAAAAAAACGTGGAAAATGTGACTAAGCGGCTGTTTCGGAAGCATGAATCTGGTGGGGTTTTCCCTATTGGCTACGCACCGGATTGTGGAGTCCGTGGTACAGAGTACGAGCAAAGGATATAGGAGTAAGGAGAAAGAAGAGTAGAAAAGGCTGCGACATGCCGTCAGGACGGTGAGATCCAGAGCCCCGAAGATGTCCGGGTCTCAGTCCGCAACATGTGCCTGTGGTGCAGTCCGCCTCAGCATTACTGGTGATCCTGTAGCCAAGGCAGGTCTTTCACCTACACATACCTGCTTTATGATCCGCAGGGCTGCGTGGGTGCAGGCGGTTCAGGGGTGTACGCAGAAGGAGGAGATGTGACAGTTGGATCCGGGACCCACGGAAGCCTTTGGATTGTAGGCCCACTAAAGATTTGGGCAGTTCAATTAATATTCCAAGATAGCCTATCTTCACTTCACTCAGCACCTCTTGCTCAAATAATGCCCCCTTTTTGGTGCCACGCTTGCGGGGCTGGATTCTCCTCCAGCAGCCATCAGCGCCGCCATGAGACGTCCCGTGAGTCCAAGCCCTATATCTGTACCCGTGGTATCTCATGCTCTGGCAGACGACCCCAACCAGAAGCCCTTCCCTTGTCGCTTTGCCGGATGTGCCCGGGAATTTCTCCGTCGGTCAGTCATCTGCTGAATACTGGTGTTATTTACTAACATGTAATACCTAACTGTACAGCGACACCGCACTCCGCCACGCCAAAACCTGCGCCCACAGAGACAACAAAACCCCCTACCGCGCTAGAGTAAAGGGAAAGCCGCGATCGAGCTGTGGCTCGTGCGCCCTAAGAAAGACCGCTTGTGATGGGAATTGGCCCTGCGGCTCGTGCGTGGCGAGAGGAGGCCCTGATGCAGCCCGCTGTAGCTATAATAGAGTGACAGTTTCAGCTTCGTCGTCGTCCTTCTCTTCAGGTCCATCGGAGCCTTTTCCTCGAGGTCGAATTCAGCGGGACCATTCGCATTCTCATTCTCCAACGCACGAGAATGAGGTGGGAGTCTCGGACGACTTGCTCATGGCGACAATCCCGTTCCTCGTCAACTACTACGGCATCAACAGGTCATGCTCGAATCTCTACCTTGCTCTTGAAATAGGGAGGCCGTTGCCTGACCTATCAATATCACCTGGGTGTGCTCCGAGTTCATTATATCCTTATAGGTGCAATAACAACGCCCAAGAATCGAGCGAGGAGGTATTGGCTGATTTCACTGCCCGCGGTGCAGAAATACTGGAGACTCTCAGAATCACCGCCACTACATGCTCTTTATCTTCATCTTCCAGCAGCACAACCACGGCCAGCACGGCGCTCGAAACCGCGGCCACAGCGGGCATCTTCTCGAGCGCCAGCATCGACCGGCTCGCACGGTTCTGCATCTACCGCCTGCAACGCCATTTCCCGTTTGTGCACCGTCCTACGTTCTGTGTGGCCACTGCGTCAATACCGCTCTTGCTGGCCATGATACTGGCCGGGTGCGTGGTAGATGCAACCTATGAATCGCCACTGCCGGTGCCGTCGGATCGCGCGACGTCGGCTGTTTCTAGATTACAGCTCGCGGTGGACTGCTTTGATATCGCGGAGGATTTCATTTTTAGACTGCCGTTATTCAACCTGAAGGATCTGGCTAAGAGCCATATTCACAGTCACAGCCAAACCACAACGATCGAAACCGATACACTCATGGCGGCCATCATCGTCGTCAGCCTGCAGATTGGGCGCAACGACAACGCGATTCGCCGCAGGCTGCGCCGTTTGCGTCTCCCTGCCCTGGCGGACGCGGCCAGGGCCCTGGGCCTTTTCGGGGTTGCCCATCGCGATCGCGGTACGCGGGATGAGAATCAACGGCCTCGCTGGGGTTCAACCCGGCTCCAAGAGGAGATAGGTATCCGGTATGTCCGCTGTTGGATTGGGTTGAAGAAAGGGAAACCTTGGTTGATTGCTATCATACTGACCACTACGGAATCAGGCTTGCCACCTCGATCTTTCTCCTGGACTGCCAGCTTACTGGATGCACCTCCGCGACCCCGTATATCGCCGTCGAAGAACTTACGAGAGACCTCCCGTGCAGCGAGAGCAGTTTCATAATTATAACTGAGTTGTCAACAATGCCCTCGCTATTAGAGGGCCCATCCAGCATTGCCGACATTCCGGTCTCCTTGCCCACCGTGACGCTGTCCGAGACAATTCACATCCTCGTGGCAGAGGCAGACGCACCTCCAGGAGACGAAGCCAGCTTCTGGCTGCAGCTTCGGGGTATTAGCATCCTAGGACTGTTCACTGTGGTCGCCGGTATGTTCTCCCGCCCATCCCAATATCAACACGTTCCCAAAACACTCATAACCTGGCGCACATTTCACCGCACGCTAACCCATTCCACTCCGCTGCCAGGCATATACTGTCTAATCTTCACTGACGTCCGAGCCGGTCGGATCGCGACCCGAGATTCATATAAACGAGCGATGTTTCACCGTGCCTTAGACAGGTGGCGGCTACTGTGGAAGGACCTGCTGTGGCGCTCGGAGATCCATGAGCTCGACCTGGTTGGATATGTGGGCTGCGCTGAGGAGCTCTGGCTGTTGTCCAGGGTGCTCTTGCAACTGGGACCAACAGATGTACGGGATATGGATAGTTCGGAAGCAGAGGGAGAGGACGACGACAAAGGTGAACTGACGCTGACGCTGACGGTCCCGCTGTGTGAAATAAGGAGGACACTTGCCGGGGATCCAGGCTGATTGCAGGAGACTGGGCATTAAATACCCAACTGCATGTACATATTCAATGCGAGTATATAGAATAGGTATTTAAAGGTCTAACTGGATACGCTATCAATGTGTCGTTGATGCTTTACTGTACGCTATCAGCAGCTGGGGGCTGCTGATAGCGTACCAAACTTTTGGTTCTTGCTGGCTATGATCCCCAGCATGGCCTCGAGTTTGCTGATTGCAGCCTCGGCGTGCCGCAGTTCAGCGCGCATCTCGCGCCCCCCGCCTGATTGCCTTGCTGTGTGTACAACGTGGACATCACAGTTGGCATTGCAGGCGTAGGAAGCCACGGCAGTGGTGAGCTTGGGTGTTGTGGTGCTGGTGGTTGTTTCTATTGGCCGGGTAGGGTTCGTTGGTCATTTTAGGATGGTCTTGTTAAGCCCTAATCTAGGCCCTAATCCTGACTTAGCCCTGGCCAAGGTAGGGTGCCTGTATGATATATATCTGACTATTAGTATCCGTAATCTTGAACTGATCACTCCTTATCCATGCGGAGGAGAAATCTGCCGAGGTATCAAGTGGCGATCAGGGGATCAATAATAAGTGCTTGTCGACATTCTGTTCAAGGGAGCTAGAACGGGCTCTCATTCTAGCCAGTATCTTTTGTCAACCTAGGGCCCTGTATCTGAACTTGCCTAAATCTAAGGGCTGTTCTGGAAGTGTCTTTTCCCTTCCAACCAGGACCAGCATAGTAATTGAATTCACCCACTCATCCTACAAGCTCACCTCGCCCACCCAGGTCGCGCGACTTCAGGGCGGCACTGGTCACCTACTAGAACGAGACAGGCAACCGCCTTGGCGGCCGTAGTTTTTCGATCGGTAGGTAGACATGTTGAACATGGATATTGGGCGACTACCAATTATCCTGGTGCAGTTACGTCGTGGCAAACTGAACCCTGGTTCAAAACACCGAGTGACGGCCGATTTCACAGGAGCTAGACCATCGAATTTTATCATGCCACTAGGTCGTTGATGCAATGGATTGATTCTACGGGTTTGCAATAGTTGCTATTCTCTCGATTGACAGTAAATCCTTTCTATCATAACTGAGACTGTCCCCCGTCAGATAGGTTTCGAGAAGTTGCAAGGAACATGTTTCGCACTCGACCTCATATTAATTACTGTTCGCGTGCTATTACAGCTACTGTTTCGAAACAATTCCCAGCGAGCTGGAGACCATCAAATCTAGGGATATTGTGTTGGGCAGGAGCCTCAGCGAGATATCAATCCACAATGGCGCCTGCTAGACCCTATAGTAGCGCATCGAAGGTGAGCCTAGAAATAGGTTCTAGAGGCCTGGCTCAGTGAATTCTAGGCATCGGACACAATGAAAGCCCTCGTCTATCAAGGGAAGAATAAATGCGATCTCCAGGACCGTCCAATACCGACGATCCAGTCACCAACCGACGCCGTGGTCAAGATGCTGCATACAACCATCTGCGGTACTGACCTTCACATTCTGAAGGGAGATGTTCCCACCGCTGAGCCGGGCCTAGTGCTCGGTCATGAAGGCATGGGAAGCATAGAGAAATTGGGGTCTGCCGTGACTGATCTCTTCGTTGGCGACCTCGTTCTCGTCTCCTGCATAACCGCATGCGGGGTGTGCTCCTCGTGCCGTCAAGGCCTCACCTCCCACTGCACCAGCGGTGGATGGGCATTAGGAAATGTCATTGACGGCACGCAGGCGGAGTATGTCCGCATCCCTCATGCTGCGTCTTCACTGTATAAGCTCCCCACAAACATCGATGCGCGCGCTGCCGTTGCGTTCTCTGATGCCCTGCCCACGGGCTATGAGTGCGGAACAATCAACGCCAATGTGCAGCCTGGAGGGAGAGTTGCCATTGTTGGTGCTGGGCCGGTGGGTCTATCGGTATTGCTGACCGCGAAGCTGTATACTCCATCCCTGATCGTCGTCATTGACAAAGATGATAAACGGCTCGCACATGCAACAAGACTAGGTGCCGATCAGACGGTCAACCCTACGGACAAGGAGGCCATGGAGACGTTGGACACGCTGTCGGGTGAGCATGGATTCGATTCAGTTATTGAAGCTGTCGGATACCCCGAGACATTCGAGCTGTGCCAGAGGCTTGTTGCCCCGGGGGGATCGATTGCGAATGTTGGTGTACATGGGCAACAGGCTCAGTTGGCGCTTGATCGACTCTGGGATCATAACATCAGTGAGGAGGCTCAACAATATATGGTAAATGCTTGAGCTGACATTGCTAGCTATACGCACCCGATTAGTCGATACCGGCACGATTCCAACTCTGCTGAGACTTTATAACTCGCAAAAGATAAACCCTTCCCAGCTGTTGACGCACAGTAAGTATCCAATAATTCCTCTTTTCCCTTAACTGACATCAACGGCGCAGGCTATGATTTCTCGGATATCACTCAGGCATACGAGAGCTTCGAAAAGCCATCTGGTGGAGAGTTGAAAGTTCATATCAAATTCTAGGGTTGAGGACATAAAACCAATCTGGACAGTCTCATTACAGAAAGTCGGGCCTTGTATACAACGCCAAACGAAAGCTTCATGTTTGGACACTAAATATGTATAAGGCTACCACTCCACTAAGCATAGAAAAGGCACATTCCCAACGCAACAAGTCCAAGGAAATCATGGCATACTACTTCACGTCAATCCGTTTCCCGGTAGACACGACCTGAGCCTTCGGCACATTAATCGACAGAACCCCGTTCTTCAGCGTCGCCTCCACATGGTCCTGATCAACCGGACTAGGAAAGGTAAACGAGCGTCTGAAATCTCCAGTCGAACGCTCCATACACCACCAAGACCCCTCCTCGCCCTCAGAGGTTGATTTCTCGGCGTGCCCTTTGATATTCAGCGTAGTCTGGTCGGGGAACTCGATATCGATGTCCTTCTTCTCGACCCCGGGCAAATCGCCATCGAGATGGTATCCGTCTTTGGTTTCGCGGATGTCGAAGCGCGGGGAGTGGGCCATGAACTGGTGGTCGAGGGAGCGGTTGGTTAGGGAGTTATCGAAGTCGTCGAGGGCGCGCATGAAGGAGAGGAACCCCCCGCCGGGACGACCGTGCATGAGCGACATGGTTCTTGCTCTAGGAATCTGATACGCAAGAGAGCTGCGTGGGTGTAGTCTTGATTGAACGAGTTTCAGCATTTGTTAGGGCCAGCACTGTACAGAAGGATATGCAGTATCTATCACACCACCACTTTGCTGCACAACGGGTATATATTTGCGCAATTATATATGATGTCATGACAGTCCTTTACAGATAAAACAATATTGGATCGAGTCTGGGGATGTTGTTCGCCTCCTAACGGTCACAAGACCGGTCACACAACCACGGCTGACTACAACGCATTATTACAACAATTGCTTTACTGGCTAGTTCATACCATATCACATGGATTGACATCACTAGAATAAAGGTTGTTTCTTATTAGATTTCTTTTAATGATCCGGTAGTATACTGTCCAGCTAAGCAGAATATCGCACCTCTCCAGAGATTCAGTACTACATCCATGCACTTCATGGCACATAGTCTGGCTTTAGAGCTCAGGCGAGAGCTCGAAGGCACCGGTTCAGAGATATCATATGTTGGGTCGGAAAAGTACCATGAAAACATCAAATCGTGGTCCGATACATGCGAGAAGGAGGCTGTACGTTTACCCAAACCTTCCTCCTAGCCACATTAATCCATACTAATGGCTGATTTCGCGCAGGGAGCAATTGTTAACGTCACGTCGACTGAGGCGGTCTCCAAAACGATCACATTCGCCCGCAATCATCATATCGAGTTTGTGATTAAAGCAGGCGGGCATTCCACGAGCAGCGAGTCTGCAACCCGTGGTGGCATCCTGATATGTCTCTCTAGAATGCGAAATGTCTCCGTGGATCCCCCATCTCATACCGTACGCGTCCAAGGAGGTGCTATCTGGGACGATGTCAATACTGCCACTGCTGCTCATGGACTCGCCGTTGTCGGAGCCACTGCCAGTGAGACAGGAGTTGGCGGATCGACACTGGGTGGAGGCTATGGATGGCTTACAGGGCAGTACGGATTGATAGTGGATAGCCTCCTCAGTGTGACTATCGTTCTCGCCGACGGAAGCGTTCTCGAAGCGTCTCAGGATACGAATAAAGATCTTTTTTGGGCTATTCGCGGCGCAGGCCAGGCCTTCGGAGTTGTGACAGAGCTAGTCTTCAAGGCATACGACATGCCCAGTGATATCTTTGGTGGCTTGCTCTACTTTACCCCCGCTAAGCTCGACAAGGTCGTGCAGTTCGCGAACTGGTTTGATAAAAAGCAGGACGAGCGCAGCGGATTCTTCTTTGGATTCAGGGCCCTCTCGCCGGTGGAAGAGACTTTGGTCATGGCACTGCTTTTTTACAATGGTTCCAAGGAAGAAGCAACCACTTTCTTCGCTCCTCTACTCTCATTGCAAGCTAGCCTGGGGGATGCTGGTATGATGTCCTACACGCAGTTGAATCGTCTCGGCAATATCGAGCCAACCCCAGCAGGCCGAAAGGCCATGGGTGGAACCAATATCACGTTTCCACTAGATACAAAACTCGCCCACGAGCTCTGGTCCGGCTTCAATCAGATCACGGGGGCCTATCCGGAGGCATGCGCGAGTGTATTGGCGTTCGAGCTTTTACCATACTCCAAGGTTATCAGTGTACCGGTGACAGCAACTGCTTGTGCTAACCGGGGCTGCTTCTATAATGTCGGCTTGCTGCTGTGCTGGCAGAACCCTGACCATGATGCAGTGATGGACCAATATCGGCGGGCGATTGTAGCAAAGATTCAGTATTCACAGCATGAGTTGAACCGCGGTGAACATGCGGTATCATATCCCAATTATTCTGGTAAGCTCTGACACTTTGAAGCTGCATATCACTGACTGGTCTCAGGGCACGATTTCAGTTCTGGATCGCTCTTTGGAACAAACCTGCCTCGTTTGCAGGAGCTGAAAAAGATATATGACCAGAATAATTTCTTCCGCAAGTGGCAAAATCTGCTGAAGCCGTATTAAGCAGAGGGCTTGGCCAGCTGTGAATTGAGATGCTGTCAGTTATGCTCCCAGCTTTTTAACTAAATTGAAGCCAGTTCGGATTCCCTTTGACGTATTGGACCTGTCTGATGGCATATCTACTCGACATACTGTTCATCAGATTGTCGGTAGCGGCCAGTCCCTTGACAGTTCATGGCCTGTGCCGTCGTAAATATAGCAAAAGAACGCTGGATAGGACTATGTCTGTCTTTGGTCTTGGGTATACAGTCTGGACACATAATCTCATTTATGTAACATAGGAGGCAGCCCGGAATGGGCAACAGATAGCATTTTCAAACATGACCTCTTTCACGATCTTTCCTAATGACCTTCCCAACGCCGTTGATTTTAGTTCTTATACTTCACCAAATAGACCCCTAGCTGATACAACCAGCCAACATTACACAGCTCAGGAGCCATCTCTTCACCACGCTCCGAATTAAAATTTGACTTCTGGTCCTTCAACGCAAATTCTCCCCTCTGCTAGTCCCCCCTTTGATCCCTCCGTCCTCTCCTTCAACGAGTTAATCTCGTTCTCCAAACTCGCAATGTAGTTTAGCGCACCATCCAGAATACGGGCCTTGGATCTAGCCTTCTGAGGTGACGATGGCGGTCTCGGAGACGGGGTCTGCTGCGACGAGCAAGGGGACGAGTCGCACGGCGAAGTAGTGCCTTGCAGGACGACCTGCTCGAGCTGGCGGAACTTTCCATTCAGATTCACCCGGTACCGGCGTTCCACGATATTGTGGGACTTGCGTCGCTTGAACTGTTTGATTTGGTTGTCCTGGTTGTTTAGATTGAGATTGAGGTCCGACTGCTGTCCGGGGGTACGGCGGGGTCGGGAAAAGTAGAGCCCCATCTGCCGCCGTGTTGATGGACTGGTGAGTGGGAATTCTTCGGTGAGTTGGTCCAGTTGGCGGAGGTCTTGGTTCGAGGGTATATTGACTCCTGGTGCGACTGGTGCGTTCATGCCTCCGGGGTAAGGGATGTCTGTGGCCATCACGCCATAGGGGCTCTCGTTGGATGCCAATGGAAGGAATCCGGGAAGGTCCTGGAGAGATGTATAGTCAGTTTGGGGATCAGTCTGCTCTGAGTCAAGGCTGCGTACATTCTGCAACTGCAGTTGGTTATTGAGTATTGTTTCGTCAAACTCCAGGCCGCCTGGAAAAGGCGGATTCTCGCAAGACATCATCCTCTGGCTGTCCGATGCTGAGAACATGGGAACACATGTCTCGTCGGACACCATGGCATCTCCGTAATCTCCCATATCCCACTGTATGCGACGTTTCTTGTTTCGGGATGTGAGCGGAGGAGAAGAGGGAAGAGCTGTTGTGTGTGCCATTTCAGGAGCTTGTACCTTTAAACCCACCGCAGAGGGCAGTGACAGGTGATCTTAAAGAACAGCAGCCAGTGACACATGGGAGCTTGAAATATCCGGTCATTAGACTGCCAATTCAGCTGGTGGCCGAGTGCTTAACCATGGTTCCCAGCAGCTTGACAGCGGATGAGGGTCTAGGCCCAGAGGGCTGTCTGAAAGTCATGATGAGCTTATGTCGGTCGCCACCGACAATATGACAGATCTGGATTGCTTTAAATTATTATGGTTATTACAGTACCGCTGGAAGTCTGCAGCTTGTTCAAGAAGTACTTTTTCTACCATGGTGGTGACGCAATCCCAGGCCTGGACTGAGGCAGCGACATCGAGTTATCCTGAACAAAGGCCAGCTGTCTTCTATTCGCGGGTCTAGATCGCCGAGGTGGTCCTAGCAGAGCATCGGAACCGTCCGTCTCGTTCGTCTGGTTCTGCCCGTTGGGCTCGGCCGGGCTTTCCTCGAGGGATCCCTATGGTTGGGATTCATCGGAGTTGAACAATCGCTGTAGCTTAATGCTGCCATCGTGTCATAGAGTCCGACCAGGCCGGTATTCATGAGCCTTGGGAAGGAGGTCGCCGGTCGGCATCCACACCTCGGACTTCAATGCCATTGTTGAGATCCTGTCCTAGACACGAACCATCCCCGAGGGATTCCAGGGAGGTCCAGGCCTTTGTGTAGCTGGAGATAGAGCCCGACAGCCCTAGGGCATGCAAACCCTGTGCAGATCATTACGTCGGGAACTAACTTTGCCTGTAAACGGTCAAACCTCGCCTTGAGAAATCCCAGCACTACGGTATAGGGGCATATGCGGACTTTCGGCGATAATGGCCGTTGGGACCCGTTAGCCCGAAGCAGGAATGCCCTACAACACCACAAATCTATCCAAATCAACCCCTATCTAGGAAACCCATCTAGGAAACCTCTCCAGAATCCAGTCTAGCTGCAACGTAATTGGCCCGGCCCAGGACGATCCGACGAACCCAAAGGAAGCAATTCCCCGCCTCGTACCTCGGTAGCGCAGCCACCAGACCCTCCTCTGTGCGGGGAAGCTCTCTATCTTGTGATCTTAACAAGGAGCCTAAAGACTAAAACCATGACGCAGAAATTCTATTCCCGTATGTAACACTAGGAACATGGCGCAGGAACACAAACACAGCAAAACCATCCCCTCCTACAGCCAGATCGCCTGCATCGGCGCCGGCATCAGTGGGATCGCCCTCGGCGCCACGCTGAAACGCTGGTACCAGCTGGACGACATCCGCCTGTTCGAGCGCCATAGCGACTGCGGCGGAACCTGGCATATCAGCTCGTACCCTGGTACGCACCGCCTGTTTTGGTGTTTATTTCGCTAATGCGGCCCTGCAGGATGCGCATGCGATGTGCCCAGTGCGCTGTACAGCTTCTCCTTTGCGCAGAACCCGGGATGGACCAAGTTGATGCCCTCGCACCAGGAGATCCAGGCCTATCAGCGTTCTGTGGCGGAGGAGTATGGACTGCGCGACAAAATGACGTTCCGTGCCGAGGTGAAGCAGTGTTTCTGGAGGGACGATGCCTCTCGATGGCTCATGGTTCTGCGGAATGTCGATACCGACGAGATCTTCTACCACGAGTGCCAGATTCTCTTTGGTGCCACTGGTGTTCTGGTTGAGCCTCGTGCTTGCGATATTCCAGGAGCGTCGACCTTCGAGGGATCGCTTTTCCACTCTGCGCGGTGGAACCATGATGTTAGCTTGGAGGGGAAGAAGGTCGTTGTTATAGGAAATGGCTGTGCGTTCACCACAATGGCAAGTTTGCAGGGCAATGTTAACGAACAATAGGTACCGCTGCTCAGATAGTCCCAGCTATAATGGAGCAGAGCGGGTCAGTAACCCAAATCATCCGCAGCCAGCACTGGGTCGTTGAGCGCGCAAACTTCGAATATCCTCCATGGTTGAACTGGGGATTTCGCCATATCCCCCTGCTTCAACGTCTCCACCGTTTTGCTATATACCAAGGCGCCGAAGCTGACTGGCAGCTGTTCCCAATGACCAAGTCGGCTGCGAAATACCGACAGCAGAGGCGCGAGGAAATCGAATCGTACATGCGTAGGACAGCCCCAGCGAAGTATCACGATATTCTCATTCCGGACTTTGAAGTCGGCTGCAAGGTATATTCCCCAGCTCTGATTAGATACCTTCTATTATTCCAAAATTCTGGCTAACAGACCAGCGCCGAATCTTCGACTGCAACTACCTCGACTCCCTCCACAACGAGAAGATGCTCCTGACAGACGCAAAGATCCTCGAAATCGTCCCCGAGGGACTGCAAACCTCAAACGGCCTCATCGAAGCAGATGTAATCGTCCTCGCCACAGGCTTCAACACAAACACCTTCCTCCCCGGAATGCAAGTGCACGGCCGAAACAATAAAACCGTCGAGGAGCACTGGGCTCGAAATGACGGACCGGGGGCGTACAATACAACCTCCATGAACGGGTTCCCGAATTTCTTCCTCTTGCTGGGGCCGAATACGATCACGGGCCATACGTCTGCTATTATGGCGACGGAGAAGTATGCTATACCTTTTATTTCGAGCTGCAGATCGCTAAATTGGATATAGCTCTGTGAACTTTGCACTCCGCGTGCTTAAGCCTGTTCTTGACGGGAATGCTGCGTCGGTCGAGCCCAAGCTCAGTGCTGAAGATGAGTATATCAGGCAGGTCCAGGCTGCTTGTCAGAATACCGTCTGGCATTCGGGGGGTTGCAACTCGGTAGGAACAATTGTCCTTCTCTCTGAATATACCTCTAATGTCATACAGTGGTACATCAACGACAAAAAGTGGAATGCAACGGCATACCCCTGGGCGCAGGCACATTTCTGGTATCGATGCCTGTTTCCGACTTGGAAGGACTGGAATATCAATGTGAGTTGCCTCTGCGTAGCTGTACAATGGGCGTGCTAATAGGGAGACACAGTGGGTTCAGAAACCGGCAAGCACCGGCCGGAAACGGTTGTTCTTCATCATTTCATTGATTATCTGGGCTGGTTTGTATAATAAGAGAGTCGGTGGTCATGGACTTGCTGGGATTAGACAGATGGCTGGTGAATTGAGAAAGAGGGTTGGATACTAGGTTAGATTAGATGTGAACAGACAGACTTGGCATTCTTATCAATTCAAATCAATTAATATCCTTTCATTCACTTTATTAAATCCTTCGTTCAGTATTCTAAATTCCGATATTCCCCGGAGCTAAGAGGATTGTCGGACTTAGCGACTCAGCTGAGCGACGGTCGGAATTACACCGTTTACCAGCTGCATAAAGCCAGCTGCAAAAAGCCAGCTACGGATTCAAATACCCCGAATAATGCCAGGCTTATGGAGCTGAGGCTGAATGTAGGGCTGTGCAGAAATTATGAACGTTGAATACTCCACAGTAACGTGGCAGGTACCGCTGTCAATGCTATACCCACTATTAATTCCGGTCTGACAGCAAAGGACAGCGCCATGGATTTAATCAAGCATGGGATGTCTTTATGATTAAGTCCGGTGCTTTCACGGCTGAACATATAAGACCTCAGTGTAGCTGCGTTCTCTCAAACAGATCCAAGCATATTCGAATACCACACATCTACAACCTACGGATATTTTCACACAACAATGGCTCGAGTCGCAGCTACAAACATCGTCGGTAAAGCCATTGGCCCCATTGGATATGGCCTCATGGGTAAGTCTACCGAATATCTAATAAAGCTCAAACTGACCTTGCTATCAGGTTTTTGCCGCCCTTGGGCCCCGGTTGAATACTCTGTCGCCACAGAAGTCATGAAAACAGCACTTCAGCAAGGCTCAACATTCTGGAACGCAGTGAGTATTTCCAGATATAGCTTTACAAAGTACAATCGCTAACATATTCAACCAGGGCCTACACTACGGAACCCCAACCGCAAACTCCCTCCACCTGCTCAAGTACTACTTCACGCAATACCCCGAAGATGCCGACAAAGTCGTCCTCAGCGTCAAAGGGGCCTATAATGTCGCAACGCACACCCCCGACTGCAGCCCCGAGGGCATCCGAGCCTCGGTGGACCAAGCCCTCGCCATCCTGGACGGAGTCAAGAAGATCGATGTCTTCGAGTGTGCGCGTGTCGATCCCAATGTGCCCCTGGAAACCAGCATTGGGACACTTGCGCAGCTTGTTAAGGAGGGTAAGATTGGAGGAATTGGGATTAGCGAAGCCAGTGCGGCGACGATACGTCGTGCGCATGCTGTCCATCCCATTGCTGCGGCGGAGATAGAGCTCAGTTTGTTTACGACGGAGCCGCTGCAGAATGGGATTGCTGAGACTTGTCATGAGTGTATGCCCTTATACCCCCTAATATCCAGTCCCAAATACGTGGGTTATAGCTAATGTTATTGATGGGCAGTGAACATCCCCCTCATCGCATACAGCCCCCTCGGCCGCGGCTGGCTGACAGGCCAGATTAGGAAATACTCGGACCTGGGCGAGACAGATATGCGTCGAATGCTCCCCCGTTTCCAACCTGATGTGTTTGATAATAACTTCAAGATTGTTGAAGCGGTGGAGGCCATTGCGCAGAGGAAGAATGCCACCGTTGCCCAGGTGGCTATTGCCTGGGTGCGTGCTCAGGGTGCGATTCCCATTCCTGGTGCTACAACTGAGGGCAGGGTTCTAGAGAATTATCGGGATGTCGCTTTGACTGTGGATGAGTTGGAGGAGATTGAGAGGGGACTTCAGTCTTTGGCTGTTTTGGGAGACCGGTATGGTGGGAGGCATGAGAAGTTGCTTAATTTGTAGGAAGTCGCGTGGTGTTTATAGAATTCCTGTTAATAGGGGTACGAATCTTATAATCATCTATTTGTATTGGCTTATTTTACTAAGAAGGTCTATTTAAGGTCATAGAAAGTGTGGTTTTTATATAGGTAGCCTCCCTCGCAAACCCAAACCCATCTTTATCGCGTATGAATCGCAATCTGCATAGCTGCCTTTCAAACCTTCACCTTTCAGCCCTACTTAGCTGCTGTCGTAGCCACCATCTCCTCGCCCAGTAAAACACCAGCCCCAACCCCCAAACTGCTATGAGCACGGCCGCCTGGAAGGGTGCAAAAACGGCCCCTCGAGCAACAACAAACCCGCTAACGAGAGTAAACACCAGCGGAATGAGGATGATCGGCTTGTATGGGCGATGGAGCTTCGGCTCGCGGATCCTCAAGACAATCGCTCCGACCACCGCCAGGAAAAAGAAGGTATACTCCCCCAGGCCATTGAAGGTCACCAGGGCCCGAAAGTTGCCGAAAATGATGTACAGTGACGAGCAGAGAGTCGAGAAGATGAGTGCGTTGAGTGGAGCATCCGACTCGGTGTCTGACCTAGATTCAGATCGGAGTCCGACATATCCTACCTGGCCTAGGAACTGGGGCAGCCAGTTCTTGTTCGATGCGGCGACAGTCATACGGCTTCCCACGAAGGCACTCCCGAGTAATGCGCCGGCAACAACAAGGCAGATCAAGGCGGCAGCCACGAGTCCAACACCGGGGCCCAAGAGGTGGTTAAACGCGGTCTATGCGGTTAGCGGTCATACTCGGTTGGTTTGCATGGAGAACATACAACGGCCACGCTATCAGTCGTGGAGACGACGTCCCATGGGAGCAGGATGTAATACGCGGTGTTGACCGCGATAAACCCAGACACAATGGTTGGGATGGCTGTGTTGAAAGCCAGAGGAAGTTGGCGCGCGGGTGCAGACAATTCAGCCGAGATATAAATGGCCTACATTTTATCAGTCATGTTCCTAAGAAGATTCAAATAGCATACCTTGTCCCATCCCGAGTACGCCCACAGAGCGCCATACAGAGCAGCCGAGTAGTGGCCCAGCATCTCCCAGGCAGGCAGCTTGCTCCAGTCAATCTCCGACCCGTCCGGCCCAATGCTCGTCCTGTAGCCGAACCAGGGCTTGGTCCACCAGTCTTGGGGCTGCTCATCACCTTTGTTCGCAAGGTGAATGAACACGACGGCAATTCCAGCCACGACGGTCGCGACGATTGCGGTGAACTTGGAGGTGACGAAGAACCGGTTCAGCCGGTTGGTTGTCTTGGTGCTAATCCCGTTGGCCATGGTGAAAACGATGAGAACCAGTATTGATAGGAACTTGTGTAACGCTCCCTGGGTTCTGTTGTTTTCTCCGATGGCGGAGTAGACGCTCTCCACGAAAACGATGCTCATGATGGCCAGCGACGCGGGGATGACAGCGACAATCCAGGTCCACGCCGCCAGGAATCCAAAAACATCGCCGAAAATGTACTGCATATACGGTTGTACGCCGCCTGCAGTGGGTCAGTTTTATAACGCATTTAAGAAGGTTGGGCGCACCTTCGCCTGGAATGGCGGTGCCGAGCTCGGCCATCGTAGCTGCTCCTGTCCACGCCAGAATTCCGCCCACTAGCCAGACAATCAAGGCGAACCCAGGCGATGGAACATTAGTATCGATCGAGCCGGGAGAGGTGAAGATGCCGCTTCCGATGACAATGCTGATGATGATGCTGAACGCCTCGGCGGTTCCAAGGTTGCGCTTGAACGACGTCCGTGGTTCAGCGACCGGGGCTTCCTCGACAGCGCCATACTCTGGCTGTAGCTGCTCTCCCAGGAGAGGCGCTGTATCGCCGTGATTCTCTGTCATGGTGAACTGAAGTGGTGACTGAATGGAGATGAACTGATGAAGAGGAAGAAGGCGGCGGATTTATCGAAACAACGGTCCCCACATCGCGTAATTGCGGGCAGAATGGCGAGATTACTACACTGAAATATCAATATAATTTACAACTAGAATATGAAGACCTGTGAATAGAGGCTGAACATGGCTGCTATTAAGGCTGTTTACAGCTACATTTCTATCTGTAATACCCTGCCATATGCCGCTGATTTAATGCCCTATTACATATTCCTCGCCACTATTCTGCACCTGCCAAGCGCTTTTTATGGTGCTGAGTCAAACTCAGTGAGGACTCACTCCGTTTCAAATCAAGACAAAAGTGACGCTGAAAGTGGCCTTCTCTATAGCCATATCCAGCAGCCCGCCAATTCAGACCGGCCTGGTCGGGTATTCTAATAAGGTGACCGTCCTCACAACTGTCTTGCTCCTCCACCCTCCCATCTCGACACCTCTCCAATATCCGAACTTGATCGAGGCTCTATTTGCTTCCTGAACTCAGTACAGCTAGTTAACTTAGTTGGCACCTCTCATTAGGTAATCAGTGAGTCAACGAGGTGAGGTGAGCGGAAGTAGGTGAAAATGAGCTTTGAGAAGTGGGCTGAGTGTAGTCACGCAGAAAGAGAGGGAGCTGCAACAACTTGTCTCCATGTCATCTCTACCCTTATAGTCTAACTCTTTTTTCTTTTCGATCAATCTGTGGAAATTTGATACCTTCAATCACAACACTCCAAGTATGTCATTTAGCTCGGCTTCCAATTTCCCAAGTAATGCACTTGGGGTACTGCTAACTGTTGTCCCCTCTCGTTCTAGTGACACCTGTGGCTCAGCTTCTTACTCTCAGAACGAACGAGAATGTCTAGTTATTATTTTTGCGACTCCGGAAAGATTGAGAGCTCACTTTCCCGTGACCTCTCATCTGTGTCTCGATCCCCAGCTGCTCCTTCCCCTTCGCCTTCTCGCTCACCAAGAATGTTGACACCGCCGTCTCCAACCCAGCAGCAATACAACACATCGCGCTCTCCCATCCAACAACAACGGAGCGTACTCATCACTATGGGCTCATGTACTTGGGAGGGCAAGAATGGTTGGAAGTGCCAGTGTAGTTCTGGATCCAGCATCTCTGATTTGGATGCCACTCGGGCATCCTGTGAGAACTGCATGCATCCAATGCATCTGCATCTTAACTTTCGTTAGTCCCTTATATTTCTTATGAATTCATGCCCAGCAGCTAATTCTTGTCATTACACCTGCAGCCACCCATGACGTTACTAGGTCGGATTTCCCTCCATCCAGAATTGTCCATCCTTATGGTAAACAACTCGCTCTTGGAATATATGACAGCAATCTCATTGTTTATTCTTATAGAAATACCTTCTTACATCATTTCGCGACGGAAACTAGTGAATGAGCTTATCGCCCGAGTCAATCACTATCACATCATTCGAGTGAACGGTACGCCGGCGTCAGGTAAAACTGTTTTGATGAATCTCGTGGCCAATACATTACTCGAAAGGTATGGTCAAGCGACGCCTATCTATTCTGTTTCAGGATGGGATGAGAAAATCAGTAAGAGTGGCTGGGCCGCGTATTTGCAGCAGGAGACCGGCGTTCACGGCCGCAGCTGGATCACCCATTCGGCTTATCTGCTTCTGGATGAAGCGCAGCAGTCATTCTGGGATCATGGACTCTGGACAGACTTCTTCAAACGTATCGAGCCTGGTACTAGCCCGTTCATAATTCTGTTTATGTCATACGGCTCACCAAATAGGGGCTTCCCGGGCTTTAACGAGCAAAAGCATGTGCAAACTCCGATGGTCTTTGCCACCGAACAGCAAATCTCCTTACAACCAGAAAAATGTATTGAAACTCATAGTCTGGGTCGACTGCCTTGGAGACCCGTTGGTCTCCTGCTTGACGAGGATGAGGCTATAGAGGTGGTGGGCCGTTACGCATCCTTTATCATACGCCCATCTATAGCTCTAACGCCGGGCCTGAAACGAGGATTCTTTGCATGTAGCAATGGACATGTAGGGCTACTAACGAGCCTCACTCGTGTTCTACAGGACGTACCGGTAAGTCTTAGCCTGAAGTCAAGGTATAATACTAATTAATGAATTTATTAACGTCCATATCCCTAATAGGCGCTTTATGAGCTCGTGCGGAATCATGACGCGATCAGTTGGGCCACAGCAAGCAGTATTCTTTTCCGTCAACCCCTAAAATTTTTCGAATGCATTAAAGGTTATCCGTTTACCCGAGGCCTACCTCCATCGGAAATATTACAAGATCATTATGCGGCCACGGTTTTCAAGGCAGCTATTGCGTGTGATGGTATTTACCAATCTAAGTTTGAGGCCAAGAGCGAAGAATTAAAACAAGCTCTCAACATGATATGGCGTAGTGGGTGGCTTCATGCTGAGAGGTCGGATAATGATATACGATATGTGTTTGCAAGCCAGATTCACAGGTGGTAAGTGCGTATTCTATAAAATGTTTGGTATCACTCGATAACAGAATATTTAGGTTCTGCCATTCCCTTTTCGCCACTCTGGTCCCCGACAACAACCTCAACTATGCCTCACCCCTCCAACTAGCGATCGATACTATCACTCATTTCCAACCGTGTCAGCTGGCCAACGCCCCTCGTTCCATGGCGGTGGCGGGCAATTTACCGCCTCTTGAGGATCAGTACCAGAAGGAGTTCTATCGCTGCCTTTTCCCTATATTGGATGGGCACTTAATAATGTCACCCGAGTTTATAATCAAAACGGGGCCTAAGGGTGGCACGATTGACTTCCTTGTTACTGGGAAGAAGTGGGGGTTAGAGCTTCTGAGAGAACGTGATCGGCTCGTGGAACATATGAAAAGGTTTGAAGCAGGTGGTCAATATTACAGCATGATGCAAACTGGAGAAATGGAACAATATATTGTTCTTGACTTTACAAATACGGCACCAAAGAAACCTCATCCAGGTAATACGTCCTTTACATATATTTTGCTTAACTAATATCTTCTCTAGAGTATAAGGGGAAACTCTACCACGTTGTTTTTTCTGAGAACTACCGAGAAGTTGATGTGATTGATACCTCGGATCTAAGCGTCGTCAAGTCTTTCGTGTTGATGGAGCATGCAAATCCAATAGATAATAGAGGTTGACCGTCTATCAATTCAACCTGTGATTGCATCCAGTTGATTTCCGTTATCCCGATACTGCCGGTTTGCGCTACCTTCGGGCTACGTTGCCTTCGTCCACCAACTTTAGGAAGATAGAACATTGTTTATCTACCATCTTCGTCACCATCATACCACTTCACGTAAACCGGTTACCACGGGTTTGAGCGAAGCATATCGAGGAACGCTAAAGGGATGGGCTACTGAGACTAGCACTTGAGGTCGCTTTTCTATTCTAGTCTCTTTGTGCTGTTTTTCTATTCTAGTCTCTTTGTGCTATTATTATTTATCGTCTCTGTTGAATTGGACTCTTTTATCGACTTCTCTAAGGCTTCTGTCGAATGTAGGCATCTTATCGATTGTTTCAATTGTTTCAATCTCCCAACGCCAGGCGGCGTGCCGTCTGACAACCGATCCCGGTGCGTTACAGGGCGCTTGGAGTATTGGACCTTTTCTTCTATGATGAGGGAAGTTGAAAATGTAAATACCTTTTAGCATGGCAGAAAAAGTAACGATATATCTTTGGAGTAAAGGCTAGGGGGAAGGGATATGGGAAAAGGAAAACGGTGGGGGAAAGGGAATTAGGAGACAGAACAGCGTATCAACTAGGTAGTACTCAACCACACAAATATGAAGGTCTGATTCATCGAATTTAGCAGCTGTCCTATACTATATACACGAAAAAAGTCCTACGGGCGGTGATGACAATACGGTGTATCACGCGATTATCCCGAACAGAGCAAAACTAACCATAACAGGGAATTCACAACATACATCTATCAATATATTATATGCCTCAATCTTTATTTCTCAGCACCGGCCACTCCATGAACGTCGTCAACCCCCTGCTCATCGAACAAGCCATGACAGTCCCGTGGTCTTCGCCGGCATACTCGTCAAAGCTCATATGCAGCCTCGCGCCTTTGATCAAATCCACCAGCTCCCGCACGTTATTCCTCATATTAAACATCTCCGCCATACGCTGCCTGTCCTGCCACTTGTCGTCCGGCTCATCATCCCTCCACCGCGGATCCTGCTCCAGCCCACCCAGATACATCATCAACGTCGGCAGTTTCTCACTCACATCCTTCGCCTTGCCCTCCTTTATCTTCTCAATAAACTTCCTCGCCTCGTCCAGAATACACTTCTCGTTCCACCAAATCGACGGGCTACTCGCAATATACGCATCAAACATCCCCGGGCGGGTGAAGAGCGCATGCAGCGCCAACAACCCCCCAAAAGAGTGTCCATACAGCGCCTCCCTCGATATACTGACTTTGGGAAACCGCTCTTTCACAGCGGGACGCACAGAGTCGCGTATGAAATCAAGGAAGATGTCCGCGCCCCCGCACCCTTCTACCGGCTTATCAGTCGGGGGTGTCAGGTCGAAACTCCGCCGGGAAAGGTGAAAGACCTTCCCTGTGTCTGCGAGAGGGTATCCGATAGCGACGATTATGCCGCCGCCGGCGTAGTGTGGATCTACGGGGCGGCGCCAGAGGGCTTCTGTTGCTGTTAGGAAGAGGGCGTTGCCGTCGACGATGTATCTGGTTTCGCCGTTAGTATTTCTTGAGTAAATCGGGACGAAGAGTTTTACATGATAGGAAGGTGAGTACGGTCGGTGTCCGGCTCATGCTGGTTCCAGTGTAGTGGCCACGATATTTGGATCAGGTACTGCTCGCCACGGGCGTTGGAGAGGTAAAACTGCTCCGAGTTCGGCAGACTGATGCCTGTTGGCTTGTGGGTTTGTGTCATGGGGTTGAGTATGGCTTCTGATCATTGATCGGATTGGCAGTGAAGAGCGAACAGTAAGGCGCGAGAAGGCATTCAGGAAGAATTGTTGTGTTTCGTCTAGTCAGATCCCGCCGGAGTCGGAGACCTTATCTGATCCGCGTATTAGCGGGGTCAGGTACTGACGTATTGCTGTATAAATACCGTACGCGAGAGAAGAACATTTCAACGCGACTCAACGAAGATAGAAGTACCGCTAAGCAAGAAGCAATTGGCGATTTCGTGGGTATTTCATCAATGGCGGCTTTGAAACGATTTAGATCCAGCATACTGATTATCTAGTTTACCTGGCGCCGAACCCCAATCCCCCTCATCTACGTTTCCACTCGAGAATTTGGTCAACAAAGTCGATTTAAAATATATCACGAGTCGCAAGATCACTGGGGCTGCCGAAACAAAGTGGATTGTCACCAGCAAACAGACTGACGGTCGTCGCACAGCTGTTTTTGCAAGGGACATTGCGGATGGCGAGGCCGACAATGCCCGCGGGTACCTGAAGCATTCATTAATAATGATGCCTGCATGCATTGGCCCTGCAAAGATAGGCGAGCCGGCAGTTCGTGATGAGTCCGATCTGCTAAGCGAACCCCTGCCAAAAGCCACGAAAAGTCCAGTTCCCTTTTCCTTCGCTCGTCAGAGGCACAAAGCAAGTCAAGACTAATCACATTTTTCCTTGGCGATGGCATGCGCTAAATCAATAGCGCATTGAGCTGGTCAGATCGGGCGATCGACAATCCCTTCCGGGCCAATCATGCCTGATTCATTTGCCCTGCGTCGATTGGGGGCCAGCATGCCAAGGGATAGATGGAGCAGGAGGAGGAAGACAGGGGTGAACTGTGGGCTGCCTGGAAGAAGGGATTTTAATGAGCATGCGCCCAGTTTCTCTTCAAGCTCACAGCAGAGACACAGCGAAGACCCTCACCATGGCGCCGCTACGGACTCTCGTGCTCCTCACGACCCTGGCAAGCCAGGCCTTCGCCCTCGCTGTAAGACGCACAACCTCCGTGGCCTCAGTCCCAGAGTCCGCCTGGGACTCCCTGAACGAGACAATCTCCGGCCACCTCCGTAATGGCGAGCCCATGCTGGCCCCTTGCTACTTACGATACAACGGCGAATCGCAAACACCAGACCTCGACCAGTGCGCAAAACTCCAGCAGGACGGCGGCGACTTGTCCTTTGCGACGGGGCAGTTCGGATACTACGTGCAGTCGCAGTGGGGGGCGTGTCAGGCGACGGGGGACAGTTGTACGTTTGGACTGATTCGGCCGGATATTCTGACGCCGGTCTTGGATAAGTGTGAGCAGGGGAGTGTGCCGACAAAGTATGTGGATGTGCAGAGCGTGGAGGATGTTCAGCGCACGCTGGTTTTTGCCGGAGAGCATAACCTGAGGCTTGTTGTGAAGAACACGGGGCATGATTATATGGGGAGGAGCTCTGCCCCTGATGCGTTGGCTCTTTGGTATGCCCTTTTTACTCTGCGTGAGGCTGTCAGGTAGGGCTAACTGGGTAGGATGCACAACCTTCAACCGCCCATCGAGCTCAACAAAGACTTCATCGCCGACGGCTGCTCCGAGTCCAGCGGTGACTCGATTACATTCGGCGCGGGACAGCAGTTTGGCGGTATATATGACTTTGTTGAGCCCCTCGGGTATCGCATTGTCGGCGGCAGCTCGATCACTGTTGGCGCAGCAGGAGGCTGGATCACCGGAGGTGGGCATAGTATGCTCACCAACGAACTAGGTACAGATGAACCGATCCTGCTCACCAATTACAAGAGCTAATAAGATACAGGCCTCGGCGTCGACAGCGTTCAGCAACTAAAAGCCGTCCTCCCTAACGGTAAACACGTCACAGCCAACCGGTGCCAGAACCAGGATATCTTCTTCGCCCTGCGCGGCGGTGGCGGCGGTACATTCGGTGTAATCACCGAAATGACAACACGCGTGTACCCGAAGAAGGAAACCCAATTCGTGGAAATGATCTTCACGAACCTCCTCCCCGTCCAACAGCGGCGTCTTATGGATATCCTTGTTGGGAACGCGGAGAAGTGGGCGGAGGAAGGCTGGGGAGGGTATATCACGATGCTGAGTGTAGGCACCGGTGTCTTTATTGCAACGCCGTTGCTCACGCATGAGGAAGCCGAGCAGTCGATGAAGCCGCTCGCTGAGTTCGCAACGACCTTCAACCTCGGCATCGTCAAGGTCCAGAGCACAGAGAACTTCCGCGAGGGCCTCGACCCGTTCGTCCAGATCCAGAAATTCGGAATCTTCCCCGGCTCCGCGTGGGCTCTCTCCAGCCGTATCGTCAAACGCGAGTCCTTCACCCAGGACAAACAGGAAGAACTCTCGGATATCCTCTCCAACTTCCTAAACGTCCAACAGAACCTGCTCGAACCATCCCTCCAGATCCTCGTCCTCTGCCTCACAATGCCAGCCGTCTACTCCAAGAAGAGCATGCCCGAATCAGACCTCCCTGGTGGCCCCGGGCACCCCTCGATAGCGCCGCACTGGCGCGAGGGCATCTGGCAGGTCCTGCACTTCCGAACATACGACGGCTCAATCGATGACCCGGATCTCGTGCAGAGGATTGCGCAGCGCGCGCACGATGTCATGGAGCCTCTTCGGGCATTCACACCGGGTTCAGGCGCGTATCTTAACGAGGCGGATCCGTGGGAGCCCGATCATATTAACTCTTTCTGGGGCGAGGAGAATTATGCGCGGCTGTTGAAGATTAAGCGCGAGGTTGATCCCTCTAATCTCCTTATGGTGCATCAGGGTGTTGGCTGGGATGAGGGTGATGGGAGGTTTGCATGTTATCCGGATGTTACTGCGTGAGGCGGCCACTCTGGGTTGTATTAGGGAACTGCGTGGAGCTACTATTCATTTGTAAAAGTCTATACTTGGTTTGGAATGCTTTATAATCTTTATCTACAGTTTAATACTTGGAAATTGCTGTCCGTATACCGGCACCAGCAAGCGAACTTACAGTTCCTCTCCTATAATGGGTTTATCGAGGAAGATATACCTAGGTTGCAGCAAGAAGATGTGTTTTAGATACAACGACAGGCTACCAAATGGGCATTTTACCGTGAACACTTCAACATAGGACGGGATTTTCCCAGTCATCAAAGCATTTCTAAAGCTGTTACAGAGTATAGCGGAAGAGCGGACTGCGATCCCCCATTCTCTCCAACTGCGCATCAGAATACTTCTCTCTGACCTCGTCCTCCGTTATTCGGCCCCTTCGCCTGTTTATCAATGTATATACAACACCGAGGGTACAAACCGCACACACTCCAGCACATATAAACCCCAGACTCACCCCCCATCCAGTCTGGTACCGCGGGCTCTCGTCTCCAATGAAAATGAAGCTGCCGATGATGCCACCGCAGTTGCCCAGGGCAATCATGTATGCAACGCCCATCGCTCGCTTCGCCGGGCCTGCCACGTTGTTCACGGTCCATGTATTTCCCCCAGGGATGATGGGGTAGACGCTGATGGTAGCGATGTGTACGAATGTGAAGCACAGCGCAACGTGCGTGGCAATGTCCGCGCTGAAGCTGAAGAGCACTGCGTACGCGGTCATGAGACTGAGCTGGGGTCCGACTATGAATGGTAGTCTCCAGGTAACCCTGTCTGCGAAGAGCGAGGAGACGACGGCTGATATAGCGCCGGCGACGTAGGGGGGTGCAGAGAGAAGCTGGGCCTGCGTACTTGAAAAGCCCATGTTGACCATGATTTGGGGGAGTGTGAACTTGAGGGCGTAAGTTGGCACGGAGCTGGACATGAATATCATTGCCTGCAAATAGATCTGCCAATCTGTTATGACTGAGAGGAAGATTTTCCATTTCTGCGCTTTGTTCATTGCGGCCTCGTCTTCTTGATCTTGTGTGTCGTCTCCGACTCGGCGCGTGCGTCGGAATTTCTGATGTAGAAGATTGAGATATCGTATCTCTGGAGCCGTGAGCCAGCGCTTGGAGTGGGAAGGGGAATCGGGGAGGATGAAGTAGGCACCGATTCCCAGTCCTATCGTGACGACTCCCTCGAGGATGAAGATCCAGCGCCAGCCATTGTAGCCGCCGACGCCGGACATCTCTGCGATCGCCGCAGCCAGGAGACCAGAAAAGGCACCGGACAGGGCGGCGGCACAGTAGAGCATTGCCATGCGCAGTTGGGTCATGTAAGGAGGGTACCACTGGCTGAGGAGGAAGACGGCGCCGGGGAAGAAGCCGGCCCTGTAGAAAGTTAGGATATATTCAAAGATGGTAATAGACTACTGACTCGAACACTCCAAGCAGGACACGGCAGCCTACGAGGCCACCCCAGTTCTGGACAAGGCCTGAGCAGGTCATCACAATTCCCCATGCTGTGACGATAAGGCTGATCCATTGAGACGGCTTGGTGAACCTGATGAGAATGGCATTTGCCGGGACCTCGAGCAGGATGTATGGGATGAAGAACATCATGTTGGCAACGTTGTAGTCTGTTCCTTTCATCTTGAGGTCGGCTTCCAGTCCTTCAATCTTAGCATTACCCAGGTTAGCTCTGCAGGCGTTAGCTATTTATTCTAAATGTAACAAGGGATTCGGCTACTTGCCGATCGAGGTTGGCAATCAAGTACAAGGCCATGAGCATCGGCATGAGTCTGAAGTCGACCTTTCGGAATGCCTTCCTGTGGGCAGTCTGTGGGAACTCGTGAAGAAATGCAGCATCGTCCTGCGAGAGGCCATCATGGAGGTATTCTAGATGGTCAGACTCAGGGTTTTGCTTCGCGTCAGAAAGTGACGCCTGATCAGGCTCAGCCATGGATGGCTTCGAGGGCCTCAGAGACGAGAGTGCAGGCATTGAACCAGTAGCACCAGCACCAGTCTGACGGAACCAGGGAATAGTGCGATGGTATATCAGTATAAATACCTCTGGCGGACATGAGAACCCGGGGAAGAGGGCTAACCTGGTTTCTGGGGTAGGCCTGGGACCAGAAGGAGCTTGACCAGCACTCCTGCAACCCTAAATGCTCGAATTGAATTGGATTAAATTGATTTAGTGGAGATTTAGCCCCGTTTCTCCGCAATCTCAGCTGCACCCCGAGTCATTCGTTGTGGGGACAAAGACTGCCGGCACTGTATGTCCGGCCAGATCGATATCAGCTACGTACAGGCCTGGGAAAATTGGGGTAAAAAGCAGTATTCAGAAGATTCCACCATTGGAAGAATGGAATATCTGACTATCCGTATCCAGAAGAATGGGGGAAGCTGTGACATTTCTGATCTGAACAAGTGGAGTTACAAGCTTATTGAGTATTTCTTTCTGCCGCCCTTGTCTTTGAAAGCATAATGGAGGTTTTTCCTTAGGGTTTACATGTCCGACAGTATATTTACTCTAAATTACATCTGGATGATGACATGGTCTTGCTATTATCAGGCTGGAATATCTTCATCCACTTGTCTCCCCCTCCGGCTTCTCTGGGATCAACGGCGGAGGATGTCTAGATCGCACACCCAGTATCTTTGCCAGCCCTAAACAAAGATCACGAAGCTCCTCCAGGTCCTCCTTGGTAGCCCCATTGATCAACATCCCCTTCATATGGTTCTGCAGCTGGTTGGGACAATCCATCCCATACAGCGCCGAGACGATAATATACCCCGTCAACAAATCGTCAATGACAGCATCAAAGGAGAATATGCGGGCATAAAGCACCTCTAAAAACACGCTGTGTCAGCATATGTACCTAGAATTTAAAGGAACGAAAAGAGAAAAAGGGAGGGAGGTACAACCTCTAACAACAAACGCATAATCAGGACTCGCCCGCACCGACGCCCCGGGATCAAACGCCTTATTACGCGCATAAATCCTCGACCAAAACGCCTTGCCTCGCTCGCGGGCGACAGTGTCCGACTCCTGCGAGCGCGGCGACGTCTTCTCCTGCAGTTCTTCCGGGATACACCTGGCGAGAGTGCGCATCGCGTTGCCGGTGCGTGCGGCGCCGGCGATACCAGTCGACTTGATTAGACCCTCGCGAAGCTTGCGTACGGCGCTGAAGCGGTCTTCTGGGGAGAGGGTTGATAGGAGCTCGCTGTCGAGGTGGGCGTAGACTTGGGGGATTACATCGGGGTAGTTGAGTGAGGAGAGCGTTACCACGACGCACATGTACCACCGCAGCTGCGTGGGTGGGGGGAGAGACACAGATGGAGAGAAGAATGAGGCTGGTAGGATTGGAGTCTCTGCCATTGTAGCGTAGTGGAGTGGTTGGTGCTGCTGATGTGGATGGCATAGGTAGATTATATGTGGCGAGCTGGACTTGTATGTCCGTTGACCCACTCGCCTCCACCGATGGTATCATTATTTATAACCGGCTTTTATAGCTGATCCTTAGCTGTTTGACTCCAATTGATACAACCTGAATTCCCGTCATGTACATCATCGCCCCCCTCTCCAACTGCGCCTCCCCGCCAAAACGGGACAGGGTACGTCCAGACATACAGTCATCGATTACCAAAGTAATAATTAAACAGTTCCTCGAATACATATCCAAGATCGCCCCAATTACGCACACCCACGAGCCCAAGTGCCACGCATACGCCTGGTTCCGCAGCGCCGAGGACAACGACGCCGTCCCGCACCACTGGGTTAGGGGTTTTGAAGTGTACGCCCTAGAATATTTAACTCCTGTAATATTATTTTGGTAACGGATCATAGATACGAGGATATCGAGGCCAACACGGTAACCCACCGCGCGAGCACCGAGTACAAGGCCTTCCGCGCAGCCGTGGCGGAGGAGGGCCTGCTCGCGCGGCCCAGCGACCTTCGCTACTGGCGACCGTTGTCGGGATTCCTCACGCGTAATATTCAGGAGGCGGCGGCTTCAAAGACACAGTCACAGACGTATATTGTCGTTGAAGAGCTGACCCCACAGGCTGCGAAGAAGGGATCCGTTCTGCGGCAGCTGGAAGGGGTCGTGAGAGAGGCGGAACAAGATAGCAGTGTGCTAAGCTTTTGGGTCCTGCATCGAGGAGAAGGGGATGAGGATGAGAGACTGTTGGTCTTTATAAGGTGTGAAAGCAAGGATACCTGGGCTGGATTAATGGCCCGGGATGCTGTTACAAAGCCGTGGGAGATGATGAAGGGCATGTTAGATAGCCATATGAGGACTACCTGGGTTGAATGTCTGGGATTTCTAGGTAGATGAATATATAATATAATACTACTCTACAAGATGGCTGTCGCATTCGGCGGCGAGGCCACAGCACCACTATAGTTCAGCGGCGCCGACGTATAAAAGAAAGACCAGCGCTTGTTCTTTGCGCACTGCTCTGCCAGCACATCGAGATCAAACAATTCGCCTATCGGGGTTCCCCATCCTGCCAGTAGAATCGGGTGCAGATGCCATTCCTTCTCAGTTGGAGCTGTTGCGTGAGGTGTTAGCGACTACCTATGTAACAAGGTAGATATAGATACGTACGTCGAACCTCAAAACCAGGCGAGTCACTAGCTACAGCAGCAAACTGTCGCTCCCACAGCCACTCGGTCGTCTCGCGCGACTGAGACAGGCCACACCACTCGCGGATGCCCGCGACTCTCTCTCGCCCAGCTGCATCGAGCTTCTTGTACGCTGCAACATAGCCGGTGCGTAGAAACAGCACATCCCCGCGGTGAAACTCAATCCCTTGGTCCTGCGCGATTTCCAGGACGTCCTTGAGCGAGATCGCGTGCTGGGCGAAGTGGTCGATTTCGATGCCCTGACGCAGCGCATAGGATGCGTAGTCGATGAGCACTCCTCGACCGGCGAGTCCGCGAGCGCACCAGGGCTGCAGGCTGTTTACTGTGGATGCAGTGGCATGAATATCAGCTTGCGTGGTGCTGGAAAATATCAGTCCCGATCGATCATTGACTACTATGTTACGTACCCGTTGTAGAACCTCTTGTCATGCTGATACGCAAAGTGTCGCATGCTGTCCCATTGCGAGCTCCCTTGGGTGTTGAAGCTGATCTGGGTCTTGTTATATACAGCCACATTACACATCCCTGGGTTTACTCACAACGTCGTCATTTACCACCAATGGGTTCTTATCAATGACTTTCTGCTCGAAGCCCGCTCGTCCCAGTAACGGCGGGTTGAACAGGTCAAGGGGTAAACTGTAGGTGAACAGGTATCAGTGTCTGGATATTAAATGCTGGTGTAGAAACGCACTTCAAACCAACCCGCTCGCCCGTCTTCACCTCTTCCTTGATTTTTTTCAGAACCAGATCGTTTGTCAAGTAGTTGAGAGAGCCCAATGCGCTCTCTGGGCCGCGTCCCCAGAGCCCCCAGGCTGAGTTTGGGGGGTCCCCCTCGCGCAGAGGGAGGTGGTCGAACGACGGAAAGGGAATCTGTGGAGAGGCCATGTTGAGTACGATGGATGTCCTAGACTTTCTCGAGGACTAGTGGGTTTTATCTGAGGAACAAATTCTCCGGTGCCGGAGATGAAGCTCCGGCTGTATACCTCGCATGTTCCGTCACCGTGGATATAGTTCCGGTGTAAATGCTCCACAGGTTTATATTAAATAGACGACTACCCATAAACATAACAGTCAATGTCTTGAAATATTGTATTGCAATTCATCTCTGCCACAATGCCTACTCCCGGCGTACTCATGCGTCTCTCCGACGCCTCCACTATACAGACACCACTGACCGGCGTCGACATTGAAGCCATCTACACACTCAAAGCAGACGACGACAAGCACCCATCAGGCAACACTCTCTACTTCCTGCGCGACATCACCCCTCTTCTCTCTTCAGCCGACCTGCACAACGCAGACATCGAGGCCCATCGCGCAATTACCGCCCCTCCCCCCTCCTGGATCCTCTGCTCGTTCATCAACGGCCGCGACGCAGGAGACAGCGAACCACAGCAATCTCAGCACGTCCTTCCCACCCCTCCACCCCTCGGATCCATCCTCGTCATCAACGGCTCCACGCCCCGTCCGGAGAAGGAGGACGACTATCACGCCTGGTACGACCAAGAGCACGGTGCAAAGCTAACCCATGTCCCGGGTTGGCGTGCTGCGCGGCGGTACGCGCTTGCCAGAGTCTACGGTGAGGCCGAGACGGCCAGCTTCTACGGATTCAACTTTTATGATGCGCAGAATGGCCTTGGTGGGCCTGAGTGGCAGGCTGGGGTGACGGAGTGGACGCTGAGGATTAGGAGTAATGCGGCGAAGCCCAATATCCGGCGGGTGTGGAGGGTGGTGCAGACGTGAATCTGTATCTGCATCTGAAAGTTTATGTACTTGTTATAGTGTTATAGGTGTAACTGCGAAGGCGCAAATAAGCCGTATAAACTATCCTGGGTTATGTCGTTTTCCAGCTGGTTCAATGAGGCAAGGAAACCTGGCGATGAGGTGTCGAAGCCTACAGGATCAGACTGATCCATGGCTCCCATGCCCATGTAGTCGTAGTCGTCTCCCACAACAGTGAATGGCTCCTGCCGGCTCACGGGCTGCGGGAAAAGGGTCTCGTCCAGGTTCATTTGAGGTATCTCATACTGCCCTCCATGCCGAGTGCTGACCTGGAATTCATGCACCATGTCGCGAAGGATGCTCAGTGGCTTCTCCAGGCCAAAGTTACACCCGCCTTGTAGCTCGCTAAGACAGGTCCAAAAGAAGGATATCGGCTCCATGAATTGTCCGCGCTCGTGTCGCTCCTGGCGTAGAATAACGATTACAGCGCTATACACCGCGTAAGAAAGGAGGAATGGAGCACGGCGGAGCGTAAAGGCTTTCTTGTACGCGCGCACGAACTTCTGGATTGCGAGTGCGCTTGATATACATGCCTGCTCGCTTCGTTCTCTGCTGCTTTCGTCGCTGTGGCGGCGGAGGTGTCCTTCTTCTAGGAATGCGCGGTTGAGGAGTATGGTTAGGGCGTGGAAGGTTGTATGCGGTGTTATCTGGTGCGGTGGCGGCGTGCAGGTTGTATCTGGGTCGAACCTCAGATGAGATGGTAGAGAGGCATTCCACTGGTCCAAGTCTCTCTCGATAGCTGACTTGGTCTGCTGGAGGTACTCCGAGGTGCACTTCATAGTCTGGATGCCATACAGATCCGTAATGCGCACTGAGATCTGAAAAAGACGAGCAAGACAGTTGAACGTCGAGATGGCATGCGCTGGTTGCGGCGCATATGCTGGAGGCGGTTCAGCAAGAGACGAAGGGTCAATATATGGCTCCCAGTCCTCGAACTCTTCGAACGTGTCCAGCAGCAGAAGAGGCACCCTGGCTTCGGTGGTTGCAAACATACACGGCCTCCCAAGGTACAGCGACTGCGTGGCATCAGTGACAAATGCCCCCCAGTACAGTCGCTTGCGCATTTCCTGCTCCAGGTCGCCACGCAGCAGCTGGCTATGGCCTGCTGTGAGGTTGGTCTGGTAGTCGGGGCCGAGCATGAGGTGGCATCCCATATCGATGAGCATGCGGTACGCAACACCTGAGAGATTCCAGCCGGCGCTAGACTGTCCTTTTGAGACCAGAGTCGCACTGGTTAGCAGTAGAGCTACCGCGGTGGGGATGCTAGGGCTGCATATTTCGTCGGCCAGCAGCTGGCGGAAGCGCCTGTAGAAGTACGCTGCGAGGCTGTTCTGGTCGCTCAGGTCAGCACGCAGGCTTGGTCGATCGCTATACAGTGTGCCGGAGAAGTAGATCGCGTTGAGCAAGAGCTTGTTAACCCAAGGCCCGCCGCCATTCGCGATGCCCTCCGTGATTGCCGGGCGATAGGAAATCAGGTAGGCGTAGTGCTGTCGGTTGAAGTGCACATCCAGCAAGTGCATCGCCAGCTCATGATCGCAACCATCCAGATCTATCTTGTTTGATGGATGGCGAAAAATGCGAGGCTCTCGTTGTCGCTGCAAAGCTGCGTTGCTGATGAGCCTCGCTTTGGATGCCGCGATGGCATTCTCGCCCTTCCGGCCTACCGTGGATATGCTTTCCCTATACTGTGCTCTCGATGTTGGATTCATAATACTCGCAAGACCGTGGACTGAAGAGACACAGCCGTGTTCAAGAAACGCCCCGGCCACGCGGGCTTCGCACGGCGACATCGCTGATCCTTCGTCTGTAGTGTGGGTATCTTGAATCTCGCGGTCCTCCGTCTGCATGCCTAGCTGGATATTGTTCATGTCCGGGTTCTCCCTGTCCCATGGCGAGTGGATACTTGGATGGCAGTCGGGCTTGTCGGTCATGGCGCTGGATATGGACGGGGTCGGTAATTGCCTGGCCATGACAGCGATAGAGGCAAGATCGGTGAGATTCTGATCGTGAGGATGCTGCTGCTGCATCAGACCCCCTTCCTGGTGCTGAGAATGCTGTTCCTGCAGCAGATCTCCTTCCTGACTCCCATCTCTATTCCCGCTCCCATCCATCCAGTCCGCAAGAAGAGTCTGTGGCGGAACAATCCCAGCGGCCTTCATATGTTCCATCATGGCAAGCACCGTCGTCTCGAGAACCTGCACACGAGTCCTGGACGGTCGCGGCTCTCGCCTGGCATCTTGCGGATACGCACATTCCAGCCCGTTTGTGCTGCACTCGAGGCATTGCGGCCGAGCACCATCGCAGCGGATCTTCTTCCTGCGACAGGGGGTGCAGGTTTTGCATGTTCTGGAGACTTGCTTCGACACGCGCTGCCGTGTCTTGTGTGTCTCAGCTGGCATTGGGCTGTTCTCTCGTGTTCTGTCTCTGTCTGTATCAAAGAAGTGCACAAGAATCGAATGCCCGAGGTACATCAGCAAGGATCTCTCAGTGCGGGGTGAGTGCCGAGCAAGTGCCGTGTGTTGAGAATCTGGGGAAGATCTCCAACTGCGCGAGTCATGTCGGAGATACAAGTCCGCTTGGCATGGAGAGGGGAAATCCACCGGACATTGACTTCCTGTGATGTCGTGATACACTCGATGTAAATGGGTTGATATATCTGTTACTCCTCCCTCGTACTGTATGTAGGACAGCTAGAACTGCCAATCCTGACGAAATGGCACCATCCGTAATAGTCGAGGACCCTAGGAGTGGTCAACAGAGTCTGAAGCAGAATGGATTCAAAAACCATTCTACAAGAGCTGCTTCTGACCTAGACCCCTCCTACAAAATTGTCGAACAGCCCATCGGCACGCGCCGTCCCATTCGGGTTGCCTGCATGGGCGCAGGGTATTCGGGCCTGATGATGGCCATTGTCTTCAGTCAGAAAATGGCAGGCAAAAATGCCGAGCTGGTGATCTACGAGCGAAACCAAGATCTAGGAGGAACGTGGCTTGAGAATCGGTATGTTAATTACATTAGTTGCTATGGAAAGAAGCTAAACTCGGTCTTGTAGCTATCCTGGTTGCAAGTGTGATATCCCAGCACACAATTACGCATACAGCTTCGAGCCCAATCCCGACTGGCCAAACTACTACGCAACATCGCAACAGATCCATGAGTACATGCGCAAGGTCGCTGATAAGTATGACTGCAACCAGTACATTCGCTACCAACATACCATCAAGTCTGCCGTCTGGAGGGAGGATACAGCGAAATGGGAAGTCCAAGTTCAGCAAAGCAATGGAGCGGTCTTCAAGGACGAAGTAGATGTCTTCATCAACGCTGGCGGTGTTCTGAAGTTGGTTTCCTACCGAAATCCCTAAGGAGTGTGCTAACCTGTCGCAGCAACTGGAAGTGGCCCAATATCGAAGGCATTGAAACGTTCAAAGGAAAACTGCTTCACTCAGCACGATGGGACCAAGAGTACGACTTCACAGGCAAGAGAGTCGCGAGCATTGGAATCGGCTCGTCCGGCATCCAAATTGTACCCCAGCTGGCCAAGGTCGTCGACTCGATGGACGTCTACGTGCGCACGCAAACCTGGATCTCGCCAGCACCAGGCATCAACGAGCCCACGGCCAACGACCCAGAGATGGACCCGGAGTATAACTTCACGCATAAGACCTTGGAGCTGTTCACGGATCCGAACTTCCTGCGCGACTACCGCGCTGCTATCATGGACCGTCGCATCGAGAACTTCCACCGCGCCATTGCAGATAGTGATGTCCAGAAACGTGCCCAGGAGCTTTTCCGCAAGAGTATGACCGAGCGATTGGGAAATAGCCCGAAAGGCCAAAAGGCCGCGCAGTACCTGCTGCCGGATTTCCCTGTTGGGTGTCGCCGGCAGACACCGGGGCCTGGATTCCTGGAGGCTCTCACGCGGGATAACATCGACATACAGTGGGACGACGTAGAGCGCATTACCGAGAAGGGGATTGTTACTCACTCTGGCCAGGAGAAGGAGTACGATGCGATTGTGTGTGCGACGGGGTTCGACACCTCGTTCCAGCCTTCCTTCCCAGTCGTTGGACGGCATGGGATCAACCTCGCTGAGAAATGGGCTGAGCAGCCAACGGCCTACTTTGGGATGACGGTGCCAGACATGCCGAATTACTTTTCCTTCATCGGGCCCAACAGTCCTATCAGTAACGGCTCGCTGGTGCTTGGGATACAGGCCACTGCTGTCTACGTATACAAGTGGCTTGAGAAGCTGCAGACGGAGATGATCAGCAGCTTCGAGGTATCAGCCGATGCGAATGACGAGTATAACCAACATATACAGCAGTATCTGGAACGGACTGTGTGGACGCGCGGCTGTCGCAGCTGGTATAAACGGGGCACGGTGGATGGGCCGGTGGTGGCCATCTATGGGGGGACTTCCTTCCACTTCATGGAGGCAATAAAGAATCCGCGCTGGGAAGATTATCACATCAAACGGCTGCCTGAAGCCCGGGCAAACCGCTTTGCATATCTGGGCAACGGGTTCAGTAGCAGAGAGGCCAAGGGGGGGAGCGTGGGGGCAACGCAGACACTGGACTTTGAGGAGTACTGGCGATTATTTACGATGCCTGATATCCACGATTAGTGTTATTCTTGTTTTTTAATTCTATCGTGTACTCGCTTGATCAATTGCTTTGGTAGTGAGTAAATATATCAAATTGGCTATTTGAGCTCTTGCTGGTGCTACATTCCATGATCTCTATTCGCGCGAACCCCATATATATATAACCCAATTGCAACAAAAGGAATTAGACATAATATGTGCATTATCTGGAGACAATACGAAGACATTACTAGAGACAATAGTTGACTACATGAGTCGTGTTCTGACACCTTTCTATCACAAAGTCACGCAAGACTGGCGTGCATGTCTCCAACGAGGGGTAATCCAGGCTGAGCATCCCCTCTCAAATCCAGCAACATCCACGAGAATATCTATAATACCAGATTCAGAGTTATAATAGATGGATAGCAAAGGAGGATACTCTATGGCTTCCAGGTTCAAGCCCTCTCCTCGCTCTCGAAGACGCGCCCGACGTTGGAGACTGCCAGTCGTGACGGCGATCTGCATTGCAGGACTCTTCGTCTACAGCCCCATCGACCTCTCATTCCAAACAAATTCAATTTCTCAGAATTCTTTCTACGAAGGATTGCAACAGTGTCACGAAAATGCAGCCCTGCCAGCGCAGCAAGCCGACCCAAGCAGCGACAGGCAGAACCCTCGCTGGAATCCCATCTCCGGCCAAAAGACCCCCATCATACTGCAAAACGCAACCCTTTTCGACGGAGAATCCATTCTTCCCGAGTTCGTCGACATAATATTCGACGCCGGTGTAATCTGGTCTGTTATTCCTTCTGGCTCGAACGATTCCTCTTTCCCGCACAACGCAGAGGTCATCAACATCCACGGGAAACATGTAACCCCAGGACTGGTCGACATGCACTCGCATCATCTGGAGTCACCCTACCCGGCCTTATCTGGGACAGCAGATATAAACGAGCGTCCGTTGCTAGGGCCCATCACGCCGTTCGTGCGCGCCCTGGATGGATTCACGGCTTCGGATCCGGCAATTCGCATTATTGCCTCTGGGGGCGTTACGTCGTCGCTTGCGCTCCCGGGATCGGCAAATATTGTCGGTGGTGAGGCGTATCCGGTTAAGAATTTGCCGTTTCCTGGTGCAGATGGGGAGCCTGTTATTGAGGAGCTGTTACTGCAGCATGGGATCCCTGAGAAGCAGAGGCAGCGGTATTTGAAGATGGCTTGTGGGGAGAATCCGAGGAGGGTTTATGGGCATACGAGGCTTGGACTTGCGTGGCTCTTGAGAAAGGAGCTTGCAAGGGCGAGGGAGATACAGAGGGATCAGGATGCTTGGTGTCGAGCGGCAGTTCAGGTCGAGAAAAGTAGCAGATATACGCGGACGAGGGAGATATCACAGTTCCTTTTGAGACAAGGGGATCGGCCGGATTCATTCGAACTCGACACTTTACTGGCCCTTCTGAGGGGTGAACTCAATGTCAACGTTCATTGCTATACCCCTGAAGACCTGGAGCGGATGCTGTCGGTTCTGCATGAGTTTGGCGTGCATATAAGGGGCTTTCACCATGCGCTGGAGGCGTGGCAGGTACCTGGGTTATTGAAACAGTGGGAACCGTAAGTACATATACTTGACAATCTGATCCATTATTAACCAGTATAGGAATGTTACAATTGCAACGTTTGCCGAACACGCATTCTACAAGGCAGAAGCGTTTGGAGCGAGTCTACGCGGACCGAAGATACTGAACGATCATGGCCTCCAAGTTGCTTTGAAATCGGTAGGTCATTCAAGTATGAAGCCTTCCTTCTCTAACACTGTTAGGACCACGGCGCTGAGAACTATAATGCCAAATATCTCCTGTATGTAAAAGGCACCTACTCCTGTGTGCTGAATATTGATGTCAAACAGTGATCAAGCTTCTATCGCCCATTCATATGGTCTGCCTGCTGATAAGGCCCTCCAGTCTGTAACCTCAGTGCCAGCTCGTTCCATACAGCAAAGCCACCGAATCGGATTCGTTCGACCGGGATACGACGCCGATATTGCCGTGTGGGATGACCATCCCCTTCAAGTCGCTGCGAACCCAGCTGAGGTTTTTATTGACGGTCGTCCGCTGTTAGAGAATCAAGATATTACCGGTCAAACTACCAGCAAGTCAGGCATGGCACGTACTAGAGATGCACCAGCAATACGTCCGCATATTGGCACCGAGGAGCGAAACGAAATTTGCACACGCATCCAAGACCACCGGCCAGTCCTCTTCACCGGTATAACAAAGTCATTAATGGACAGCCCGAGCACCGACGAGCAGGGAATCGACAACCTCGTCCTCCTGGTTAAAAACAAGCGAATCTCCTGCCTGGGCTCACGATCAAATTGTCTCAGCCGATTTCTAACAGCGGAAGATTTCACAGAAATCCCACTCAAGGACGGACACATCACACCGGGTCTCATCGCTTTTGGAAATAACCTAGGTATCCAGGAAATCCCATCTGAGCCATCTACGGGGGACGGCTCGGCGGGCCACAGCGGGGACTTGCTTGACGAAAACAACGTTCACTTCGCAAAATACAGTGCTCATTTGCATGGCCGGGCCTTTAATAGAGCGCGGATTGGAGGCGTAACGAAGGCTGTCTCTCCACCGCATGGGAGTGGTGTTATTCAGGGTGTGAGTGTTGGTATACGTACTGGTCAGAATGTGACGATCTTGGATAAGGGGGTTTGGAGTGACGATGTCGCGCTTCATCTTGCGGTTGGACAAAATGCCAGGGGTGAGCAATCCTGGACTGCCATTTGGATGGTGGCTAACGCGGTATAGACAATGGCACGCCGACTGTTGGTTCTGGGATCGAGTACGTGCGTCGCATCTTGGAACAGGGTCAGAAAGGCAGTGCAACGAGCGGTGGTGTATATGTGAAGGCTGCAAATGGATCTCTTCCTGTCGTAGTACAGGCATATAATCAGGTAATTGACCATCTTTACATGGAGTTAGCCCAATGCTAACTATCTCTATAGGATGACATTGCGCAGCTGATTCTGATCAAACGCGACTTCCCTACGGTGAGTCTGGTGATCTACGGCGGGCATGGAGCTATACTGGTAAGCGTCTCTTATATTTATTATATTATTTCAGTTGTTCATATGTCTAGGTTGCGAAACCGCTCGCAGAGGCCGGCATTCCGGTCATCCTCACGGGTAATCGTGGCGCGCCAGATACCTGGGAGAAGAAGGATGTCCTTCCTGGCCCACCCCTGAGTGACAGTCCCGCCAAAGTCTTAATCGATGCTGGAGTACAGATCGGTTTAGCAGTTACGGACGACTCCAAGATTCACGGTTTGGCACGAGAGGCTCGCTGGGCGGGGAAGTATGCCGGGCTCGAGGATAAAGAAGCGATAGCGCTCGTATCGACGAATATTGAAAAGATTCTAGGGCTTCATTCTGAATCTCAGATTCGGGATAGTGAATTTGTGGTCTGGGAAGGTGATCCATTGAGGGGCGAGGGCTCGGTGGTGGCGGCTGTTCAAGATGGGCTGGTTGCTGATTGCTGGCCAGATGTTGAATTGGAATAATCTGACTAGACTGTATTTCCCAGAGATATCTAGAAATTGTCGTAATAAGCACCCTTGTCAAGTTCCAAGGGTGTCTGCTCCGGCCACAATTTCACCAACGCAGCCTTGACGGCTTGAACCTGCGTCCCATCCACCAGATATTCAGCGTCGTAAAAGAATTCCAGCTGTTCCGTGACCCAGAACCGGCATCCTGCCCCATTACTGTCGAACCCGTACATATGGCGATTATTATCGATTAGAACCTCCAGAATATCGTCGACTGTGATCTCTGTACCGATATCCGTCGGGACGTCGAGATTGAATGTCGCTTCAACATCATCAGGTACCAAGTAGTCGAGCTCGGAGAGAATCAGGTACGCCTTGGACCCGCCTGGGAGGATGTCGCTGGGGGCTGAATAACTGGGCACACAGTCGAGTTTGATAGAGGTGCTGGGGGAGACGACGAGGTAGAAGCACCAGTGGTTTGTGCCGGCGTCTTGGTGGTGCGGTGCCGCTATGATGCGCTGAACGGTGAGAGAGAGAATGTGCTCCTGGCGAGCTTCAGGGATAAAATGGATTGGTTTGAATTCAGTCATGGTTGGATCAGTTGAGGATTGAGGAGAGGAGAGGTCTATTTATATGTAGCCGGTCCTGTAGGCGCCGATGGACGGCATTTATTGATTGATTGGATGCGAATGAACGAGAGAATCCAGCAAGTTGAATACCAGGAACACAAGAAGTCAAGAACGTCAGTTGAAACTCAAAACCTCGCGTATTTTCTGTATTTTCCATTTGTATGTGCCGCTTCTTGGTCAATCCATGTGGGTTGAGGTGCTTCCGTCTGTCGCCTTGTTGAAACGACAACATGCATATCCCAACCAACCACATGTCACTCCACTACAACTGGACAAATCAAAATGTGTTCAAATTCTCCATCAGGCAGGCCAAGGCTGATCAACTCTTGGAATACGAGGGGATCGTCAATTAAGAAATTCACGTGGTGCTGGATACGAGGTCCCTTTTCGCACTCAGCCTCCGGATGAGGCTGCATATAATATTTGGATTTTGGACGTCGCCGCAAACTCAGGATAAATAATCTGTGATCATGGACCCGTTATCCATTGCAGCGACGTCGTGGAATCTCAGGACACTATGCTGCGAGGTATGCCCCGCCGCGCCTCCTACCAAGCAGGAGCTAACGCCACCAGCTCATCTCGTTCGCGGACGGTATAGTCCGGGACAAAGTCCCTGACTCGGACATGACTGTAGCAGGCCTCGGGCAAACCCTCCGAGAGGCTCTTCCCGTCCTCGACGAGATCAGTAGCACATGGAGATCCCACTCAGCAGCCCTGATGATGCACCCGTCCGCCAGTTTCGGGATGTGGGTTGCGGTTCAGAGCTCGCTTGAGCGCGCTGATATCACCCTCAAGGTGCTCAAGGCGAAGGTTGAGCCCGTTGTGAATAGTGGCCAGAAGCGCAGGTTGTTCAAGGTCCATGCAAAAGCGTGGACCCTGGGTCTCCATGTCAAATCCATAGCGACGTTTCGGGGTTGTCTTGGATATCATACGACTGCTTTAAAAGTGGGGATGAATATTATGAGAATGTAATACTCCTTTTCTACTATTTTAGTTAGTCGCTAAACCGCTGTTCAGGTGTATGACTCTGCAGGGCGGATCTCCATACGAGGTTAAGCAAGCGCCCCTCACCGTCCTTGATATTGAGATCAAGAACCTGGCGGAAGCAACCGAAAAGACCAGGAAGATTTCCTTTGTTACCACCGAGGAAGACATTGAGAAGAATGCCATGCTCCTCTCCTTCGAAGGCCTGACAAAATCCGCAAAGGCCTTCTACTCCTTCATGGCCTCGGACACCTTGCCAGGCCCTGTAACGCAGGTGCAAGTACAACAACAAGAAGAAGAAGACAGTCACGGCATGCCCCCTCCATCATACGCACAGGCTATGTACTCGGACTCCGAAGAAGACTCCGATGACGGACCTGATCCCTCTCCATACAATGTCGCTGCGCGCACCGGCAATCTGGCAGAGATCAAAAGACTCGTCTCAATCGGTGCTGATATCCTCGCTACCGGAGAATGGGGCCAGTCCCCTGCCTATTCGGCAGCTAACACTGGAAACACTGAGATCCTAAAGTATCTGATTGACCACGGTGGGGACTATACATCTGGCAATTCGACCGGCTTTACGCCCCTGAATGCAGCCGTCAACTTCAACCAGCCGGAGGCAGTGCGGATTTTACTCCAGCACAGCGCAGATCCAAACCAGCCGTCAGAAGACGGGCAAACCCCTCTCTACTGTGCGGCCAAGGATGGATATTTCGAAATCGTCAAGATGCTTGTTGATCATGGCGCTGATACATCCGCAGCTCCGTATGAGCACAAAATAAGTCCCCTGCAAAGAGCGGCCTGGGAGAATCATCTCGATATTGTGAAGTACCTGTGCAAAGAGGGCTCGGCAAATGTCAATACAGTCAGCGCTAATGGCTGGACGCCACTTACAGCTGCCTCTGACGAGGGCTTTTCCGAGGTGGTCAAGGTTCTGTTGGAACATGGTGCTGCTGCTAATATCAACGCTCCCACGGACTTTGGAGTACCAGCCCTATACTATGCCGCTAGAAATGGCCATACAGAGACGGTAAAGCTCCTGCTGGAACACGATCCAGAGCTTAATCCGACTTCGACTGAGAGCAAATTCACCCCACTCAATGCCGCTGCTAATCATGGACACCTTGAAGTCGTCAAGGCGCTTCTTGAAAAGGGTGCAGACCCCACGATCCCAACCGAGACCGGATACCCACCCCTGAACACAGCGGCCTCCGGGGGGTACGTGGATATTGTCATGGCTCTGCTCAAACACGGCGTGGACAGAACGACCAAAGACAGCACCGGCCAGACACCACTGTATACAGCGGCAGTCGATGGATACGCTGCGGTAGTGGAATTGCTTCTCGAAGCGCGAGTTGACCCCAATACGCAGAACGAGAACAAGTGGACACCATTGCATGCAGCAGCCAGGAACGGGCATTTCGAGGCAGTGAAGCACCTCCTCGCCTGTGGAGCGAATATAACGACGCGGAACTCGACTGGGCGGACGCCGCTGATCTCGGCCTGTGAGTTTGGCCACCTCGAGATAGCCCAGCTGCTTCTGCGACGGGGCGCGCAGGTCAGCATGCATACCAATGATGGGTGGTCTGCCTTTACGTTGGCAGCCTCGAACGGGCATACTGCGGTTATCGAGCTGCTGCTGCAACACGGAGCAGACATTGAAACCCGAAACCAGAATGCAGGGGGGTGGACAGCAATTGGGATAGCCGCGAGAGAGGGATATCGAGACACAGTCAAGGCTCTGATCCGACGCGGTGCAAATACCAAGGCCGCGAACGACAAGGGGTGGACAGCACTGCACGCCGCGGCGGAGAAGAACCAGCTGCAGATAGCCACGGCGCTGCTGGAGAACGGGGCTGACATTTCAGCCAGGACAATATCCAACTTCACACCGTTGGCTACGGCAGCCGACAACGGCAGCACCAGCATGGTGCAGTTCCTGCTTTCATGGGGGGCTGACCCGAAGATCGTCACAGATGGTGCCTGGACGCCTTTGCATTTCGCAAGCTATGAGAACCATGTGGAGATAGCCCAGGGGCTGATACGAGCTGGGGCCGATTTGAAGGCTAAGAATAGTGACAGACGCACTCCGCTTGACCTTGCGAAGCAGAAGGGCCATAAAGGCATGGAGCAGCTTCTCAATCAGCAGGGGGTGCAGCAGGGGATGCAGTGGATGAAGATTCGTTAGTGATGGAAGCATGGACATGTAAGCAGTGATTTCAGCTATAGTCTACTATGACTTGCTCGTTTATATTGGTATTATCCTATTGCTGTTGGCTATTGGTACTTCTATCTCCAGCAGTGGCAGTATGAACGTCTGTTCTTTTTCGGTGCAGTTCAGCGTCAGCAGCTGAGCACAAAATCGTAAACCAATAAATCTGGAATCTGTATCTGCAAAGAGTCTGCTCATGACGGTCAGCCCTTGCATGCCTAGGCACATTCCTCAGGCTGTTGTCTCCCAATGCCGGCCCGAATAAGTCCCACGCCGCGGTAACTGGTTCACTCGGCTTATTTTTATGCAGTCTTTAGCATTCTTGTACGTTTCAGGAATAGCCGGACTCTGTGACAGCCAATTGCGTCGGAGTTCTCGTATTCCACATGTTTCAGGGCTGTCTGGCCTTGATGCAGATCATGCTGTGTTGAAATAAACGCTTCCTCCAGCTTCACTGACGATCAGCAGTCTGACTGCAGGTCTCACTCTCACAGCCCTGTGTCACAGCTTGCCGCAGCTTGGATCCGATTTAGTCCTTATTCTGCGCTGGAGTTGGGACGGTGAGATCGAAGGATCGCCCTGTCGCCAACCGATTAACTTTCTCGAGCACCTGTTCTTGGCTGTGGAATCTGACTGGTCTTGTTTTTATTTTCAGGATCAGAGCCTGCAATTGGTATTCCAATTGTTCGATTCAGATCTATTCTCGGACTCTTCTCGCCAGGTGAATGGCCCTGTCACAGCCTCACAGGCCTCCCGACACCGGCGCTGAACGAATCCTCGTATACAAACAATTTCAGCCCTCATTCCAGCGTCAACCATGTTCAGGCGGGCAGACCGTCTTGGCAAGTGTGTCATGTTCAGGTATTTGGCGCTCGTGGTCAGAGCCCTCGTTGTGAATGTGGGCGCCACTTCGTATCCCTCCATGCCTCGTAAATGTCCCGACCACATTGCAAGGGCCCGATATTGCGCCAGAATCCGGGGAAATGAAGAGCTTCAATAAGGGACTCTTCACAAATAGCCAAGCCAGCTCGTATCCACTCCAGCCCCGTGTCTGGCTTGGCCGTCAGCATATTCACCCATTCTGGGCAGCCTCTTCCTTTGTAATCTAACTGGTGGAGAGCATCCTGGTGGCTAAAGGAGTTCGAATAAGGCCACTCACCCGTGGGCCAGCCCTCCAGGCCCTGACACGACAGCCTGAATGGGAACGGAGCGGAGCGGGATGCCTGATCCTCGGCATCAAGGTCAGACTCCGGGTGGAGCAGGCAGGGAAGTGCATGGTGTGTGCATCCTGCAGGTGAATGAACTCCTGGACAAGAATAGAGTGAATTAAGGAATGCATAGCCTCTTCAGCTGCTGATCCTTCTTTTTTTTCCCTACTGGTGGGGCCCAAACACTTCGTATATAAACAGGCTATTTCTACCTACTGTTAACGCTTCCTTTGTCTATCATTCTCGTTCATACTCTTGCAGGATCGAACTCTTCAGATTTCTGATATTGTATTATCATACTCGAATCACAATGGTTCGCCTTTCAATTCTCGCACTCGCTTCTTCCCTGGCGATGGCCGTGGCCTTGCCTCAGGATTTCTGCACGACCGTCTGCCGTCCCCAGAAGCCTGACTGCCCTGATGGCGAGGTACGTTGTGTTCCCTTCCATTCTGTTTCCTTCTGTTTTATCATGCTGATAAGGAACAGGTTGCCAGTGGCAATGAGGTATGTTCCAACCTGAAACCATCACAAACAGCACGAGTAACAATTGTTTCAGAGCTGCTGGGGCTGCTGCAAGCCCATCGTGGCCAGAGCCGACGTCTGCACCACAGAATGTCGTCCCCCGAAGCCTGAATGTCCTGAAGGCGAGGTATGTTGATGCTCTTCAAGATACTTCTGCTATACATCCCCCCACTGACGATCATCTACCACAGGCACCCACCGGCAACGAGGTATGAACACATCAAGATATAACTAAATCTGCACCAGAACCCGATTAACATCGTTTCAGAACTGCTGGGGCTGCTGCCAGCCAGTCAAGAACGCCCGTGTCCCCGCCAACGAGACAACCGTCTGCATCGACGTCTGCCGCCCCGAAAAACCCGAATGTCCTACCGGAGAGGCACCCACCGGCAGCGAAGGTTGCTGGGGATGCTGCGAGGCTATTCCTACTACGCGTCCCTGCACTTTAGAATGCAAGCTCGAGAAGCCCGAGTGTCCCGCTGGCGAGGCCCCTACTGGCGGCGAAGTATGTGACACCAAACCCTATTCTATTCTTCCTTCGTTTTATGCCTAACACTATACAAGGGCTGCTGGGGATGCTGCCAACCGATTCAGAACGAAACAAGGGCCAACGATACGACGATCTGCACCGATGTCTGTCGTCCCGAGAAGCCTGAATGTCCTACCGGCGAAGCTCCCACTGGCCAGGAAGGTTGCTGGGGATGCTGTGAGCCTATTCCCGAGACCCGTCCGTGTACCCTGGAATGCAAGCTCGAGAAGCCTGAATGCCCTGCCGGCGAGGCTCCTACTGGTGGCGAGGTATGTCATGTCATCTTACTATATAAAGTACAAAGGACCAGACTAATGAGTGAATATTAGGGCTGCTGGGGCTGCTGCCAGCCTGTCGAAAAGTCCACCGAGGAGAACGTCAGTCCTGCTGAAAAAGAAGCCTGCCTTGCTGTTTGCAGGCCTGAGAAGCCCGAATGTCCTGCTGGCGAAGCCCCTACTGGCAAGGAAGGCTGCTGGGGATGTTGTGAGCCTACTGCGTGAGGAAGCTCTGGCTGAGAGATGATGAGAGATGGAGATGCTGGGGGTGAAAATTACTTTTGATTCCTGTTGAAGAAATTCAGTGTTCTTTCTTTTCGCATTTAGCAATCAATCCTGTATCTGCTGGTAGATAATGGCATTGAAATCATTGATATTAACGTCCCGTTAGCGGAACTACGGTGATTAATTACTAGTGAGGATATGTAGTGCAGCACCTTATGTGAAGGACAATCTGCTGATATGAGGCAGTATCAATTGGCCCTGTCCGGATCCCAGCTGAATTCAGGCCTGGCCATAAACTCCTGACCGAGAGCAAGAACTCGACTGTTCTCCTCGCCCAGCCACTGCGGCTCCAACGCCTTGTGTTCGTCCTCAATCTCGTACCCCTCGCCGCCCGAAACATAGATCATCTTGCCGGAAAAGGGCAGCTTTGCACCGGTGTGCGTAGCCCCGTTGGAACCTCTGTTCGCTGTGGCGCAGATCACGATCTGGCGCGCGACGTCTTCGGACTCGTTAAGAGGGAAGCCGTTCTCGATCCATCCTTTTTGCATTCCCACAATCATCCGCGTTCCTGCAACTCATTAGCCGTCAACTCGTTCATATATACCGAACAGACATACTCGTCACCCATGGACAGACAACATTAACACGAATACCCTCCTTCTGAGCCTGCAGGTGCAGCCCGCGCATAATACCCACAACACCGTGTTTGCTCGTCGTGTAAGGAACGAGATCCTGTGTCTCCTTGAACCCAATAATACTGCTCATGAGCACGATATCTCCCCCATCCTTGTTCTGGCGCAGATAGTGCATCGCAATCCGGGCCGTAAACAGCGATCCGATCGTGTTGACGTTGATTTCTAGCATCGACGGCTCCTCGTTGATATCGGCGTCCGGGTCAAAGATGGACTTTGGGTTCGCCACGCCTGCGACGGGAGCCACGATGTCAATGCGACCGTACAGCGAGTGGGCGGTGCGGAAGAGATTCAGTTGCGATGCGTAGGAAGTTGAGTCGCAGGGGACGAAGTGGATGTGGTCTGGGCCGAGGGAGGAGAGGACTTCTTGGGCGGCTTCATGGGCGATGTCACCGAAGACAACCTTCGCACCATTCTCTAGCAAAACAGTCAGTTAGTTGTGTTGCGTCTGGTAGAGTCGTCGCGGCAACTTACGGCGGAAGAGAGTGACGGCCGAGCGACCGATTCCCGTCGCGCCTCCGGTGAGGACGACGACCTTGTCGTTCAGCGACGAAAGAAGAGCCGGGTCTAGGACGAGATGGGCCATGGCTGCTGTTGTCGTTGTTGTTGAAGAGAACAGGAGAAGAGACCGATCGCCTCGAAGGAAGGTCGAGAGCGAGAGGGGAAGTCCGAGGGAGGGGCAGTTAAATTAACAACGGCGCGGGCGCATGGACAGTGAAGAGCGGACGGCGATAGCAATCAGCCGAGGCGTTAGCGAAATGAAGCATTGAGCAATCAGCATCGCAGAGTATTCTCGTCTGGCTTTGTAGTCTTGTCTCGCAGCCTTTCACGGGCGCGACAGACCTGCATGTCGACCCCCTGTTCGTACGTGCGAACCATTGACCGTCGCCAACAGGTGGAGGAGCCACCAGATTAACAAACAGAAACTAAACTGTCCCCGACTCACGTCTCCAATCGATTCATGAACGGATCCACCGTTGCTTCTCGCCGGCCGTCAGGTTCTGTCAGTGTTCCACCACGCCAGAGACCGGGGTCCACACAAGCTGCCGTGTTACCGGTAGCGAACGGGTATTTCCTTGCCTTCAGTCAATCAGAACGATGTGATTTCGAGGCAAAGGCGTGGAAGAGATCAGTGGTCCTCCATTTGATTGTGGTCAGAGATGGTGAGATGATGAGACGGTGAGGTTGTCGTCAGGCAGAAAACCCACCGACACAAGGGAACCAAAACAACGCGGTATCCAAAACAAGCGCAATGTCTTCCTTTGATAGGAACTCATATTATCAGGGACGGCGGTCTCAGCGTTGGCATTGATTTCAACTGCTTAGCAATCTGCTGGCGAATCTCGGCGAGCAGTGGCACTGATCTTCTCTCTCGGCGAGACTCGGCGACTACACCGCACCCAGTTTCGGCTTACTCAGTGAGTGAGCTGCTGCAATTGGTTGAACTTACAGTTGGGTGAGTGTACTATAGTGGCCCAGAGCTGCTTACAAAACGCAGTCATGACAATCACTGCGATGAGACGGAGTTAATCGTATTTAGATGGAGATGACGTTTCTCACTCTATATATCTCAGGATGCAGTATAAATGCGGCCATGACCCAGCTCTTTCACTGTCCATCAATAGTCAACCAATTGATCTCTTAAGTCTTTAAGTCTTTCATCTCCGAAAACCTCAACAATGGCCCAACCCATCACCGTCTACATGCACGGCCGCAGCCCCAACCCTTGGAAAGTCGTCATGATTCTCGAGGAGCTCAGCCTCCCCTACACCGTGAAAAGCGTCCCATACGACAAGATCAAATCTGAGCCCTTCATCAGTGTCAACCCCAATGGTCGACTCCCTGCCATCGAAGACCCAAACACCGGCATCACGCTCTGGGAGTCCGGCGCCATTGTCGAATACCTGGTCGAGACCTACGACAAGGACCACAAGATCAGCTTCACTGCTGGAACCACCGACTACTTCCTCGCGAAGCAGTACCTGCACTTCCAGATGAGCGGACAGGGCCCGTACTTTGGGCAGGCGGTTTGGTTCCTCAAGTTCCATTCCGAGACTGTGGTGTCTGCCCAGGAGCGGTACATCAATGAAATAAAGCGGGTGACTGGTGTCCTAGAGGGTATCCTGAAGGGCAAGGAGTTCCTTGTGGGTGGCAAGCTCAGTTATGCGGATGTGGCGTTTTTGCCTTGGTACAGTCTTGTTGAGTCGCCTTTGTTCGGGGGCAAGGTTGATCTTGCAAAGGACTATCCAAGTGTCAAAGCTTGGTTGGACAGGACCCAGGCCAGCAATGGCGTTGCGAAGGCGTTGAAATACCAGGAAGAGCTTGTCGCTGCTGAGGAACAGAATCAGTGATGCATGTCTGATAGTTCGGTATAGCTTTATATATTTATATCTACTTCATAGCCCTATAAAGCAGACTGCCAGCCTTGTAACTTCCCAAAGAATCACTAGCTTAAATTGCCGGTAGTGCCTGCCGGCTGTAACTAATATGTCGCCCCTTTCTTGTCTGAATTGTTGATCTTAGCTTCCCTCCCAGGCTTCGTTATACAAGAAAAGAACCATCGTAGGCCAGAGGCTACTGGTAGCACTTTACTTATAAGGTATCTTGTATTCTGAACTGGGAAAGAACGTCTGATGCGTTATTATGTGTTTTATTTTATGTACATTTCCCCAACTCCGAGTACATCCTGAATAACAAATATTTATATACTCCCACCCGTGTTCCTTGTGTCCGTTAGGCGGCCAGGTTGGTCGGTTTGCTTAGCGACCTTTAAGTAGCAGGCTTTTAGGAAACCTGACTGTTCGGTAGTCCTTTTTGCTAGCATCTGGAGGATACAGTTCGTCAGCGTAGGCAAGTGTGTAGAGGAGAAGAGCTTACTGACCGTCTTCTTTCACCCAGTACCATAAGAAGGCTTTGGCAGTAGATGCTGCGGTTGCAGCTGCGTATGCTTGCCATTTCCTGCTTCCGTGGCCATCGGCATAATCATTAACACCCTTGATAATGACAGTTGGGAGGCTTTCCCACACCCCTGTGCCCTCCCTTTCGAAGCCTGCCACGTCTTCCTTGCATATGGTTTCATCGCGCTGCTTGGCAGACTTCATGGCGGTGTTTAGAGTGGCAATTGATGCGATGTGAACAGATGGCTTTGGTGCTGCTGTAACATCTCGCTGACGGACGACCGGACCCCCGAAGCAACCAAGTACATTGCAGTCCTTCATTCGAGCATCGTTGCACATACCATCGAGGCAATTGGTTGTTGAGCAGCCGCAATGGGCAGAGTAGTTCCGAGCACGGTGATTATGAGGATAGGACGCTTCGAAGAGAACGTCAGGAGCGCGTGGATAGCTCCATCCTGCCTGAGCTCGCTGAAGGGTCTCGAGATACCGCGAAACATCACACTCGAGCTCTCTGCGCCCCCGCGAGCTCTTCAACCCATGCAGAAATGCTCTTATCTCTGGATTAGGTCTGCCCAAGGTATCCTTGACACCTGTCTTCCGCTCGAAGCCCCAGGAATACTGTCTCCCAAAGTCACATTCAACCAAGGCGTCGCTTATTAAAACGTCACCAAGGTACAGGTTTTTGCCGCCCGCCGAGGGTGCACCGCTGCAGGCCCCTACGACCAGAGCCAGTTTGATCTGCAGATAGCTGATCCGTAGACTTGTTGCCGCGGTTGCTGCGATGCGTTTCCCGTGGCCTGACATGCGGCATAGGACTACATTGTGCTTTCCGATTCTTCCATTGACATATGTGTTCGCATCCCCGGGGGCTTTACCAAGAGTCTTTCCCAAGCGGCTGTAGGTCTCGTCGAAGAGGGCCTCGACGGCGTCGGCTTCGACTGGGAGGGCGCAAAGTATGGCGATTGTGAAGTCGTTTCGGGTGCGCGGGGCCATCTTGATAGTAGGCTGATTGGGGTGTATCAATGAAAGAGATCGCTGATATCAGCGTTTCCAGAGGATGAGAAGTCCCCAAGGACCGAGCAGACTGCATATTTATATTGCTGAGCATGGCGCTGGTAGCGACCGGGACGCTGATTTAGCCGCCCAGGCGAGGGAACGATATACTCAACAGTTGTATATTACTGGAGGTTAATAATAGCATAACCTTAACTGCTGACCCTGTATCTGGTCCTACAGTTGTGGTTTGCTATCATCGTCCCAGCGCTTAACGCCTGCCAATCTTGATATAAGATTATGCGTTCTAGGCGCCGAACTTGGCCAGGACGGTTTCATCTTGAAATAAGCAGCACTTATACTGGTTGTCAAATTGATTCTATGGTTGGAAGCTCTGCATTGATATCCACTCAAAACTCTATGCTGGTGAGCCACGAGAATATACGCGTACTGCCGTTTTCTGAGCATCCAACTGCTGCTATTCCCAACCGCCCTTCGTGGAAATAGTTTGACAGGCTATTGAAATCATCCAGTAATCTTCTACTACCTATGGATAGTTTACATTGTATTGCCTTTCTTTCCGGCTTGACGGGTGAGTTAGGGCGGGCGCACTTCAAGGCAATGCATAACCCATATGATTCATTATGCCACGAGGTTGATATATAGCGAAGCAGTGCATACTTGATGAGTCTCACTTGAAGAAAAGAAATATCCCATTGAATTAAAAGGGGCAATCCAGCCATATATAAACCAACCCAAAAAACAGCAGTTCCCGAAGTCCGCTCGATGAATATATAGAGCATAAGGGTATATAACAAACGAAATGTACATCCATTCCAGCCAAACAAGCTTCGCCTCCAATGCCATGCCAATGCTAATTATGTCCATCCCTCCTCACCTCATACATAGTCGTAACCTGAATCCCGCCGTCCTTCCTGCCGAGCTCCTCATCCGAGAAACTGCCATTATCACCTCGCCCTGCCTGCGCGGAGCTGCCGTGATGCGTATCGCGCAGCATCCCGAACTCGTCGCTGTCTCGCCCGGCGGTCTTGGAGGCCGTCGACTCCAGTTGTGTGTGGTGCTTTGAGCGGCCCATCGCGGACAGGTTGAAGCTGGCGCCGGTGCTCTTGCCGTAGGTGCCGCGGCCGGAGGAAGGGTCTTTGGAGGAGGAGCGGATCCAGATGGAGGAGGAGAAGAGGGGTTTGATGCATGGGGCGTTGACGGCGATGATGGCGACGAACTAGGTTTTCTTGTTAGTTTGGGCTTTCTAGAGGTATTAAGGGGGGAGGAGTACTGTTTCGCGAATGGCCCAGACGGTACTGTTGTTGATACTGTTGATGTCTTTGACGGAGAGGATGCACCGGAGGAGAGTGGCGGCCATGACGAAGATACCACCGCAGAGAAGCACGCCGATGATGAGTTTACTGTGAATTATCAGCAAGAGCGAGGACTGTTGGTGTATTCGGGGGGGTCCATACCGGCGCAATTGTAGACGGACTTTGGCGAGGAGAGGAACTGGGATGCAGAGCAGGATGCCGTCCGTGCTGCAGGATTAGTATAGGCTGCAGTAGAGTAATTCGAATGGATATAATGAGTACGTACACCACGTTTGTCGCAGCGATCACAATGTAATTGATAAAGTCCGCAGAGCAGTTGACTGTACAGTGTAAGCGATGCCCGGTGTGTAGGCAAGGGTAGACGTACGGCCTGGATCAGGATACACCTGGAAATGTTTCTCGATCGGGCGACAGTGCAAGAAGATGGTGAAGATGACTGCGATATACGTGCAGGCACAAAGGACAGCGTTGAGCTTAACGAGCTTCTGCTGTGTGAGACCGAGTCTGTTGCAAGATGTCAGTATGAAATGGGGTTGGATGGGGGATGCCCTACGTGAGACGGTTGTAGAAGAACAGCATGCAGGCCTTGAGCGACCAGATCAAAGTGACATAGCAAGTCCATCCTGCCATCAGACACTTCGACCCAAAGACCAGCCTGGCCTCCTCTGCTGGGCTCAAAGCCGCTCGCTGTTCGTCTGTCAAGCCGATATTGGTGCCATACTGGCCGATGAGCTCCAACATGGTCAACTCAGCCTGGAGGAGTTAGTTCTTGGGTTCCCCCTTTGCGATCCGAGTATCACTTGCATACCGTCCAGAATATCAGGGCAACCACGGCAAAGTAGTCATCGCCCTGCCAGTTCTTGAATCCAACGACCTTGAAACGGGCGAACAGGCGGAACAGCAGGACAACGACCCCGATGCCATACTCGGTCCAGGCCTCCTTCTGAAAGGGCGTCGCGGTCATAATGACAGCAGCAGTGGTTCTTCAGCAGTTGGAGAACACAGACAGTGGCGTGGAGGCGTCGAGTGACGATTGGGTCCCAGCAGGATGGGACAGGGTTCTGCATTAATACTGCCCCAACTTGGGCCTGCAGAAATTGACTGGAGCAAGCCACAAACTCAGTCAGGGAGAGCCATTCCTTCACGGAATACGAGATTGCAACGCCAAAAGTACGGCCGTTTCACAGCCTGCCAGACCCAGACGATCCATTGATCTTTGATGGTGGCCGCTACTGGCTAGCAGGAGGGGAATTATCTGTTTCAGGAGCGATTGACGGTGCGTCTTCCGACTGCGACACCAGCAGCGTGCTTACGGTTAGTCTCAGTATAATTAGGTACTGCCCGACTGGGTATTTGGAGGAGATTCCACAGCCTTGAGGAGAAAACAAGGTTTGCAGCGGATCTGGCAGTGGATCCTGGAGCAGCCGTTGGCGCAGAGAATCACAGATACGGCCAGGACCCATCTCTTGCTGTCGTCTTCGAGTGCTGCCGGTCTGAGCAGACTGGGTCCGATGGGTCCGATGGCCCACGATGGACCCCGGTACGCGACCGACATTCGCTGTCGACAGACGATCAGCGTCAGCAATTAGTCGGCGGCCCGTCTGGGGCTGACAGCAAGTTAGCAGCAGTCAGCCGGCCAACAGAGACCACCGTCGAGCACGCCAGGGAAACTGTTCCGCAACTTGTCAGACGAGAACAGGGCCCAGTGTCGGTGACAAGCACCCACCAAGCAGGGCGATGCAATGCCACCGGGGCTCTTCGTCGTGTCTCGACCGACGCCGGTGGCACCTCGGGAACTTGCGATTCGCGAATAGAAACCTCCCAAGCGTTTTGGCCCCTGCGAGATTAACGGCCCCTATTGCTGAGGCTTACATAGTGTCCTGCAGGCCCTAAATCCTCCGGCACTGGAAAGTCGCCCAGAAGGATTGACAAACAGCCGCCGTCTGCGGCCAAGGCGAGTGATGGCGTTCATCGTTAAGGATTGTAGATTGATATCGAGATGGCTAGCGCCATCGCCTCCAGATGGATGTATAACGGCGACTGCCCATAAATTCTCATCGCAGCCGGTCCGGGGAACGGGGGTATCTGCCACTGTCCCCGTGCAACGCCGACGGGGACCCGCTGCCGGAGCTGTGGCGCCATCATCCCAGTCAATAATAATAATAGCAGCGCCCGAGGACAGTCTGCTGCAACAATTTCCAAGCACGGAAAAAAGCGGAACTGCTCCACTGCGTCTCGGTCTGTCATGGGTTTCCGGAGACTGTCCGCGCTGCTGGCTCCACCGTTCTAGCGTTGGCATTAGCATGGGCAATTGGTACGAGCTGCATGCATTGCAAGGCAAACAGCCTCTGCCTCGGTGCTTCGAAGATGCATAAGATTTGGCTTTTGAACCTTTAAGCAGCGGAATTGGACGGACTGGTAGACAGAGTGTGATATAGCGATACCCCGTAACCCTAACAAGTTACCCCGCAAGGACGGAATGCACAGCAGCAATTCCGCCCTCTGGTTCAGACTCAAACTCTCGCCTCAGGAGGATCAACGACGCAGTTCCAAGCGGGGAAGCGGCCTGGTGAAACCGTCGATTGTGAACTAGGCTAGAGGGCCCCAGACTAACGGTGAGCAGGCCATCTGTTTCCGCACTTTCTCCGTGAGGCCTGATGCGGCCGAGTTTAAAGAGCTGCAGGATGCCCGCCCAGCACCCCTTTTCCACGCCGGTTGCCGCTTCGTATTCAAGGTTTGAAAGCTCTGCGAAGGTTTTGACTGCAAATCATTGACAATATGGGCTCGACCGCTGATCCCGACACCACCTACGACTACATCGTCTGCGGGTAGGCTTCTTGGTCCGCCACTTGTGATATCTCTCTAACGCCAGTAGAGGAGGAACTTCAGGATGTGTCGTTGCAGGCCGTCTGGCTGAGAACAAGAACGTGAGCGTGCTGCTCTTGGAGGCCGGCCAGCACAACCGCGATCTCGAGAATGTACACATGACGGGGGGCTGGTCCCAGAACTTCGACTCGGAGACGGATTGGAACCTGATCACAAAGCCCATGGGCGGGGTCGACCACCGCCAGGTCAAGCTCAGTCGAGGACGGTTCCTTGGGGGCTGCAGTGGCTGCAATGGCACGCTGTGTATCCGGGGGAGCAGGCAGGACTACGATGACTGGCAGCTGGAGGGCTGGAGCGGCGACGAGTTCTTCGACGCCATGAAGAAGGTATATTTATTTCTATCATAACCTGCTTGGGCTCTATGGATACTGACGCTGTGTGCTGTAGAGCGAGACGTTCCACACCAAGCCCTGGTTCAAGGAGGACAAGTCCTCCCACGGCTACTCCGGTCCTTTGCACACTGAACCGCACGACCTTGCCCACATTGCAGACCGTCTCATGGACTCGTTCGTTGACCAGGGCCTCCCCCTACACCACGACATGTTCTCCACCGGTGATGTCCCCCACGGCTGTGGCCATGTCCCTCGAACCGTATACAAGGGTGTCCGCACCACCTCCGCCGACTTCATCACCAAGGAGTACGACCGCTCCAACATCGCCATCAAGACCGATACGACCGTGGACCACGTCATCTTGGAGCCGACAGCTGATGGTCAGCGTGCAACGGGCGTTGTGACCCGCTCATCGGACGGAACAAACAAGATCTTCCATGCTCGACGAGAGATCATCGTCTCCAGCGGTGCCTACTGCAGTCCAGCTGTCCTGCTGCGCTCTGGAATCGGTGCCCGCGACGAGCTCGCCAAGTTCGATATCAACTGCCAGGTCGACCTCCCTGGCGTCGGAAAGAACCTCATGGACCACCTGGTAAGCTTCCTGATACCATGTGAACTTCCTATCTAACATCCCAGATCGTCTTCATGTTCTACGAAACCAGCCAGGCCGGCCTCACCAACTGCGACAAGGTCTACCACGGCGACAGCTTCGCCAAAACGTACCAGGAGTACAAGGATCACAAGAGTGGCTTCCTCTCCACGTTCCCCTTTGGCTGCTTTGCCTTTGCCCGCATTGACCATCGTCTCGAGAACGAGCCCATGTGGCGCGATGCCCCCCGCGAGCCTGGCCGTGACCCCATGGGCCTGACCCCCAAGCAGCCCAACATCGAATTCTTCACCACCGAGACATACGGTGGCCCCAAGCAGTACGACCAGTTCCCCGTGAACAACCAGCACGCTTTCTCCATTATCTCAGAGCTCTTCGCCCCCAAGTCGCGCGGGACCGTGACTCTCGAGTCGAAGGACCCATCACGTAACCCTGTCATCGACTGCAACTACCTCAACGACCCCTTGGACCTCCTCGTCCTCACAGAAGCCTGTCAGTACGCAAACGAGATTGTGATGCAGGGTGCCGGAACCAAGGAGATCGTCAAGGGCTCCTGGCCCCCTGAGTCGGGCCACCACGCTTTCAAGACCCGCGACGAGTGGATTCCTTATGTAAAGCACCATGCTACAACCTGTACGTTCATTATTTTTCCTAACTTATTAACCTATCCCGAGTGGAACTGACTATCGATGTAGGCTACCACGGCGCCGGAACCTGTGCCATGGGCAAGGCCGACGACCCCAAGGCCGTACTCGACAACAAGCTGCGTGTCCGCGGTGTCACTGGTCTGCGCGTTGCTGATACCAGCGTCATGCCGACTCTGCACGGTGGACACACCCAGATGCCGGCCTACGGTATCGGCGAGCGATGCGCGGACTTCATCAAGGAGACGTGGGGTCCCGATGGTATGTCAGACGCCTACTATACTATTGAACTTGGCTAATTGTTTCTAGGCGTTACTGCGGCGCTTAAGGACCTGACTGTTGGCTCTTCTTAAACCGGACATGTTGATAGGAATGACATTTTGCATCTTATAGCATTTTATATAACCTTTAGCGATAGGAACCATTTCTCTTGAGTTTTGATGTCTGCTTGCCAACCTAGTAGAATAATCTAGGTTTATCATATCATACCCAATTTCACCACTTACTGCGGTATCAAAGAGTGAATGGGCGGATACTGTGTGTATACTCCATAACAGGGCCGTTAGCCGGGCCAGACTGTCATGACTCAGGAGTACAATACCCACCAGTCGCCCACTCTTCCTAGTGCTTATCAGTCCACAGTACCCTCTAGAGTAGTTAATATATCGCGAGTCAGGAACTATACATCATACATCCAATCATGAATAATTAACGAACCCGCCCCCTGCCACCGTTGGACCCGCTGTCCCGCTGTCAGATAGGCTCCCGTTCACGCAAACCTGCCTGTAACCGTCACCGCATCTTTAAGCTGGAATTCACAATTAGCGCTATCCGCCAGTGGTAGGAGCTCCGAGTGCCTCGGACTCGGCGATCGACGCGTCATTGGCCGACCGGATGGTGTTGCTGTGAGTCCGTGGACTGGTTGTATTCTGCTCCGCAGATAAGGGTATGAGACCACCTTAGAGATACAGCGGGTTCTTAGGTTTGTTTTCGTTTTGATTACAGTCTTGCGTGTAGTATTTCATATTCAATTCGTATCCATCCATGTACTCCGTAGTTACTCCGCTTATATCCAAGTATCTATTCAAATCAAAAATCGTCATATCCACCAGGGAAAAATATGGGTCGTTAGTAAATAATCGGCGCCGGCATCAACATTGGTGTATCCTCTCTAATGGCGTCTCTCTGGATCAAGTCGCCGAAGCTCGGCGACCACTCTACCCGGGGCGTAAGAATGTCCAGCCCCCATAACTCCGATACGTACTTCAGTATAGAGGTGTGCGTGTATTCTCCGCTCTGGGTCTTCGGGCTGTGCTGGACAGCCCCCTTCTGCACCCACGGGGAGATCAAAATAGTGGGAACGCGGATCCCCAGCCGGTCGAAGTGGAATGTCGTCGGGCGGCCGTCTTTCGCGACTTCGGTATAAGGAAGTTCATCGCCGGGGGGAACGTTTTCGGGAGGCGGGACATGATCCGCGAACCCACCATGCTCGTCGAAAGTGAGGATGAAGAGGGTTTCGTTCCACTGCGGAGAAGAGCGCAAGGCCTCGTAGATGCCCTTGATCCAATCCTCGCCGAGATCTGTCGGGGAGGGCGGATGGAACGACTGGTACGAGCAGCACTCTGGATTTATCCACGTGAACTGCGGCAGGGTGCCGGCTTTGGCGTCTTTGTAGAACTCTTCGACTGGCCTGATGGACTTGCGCCCGTGGCCGGACTTCTTGGTCCAGTCGTAGAAGAGCGCGTCTGGTGCGAAACCAGTGGTGTTGGAGTAGTTGATCCAGGATATGTTAGCTGCGGAGAGCTGTTCGAAGACAGATACTTGGGGGAGGGCGGAAACGTCGAATCCTGGGTCGTTGGTGCCGTGGCCGTGGGAAGTTCCCGAGGTGAGGTAGGCGCGGTTGGGGTTTGTCGGACCGGGTACGGCAGCAAACCATTTGTCGAAGAGCAGGTAATTCTCGGCTAGAGCATTAAAGACGGGGACATGATCTGGAGTGTAATAGTTGATGACTTCTCCGGCGCGCTTGAGGTCGCCGTCTATGCCGTAGGAGCGGATCTGTTCGCTGACGAACCCCTGCATTGTGGGACGGTGGATGGAGAGGTCCGGGTGGTCGGTACCATACACTTGATAGTTGCCGCCAGCGATGCTGTGGTCTGGATCATCCGGGGCAATGTTTTTGGCGATAGGTTTGGCGCAGACCAATTCTGAGTCCGGGTCGGAAACGTTGGCGGGATTGCAGAACTTGTGCTTCACGAGGCCGTCAATTTCGGAGCTGTATGTGAGCCCGCCTGCAATTGTGTCGAACGCCAGGTTCTCCTGCACCAAGACCACGACATTCTTGATCGGAGAGTTGGTGTCAGGCTTGTTGGTTTGTTTCCCCGGCTTCGAGTCGATTAATCGGTGGGTCGCGAAGAGGTAGGCAAACGCTGCCAGCAGGGCCGCACAGGTCGCGAAGAGGATAGAGATAATGGTGATACGAACCCGCGACCTCCGCTGCTTGGACTGCTGCGGCACGCATTCTTCATCTCGGCTGAGGCGCGGACTGCGGTCGGACTCGTCGACTTCACCGTCGAGAAGTGGCTGCTCGGAGTCTGCGGGGGATGCGGGGCGGGCGGCCTTGGAGTCTCCCCGCAGCCAGTCCATCTCGCCTGTCTATCGCTTTTCGTCTGCACAGAGAACGCCCAAGGGTATGTGTATCGGCAGCAGGGTACTGCCTGTCGCGAGCTTGCTCCGGTCGGCTTTGGAGGGGAGCGCAGGGTTGATGAAGAATGAGGGAGCGAGAAGTCGATCTGCACGCTCCTTGTCGGGTGCACAATCATGTGGTACATAACGTGCATAACCGGGGCATGCCGGGCCTGCGGCTGTTGGTTGGCCACGAGAACTTGTGCATTGGGCCACACCAGCCAATGAACTGCCACACGTGAGCTCCCTCCCCCTTCCGAAAGGAGCTTGGCAGCCCCCCTCGCTCACTCAGTCACTCGCTCATCACAGTCACTCCCCGTCGAGTCGTTGTGTTCATTTGTCCCTCGAGGGTGTTTAGAGCGATCCGGCTGGCTCTTTATGTCGCCTGCTTCAGTCATGTGAACGTGGGCTTGTTCCCAACAGGGCTGGGATTATCCCTACCTTGCTGGTTCTGGGAACCATCCCACAAGGCTAGCCTTACTCCCGATGAGGGACTGAAGGTCACCAAGCTGCGGTCTACTAAAGGACGATCATCCAGATCATGTGCTAACGAACCGGTAACTAACTTAACCAGCATCAGTCAACTAACTTGTGTTTTAGTGTGTCACCAAGTCGAATGAAAGCAAGCCTATGAAAGCCCTGTACGCAGCCGAAACCGGAAACTGGCCATCGTCTCTTCATCGGCCAGATACTGGGACATGGTTCCCCGACTCATCCTATCAAAAATGCCGTGTCAAGCCAATGGCCGAGCTCGGATTTTATCTGCGGGTCATGACTGACACTGCGTAACACGGACGAGCCGGTACAGATCCGGATTCCACCGGGAGCAGAAGTCAAATCTATGAAAATGATTCTAGACCACCAATTGTGTCACAAACGGCCAGTGTCGGTCGCGAGCACAGATGACAGCCCCTACCGGAATATCGCCACAATATCTTAACAAAAGCGCGAGACATTCGCCTGCCCGACAGCTTCGAGTTGACCACCAGGAGAGAGAACATGGCAACTTCAGCTCTGTAACCAGAGGCCCCATGCGAACCAGGGACCAGAGCCCAGATAACAGGCCCCCCACAGAACTGTCGACCAGCCTAGACCGACTGGACTCACGCCCGCGAGCCACAAACCACTTCTTGTCAGGCACATGATATCATCCACTGCCGGTATATATCTAGCAATCGCCACGATATTCAGCTGCTTTCCTCATCGCAACTGGCTTAGCACAGTATCCCCGATCACAATGCCAGTCGATAATTACGGTGTCTGGAAAGGCCACCCAGTCGACTACATACTCACCGATCGGCAGGACTATCTCAACTCGCCACAATTCTCGCTAGTTTTCCATGACCGGGGGCTTAAAGGGGCAAAGCGCAACGACATCTCTGTCAATGGAAACAACGGTACCGCAGGACTGTTCCGGGCGGCGATAAACATCACATCCGGCGACTTGCACGACTCTAGGTTGGTCTACTGGGTAAATCACCGACTGGATCAGAACCCGATAGTCGATGAGCTATCCCGTCTCAAATTCGGCTTCACTGCACAAGATAGCAATGACCCGCAGGGACTCGGCTTGGACTACATCCGACACAGCCTGTTCAACAGCACTAATGGCAGGCTTCTACCGCACGACATCCCGGGCCAATTTGGTGATATCATTGACGTCATGGTACCGAGTATCAAGCAAGCAGTCGAAGAGGATGCAGAAGTCTACATCTTCGGCTCACGGTCTGAAACCGGGACCGAGATTCACAACATCCACATGAACCAGGGCAACGCATGCAAATTTCGCGCGGACGACGGTGTATTCAAGGACGGGGGCCTGATATTCCATTTCCGAAGCTCCGGCGAATGGCTCGGTATATTCCTCGCGTTTGCATCGCAGGCCGTGCACACGAATGATCAATCGGGTCATGCAATTTCCGGCGTTGGTTGGAGCGATATCCTCCGACCAGATATCATCGAGGATGCAGTGGTGATCCAGGAAGCGTACGTCAACCCGGCAGGTCCGGATGGGAGACGGAAATCAGTCACGTTGTCCAACCGGACGAACCGCGCGGTCCGACTGGAGTCATGGACTATCCGCAATGCGGCTGGGGATATACAGGAACTTCCCAAGGGTGCGGCGCTAAGGCCGAGAATTGACCGGCCGTTTGAGCTGGAGGATTGGGCGCTCTCAGATCGGGGAGATACCATCTTACTGCTGAATGAGCAGGGGTTGCGGGTAGATGGAGTCAGCTATAACTTGCGACAAGGAACAATGAAAGGGGGATCAATTGCCTTTACACGCTAGCGTTAAATTGTAGTTGTCGTTACAGGGAATTAAGAAGGTAAACATTCGAGATGGAAAAGCGTGTTTCGTGAATGTGCAAGATACTAGACTGCAATATAACTCAACAAGGATAGCTCAAGGGCCCATCCCAAAGACTGAGACTCCCAAACAACACGGGAGCTGCGTATTCAGGAATGCACTATGTAGCTCGTTAATCAAAGGTACACCCGCCCCGACCAGAGATTAAAGCTATTCAAAACACTTTCTCATCACGTTCATCCACTATTTCATCTAAAGTGTCTCCTACCCCTGTACTTGCCATTTGTCGCTCAGAAATTGAAGAGTTAGACATGGGGAGGGTGAGGAATGATGCGTGGTGACAGGAAAACGATCAGGAAGAAAAGTTGACGAGTCTGAGTTTGCCATTGGAGGCAGGAATTGGTTCCTTCCAGCTGTACCCTCTATATCGAAGAAACGGCGAGAATCCTAGCTTGTAGCTGGTCTCAGATTTTCAATTTCTTATCACGAGCGACTGTACTCCCCTAACACCAGAAACTCCGTAAGTACAAAAACACCTGGAACCAATCCCGACTCGATCCTGTTATTTCAAATACCCAAATCGGTAAAACGAACCCCCGGAGTACTTAGAACAGATGAAACCCATTGGTTTGCGGAAAGTGGATGGGAAGCGTAGGCTCAAAGCATAAATAGCATCCGCATCCACACGACGACTTGACCCGTACGAATACCAACTCAATCCCCACCGGTATATTCCTCCACACCAAGATGTTCCATACCCACCTGGACTCCACTCGACTGTGTCTGTTGGTTGAGTCGATCAATCCTGTCCTGGAGAGGACCAACATTATCCTCATCGACATGCCAAATGATTTTAATCCAACGTAGGGCTGACTTCAGACGTGTTGCCGTTTTCGAAAGGTGTCGAATCCACTGCTCCTCAACGTCGCCAAAATCAAAATGAAATGAACTCAATGGATGCTCCAGTGTGAAGGTATGGAGCTTCGGACCAAGCAAGAGATGCACATCTTCGTATGGGAATTCGCCTCCTGGCAGGAAAATAGCCTGCGGGTGAATACTGAACGTTTCCAGGCTCGTGAAGGCAGTTAAATCCAAAAGGCGCCCCCTGGTGCTGAGAGCCACCGTTCCAATCCGAATTGACCGTAGGGTCGTCTTGTGAATGGACAGCCAATGTCCCAGGGTGGGAAGGTCGGCAACGGGCTCGTTGTCTATCCCTCCAACAAAACGGAATCTAGTAAGTGTCTTCGGCCATTTAATAAATTGCTCCAAATCTCCAGCTCGTAGATTATCACACATCAACTTGAGAGACGTAAACGGCGCGGTCCGGTGCATCTGGGAGGTGTGTTAGCATGTTTGCTGGTAATATAATTGGGAAGTGAGGTATACAAACCACGGTTGTCAGTATGCTGCCCCCGTCATCGGTGTCTTGATACCGGGGATTCACCTCCCAAAGAGAAAGAACACGAAGGAACGGCATGCCATCAAGCTCGCTCATGATTTTCTGGAGATCCAGGACGGGAAGCGAGCATTGTAGTCGGAAGAGCTTGAGTCCACGCATGCGATGAAACGCCTCCAGAATCAATCGGCATAGCGCTCCTGGTTCTGCTCTCCCGTTATACAAGAAAGACAAATATTCCACCTTTGGCATAGCCCCTATGAGGCTCGCTATCCGAGGAAATTTATGATCGCACGACAAGCAGTGGGGAGTTGTATACAAACGGAGATATCTGCAATGCCTGAGCAACGACGGATTGGCTTGGTTGGTGAATTCTAGCTGTCGAAAGATGCGACCTCCAGAACATACACAGAAAGCGAGCTTTCTATAAAGTAAAGGCAACACGGCGGAATTGAAAGCACGACAGACAAGGGCAACATTGAGGAAGCTTTTCCTGGGCACTGAGCCGACAACGAGCATGAGAATCTCAGGGGGCAGCCGCAAGATGAGGGCCTTGCCAGGTGTTTCTGAAGCCATTGGAAGTGAATTGATAGCTGCTTACGGGTGAAAAGAGAGAAAGTGAAGGAGATGTGTTGGTGTTGAGATGTTTACAAGAAGCACCACATGATGAGGGAGTAACACATCGTCGTCAAAGAACTGAAATTGAAATCTATCGTTACCTATTATTATCCATTACAGATCAACAAACTCCCCCCGCAGGGCCTCGTCGCCCTTAATCCTGTCCAGGTAATCCCCGACCTTGTCAGTCATGACTCCCGTCTCGAAACCAAAGAACTTATATGCTGCCTTACCAGGCAGACTGTGTCCAAACCGCTTGATTGAAATGCCCGCATCCGCGTACCGCTCCCAGCCGTTTGGTGCATACGGCTCGATCACCACGGCGGGGATACCCTTGTGCCGTTGCAGAACGCTGCGCTTGTACTCGAGAGACTGCTGCTCGAAGATACGCTGGCAGGGGAAACTGACAACACGGGCGGTGATATCCTTCTTTTCCTTGAGCTCAGTGGCGACATCCAAAGCGAAGGACAGCTCGGCACCGACACCAATGAGTGTTACAGCTGCTGACTCGGCTTCCTCAAGGACATATGCTCCCTTTAGTACACCATCGCGACGGGTCTGCTTGAGTTGAGGGAGGGCGTGTCGGGATGTTGAGATAATGGTGGAAGACGTCTTTGCGTTGATGGCGGCGATCCAAGCACCTGCGGTTTCTTCACCATCTCCCGGACGGATGAAGAGGAGATTCGGCATCGCGCGATATAACGAGGCGAGTTCGATTGGCTGATGCGTTGGGCCATCTTCACCCATGCCGATGGAGTCGTGGGTTGCTGCGTGAATGACTTGGAGGTGTTGAAGAGCGCCCATACGGACAGCGGGGGCGGCGTAGAGGTAGAACATGAAGAAGGAAGAGGTGATCGGGATGAAGGTGTTGGGGTTGAAGGCGGCAAGACCGTTGGAAATTGCGGCCATGGCGTGTTCGCGGACACCATAGTGGATGTAACGACCGGAGTAGTCGCCATTGATGCCGCAGGTGGTGCGGAGGTCGGGCTGTTATTGTTAGCTTTAACTACATTGAGAAGGGACATCGGATATAAGAACGTACGTGTTGGAAGTCAACCTTGCCCTTCCAGATCATGTTGACTGACGGTGACAGATCGGCGGTACCAACCATGAACGAGTTGATAGACTGTGCGAGAGGGTTGAAAACCTGGCCGGACGATGCTCGCGATGCAGTCGGCTTGTCGGGGAATTCGGTGGGAATGCGCTCCTGCCAGTCGGCTGGCAATTCACCACGCACGCGACGCTGGAACTCACCACCCAACTCCGGGTGGGCTTCGGTGTACCGCTGAACGAGATCATTCCACTCCTTGACGAAGCCCTCGCCACGAGCAGGGAGGTCGGCGAAGAACTCGCGCACCGTATCGCCAATGACAAAGTGCTCCTCTGGATTAAAGCCGAGCTTGCGCTTCATATCGGCGACATCAGCAACGCCAAAGGCCGCACCGTGAGCAGCCGCCTGGCCTGCAACTTTGCTGTCGAGACCAATAACTGTGCGGACGTTGATGAAAGTGGGCTTCTCAGTGGAAGCGCGAGCCTTGGTCAACGCCTGGACCAGACCCTCAACGTCGTAGCAGCCATCCTCAACATCAATAACGTCCCATCCGCAGGCACGCATCTTGGCGTTGATATCTTCGGTATTGGTGAGATCAACGGAGCCGTCGCAAGTGATCTGGTTGTTGTCGTACATGATGGTCAGGTTGTTAAGTTTCCAGTGTCCAGCCAGAGAGATGGCCTCTAGAGCAACACCCTCCTGCAGACAGGCATCCCCAATCATACACCATGTGTGGTTGTTGACAACATCGTATCCGGGTCGGTTATATGTGGCCCCCAGGTTCTTCGAGGCCATCGCGAGGCCGACAGCGTTCGCGACACCCTGTCCAAGTGGGCCAGTAGTGACTTCGACGCCTTCATGTTCAATCTCGGGGTGGCCAGGGCACAGCGCATCGACGCGGTCAGAGTGGTATGACTTTAGCTGCTCAAACGTCATAGCCTTGTAACCTGTCAGGTGGAGCCAAGTGTACTGGAAGAGACAGGTGTGGCCGTTGGACAGCACAAAGCGATCGCGGTTGAAGAAGTCCGGAGTGTGCGGTGCGTATCGCATAATGTAGCGCCAAAGGGCGACTCCGATAGCTGCCATACCGATCGCACCCCTGTTCAGTTAGTCAAGTCCGTTTTTTCTCGATGTCAATCTACCTACCCAGGGTGTCCGCCACCAAACTGCTGGCACAGGTCGGCAATGAGGAGCCGGAAGGTCTTGAGCACAACATCATGCTTGCTACTTGAGCCGTTCACCAGAGAGGAAGCCATGATGGACAGGAATGATGCGAATCAGGATGAATCTGCGATTCTAAAAAGCACTGCGCCCGCGGAGGCGCCTTTATAACTGGCGATGGAGGCAGGATTTCCTAATCAGGTAACCAGAGGCACTGCTGTCCGAATGGGGAAATTTTGGGGCAAGCGCGCATTCACGTCCTGCAATTACACTCGGAGTCACTCCGGAGGCTCCAGTTGCCCTTTCCCTCTGGCTGTGCCTGTATATATTCTCGTGGCACTTCGTCTTTTTTCCACTCTCAGTAATTTTCCTCCCTCACACACCCCGCCATGTCGTTCCTCCCCAATCCCTCTCTCCAGGTCACGGCCGACCACCAGATCAAGCTCGTCGAGGCCCCTGTGCACGCCCCGGGCAAGGGAGAGGTTCTCCTTCACATCAAAGCCACCGGAGTCTGCGGGTCGGACCTTCACTTCTGGAAAACCGGTCGCATCGGCGAGCTCATCTTCCATGGCGACTGCATTATCGGTCATGAAGCAGCCGGTATTGTCCTGAAATGCGGCGAGGGCGTTACACATCTCCAGCCTGGTACGGCCTCCAAATTAAAACAAAGCTACACAGTACTAACGAATTCCAGGCGATCGCGTTGCCATTGAGCCTGGCGTCCCCTGCGAAAACTGCTTCCTTTGTGACGATGGCCGATACAACCTCTGCGAGGACGTCCAGTTCGCCGGTGTCTACCCTTACGCTGGAACGATCCAGCGCTACAAAGTCCACCCCGCCAAATGGCTACACAAGTATGCGCTCTCATAGTCTTTGTCTGGAGATACCAAGTGCTGACAATTACCAGGCTCCCATCGAACCTGTCCTACCTTGACGGCGCCCTCCTCGAACCCTTGAGCGTAGTCATGCGCGGTATCCAAGTCGCACACATCGAGCTCGGCCGCGGCGTCGTCGTCTGCGGAGCCGGGCCTATTGGCCTCATCGCAGCAGCCGCAGCACGCGCATCCGGCGCGCATCCGGTCGTCATCACAGATATCGACGAGAGCCGCCTCGCTTTCGCGAAGAAGTACATCCCCACCGCCACAACATACCAGATAAACCCAACACTGGACTCGGAGGGCAATGCCAAAGCCATCCGCGCACTCTTCGGGCCAGACGAGTACAGCGCCCCCGACCGGATTCTAGAATGCACAGGGGTCGAAAGCAGCGTGGTTACAGCAGCCTTCACGGCGCGCCGGGGAGGAGTTGTCGTTGTTATTGGTGTCGGGAAGGCAATTATGAACAACCTCCCGTTCATGCATCTCTCGCTTGCGGAGATCGATCTCAAGTTCATTAACCGCTACCGCGATACATGGCCGCCGGCGATCGCCTGTCTGGCAGGTGGAATCCTGGACTTGAAGCCCCTGGTGTCGCATACATTTCCGCTGGAACGAGCACACGAGGCGCTGGAACTGTGTGCTGACCGAGACCAGCCTAGCATTAAGGTTACGATTGTGGACGAGATTGACGCGACGATATGACAATAGCGATAGACACTAGATATAGATTTCAATCAATTACTTTTCAGATACATAACATCCTACTGAGGCTGAGAAGATCGACAGCGACCGACGTGGTTGTGGTTGACCCGCGAGATGTTTCTTTGTTGCAGAACAATATCAACACTCGCCCGACTGCGATTGTTCTCGCCCCAGTGTTCCAGCCCAGATACTTAACACACACCAGCCTGTAAATCCAGCAATCTTGGCTTTCAATGTATTAATAAATCCGGGGATCACAAGCGAGTGACCAGCCACCATCAACATGCCCCAAGTCGTTGTAGTGGGTGCCGGTCTCCACGGGCTTATCGTCGCAAAGACATACCTGCAGATCGTGGGTGCGTACAAGAGTGAAAAGACAGAACAAGACTATCAAGACGAGGACGATCTCTTGATTATTGACTCTGCGTCTGACATTGGCGGCACTTGGTCGCGCGACAGGCTGTACCCTAACCTCCTGAGCCAGAATTCTTACGGCAATTACGAGTTCAGCGACCTGCCTCTGCATGATGCCGTTCCGGATGATTCTGAACAGGAGGGCAATTCTAATTTTATTCCCGGGTGGAAAATTAATCGCTATTTGCATGTTTGGACTGAGAAGTGGGATTTGAAGCGGCGAGTTCGGTTGAATTGGAAGGTATGTTGGCTTTGAAGAATTATATATAGTGTCTGACCAGAACAGGTCAATCGTGTTTCTCGATTGCCCACGAAAAAATGGTCGTTAGATATCGCTGACCAGACAAAATCACCGTCTACGCCATTTACTGTTACGTGTGATAAGCTTATCCTTGCTACGGGTGTCACTTCTGAGCCCAATGTCCCCGACATCGCGCATACCGGAGACCGTCCTGTCCCCGCCGTTCACACCAGAGACGTTGGAAAATATTGTCGCGAAAACTTCAGATACCATCCAGTCCCACAAGTGCAGGAAGATCTCAAGAAAGAGGCACCATCGCCATCGTTCCCCAAATCAGTCGCTGTGTACGGGGGTGCCAAATCAGCCTTTGATCTTGTTCACCTCTTCGCCTCGCTCCACCGTAACAGCTCATCATTCAATATCGAGACACAGCCTGTCGAGCCAATTCAGGTGCACTGGATAATCAGCGATGGTGGGCGTGGTCCAGCATGGATGGTTCGACCTACCACTCAACTAGGAAAGAAGCAGGTTCCAAGCGATCAGCCTGGCTGTACCAGGATGGTGACGGTGATGAGTCCTTGCGTATATGAGATCCCAAAACGGATTACGTGGCCAAGTTCAAGCATGCTGCCTCGAATAGAGGGATCCTGGGTACGGCGGCTGCTCCATGGAAACCCCCTGGGCCGAGCGGCAATAGCCCATCTGTGGAAACAGGTGGACGCCGAGATTCACGCGTTCGCAAAATACGACTCGCACCCAAAGATGGACAAGTTGCGTCCAGCCATGAGGTAAGATAGCCCCAGAGCATTGTGGACCATAGGCTGACAGAACAGCGCAATCGATTGTACGTCGCCCGGTGGAATCGCCAACCACCCAGATCTCTGGGAGACAATCCGCGATTCAAATGTACACGTCCACCGATCAAGCATCACTCAAGTCTCGAGCAAGTTGCCAGATACGAGTATCGATCTCAGCGACGGGACTCATATTCCAGCCGTTGACCTGCTTGTCCACGCAACGGGTTGGAAGTTTGCCGTTCCAATTTCATTCGATCCTCCCGCTTTGGGTGCGCATCTCGGGCTGCCATGCGAAATAGAATCTGAGTATGACTGGGGGCCCATTGAGGGAGAGGTTGAGGCCAAGATGCGGTCCACCCTCGACGCCAGGCTCTTCAAGCACGCCGCACCCCCCACGCGTGGTACCTATCACCTCTTCCGACGCATCGCCTCGCCGTCGTTGATTGCAGAGGGAGACCGCTCGTTTGCAGCCATGGGGGCCCTTTACAACGGCGCAGTATCGATTGTAGCCGAAGTGCAGGCTATCTGGGCAGTGGCCTTCCTCACTGGCGGACTTGACGAGATCTGTGACGGGCCTCTTTCTAACCCACAGAAGGTGTTTCAAAGTGTGGCGGAGGACGTCGTGTGGAGCCGACTGATCGGCACGGCGCTGAACGTGGACACGCTTCCGGTAGGTCTCTAACTGCGATGTGTTTTTTGTGTTTATCGTATGCTGACGGTGTTGCACAGTACAACGACATGTTGATGCGCGACCTCGGGCTGAATCGGCACCGGGCAGGCGGAGGGTGGTGGAAAGAGCTGACTGCGGTGTATGGGCCACGGTCGTACGCAGGAATCGTCAACGAGTGGATGGAGATGCGGGCGGGGGGGAGAGAATAAAGACTGACACGATGGAGAGACCGATGGAGAAACCGGGGAGGAGGCGACGATGTGGTTAATGTTACTGCGAAGGACAACCAGAGTGGGGGAGTGGCTGCAATTGCCTGTTTGGGACGAGGAGGGGCGGGTGACGCGCGCGGTCATGTGGCCTCCACCGCCGATCTCTTCCTTTGCGGGCGCACCAGTCGCCTTCCTAATCGGGAGAGCATAACTCGCAGCCCTGAGTCGTTAAGTATTTTAAGTATTCGTGCCATGACTGCCTGGCAGGTCCAGACTCGATTGTTAAGCCAAATGGAGATGCTTTATTTCCAATGAGTCTAGCAGAGACTACAATGTAGTTGTTATACATGCAGTTCTTTGTATATGAGGGCATGCTAGTGAGCCTATAGCCGTGATATGTTTCTTTCCCCGTATACAGTCTTCATTGTATGGTTTACTTTTGAGTCCAGCCTTTCCTGCGTCGTTTCAAATAGCCGTGGCAATCCACTCTCCTTGAACTTGATTCCCTGGAGCACCATCCTGGCCAGGCCCTCCGCCGCAAGAAAGACCTGCGGCATGCCGTGTCCTGTGAAGCCGCCGATTACCCATTGATCTGTCTTCCCAGGGACTATTCCGACATGTGGCAGGCCGTCGGCAGAGTATCCCATAACTAGATATCAGTATATGTCAGTAGATGTAGTATAAAGATAGATAGCTAATACGGGACGTACTCCCAGTCCACACTCGGTCTGTATATGCATGGCTCGCCTCCCAGCCCACAAAATGCTTCTGCATGTAGTTATCAAAATACCGCACTGCAGAGTCAAGGACACGACTGTCATCGCTGACGTTGTACCAATTATCCGGGTTATCGATGAATGCCGGTCTCGCACCGCCAACGACAATGCTTCCATCGGGGCGAGGGATCAAGTAGTCGTAGTTCCAGCTGTTATGCCGGATAGTGTACGTCTTGGTTAATTGCTGACTGGGGGTATTGAAAGGCGGAGGGACAATGATTCGACTGCATGTTCCTCGTACGGGCACGATGCGGTCTTTGTACTGCGGGAGGATGGAGGAAGTGTAGGCATTGGTTGCTACTATGACTTTCTTTGCGGCGACAGTGCCTCTGTGAGTATGGACTGTGTAGCGATGGGTTGACGGTGACTGCGATTCCGTGATAGAAGTCACAGGTGTATGTGTTTGCAGGTTGACGCCACGCTGGACAGCCCTTTCCAGCAGATGCATGACCAGTTTATACGGCCATAGATGTCCTGCCTTGTAGGTGAAGCATGCAGCTGCCACTTTCATGCCCGAGAACTGTACCCATTAGCCACTACATGACCTGGTGAAACACAGGGTTGGGTACCTTTTCTGCCTCTGCAGGCCCGATGTATCTCGTCTTCTTCGTAGGCTCGCAGCCACTGGCAACTAACCGGTCATATCCGTCCTTGAGACTCTGGGCATGCGACGGATTAAGCTGGACGTCAATTGCATCAGTCACCGTCAGCTCGCAGTCAATCTTTTCCTCCTCAACCAAGTGCTGTATAGCATCGACATGCCGCGCCTCGAATTGCGCCACCTCGGTCGCTGCTTCAACTCCATACTCGGTCGCTAGACTCGCAATGCGATTATACGGGTCAGGCTTCAGATGGCCACCTACACTTACTCAGCATGGACTAAATATCTCAACCTTGCAGGCAACAGGTCTCACCGTTCCTCCCTGTTGCGCCTGAACAAGCCTGCCGGCCTTCCAAGATAACAATCTTGGGACGAGTCGAACTATCCGTTTGTTCTAGGATATGATGTGCTACAGAAGCACCAGCATACCCAGCGCCCACAATCACAATGTCACATTCTGCCGGGAGAGACTCAGTGGAGCGATGGTTGTCGAGATAGTGAGGCTCGGTTCGCCAGAAGGATGTAATCGAATTGGGCGCGAGCGACGGTGCTGACATGTTGGCTGGACGCTTATCTGTGCGGTCTGAAGCCAAGAATGATTGACCAAGGATAGAATATTGTTCTTTTATGTCACGGTGACTGTCGGACATTTCTCCGGTGGGAGTTGCCGCCGGGATGAAGCCGGCGGGAGCGCAGGATGTAGATACAGGTGGAGATGGTGGAGATATCACCGATAGTAACCGATGTTATTTCGTTATCTTGGTTATCTTGGCGATTTATTATCCTGCTGGGGTAGTATTATTGGAGTACTGGAGTACATTGGAGCACTATGTGCATTTGATATCAGGAGAGTTGGTACCACCCAGACTTGGTGGCTGTCATTGAACTATACTCATATGGAAGTCGATTCAATATAGGATTTAATCACTAGAACTAATTATGCGACGCCTGATGGGCAATGATCTTATCAGCCATGCCAGGCAGTGTCTCGTCAATAACATCCATATCCCCAAACAGCTCCGTCAACGGTTCCTTCTCCCAGACTGCCGAATACGCCCCTTTAAACCTGCACAATTTGAATTAGTAGGCTATTAGAGTGAGCTTGTAGAGAACATACCCAGCCCGCCTCGCCGCTGAGACATCCCACATATGCCCGGCCGCAAACCAAGGCACCCTGCCCCCATTCTCCGCAACCAACTTCTCCAGCAACGGCCGATAAGCCGCAGGATCAGGCTTTCCAACACCAGCAGAATCACACGAGAGCAGGTCCTCAGCCGGCATCTCAATGCCCGCTCGCGCAAAGTATCCACCAACCCGCTTGATATCCCCCGCGGTAAAGCACCAAACCCTAAACCCGGCATTGCGCAGCTTCTGCACACACTCCGCTGCACCAGGCCGCATCGTGAGGCCAGCGTACTGCTCCATGATATACGCAAGGTCCTGCTCTGATGCGAACTCGCGCGGCTCCGAGATCCCGGCCATCCAGAGCATGCGGTAGAACAGCGCGCGGAAGACGTCAGCGAAGACGGTGTATTTCCCTGACATGCTGAGATATGTGTATTCGCGCTCGGCGACTTCGATCCAGGTGTAGCCAAGCAGCGAGGGCTTGATTCCCTCGGCGCGTAGCCGTTCGCCGAGTTGGTGGTCTATCGCGGCGAAGAGGTGGTCGTAGCCGACGAGGGTGCCGACTACGTCGAAGACGACGGTTTTAGAGCTCATGGTAACGGTACGGTGTTAATTGTCAGTGTGTTATTGCAGGTAGGATAGAGAAGGGCAAGGCTGTTATCATATGTTGCAGGCCCCTCCCCCACTTCTCGATCCCGGCGGCAGTCGCAGATCAACCGGTGCAATGCCGGCGGATCTCTGCCGGCCCAGAAAGAGGGCTGATAGGATGGCAGAGATAGCAGTTGGAGACGATATAGAGAACATGGTCTCGTGAGACATCAGCATATGAAGGGCCTCCTCCCAGGTTGGTTGACCAGTATACTTCAACCTGACAATATACGAATCTGGCACCATGGGCGACCCTGTCAAGTCGGTCGGCCACGACATGGAACCAAAGGAAAACATGAATATACAATCCGATATCGAGCGTGTGGCTACGACGTCATCTGAGATCAAGGGCTCTGCGACAGCGATCCACCCTGACGATGTCGGATACCACCGCTCCCTCACCAGGCGGAAGGTGATGATGATGACCTTTGGGGCTGGTATTGGCACTGGACTCTGGGTTGGGACTGGACAGGCCTTATACTATGGTTTGTTTATCTATACTCGTGTTTACATTGATACTGATGAAGACAGCTGGTCCTGCTGGGCTCGCCATCACTTATACTCTGACAGCGTAAGTGTCAGGCCAAACTCACAGTACATTGCTAATAGATGGTTAGCATCATTGTATACGCCCAATACTCTTCAATCGGAGAAATGACTACGTACATGCCAGTCCATGGAGGCTTCATCCGCCAGTGCTCCGAGTTCGTGGATCCAGCATTTGGCTTTGCGATTGGTATCAACTTCTGGTTTGCCGTGAGTAGCCCTCCAATATTATTTATTGACTATGGCTCACTGCGAAGTGGGTGATGATCATCCCAGCAGAAATAACGGCAGCCGTGAGCGTCCTGCAGTTCTGGGAGCAGACAAACGCTCTCCCCTTGGCTGCGTATATAACCATCTTCCTCGCGGTCATGGCTTTTGCCAACATCTTCCACGTCCGGGTGTACGGGTACATCGAGTACTACATGTCGTTTATCAAATGTCTGGCCGTCGTCCTGATGATCTTCTTCATGTTCATAATGACATCTGGAGGCATCGCCGCCACCAATGGGCCCATCATCTTCCACTACTGGAAGTCGCCAGGGGCATTCCACAACGGGATCAAGGGGATTGCAAAGAGCTTCGTGCAAGCTGCGTTTAGCTTCGGTGGAGGTACCTACCCAGCCTTTTTTTCTGTCTATATTGCCAACCTACTCACATTCCAGGCGAGCATATCGCAGTCATAGCTGGCGAAGTCGCCGACCCCCGCCACACAATCAAGAAGACCGTCCGCCCTGTCTTCTGGCGCATGTTCACCTTCTTCGTCGTCAATATCTGGCTCGTCGGCATGTGCGTTCCCTACAACGACCCGGATCTCGTCAACGGTAGTGGAACCCTGGGCAGTCCGTTCGTCATTGCGCTCAAGCGCGCCGATGTCTGGGGCCTGGCGCATGCAATCAACGGGTTCATTTTCCTGAGTGTCATCAGCTGCGGCATTACCAGTGTGTATGTTGCCAGTCGCAGTCTCACGGCCCTGTCGGATCTGCATATCATCCATGGATTCTTTGGAAAGAAGGATAAGAGCGGGCGGCCGTTTGTCTCGATTGCGATCTGTTTGATCCTGGGTGGAGGGCTGTGCTACCTGAATGTTGATAGCACGGGGACCGTGGTCTATGGCTGGTTCTCGTCTTTGGTAGGCATTCTTTATATATATATATATAAATTCCGCATATTGGCTAATATCGTGTCCTGCAGGTCGCAATCGCTACGCTCTTCCAATGGGCCTCAATCTACATCGCGCATCTTCGCTTCCGACAGGGTCTGCGCGCCCAGGGGAAGAATCTCCGTGATCTACCGTTCAGGGGCCTCCTAACTCCCTATGCGCAGTACTTAAGCCTTACCATTGTCCTGTTTATATTCGGGTGCGAGTTCTACCTTGCCTGTTTCCCGTTCGGGGAGAAGGGGTCTGCGAAGAGCTTCTTCTCGACATATCTGGCGGCGCCGTTGTTCTTTTTCGATTACTTTGTTTACAAGGTGAGTAACGTCTATCTGTTTACCTTCGAGTGGGGGTATCTGGATACTGGAGTGGTGCTAATATGCTACAGTGGTGGTTCAAGACGAGGATTGTCAGGGCCCGCGAGATGGACTTCTCGCCGGCGATTATCTTCGACGAGCAGGATCGAATCAAGGAAATGAATCGAGGGGCAGAAATGGAGAATGAGAAGAGGACGCCGTGGCTGAAGCGTGTACAGTATGTGGTATTTGGCTAGAGCAGACAGAGATCATGATATCGTTATTCATAGCATTCATGCACGATTCGTCATTCACCCAGTCTGCAGGGGAGAAAAGACATTAGGGTCCATTACAAAACCTTCACTCGGCCAGGTATTGAGCAGATCCTGCACCTCGTTTCCCTCTCCCAGACGGGGCTCTGAGTTTAAGAATGACAGCGGGCTGAATGATGACAGTTCTAGGTCTGTTATGCCTCCGGGGTAGGTATCCTGCTTCATGGCATTGGTCCAGTGCTTGAATTGAGCGTATGCAGAGGTCTCATCTTGGAGCCTATGTTCATCACTTCCAGTCTCGTTCACGGCTAGAGAAGACTGTCTGATCGCTGCATCGAGTGACTGGAGGTAGGATATTTCAGACTCTGAAGAGCTACCCCCCGTCATGCGCCGGATCATGGCCATTCCCCTACTCAGTTCATCCTGGAACCGATTCAGTTTGCGCGAGTTCAGTCGTTCCGCGAGTATGACTAGTAGTGCAGCGCGGCATGAGCTGAACTCTGTATAGGATGCCCGGCAGAGACCGGTATTAGTGGATAATGATTGCAGAGTATCCAAAATATCGAGGGCGCTTTTGACACAGCCCTGCACTAGAAGCGTTCGAGGATCACTGTCTGCATTCTCTACCGGAGAATCTGTCCAGTCGCTGGCAAACATGAATGGGCGGCCCATGTAGACATATATCAGAAGGTATGTCATCTTCAGATGTGAATTCTGGCGGAACAGGGGACTGTCTGGCGTTGTATCGCGACACTCGATCGTCAAAGGGAGTGAATCCCACCACTGTCCGATATGCGTTCGTAGTTGGATGAGACGGTCGAGGTACTCGGGGATGAAGCGTTTCGGGCAGTTTCGAAGTAGAGTACTGCAAGGGATTAATAGACAGTCGTCAAGGGTCGCATTCACGTACAGTGTCTCAGATACTTCTCCCAGCCATGAGCTCAGCTTGATATAGGCCATCATATTGGAGTAGTTGGGCGACGAAAAGGACAGCGCATCAGATGGGAGGTCGGTGCTGATATCTGACTTTGCTATGGATGCTGGACGGCCATGAAAGATGCTTATTCTCCTATTGTCTGTTAATTACTGTTTCCACTCAATCCTCGATCTGACATACTTATCCAACGTGCATGCAGTCCAAAAGACTCGATTGCGCGTTTCAATAATCCTGGGATCGCATTCCCCTACGTATTTCCGATGCATGCCATTCTGTATGGCCATCTTGACTGCAATCCCCAGGTACGAGTAAGATAACCCTCCAGTCGACAGAGGCAGTGCGTAAAGTGCAAGCAGGAGAAAGGCCTGGACGCTCTCGTGGGATGCAACCAGCAGCACATCAGGTACCAACCGGCAGGCAATATGATACAACGAGAGCCCGACTGAGTCCTCTGAGCACAAATTCAGGTCTTCATTATCTTCCTGGCCCTCTTCCATGTGTGCGACCTGTGTTCCGACTGCGAGGACCGCAAAGAGTGAGCATACCCAGGGAATATCGCTGAGAGTGTACTCTGTCGATGCGGCGTAGCAGCGCTCAACCCGTTCCTGGATCCAGGATCGCTCCATGTAGAAGACGTTCACGGCGGCGTACTTGAAGAACATGCCAATGAGGAACTCGGTGATCGGTCGCGGAGGCAGGTGGTTCATTGCTTGGGAAACGAGGTGGATGGAGGACTGAAGCTGCGTTGGTCGCCAGTACTCCTTGACCTGCAGGAATCAGCATCAACATCGAAATTTATATTGGCACATATCGCACCCTGAACCGCTCTATCTGGCCGATCTTCCGGCGCAGCTTCTGCGAGAAATTCCAATGCGAAAACTCCCCCGAGTAGTCTGCCAACGTCAGCACCGCGTCCCCGTATCAGGATTCCAACTCACGCGCGATATCCTTCGACACAAACTGCACATCAAACGGCTCGTCCACGTTCGGTTCGTCTCCCTGCGACCTCCCTTCAAGTCTCGCGACAATGCGACCGACATTTTCCTCGTCCAGCGACACGTTTCCCAGGAAATGACGCACGATCCGCTCCAAGCCCTCTACTCGCGACGTGCTCTCTTGGCTGTCAGCACGAGCGGAATATCTTCGTGAAAGGACATTGCCACGGACGGTGCACGGCCGGCCAAGTCGTTGGCATCTCCAGCATGGAGGTCCGCCCTCGCATTTCTCCTTCTGTCGTCGACAGGTGTCGCATCTGCTGCTGTTAGGTTGCTCGAGCAGGGAGGGTGGGACTTACGCAAGAGAGGCACGCCGTCTGCTGGGACGAGCTGTATGATTACTTGCACTGCTCTGGTATGCTTCCATTGAGATCTGGTTGATTCTGGTTATGAATGACAGTCGGAGAGTCTGGGCTGGGACTCGTATCAATTTCTCCGCTATCAGTGAGGGGTCAGTCGGGGTAATTCTAACTTGTTCGGGCATAATCCGATTTCTTTATCTTGCTTTGTTTCATTATTATTCAGTGGAGAGTAGAATGCAGCTGTTCTTTATCTGTGCCCTAACTGCGGTATGGTTGACCCCAGAGTATGTATACAGACTGACCAGAACGCCGCCGTTGCAGACAGCTGATTCTACCGTTTAATGGCCGTTTAATGGCAATTGGCATTTAGATTGTCCATTCAGATTGTCAACCCTCAACGCCAGATACTAGAGTACGCCTGTCTGTCGTGCAGGGGCCTATCTGGGAGATCACAGTGACAGGTTCTCCGTGGATAACTATGCATTGACGGCGCATCAGCATAAGAGGCAGCATAAGCAGCACTGCACAATATGACAGCTCGGAAATAAAGAGCTCGTCAAGTCCGATACTATTATTGATGCGACGACGACCTCCTGCCCCAAGAGGTTTCCAGTTCGTCACCGTTCCAAGTTGGCACTGGCCCTCCACAGCGTTATTGGCCGTTGTCGGTGTCCATGCGAGGTTCCCCTGAGATGATTCTGGAAAAGAGCGTGGAGAGCGGCCCAAATGAGCTGCAGTCCATCCAATAATGATCCAATAATGCAATTGGATTCTTTCTCCACGGTGGGCGAGCCAAGAGCGTGGTGCTCCACGCCTTTTGGCAGTTCTTCACTCCTGCAGCTTACGAGCCAAAACATAGTCCACCATGCAGTGTAGAACCATCGCCAGTCCTGATAGATATCGATACTGTCCGGAGTCTACTCCGGTTCGTCAGCGATGGCACCACGCGGCGCCGTTGACAGCATCCTGCTGCTGGGTATCATGCAGCGCCACGCAGAGCAAGTGGATCCAGGAGACAAACTTGCAAGTTAATCTGGAGAACTCGTCTGATTCTGGCAAATCGGCATGGAGAATCAGCACCCCTGTATCAAAGTCTCCACAGTCTGTTGAGATAGCCCATTTTGCCGCGTCGACACGCCCCTTGGCAGGTAATCGTTCATGCTGCTCCGCGAGGCATGCGTCAGCGTCTCGTATGGAGAACGACGCTTTGATGCATGGAATCCATTTATCATAGTCTGCCTCCCTCGGCTGCTCGAGGGGTGCGTTGCTTTTCCTCTGCCCAGCCCTGATGTATTGCGCCTCGCCTCGCCGTTGCCTCGAGCACCGGCGTTTTCTCTTCTGGCCTGCGATTGCCAGTGCGATCGTGGGTCTTCTCTACCTGCTTTACGTTTTTCTGCTGCCCCAGCTGCTGCGATTCGATTTCCGCTTCGGATTGAGCTGGTACGACCTCGGCGCCCACGGGTTCGGTCCGTCAAGGGGCTATGTCTCCTTCGAAAATGAGTCGCCTGTCCTCGAGATTACAGAGCCCGAGGGCAGCGCTGGATGTGACTCGCGTTATACGTTTCTGGCACCGCGCGGGGACTCGGTCCCTCAGTCGGGGCCCATGATCCTCGACGCCCAGGGGGAGCTGGTGTGGATGAAGCATAACTGGGACACAACGCAGGACTTCAGAGTCCAGCAGTATCGTGGCGAGGACTTCCTGACCTACTGGGAGGGCGACCAGGTCGAGGGGAGAGGGTACGGGACGTGGTATATGGTGAGTTGGCCGTCATACCAGGTTTTGATACTGGACAGGTTCTAACAGACTCCCTACAGCTCGACTCTACGTATACGCCTCGCTACGTGATCAATCCGGTCGGAAACTACGGCGCTGACCTGCACGAATTCCACATCTCGACCGACGAGACAGCTCTGGTGACGATATACGACCCTACCCTGGCGGATTTGACCTCAATGGGCGGCCCCGAGATTGGCTGGATATACGATGGTTTATTCCAAGAAATCGACATTGCAACTGGCGATTTGATCTTCGAATGGCGAGCATCAGAGCATCTCGATATCAACATCACATACCACCCTCTAACGGCGTCGGCGGGCAATCGACGGGACTCTGCCTTTGATTACTTCCATATAAACAGCGTCGACAAGCATACGGACGGGAACTATCTCATCTCGGCGAGGCATTTCCATGCAGTTTTCTGCGTCTCCAAGGACACGGGCGAGATTCTCTGGACTCTTGGTGGCAAGGCAAACGACTTCCAGGACCTCTCCGACGGTAAAGCGACGGACTTCGCCTGGCAGCATGACGCTCGCTGGCATCCAGAGATAAACGCCCTGACCATCTTCGACAATACGGCCCATTCCGGTGACGACCCGAAGTCTGCGAGCCGGGGCATGGTCGTCTCCCTTGATATCCCTAACCGACAGGCAACTCTGCGCGGCGAGTATCACCATCCGTTTCACATCCAGACTGTCTCCCAGGGCAATGTGCAGCTTCTTAATGGCACCAACCATGTACTCGTTGCCTGGGGTCACAGTGCAGCATACAGCGAGTTCAGCGCGGACGGACAGTTGGAATGTAATGTGCACTTCGGGGCCTCCGCCTACTTCAATTTCGGGCGTGTTGTCTCGTACCGCGTGCTCAAGGGCGAGTGGACTGGGAATCCCCAGACTGAGCCTGACGCTGTAGTCTCTGGGGACATGATCTACGTGAGCTGGAACGGCGCAACCGAAGTCGCATCCTGGCGCCTTGAGACGATAGATTTCAGCATCAACAACACCATCACCGGCGAGCTGGACCTTGGCGGTGATGCTGTCACCATAGGAGAATACGCAAAGACGGGATTCGAGACCGAGATTCCCATTCCCAGCGACTTGGACAGTCCGATATTCCGTCTGGCAGCACTGGATGCGGATGGCAATGTTCTGGAGTTTACAGTCCCACTCCAAAGAGATTCTGATGAATCCTCCACTGATGATGTGCTCGATCTACACTATTTGATTGTAGGAATCGCCATTGTCGCCGGTATGTGTGGCCTGGTTGCTGCAGTGTACCGAATATGGCCTTCATGTCGGGGTCGTCGCCGTCGCAATGAATACCATCTGGTTCCAGTCCGTGAGCATGAGCGCAACGACGTTAACCGTGACCCTCACTGATTCTATTTACTTGATCTTTGGCAAGAGAATCCACATTGCAAGCATCTCTGGAGTCCTGGTGCGGCCTTCCTAATACGGAACGAGTGAGGCCTCTCCTTCCATTACCTTTCACTCTCACTCTTCATCCTCTGCAAATAGTCCGTCAACTACTCTTCAACAGAATTAATCCCTGTCGTGTCCTTACTGCTCGTCAGACGAATGCTCGTTGCACCGGCGGATGACCTACCTTATCACAACATGCAAACAACTGCGTCGGCGCAAATGGACCGGGAGGACCAGATGAGGCTTGCACGATGCCAATACCGTATGCTCCATATGAAGCACAGCGACTACGAACCAAGCGACTTCAGGAGTGGCCGGGTGTCGATTATGAAGAAGGTCATGGAGCTCTTCCCAAGCTTGGAACTGCCGGAGTACCTCCTCACCTTGGAGAGACTGGCGTACATGGAGCAGGGGAGGCATTTGCTCGAGGACCACGCTTATGAGTTCAAGCAGCTTGCATACACCCTCCCATCCAAGTATGAGTCGCTCACCGTGACCTGGTTCGTCCGCAGTGTGTCCGATCGGGCCTCGAGAAAGATCCTGAACGGGATACTTGCTGCATTTACCTGCACTGGGATGGATTGTAGTCTGGAGGATATTGTTCAGATAGCAATGGCTGTCGACGAGGTCGACATAGACAATCCCCAACCGAGGAACCCAACAGAACAGTCAGAAACCGACATCAAGCTGCTCATGGACGTGGTTGCTGTCCAGAAGATTATCATCGAGACCCTGGCGGACCGACTTTCTCAGCTACAGACGCCGACTGATGCACCAGTCGACGATATACAAGGCCTTGCCGATCAGCAACCCTATCAACCGCCGTCCGGGACACAGCCAGAGTGTCCAGCGCGTGCCCAGCAATAGACTTGGTGCTCAGGAGCACTACTTATTAGTGCGAGATGGGGCAGCAATTTCAAACTGATACGTTACGAGAATAACACCCTTCATTCATTTATCTCTTTTCATTCATTCGAGATATGTATGTACTGGACTCTATTGATATCATGATGTCGTGGGAAGGATTGGTATCGGTTGTCTAAACGTTGAAATATAACCACACTCATGAAGCTCAGTACTCAAGTGTCTGCTTGATGGCATCGTAGATTCCTGTTTCTAATTAGCGGAGTTGACATTTAGTAGGTACCGCGAATACTCACTCGCAACATCAGGGAGAATCAGCTTCTCGTACGTGAGACCGGTATGTGTGCTCCATCCTGCCACCCGCTTGACGGGAGCTTCCAGCCTCAAGAAGGCGCCTTCTTGGACAGTCGCCGCTACTTCAGCACCAACACCATAGTTTATCATACTCTCATGTACGACAATGGCCCTCCCCGTTTTCTTCACACTATCCAGTACCGTTTGCCGATCCCATGGGTATATCGTCCGCAGGTCGATCAGCTCCACGCTCGCACCCAGGGCCTTTTCGGCGGCCGCAATAGCTGCTGAGCAAAGATACAGCGGCTGACCATATGAGACGATCGTAACATCATTACCTGGTTTCACGACCTCCGCCTTGTTCAGAGGGATGGTGTAGTATTCGTTGGGGACGTGCTCGACAGCGGCACGGTAGAGCACCTTTGGTTCCATGAAGACAACAGGGTTTCCACTTTCAAAAATCGAAGAAAGCAAAAGACCCTTGGCTTGTGATGGTGAGCGTGGCACAACAACTTGGACGCCGGGGATATGCGCAAACAGCGCTTCTGGAGATTGTGAATGGTACCTGGAACAGACACAACATGGTTAGCTCAAGTCGCAATTCACATACATTCAAAGCGCTAACTCACAAAGCTCCATGTCCCACAGCACCGCACGGCATCCGAATTACCATTCCACCTGCATTCCCCCCGGTCGCTCCCTCGCGGTATCGAAACTTAGCCGCCTCGTTGACGATCTGGTCAAACGCGGGGAAGACGTAGTCTGCGAATTGGATCTCAGCAACGGGCTTCATTCCCTCTGCCGCAGCACCAATTGCAAATCCCACGATTCCTTGTTCCGTCAACGGCGTATTGAAGACCCTCTCTGAGCCGAATTCCGTCTGTAGGTCCATGGAGCACCGAAAGACGCCGCCAAAGGCAACGTCCTCACCGAAGAGCATGACCTTGTTGGATTTCGATAACGCAGTTCGGAGTGCGGCATTTATGGCCTGGTATAGGTTCATATACTTGGACGTGCTGGAAGGAGGGAGATCGAAGGCATTGGAAAGCGAGGAGGAGGAGTGGTGCAGCAGCGGCGTGGATTTGTAGTCGATGGGGAGGTTGAGACGAGTTGAAGGCGTTGGAGCGGTTGAGTAGCTCCGGCCGCAGAGGCGCGGGACACGGTGAGGTCGTAGAAGCGAAGCCATGGTGAGAATGGGAATAGAAGCAGGAATGGACGAGAGCGACGGTGTCTCTCTCTCCCTTTCTTCCTTTATTCCCCAGAGTCACAGTGAGTTCATGCGGGGAATGCCGCGGATAACCGAGATTCTGTTGCCTGACGGAGCTGGCAGAAACCAACACGTGCCTGCTGGGCTGCTGCCTTGGTGCCTTGCAAGTGTTTGTCTGCCGGCAGTACTCCGATTCATCTTTCACCCACAATTCTCCCACATCGGCCCTCAATTCCACGGATACCCATCTAATATCGCTCCATCCATTGGCTGTTTGTCAGTAAAGTGTAGCCCTCAATTGCGAGAACGGAGAATTAAGCAGCGACTCCTGCATCCTCGCGAATCGCTATATCGGATCTATCCGATGCTCCCCACAGTACATACTGCATCGACAAGACGGATTCAGGCCATCCTCACAGAAATCATGCTTGGAAAACAACGCTGTTGCTCATCAACTCGAATTGGAGGTTGAGATTTCTTGTGGTTTCGTTGCTGGATTTACGCGTCGGTGGAGACAACGCCAACAGGTTAAATATATTCCCACCTGCAAACCAAGGCATTCAACTTACTCCAAAGTGCTTCCAGGCTCTTCCGATGCCGCTTATCCGATCTTTCCCGTCGCCGCTCCACATTGAATTTAGATCCTCGTTTCGGCCTGCATCCATTGATCTTGTCAATCGAGATGCGAAACCGCCATCCTGAGATCGGAGCCATCCAGCATACATAACCTCGCGTGGCTCTTACACCCCAGATTTATGACGCAAGGCCCAGAATTCCCTTGCTTCACCAATCATGGACCGGCAACGAGTTGCTGAGAGAGCCCTCCATGATCAGACCAACATCCTACCCCGGGCCCAGCTGCTTGTCGTTTTCACAGGGCTAGCAATATCGTTACTCATTACTTTTGTCGACCAAAATGGGATCAGCGTCACACTTCCTACCATCGCCGCAGATCTTGATGCCCGGAACACCATATCCTGGGCAGGCACCTCGTCCTTGATTGCAAACACCACATTCACGGTTCTGTATGGCCGTCTCTCCGATATCTTCGGCCGCAAGGTCATTTATTTGTCCGCGCTCGTATTACTCTGCATATCAGATGTGCTCTGTGGTGTATCAACCACCCCCGAGATGTTCTATGTCTTCCGTGGGCTAGCCGGTATAGCTGGTGGTGGTGTCACTTCGCTGACTATGATCATTGTTTCTGACATTGTGACGTTGCAACAACGTGGAAAGTATCAAGGTATTCTTGGTGCTGCGATGGGGCTAGGAAACATCATCGGCCCATTTCTCGGCGCTGCCTTCATCATGAACGCAACCTGGAGGGGCTTCTTTTGGCTCATCGGTCCGTTAGCTGCATGCTCTGCGTTGATAGGGTATTTCCTGATACCAAACAATCACAAGAAAGATAGTTTGTCTAACAGCGTGAAACGTATCGACTTTTTCGGGATACTCACGTCGTCTGCTGCTGTCATTCTTTTACTTATTCCTATATCTGGCGGAGGGTCTTACTTCAACTGGGACTCGGCCATGGTGATAAGTATGCTTGCCATCGGAGGGTGCTCGCTGATTGTGTTCTTACTTGTTGAGTGGAAGGTAGCTGCGCTCCCCATGCTTCCAGGTAAAGTCCTCTCTCTCGCTTATACATACCTAGTCTGACAGCTCGCAGTGGTCTTGTTCAAAAACAAGGTTATTTGCGCCCTCTTCCTCCAGACGTTCCTTCTGGGTGGTGTTTACCAAGCATATCTCTACTACCTCCCCTTGTACTATCAGAACGCCCGCGGCTGGAACCCAATTGTCTCGGCTGCTTTGACCTGTCCAATGATGGTTTGCCATTCACTCACATCTATTGCATCGGGCCAATATATTTCCCGCCGCAAGCGGTACGGCGAATTGATCTGGATCGGGTTTGGTCTATGGACACTGTAAGTATCGGTATCAATGATCCTCCCCATCATTGACGCTTGCTAAGTACGTTTTTAGCGGCGCCGGCCTCATGATCAGGTTCGACCGGACCACCAGCCCAGCCGTCATTGCAGTATCCGTTGGCATTGCTGGCATAGGGATTGGAAGCACGTTCCAGCCCACAATGATTGCATGCCAAGCCCACTGCACAAAGGCCCAACGAGCAGTGGTCATATCAGATCGAAACTTCTTCCGTTGCCTCGGAGGTGCATGCGGACTAGCCGTGTCTGCGGCCCTTCTTCAAGGCGTTCTTCGCTCTAACCTTCCCGAGGCATACAAGAGTCTTTCCCATTCTACATACACCCTTCCGTCGAAGGATGGAATTTCCAATGCGGACTGGGAGAGCATTATGGACGCATACGTGGCTGCTTCTCGGGCAGTGTTCATTTTGCAGGTTCCACTGATCGGGGCATGCCTTTTACTCTGCGCATTTGTCCGAGACCGAGGGCTGGAACGACCGAAGGATCCAGATGAGAAGGCCCCCGGCGATCAGCATCAGCGTAGAGAAAGCCAGTCAGCCAAAGAACCTACTTCTCAGCAACCCGAAGCAGAGCACGCGAAGACAAACGGCAACCCTGCCAGGACCTAGGTCGTTCCCAGGCTGCCCTCGTAGGGTCGTAGAAGTCAATCACTTCTTTCGAAAAGCCCAATGATATTTGATCACTCAGCCCCAAACTCTCTGCAATGTACTCGTTTCCCTATTGTCCTGTTCAAAACGCATGTCGGACCCCACGGCCGGACGCCTGATGGAGTTCTGAATCGAGAGACCTCGGCGAAAGAACCCCGCATCCCCTCAACGGCACAGGAATACCCACTTACCTACTCCTTATATTCCAAACTCCCACGCCTTCAATACAGTGGACAGTAAATTAGCACTATACACTCTTCACAATGACTGAAGCAGCTAAACCGCCATGTCACGTTAACGGCACAGCGTTTATCACGGGTGCTGCATCCGGTGCGACTACTTCCTCGCCATCCATGTATAGAGCAGAATGCTAACACCATAAAGGCATCGGAAAGACCGTAGCACATGTCTTTGCTCGGAACGGCATAGCAGGCCTCGCACTGGCAGATGTCAGCGTCCCCAACCTCGAGGCCGTGCAAGCGGAACTCCGCGAACAATATCCCCACATCCGCGTCGAGATATTCACTGTTGATGTGACAAAAGAGGAGCAAATTGCTGCTACCGTGCAATCAGTCGCCGACAAATTTGGCCGTATCGACATCTCGATCCATAGCGCCGGCATCGCGGGTCCCCCGACTCCAACACACGAGCTTCCACTGTCAGACTGGCAGCGTGTCATTGACGTCAACCAGACGGGCGTGATGTTATGCGATAAATGGGTTGTTCAGCAGATGTTGAAACAGGAGTGAGCAGCCCTGTCCGTGTTGTGAATTCTAAATACGCTTGTTGCTGACACCTTTAGATTGCGTCCGGGATATGAGGGGCGCGGGATTATTGTCAATCTTTCTTCGATGTATGGAATCAAGAGTCCCGACGGGGCCCTCCAAGTTGTTTCGTATACGACCACAAAACATGGTACAGTTCCCAACGCCCCTATATTCAATGCATCTCTAGACCATAGACTAATAAGCAAAAACAACAACAGCGGTTGTTGGACTGACTAAATTTGTATACTCCCTCGCCCCTTTTTATGACAACTACGGAATCCTAACTTAACCAGGACGGAAGAAGATACGCAGACGACGGAATTCGCATAAACGCTATATGTCCCGGGTATGCTCCTTGCCGCCACGGTTCCATAATAGTCAACAAACAGAGCTAATACAATGAGATACCAGCTACGTCGACACGCCTTTCACCAGGGCCGCACTTGAATCGGGATTTGTCGACTTCGAAGTTAACAAGGGTGCTCTGAAACGGCCAGCTAAACCAGAGGAGATTGCCAATGCGGTGCTCTTCCTCACGTCGAGGATGGGAAGTTATATGTGTGCTAACGCGCTAATTGTGGACGGAGGGTCGACTTCGTGAGAGGTGGACTTTATCCATGACTTGCTTCAATGTTCGTTTGTTCTCGAGCCGCCAGTATACTGTACCCGTGTTGGTTTGAAATCTAGCCGATGCGCATCTGTATGAAGTTTGAAACCTACAGTTTATGAAATCGTGCACGATGAAATTAGCCAAGGCCAAATTTGTCTCACATACAATATGTTTTCTACATTTAGATGCGAATATGTATAAAAGACTCTTCACAAAAGCTGCAATTGTGGTTCAAAGCAAGTAAATACAAAGATATATCCAATATCCTCTTCATCAGAGCCACTGTGCCACTTCATCCCTATTATTATATCCTCTCCGATAGCTGCGACCAAGTGCCAATCTCTTTGCCACCTCATTTGCATCGAACAAGCTCACAAGCTTCCTCTTCGTGCTCTTCTCTTCTTCAACCTTAGGCTTGCAAAGGTTATAAATATCTCGCTCCGCCCAATTAGCTCTATTAGACTGTTTCTCAAGAAAGTCGTTAGGTGCTCTATGGACAACCCGCACCGAGGATAGGTCTTTGCTGCGGTTATAGTACCTCCAATTATCATCATTCGTCCGCGACGGACCCTGAGGTGGGCCGTCGGTCATCTTCGCAATCCATTTATTCTCAGCGAGCTCGGCGGGCGTGGCTCCAACTGCATTTTCGCGGTGCAGTAAGTCAGGCCGAGAGTCGAGGAATGACTTCAGTGCTACGCCATCGAGTCCATTGACTGCGTTGTGGAGCACAGTGTTTCCGGATCCATCAAGTAGTTCGAGATGTCTTTGGCCTGTGGACTCAGCGAGACCAAGGATGGTTTTGAGAAAGTTGGCGCGCAAGTCTCCGCCCCAGCCCCGGCATTTGGTCATCCAAAGGGCAAGTGGGGTGAGGGACCCTGGCTCTGAGGCGCAACGCTCGACGAACATCGAGGGAATAAGACGTGGGTCTATCAGGCTTAACATGTCATCGAGGCGCATGAACTTTGGCCCCAATGAGGGTGCTATGGTGAGATGCATGAGATTCTTCCCCTCGAAAGCACGCACGGTTTGGTTAGCTCCGGCTGAGATGAGCGTTTTGGCGAACTCAAACTTGTGGGTGTAAAATGCAATAGCGAGAGGCGTGTATTCGTCGTCGGACTTGATCTCAAGGCAATGAGGCATATTGTCGACCAGATATTCAACCAAGCGTCCTGACTCCTCGGTGTATTTGGAGAGGATGGCACAGTGCAAGACCAGGTCGCCTGTACATCAGTTAGTATATGTCAAGGGTCCAAATTGATGAGCTAGGGAGGTCTTACGCCGAGAGTCCAGCCAGTCAAGGATTGACTTCTCCATTCCTTTATCGGACATGGAAAGCTTCTTAAGTCTCGCATCCTTTTTGTGAGCCCTGGCAAACTCGGTATAGTGTCGGCCAGGTGCTGTACCTAAGAACCACTCCACAGCTGCGAGATTACCCTCTCTAGCCGCGAGCAGCAGGGGAGGACTCATTTGGATTGATCGCGTCACTGGCACACCTCTACCAGCAGCGGCCCAGTCAGCACGCTTCTTCCCATGGACCGAAAGACCTTGGTAGTATTTGGGCGTTTCCTTGACCTCAACCTTGCTTTCCTCTGCGAGCTTGTCAAGGGGGAGCCCAGCACCGCTTCTTTTAATCATCTCTTCCAAGCACCGGAGACGGCCGAGACGCATTGCCATGACAAAATCAGAGTGAAGGATGTTGTAAATCGAAGACTTCTGCGCATCCTTCTGCCTGGAAAGTATTTCCTCACCCATCGAAATTAACAGCTTCAGGAGTTCAACATCATCCTTCCAAACAGCGTATCCAATCAGACTCCTAATATCCGTCTCTGGGCGTTGTTCCTTATCGAAAAAGAGGGCCATATTGCATGTTCCCGCCAATATACTCAGCGGAGCGATCTTGCTCTCAACTTGATTCTTAACCTCGCCAACATTCTCAAAAGTGAATTCGTCATCGATAACATGAGACTCAAGCTGGATGCCTTCAGAATCTGCATCGGAGTAATACGAATCGTCCTCGTCATCAGAGTATTCCGCCCTGATTCGGTACCGGGTATTATCTCGCTGTTCATTGGGCTTGAATTGAGCAATTGATATAGCTAGGATGGTCTTTGCGGTTTCCAGGTGGCCACGTAGGACAGCAATCGTGAAAGCTGTGTATTCACGTAAATCTCTGACACCAATCTCAAGGGGCAGATACTCTTTGTTAGGCCCCCAGGTTGACAAGGTGAGGGACTTTATCGTTTCCACGTCACCTGTCCAAGCGGCTTCGAATCTAAAATTTCAAGGTGAGTCCACACTCTAACGCTATCCTGCAGAACGAACTTACAATTGAAAATAGCCTTCCTTCTGCTCATCAGTGCAGTTCTGTGCGCGGAAGTCTAAGGTGATCTTGAATGGCTGCACCTTGGACTTATAAGACTGATCAAGAGGCTGGTTACGAGGAGAATGAACCGGGCGCTGAATGTCAGGATGTAGCTCTTTGAAGGTTTTAGCGCCTCTAGAAAGCAAATCCGCTTCCAGCTTTTCATATTCGGCAAGTACGGTCTGTATGACAGCCTTCTTCTTTGCCAGGCCTTCGGTCCGACCCCTGGACGCTACCTCTTCATCATATATCTTCTGTTCGCGGGCAAGTTGCTCTCTTCTTTGTCGGAGCATCTCTTTCGCGACCCACATCTGGTAGCTTCCGTCATTGAAGTTGTCGAGGTATGCGCTGTCATCCGGATCCAACCCGGCTGGCGGGGAAAGAGCTTTCTCATCACTGTAACCGCGCAGACCCTTCAGCTTTGCATGGACATAGTCGAGCAAGGATGTACCAATCGTAGAGGTCCTAGAATTGCCATTATGGAGGACCTTGTATCCGTCTGGTGTGAGAGTATTCGGGTCTGCACCACGCGCAAGAAGTTCAATGGTGATTAATGGCATATCCTTATCTAGAGATGAAATCACAGGCTGGACAATGGACTCCTCAAACCGGGCCTTGTTTTGCTCCGTTGACTGATTAGTGGCCCAGCTTTTACCTGATGCTTGAGTTGCTTTGACGTAATCTTCCAGACTAATTGCGGGATGGGCACCCATTTCAAGAAGCCTTCTGGTTTTAGCACGGTCTTTAATAGAAATGGCATATGTCAGAGGAGTCTCCGCCGGGTACCGCTGGTAGGCATCCACCGCGGTTAAGTGATTGATCGCCCTGTCAACTGCAGGCTCGTCGTATTTGCTGAACATACTCAGGATCTCGGGATGGCCATAATGCGAGAGATAGTGCAACGCCGTTTTGTGGCTGATATCAGCTTGAGCTGGTGATGCTCCCACCTGGAGGAGCTTCTCGACCATAGCCTTTCCGGACTCTTTGGGAAGTCGGAGAGCAAGGACTAGTGTTAGAATGGCAGCTCTTGGGGAGTTGTTGTAACTGTGCACCAATTTTATAGGGAGCAGAACGTCAGCACCGAAGGAGGATACCAACTCCTCAACTACGGCAACATGACCTTTCAAGATTGCCAAGTGTAGCGGCGAGGCTTTGTTGTCCCAAGCCACGACATTGACGTCGTAGATATCAGGGTCGAGATCGCCAGCATCGTCTGGAACAATAGACTCGGGTTCTTCTCCTTGTTCCTTCTTCACCTTGACAAATGATCCTGTAGTGTTGGAATGGGCGTACACGTCGTCATCGTCATCTCCTGATGATATATCAACCATCTCTTCATCGCTGTCCTCTTGTGAGGCATTGCCTTCCTTCCTTTTGGAAGCCTTCTTGCGGGAATCTTCCATTTTTGCTTCCTCTTCTTCATTCTGTTCGCTCTTTGTAAGGAGAATGCGAACGATCTCAACACTTCCGCGCGCAGCCGCCAGATGCAAGGCGGTGCGTCCATCCGCCACACGAGCAATCAGACGAGCCCCATTATCGACCAAATGTTGAACAATTTCGGGTTCGGATACCATACAAGCCAAATGAAGTGGCGTGCGGCCAGTGTGATCCCGTCGATTCACATCAAAGTCACCATCCGCCAGCCAGCGTTTCACTTCTTCAAAGTCGTTGTCAACAATCGCTTGGCAAAGACCAGCTGTGTTTCCAATGTACGCCATTTCTGTGTCTTGTTAGTGACAGGAACCAGTCAGATAATTGACTCACCCACCTGTCCAGTCAGTATCCGTGATCGGATTGAAACTGCCAATCTCCTGCCGACCAGGATTATCGCTTATGAATGAGATGTCTCCTGAAATATAAATCTTGCTCTCTTCAGCTGCAACTTCCTCTTCAACCGCGGTGACTGGCTTTGGGCAGTATCCACAGCAGTCATGCATCACATCCTCGGTGCTGCCAAAGAACGCAGGGTGTCGGTGTAAATGGACCTCGCGGTCTTTAGGTTTATTCCACTCTGCATTGAGAAGCAAGTCCTTGGTATACAGCAATTTTTCGATCTTGCGAGCGTGGAACTTCGGGCCGTAGGGAATTGTCTATATTCTATCAGTCCGGTTTTGATGGAGATTGTCAGGGCCATTCTTACAAAAGTATGGTAGCCCGATACTTCATCCTCCTCAACCCATTCCGCAACCTCGTCCTGCCAATCATTTTTGATATCTCCTCTGGGACCCGTCGGCCGGTAGTATCTATTAGGTGCGGGTCGGCCACGCTCTCTGCGTCGCTGGGTGAGATACTGCTCGCGATCATAGGATTTCGGCAACTTTTCCAGGACTAGAAGACGCGCCAGTCCTACTGTTCTTGTAAAGCTGCGCTCAAAGATAGACTACAAAATGTTAGACTTGGGTTTTCAAGGCGAATGGAGTCTACTCACTGGATCAATTCGAGAACGATCTAGGCCCGGCCAGAACACTTCAAAACCTCTGTGCGAGTACTTGGACAGGCGGTTTTCGTAGGACGGAGATCGTCTGGAGAGATCGACCTGGTTTATCTGGGTCATGTATGCCCCAATCGCACGGGGAGCCAGATAGACTTGTTTACCGTCGTACGCCGCGCAGGAACAATCCACGTCAAACCCGGTGAGGATCTCAGCAATAGACTTGTACCGACGCAGAACGATCTGGACATGGCGGGTTGGGTATTGAGATACAATGGTAATGGCGTTCTTGGTCCGAATGGTTGATACCTCTGTAAGAATAGAATCTCGGATACACCGTTCAATTTGCTTGATCTTCTCAATGGCCTGTTCCTCTGTTAGGCCATAAAGAAAGAGATCGACATCTGATGCCGGAGCAAAGATCTCGTGATAGAACTGGCGCAGGCCACGCTTAGAATCATTGTATTTATCAGGAACAGGGAGAATCGAAGTTGCCACTGCACTTCCGGCAGCGACGACATTATTCCAGTCCAGGTCGGATAACGAGCTCTCGCAGAAGATGTTGAAGTGGGTCTGGAAGTCCCTAAGGCTGGAGACAACTGCAGGGGCGCCAGACGGTTTCCGATCGTCATCCTTCAGGGGCATAAGATATTTTGACTTGGTGGCTTCAGACTCCGAAGCAAGATCGCGAGAGCGAATGCGGAGATCTGTTGAGCCATTGGAGTCGAAGAGTGGCACGACATTGAGGAGATTATCTGCAACGGCGGGATGGAGTGGCTCTTGGGCGTAAATCTTGCGTACAGCCGCGTCGTACTCATTATATGGCCTCACAAGCTCAGTTATCGGAGTAGATGGACGACCAGTAACATGCTGGATGAAAGCCGAGTGCTTTGCGGGGAGAGGGGGGAGGGTAGTCATTGCGGGCTAAATAATAGACGGGCTGGATGGAATAGAGGACAGAGAAGTATGAATTGATGGAATTGAGCAGGAGATGAGGATGGAGAGGAGAGTTAAATAGATCAACTCGCTCGTATACGAGCAGGCACGGCAGGCATCCTCAGGCACCAAGGCCGCAGGAGTGGGTCGCTAAACCCAATCGGGCTGCAGCCTAGCAGCTTGGAGCCTGAGGCATCATAAATCAGGCCCCCGCCTCCTGCCTGCACAAGGCGCAGTATCATTCGACACAGTACGCACCCCAGTCGACGGCTTGAACTCGATTAGCGGCTTGGTAGTTCGGCACTTAGCCAAGGATTGTAGTGAGTCTTGGGTGGAGCTTATCTGTTTGAACCAGCCAGCTTCCTGGCGTTGTTGACAGGCTTACCCAGGACAAGGACAGCAATCGGACCTTGAATCCATTGGCGCAGTCAATGTCACTATTTTCCTTTATAGCAATGATTGGGGGAATCAAGGCATTATGCAGGCTCATATACCAACCAGAGGCACCACATCTATTGCAGCCCGCACTGGCATTCCAAATAGGGCAGGACAAATGAGCTCCTCGGCCAGCACTGGCGATCGTCGCCTGAACCTGGAGAGCAGAGCAAATCGGATAGAATAGCGTATCAATTGCTCCCAGAAATGGTATTCGCTTGTCATATGTCGGTGCATCTACTCCAACATTCCCCGCACTCTCCAGTCTCCACAGCCCATTCCATCTATACGGCCGGTCAACCCCGGACATGACACAGAGCCCTACAAATTGCCGCCGATGCTCTCGTCAGGGAGAGGACGCCTGATCCAATTGTAGCAATCTTACCTGGAGCGGAAGTATAGCTCACTATGTCTTTAGACGCAACAAATAACCCCATGGCCAAGCAAGCGCCGAAAGATGAGGTAGACCCGGAGTCCCTCGGTTCGTCTATTACTCTATTCCTGGCAGAAGTTCTTACTGACAGATGCAGGGGTTGACACAGAGGCAAGAGGTAAGCCGTTGAGTACCTGATACACGCTGCACCAGCAGATAGCTCAAATCCTTTAGACGTCCTCCAGCCCTCCACGACACATGTCAGTCTTGCCAACCTTGGCTTCGAACAGGAGTTGGAGAAAACAATCGGCCCCTTGGGCATCATCTCGGTTGGATACAATATTTGCAACAGTTGGGTTGGTCTAGCAGCGACCTTAACCGTTAGCCTGGAGTCGGGTGGTAGCGTGACGGTTGTATATGGCATTCTCGTTGTCCTGTTTGCACTTGGATGCTCTGCTGCGAGCATGGCCGAGCTATCCAGTGTATATCCCACTGCAGGGGGTCCGTACCATTGGGCTTCCATCCTTGCTCCAAAAAAATACCATCGAGTGATCGTAAGCAGCCGGTATTTCATGGAATTTGCAGTGGCTATCCAGGCTGATCATATCAGAGTTACGCGTGCGCTGCCTTCAACATTTACGGATGGCTGTCCATTTGCGTCGGCGTCACTGTGCAAATTGGAACATTTGTCAATGGGATGCGCGTGTTCTATAACCCTAGTCTTGACCTTCCTGTCTGGCACAACTTTCTGTACTACCAAGCCACGAACATTGTCATTCTACTTTACAATATCTTCGCTCTCCGCAGGACACAATGGATACATAGTCTTGGAGGTACGTCTCATCTATATTTTATTCAGGCAAACTACTTGCTAATCAATGGCAATCAGCGGTGTTTTCGTTGGCCGCCTTCGTCGCCGTCTTCGTCACCAGCCTGTCCCGCGCCGAGAGCTACAGCTCAAGTTCATTCGTTTGGACATATTACCCTGGCCATGAGTGGACCTGGGACTCTCGCGGGCTGGTGTTCTTGACCGGCATGGCGAATCCAAATTTCATGTATGCCGGGATCGACGGGGCCATTCATTTAGCAGAGGAATGCACTGATGCCACCACGACCGTTCCCAGAGCTTTATTTAGCTCGATTGTGATTGGCTTTTTTACTGCCTTTCCCTTTGTTATTGCCATGCTCTATTGTTTGACGGATATTGACAAAGTAATGGAGGATCTTACTGGGTGAGTCTGGGAATGATAAGCCAACATACAGCGACTAACGAGGTCTTTATCTAGAGTCCCAATATACGAGATATGGTATCAAGCGACGAGATCCCGCGAAGCAGCAACCGTTTTCGTAACATGTCTCCTCATGGTAGCCCTCTTCGCATTGAACGCATGCCAGGAGGTCGCCTCACGCTTAACCTGGGCATTCGCCCGCGACAATGCACTGGTCGGATCCAAGCTGTTCGGCCATATCAACAAAAGGCTCAAAGTGCCCGTCTGGGCCCTCGCCGGTAATGCCTTGGTTATCTTCATCATCGGCTGTATCCAGCTTGGCTCGTCGACCGCATTCGAGGCGTTCGTAGGAAGCGGAATGCTGCTCCAGCAGTGCGGTTTCGCCATTCCAGTTGCCCTGCTCCTGTGGCACAAACGGTCAGATCAGGTATTGGCGAGGAATAGGAACGTTCGCCTAGGACCGTTTGGATGGTTGGCCAACATCGTGACGGTGCTATTTGCAATTCTGGTCACCGTCATGTATTGCTTTCCTGTCCGGCTTCCTGTGACGGGAGGAAACATGAGTAAGTTCAGACGTGTTCAAAAGAAGCCTGCTAACTCTGCTAACTCTGATCTCTAGACTATACCGCTGCTGTTGTTGGGGTTATGGCTATCTTTGCGGTGGTGAACTGGTTTATTCATGCGAACCGTAACTTCCAGGGACCCCGACTGCAGGGTGGATTCCTGCATTGAGTTGGAGGGAAAGCAGTAATTACGGCTTGTAGGTAACTAGAATCGTTTGAAGCTCTGCCTCATATATCGATTGCTGTATTCGATAACTGTACTCCAAATGTGAGGGCATGGGAAATGATAGCCGGCAATTGACTCCAGACCCAGCCGAGCCAGGCATAGTATTTGGCCTCGCTTCGGAGCTAGATCTAACTTCCACCTTCCGATGTGTAAGCGGAATTTGACGAGGCCAAAGCGGAATTTGGAGATCCCTTGGAGAAACAATCTGCACTTGATAAACGCTGTACCCAGCCACCGACCAAATCTACAATTTAGAGTCTCATAGTCAAGAGATATCAACCGGCCAGAAATGTTTTCCAGTGTTCCGACAAAACAGCCCACATGCGAGGGCATCCTTATCGTATGCCTTCAAGCCATTCCATATTCGAGCTTGAATCGCGTTCTGACAAATTGTATATCGGAGCAGGCATTGCCGGTTTGACGCTGGCCCAGGCCCTTCGACGTCACAGAATCCCCTGTACAATCTTTGAGCGCGACGATTCCCCGGAAGTGCGGCATCAAGGATGGGGTGTGTCCATCCACTCCACCCTGACTACATGGGAAGCGCATGTTCTGCCGGAGATCTATGACCGTGTCTGTGAAGCACAGGTGAATCCTGCTGTTGGCCGTGATGAAGTCCGCGGAGTCCCATGGATCAACGGCGCGACTGGACAAGTCGAGCAGTTTGTTCCCAAAGGCAAGAGACTTCGGCTGAGATGGGACGGAATCCGGAGGGCTCTCATGGAGGGCCTGGACATCAAGGTCAGTCAAAACCTCCATTTTGCCCTGTTTATGCTTGTCAACTGAAGCCCATTCGTATTGCAGTGGGGTAAACGGCTGGATAATCTTGAGGAATTCGAGGGAGGCGTCCGAGCCGGGTTTGCAGATGGCACTGCTATGCTGGGAACTGCCCTGGTGGGTGCAGATGGCTCGATGTCCATCGTCCGCAAGTTTCTCGCGCCCACAAGTTACAAACTGCATCGCCTTCCTATCAATGCTTTGGGCTGTACCGTGATGATGAGCGAAGAACAAGTCAACTACTTCAAAGACCACGTCGATCCACTCTATTTTATGGGAACACACCCAGAAACAGACACATTTGTCTTCTGGTCTCTGCTCGACACTCCCACAGCCCCCGGGAGGCTCTACCGCGCACAGCTGTATTTTTCCTGGATGGCTTCTGATGCGGACGAGGGACTTCTCAGCCAGCCCTTGCTTGAGGTGTTCAAACAAAAAGGCCGGCCATTCTTCCCTCGCATGCGCGATATTGTGGACTCGCTACCCGATGACACCGTTGTTACACGCGTCAACCTAGTCGACTGGCCCTCTGTTGAATGGGATAACTGGAATGGCACTTGCACCTTGATCGGCGACGGGGCCCATTGTATGGTGATCTGTAAGTTTATCTATCTGCCCGTGGGGAATGGATTCTAACCAAGTTGCGAAGATCGCGGCGAGGGAGTGAACCATGCCATTGTTGATGCCTGCCAACTCGCGGATACTATCAAGTCTGCTGTTGATGGCCACATGTCAATGAATGCCGCTGTTAGAGAGTATGAAAAGCAGATGCACCCGCGGGCGAGAGAGGCAGTGCAGACTAGCAGACAGGCTGGACACGACGGCCACTGCTATAGTAAGGTTGACAAGGAAGGAAGCTTCGCTCTTCTCGGTGAGAAGCCAGTCTAGTGGTCTATCTCAGTGATGGCAAGGAGTGGATGTATACGCTTAGCAGTATCTTCCCTATCAAGCACATAGTAGCCTCCACTCCATATACTGCCCCGTACAATCTTGCAGCCGCCAGCACCTAATGAGCCAGCCTAAAATCCAAACGCTTGTTACCCTCATCCGTAGTCGTGCTCAGATACTCCATCCGCTGCTCCTCATTCAGCGCATTCCACTTCGTCTCGCGTCGCTTGTTCTTCCAGAGATAGTACACCTTTGTCAGGGAATATATAGCAATGTTTGTCGTCACCAATGCCACAAGGGCCCGGTTCCCGCGGCGGTACCGCGGGCTATCGTCCTCGCGATAGATGTTAGAGGCGATGATGCCCGATGACTGGACGCACATGTTATATACGGCCGCTGAAACCGTGCGTGAGCGGACCGTGTTTGAATTGCGGGAGTTCCAGCCGACTTGGATCGGGTGTGCTTGTACTAGTTAGTTTTATTTCAGGGAGACCTTAAAGGATTAAATATGCGGGAAGTACCATTAGGATATCCTAGCAGCAGCGTCATCACAGCCCAGGCCACCCACTTGTTCACGGAATTGATGTCGACAACATAGAGATACACCAGGAATGGCAGCGCCCAGATCTGTCCGACCATGGCAACAAAGGTCAACTGGCCTGTCGCTTCAGCGGTGTATGCCAGAAGAAGCATGGTTGTTATATGCAAGATCTCTCTAGGAATGATGAGCAAGTTGGTTGTGAACGTGTCAAATCCCAGCCCGCGCAGGGTGAGCGTCAGATACTGTTGCGGAGTCGTCATTGGGGTCTGAAAGGTCAGCCCGATGATATAGATTGGCCACAGATCGTAGTCACACAGGCTCTTCCACAGCAGCTTTGGGGTGATGGGTTCGCGATTGTGCATGCTTCCTTTGCTGGGGTCATCGCGGATAACCCGGTTAACCATGATGGTCTCTTCACTATTTGCTATCAGCTACTATTCTTTAAAAAGGCAGCTTTGGAATCGTACCGCTCGGTGAACCAGCCCTTCTTCCCGCGCGCCCAGTTCGCTGTCTGGCATGGACCAGGCGGCATGAGGATGAAGGCAGATATACCAATCAACAAGGTGAGAAGGCCCTCCAGCAGGAAAAGCCAGCGCCAGCCAGACTGGCCTTGCACTCCTCGAAGATGGAGAAGGCCGAATGCGAGGAAGCTGGCGCCAATATCAGCCGTGCTCATGGCGGTCCAGAAGTAGCCCAGTCGGATTGTCAGCTCGTGGTGTTTGTAGAAGTACGATAGATACAGAATGATCTAAGTCCTATCAGTGCCTGAATACTTCAGTTCCAATATGCTTACGTCTGGAATAAACCCGCCCTGGAGGATTGCCAGCAGTGCTCGACACGCCAGGAAGGAGGTTCGTCCGCTTAGGGCATACTGTCCCATGGCAACCCCAGACCACAGGGTTATTTGCATTGGAATCCATCGGTCAGGGCCCATCCACTTGCTGACAAGCTGAGAAGGCAGCTCTGCACAGAGGAACGACAGCTTGAACACCGTATTCCCCAGGTTATAGTCTTGCGCATGGTCAGTGTTGTCCACGCCCACAACAATGCGCCGTCGCAGAGAACCCACCGTTCGTGTCCATCCCCAGCTCTTCGAGGAAGTTGTCGGTCAGCGCTTGGCTGAGATTCGCTCTGTCTAGTTCGAGCGCCATAAACATGACGCAGGCGAATATCATGATGCGCAGGTCGATCTTCCGGATGAGTCGAGTTTCTTCTCCCCACGTCCACCTTGCCGATGGATCGAACCGATGCAGGTTCTCCCAATCATCGCGGGGCTGGTACTCCTTTGCTGTTTCGGGGTTGTCGTATACAGAAGGCTGGGTTGCAATTCCCTCAGGGTCGAGTCGGTCCTTGCGCTGGAAGAACTTGCGCGTCCGTTTCACCGGCTCGCCCAGATCAGACGAAAGCACAACGGCTGTAGTAGCAGATTCAGAAACCCCGTCGATCTCGGAGACTGTGGTTCGGGCCTTCCATGGTTGATAGACGGTCGTCATTCTGGTGGCCAGGGACAATCTCGATGACCTGGGGCTGGTCGCTGGACGAAGCCATGCTGTCGATGTACCGATTTTATACGAAGACGTATCTGCGACATTGCACCATTCAGCCAAGAATGACTTATAGATAAGGGCCGGTGTTGTATTCTCGGGGTGCCAGTATCGATACTGGAGGATTGCTCGCCAGCTGCACAGATGATGCCATCGTGCGCACGCCATCAAGCCACCCTTTTCAAACCATTTATTTCCAACTGCACTCGCGTTTCGGCGTTAGTATAGAGGCACGCTGGATCGCCTGCATCCGCACTCTATCATCTCATCGCCGAAAGCCTAGACCACGGACAGTCGAATCCCGATGGGATAGTTACGCAGCAGAATAACGGCGGAGGTCAGTTGGCGCAGGATTGCGAGATATTGCATAATGCGTGCGGGGGATGATGTCCGTTAATCTATATAACTGCGACTGAAAGATGTAAAGATATCTTGTCTTCGAATACTGGCATACAGAGTATTATCAAAGTACTAAGCATGGCTCCCTCCGTCACAGAATCCCCCATCGTCGTCCCCGAAGTCACCAAGGAGACTCAACGCCAGCCTCTCCAGCTCAGCGGCGCACTGCAGGATGTCGAGCACTTCGACGTGACTCCAGTCATCGGCCGCGAGTTTCCAACTGCCAGTCTTGCTGAATGGCTGCGTGCGCCCAACTCGGACGAGCTGCTGCGCGACCTCGCCATCACCAGTATGTATCCCCACCAAGTAGAAACTGCAGAGTTAATAGTGCCAGTCTCCCAAAGAGGCGTCGTCTACTTCCGCAAGCAGGACGGCCTCACCGATGACCTTCAGAAGGAGCTCGTCGACCGTCTGGGCCGTCTGACAGGCAAGCCCAGCACGTCTGGCCTGCACATCCACCCCATCAGCAATTCGGCGCGCGAGCACAGCACTTCAGACGACGAGATCAGCGTCATCAGCTCCGCGCAGCGACAGAAGCTGTACCAGGGCAAGAACTCGTTCGGTCGCAGCGGCCGACATGAATGGCATAGCGATATCACCTTCGAGCCGGTGCCCAGCGACTACACTCTGCTTCGGTTGACGGAGCTACCCAAGACTGGCGGAGGTAAGCATGTACCATACTTAGTTTCTTATTTAGAAGACACGACTAACAGAAATAGACACGCTCTGGGCCTCTGGCTACGAAGTCTACGACCGCATCTCCAAGCCCTACCAGGCCTTCCTCGACGGCCTCTCAGCAACCTACGCACAGCCACTCTTCAACTCGATCGCTGACCAGAACAAATTCGCCGTGCACCCCGGCCCCCGCGGTGCACCTGAGAATGTGGGCGATGAGTTGCTGGCCGTCCACCCGGTCGTGCGCACGAACCCGGTGACCGGGTGGAAGAGTATCTTCGCGGTCGGCCATCACGTCCAAAGGGTCAATGATCTTTCCGAGGACGAGAGTCGACACCTGCTCGACTGGTTCGTGCGCCTGGTGACGGAGAACCATGATCTGCAGGTGCGGTTCCGGTGGCAGAACCCCAACGACGTGGCGATCTGGGACAACCGGAGTGTATACCATGCGGCGACAGTCGACTACCAGGAGCTGGGGCCTCGCACAGGACACCGCGCGGTGGGACTGGGGGAGAGGCCGTTCTTTGATGCGAAGAGCAAGAGCCGGAGGGAGGCACTAGCTGGCCAGATATAACATACCAATTTGATCTCTTGAATCTATTAGCAACCTGGCCCTCGTAATCACAAGCATAGACCATCTAAATCACCCGAGGATGTGGCTCGATCTCAGGGTCCACTCACAAAACCCAACCAGGCAGAGCATGCGAGGCCCACGTCGACCACATTTCATGCGAAGGCCCACTCACTACATATAAGAAGAGGAACAACCTTGAAGCGCAGTCAACAAGAACAACCTTGAACTTTGAAGTGCTTCGATTCTCACACACCATGTCGGCCCTCTGGAACCACGTCGTCCAGCAGTATGACCCCCTGCTCATCGACTTTGTCGGCAACTCGGCCGTCAGCGTCGTCTCCTTCTGGCTGCCTTCGCTCTTCTTCCTCTCGCTGGAATCGATCTCGCCACAGTTCTCGACCAGGCATAAGATCCAGCCGGCGCCCAAGCAGCCCACCAGAGCCCAGATCTGGGACTGCGTGGGCGTCGTGGTGAGAAATCAGTTGATCTCCTTCGCCATGAGCGGACTCAACACCCTCGCAGCAGCCAAGCTGCAAATGCCCTCGTCGTTCCGCATCACGGCAGAGCTGCCCGGTGCATACGAGCTTCTCCGCGACATTGCGCTCTGCTGGATCGGCCGTGAGGTTCTATTCTACTATTCGCACCGCCTGCTGCACTGGCCGCCGCTCTACAGGCCCATCCACAAACTACACCACCGGTTTACAGCGCCAATGGCACTGGCAGCCCAATACGCGCACCCAATTGAGCATGTCTTTGGCAATGTCCTCCCGGCCGTGCTGCCGGCCGTGCTGCTGAACACGCACATCCTCACCTTCTGGCTCTTTCTGACCATGGTCCTGGTCGAGACCACCACCACCCACAGCGGCTATGACTTTTTCGCTGGGGCAGCCCGCTCGCACGACATCCACCACGAGAAATTCAACTATAACTTCGGCGGGATGGGGCTGTTGGATCGGGTGCACGGGACCAAGTACGAGACGGTGGACGCTCGCAAGAACCAATAATCCAGGTCAAGCACGGTGGCCCTACAGCTGTAAATAATGACTCAAATCGTACAATCATACAATCAGGAACTCACCTGGAGTCTGTCCATGAGCCGTATCTCAGCCGTATCTCAGCCGTATCTCAGCCGTATCTCAGCCGTATCTCAGCCGTATCTCAGCCGTATCTCAGCCGTATATCAGCAGTATCTCAGCAGTATCTCAGCGGTATCTCAGTATCTCAGTCCAGTCCCAAGCACGTGCCGAGGCTGCGAATACGAGTCCATCAGATGCAGACTCAACCTCATCTCGTTTCCCATCAAACAAGACAGTATCGCAGAGCGTCATATCTTCGTTATCCTCATCGAGCCACGCCCGCTCAGCAGACATGCCCCTCAGCGCCGAGGAAGCCGCGCTGGTCGAGACCGCCACCGCCACCATCAACAGCATCCCCCTCTCGGAAGACTACAGCGTCGCCAGCGCTGCCAAAGCCTCCGACGGACGCGTCTTTACCGGCGTCAACGTCTACCACTTCACCGGCGGTCCGTGTGCAGAGCTGGTGGTGCTCGGTGTTGCTGCTGCTGCGGGGGCAGCGCAGTTGACGCACATCGTGGCGGTCGCGAACGAGCAGCGCGGGATCCTGAGTCCGTGTGGACGCTGTCGCCAGGTTCTGCTGGATCTGCAGCCCAACATCCAAGTGATCGTCGGCAAAGAGGGCAGCGAGCAGTCGGTGCCGGTCGCGCAGTTGCTTCCCTTCAGTTATCGCCAGCCAGACCAGCACACGTGACCGCCATCGCGTGATCTTCCATTGCGGTCTTTCTGTCTCTCTCTCTTTCTTTCTCTTTCGCACCACAGTCAGTCATGGAAATCGCCCGTCTGCTCATCGTCCTCGCCATCTACTTCGGTATGTATATGTTCGCGCCGGCTGGTAACCCCGCTAACCGCCATTGATCGTCCAGTCTTCCGCTACTTCATCCGCAGCCGCTCCGCCAATTCCGCCGCCGCCATGTCTCACGGAAAGGTCACTCCGGTGGACAAGTGCGTCTCCTCACCTAGCAGTCTGACATGCAACTGACTCCGAAATAGCCCCGTCATTTTCAAAGCCCTCACTTCCTCCGGTCCCGTCGTTGTCGATTTCTTCGCCACCTGGTGCGGTCCCTGCAAGGCCGTCGCTCCCGTCGTCGGAAAGCTCAGCGAGACCTACACCGACGTGCGCTTTATCCAGGTCGATGTCGACAAGGCTCGCTCAATATCTCAAGAACATGATATCAGAGCCATGCCGACGTTTGTGCTCTACAAGGATGGCAAGTTATTGGACAAGCGCGTTGTGGGTGGTAACATGAAGGAGCTGGAGGAGCAGATCAAGGCCATCATCGCTTAGCTGCATCATACGGAAGCGATTGCAATGCATATTTAGACGTACATGACAAATGTCTGGGAATGCATCTCGTCTCGATTGTAGTATCGTATTCCCTGCAACAAGGTGGAATCCAAGTAGTCTACCGTCAACATCGTTCACCTCAATATGCCCTCCCAATTTACGAGTGCTTATTAGCAAGTCAATTCCCGAAAATAATACTACAGTAACGGTTTCCACAAAGCCCTTATAGCTATCAGTCATCATAGGGCAACTATGTTACAGCAGCGTAACAGCAATAATTCACAATATACTACTCGTGACAAACCTCTAAACATGTAGACTAGTCTATATTCTGTATTAGATATCCCATGCCGATTAACAATGCAAACCGTTCCACTTCGGTTAATATAGCATCTAAAACTGCTACTCATCCTCTTCATGCTCATCCTCCTCAGACTCATTCCCTTCAGGCTCGTCCTCAGGCTCGTCCTCAGGCTCGTCCTCAGGGTGAACCATTGCCAACCAGTTGAGATGGTGCAGGCTCGCATGTCCACTATCACTAAACGGCGATCTGTTCGTGAGTGTGAACTCATCCCCAAACTCCATACAGAAAACCTTGTCAAAGCTATCCCCGGCTTGAACATCAACTGGGAATACCGCGAGGATGCTCATTTCGCGCTGTCGCTTTCGAGCCCCAGCAGCCCGTATACGTTCTATCTCCCTCTCGGCTGGAGTTAAAGGTCCGTTCCAGTCGCTTGCGCTCATCACTGTACCCGAACATCTATGCCTGTCATGCCACGGCTCCATGTCCATCTTGTTTGGGACTAGAAGTCCTATCCAGCGGCCTGCTCTCCTCAATGCACTAGGGCGTTGATATCTGCTATGCGTATGCGAAAAGGACTGCCACCGCTCTCTCTCCATCTCGATCTCCTCGCGAGCCACAGCATTCAGGCGATCCATGGCCGGTGTACCATCAAAATCTTGCCATCGCGACTCGCTCTCGCCGTCGCCTTTTGCGGCCTCTCGCACCGCTCCCTCCACGGGCAGCCCACCTCTGAATGTGTACTGAAAGCGTTCCCGCGTGACTCGGAGGAGCTCTTTCGCGTCTGAGTTACTCCCTTTGAAGGAGAGCGTGTAGATAACTGGGTATGTCTCATTCGGGCAGATGAGGTCATCTTTCACAATGCATGGGTGGACTCTGGTCGAGGCAAGTCGGCATTCGTCGCACCATGTGTTAAAGGAAGTACAATCAGGCATTTTTAATGATCAAGCCTTGTCAGTGTTTAATTGATACAACTGAAACATAATGTATGCTGATCAAAGTTTGATATTTTGAGTGAAACGTGGTGGTGTTGCACGGGTCATGGTTGGGTATATATATATAAACAATCAGCTCCTGATTGACAGAGCGGACAAAGGAATGCATTATATAACAAAGTTCATTGTCTACTCAGGTGTACTCTTTATCTTGGTCTAAAAGGAATGGCTTCCATACATCACATTGCTTTGTCCAACTGTCCCTATATTGAAAGTTCTCCTGCCCATCTCCATTTTCACAGTTGACCTTCAACACTGTATCAATATTTAGTCCCATATACCTAGTACAGCATACTACCCAGTGTACGGACGATATGAATGTATTAATACCCCAGCGCAAGCCCAGCATAATAGGCGCCAGCAACTAATTCGAAGGAATCATCCGAGACCTGCAATAACTGGCTTGCTGATAAGATCACGAACGCTGTCCTGCATCCAAGTCGGCCAGGCCCTAAGCGAAGTAGTAATGGAGAGATGTTCTGGGAGAATAACTTGGCCGCCACGTCCGGCCAGCACCTGCTGTACAACACGATTGCCGACTTCCTGCGGCCCCAGCATGCTTCCTTCCTGGCGCACATATCGGTAGGTGTGGTCCCCAGTCATAGGCGTGCGGACGTAGTTGGGATGGACCACGGTAGTGATCACGCCCGGGGCCTTGTATATATGGCGCAACTCGCCCCCAAGTCCCTCATGGAAAGCCAATGCCCCGGCTTTGGTGGCACAATAGTCCAGGGAGGTGCCGACGGTGACGAACGAGGCCATGCTTGCGATAGTAACGACGTGGCCCTTGTTACGCTTGATCATGTAGGGGACGAACTCTCTCGTGGTGGACCAGTGGGAAAGCAGGTTAATCTTGAAAATCTTCTGCAGGTAATCATCGGACGTCTCGAGAACCCCATGCGTGCCCATGATGCCGGCATTGTTGATTAGGATGGTGGGATTGCCGACTTCATGCCGAATGGTCTTGGCCACGTCAGCCACTGCGTTGGCAGCTGTCAGATCGCATGGAAAGTGCTTGATTAGCTTGTTATCCCTCAGATCTTCAGGGAGTTCCTGGAAGTCCACCACGACGACCGTGATGCCGCGCTTGGAGAGGCCCTCGACAATCACTCGTCCGATGCCGCCACACCCGCCCGTAACGACAGCGATTTCCGTCGGCCAGTCCCAGGGCTCTGGCGGAGATGCGTGCCAGTTGTTGGCTGCCAGTCTGCTCAAAGCGCTGCTGCCGACTCTCACTGCCCCTAGCGTGAGCCAGACAGACAGAATCAGTTTCAGTTTCTGCGGCGTCACCGCAGAGTACCGGGCCAAGAGATCGAAGATTTGGTTGCGTAGTTGCGGAGGGCCGTAATAGAGTGCTACAAGCAGAGACCCTGGGACCACAGGCTGCAGGACAGCTCGATTTGCCGCCGTTAAGGACTGGATCACATATTGGAGCAGGGACCGCATGGTGTCGGCACGGGATGGTGAAGACTGCGTCCGACAAGTACGGGGAACCGTGTACTTTATTTCAAGAGCAGCTACCAATAACTTTGCTGCGTGGGCACATGAAAATGGAGGCCGAGGCATCCGACTCCCAACTATCCCCCAATTAGGAAATCCCCACAGGCTCGTGGGCGACTTCGAGCTCAGCCACCGATCGTTGCTGCAAACCACATTAATGGCCAGGGTCCAGCCGGTCCAGGCCCTCGGTATATTTCAGATATATGCTAATTGGCTGTAACACAAGTCCAGCTTGTACATCGCTCGATTCGCTCTATTGACGTCGCACGAACACCATTGATCGTTCGGTCTCAAGCGGCATGAAATTATGCCAGTTATACAAGCAGTTATAAAAGCCTCTAACAGTAAACATTGCAAGTACCTTCGCCTATGTGTTGAGCGAATGTTGTATACAACTCTTCCAAATCCGAAGGAGCCGACGAAATATCCTTCGCCTCATTCTACGAAAGTTGACTGTCTAAATAGAACCTTAGCCTGACGGGCGCGTTCTCGTTCAATGGACGAGCCGTCGTATAAGGGCTCGGACCAGGTGGCTGAGGAAATTCCCCAGAAACCCCGTCTCCACGTGGAAGATTGGCGGGGTTTGCAGAGTCTGGTCCCTGCATATTGCTGTCTGTCATGCTACTTGCAGTAAACGGTCCAATGGCAGGCCACTTGAACGATCGAACTGGATTTATGGTGGAAAGCTACAAGTGGTGTCAATAAACTGCAGATCAACGGTTGGAACGGTAGGAAACTGCTCCCAGAGCAGGTCGATCATTGCTAAATAACAGGAAATTCTAAATGTACATAATCATCATTAACCAAAATCGCAGCCTCATAGCTTCTCCTTGCTAGACTTGCTGAATCGCTCAAATGACGAAACTGGAGGTGCAGAGTTGGGGTTTGGGTGGTGCTTCTTCAGAGCCATCTTGACGGGGTAGTCCATATCCAGCTGCGCCTTGGGGTCGTCGGTCTTGGGCTTGAAGTCGACAACCAGGTCGTCCTTGACGGCAAAGACGGAGTCGATGTCGAGGTGGGGGTCGTCGGAGGGGTAGATCTGGTTGATAACGGTGGCATAGTCGGGGTGCGTGATCATCAGGTGGATGTGCGCCGGACGCATCGGCGAGCGATCCATCACGTTCAGCAAAACACCGGCAGGTCCATCGGTTGGTAGAGAGTAGGGCGTTGGGTGGTAGCAGTACCAGTAGAACTCGCCCTTCTCGTTGGAGCGGAACTTGCCGCGGAGGTTGTTTTCGGTCTGGTTGGGATCCTGGAAATCGTACTGGCCGTTCGCCGAGGCCTGCCAGATATCGAGGACGGCGCCTTCAATGGGGGCACCCGTTTCCATATCTGTGAGCACACCGTGCATGTATGTGACTTTGCCGTTGGGGTTGGGGTCTTGGATGATGCTGTCGCCGAGGTTGCGGAAGGGAGCGTTGGGAGACCAGAAGGGACCGAGGATGACGTTGGAAGTAGGAGAAAGGCCTTGTTCGGTGACAATGCGGTTTGCGATTTCGTCAACAAGTCTAGAAGAGGTCAGTTTTTTTGTTCTCATTCGCTTCTACTCCAAGGGTGACTTACGATTCCAGACCGATCACGTCGCAGATACGGTGGCACTCGTTGCGGATGGGGGTGCTGATCTTGCCAATGGAGTTGATGAACTCGACACCCATCATCCACTCGGCCGGGGTCAGCTCGACCTCACGAGCAAAGTCGTGGATGTGTCTGATCAACGAGCCCAAGATCACGCGAGCGCGTGGGTTGGTGTTGGGGCCCATAGCGTTGACGACATAGGGGGTGAAGTTGGGGTCGAAGCGGGAGTTGGTAGACATTTTGGGCAGTGGAGGAGCAATGCAGATGGATGAGAGAGGGGCATCGACGACGAGGGCGACGACGAGCCTTATATCGAGTGCATGGGCAGGCGACGGCAGATGCGTCGGCTACCCATGAATGCAGGCAAAATACCGTGCCCACATGCCGACTGGGAAGCGGCAGTCCCCAGATTTGCGAGAGCCTCGAGAGCCGGGCTGTCCGGGCCCCCAGGTTCTTCGGCAAGGCGAATAGTAATGGCGGGCGTCTGATAAGCCGGATGGCGACTACACTGGCTCTCTTCAGTCCCATGGATGGTGGACCCGAGAAGAAGCGAATAGCCATAATGGGAATGGCGGTCACGGGATCGCGGATGAGACTTTTGCCGCGGCTGAGAATTCAGCAGACTACCTAACCTGTTTAGAACTAGCAATTCTCAGGACTCTCGATGCTTTGCAGACTGGTAGTAATGCAGGGAGATCAGCTCAGATCTTGGTCAAGATCGTACGATGCTCAAACAAGAATATGTCCCACCCATTCAGCCGGGAATTGTCATTCGGTGCCATTATGTTAATTATTTAAATACTCCGTATTATGGTATTACCACACCCCGCTCGGAACATTGTTGATCCGCCGCCAACAACTCAGCTTCGGCCTCACGATCCATGATTCATCGCAGTCCGTCCGCTCGCCTCTTCTGCAATGAGTCCGCTGAACGGTCTCGCTCGTTCGCTTCCCCGGCCGCTTAGGGCTGCCTCCAGGAGGCCTCTCCCAGCTCGCTGCGTCCTTTCCCCGTTCAGCCACTCCCCACGCTCACTGCGATCATCCTCTTCGAATGCCTCCGCTCCGTCTCCGCGCGACTCCTCCAACCCCGCTCTATCCTTCCCCTGCCTCGACGCGCAGGACGCAAAGTCCGCCCTCCTCTCCGCCAGATCACTCCGCTCCGGTCCCGAGCCATCCTACACTACCGGCCACCATGAACAGTTCCATTGCAAGGACCCCCTGCTGCTCGACTGGGGCGGCCTGCTTCCCGAGTTCGACGTCGCTTACGAGACATGGGGCCAGTTGAATGCGAACAAGGACAATGTCATCTTGCTACACACAGGTCTGTCCGCTTCCAGTCATGCGCACAGTACCGAGTCGAATCCGAAGCCCGGGTGGTGGGAGAAGTTCATAGGCCCCGGCAAACCCGTGGACACGGACAAATATTTCGTCGTTTGCACCAACGTCCTCGGGGGATGCTACGGCAGCACAGGCCCGTCGACACTCGACCCTTCGGACGGGAAGAGGTACGCTACCCGGTTCCCGATTCTCACAATCGAAGACATGGTGCGAGCGCAATTCCGCCTATTGGATCATCTTGGGGTTCGGAAGCTGTACGCATCAGTCGGCTCCAGCATGGGTGGCATGCAAAGCCTAGCAGCCGGTGTCCTCTTCCCAGACCGCGTCGGCAAGATCGTGACCATCAGCGGATGTGCCAGGAGCCATCCCTACAGCATCGCGATGCGTCATACCCAGCGGCAGGTGCTGATGATGGACCCAAACTGGGCCCGCGGTTTTTACTACGACTCAATCCCTCCTCACTCAGGCATGAAACTGGCTCGGGAAATTGCTACCGTCACCTACCGCAGCGGACCTGAATGGGAAAAGCGATTCGGACGCAAACGTGCCGATCCAAGCAAACAACCCGCACTGTGCCCCGACTTCTTGATTGAAACCTACCTCGACCACGCCGGCGAGAAGTTCTGCCTGGAGTACGACCCCAACAGCCTGCTCTACATTTCAAAGGCGATGGATCTGTTTGATCTTGGTTTGTCCCAGCAGCTCGCCACAAAGAAGCAAAGGGCAGAGTATCAAGCGAAGATCAGCAGCGGAGCGAGCAACGTCAACGAAGCTGCATGCAGCCTAACCCTTCCCGACCAACCCTACAAAGAACAACCCTCTGCGTCAACGTCGGCTACAGAACAGTCAGCCGCTGGGCCGGAATCAGAGCTCGAGTCTCCCCCCAAAGACCTTGTTGCCGGACTCGCGCCCCTGAAAGACCATCAAGTTCTGGTGATCGGAGTCGCGAGCGATATCCTCTTCCCCGCCTGGCAGCAACGCGAGGTAGCGGAAACCCTCGTCAAAGCGGGGAACAAAAATGTGGAGCACCTTGAGCTGGGCGAAGACATGTCTCTCTTTGGACACGATACATTCCTGCTGGATTTGAAGCACATCGGGGGCGCAGTACAGAAGTTTCTAGACTAGCAGTCTACATATTGTACAGTAATTATATCAGATCGCCATTATATTGAATGCAGTACACCCCCCACTCAAAAGTCCGCCGATGGATCGTAGCCGACAAGTCGATTGATTGATTATTGATTCCACCTCGCTGTTGCCTCCTTCATCCTCCTATATTCCCCATCATAACGGGTACGGGCCGCCCTCCCAATACCAAAAGTCCTCGATAAGGCAAGGCTGAATCCAATTTCAAAGCCAAACACGGCATCGCTGCCAACGAGCCTATTGTTCCTGGCACCCACGAGGAGTTCCCCTATATCCAGGCCCGGCTTCGCCTGATGCCCCTCTTCAGCGTTGTCCTCGTCGTCTCTGTGGCGCTGTACGGTCCAAGCTTCGAATTCAACGATGCACATCGATACTTTGTGTCCAATCTTGCTGGGCCCCTCATCCTGCAGTTCCTCATTGCGTTCACGGCGACATCAATCTTCAACATCAACTCCACCGTCTTGATTGACTGCTTCCCAGACTCCAGTGGTGTAAGGGCCAATCAAAGCAATGAATTGATATCTGAAGAAGACTGAGTGTGAGGTCTAAATGCTATGTGGAGCATTATCTCCGCTTATATCCGAAGCTATTTCAGCGCCAATCGTCTCTTGTCTATATATCCGAGATTTGTCGCTATCCTGGAGTTACGCGTAGGTCGTCCAAAGCAAAGGGCGAGGTGATAGTGGTGAAAAGTGGGTATGAGAAGCCGAAGGCGATGTATATATACTAGGTTACCAGAACTGGGCTGGGGGGTGGCGCCAAAGACTCGCTTTTGTAACGTAGCTTGACTGGGTAACTATACCCCAGGCATGTAATGAAGCTGACCAGACGCGACACGAAGTTTTGTAAACCGATAAAAGCTATGGCAAGCGGTGAATTTGAAAGCCCAAGCATGCATTTTATATGCCCGCTCATGCAGGGTCTAACAGGCCATCAGGCCCTCCCAGTAGACCAGGCCGTTTTCCATATAGGGTCCTTTCCCAATCTCCGGAGATAAAGTGTTAGTTGTAGCCCGTTATGTCCGTCTCGTTGGGCCATATTTATTTGGCCTGCGAAGCCATGCAAGACGGACTGGAAATCAACCTCCATACCTCACAATCTGAATACCACAGTGAAGAAAACATGGCAGCCGTTCTTCCCGGCCTCTCCACCCGTGAGGCTATTGCCGACGTCCTCCACCGTGCCGTACTCGCCTTCGACACGGCCGACCGCCCTCTCCTCATATCTGCCCTAATGCCAGATGTGGTCTTCAATATCGATGGAGCTGTCATGGATGGCATTGACCAAGTCCTCAGCCAAGGCTACGACAAGGTTTCCAAGCTCGATACATCCCATATCGTCAGTAATGTCCGCATCAACGCTGTTGATGGGGAATCCCTGGCATCTATGACTGCCTCTGTGCTTTCCCAGCACTATCGACTTGGCACCGGCAAAGTGCCGGGTGCAGAATATTTCATGGCTGGCTCGCTGTACTTTATCGATGCGGTGAAAGATGAGACAGACGGGTTATGGAAGATCAAGAATTGGACTGTGAAGATAACTTGGACCATTGGAAACCACCAGGTGATTGAATAACTGTGGATAATGAGCATGCTACATTGTATTGGTAACTTCATATTGTAGATGCTAAGAGTATCACGAAGATGGAAGCACTACGCAACATATTATACGGCTTGTTCCTTGACATTGGATGTTATGGATAGTAGACATATCTGAGAAAAGCCCCGTAGCAGATTTTATCCGCTGACACAACAGCAGCCCATTCCATCATCTCCCTGGCATTTTCTGCAAAGGCGGGCCCGACACGGGGAGCCGTCATCGCGGCAAACTCGTCCGCAGTCATGGGCTTTTGGATAGCAGGTTGGCCGGTGACTTTTGTGGACGTCTTGACCATCTCATCTGGTGTGGTGCGAGGGCTTAGCACGAAGTAGGTCTTTCCATGGGTCTTTGGGACCCTGAGCTCGAATACTTCTTTTGAAACGGGCCGATATGTTAGTCACCCTCCTAGGGGGTGCCCACAATATCCGGCCTGCAGTACATGGAATGGACTTACTTGCTGCGAAAAACTGTATCTCGACTGAGTTAAGATCTCGATGGGTTAAGCTTCCAGATTCAATGTAGGAGGAATAATTTATATTTGTGCTAGCGATGGAGAGTCCAAGTCAATTAGCCCTATATTCAGGGTAAAGAACAGGACTGGAATATTACACAGTATAATTTCACATATTTCACCCGGCCGTGTCTTAAGTCTGATAAAGGCTCGCCGTATTCTATGGGATCCTCAGAGGAAATCACAAGTCCCAACGTCAGTGGACATTGCTTTTATGCTTATTGCTGGAGTGCTTCCTACTGGAAGCCATGAGTGGACTTTCAATGAGACCGTTGCAATTAAGTTTCAGAACAAAATAATCAACAATAAATCATAGGTATTTTTTAACTTGACAGAAGCTACTAGCGCAATTCTACTATAAAGTCGCTGGGCCTGGGTATAGTGTTTCTATAAAGCCCCTGTATCATGTACATTATTCATAACCAGGGAAGCCAAGGCAAGGCAGCCTTGGTGGAAGTAACACCCCTGAAGACAATAATTGGCCGGTTGATAAGTCTTCATACTGACGCATGTGCCGGTCTCTCAGGCTCTGGCTCTTGGGTCGGCACCCCAGGATGTTGTATGCCCCATTCACCTTCTCCTATACGCTTACCGCAGAACTTGACCAGGACTCCAACAACGGCAGGCCCAATTATCGTATTAAGCAGGATTGCCCAGACTCCAGTGATGAAGCCCTCCTGAGTAACGTATGAGGTCTCGTTATATCCGATTTCAACAATCAGAAGTCCGATTTCGCCTCGCGCTACCATCGCAGCCCCCAAGAGCAATGCAGAAAGCCAAGTTGTCGTCCTATTTCTCTTTTCCGCGCTTCTCTGGGCCGGCTGGTTGGCTGCGTCGACGCGGCTACCTCCTTTACCAGATCTCTGCTGTCGTTTGCGAATGGGCCAACGGCCCCATAGCGGTATCCACACACCGACAACAAACTATGCAGCAAGCAATGAGCGAGGAGCATGAATGTGATGTCCAGAATCCTTACCTTGGCAAACACCATGAGAAGGGTGTAGACGATGCCTCTCCATATTCTCTTGCCTGTCCAGAGCTGCACAAAGGGGATGGCAAACCCAATACTAGCGAAGAACAAAGGCTCCATCAGGTACTTTTGGACGTCCATAAGGTAGCGCTCGAAAGTATGGGCGAAGGTCGGGCTCTTGTGTGCAAACTCTTCTCCTTCTTCTCGGCTCATGACGACAAATGGTCCGTCGGGATGCTTGCTTGGTATATACGTTAAAAAGGTGCCGGCCAAGAAGGCACCGAAGAGAACGGACGTCCCAGCATATGCAGCAATGGTTATGAATGCCGACAGAGACAGAGTCATCAGTATGATATTGGAAATGTGGTCGAATCGCGCAAAGTGGTGTTCAATAAAACGCCGAAAGATGGGCGCGAAGAAATACTTTGTCACAATCGGGGTGACGATTGCCATCGCTATCGAGGCCACAATAGGACGTCCAATCAGCCAGCCGAGATTTACATCGCCGTCTCCCTCCAGCTGGCTGAGATTTCCGATGACACTGGAATGGATTGATGGTTAGCACAAACCAGGTGCTCCGGGAAGGAAATTCTCCAGAATCACAAACCTGGCCATGACAAGCCCGACCACATCGTCAATGACAGCTGCGCTAACCAGGACAGAGCCAACTCGAGTCTGGGCGAGATCTACCGTGCCAGAAGCAGAAGAAATCACGGCAAATGTCGTACCTGGTAGTATAAGCATAAAGCCGGCCGAAGAGATCCTCAAAGTGGTGGATAGGCTCTCATGCTTACCAAGAGAGGTTGCTGACAGCGCTGCTCCGATGATGAACGTTTCCACCGCACCTACGAGGGGTAAGCTTGATGTACATATATCGAGCTGTGCTAGGCCTCACCATAACCAAACCCGAGATAGAGAAGCAGGTAAGAAAGGCCGATGGGAAAGCAAACGCCTGTAGCTGCACCGAGCATACTCAGCACCAAGTTCGCCTTCAAAAGATCAAGCCGTGCGCTAAGACCGCCTAGAAACGACCACGTTAGTGCCAAGCGCGACACCTGCAGTATCATGCATGAGAAAGGTACCTTCGAATATAATTAGAATTAAGCCAACATAGCCGAGCGAGAGGAAAGTTTTCTGCCAGTCAGACTCGAGAATGTCCGCGAGAGGCTTCCCGTAAATGATGCCAACCGCAATATGGCCGATGACGCCGGCGCGGATAATCTTCGCAGACGCCCATTCTGCCAGGGACAGGATAAAGAAGAAAGAGACGATGATTAAGATCTCGACAACTGCATCGTGATTAGGAACCAAGCGTCGTCACATGGGAAATGAGACGTACTTCCGGGCTCGTGGTAAGGAAGGAAACCGCCCGCCATGGCCAGAGACGACAATGTATGATGGATGAAGGCATCGCCGGCGGAGACAGAGGGAAAAGCTTGGATTCACGTGGTCTAGGCTTCCACATTCTGCCCATTTCCGTCCTTCCAAGTCCAAAATTCGTAGAAATCTTGCAGAGTCCTGAGGAGGAACCGGCGGCTGTCTTGGCGTTTACCCACGGCGGGTCTGCCTGTGACTGCCAAGTTACTGCCAAGCCTACAGGAATCCATCTCCCTTTTGCTGTGGGGGCATGAAAAATTTGATCATGACGTAAATTCATTCTAACTGCAGCTACTGGGATCGATGCACTGGGGCAGATCCGAATTACCAGATCCGTGGCTCGAGGCGGAAAACGGAGGAGAGCGACGCCAAGAGAAACTCTCCTGGAAGAATTACACGATACAAGCCGAGTCCTCAAGAAGGAGGTTCGGAGTTGGGAGCCTGACAACAACGGATCGCCTGGTGCCACTGAGAAGAGAGGACCTCGGCCGCTCCTGGCCGATGCGCGGGATCGATGCTGAGCATGGAGTTCAGAACTCCACGGCTTTGTCCCTGTAAGAAATGGAATTAGCCGGCTAAACAACGACACCAGGGCAAGTGATAACCTGACATGGGATATGTCCTTGATAAGAAAATAATGTCGGCCAACTTTGCAATCTTCCACGTAGTCTCGAAAGCATTCGTCCTTGACGGTTGCCGACTTCCACGGGTTTCTCCCAGCTCGCATGGCAATATAAACGAGAGCGGCGGCCCAAACGTCAGCAAGTCTAGGATCAAGAGGTTGCGAGAGATACTGCTCCGGGGAGATATATGGCGCTGAGCCACAGCGAGTGGTAGACAGGTGAACTTGATCTTCCCAGGCGAGGCGGAAGCACTCTGCATTGCCAAAATCAGAGATTTTAAGGCAACCGCGGCCGGTAAGGAGAAGGTTTTCCGGCTTCAAATCACGGTGAGCAATCCCCATCTCATGGAGATAGAGGATCCCGCGCATCAGCTGCTTCATGAAACAGTCTGCCTCCTCTTCGCACAGCCGTCGTGACGCAACAATGAGCGAATGCAAATCTCCACCGGAGCAGTACTCCATACACTCGCAAAGATCGTCGTAACCCAGGGGGAGGAGCTCGAATATCCTAATAACATTTTGATGGTGCAAGGAGGACGTGATGGAGAATTCTGAGCTCACTCTCCTCTGATAGTCGAGTCCGGTTTGTTTGTATCCGCGACGGAAAATCTTCACAGCATAGTACTGATCTAGATGGGGATTGCAAGCCTGTACTTTATGCGACAACAATACAAGCGCATGGGTCCCAAGCCCAGCAACAGTCTCGATCTCCCCGTATTTCTGGGTGACGGCGGCCATCTTACCGCTCTCGGTCCACTGTTCCCATTCCGTCTGTAGCGCTCTGGAGCCGCTCAAACGCTTGCCCTTGCCTCCAAGTCCTATCCAGTGGAAAAGACGAGTGTTTGGGAAAAAGTGCGTTTTCAACTTCCGGGGGCTTAGATAATGTCCATGGCCACCACCATCTATCCGGACAAATCTATCTTGTTTGGTCTGGTCATTTGGCCTGCCCGGGGGGGATGGAAATCCGCGTATAAGACAGGGCATCTCATCGTTGGGGGCTCGGTCATCCGTGGAGAGTAGGCGACTGTCCTCCCCTCCGATCTCTATGCCTCCGGTATGTGTCAAAGAAGCTGTTTGTTTGCGCAGTCGCTGGATAAGTGGCTGGAAACGGTGATGCATCCCAGGTTATTCACGTGATATGCGTAGCGGAGGCTCATTTGGATACGAAATGAGTTCGATGGGAGATGATATAAAGATGATATCAAGATGCTGAAAAGCCGTCGCATCCAGAACTTACTGATTGACTGTACGGTGGCCCCTCCTTAAATAACGATGCCTGAGGAAGCGCCAAGGAATGAACAACTTGGCGAATGCGCGAAGACGTCAAGCAAACACTTGGCGAGAACACGTGATTTGCGCGACTGGAGCCGGAGCTGCCCAGACTCGCCAAGACACATCGCTTATCTTTCGGCATGGGAGCTGAGATGCCCTTGCGTCTTTGATTGGCTCCCTTTGCTTGAGACCCATCCTCTCCAAGACTCTCGCGGGGAGACACAGACTCCGTCAGCCGATGGGCTTTGTTAGGCTGTTTGCTGGGTCCAGAAGTGCAAATCACATCTCCTTGAGAAGTTCATGTGGGTATCTCTGGCGAGGGGAAGGCCCCTGATAAACTCAGATTTTGGGCGAAGTCCTCCCTAGATGTTACAGAAGAGGCAAGATGTGATCCAATCCATTGTCCGAGGTTGCAGTCCATGACTCGGGGACGATCACTGCGGAGCACTCATTCAACACTCTCAATTCAGTAACTTCTTGTTTCCATGAGCGAACCCCTCCTGGAATTCACTGGAAATTTTGGGCCGTTCGCTTTCCACCCAATACGTAGTATCACTTTTGGTTTCAAAAGCCAGGCCCACCACCTCGCCCTGTAAGGCTGACGCGCCCGGAGAGAAGGCGGGGAGATAATGGAGGGTTGGGAGAACCGAAATTGTCCGTGTCGGTGAACATTCTTGGCTTCATGAATCGTCTCGCCCCCAACAGATTTTCTGCTGATCCATTGTTGGAAAGAGTACACCGTGTCCGCGACTGGCTGCGTTCGGGTCGAAACTTCCGGGTCCGGTCCAGAGGCTTGGTGCCAAGGCCCTGTTTTTCCTCTCCCAATGGCGGCTGGCGGTGGCAACACGCCCAGGCGAGAATCGGAGCCTGCGTTCCCCACAGTGACCCGTGGAGCGAGAAGCTCTTGTGTTGGCGAGGGGCCTTAAAGCCCCCGCCTCCGTCACCCCTCTGCGTGCACAAACATTCAACCAGGGGTTACTCCGGATAAGCTCGTCCCAGCTCATCCAGCTCATCCCAGCGACTGTCGAATACTACAATGGCAGACGAGAAACCCAACATCTCTCCCCACGGGGCACCCGACAACCCCCACGGGGCGGGTGCGCCCCTCAGCCAGCCAGCCCACTCACTGACTTATGAAGCTGTGATAAAGGCGCTCGGCACTGCGCTGGACGAGGGATTGAACCCCGAGGAAGCCAGTCGTCGTCTCCAGGAATATGGTCCCAATAAACTGGAGGAAGGCGAAGGCGTCTCGGTGGTCAAGATTCTCGTGCGCCAGGTGGCCAACGCAATGATGCTAGTTAAGCGGCCCACTATCCTTCCTGATATATCTCCCATCGTGTTGAGAACTCAACGAATCTGATCCAATTCGTCTCCTGCAGGTGCTGATTCTGGCCATGGCGGTCAGTTTCGGAATTCAGTCGTGGATTGAAGGCGGAGTCATCTGTGCTGTGATTGTCCTCAACATCGTTGTTGGTTTTTTCCAAGAGTACGCCGCGGAAAAAACTATGGAATCGTTGCATTCTTTATCATCGCCTACAGGCACTGTCTCCAGAGGTGGCCAGACGTTCTCGGTACCTTCGCATGAGATCGTACCGGGTGACATGGTAGAGCTGAGGACGGGTGACACTGTCCCAGCAGATATTCGGTAAGCCTCCTCCTCGTCCCATACTGCAGCTGCTTCCTTTGAACCCCTTGACTGGTTGATGACCTTTTTTCTGACTATTGCAGTCTGGTTGAAGCAGTCAACTTCGAAACCGACGAGGCTCTCCTGACCGGCGAGTCTCTTCCCGTCCAGAAGGAATGTGATTCCACCTTCAAAGAGGATACCGGTCCTGGTGACCGTCTGAATATCGCCTATAGCTCGAGTACAGTCACTCGTGGCCGAGCTCGTGGTGTGGTTGTTGGTACAGGCATGTCCACTGAAATCGGATCTATTGCCCTTGCACTACGGGCCAGTGACAACAAGCGACGGCCCGTCAAGCGTGGGCCCCAAGGTGAGACTAAGAAACGGTGGTATGTCCAGGCCTGGACTCTTACTGGGACGGATGCCGTGGGCCGCTTTCTTGGTGTTAATATTGGCACGCCCCTGCAAAGGAAGCTGTCAAAACTGGCCTGTTTACTATTTGGAATCGCCGTTCTATTCGCCATTGTTTGTATGGCTGCAAACTACTTCAGCAGCAACAATGAGGTTATCATGTACGCAGTTGCAACGGGCATCAGTATGATTCCGGCTTGTCTTGTGGTCGTCCTTACGATCACGATGGCCGTTGGCACCAAGCGCATGGTCGAGCGGAATGTTATTGTCCGAAAACTAGACTCCCTGGAAGCACTTGGCGCCGTCACCGACATTTGTTCCGACAAGACCGGTACATTGACTCAGGGCAAGATGGTTGTCAAAAAGGCATGGATCCCATCCCGAGGCATATATTCTGTCGGCACGTCCAACGAGCCTTTCAATCCTACTGTTGGGGACATTACCTTCACGCCTGTGGCTCCCTTGGAATTCGACGAGGAGAAGGAAGGTGCCGCTGCGCCGAATATCGAAGATCTAGTTTCGGAGAATCGCCAGCTCGAGGACTTTCTGGATGTCGCTTCCATGGCCAACCTTTCCCACGTGTTCAAGTCCGAGGAGGGCGAATGGAGCGCTCGCGGCGAACCTACGGAAATTGCCATCCAAGTTTTTGCGTCAAGATTCAACTGGAACCGAGACCGCTGGACCAAGGGCGAAGGTGCGGTGTGGCATCAAAAGGCCGAGTTCCCATTCGACTCGACGGTAAAGAAAATGTCTGTGATCTTCAGCAAAAGAGGAGCCCGTGAGGATAAAGAAGACCATACCATGGTGTTTACCAAGGGGGCGGTCGAGCGCGTCGTCGAATCGTGTACCTCTGTTATTTGGGATCAAGGCTCATCTACCCCTGTGCCCATGACCGAAGATCACCGTGGGAAAATTTACCAAAACATGGAGGAGCTCGCCAAGCTAGGACTTCGGGTGTTAGCCCTGGCTCACCGGCCATGTACCGACAAGCTACAGTCACTTGAAGGTGCCGACCCCGAACGGGATGATGTTGAGAAGGATCTGTGCTTCCTCGGACTGATTGGTTTGTACGATCCCCCACGGCCTGAAACAGCAGACTCCATTCAGGCCTGCTATAAGGCTGGGATTGTTGTTCACATGGTCACTGGCGATCACCCTGGCACTGCAAAAGCGATTGCTCAGCAGGTCGGGATCCTGCCGGCGGATTTCAGCGCTGTCGCTGCTGATGTCGCGGATGCTATGGTGATGACTGCAAGTCAATTCGACAAGCTCACGGATGACGAGGTAGATGCGCTTCCAACTCTGCCTTTGGTCATTGCACGCTGCGCCCCGCAAACGAAGGTACGAATGATTGACGCCCTCCATCGCCGCGGTCGCTTTGCGGCTATGACTGGAGATGGCGTGAACGACTCTCCGTCACTTAAGCACGCCGACGTGGGTATCGCTATGGGACAAGCAGGGTCGGATGTGGCTAAAGACGCTTCTGATATTATCCTGACTGACGATAACTTTGCCTCTATCCTGAATGCTGTTGAAGAAGGTCGTCGTATCTTTGACAATATTCAAAAGTTTGTTCTTCATCTATTGTCTGAAAATATTGCCCAAGCCTGTACTCTTCTTATTGGACTGGCGTTCAAAGACGCCGACAATCAGTCCGTCTTCCCCCTGGCACCAGTCGAAATTCTGTGGATTATCATGATCACGTCGGGTATGCCAGACATGGGCCTTGGAATGGAAGTTGCCGCCCCTGATATCATGGACCGCCCACCCCAGAGCAAGCAGGGTATATTTACCTGGGAAGTGATCATCGACATTCTCGTGTATGGAGTATGGACCGCGGCTCTCTGTCTGGCAGCGTTCTCGGTGCGTATGTGGGGATTCGGCGACGGCAATCTGGCCCGGGGCTGCAACAAGGAGTGGTCTGAGGAGATCCAGGACTGTGAACTGGTCTTCAAAGCAAGAGCCACCACGTTCGTGTGCCTGACATGGTTTGCCCTCTTCCTGGCGTGGGAGATGGTCAACATGCGCCGGTCGTTCTTCCGCATGCAGCCCAAGTCCAAGAAATACTTTACCCAGTGGATATATGATGTCTGGCGCAACAAGTTCCTGTTTTGGTCTATCATGGTCGGATGGATTACAATCTTCCCCATCCTTTACATCCCTGTGCTCAATGATGTTGTCTTCAAACACAAGCCCATTACCTGGGAATGGGGCATTGTGGCGGTTGAGGCAGTCCTCTTCTTCATGGGCGTTGAGGCCTGGAAGTGGGCCAAGCGGGTGTTTCTCCGCCGCAGAGCTCGCAAGAACCCAACGTTGACTTCGATGAACACCGAGCCGGAGCGACCCTAACACACATTGCCCTGGCCGGGCAGCGTGGCCTCAATCGCTGCCCGGTCAGGGTCGGAGTTACTTTGGAGCGGTGAACGTCAGCGGAGCAGATACAGAAGAGGAGGGTAGGTAATATGATGGACCTGCGCAGGTATTGGTCATTTAGAGGAGGGTCGGAGTCACTTTGGAGCGGTGCATATCAGCTGAAAGGTAGGAGGACGGACCTGCAGAGGTATTGGTCATTAGGAGTAGTTCGAGGGTAGTTAGATGACGGTTGATAAGCCAGATAGGCAGTAGATTAAGTAAAAGTGAATGCTAATGTCATTTCCCTTGTCCCAATCACATTCCTATTGCATATCTCGCCCTCGCCGAGCCAACAGTTGACGGGTTGGCCCCGGGCCTGTGGCTTAGACAAGAGCCAGATATAACCACCGGTCAACTTTCCTCAGTCGCGTCAAAGTTCTCCGAGGGCGAATCAAAGGTCAAGACGCCTTTCCCTGCTGCCTTCAGACACTATTGATAGAAATCAGACTTGGCAGCTCCGATCTGCTCGATCGTCCGTCGATCTTGGGGTCCCCGTCCCTACTGGGATCCAGCGCCTAGACGCACTGCCCCTGAAGAATGTCTGGGGGCTCTTGGCAGGGAATGTTTCCTCTGTCTGCTGTCTGAGTCTGCTGTCTCATCGCTGTCTCGGGCCCTCCCCCTGCGGCTTGGCTGATCGATGCCAAGGAGTCCGGCGTGCTGATGAAGCGCGATATCTGCCGTTTCCGCCGATCTTGATTCCTCCCCCATTCCTGATTAGAAAATTGTGACCTGATCAGACGCCTGCTGATTTCGCTCCACGGACCGCGCGGCGAGTCATGGCAGGCATTTTGTCCGCTGCAATGGCGCTGATGCGACGCGACATGACGCTGAGCCTCCGCTGTGAGCTGTCCTCCATCCCAAAACTCAATAAAAATACTCAGGAGGGCCCAGCTCGCTCTCTCCTTTCTTCTTCATCTTCTCCCATTCGAACTCCCTCGGAAACTGGCTTTTCGGGTCTCTGTTTGAAGCAACTCTCTTGACCCCTGAACTCGACTCACCATGCCCTCCCTGGATGTCAGCGAGCTGAACGTGGTGATCTCAATTCTGGGTACTGGCCCTTCTCAGAGACTTCCCCCCGGTCTCCTGCCGCTCAACAGTCTAATATAGCCAACAGGCGCCTTCATTATTCTCTATGCGTTGGTCTCGGTGAAGGTGAAAACACAGTGGTATCTTGGCGAAGCGTGTATGAATCCCCATCCCAGTGGCTCTGAATGCTGCTCGAGAAGCCGGCTAAATCTTTGCTTGTTTATTATCCAGTACCGGCTGTGGTCGTTGGTATCGTTCTGGGGCCATATGCGGCAAAATTCCTCGAGGCAACCGACTGGGGCGCTGCAGTCCAAGGCCAACAAGAAGCGATCACCTTGGTGCGCCAACATGAGGCAAAGTCTGCTCACACTACCATCCAGACTAACAATTGGCCCAGGGAATGTGTCGCGTGGTGATCGGTGTGCAGTTGGTGATTGTAGGGTTCCAGCTCCCAGCCAAGTACCAGCTTCATCGCTGGAAGGAGATGCTGCTATGTCTGATCCCCAACATGACTCTCATGTGGCTTTGCACCTCTGGCTGCATTCTGTTGGCAATTCCCAATCTCAACTTTGTAAGACATACTTCTGTCAGCCAGGACTGAAAGCTAACTGTGCAGCTCACTGCGCTGGTGATAGGCTCCTGCGTCACCTGTACCGACCCTATCCTCTCGCAGGCCATTGCCAAAGGCCCCTTCGCCGACCGATACGTCGCCCGCGATCTCCGCGAAATAATATCCTCCGAGGCTGGTGCCAATGATGGGTTTGGATTCCCCTTCCTGATGTTGGCGACCTACCTGCTGCGGTATACACAGGGGGACCCGGATCAGCACCACTCGGCCCATGCTCACGTTGCGCGCTCAGGAGATGTAGGGCATATGCACGGTGGGCTTGGAAAGGCGATGGAGATGTGGTTTGTTGAGACGTGGGCCTACTACATCATCCTTGGTGTGGTGTATGGGGTGACCCTGGGCTATGCTAGCATGCATCTGCTGCGGTACACCCTCCGAAAGTAAGAACAAGAACGAACTTATATTATCGTTCAAAGAAGCTAACATGTTTCAGGAAGTGGATAGACGGCGAAAGCTACGTGCTGTTCCCGGCTGCGTTGGGAGTAAGTCCAGTCATGTAGTTAACTCATGCTCGTTGCTAATCCCAGCAGTTGTTCCTCCTTGGAACCTGTGGCTGCATCGGAACGAATGACCTCCTCGCCTGTTTCTTTGCTGGCGGTGCCCTGAACTGGGACGGGGGCTACCTGGCAGAGACCGAAGCCCGTCATGACGAAGTCAATTCCTGCATCGACGTTCTCCTCAACTTTGGGGGGTTCATGTATATCGGGGCTGTCATTCCGTGGGACGACTTCCACCAGCCAAACACCACAGGAATCACCTATCCCCGGCTAATCCTCCTTGGCATCCTCGTTGTCCTCTTTCGGCGCATACCCAGCACGTTTGCGCTGTACAAGTTCATGCCCAAGGTCTGCAAGAACTGGAAGGAGGCCCTGTTCATGGGCTACTTTGGACCGATCGGTAAGTCAACAGTTACTTCGCTTGTCGCAACTGGTATTAATGCGGTCAGGAATCGGTGCTGTCTTCTATGCTGAGCATACCTCTCACCTTTTCCCTCCTGTAGGCGAGGGCAGTTCCATGGAGGCCCGCTTAATGGGCGCTCTCAAGCCAAGTGAGTGTCGAACCACCTTGTCTTGAAACGGTTTCTAACCCCTATCTTAGCAATATACTGGCTCGTGCTGTTCTCCATCTTTGTCCACGGCCTCTCTATTCCCCTCCTGAGCGTTGTATACAAGATCCTCAATGTCCCGCCAGAGGTCGACCCCCTTGGACCAGCGGAACTCCGCTCCCTGTCCTTCAACCAGACCCTCCCTCCGAACAGCATGGTGCATGCTAAACGCCGCTCAGTCCTCGTTTACAACCGCTTCTCGCGGACAAAATTCCCCTCTAATCTGGGGTGGAATCTGCCGTACTTGCGAATGAACAACAGCTCGCGCACAACGGATCATCTTCCGCTGGCGGAAGAGTTCCAGCTCCAGAGCGTCCATGACTCTGATACTGACCGGAGATAAGTAGTGTTATCTGATTATGTTTTCTGTTTCTTGCTTCTCTGCGTTGGTTAATTAGCGTGCTGCCTTTGTTGTCCGTGTTAGATCAGTTGTTGTGTTTGTGACCCTCACTCATACCAGCTTGCCATGTCTGAAGCTGGTAGAGAGCAGCCTGTCTTTCTCATGTCATTTCCTGGGAGCATCAATAGACAATAGAATACAAGAGCATCCTAGAAATGCATTACAGCCCAGCCTGGCTGTCATTCAGCAATCTTAGCAGTTGCAACAGATCGACCACTGAGGCACAGATCTAGTACTATGTTATATAATCTAGTAGCACGCCTCATTAGCTACCAGAACCAAAGTCAAAGTCATCTCCGCAGCACTGCTTCTGGCGAATCATTTTGCTATATCGTCTGGCCTAAGACTCGACCGTCCCGAATCCCCGAACAGCCGAGTACGGCGTCCGATCCGGACAAAAGGGAATAAACTAAAATACAGTGTAACTAGCTGTACACCGCCTTTTTATTAATCTAGTATCTGTACAGTTATTTTCTTTTTAATTTCTTTTATAACTTCCTAATCTTTATTCATGATGCCTCGTCCGTCTATTAATCTAGAGCCCTATCAGGAAGAGATCTCAAATCTTTATCAAACCGGCACTATCCCTGATTCTATTGTTAAGTTACTCTATAATCGACATGGTATCTAAGTTACATCTCATACGATCAAGGCACGCCTTAGCAAGTAGGGTATCCGGAAGCAAAACCGTACAGCATCAACTGATGAAGTACTACATGCCCGGATTAAGGTCCTCATGTATCAAGTTGGCCTTAATGAGGAGGAGATCCTTCATGTTCTCCAGTTAGAAGGCTTTAATATTCAAGCTCGTACACTAAAATATGTTCGGCAGCGCCAGGGACTCCTCCGCCGAACTACAAACACTATTGCTGACCAAGCAATAGTTGAAGGGGTTTTAAAACAACTTCGTACAGAGCTTTCTTCTGGTCAAATTGAAGGTTATGGTATGAGAATGCTTTATCATCATTTTCGAAGTCAAGGGTTCCTTATTGCTAGGTATATTGTACAATATATATCTTTAAGAAGCTTGCTAACTTTATAAGGGACCGGCTGTTTTCTATGTATCGAGAACTAGCACCAATGGCTGTACATCAACGGTGGCAGGATCTCCAACGACATCGTGGAGCTTATTTTACCCCTGGACCTAATTTTATCTGGTCAATTGATGGGTATCTTAAGCTAGCCCCGTACGGTATTGAGATATATGCTGCTATTGATGCATATTCTCGATATATTATCTGGATCTATGTTGGGATTAGCTCTCGTACAGCTGTAAGCGTCCTCCGACAGTTCTTAGATACTCTAGAGGTTACTCAATAACAGCCTCGCTTTGTACGATCAGACCGGGGTTCAGAAACAGTCCTGCTTGCTGAAGCCCAGCATAAACTTCAACAGTCTTTACATCCTGAGGTTAATATTACAGACTGTTATCTTTATGGTACAAGTACTGCTAATCAAAGAATTGAGGCATGGTGGCTTCAATTAACTCGAGGACTATTACACCGATATAGAGTAAGTCTTCATACACCTAATATTACTTTATATCAAGCTAACTATAAACTAGGAATACTTTTATAGTCTTCAGGAAGAGGGACTCTATTCAAAAGATCATTTATCTGATTAGATTACTTTATATACAATCTATATGCCTATTCTTCGGATTCAGATTATCTCCTTCATACAAACCTGGAATAATCATAAAATACAAAAACAACCAAACCGCCCATATTTAGTCCCTGGAAAGCCTTTTATGAATTATAATTTTCCACCTACAGGTGTACTGTAAGACCCTCCGCAAAGCCCTATACCTGCTCGCGAGGAGCAGGGCTGAGTCAGCCTCTGGCTTACTCAGCATGTAAGAGAATCTCTTCACTTCATGAAGGGGGGATATACAGAACTTCAGCGTTAATCTATTAACAATCCTTATTTCTTGAAATATACTATTCGCAACCTCTGTATCTTTCTTATTAGATGTATTATACCCTTTCACACTACTCGCAAACAACCCCAAAGGCCAAGGACCCTTATATGTACAGAACCAGGGAATCCAGTTTAATAAAGAGCTCTTTTAGTCTTTACAAGAAGATATATAAGAATAGGGTATATTCTCTACTTCTTTATATTATCTTTTACTAAACTTTATAATAGATGAAAATGAATACTTCCCAGCTGAGACCTTTAATTAGACCTGAACCTAGTTATTAGAGCTTAATTTCGATCCTGAAAGCCCACCAAGTACTGCTGGAGATCATATTCTTACTCTATTTTATATGATATATCTTGAGCTTCAAGCTAGGACTAAAGCCTATATCCAGCAAGGAATTAGGCCTTTTCTTCAACCATCTCAACCACTAACAGGAGCTTTTAACTGGGATCCCCAGAATAATCCAAATAATAGAGAAAATCTGGAAAATATACAAGAAGTTGAGGTGGGGTATGATCAGGATCCAGTTGAGATACTAGAAAACTAGTCTTGTTCTAAGAAAATTCTTCACTGCTACTATATTACTTTATTTCATAAAGGCTGCAGGCCTTCGTACAAAGGGAAAATATAATCAAAAGTAAAAAAAAAACCTTTTATTATGTCTTTATTACCACCTTTTTGTGAGAGAACTGGTGAACGTCATGGCAATGCATTATCCTGTGGAATATGCTTTGCTACAGTCTCACGTACTCATACAGAGTCTCGTACAGAGCCTATTCTATCTTACTACTTCATCTACTCCTTCTTCACCGAGCCCTCAAAAAGCTATTCAGGTTTTTGCTGCCCCATCCCGGGAACGATTTAGCCTCTATAATCGGCGAGATGCGTGTGCCCAGAACAACTTTAGATGTAGATCTTGATATTCCACCGCTCTGCCAAATATTACATCCGTATAAAATTCCTTTCGACTGTGAGATTCCCAGAAGTTTTGTTTCACCAGCACACAAGTTGCATTTCGTCTGTCTTCGGAATGGCCGGCCACATCGCGTTCTTCTTTGCCTCTCTACTACTACTTGTCTCGGTTGCAACAGCTTTCGATCTCAAGTCTCGTAATATTCGTCAAGTCTATCAATTCCCCAACGGCACCTGGGTCGAGAATATTGCCGCTCGGGCTAATGTGTCTTCGTTAATGGGACCCGGGAGATGGTTGCAGGGCATCCGAATTCGACGGCCCTGATGTCGGCCACTTCGGCTGCATTTGGACGGAATCTCAGTGCTGGATCTTTGTATATAATGACTGGGGGGAAACAGACTACGGTCAACAATACCAGATCAAGGGGAGGAAGAATGATGGAACTCTGTGTTGATTAAGAAATGCATTTTGACTTGAGTAGGTGAGAAACTGTAACCGCCGGTATATACATTAACAGGAGCAATGCCATAGTGTCAATATAGAGAGAAGACGAGCTAAGTAGGTAAGTATAGATCACGTTAAATGGGCACCTCCCCCCAGCTCACCCTCTTAGGCAGCAAAAAGGTACTCGCCGTTTTTGGGCGGTATTATCCCCTGCCATAGATAGATATATAAGTCCAATGGTCTTATCGGTCGTCGCACGTGGGATATTCTCTATCTAGCATGAAGCTGAGGTGGAACAGTCAGTCTAGCAAATACTACCTGGCCAGTGATTTTTGTCGCTCTCTACGTATCGGAGCAACCGTCGTAGGCACGCCGGTTCAGACTTGAAGCATCCCGGTCAAGGTAGTATGGACACGGGCCCCTAGACAAGTTCTCGGCTCCAGCTCTCGTCGGGCATTCGCAGGCCTCTCGGTTTCTCATATCGCGCACATGGCAGACGGGCTGGGAGTCATTTGTCTGATGGAACCGGTCTAGAAACAGCTTTATCCTCACCTCCACTTATACTCTAACTGCCTTGACTCAGAGACGATCAACCGAGAGCCCTGGCAAATATGCAGGAAGGCGGCAGTCGTGTGGTTATCCACAGCATACTTTCAGTCATGCAGCCTGGAGATAGATAGACCGATCTTGCTTTTCCTCCGGGCAGACCGCGTGGATGCACTGGTGGGCTGTTGCACATTCAGCCATCCCAAACTCTGTCCAGCCTTGCCGCCTGCAGTGGGCCACGTTAAATCCACATGCGAGTGGAAATCAGGCCCGATTTCTTCCAAAGGGCTATAGGGCGTACGCAATGGCCTCTCATATCACGGATGGCTGCAGGACGCGTGGTCTCGACGCGTGGTCCCGAGTGGCGCATTGCAAGGGAGCTGTCAGAGATATCAAACCGACCTGTCGAAGGTCTCTTTCGGGTGCAGCCACGGCTTCGGTGCTTGTGCAGAACGAGTCTGGAATATAGAGTGGACACAAGCATTGACGATCAGCCACGGAGAATGCTGGGCTGCCGATCACCTAGAGACGTATCAAGGTACGTGCCCGAAATAGGCATCACTATTTGCTGCTGTGTAGGATCGGCCATCCACATACCAAGAAGGGTTGCCACCCCCTTCATTGCAGGCCAGAGGCTGGTGGATTCGTAGATTGTTGCTCCCAGCCAGTTGCAGGGTCCGTAATAACAGCTACTCGTTATATCCCAACATGGGGAGGACTGGCACCAGGCTATATAATGGCTGTTCCGGGATCGAACCAGGCATCTGCTCAGTATACGGAGGCAGAGTCCAGAAACAAACGACAATGGCTGCAAAGGGCCCAGAGTCGACATTCGAGGCAGTATCGTCTCCAGCAGAAGCGAAACCTGCCCCCGAAATCGAACCGCCATACCACATCCTGTCGAAGAAGCAGAAGTGGAATCTGGTCATCTTCGTCTCGCTGGCAGGCGCCTTCTCCCCTCTATCCTCCAACATCTACTTCCCTGCCCTTGATACGATATCCAAAGACCTCGGCGTCAGTGCTACGCTAACATCCCTGACCATCACTGTGTACATGATCGTCCAGGGCATTGCTCCCTCGCTCTTCGGCGCACTGTCCGATTCCTCCGGTCGCCGCCTTACCTTCACCGTCAGCCTGACCATCTATACAGCGGCTAATCTGGCCCTTGCCTTCACCTCCAATTATGCAATGCTCATGGTTCTTCGAGGCGTGCAGGCCGCGGGATCCGCAGCCACCATTAGCATCAGTGCAGGGGTGATCGCGGACATCGCCTGTCCACAAGAGCGTGGTGGTTTCATGGGGACGAATGCTGGTATTCGGTAAGCAGATTCCATCGAACTTCGAATGGTATCTCTCTGATTCGTCGACAGCATGTTGGGACAGGGGATTGGCCCAGTCATCGGAGGACTCCTAAACGACGCCTGGGGGTTCAGAAGCATCTTCTGGCTGCTATTTGTGATGAGCGCAATCGTACTCGGTGCACTCCTCGTCTTCCTACCCGAAACCCAGCGCAGCAGGGCCGGGAACGGCAGTGTTCCTCTATCGGGTTTCCATAAACCGCTGGCCTACGCCTTCAAACCGCCGATGGCCTGGACTCAACCCTCCGGTACAGCAAGTCCACCGAAGCCTCACACTCCAATGAACCTCAAGAAAGCTTTCAGTCCGCTGGCTTACATTCTTGAAAAGGACATCGCCACGCTCCTTGCCTGGGGTGCCATCGCCTACACGGCCTGGAGCATGGTGACCTCCTCCACGACCTCCATGCTCCTCCTCGGCTTTCCGGACCTCACGCAGTGGCAAATCGGCGTATGCTTTCTTCCCAACGGCGTGGGCTGTATGGCCGGTTCCCTCAGCACAGGCTGGCTGCTTGACCAAGGTTTCCGCAGAGCTGAAACCAATTTCAAAGCCAAGCACGGCATCGCCGCCGACGAGCCTATTGTCCCCGGAGCCCACGGAGAGGAGTTCTCCTATATCCAGGCCCGACTTCGCCTGATGCCTCTCTTCAGCGTTGTGCTGGTCGTCTCCCTGGCGCTGTACGGTCCAAGCTTCGAGTTCAACGATGCGCGTCGATACTTTGCGCCCAACCTTGCTGCCCCTCTCGTCCTGCAGTTCCTCATTGCGTTCACGGCGACATCGATCTTCAACATCAACTCCACCGTCTTGATTGACTGCTTCCCGGACCGGCCGGCCAGTGCAACAGCGCTGAACAACCTCTGCCGCTGTCTTCTGGGAGCTGCCGGGGTTGCCGCGATTGAGCCGCTGATTGGGGCTGTACGGGCAATGCGAGCATTCCTCATCGTGACCGGCATCGTGGTGTTCTTTACGCCGCTGATATGGGTCGAGTGGCGGTTTGGGGAGCAGTGGCGGAAGCAGCGAGAGAATAGGCTTGCTCAGGCCGTAGCATAAACGATTAATTACCAACACATCGACTGCGAGACTGTCAAAACAGACATAAGAGAATAAGAAGGTGAGTATCGTTAATCACTATGATGTCTTATATCCGACGCCCGAACAGCCGAGGTCCACATGGCCCACCAGCAGTTATAACGCCACCAACACCCTCCTCACGACCACTATCCACGTCAAAATGCCGGACATCCCTCGACTTTCCAACGTGGCTATCAGCCTTAAAAACGGGGTCGCGGTTCTGAAGTATGACCGGCCCAAGGCAGGGAACGCCCTGAACGTCCCACTGCTGCAGGTAAGATTGGTGACCTTTACCTCGGCTCTTTATTAATGACATCAGGATATTTTGGCCGGGCTCAAATGGGCAGAAGAGGAAGACGAGGTCAAGGTCATCCTGCAGACAGGATCAGAGAAGATCTTCAGTGCTGGACTGGACTTGAAGGACGGGTCCGTTGCTCAGCCAGGCACGGTCATCAGCGACCCCTTTCTGGACACAATAAGGTACGAACACCTCAAGTTTCTATCAAGCCGATGCTAATTGCCACAAGCGAAGTGCACAAGACCATGATCAACTCGAATAAAATCCTGGTTGCTGCTGTCAATGGACCGGCGCCAGGCTGGGGAACCACCAGTCTTGCTCTGGCCGATCTTGTTTACGCTTCTCCCAGCGCGGTCTTCTTCACCCCTTTTGTTAAACTGGGACTATCCGCCGAAGCGTGTTCCAGTATCACTCTCCCCAAGATCATGGGTCGTCAAAAGGCGGCCTCGCTGCTTCTTGCTGGCGACACAATGACAGCTGCTGAGCTCGAAACGGCGGGGCTGATCACCAAGGTTCTTCCCAAGAACGATTTTTTGGACAGTGTGTTGGGAATATGTTATCGAATCGCGAACCAGCCTCCTGAAGCTCTGCGTAGCAACAAGAGTCTTTTGATGCGGACTTCCAGACAGGAGTTGCTCGAGGTGAATGAAGCAGAATTGAAGGTTCTCAGGACGAGAGCGCGGAGCCCTGAAGGACTGTCGGCTGTCGATGCCTTCCTTTCTGACCAGGAGCGTAAAAAGAAAGCGAAGTCCCAATCCAAACTATAATGGACATCCCAAGTTACCCTTGGTAGACTATTTAGGATGGCTATGGGTGACTATTCGTGGCATTACGGAGGTCATGTCCCAGGCCCTTTTGTGTATTCATCTACTAGTAATACTCTATATTTTCAGCTGACTGCGACCGAGGAATCGTAAATAGCACGAATCCCTTGGTAGCATAATACAGCTCATCCAAGACTCGACGATCTCTAAATCAGATAAGACAGTATCTAGTTAGGTAGGCAGCAATACCGTCCAAAAACTGCGAGCACTTCCTTCTTCCTGGATACACGCACATTATGAAATTAGTCTTTGATAAGAAGGATTCTAAATCCATGGCCACCTGTATCTAAAAGCTTTACTTTACTGAGATATTTCACTGCTTGCTAGGTATTATCAATTACTGTGCTCAGGAAGTTCGGATTCTACCCAAGTTGTGGGCGGGCTACAATGGTAAGTTGGATTGGAGGAGTAAAGAGAAGATCGAGGTCGCTACACGCGATAGGATCAATGTTTGTTTCCAGGCTGGGTATATGGGTGTTGGGAGGCATATGGCTCAGTCTCTTTCGGGCTTGGCGTAACTTTGTCAAGCAAACCTGGTTGCTATGCCAGTAGGGTGGACGGCAGTCAATGGGGTGGACAGCAGGTCAGGGCATGGATTTAGCTGCGTCCCTAATTCGGGTCGCGAACTATCTCGAAATCTGACAATGTCGCAAGAGTGCTCTATACTATTATTTAAAGCTTTGAAGTTCGGCTCGTTTCCTAATTGGGAATACGAGATTCTGGCATGCCCAGCGAGGCTGAGTCGTCCTTCGCAGCCAGTCAGCTCGTCACGAGTACGATCTGCAGCGATCATCGTCTGATTAGAAGTTGAGGCTTTGAATGACTGCTCCAGCAGACACGTCAGGTTGGAAGTTATGCATGGCGAGAATAGAGTTGGCCAGCCGATCACTTGGGTAGGGCATAGGAGACAGACACATTGTGGATGGGGCAGCATCGCCCCGTCCATACCGAATTGGGCACTCGTACTCGCACACGAGCTGAGCTGAGGGAAGTCGTCATCATTAGACAAATGGCCTGGTGGTTCCTCTCTCCGAATTGATATAAAGGGACGAGGATATCTCATGTTGAGAATGTGACAGAACTCATTGAAAAGCCACTTGATTGAAGACTACCAACATGCTGATGCTCAGTTCACTTGCAACTTTTCTGCTTTCAGCGGTGTTGTCGGAGTGCACACCGGTAGACACTGGAACGGCCATCCAGCATGGCAATCACCTTCCTCTGCTGAATCTTCCGTACGGAACATGGCGAGCACACCACTATGATGACAATGCAGATGTAAGTTATCACCCCCGAAAGACAAGATATCCAAACTGACTGTCAAGGTCTATACATTCCGCAACATCCGCTATGCTGCTCCCCCGGTGGGCGACCTGCGATGGTCCAAGCCAGCACCTCCTGAATTTACTCCTGGCGTACAAAACGGCTCCTACGGCCATAGCTGCATTTCTGCCCCCATTCCTGGGATCTTTGAAAGCCCGGGCTCTGAGAATAATACCAAGAATGCCGCCGAAGGTAAGCTGCTGAGCACCATGTTTAAACACAGCTAACATTATTTAACAGACTGTCTCTTCCTCGATGTCTACGTACCGGGAAAGGCTCTTAAGGAACAAAATAGTTCAACGCCCGTCATAGTCTGGATTCATGGTGGCGGATATGTTTCCGGCTCCAAAGACATTGCTATCGATATGGGATACTACGACGGCACAAGCCTTGTTTCACGCGCCGAAAACAACCTAATTGTTGTTTCCATCAACTACCGTCTCGGAGGGCTTGGCTTCCTCGCCGGAGAGCCTATAGTTACTCAAGGAGATTTCAACGTCGGTCTTCACGACCAGCGAGCCGCGCTTGAATGGGTCCAGTCGTATATCCATTTACTCGGTGGCGACCGCCATAATGTCTCCGCCTGGGGCCAGTCCGCCGGCGGGGGCTCCATTATGCACCACCTTATTGCAGAGGGGGGAACGTTGGATCCTCTCTTCAGAAAGGCACTGCTGCAGAGTCCTGCGTTTCCGGTGAATGCGGACCCGTCGATCTATCAGAAGAGATTTGAGACTTTTGCTGCGGCTGCGGGATGTCCGGCGAAGGGGGAGAATTCGCTCCGCTGCCTTCGCGCGGCTAATAGTTCTGCTTTGGCGAAGGCGAATGAGAAGGTATTCGCGGGAGAAGCTTCTCCTATTCCTGATGGGAAGTATATCCGGAGTCCTGCTTTGGTGGAGTATGCGAGAGGTAAGCCTACTCTATCTAGGATTGACACAAGACAAGGGCTAAACTCTCAACATAGGCAATACTTGGAAAGACATGGACTCTATAATCAACAGCCATACCCTCGACGAAGCGAGTCTATTCATCCCTGACCCAATCCCAGATGATTTCATGCAGTCATTCATATCCGGCAATCTTCCGCCAAACTCTACCGCTGGAACAAAACGCATGGTGGATTACTACGAAGAGCACTACCCAAACTCGAGTATGAAAGAGAAGGCTACAGTCATGTTCTTTGATCTCTTATTCGGCTGCAACATGCGCGCCGCTCTCGAGGCATACCCTACCACCTCCTGGGCCATGCAATACAGTCCCATCTATGGTGATGTTAATGCGACTCATGGAGCTGATGCACTTGCTACTTGGTATAATCCGGAGTTGCAGGGGTACACAGAACCGCTTTTTGAGAAGTTCCAGAGGTATATCACCAACTATGCTAGGACGGGTGATCCGGATGTACCTCGGAGTGGGGAGTATCACCTTAAACGCTGGCCAAGGGTTAGTGCGCTGGATGACGAGGTGCCCGGGGACGTGCTTAACGTGACAAATGGAGGATTCGACATTATTCAGGATAGACAAATGTCGAGGGACGTGTGTGAGATTTGGAAGGAGGTGCTTCTGGATGCGGTACAGTAGGATATTATGTTTGATATAGCGCAATGGAAAGAGGTTCTTGAGGAAGGAGCGGATGCCGAGGACGCTTTGTTCTTTGAAACAATATTCGCTACAACGAGCTAGCACGTCACTATTGAGATATTCATCCCAGGATCATTCCCTTTCAATCATCCATAAAAAGCTTGAATCAAAGTGGACCATAGCCCATTCAGTAATGGGATTGCAGGCAAAATCCTTCTCCAAAGTGACCTATCAAAGGTGTATACGTGGTCCAGCACAGCCATGCACAGCCTTGCGCCGCCGCGCCTCAAATATCAGCCTTGTTAAGGCAACAACCTCAAAAGTTGAAATCATCCTCCCCAAAAGCCAGCAGCAATATTCGCTTGGTAACTCGCAATCGAGAAGGTGGAAATGGCTGAAGCCTTCGGAGCCGCAGTCAGTGTTCTCTGTTAGAGCAGACAATAAAGACCATCTCCAAACTGAGGGCTCTCAGGGAGTTCATCAAGACGCTCCCCAGAGAACTGGAGGACCTCATCAACGAGAGCGAGATTGTTCAAGCAGTCCTGATATCTCTGTAACCAGAAGCTCCAAAGATCCCCTACAATTACGAGGTCGATCAGATATAGACTCGCTGGCTAATTGCCAATGATCCCACGGCGAAAGCTAACGGAGCAGTTGCTTAACAATGTATTCACTTAAATGATGGCTTCTAAATCGAGCAGCTATCAACAAATTAATGTAATAATCCTGTCATAATCCCTGCGTGCACCTTGCTTATATGTATACTGATTGAATCATCTGCTTATCTTTTGTATCTGGCAGCCAGCTCTTGCCAAGTTATCCTTAACAGAGTAGGATAGCAAAGTGTCTTGAGCTATTAGTATAGTTCAGAAGATAGAATAGTAATATCTACTAAGTCCTCTTGGGAAGGGAACTATTAGTTATTTAAGTTAAATATATAGATCTGTCCATTTTGCCTCCGCCGAACTACTACCAGAACATCTATGTCGCATTCTTGGCTGAATTCAAAGGCTTTCCGAAACAAAGTATCTCCTCGGCGTTGATGTTGTTGGCTTTTTACCTTTGATTTATTAGATGTGCGGCAATGAATTATTTTTAGCTTTGCTATTACGCGAAATTGTTCATGTAGAAGGAAGGGCAGCTATCTCAAGCTCAAACCCCCAGGGATTTAATGCCTTTAAATAAATTTCTATGCTCACCTTGAAGGGTGAGCATCTCGCTTCTAGAGCGATATAACAAAGCTTGAATCCTCCAGGATTTCTTATTCACGTTAGTCATGCTGGTTGACTGAATATAGGGCCTGACTAATGAAGAGGTAGCTTTTATCTAGCTCTGAATCTATAGACTATTTACCGTGGACTGGATATAGTATATAATACCCGACCTCTATCTGATATAGATAATCCTGGCCCAGTGGATTATAGAACATAACCAGCTTATAATAAAGTGTCCTAAGCTAGTTATATCTGGATCACACTGTATGCTGTAATATCTCCTTATACTAGATATCCTTGTAGGGCTATTAGGCCTCTCTACTTTGTAGTAAAGACATGTTACTCGATAACTCCGTCCTATAGGAGATGCCTGGGACCTGACTGGGTAATATCCTTACTCTATGGCTAATTAACTGTGCAGCGCGGCGATGCGAATGGAGTAATGATAGTGGTGGTCAGTCTGGCCGGGGCGATCGCACGAAAGGCCAGCCACTCTCAGCCAGGTTATTGGCATCTTTCCCTGTCTCGAACCGGATGCTGTCGACCAGGTCACACAGTTTTAGAGCGGCGGGCATGACGTGTGGGAAGAGCGCCTATGTTGGAGGACGTGATGTTATATCTACAGGGAGAAAAGCGCGTGTCAGGTGCGGACATGCATTATGCGTGCAAGCGCTTGGGGCTGGGGCAGGACAGCACGAAAAGTTTGCAAGCTCATTGACAGGAAGTATTTGAGAGCTGATCATGTCTGCTTCGTTTATCCTAATAAAAGGTGGGTTCTGTGACATACCTCGGTCCGCATGGAGATTTCTCAACAATCCTTAATCCTGCAATCCTAACTCATCATACCCACCCGGACGAAGGCATCCCCATACGCGGCATATTCTATTGCTTCTTATATCTATACTCCGCCACTGCCTCATGCTCCTGTGCTTGCCGTAACGCGTCATGTAGCTTCTAGGCTGTTCCCCAAATGCGAGGGTGGCCGGCCAGGTTCACTTCTAGCTCGAAGTACTGAAGTAGCAACAGCTCCTGTGATTATGTCAATTACCACGTTGGTCAGATGCTGGAAAATGTGCAGACAGTGCTTGTAGAATGGATTCTCGCGCTCCTGCTGCTCCCACTATTGTCACTTACCTTTGAGAGTTTCGGGAACCGACCGTCGCCGAGTGACAAGAAAGAAAGCCCAGCAAAAAGCAACAGAGCAGAGCCCTGAACTACGGGATTTCTACCAGCATAAGCTATCTGAGTTTCGCTCCAACCAGTTAGTTTTCGTTGACGAATCAGGATGTGATAAGCATGTAGGATATCGGCGAAGCGGCTGGGCACCACTCGGTGTGACACCAGTCTAAATATCTAAGTTCCATCGTGGCCAGCGCTACCAGATACTGCCAGCATATATGTAAGACGGTGTCTTGATATCCCGTATTTTTTCCGGGCTACTGATGCTAAGTTCTTTGAATCTTTTATCAAGTAACTTCTCCAGTACTGTAGAAAGTGGCCAGAGCCGAAGTCGGTACTTGTTATGGACAATGCATCTTTCCATCATTCAGAACGAGTCAAGCAGTTGTGTGCCGATGCGGGGGTTAAGCTATTGTACTTGCCGCCATATTCACCAGACTTCAACCCCATTGAGGAGCTCTTTGCCGAACTGAAGTGTTATATCAAAAAAAGTCTGGTAGCATTTACGCAGGCCCCCGAGCATGGATTCCATGTGTTCCGTCGAAAATGTCTCTATGATGTTGGCGCACGGAGGGAGAGCGCCGAAGGTTATTTCCGACATGCAGGCTTAATGATAGAGACAGAGCCATGAGTGGTCACTATACAGTGGGTGGTTAGTTGTATCATTTCTCTTGAACCCTCGCATCACCGTGCAGTCATTCTCAATATCGGTTTGATCACAAACATATGCCGATGGGACGAGTCGCCACAGTATGCACTGATGCCTGGAAACTTCGGCCATACTCCCTCCTCGCCATCCTATTTTATTTACATTGATACCAACCCTACAACTCCCGCTGAATTCCTTTCCCCCCACCCAATTTCTCTCGAACAGATAAACTTCCGTTGCTACAATTTAGAGACTGGGTTGAAGAGAAGTTGCATGACGAGGCTCCACCCACTTATATTCACTAATGGATTGAGTGGAAGATAACTCTCAACGAAAGGCCTATGATTAAAGATACATCTCCTCTGCCCCTGCAACTCTCATCTAGCAATCAAAAAGATATGATGTAAGTTCATTGACGTCAAACAGATATCATCAACATAATGGTGGCAATAATATTTAGCATAAGTTTAACTACGCTCCCTGACCGTCTTTTATTGAAGATAATTGAAAATAGAAGTGAATGTAATTTGATCAATCTCTCAATTCACTAAATGGCATCCCATCTTTATAAACTAAACGTAAAATCGGGCTTAGACTCTTCCAAATCGGGCTGTGAAGGCTCGCAGCCCGCAATCTATCCTTGAAACGCTGGATATCTTTTCTAGATGAAGAGAATTCCTTTCGCCCATCTGACATCTCAAAATATATGTTTCCATTCCTCATGTAGCAGACAAAGGTCTCTTCGATACTTTTCCGGGCCCAAATTTTGCATAATGTCACGGCAGCAGCATCAGGATGCAACTGTAAGAAATAGGAAGGAATATCATTGTGTTTCCATAAGAGAGCTTCTAATCCTGACATCATGTTCAACTCGCTGTCATCTAGCTGGCCCATGACCGCCTGCAGGATCTCAGGCGCCCAGGGAGATTGCCTGCCTAAGGCCCTAATAGCCGCCTGCCTGACGCCACTATCACTGTCGTCTAGCCGGCCCATGACTGCCTGCAGGATCTCGGGTGGCCAGGGAGACTGGCTGCCTAAGGCCCTAATAGCCGCCTGCCTAACAGCCCTGTCACTGGTATCTAGCTGGCCCATAACCGCCTGCAGGATCTCGGGTGGCCAGGGAGATTGGCTGTGTAAGACTACTATAGCCGCCCGCCTGATGGCCCAGTCACTGTCATCTAGCTGGCCTATAACCGCCTGCAGGATCTCAGGCGGCCAGGGAGATTGCCTGCCTAAGGCCCTAATAGCCACCTGCCTGATGAACTTATCACTATTATCTAGCTGGCCCATGACTGCCTGCAGGGTCTCGGGCGGCCAGGGAGATTGCCTGCTTAAGGCCCTAATAGCCACCTGCCTGACATCCCCGTCGCTGTCGTCTAGCCGGCCCATGACTGCCTGCAGGATCTCAGGTGGCCTGGGAGATTGGCTGTCTAAGGCCCCAATAGCCGCCTGCCTGACGTCCCCGTCGCTGTCGTCTAGCCGGCCCATGACTGCCTGCAGGATCTCAGGCGNCCAGGGAGATTGGCTGCCTAAGGCCTGAACAGCTCTCTGCCTGACGCCACTATCGCTGTCGTCTAGCCGGCCCATGACCGCCTGCAGGACCTCGGGCGGCCAGGGAGATTGGCTGCCTAAGACTGTAATAGCCGCCCGCCTGACGCTCCAGCTGCTGTCACCTAGCCGGCCCATGACCGCCTGCAGGATCTCAGACGGCCAGGGAGATTGGTGGCCTAAGGCTTCAACAGCCGCCCACCTGACGTGTCTGTCGCTGTCATCCATAAAATTTGCGGTTATAGCCATGAGCTTGGGCGACATATGCCATCGATGGGCTAAGGATTCCAGAATCTTTCCTCTATGGGAGCTTCTCCTTTGCAAGAAATTCTTAAGTAATTCGCACAGAACATGATCTGGAAATTCAGTCTCACTGCAAAGGCGCATTTTTGGAAGCCATTTGACCTCATACTCAGACCATTGGATGCATCCGTGTTCCATCTTTTCTCGAAGGTGTTGTAAGTAACCATTGATGTTCTCTTCCAGCTCTGAATTATCTGGCTGAGGTATCTCGCTGAAGCAGTGCATAAGCAGCCTCTGATGTGCTGGGCCGAGTAAATCTCGTGGCTCCCCCTCGATTTTTTTAAGGAATGAGCATGCTTGCTCTTCGTCGATATTATGAAGCAGCCCTGTGACAAACCTCCAGAACACATCATAGCGCCCACTATACTTTTCTCTCTCTAAAAATCCCTCAGGTGATATTTCCATCGTACGGCTTCCCCTTGAACTTCCAGGCTTGAGACAGAGAAGTGGTTTGTTGGATATCGAACACCGGACGAAATATTGAGCGGCGAAGAATTCCTGAAAAGTAAGATGTAGGAAATGATAACTCTTGTCCTGTCTTGAAGTATCTGATGTGCGCAGAAAGGAGAGTCGGTCAAGGTCATTGTCTGACCTCTTGCAAAATTGCGGTTGCTCATATAGCCAATCACGATGACCTTGATGGAATTCAATAATGTCACTGTATAACCCTGCAAAGGCCAGACATTCCAGTAATTCCATTACAGTGCCCACCTCTGAATGAATCTGCACGCGTGTTCGCAGTTTCTGGAGTGCAGCTTCACTTAACTGCCTGGCGTCATCTCTCGTCTGCAAATTCAAGATATCCTTTTGCCATAACTTCAATTCAATGGCCTGGTATATTTCTGTCATGGTTTGTGGCAAAGCGTCAGAATAGAAGGAGTTCTTATTCCAAATATAGCACAATGCATCAAGCTGAATAGGTATTCGAACAAGTCCCTCGATTAGCCAGTGGCTCCGAATGAAAGAATGGACCTGATCAGCGGTATTTGGATCTGTCATCGTTTTGGCCAAGTAAGTCTGCACCTGTCTTGGATGAAACCCGACAGTCTCGAGTTCTAGGTCGAAGGAAGTAAGTCCGGAAATGTTCACGGCATATGGACGGGATGTAATAACCACATTATCTTGATTTAATAGATGGTTAAATGTTTCAGTCAAGTCAGTTCCGAAAAGATTGCGATCTCCTGATACCTCATCAAGACCGTCCAACAACCAGAGAGTTCTTTTATAGGGTTGATCCAAAACCATCTTTAAAAGCTTGGAAACTAGACTGTCACGTTCGGCTTGAAAAGAGAAGTACTCCTGGCGGAAAAATTCATCCAGAGTTGATTTCCCCTTGAGTTTTCGCAGGGGTATCCATACAACACGATCAAAAAGAGTCTCCCACATCTTTTGGTAGTAAAAGTCATGCACGATCTTCTTGCAGAGTGTTGTTTTGCCAACGCCTGCACGTCCTCGAATTAAGATCCGTCTCGGCTGGATCACTTTGCCATCCGGTATTTTCCGGTCACGGAATAGGTCTGGAAGTGTGACTTCCTGTTCAGGAGTATCTGCCGTTATTCTCAGGCGTTCGAGTAGTGAGAATCCTGAGGATGGCGGTTGTGCTCGCGGCATTGTATCCCGGTCTTGTTGATGTTCTATGATCGAAAGGTTAATATAGCATTGCTCCATATCCAAGAACTCTCCAGAGATGCGCTTAATCTTTAGACGATTGTCCATCTCGTAGTATTCCTGTAGTTTAACGTCAACTACTTGATTGATTAGCAGCGTCCGATATCCCAATTCCGAAAATGAGCGAGGATAGCAAACCTTGTCTTGACCGTGCAGCGGTGCCATCTTCAACAGGCACAATTGATAACAGCAGTTTTACATAGGCTGCTGCTGTCAAGGCCGCATATCCCTGCCATTGTTTTTGCTTGTGGGAATCGCAGTAGTCGCAAATACCTCTGACAACAAGCGTTGGAAGCTGGTTCATAATGCCCGCTGCTTCCATTTCAAAGCAGAGTATGCCCTGCTCGTCGGCCAGACGGTCTCGTGTCTCAGCGTCCTTCATCACCTGGTTCCCAGAAGCAATCAAACCATAATGAATATAAGGTCCCTTCTTATCACGCGGCTGTCTTTTGGCTAATCGGTCTTTGTCACAATTCGTGCAATCAGGTTCTTTGTCAGGGTGGCAATAGGATGAATCAAAGAGGATATCTGTGTGCTCTTCTGGAGGCGAGAACTCTCCCCTCATAGCAGGAGATCGCTCCAAAACCTCGCTTACAATCTCAAACAGGGAACTGTTCCTGCTTGTTAAACGATCTGCTTCCAGTTGGTTCAACCATGTTAGAAGAGGCTGTGGTGGCTGATTTAGAGCTCCTGTTTGCTCGAATTTTCCTGGAACTTTTTTGCCATAATCGTACTGTATCACACCACCATGTTTCACGCCTGGCTTGCTGACAACGACATCACCTAATCGAATGTCGTTTTTTCCGCCGGGCACCCCGCCGCCAATTCCCACCATGAGTCCGAATTGAAGCTGAGGAAAAGTCTTACGCATGCAAGACACGACAGTCGCGGCAGCCACGGTTCCGTACACACCAAGTGGTAGAAGAATGATGGCGATATAATGGCCGTTCAGCTCGCCGAGTCCGTAGGCGTTTGGATCCGTGATACCTTGAGGCAAGGGGTGGGTCTGATCTAGTATGGCGCGGGCCGCTGCTGCCTCCACGGGCAAGGCACAGATCCACGCGACTGTGTAGTCATCAAGCGCGAGGGAAGCCATTATCGGCACGGCAAAGTCGGGATGAGAGTCAAGATCAGGCAAGTATTAATATCTTCAGGCCAAGGAGTCCGCACACGAACTCTAGCAGGCTTGGACAGGAAGGGGGGTAATCAGCTCCGCGTCTTCAACTGAACGATTTTGTTTGACTGGTTTGCAGGCTGTCAGGTGGGAGAACGCCAAGAATGATCATCTAAGCGAGTTGATCAACACACAACTTCCTTATTAGTAGAGCAACGCGTGTATTCAGGGGACCATTAGAATCCTCAAGATTGCTTCATCTATCTCAATATCATTACAATTGCCTCTTTGGTCGATCGTTGAAGTTGTGGCGGTGATTAGTGACTGATCCGACACACTGTGTTGTCTGCCGCTGGCCTCCATAGCTTCATCGATCACGGATTTCAGCCCCTGACAAGGTCTGTCTTTAGTAAGAGAATGCCAGGTGTGAGGAAATGCCATCTGCTCCAGTATGAAGCCACAGACCCGTGCCAGAAGTTTGCGCACATGCTAGTGATACAGATATTTTGATTTCTTTACTATGGTAGAGTGGGAAGATTACTATAGCTCTGTAAGTATAGGTACAAGGGAGATCGGAGTGCTGATCCGCACGTTCTGCTCGGCAAGATCTTCAACACTGGCTTGGGCATCTCTTATCCGCATAATGTGATTCACGACAAGTCAGCAACTGGTATCAATATCGTAACAGAATACAACACCACTCAAACCAGGGGTCGCGATCGCCCCACAGCCACTTTCACTCTGTAACAGATCTTGCCCTGATAAGACTGCCAAGTCAACGCCCGAGCAATGTTTTGCCAACGCCATTGGCCCCGTTCTTGTTCCTTGTACTCAAAGGGTTAGTCTTCGCGAGGCGGGAGGCTGAGTGCATTAAATCAGAACTTGCCCATGGCGACAGAGAAGTCTTCGCAACATTCCATATCTGGGAACGGCGGTGATGCCGTCCACTGTGCAGTTCCCGATCACTTAACACCAATCTCGAGATGGGGTGGCTCGTCCCGCTCGTTTCCTCACGCAGCCATGACCCAGAGGACGATGGCGATAAGGAAAGGGCAACAGGGTCTAAGGAAGGGAGCGAACCCAAGACTGCAAACTGGAAGCGTACACTCTATCTCGGCTCGGCCACGTCGGTTATTGTTCTGCTCATCAACCTGGTCATGGTCCTTTGGGCGCGTCTGCGGCAATCAGAATATGGGCGCAGTGTTCTCCTGCTCTCAGAAGACTGTGATCGTATCAAACGGCTGAGCACTGGAGTGCATCTGCTAATCAACATACTGAGCACGCTGCTGCTGTCTGCGAGTAATTTTGCCATGGTATGGCCCTGCTATAGCTCGAATGGTTCATTGCTGTGCTGATATAACAATTTTTAGCAATGTGTCGCTTCACCGACAAGAAAAGATGTTGATCGCGCCCATGCACGAGAGAGCTGGCTCGACATTGGTGTTCCCAGCGTACGGAATTTGTCGAGTATCTCTAGGAAGCGCCTGTTGCTCTGGGTTGGTCTTGCGATCTCGAATGCGCCACTTCATTTACTGTATGCTCTATCCTGGCCTGTGCTGTCGGTATATTAACAAGACAGTTACAACTCCACGGTGTATACAACCTTTTCGGTGAACAATGCTCCGATATTTGTCGCGAACTCAACCTTCACGTCCCGCACCACAGCCGATATCCCTCTCGTGCTTGGCTACGACTATCCCACGCTTCCGATGGAGACCAGAATTTTGGAGATATCCAAGAACATGACCAGGCTGGAACCGTATGCCTGTTTCTCAGCATATGAAACTGATTTTCTATCAAAGTACGACACCTTGGTCCTGATAACCACTGGATTCAACGACACGGACGAACCAGGGTACAGCAGTTCACAAGATAGTGTTTATAAGCTCTCCATCCAAACGGCCAGTAATCCGTCATATTACACTCGGGAACCCGCGTATTCTTGGATGTGCCAAAGCGAATACAGCTGGAACACACACAACACTTGGTCGAAAGCTTGTGCTGCTGCTCGCCGTGGGGTTGACGAGGATTGGATGGTGGATCAGTACAAGGTTCAATACTGTCTCGCGGAGAAAGTAGCGGAGAAGTGCTCCCTTCAGTACAGTTTCCCGCTGGCTGTGGTCGTCATTGTGGCCAACCTGGCCAAGGCGATATTAATCTATCTCGTGGCATATCGCCTGCGAGACGATCCACTGCTAACCCTCGGTGACACTATAGCCTCATTTCTCCGAGATCCTGATCGCTCGACGGCCAAGAGCTGCCTTTTGACACGCCAAGAGACAACGAGGCCACGTATATCCACGGTCGCAAGATACTTTATATACAAGCCGCGACCATATGTGGCAAAGCCTAAGAGATGGTGGAGGTCTCCAGCTGGGGCTCGCCGGGCCACCTTTTTCGCAGCGTAGGACTTTTTATCAACACGGCATTGTGTACAGGTAGCTGACATTACTAAGATATATCGTCTCTTTGGCTGTCCCACTTGGACTACTGGGGCTTGCGTTGCATAAGATGGATACCACCGACGGAGTTTGGGACTCGGGCCTTGGAGCTGTGCGGTCAGGGACAATAATCACCAGCAGCGGCTGGCCTTTGGAGCTGATCCCAAACGTCCTCATTGCCAACGTTCCCCAACTTGTCTACTCACTTCTGTATATCCTGTCGAACGGAATCCTCACGAGCATGACCCTTGCAGCCGAATGGAACGCTTTCTCTCACGCCAAAAAGGGTCTCCGCGTGTCTACTTCTCCCAGGGGTAATCAGCGTACATCACATTTCTTATCTCTGCCGTATCGTTACGGAGTACCGCTCATCGCCCTGTCTGCCTTGATCCATTGGCTCATATCACAGAGTATATATCTGGTCAGCGCTCATGCCTATACTGACGGTGCCACAAAGCGAAGCCCTGACGACGACGTCCTAGCGCTCGGATACTCGCCTCCTGCAATTATCATCACCACTTGTGTGAGCGTCTTGCTTCCAGTGTCGTTGGTATTGCTAGGCAGCAGGCGCTTTAAAACGGGTATGCCGGTCACCGGAGGCTGCAGTCTGGCGATAGCAGCATCATGTCATCCGCAGACCAGTAAATCCAATACCGATGACGAATTGGATATTAGATATCGGCGACTACAGTGGGGCGTTGAGCCGCCTGTCCCGGGTGAGACAAGACACTGTACATTTTCTGATGCTGATGTCGAGACACCAAAGAGGGGGGTGTTTTACCAATAATTCGATATACGATATCTTTGGCTTTGTAAAGAGCGCCAGCGATGGGTTATATTATCATGACTCATTAATATACCGCAATTAACGCAGCGCATCACCCACGCACTTTGTTTCATCGTCCTCCACTATCGTAGTCTTCGCCTGCGGTATCGGCCCCTGCATCTGCCCCAAGAGACAGTGAACATAACATGAACTGATAGATAATCTATCGAGAGGAGTAGTATTCAACCAGAAGGGAAGGACTCCAAGGCTGGTTGTGCATGTCTGGTTAAAGATACAGAAAGAGGAGAATCAATAATAGCAATAGCTCTAATCCTCCATACTCGCTCTTATAGAATATTATTATTAACTATAGTTTGACATGCATCGGCTCGAACACATTAGAAAACTCTCCGATTCTGTACTTCAAGATACCAGTATACTCGCTACCCCAGTTCGTTAGATATGAGCTTCCTTTCTCTATGTACAAGGAAAAACGAGGGTAAATTGACGCTGCTGGTCATCATTTGCCAGATGGATTGCGGCTGGGGCTGGCCCTTTACCAACGCTGTTAAAGCCCCAAAGCCTTCTGGGTATAGTTAAGCTGGTTAGGGCCCGATAATCGCGTATAGGACTAGGGAATCGGATCCTGAGAGCTGTACAACCTCGGCCACGTAAGAAATTCGTGAAACTCACCGGGTAGGACAGCTGAAATCCTCGATAGCCAGGCAAACCCCTGTTGACCGACAAACCAGTAATCGGAGAATGCATGAAGCTGGACAGAGTAAGTTGCGAGAAACACGAGTGCAACAGGATGTCGTTGCTTGAGTTCATTGAAGAAGGGCTCGTCTATAGAGAGCGGCCAGATATAAAGCAGCCCGATCTCAAGGGGCAATTCGAAGCAGCGGATAGTCTCAAAGGACGCCTTAAGACGGTCAAGAGCTCTAAGGTAGGACTCCGCTGATATGGAGTCGGAGATATTAGACTGGATGAGCTGGTGGAGGTGGGCGAGATGTTCTTCTAATCCATCAAATTGGTAGCCGGACCCGCTGCTTCCGGCTGTGAGTCTGGATGTTTGTACCATCCCTTGGGCTTGACGGGGCACTTACGTTGGACTTGATACGTCAGCATAAAACTCCGAGAGGAAAAGCGGTTTGAGGGGAGTTGTTTGAATGCGCTCGAGATACGGAGCAAGGACCAAGGTGCCTCGACACAGCCCGAGGAGCTCGATAATCGAGTCCAGTCCATCGCCCAAGTCAGGCTCGGCAGGCTCTGTAGGAGAAGCCGAGATATAGACCATGATAAAGCTGCAAAAGGCGAACAGCGCGCAGCAATTGTCATTAGTGGGCGAGAGGAGAATCCTCCGGAAGGACCGCAGGCCGAGGGTCATGTGGAATCCAGAGCTAGCGAGATAGTAGCTATGGCGCTCTGGCTTGAGGTGGGCTAGATGGAGGGCCGAGAAGGCCAGGATGCCATGCATCAGAAACTCGTAAGAATAGGCAATCTTGGGAATAGCCTCCTGCCAGGTTTCCTGGATGTCCGGCCGCCTGGCGATAGTTTTGCAGGTGTACATGGTGTAGTGATGCATCAGTTCAAAGTCCTGGCCTGTCCATTCCTGCGGAAAGAATGCTCCTCTCTCTATCCTTTCATTGAAGACACGGAAGGGATCCGCGGCTTCACCGGGTTGCTCAGATGCCAGCATGCGATCCCGGAGATCGACCAGGATCCCCGTCTCATTCGGTCGGTCTGGAGGGGTGAGGCTGCCCCGACTGTCAAAGGTGCACTCCATCCCCCGCCGGCTGCAATTCTTGCATGGATTATCCTCGTCGCACTGGATGAAGGTGAGCACACTGGCTGGCATGAGGGGTAGAGGGTCTGCCCACTTTGACTCTCCGGCGCTTACACTGCTCACACCCATTGCGGGACTTTTTATGCGACCTCCGCGTGGCCATGCTACAAAAGGGGGTCCCCGTGGCGGTTGCAGGAGGAGAAATGTCGCGGCATATCCTGAGTAGGGGAGAAGACAGAATGCGTGTGGAGCACAAGGCGGCAGTTTTACTCTTGCGCCACCAGCTTAAAAAAGGAAGATTATTCTTGCTTAAGAGAATTCAACGTCATTGGCCCACTTCCCAGCCAAGACTGGGTCCGGCATATCTCCGGACCACTCTAGCATGTCTATGTACAAGTCGCCCTAAACCAGCCCTTCCTCTGGGCCAATCTCCTGCATCTCCGCATTCCTGTCCTTCTGCGAGCCCGTGAGAATCATCGACGGATGGGCAGCATTCATAGCCACCATCGTGAGCCACATCAGCGCCGCGTCAAAGACATACATAAACACCTCGTGGCTGATCAGATAGCCGGCGTTCCCTTGCACATATTCAACAAGGCGGAAGATCGAGCGGACCAGGATCAGAATACTCGCAGTGTAGAGTCCATATAGCACGGTCTCCCATGTCCGGGCTGTCTTTGAGCGAAGACAAGCCGCAAGTGCACTCGCCTGCTCGGTCGGATTGTTGCGAATACGCCGGTGGAAGATCCCACATGTTACCATGAAGACGCTGAAAAAGGTCAGCTGGACTGCGAGGCCGGCCACTGTAACATCTTCGCCGAGCTCGTAGTTCTCGATGGTCCCGCTGGACATGATTCCGCCACCTAGGGGGGAGCGCACTCTGGTTAGCTGCTTCCCCTGTGTGCTCTGGGTGCGGATGTACAAACCTGCAGCCTGGCAGAGAAAGCCAATGACGTCTCCGATCACGAATATCTTGGTCATCCACCGTACGGAAACCACGCTCAGGTGCTCTGCGCGCAAAAAGGTGATCAGTCGGCCGAGCACCATGTAAATCGACGCGGCGTAGAGCGGCGGGGCAAGCAGAATCAGGATGGCCTGAATGCTGTAAACTGGGATCGACTCCTTGTTGCTGTGCGCTATTACACGGCAGATGTAGCCGATTATCTGGACTGTGTGTAGCGTTAGTCTTTTGGTTGGAGTGTGTCCATGAAAGCGGCCACTTGTTCACGTACAGACTCCCCCCAGCAAAAATGCGGTGAAGTACCATGCTCGTGCCTTTCCTATCTGATAGGCATGGTAGAGTGTTGTGAGGGAAAACAAGGCCACGAAGAGCCCTGCTGCGGCCTGCGATGGGGTGTATCTGTAGAGCTTGAAGTCGATGTTTGCATCGGCCATTTTGCACAAGGGTTTTCGTTGCAAAATTTAGCTGAAGATTAGACTGGGGGGCATTGTTTTAATTATAGCCAACCGCTCGTTATGTTAAATTTCATCGCCGTCTACCAGGGAACGCTGGATTACCGCTTCGGGTCGAAACGAACACGAGCGCGGACACGACTACGAGTACGCTTTGCGCAGAGTGGAACAACCACAACCAGGTACCACGCTCTGGGTCTCGGGTTTGGCGCTAGTCAGGCACCTGCTTTTGTGGGATACGTTGGTTCTTATTATAGTCTCCCGTGGATAGGATTTTTATAAATATGAACAATCCAGACTCGAGACAGCTTGTTTCCAGAGATAAACACCTGCTTCTTCTCCTCTCTTCTTCCGTGCAGCATGTCAGCCGTGGACTTTCAACTCTACCGCTATGACCCCTCGGTCGGGGCCGCTGTTTTCTTTGTTATTCTCTTCATCCTGGGATCCGGCGTCCATACATACCAGATGATCCCGACCAGGACATGGTTCTTTATCCCCTTTGTTGTCGGTGGCCATCGTGCGTTCTTCTATACAGCAGCCATACTATGCATACAAAGCTAATCTATGGTGCCAGTGGAATGGATTGGATATATCGGAGTACGTTCACCCATCACCGTATCCCTGTGCCGGATAACAACTGACTGGCAGCACAACCCCTAGCGAGCCATGTCTGGCACCGAAGAACGTCCCTTTTTCAGCCTCGGTCCTTATATCCTCCAAACACTACTCCTCCTGATTGCGCCGACCCTCTACGCCGCAAGCATCTACATGGCCCTTGGGAGAATAGTCCTCGCCACCGACGGCGAGGCATACTGCTGGATCCGCCGGAAGTGGTTGACCAAGATCTTCCTGCTAGGCGATATCATTTCATTCATCATGCAGGGAGCTGGTACGTACAAAGCCACATGTGGATTCCTCCGCTAACTTGCTTTCCGTTGCCATCAAACAGGCGGGGGCATAATGACATCCGGCACCCTGTCAGCCGTCACAACAGGCGAGAACATCATCATCGCTGGCCTCGTCGTGCAGCTCATCTTCTTCTCCGTCTTCATGTATACTAGCGTACGATTCCATCTTCGTATGAGGAAGGGGCTCTCCCGCAAGCTTCTACATACCCAGCCGCCATGGGAGAGGCACATCCACGCGCTATATGCAGGCAGTCTTCTCATATTTGTCCGGTGCGCGTTCCGCCTCGTGGAATATGCCCAAGGAAATGATGGGTATCTGGTGTCGCATGAGGCTTACCTGTATATCTTTGATGCACTGCTAATGGCGCTGACCATGGCCGTGTTTGCGTGGGTGCATCCGAGTGAGATTAATACGATTATTAACCCTGGGAATAAGGTCGTTCGGGGGGTTATATGGATTGTTCCTGCTATGGGGGAGAGGCTGGCTTATTGAGCAGGGGATCAGGTCTCTCCAGCATACCCGGCCTATATATTCGATGTATATTGTGATGGATTCTCACATCCATGTGCTTCTGGCGCACAAACCAGGCATTGAAAATCTCCCACTTCTTGTTGATGTCAAATTCGGCACATGGGATGTCCATTCGCTGTCAGGTAGTGTACATATCTTTCATTAGGTCAACGGGCGTAGGGAGAACTGCTGGATGTTCTATGCGTCATGATGGTTTTGATTCAGGCCTTGCAACGCTGCCAACTTTGCTTCACAACCCGCCTCCTCGTTTTCTTCCAAACCAACATGCGCGGGCACCCATTGAATTATTAGATTGGTCCCTAATTTCTGTAGGTCCCCGGCGTGTTGGTAGATCTATCTAAGGGGGTACTGGCCGGGATCCCTGCCTGGGAGTCGGAAAACATTTTGATAGCCACCGGGCTCGGGATCCCGTGGCTCTAGGGCCGTGTCGATTCCTGCCAGCTCCGTTGCGTACACGCTGGCCTGGGCTACATCCCCCAGAATGAACCACAACACACTCGCACCTCCTTTGCAGGATCAGGCGCATGGCTGGCCACAGTGATATTCCTTCGCGTCCCAAAGGTTGTGACGGCCGGCAGATGTGGCACTTGAAGAACCCTCGCCTTGATAGCCATGGCCCGCTCCAAGGCAGCAGGAGAGATCTGATCCTTGGGCAAAGTCACCAACTGCATCCCTTCGAGGCCTTGCACCTGAAGCGCATCACGCAGCAGCTTCTGCCGCCCGTCCTCCTCATCGTCGCGTCTGCGTTGCGGAAACGACGCCGGGTTCTCAAAAAGGAGAGTCCGAATGGCATCCCCCCACAAGCACCCCCACCTCCAGCATGAGAGGATATGATGAAATGCCACTTGATCAGCTTCTGATGCGTCTCCGTCCGCGTACGGGCCGGTGGGAAGCACGTCGAACCCCGAATAGCTCCGACAGCCCCAGTCGGGGATGCAATATGTGATATAGGTCAGTCGAGTGGTCAGGTCATGCAAGGGGAGGCCCCTTTCTGGCTCGAGAAAGGCCTCCATCGTGCTCGCGAACATCTCGCTATAGATAAGAAGCTGGAAAGTGGCGCGGTCGGCCTCGGTCTCAAGGGTATAGGCCTCGCTGACACCGCCGTCCCAGAAGCGAGGCGTGCTGTACCACTGCCGACCGGCCATCTTGTCAATTTTGTCGGACAGGGGGTTGATGATCGAGAAGCGAGCCCGGTGGGTGCGCCGGATATCTGCCAGTGTCAACCCTGAGTGGCGCAGACAGAAGTGGTAGAAACCATCGATCCCGCCCTGTAGGGCACTTCGCAGCTCGTCGACGCGATCGGCATCCCCCAGTGCCCAGTTGCTGGCTGTGCGGGCGGTTGCGAGGACGAGGAAATGGGGATGGGGAGAGAAGAACGTGGGGGCTGACGCGGCCGCAAGGCGCAGGATTGTCTGCGGCGGCGCTGCGTACAAGGCATCTCGCAGCCGACGACAGGTGGCAGCGGCGTTGGTGAAGGTCTCGATGTTGTCGATGAAGTCGGCCAGTAGGCACAGGATCTCGGTGGGGAGCCTAAGCAACATGGTGGAAGTATGAGATGGTGAGAGAGACGGAGTTGGCTTCTTGACTCGACATTACTCAGGTGCACTCGGAGTGGAGGACCATTTTGGGGGCCAGTTTGCTAGCAGCGTAGTGACTGATCGGGAATTAGATGCATGTAACTAAACCATCAAGTAAATACAAATATATTTGGAAGCTGCACGGGTAATGATAGGGCGTGGATATAGCCTTGCCAGCCCCTGTATTTTTAAGCAGTGTGCACTCCATTGCATGGTTTGTCAATGCAGTTGACGAGGGCAATAGCCTGACAAAGCACGCTACAGTGGAATGGTAGTTATGAACAAACTTAGAGTGGCCACTACCCACAGATGGCACTGTTTTCAGACCCAGGGAAACACCTGCTCGCGTTCCCAATCAGCAAAAACAGGCTTCTCAACATCGTTGGGTTTGCCTCCACCCGATGGGAAAAGATAGGTGATTCAACGGAGAGTTCAGCAGCTTCTCATTCACATTGCGCCAGCTCGCATATCGACCAGATCACTAACCCTGGAGCGGAGACAGACACAGTGATGCGAATTCCTTTGATTCCATAGCATATAGGAGGATCTGGGGCAGCCTGGTGTACTACCCGCTGTCGTGGTAGTCAAAGATTGGAGCATCCGTGCATCGATGAGGCAACAAGTGATGACTCTCACTGGTTCTGTCGTCCCCTGATCTGCAGCCTCGCCATGACTCGCAAGCCAACCTGTCTGATTGGAATCCAAGCGCTCGTCGTGGTACCATCCGGGGAAAGCCAACTCAGAGTGAGTCAAGCATCCCTGCTCGGGGGCTTTCCCAACCGGGTGGTGGGGTCAGTCGATGTGTCTGCTTATTAGGAAGGCAAAACAGATCTCAGGTCAGCAAAATCAACTTTGCGGAGGTTTACGAGTCTAAGAAGAGCGAAGATGGCGGTCGACGTTGCGGAGCAGTTTTCAGGCTGGGTCTCGCAGACTCAGAATGCTGAGCAGACGAAGGTTGAGGAGTTGAAGGTGAGGAATACTTGAAAAGGATGCTCTATCTCTATCACTAATTTCTGAGCCCAGGCCTTTTCCGATAAGTTTACAAAGCTGAACAGGGAGTTTCGCGATATCTCCAACGACCTTCAGAGAGAGCGTGTTGCGGCCAGACAAACCCAGGAAGAGGCGAAGTCGCTGAGGAGTCAACTTAGGGAGTTGCAGGAGGCTGTGGTTTGTCTTCCTCCCTGATCTTCACCGAAAATAGGCTGATGACAAGGGATCCAGGAGCGCAGCTCGTTCGTGTTGGTTTTGATTGACGCCGACGCCGATGGCTATATTGTAGGTACTTTCTCTACAAAGGATCACAAAACGAGCCCTCACCATGTCCCAGTTCAAGGAAGACTATTATAAGGATATAGACGGCGGTCGGAATGCCGCTTTACATCTGGAAGCTGCTGTGAAGGAGCATCTGAAGAACTCACACCCAGAGTTGGCGAATGTGCCGGTCATGATCAAGGCATTCGCCAACGCTGATGGGCTTGCCCAAATATTGGTCAAGGCAAAACTTATAAAGTCTGCCGGTTCGCTGTCCAGTTTTGCGAAGGGGTTCTCGCAGGCCCATGATGCCTCCGACTTTGTGTTGGTCGGTAGTGGCAAAGACCGTGCGGACGAGAAGATCAAAGGTGTCTTTCAGCAATTCATTACAAACCCTACCTGCCGTCATGTTATCTTCGGAGCATGCCACGACAACGGGTACGTTCGTCTATTGGAGAGGCATCAGACCACTGCTGCAGACCGAGTGACTCTGCTTCACCCCTTTGAGACAGGAAGAGAGTTTGCTGGTCTTGCAGGCTTCCGCTCCATGCGGCTGGAGACGATTTTTCGAAGTGAACCAGTGTATACTCGCAACTCGCCGCCTCACACACATCGAGCCTTGAGTGCGGAGGACGTTCAAGGTGGAGGCCCACCACGAGGAAGCCCATGGGTGACTCCCCACCCCATATCACCCCGAAGCGTTGTTTCAAGAAAGCCCGAGGATTTGCCCGCAAACTCAGTATACATCAACGCGGCGGACCAACGGCTGGACTCTGAGCTACTTCCTACGCCCGCAGAAGCAGTACGGAGTTGGGATCACAAAGTCGGCCCTGCAAGAATGAGATATTGTCGAAAGCATCATTTACAGGGGAGAACGTGTACTAGCCCTTGCGGCTATTCCCATGGGCCCTTGACGCCAGGGGAGGTCTTGGCCTACCGGCATTATGTTAGGCAGGAGGCGTGTAATTTTGGTTCACGTTGTCGGGATGCAAGTTGCTTCTATGGGCACCATTGCTCATGTGCGAGGCCGTCGTCCTGCAAGTTTCCAGCTGCGATGCATAATGTTGATGTGTCCTCGGTTTCGGTTCTTCAGTGCGCATAGCGATGACGCTGAGTAGGAGGTATGAGCTGGCAGTTTGTTAGCAGTTTTTTGTTCAATTCCTTGTCTCTGGGTGTCATTGCACATATGTTGTGAGAGACAGCCCTTCAACAGCGCTGTCGGGGGTTTTGGCTATTTACGTAGTAGACACCAGGTTCGGCCACCACTACCAAGTGCCGCAGGATGGATGCATATAGTTCTTACTTAACTCTACTCCAAATGTGGATTATCGTGCAGGCTGTGCTGGATTATTAACCAAGATTCGGTAGTTATTGAGTTGTTCTCCCGAAGACCAAGATTGCAGTTCCGTATACCTGGAGTCTGATGACGACTAGGGCCTCCGTGGATGTCTGATGCAGACGAACCTAACCCTGTCCATAGGGGGCTGAAGAGAGCCAATCTTCAGGGTCTGTTGCTGAAACCAGCGCAAGAAAGAGACTAAACGGGGTTTAGTTATTTCAGATGTCTAACTTTAATTGATTATATATGCGGAATGGAATCCAGCCAGACCACTGCAGTATAGGCACTAGCAGGCAGCGCTCGCAACGAAGACAGTGTTAACCCCACCAGTCCCAGGCGAGCCAGGATATATAATAACAGGGAAAAGAAAGACAAGAATATTTCCCCTGCGGTGAACCCATCTTCCCGGTCACTTAATCCTTGGGCCCAGCGGGGCAAAGTAACTCCTTTATCGCGGAGCCATGTCAGAGTGGGTGGTACTTGACCGACTAGATACATCACAACCACCGATCCAAGCCCAGTGAGTGCAAATACCCGCCAGGCGATAGCTTCAGCATGCGTTGGAAATGGGAAATTCCACCTGCCATCAAGCGTTAGCAGTGGCGACTGCCAGGGCTAGTGGTTCTACTTACGCAGCAACATGAATTCCGCAGAAAACAAGCCCTGATAAGGCGATCATCGTGTTCCCAAGGGACTCTTCCTTCACTGTATGTCCCGAATATCCTCTTCTTATGCCTCCCTCGGCGGGCTCGGCCATAAAACCAGTCTGGAGCTCTGTCCCTAAGCGCCGGAATGCGGTACTGACACGGCTGCGTGAGAACACACGACGGTGCTCCCATCGCTTCGGAAATACATCAGTAAGGTTTTGAATCTGCAGCGGTAGGCCAGCGCGAGTGCATCGCAGGTATAATGTGATGGGAACGGCCATGCCCTGGGGCTTTTTCCACCAGCAGGCGTAGGTCATCAGGGCACAGGCGATATATGCCAGCGTCGAGAACTCCAGTGGGGTGATAGGGAGGTTATACCCAGCGCGAGCGACGATGTTCACGGTGACCCAGGTACTCTGTAAAACGGTAAACGCCTTCGCAAAGGCATCTGATTTCGCTCGGTCGGTGATGTCTCGGTCGGTGAAGTCAGGACTCCTGATAATACCTGCCTCAACAAAGGCGACAATCTGGTCTTTCCTCACATAGTAGATCCATCCATCCTCTGTCTCCAGAGTCACCCCGTTCATTTGGACACAGAAGCAGTGCGCAACCGTCCAACGCGCGGGGAGAGGGTACAGATCCATGTTGTTAATAGCGTGGGCTTCAGACAGCGGCTTGGTTCGGTTATATAGCCATGACATGGGCTCTCCTGTCACAGAGTCGCTGCTACCAGTGCTCCCTTGGGCCGCATTGCAGCGCCTGGCCATCGACCATGCGCCCCATAACTCGTCCAGAGCTATAAGGAAGAGCGCCTCGGGGGCCAGGAAGGTTATAGCCCACGACAAGAGCTTGGAAGCAGTTACCAGGTTCTCCGAGGCATACCGCGTGGGTACGTTTTGGTGCAGGATAGTCCATGTACAGGCGAAGATGGTAGTCAGACATGTCCAGACAATATCCCACGAGGATCGATCGCTGTCCTCGAACTGCCAGCCTTTTAGGGTGTCCATTGCGTGGTGGGAATGCAGCTGAGGTTCTGCTGACGCGAGAACTTATCGCAGACAGCTCTAATCTAGAATAACATTAGCGCAGTGTGATATCTCCTGCGATTGGTCCATGGTACGGCAGACTATTAGAACAAAACTGCAACAATAAAAGTTTCAGGTAAGCGCTAGTATACATAACTATTACCTATAAACATGCATAAATTATGTAGTAATAGATTGAGGCGTGTTTGTATTGTTTGCCTATCCACAATTTCTACCTCCATACATCTCCAATCACAATACAAGTTAGCAAGGACGACAAAGGGTATTAGTCAGCGCCTTCCCCAGATCCCTCCTTCTCCACACCCTTCCTCCGCACTTCTGCACTCACGTCGCAGGCTGAAAGGATGTCCAAGGTAGACAGGAGATTGCCCATTGCTTGTAAGCGATGTCGGTTGAAGAAACTCAAGGTATATGCCCGACAATCCGTCACCGAGATCTCTGCTAACGATCCTCAGTGTGATGACAGTACTCCGAAAACGTGCCAGAACTGCAAGAAAGCAGCAGTGCCATGCATTCTCGTAGACCCGGTCTCGAAACGAGAATTTGATAGAGAGTAAGTGTCTCATAGGGCGATGTGGTTCGCTGACTGAGTTCCCAGATACGTAGAGAATCTAGGAGAACGCGCCCGGAATCTGCGAGCCACACTGGGTGAATCTGCCGACTCGCCCACGGCCAGATCTAACCCTGCGGCGCAAGTGACGGGTCCATCTACGTTTCATGGTGTAGGGAGTGTCATAAGGTCGGTTACCTATTGATGCACCTTGGTTACAAGACGGCTAACTTGGCCAGTGTCGCGAAACTGGTAGAGGCAGCTGTATCTGCAAGAGCCGCTGCCTCATGCTTGATCGACGTGGGACAGGAAGTTGCAGAGGAGCAACAAATGCTTACGGGCATTAAGGCTTCCCGGGCGCCGCTGCCTCCATCATCAGCCGGACGTGAGCTTGTGGAGTCGTAGTATGACTTGCCCTGATGATCGCGTGTCTAGCTGACTAGTTGTCTAGCCTGAGAGGCTTACACGTTCTCCATCCGGTCCTTAGACGTTCAACCGTGTATGACGACTTAAAGTCAATGTACTCGCAAAGCACACCACCATGCAGCAAAGAGATCCTCTTCCGCATGTATATGGTGTTTGCGATCGGGGCTATTCCGCTTTGGAGGAAGGGAATACATTCAGTTGCTCCCATTGACTACTATGTCACAGCAATGGGCTACGCAACCCCAATCCTAAGCCTGCCAGGATTCGGCCAAATCCAGGCCATCATGCTCATTATTCTGTTTTCCATTCAGCATGATATTGGCAGTCAGTCTCTTCATCATTCATATATTGGTACCTTTTTTAATAACATGAAGTGGGCAACAAGTGGGATTTGACCCGCATGGCCATGCGAATTTGCATCGAAAACGACTACCATCTCAAGGCCAGGGGACGCTTTGACCTTCTGGAGGAGCAGATGCGCCGAAGGCTTTTCTGGGCTTGTTACATCAGTGACCGGCATATAGCATCTCTCACCGGGCGACCGGTGGCAATCGAGGACAGGGATATTGATATCGAGGTATGTTGTCTCTGATATCGTAGAATGTGCACTAACGTGAGAAAAGCTCCCCATTGACGCAGATGACGACCTAATTGAATCTGGAACTACGAGCGAACAGCATGCGAGGGGATACTCAGAGGTATCATTCCAGCTGCGCCAAATCGGCCTCCGCAAAATCACATCTCGAATACGAACCCAGCTCTACCGCGCTCCCAGCAGCTCGCTAGCGACGTAGATCCTATCTAATCTGGACATTTGGAGGGATTCTTTCCCTAGTGTACCGGGTTCGACGAACGTGTATGAAACTGTGGAGTGGAGGGACCTCAACTACTTCCGTGAGCGCCTGAGTGTCTTCCGATGCCTTGTAATGCAATTTCGGGCATCCCCAGAGCGCCATAGCGCAGGAACACACAATACAGACAAATGCCTCCAGGCAGCGACAGGAGTGATACAATCGTACAAGAGCCTTCACGCGAGCGAAAAGCTGGTATTGAACTGGACGTGCGTGCATGATGTCATGTCAGCAAGTTTTACGGCCTTGTACTGCGGCCTTGCAATCTACGACTCATCTGGCGAGGAGCGACAGTCATGGGAAGAACACCGAAATACAATGCTGCTCGCATGCTCGGGATGCATTGAGATCCTCTCTTTGATAGCAGAGACATGGACGACAGTCAAGAAGCATCTTGAGATCTTCAAGGCACTGAGCACAAAGATCTCTGACATAGTGCAGGCCGCACAAACTACGGTTGAACCGCCGAGTCAGTCTATCACCTTACCGTCTCTATCCGGCGACCAGTGGGAAATACCCGGAAGCAGCAATGATTGCCCAAACCAGCCAAATGATTTGCTAAATTTGTCTGACAGCATTGACTGGAGCAAGGTCAATTGGGAAGCCATTATGAATTGTGAAGAGCCTATGCTTGATATTAACGACATATACTATCAAGATTTATAGCTCAACGTGAAACTTGTACGTGGCTGTCCCGTCAGTCGAACAAGCTGTACCAAGTAATGGATCAGCCTGTGTCTCCGTAATCTACGCTCTCCGTTTGCTCAACTCGCAAGATCCAGAGTGGAGTCGAGCACCGAGTCATTTCACCCGAGGTGATCCTACGTGCTCGTCGAGCGGAGATCGACCCGGCAGCCTGCGGAGATCGATCCGAGGGTACGAGGGACCAACACTCCGTCCCAGGGGCAATTTCCACTTCTTTCGCTGTCTTATGTCCGGAGCCTATGCCCGTTCTTCTCCACAGAAAATCCTCGTCCATCTTCCACCGAGGCCCAGCGCCGTCTCCAGCATGAAAGCCATGGATGTGTCCGCACTATTGACGGAAGTCTCGACAAACCTCACATTGCAATAACGGATTATTTTCCGGGGTCATTGCCCTTCAATGGACGAAGGGCTGTACATAAATCCCGAGATGACTTGCATCAAATCCTGGGGAACGACTTCTTCGACTCCACCATCACCTACAGTTTGCCAGCCTTACCAAGCCCTATTGAACCTCGACAATGGCGCCAGCTTTCGCCCAAGACATTGCCAACGGTATCGACAATGATTCCCGTTCCACCATCTTCGCGAAAAAGGGGACGGACGTGAAAGCCATGGCGGTTGGCACGCAGAACAAGAACGGCAAAGCCATCCTTCCGACAATCCCCGAGTTCAAGACGAAGGGGGAGGAACAGAAGTACTGCAAGGAACACCTCGCTTGTGCGTTCCGTGTCTTCGCAGATCAGGGCTTCGACGAGGGTGTGGCGGGTCATATGTCGCTGCGCGACCCTATCCATCCTGATCGCTTTTGGATTAACCCGTACGTGCATCCTCGCTTCCTTCTTCCTCGGAGAAGCAACGGTGAACTAACGCAATGAGTCCTGTACAGATATGCCATCCATTTCGCCGACATCAAAGTATCCGACCTCGTTTGCGTCGACGAAAACGCTCAAGTTATCGAGGGCCAACATGCCGTCAACGCCGCAGGCTTCGCCATCCACTCGGAAATCCACAAAGCACACCCACACATAAACGCGGTCTGCCACGCACACACCGTCTACGGAAAGGCCTATTCCGTCTTCGGTAAACCCTTGCCCCCGCTAATGCAGGACTCCCTCCGCTTCTACGACTCGCATTCCGTTAACAAGGCCTATGGCGGCGTTGCCCTCTCCTCCGAGGAAGGGAAGGCCATCGCTTCGACACTGCGACTTCAGGATAAAGTGTGTATCCTGCAGAACCATGGATTGCTCTCCGTCGGTGAGACCATTGACGAGGCGGCGTACTGGTTCCTGTGCTTTGAGAAGTGCTGCCAGGCTCAGTTGGCGATTGATGCCGCGGTTCGCTCGGGCGGGCAGGAGCAACCCAAGTATGTGGATCATGAGACTGCGCTTTATACTGCTGAGCGGTCGGGAGCGAGGTATCCCGGTTGGTTGAATTTTCAGCCGTATTATACTAACATGCTGAAGAGGACGAATGGAGATTTCTTGCTGTAGGGGGGTGGGGCGGTCCGATAGATATAACTCCGTATGCGAGTTTCTCTGTGGCTATTACGCTTGTTATTCGCGACTTCTGTTTAATGAACATGGTGTATATTCAGCTGGATCAGACAATACTCCTCTCTTATTCTAGCCGCTTTGCCTGCCTTTACTTTATCCGTCCCTACAAACGAACAAATTGTTTAGTTTCCGGCTAGTTTGCCCTGGCGTTTCTGTACTCCGTACAAATGATCATCAAATTTCACCGCATGACATATCACGGCATAGAATTCGACAGCAAAAGAGTTTGAAGACCAGCAACCTGCTTCGCAGGGGCACCATGTTACCTAATACCATGACTATGTCACTGATGTCAGTTCCTTCATAGGGTGCCTTTTTTTCCCCCAAATGTATCCTGTATCGAAACCAGAACGGGCCGTCGATATGCGGGCGATGACTCCGTAGTATGGTAGAATGTATCTCATCGTGCCGAAATCAAACATTTCACAGTCCTCCAAACCATCAAGCCATGATCCCCGCATCAGCCTGAAAAATCCCATTAACCCTCTCTCTCTTGATGCAGTTCTCAGTCTTGAACGACGCAGCCAACGCGTCCAACTCTTCAAAGCTCTAACCCTCGCATCGCGTCCTAGGTCTCATGGTCTACACCAATAGAACGCCATATCTGATGGTATCTTGTATAAATGATGATTATGCTTTCTGAGATTCTGTACACTGTTTTCTATCATGAGCTGTTCCTCATCGTGTGACAATGCAAACTAATCCATGCGGTCTCAAAGGCAGAAAGGTGGCACTGCATGGCGGCGGAGGGAAGCTGGAGCTCGATGCGAGCTGTCTCCGCCGACCTATAGACTAGCTTTTTGCAGTCATTAAGTCCGAGCTCCGAAATTGGAGTAAATTTGGAGGTCCAAGGGGCCAGAACGTTGAATCGCCAAATGACTCGTGCCCTTAGCCTAAAGCCTGCAGGCCGGAGAACTACCGAGTAATGCTACATACGTCCAAGCCTGTATCTGTGGTTAAGAAGCAACTTAGAACACACCAACACCGTCTTCCATATTCCTCAGAAGTACAACAGAATGCACAAGCTTTCGTGTCGCGGCGCGAGGTACGCCCTGGAGACGCTTAAGGACCTACTCATACACCGTTAATTGATTGGAAAGATAATTCAGCGATGTACGAAATAGCGTGAGGGCGAGACTAGGTGAGGGCACAATGGGACAGGAATAACATACCCGGTTAGCCTCCCAGGTTCCTTCTCCACCCAAATGGCTCGCGATATCCGCAAGGTCTGCCATGCTAGGGAACTGTTGGGAGAGCGCACGCAATGAGGCTACACTCATTTCCGTCTCGGATGGACCTATAGTCCCCGCAGTAGCTGATTGGCCGGCCAAAGGTAGCGGGATGGAGACGGATATAGGCTTGAAGCTGTGGCCGAGAACGCTCAACGTGAACGCATGGAATGCGGAGTATCCCAGTGGCCAGGGTAAGGGTGTGCTTGACAGCGAGGCGCGATAGACGTAGTCTATGTGTGAGTGGGCCTGTATCAGAATGCTGTCAATGGTGGATAAGTCCAGTTTCAGGTAGGGAGGACCCAGGGAAAAGATGAGCAGGTTGTTCGCTAGATGGGCTGTTATGAAGGTGGAGTCTTGTGCAGCCTGCGCGCTGAGAGTTTGGATCTCCTGTAGTTTTCCAAGCTCTGTGGCGGGGTCTTCTGCTATGTGCAACTTGGATGTCAGTAATGCTAGACGCAAGAGGAGCGGTAGACTCGAGTTTGTGGTTGATGGAAGCGGCTTGTGGGAGTCAGTCGGATATATATCGACAGGAAGACCGATGATAGTGGATCGCTCACAGGAACTGTAATATCAAAGTCTGATAATCCAAATGGCCTGCCTAGCGCTATTGAAAGGCATCTACACCGCTGCTTAGCATTTCATTGCGAATTTGGCAGAGAGGTGTACCTGTCCAGTATATAGGCGGACCAGAATACTGCGCTTTCCTGTTCGCTAACTGCGTCATGGAATAGACGTCTGGAGTCCTGATGAAAGCCTAGCTTGACGCAAGTTTGTAGAGCCAGGCCCATGAAATGCCAGGTACTACCCCCGCTTGTAGTGAACATGGAGTATAGAGTCAATAGCAAGAGTAGCTGGACCATTTCAAGGCTTTCAGATGCGTTGTTCGAGAAGGAAAGTGACTCCATCGTCGTTAGATAGAAACCAACTGAGTGATAATTGGTTACATGGTCCGCCAGAGACGAAAGACGAGCGCCAAGAGCGAGGGCCATGAGCAGACGAGGAGACAGGCAGCCGCGTGACCCAGACGTAGACACAGTCTTGTGAAATTCATTGCGAATGGCGCCTTCATCTAAGAAAGGGAGCGCATAGTTAACCTGTTCAAAGTACGTGTTGAGGTACGGCTGTGTGGCGGGTGTAATTGGGATCCTGATAGGGACCTTCTCAGTATCAAGCAAAAGACGGCTTGGATGGCGGGAATGGTACGGGTGGCTGTTCTCGACAGCAGCAGCCGCGCGTATCATGGAGACAATATCATAGGCGAGTTGTGGGTGGCTAGTGTCAGCTCCCAATTCACCCAATGTACTCCAGTCAAAGGTTCCCGTCGCTGTGCCGGGAGTGCTTGCACTACCACCAGAGGTGGACAGGATGAAGGGACTTAGGGCGTCACTGGTTGGATTAGGCAGATTGATGCCATGAGCCAGCATCTCAAGTTGGTCGACTTCGGCCTCGAGGGTTTCTAGGTAACTGACGAATATTAGAGCCCTGATAAATGACATTAGGGGAGTCGAGTAATTACCCCTGTGAATGTCTGCCGCCATGGCGTACGCGTTCAGTACGCTGGCAGGCGGTTGCAGCTCGCACACAGGCTGAGCATTCTGGGAGCTTCAAATCACACTATTCTTGATTAGGGCATGCTTGCACAGGGCCACCGTGAAGGAAATGCGTACTTTGATCTTTCGTCGCCTGCACCGGTCGCATGCTAGCCGAGTCCGCTTTGTGCGTACTCCATCGGGAATTCTCCTCCCGGACGGGGTTATTGAAGCGTCCGACATGGTTCTCAATGGCTGGGACTGGGATATGGGCGATGGAGACAGACCCGATATACTTCCGCGTGGTTTACGTAGGTGTAAGTCGAAGCGATCGGGATTTCCAGGTCAAATTCCCCGCGAGCTCGGCAACATCTCCGCAAGGGCGGACTCTGGACCGAGCCCTAGGATCCGGCTTCAACCTCCGCTCTCAATCCCCGTGGGGTCCGGGGAGACCCTGTGGATGGCTGGATCCATCACACCTGGCTTTATAAAGTCGGGTCAGCGAAGCATTTTGTATCTCTCCACAACCGTTACTTCACTGTTTCCTCGGATACACTCGACAATGACTGCTGACACTTCATCTATCAAGTCCTCGTACGACGAGAAGAAAAGGCGAGACCATGTCGAAGAAGCTCGATCAAACCAGCATCCCAATGTCAGTGCAGAGGACGCAGCTTGGCTCGATTCGTTCCCCGAGGAAAGAAAGAAAAAGGTCATCTGGAAGGTACAAGCGACATCCATTCCAGAGTAGCCTTGCGGGTGAGGATGTCTGCTAAGAGCTTTAGGTTGACATTCGTCTGATTCCGCTTCTCACCTTACTCTATCTCTTCTCGTTTATCGATCGAGCAAATATTGGTAAGAGCCGTCTATATGACAGGGAGTGGTGACTGACAGTACGCAGGAAATGCGAAAATTGAGGGTCTGACTGAGACTCTGAACATGAGTTCAACCCAGTACAATGTCGTTCTATCGATCTTCTTTGTGCCCTATGTAATCTTTGGTAAGTGCTGTATCATCTCCCTTGGGGGGTGCCTTCTAACCATGCGTCAGAGGTGCCCAGCAACTACATCCTTAGCAAATTCAAGAAACCGTCTATGTACATTGGTGGAATCATCGTGGCTTGGGGAATAGTCATGACGCTGATGGGAATCGTCCACAACTTCGAAGGCCTCGTTGCTGTCCGCTTCATGTGAGTCCCCAGAGAGCCTAATCTTTCAATACACAGGGCTAAACCCTGGACAGGCTCGGCGTGGCAGAAGCAGGATTCTTCCCTGGAGCCGTGTACATAATCTCGTCCTGGTACCTGCCGCATGAGATGCAGAGTCGAATTGCGCTCTTCTATGCTGCCAGTGCGCTTGCGGGAGCAGTATCTGGACTCCTTGCCTTTGCCATTGCGAGGATGGATGGCGTCGGAGGCTACGAGGGCTGGCGGTGGATCTTCCTTCTTGAAGGCATCGCAACTGTCCTCGCTGGAGTTCTCTGCCTTTTCTGCCTCATCGATTCCCCCGAGATGTCTTCTTGGCTCGACGATGATTAACGCAAATGGCTCCGCCTCCGCCGCGAAGCCCAAGTCGGCATCACGCAGCGCAAGAACGCAGGTGCCAAGAAGGGGTCGACTGGGAGATCCTCCGTGCCGTTGTGACGGACTGGCAGGTGTACTTGCAGTCCCTCATCTACCTCTCCAGCACGATCCCCAACTACGGCATGAAATTCACCATGCCTCAGATCATCACGAATATGGGATACACATCGTCTATGGCGCAGGTGCTTACAATCCCTCCGTACATCGCGGGTGCAATCAGCGCCTACTGCGCCGCTGTCTTCGCGGACCGACTACACTGGCGCATGCCCTTTATTGTCGGATCACAGCTAATCGTCCTCATCGCATTTGCCATCCTGTTCGCCAAAGCTGCAGACATCAAGAACAACATCGCAGTCTGCTACTTTGGCGTCGTTCTCGCATGTATTGGCCTCTATCCTATCAACCCCGGCTGCAATGCATGGACCGTGAGCAATCTCGCTGGCCCTACCAAGCGCGCAATGGGGATCGCATACATGATCTCCATGGGCAACGCGGGTGGGATACCTGGGAGCTACATCTATTTCGACAGCGAGGCTCCGAAATATCCCACAGGGTTCGGAGTATCCCTAGGAATTGCGGCGCTGGGCGTGTGCTCGGCACTGACCCTTGAGCTTACTTACACCGCTCTCAATAAGAGCAGGAAGAGGATTTGTGTTGAAGAGGTCTATGAAACTTATACCCAAGATGAACTGGATGCCATGGGTGATCGGTCGCCATTATTCAAGTACACGCTCTAACTTGGACAAGGTGCGTGATCTCGTGTACGAGAGTACTTGGCTGACAGGATCAGGTCGAGTCAGGCGCTGGGTCGATTGAGCATGAAGCCCGAAATTGATACTAAGTTCCTGTCAACTAGCTGGGGAATTGATTAGGCACGGTGGGTTTGAGGTAACGTAATTCCCGGTCGGTTCGTGCATACGCCCCCAAAATCCATGCTTGAATCACTTGATCAAGTTTAAAGTACTGTACAACAACCAAAAACGATTCAAATTAAATAAACCAATCATATTAACGATTTGGGCACCCCTCCTAATATGCTCCTTAATATTACATTCAGAACATGTTGGCGGGGCACGTTTAGGTATAGTTAAAGTTGGAAGAGCACTTCCACCAGTACTACCCCCCTCTGCTTCCAATTGCTCATTTCTCAGCGAAATTAGATCCCTAGCTTCTTGAAATGAAAGACCTTCTGTAGGAGTCATTTGGCGCTTGGAACGACCTTTTTTCTGCCTGTCATTCTCAATAGCTGCGCGGAGAGTGCAGTTTTCATTTGCTAGTAAACTAGCATTGTAAATAGATAGTGTCACGACCTGCCAAGGCCGTGCAACGTGACTCCACCATGTGACCCCTGCGGACCGCCGCCGGAGCGCCTACTGACCGGCAACCGCTAACTGACCAACTGCCGACCCTCGAGCATCTCCGACAACCGCCACCAAAGAATAGATATATTACAATCCTGCAGAGGTAACCAAGGCCTCGCATATTCCTAACTAGGAGGGATCTACCAAAGAGAACTGTACAACTACCTGATGACCTGACTTGGAGGGGTTGGGCACCAGGACCGCCACCAGTCCGCTGCCGGAGACCACTCTCAAGGGGAGTTCTATATAAGACCTCTAGATATTCCGGTTCTATAGACCCTTAAGCAATTCATTCTGTTTCTAACGGAGCTATCTGATTAGTCGAGCCAGAATCCCCAGAACGTTGACATCGCTTAGTAGTTGCCAGACCCTTGGCATCGTTCGGTGTCTTACAAAGAGTTACTCGCTGAATTAGTTCAAGCATAAAATCAACTTTTAGAGGAGATGATTATAGTAAATCAGAGAACTAAAGAGTTAGTAAAGAGAATTACTATACTAGAACAGAATTAGAAATAGTCTCTGATACCGGGTCTATTATAAAGTCCTCTAAATTGACTATTTATCCCTTTAGCTAAGAAACAATGCTTTAAGTGCGGAGAGTATAGCTATATCTCACTAACTTGCCCTATATAAAGGTCCTTGGCCTTAGGAGTTATTGCGACTTGCGAATAGTGTGAAAGGGTGTAATACACCTAATGACAGAGATATAAAGGTTGCGAATAGTATATTTCAAGAAATAAGGATTATTAGTAGATTAACACTGAAGTTCTGTATCTCCCCCCTTCATGAAGCGAAGAGATTCTCTCATTTGCTGAGTAAGCCAGAGGCTGACTCAGCCCTGCTCCTCGCGAGCAGGTATAGAGCTTTGCGGAGGGTCTTACACTAGGCTAGGTCACCTAACTTTAACCCGGACCGGGTTGGGTCCGGGTTGGGTCCGGGTTATATTGGGTCGTGCGGAAGTCTAGCGGAGCCAGATAGCCTGGTCAGGCCGGCTGCTCCAGTAGGCAAAGCAGACCAGGCTCTGCCATACCTGGTAGTACCGGTGGTAGGTCATAGGCCGCAGGTGGATCTAGATCATCTGGTTCCACAGGTGGGGCTCGCGGTAGAAGGTATTAATCTAGATCTGGTCAAACTCATTAATCTAGCCACTCTAGATAGTATAGTAGGCCTGGCTGACTAGCCGCTGCACGCTAGTGCTTAACTAAACCAGCAGCGGCTCTGTATCATAGTCAGGTAGGCACCCGAGCAGTGCTGCTATCGTCAGGTCCTGCCCCCGTAGGTACTCCGGCCAGCGCGTGAGCTCAAGCCACAGAGATATCTTGGTAGGATAGGTGGCCAGGGCTGGGACCTGGCCGTCCTCCACCTCCGCGGCTGCCTCCCCCGCCAGCAGTGCCTGGTCCACGCGGGCGCGGACAAGCTCCGCAGGGGTAAGGACTGGTTTCATCTTTCCACCCCGGCCCGCGGGGCCCCCCGCCGCCGTGCAGGTTACCTTAAAGAAATGACTCCCGGCCTGGGTAATATAGAATCGCTGGCAAAAAACCACCCGATTCGCGGGGCAGGCCTGCTGCCAGGCCCTAGCACGCGTGGCTGAGAGCCGCCCTGACCCCTATGTGCCATCCTACTCCCGATATTCCGCGCGGTGGTGCTTCTCTGTGGAGTCCATGGTGCTGGCGATATACGGGCAGTGCGGGCAGCCATAGCCCTAGTAGACTAGCAGGCCTAGCACGGGCGGGTCACCCGCGGCAGGCTGGTGGCCGTGCTCCCGGACTGGATCCGCCCACGGCTGCCGGAACATCGCCTCCAGGGCAGCGTCGCGGAGGGGACAGGTCACCATGGTTGGGTGGGAGCGATGGCTGGCGCGGAGATAGGTGAGCAAGGTTGAGGGGGTTACCGCGTACTGGCAGCAGGGCGCCGTGCAGATCCAGACCTGGTAGGTAGGGTTATAGAGTGTGGAAAAGTCTCTACAGATTCAACGTGAAAAGAGTGCATGTCTTTTTATTAAACACAGCTATGTAAGGCCTATTTATCTCTTTTCATTACAACGCTAGCAATAAGCGAGGTTTTCCTGTGTGACCTGATGGTGAATACTTTGTTTACTGTGCAAACGGCGAATGTCGACTTTGCCACCCGGATATTGATGTAGGAGGTGAAGAACTCTTCCCTTCACCGGGATCGTCAATGTCGACATATACGCGTGGGCGCGTGTGTATGTGGAACGTGTTCACTGCATAACATAACTTCAAGGGCACGGACGGGAGAGCGCGCGACCGCGGGAAAGAACGAAGAAAGAGAGAAAAGAGAGAGAAAGGGGGAAAACAGAAGAGGGAGGGAATGGCAGGAGGGAGGGAGCCGACCAATCCAATCTAGAGAGAGACAGAGACGCAGCAGGAAGAAAAGGGTGGTGAAAGGATGGTGTAGGAGCACGCACCCAAGACCGCGAGAGCATACACCTGGAGCTAATCAGGGGTTGAGAAAAGTGAATAGGGACGCATTCCATCATGGGATAGGCCTAGTATAAGGGGTGTTGAGTCAGTACTCAATATATAAGGTTTCACCGCTAGTTCTTCCAGCATTCCTGAATATTGCCATGTTCGATTCAAATTTGAAGATTAATATGATAACTCGCGCTTGTTTTATGCAAGGGGGTCTAATCAGTACTAAATATGTAAGGGTTCACCGCCAGTTCTTCCAGAATTTCCAGATACTAATAGTTATTCAGTCTCAAGCTCTTATATATATTAGTATCTTGTTCTCTTCCATGAACGGACTATAATTCTATTATTGATTCATTTGCCACACTTTTCTGAACCCCTCCTGAAAACCAGACTAAATACCAACAAGATGAAGGTATCAACTGTTCTTTGTGCATTTATCTTCGCTACTTTTACGGCAGCAGGACCCGTGCAAGCGAATCGTCAAGATAAGAACAGGGTTGAAAAAAGACAAGTATGTGTTTGCTCCCTATCAAGGAGATTACTTGAGAATATATAGGCTGACAGAGATGGGATATGGATAGGATGTATGTGGTTAACCCTTCCTGCCTGCAAGATGACTTGAGAATATAGGCTGACAGAGATGGGATATGGATAGCTTGTATGTGGTTAACCCTTCCTCCCTGCAAGTTGACTTGAGAAAATATAGACTGACCGAGATGGGACATGGATAGATTGTATGTGGTTAATCCTTCCTGCCTGCAAGTTGACTTGAGAGGATATAGGCTGACAGAGATGGGATATGGATAGGAGGTATGTGGTTAAGCCTTCCTGCCTGCAAAATGACTTGAGAATATACAGGCTAACAGAGATGGGGGTAGTGTGTATGTGGTTAACCCTTCCTGTCTGCAAGTTAACTTGAGAAGATATAGGCTGATAGAGATGGGATATGGATAGCTTGTATGTGGTTAACCCTTCCTCCCTGCAAGTTGACTTGAGAAAATATAGACTGACCGAGATGGGACATGGATAGGTTGTATGTGGTTAATCCTTCCTGCCTGCAAGTTGACTTGAGAGGATATAGGCTAACAGAGATGGGATATGGATAGGATGTAAGTGGTTAAGCTTTCCTGCCTGCAAAATGACTTGAGAAGATATAGGCTGACAGAGATGGGACATGGATAGATTGTATGTGGTTAATCCTTCCTACCTGCAAGTTGACTTGAGAATATACAGGCTAATAGAGATGGGATATGGATAGGATGTAAGTGGTTAATCCTTTCTACCTGCAAGATGACTTGAGAATATAGGCTGACAGGGATGGAATATGGATAGCTTGTATGTGGTTAATCCTTCCTGCCTGCAAGATAACTTGAGAATATAAGCTAACAGGGATGGGATATGGATAGGATGTAAGTGGTTAAGCTTTCCTGCCTGCAAGATGACTTGAGAAGATATAGGCTGACAGAGATGGGACATGGATAGTCTGTAAGTGGTTAACCCTTCCTGCCTGCAAGTTGACTTGAGAATATACAGGCTAACAGAGATGGGGNTAGGCTGACAGAGATGGGACATGGATAGTCTGTAAGTGGTTAACCCTTCCTGCCTGCAAGTTGACTTGAGAATATACAGGCTAACAGAGATGGGGTATGGATAGCTTGTATGTGGTTAACAACCCCTTCCTCTCCAAAGCTACTTATACTTGGATTGTTTAACAATACTCTTGTGCTGATTAAACCTAGTAAGCGCCTTGTTGGATTTTCCGGTACAGCAGTATCATTATCTATGTATGATCTCAGAATCATGTTATGATTGTCGTCTACTGATATATTTTTAATAGCATGTCCAGATTATACTCTACTATTCTTATAGAATTTGTTAGGTATAGCTGGGGTTTTGATTTGGATAGGGGTCTTCACACGCCTTGGTCTAGGTTTTTCCTATTAAATTAGGTTTCCCTATACTGCTATGCAAATGCAAAGGCTTCTTTTAATATAATAATTCCATAACTGTAAGACCCTACTCCCCAGTCCTTGACGGATTGCCCCCTGGGTGGCTTTTCTCACCCCCTGATTGGTCACTGCTGGGTGCGTGCGCCTGTCGCCCTGCAAGTGCATGCCCCTCTAGAGGCCTGCATCACTCTGATTGATATATATCCGGCCACGTAGTTAGTTTAGCACCTCACGCTTAGTTTTCTTGCTATAATCGACTTATTGCTTAGAGTTGGTTCCAACACTAAAACTAAGCGTCGCTACTAGGCCTCACTGATTCAACTGGCCTTGACTGTCCTACTGAACCACTAGAACTTACCAGATTAGCGATACGACGAGCCTGTCGATCGTGCCACTAGCAAACCCACAGAGTTCTCTTGTCCCACAGAACCACCAGACCCCCCAACCAGAACCCTTGCATCCAGCAACCACGGATCAGATCCCTTCCGGAAAGCGCAAAAGCGCCGATGCCGAGGTCATGGCAGCTGCAGAGTCCCAACTAGGGCGTACTCACAGCAAGTTAATCCTCTCGAAAGCCTCAGCACCCCGTGAGCAATCAGTCTCATCAGTTCTCTCCCGATAGTCAGCTGTACGGGGTTGATCCCCACCAGACCATGGCCCTGATACCGTGTCTGATAACCCTGGAAGACCTCGAGGCCGCTCCTTTCAGCGTGCCTACGAGCGTTCCCTTGAACGCCTCCTCCCTACCAATTTATCGACCCCGGAAGCTACTGCCAAGCCTCGCAGGCCTACCGTCCACAATGACCCTGAGCCTGAACTAATAAAGGATATGCGTGCACAGCGTGACCTGGCACTGCGCCGTAAGAAGGAGATGTCAGACCTAATCAACGATGCCCAACGGAAGATCGTAGCCCTGGAGGAACAGGTTGCTCACCTCCAGATAGAGCAGCAACCTCTGCCTACAACTGAAATGCCACCTCAGCCGGACTACTACCGCGAAGCCCCGGTGTCCCGGGAATCCCCTGGCTACATGGACGAAACCCGCTATACCCCAGTTACTGATACTGTCTCGAACTGGCGTCCCCGGGGCTCCCACCCCAATAGCCACTTCAAAGGCGAGGATGTTGATGAGTATGGCCCCTGGAGATACGCTATCGATGCAAAGCTTGAGGACGACTATCCCCTGTATCCTACTAAACGCTCAAAGATCCGCTACACTCTATCCCGCATAGACAAGCCGATCTTCGATATCATGCAGACCTTTGTTCTAAGCGATCCGACAAAGACCTTTGCAGATTTAATGTGTAAGGCCGCAATACTAATATAGCGGTTCTCTAGAGATTATAGAGACGTGATACGTGGTTGGTGGAGGGTAGGTCTGTATTCAATAGAACTAATCGCTGGCTCTCCTAGCTGAGAACCAGCGGCGCAACATGTGTCTGTATGTCACGTGGTGGCTGCTTGGCCGCCGCAGTGTGCCTCAGGCACGCTTGTATAGCGTCCGCAGGTGGCAGCGCATAACATAATGGATGAAGTCGAGCACTACATGGGGATTCATCGCCTTGAGGATGCCGCACTCCGGCAGCTGCAGTCCATGACCCAGGAAGCGGACGAAACCGTTACTGCGTACTACCACCGCCTGCTGACCCTCTGGATAAGAGCCCGCGTGCCTGACAAGGAGCGGATTAAGAAGTTTAAGACTAGCCTCCGGTTTAACCTTGCTAACAACATGTGGTTCAAGGAGCACCTTAGCCTAAGAGAGGCTCTTAACGATGCCCGCCGCCTGGAGGACGCCCGCGCTGAGATCGACTTCCAACACCCCAAGCCAATCCGCGGCCGTGGTGGCGGTGTCTTTGGAGCTTCTGGAGGACGCGCAGACTCCCAGAACACCCTGAGACCGTCAAACAACACCCAGGGCAATACCTATACCAGCGGAGGATCGACCCAGCCTAACCGCACCCCGACTGCCACCAAGCCGGCTACCTGGAAAGGCGAGTGGTATGACCCGGAGGATCGCCCTTCAAAGCTTACTGATGATGTCCGCGCTGCACTCATACGCCAGGGTCGGTGCTGGGCGTGCCGCGGCTCGGGCCACCGATCCAGCGATGCCTGCTGCCCATGGAACCGTACCCGCGGCAAGTCCCTCAATGAGATCACCGCTGAATCACTGAAAGACGAGCTCTCTAGTTCTGAATCGGAGGCGGAAAACTAGAGGTCTCTGATCGTCGTCGGGACCAGAGACTTCCAGAACCAGAGAAGGATCATGATCAGCCCTTTAGGCTCCTTTCGTCAATGGCGCTCTCCTCCCTGCAGGAAGCAAAGCTGCAGAACGGCAGCCATCTCACTTTAAAAGCGTATGTAAACAATAAAAGACAAAAACATTGCTTGATAATGGAAGTGAAGTTGACACTATTGATCCCTCCCTGGCCCGCGCCCTTAAGCTATCCACGTTCAAACTAAACAAGCCGGTTCCGCTGCACCTCGCGGACCATTCCCACTACCATGATATCGCCGAAGCGGCCCTGATAGACCTCCGCATCGGTGACCACCTGGAACAACGCCTTGTATACCTAACGCCCCTGCCATATTATCAACTAGTCCTCGGAGACAACTGGCTCCGCGACCACAATCCCGTGGTTGACTGGAGCCTCCGCACCGTGAAGTTCAACTCTACAAAATGCTTTGCAGATGACTGCCTGCCTCACGCGCAACCCTGTACGGTACACGCTATAGGGTCAACCGCGCCCCGGGAGCCGACAGCCCACACTGATATTAAATTCGTGTCAGCCCGGGTATTCTTCGCTATGGCCAAGCGACGGGATCACCATGACTTCATAATGACACCGAGAACAGCAGGGAAGTTCTTCTGTGCAGCTACCACAGGCGCCGTGCAGGCATCAGACTATGACCGATACATGCGAGGATCCGCTGAATACACAGTTGAAGAACTCAAGAAGAGGGTCCCACCGCAATATCACGACCTGATTGAAGTCTTCATGAAAGAACGAGCTAACGATTTACCACCAAACCGCCCTGAAGACCATGATATCCAGCTGATTGAGGGGAAGGAGTTACCATTCTCGCGGAACTACCAGCCCACGAACCTCCAAGAAGCTGAGGTTGTCAAGAAATATATAGATGATAACCTGGGTAAGGGCTTCATCCGCAGTAGCTCATCACCAACAGCAGCCCCGATCCTGGTGGTCCGCAAGCCTGGGGGCGGCCTCCGGGTATGTGTTGACTACCGGGCGCTGAACGAGATTACCATCAAGAACCGTTACCCGATCCCCCTGGTCACTGACACCCTCACCCGACTGTCCAAGGCAAAAATCTTTACTAAACTTGACGTGGTGGCCGCCTTCAACCGGATTCGGATCAAGGAAGGAAAGGAGTACCTAACTGCCTTTAATACCCGATATGGCCAGTTTGAATACCTGGTTATGCCATTTGGACTCTGCAACGCCCCCGGGACCTTCCAAAGCTACATTAACAAGCAAGTCGATCCTTGATTACCTGGACGTCTTCTGCACGGCGTACCTAGACGACGTCCTGGTATACAGCGATAACCTGGAAGATCATGACAACCACGTTAGGAAGGTACTGCAGCGCCTGCTTGACCGCGGCCTGCACGTCGACATCGATAAGTGCGAATTCGGGGTGTCACAGGTCAAATACCTAGGCTTGGTAGTCAGCACCAGCGGTATCGCCATGGACCCCGAGAAGGTCCAGGCCATCCGGGAATGGCAGACACCGACCTCTGTGAAGGATACCCAGATGTTTACCGGGTTTGCTGGCTTCTACCGGCGTTTTATTAAAGGATTCTCCGAGCTGACCGCACCATTGAACCAGTTGACCAAGGGCAGTGAGACATACACCACTGCCTCTGGAAGAAAGAAAGTACGATATCCCCCTTTTAAATGGACTGATGAGTGTGACGCAGCCTTCCAGGCTATAAAAGAGGCCTTTACTTCTGCACCAATCCTGGCTCACTTCGACCCTAATATGGAAACCTGGGTTGAGACTGATGCCTCAGACTTTGTGACCGCCGGGGTCCTCTCGCAGATGCACGGTGATGTCCTTCAGCCAGTGGCTTTCTTCTCGAAGAAGATGTCTAATGCGGAAACCAACTACATGATCTATGACAAAGAACCCTGGCAATTATTCGTTCTTTTGAAACCTGGCGACCAGAGCTCACCAGCGTCGGCGAGCCGGTAAAGGTCTATTCAGACCACCGGAGTTTGGAGTACTTTATGACCACGAAGCAGCTGAACCGCCGGCAGGCCCGCTGGGCAGAGTTCCTCTCTGAATTCAACTTCAAGATCATGTATCGACCCGGGAAGCAAGGCGAGAAGCCCGACATCCTCACCCGCCGCCGCCAGGACCTGCCGCAAGGTGTTGAGGATGACCGTGAGCGCGAACGCCTACAGACTCTACTCACAAACGACCACCTGGACACGGACGTGAAAAAGGCGCTCTCCGCAATGTTCTGCGTGACGACAGCGCTGGACAACCATAGTACCGCGGTTGAACCCCTAGCAGAGACCCCAGCAGAGGAAATACCCGAGATGCTTGACTTTGACACAGAATCCGAACTAAGCGAGCTACCAGAGGATCTTGAAGCCCCGGAAGGCTTTGACGATACCGAGGCACCCCCAGAAACAGACCCCGAGGAGGATACCGTCCCGCTGGAGGAACAGATCGACAAGGCCTACCGTGAGGATACGTTGGTCCTAAAGATCTTTAAAGCCATCGAGGATGGCCTGCGGAAGCTCCCACCAGATGTGATCAACCAAGGCTTTAAAATACCTATTGGAGAGCTCTCCGTACGGGATAGACGTCTTTGGGTCAACGACCGCCTCTATATCCCAGAGAACCAAGCACTCCGACTGCACCACCAACCCCGGAATGCCGGGCACCCAGGCCCTAAGAACCTTTATCGAAGCCTGATCCGTAATTACCACTGGGTTAACATGAAGGATGACTGTAGGCAGTTTGGGGACTTTTGCACACTCTGCCGCCGCTCCAAGGCGCGCACTATCCAGAAGCAAGGACTGCTTAAACCGCTACCGATTCCACACCGGAAATGGCTTGATATCAGCATGGATCTTGCGGAAGACCTGCCCCCGAGTGTCATTAAGAACCGCACCTACCGCCACGTGTTGGTGGTGGTCGACCGACTAACTAAACAGCGACTATTCGAGCCCCTGCAGACAAAGGAAGTGGATGAACTGGTGGAGGTCATGCACCGGCGAGTATTCAGCGAGTACGGGCTACCACGATCGATCGTTTCGGACCGGGGAAGCGCCTTTGCCAGCTATTTCTGGGGCCGATACTGCAAACGATATGGGGTTCTGGTAAAGCTATCCAGTGCCAACCACCCGGAGACAGACGGCCAGTCAGAAAGTGCAGTAAAAGGCCTGAAGAACTACCTCCGCGCTTACGTCAACTACGCGCAGGACGATTGGGCTCAGTTCCTGCCTGACGCCCAGTTCGCCGCCAACAATCATACCAATGAATCCACCGGAATGACACCGTTCTTTGCAAACCACGGCTATCACCCCCGGGATGGAACAGAGCCCCCAGGCACCTTCAGCGATCCCACACACCCCCAGATGGTCACTGCAGAGAAGCTGATTAAGCGCACCGAGGACATCCGTGAGTTCCTGCACACAGAGCTTACCTGGGCCCAGGAGTCCTACACCCGACAAGCCAACGCCCGTCGACAACCCCATCCAGCGTACCGAATTGGTGACCGGGTCTTTGTTGATGCCCGCCACTTCAACCTTCAACGGGAATCGGACTCACTAGCCCCTAAGAACCTCGGCCCATGGCCAATCGTTCGAATCATTGATCACAAAGCCTACGAGGTCAAGCTACCGCCACAGATGGAAGAAGCAGGCGTGACACCGGTATTCCACCCCTGGAAGCTTCATTTAGCGTCGAACACGCCCTATCCCGGCCAGGTCGAAGACCCGGAAGTGCCGGTAATGATCCGCGATATTGGGGAAGAGGAACCGCACGAGGAATGGGACGTTCAAGAGGTTGTGAACTGTCGGAAAGTACGTGATATGATCCAGTATAAGGCTATATTCAACGGCGAATGGGACGATTGGAACTCCAACCCCCCGTGGCAACCGTGGACCGATTTTAAGCATGCACGGGATAAAGTAATGGAATATCACCAGAAGGACCCCAGAAAGCCTCGACCCCCTGACTACTTGACAACTGATTGAATGATTGTACGGAAAAGCGTTTGATTTATCATGTATTTAGCTTGCTTCGGAGGACCTTCAGCCTTGAAGGGGGGGGGTAAGTGTCACGGCCCAGGCCGGACCAGGTCACGGGACTAGCCCTAGCCCTGGCCACGTGCCACGCTAGCGCCCACCGGAGATATCTTCCGGCCTCGTAGTCAGTTTAGCAGACCACGCTTAGTTTTCTTTAGCAATCAACTTATTGCTCAGAGTTGATCCCCAACAACCACCGCCGCGCCGCCACGCCCAAGTCCCGCCGGCGCCCAATGGCTAGCGCCAAAAACGCCCGCCGCCGGCCTTGCCAGGCGGGCGACCAATAACGCGCCCCCCACCAAGGCATCCTACCGCGCCAACTGGCTCCGCAGGTGTCCGGGTCCCTGGCGGCCCGGCATTTCACGCACCGGGCTCCCCACGTTCAGGCCACTGCCCGCCGAGCCCTCC